TTATCCATCGTAAGAAACACTCCATATTTTGAACTTGAACTGTGCTGAGGCCTTGCCGATACTGATAGCTCCCTGGCTGACGGATACGAAGCCATTATCTCCACCACCAGCGTATTTCATGGAGTAACCACGGGATTTACCCTGACCTCCAGCATCAAAATCAATGTCCATGGGCGATGCCTTGTCGCGCGACTCTACTAGCGTTCCCTTGGGCCCTAACCAACGCTTTTTATTTGGGGTCGACACGAGGAATGGTCCATCCTGCTTCGTCAGTCTAGTCTCAAGGTCAGTTGCACCGTTGTTGTAATAGTGGATGACGAATCGAGTCTCTGGCTGAGCGTAACGTTTTTCGTCGGTGCTCGACTTGGAAATAACGCCAAGTTTCGTCGCATCTTTGTGGGAGAGCAGGTACTCATCCTTGTTGGAAGATTGTTGAGCGGAGAATACAAGATATCTCCCTTCTGTGAGGGTTCCAACGACTTGCTTGTAACCTTGCTCGATGAGCCCTGGAGGCGGGAAACCCTTTGGTTGAGATGTCCACGGTGCAGGAGGGTTGGTAAAACGAGCTCTACATCTTGCCAGTCCGTCCCAGGCTCCAAACGCGTTCTTTCTAGGGACTTCGGCCTTGGGAACTTGGGGCACGGAGGTATCCGCCTACAGAGATCGTTTATCAGCTTTGTAGTCTTTAGACTGAAACGAGCATAAACTCACATTCTCAAAGTCGAGCATGCTAACAAGGTTAGACATATGCTCACGGCGCCAGTGAACCATACTTGGCAAGGTGACGTTATCGTATCCTTTACTAGCAAGCCACTGTTCGACAAAGAGGATTTGAGAGGTATGATCTGCGTGCTCGGTGAAAACACGGCCTCCACGGGTGAACGGAGAGATCACGTAGAAGGGCACTCTCCACCCTATTATCCTAGTTAACAGCTGGATGGCTAAAATATAGAAGATGGAGGCATACCTGGGCCAGTGAAAATGTCGCCCTGTTGGCCTAGGTAATCTCTCATCCATTCGCCGGGGGTTCCTTTGGGCGAATGGTAAGGAGTAACATGGTCGCCGAAGCCACCGGATTCTGATATACAAGTTAGAATATTATTCAGAATCATCGTGGGAAGGGGCGGTGCCTACCGTCATAACTGACTAACAAGACCGTCTTGCCGTACTTTGGACTCTGGGTCACCGCGTCTATAACTTGTTGCTGCAGCCATGCACCATCCTTCGGCAGCCATGGAGGATGTTCGGACAATTCCATGGGGCCGACAATGAAACTGACTTCTGGAAGGGTGCCAGCACGAGCATCTTTGTAAAACTGCTCCAATCCCAGGTATGACATTCCCTTCTTGGTAAGAGGTGAGTCTGCAGGCGCCTTACGGAAATTCTGGAAGTGGGCAAGCGGGTTGTCACCAAAGTTGTTCCTGTCCTGATATACCTGCCATGACACTCCGGCATCTTCATAGACTTCATAGTTGGTTTTCCAGTTGAGTGGATAGCAGTTTATATGGGGGAGAGGGCAGCCTATAGATGTTAGCTGTAGCTTCTATTTGGCGACCGATTATCCACATACCGGGAACCTCGTTGTTATCGAGATATGTGCCTCCGTCATCAGGTTTCTGGGGGCTTCCCGGGACGTTGATCGATCCGCTAACCAGCATGACTCGGTTGGGGTTTGTTGCCGTGATTTGCGATTGCTATCCCGTGTCAGAAATGTCTAGCTATCCGAACCATTTTCTACATACCTGGTACATGTCCCCGACAGTCCAGCCCTCTGCCACGGAGAAGTGGACGGGGATGTCCTGTCGCTTCAGGAACCCCCAGTTAGTGGGTTCACCAAAGTACTGCCATCGATCGTTTCTGCCTCCGTTCAAGGACGCCTGGTTCTCCGGGTAGGAATTGCTGCCTCCCGCTGCACATTGGACGCCATCAGACCATGTTCCGCCAAGGTGGCCCAGGTACCACGGCGTCAGCCTATTGACACCTTGCCTTGGTGGTGTGACCTTTCTGGATAGTTCGCAAATGTCAGTCAGTAACCACCACCCCCCGTCCAGGCGAGCTTGATGTCGCACTTACTGAGAGAAGACGGGCATTCCATCGTCATTGACTTGGACATTTGGATCCCCGAAGTTCCTAGTACCGGCCATGGTTCCGAAGTACTAGATGTGCATCGTCAGGGCATGGCTGGAGCAGAGAGCCTGAAGGGAAGAAAAAAAAGGCGATAACGTACGTGGTTCCATGATCGATTCTCCTGCATGAAGATAACGACATGCTCGATCTCCTTTAGGGAGCGAGCAGTCTCCCCTGCGGCGGGATTCGGTGCGGCATACGCATGGTGATGGTGGTCAACTAGGACCACAGACAATGCTGTGAGCAGTAGAGCGGTGGTCTGCATAGCGTCGAACCAAAGAACTCACGCTGCCGGCAATGCGGTTTGAATCGAGAAGGAAAAAGAAGAGAAATATACGGCGATCACGCTGCATAAAAAAGCAGCAAGGACCCGGCACCGTTATACACTCGCGGTAGCTGAGACAGACGGCCAGTTTGTTTCCTCGGCCCACGCGCGACACCGTCGACCATTCTTTGTCTCAATAGCATGCACGACGAGGGTGATATCTCTCCTCCTCCTCGCAGCGTTGCATCTCTTCCCCCCCACCACCAGCATCTCCTCCACCTTCGAAGGCCCATCCCCCTATCCACAGTGATGCAGAAACGGATCAGCAGTCCACCCTGCCCGCACCCAGGGAGGAGGGCCAGCCGTCGACCGGCAGCCAGAGAGGAAATGATCATTCGCGGCTCCGTGATTGGCCCGGGTATATGTAGACCGTCTGAAGATTCGTTCAAGGGTATAAGTAGATATATATCAGATCAGATGTCAGGCCAGTCGCACGGTAGGAGTGGCCAGGCCAGCATGCGGCAGGGAGACAAGGCAAGGTCTCGACCAGGAGACACAGGCTGGCATCACTTCTGGCATCTCGAGAGCTGTTTGCTCCCATGCAAGGCGCCCTCCGTCCCCTGGCCGTCGGTGGAGATACAACGCCTGTCGACGCTAAAAGTCTTAAGTCTGCGTAGAACTTTGCGTGTATCACTCTTTGCGTCGCTCGTATTCACCGTGGAATCCGCCGAGAGGAAGTGTGTTTATACAACCGCGGAGTATATGCACAGAAGGCGAAGGTGGTTACCAGCATCGACTTCAACTTCCACGACTCCGTACATATCGGATGGATACCTCCACACACGTGTCGAGAGGGTGCGACGGGCAAGGTTTGCATGGTTGAGAAGTCCGAACAGGCGACGGGGTCCATCATGATATCCGGCCTCGTCACAGCAGCGGCAGAGATCCAACGGTTGCACGGTAGCGGCCGTCGGTGAGGCTACGATACTCATGTTCGATATGTGGTCGACGGGATTGATCATGCCTCCTCGTCTCGTGGAGTCCAGGGTGGATGCAAAAGGCCTGCCTGTGATCGCCCTTTATCTGACTGCCCCTTGCCGGCAGCAGACTTCCACCTCGTCCAGGCCCAGAAGATGGAAAAGATGGCGATGGAGAGACCGGCCAGCAGGCGACGACACAACTCGCAGCGGCGGCTTCAGCAGTCAGACGACGATGACCAGCACCAGGATGAAGACGCTGGCCCTTCGACCGCGGGGACAGGGGGACGGCCAGAGACAGAAACTCGACGGGCTCCTCTGATTGGTCTATGGCCCTTTGTCGGTTTGCTCTGCTGCATCTCGACACTCCTCGTCTTCTTGAAGCTGCTGGGACAGTGGCAGCAAGGGTCGGTTGCGAACATCGCTGGCGTGGGCGTTCCTCTCGACACTGCGTCGCCCTGGAGCTCCCTCCTCCATCCGGAGGACCATGTCTTCCGTGGACGTACTACTGTTCGGCTGGACTGGACCATTACGACGGATTATCGTCGCTTGGACGGAGTACGGAAGCGCGTTTATCTCATCAATGGTAGCTCTCTCTCACACACATCATCATGGCTATATCTCTCGGTGCAAGGGGGCTGACCGTTGGCGCGCTGCAGGCATGTTTCCGGGGCCGACCATCGAGGCTCGGTCGGGGGACAGACTGAATATCCATGTCGTCAACAACCTCGAAGATGAAGGCGTAGTCCTTCACTGGCACGGTCTACACATGAGAGGTATGTCACTGTATGCACACTTACCAATGTACTACTGCTAACCAGGTCTCGAGGTGCAAACCATATGGACGGAGTACCAGGGGTCACCCAGTGCCCAATAGTTCCGGGGGGTTCTATGCTATATAACTTCACCATCTCCGACTCCCAGAGTGGGACGTTTTGGTAAGTGACGCTTCCATCCCCTACGCTGGAGTACTTTGCTCACTTCTCGTATCAGGTATCACGCACACTCAGGCCTGCAGCGAGCAGAGGGTCTATATGGTGGACTCATAGTGCATAAGCCGTCTGTACCGGCTATTCGAGCTGCACGGAACCAACTAGGACAGACGGATAGCCTGAAATATGGGTATCAACAGGAGCACCTCCTCCTAATCGGAGACTGGTACCACCGTCCAGCCCACGAAGTATTGGCCTGGTTCCAGTCTTCAACTTCAAACGGACAAGAGGTTCGTCTCGCCCTTTCCGGCTCGACTTTACAATTCCATTCACTGACATGTCGAAGCCCGTCCCGGATTCTCTGTTAATCAACGGTGCTGGGAAGTTCAACTGTTCAATGGCACCACCCGTACGGCCACTCGACTGTGTCGACAGCGGGTACGCTACTCCAGAGCTTCTCTTTGATTCAGGCGTATCCCACCGAGTCAGAGTTGTAAACGTCGGGTATTCTACACTTTGCTCCCCTTCCTCCATGTTAAACAAAGGCCTATATGTTTGCTAATACGGACTTAGATCACTTGCGGGTGTGAGTCTTGGCTTTGAGCATGGGGTTATAAACCCCATCCAGGTTGACGGTGGGACAGACGTTGAACAGCCGTCTCAGACGCCAAATGCCCATTCAATAGGCATAGTATACCCCGGTCAGCGAATGGATTTCGTTGTCCATAATGTTGTAGGAGAGTCTACACGGTCTTCTATGACAGTGGAGCTTGATCCAGAGTATGAGCCTACGTCTGAAGTGCCATGTTAGCCCCAGCATTCTAACAGCCGTCACAGGTGCTTCAATCTCCCGAATCCGGCACTTACTCACATACAAACATTCCCTATCACTGACTCTTCACAACAATCCAAACCGAATTCACCCTCCAAACCTCTGTCAGACAATCCAATTGGGGAGCCTGGAAGACATGTAGACCTTGCAGAGTTGGTTTCTACGCCAGCTACAACCTCTCAAATACCTGCGCAAGCAGACCAAACCTTCGTTGTGTATACAGTGTTGTCGAAATTATCGGCAAATCGCAATGCTCCTTATGGATTCTTCAATCACACATCCTGGCGCCCGCAGGCAGATCCACCCTTACCCCTGATCGCGCTGGAACCCAAGGACTGGGATAAAAACCAGTTCGCGGTCAGGACAAGCAGCGAGCCTGCATGGGTTGATTTAGTTGTCAACAACCTGGACGAAGGGCCGCATCCCTTTCATATTGTATGTATCTTCGATCCATCTCTTACCGACAGCGCTTATCTAACCTATCCAGCACGGCCACGACTTTTACGTTCTATCGCTTTACGAAGCGGAAACAGGCTTTGGTTCGTACAATCCATGGGATCTAGACGATAACCCATCCTCGGCACCGCCGTACGACTATTCAAAGGCAATTCTCAGAGACACAGTGCATATTCCCGCACGGGGCCACGCAGTACTAAGGTTCCGAGCTGACAATCCAGGAGTGTGGCTGTTTCACTGCCATATCTTGTGGCATCTCGCTAGTGGCATGGCGATGTTGGTCGATGTGATGAACAACGGCTCAAGGTCGTTGGATCTTCCGAGTCATACTTGTAGCTATCTAGCTTGAGAGGAAGTGTACATTCGGAGATATATTGTCATTACACGACAGGCTACTAGCCCTGAAGCCACCGTCAGATTTAAGCCTGGTGGCATAAAAGCGATTCCTAGACGAGGCATCTGAATACCGGTAGCTTTTATCTATTGAATACCTCCTCGATAACTGTCCAGGAGAAGCTGGAGTAGAATCACAGGTCCATGGATTCATGATCTCGCATTAAAATTCAATTGACTAGGACACAACGTTGATAAGTCGGTAGTCCAGCTACGCCCATTTAGTCGCTGTAACCACCATCAGATCCACCATCGTCAGACCCATCATCGCGCTCCTCCAGCTCCTCCTCACGCTCTTCCGCGCGCTCATCTTCCTCGTGTTCATCTGCAGTAGTATCGCCTTGTCAGGAACGGAGCCGGAAAAAGATATGATGAGATGCATAAAGTAGCTTACTGATTTCGTGTGAAATAACAGCGGCGCCAACGGCGCCGAGAGCAAGACCACCAGCACCGGCAGCCAGCATAGTTCCTGCATTAGAACTCTTCTTCTTCTTGTCCTTCTCATATCCATCTTTAGAGCTGTCATATTGAGACGCGCCGTAGGCACTACCAGCTCCAGCTGCCCCCCCAGCATAGTATTGACCACTGCCACCGCTGGCACCGCGGGCGTCGTACCCTCCGGAGCCCATGCTAGAGTTAGCCGGGGCCTCCCACTGCGAACGGCCGGTGGCCTGCTCGACATGGTACGCGCGCTGGTTCACCTGGTCCCAATGCTGAGTCCATCCGGCTGGGAGAGGGGGTGGAGGGCCCTGTGGTGGCGGGGAAGAGCCGTACTGCGGTTGGCCGCCATACGGCTGTTGTTGCTGGGCGTAGGGCGGCTGCTGGCCATATTGCTGCTGCTGTCCATATGGAGGCTGGCCATACTGCTGCTGCTGCCCGTATGGTGGCTGCTGTCCATACTGTTGCTGTTGCCCATAAGGCGGCTGCTGGCCATAAGGTGGTTGCTGTCCATACGGCGGCTGCTGACCGTATGCGCGTTCGCCTATACGCCGGTTAGAACGAATCGGCCGGCAGAGAGAGTGTAGCGAGAATACCTCCTTGCTGTGGCTTGTCCGAGAAGTTAGCCTTCAGCTCTTCGAATTTCTTCAGGAATGACATGGCCGCGAGGACGGGGATAGTTGAGAGCAGAGGGATGAGTTGGACGGTGGTAGAGGCCGCGACATCTTGCTAAATAGCTACGGGAACAAGCGCATCTTTATAAACCTTCCGTTGACGTCCAGCCTCCAGCGCGAAAATATACCATGGCTGCCCCTCCACCAGGTACACCTTTTTTTTCACGATATTAATGCGAGCGTACGGAGTACGACGACTGGGCCAACCTTCATAGATAACTCGTTAGTTACTAGCCACGTCAGCCACAGGATGGAGAAATGCTAGTTGCGAGACAGGACCAGGGGCCTTTTCCCAGCGAGAATGTGCCCACAGCAGGGGGAAGCAGACGCAACCTGCGAATCCCTTCATCCCAGCGTGCATTAGCGTGTGGCTAACGAGCGAGTCTGCATCTATCTTGAGAATCCTTGCGACGTCTCCAGTCTCAACCACGGCAGTTCACAGAGTTCGGTGGCTTGGTTGGATCGCTCCTCTAACCACAGGCGGGTGGATGGGAATAACGACGACCGGCTGACGTGAATGTGTAACCCCCCCTACGTGAGATTCGGCGAATCGGGTCGGTGATTTGGAGCTGCGAGAGGGAAGCTCGATGTTCTCTAACTTCGACCATCCAGACGCTCATAGGGTGGAGAGGGCCTGTTGATCGCGAGCAGGGATGCGAGGTTGTGTGTACGCACTCTGATACAAGCTATATTCCTTATTCGACGACGGTGGCTCGGGCTGAAGTTCTAGGACTAGAGTGTACTATGTCATTCCTGGTTCATGTCTATGTACATTTCTTCTGGGCCCAGATGAAGTTCCCGGCCACACCCGTCTTGTACGTGTCCATGTCCCTCTCCAGCTGCGCGGACAGCTGTGGGCGGTGATCTTCGCTCAGCCCGACATCCTCCAGTCTACTCCAGTTAGTGGACAAAGCGACAGGAGAGGAAGAATATGGAGGAAAGGATGAAATGAAGGACGTACTTGACCAGACTGCCGAACGAGTGGAAGAGGACTCGGCTAACGCGTCGTCCCCTCATGCCTTGCTCCCGGTCCGCATGCGCGTTCCCGGCAATCATCTCCAGGCACTGGCTCTGGACGTTGACGCATCCAGCGTCTTCCAGGGCATCCATGATGTCAGCCTTGACGTTGAGGTTGCGAACTTTCCGCTCGGCAAACTTGTAGAAGAGCAGGTAGGTGGTCGCCTGGGGGTCTGCCACCATGGTGTGGTGGTCATACTCGAAGAACTGGATCCATCCGCCAGGCTTGAGGCAGCTGACGAGCCGCTTGATGATCTGGTTGATTTCCTGGCGCTGGAAGAAGGCGAACAGGAGACGCTGGTTGACCAGGTCGAAACGGTTCTCCCACGCGGGCGGCAGCGAGTCTGTGACGCTCTGCGGCACCAGTGACACGGTCGGAGGCAGCATCTCGGCCGGCGGGAACAGTTCCGTCCTACAGTTCGTCATGGTCAGCCCTTTTTCTTTTTTGCAGCCGCGGTCGTTGTTCGACAGGGTCTCGACGGAGGACGTACGCAATGTCGAAACCTACATATTCCGCGTCGTCGGGAAGGACGAGACGCACATCGTGGATCCAGAAACCTGGACAGAGGGAGAGTCAGAAACAAGCATTCAAAGAAGCAACGCTACGGGTGACAGCAGTCAGCACAGCGCTTACCATCCGCCGTAGCTGAGTCGAGCACCTTCATCCCCTTGGCCGTGAGGTCGATTGGCGCCTTGATCAGGCCTCCAGCCGTGCCCTTGATCCATTCATGCTGGACGCGCAGACGGTCTCTCTCAACGCTGCCGCCAGGGATGACGTACCGGGCCTTGGCCTCTTCAAACTTGTTGTCCCGAGGGTCTCCCATGTTTCGGCAAGGTATAAAATAGCAGATATATTTGCTCCATCCTGTGAGGAAGTATTCATGCTTTTATAGCCGATAGCCAGGCGAGGGGAGCAAGCAGGACGATCAGGATTGCCATCGCTCTCCTCCTCAGTAGATATCTGTTTACCCAATACGGTAAATCAAGGTGAGAGACGCTGGTTGTAGCTGGCAGCAGTCCTCCAAGGTCACGCCGTGTAACGGATGGACCCTCAACCAGACGGCCGCGCCGAAGGATGCAGTGCAAGCGCCGGTCACTAGGGGATCGCCGGTCCCAGTACAGCTGGTCTTCATCTTCCTTCCATCAACCTTGGTTGTGTATGGAGTAGACGAAGTTCAACTACTTTTCTTCTTTTCTTCTTCTTGTTCTTGTTGTTCTTGATGCTGACTGATTTCTGACTAAGTGGAATGACTAAGAGCTGACGATTGTTTATGTTTGTTTTGTTTGTCGTGCTTAGTAATATATCTCACGCTAACCATATCGAGGTCATCCAGCCGTTCCCGCTTAGTCATGCATGGTGCGTGCATCTTCAGCCAATAACAAACGCTTACCTATGCCAAGATCCCCCACCCAGCGGGCCGAAGTAGCCTATAACGGCTAGTCAGGCACCCCTGTCTCCAATCAGCGACGGGGATGCCGGCTCCACCCGCGACGTGCTGCGCCCGCCCTAGCCGCGGCCCTGGTTCATTTCCCGCCTTGTCCTGTCTCATCTTCCTTCGCTTCCATCTCCACCTCCGCCCTGGACGTCTCTCGCTCAGCATCTCAGCATCACATCTCAGTATCACATCTCAGTATCACATCTCAGTATCACATATCAGCATCACATCTCAGCGTCAGTCGACCGATACAGGTAACCGCACACGCCGGACGCGACATCTCGCTGCGTCGACGACTGCAGAGTGATGTCTGCCCGTCAGTGATCTGGCCGGCGTCTCCACAACCACACTCGTTTGACAGCATTCACCACCAGCCTCGTCCTCGTCCTCGTCCTTGTCCTCAACCGTCGTTTCTCTTTGCCCTTCGTTCGCTCGTTTCTTCGCTGTTGAGCAGCATCCATTCGTTTTGTCTGCGTTTCTCCCATCTCCAACCTTCGTCATGACCTCAGAGACCGGTACGTTTTTTTGTCAGGGCACTCTCACCCTTCTCTCGTCACTGTCTAACCTAACGAGTCGCAGCTCTCTACGGGCGTTCTGCCAGCAACCTCTTCCGCCGATGCGTCGTCAATTGCCCGACCGAAGCACCGCCATGTCCGGCCTGCAAGGACACCGAGATATGTACGCTGACGGCCAAATCGTGCGAAGCCTGCGCCGCTGCCGTCTGCACCCCTGATCCATTATCCAACCCGCCGCCGGTGGACTCGGGCACTCCTACAGGTGCCATCGCTGGCGGCGTCATCGGAGGACTCGCCCTCGTCGCAGCCCTCGTGCTCGCCTGGTGGTTCTGCGTCCGGCGCCGACCCAAGAACACCGAGATGTGGGATGAGAAGCGAAACGTCAGCGACGACTTTGGCAGCGCCCGCCAGAAGAGACAGTCTGCAGTCGGCTCGATCGCCTCCACTGTCCTCACCCGCGCCTCCAATGTCATCCAGATCGCGTACATCCCCGGCGTGACCAACCGATCGGCCCCTGGCTCGCCAGACCTGATGGTTCCCCCCGTTCCTCCAATCCCGTCAGCTGTCAACAACTGCCAAAATCAGCAGCAGCAGCACTACTTCATGCCTGGCGACATTCGAGACTCCATGTGGTCCGGCATGACAGACGACGATGGCAAGAGCATCAGCCCCAGTCTGGCCCGAAGCAGCGTCGCCACGACCATCTACCGTCACAACGCGATCGTCAGCCCTGTCCCAGCTCAGGAGGCGTACCGGGCCAAGGCGAACATCGTCAGCGTCAAGTCTGGCAGCAGCTCGCCAGCTTCCTCAACCGCGCCCAATGTCCCAGCCATCACCAACTCCCAGCTCAACAAGGCCAATGCAGTCGCCGCTAAACTCGGTGTCAGCTCCATCGTTGCCCGAAGCGCCGTCGCTCGCCCTATCAACGTCACCAAGGGCGGCCGTTCTAAGACGACCACCACCCTCGCCAACGAGAACACCTCTCACAACACGCCTAAGGTGACCGTCGAGTCGCCCGATAATGCTCCAAGCAGTGACGACTCTTCCTCTCTCGACTCGAGGAGTACCGCTCCCAGTTCAGGCAATGCCAACAGCAACGCCACAAGCCAAGATACTGCCAGGAGTAAACCCCGTGAATCCGTCCAATCTCTCGCCGTCACCGAAATCGATGACTCGCCCGACATCAAACAAAGCCCGTTCGCGGACCCTATAATAGAGGAAGAATCCTCGCAATCATCTGCCTCAGACCGCGAATCCCAGCTTTCAACCGGCCATACGAAGCGAAGTGCCAGCCCCTTCGACGATAAACACGAAGTCAAGGCCAAGCCGTGAGGCTGCTCCTCCATACACTCTATACCCGCTACTGCAATCCACCTCCCTTGACAGGATGGAAATCACGAATCAGCTATAGCATCTTTTTCTGTTTGTTTGTTTGTTTGTTTGTTTGTTCACGGGTTACACCCCGGCAAAGGAACTTTTTATGCGGCGTCTTTTAAAGGATTCGGTGGGCCCTGGTTTCTTTATCCATTACTTAGCCCCTATTGCTACTTTCTCGCTGTCTTTTCTCCCAATGCCCCTTTAATGTCTGCTTCCTATGTATTCGCCCTCATTTATCTGTTGTTTCCCTGGCCCCGATATATTCCCCTCCTTGGCCTTAGCTGTACCTTTCTCCATGTAGTCATGTTTCATTCAACTTGTGCCATGAACCAAGCCTACCTACGGTATCTCCTATTCTTTCATGTCCATATGTTTCATCGTAGTTGTAAATATCGGATTCACAAGTGACCTAGTCTCATACCATAATCCTCCTTTCACTTCCCTGGTCAAAATCCTGAGCCAAGGGCACACCTTCGAATTTCCACACCTCTATCGTATAATCACCTTCCCCGGGCATGCTTCCGTCGGGTCCTGGGAAGAACTCCTTCGCAATCTGCTTGCGAAGTGGTTTGCCAGTGTAGGATCGAGGGATATCTTCGCCCTCGGCTAAGATACGCAGCATAGTCGGTCGGTAACCCACAGGCAGAGCAGAGACGGACAACAAATCATCACGCAATTTCTGAAGTGCCAGAGAGGTACCTTGTGCCGTCGGTGCCAGACGAATCAGGACTGCGATATGTTCACCTACTGTTGGCGCGGGAACAGGCACAGCGTATACCTCATCCGCGTAGGGTAACTTATGGAGCTGCATTTCCAGCTCGGGAATTGGTACTTTGTACGAATGATGCTTGATGTCTGTTTACCATTGCGAGTTGCCTTGTTAGTTGTTATATATAGTCCTCTCATGCTAAGGGCTGAAAGTATAAAGGCGGGATACTTGCAGTCGTGCTTCAGTCGGCCATCTATGATATATAGGCCATCAGTGATATGACCACTGTCACCAGTCTTGTAGAAACCGTCTTCATCAAACACGGCAGCCGTTGCTTTGGGATCGTCCAAATAGCTATAATGGTACTCTAGTTAGCTTCAGCTGCATCACCGTATTGCCGTCTCACTATATATGCATATCGGATCCAGGGAGACAGTCAACATACTGGGAAAACACCGATGGCCCCCTAACGAGAATCTCTCCATGGTCACCTTCTGAAAGCTTTACCTCTAACTGAGCATAAGGACCCCCGACGGACCGCTATAACATGTCTGTTAACTGTGGCCAACGTGCTTAGAGAAGGAATTGTCATATCGACTAACCTCGATATCCGTCTCAGCATCCGCGGAAGTGCGCAGGCCACCGCCTCCCATCTCAGCGGCAGAGTAAAGGTTCATCAGCGGTCGACCAAGTATCTCTCTCCAGAACAGGAGGACAGAGGGAAAGATGGGCACGGCACCAGACATGGCAGACCAAACCTGTCTAGCACCACGAACATACTCTTCACGCTCGTCAGCAGGCAAATGGCTCAACTTCTCTATATAATACTTCATCATATCTGTCCACATGGTGGCATGGGCCATAAGCATGGTAACGCCTCCCTGCCGGATGCGCTCCCACGTCGGCTCAGGAGTATTTGGCTGGGAGTCGAATATTTCGACCCTGGTGCCCTTCAGCAGTAGTCGGGTTGGTGGCCAGATACCACCGATCCAATTCGCGGCCGTGATCAAAGTGATGAAGGTATCATCGGGCCCTCCCTCAGGCATAGGGACGTTGAGAAAGTTCCGTGTAAGAACAACCCCCTTTGGCGGGCCGGTAGTGCCGGAGGTTCCCAGGACTAAGCCTGGGCGGCTAGGAGTGATAACGAGGTCTTTGTCAATCGTGATATCAAGGTCACATAACCTGGCAGGACGGGCTGTTTCACCATCAGCAACTGGTATGGGAACTAGATCTAGAGTTGCTGGCCGTAGGTCCGCAAGCTGACGTTGGATCTCCAGTGCTGTGCGCTCTGTGTCTGGGACAAAGACAAGACAGGAGGCCCTTGACTTGTCCATAAAACGTTCGGCCTCGTTGACAGACACGCTTGGGGCTGTCAATCCAGTCAGTCGTACTTGATATCGTCGTCTATAAGACTCACTGTCAACTCACACAGCGGTATTGCAGCCCCTCCAAGCGCAAGGATGGCAAAAAATCCGACGAAATAGCGATAGCTGAACGGCGCCAGGAGGAGAATATACGGTCTCTCCTCATACACCATCCCACGCTGGTCAAACAGCCCAGGCGATGTTCCATGCCTGATGGCATCCCGAGTGGCCAAAACATCGTTCAGGAAGCGAGGGAAGCTCGCCTTGACGCCGCGATAAGGGTCGTGGATAGCGATATGATCGTCTCCCAGCTGTGCTAGGGTAAGCAGCCTTTTGAAAAAGGGCTCGTTGGGCAAGACCCTGTCTCCGCGCGGTTGGCTCTCTACTGCAACCGTCATGATTCAAAGCTCGAGCTGTAAGCAAGTATTGCAGTCTGTAGGTCCGGCACAAAATCGAGTGCCTCCTCCCACGTCTCTTTAAAAGACGATCGCTCGTTGGCATTGGGACCGACCACACAGATCCTCCGTGCAGTAGTGTAAGCACAACGACAGGGAATTGGATAATCTCATGTCGGGGTATATGTATATCAACCATCTCCAAGGGTGTTCATGCAACAATCGACCCTCTCACAGACAGCACTCTTCGACCAGCAGCGTCAGACCTTGTACGAGGTGCTTCCGTGCTTCTGTGCTTACTGAGTAAGCATGATAAACGCCATGTACTCTGTACTCCATGCTCAGTACGGAGTAACTCGGTGGACCTTGCGATGTCACTACAGCGAGACGTGCATCCCCGTCCCAAGGCTGAACGGCTGAACTGACGGTGAAGGAGGCTCCGGCTAAGCATTCCCACTCTGGACATGGTCCTGGTACTCTGGCCAGGCCACTAACCGTATACATTCAAGCGCGGTCGAGATAGATATATTCATAGGCATCGCTAAAATGAAGGAGGATCAAGGGCAGGCACTAATCGTGGCGAAACAACGCATCCAACACAGCCACGCACGAGGACGACCAGGCGAACAAGCGAGCAACCAGACCGTTGGGAGTGCATCTGGTCTGTCCCGCGGTATTTTTCGTCTCGCAGCCGACTCGAGATCCTTTCGCCCTGGCTGATATCTGGAGTAGGATCGAGAGTATTGGAACTGGCGGTAAAACATGAGTTTCATAGAGCCATCCTGCGTCGTCCTCTCATTGTTTCTACTCTTCTCTTCTCTTCTTCTTTTTCTCTCCTCCTCCTCTTTCACATCGTCTTCTTCCTCTCTCCTCCTCTACCACATCGTCTTCTCGTTTATCGTCGTCGTATGTAACACGTTTTACCATGCACAATATAGCTCAAATACGGTACGCAATACCAAAGTTACGCCACGAGGCGCTGACCAATAACAGCGGGGCCGAGGTCTATTTTTAGCTGGGGCTTAGTGGTTATGTAATGCAACATCCAACGCTGAGAGCGAAAGACGGCGAGGTACGGAGTAGAAGAGTGAAGAGTAGAGGCATGGAGGGGAGGAAAAGAAGACGCCAGAAGACGGCGTTGGAGGCCTGACTACTCCATACTCCGCCATGCAACCGTCCAACTTCCGGCGTCCTCTGCACACCTGAGTGTACCTGCGTATTATTAGATGTTTCAGGGTGCTGAGCTAAGCACGGGCGACTGGTTCTTCCGTGCCGGTAATTTCAAAGTACTAGTACCTGCTAGCCAGCCTAAATAAGCAGTAAGCTAAAGTACTGGTACACGCCGCTCTCGTCCCCCTTCGCCCTGCCCAGTCCTCCGCCCGGTCTTCTGCCTCCTCGCTCGTCCTGCTCAGGGGGCTGTGAAGAAGCGCTGGAAAATTTTAGGCGTCGTGCTTATTTTCTTCTTCCTCTGCCTCTTGCTCTCTTCTTTTCCTCTCGTCCGTCACCTATCTACGGGCTCGTCGCTCTGCTCGTCTCTCTCCTCTCGCTCACCTCGCGCTTCGCTCTGCTCTGCTCGCTGTCCCCGTCTATCACTTGACACGGGTCGTGACCTCCTAGGCCGCCAGCTTCGTGTGTGACCATCTCTCCCTCATTATCACCACCACCACCAACATAAGCAACTATCCTCCTACGGAGTCTCCCTTCTCATCGACTGCTCCCCTTCTCGTCGCTCTCCCGGTCGACTGTCGACTGTGTACGGCGTTTCTGTGCTGCCATTCGCTGGCTTGACCAACGCAACCGCGCACCCCAGAAGGAAAACACGGCCTCCATCGATCACAGCCTTTCTACCGCCCACGAACAACCAAAGGAGTAGATAGCGGCCTTCCGCGCTCGTCACCATGGCCTATCCAGGCCCCAGCTCCCCGGGAGGCTACAATGACGGCCACCGGCTGCAAGACATGACTCCCTCTGCAAGTGTAAGTCATCAAACGACAGGAGACCTCCTATAAGTTCACACATCCCTGCCCAGTCACTGTTTCATATCTTGAAATGATAATAAAGAAAGAATCCCAAGCAAGCACTGACATTTTCCCTTTTCTCTTCTTGTTTTTTTCGTTTAGCAATACCATCTGCCGCAAGAGGACGAGTCTTCCCGCTCGCTTCTCAACCAAAACCAGGGGCCCTACGGTGGTCCCTTTGACGACCCCCAGCAACGCGGCCACTCGCCCGTCAGGCCCTCCTCCAAGTACAGTCTGACCGAATCTTACTCGACTGATGCTCCCACCATGGCCCAGTACCCACAGGACCAGATGCAGAATCCGGCTGCCGGTTTTGGTGTGCCCGGACGCGTTCCTTCGCCCTACACCCGCAGCGAGACTTCCTCCACCGAGGCCTGGCGCCAGAGACAGGCTCCCCAGCAGGGGAACCTGCGCCGATATGCTACCAGGAAGGTCAAGCTGGTTCAGGGCTCTGTGCTGAGTATTGACTACCCGGTGCCTAGTGCCATCCAGAACGCCGTTCAGGCCAAGTACAGAAACGACCTCGAGGGCGGCAGCGAGGAGTTCACCCACATGAGATGTGAGTTCAGCCTGTAAGCTAGCTATGAGACTACCTTACTGACATATACAGATACTGCGGCAACTTGCGATCCCAACGAGTTCACCCTGCACAACGGCTACAATCTACGTCCAGCCATGTACAACCGTCACACTGAGCTGCTCATTGCCATCACTTACTACAACGAAGACAAGGTGCTTACTGCCCGTACCCTACACGGCGTCATGCAGAACATCAGAGATATCGTCAACCTGAAGAAGTCCGAGTTCTGGAACAAGGGCGGTCCTGCCTGGCAGAAAATCGTCGTCGCTCTGATCTTCGACGGCATCGATCCTTGCGATAAGGACACCCTCGATCTCCTGGCCACCGTTGGTATCTACCAGGACGGCGTCATGAAGAAGGACGTCGATGGCAAGGAGACCGTTGCTCACATTGTAAGTCTGGACAAACCCCCAACTCCTTGGAGTCGTGCCTCCCGCTAACACCTTACAGTTCGAATATACCACCCAGCTCTCCGTGACTTCGAACCAGCAGCTCATCCGGCCGCACGACGACAGCCCCTCGACTCTCCCACCTGTCCAGATGATGTTCTGCTTGAAGCAGAAGAACAGCAAAAAGATCAACTCCCACAGATGGCTCTTCAACGCCTTTGGCCGTATCCTCAACCCCGAAATCTGTATTCTTTTGGACGCCGGTACCAAGCCAGGCCCAAAATCCCTGCTCGCCTTGTGGGAGGCCTTCTACAACGACAAGGATCTCGGTGGATCTTGCGGTGAGATTCACGCTATGTTGGGTAAAGGGTGGAAGAACCTCATCAACCCCTTGGTCGCCGCACAGAACTTCGAGTACAAGATCAGTAACATTCTTGACAAGCCGCTGGAAAGTTCTTTCGGATACGTCAGTGTGTTGCCCGGTGCCTTCTCGGCCTACCGGTTCCGTGCCATTATGGGAAGACCGCTGGAACAGTACTTCCATGGTGACCACACCTTGTCCAAACAGCTTGGCCCCAAGGGTATCGAAGGCATGAATATTTTCAAGAAAAACATGTTCTTGGCCGAAGATCGTATTCTCTGTTTCGAGCTCGTCGCCAAAGCTGGTTCCAAATGGCATCTTACTTACGTCAAAGCCTCCAAGGGTGAAACTGATGTTCCCGAGGGAGCTCCCGAGTTCATCGGTCAGCGACGTCGATGGCTTAACGGTTCTTTCGCGGCTAGTATCTACGCCCTCATGCATTTCGGCAGAATGTACAAGTCTGGACATAACATTCTTCGCATGTTCTTCTTCCACATTCAAATGCTTTACAACACATTCACTGTCTTCATGACCTGGTTCGCTCTAGGTAAGTATTCCATATGCTGTTTCCTTTAACTGATCCACATGCTAACCATGGTATCCTGTAGCTTCGTACTGGCTTACTACTGCCGTCATCATGGACCTCGTCGGCAATCCTGGCCCGTCCAATTCTAACAGAGCATTCCCATTCGGCAACACGGTCACTCCTATTATGAACACCCTTTTGAAATACGCATATCTCGGCTTCCTGCTACTGCAGTTCATCCTGGCTCTCGGTAACAGACCCAAGGGGTAAGTTCCTTTCTCTATACTCAATCCTTCCTCATCAGGCCTGCTGACCTGGTAATCCTAGTTCCAAACATTCGTATATCACGTCTTTTATCCTCTTCGGTGTCATCCAGCTGTACATCATCATTCTATCCATGTACCTTGTCGTTCGTGCCTTCACTGCTGGTTCAAGTCTATCCTTCGACACCGAAAACGGCCCAGTCGAGTTTTTAAAATCCTTCTTCGGCTCTACCGGTCCCGGTATCATCGTCATCGCCCTCGCAGCCACCTTCGGTCTCTACTTCGTTGCCTCCTTCATGTACTGTGACCCATGGCACATGTTCACGTCGTTCCCGGCGTACCTTCTCATCATGTCCTCGTACATCAACATTCTCATGGTCTACGCTTTCAGCAATTGGCACGATGTTTCCTGGGGTACCAAGGGATCCGACAAGGCCGATGCCTTGCCTTCTGTGCAAACGACGAAAGAAGATGGCAAATCAGCAACAATTGAAGAAGTCGACAAACCGCAGGCGGATATTGACAGCCAATTCGAAAGTACCGTAAAGCGTGCGCTGACTCCTTACGTTGAACCCAAGACCGACGAGAAAAAGACCCTCGAGGATTCGTATAAGAGTTTCCGTACCCGACTTGTCTCCTCCTGGTTGTTTTCCAACGCCATTTTGGCCGTCGCTATTACAAGTGATAACTTGAAGGCACTCGGATTCACAGTATGTCTCTCCCCATTCCCATCCTCGAACCCCAATTTCGTTACTCCCAAAACTAACCCGTCAACTTTTTTAGTCACGAGCCACCGAGCGTACCAGTCGTTTCTTCCAGGCTCTTCTGTGGGCAACTGCGGCCCTCTCGCTCATTCGATTCATTGGAGCATGTTGGTTCCTTGGTAAATCCGGTATCATGTGCTGTTTCGCACGAAGATAGTAGTCCTTTTAATACCTCGATTCAGATTCACGGCTTTCCTTCTCCTCTTCTATCAAATACAATTTTCCTTTTTCCTTGCCCCCTTCTCCATGTTATCTTTTCTCCATTTCTCCTTCTGTTTCTCTTTTTTTTCCTAGTACACTCGAATTCTATTCTAATGTCCAATCCTGACCGGGTTGGGTACATGTCTGTATTTTAGATGAATACCTTTTGCTATTATGTACCTGACTCTCTCCCCGGTCGCCATTTTAGCTCTCTATGCTCTATGTCAAATTTGTTTCCCTCTTACGTTTTTGTTAGTCCGTCCACGTCCAGTTTTCTGTTTAATGCGCACAATCTGTGGGATAGGTCAAACTACGTCCCCTCATACCTATTATCTACCAAGTTTTATCCATATATACACTTGGTCATGCCTTTAATCTCTCTCCTCGTAATCTGCATCTCAAGCTTCCACATTCTCCTCGTAGCTGAGCGGCCAGGTAACTAGTCACGTGCTCTTATCGCGCCTCACGCTCTCGACTTTTGCCCGCCAAACATCCAACGACTCTGACCACCGCTTCGTTGTTGCATACTGCTTCCCTTAACGAATACTTACGACTGTGATTTTCCTTTCTTTACTTGCAGTACGATAAACATATACGCATCCGCGCTTAGTCTTTGTTCCTTGATATCCCTTTACAACCCATCTACAGGCTGTCAGTAGCGCTTATCTTGCATTTCACTCGACCTATTGTCCGCTTATCGGTAACGATCTGTCCCTCTCTCTTGCTGCCACGCCAGAACACCATATTTTGAGTTGTTTTATATTCTCATGATGCACCTATGAAAATACCTTTTGCCTAGTCAGAACTTCTTGTGCGCTATACTTGCTGATTTGTCAAACTTGGGCTGCAGATAACACCGAACTACATTGCTACCCAACACCTACACGCGCCTCTAACACGACGACCATTAATAGGAGCAATACGCTCTTTCCTAGTACCTAAATATTGACATCGACGAGTCTAGCCATTCCGCACATATAGACACCTGTGGACGACCATTAGCGTATCGCTTGGCCCATCCTTTTCCAGCGTTTTGTGTATATTGTAGGCGGGCGCGGGGTTACTATCTTCAATAGTTACTTGCTAGCTAGCTTCTGTTGAAGATGTTGAAAATATGGTCTATGGTATGGTTACTTGGCTTATTCGCCTCATATATTATCAACACCGGAAGACTGACTCATAGCAGAAACAGAAACAACAGCAAGCCGACAATGCAGAGGGCGGCGGCGGTGCAGTGGAAACAAAAAAGAAGAAGAAAGTGACTGCTTCTCAGCTACGAGTGCAGCGTGGTATGTCTACAGTTGCACGCTTTTATACCTCCCGGTAAACTAACGGGTGGATTATAGATCTCGCCGAATTGTCTCTCGGAAGCACGATGAAAATGACCTTCCATAACCCTGACGATATTCTGAACTTTGTTTTAACCATCGAGCCGGACGAGGGCATGTATCGTGGGGGCACATTCTCCTTCACATTCTCCATCAACCAGAACTTCCCACATGACCCTCCAAAGGTCAAGGGCCAGCAAACGATATATCACCCCAACATCGACCTTGAAGGGAACGTGTGTCTGAATATTTTGAGGGAGGACTGGAAACCAGTATTAAATTTGAATGCGGTCATAGTTGGGCTACAGGTATTTATTCTTGCTTGCGGTTGGCCGCTGCTCTCCCGTAATAGGGGGTCTTGCTAATACATAAATAGTTCCTCTTCCTTGAACCAAATGCGTCTGATCCACTGAATAAAGAGGCGGCTGAAGATCTACGCCTCAACCATGAAGGATTTAAGCGGAACGTTCGAACAGCCATGGCCGGTGGCTCTGTCAAAAACATACAGTATGACCGAGTAACTCGATAAACATGGGCGAGTTAAGCAAGTAATCACCAAGGCAATGAACACTTATATAATATCATTTTGTCCCGACTTCCTTCGCTCTTTCATATTACTTCCCACATTACAACTTCCCAGAGAAGCGTTTTCTTCAACATAGGTTGCGTCCGTCACCTATAGCCACGACGGCTTAAATTCTCGATTCCATCCTTACCTTCATGTCATCACTGCTAGATAGCTATTCGTACCGATTACAGCCGCAACTATTATAGACTCGGGGAGAATATCATGGTATGTTCCTATACTGCGTGTAACCTACTAAGATATGAATTAACCTAATGAGTAGCAGTATGTATTCTCAGCCCTATTCTACCACAGATCGTCTCACCGAAACCATATAAATAATGTAACAGCCATAGAAATTTGGAGAACCCCGACCAATGAGATAAATCGTCCTGACAAGGCGTTGGTTTTCTTTAAAAAGTTGTCTTATATACATGATACAACACACACGTCGACATCCTTCGCCTATCTCTTGTCGTAGCGTGCATCATGACATTTTGGCGGGTGCAAGCAACTCATACCCAAGTCCCTCTAACGATCCACAGGACTGGGTGCATAGGTGATGGGGCAAGCAAAAGAGAGGAGATCGAGAAATTGCATGTATGGTTGAGGTTTGGTTCGGGGACGGGTTCGCTTAAGCGGAGAGTTCCTCGGCACGCTGGGCTTCGAGCTTGGTGTAGTAGTTGTCACGGGCGCGGACACGGGGAAGGTGATAGCCTAATTATACATCGCGGTGTATGTGTCAGAGAGGAGAGCCGAGAATGTCTGTAGCGGTAGGTGAAGGATACTACTTACCGTACCACCAGAAGTAGCCAGAGGTAACTCCGAGGCCTACAGTTGGTGACTAGTTAGATAATCTCTTGGGCAAGGCCATGTAACCCGTATGGAGCGCCAATGGATGGAGAATGTGCCGCAAAGCAGGTCGCTTCCAGACTCATGAGTCTTTAGATGTCGACGCCAGACGACTTACCCATGGCAGTGCTGAGGTCCAGGACCAAGCCCCGGCGGAGCATCTAATGCAGAAGTAAAGCGGTTAGCATGCAAGAACGAGCAATGGGTGAACGCAATGCTCATCTTCGCCGCGGAACCCGGAGCAGCTGTGAAAGCTAGACACAGCCGTCTCACACGGTGGGCGTGGTGGATGCAGCACTTACTCCAGTGATTGGTTTCATAGCCGCTACGCCGGCCATTGTAGAAGAGCGAAGATTGAGATCAGGCAGAGAGCGCCGGAGAGAAGATGTCTGCGTCGTCGAAGCGGTTTGAGTGTGAATTTCAAGGGCGTCGAGAGAGTTGAAGTTGGAGTTTGGAGGTTTCCAATGGTCAGCGTCTGGGTCACGTGATTCTCACACCACCAACACAGACGAAGTCGAAGAAGACGAAGACGACGAGGAAGACAGCAAAGAAGAAGAATGGGAAGGGAAGTAAGAGGCAGAGGAGGTAGACAGCGTTTCTACTATGTGCACCTCTACATCAATAGAGCGAATACAATAAGAGGCTTCTCGTCAATAGTTGAATGCGCTGGGTCGAACAACACCATCACGTGACTACATTTCTGTCCTCCAGGTTTGCGAGCATCGAGTTGGAGGCGCGATTTACCTCCATCGCAGCGAGAGGAACAACGGGCATCAGAGTCGCCCAGTCTCTGCTTGATCTGCCTCTGCATGCATCACCTATACCCACGGCCGCGCCTATTATCACCTCAGCCTTCAGTTCTTGCGCTTCACGACTCCCAAACGTCGCTCAGATGGCTCTCACCAACTCGACCCAAGCTCCTCCCTCACCACAGAACTCAGCGAAACGGCCGTCTTCCGATATAGAGTGCGCTTCTCCAGCGAAGAAACAGCGACAATCATATCGCCGTCACCACCGTCTGCGAGAGTTCGCAGAGTTTGGTGGTCCCGGCGCAGAAATCTTGAACGACAGCAAGTCGATCGATACACAGCTGAATGCGTCGATAGGAAGGGTATTGGGTGAAGTTGGTTTCGATGGGATAGAGCCCGTCGTCTTAGACAGCTTTAGGAATAATGTTGAAGAGCGTACGATTTACCGCCTTCTCTTCCAACTCATTATATACGTCGATGTTCGTTTTGTTGACCAAAAGAAAATGATTGCTTTAGACATGCTTCACTTCCTGTCCTATGTACGCCACTCGATGACATCCAGCCGGAGAGTGCAACCTATCCCACAAGATTTTGAACATGCGCTCCGATATCACTCGATACGCGTAGATTCCCTCCGTCCGCACCTCAAAGCCTTCCCACACACCATACAGTCCTCACCCTCAACTCCTACAACCAAGTCATCCCTCCTCACCCCCCCACCCGAAGATGACGACGACGAGCCAATACCAGCCCGCAATTTCGCCTTCCTAGGCCCTGAGCTAAATGTCACAAACGACGATTCTAAGAGGACCTCGTATATCCCCAAAAACTTCCCCAGATTCCCGAGCAAACACACATATCAGGAAACGCCGGTATATGCGACCAAACGAGAAATGAACCCTGAAAAGATTCGAGAGCGCGCGACAGAAGAAGGGAGGCTGGGCGAGGAGGCACTGCGCAAGCTTACCCGTGCCGCGAGAGATGGCCAGGCAAGCACGCGAGGGCAGCGAGAAAGGAGCTTATGGGGCCGCAAAAATGAGAGTATGGACAGTATGTTCGAGAAGACTCTCAAGGCGCTAATGAAGTCGAGCTCCGCGGGGAGTGGTAAACAGGGCGACATCGCCTCGACACTGGGTCTGGGGCCGATTGTGAATAGTAGCCGAGTCTACTGGCGGAAAATGTCGACTCCCAGTGCCCGCTCTGATTCGCAGCGGACAACAGATTGGATAAAGGGCGGAACCGCGGAAGTCGAATAAGCTGGCCTTTGATATCGACGCCTTTTTAAAACGTCCCCCTGGACACTCGCCTGCTGGGTCGGGCGGGTGGACCAACGCCATGACATGCCGTGACGTTATCCTACACATGCTTCAGGCCACAGTTAATGCATTGCCCAATAATCCCATGTAAATATTAGCTTCATAATTCATAATCCATACCTTTCTATGACTTGATCGCCCCCAATCTATCCTTCGACTGCACTCTCCGCCCTTCCCATGCCGTTGTTTCTGCTGTAACCCCGTTTGCACACCTATTAAATAACATCAGCGTAGAACAACAGCCAGGGGGGGCGAGATGAGGATATTACCTCCGGAAAAGCCTGGTAAACGTAGTGCACCTAACCACGCCTGGTTCCGGCGGTCCAGCTTCGGGAGGATTGCATGAGTACTGCGTCAGTTCGTGAAGAGGACACTGGGAAAGGTCGAGATGGCCGCCCTTGCGAGCCTTGGTTTTATAGCCGACGTGATGGCTTTGGAGGCGCTGGGGGAGCTCACTAGCTGGCCATGATTCGATGAGAGGAGCCATTGGAGAGGTTGCACGTCTGTAGTCGGAGTGTCCAGTATCGATCTTCGGTCTGTCGGCTACCTCGACGGTGGACGTGAAGGTGAAAGATATTTGAGGCGTAGACATTGACGATGTGCATTAAATATTTCGACCATTTTTATATTTCGGCCAAGCAACCCCAGTTAACCCCCAGAATATGCATGTTATAGAGCCCTTCGATATGTTTTATATTGGATAACATTAGACAGCCATATACGGAGTCTACTCTATACTAAGTTGATACGGCATGAGGGTTCTGGAAGACCTGTCTACAATCGCGGTGTTGACAGTAAATAACTACGAACTTCAAGACTCTACAACCAACAGGATACTCTTCCCTCGACCCATGGTAATGACCAACTGAGGCCAGACTAGAGAATGGCAGCAAAAGCCTTTGGCAAACGGCTCTGTGAAGAGGTCGAAAATGACGGTCTTGATAGCGTGAGTCCTTTGAACCGTCCGTCGAATGAGCCTGGTTAACGGTGCAAATAGATTCTACGCGACGTGAAACGTAGATGCGCTTCAGATCCCAAGGGCCATGTCCCGACATCTCCAGTTGGCATCAAGGTGATTGATGACATGTTGCGTATATTCCATCGGCCACCAGCTCCTCGCCCCGGAGTCCCTGACCGCCACAAGGTGCTCGAGATCACAGGCTCCAGGTACGGCTCTGGAGCTGGCAAGACGTCATTACTCTACTATATCATCTCTATTGGCATATTGCCTGCATCGTTCAACGGTGTCCAGATCGGTGGGAGGGACGGGGCCGTGGTGTTTCTGGACTCAGACAACCGCTTCAATGCTGCACGTCTACGAGATATAGCTATGAACTATGTCCGCGAGAAGAAGCGAAAGAAGGACACCGGTTCACCACCACGGGAGAAGCGACAGAGAGAGGATGAGACTGAGCTACGAAAGATGGTGGAAGGGTGTCTACAACATGTCCATGTCTTCAAGCCGACGTCTTCTGATTCCTTGCTGGCGACACTGCAGTCAATGGAGTCATATCTGCTGGACACCACGAAACATCATTCTGCCCATAAACGACTTCATTCCATCATGATAGATAGTACGTCCTCCTTTTACTGGCAGGACAAACGTCAAGCCTTTATAGACAGTCTTCCGACAGAGGTACCAAAGTACATATACGGCGACCTGCCACCGCTCCGCGAGATCGTGCACTCAGCTCGTGGTATCGTCAAATGCTTGCGAGAACTACAGCACAGGTTCGCCTGTCCCGTCATCTACACAGTGACCGGTAGGATCAGGGGAGATCTGTGGAAACCCAAACCGAGCGGCTTCGGGGCCCCGATTGAATCTCTATATGCACGCCCGAAAGTCATGTCATTCATGCACCATCTACCGCACCCATGGCGATCGTATTCGACAGTACGACTTGTTGTCCGGCGCGATCGAGTGCGTCGTTTCTCGGCAGTCTCGGTCAGGGAGGCGATGCATCAAGCACGCCAACGTCAGTTTGTGGTTGCGCAGGGGAGGTTTTCCGCGTGGATCGATCCGTGGGGGAAAGAGGACTGGCCATCTTGGATTTCGCCTTCAATACAGAAATTAGAAGGGGGAGGGCGGTTTACTTATTTCGTCCACAGCCTTGGTGTTACTTTAAAGGAGTAAAAATAGTATCTCATTTGTATGTGTATATCTATAAAAAAGTAGGAGTCGTCTATGAACTAGATGTAGCGAACAGCTGCGACATGGCTTCTATAGTAGTATTTCCTCCTGAGAAGATGACCCCAACGTTCCAGCCGTCTTCGCCAGCTTCGCGTTCGACAATCTGTCTGAACTCTTCGTCAAAGAGGCAGACGGCCAGGGGAACGGCCGCACTAGGCTCGATAACTATCTTCATTCTCTCAACAACCAGCTTCATGACACTCTTGATCTGCTCCTCTGTCACGCTAAACACGCCACGAGACTTGCTAGAGTCGGAGAGGATGCTGAATGCGATCTCGCCCATGGGGGTTCTCAGCCCATCAGCGATGGTAAGTGACTTGACAGCTGGGATTCTTTCACCGGCCTTGAGTCCACGACGAGCATCATCTGCACCTTGGAATGATGGTTCAGCACCGAAGACGTATATCTTCTTACCGTTCTCCCGCGGCTCAGCAAAGAACGAAGCCGTTCCGGAATTCAGCCCTCCTCCGCCGAGAGGCGTGATGACCGCGTCCAGGCCACATCCCTTTCCATCCTTGCCTAGACGGACACTCAGCCCTGGAGTTTCAGACACGAGCTTGTTAACCTGCGCCTCTAGCTCGAGGCCGGCCGTCCCCTGGCCAAGTACCGTGTCTGGGTGATCGTACGGATGGATCAAAATGGCACCGGTCTCCTCCTGGGCCTTACGTACGACTGCCTCACGCTCGTCGCTTGTGGAGCCAGAAAAGATAACCTTCCCACCGTAGCCCTTGGTAGCTTCTATCTTGGATGGAAGAGATATCGACGGCATGATGATGTACGCCGGGATAGAGAGAGTCGATGCGGCGAGAGCTACGGCCTGCGCATGGTTTCCTACACGCAAGATGTTAGCCAATTGTCTCTTACATGGGGCCGTCATATAATAGATACGCCAATTGATGAGAGAGCGAGAGGGGGGGAGGGAGGATCAACCTGAACTGTGAGTGATAACACCGCGTTTCCTAACCTCCTCCTCACCCTTGGTCTGAATCACACGCAGAATCGAATGAAACGCCCCGCGCACCTTGAACGCGCCAATACGCTGGAAGTTCTCGCATTTGAAGAAGAAGTTGATCTTTGGGCGAGCCGGCTGCTGGCCCTCGAACGGGGTTCCTTTCAAGGCATCAGGGGTCTGCGGCGTGGAGGCAAGGGAGTTGAGGGTCTTGCAGGTGAGGACGGGTGTTTCGTAGATGTACGGCTTCACCAGAGAATGGGCCTTCTGGATATTCTCCTGCGTGATGGGTAGCCAGTGCTGCTTGTCCGTCATGGTTGCTTCTTTATATATCTACCGGCTATTCAGTGTTCTTCTTCAGCAGGGGTTGTAGACCGGGATCTGGAGGGGTAAAAGTGGGATGGCTATAGAGCTGAATGTGCCCTATAAGTAGCTGGCGGAGGGGACGATGGGAGTCAGAGAACATTCTACGCCATACGATGCAAGTAAGCAGAGTACCAAAGGGCGTAGTGACAAGCCCGTATACGAAGACACGAAGAAGATTAGGGAAGACAAAAACCGTGAGTTTCGGCATAATTTTTTGCATTTCCCGAGATGCGCCAAGACGACAGCGACTACAAACTACCGAGAGCCCCTTTGGCCAGCGAGGCAGCGAGCGGATGGTACAAGATGGCATATGTGACATGTCAAGATAGAAAACGGGTAAATAAGAAAGCCCCCCTGGTATCCTTTTTTGTCGGGTTATATTACAATTCTTTTACTTCTGGTTCTCGGGACGGAGGGATCTGTGGGGTGAAGAAGAGGTCAGCAAGGGTGTAACGGCGGGAAAGGAGAAAGACCAGGGACAAGTCGGCTTACCTGACGGCCTTTCCGGCTCTCCAGATCTCCAGGTCGCGGATCTCCTGCATCTCCCTCTCGTACTTCTCGCGGTAGTCCTTCTGCGAGTTGTAGTCCAGAGAGCGCTGTGTCTCCCTGCCGTCCTTGACGCTGTCGTACAGTTCGTTGAAGACGGGCTTGAGGGTGTCCTTGAACTTGCCGCTCCAGTCGATGGCACCACGACGAGCAGTGGTGGAGCAGGCAGCGTACATCCAGTCCATTCCGTTGGCACCGATAAGCGGATACAAACTCTGGGTGGCCTCCTCGACTGTCTCGTTGAAGGCTTCACTGGGGCTGTGGCCGCGCTCGCGGAGAACCTCGTACTGGGCGAGGAACATGCCGTGGATACCACCCATCAAGCAACCACGCTCACCGTAGAGGTCAGAGTAGACCTCCTTTTCAAAGGTTGTCTTGTAGAGGTAGCCACTGCCGACGGCAACACCGAGGGCAACGGCCTTCTCTTCGGCGTTTCCGGTCACGTCCTGGAAGACGGCGACGGAGGAGTTGATACCCCGTCCCTCACGGAAGAGAGAGCGGACAGTACGTCCGGAACCCTTAGGGGCCACCAGGATGACGTCGATGTCCTTGGGCACCTCGACCTTGGTCAAGTCCTTGAAGACGGGCGAGAAGCCGTGGGAGAAGTAGAGGGTCTAGGGTCGTCAGCATCATCTAATCTTTTTCTTCTTTTTTCTTCATTGCACCGGGTGAAGGCTGGAACGCACCTTTCCCTTGGTCAGGAGAGGCTTGATGGTGGGCCAGGTCTCGCTCTGGGCGGCATCACTGAGCAGGTTCATGACGATGGTACCCTTCTTGATGGCCTCGGTGACGTCGAACAGGTTCTTGCCGGGGACCCAGCCGTCCTGAACGGCCTCCTTCCACGAGGCACCGTCCTTGCGCACACCGACGATGACATTGAGGCCGTTGTCGCGCAGGTTGAGGCCCTGGCCGTGGCCCTGCGAGCCATAGCCGATGAGCGCCAGGGTATCATTCTTGAAGTATTCCTACAGCCGGGCCAGGTCAGTCAGTTGAACGTCTGGACGATGGGGTGAAAACGAGGCATAAAGACTCACCAGGAGCTTCTCCCGTGGCCAGTCCTCACGCTCTACAGAACCCGCAGTCAGCTAGCCATACCTCGGCAAGTCCTAGAGCCAGCAGCACTTACCGTAGACCTTCTCCTTGGTGCCGGCAAAGTCGATGGTCTTGACGCCGCGTGTCTGCTGGACGACGGGGGACGCAATTGCAGCTCTGGCAGCGCTGATAAGGGCCGGTCGAGAGTTCGCGGCGGTGATGAACGACCTGCGAGAGATGCTGGAGGCTGTTCGGGCGACGGCCCTAGCCAGTGGTCGTGCAGCCATAGAGGGAGATGTAGAGAGATGTAGAGAGATAGGGAGAGGAAGCAATTGATCGAGGAAGAGAGCAATTGATCGTGGAAGAGGCAGGACGAGGCAGAGTCCGGTTTGTATATTTATACACAAGGGGAGAAAACGAGGCCCGGCGGGTGAGTCAAAAAGAGGAAAGGGAAGTTGACTCGGCCCTTGTTCCTTCCGAGCGTCCTTTTTTTCCTTTTCTGTGGCCTTTTTTTGTCCAGGGTTGGAAGGAGCTTGGGCCAGGTTTCAGGCTGCATCTGGACTAGCGCGTCCGGTATCGGCGCAGGGATCAATAATTCCCCGATGCACGTGATGCACATTACATATATATACATATACATATACACATACATATACAGGATATACAGGATATAGAAGAGAAGAAGAGGAGAGGAGAGAGGAGAAGAGACGCTATAGTCACCTCGTGGCCGGGATATCATGGATGGTGGCCTTCGTAGGTCACCTCGAGAGACACGTGATAGTAACAGTGACACGTGATATTACTCACAGACAGCAGGGGAAGGACGACGTCATGCTACATCTACATCTACATACATCTACATACATCTACATACATCTACATCTATACATACGGGGAGAGTCATGGAGATTTGCAGAGGCTATATCGTGTCTGTATAGACAAGGGATCGTGACCAGCTCTTCCGTAGATGCGGCCTAGAGCAAGCCTACACATCCTCTGGGCGAAACTCTGTTATTGAATTTACTGACCCTGCCTAGCTCCGTGTCCACCTGCCTTCGACCAGACTCGATCTCTACTGGTACGGAGTATACACTTCTATGGACTACTCCTCTGGACGCCGTCTTTCTCTGTCTCTTGTCTGTCTCTTGTCTGTCTCTTGTCTGTCTCTTGTCTGTCTCTTGTCTGTCTCTTGTCTGTCTCTTGTCTGTCTCTTGTCTGTCTCTTGTCTGTCTCTTGTCTGTCTCTTGTCTCTCTCTTGTCTATGGAGTCTGTCTCTTGTCTATGGAGTCTGTCTATGAGGCGTTGGGACCCCGTGACCGCGGGAGGCTCCCGGACGCAACTCTAACTCTAACTAAATCAAGCCTAAATCAAGCAAACAGCAAACTTGCATCCCAGTCGCGTCCAACCACTCCCCAGCCGAGTCCACGTCCACAGTTACCCACCAGGACGAGCGGGTGAAGGCGCACGCTGCTCGGCTGGACCTCGACTCCCCTGGTGCGAGGTGTATATAAGATCGGCCGCGCGCGATCAGCCTTATATATATATACCAGCATGGACAGCGGCCGTGCGTTGTCCCCACGCAGCCGCAAGCACCACCGTTTTTCATCCTCGCTCCGTCCAGCAGACACAGAGCAAGAAGGGAAGATACGACGAGCGCGGCGATGTTGACCTCCAAGCTGCTCTCGTCCGCCCCGCACATTGCCACCCAGCGGGCCCTGATCGTCCTCGACCTGCAGAACGACTTCGTCAGGCAGCACGGCAACCTGTTCGTCCCCAACGCTGCTGACTTCCTCTCCCTCGTTCCAGACCTGGCTCGTCTCTTCCGCGAATCGGGAGAGGTCATCTGGGTGCAGAGCGTGTTCGAAGAGCGTCGTCCCGTCCATGACGCCCTGGGGAGAGACACCGTCGTGCTGGAGGATGGTTCGTCCAGCACAAGTACCAGCACCAGCACCAGCACCAGTAACAGCAAGCCGGCTTCACGGAATGCAAACACGAAGCAGCCGGTGACGCTTCCGCCGGATACCGCCTACCAGGACGATCCAGAGGCCTTTCTCTCTGCCTCTGATAAAGTCTGCGCCGGTCGACGTTGCTGTCTGCCCAACTCCTCGGGTTTCCATTTCCCTGCTCCTATCCTTGCCGCCATCGATCCAAATGAAGACACGGTCCTCGTCAAGTCAGAATACTCTGCTTTCCAAACTCATGGCCTGCTTCTCTCCCTTCGATCTAGATTCGTCACTGAAGTGTTCGTCTGCGGCTCCCTGTCCAACGCCTCTGTCTATGCCACCGTTCTCGATGCGGTGCGCCACGGCCTGGCGGTCACCCTGATCGAAGACTGCCTAGGCTACCGAAGCTCCCTGCGCCATAGAGAGGCTATGCGACGCATGGCTGATATAATGGGCGCAAACGGGATAACGAGTCGCGAGCTGATGGACGGCCAGGACGACTTTGCTCCAAGCGTTTCGTCGGTTCACGCGCAGCCAACCTCCTCGCTGGTCACTGGGATTGAGGAGAGAATAGGTACGCTTGGCCTCTCCTCTTCGCCTACACAAAAGAATGCCGATAGCCAATCCCCCGCGTGGCGGCACAATGTTCCCGTCACACGTCGACGGAAACAGGCAGACAAACCTAAGCAAGACGGTGCTGACCAGACAAAAGATTTTCTTCAGACCGGCCAACGGCCAGTTGCCCAACCTGAGAAGAAAGTCGTCGACAATCCACAGGCTGGTCAGCCCTCACCTCGAAAGCAAAAGCCGGCTCAGCCCCTCAATTGCGGTCCAGGGGACAGCATCGCCAGCGGGGACTCGCGCATACTCTACGATCTGGACATTCCTGCCGGGTCCTTCCAGCGTCTACGTGAGGAGGTCAATTGGCAGAAAATGTACCACATGTCAGGACAAGTTCCACGATTGGTGTCAGTCCAGGGAAGTGTGGCAGCGAACGGATCGATACCAATATATAGACATCCGGCAGACGAGTCTCCGCCGCTTTCTCCATTCACCGCAACGGTTGATCAGATACGGGCGGTGGTGGAGAAACTGCTTGGCCACCCGTTAAACCACGTCCTTATACAGTTATACCGAGATGGCGATGATCGCATCTCGGAACATTCTGACAAAACCCTTGACATCGTCAGAGGATCTAACATCTGCAACGTTAGCCTTGGAGCACAGAGGGCAATGACACTGCGAACAAAAGCAGACGCAAAGGGCACCGTTGATGGAGCAAATGAGAGCGGAAGGCAGACACAGCGCGTCCCCATGCCACACAACTCGCTATTTATCCTTGGTGAAAAGTCAAATATGGAATGGCTTCATGGAATTCGGCCAGACAAAAGACCAGACAAGGAAAAGTCTCCAGAGGAGCTTGCTTTTAATGGCCAGCGTATCTCCCTTACCTTCAGGCAAATTGGAACCTTTATAAACCCCAAGACAGATACCATCTGGGGCCAGGGCGCGCTGTCAAAGACGGAGGCGGATGCTAGAACCATCGTGCATGGAGAGTCAACCCAGACCGAACGGATGATTCGTGCCTTTGGCAAGGAAAACCAGCAGTCAGATTTCAATTGGGAAGAACATTATGGGCTCGGGTTTGATGTCGTTAATTTTGTTACCACCTCCACCGCCAAACTTATCACCGCTGGCTGTGATGCCACTGCAGATCTTTCGGTGCGGTTAGCCTTGACTGAAAACGGTATTCGATATGATATGGCTCGCATTGACGATCTCCCGTCCAAGCTTATAAGTGACTCTAACGTCCGCCAGGCACGAGAGAAACATCTCCCTCTCCTGGTCGACTCGGATGGCTCTACAATCGTTACGGGAAATGTAGACATCCTTCTGCATATTGCTCACATCGCCCACAACCGCCTCCCAGAGGTTGCCCCTGACCCTGAAACCAAGGTGGACGGCCTGACTTTGGAAGACAGGCTCGATGCCGCTGATACGCTTCACCGTGCGTGGACCACGGCCTCTTCTGGCAGCATCTCTGAGCAAGCCAATGACACACTATCCCTCTTCGGCTCCCTAATTCTCGGCAAATTTTACATAAACGGAAAACTGTTTGGGGTGGATGACTGCGCTGTTTGGCCTATCTTAAAGGACATTGTGGAAACTAAGGATGGTAATGACGTTCTTGAAGATAAGTTCCCAGTTCTCACTGGATACTATGCGAGAGTCAAAAAACGAGCCTGCGTGAAGCAGGTCATGGATGAGACTGTGGCGCTCGCCGGGTAGACTCTAGGCTTGCTTCTCTTTATACACGAATACTGGGGTTTTATTATCACTACACAGCGTTTAGCTTACATAGGATGGGTAGCGTATAATTAAATTCATTCTAGTATTTACAAAATATATATACCTATTAGGCTAATAGATAATGAGTGCAATCATAGCTTCTCAAAAGTGGGAGTGCGTTTCTCCAGACCCGATAGGAGAGCCGCCGAGATGTCGCCCGTCTGAAGCGCAGCACTATTCCATACACCAGTATACCTCAAACCTGCCAGCTTAGTTAGTACAGTGCCACAAATCAAGCCTGGAGGGAATACATACCGTCCTGGACGGAATGGTCGATAGACCAATTTAATAACTCTTTGGTTCCCTGCACAGCAACTGGACTCTTCGAGGCAATCAACTTCGCTGCGCCCAACGCCTTCTCAACCATGACTTCCTTATTTTCAAATACAGCGCTAACGTATCCGACCTCTTTCGCCTCTTTGGCCCCAAATACTCTCGCCGTAAGACAAACGTCCTTGACCCAGCTATAACTCCCTACGGCCTTGGGTAGTCGTGAAAGCGTTCCGATGTCCGCAGCAAGGCCAATATCGACTTCCTTGACGCAGAACTGGGTATCAGCAGAGCAATATCGGATATCAGTAGCAACCGACAGGTCGATTCCAAGTCCAAAATTTATCCCATGCATCGCTACAATGACCGGCTTTTCACACTTGTCCACGGCTGTGATACAATCCTGGAACGAAGCGATGTGACGGCGGAAAATGGCAGCAAGCCTAGCAGCATCTCCATCCGGCTTTGGCCCAAGGAGACTTTTGGATGCAGCTTTGACGTCAAGACCGGCGGTAAATGCGCGGGAACCAGCGCCTGAGAGGACAATGGCGCGGACGTTGGGGTCGTGGGAGAGCTGATTGAATACGTCGCGGAGTTCTAACCACATCCTATTTACCGCAGAGTTAGACATACTACGCCATTAAGAAGCCAAGGGGATAAAGGCATACGCTTCGAAAAAGGAATTGAGCTTGTCTGCCCGGTTAATCTCGACGTGGGCGACATATTCAGCTGGGAAGCTAACAAGGAAGTATTTCGGGGAGTAGCTGGAGGCCATGCTGAAAACGATTGATGCGAGGTGAAATTATAGCGAAGGAGAGTCTGTTAAGTGATAGCAGATATTTCTTAATAATTATACAGGTAGTCTTTCCCTTCCCCGAGCCGGCCATGTGAGAAGAAGCGCCGCGGAGGAAGATGATGGAGGTGGAGTAGTTATGCATCGCTGGGCCTCGGCTCAAAATATCTACCTACTAACAAAGGGCGAGGGACTCAGTTGATTGAATAGAGCGAGGTACTAGCTGTAACATGAGCTATAACACGATAGTTGAGGAACATCATATCGTTCATTTATCAATTCAACCTTGGTTCTCATATATGAGGCAGCTTTTCCCACCCGCAAATTCCATTCCATTCATCGGCCTCTCGGTGATATCAAGTATAATAATTCAGCCGGACGGTATGAAGGATATGGTTGACAACGTTTAATCAGAGCCATCCGGCAGATTTAATGTCTGTATGATGGCTACGTAGGCGTATATACCACGGGTAGGGTTTTGATGTAGCCGACCCGGTATCGTAGCGAGTACACCGTAGGTTATTTGGTCATTCTTCGAGACTACGAGTCGGGGAATCCGACTTATCAGAACAGGACTGGAAGACAAGAAGGCGATGGTTACTCCGACTCGGATTCTTCGGGCTGCATGAGCTTTCCGTCAAGTTCCTGAGTCCATCGTTAGCTATCCTGTACGCCCGTAGTTAGACAGAACAGAGGCGCATACCTTTGCCAGTCGGATCTTAAGACTAGCGAGCTGGCTCTCCTTGACGACTAGATATCTATCATCGCCTTCCAAGTCTTCGACGATATACTCGTTATTCTGGAGCTTGTCGTATTTGATGATGATGGCTTTGACGGAAGGGTCACATTCAATCAACACGCCTAGAAGGTATGATTAGCAACGGCCTCAAGTGCATTCTCGCCCACTAATAACTAATATACCTTTAACAGCTCGAGGCATCTTGTCTCTTCCTTGCTCTTCTCGTTCCCTCGATTATGAAATATATATTCTCTCTCTAGAGCAGTTCAAGCAAAAAAAGTCCCGAGTCTGTTTGGTCATTAGTAAGCAGATTTAAGAACGACATTGATAGCAGCATTGTGTATTCCTCGGCAGCGTATGTACCTTTAATCCAAGTTGTACGAAGTAGTTATACGAATCCCTCTAGTTATTTGAATCAATTTCATGACGCTCGCCTTAAGGCATATCCTTAGAATTACCCTTACGAAAAAGATAAAGTATAGGGACCTTTACGGTCTTTTGGTAAGGACCTCTGTAGCTAGTCTCAGTATTAAATAAAATTAAAAAAGGTATAAACAGAATGGAATGATAGCACATCTAAGCTGAAAACCGCACATCCTGCAACACACTCGCCCGAGCCTGGACCAAGGCTGTTATTTCCAAAATAAACTCATATAATATCACCACGTTGGTTAGAATGTGATTCAGAGATGCTTCATCCTCTTTATCATCAGCTTCATTTTCATCTACTCCAGCTTCAGAAGGCGCAGTGCTTGAGCCTCGTGTCTCATGGACGGCTTGAAGGGAGGTCGCTCTATGACCATCAGGGCGTAAAAGGGCTGGTGGAAAAGCTGGCTCTGGAGGTGCTATAATGGCCACTTTGGTGGACAATTGGGGTGGAACTGCCTCTTCTGTAGAAGCTGGCGCCTCGCCTGACGCTGGTTCGGGTATCGAATCGGGGACAGCAGCTGGTACTTCATCAGACGGTGTTGCAGTCGTCTGTTTAGCGGGTTGAGCTGCTTCAATATCAGGCTGTGTTTCATTAGGGGTTGTTGCCTGGTCCTCGCGGTGCAAAAGTTCCTGCCGCGCAGAGAGTAATAGGTCAAAATCTGGAATTTCGGCGCGCCATGTTTCCACTTGCAAAGCAAGTTGTTTCAATATCGAAGATAGTATTGGGTCATTCTTCCCTCGATTTGAGTCGGTGGGTGGCATATTCGAATCACCTTCCTTTTTCTCAGTATCCATGGATTCTTGGTTTTCTGGATAAGCGAGTAACCATCCATCTAGGGATATTAGATCGGAGGACGCCAACGCGGAGAAGGAATTTGTTAGCGCTAGGTTCGTAACAACACTGTTGGTGAAGAACCGTCGTAGCAAATCTAGCATTCCAGAAAAGACTCCCCCCTTGATATCTACTATCCATGGGGTATCTACCCTCGGAGCCCCTGCAGCGGATAACGAAGGAGTTGGGGCGTGCATTCGTTGGTATAGGACAGAAAGCGCACTGGATATGTAGTTTTCATATGATATCTCTATGCAGGGATCGTCAAGGATACTCGTCGCGAAGTTAAATAATCGCTGTACCTCTGCATTCAGCGCTGGGATAGTGCGTAACTCCCTTAGATCTGGTCCCGGGTCTCTGACGGATTTGATAAGGAGGTTCGCAAACTCATGGTGGTGCTGGATGATGACGGTTATCAGCCGTAGCGTCGCGACAACAGTCTGTCTGTTTTGTGATCTGATGCCCATCAAGATAAGGTCGACTAGATTAAAGAGAGTAGGTGAAGGTTTAGCCGCTGCTTCAGCGAATGATGCCAGAATATCAAGTGACTTGCGGCGACTTAGAGACATGCGTGCCTTCTTAGTAGGAGTCATAGGAAGTGTAATATGTGGCTGTTCGCTGGCAGGCGAGGCGAGGAGGAAACTTAATATGCGATTGACCAGAACCGGCTGGTAAATTGATTCTAATATGCGGCAAAGGTAGGTGATGACTGAAGAAGTAGATCCACCTGCCACATCGGATGATTCTAATAACGACGGGTACCTAGGATTGTGAGAAACGAACGACCCGAAAGTGGATGGGCTTTGTACTTACAGCAATTGCTCAAGGAATAAAACTTGAAAATGGTCTAGAAGCGTGTCGTTTACTTCAGGCGATTTGCAGTGATCAATAGCATCCTGCCAGAATAACAGGTAGGAAAGAAAGGCGTCCAGCTGGCCTTGATGAGAGTGATGGACGGTATTGTCAAGATCTGTATGGTCTGATAGGGCAATTATAGCGGGAACATCGTCGTTGCCGTCAGTCGAAATCAATAGGCTAAGGCGGCGTGTTAGATTATTCTCCCATAGATACTCTAAACCGTTATAGAAGTACATACCGACTTAATTGGCTGTATGACGCGCCCAATCCAATCGCCATCAAAGTAGCCATATCGCTCTCGATCAGCCATTTTTCTAGATCTTTCACTTTCGATGCTGTCTCGATTATATATAGTAAGCCCGTGCGGGCAAAATCGCCTGTCCTACCTTCATAATGGACATAGTCCACCAACAGATAGAAAAGCGGAAAGTCGTCTCTCCTAGTGATACCGGCGAATTCTTTTCCTGCCCGCAACGTAGGGTCAATCCGTCTTGTATCCCCCTCTTTTTCTTCAGATGAAAACCACGCTGGCAGTATCTCTGGCCTAAGACGGATGACATTCGCGACTCCAAAGGCTAATTCTACGAGCTTCGACTCGCCGTCTTCGAAAGCGTGCTGGTCGATGGTGACAGCGTTAGCGCGGGAGACTAGGTCAACGAGTGCCCGGGAGAATACACGGCTGTCCACTATGCCGTCGACTTCGGATTCGATCAGCGTGTTCAAGAGAACGGCAGCGGCTGAAACGACGCCCGGATCGTTAGTTGCCAATGCTAGCTTGGTGACGGTCAAATAAACTTGAGATGTAGCAGCGTCTGCATGACAAGGGTGAGGTGACGGGCCACGAGATTCGTCTCGTAGGATTGAATTGAGTCGGTTCAAGGAGCTTCGAATTAAGGGGATCGAAGGAGATTCGGGGGAAAGCGAGGGCGAGTTACGCCATATTTGCTGTCAAGAGTTAGCCGTGCCGTAAACAGACTGGGCTTAAGTGCGTACATAGAGAGTGTTGCATGTATGCTTGAACGCAGCGAGTCGTTTTCCTGTTGGATTCTTGCGCAGGGCTTTAGAGGAGCCTGAGGCGGCGCCGCCTATAAGTCGAGACCACTACGAGATGCGTTAGTGTGTCATAATTTAAAATGGGAGGGACGTAGGGCGTACAAAGTCCATGGTTACTCTTCGTTTTCATAGCTCTTCTTTTAAAGGATAAAATGGTTGAGCTGCGCTTGTTCCATGGTGCTGAGACATTGACATGCTGTTGGAGGCTGGGGAGTTCGATGTTGATGTTGTCTCCTTATCGGGCCCCCGATAAGAACTTTGGGTGTATATAAATGAACACCTGGACCAACTTCACAACACCTTTTCTCAAGCCACCCGCAAGCTGCATATCAGGCTCTACTTTCACTCATGCTACTTATATAGACGATTAATACTTAAAATGATATCTATGCTAAAGAGCTAAAGCTCCATCCCGCCCTTAAATCTTGCCAGGCTATCACTCAGTTCCGCAGAGGAAGTGCAGACGCGGAGATAAAATATTGACTGTGGAGGCACTGACAGAAGAGTGTGGCTTATAGTAACTAATGGCATGCCTCTTAGAATCCTGCTTTGCGATTTGTGCGCTACGGCACCATCTGTACCAAGGTGTGCTCAGCTCTCCCACAGCTCACGCTTATTTACAAAAAGCATACCCCTCGATGAAAATAAACGATGATCAGCGATAGCTCATTTCTAATAGTGGAATTGGGCGATGAAATTCACGACAGGCTACAAGCTGTCCGCATTTGTGCTTGAGAATACCCAATTTAGACTCGCTCGTGTCTTAAAGAAGAACGAGGAACTACGTGTGATTCCTATAACAGAGTGAGTTTCTTCGTTGGTCATAAATCATTGGGGGCTTTGCAAGACAGACGTGTCCTACAGCTACTATAGAAGAGGTGTCCAAAATCGAATAGAGAGCGTGCTCTTTTCAGGTTATGTGCAAAGTTTGTGTTCTACAATGGATAAGAGGTTACCATTGGCTGGGGCTTGTACGCGGCTATACCTCTCATGGTCTCTGGAGATCACAATGAATACTAAAGGCACCCAGGAGGAGGATGGATTGTTCGTTGCCATCAGCTAGACCGTCTAAAAACAGACGTCTGGATGGCTGAACACCCTCAACTGCAACAGCCCAAGCGGCATGTATATATACCATACAACACCACGGGACCTACATACCCTCCACACCTCACTTGTTCCACGCTCCGAGCAGAGATCTTCGCTTTTCCTATAGAACGCCATCCTGTATGGAAAATGGTTTCGAACCATATAATCGAGCCGCTGGGCAAAGCAAGCATTTGATGTGCTGCTGTGGGGGCGTTTTCAACAGCAGTTGATAGAAAAATCATCAACGCAGAGTCCCTCTTGGGGGAACTGAATAATGGGATACAAATAAAAGCAAGCAGTATCTGTTGATAGAGAGGTCGGCACGGCCTTCACGAGCTACGGGTTACAACTGTTGAGGGAGATTATCAACTTGATTGGGCATTAATCGATCGAGATACCACGCTTGAACGATTGATCAGCATAGTCTCGCTGACGGACAGTATGGAATATACTATCCATCAAAAAAATGGAATTGACAAAAATATCTCTGTAAAGAATTGAGGAAAAATAACAACAGTATGCTTGATGTAGGCGAATCAAGGCATCCAGGAGCCGAACACGATAGCTAACCAGTTTCTTCATAGATACCCCTTGGTAATGGCGTCCAAGGGCGTATAGACTGAGAAGTCATAACGGCATCAAGACATTGAAAGGGACATCTTGTTAAATATCCATGGAGGTTGAGATAAGCATTGCCACGCGCCAGGAACAGTTACCAACCCGTAACACGTGATGTAATATTTTGGAGGCGTCAGCCTCTACTGTAGAGGCAATAGAATGATGTATAAGAGGAATAAAACGATGTATAAGAGGAGTGATGGCCATTCCAAGTCGCGCACGACTTCAACTTATTCTCTAAAACCTATTTCCGCCCACGCATAAAGTCGTCACTATTAAACCGATGGATAGACAAATATAATGAAAAGCTGAAGAAAAAGATGCATGCTCCGAGTTTACCGCTGACGCCAACCGCCGTCTCCGTTCCCAACCGAGTTAAATGATGTATCCAAACCGAGCAACGCAGCTATAGAGTGAGAGGGGAAAGATGAAAAGAAAGGAAAAAAAAAGGTCAGTCGTCGTCGACGTCTTCTTTCTTTCGTCGACTGCCGCCTTTCTTCTTCGGCTTCTCGTTCTGGTCGCTGCCGTCTTCGTCATGTTTTCGGCCCACGGGGGCATCGGGAATCTTGGAGATGATGTCTGCTAGGAAGTCGAGCACTTCGTCTTTACCGATGGCCTCCTTGAGGTGGTTGGCCGTGATGCGTTTGGAGGAGCGGTCTCTGGCCACCTGGGCACCCTTTGTGACGAGGGATATCATGAAGAGTTCGAGTGCCTTGGCTGTTTTGCTGTTAGCGCCTGCATTTCAATGGTGCTGGAGGTGAGGTATGATGTGGACTTACAAACTGCGATTGGGGTGACCTGGGCGACCTTGCCGACATCCTCGTCCGCCTGCATGATGCGCTTTATCCTCGCGACCGGGAACTTGGTCTTTACTTCTATGCCGCCAGAGGGACCCAAGCCTTTCTCATCTGCCCGCTCCTCGGGCGTTGGCTGCACGAGCGAGGAGTGGTCTACGGGCGGGCTCTGATCGTGCTGAGGCTGCGGCTGATATGTCTCCTTTTCCTTGCGGCTTCTCTGCTGATACTGCTGTTGGTACTGTTGATGTTGGTGCTGTTGATGATGCTGCTGCTGTTGATGCTGCTGATCGAGATGCATGTGCTGGGACTGGGGCTGCTGCAAGGCCTGGGTCCTGGGTCGCGTGTGCGGGGCCATCTCGTCTGGCTGCGGGTAGAGCTGCGGTATGTAGGGCTGGTGGTGGCTGTGGTGGCCGTGGTGCGGCGAGGTTCGCTGGACGTGCGGGTTGAAGAAGGGCGAGGCGTCGTAGGAGGCCTGCGGGGAGATCGGTGTCGAGAAGGCTGCAGCGTAGGAGGCGGAGGACGAAGGGGAGTGCTGGCTGTAGGGCTCGTGGAAGGGTGGGATGCTGCCTGAGAAGCCCGAGAAGTCGGGCGATCGGGGTCTGTAGGAGTTGTCCTGGTCTGTCATTTCTGGGACTGTATGTTAGCAATGGCCGGGACGGTGGTGTGATATCCAGAGGAGGGGGAAAGGGGGCGGTGCTATATAGCAAACAAATGCTGGGGCAGGCTACTTTGTATAGGGCTGACCGCGATGCCATACCTGGAGTTGCTCTATACACGCGAAGCAGGCAGAAGCCAGACGGCTGAGTCACCGAGGTGGCAAGAGATGTAGATCGAAGAGAGAAGCAAAGTGACTCCTGCGTGGAAGATGCTGGTCGACGCGTCGTGCGATCTCTTGTGAGCGTGTGTCGTATCCTCGTCTTGTCGTTGATATCGTCGATATCGTCGTTTGTTGGTGTTTGTTCTGTGTTTGTTCTGTGTTTGTTCCTTTTATGCCTCGGCTCCTGCGCGGTGGCCCAAGCTCCCGCCTTTTTCGCCCTAGCCTTGGCACGCGCTTTACTCAAAGCAGACTAGTGCAAGTGGGTGGTTATAGTGAAGGAAAGTGCGTGGCTGTAAGTCTCCTAGCGGAAGGTGCGTGGGCATAACTCTCTTCCTTCCCTCTAAAACATCTTGGGTTCGACCTTCCCGCGGGGTCCGTCCTTCCCTTTTATCCCTTTTTTCCCTCGCCCCTTCCTTTTTTTTCCCTCTCTCCCTCCCCCTTAGCGTGGTCACGTGATACTTCCACCTCTTCACCTTCTTCCTTACTCTTACTCTTCTTTCTCTTTCTCTTATACTACTTAACTCTTACTCTACATAACCTACCAAGATGAACACATACACAGACCATACAGACCATAAGACCACAGACCACAGACCACAGACCATAAGACCATCCTACATAGAACACACACCATACAGATCCTACATAGACTACCCTACATAGACCAGATCACACACATACAGCCCACAGACGATACTGGTCCGCATGATGATACCTTTGAGCTTGAGATGCAACGGGCTACTCTGCTGCGGACGGCTGGCTGAGCAGGCGCAGGATGAAGCCTCCGGGCCTGTCTGAGGGCATCGCCGCGCCCTGGCTCTCCCTCCAGTCCCCGGCAGCAGTAGCCCGCATCGCTGACTCCCTCGCCCACGGGGGACTTGATCTAATCTGACACGACCGGCCTCGTCTATCTTCTGTACCCTCTTCTCCCTTTATATAGTTATCTTCTCCTCTCTATATAGCTATTCTCCTGTCTCTATTCTGTTCTATCTCTGTTCTGTCTCTATAGTTCTGTCCTGTCTGCATCGTAGCGTAGTCACGTGTATGGAATAATGTTGTTCCGTATACCGTAAGTTTCTTCCGCCGCAACTTCAAGAACTGCCCAAAAAAGGCACAAGGCCAACCAAAGCAGCAGACGAGATATAGGAATCGCATTCACTGCAAGGTACAGGCTGCAGAGCTGGAAGAAGCCGTGGACTCGCGCCATGTCTGTCCGTCAGTCTGACTCGTGAACATTACACTCCTCGCGCCCCAGCCCTTTTACACGCGACCACCGTCGGCATCCTACCCACCAGTTCGAGCTCAACCGGCCCAGAAGATGGCGGGCCTTGAGCAGTCGTCCGGCCTTCTTCACATTGCCAGGTAGGTCTCACGCCCTCCTTGCCAGAGGGTCGGTGTGTTGTACTGTGTATACTGACGGCCCGCATAGCTCGCTCGCCCAGGACGAGATCCCTTTCAAGCTACGGTGCGCCATCTGCAGCAAGCTCGCCTGGAACGCTTTCAGGCTGCCCTGCTGTGATCAAGCCATATGCGAAAGCTGTATGTACTCGTCTGGAATGTGCTGTTTGTGCCCTAGGCGTGTGCTTTGCTGACTGGTATACATGAACAGGCCAGACATCCCTCCCTTCTAGCTGTCCGGTGTGCGATCACAGCCCGCTCGACGCAGAGCTTTGTAAGCCGAACAAGGCACTCCGCACCACCCTAAAGGCCTTCCTGCGAACCGAAGAGAAGAAACGGGAGAAGAGCAGGCCCGCCCCTGTGTCTACACCGCCTGCTGCTCCCCACGTCTCACCTTCAGCGGAGGCGGATACGAAACCCGAGGCTGTTGCTCAGGCTCCTGCTGAAAACCCAGAGCAGGCCCAGAGCACGGCAGATAACACTGGTCTTGACGCTGGTGACACTATACCTCCCAGTCTTACTGCTGCTGCGGCAGCTGACGGCGAGTGTAACGCAAATATCAACCAGCAATTCGCTGATGGGGGCAGCCTGGAGACACACATGACTGAAAATGGCACTGCTAGTGATGACAAGGTGGGACTCTCCTTTCTTCAACTTCTGCCTCATTTCTATGCTAACTCACCCAAGGATGCAAACCCGCAAGTAACGAGTGAATCACAAAACACCGAACCTGCCACCACCGACTCTGATGCCCCTCCCGCCTCGACAGCCTGTGCAGAGGGCGGGGTCGTCGCACCGTCAGATCCCGCCCAGCAAGATGGCGGTTATCCGAACGGATTCGGGCAGGTGGGCTGGAACGGTGTCGGGGACTTCAACCAGGGCATGCCCTTCATGGCAAACGGGATGGTTATGCCTCAGAACCCAATCGGTAGGTTACCACACAGCCCCTGGCGTAATCTGTCTGGATCAAGCTAACGTTCACACAGGCGTTCCCGGGATGTTTGGTATGGGCATGGATCCGTTGGCCACGGCTCAAGGAATGTTTACTGGTTACGGGATGAATATGAATGGGATGAATAATAACATGGGCATGATGATGAATTCCGGTGCTGGGCAAGGAATGTATGGATCATGGGATGGTCAGAACAACATGTGGAATGGTGGCCCAGATAACTTCAATGGAATTGCATTCCCTAATCGCATAGGTGCCGACTTTGGCCCTAATCCTGGAGTTGGTGGATATAATATGTTACAGTCACAGTCACAACCTCACCAAAAATTTCCTCACCTGCATCAGCAACAGAAGTTTCCTAGCAATGATTTTCAAAACTCATATGGTCATTATGGCCGGGGTGCTGGCGGCATCGGTGTCGGTCCTGGTGCTGGTGTTGGTGCTGGTGCTGGTGCTGGTCGGGGGCGAGGATTCAACTTTGGTGGCCGTGGCCGCGGCGGGTATCATGCAAACAACTATCAAGGTAATCACCTATCCTCTAACATGGGCAACTTCCAGCGCCATAACTCCCCTCATATTCAACAACCACACCAGCAGCAGCAGCATTACAATGGCGTTCCGGATCACTCCCACCCCCAGGTCGACCACACTCAGTCACAGGCCCAGTTGAATGATAGCTTCTGCCCTGGCGGCGAGGAAGAGACGAGAGAGCATCAGCCGCTGGAAGAATCGACCCAGACGGCAGCGCAGAAGCAGTCTTCCGGTAAAGCGAACGATAGCTCAGCTACGGTGGATGGAGCTGTAACTATATCAACCGAAGATCAACCTGCAAACCCACCGGTTGAAGCCAATGGAACTGGCGATAACTCCCCGTCCGCCGCAGTAGGACATACTAATCCTATCCCCAGCTACTCCAGTACCCCAACCTTTGGCGGTACAGGTAGATATCCTGTGAACGCTGGCGGTATTCAGCCGGTGACATATAACAATGGAATGGCCCATGGGCCAGTTCCTCCAAGCAACCCTATGGCCATGGCTGGTGTACGGGGACCAGGGTCAGGACCAGGTGTAATAGGGGCACCAGCAGCACCTCGAGCCATGAGAGAAGGTCTGCCGAATACCAGTACACGTAACAATAGGGCATTCAGCCATAGCCATAGTCGAGCGGTGTCTATGAGCCAGCCATCGATTAAAGAATCGCGAAGGTATGCACACTCCTATGGACTATCTCGATTATAACACTAATCACACCCACGGCTACAGTTCCTCGCCGAATAAACGGGACGAACAGCAACTGGATGCACCGGTCTCGGGTTCAAGATCACGATCGAGGTCGAGATCTAAGTCGCCTTCACGCCACCGGACTCGACATCATCGGTACCAAAGTCCATCAGCTGGGGCACAGAGTGAAGACGAGAGCAGGAGAGAAAGGCGCAGCAAACGCGCGCGTCGTGAAGACGACAACGACAAGGATGACAGGGAGCATGATACGTATGGTAGTAAGAGAGCGACATCTCGATCTCGCTCTCGTTCCCCGTCTGCCGCTTTCGATACCAATAAATCCTCATCCTACCGTAGCAGACGGGACCGAGACCGAGACCGCGATCGTGATGATGGTGGCTCTTCCAAACGCTCTCGCCGATACCGTAGTCGCAGCACGAGCCGACAGGACAGCCGGGCTGTTGATGTGTCTGATAAGAGCGATCCTGGCTTGACCATAAAGGGGGCTTCATCACATCGACGAGAGAAACATAAATCCCGTGGTGAAGACGTCGATGAAGGCGCCCATGGTACCGAAAAGGAAGACCGCCATAGACATAGGGATAAAGGCCGCGACCGCCATCGTGACCGTGACCGTGATCGCGATCGCGACAGAGAGAGGGATAGGAACAGGGAGAGAGAAAGGGATAGGGATAGGGACAGAGACAGGGACAGGGACAGGGACCGGCGTGACCGTAAGAGGTCTCGTCGTGATTATTCCGAATCTCGCGACGCAGATGAATACACCGACCGTCGTTCTCGCCGTCCCCGACACGAAGAAAACGGCGAAGGCCAAGCTGTCAAGGGCCAGGATACAAAAGCCACCGATCAACCTCGATCAGGCAATTCATCAAAGAAAGGAACAGGTGCAGAAAAGGATCCGCATACGCTGGAACGAGAGGCTCGAAACAGAGAACGACTTCTCAAGGAACAGCAGCGGCGAGAAGCTGTCAACGCTGACCGGGATGGCAAGGGGCCCAGCCGTCGTCGTGATGGTAAACTCGACCGCAATCTGCTAGGGAGGAAGCTAAGCTATAAGTACGAAGATGAGCTTGATGACCATGAGCGTGAACGGGAATCGGTTCGATGGGCGTGAACTAGGGATGAAACACTGCTTGCATCCTGCTCTATTCGCTCTTCATTTGATTGTTTTCCCCTGTAAGCTATCCCATGCTCTTTGACCGTAGTATATAGAAGAGTTAAAATACAGAAGAAATTCACCACCTCCCATTCAATATCAAACTCCATCATCGAGGCCCCTTTCCTGTTCTCCTAGTCGCTGTAGTACAATTTGCAATGTGTCTTCCCTTTCCTTCAGCCTGTTTCTGTGAAATTCTGAGCATCCCAGGCTGGCTTGCAAATCTCAGCTAGGTCAGCTCTCGTAAGAACAATATCATACTCAGTATCGGTTTGCTTCTCCCGGCCAACCAGCTTCTTGAAGGGGATATTTATCTGCCCGCTAACTTCGATCACTCCGTTTTCGAGCTTGCAAATGACCTTCTCCGTGGTTTCTCCTAACGTCAGAGACGAGCGTGTTGCTCGACAGGCTTCTGCTACAAGCTCCCATTTATGAAAGGTGATTTGGGGAACCGTCTGGTCGATATTGGCTGTAATAACGACTTGCGTCTCTGAACCTTTTGCTTCCAGCCAGCCTCTTGCATCGATTGCAAGTTTGTTTGGCCGTTCTGAGAGCCCGACCTCAATGGTCAGGCTAGGCCATTCTCTGCCATTTGGGGTGAAGCTGTCGTCCGGCTCTTTAATGAATCTTCCGTCCTCGCTTTCAACCTGGGCATTCCCATCCTCGGCCGGCGCATCTTGGACACCCATATCCCATAATCCTTTCCTTATATAAAAGGACAGATTGCGAGCTATTATCTCATGGGGCCGTTTCATTCTAACTTCAGGCAGTAGTATTCTTTCTGGCAAATTTGCAGACAATCTTGGGCCCCTGTCTGGGTATTCAGCGTCAAAATCTTCAAGTATGGTAGGAGGCACATCGACTACTATGAGAAAGGGGCTCTGGGAATCATCTATACAGCATTTCTCTGCCATACGCCTTACTTTCTTCATACTGGTATATTTGATTTGGGGTGTTCCCTCGGGAAGCCCAATCAATAACTTTGAAGACGCAACGCCTGGCGGTGTCAGTTTTTCCCCTGAATAAGGCATTGTGAGGACTTGGAAAGATCAAGCTATTGTATGTACACCATGGGTGACATGAACGCAACACGTACATTATTTATATAGTCTCAAGTTATGACGTCAGGGAAGACAAAAGTCTAATAGTTGTTACGAATATTTCTGAGGACGTCGTTTCTATTGCTAATATTAAATACAGGTATATTTAAGTCATTATACTTATCTTAATATGTACATTTGAGTAGAATTCCAAGATACGTGTAACGGGGTGAGAAAGACGATGCGGAGTTCTGAGATATGGACAAGTTGGCAGTAGCTAAACCACAAGAAGCAGAGAAAAAGAGCTATGGATTGGGGATCGCTAAGACAATTAAGATGTACTTAAAAGAAACGGTTAGACTTTTTCTTGGTATATCCAATGCATGTAAAGGTTATTGCGGGGAGTATTCCGTGCAAATAATCTACCCGAGCTTCGACTTAAGACTGCTAATTTCAGCCTTCAGAGCGCTAAGTTCCTCGGCTTGTGAGGTAATCGTGCGAGTCTGCTCGGCAATCAGTTCTTTGATGGTTTCAATCTCCTTCATCAGCGATGGCTGTACAGCCGAGTCAACATCGTTTTTTACTGGACCGGAGGAGGCTGTAGTTGTCACTGGAACGGGCTTTGAATCCTATGAGGGTTGTTAGTAGTCATTCTTCCGCATATATGGCACCTGCTCGTACCTTTGGCTCTTGCTTGGCTGGCGGAGATGGCTCAGCTTGCGCGGGAGAGATGGAGATGGAGGGTACATTTTTTGGTTTTGGCTCATCGAAACTTGAGCTACCACCGGCTTCCTCTTCATCTTCTTCGTTATCATCTACATACTTTGACGCAACCGCAGCCATGGAGGCGCCTTGATCTTTCATGTTGCCACGGGGCCCAGTAGTAGTAACAGGTGGTGACGTGGGCTTTGGTTCTGGAGCTGGTTTGGGCGCTGGCTCTGGCTTCTTAACAGGCTCTGGAGCCTTTGTTTGCGGTTCCTTCGCAGCAGAGCCAGCATCAGCGGGAAGTTCCTTCATGCCTTCGCCTTCGTATAGACTAGCCATATCAATTTTGGGAGGGAGTGCATCTTTGCCTGCAAACCACTCGCTAGATGACATGGCAGGGCTTAAGCCGGTGGTTGGTGGGTAGATATCATCCTGGAAAACCTCGGCGCGTCGGGGAACGATAAATGATATAGGTTCAATGTATGTATCATTGACGGTTTTGTAGGCTCTGACGACCTCATTTTCATGCATGTTGATGCCTCGCTTTGGCATAAAAGCAACTCCACGCTGTGGATCGCCGGACTTGTACTCAGACAAGTATTCAAACTTATCGTTTTGGTACTCGAAGTAACGGATGTTCCCGTCTCTGATGGCTCTATTAGCAATGTGACTGAGAAGTGTGAAGCCTTTATACATACCCTTTCCCAGCAAGATAAAGGCATTGTGTGCCTTGATCCCAGAATGGCATACAGACGCCAGAGATAGAGTCTAGAACTTTGAAGCCATTGATAGGCTCCCTGGCAGCACGGACATCCCATAGAGCAAGCTGCCTATCACTCATCTTAGAAAAGCCAGTTGTTGCAATCCGATCGTGTTCTCCCATCCAAACAGCTCGGCTGTTCTTTGCACCAGAATGACCTGCACCTTCATGTACAGGTCTTTCCTGTCGGACGTCCCAAATGCGTAGTTTCTTATCACGCGAGGTTGTAACCAACAAGGAGCCATTTGCGCTCCACGACATGGACTGTATTACCTCGTTGACGTTCAACGTAGCCTTGGCGGCGCCGGCTTCTATATCCCATATTTTAATGGTGAAGTCTCCGGAGGAAGAAGCGAGGACATTCTCGGCGGCGGGGTTGAACAGGACATGCCCTACTTTCCTACACGTCACGGTTAGTGAGACTCGGAGGATGATTCATGATCCAAGGGCGTATTTACTTGGGATGGCCTGGAAGCCTGCCGATTGGAGCAATGTCTTCGACTTCGGCAGCGTCGGTGTGTAGAGTAAATCCTTCGGGGACTCTCCAAAGCAGAATCTGCAGGACTACGCATGAGTTACGGTCGCAAACAAACGGTGATACGGAGTGAATTGACTCGCCTTCCCGTCATCAGCTCCCGAGGTAATCAGAGAGTCGTTAAATGGGTTCCTTGGGGTATGATTAGCCAGCTACTCCGATCTCCTGGACACGCCAACATCACTAACCAATCTGTATCCAGTACAACTGCAGTATGGCCACGGAAGAGTGGAATTCGTTCCGGGAGTCTTCCCTTCTCGTTAAGGGGGAGAACGGCAAAAGCTCCGCCACCGCCAGTCTCCCAGTTAACGGACAGGTATTGAGGGTTTACCTATGGTCGTATCAGCTACCAACTTACTCAGATCCAACTACAAAGCACTTGAGGAGGGCCTCACTGACCTTCAAAAGGTTGGTATCCCAGGCATTGGTGGAGACTCGGAGAGTATCATAGCATTGGTCCTAGTACGCCCAGCTGAGATGAGTATAGGGCGAATGACACTTGGGAAGTCAGATTATCGGGCAGTTTTTTGGGTGTTTATGGAAGTACCTTTCGTGTAGCTCGACCGAAGATATGTCCTGAGAGCGAATGAGTGGCATGTCAGTAGCTCTCACAGCTGCGCAAAGAGGGAGGGGGGCACACGATATAGAAGAACTCACGGTACTTCGACGAACGAACAAAGCGGCCGGCCATGGCGGTAGAAGATATACTCTAAATTCAATGGCTCAAGCTGTTACAGTGTGCAAATAATACTACTGGCGCAAGGTAAGATCGAGATCCGGAGGTTGAAAAGGTGATAATCTCCACTGACGATGCGGAGATTAGCCTGGGTCTTTGCTGTGCTATAGCCAGGGGCTCGGACTGCGACGGCAGTAGTGCTGCTGGGTGCTGGTCGGGTGCTGTCTCCTGGTCAAAGCCGTGCATCTATCGTTGTCGTCCTCGTCCTCCTCGTCGTCGTATGATGTCTTGTGTTTGTCCCTCTATGCTGCGACGCTGGGTGTTGTAGTTATCGTCTTTTCCTCCCTCTTTCTGCTTCCCTTTCGCAGTCTCGAAGCTCCGCCGCATTATGTCAGCGGGGTAAATTGTCACGTGGTAATATGACATAAGCAGCGGCCCGTTTGTTTACATCCAACCCGTTTTGGGCAATCTGTGATGACATCGAAATTTGATATCTATCTTCTCGGCTGGCAATACAGACAGACCTACCATCGGCCGCGCCCCTTGTCTGTTAGCAAGAGCAGGAGTCCATTGCAATGGATGAAGGAGACACACAGACTCGAGTACGCTATCATATTATCCATCCACTTGATGCGGCATGTTGCTAACTTAAGGGGGCCGAGCTAGCTTGCGTCGAGTATCTCAAATATCCCACGCCCAAAGTCGACCTACTCCCATGCTGAAAGCTTGAGAGATATCACTAATGCTGCAAACAACGCGCCGGGCCAGGCAATGGCTTCTCCGCCCACTGCTGGCGATAAAAGTACCCAGTTTACATCCCTCTTTCATCGAAACTGCAACTTTCACGAACGACGGCGCTAATACGTCAACTGCGCGTTACTAGAGAGAAAAACGCTGAGCGAGCGAGCAGGAGAACCGAGGAAGAAAGAGAACCTGGGGTCGAAACCGTTCGCCGGAACGACGAAAATTGCGCAACCAAGGAGCCTATGCGCATCGAAGGCTGGTGGCTCCCGGATGCCTTCGAACGGACCGAGACTTAGACCGCCACCGGGCACGCGAAATATTCCCCGTCCGCAAACGTCGACCGGCTACCTGAACGTTGAGAGAGGATCGATACCGCGACCGGCGACTTCAATGGGTGGTCGGGATGCTGGCCACGCGAGTCAAGCCCCTGGAAACCGAAATGGTGCGCGTCAGCCCTCATCTTTGATATCACCTACATCACCTCCATCTTCTCCTTTGCCCATGCCCAAACTGCCCGATAAATCACTGGTTAATAGAGCCTATGACGGTCAGACGGATCATTTGTCTGACTGGTCCAGTCTTGCATTGGAAAATAACCACATCCTTTTCTCCCGCAATCCATCGCTATGCACTGCCATGGAATCACTTTCCCTGAACCAAAACCCCCCAATGACAACTACATTGCAAAATAAAAAGCCGCAAAGCAGTTCCCCATCCAAAGTGCCCACCCCCAGCCGCCCTACCCTGTCATCCTCTGCCCCCTTCCGCCTTCCTTCTTGCCCGACTATTCCTAAGAAAATTCGCAAACAACGCTCCCCTAAAAAGGTCATACCCTATCTAACTCAGTACACTCAAGTCCAAGCATGGGATCAAGATGAAAAGGAACAGAAAATCTCCGATAATATGATCCATGTTCGTCAGATCGTCGAAGAGATGGCCAAGCAGACTGCTGCCATGACCGAATCCACCGATTTATATAAATCTCGCAGTAGGCTCGATACTTCATCTGACTTGCAATTGCAAACTCCGCTAACAACGATCGTTAATTAGCCCAGACTCTAGAAGAAGGCCAAACGAAGCTCCTGAACCAAAATGCGGACTTGCGAGTTGAACTTGAGACTGCTAAAAATTACTTGGCGAATGCAGAAGCCAAGCTTAAGGATGTCTCTCGCGAGCATGAAATATCCATGAGCGAACTTGCTACTCAACATAGAAATCAGTTGGAGACAATACGGCAGGATACCAGGGCGGAAATCGCTGAGTTGAGAGTACAGCACAGAGCGGAACTCGCTGAAACTAGACGCCGATTCGAAGCCGAATTAGCGGTAGAGCGCCAACTGCGATTGCAGGAGCTCGAACAGATAGCGGCACAGTCATCCCTCGAAAAACAACGTGGGCAGCTCGATCTAAGCAACAAGGATCGAGAGATCCAAGATTTACTCACGCAGAAGGAGAGGCTGCAGGGTGACGTTGATCGAGAACGGGCGCTAAATAATGAATTACAGCAAAGTTCAATTCTACACGCCAACAATACCGTCAACCTAGAGTCATCAGTGCGTGCACTAAAAGCAAGAATCGAGTTTTTGGAGTCGGGAAATCAGGAGCAATCCGATGCTTTTGCGAAGCTCGATAAAGAACTAAGCGAGGCCCTCGAGGAGACTAAAGCCGCGAAGGCACAATTACGAAAGGAAGAAACTATGCGAAGGAAGCTACACAACCAGATTCAAGAGTTGAAAGGAAATATCAGAGTATTTTGTCGCGTTCGACCAGTTCTACCTGCTGACATGAGTGAAACCGCCGCCAGCATTTCGTTCCCTGACGAAGATATGGATTCCAGGGAGATTTTGGTGCAGGGGCCGGAAGAGAAATCAAGCCTGGGAGTAGTCAGTACAAAAAATCACTCTTTTGCGTACGACCATGTCTTTGGGCCAAGATCGCAAAATTCGGAGGTATTTGAAGAAATTAGCCAGCTTGTCCAGAGCGCTTTGGATGGATATAACGTATGCATATTCTGTTATGGTCAGACTGGAAGCGGCAAAACCCACACTATGTCTTCCGAAGACGGTATGATACCGCGTGCAGTTCGCCAGATATACGACACTGCTAGCGGTCTCGAGGAGAGAGGTTGGAAGTATACCATGGAGGGAAGCTTCATTGAAGTATACAACGAGAACATCAATGATCTATTAGGGAAAGCTGAGGAGTTTGACAAGAAGAAGCATGAAATCAGGCATGACATGCAGAAATGCCAAACTACCATCACCAATGTCACCAACGTCAGGCTCGATTCCCCTGAAAAGGTCGAATCCATTCTTCGCCGGGCCTGGACAAACCGCTCTGTGGCTGCTACTAAGGCCAATGAACGCTCTTCTCGCTCACACTCCGTCTTTATCCTACGGCTTGTTGGCGAGAATTCAACAACTGGGGAGCACAGCGAAGGGACGTTGAACCTAGTTGACCTTGCAGGAAGTGAACGTCTTAGTCACAGTGGCAGTACTGGGGATCGACTCAAGGAGACCCAGAATATCAACAAGAGTCTCAGCTGCCTAGGGGACGTTATCGGTGCCCTTGGACAGGGTAAAGAGGGCGTCCACATTCCCTATAGGAACAGCAAGGTATGCAATTTTACTCTGAACACCTGCACCTGAATGATGACACGATGCTGATTCGCTATAGCTCACCTATCTTCTTCAATTCTCCTTGGGCGGGAACTCGAAAACGTTGATGTTCGTCATGGTTAGTCCCCGGCAGGACCACCTCGGTGAGACCTTAACCAGCCTTAAGTTTGCCGCAAAGGTCCAGAATACCCATTTAGGTACGGCAAAACGGCAATCGCGTATACGAGATTCCTGATAAATAAGCCCGCGTCCTTATCCCCTCCCCGTTATCCAGTTCTGGGGTGTGTAAGTGGATTCCTCGTTTTTATTTTGGGCAGGGCAGGGCACAGCTAGGGGCATGCATGAACCTGGTGTTCGTATGATCCTATTTTCTACCTTTTAAGTTATATCTTCGGTCTTGGTCGGGGTTTGGGTGTCCCACTGTCTGTTTATAATAAATACTCTAAGCGTATTTGGAGGCTATTTGGTATGGCGTTAGGAGATGGATTTTGATGATTAAATGACAAGTATATTTACGTTTATAAAATAAAACCAAAAATAAGAAATTCCCTTCCAATTCACCATGAATGTTGATCTCGGCAGTTCTAGTCAGATTATCCAGTCCCTGGATATTCGTTCTCCTTTTGGCTGTTTTATGAGCGTACATACTCCACATGGCTGTGGTCACACACTTTGCAACGCCAGCTGCTTCGTCTGCGAGATCTATACCCGAGTTCTCCAGTGAAGAGGTGATCAAGCAATCATAAGAGCCAGTCAAACAGTTGAAAATTATCATTGTCAGACACAACGCTGACGTGGTGGTGGAGGCTGACATCAATCCGACCTCTGTTTTAGTCCTGAATCAAGAGACTCGACCCACGAACGGTAACTATACTCGGAAATATTTTTAGGCGATATTGCCTGGGATGCTAACTCCGCAACTCTGCCTACGATAATTAGTGAGAGAAGTTCCCAACAGTATAAACTAATTCGGCTGTTAAGTTCGAACAGCGGAAACCCCCAGGTCGGCTCGAGTGAGTGATCTCCCTACTTTCACCATCAACATCTCAAAGACAGAGCAGAGCGCTAACTCAGTCGATGCTGCGAGCTACTAGCACTGGCGGAAAACATAGTCCGTTTGTTTTGAAGGGTTCTGGTGCCATCCTGCAATGCCGACATCCTTTTTTTTTGAAACCGGGCTTGTCTCCTGGAATAGGCATGTAGCAACAACTACCTGACTAGTGGCATGAAAATTTCAATATCTTCAAGTGGACCAAGAGTCGATCCACCAGCCCTACAACCATTGCCCCATATACGGAGTACGGAGTAACTAGTGGTTAGTTATTGCTGTCGAATCGTTTTACGGCTGCCCACACTCCTTCATGGTGAGAATATTAACCCCTGGCCCCCGAGAGAGACATCGAGCAGTTTTGACACAGCCTCTCCAGGATAAGATGCAGCTTGCGCCTTTCCTTCAAGGTCGCTGGAGCCCTTCCGGGTATAAAACGGATACACGTTGGCTGAAAATGCCACCGGAGCATCTCCGATTGATAGTCGGTGCCGGCTCGAGCGCGTCTAACTTGGTCCTGGGGACAGCGATTCCTGCCCGGGGGACTCCGGAGCGAAACCTTTCACGGCGGGCCCCAGGTCGCCGGCTGGCATCATTTCGCTTGCCCCCAGACAAATTCTAGGGATGGCCAAGTGGTAGCATCGAGCGTGAGGCCTTGGCTCGACTATAATAGTTAAGGTACATTAACCGGAGTTGAAGCTATTGCCTAAAGATTCTAAGTGGTCTGAAGTTTCGAGGACATGCGGTCAGCCCCTTTTCGCTCCTTCGTGGGCACATCGACGAATATCAGGCTCCCCCCTGTATCAGCGTCGGCATCAAGATGCACGATTGAGAGTTGAACAGCGACCGTCCGACATCCGGGCTACGCAGATTCGCACCTCACCACGCCTAACATGGCTAAGGCTAAGCTTTTCACGAAGTGAAGCTTAGGAGAGCCAAACCTCCGGTCCACGGCTTGTTTGCTGGCGCCTCCAGGGCCCCATGTTACTTTATTAATTAGCATGTCACGCTAACGCCCGGAGATGGCTTCAGCAGCGAATGGCTGTCCGTCGATGTCGGCTTTACTCGTGTGAGAGGCGGGGGATCCTAGTCAATGATGGCCACCGACATTGTCTTGCATCATGGGCTTGGACGCAGCTTAACTACTCCACAGAATGGAAGTGCCAGAGGGAGGGGAGGGGGGGACGTTGCAGGGTAGTGCATCGATGGGACGGCGCAGAGCAGTACTCTTCAGTTGGTATTTAAATGGCCGTCCGCCCCATAGCCGTCTCCGCCTCCTCCGCGATTCCTGCTCGAGTGAGATCGGTTAGGAAGATATCATCGTCTCTTGTGTGCTTGTGGGCTGCTTCCGGTGACAAATTCGTACGTTTTTGAGGAGGCCATCGGACGACGCCGCCATGCCGAATATCTTCACCCAGAACCTGGGCGAGACGCCTAGCCAGGCGTTAAACTGGCGGCTGGGATACGCCATCCTATGTTTTGGTCTGATGGGTGCCAGTCGAGGTTAGTCCAGGAGAACGGTCTACTAGCAACTAATGGGATGAAAAGATCCAAGTTTGTTGATGGTGTGATTCTGAAATAGGTATCGACGAGGGCCTCATCTCTGGAACTGTCCAGCAGAAATCTTTCATTTCGAAATACCACCTTAATGACTCTCACCTGAGCGAGTCAGATAAGGCTAACCTTCTGGGCAACATCACGGCAATGGTTCAGATTGGGAGCATAGGCGGTGCATTGCTGTAGGTTTCCATCTGGCTGGATTCAGTTTGCATACCACCGTTCCTGTTCGGCTCTTAACGTGACATTATAGTGCTTTCCTTATCACTGACAAGATTGGCCGTGTCTGGGCAACCCGACAGCTCTGTGTCATCTGGATTACCGGCATCATTGTATTCATCACGGCCAACGGCCACATCGGCCAGGTGTATGCCGGGCGCTTCATCGCCGGCCTTGGAATCGGGCAGACGGCGGTGGTAGCCCCTACATATCTGGCCGAGATTGCTCCTCGCTCTATCCGTGGTCTTTGCATCTGTACATTTTCTGGTTCGGTGTACCTTGGTATCATGTTGAGCTACTTCGCAAGCTGGGGCTCCGCCCTTCATATCAGCAACAAGTCTCAGAACCAATGGGTATGCTGTGCTCCCCCTTCACCTGAGCTTGCCTCTCAATACTAATCGTATATCCGAATAGATTGTTCCAACCACCCTCCATCTCATGTTTGCGGGTATTATTCTCCTCTTATCCGTTGGAGTCCACGAATCTCCAAGATACCTGGCTAGCAAGGGCAAGAAGGAATTGGCAAGTTCTACTATGGCAAAAATCCGCAATCTGCCAGAGGATCACCCGTACGTACATACTGAGATGATGGATATTTTCGAACAAGTCGAGCGCGAGAAGGAGGCTACCCTGGGCCTCGGCTGGATTGGGCCACTAAAGGAGCTCTTTCTCTCTCCAGCGAATCGTTACCGCATCATGCTTGGACTCATGTCCCAGCTGTTGGCTCAATGGTCTGGCGCCAATAGCATAACCATATATGCACCCACTTTCTTCGCTATGCTCGGCACAACCGGCCAGTCTGAGAAACTATTCGCAACGGCGATCTTCGGTGTGGTGAAGCTCATTGCCTCGCTTGTCTGTGCCCTCTTCCTCGTCGATATGCTTGGAAGAAAGCGGGCCCTCACCTATGGCATCATCCTTCAATTCTTGAGTATGCTCTATGTGGCCATTTATCTAACAGTGGTTCCGCAAATTACGGAACATTTCAAGCCAGTGGGTGACGCCAAAAGAGCTGGAACCGGCGCCATCGTGGCCATCTACGTCTCCGGAGTGGGATGGGCTCTTGGATGGAATAGCATCCAGTATCTCATCAACGCTGAGATTTTCCCCCTCCGCGTCAGAGCTCTCGGATCTTCCATGGTTATGTGCTTCCATTTCGCGAATCAATAGTAAGTCCTGTCTATCAAATGCCATCATCGGTATGGTGACTAACAGTTCGTGATAGTGGTAACTCGAAAGCTGTTCCCTCCATGTTGCTTGAAACAGCCATGAAGCCTCAAGGAACGTTCTATTTCTTCGCCGCTGTCACTTTGCTAGGCTTGGTATGGATGTGGTTCTTCCTTCCGGAGACCGCTGGTAAGTCACTTGAAGCTATGGACGAGATGTTTAACCTTCCGTGGCACGTTATTGGACGCAAAGGTGCTGCGTTGACGGCTGGTGCTGGACACGCCGAGAACTATTTGCGGGATGACGTTGAGAAGGAGGTCAATCAAGAGATCACTCATGACGAACGAGTGACGAGTAGTAACAAGTAGACTCTTTGCTATCCGTTTTATATATCTGAGCCTTTGCAGGATTTTACTGCAGATATATACTCTATTCCATTTAAATCACAACATTGGTTCAAATAGTTTCACGGCCGACCTTCTGCATCCAATTGTTTTAAATCGTGATCCAACTTCTGGAATGATTCTTATATTTCTCAGAAGAAAAAATGATATCATAGGACGTGTTCACCGTGTAGCTTGGTATAGAAAACAACCCCGCCCACATCTAATGCATTTGCAGCTCCAGTACCCAGCTTCCCTGGGATGAAGGTTAACATCCGCTCGAGAATCTATAACACGTCTAAGGAAAGGATAGGACGTGACAGCCTTAAGAGACAGCCGAGCAGCACTATGGACCTAAGAAATGGGAGTCACGCAGGCAGGGTCTGATGTCTTTCCTGTAATAATCTTAACCGCACCGAGGATTAACAGGAGAGGAAATGGGGATTATTTTTGCAACAAACGTATGCTGATGGGAAACAGACCTGGTGATTACGTGCAATCATGGCGACGACACGAAAAACCAGCTAAGTGAATGTGTTGACTTGAGCATCAGCGTGCGCGGGCGTTAAGTTAACCAGTTGGTTAGGGGACTTGCATGGCACTTGCATGTATTTAGTCAACCTTTGCCATACACCTTCAGATGCAGGCGTCCCCATTCCGAGTGATAGTATACTTACTAGCAAAGAGTCCAGAACGGAGCTTCACTAAAAATTTTCCTGCTTCTTGTACCCCAGCTTCATCAGCGTGCTCAAGTTTACATACGGCCTCTCGTACTCCGGCTCAAATGCATCCCTAACAATACCTATCCCACTATTCTTTAAGATATTGTTCGGACTCTGAGCCCAGAATGGATTCTCACCGTCATAGTAGAGAAACTCGGTCACCTCATCATCCACCCAGACTCTACGGTTGCTCACTAGTGAGATCTCCTCAGTCCCAATCGACACACGGGGCCTCTCTTCCACAGCTCTATTACGCCAACTTAGAGTGTCGCGCATTTGCACTAGCAGGTCACAGTAGTCCCCTCCGCCGTCGAGGAAGTATAGGAAATTGAGCTCAATAGATCTAACCGTCGGAGGTAACGCCGCTAACAACTTCAACACGTCAGTCTGCATTACTAAGAAGCCTGAAAGACCGAAGTGACGGAGCCGCGGCCACCTCTCGACTGGAAAGATAGACTGGAGGGGGATAAAGTGCTTTATTGAGCCGCCACTATCGGATATGGATGCGTCGGCAGCCGGGTCAAAGATAACATCGGTACATAAGGAAATATGTTGTAAATCTACTGCCTTAGCTAGGGCACGGCGGAGAAGGCCGCGGCGGAAGGATGGCCAGTCGTCATGCTCTAGCCCGCCAACGAGGAGGGACAGGTCGAGGCGGCTGAAGCTAGGCCGCTCGAGTAACAACACTAGGTCATCGTATTCGCGGCATGGCTGATCAAAAATGCGACAATTCAAGCCGGTAGGGAGTTGGTTAACGTCGATAACAAGCTCAGTAATACGGTGGTTCCATGCTTGCGCAAGCGCGCGCATGACGATCTGGAAGCCGCGCCACTGGTTCCTCTGCATCTCGTAACTATCAGCAACCCATTCACAAGCCTCTGTAGGTATACCGTCGAGCATAATCGGCCAGCTGCGCGGGATTGGGTAGTTGAAGCCATATGGGAAGTCCCGAATCATAGGAGTTTCGTATAAAGGAGCAAATAAGAAGCCATGTCCAGCTGGAGTGATTGTAATTCTTTGTAAAGCTGGAAACTGCTCGAGTCCAAATCTAAAAGCGCTAATATCAGCTCCAGATGCGAGCACCGCTTTTTGTATTCGTAGTAGGCCCTGGTAGTATTCCCATGACTGCCGAGTTGGGTGCTGTGCTGTAACCTGATATGCTCGTGGGACACGACCTGGTAGGTATACGTCATAGTGCTTGTAATTGGTAAGGTTCTCTATATTTTTTCTACATGCGCGAGTGAACCATGCCGGGCAGCCTCTAGCTGTGTCGCAGTCGCAAAGATCATTGCAACCGCAGGTGATATTCTCGTAATAAGCTCCATTTTTGAGACAGTAGAGCTCGCCACCGATTTTAATTGCGTCTTCTAGCGGCCAGTCAATCAGGCGTGCGTCGTCCCAAATAATCTCGACGACCCTCTGGCGGAAAGTTTCATGGTTGGCTATGGCGCGGAAGACTTCGATATTGCGTCGATTAGCTGATAGAAATACCCGGTCTAATCGCAGACGCGCCCTATCGCGTATAGAGGAGCCAGTTAAGCGCAGAGCCTTGATATCGCGATTAGGTAGGAAAGACAAGATGGATAAGAAAAGCTCCAGCGGAAGAGCAACTAAGTTGTTTCCACCAGCTACCGTCGCTGGTAAGGATATCATTGTTGCACTCCAGGGAGTAAAATAATGGTTGAAGTGTGTAGCGAAAAGGGCGTAGAAAATAAATACTCCTATCGAAACGGAGTTCTCTTATGGATCCTGGATATTTGCACCCTTTTGGCGCATGACATAAGCTCACCTTTTCTAATTGGGATATATATGGGCGCTGACAAAATGGCTTAATGTCGTCCAATGTGGGAGCCATTGGTTATCTAAGACACAGAACATAGATATTCCGACAGAATATTAGGTACCTAGGTATGTTGGCTATCAGCATATGAGCTTATATCATGCGCCAAAAGGGTGCAGGTAATCAGAGCGAAGGGTGCAAATATCCGGACCCTTCTCTTATTGCGCGCCGATAATTGGGCTCTATTATTCACGACGCTACAAACAAAAGGGAGTCGACCGAGATATGTATCTGGGGCCACACATACCGCACGATGCTGCCCTCGGCGGCTACTGAGATCAGAAAGGCTTCTAAGGCTGTCATGTTTGCCCATCGAACTGTGATATCAAAGAGGCTTGCACATTTTCATTTCTCGGAGGCGGCTTTCCCACAAGACTCCGGTGAATAAATCCTATCGCACAAGGTCGGTCGCCCCGAGGATGGTGGTGTGTCACCGGAGCTAATTATAGCGAGGGACGGCATACAGTTGTCGCAGCGGATATTTCGCCTGCTTGCCATGTTGATCCCTGCGAATGGAAGACTGTTGGTCAGGCTATCAGGTTCCTTATTCCGTATGGAGTTCACACCCTCGCCATATTGCATCCCTTGTGTCGGGCTCAATCCTGTCTATATTGCAGGGGCAATTTTTCCTTGCTTCTCAATTTGTTTCTTAGACTGTCGTCAAACAACTGTGGTCAAAATGGCGCAGCGCCGATGCTGTAACTCGCCGCCTCGATGCTGTGACACAAACCGGTGGCCCCGAATATATCACGGTATGCTCTGGCAGAAGGAAAGCGACCGTCCTGTGCCAATGCATTTCCACTTGGCGGGTGGATGTGCCTAATGTTCAAGTGGTATCAACGCCGGCATGGCAGGGGTTAGCAGGTTGTAACTCGTTAAATAACTAGCCAGAAAGTCAACCCAATCACACGCTGGCTCGCTGCCGCTGGAGTTCGGCCGGATGATGGCTCCTGGCCCGGAAAACGTCAACCACCATACCTCGACACCGAGATATGACAGCAGAGTGAACCATCCCCCGGCCACGTCGCATTGACTCCAGATTATTCACCTAGTCCCGCCATTTCTAACCTCTTCCACCCCGGTTCGATAGCCTTGTCGGGCTTGGAAACTGCAAGGAGTGGCGACGTCGAACGAACGAGCGTCCGGGCAAAGGTCATCGCGGCATGCAGCCGAACGGGCCGACTCTCCTCTCGTCGACCATCTAGTTATGCCTGCTTTGGAGGACTGATGTCCTTCTTCTACGGAGTATGCTACTCGGTGTTGGGTTAAGCCTTGATCAGCAGAAGACTGATCATCATCGGACCGTGCGTGTCGGCCTGGAAGACGGATCGCAGCGACGATTAATCATGGCCGGCCAGGACTTCACAGTTTACTAAGCCGCTGCCGCTGCTATATTCGGAACTGATGTGCAGGTCTGGGGAGATCGGCCATATCATGATATAAAGTCCAAGCCCAGGGGTCTGATGACAATATCATGACGGAGTGATAACTATACAGAGCCTTCCTCCTCCGTGTCCTCCCCCCCCCCCCCCCCCCCCCCCCCCTCCCCTGGCTGAAGAAGGGAAATCGGCATGTGTCATTTCTATATTCCCGCCTTATTCGAAAGCTTATGGCCTTATCTTGCACGTTTCTGCGCTCACCCCGCGATTCGATCGCCTATATCTAACCCTATTCGATGTTAGCTGGACATCCCACCCTCTTGGCTCTGGTTAATCTATCACGAACGCCTGCTTCGTATCGATGGCGGAAGTGGAGTGCGGACCTTTGGCGCCATTTTATGTCTTTTGACACCTTCCCCGGATGGGGACCCCGGATCTTGTTGAATTCAGCGAGGCGGCAAAACATGGGGACACAATTCGGGACGCAGGGGCCGTGCTGCTCATTCTACAAACACCGTCTAGCTGCGAAGATCTGCCGCTCACTCCATAGCTATCACTGTGTATTTTTGCTGTGATCAGCACCAAAGATCGTCAAGCAACCACTATGCTGGACATATGGCCAGATGGCCAGAGCTTCAACAATATCTCTCCCGAACCGGATGAGCCGTGGAATATTCGCGAATGTCAGCTTCTACCACCCCATATTCTACAGGGGTAGGGGCATCACAAGATGGGTTCACGCTCTTCAGACCCCTGGGACCTGCGGTGTTACCGCGGCCACCCGTCAAAAACAAGCCTACATTATGACGATCTCCCAACCTTGGGGCTATCATAGAGCCTGCGGTCACCCTCCGATATATACTTCCTACCCGATATATTCTCCCCGGAATGGCACTGAGCATTCCCGTCCATGGGTTTACTGTGCCTCTCCGCATCTTGCCGCCTTATATTCCTATCTTGCAATGTTACTATTCGCCAGAGATGGAGCATGGTATCCCGCTCATTGGTGATATTGCATGGTTACATATTTTAGGGAAAAAGCATATATTGAAAGCCTGAGGGGGCGGAGGATTGTCCCGCATACCTGACCTTGAATCAAGTCCATGGCGGACGTCCAGGTTTCCCTGGAGTTTCTAGGATGGAGTGAATGAGGGGGGGGATGGGGTGCGGAACGGATATAAAAGCTGGACATTGACCCGGGCATTCGAAGTTCTTGGATAACAACTCATCAACATCATCCATCAAATACTCCTTCAATATGGGCTGCATCAAAGTCATCTCCGTCTTCCTCGCGGCAGTCGCTGCTGTCGACGCCCGCGCTTTCTTCCACAACCGCGGCGGTAACGATGTCATCCCCAACTCCTACATCGTCGTTATGAAGGATGGCATTTCCACCCAAGATTTCGAATCCCACATCTCCTCCGTTACCGCCACCCACAGCATCAACAAGGCCAAGCGTAACTCTGAGACCGTAGGACACAAGGACAGCTTCAACATCAATGGATGGAAAGCCTACAACGGCCACTTCGATGAGGCCACCGTTGAGTCCATCCTCAACGACAACAACGTTAGTTCTAAATTTCCCGCTATACCCCAGGTTCAATCTAACAATAAGCCTAGGTGGACTATGTCGAGCACGACCGTGTCGTCAAGCTGGCCGTTCTAGAGACTCAGCCAAACGCCCCAACCTGGGGTTTGGGACGAGTCTCCCACAAAGCCCCTGGCAACAAGGACTACGTTTATGACAGCACCGCCGGCCAAGGTGTCACCATCTACGGTGTTGACACCGGTATTGATATCAACCACTCCGAATTCCGAGGACGTATCCGCTGGGGTACCAACACTGTTGACAGCGACGACACTGATGGCAACGGCCACGGAACCCACACTGCCGGAACCTTCGCTGGTACTACCTACGGTGTTGCAAAGAAGGCCAACATTGTCGCCGTCAAGGTCCTCTCTGCCGGTGGCTCCGGCTCTACCGCTGGTGTGATCAAGGGTATCGACTGGTGTGTCACCGATGCGAAGGCCAAGGGTGCTCTCGGAAAGGCCGCTCTCAACCTCAGCTTGGGTGGTAGCTTCAGCCAGGCCAACAACGATGCCGTGACCCGTGCCCAGGATGCCGGTATCTTCGTCGCAGTTGCCGCTGGAAATGACAACGTGAGACTGACCCCCCCAAGCACCTTTACATGTCGTTTTTAGATTCTAATTTGTCTTCGACACTATAGAGAGATGCTAAGAACTCCTCCCCTGCCTCCGCCCCAGCCGTCTGCACCGCTGCCTCCTCCACCATTGATGACCAGAAGTCCTCTTTCTCCAACTGGGGTACCATCGGTAAGCTCAAATCCTTGCACCCCAGGTCTACCCTTATTACCAACGCTGTGTCGTAACTAACACCCTACCTTATAGTTGACATCTACGCTCCTGGCTCCAGCATTCTTTCTGCTGCCCCCGGTGGCGGTACCCGCACCCTGTCCGGAACCTCCATGGCCTCTCCCCACGTCTGTGGTGTTGGCGCTGCCATGTTGGCTCAAGGTGTTACCGTTGCTCAAGCTTGCAACCGTATTAAGCAGATCGGCAACGCTGTCGTCAAGAACCCAGGAACTGGCACCACCAACCGACTTCTCTACAACGGAAGCGGCCGATAGAGAGCTAATTCCGAATCTTCCACCAGCTTGACGCTGTTGGCAAGGGGTATTGACATTACTTTTTTTTGAGTAAAATCAATAACCCACCCTGCTGGTATATACATATCGACGCATGCACATAGTTTCTTTTTCTTGGGCAGACTAAATACGCACCAGGATTACTTTCGTTACATAGCTTCTATAGGCTTAAAGTCAATGAAAAATTTGTTCTTACCTTAACTTCGCAGCACTTAAGTCAGCAGTTTTATTTCGAGCACGTATACTCCGTAGAGTACGGAGTAGTAAGGACAACAGAATCAAGGATATGCTGTCGCTGCAAAGTCCTGATGCCATGAAACTAGTTGGCCTGGGTATAAATTTAGCACACAAGTAGGAACCTTGCTTTTACCTCGGTACTTTTGGTGCCTGTCGATCCTATGATGACTAATGAGAAAATCAAGTCATGTGATGAGTTGTTCAAGACATCACATGACACAGCACGTGGACATCGGATGTATTAGGAAAGGCGCGATAAGAAGCCGGAGTAAGTTTCTTCGTCGATGTTTCAGACAACAGAGAAAAAGGGTCAAGCATCTGTAGATCCTTGGCAGTTCGTATATTTATATCAGCATTTCCTACATCTTCTTAGAGATACTTGACATCGTGTCTGTAAAGAACTCCGTACTCCGTACAGGATAAAGAATTGGATCTGCCAGCTATGAACAAAACTTCCCGAACGGACGAGCCCTTCGAAGGGGACGGGTATAACCAAAGCCCAAACCCTCTCTCGAACGATTTGACAACAAACGAAGGCCTCAATGGTATCGTCAATTCCAGGGAGTTGAAGAGGGAAGAGCCGCGGTCCTTGCACGGTTCAACACAGGAAACTGACCGCGATAAGAGTGGCAGCATCCCTCCTGACATCAAGGATGGAGATACCTCCGACTCGCTGGCTGATCCGTTGTCGATTAGCCAGCCCCCCCGGGGGGAACAAAAGACTCCTCCCTTCTATACCACCACTGTTCTGCCCAGCGATGGTTCGGCCGGCTGTCGTGGCCAAGACCGTGGTGGCTGTACCCCGATTGAGCGCTTTAAGAACGTACTGCTCAAGTTTTGCTCATTCATTGGGCCGGGTTTCATGGTATCAGTTGCATACAGTATGGAACGTTTCATCCACTCACTTGATATTCTGAAAGCTGACTTCGTTGTTGTCTCTAGTTGACCCTGGTAACTATGCGACTGGGATTGCAGCTGGGGCCTCTTACCGTTTCAGGTTGCTGTTTGTCATTCTCATGGCGAATCTATTTGCTACATTGCTCCAGTCCATTTCAGTTAAACTTGGAACTGTGAGTGGCCTTAATCTGGCGGAGGCATGTCGAGCTTTTCTTCCGCGATGGCTCAATTTCCTGTTATATGTCCTTGCTGAGGTGGCTATCATCGCCACGGACATTGCTGAGGTATGTTAGCCTAGTTAGTGTGTTCCTTTGGATTCTCAGACTAATGTGGGACAGGTGATTGGATTTGCCATTGGCCTCAATCTTCTTATCCCAAAGATGCCATTGGTTGCCGGATGCGCAATCTCAATCTTCGATGTCATGATCATCCTCTTCTTTTACCGCCCGGACGGATCCATGAAGGCGTTGCGAGCTTTTGAGATCGTTATTATCTGCTTAGTTCTTGGTGTCGTGATTTGCTTTTGCATCCAGCTTTCGCTCATCAAAAGCACTGGCGTGGGCGAAGTTCTTAGCGGATATCTGCCGTCAAAGGAGCTAGTTGAAGGACAAGCGTAAGCTCTTTCGCCCGTTTGAACAGGGGAACCGCCGCTAACTAAACCAGGATCTACCAAGCATGCAGTATTCTAGGGGCAACTGTCATGCCACACAGCCTTTACCTAGGATCGGGTTTGGTTCAGCCTCGCCTGCGAGAGTATGATGCGAAAAGCAAACTTCTACCTGACGAATTGCTGTCGGCACTCTCGTCTATCAATGGCAACGTGGATAAGATGCATTACATCCCGTCTATCCGCGCTATTCAACACTCTCTCAAAGTCTCCATCGCTGAGCTGACCATCTCCCTGTTCTCATTTGCGCTCTTTGTCAACTCAGCCATTCTTATCGTTGCAGGTGCATCCTTATATAATAATAAGGATGCCCGCGAAGCGGATATTTTTAGTATCCATGCCCTCCTCTCAAAATCCATTTCCCCTGCCGTAGGCACGATCTTTGCCCTAGCATTGCTTCTTTCGGGAATTTCTGCCGGAGTCGTTTGTACCATCGCAGGACAGATGGTGAGCGAGGGTGCGCTGAATTGGAAGATTCGTCCATGGTTACGCCGTCTCGTAACGCGAAGTATTAGCATTATCCCGAGCATCATCATTGCCGGGGCTGTCGGGCGACAAGGGCTCAATGCAGCATTGAATGCATCCCAAGTCGTCTTAAGCGTGGTTCTACCTTTCATCACAGCGCCACTCATCTACTTTACCTGCCTCAACAAGTACATGACTGTCCAACCAGGTGGTGCGCGTTGCCTTGCACCCAACGAGGGTAAATTCCGACATGGCCAGTCAGCCTTTGCAGTGGCAAGCTCCGAGAGACATAGTAGCATTAAGATGGCCAATTCGTGGTACATAGCTCTAATTGCTGGTCTTGTATGGCTTTTTATTACTGTGATGAATGTTGCTAACCTGGTATTTCTCGGACGGGGAGCCTGAAGCACAGTATAACCCCTTTAAGCGCCACTCCTTTCTGTGTCGGGGTAAAACCTGTTAGCGAAAATTATAGATTAGGTCCTTTGAGATAATTTATACCGCTCATAAAATCAGAAACATAAATTCAATGGTTATGTGTTCCTTTAAACGGAACTATAGCTGCAAAACCGCTGGGATAAACCCCCTCGCTCCGTTACTCAGCCATACATCCTCACCAGCCACAAGCGAATCGATGTGGACGACCCCCTCTAAGCATATACCAGCATCTAGGGCATATCGGCGGGTGGTTGCTGAATTTCCACCCGATATCAAGGGTGGTGTGACCCACTCGCAACCCCCAACTCCCTCCTCTTGCGCTGTGTCGTTTATCCCTCTTCTGAAGTAAACTGAGGTAATGCTGCCTTCCGTAACTTCACCACTGTGGTTGTACATGAGAACTTCAGCTGGGTCAGCTATAGAAGTTAAGCCGACCCGCTTCCGCGCTGCGTTGTACATATCTCTAAACGTGGTTTTATGCCTGGTGAACAGGGATGGTTCTGTAGGCTGGGTATCTAGCCGTATTTTCCAGCTGGCAACATGCTTGTTGTGCATATGTAATGACGAGAAGGAGGGTTGAGGTGGGAGAACAAAAATATGAGAGCCAAATGGCGTGATGACGGGTGCCGCCTCAACGGTCAATCTGCCACTATAATCCAGTAAAACACGCAAACGCCATGGGCAGGATTTATCTGGCAATTGCGCGTCAAGGATCTTTGCAAATCCCTCAGCTGAATTTGATAGAGGACGCTGCAACCTTGAAACCGCGTCTCCCCAGTTGAAGTCTATTGCAGCATCCAGAAGTCGTTTGCGGTGGTAGGCGAGAAGATAATATGGAGAATTCACCGGCTCAGGGTACGACGGTGAGGTTGGCGTCTTTGTGACGAACTCTGGATCATATCGGATGGTCGATATGACTTCGAAATCGTGGTGGCTATCCGTCATTATTCCCCTACCTGCTTTCGGGCCGCTCGTAATCGCCCATCGACGAAGAATGGTTCTTTTAACGATAAGCAGCAGACGTGTCTGCAATCGTAGTGCACACGGCAGATCTGCTATTCCTGTCCCTCAAGCCTCTGCTGTTTGAGATTGTGTTTTTCGTTCTGATATTTATTCATCGTGAAGTTCGTTGTGATAATGTCAACTACTCGATATTTATACGAAGTGGAGGATGACATAAGCAACCCAGAAATTTTCTGGTGCTTTTAGAGCTGTTTCTTGGACACTTTTTGTCCTTCATCTTCGTCTCAACTCTGTCCGCTAGATCTCACGCTGTCCGTCTCCGTATTTATAATTCATTTTCTATCGGAGGGTCACTTTAAATTCCTTTTAATTTTTGTTTTTTGTATGCGTTTCCGCAATTCCCGGGCGCAACTCGAACATATCAGCTCCTCTTCAATTGTCACATCCAAGCCCGGCGACTTTTTTCTACATCTTGACTCGTCTCACGGCTAATCGATTCGCCAACCATCTATCACGGCATTAATCGAGAAGATAGTGCTTGCTTATAGCCTCGGTACTAGTTGTCATTTGCCTGGAGCTCCATACAGTTGATAGCAACCATGTCGCCTATCGAACCTGTCCCGTCTCTCCCATCATCCACCCTCCAACAACACATCGAGAATGCGGTTGTCTCACCATCTCCATCCGTTTGGGATCGTATCTCGACCTGGGCATCGGAAAACAAAGCGCTGGTTTACACAATTGCCGGTGTTGCTGTCATCGTGACGAGTGCTGGTGTTGTATACTATTTGTCCGAGTCTGGCAGGCCAACCCAGCTTTCTGGTCAGCCGGGAGAAAAGCGCAAGAGTAAAAAGGAGCGACGAAAGGAGAAGAAGGCCGAGCAGGAAAAAAAGGTGGCTAATTCGGATAAGTCAGGTATGGGGAAGTTCTCTGCACCAGATGTGCTTTAAGTTGCTAATGCAAGATATAGAGGTCAAGGCAGCGACAGAACAGACCCCGGAAAAGCTCCCGGAAGTTGACGAATCCAACGTTGATAGTTTACCTGCACAGGTATGTTTTGTGTAAAGAGAATGCTGCCATTGTTAATGCTAAATTTCCGTGCCCATAGACCCGGGAACGCTACGCTGGGATTCTCAAAGCCGCAGGGAACAAAGCCTTCGGATCAAAGGATTATAACAGGGCGATCGAGCTGTACGGCAAAGCCATTCTCTGTAAACCTGACCCCGTTTACTACTCCAACCGCGCAGCATGTTACAATGCCCTTGGCGAATGGGAGAAGGTTGTGGAGGACACGACTGCAGCATTGGTTATGGATGACGAATACATTAAGGCAATGAACAGGCGAGCGAACGCATACGATAAGCTTGGAAAATATAGCGAGGCACTTCTGGACTACACCGCTAGCTGTATTCTGGATGGGTTCGCGAGCGACACTGGCAAGGCTGCCGTGGAAAGATTGCTGAAGCAGGTTGCCGAAGAGAAAGGCCGAACTATTTTGGAGGGCAAGGGCAAGAAGTTGCCCAGTGCTACCTTCGTGTCGAACTACCTACAAAGCTTCCGACCAAAGCCGATCCCCGAAGAGTTAGGCGAGTCTGTTGAACTGAAGGAAGATAGCGGCCTGGGCCAGCTCCGAAAAGGGTTGTTGGCAGTTTCCAAGTCAACTGGAGATGGTTATGATGAGTCCGCAAGGTCTTTCGAGAAAGCCCTAGAGCTAGGCGACCTTGGTCAATTTGAAGCTCTTGCGCTGAATATGCGTGCGACCTTCACATATCTAGCAGGCGAAGCCTCTGCAGCTCTTGCTGACCTCAACAAGAGCATTGAGCTTGACCCTTCGCTCGTTCAGAGCTACATTAAACGTGCCAGCTTATACTTGGAAATGGGTATGTTAAGCCGCTTGTAGAGAAGAGAGTTACGAGTGCTAACCGTGTTGCGCGTATTATAGGTAACCGAGAATCAGCACAGGACGACTTTGACCTGGCTGTGACCCAGAACAAGGATGACCCAGATATTTACTACCACCGAGCGCAGCTCCATTTCATCCTGGGTGAGCTCGGAGAGGCCGCCAAGGACTACCAGAAGTCCATCGATCTTGACCGGGACTTCATCTACTCCCACATCCAGCTAGGTGTGACGCAGTACAAACTAGGGTCGGTTGCATCAGCAATGGCCACCTTCAAGCGAACGCTCAAGAACTTCGAGAACGTAGCTGAAGTGTACAACTACTACGGCGAGCTGCTTCTCGACATGCAGAAGTTCTCCGAGGCGATTGAGAAATTCGACCGGGCGGTCGAACTGGAGAAGTCCAACAAGCCCTGGAGCATCAACGTGCTGCCTCTAATCAACAAGGCTCTTGCCATCTTCCAGTGGAAGCAAGATTTCCAAGAGGCCGAGAACCTTTGTCAGAAGGCTCTGATCAGTTCGTCTCCCTAACCATACCACCTGTTAAAAAAAACTCCTAGGCCCGCTAACCCTTTACGTAGTTGACCCTGATTGCGATATCGCTATCGCCACTCTCGCCCAGCTCCTGCTCCAGCAAGGGAAGGTCTCCCAAGCTCTGAAATACTTTGAACGGGCCGCAGAACTAGCCCGAACAGAGGCAGAGGTGATCAACGCCGTGTCGTATGCCGAAGCCACTCGCGCGCAGCTGGAGGTGCAGGAGAAATACCCCAAGCTCGCCGCCAGACTAGCACAAATGGGAGGTGCAGCAGGACTCGGTGCTCCCGGTGCCTTCTAAAGTCGAATGCAGAATAGTATAGACCTCCGAACAAGGGGTGGTCGGGGAGAGAAGAAGAAAAAACGAAGAAGAAAAGGGGTAATGACTCCTCGATTAATCTCATTGAACTGTACGCTTTCTTAACAAACTCCTGTCTTATTATAACAACTTTGTCTTCCCCATGTCTCCCTGTATTGTAAATAAATAGTGCCACTTTTTTTTCGTGTTGTTGCAGTTGATTATGGGAATTCTTTTTGCTGTCTGCTGTCCTCGTCTTTCCCTACATGTAAACACTATCATGACGCTAACTTATCTTCTCTTTCTCTTTCCCTTTCCCTTTCTTCCTCTCTCCCTCCAACTTCCGCTCCCTCGACTTGATAAGACACCGCTTACTAAGTAGCCAAGGAGCTCCGTGTGTGGTCGAGTTAGGGTTTTGCAGAAGTACCTTTGTTAGTCTTTTATGTGGGGAGGTACTTCATAACGTAGCCCCACCCGAGCCGGCAGGCGCCGTGACCTCACTTTTCAACTCCTCCCTCCTCCTCCGCTCTCTTCTTCCTCTCTCTCTCTCTCGTCTCCTCTCCCGTCCTGCGGTCTGCCGTTATATCCTCGTTCGTGCCACTACGTCTTTTAACCTGCCTAACACTCTGATCTACAGAATATCGAAGCCCAGAGAACCGATGAACAAGCACTGAATCCGATAACTAACTAGTTCACCGTTTGTTACGTCACTGTCTTATCTAGACGTTGGGCAAGTTAACATCCCTCCACGCCACGATCTTTCTCGGGTGTGAGGGGGGAAAAAGGAAGGGTCTCTTGCACTCGACCTAACTGTTCTCCTTTACTGAGCAAAATCATAGAGGGTGGCTGTTGATCTCCCACCATGACTTCAGGCATGTTGCTGCCTACCCCGGCTTTTAGAAGTGGAGAAGCGATGAACCAGTCTGCGTTGTAGACAAGACTATAGTCCTCATACTAACGTGAAATCTTTCTATTATTGCAGTGACTTTACATGCCGTCCCCATCGACGGGAATGATGCCATCGGAGCCCGCACGGTGGAATTGGCATATCCGATTTACCGCTCCATCGTGGGCCGATCTTCGAGATCCGGTTCGAACAAGCTGGCTGCTACAGAGTATAATTTGCGGTTCGATAACCGTGTCGTCTCGAGGAATCATGCTGAGTTCTTTGTCGACCTAAAGGAGAAAGTGAGTTCATTACCTTATTCATTGCCACACTTTTCCTCCCTATCTACGCAATTCTTATACACTGAAAACGTTGGCTCTGACTGTGGGGATTTGTAGCGAATCTATCTTATGGATACGTGCTCTATGCACGGCACCTCCGTGAATGGCGTCAAGTTGACAACAAAACCTATACTGATCTCGAATGACGATATCATTACTTTGGGGAATACTGTCAACCGAGGACCTGGTACACCCACCCAATATAGATTTCCAAGTATAGATGCTGATTTTTCGATCTGAATAGAATCCTTTGACCCGGTTAAAATTCGCCTTGAGATTACCTGGAGCAATTCTCCCCAAGTTATCACTACTTGCGAGGCACCATGTACGAATACATTTGCAGTACCTGAGGACTATGGAAGCGGGATCGAGGACGAATATGACAGTGACGGTATCGAACAAGATCCCTTCATGCCGTGGCAAGAGGTCTCTTCATCAAATTCAGATGCAGATATCATCTCGGTTAGATCATCTCCAGAGCCTGCCAATGCTGAGACCGAAGACACTTCATCTCAAGCTAGTAAAGAAGTCGATCATACCAAAGCCTTAAGCCACACCGCTAACGGTACCATGCCGCTCAGGGTACCTCAGAAACCCAGGTTGGGGCACTCTTGGCGGGAAACTCTTACTCCACCAAATAGAGCAGATCGCGTTACAATGACTAAGGAAGCTTCAAAGGGCAATGACACCGACGATTCCTCTCCATTTGCTTGTCTCGCGCTAAACCCGCTACTTGACCATTCGCCCGCGCCGAAGGAGGGGCTTCCTGAATCTGACCCCGCCTCAGACTCCAAAGTTTCTCTATTTGGAGCGGATCGAAATACCACGGACGGCCCAAGTATAAGGCCTAATGTCAATGCAGTCGCTGGGATGTTGTCTCCATGGAGGGCCGTACCTTCATTGGATTTAATCCATTCCTCGGGAATATCCACACCGGAACAGCACCCGGATGTGGTTGAAGGAACATCAGAGGCCCCGCTCGTGTCTCACAATTCCCTACCCGCAGTCAGTGCTAACACTAGATCGATGAAACGTAAATTCGATGATACCTGTGTCACTGAGGAACAAGTTAGCCAAGATCTTCCAGATGCACAACCCCAAGAGGTATTCCCAGATCCAGAAGTAGTTGAGGAGAAGGAGAATGAGCCCCCACGGAAGCGAGCTAAAACTACTACCCCCCGTCAGCTGTCTCATGCTGCAGTTTTTGCCCGCTATGCTGCAACTGCCATCACTGGAGCCGTCATTGGGGGAGTGGGTGCAGTTGTAGCGCTTGCTTCTCTTCCACCAAACTTCTTCGATTAGAATTCGGGAAAAGATAGGGGCTCGCCTCTACAAAACACGATCATCCAAATATCTATGCCTCTTTTTTTAATTTTTATCTCTTCCTTGCACATCTTAATATCTTCCTTAACTTTTGTTATTTCCTCTGTTTTTCACCCTACAATTCTCCTGTGGCGACTCCTGGGTATGGTTTGGACTGGGGTTATGGGGTCACAGACGGCAATCGGATACGGATGGGGGCCTAGTATTTCAAATTTCTATCTTCTCTGCCTCGATTGTCTTTCATTTCAACAGGCTAATTTCTTATGTGGGCGAATGTCAAACTGGGGTAGTTAACGGGCAACTTTCAGCCGGATTGGCCCTAGGTTTACGACTATGGCTATGCATCCAATCTTCGTTCTCTCTGCATACGGTTCTGTTATTTATCTATTCGGTATCTTCTCTTCTACCCCTAAGTTTAGCTATCTAATTCTCTCCCTTCCACTCCTTTCGTCGCCGGTTCTATACGACTTATTTAGGGAATTAGGTTTAGGTGCACAAATGCTTCCGGTTATCTTCCCAGGAAACTGTAGCTTTTAGACGCCATATAAATATCGGTCACATAATGGCGCTTATCAGCTGTTCTAAAATACGGGCCTACAGGCTAGGGTAGAGTTTACAAATATGTATCAATACAAAAGAACTTGTAATGTGCACAAGTAGGAAAGGGGAACGGGGAGATCTCTTATCGTTTACCACAGAATAAGAGAGAGTACATTCTTATATTTGATATCCACTATACTCCTAACATTGACCTTATTCTGCCCTCATACTACTTGGTCTTAATAGCCTATGCTAGCAACGCCCGCGCGTTAAAAGCTTACCCTATTTTACTGTTTAATCACTGTTTCAAATATCGGAAATACTTCTTGGTGACAAGGTCCAGCCAACATGAGATATTACTCGAGATAGTATCAACTCATAGTAAGCTCTGCTAGGGGCTTTGTCTTCGCACACTGTTCCCTTTGGTAATAGTCCTACACTCGTGTGTTCCTATATACCACTTGCAGCCAGACTGGGCTTAAACATACAAGCTTGAAGGCGAAAAATGCAGTCGAAACAAGGGTCCTCCCTCGTTATAGCTGCAGTACTATTATCCTTGAAGGAGCATGTGTGCTAAGCCGGGGTGGGGTGTATAAGTGATTCTCTATCCTTCTGCGACTTCGGTTGAGATGTCGATGCTATGTTATTGGTCAAATTGCGCAACGTGGGCAACCTCAGTGCCTGGGTTGATTCAAAACATCACATATAATATCGCAATAGCAACCAGGGAGTTATCGTGGGTAATATATGCAAGTCTGGCGTGGATGACAACCGGAAACGCCACCTCGCATCCGGCGGAATTATACCCTCCAAAGTATACAGAACACGCTACATGTGGAGCACATGCAATATCGTTTGTCCCGGTGTCCACAATATAGAGCTCGTCTTGGGGGTATGATCTTCCGCGAAGTATAAATACGGCCAGTTCCGATAGCAGTTCGCATGGAAATATTGAAGGTTATCTTCGCATTCATCTCCTTTCTGATAAATTTTGTACTTGTGTGGATGCTTGCATTGTTATTTCAAGCATCGTGGTCTTGTTTTGTTATTTGCATATTGTTTTGTTATTTGCATATGAAATATAGGGTAATGAGATGGTCCCACCGTGGACGGTGCAAAAGTTCATGAAAAGGGAGCTAGGTAATTGTAAGAGATGGACAAAAGCGACCCGTCATAAAGCAGTAGATCCTCTAAGTGAGATTGAAGGGGCCCCTCGCCGTGGAATTCCTAGAGAATCAGATAAAATACTGATATCACTGTGCTTGAGTTATCTAACTGTTAGACTGGATGTAGTTGCCTAATTAGGTAAAGGCAACTATATCCAGTCACGTGACCACAATCTCAGTTTATTTCAACCACCAAGAAGTTACAACTCTTGAACATAGACCGAACGACGATGCGCCGTCTATCGATTTGTGTCCGAGCCCCAGAGAAACACCGAAATGCAATTCATTTACTATTACGGAGTACGGATCCAATAAAATAATACCAGCACATGCGGCACCCGTGAAGGAGTGACTGGTTGGACTGCTGGCGTTGTATTTTGGAAGCCTACTGGCTAGTCAGTTATCCAAGCCCTGCGACGTAGGGGGTCGATCTGCGCTACGGAACCGTTTCGAGGATTTATCTGATAATGTTACGACCCCGAAAGAAATATATGATCAGCTTTTGAGGAGACAAGCGAGTCGAGTTTTCACTGGCTGGTGTCAACCATTTATCCATGCAGCCGTAACACAGGCGCGGGTAGCTGCAGCGTGTTTCTCAAATGGGTCGATAACCCCCAAAAGTTAGCCTCAATCTTGTACGGAGTACAAACCGAATGTTCGGTTCTCAGCCGGAATATGACCTCGGTGTCGATTCCTAACCGCCGATTGCTCCGGAATGTATGATCTTCACTTTTGCGAGGCCCTCCGTGCAGGTCGGCTTGAACTTTTTGACCGACGTACGGAGCACAGATATCCATTGTCCAGAGTCGCAAGCTGTCGAACACGCCATCTGTGGTAGGGTGGCGACCACATTGCGTATCAATCTTCGCTCATCTTTATTTTATTTTTCTCGTGTATGCACGCTTTTCTGCAATGCATTCCTTTCCCTAATCGGAAAACATACCAAGTTGCTTTACTTGAACCTAAAATCCTGGAACATATCGCTTGCACCATGCTGCCTCGTGACAGTGTCCTTGCCAAATGAATGAGTGAGTTGTGTTGACTCACTCTCTGGGCATTTTTTCATCGAATAGACCGCTTGAGTTGACGTGACTCGAATAAGATTTAACCTTGGTCATGCAGGCGGTCCGGGCTATGACCCTGACTTGTTACCGTTCTTGACCCTGTTCCCTTCTATGCAACAAACCATTTGGGGCAGTCGATACACTGTACAACAATCGCTTCCTGCTACGTATCCTTTCTAATTCTCATTCGCGTCTCAGAAATTCGAGGATACACCACCGATCTTACCATTCTTTTCTTCTTCCTCTTCAAATGCCGAAGATTTTCTAGTCAAGTCTTCACCATGACCGGCCCCCCTGACGCTACTGACAGCCAGGTGTATGGAACCATCGAATTACAAAATATGTACGGGGTATCCGTACCTGATTTTTGATCGGCCCAAACCTCCCGAAGCCACCGCACCTTCACGCTTCTACGCGAAATAATGATTTATGAGCACTGCAGCCTAAAACTGCTCATACTCCGAAACTCCTGATTTTGAGTCTCTTTCCTTTTTGGTATCTCGAGGTGCAGGTAAGAGGCGCTCGACTAGCCTACGCTTACCCTCACTTAAAGTAGGTTTTTGTCTATTTTTACTCTTGTTCCACTATCACGGCATCTGGGGACTTTCACTTTGGCGTTTATCCATCCTATTAATCAGCCTTAAGGACATTTCGATTACACAACATCCCTGACATAAACATTTGACCTAACCCCCGGGCCTCGGAGAACCTGACGTCTTAATCTTGCATTAAGGCACTCGATCTGCTATTTCCAAAGTGGATTCACGTCTAATAATTGGTGCTGTGGTATATGTTACGTCGTGATGAAACGTCGACAAATGAGCAACGTTGGACCAATACTGTGAGGACGAGAAGGCCGATCTTGGATATACTACACTGCTAGGTAGCGGTGTGTAGAAAAGTGGCCATAAAGGGTCATTGTGCGACGTGATTGTTGGCATGGATCCCCTAGTGGCTGCCAGCCTGCTGGTGCCCTTGTCAGTTGACACCCAACCCCGATTCTCGGTTCAGGCATAGTTACATCATCGCCATGGCCTTTCCGAGTATCGGTCATCATTTGGATTTCCGAGTTATTTCCCCTGTCACCTTTTTTTTTTTTTTTTTTTTTTTTTTTGGTAGCTGCGAGATGATGAAGGTTCATTGTTGGCCAGCTTTCGATTACCCCTAAGCACTAAAAGTATTCAGAAATGGAATAGTCTAATGGTCCACGTGCGGCTCTGTGCGCATATCCAAGTTATGCGAACCATTTACGGTGTAAAATGATTTATTCCCTCTAGGACAAAGTTGCTCACGGAAATCAACTCCCGATCTCAACCCGATAGCAAGGCTCCTACGTTAATGGAAAGCAATGTCGGTCAGTTACCCCGTTACCGAGATGGCCGGTATTTCTTCTATACAAAAGTTAGGAAGTGCATTTCGATACTGGGTTGTATTCAATGAAGCTTGTCTTGGTGTCACCCGAAGGATTCGTTTCATACAGGCTTAACCAGACTGACATCAACCTAGGAGCTGAAAATGGCGGCTGACGTATGAACGAGGCTTATCTTACGGTAAATGAACGCGGCCACAATTGAGCTGTGCTAGATCATACGTTAGCTGTAAGATTTCCGCTTAGCCTCCTTCCTAGGATGCTCTCAACAGAGATGTGATAAGTGGTACGGCAATTGAGAGCCCATCCTGTGATTCCCAGTTGCCGCACCTGCACAGAGCCTTGCCCGCTATACTACCCCGGCTAAGCATCCAGCTCTATTGGGGGGAAGGGTCAATGCCTAGTACATTGGCTTCCAAGCCCCCATTATATAAGTAGTTGCCGGGTTGTCTCTCTGAGTATAGGGATGGCTAACGGCTATTTACCATTGCATACCATCCTTATATAAAAACGAAAGTCGACTTTATTATAAGGACACACAACGTATGTCACTGCTCGCCTACGCTGTTAGTATCTATTACGACACCATATCCCTTTCAACATCGAAACCCTATTCTTCTTACTATAACTTGTTACAAGTCACAACGAGGCTCCCTAAAACCACTGACATGACGCAACAAGCCCAAGCCTACCACTCCACGCTCTACCTGGACCCCCAGCACATATCTTGCAATAACGGAAGGACTTTTCTTACGTGCCGGTCTTGTGCAGGCAATCCACCGAGGTAAGTAAGCATGACGACCAAGTGATGCGGCCGTGGCTTATATGCCTGGTTTACCAATGTTATATACGTACCAAGCCAAGCCGGTGTTCTGACCGTTTTTAGGGGCTATGAATGCGAGGCGTGTCAGGGCAACGGCTTTAACGTATATGTTTGTGGACATTGCCAACATGCGCTTGTGGCCGGGGGATTATCAAAAACAGGACAGTTTACGAATAGTCCATCAGCGACAAGCTCGCACAAAATGAAGGCCTCGCGTTCATCCTCCCCCGGGGCTTCGGCTGGTCCTCTCAACCATTCTTCCACTTCTTCTAACCTTGGCCTACTAAGGGGGAAACACAGAAGGCATGGAGACGGCCGGGGAGGGAATTGTGGTGATTAGCACGCCCTGCGTACTCCGCACACATTTCGTGATGTGGAAGCTATATTTTCTGAATTTTATGCGAAGAAGAGGTTTTAACCCACCTATTTACTGCCGCATTGTTTTACCATGGGCCCGGAGTCAGTGTATGTTTTTCAATTTTGGGATACCCTTTTAGATCCTACTGCTGCCTACCATTTAGGCATAGCAGCCCGTCAGACTGCGTATAGCATATCTGATACTCAAGCAGAGCGTTAATGTAGATACGTTTTTTTCTTTTTCCCTTAGGAAGTCCACTTACCACTAATCAACCATGTGTACTTTAACTAATGTACCTGAGTAAATTGCCATCGTTGTATGAAGGAAGTGGTAGCGGAAGCAATTTAACAATTGGGATGAAGGTCGTCTGTCTTAGTTTCGCTGGGGCGAGAGATTAAGCACAACAGCCCTCGTGGCGTAATGGTTAACGTTTCAGACTTCTAAGCCACGTGATCGACGATGACGTCCTCTGATATCTGACTATCCCGGTTCGAGTCCGGGCGGGGGTGCTTTCTTTTTTGCTTTTATTTATTTTTTTTTTTTTTAATCTAATCTTGTTGAAATAACAGCTAACCAACGACATATGCTTTAGTGAGGAGATTAATTATTATGTTCATGTCAGATATGCTGTTAGATCCGCTGCTTGGTAGTGGGAATCCACGGGGAAGAAGGTGATAGTAGTTAATAGCAGTATCGCATTTTTATAAAGCGATTTTATTACCACTTAGGTAGATATTTCGAGCACAAGTATAAACTTAGGGAAGAGAAGAAGATAAGGGGGTATGCAGCGACGGCGGTCTGCTATCTATTCTCGTGTCCAAGCTTACCAAGAGCTTCTGTCAAAAAGTCGGCGGCATTCATTAACTCGGTGCTGCCGTATACAACTCTCCTCCCGGAGCCAATGCTAGAGCCATTAGATGTGCCGCTGGTACCGGTACCAGTTCCATTCCCACCACTGACCACAGAGGCCCCAGCTACCCCCTGTCCACCACTGGTTCGATGCACCCAGTCCTGCAAATTGCCGTACTCATCCATGCTGCCACCGCCCACGGTGAAGACAATCCCTTCGTTAAATGCTTGGCGCCGTTGACCAAACGTCGCGCTTGTTCCGCTTGTTGCCGTCCCTCCCGTCCCACTGGATTGGGCGTTACGCGTCGATGAAATTGATGGCGGCATCGCCCCACGGGCGTTCGCACTCCGCGGGTCAAAGTAGAGGTAGTTCTCCGTAAGGGCTATGGTTGAGCTAGACGCAGCTGATGGGTCCATAATCGATTCAGTAATCTTGGTGACGGTCAGATCTTTGTTAACAGGGAGGAAGTTCTTCACGCCTGAGATGAGCGAGTCAAAGTTTGCACCAAGAGCACCTGCTGTGATTCGATCCGTAAGACGGTTGGATAGGGATGAAAAGCCACGGAAGAGGTCAGAGGATGGTTGTTGAGGTGCTGTTGATGATGAGGTCGACATCATAGTCATACGTGTGATCTCACGCACACGCTTTACATAAGCCAGGGAGCTGATATCAGGACAGCCGGCTTGTGTCAATGCTTCTTCAAAACGGTTCATTTCTGCACGAGACAAATCCGACTCCGTGCTCAAGAACCAAATGATAAATAGTCTCAGCTTGTCAACCGGGTTATTCCCTCGCTCAGGATCTGATATGATCTCAAGCATCTGCGCTTTGTTTTGTTTGTTAATATTTTCTTCAAGCTGAAAGAAGTTGTCGAGCTGGCGGTCTTTAATCCCCTTAAGCAAGGCTGTGGCAATGTTCATATGCATATCGAGAAGGGATTTTCGTTCGCGTAGCTCCGGAAGAAGCGTGATTGCTGTTTTGAGATGTTGAGCGGATGCACCAGCATCGATATTGAGATCTTCAATCGAAGATGCTCCGGTCTTCTTCGTGATCTCATTGGCGTCATCTTTGTAGCGAGTTAACTCGGTATCGATGTCTTCAGCAACCTGGGGGAATGGAACTCCTGAGTTTCGGTTCCAAAAGAAATCGTTGACATTTAAATCATAGGATTTACTGGTGGTTCCCTTCGCTAGATTGGACTCATCCACGGGAGACTCCACAGTAATACGGTTCAGGTGCATTTTCAAAACGTCGTGAATGAGCGATTGATATGTCCATGAGTGGGAGAGCATCGGGACGAGGTCGACATTCCGATCAACTATTATTAGAACAGGCCTGATTGACGGAAGCGTACCTCCCTGCTGTCGCTGACTGCCACCAGAAAACAGGTTATCCTTGGAGTTTAAAATATGATCTCGGAGTTTTCGGTCCAGTTTCGCGGCGATCAGTTCAGCGGCGCCCCCTTTAGGGCATCTGATGATAGGTATCGACCCTGAATTGGACGTGTTAGCGACAGCCTAAGCTAGCTAGCGGTAGCATAACAGGACTGTACGTACCCATTGTAACACTGACACTAAACAGGCCACTGACAATTCTATCCACGACAGCGTCCAGCTCTTCGTCCTTGGTAGCTGCGCTGTTAATTTTCCAGTATGTATCCTTGCCCATGCCCAGACTGAATAGCTCTGGCTCTGCAACAGTAAAATTCAAATATTGGTCATAAATCTGGGCGACCTTATCTGATGTCTCAGTAGCAGCGATCTCCGCAGCAAAATCTTCTAGGATAGGTCGAGGGATCGAAGAGAGGAAGTTCACGTATGCGGGGGAGTAGAGGCCCTTGGACAAGTCTGAAGTAATCATCTTAACATTTTCGGCGGTTGGTTCAACCAAGTATATAACAGGGACATCTGGAATAGGGTAACGGCGTGAGTTCAGGTTGCTATCTCAGAGTTAACCGTTAAACGGAGTTCACCATTTCCTAGTGGAGTGGGAAGGGGGGATCTAACGAACAGGTGGATTGTGACACCCCAGCTTCGAAGGTCGTTCACCCGGAGGACGCTGCTAATGACATCACGGCCTAGGTTGTCGAAAACAAGAATCTTCCACACTGGGTCACCGTCTTCGTTCAGCAAAGGGGCAGCGCGAGGTATGAGGCCGCTCCCCGCCGTTGCGTCCCCGTGGAGCTCATTTTGAGGCGGAACGCCATGGTTCAGGTTTAATATATTCTCAATTGCGGCTTTTGAGCTATGTCAGCTTCACGGTAGGGCCAGTAGAACCTCAGATTACGTACCAATTTGCCGCTGTCGAAGGGAGAGGGGGCTTGATGCCATAGTAGCATCTGGTTGCGGTGCCTTTTGTTGATGGTGTATTCCAGCTTTTAACTAACGCGGCTGTGCTTCTCTTTGGGCGCTTTGAATCAAGTTTATAAATAAGATATCCGGGCCGTCAACAGGTAGACATCAACCAGCTCAGCGTCATCTGTCCACCGTTGCCCTGGGGTATAGGTATGAGTATTGGCATCTCCATCTGGACAGTTTGGCGGCAGCTCCGCCAGGCGAACATCGGCTGACGTAAGATATACACGTGATGTCGGGAGAAAAGATGGGCCGAGACCACATGACCCGATCACGTAACCCGCCCAACCACAAAACCTTGAGACTCTTTCAACCTCAGCTTCAACCTCTTCCTCCTCCCCAGTCTTCATCGGCCGCGACATCAACCCACGCGTCTTGTCTCTCCAGCAGCTCACTGCCTGCAAACTCACTTCTTCTTCTTGCATTGCCTCTCTCCTTTTGTCGCTGCATACCGCACTATCGTAAAGAGCAGCGTGATGTCACCAAGCTGAGGTTCGCATTCCTCGTGACAAAACAGCCCAGAGTAATAATACGTTCTCTCCCAGCTTTTCTTTAAGGAGACGCGTCGGCGCCTACGAAACAGTTTTAAGTTGAATAGTCTTGTGTGAAGGGATACAACCGGACTAGCACTAAGTTACGGAGCAGCTTATGGGCTTGGAGACGGAATACGGAAGGCAACAACAAGCTGCCAAAGTGTTTTATGCTGCGTGTTACTGGAAAATCAAACCAGCCACCTAAGAACTTGTACTCTTTTTTTTTCTTTTTGGGGTCTTTTGTTTTCTCTCTTTTCTCGTTTCTGACCATTTGAAGTCGGTATATTAAAATTGCGGCGAGAGCAAAGGGGGCGCCAGTCTTTGGGGGCCAGAACAACCCTTATCTCTCTTTCTCTCTCTATTAAGAACGCTCCCAGCACCGCACCCAGCAAGAAGGACTGGGGTGTACGAGTACCTCCCGGGCCTCAACCTAACCAGCTTTTCTAGCAAATGATTCCAGGGCACAACGTCTCCTCGATCTCTCCGCCTCTCCTTAGAAACAGCTGCTCCAGTACAAGAGAAACGAAGCAAGGAAAAAGGGGTGCATCTGGGGGTGAACCAACCACAACGGAGCCAAGCCACTCTCTTGCATCAAAAAGGAGCAGGCGCTGCAAAAGCGGCAACAGAAAGCTTACGTGATTCTGGTGCAGTGCCGCCTATACTAGCCATATCTGGCTAAGATCGTCATCTATATCGCTTTGTCAGCTTTATCAAGTCTTAAAGCAGCCACATTTCACACTCCGCCAACAGACCACGTGACTCTGTACCTTTGCAGGGCCGTCAACCTTTCGTCATAAGTTATCATTTTATATACGGCATGGACTCGACTACCGACCCCAATCCCCCGCCGCCGACGGACCCCAGTGCAGGCCATTTCCACGGCGAGTTCTGGGGTGGGATCAACCCGCTCTACGGCTCGAGCCAGCCTGCCGACCAGCCCTTTGGCATTGGGTGGGATCACCCCGTTTTCCGCCCTAGCCCGCATCCACCTTCTCCCCAGACAAGTCAGAATGCCTATACACTCCCCCAGCAACAGCAGCAGCAGCAACAACAACAACAACAACAACAGCAACAGCAGCAGCAAACATGGCAGCAGCAAGCGGCGCTCCAGCAGCAGCCTCTGGCTATCGAGCCCCAGCAGCAATTTTCCATCTCAAGCCCGTATAGAATGTCACCGTACCAGGCACAACAGCCTCCCGCCTTCGAGTCTTCGCAGTCGACCTCTCCTGCTTATCACACATATACATATGAACCCCAGGCTTACTATACAACTCAGCCGCAAGTCCAACATCATAGTACGTTCGACCAGCAGCCTGCAAGTGCCCAAGCACAACGAGTGGCCCAGTCTTCTTCCGTGCCCGCGAACTCGCTTGAACGGCAACCACAATCTTCCTACTTAGTCCCAAGCAGTTTACAGCTGGGAATTCAGGTACGATCCACAAAGTAGTCCCGTTATAATGGTTCAAGACTAACATTACCGCAGAATGGAGCCCCCGTCAACTTCTCAGGCGACTTCACCACTCGACACTCCCACTCCCCATACCACAGTACTATCGACCCGCACTTCCTCTCTACACCAGACCAATCATCACAACCGCAGCAGCAGCAGCACCAACAGCAGCAGCAACTGTATGCCATTAACCCTGCAGAGCTAGAACGGTCAGCAAGCTTGAAGTGAGTGCGAAACAAGACCGTTATAACTGTCCGAGAACTATACTGATTGTCTGCTCTAGGAATCTCCATCTACATATGGCAAATGGCATGCAATCTGTCGTCCCACAAGTTCCTACTGGGCTAGTGGGCCATGGACCTAGTGTCTATCACAACGGTGAGCGTTCAATGTATCATTGTTATATAGCTATAAAATTACTAATTCACAATCTAGACCTTCAAGTCATTCTCCCGAAGCCATCAAAAGCTACCAAACCCCGGAAAAAGAAAGATGTAGAACACAAAACGCAAACTCTCCTAAATAAATTTCTAACAAAGCCAGTGGGGCAGCAGCCGAATCAACCCGCAAGCGAGTCTTCAAGTGATTATAGCAGCGAAGAATCAGATGACGATCTCGAGATAGAAGAACCGCCTCCGGAACCTTCACCCTTGCCCGCTGCGCGGCCAGACGACATTGAAGGTAGGACGAGGTATGATACTCTTAAAGTGGTCTGGTCTCCGCGGAATCGACATGCAAAAGCGTCCGATGTAAGGAATTCTATGATTCTATTCTCGGACCTTGTTAAGGGAGTCCGTGATACCTGGAAGGCTCGTAGCGAGGCCTTAAAAGCTGCTGAGAACCAGAACCTTGAAGAAAAGGTCCCGGCTCTCAAGAAGGAGGTAATCCTTCAGAGGCGGCTGTTAGACCTCATTGTCAACACTACGCTGGAATTTGGGCACCCATCATATATTAGAAGGTACGTTTTTGAATTTCCTTCCAGTCCAACTCTCTTCCTACTTCCCCTGTAGAAAGCTTGAATCAATGGAGAACATTTTCGTGTAGCCATGTTAAGGGGAGATTTCCCGCAACATGCATGCCATCTTTCATCTGGATGCTAGAGGCAATATCCGGCTCCTTGAATAAAATGGAGAAGACTACCTGCGGCGTACAGTGAGTGCCTAGATGGCAATTGCATGCAGTGCCCAGTCCATTTGAATAGGCATAGTTCTACCGAGCTTCAGTGTGGCGCTTTTAACAGCACGACTACGATGCCGGTGATACCATCGTCTAATTAATCCCTCCATTGCTTCAGGCCAAGTGAATCAAGAATTGGCTCCTCAGTTTCCTCTCGGAAAATACTTAAATATAATTTGTCCTTGAATACTTATTTATAATATATAGATTCGGCGAACATCCTAGTATTGTTGCGGCATTCTACTCTTTCCTTCTGGATCGCCACACGGCTGCAGATAGTGATGGCCCTCTAACGGTCGATATACTAAAGGTTTCTATAATCTACCCCTCGTTCAGAGATGCACGGTAAGCTAACGGTGGAATAGTTGATGGGGAAATTTACCACTATGGATCATGCAATGCTCGAAAAGACAAAAAATGATAAGATCCTTTCGCGGTTTGTCAAGAAGGGAGGAAATGCAATCAAGCAGCTGGCACAATTTATTATGGACAACGCTGCAGCCGTCACTAAGAAAAAGGCTGAAGCTGCGAAATCCTCTGTTAAGGATAGTGGCGCGGCAGGTGCCTCTGGATCCCAATCTTCGAAACCGCGAGATCGTAACAGCAACCCTTCACAACCGGTTGCTGGCATCAAACGTGCTAGGGAAGATGATAATGGCGCGATACTTATAAAGCGGGTTGTTTCCCCTTCGTCTGGAAAGCCTGTTGCTCGAAATACTGCCACTACTGCTACTGCCGTAGGCAGGAAAGCTCTTACCGCTGGAAAAGACCTTAAATCGGTTACCAGTAGTACTAGTCAACTTACGAAGCCGAAGGCTAACATTGTCACCCCCAAGCCGACCCCAAATCTTTTCAGCAGTTTGATGTCCGCGTCGAAGAAGCCTGGAACATCCAACGCCGCTCGTGCAGCTGCTGCTGCTGCCGCGAAGGAAAAGCCAACGTATGTTACCTTTTATTATAACCCTAGCCCAATATTATCAGTTTGCTAATTTCAACTAGGGTTGTTCCTGAAACACAGAATACACCGCCAGCACCGCCACCAGTAGCAAAGCCTGCCTTCTCATTCTCTGAGACCATGGCGAACTTGAATAAGCCTAAGGAGCGTAGTCCACCAAAGCTAGAAGACGATAGCCCGCCCGAAACAGACGAAGAGCGCCAAAAACGACTCCGAAAGGAAGCGCGGCGGAAACTTCGAGTCAGCTGGAAGCCAGATAGTAGTCTCACTGAAGTGCGTTTATTCACGCATGACCCAGAAGAGGAGATTGGCTACGATGATAGTATGATGCGTGATGTCGGTGATGTGGCTGGTGAAGGGAGGACTCTTAAGCTTCACCGCGGCTTGGAGGACTTGGAAGAGGAAGATGAAGGCTGGAATGAAGAGTGCTTTACACCTTACACGCCCATTCCAGTCATCGACTTTAGTGACCTCTCAGAGGAAGACCGGAACAGGAATTTCACTAAAACTGGCGGTTCCCAAGTTGCAGATAGCCCTGAAAGAGTGGCCCAAGTGCAGCGCGAGGCCACAACACTTAGTGTTTTCTACACTTCTCCAACTGAAATTCCTACCTCTCCGAAGGAACCTCCACCGCCAGACAATGACGATGAGCCTTATAATCCCCTTGTGCCGTTTGGAGAGCCAGATCACTTTGTCAGGGCGCGATCTCAGCGATACTTCGATTCCCGCTCCCCCCCTGTCCAGGCTGCTCCACCAGTGAACCCAACAGGACAGTCAACCAGCCAACCTCCCGTCGAGATATCGTCGTTACTGAAGATACTCCAACAAAACCAGCAACCACAGCCGCAACTCCTCCAGCAGCCATCTATCCAGCCTAATGTACCTGACATACAGCACACTCTCGCCCAATTTACAGCCAACCCTCAAGTATCCCAAATGCAACAGACTTCCCAGCCAGGACAGACCTCTGTTCCGCAAGGTTTGGATTTCCAAAAATTGCTGGCTGTGATGAACGCCCAAAAACAAATGCAGCAGGCTACCGCGTTTCCCCAGATTGCCACACCTCAAGCTCCAAATTTGGCTGCCATCCTTTCTCAGCTATCAAACCCTGCTGGACAACTACAGCAGCAACAGCAGCCGCAGCAACAGCAGGATTCTCAAACATTCAACCAACAGCAACCATACTTTGAGGAAGGGGAAAATAAGCGAGGCTACGAGGGTGATGATTCCTACGATTACAACAAACGTGCCAAGGTCAAAAAACATGTAAGTTCCGTGCCGATGGTCCCTTCGCCATTTGGTACGACAACTAAAGCTGACCGGATGTATTGGCCCTAGCCCAAAGCTGGTTTAGTTCCATGCAGGTACTGGAAGGAGGGAAAGTGTATAAAAGGAGATGAATGCACATTTCGCCATGACCCTCTAGACTAGAATTTTCCTACACCCTGTGATATTATTTTCCATTTCCTGTCAGCTTCCATGCACTGTTTTAAAGGGGGTGGTGCATTACAATATTCCACGAAATTACATGGGGTTCCGTTGCAAATCTTTGGCATTGGGGACTATACAAGGGCATCGATGGGTGGAGTTACTGGACCTTTCGTTCCTTGTGCCTGTTCTTTGTTTTCAACGCGGAGTTTGGAATACCGGAAACATTTCAAACCGCGATTACATTTGCCCCCATTCTATCGACTTTTGCAAAGCGTTGTTTTTCTACGTTGTATACTGCTTTCTTATTTGCTTTTGATTTCGCCAATACCCCTGTTTAAACTCACATACACACGTTTAATGTTCTTTTCCCTTTGCATGCTCAGCTAATATCATCAAGGCAAGGAAATTTTGGTGCCTACCCCATTAGAATAGTTGTTCTGGTCGTTATGTACATTATTATAGATGGTAATACGATATCCAGTCTGAAATATACTCGATGCTCTTGTTGATGATATTATATATCCCAGCAATTGTCTACCTGATGCATATGTGAACCCCAGCTATATTCGCATGTACCTGATCGCTACCGTTGTAGAAACTTCCCCAATCTCAGCTGGTAGCTTGTTGTACTGCATATCGTCTTCAACTCAGCCAAATTAGGCATAACAAACCTATTTATTGCACCACTCGATGACCACTCGCCAAAATATGCACCGAACCCCTTTACATTTACCAATGCACTCACAACAATGTAGGTAACAGATTAAATTAGATATTAAATAACGATATTAAGGTTCTAGTTTATATACAAATTAGTTAAAGGAAGAGATTAAACGAGTGCTGGACTTGATAGTTCGTCCTGCACGGCTTTCTCTGCCGTAGTATAGGAATAACGAAGTAATGAGATCAATAGGAGGAACCGTTGTAGGTAACTTCTTCTTCCTCTTCCTAATTACGAAGGTGAGATAGGACTTAAGGCGTTGTTCCGAGCCTTCCTAGCCTTCTTAGCCATTCGCTCCGCCTCTCTTTCTCATCTGCAGAGCTTACGAGCCTCCTCACGGGTTTCCTTTCTCTGCTGTTGATCTCTGAGCCTTATTATCGCGATATATCAATCGCTGTAGCTTTATCTCTTCTGCTTGAGTTATCTGTAACATGCCTGGATTGATCAATGTTCGAAGACTTCGCAGTGTAATTCGAGCCCGATGTCTCTGGCAGAACCAAGCAACCCAGCGGCCGCTTAATAAGTTCTAACACGAGGTTTGTAGCTATTTAAGGCGTAAGGTGCAGGCCTGCTTTGATAAACGTTCAATATGCTGTAAAGGTATCTCCTCTTGAGTATCTGTTAAATTTTTGCGATATATCGATGTTGCTTTCTTGTTCGACGCTGGCTTTCCTCTATACCGCCACGCAATCGTATCCTAATCTATTTTCCACTTTCTTGCAGTGTGAACGTAATTAGGGACGCCTTGCGATTTTCATTTTTAATCGTTAAGTAATTGCTTCTTTGGGTATATTGTGGTTGGTGAGAGATGGGTGGTGGTCAAGAAGGTTTCAATTGAAGTGGGCATTTACGGTGTCATCGAGTCGTGGGATACGTTATTTAGTATCGAATTCCCTGGAGTATCCTTCATTGGACGTCGACTTAGTATACACCTCGTTGACTTCAGGACCGTTCATGGTAGTAAAGAGCCGGAAAGGAATTTATAGGGGAGAGGATGCCGATAATAGCTGGTATAAGTTCTCGAGGGGCTTGCATCCTGCTCCTGGCACAAACTGCCCGCTAACACGGAACACTGACCGAGTATGGGGAAGATCCAGGTGGCCACTGTCCTTCACTACCGTCGGGTTCTATCGATGTTAATGGATGCTCGCTTTCATGGTGGAAAATGGGGGGTATTCGGAATGGTTGGTTTAACCGTTCCGGCACCCTATAAGCCGAAGTAAATAAATGCGCGAGCTGATTGAAATCAGGACTTAGTGGCACATATTTAATAAGACTTCACCACTATGAAGACTATACCATCTTTCTATATTTAATCTCGATATTGATGGATTTGATGACAGTGGGTTTTCTTTGTCCAAATGTTATAAAGACGACGGTTGATAAAAGGTGCCCTACTTCGAGAAAGAGATAACCCTTGGTAATGGTGTAGCATAGACGCTGGAAAGAGAGTATATCTTATATAAAAAACGGTTTTATTGGGCACCCCTGCCTCTGCATCCTCGCGAATTCATCGAGTTGCGTGTTCATAAAGCATTGAGGAGGAATCCGGATATTCATTTGACTATACGTGGTATGAATTAAGCTCTCGAATGTAGGGAATGCAACAGAAGCAGTGAAATAAAATCAAAGATCGGTATGTTCGTACACCTTGGCATCTTACTCGGCGAGCCTATTAAAACGAATTAGACCTCGATGTATGGAGCTGATAGGGTCGAAGGTAAAAACGCACCTATAACTAACCATCGTGTCTACACGATGATTACTCGTGCTGAAACTACGTAGTTGAACCTTCTCCCCGTTTTCAATTTCTTTGCCATCACTATCGCCCCATTCTAATGGTACTTCTGAGTCTGCATCGGCGTACACAAGTACGTTGAATGTGCAATTTCCATCCAGCATTGGCAAGAAGGTGACTGAGGCTGTGATCTGGCGAAATATTGCCTGTATTTCATCTTGTATTTCCTTTTCAGTTTTCTCGGGGGGTGCAGCGGAGCTACTTGACTGGGCCCTGGAGAAGGAGATTAGCTGGATGTTTTGGCCGTGATGGCGGCGGGGATATCATCTCAACACACCCAGGATTCGCGTTTTCATTATCTGCCAGCTTTCGGGAAGATTTGCTCTTTGACGATTTGAATATTTCGACCTTATGACAGCGTAGTATTAGCATTATAGGTAGGGAACACCCATAGCGGTTCGCTTACATCGAACTGCCATCTTTCGACATGATCTCCAGTGTCCTTGTCCGTGATAACGATGACGAGCTTGGATATCTTTCCCCCAATCATCCATTTGTTCAGCTGCGACATTATCCTCTTGATATACGCTTTAACCTGATCGTCGGCGGAAACTGATAGACGGAAGGACGCGTTAGTGTATGCGTGGCCGGGCTATCCGCGAGGGAGGAGAACAAGCTAACCGAGCATGTTGAGGCCATATTTCTTGACCCTAGGACTAGTAGTAAGCATATAAGCTGCACCTGAAGAGCATTCCACGAACTCACGCCGTGAAATCATCTGCTGGGTATACGCCGCGCTGGAAACTTAGCAGAGTCAGTCCCATGCAAAGTTGACAGAGTCCCTATGGAGGATAGACACACAGGATAGAGTGAATCGAGTATTCAAACTAGACAACACACATATATCGTTAGCATCCAGTAACAGAAGATACACGCAGTGGGCTGTGTTCACCTACAAATTCCGAGACGAGCTTCGCAGACCCTGACGTGGGATGATATTAGAGCTCAACTCCAAGCCATGTCGAGCATTTGGGCCCAGTACCTTTCAATGACAGCTTGTGCACTTTCTGCTTCTCCTTTTCAGTGGCCATCTTGTAGTATAACGAGCGAGGGAGGGGGTTTGATCACAGAATGACGATGTCGTGCGTGTGTACCTGTTTACACTTCTCTTTCGCGGGGAACAGCTTCGGCCCTTGGCGTGATATATAACTACCTGGCCGAAGAAATACAAAACATACAACTCCGCCAACATCGACATGATGGATAATAGACGGAGTATCTCGTCTACTCAACTACTGCTGACCGCCGGATATTCAATAATTACGACTTCATAGTCCTCCAAAGGTTGATTGTTGGTCGAGCTCGGCAATTCACCAATTCAACGGCCTATACCAACATATATAGAATAATCCAGGGCACTCAAACGGTCACCACACTCGCATAAAGCATAAACCCTTGACTCTTTACAATATTTCACGGCCTCGGGCTTGAGGCATCGAATTGCGTTTCAGCATCTCATCGTTGGCTTTCAATATAAAAAAACACCTCGGGAGCGGAAAATCTAAACTTCCAGTGACAAAATTATTGAAGCCGAGAGTTGATGGATTATTCAACGAACAACAAGATCGAGTCAACTCCTGGAACGCAGTTATATCTTCAATGCGGATAGGATTCCGATGCGAGGATGTCTGCAGCCGGCCAGATGGCTGACCACGGCCACCCTGCGGCGGCCACTACTCTCTTCCCAGCGCCTACCCGCGATCTCCTGTAACCAGCACCCCCGACTCTTCCATCACTCGCCAATATTTCAAGCCCGGCAGTCGAGCAAGCCCCTCTCGCCAGTAGAGGAACGAATTGATGCTATTCCAATCGAACGGTACCGCAATTTCTGCATTGTTGCTCACGTCGACCATGGCAAGAGCACGTTATCGGATCGGCTCCTAGAGCTAACGGGCACCATCAAGGCCGGAGAGAACAAGCAGGTACTCGATAAACTTGACGTCGAGCGCGAGAGGGGTATTACCGTGAAGGCACAAACATGTACCATGCTCTATAACTACGAAGGGGAGGATTATCTGCTCCACCTTATCGACACACCAGGACACGTCGATTTTCGAACAGAGGTCTCCCGCAGCTATGCCAGCTGTGGTGGAGCATTGCTGCTCGTCGATGCGAGCCAGGGAGTCCAGGCGCAGACCGTCGCGAACTTTTACCTTGCCTTTGCACAGGGCCTGACGTTGGTGCCGGTTGTAAATAAGGTAGACCTACCTTCTGCGGATCCCGATCGAGCTTTGGAACAGATGAGGAGCACCTTTGAGTTGGACGTCGACAAGGCCGTTTTGGTTTCAGCAAAGACAGGACGAAATGTTCAGGAGCTTTTGCCCTCCATCATTAAGAACATTCCCGCGTACGTTCCATCTCAGCATTGCAGTGACTCTGACATGTGAAAAGCTAACGGTGCGCCTATAGACCTATTGGTGATGCCACAAAACCCCCCAGAATATTGCTGGTTGACTCCTGGTATTCTACATACAAGGGCGTCATTCTCCTTACCCGCATCTTCGATGGAGAAGTCAAGGCCGGCGATCAGCTTGTTTCTTTTGCGACCGGCCTCAAATACATAGTGGGCGAAGTCGGAATCATGTACCCGAATCAAACTCCACAGTCCGTCCTACGAGCAGGGCAAGTGGGCTATATATACTTTAACCCCGGCATGAAACGGAGTCAGGAAGCTAAGATTGGTGACACCTTTACAAAAGTCGGATGTGAGAAATTAGTTGAGCCTCTCCCGGGATTTGAGGAACCAAAGTCGATGGTGTTCGTTGCAGCCTATCCCGTGGACTCGAATGACTTCCCTCACCTCGAAGAAAGTATCAATCAGCTGCTACTGAATGACAGGAGTGTTACCATGCAGAAGGAGTCGTCTGAGGCTCTAGGTGCAGGGTTTCGCCTCGGATTCCTGGGAACATTACATTGCTCTGTGTTTGAGGACCGTCTTCGTCAGGAACATGGAGCAAGCATCATCCTCACGCCGCCAACAGTGCCATGCAAGATAATATGGAAGGATGGCGAGGAAAGCATCATCACGAATCCAAGTCATTTTCCCGAAGAGGACACCCTTCGCGTCAAGGTCGATGAATTACAAGAACCTTACGTTCTCGCCACGATTACCTTCCCTGAAGAGTACCTCGGCCGTGTCATGGAACTTTGCGAGGCCAATCGCGGCGAACAAGTTAGCATGGAGTTCTTCACTGCCACTCAGGTTATCCTCAAGTATCAACTACCACTAGCACAACTAGTTGACGACTTTTTCGGAAAGCTCAAGGGTTCCACGAAGGGTTATGCAAGTATAGACTACGAAGAATCCGAATGGAGAAAAAGTAACGTTGTCAAGCTTCAGTTACTCGTGAACAAGATACCAGTCGATGCAGTCTCTCGTGTTGTACACTCTAGTCAGACTAGTCGGCTGGGGCGTCAATGGGTGACTAAATTCAAAGAGCATGTCGAACGACAAATGTTCGAGGTGATTATTCAGGCTGCTGTTGGGAGGAACGTTATAGCCAGAGAAACCATCAAGCCGTACCGGAAAGACGTGTTGGCTAAGCTTCATGCCAGCGATATTACGAGACGAAGGAAACTCTTAGAGAAGCAGAAAGAAGGGAGGAAACGGTTGAAGGCTGTTGGAAATGTCGTTATTGACCACAAGGCGTTCCAGGCTTTTCTCGCAAAATAGAAGGTTGCATCATGCTGCCTCGAGGAGTCGATTGGCGTTGAGTTTAACATGTAAGATATACTTGTATTATAAAGGAATAGAAAGGGAACGAAATATGTTCATTGCACAAGCGGGAATTGTCTACGGGGTCCTAGTTGGCTCGCTATCGTACCGATACTTTCTGGGCCCATGCACGGAGTACTACCAGAAAAGGTGAAAAATAAGCCTGATATTAATCAAGAATCATAACAGTCCAACTAACTCGTGGAGATAGGCTATTTTAAGCCTCTCTCTATAAATAGAAATGGTGTAACTTCGAGTTGTAACTAAGTAATTTACAGGGGCTGATGCTTGGCCGATAACTACGATTCACAGCACCGCACACAGGAATAAACTCCACGATATTGAATTGCTATATCATTTGAATAACAAACACACGTTACAACTAACAAGGCCATCCTTAATCGATCAGACCGGTCTCTGTTGAATTTGCCCACTCGATCGACCATGCAAACACCGCGTCAAAGTCTCGACATGTTCGCATCAATGCCCAGCCGTCGGAGTGACGGTTCTCATCGCGGGCTTCGAGGTTGGAATCTGCGGCGCACATGAGGGCTTGACGGAGGTAGTCGGCGCAGTGGGCGACATGGTCAGGTTTTATAACTGCTGTCTGACTTAGAAAGGGGTTTGGAGGCCGTCCTTCCTCGGTCGCCTGGTTTTGGTCGAGGGAGACGTGATATGCCATCAATATCGAATGCTAAAAGTTATCCTTTATCAGCCTCTTTCATTACATTCCTTCGCCCCTTTACGATGAAAAGAACAAATCAGCGGGAAAAGACGAACCAGACAATGTAATTCGTGGAAGACGGCAATGCCTGAGATGTACGGCGCGAGTTCTGGATGATGGACGAACCCTCGTCCAACTAAATTCATGAAAGGGAGTCAGAATATATGTTTATCTTCTGGGTATTTGGCCTGCGGGTTCTTTTATACTTGGCATGAGCGTATTCCACGCCTCCTCCGACTCCTCAGTCGGCACTTGGGTGAACGTATGGTTACGGTTCCAGTGCATCCAAACTGTTCCGGAGGGGACTATAACATCAAGTATATCGTTAGCCTGCTCACCAGGAAGTTTCACTTGACGCTGCGTGAGTTTTCTCACGTAAATATCCTTTCCACTTGTTGGCAGGTGACGATGGCCATATTTTGCCGACGACAAACCCCAGGACGAGCGCGACAGCAGAAATTGCTAGGGTATATATGACTATTTCCGCCACTCTTCTCGCGCTGCGAGGCCTCTGAGTCCGGCCTGATTCTGGGTATATATCCTCTCCATCTAGGACGAGCCGTTCGTATTCTCCCCTTTTCTCATTTGAGGCGGTAACCATTTTTATAGAAACGATCCAACATTCCTGGGGTTTCTTCTTGCGTTTCTGCTCACTGGGCCTATGATATAATATATGCAATAATGCAAAATTCATGGTGTGGTAGCCTTGCTTTATAGACTGTTTCCCTTATTTATTGATATCCCCATCCGTATAAACTCCATTTAAATTTGCCGACCCACGGTTGGTGACTGGATTATACGTTCTGCATTGTCTCTTTAGCTTGGTAGAAGAAGTATATCAATCTGGTGTAAAACTAAAGATTGACCTGAAGCCAATCAGCGGCTTGACCATTGCTAGATAAATAGCCTAGCTGCACCTTATCCCCGCATCCGTTAGATGAATACTTGCGCTTCGTGTGAAACACGGCAACTTAGACGCAAACGTACTGTCATAGAGGCCTCTAGAAAAGCTTGAAAATGGATGAAGAAATGTGGAGTTTGAACGTTTTTGATAATAGATTTGTTGCACCAGATCTTTGATTTAGAGACCCTGATACATCAATAGACGATTGAGTGCTGAGGTTATTAGTACGAGGGTTAATCATCCATTTAGTTATACATGAAAATGCACTGATGATCTCCCTCTTGCTTCTGTCTTTCGAGAAGAAATGGGTTGATGACCTTGCAATGTATACTTCTGCAGGGAACCCTTGGCCGTTATGTATCACCTATACCGTCTGGAGTAGGCCAGTTAGAAGCGGGAGCTTAAACTCTTCTCTTCTTTTCATTGTTGCATCTGAGAACAAAGCATCGGCGTCGTGGTTTTAACTTGATGTCCAAGTATAAAATCGAACTCTGCGGTCCGGATCGGGCCATGCATCCCGCCGCTTTCCCGTGCTGACTCAGCCGCCAACCGCGCATCTTTTTTGACGTCGACGCGAGTTTCTGATCGTCCAGCGCGGTATACAGAGTATAGACTGCGATAGATGCATATGGCCAGCCATGCCAGCCGTCTTTGCATCGCTCGCCCTGCTCTGAGATAATACAACTACCCCCAAATCACCCTCAATCACTGGACAACCACTTTACGCCTGCATGTTTATGCGCATCCTTGTTCGGGGGCCAGGTTTATTTACCCAATGGGGCCTCTGTTCAGACTGAGAGAATGAGGAACGTGAAACAGACACCATCCCTCAAGGTCGAAGCTACGCGACCGATCAGACGCTTCCCAGATATATAGCGAGGGCTGGCTCGCTCTCGCGTTTTGGAACCAATACACCTACATAATCTTTGCCATATGACTTTCCCAGTCTCCCTGGGCCCATCTCGCAAACGACAGGAGCCTGACCACTATCTCGACCAACCACCACCGCTATCGAAGAGGCCGAAGGTTGACCAGCCAAGTCCAGCATATTGGGATAATTTGTCAAAGATTTGGCTAACGAGGGACGCTCTCAAAGAGTTGGATCGACGAAACCGTGCCTTGAGCAGTAACATAGAGCCATCTCGCTCCCACCACCGCCACCACCGGCCTCTCACTCGAAAACTTCAGGAGAGGCTAAAGCATCGTTACGAGGCACCTGCCCCCGACCCCCTAGTCAACTGCAAGCCCGAGAGTCTGAGGGAGATTAAAAGACTCTCCAGACAAGGCGGACCTGACCTGTCTGACATCAGGAACGTACGTAATTCTCACTATATGATAGTGCTCAATGCTGACACCATAGCTCAGTTCCCAGATCCTCATATTCCCTTTTATCAATCAATGAGTACAAATACTTCACGTTCACGCAGCCGGAAGCGACGTGCAGGGTCTCCTGCAGATAATAGCAACAATAGCAATAACAAAAGCACAAAAACCACAAGCACCACCGCATATAACCGTAACTTTGAGCAGAAGTTGATTGACCACGGTGTTTACCCGCCTAGGTATAAGTATCCTGATGGTCAGAAACCAGCAAAGCCGGATAACTGGCTGGAGATCAATGATCGATTAGCGCAACCCCGAGCCTCTCTCTCGCCATCAAAGTTCTCAGAGCATGAATTTGATGAGTTTGTAGAGGCGGATGTGAATGCGTCCAAGGAGAAGCCTGTCATACGCTTCGCCGTCCCTATTATTGAAGGCCGTGTTGACGATATTAGGTGTATGGGTGGGGACTACCCGTTCGGTAACCTTGCTCCTTTAACGGATGGCACTCTGGCAAATGCAAAACCGGATCATTTCTTTGGTGCTCGCCCTGAGCAACTTAACTCTGAAATCCGAGATGAACTTAGTGACCATATTATACCGTCAACGCAGAGCTCCCTTCCGATGGCTCCCAACTTCTTTCTAGAGGCAAAGGGTCCTGACGGGTCGCCTGCCGTGGCCACGAGGCAAGCTTGTTACGATGGCGCACTGGGGGCTCGAGGAATGCAGAAACTTCAGTCGTACAAGCAGGAGCCTGTCTATGATAATAACGCTTACACTATCACGTCAACGTACCAAGCTGGTCAACTCAAACTCTATACAACTCATCTCACTGCCCCTCAAGAAAGTAGCCGTTCCGAATACATTATGACTTCGCTAAGATCATTTGCGATGACGGATAACCGGGACACATTTCGAAAAGGAGCCTCCGCATATCGAAATGCACGAGATTGGGCAAAAGAACAGCGGGATGAGCTCATAAAAGCTGCGAACGAGAGACACGCTCAGCCTCAATCTGAAACTCTCTCATCTGAACACGGGGCAACTTCCGAGCAGACAGTCGTCCTAGAGGACTCTGATACGTCAGCCACGCCTGGCTCTGAAAAAACAAGCTAAAAGAGCATCACGCTATATGGGATAAGGAGATCATCCGCCTTGGAAAGACTAGAAACACTAGAAACGTTACGAAATTGTAATCTTACTCAACTCTTTCATATTTGATCATGTCAATGAATGGAAAACGTGGTGCGGATCTTCCCAAGCTTTGATCTCTCGTAGGCGATGGAGGTGTGGGCCTTATACCACCTGAAGAGCTCTCATCGCCACGGGCAAAGTTGATCCTATCGACGAGTGCATCGAATGACGAATGCGTTGGCTAGAGATTCAGCAGCAGTTTTCTCGTGATACCAAGGAATTACGATAATATTGAAGTCAGTCTCATTTCTTTGGGGGTTGGAGAGGAACGGCCTGGAATCGGTCAAGCCGGCCATCAAGACAGTACTATTTATACTCCGTACGATATGCCATTTAACGAGACCCCAAGGCGTATCCTAGACTTCCATGTTCCGCCCACAATTTTAGCGAGACCAACACCATACGTGGCCTCCTAGCCACCATTGACACAGCAACCAGCTGAACCATCGTTATGGCGAGATAACGGGTTTCCGCTTTCTCATCGGTTAGAGGCCCTGCTCGCCTCTCAGCTTCAGCATCGTGGTAAAAGCGTGCAGATGCGACTGGGTATAGCCCGGAGCACCGGAGGCTTGTGTGAATGGGGTATATAGTGTTGGCCAGTGAGAACTCTTGCTGCTGGATAAAAATTGTTGGGTTATGGGTTGGAGGCCGTATAACAGCGTAGAGGAGGTAACAGTAGAGCTGCGATCACTTCAATGGAGGCACTGATAGACAGATATCTCGAGACTGTGCACGAGATATCATTTGGTGATGTCACAAATAGGAGTATCGAGCAAGAGTAGTGGTGATCTAAACTGTTGTCGCTGGGTTGTCTGTGTTGATATAGTTACCATCTGGAAGAATGCATTGCTGTATCTTGTATCTGGTCGAGAATAGCTGGGCCATCGATGGTATCTTCATAGCCGCACATCGGGCTGTAGCATCGAGAGTAGATATAAGTCCTGGCGTATATGACATTGGATTCAGGCTGGAGATATAGAGGTATATCTCACTCCGCTAGAAGAACAGATAAGAGTGTATGGCCCTCGCTCCCTTCACGGCTTCATCTCATCCTGCCGTCACTCTGCCTCGAGGATGAAGTGATGGCCCGTAGACTAATGCCAGCATCCCTGTCGCTCGTCACGGCGATGCAAGTCACTCTCTAGTAGTATCATGGCCCTCGAGGCAGGGAAGATATTAATAGTCAACGGAGCAAGGATGCAGCAGTTGATCCAGCCTCAAGCAGCAGACCGGCGTACGTCACATCATCTTCTTCATCGTCTTCATCGTCTTCTTCTCGTCGCCTTCATCTTCATCTTCATCTCATCGCCGTATACTCCGTATCCTCTCACGTATGTCCGATCTTCGTTGTAACTGTTAGGCTGCATCCTTCGCTTCAGCCTCCGTCAGCCACTCAGAGCGACCGCTTGACCGTTTGCGCCTTTTCGCTCTTTTCTCGACAGCTTCGTCTTCATCTCTGTCTTCTCTCTGCCTCTCAAAGGGACACCAGCTGCCAGCGCATGTTCTCTCGTCGCCAGCTCAGTCGCTGCCGGAGCCCGCCAGCCCTCGCATCCTCCCTCCAGCCTCGTCCGGACTGCTCGCCAGGCCAGTATCAAGACCGCAATCCCAACTGCTGGATGGACTGCGGCCTTCGCTTCGTATCGTCGCGGCCGTCTGCGTCGCTGCCTGTCTCCGCGCCCACAGCCTTGTCTCTGTCTCCGTCACCGTCTCTTCGTCTTCTTCCTCTTCACGATGCTCTCACGGAAGCATAGACAGGCGCCGTCGGTGAAGTCGCTGACCATCAGCCCGCCGCTCCCCTTCCCGCCATCGTACTACCAGAACCACGCAACGGAGCACCAGCAGCATCAATATCAGAGCCAGCAGCAGGCGGACATGTACCCACAGCCTACGCCGCGAGAGTATCCCGAGTATGCCACCCTGACAGACCACTGCGCGGCGACAAACATGGATATGAACATGAATATGAACATGAACATGAACATGAACATCGACCGCCAGCAGTCCTACTTTGACCTGCACGGCGGCCATGGATACCAGCCGTTCATCCCCTTCAGCCCAAACGACTACAACTACGATCTCGCGCCGTCCCGTCTCCCGCCGTCGCCGCCGACCTCTCCGCCATATCCAGCGGTTCACCCGTCCCCCCACTACTCGCCACAGGAGCAACAGCACCAGCAGGACTTTTACCCGTCGACACTAGGGTCTCTGCCTCGCTCGTTCATGAAGAACGCAGGCCATAAGCGAGGGGCTCTCTCGCTGGGCAGCGGGCGCAGTGGGACGGCCGCATCTCATCCATCCCGCCTAAGCCGTGGCAGCGTCAACACAGATGTCGGCCGCGCATCAGATATCTCCATAGACCTGACCGATATGCTCTCCGAGAAGCTAGACGAGGTCATCAACCACATGGACATGCAGGTCTTTAGCGGCCGTGAGAGGGACTTGTGTGAGTTCTATCTATCCGTATATCTATATCCCTTGAGTCAGTTGCTAACTTTGAACATTAGATCTCGACGTAGACACCGGCACTCCGCCGCAGCCTGGGTTTGATGTCATCTCGAATGCCAGTTCAGGAACCCGCAGCTTCTTACGTTCGTCTGCATTAGCTTCGGCATCTTCGTCTCATGGTTCAAACAAGACGAACTACTTAGCAAAGGTGTATCACTATGCCAACTCCAGACTACCCCCTACCCTGACCCCTCTCAACCTGTAAGTTCCCTCCCCATCTGGCTCCATACGGCCATAGCATATTGACTCGAGATAGATTCATCTCAACATGGCCTCTGCTCTGTCTGGCTGCCCAGTCTTCTCAAAGTGCCTACAACCGTCCCTCCGGGGTCGAAAAGGAAACACACGTAGAGGGAGACCCTTATCTGGGCACCAAGTCCATGGTCATCAAATCTGTCGCCCTCGACCACATGAATCTCATCGTCTTCGCCATTCGTGGCACCACTCGCTCCTCCTTCACAGACTGGGCAACAAACATGAACGCCGAGCCAGCTTCTCCCACCGGATTCCTCGACGACCCGGGAAATCTCTGCCACGCCGGGTTTCTATCCGTTGCCCGCAAGATGGTCCGTCCCGTTGCTCTACGTCTCGAACAGTTACTTGCCGAAAACCCATCTCGCGCAAAGTTCTCCCTGGTTATAACTGGCCACTCGGCTGGTGGTGCCGTTGCCAGTTTACTATACGCCCACATCCTCTCGCGCTCCCTACGATCGGAACTGATCTACTTACGGGACCGATTCAAGCGGATACACTGCTTCACCTTCGGATCACCCCCCGTCTCTCTTCTGCCCATCGATAAACCGCCAGACTCAAAATACGCCAAGTGGTTATTTTACACCTTCATCAACGAAGGCGACCCCGTCACCCGCGCCGACAAGCCATATATTCGCTCCCTGATCAACCTGTACAAATCACCAGTCCCGCAGCAAACAAAGTCCCGCGGCCTGTCCACCAGCAGCATGCCGATGAAACTTAACTTTCTCTCTAAAGACCGACGAGACAGCACCGATCGTGGGGAGAGATCTCAATCTAGATCTAGGCAGGAGGTATCCTGGTCCATACCCATGCCTACTCTAACACTACCAGGCTGCCTGATCGTTCTGCGTGGGAACAGGGATAACCCCAGGGACAAAAACCATGTGGAAGCATATCTCACGCATAACGAGGAGATGGCAGGTGTTGTCTTTGGGGATGTCATGATGCATATGATGACGCTTTATGAGCGACGAATCCAACTTTTAGCTACCGACGCTGTTACGGCCAAGGCTGCTCGATGAACATTTATCTTATCTTTTCAATCTTTTCATTATTATTACTATTATGATATACCCAGTTCAATCTCATTTCATATTGGTTGGTTGGCGGAAGAATGGCCTGGTTTGGTCATGTCAGGTCAGGTCAGGTCAGGTTGGGTTGGGTTTTTTGAATAAAGGGTATCTTCTCTACCCCTTCCCCCTATCTTTCTATCGATACCCTCACCGTCATTACGTTAGTTTTATTCTATTTTTTCCCTTCTTGCTTGTTATTAACCTCTTTGTTCCCACTCTGCCTGGTGCAAGCGCGGTCATATATACTTACTTACTACTTGGATGGAGTTCGAAAAACGATCTAACCAACCCCAGCAATGACGGGGGAAGTCGAATCTGGGGATACTTATGGTGCATATGATGCGGTACTGGGCTTTCTCTCTACCTTTTTCTTCTACTTGGGTTTAGTTGGCGTATATAGTATGGTAGGATAAAGTGGGATAGCATGATACATATACACACATATATATATGCATACGCCGACCGGCTATGCTTTCTTTTGCGCTTTGTATTCTTATCCTTCCCATTTATACAAGTGTGTTTACAGTAGGCAACAGGTATTCAAATTGAGAATCAAGCTGATGGAATGCGACGATATTACTATACATTTTCCATATCTTGCCAATGCCCATAGGCTTTTTACCCCTTAAAAGGCATCCGTTATACAGCCATGGCTGGCATCCTTGACAGACCTAGCATATTTACCCAGAGTTCCCCTCATGGTCAACCCGGTCGGCCGTCCCTTACCAGCCTGCTCTCGCTCTAGCCACTTCTCCCGTCGCTGAGCAAGTACGTCCTCTGCAACGTCTAGATCAAGCACCCTGTTCTCGGCATCAATGGTGATCTGGTCGCCGTTCTCGACAAGACCGATGGGCCCTCCGACAGCAGCTTCAGGGACAATGTGGCCTATCAGGAAGCCGTGAGAGCCACCGCTGAACCGTCCATCAGTGATCAGGGCGACAGAGTCACCTAGCCCAGCGCCCATGAGGGCAGAAGAGGGCTTAAGCATTTCTATATCATGTTAGAGAGATATTCGTAATCGAAAGGGGAAAGGGGACACAGCATTACCGGGCATTCCTGGACCGCCTTTGGGGCCAGTATATCGTATGACAACAACGGTCTTCTCGTCCTTTTTGATCTCATTGTTTTCCAAAGCCGCGATAAAGTCGTCTTCATCGTCATAAACTCGAGACTTTCCAACAAATCGGGTGCCTTCTTTACCTGTGATCTTGCCAACGCTTCCTCCAGGTGCAAGGCTTCCACGAAGAATCTGGAGATGGCCCGTCTTCTTGATAGGATTTGAGAGCGGTCGAATAATCTCCTGGTCAGACGGGAAGTCTTTGAACTTCTCCACGTTCTTGGCCAGCGTTTGGCCGGTAACCGTCATCCCAGAGCCGTCAATCAAGCCCTCTTTCAGCAGGAATTTGATGAGAGATGGTGTCCCACCGATATTATGGAGGTCGGCCATGACGTATTTGCCAGATGGTTTTAGATCGGCAAGGAAGGGGACACGGTCGCTGACGGCCTGGAAGTCGTCGATCGTGAGCTTGATTCCAACGGAGTCTGCAATGGCGATGAGATGCAGAACGGCGTTGGTCGAGCCGCCGGTGACTGTGACAAGGACCATGGCGTTCTCAAATGCCTGACGCGTGAGGATGTCGGAAGGCCTAATATCTTCCGCGAGCAAGTTCCTGATCGCACCGCCAGCAGCTTCGCATTCTAGGTACTTTGCCTTGGACTCAGCTGGGTTGGACGAGGAGCCAGGCAGTGTCATTCCCATCACCTCGATCGCAGATGCCATAGTGTTGGCTGTGTACATTCCACCGCAAGCACCACCGCCCGGACAAGCATGTCGAATGATATCGAACCGCTGTTCCTCTGAGATCTCGCCAGTTAAGAATTGACCGTATGCCTGGAAAGCAGACACGATGTCGATATCAGCGTTATTCTGCGTCGCAGCACAGCCGGGACGGATGGTGCCGCCATAGACCATCAAACTCGGCCTGTTCACACGGCCCATCGCCATGATCACACCGGGCATATTCTTATCACAGCCTGGAATGCTGATGTTGGCATCATACCACTGTCCGCCCATCACCGTCTCGATGGAGTCGGCAATCAAGTCTCGACTCTGCAGACTGTACCGCATGCCCTTTGTGCCCATGCTGATTCCATCACTGACGCCAATGGTATTGAACTGATATCCTATCAGACCCGTCTTCTGCACGCCCGCTCGTACACGGTTGCTTAGGTCGAGTAAGTGCATGTTACATGGGTTGCCATTGTACCAGACGCTCGAGATGCCGACTTGGGCCTTGGACATGTCCTCGGTCGATAGGCCGGTGGCATAGAGCATAGCCTGCGAGGCGCCCTGCGAGATGGGCTGCGTGACATTTTTCGAGACGCTATTTAGCTCTCTGGCCGGTTTCGAGGAGGACGAGGAGGATGCGTTCCGGGACCGTGTGGTTTGGCTGTCTTCGTCGTTAGCGATAGGAGCAGCATGGACAAGGGTAGCTCTGTAGCTACACCCATGCCAGATGAAGGAGATACACACGATAGCAGAGGCGAGAGAAGACTCCCGGAGGTCAGACGCCCTCCACAGCGTACACGAAGCATCGCACGTCGAATCTCCAGCGGATGGTGTTTCGTGATAGCTCTCTGGAGTAGACCGGAGATGTTTCTCGTTCTCTCCACGCCAGAAAATGGATAACGCGATCTTCACCAACGCAGATATGGACACCGCGGTAGGTACAAGTTTAGAGCGATGCAATTGAGCAAGTGAGGGTGGGCAAGTTGGAGATCTAGATAATTATTTATACTAAATGCGAAATGTGAAATGCGAAATAGATCGTGGACTATTGGCTCCGACCTCGGCCTGACTCACCGGGCCGACGATATAAAAAGGATATAGAAAAACAGATAAAAACAACGACAAAATAACATCAATATAACATCAATATAGTATTATTATTATTGGTACAGTAGTAACTAATTTACAAATGGTTGGTGAAGCGAGTTCTCGCATTGCTTCATGGTTGGATTATCTATACAAAAGAGAACAAAGTAAGAACGATGAAGATGAAGGAGATGAAGCAAAGAGGTATAAGAGCTGAAGCGAGCGTTGTGTCGAACATCCCGAAGAGCAAGTCGAGTCAAGTCAAAGTCGAGATGGATCGACGAAGGAAAAGAAGGAAAGAAGGAAAAGGGGAAAAGAGCGAGATGAAGGAAATAAAAGAAATGAACGATCAAACCAGTTGTACACAGGAGATATGAAAGTAGAAAACGTGTAGATAGTCAGCTCATTCGTATCACCATCAAGGAACCTCGATATCACCCCGTTTCAAGGGCTGGACATCAGCCGTAATCGCATCCCTAACCCATTCCATGTCCGCGACGTCGTCAAGATGCATACGTTTGCTACCTCGTTTCAACAGCGCCTCGACACAGCGTCGGGCGCCTTCAAGTTCTTTCCCCTTCACAGGGTCCCAGTCCCCGTCTGCATCGGCATATCGGTACCAGCTCCACTCGCAGCGGGCGATGCGGTGCGGCGTACGGGCCCGGAGCTTTGCAGGGTCGCCTCTGGTCCCTGGAAGGGGGTCAAAGGGCAGTCGGTTCTCCATTATTGCGTATAGGAGAACACCCAGCGCCCAGGCATCAGTTGAGCGGCCGTCGTAGGGCTGACCCATGAGGATCTCGGGGGCAGCGTAGTCCTCGCTTCCACACCGGGTGCGCAGGAGAGGGCTCTCTGGAGGCTGTGGGATGCGACGTGACAGGCCCAGGTCCGTCAGCGTGATTACTGCCCGAGGGTAGAGGCGCCAATCGGGGATATCCTGCAACATTGCAAAGGGGATGTTTAAAAGCACGTCTTTACAATATGTTAGTGCATCAAAGTGTCATGTAGTATAGTGTAAGAGGAAGGGAACTCACTCTCCAGCTTGATGTCACGATGCACGATGTGGTTTTTATGCAAATACCTCACAGCGTCCACAAGCTCGGAGAAGATTCTCTCGATGAGCGGCGGCTCGATACGCTTCATGCGCTTGCTGGCGAATTCAAACAGGTCGCCTCCCGGGCAGTAATCCAAGACGAGCAACGCTCTCTTCTTGTCGCTTCCGAACGCCTTGAGCTGGACGATGGACGGGTGGTCTATAGATTTGAGTATGTCCACCTCTCGGTTTAGAGACACCTCGACGCGCTCCTCGTCAGCTCCGCCGGCCGGTCCATATTCGACGATCTTGACTGCCACCAGGCGACGGGGGTGTGGTTTATCAGTCCCGTCTTCCTCCCTGGCAGCGAGGACAACCTGACTGAAGGCTCCCTGTCCGAGCAGGCTCTGCCAGCGGTATCTCCGCGGCTGTTTCGACCGGATCGACTGCACATCGTAGACCGTATTGTCCAGTATCCCGGAAGAGAGGTCATGGGCGGATGGTGGAGTGGGAAGCGGCGGCGGTAGAGCAGATATACCGCGCTGCGCAGCCAGATACTCCTCCCGCTGCAGATTCGGCCTGGTCCGCCCATCGCGAGAGACGCCTCTGTCTCTCGGCGGAGTGGCCTCGGACGCAGCAGCCTTGCGGTTTGGATGGACCTGGAGTGCTGGCGGGACGTACTCGCTCAGACTCCTGTTGCGGGTATGTCGATGATCGCGCTTCGGGGCAGAGAGCTGGGACGGATTGATGATCTCTGGAGACGCCGGTCCTCCTCCTCCTCCTAGTCCTCCTACACCTCCTATTCCTATTCCTATTCCTACTCCTACTCCTGCTGCTGTCTGGACCGGCCGAGGACGCGATGTAGGATGTAGCTCCCGGTTCGAGGCCGTAGATGAAACGCGCGACAGGGAAAAGGTGCTTGCCGAACCCCATGGTGGCGATGCCAGCTGCAGCGGCGACGGCAGCGGCGTGATATCAGTCAACCCAGCGAGCTGCGGCGAGGAGAATGCTGAGCCAGGAGAGAGAGAGCCAGCACTCGAATGCACTTCCGCCAGCGCATGGCGGATGCTGGGGATTCTGCGCGGCAAGCTCGCCGTCGACCGGCTCAGATGGATATGGTGCTCGAAGCTGCTCCCCAGCTGTCCGTAGTCCCCATGGCCATACCCATGGCCATACCCGTGAGCGTCACTCTGAGCGTCTCCCAGATGCTCTCCGTGGACGTCTCCGCGCAGATGTCTGTGAGGCTGGTGGTGGACTGACGGGATATCGGTGCGAAGCTGCAGAACCGGCGTCCGTGGCGTTGCCGGGCTCATGTCGACTATCGGCGCCAACGGCGCTGAAGCATCTCGCGCTCTCTCTGCTGTCTCTGCGGTCTCTGCTGTCTGCGGACATATCTGCAGGGCCAGCTGGGGCGCGGACGAGGGCGAGGACGCTATGCCAGGCCCATCGAGGCGAGGATGCGACGGCGGCGAGAGGTCTGGGGTCTCAGCCTGCTCAGGACGACTCCGTGGCTCTACCATTGATGATACAGCACGTAGAAGTCGTAGACCGCACACTGGCAGCACTGGCACGGCGGCAGAGGCCTGCAGAGGGATGGTTTTTTGATGCTATCTCAGCCTGCAGCGGGAGGGGCAGAGTCTTTAACTGTTAGTCTGTGGCTGAACAGCGCTAGCAGCCTCATCTACGTTACTATTTACTGTTACTATCAGACAGGTCTACTTGTTCACTTCTACATCTACAATGTATCCTCAGTATATGTCTCAGCCTATGATGTCTCGCATCTACAATATCTCAGCATTTTGATGTGTTTCTCTGTATTTACAGTGCCCCAGCATCTACAGATATATTCATGGAGGATGAACAGGACGGGACAGACAGCAAAGACGAGAAGAAAAGGAGAAAAAGAGAAGACAGGATAGAGCCAGGCAGATCCTCTTCCTTGCTATGTCTTTCCAAGGCCTGCTTTTGCCTCTGATCTTCGTCTCGATGCTTTTGATGCTCTTCTTGTTGCCCCTGAATATATCAAGTTTTTAAGCTTCGCGGCTGTTTCGAACCTTATACCTTAATTATTTTCTTCTTTTCTCTCTTCTTTTCTCTCTTCTTTTCTCTATCTCTCTCCCTTCTTTTCTCTCTGCTGGGACGAGTATGGCGGCTTAGCTAGAGCTCCAGAAGCGAATACAGGATTTCTCAATAGCCTGGTTGACCAGAGGTTGTCTTCTGGATACCTTCTGACCTGAGAACGTACATTCATGAGAACGCTTGTATTGCCATTTTTTGAAGATCTCGTAACAGAGCCATGTAGAATAGGAACTTGGATAGCGGATGTATTCTCCGAGCAATATATTTGTATATCGAAGGACACTCCAACCAACGGGTTAGTTACAATTAACGGGGATAAGAAAAAGCCTCTATATGTACAAAATAACCACGCATTAAACCACGTTTCCGTTTAATATAAAAAAAGAGAGACGAATAAAGCTGAATGCCCCAACACACGCCAGAGTGGAAAAGGATCCGTCATGCGCTCGGAACTGAAACTGATAATACACGGATGGAAGGGTTGGAAAAGATGGGGAGGTGGGCGGAGAATCGTTGGAGCGGGTTGTTTTGGGTCGCATAGTGATCATAAGGTATCACCCTGTGTCTCGAATAGGTGTGATCGTGCGGTAAAAAAAGATGGTCATTTAGATAGGGGACATGTTGGGGGCCTCTGGTTAATCTTCTTGCACCTCTCAGGCAAGGAAGACACGTCGGGATACCTAATGAAAGAGCACAGGTTAGAATGCAGGTTGGCAATATATCAAAAATGGGAGTAAATCATACAGTCCAGGCTCCCGCGATACTGGCAACGATTGCTCCAGATATCATCATGGGTCGGATACCCCTAGTGCTCTTGAAGAGCATTCCGCTCAACGCTCCAGCAACAATGCTATTTGCCGCATCATGCTTGCCTCTCACATGTCCAATTGTCGAATTCACACCGTTATAAACCAACGCAACAACGCCGGCAGAGTTCCCCAGGAATGGTCCGCGTCGAGTGACTGAGTTAAGCACGCTGTTGAGCCGCAGCTTTGGTGCAGCGCTGGCCGGCGATCGTCTCAGTCCCTCGATAAGACCCCATGCTCCTCCAATCGAAAGAGCAGCGAGATATGTGGTTCCTGTCCCGTAGCTGAGATCGTCAGACCATCCTCTTGATGGGAGTGCGGACTGGGAGCCGGGCAGCTCGCTCAGCGCCGAGTCTTCGAGCGTTAGGTAGTCGAGTGTTTCTTGGTTTAGTCCCGACAGAGGATGGAGTTCTGATGGGTCGGGAATGGCGGTATTAGAGAGGAACGAAGAGACATCTGCGGCAGAGGATGGGTCGAATTCAGCCGTGCCGGCCGTCTGCTTTCGACCCGAGAGGGTGTCCCAGATAGACATGACTGTGGAGTTGAATTAAAAGATATAATGAGTATAAGGGGTGTACGATGAAGATGAGATCCTGCGCTACCGCGCTCTTGTTGACCGGCGGCTGGTAAGGATGGCTGAAGTAGTTATCTGCTCTCTCTCTTTCTCTCTTCTCGATCCTTTTTTTTCTTCGTTCCTTTCCGACTTTTCGAAGGAAAAAGTCGAGATGTTATCACGTGATGTCCGATCTGGACAAAACCTTAAGTAATTATAACACGTGACCTTATCGTCTTGAAGTGGAAGAAAAGAAAAAAAAGTGATAAGAAAGTCGACTTTTAGGCGGGACAGAAACATCTATACATCTATTTCTCTACTGAAGGGGAAGAGACATGGCTACGATGACTGGTCAGGGCCAGGAGTCTACCGAGAAGTCGTTGCCCGCCAGGAGTAAATTGGACCTTGATGAATATATATTCGCTGGCAAAGATGGACCAAAAATCGTACCCGAGTCAGATCTAAGGGCACTTACTCAAGGGCCCCTGAAACGTCTGATATTAAACCCGGAGAACTACGAGTGAGATACATACATAAACGAGTATTCCATGTTAGGGATAATATTTTTTACGAATGATTATTAACTTGCTACTTAGAAAGTCACTTTCGCTGTGGAATTGCCTCTTCCACACGTTTGAGGATACGCTTCTCCCCATCCCACACGGGGCTGCAGCGTGCAATGCCTTGTGCGCATTTCTCGAGGCTGCGTTGACAACTGGAGACTCTGAGATTTGCCAATTTGCTCGATCTGAGGCAACATGGCTGTCCGTTTTTGGAGTATACCTTGAACGGTTCGAATTCAGCCCGCCAAAGCCTATGAAGCAGATATTAGCCACCCTTACGAATATTCTGGCCACGCATCCTGACCCAGCCATCACAAGCTCTATTCGCTCTTACTTGACGAAGTCTGTGGTCCAAACTATCATACTCGCCGAACCCCTGACGAGGCTCAAGGCATCGGTCGTCTCGCTTCATTTCCTTATTCGCAAGGATGCATTTCCAGCTGTAGACCTAATGTCTCGGTTACAGGACTGGCTGCGACTTAACTTGAACAGCTGGATACCAGTTGTAGGAGCGCATTGTACCAATATTGGTCTGGATATATCCGCTACTTTTGCTGGAAGTGACACGGATAGAGCTTCAATTCATGGGGACGAGCTGGGGATGATAACCGCACAGGTTTTCTGCCTAGTCCTCTTGTTACATTTGCAAAACCCGAATGTAGTGACCTCGTCGGGCGCCCTTCTCGCTCAGATATGCTTTAAACTGAAAAGGGAGTTTGAAGATGGCCGGTTCCAGTATTCAACGCCAGACAAGCATGTTCCGTTCTGGACAGCTCCTTTGAAATACTTGTCGTTGCAAAACTTAGATAATCTCGATGCAACGATAAGTCTTGCTTTTCATTTATTATTCAAGGGTCGACCAGCAGAGTTTCAGTCGTTCCTAGATGTCTTGCCCCTCCAAGACCTTCTGTCTGAGCACTATAATGATACATGCACCCCTGAGTTTGACCTACTCATTGCTGTCCTTGAAACAGGGAAGGAGTTGGGACTCGTGCACGAAGATCGTGAGCATTGTCATTTATCCCCGGTGGTGCTATATCATCAATCTAACCCGGTTTACAGAAGCTCCAACTACCTCATCTACCGACAAACCCTTGGTCCTTGAAAGCCGAAAGTTAGGCCCCCTATTAATTCACTCGAATGCCAAAATTCGAATACCGGTGCTCTCCCTGTTAATATCTGCGCCATCCACTACAAAACCATTTTCTCCCGATGCCTTACTTCTCTTCAAAGAAACGTTTCCTTTTATTCATGCTGAGGCAGATGCCCATGTCCGTAGCGAGCTTGTGAGCTTGATACGGAAACTCACTGTTAGGCTCAGGGGCGGTGCCTCCCCACGCCAATCAGCAACAACTGGAGTAAATGCTACTGATAAATCTTCTCAATATCATGATGCCAAAGCATTTGTATCTTGGTATATAGACTTCCTTGAGTCAGAACTCAGGCCGAGTGCTTCGTACCAGACGCACATCCTCGCGTTAAAGGCACTGGCCACTGTTATCCAGTCCGGACTTGACCCAAGGATTGACCAAGCTAATCTGTCAAAAATTGGAAACGACCAGAGGAATTGGCCCTTTTCGATTGACATATTTACTTCTAGTCTTTTCAGAGCACTGGGGGATCTACTAATCAACCCCTATGAAGAAATCCGGATGACTTCGCTGTCAATCCTTGGACTATTCCCCAGGGCATCCATCAGGCCCCAACCACAGGCTGACTCTGAAACAGATATGAATAATGCCACCGTTCGCCATCCATACCGTCAACTCCTAGAAGCTTTGTCGAGAGTTGAGGATATGGCTGGCCGAACAAGCAGAGCCGATCATGCCGATGGCCTTGCCCGCATTTATCATCTCCTATTTGACCTCGCCGCGGATGGGCGGAGCTGTGATAAAAAAATGAGCAGTTACCATTATAAGTATGGTATAGTGGACTTGCTTCTTTCTAAGCTTGAAAAGGTCACTTCCCTATCGGACATAGTAGCTTTGCGCAATACCCCTATTCATGGCCATCTTTCCGCACTAAGGTTCGTTGTTCACTTAGAGTACCCTTTTTCTCGATAAAAGCTGACTGGATTTTAGATACATAACGGCAACCCCTAATTTCTATTCCCTTATCTCATCTGAAAATGATTCTAGACCTGCTTGGAAAGATGCCCTAGAACGTATCCTGCTCCTCTGTGAAGCAATGTGGTCCGATGTTCAAGCGGTTTTGTGTGTGGACTCGCCGGAGAGGGAACATGGAAACTCTGCAGATGACCTGTTAGGTCCAAAAGATATCCTGTCATGCTGTTGGCGTGCTCTACGCGAATCCAGGTACGTTTCTCATTAATACTCTTTATATAATAGAAAGGCATGGCTAATTTTATAGTTTACTACTAAATGCTATATTGTCCAATATATCCTTTGCGCCCTCTGGATACGAGGAGGGACTAAGTTATGAGGAATTTTCCAGAGTCGGCAACCTCACCTTCTCTCAACTTGCGGAACTACGCCATCGTGGGGCGTTCAGCGCGGTATCCCAAACCTACGCCTCTTGCTGTCAAAGATGTAGCCTGTCGAAGTGCAAGGATATCGCCGGTCTCCCTGAGACTTGGTTCAAGGTAAGAAGATTGTTCTCGGTATTATGTCGTTGATAGATATATTAATTTCGTCTGTAGGAAATCCTGAATACAATTCACGGCCAATCATCGAAGCTTACCCGTCGGTCAGCAGGACTACCTGCATTAGCCCTCGGTGTAGCTTCATCTGCAAAACTTCCTTTCTTTCATGAGATCATGGAAAATCTTCAAGGCATTGCGAAAGTCACGCCTACATCTAAGTCGGAGCAGTCGGACATGAGACTCCCGCAGGTACATGCTATGAATTGTTTAAAAGACATATTCACTGCGACGAACCTCGCCAATGTCACGGAGGGATACTTGATGCCAGCATTAAGTATCTCAGCTGAGTGCCTCGGCTCTGAAATGTACGTTACCCTTGATATTGTCTCTCATGAGGTTACTAATATGCTACTAGATGGGCAATTCGTAATTGTGGCCTAATGCTATTTCGATCGTTGGTTCAGCGAATGTGTCGCCGCACCAATGGAGTGAGCCATGGATTTGGCCTATCCACCGACCCTGAGCCAAAGCAACTCATCCCTTTCCAAAGATTCCCTGGGTTAATCCCGCTACTTGCTGGCCTTCTCGAAAAGGGAGCTCCAAATGCAGTTGCGCCTACATCAGATCGATCCTTGTCGTGGGAATTATCAATTATCACTGAACGTGTTTTCCCGGCTTTAGAACTTATTGGAAATAAGTTCCCTTCTCCTTCCTCTAGCGAGGACCAACGCATTCTTGAATTAATTGCATGGCAGTTTGAAAGCCCTGCATGGGGAGTTCGTGACCATGCCGCAAGAACATATGCCACCCTCATCGAGAGGGACGATATTCTCTCAGCCGCTCTTGAGCTGTCTATGGTCGACTCACCCATGTTGGACCAAAATGTACTTCATGGGAGGGCCCTTTGCATCAGATATCTCCTTCAACGGCTTTGGGCCGCACCAGGAGCATATTGCCAATGTTTGCGCCACTATATTTCCTCCTATAGTACTACACTCACTGATATTTTTTTCCTTTTAGCATTACTTCCGGCGGCTATTCTGACAACAGAAAAGATATTTATCAACTTCGAACGACATGTGTCATCGCCCTTAACCCTCAGAGAACTGGTTGAGATACTTAACTATCTCCTACAATGTGGGATCGCAAAGGGGGTTGAAGGTCAGATAGCCTGGACGCATTTGTTACGGTCACCTGCTAATCCTTTTTTTGTGCCAGATCCCGTTATTGACCACTTCGATGCAATTTCTCGAGTTCTTAATCTCGATAGGATTTTCGATAACGTCACTTCCAACTCAGACCCTAACTCATCAACCGCTAGATCATCTTCCCTTCTATTGGAAAGTATTACTTTTAGCTATCTGACGATGGGAGTTCTCCTTGGCTCATCCTTGGAAGAGCTAGCTGAATTCATCCGGACGGTTTCGGATGTCGATGTCGACGTTATTCCGTCCGGTTTGAAGCGTTTCCATCAAGTATTTGTTGGCCATTCATACTCCCGTCGCGATCGATTAAATCTGTATTGCAGCATTATTACCGAGGCTCCTTCCAAGCAAGCGAAACTAGTCGCGATCTCCAGCCTTTCGACAGAGCTTGAAGAAATCCAGGAATCAACGGACAAGTATCCTCGATCTCTAGACGAATTTGGTTTTTTGCAACCATGGCTTCCTTCCTTCAACGTTTTAGAAGAAGAGGAAGAGCCTCTCTGGGATCGTGAAATGGTTGATGCTTCCGTTCGTCTCCAAGGGTGCCTGATCTCACTAAACATTAGATGTACTCCCAAAATTCTGGACTCAGACTCAACATTTGCGGCGAGTTTCAAGAGGCTGATCCGACAGCTATCATTTTCTATGCGCGATGAAACAGTGAGTGGACTATTGTTGCTGCTTCAAGCTGAATATACGTATCTAATCCTTCTCAGGTATTTACCACAAGACTTGCTGCGGCGACTTCTTTGAAATCCGTCGTCTTAGGCCTGAGGGCAGCTGAAATAAAGTTCCCTGCAACCCCAATCCTCGTCGATGTTCTTTTTGTGCTATACGACATGCTCAATGATGACGACGTTGAACTCAGAGAGGAGGCTACCCTCATCGCCGCCCAAGTCCTAGCGGATCAATCGATGGTTTTCAGGTTACCTGCTGCTGCTGCCGCAGGTATCACGGACATTCTTGCGAATCACTTCCATGGTTCGGTTCAATCGTTCGAGGAAGGTCTTAAACGCTTTCTTGGACCTTCTAGCAGAAAACATTTATTTGTTTCCGCTGCTGAAACGCTAAACAAAGCCATCAAAGAATCCGCCGTATTGTTTGCGGAAGAGAAACAAAACCTCTATATTGATGATGTTAGAGAGATCAAGATATGGGCTGAACACCTCATTCAGCTCAACAATGAGGCTATAGATATTTGTCTTTACAACCAGTTCAACTTATGGGTTATGGATGGGCTGGATGCCCTGTATGAGATAGCGACAACACAGCCCAAGGACTCACTCCTGGGCTGGACATCAAATGTAGATGTCTTTGTGACTGGGCTTCGCATACTCTATGGCGCAAAAGTGCTTTTACTCACACACAGAGACATCTCGACTGGTGTCAATCTTATAGCACTCCGTGAAAAGCTGCAATGTCTTCTAGCCAGCACAACAAATTCAGAATTAAACCCTCCTTGGGTCTCTCTTCTAGAGAGCCTGAATAGCTGATCATTCTACTTTGGTGCCCTCCAGGCAATATGGCAGGGCCCCTTGAGGGCAGCACGCAGAATCACTCTGTTGCCACGGCGCTGAAAAGTTATTAGTTCAAGCGGCTGGTAACAACATGAACCCACTCACAGTGCATATTATTATTTACTCTTTCCTGTTCTAATGTGCTTCCTCTCATGTGTTCTTTAGATGTTACTATCATTCTACCCTGTGATATGATTAATTCCTGTCCAATGATAAGGAGAAACAGTACCAATTCCCTCTACCTGGTCATCTAAACCATCCAAGTGCTATCACAGATCCTCAGTGTGCAATTCTTGGTAGGTAACTCAAGTGCCTCTGTTATTACTGCAAGCTAACCAGAGACACAGACAACAGTCGACAACAAAACAGAGACTCTATTTCAGGGATTTAGACCCTCGGATCATCCCCCGTCGAACAGTAAGCTTGCGGCGGCCTACCGGTAGAACTTAGCCAAGTTAACACTTCGGCTCCATACACAGGGACCGACAGAATGTTGCCAAACTATGTCATAGTTCTTCTCCTTTTGATGACTCCATTAATGGCACTGGTCATCTGGAAGGTCGGAAGACGCATATTAGAGGCGATTAGACATGGTATTTTACTATCCAGGATGCAGCAAGAGGCACAAATGGAAGAAGCAGCCCGTTATGCTCGAGAAAACCAACAAGCTGAACAGATTGCTGAGCTTACTGCTGTTGTGGCGGCTCATAATGCATGCCATGCTAATTCGATTCAACGCCCCCAGCCAGCTCAGTTAGCTCGATAACCAGGACACCATGCATACACGGGTTGGAGATTTCAGGTTGGAATGCACAGGTTCGAATATTAGGACAAGCTGTTTGAGCAAACTGGGATAGAAGATAAAGATGTCAATCATGTACATTAGCTATACAAAAACACAGCCATGCTTTATTTCTTCGATGTCATATTTTCGGTCAGAGGCAGGTGGGTTATCTGTTGCTGTCCAAATAACAAACAACAAAGTGAGTTGGCCGCATTCATAGCACATTGGCCTTGGAGAAGATGCGCTTTCAAGTCCTGTGGGAGCAGTGGGGGCATCTTCTCGAGCTTTTTAATAAAGGCACCACCCCTACTCATAAGGGGTCAGAGCATAAGAATCAATACCTGTAGAGCATAGAGACGCTGTCATTGTCCAAATCCTCGACAAATTCCGGGGACCTCAAGGTCTGATAGCGGCTTCTGTGTTAATTTCATGCACCTTGATACTGCGCTATAGGCAGCTTGTTTGTCTATACACTTCACCCAGCTAGGCAATCAAGTACCAATACTCATGCTATTCACTCTACTTAATATCCATCCTAACAGCTATTATTAAATCAGAATATCATCACACCCTATTCAACGTCTATCATCATAACTGTGCCCTTGTGAGTAAAGGATTAACCTTCTCTCTCAACTCACTCGTGGAAGGTCAAAGATTTCTGACACCAGATCAAGGCTACAGCTGTTTTGACCCTTTCGCCAGTTCTATCTGCTACCGGGCAGAGAAACAGGGATGCCAGCAATCCTCCGAAAACAAAGCAACCTGGCACCCAGTCGTCCATCGTTGACCGCTCGAGGGTCTCCCGCAGACTGGGACTCATGGACATCAGCACAGCAAGGAGGGGTACTGGCAGCATCATTACTGGTATTCATGTTCTTTTTCTTCCTAGGTATCTATCTCTGGCAACGTCGTCGCGAGAGGAAGAGAAAGGGGAGACGCACCTCCAGACCGAGAAGTAGAACGCGCCATTCGAGGAAACGCCGCATATCACGTACACGCACACCATCCCAGCCTCGGAAAAAGACGAGAACCAAGAAGGTCAAATCTAGAGACAAATCGAAGGTTGAGGTTCCAGCAATGTCAGGGGCCGTGATAACGCCTCAAAAGACCATCACAGAGCGACCAGCTGAGAACAACGACACGCCAGATAAAGCGATAGCTCAAGAGGATGATCAACCAACAAACGCGTCACTCGATCAGGCAGATATCCGGCTGAGGAGAAGAAGGGAGCGAAGACGAGAGGCCCGGCGTAAGACAATGCCAGGTTCAGTGTCGGCTTCCAGGCGAGCTGTCAAGGTCCGTCCAGGCACTCCCGCAGCCGTACCCAGGAACCAGAGGAGCCATGACCGAGAGATCAATACGACCGAGACTCCTTCACGGGGAAGAAGTCCGCATCGCGAGCCCAGCACCGATAGAAATCAGCATCACCCTTAGACGGCATAGGGAGAAATTTCTGAGAAATTTGAGGCCATAGCCTGTGTTTTTTAATGTATAGACATAGCCTATTTTTTTAATCCATAGACATAGCCTATCTTTTTTAATCCATGGAAATCAGTTCAGCCATATAGACCACTGTGACCCTATCCCATACTGCTGGAGACCTTGGTTCTTCCATGTAGCGAGATGAAGTTGATATCTATGAAGTTGTGATGTCATGAGCTGTGGGGGGACTTCCGCCTGCCAAGAAGCTTCAACTGCAAGCTGCGACCTGTATATCTTCACATCCCAAACGGCGCAAGCTCTTCTCCATTATCCTGTCTATATCTGCCATCTAACTAGCTATTGATAAAGCTGCGTTGGCATCCTGTTTACTATCTAATATACGCTTCTTCGGCTACCGTTAACGGTGTCAACACTGTCCTGACCATCGTCTCTGTCTATACTATCGCAGCTGCCTGCAGCCCACGGAGCGCCTGCCCACCACGCGGCGTTGATATAATTATAATTCCAGCCTCTTCAGGATGTGGAACGATGAGGATAATAACCCGTACGGAGCGCTGGACCGTAACGAAGCTCCTCTCGGCGGATCCTTTCACCCTGCCGCAATGGCGCCTCGTAAGTCAAAGTACCTTTTGCCTAATCATCCATCTAAACAACGACTGACGGACTGCCTTTTTTTCTCTTGTAGCAGCATATGAAGAACGCCCCGTCTCTCCAGCTTCATCAAGGTCGTCTACTCGCGACCCACCGGATTTTGTAACGCGGACAGACACGCCCGATCTCGATGATGAGCCAGATCACGACGATGTGGGCGAGTTCTCCGATCGTCAGCATGGCCAACCCTATCAGCGCAAAAAGGGGATATATGATAGCAGGATAGAGCAGATTCTATACGAGAACCCGGAATTACCAATTATTATTACGCATGCCGGAAAGAACAGCGAGACTGGTGGGAGTTTTATCGTCTACACTATTAGGACGGGCGTATGCATTGCTTCCTTCTGGTTGAAATACTCCCAAGTACGAGTCCGATATCTAACGTACGGCTCTAGGATCTCGAGGTTAGGCGTCGATATTCCGAATTTAGTTCTCTCCGCGCAACTCTGGTCAACCTTCATCCTACACTTATAATACCGCCCATCCCGGAGAAGCATACTATGGCGGACTATGCGGCCAAACCCACAAAGGCAAAGGAAGACACCTCCATTATTGAATTACGGAAACGTATGCTCGCCGTGTTTTTAAACCGATGCCGGAGGATGGATGACATCCGCGAAGATGGGGTCTGGTGGAGGTTTCTAGACCCCAATGCAAGCTGGGTTGGTTTCCACTATGCCTTCCCTATACCCATAACTAGTACAAAGCCGTATTATATTGACTATTTTAAATCAGGGCGAGGTTCTAAATTCTCACCCGGCTGCTTCGGTGCCCAAAAACAACCTCAAAGCTCCCCCTCTTGACCCAGCTAACCCGACACCTGCCCATAACTGGCTCCCCGTCCCTTCTTCTTCTGCAAAGTTGAAACCTACAATATCAGACGTGGCCACAATTCCTTCATTCGTGAACCGGTTCCCACCATCCTCCTCACGAAATCTTAGTGAACATGAACTGGACCCTTACTTTGTCAATTTTGAATCATCTACCCGAGAACTAGAGCTTCTTCTCCAAGGGAGCGTTGAGAAAGTAAACAGACGAACATTGACACATCTGTCTTCGCTATCTGCTGATCTCATGGAACTTGGAGCGCGATACAACGGGTTTGCCCTTTCGGAGCAGTCACCGACTGTTGCAGCGGCAATCGAGAGAGTTGGCCAGGCGGCGGATAACTCGTACATCGAAACAGAAGAGCTTTCCTCTAGCCTGGGAGCCACATTTTCAGAGCCGATGCGGGAAAGTGCCCAGTTCGCGGGTGTTGTCAGGGGCGTTCTTCGCTACCGGGTCCTAAAACGGATCCAAGAGGAAATGACAAGGGACGAACTAAACAAGAAGAGTGCTTTGTTAGAATCCCTAGAACGAAGCGAAATAGAAGCTCAGCGCATAGAGGAGTATCTAAACAAAGGGAGCACATCGCCATCCACAAGACCAAGACGCTCCTTGTCTGAGACTTCTTCAACGAGCAACCCAGAGCCAGGCTCAGAGCCTACCCAGGCTACCACGGAGGATACAGCGTCTATCGACTCAGACTTTCCTCCAACCCATGGCGAGGCCACGAGCCGACCATCCGCTTCTCAAGGGCTTCCTCATCGCCCTATGGATCCGACCCCTAGTGGCCACCGTAAATCTTCGAGTGGTAATTTTGTTACCAACAAGATATTTGGCCGGATTAGCCATGCCGTCCATGGGTTTGTGGATGTAGACCCGGAAAGGACACGCCGGGATCAAATCGGCAAGACAAAAGAGAGTCTACTACAGGTAAGTTCCAACCGAATATTGCCAGCGCTGCAGTTCTACGTTTTACTAACCATGCCCGTTCGCTCATTACAGCTGGAGCAAGCTCTAAAAGTGTCCGAGCAAGATGTGAAGGACGCAAGTAGCGGAGTCCTCCGAGATCTCAAGAGGTTTCAGAGGGAGAAAGAAGAGGATCTCCGCAGCTATATGGTATGTTTGCACCTGGCTATTGTTATTCAACTTTCCCCTCACATTGCTAATACCGATATCCCTTAATTTAGGTCGCGTACGCACGATGCCATCTGGACTGGGCCCGGAAGAGTCTAGAAACATGGACCGAAGCGCGAGATGAAGTCGATAAAATATCTATCCGATAGGCCGTAATGACGAATTATGCCAGTCATTCCCTTTAGATATCTCCCCAGCGACGGTTCACCCCGTTATATGTATCATGAGAGAGACAAGCCGGGTCGGAGAGTAGTATATCTACATCTCCCAAGGTTAACGATAGCACATCTTACTTACCATTGGTTACGTAGTATAAATATGCCACAGTTACTACTTTACTCTTAGATTATCTTTCAATGCTTGTTTAAAGGTGTCAAGCATCCCTAGCCGAAGCAGAATATTACACACAGCAGTTATTCCGTCTATGTGCCACAGCCTGAGCAAAACTTCCCTTGCAGCTTGAGATAACGGGCGACCAACTGTAGGCCGTCACACCTTTACCATGCTACATAGATCTTGAAGTGAGCCCTGATGAAGAACCGGCCAGTGTAGCCATGTTCCCTACTCCGTACATGCTCTTTCATTGATATCTGCATGAAAGGTGGAACATTCGCAGGCGTTGGTCACCTTCGAGTTGAACAAGTAACCCCCTGAACGGCCGGTCGTCTTCTCAGGTAGACAGCCAGCAGACGCGGTAACCACCTGCTTCTCCTTCTTAAGAACTTCTCTTCTCCATCTCTTCATCTCCATCATAAAAGAGGACTTACATGATGCAACGAGGTTCAGCCTATACACATCACGTGATCAGGACTTTAGCTGGGAGGGCGAAAAAAAGGTGAGACTGCGAAGGCGTTGAAAGCGAAGCCTCTCGAGGGTCAACAGAGACATAAACACAGCGAGAGGACGCCAGCAAGGGTTCTGCTTGTGTTTGTCGCGCTGTCCACGTCCTCCTGTGGCGAGCTTCCTCTTTCTTTCCCCTTCATCCACCAGCCTGTCCATGCAGGTTTTTTTCTCTTGAGGGAACCCGCCCTGTCCTTTAACTACTTGCATCGCGACAAACCCCAGGCTTCGCCACCAGTACCGGCCTGGATAGAGATATACAGAGCCTCTGGCCTACAGCAAAGGGACCACTTTAAAGATTGTAAGGGGCCTTCTGTTCTTGCATGCTATCCCCCTTATGGCCCTTTGGGAGGAGGGAACTAAGTTACCCTGCTAATACCTTCTTTTTCTCACCGTTCACAGTCTTCTACCCTCCCTCACTCACTCTCATTCGGAGACAAAACTCCATTTCACTCTGATGTGAAATATCTTCTCTTATAACCTACCCTTTGTATTCACCCAGAGCTGCCACTATATAGTGGGCAGCTCACTTTCACAACGCCTTCTTCAAAGCGACGTAAGGTTGCCGCAGAGCTGCGCAAAGCTGGAGGCAACAAGGGTTTATATTTCTTGAAAACTTCGCCTTCCAGAAAACCCAAGATAGGAAGACGGTACGGTCAATCCTCACTGCCTGCTTTGCCGCAACCTGCATATTTCGCATCTCCCTCCTCGCCCTCCCCTCCAGGACTCTCGCCGTCTCGATCCCTGCAAGCAGATTCGCAAGGGAGCGCAAACGACCAGTCATCAACGGAAGACTGGAGATCGACCACCGCAACGAGCTCTCCGACCATTACGGACGGCGAGTCAACCCAAGACACCACCTGTTGGCAGATGTCGTCGTCTAACGGCCGTGCGGCCGGGCAGTCCGCCGCTGATGAACCCCAGAGGGAAGATGTGTCCATGGTAGACTATGGGTCGCAAGATGACTCTCGCATCTCTACGCCAGCCACCAAGAGACCGGCTGCGGATATGGGAAGCGATGAACACGATACTGCAATGCAGACACAGTCGTTCACATCCTCGGAAGACACGCCAAACACTACGGCAAACAAGAAGCAGAGCGAACGTCAAAACCGCCATCAGCGTGGTTCATCTGTGGATATGGTTGGAAAGGAAACCGAGGCTGGATCAGCAAAGGGAAGCTCGAAAAATTCTTCTGAAGCCGGCGGTTCGGCTTCCGATAATCTCTATCCTTCACCGTCAACCATGTCGACCTATACCGCTTCCAATAGTGATCAAGCCCATTCTTCGCATTCTTCACATGATAACCCGTCCATCGATGAGCAGGTGGCTGCAGTGATGCAGCGGATGCAGCAGAACCCCACAGATAAACAAAAGGGCTATGTCATCTCGGCCACTTGGCTTAACCGAGTTCTCTCGCGCAGCACAACCATCCCACGACTTGATAAAGTTGATAAATCGGCCTCGGAAGGTGAAATCGGGCCTGTCGATAACTCGGACCTTGTTCTTGTTACTGACCCGGACACCATTTTCAACGACGAAGCTGGCAAACCTTTCGTTCCCATGCGTCCGGGGCTTCAGATGGGCGAAGACTACGAAATATTGCCAGAAGAAGCTTGGAATTTAGTGATGGAGTGGTATGGATTGTCAAAGGACTCACCTGCTATCGTTCGATATGCGCATAATACAAACACGGAGGGGGATATGGAGCATATTCAATACGAGCTCAATCCTCCGATATTCTCTATCTTAAAGTTGTCTCCCAATGTCACCCTCGCAGACAAATCACGTCCCCCTGTGAGGTTTCTCGCCAGTCGACATACTCCGTTCCAGCAGTGGCTAAAAACAGCGAAGAACCTTGCATCAATCGACATGTCGACAAAGACTCGCGTGTGGAGGATCCTAGAGGGACTTGGTAGCTCTACCAATGTAACTCCGGACGCGTCAAGAAGTGCGTCCCCAGCACCCGGAACCACTGTAACCGCAAAGATTCCGACATCCATGTCGCTGAGTATTGATAGCTTTGTGGCTCTCGCCGAAGGCTCCCAGCGAGAGCTAGTTGATGTCAAAGACCAAACGTCAAATCCAAAGAACAATGGCAAGACTTCAATTCATGTCATTGGGCTAGGAAGTGACAATGTCATTGTTCTGGAGGAACAAGTCGGCGGACCTGCTGGCGGAGAATGGCTGTCTGAAACCTCAAAGTCAAACGTCAATTTGACAGTCGGTGCCGGTAAGGCAAGCGTCCAAAATCGGTTAAAGGCCAAGAGCGGCACAGGCAGTGGAAGAACATCACCTGCTCCCTCTATCGTTACCCGAGGACGACGACGTAAGGATGGCAAAGCCCGCGGAGTCACTGGTCTTAGCAACCTGGGTAATACTTGTTATATGAACTCGGCATTGCAATGCGTGCGCAGCGTTGAGGAACTATCACATTACTTCTTGCGTAAGTCGATTCTGGCTCACTTGAGTACGATACATACTAACCGTGCAATATTTAGTGGGCGAATATAAGAAGGATCTAAACCCGAACAACCCCTTATCCCATAATGGAGATGTCGCCAAAGCGTATGCTAATCTCCTGCACCAAATATTCGACGTACAAGGCTCCGCATCTTTCGCACCTCGAGCATTCAAAGTTACTATCGGCAGATACGGCCCATCGTTTTCTGGTTATGGCCAACAGGATTCACAAGAGTTCCTCCTTTTCCTCCTAGATGGGCTGCAAGAGGATTTAAACAGGATCCAAAAGAAGCCATACATCGAAAAGCCGGATTCCACCGATGAAATGGTTCATGACAAAGCAGCTCTACAGGGATTTGCTGACAGATGTTGGGAGATCTACAAAGCCAGAAATGACAGTGTGATTACGGACTTATTTTCAGGAATGTACAAGTCCACTGTGGTTTGCCCAACCTGTGACAAAGTCAGCATTATTTTTGATCCATTCAACAATTTGACACTCCAGATACCGATCGAGAATACATGGAGCCACAAGATCATGTTCTTCCCTCTACACAAAGCGCCTGTGTATGTGGATGTGGATATCGACAAGAACTCAAGCATCAAAGCTGTGAAAGAATACGTTGGTAGAAAGATGGATGTGGATCCAGCGCGCCTTGTGATGGCGGAAATATACAAGCACAAATTCTACAAGCAATTCGACCATTCTCAGAGTATTGCCGACAACCAGATCAGCGATTCTGACGCCATTGCCATGTACGAGCTAGACAGCGTCCCCACCAGTTACAACCCTGATAAACCACAGCGATTCCGATTCACGTCAGAAGAGCCGACCGGCTTTGACTCAGTTAAAGGTGATCGAATGTTGGTCCCAATCTATAACCGCAGCAGAAACCGACGCGGCTCTTACAACCACAGCCAACGATCATTATTTGGAGTACCGCTATATGTAGTTATCACGCGTGATGAAGCATATGATTATGACACGGTACTACGTAAAATTCTATCAGGAGTCGCAAATCTCACTACTCGTGATATTCTCCGAGAGGATGATGGGTTTGGTGTAATGAGGACCAACTCCGCAGAAGATTCAGATACCGTCGTCACTAATGAGGAAGATACCCAGCCGTTTGATCACCCAATCAAGGCCGACTCTGTTGAGGGAGAAGATGGGCTCGTTGATGTATCCATGCGTGATGCCGACAACATCTCTTCCCAAGCGGGAGTGGACGCAAACTGCAAGGGTACGGATAACCTCCCTCCCGTTCTCCAACCTGGTAGCTTTATTCCACCAATGCTTCGAAACCTATTTGACGTTAGGTACATTGGGACAAGTGATACCGAGCCTACTGGATTCTCTACAATCAACGAATCTCGCGATTACCCCTTGATGCGGTCCCGCGTCCCTGAAAATATAGGTAGACGAGCCGCGGAGCAACGAAAAGTCGACTTCAGGCGGCCATCAAGCAACGAAAGTGCAGTTAGCAGTGAAGATGAATTGAGTGGCCCAGCGCAGCCAATGAACGTGATGCGAGCACGGGCAGATGATGACATGTCCAACAATTCCAGCTCTGCCGAGACCAAAGACGACAGCGCCTCTGAAACTGACTCCGACCGCATGGCGGATGCAACGAGCCTATTACGAACGGGCAAGGCGCAGAAACGTAAGCAGGCAAGCTCACAGCGTAATCTTCCCTTCATCAAACCTGGCGACGCAATCGTGTTAGACTGGGGCGAAGAGGCATATGATGCCATCTTCGGCGAGGAATGGAGTGATGATGATGAGGATACTCTGCGAGGCAAGCCGACCTGGAAGCACGTTCCAAATCTAGCCGACCCAGAAATCACGTCCAAGCGCCAGCTTCGATCAAAGAAGAAGAAAAGAGGCATTACCCTGGACGAGTGCCTAGACGAATTTGGCCGCGAGGAAATTCTATCTGAGAACGATGCATGGTATTGCCCCCGTTGCAAAGAACATCGACGTGCCAGTAAGAAGTTCGAACTCTGGAAATCGCCTGATATCCTGGTAATGCATCTGAAACGCTTCAGCGCCAACCGAATCTTTAGGGATAAGATTGACGCGGTTGTCGACTTTCCACTTGAGTTAGATATGACTGGCAGAATTCAGATGCCGGAAGAAGGCGAAAGCATGATCTATGATCTTATTGCTGTGGACAACCACTATGGTGGTCTAGGCGGTGGACACTATACTGCCTATGCCAGAAACTTTGTCGACGGCATCTGGTATGAATTTAATGGTGAGTAAAGTGAATTCCATGACTGATATGGACAAAATGCTGATGATATCCGATCCAGACTCTCACGTGACCATGAAGCGCGATCCTACCAGCGTAGTGACCAGCGCAGCATATCTACTGTTCTACCGCCGACGGTCGACTCGCCCTTTAGGCGGCGATTTTTTAGCCAAGTTGACCGAGATGGCGCACGACCGAAACAGCGACTCTGAATCGGCAACGGAATCTCGCTCTGGGTCACCCCCAGCTTCGGGCTCGGGTTCGGGGGAAGGCAAGCGTCTCGGTGGGCTCTCCCGCAATGGGTCGTCGAGCGCTTTACGAGGAGCCGCAGCAACTCGCCAGTCGGGAGATGGTGGTTTGCCAACAGGAATCCAAGCGAAGAGTGATGATGAGCCGCCGGAGTACTCTCACCTCCCCGTCAGCGGCGAGCGGAGCATTCGCCTCTCTCATCTAGAAGGTATGGATGAGGAGGAAGAAGAAGAAGAAGAAGACGATGAAGGGTTTGACGGGACGTTCCAGGCCGGCAGTGCCATCTTCGCACAACAACCTAGCTGGTCCTACGACCGACTTGCCAACCGCGAGGAAGATGAGATGTGCAGCACCTTTGCCGCTCCTCCCGGCTCTTATTACGGAGGAGACGATAATGACGACGCGGCCAGCACCCAGGCAGAACGAGGGGAGGGCGACCTCAGCGAGTTCGACAGAGCGTTCGACATGGACGCGGCCGACGACACGGGAATGGTATTTACCAGCATTCTTGATGACAATGATAATGAGAACCACGGGGTTATTGAGAATATCCGACCTGACCTCGACAATGATTTTGATGATAGCCCAGCCGTGATAGAGGTGCGAGTTGGCGATGAGGAGTTACATTAGACAACACACCAATTGACACAGGCAACAACGATATAGCCACCAGAAGCTGTGTGTTTTGTAAAGGACAACAAAAGTTTCATCTCCAGCATCCATAATCAGGCGTGGCGTTTGTTGTGTTAGTTTTTTCTTTTCTTGTTAGATTATGTTCCTTTCGCTTGTTATCTATTCCTTCAGTCGAGTAGGCAGAAGAGGTAGACAGATTATACTTGTTTTGTGTCTTGTCTGTCTTTTATACTCCTGTTAATACATTTGCAGTCTGGCTAGTTGGGTTATTACATGTTTCTGTCTATTATTAGGCCGCAGAACACAGTTCAGGAGCTGAAAAGTTAGCCACAATAAATACATACTGTGCGAGAGCAGTGTCCTTATAACTAGTTCCTAATTCATTATTGATTTACCTAGATAGTGGCTTAAATGCCCACTATTAGAGTCTACTCTGTAGTACAGTACGGAGTATAGCTGCAACAGATAGTCAAACGCCAGGACGCACAAATAATTTACAGAGCAAGCCGAGACTACACTTAGAAGAGTATGCGTGGAAATGAATGGCCAAACACCGAGGTACTGGCAGTAAAGAGCGTTGGTCCAGCACCAATCATTTGAATGTGGAGGACACTACCCCAGACTATATATCTCCGCTCAGGGGTAAACATTTCATCTCCGTTGGCGACTCCGGAGTACCAACATACGAGTACCTACTCCGTCCTATTAATAGAGTTGGAAGAAAAGGAAGGCTTTTTAATTTAATCTCACTTTCGCCTCGTGCGGTGTGACTGATCAAAATCCTTTGTGCCACGGCCGAACATCTGGCTGGCTGGCTGGCTGGCTGACTATTGAATCTAATCTCGACAAGGCTGAAGCTGAAACAGGAACCGACCCAGCCACATCAACTGTCTCACTGGCGGCCTCGGCTGCTTTGATATTCGGCCGTGGCTCTTGCAAAATACTTTGATGGTTCCAGGACTGCATCGTGATTCTGCATTAAATCTGCGTGTAAGAGGCTGATTGGCGTAGAAGACGCAGGAGAATGGATCCAGAAGATGACGATGCAAAACACAGGAGATAGTATGAAAGACAAGCCAGCTAATCGTACATGATGATACCCAACACCAAGCCCAACCAGCCAACGCCAGCAATGCCGCGAGTGATGCCTTGTGCTGCACCGTAAACGCTCTACGTCTCCGTCTCCGTCACCGTCGCTGCTATCGTGGACGTGGCGGTCGACATCCGCCCACCGACAAAGGTCAAATAGGGCACCAGGCCGGAGAGCTTCTCCTTGGGCTCTCCCGTCGAGCTCGTACCACTGGTTGCTGCACTGGTGCTGGTGGATGTCCGGCTTCCGCTCTCCGTGCCCGTCGACGCTGGCGGCAGGACGCTGACGCTGAGACTGACACTGACCGTTGCAGTGTTAGAGGAAGATGATGCTGATGGCGACGGCGCCAGTCGAGAAGGCGGGTTGAATGCTCCGGCTGAGATGCAGATGCAGAGAGACAGTATAGAGATGAGAGCGACTGCGAGGACGGCGAAGGCGAGCCGGAAGAACCCACATCTACACCTCCTGCCAGTCCCTACCCCTTTGTCTGGTTCTTTGGCAATTTCATTCTCATGTTCATGCTGATGCTGATGCTCGTGTTGGTGCTGGTCATTGTCATTGTCATCGTCACGGTGGCTCCTGGGAGTGCCCGTCCCCATGCGAGTGCCGGTCGTCGAGGGCCCAAGGCGATGAAGCATGCCGGAGATGGAGGTGACCGAGGAGCGAGGCAGGGTGTGTGCTCGCATGGCCGGATGGACGAGCCCGTCTATCGTGTGGGTGCTTGCGTTCATCGCCATGTTCATGTTCATGTTCATGCCCATACCCATGGCATCGATGTCCTTTTCGGCAGTCTGGCCATGGTAGGGGATGCTGTGCTGCCTCTGTGGATGGTCCTCTGGAAAGGTCTCGCGGGAGTAGATGGAGGACGCTGGCCGTGGACGTGGCTGCATCTGGATATAGGATGTGCTCTCTTGTTCCATGGCTGCTCTCTGGCATCAGGCGGAGAGCGAGGGTATATATGGCATGAGCAGTGAAGCTGCGCCCTCATTGTCATTCACGGAGCCTTTATCTCATTATATCACTCCATTATGTTCAGTATAGCCTCTTGTATCATCATCAGTATCAGCATCTCATTCTTATATCAGTATCAGCATCAGCATCAGTATCAGCATCTCTTGTCCAACATCTCATTCTTAGTATCAGCATCAGCATCTCTGTCCAACATCTCATTCTTAGTATCAGCATCAGCATCTCTGTCCAACATCTTATCCTTAGTATCAACATCAGCAGTATAGTATCAACATCTCCTGTATCAGCATCTACCTGCATATCCTGACACTCTTTCTACTGTACTACCCCTATCCCATATCCCTATGATATATCGTATCCCTATCGTATCCCATCATATCCTTGCAGCTCAGCCTCGGGCAGAGTTTTCATGTACCTCTACCTCGCGTGCCTGCCATCGTATGCGCCACCACAAGTACCTCTACCCCGGAGCAGACCGCTCTTCTCCCCCAGCGATCTGCCATAGTCCCGTTGGGGCGTCCGGGGTACTTTGGGGTACCTGGGGTACTTCCAAAAGCAAAGAAGGCCGAAAGGGGCAGCTCAGGGGGCCGGGGGCCGCGTAAAAACAGCACGGGGGAAGGGCCAGGCTGGGACCGTTGGGGGCGCGCCTTGGCGTCTGGGGAAGCAGGGCTGAGTCACGTCTGAGTAAGCGCGCTTCTACCGGCGAGGGGCAGTTCCCTCTTTGGGCGGGCGGTGAGTCGGCGGTGGTACTTTTGGCGGGGTATCTCTGGGTACTGCCAATACCGCCCCCGTCACACTTTTTCCGGTGGATCTTCTCTCGCCCAATAAAAAGCCGTATATTAAGCATTCAGCCCCACTGAACCGCCCAACAAAGCTAGCGCCCTCCGTGGTTACTTTTTTTTTTCATGACGAGAAAATTTCGCCCGTCTGACGTAAGCATGTTGTCATGAAAAAATTTTCATCCTTATCGCCTTTTAAACCCCCCTCGTCCTCCATCTCGACCTCAACTTCTTCTCTCGACATCCATCTTTCAACCACTTCTCATCTCTAAATATCCTCTCCTCCCCTCTCCTCTCCATCTGTATCTTCCATCTTCTACATTACAGTCCTATCCTCATCACCAAGTGACGAGGGAACTGCGCCGGCAGCCCGTACCGCTGCTCCTCACTCCTGTTCACCATTTCACCCTCTTCCAGCACAAAAATGCCTGCCGTCGCCGTTGTGGATTCGACACCAGCTCAGTCGGCTAAGGAGGCCGCCAAGTCAGTCGCTGTCCTCGACGAGCTGCTCAAGACCCTCTCCATCTCGAAGTCCGCAGACGAGGCCAAGGCCGCTGCCAACAGCATCGCCTCGCTCCTCAATGGGCCAACCGAAGAGCACACCGTGCCTGCAAAGTGAGTCTCCTGTTTCAAAGATATTCTAAGATATATATCTAATACTAACTGTAATAGGGCCGTCGAGACGCTGAAGAAGCAGCTCTCCAACAAGAAAGATGCCTCCGCCCGTGAGAAGGCGCTCGACGCCATCCTCGCCATCGCACAGCACTCCTCCGTCTCACCGGCCATGGAGCCCTACATCCTCGCCCTTCTAGCACCCACCCTCGCCGCCGTCAGCGATAAGATGAACTCCGTCAAGGAGCTTGCCCAGCAGGCTGCTCTCGCCATCGTCAAGTCCATCAACGCCAACGCCGTCAAGGCCGCCCTCCCAGCCATCGTCAGCTCCATCCTCACCGCCCAGAAGTGGGCTGAGAAGATGACCGGTCTCGCCTGTATCGAGGCCCTCGTCGAGTCCGCTCCCACCCAGCTCGCCACCCGCGTTCCAGACCTGATCCCAGTCGTCTCCGAGTCCATGTGGGACACTAAGCCAGAGGTCAAGAAGGCCGCCTACGCTACCATGGAGAAGGTCTGCGCCTTGATCTCCAACAAGGATATCGAGCGTTTCATCCCCGAGCTCATCAAGTGTATCGCCAAGCCAGAGAACGTCCCCGAGACCGTCCACTTGCTCGGTGCCACCACCTTCGTCACCGATGTCCACGAGCCTACCCTCGCCATCATGGTCCCCTTGCTCGATCGTGGTCTCGCTGAGCGTGAGACTGCCATCAAGCGTAAGTCTGCCGTCATCGTCGACAACATGTGCAAGCTTGTCGAGGACCCCCAGATCGTCGCTGCTTTCTTGCCAAAGCTCATGCCTGCTTTGGAGAAGAACTTCGACACCCTCGCTGACCCCGAGGCCCGTGAGAAGACCAAGCAAGGTCTCGATACCCTGATCCGTGTCGGTGCCGTCGTCGACGGAAAGATTCCCGAGGTTTCCAAGGCCGGTGACATCGAGACCGTCTCCGCCATCCTCAAGGATATTCTCACCCCCAAGTACAAGGCCCAGATCGCCTCTGCTGCCGCCACCATCGAATACATCTCTGCCATCGCTGGTCAGCTCATCGACGAGAAGGTCGGTGATGTCGCTGACTGGACCGAAAACGTCCTCGCCTACCTGACTGTCATTGTTGGCGAGGAGGAGGCCAAGGCCATGGCTGACACCCTCCGCAAGCGTGCCTCTCCAGTCGCCTCGGCCGAAGCTGAGGTCGAGCCCGATGAGGAGGAAGGTGAAGATCTCTGCAACTGTACCTTCAACTTGGCCTACGGTGCCAAGATCCTGCTCAACCAGACCCATCTCCGCCTCAAGCGTGGCCAGCGTTACGGTCTCCTCGGACCCAACGGTTCCGGTAAATCCACCCTCATGCGTGCCATCAACAACGAGCAGGTCGAGGGTTTTCCCAAGAAGGATGAAGTCAAAACCGTCTTCGTCGAGCACGACCTCGACGCCGCCGACACCGAACAGACCGTTATCGGCTGGACCGAGAAGAAGCTCCGTGAAGTTGGCATCACCACCGAGGTCAGCGCCATCGAGAACCAGCTCGTTGAGTTCGGTTTCGTCCGCGAACAGCTCGACGGACTCATCACCTCCCTCTCCGGTGGATGGAAGATGAAGCTTGCCCTTGCCCGTGCCGTCTTCGAGAAGCCTGACATTCTTTTGCTCGACGAGCCCACCAACCATCTCGACGTCAAGAACGTTGCCTGGCTCGAGGAATACCTCACCAACTCCCCCTGCACATCCATCATCGTCTCTCACGACTCCAAGTTCTTGAACAACGTCATCCAGCACGTCATCCTCTACGAGCGCTTCAAGCTTCGCCGCTACCGTGGTGACTTGACCGCCCTCGTCAAGCGTGTCCCATCTGCCCGCTCCTACTTCGAGCTCGGTGCCTCCGAGATGGAATTCAAGTTCCCAGAGCCAGGTTTCCTTGAGGGTGTCAAGACCAAGGCCAAGGCCATCGTCCGTGTCAGCAAGATGACCTTCCAGTACCCAGGAACCTCCAAGCCTCAAATCAGTGACATCACCTTCCAGTGCTCTCTCGGCTCCCGTATCGCCGTCATTGGACCCAACGGTGCCGGAAAGTCTACCTTGGTCAACGTCCTGACCGGTGAACTTATCCCAACCGCTGGTGACGTTTACCAGCACGAGAACATCCGTATTGCCTACATCAAGCAGCACGCTTTCGCTCATATTGATAACCATCTCGACAAGACCCCATCCGAGTACATCCAATGGCGTTTCGCCACTGGTGAGGATCGTGAGACCATGGACCGTGCCAACAAGATCGTCACCGACGAAGATGAGAAGGCCATGGACAAGATCTACCGCATCGAAGGCTCTCAGCGTCGTGTCATCGGCATCCACTCCCGACGCAAGTTCAAGAACTCTTATGAGTACGAGTGTTCGTTCGCCCTCGGTGAGAACGTCGGCATGAAGAACGAGAAGTGGACTCCCATGATGACCGCAGACAATGCCTGGATCCCACGTACCGAGATTCTCGCCTCCCACGCCAAGATGGTCGCCGAGGTCGATCAGAAGGAAGCCCTCGCTTCCGGTCAGTTCCGTCCTCTAGTCCGCAAGGAAATCGAAGCCCACTGCAGCTTCTTCGGTCTCGATGCTGAGCTCATCTCCCACTCCCGCATGCGCGGTCTCTCCGGTGGTCAGCGTGTCAAGGTCGTCCTTGCCGCTTGCTCGTGGCAACGCCCTCACTTGATCGTCCTTGACGAGCCAACCAACTACCTCGACCGTGACTCCCTCGGTGCCCTCTCCAAGGCCCTCAAGTCCTTCGAGGGTGGTGTCATCATCATTACCCACAGCAAGGAGTTCACTGAGAACCTCACCTCCGAAGTCTGGGCTGTCGTTGACGGAAAGATGACTCCTTCCGGCCACAACTGGGTTCAGGGACAAGGTGCCGGCCCCCGATTGAACGACAAGGGTGACGATGAGGAGGAGAAGTTCGATGCCATGGGCAACAAGATCGCCTCCACCAAGAAGGCCAAGAAGCTTACCTCTTCCGAGCTCCGAAAGAAGAAGAAGGACCGTATGGCTCGCCGCAAGAGAGGTGAGGAGGTCTTCACCGACGAGGATGAGTAAATTATCTCTCCACCTCTACTCTTCTACTCAACATCAACTTCGACTTAACTTAGACGTCGACGGTTGAAGCCTACTTCTGCTTCTTTGCATAATAGAATGGTTTGGAGACGGAAACAAAAAAAGGAGCGATAGAAAAAGTCATGATTCCCCTTTCTTTTCCTATGTTGTTTAATTCCCTCATGTTGCATCATTGACGCTCAAGCTTAGTTACGCTTTCATGTTCTTACTTTTTTCCTGTTTCTTATTTCCTATGTCCATGTCCACCATCAATCAGGATCCGATTCTTCGATACGATTTCTTGTTTTCTTTACACGGCGTCAGTTGGATGGATGCGGATGGCACTTGATGTTTTCTCTTTTTTTTCTTTCTTACCATTGAACGAAATCACCTTAATATTTCCCCTTTCACCCTTTTCATGCCCATTCTTGTTAATTTTCTTCTAGAAACCCAAAACAAAGAATTTTCAATATTTCATTACTCTCTTCTTTCATTTACCTTCTCTCTTCCATACTTTCCTTGGTTGAGTCGGTGCTCGGTGGATAAACTTCATCCGTTCATTAGATCGTTAGCTAGACTTATAGAGCTAGAGTGATAGAGCTAGAGGGTAGAGAGAAGAATCAAAATGGAGCCGTCTTTTTTCGTCAACTTGAAGATTTTTGCAATGCCTTCGTATGATGTAACACATCTGCACAAGTCCATCAGCCTTAGATCCTGCGGGTGGCTGTATACATTAGTAGATGTATATATTTACAAACATTCCAATCATATAGACTGCGATATCCCGTCTCCCCGCGCCCGCCAGCGTCTTCCCCTTATCGCGATGGTGGGATGTCGAAAGTTGCCTATTTTGGCGGGGCTCGGAGGAAAACCCTAAAAGGTTAAATTTTTCTCCCCTCGAAAATTGATGTCAAGGTATAAAATTAAATATAAAAAAAAGCAGCCACCAGTCTCAGTCTGTGTTTTGATCTAGAGCAGATCATGGCGACTTCAGGAGACTCAGCCTCTGTGCCAGTGCCAGTGCCAGAGACATATGATACCCTCTTCACAGCCACTGCTGACGGACAGCGGAGCTACGACTCCCTCCGTCCAACCGAAGCCGAATGCACAGCTCTGCTCACCCACCCGTTCGCGCAGACCGTGCTTGGACACGATATAACGACGGAAGGGGAATCGATCATATCGAGTGTGACCAGAGGCGAGAAATCGTTCACCTCATTAATATCTCACAATATATCATCCATCCTCGCGGCATCAACGGACTTGTCACGCGATCGGTCCAGGTTGATACATCTGGGTCATGCGGCGCTGTGTGCTTTTCTACAGGCCAACGTCACTGGACCGCCATTATCATTTCGAGCTCATGAAGTGGTTATACCGTCGACGCTGCGAGAGAGTCCCCAAACACTACGGAAGGTGCGGGATGAGGTAATAAGGGAGTTATCCGTCAATGGCGAGGCGGTGTATAAGCTTACGCCTAACGTGGAGCTGTTTGCTGCTGCGAAGGCGATATTCACGAATGATAGGGTAGTGGGCGACAGCAATGGGGAGGGCGCGCTGGTTGGACTAACGGGGAGGATGAGGGTGAATTTCCTGCACCAGAAAATGTTGAACGAGAGTGCCGATTCGCTTCAGGGCAGTATATACGATGACGTGGACGCCATTGGTGCTATTGTTCTATCTGATACACCCGGCCAGGAGAGCAATCATGATCAGCTGAAGGAGAGACGGGCTGAGAAGGTACGGTTCATGCTTGAGCGTGCCGTGATACATACGCACCATGGTTTCGATAGCAAGGCCAGAGCAGATCTCTTGAAAGCAGCTAGCACGAACGGATTTGAATTTGCGTTGACGGGCAAGCTGGGGAGGAGGACGAAGTTCCAGGACAGAGACATCAGCCAGCTAGTTGTCCTGGCAAAGAGTGCTAGTGATGGCGATGAGAAAGACAATGTCCCCGACAGCAAGGTGGACGTGGAGCCAAAGAATCTAGATCTCAATGATGATACTCTTCTTGAGTCGATTGCGTTTAAAAAGGATGAAGGCGAAGATGGGTTTAAGCAGGTGTCTGTCCAGGATCAGTCGTCCCTGCCTGCCAGTCTGGCGAAGCTCGATGCTGCAAACCAACCACGCCTGAACCCACTGGATTCCATTATGCTGCTCTCTCTTGCATCCGCCATTACAAATACGTCGCCAGAGGATGGATTAACTCGCGAAGAGACCATCCCCTACGCCATTCGTGTTCTCGAAGGCGGCAGTTCCAACTGGCAGGTCTACTCGCAGGCCCTCCTCGTTCGTAGCAGGATTGAAGGATACCGCTCGCGAACAGTTGAGCGTTCCGTCCTACAGCTACAAGCTCTCGTCGACCAGGTTATTGCAGATACAGCAAGTGATACCCCTACCACCGCGTCAGAAGCAGACACCGCAGCCGTAGAGCAGCCGACTACATTCCTCCCTCGACCTGAAGCTTCCGAATCAGCGCCCGCTGCGGAGCGACTCGAGTACCTCTGGCTTCTCAACTTCTCTACAAGATGGCATCTCGAGTCTGAGCTCGCGCAGCGGTGGGTTAGCCTGGGTGCTCTGCGTACTGCGCTGGATATCTATGAGAGACTACAGATGTGGGCGGAGGCAGCCCTATGTTATGCGGCGACCGATCGAGAAGAGACAGCAAAAATGATCGTCAGGAAGCAGCTTTATGAACGCACCAAACCGGCTACAAGTGCTGATGAAGATCATAACGATACGTTTGAAGGTCCTGAGCTCTCCCCGCTACCGTCAGACGCACCACGGCTGTTCTGTATACTAGGAGATATCGACCATGACGCAGCAATGTACGAGCGTGCCTGGGTAGTATCTAATAAGAGATACGCACGAGCGCAACGATCTCTTGCCAGGCTGTATATGCAAGAGAAGCCACCGAACTTCATAAAGGCAGAACAAGCATACAAGCTTAGTCTAACGGTGACTCGCCTCAATCACGCTACGTGGTTTGCGCTGGGCTGCATCCAGATTGAATTAGAGAAGTGGGAAGAGGCCATTGACTCGTTCACGCGAACCGTTCAGCTAGAGGAAACAGATGCTGAAGCTTGGAGTAACCTTGCAGTAGCGCTGTTGAATGCTCCTCCCAGGAGTACCCCGGTCATCAACGATATACCACGAGCCAAGGCACTTGATGATGAAGAAGAGGAAGAAAAAAAAAATGAAAACGCAAACGTTGACGGGGACAAGGTTGACGTCTACAAGCAGAAACGAGACGCTCTAGCTGCTCTTCACCGTGCAGCGCGATTTAAACACACTAGCCACCGTATCTGGGATAATATCCTTACAGTGAGCTCATCGATCCCGCCTCCTAGCACTCCTTTCCGTGACGTCCTCCTCGCACAAACACGAATAATAGAACTTCGTGGAGACAAAGATGGCGAGAAGTGCATCGACATCTCAATTCTGACTGCCCTGGTAAGAACGCTCACCACACCTCGTGAGGGCAGTAGCATCTCCGTCAAATTTGATCCATCTGTCATTCGAACTGGTTCATTACATGGTCGACTACTCAGACTGTTCGACGACCACATAATACCTCTAATAACACACTCTCCAGAACTTTGGTTGCTTGTCGCCGAGATAGAGAAATGGCGAGGACGCCCTTCCAAGGCCCTTGCTGCGCATGAAAAGGCATGGCGTGCAGCAATCTCATCATGTTCACAGGGGGCATATCAAATGGGTGAAGAATCTAAATGGAACGAAATTGTTACTGCTACCGAAACGCTCGTCAGGAAAGGATACGCTGTTTACGGCGGGATGGACAAGGAGATTGAAGATTCCTCAGAACAAGGCGAAGAGGGTGGAGAGCTGGTCGCTAAAGACTGGAGGTTCAAATCCAGAAGTGCCGTTAGGGGGATACTTGGTAAGGGCAAGCAATTTTGGGATGGCAATGAGGGATGGGTACGATTGGATGACCTATTGAGGGAAGTCAGCGGCTCATGAACGCCTGGTGAATTGGGTACTATATTTTATCGTTTTCAATATTATTGACTGTCTATATAGATCCAAAGACACAGAAAAGCAACAGAGAAAACTACTTTCTATACCACATGCGTGTTGTGCGCTGATTCTTGATCTTCTTCTGCAATTGCAGGATTCCGTACAAGAACGCCTCTGCCGTCGGGGGGCATCCAGGCACATACACATCAACAGGAAGCAACCTGTCCACACCCCTAACCACGCTATAGCTATAGTGATAATATCCTCCACCATTCGCACAGCTACCTATACTAATCACCCACTTCGGATCCGGCATCTGGTCATACAGCAATCTAATAGCTGGGCCCATCTTGTTTGTCACTGTTCCTGAGACAATAAGCACATCCGCCTGGCGCGGCGAAGCACGGTATATGATGCCCATGCGGTCAAGATCATAACGCGGCATTGAGACGGCCATCATTTCCACGCCACAGCATGCCAGGCCGAAGGTTAGAGGCCACAGGGATCCCTGACGAGCCCAGTTGGCAATTTGGTCGAATTTGGTCCTATACACATCAGTCTGTGTGCATTTATCAGGCGGCAGAGAGGCATCTGAGCGTACATGATATGTCGAAAGGCCGTAGGCTCTTCACCCTGGCTGGGCAGCGTAACCTCCATCCGTTTGGGACGGGTCGTCATGGCCGTGGAACTGTTGTTTTTCATGCGCCTATCGATGAATGTGGGCGGCGTTGCAGCGGCTGTGGATATGGGGGCTCTCCCTCCTATGCTGACGGGTGCCAGAGACACACACTGAGGATGAAAGACATGGATACGATTCCCGGTATATCGGCAGAGGGCTAGATATCAGAACATCTCGGCAAGAAATTGTTAGTAAATGGCATAAAATGGCCAAACTGGCTCCCGCGCAAAGGGGCCGATGGGGTTCAAATCCAACGAAAAGTAGTACCAGCCTTTTACTCTCACCGTATGAGCCATGTTTATAGATCTAGTCATCGTCAGCAGGTGCTAAAAGGGAATACCGGCAACCAAAGTGACTATCCAACGAGGGGAAAAAGAAAGAAAACACCTCCAGAAACTGTTTCTCTACAGAACAGGATTCAGGGAATGGAAACTACGTCGATTTAATGCGTCTCGCAACCATTACTAGATATAGTAATATTAGCGTATTCACGGCATATCGGGAGATGTCGGAACCGACATGCATAGAAATGATCGGTTTCCAGAAGGAAATTGATGTATAGTCACCGGTCACGCTGTAGATGCTCCTCCGTAAATCATTACGTCTATTTAGTCGCTCCAGACGTGGTTGTTATACGATGTTTATTGCTCGTGGAATCACCGATCCACCGATGAAGTACGCGGAGGACCGTCTTGGCAGGAACTGGAGAGACCATCGACGATGAAGGCATTACATATCACGGAGACATTAGGTAACGAGTTAGAAATTATCATATTATTATTAGAACGCCGCTTGGTTCTTTAAAGAAAGAAAGGAAAAAAAAAAAAATCTAAGTTTAAAGATATATACTGCCGCCTATTATTATAACTATTATTTGTCTTCGAACTCTTCATCGTCTTTTTTCTTCTCCTTCCAGAGGAGGAAACATATGGTCACAGCTGCTTTAATCGCAGTAGCTAGCCACAGTGAGGCAGACAAGCCACTCACTTTCGACAAGCCACCAGAAAGCATGGCACCGGAAAACGCAGCCAGCAACGTCAAAAGCCGTCGAGTGCGGATGTCGCTCATCTTCCACCGCGGTAGGAAAGTAAACAGCTTTTTGTCCATAAGTAAGTCACACAGAACGGTCGTCAGGACTATGGTAGGTAACTCATCGATACCGAGCAAGCGCGATGTGACTATCTGACCGGCAGCTTGGAAGGCCAGGATGGCGATAGGCAAGATCTGGATCCAGTGAACCTCCCCCATGGGGACATCAGCACTTGAGCCCACGACTCCAGTCTGTACGAGAATGCTGGCAGCAAGGATAGCGCAGGTCTGAACCGCAAACGACGAGACAAGGGTTGATCTTCGGAGTGGACGGAGGAATCGAGAGGTATAGTTGAAGAAGAGGACCCCCAGGGAAAAGGTGGCGATGGCAACCAGAGACTTGGCCCATCTGTTCGGTGGGTAACGCGGTTGACCCGAGGCTCCGAGAGCGAGGAAGACGACGTTTCCTACGTTGAGCGGTCAGAGGCATAGATCTTGACAACAGTATGTAGGGGAGGGAACTTACCTGTCTGCATATTTGCAAAGCTGCCCCAGGCACTGAAGGCTGCACTGTCGATAACCCCCGAGATGAACGCACAGATTATCAAGAGTACTTCAGCGCCAGACGGGTTGATCTCCCGCTTCAGATACTGGATTATGCCTCCCTCTGAAGGTTCCGTATTCTCATCAACGTCATCCAGGTAGCCAGCTACCATTGTCATAGACGAGTTTCCAGACGGGATCGGGCCAGGACGGGCCCTCGTGGGAGGAGACCGCAGAGCTTGCTCAATGTCATAGTCTCTTCCTCCCTTTAGCTTGGCCGAGGCGGTGATGGGCTCTGGGAGTCGGACAGAGGTATCAAACCTCACGGACGGCTCGAAGGACATCTTCGACATCTTTGACATCTTTTTGCTGGTGGTAGGCAGAGAAGAAGGGTATCTGAGGGATGCTTCTCTTTGACCGGTGGAAGATTCGGAAGCAGCTTGTCAGTCTGTGGCGGCCCATGGTATATATTCCTCTAAGAAGATCCTCCCTTAGCTGAGACACCAGGGTCATGCTCTTATACATGTTCGAGCCAGCAAGACCGGAAGAGATGATCATGGTTGAAGACGAAGAAAAAGCATACGAAGAAGAAACAAGCTCCTTCCTCGCCCCGGCTGATAGATCTGAAACCCGCTACTCCTTGAAGCGGAAAGAACCAGGAGGAGGAGGAGGAGCCTGTGGAGCAAAACAACGGACCAGCTAAACTAGCCCCTTGGTGAGCCAAATAATGCTTAACTTGTAGCTACGTGGTTGAGAGAGCTATACCTTGAGGTCCTGGAGTCTCATCATACCAGGGCTTCCTGGCTGTGGCGGAGCAGGCTGATAGTATCAGAACCGATGATCAAGGCTCGCGACGGCACAAGGGACATGCGGCAGCTCGCCGAAGCCGTTCTCCCACAGAATAGGATGGGATGTTTCATTCGGACGAGGATCGTGAGGATCGCGAGAACCGCGAGCGATAAGAGCTGACGAAAGGGTATATCAGATTAAGGTTAGAGTTCATCTTGGCTCCCGAACCCATAAAATCCAGCTCAAGCTCCGGCAAGTGAAAAGGCTTCGCTGATACGAGTCAGACCTGACACGGAGTTGGTTTTCAACGCCTAAGACCTGACCGACGAAATCGCAGCCCAACTGATAAGCCGATCAGCATCCGCCAAGCGCTAGGCGAGAATGCGTATGCGAGCAGAACGCCACCACAGTTCGTTTAAGACGCCTAGCCTCTCGCAGCGTGGGTTGAGCGCGTGGATCGGAGAAAACGCGACAGGTTTGGTGGCTGAGATTGGGCGAGAGCCAGGAACGAGCGAGAGGAACCCAAGACTCTGGAACAGATCCGTATTCTCTAGACCACGTTAGCTTGAGATTCGTCCTGGCGGTGTGACCGCATCCCTATCTAGATGCGAGCGCGATAACAGTAATTTTGTTGAGATGCCAATGAGAGCGCTTCCGGGCCTCAAGGAAGCCAAGGGCCAAGCAGACGTAGAGGGCGGTGGGAGGGAGGTCCCGGAGTCCCCTCCGCTACATGTTGCACAGAGGGATCCATGGCGCTTCCTCCATAGCGGGTGACCTGGTCGGGAGCCATAAATAGCAGTTGTTTATGGGATTGGAATCGGAGGAATGCCAACGGATGACAGGCGAATTCGCGTCATGCATGCGGCTGCCACGAGCTGTAGATGTAAGCTGGGAATAGTATCACGATTCAATATAGCCAAGAATAAGGAAGGGAAAAGATCGGATCGTATACACAGCAACAGTAACGATCATTAATCATAACAATATATACACCATAGGAAGGGGCTCTAAGGGAATACGGCGGCATCTCAGGACGAAGGCTCTATAATGGTCAGCTTACTACTGCCATCCACACCCCCCTAATCGCTGTCGCTGCTGTCAGAGGACGAGGACCCGGAACCATGGCCTCTCTTCTTTTCCTTCTTGTGTTTTTTGTCCTTCTTGTGGTGCTTGTCACCCTTGTGCTTCTTCTTATGGCTGTTTTAATGGCAGGCATTGTCAGCATCCCAGCGATATTCTATACCGGATGAAGTGGAGAATGATGGGAAATTGCATTGAGTCAACAAAGGAGATGGCTTACTCCTTAATAGCATGTCCGGCGACGTTAGCTCCCACAGCACCGATAACAGCGCCACCGATGGTGCCCAACGCCCCTCCGCCAAGCTTGTTGCCCATGAACCCACCTCCTGCCGCCCCGATCAACGCCGTTCCCAGTCCTCTCTCACCATCAGGACCTCCTGGACCTCCTGGACCACCTGGACCACCTGGTCCCTGAGGGTATGCAGACGCCCCTTGCATGCCGCCATGTTGTGGTGGAGCACCACCGTAGTACGCGTTACTCTCACCGTGATACGGCTGCTGGCCCGTGGGAGGGAACCCGCCACCATACTGCGGTTGATCTCTGTTATCAGAGTGCTGAGGAGCGCCATATTGCTGCTATAGATGGTATATTATTAGCTGTTTTATATGTAGTATCATCTTGCCGCGAGGATGTCTTACCTGGTGCTGGGGAGCTTGGTCGTAGTAGCCACCTTGCTGGGGAGCACCGTAAGGCTGGCCCCCGTATGGCTGCTGGTGCTGTTGGTGCTGTTGGTACTGGTCCTGGCCTTGGTTATACTGACCTTGCTGCTGTCCGTAGTTGTCATAGCCGCCCTGCTGAGGGGGCCCTCCGCCGTAGTATCCAGACATGATGGGTATAGAAAAGGACGTGAGAGGAAGTACTCTAGTTAGCTAGAAGAGCCGTAGATATCAAAGGGAGTTATATCAAGATATGGAGAGGAAGAGGGAGATGAAGCTGTACAGGAGAAGACGTGAGGTCGTGAAGTAGTTCTTATGTTGGCTTCACCCGAGATCCCGTGACCCCGCCCTTGGTATGGCGGGGTCACGCGCTAGACTTCTTCTAGAACTCACGTGGAGACATGGGCTTGGCATGGTGCCAAGCTTTTTCAGCCGCACTTTCTTTTCTTGATAAACTATTGTCATTTTGCATTCATAGATACTCGGCACGGAATACAAGAAAAGAAGAAGACGAAGGAGAGTACGAAGGAGACAGAAACATTCAGTCATTGAAGTAGGCTAAGCCAACAAAGAAAACAGACAAGGCTTCGACATATTAACCCAGTTGGGAAAAGAATTGGATTATAAGCGGGAGCCAGCATCCCAGCCAAAGTATCAGCATCGTACTCCGTATTCCTCGACCTCACCAAATTCCCCGATCCGGTATAGCGTTCCTGATCGGGCAAGGCGTCTCCTATTAGCGCATGACAGTATAGACAGCTCTCCTCGCCGCTTTAGCCACCTCGTCCAGCTCCAGCCTCGCGCTGCCACGTATCACGCCTTGGCCCTGCCTCCTCGTCTACCAGTTATATCGTCGCACTTCGTCACGTTCTGCTGCTAGGCTAGGATTACAAGAAATTAAATGCTGTATTTGCGGCGTCGCCCTCCTTTCCCCTCCTCATCCGCGAATTATATCTGAGTATAAAAGGTCACGTGCTGCACTAAGCTAGAAGTAGAAGAAATTTAATGCCGCATCATGGTGCTGTCTTCCCTCAGCCTTCGCATCTGAATTATACTGCATAGGTTCGACACTTCGTTGCAGCAAGGCTCTCCCATCTCATCCATTCGAGACCCTGTTTATTTATAGGACTTCCCCTCAGAGAGGCGCAGGCGGCACGGGCCAGGGGCGCGTTCTATTTTCTACAGGTTAGCCGCCCTCATGATGGCCTACAGCAGGTGGCAAGGCGAGTTGGGTGCCGCACTTTCAGGAATAGGAAAATCGGTCCCTAGCACTAACGAGAATGCGTTTAGTAAGTTCTCGTCTATATAGTAATACAGAGACTTTCACCGCTGTATGAAGCAATTATTACCATGTATTTTAACGTTCTTCTGTCCTTCCGCTTATGTAACCAAGTACTTAATGCCAACCTTGATAGGATCTTTGCTGTGCAGGACCAACACTGAAGCACCACGTGATTTTTACATTACTGCAGGTGGGTACCTAGGTAGTAGCCTGGTACTTCTGTAAATTGGAGCTGGTAGGGTAAACACCTAATTTTTCCACGTGATCAACTAGACTATCTAAGTTCCAAGTCCTTAAGTAGCGCCTATCTATTGAGATACCTTTCACGATTCAATCTTAACCCACTTCTACGCACAATTTCGCACTTGCTCACTGTGAGGCCTAACCCGAATATGCTGGTTAGGCAAAACCATTCTAGAAAAATATACCCTAGCTTCCTAGCCCCTTTCAGCTCTACCAAGCCGAGCCTTATCGGCTACTAAGATGCATTTTGTGCTCGATATCATGTGCTATGCCTTGGTCCTCTAAACTTGGCCCGCTCGCTAGTATGTTACAATTGCCCATGCAAGCCTTCCTTCCCGCTATGTACGTTGTTTGGGGTCTTAAAGGGACCATGGTCGCCCGTGCTCCGCGCCCAGAGACTCACTCGAGTTGCCGTGGGTCGATATCTCTTCGCTAAGTAGATGGGTATCAACTGAAGTTCCATGACTTGGAGGCTCCGTTCTCTGTCTCTTCATTTGAGGCGCTTTATGTTGCTCCATTTCAGAAAGGCTCGTTGGGTGCTCGGCCGGTGTCTTGCTATAAGCCCCAGCATGCACCACTTCAAGCCCTGGTCTGGTGGAAATAGCTTTATCATCGGGTCTGCCTCCAAATATCTCGCCGTGGACCCTCCTGATATGCTGTTGAAGTTCCAATTCGGTAAAGCGTTCGTCACACTGGCTGCATTCAACCAACCGGCCATGTACTCTATAAATGTGTTGATCCATCGTCATTTTGGTAGAGAGGGTCCTGTCACATCGGTTGCATTCGAATATCTTCTTGTCGTGGCTCTGTACGATATGATCCCGACGCTTTCTTTTGGTAGAGAAGCTCTTCTCGCATTGGCTGCATCCGTATATGTTCCAGCCGTGGACTGATTCAATATGCCGCCGAAGCTCCGTTCTACTATAACGTTTATCACACTGGCTGCATTTGACCTTCTCGCCGTGGACCCTATCGATATGCTGCTGACGCGCCTTTATGTTAGAGAAGATCTTATCACATGTGCTGCATTCATATATCTTCCTGCCGTGAACTGTTTCAATATGCCTTTCAAGTCCCTCTTTAGGAACGCGTTTATCACACTGGCTGTATTTGATTTTCTCGCCGTGGACCCTTTTAAGATGCCCTTTAAGCCCCTCTTCGGTAAGGTATGTATCACACTGGCTGCATCTGAACTTCTCGCCATGGATCCTTTTCATATGCCCTTCAAGTCTCCTTTTGGTAATATGTTTTTCACACTGGCTGCATTTGATCTTCTCGCCGTGGTTCTTCTTAATATACCCTATAAGCCCTTCTTTAGTAACGTGTTAATTCCACTGGCCGCATTTAGCCTTCATGCTATGGGTGCTAGAACCTTCTTTGCTTGGAAAGATGTTGGTACCTATTAACGAACTTGAAAGATCTAAGATTTGATTCTTCATGATTACCAGAAGCCAAACTGGTACTCCGGAGGTTGGACCTTATTTGAAAAGAGGGAGAAAGAAAGACTTGGGTTTGGAGAGCTGGAGGGTAGGGTCTTGATTAATGGAATGTCGCTCATTATAAAGGGGGAGCCACGCACTATAGCCATGCTTTATTACTGCCGTCTACATTACAGCTAGCGGGTTAACCACAAGCTAGTATTGGAATAAAAAACGGATAGCTATAATTAATGGCTGTTTAATTACTAACTGACAAAAGGATAATGGAATGTGCATCTGCTGTTCGATCACTGCAACCCCTGATGTAGCTTATAAGACTATAAGTGAAGGGTCATATTAAGAACATACGGCCTATTTTTACAGCCTCTGACGCTTCTCCATCACGCCCTCTTGACTAATGCCTGGCCTCTTCTTCCCTCGCAAACTATCCTGCTCAACCTCTCCTAAACTCGCGAGGTTCCTCGACCCCCGTAGGCTCATTTTCTCATTCGGGGGGTATTGGGGCGGTAGCTGGATATTTTCTTTTCCACATCCTCGATTACACCCGCGGCAGCATCTCCCTTGCCTGCATCGTAAAGGTATCGTAGCGGGCCCTTCCCATACTCCTAGGCTTTGCAGATCATCCGACTCCTCAGATCTTATCTCCATAATAGGGTCGAAGACGCCGAGGGTGATCTCGAGGAGACGCTTAATCACATCCTCTTCCACATTTTTGTATAATGGCGATGACTGGGCGAGAGATACAATATCTTTAGCGCGTATTTGAGGCCGGAGGCGTTCTAATACCTTTGGCGCGGCAATATAACACCCCAATCCAGCACAAAGTATTATAAGCTTCTGTGTCGCAGTGAATCTTGTGCTCCTCCGGCCCATAATCTGTTCTTCTCCAGTTTCTAGAATCCTCTTGATCCCGGTGACCAGCTCTGTGTATTGTTCCTCTATATCAGTAGCACTAAAATAACAGTGCTTGAACAGCAGAAGGTTTTGGCAGTAACCAGATACAAATAAAGCATCCAAGGTCTCATGGTCCTCAAGTTCTGCAGCCCACTCATCCTTCTCCCAGAGCTGTATTTCCTCGAGGTTTCGGCGCTGAGACCTCATGTCCTGTCTCATATCCTGCGTATTCACTACAGTGTAAAGGATAGCGGCGCAAATAAGGTATATATGGCTGGGTTCGGGTTTAAACTAGTATTTAGTAAGTATAATAAACAAAGGTGGGGAGGGTAAGTTCTTACCATGACTGAATCCGTGGTACCCGGGGAAATTGGGTCGGTGTAGGGATATGGGTCGTCATCGACTACCGTAGACGTCTCAGAGAATTCCTCGTTGACAGGTAGAAGATCACCTGATAGGGACTGAATTCGCTGGTGTAGTGAATCTTGTAGGTATTCTAGATTGTTGTGTATGGCTAGCCAATGGACTGTATCTTGAGCCTTCCCAAGTGACTTTATGATTTTGTCTGCCTATCCAATCTGAGCGGCGATTGAATTTTGATGAGGGCACTCTGACTGGCGTAAGACCTCTGGGTTTTTATCGCATAGATACTCTATACGGAGCCATAACTTGTGTAAGTCTACCCTCAAAATATAGATTGATCCTTCCGAGTGCGCGTTAAAATTTGCCTTCGCGTTGACAAGGCCGTCTCTTATCGTTTCGAAGAAATCTTTGCTCACTCTCTCGTGCAATTTCTGGCGATCCTGAAGGGCCTCACTTATCATATTCCGCGCCGCAAGCCGTTTGTATTCAGCATAGACACCCTGTTTATCAGATTTATCCGCATTGGCAGCAGCATCTAGAAAGTCGCCTTTGTTGTCGCGGATGAAGCGGCTATCCACGGGGAGAGAGTTGGGTATATCCGGCTTCACTGGGCTTGCCACAAGGCAATATTTATTGCCCCAGAATATATGGCAGTCCTTGATTGCACGAAGCTCCTTAATGGTGGCAAGGGTTGCAGATATATCTGATTTTTGCAGGTTGATGCAGTAGATCTTGAAACAAGTTGCCATTGCTGTGAAGAGGTATACCAAATTGGAGCCAGAAAAAATAATGGTACATTTCGGACTATCTCCCTGGGGAGGATGACCTTTTATAACCTGTTCTTCCACCAAAAACGACTATAGGATACACACTCCTGAGCCTAACCTTGTCGAAGCAAACGCGACATTGATTTGCCTTGTGGGGCATTTAGGTAGGCTTATCAATGACAAGGTAGGGGGCAGGGTCACATGGCTCTTGTAACATTTTTTGACTTAAAGCGTTTCGGCATCAATTCTGATACGGCAAGGCAATTGGTTTACCTATAATGGTATACTCCCATGACTCCCACGTACCGAAACGACAAATATCACGTGAGAAATGGAGCTGGATAGCCACTTTAGCTACGTCATGCACCAATAAAAGACTATTGTAATAGTTTAATTACCCCGCCATGAGATATAAAGGAAATGGAGGGGAAAAAAATAGAACCAGAATCAAACCCTTAGGTCTTCAACAATGGCAGAAGCTCTTCCAACTGAACATACCCTCCCAGACTCGGAGGATGAATGTAACAAACTGGGAAAATGGCTTTGTGAATCTACCACAAAGTTTGAACCTAAGCACGGGATAAACGAGTGCGTTGACGAGAGTCTTAACAATAAAATTAAGCCACTTTTTCGCAAATTGGTCTGTTAGTACAGCCCCTTTCTTTATATTTCGGTTTACTAACCTCTTCAGGGCTTCGAAGAGAATCCAGACTATCGGGTATTTCATATGAGCGATAAAATTCATCTACGGCTCCCAGAAGATCGCTACCCTTACGATGCTATTGCTCTCGGCGGACAAAAATTATCAAATGCAACAATTTCATACGCAGAAACTAGCGCGAAAGTTCAAGTGAAAATTGGAACATTTATTCGAGTGACAAGACACGCCTACTTTACATCGGATTGGTATTGTTTAGTGATCCCAAAATCTGGCCTTAAGGAGTGATTTCGGGCCAAGGATAGTTGCATGTATGCTCATTAAGCCAAGCGTACTCGACCGTGTTGAATATACCCCCCCAGGGATATTCGATTGTGGAAGAGAGGTTTTTGTCGGAAAGGTTTATATTCCTATGGTTGTCTTAAAACAGTTAGCAGAAACGCGTTTATATATTTATTTTGGGATGTAAACTTACTCTTATCATGTTCCGTTGCTTCAGGAAACTGATCTGGCCTACTATCAGGAAGTATCGGCCCACCAGGATCATCTCCAGTCATTTCCTCCGGCATATCAATCTCGACGATCCGGTCAGAGTGCCCTTCAGGGTAAGGTATGAGAACGCTACTGGTGGAAGAGGTATCGCCTATACAACACATCAGCTTGATCCCTGTGCCATGACCAGCGAGTTCATTACCTCCCCCCCCTCCATTCAATCTCCTACGCTGCGAGATTTGGTGTCCATTACTATTCTCTACTGGGTAGGGCCGCTTGTTCGTTTCGTTCGCGCGGGGTTGCCCTACAGCCATGTCGTCAGAGGCACCCGGGTGCTGGGGGTATATAGTAGGGTTGCTAGCTGCCTGGTTACTCTGCAGCGATAGGCTGAAGGAGTCGGCAGGTAGTACATCATCGTGTGTACATCTTGGAGCTGGCGTTGGCCAGGAACTATGGCCACCTTGGTAATCGAGGTTACCTTCGCCTCCGGTATTACTAACATTATCAATGTGGGAACGAGTCGTTTTGTCTTGCGCATTGAGAGGGTGACCCTGTGTCAATAGGTCCCGAATGTTCATAGGGGGTGTTCTATCGAAGGTTCCGCCGCCCATCGCGGTCATCGGATCACACGCTAGAATGGGCGAAACTATCTCAGATCCAGCGTTCTCGGAACTAGCATCCTCAGGACCAGCGTTCTCGGGACCAGCGTTCTCGGGACCAGCGTTCTTTTTGGGAACAACATCTAATGATTAGCTGTTAGGCTGTTAGGTCGATTAATTGATTCCTAGACTTATTCTTACCTCGGGCGAAGTCACTCCTCAGATCTGCAAACCATGGCGATAGAGCCTCGATTCGATCGATTATTAAAGGATCTGGTGCAACCTCATCTGGTGCAAACTCATCGGGTGTATCCTTAACGGGTTCCTTCTCGGAGAGTATCAAATTAATAACATCGGGGTATAGATCGAGGGTCAGCAACCGAAACTTCTTAAAAACGAATATTAGAATAGCGAGCGTTCCTTCAAAGATGTCCTTTTCAGTCTTCCTTTGGAATAGTTTCGCGAAGGTCATCTTGTATATACCCGCTTTTATCCCCCTACTGACCACATCTTCAAACTCAGGATGCTTTATTCTTGCATAACGAATCATCTTCCCATTTTTCTTAGGCGCCTTTGAAAGTAGGGAGCAGATAACATCTACCCTGGCGGGAACAATCTTTTCTTCCCTCTCCCAATCGCAGAAACCTGAGGCATGTGAGAGCTGAGAGAGTCCCATAAGGACTATCTCCAGCTCGCTGGGAGATCTATTACCGTCAACCGCCGTTAAGTATTGTATGGTTGGGTCGATGGCCGGCCTCCCTTTCTCCTCGAGCAAAATCGAAGCTAGGATCGGGTACTTCTTCGAAAGAAGCTCAAGCTTTGTCAAACCGCCTCTCACTAGATCGAGGAACTCATAGTTATCTCTTGGTGGTTGTTTTGGGAGTTTTGGGTTCTCTGTAATCGTCGAACCCTCTACAGGCGGTAGTGAGCTAGGGATGGCGACGGGCGAACTCGAAGGCACCAAGGAGGAATTGCAGGAATGGCCCACGGAGCCGCTATCTGATGATGCTAGAGGAAAAGATGGAGACCTGTCCACACCTTCCGTTGAGGTTGCTGAATCGACATCAGTATTTGGGTTCTCTTCGTTATCAATAGAGTTAACAACTGCCTTAACAGATTTCCAGGCATCCGAGTCGCGACAGGCATAGAGTGTTGCGCGAGAAGTATTAGCAATAATTTCTAGAGCACGTTGCAGCTCGAGGGGAAGCGTAGAGTGAGGCATCGCTAGATCTTGTTTTTCATTGTAAGAGAGAGGAAAGAGGAAAACTGAGCTGGGTGTCCAGACCTGGTGGATATCCATGTGCCACATGTGATCTTGCTAGCGTCCCCGAAGGAGGCGGGGAAGGCTTTGGCCAACCAGGAGCCCGTCAATATTGACTCCCACCGTCCAGCTCCTAGCTTGTCAGCGGTCCACGTCATGCAGCCTTCGCACCACTTATGGTTATTTACGTGCCAAGGTACTACTCCTGCGTTCAACGGAAAATATTGATACGAGTATGAGACCAGAGCTGAAATATTTGATATCAGCGATTATCTATAAGATAGCTCACCGCCCTTGGGCATGGACGCCTTTCTGCCTTCCCCTTGCATGCCCCATTTCAGCCTGATGGTTCGCAATCCTCCGGTAGCCGTTTCCACAAGATGTTTGAAATTCTCTCCTGGCTGACACAATGTTGGGGCGCGAGGCCGAAGACGCCTGAGCAGTGCAGCGCCCTTCCGCTACCCGGGTAGGTCATGCCTTCCTTACCTAACATGTTCTACGTAAGCTAAGGATCACAGATCTGACGGGGATTGCCTCTACGTGAATGATGTTAAGCACGTCAAGAGAATTTATAAGGTCTATAGTGACGACGCGCTAATCAAGGTTCAGACCAAGCTCGGTAAGGAGAAACTTGGGCTCTGCTCTCTCGAAGAGCTGCGGCGGATGCCAGGAGTGAAGACAGCTGTTGCAATGGGCGGAATAAATATTCCCCCGGATTTTGAAGCCTCAATCTGGCCCTACGAAACTTATAGGTATACCCTCATGTACTCCAACTTCTACTCTTGCGGCCAACTTATTAATTAGTTTTAAGCCGAGAGGCTATCAATGACTCCACAGCTGTTGACTAGGTCGAAATTTATGAAGGTATTGAACACGTCAAAGGGAGTTACTTTGTTTGGGCCGTGATCTCCAGAGGTGGAAAACGTGTTAAGGTGATTTTCAAAAGCATACACGAGTACCTCCTATGTGAACAGGCGATAGCCGTTATCCCGAATCGCGACCGGGACACGTTCGAACAATACCGAAAGATGGAGGAGAGCGGACCCCGGCAGCCGCCAAGAGTGAAGGCCAGTGAGAGCTACAATGACTGGAGCCTCGATTGAGAAGAATAAAATCTTATTCTGCGATAAATACGTTACTATTTCTGTTTCGGCGTTATTATTTGTTTCTTGGCATATGTGCTGGAATATTAGTCGAGTTCGATATATGACTTGTGCCGCATTTGAGATGTCATTTCCTCGCTACAGAGCTAGAGGCATGTACAGCATATAAAGCTCACCGAATTCCTGTCTTTTCTATTCATCTTGCTCTATGCAAGCTTCTACGCGCACAATGGATCTGTCCTGAATTCCCCAGATATATCTATAAACCAACTCCCGACAAGGCACAATGGCTCTCCCTCTGGTATGACTACCCATTGAAGCTTTTGCGAACTCGTCTAACTTTTCTCCAGGAGACGGTTGACGGCTATAAACTCATTAAGCACATTCAGGATGACGTCTACCTTGGTTATCGTCAGATCCAGGGTGCTGGGCTATTAGAGGACGACCGTAAGGTGATGATCAAGCTGGAGGCGCGCGATACGGACGCACCGTCCCTTGAACGCGAGGTCAAGAATCTTCTATCTTTTTCGGGGGAAATTGGTTTTCCCCTGGTCGAACGCTATGGCGCCAAAGACGGGTATAGATTCATGGTCTGCCGCCTCGCCGGTCCTACCTTGGAGGGTTTATTGGGATGGTGTAGGGCGTTCTCCCTAAAGACCGTCCTCCTCCTCGCCGAGCAGCTCATAAGCCGCATTGAGGTCATTCATCGCCGGTCTTTCATTCACGGCGGGATACGGCCTGGTGCGTTTGCCTTGGGCACTGTAAAGGCCTTAAATCAGGTCACGCTTGTTGAGGTAGCTGGATTGATCACGGAACACCCGCGGCGTAATGATGCCCGGTATTCCGACCTTGAGGGGCTCACACTCATGCTCATCTATATGTGCCGCAGGCTAGCGCCATGGGACGGGCTCCAGATCGACCTTACGAAGACACCGTACGAAGACATTCTCCGGCAAATGGAGGACACGCGGGCGGAAGTTCTCTGTAAAGGGCTGCCTCGAGCGTTCGAAGTCTGCTTGGAGTACGTGAAATCTCCTGACTGTACCAATGAACCCGACTACAACTATCTCCGTCAACTTTTCTGCAGCGCTTTCGGCGAGGAGGGGTTCTTACGCGACGGAGTCTTCGATTGGATTGTTTACAAGTATTGGAATTCCCAACAATGCTACTCTCGGCCGGTCGCAGGCATTACTAGCGAGGTAGGGAGAAAGCGCCTCTTAGGCGAAGACGCTCGAAGGGAACACAACGCCCAGGCCGATCCACTCCGTCAAGCGGAAGAAGCGTGTGTGTCAATTACCAAGGCGGATAAAGCTGACTGGACGGCAGCTGACTGGACGGCGGCCGCCTCCGCATACCTCGAGCTCACCAGAAGGTATATCGATATTTGGGATCTTACACAGCACCCCGAGACCCCCCCCCCAACTTAAGGCGTTGGCCAGAAGGCCACCAGCTACAAGAAAAACTATGGCAGATCGGAATAGAGCCGTGTCTGAAGCTGCTCGAGGCTGGCCTTCCGCACACGCGTAACCTCATGATGGGTTTCCTTCATAGAACGTTTATTCTACTGATGGTGTTTGTGGAGAAGGCACCTCAGCATGAGGAAAAGTGGGCAAGGTACCTTTTAGGTCTTTCTAAGTGGGGGACAGACCATGACCCCCATGGTCCGTGGGTGGGGGTGCATAGCCGCTGGGGTGAGTCAGCAGGCGACGTTCTGGAAGCCTCAGCGCCATGCTGATGTGTATGCTCCGAAATTGCTTTTTCTACCAGAACCAGTCTATCTATCTTAGCTGTCTAATAGCAGGCCGAAGTGTCCTTACTGAGAAATCCACCACGTGATTTAGCGCGTGCGGAATATAGACAAACGTTGTATAAGCACCTTGAGCTTCCCTGCACCATCCTAAGCCTCTAAACTTTCTGGGTTGTTCATCACGACCTCGGAGACCAGGTAAAGGTTCGTACCATAGCTCGATGGCTATCAATAGCTGCTGGTGCAGGCCGTTGTTTCTTTTTCGATACCCTGGTTTCCTCCTAACCAAATGTTATCCGCGAGCATGATAGGAGAAGCTAGGTGTAATATTCTGGCCAGGGGCCTGATGCAACCACCCGCTGGGTTTGGTGTACATCTTTCGTCTTTCTGCATGCCGGCTCCAAGAATTGCTCTAGTATCCATCAAGGGAAATCCGTCTGATCCGTGTCTGACAGAAACAAACGATAATGTTATCCGCCAACTATCATATAATAATCTCATTCTTCCCCGACCGACCGCACTTCCCTTCCCATAAACCCAGGTTATCTGATACCGCCTTCGATTTTCTGCACTCTTTAGTCCCTCTAGAGCCGGCTTTCACCGTATAGGGCAACCTTACCGAACCTGACTTTGAGCCTTTAACATAATGGTTGTTTCTGGGAGAGTGCTCAGCTTCCCTAGGGAAGGCATCCAATACCCTTGTCTCTCGCATACTATTAAACCGCATTTTTTCCACCTAGATATTTACAGCTTTGGACAGCCCAGTTTCCATACATCTCTCCCGGAGTTCAAAGGTCCTGTATTCACTTCTGAATTTGGCGATTTGCTCGCACAAGCTACGGGGGCTAACGTTTACCATCTGCCTTTCTTGTCTGGTATGAATCTCCCCTGCTTGCTTGATATGTTATTTACTTACACGGAACACTAGGGGACTCAAAATATTACCAAGGAATGCAGTTCCTGATAGGAAAAGTCGAAGATGCGCTCCCCTCTCGCTCGAAGAGGCGTCGCTATAAGATAGACCATTCCACTACCGAGCCGGAGGAGCCTTCTAACAGACCGCATAGTGTGGAGATGGTACCCCTTGAGACAGGAAATGAGGAGAAAGTTGAGGCCTACTACGAATCTGCCTTTAAAGCCTTTCAGCAGATCAACTGTCGCCAAATAGCGAAAGCCTATATTAAGATTATCGAGCCACGCAAGCAAGTGAAGTATCCTTATAATGGAGGACGGGGAGGACCCGGTGAGAAAGGGGACCCAGAGAAGACCAAGCCGGACTGGTGGCCAGCTGGAGTCCCCCATCGTGAACCCGATCACCTGCTGAAGCCGGAACGGATATGCCTTCTTATCCATATCTTCCGTAAGCTTGGTAATAATGGAATGACTGCCAACAAGCTAGAAGAGGCCGGACGTGGTGCCCAAAGTCAAATAAAACCCCGCGAGAGACTTGGTATCCTAGATGAGATTTATAAGGTTCGAAGGGCGGAAGAGAGTTATGAGAGGGGCGAAGCAGGTAGGTATAGGCATAATTTGCGGAATTCATATGGAGCTAACGTGACGATAGATGCAAATACCGTGGTTTATATAGTTAACAGAGATAAAAAGCGGGAACGAACCCCGCAAGCGATAGAAGGCGCTGACCGTGGCTCAACTTATCTAAGTAAGCACGGACTGGAAAAGAACACGAAGTGTCGAATGCTATCACCATCGCCTTATATTATTAGCAATGGGGTACCAGCCGATCAATCCCGACCAATCCTCGCCATACCCCCCATCGGCGAATGGTGGAACCCTAGAGAAGAATGCCCCCCCCAAGCACTGCCATGCGGTTGCGCCGAATGCCTTCCACCGCCTGTTAATGTCGACCGTATCCAACAATGGCTTAATACTGCTACTGATGAGACGGCCGACCCAGAGCTTCTACAAGACTACGCCCCCACCTACCCCGAGCCCCGTAGCTCAATGCAAGGCCACGGCTACATCCCCGTGGGCTATCACAGTGATCAGCATCGTACCCAAGGATTTTACACAGCGTTAAGGTCGCCGGACATCACAGCGGACTCCTTACAGGCTGTTTAACCGGAACATATGCCGCAAGTTTATATGTAATATAATAATAACTAAATGTTAAATATGTTTATTTGTATATATAATTATAGTAGGTATAGAAGGTCAAAGTTAAATAGGGTTATAACATTCCCACCAGATAACCTGGTTACAACCGGCCGTCGTACGCCGGCCACCCCCCCAATAACTCGGTTACATGGCCGCTTGGCGAGCAGCATGTTAAGCCTCAGGTTAATTTTAGTACGAGCGAACTCATCCAATCGATCAACGTACATGAATTTGTTATGTAAGGCCGGCCTGCTTGGTTTCATTGAGCTCTCCGTACGTTCAACCTGCAACATGCAAGTTGGATATATATCGAGCCCAACTACTCGTCCCAGGCACCACGTACTGCGAATGAGAACGTTTTATTGCTTGCCTTTAATTTTTCTCGTTTGTTACCGTGCTGTGACAAAGATGCATGTCCTTGCTGAAGGTTTCTGATTACCCCACTTTATGTTACGTAGTACGGACGGCGTCGATCTGATCTGACCCACCCGCTTAACTTCCGGGCGCTTAAATACTCTTGTTCCCGAGCACATTAATCATACGTTGTCCATATCAAAATTATCAGCCCCGCTTTATCCGCTCAACTATCCACGCTCAACGTATTAAATATTATACAAGCATCCTCAGTCAACTTTGTATGAAGCCGCTATCATCTATATTACATCCCGAAAACAACTGACAGATCCACGTATATATGCCAACCTGCTCGCTGGCCCTTCTGCTAACTACCACGCCGAGAACTCTGAGTCAATCCAGATATCGCCCTTGGCCCAGTCGCTCGAGCTCCCTCGGCACTTGGGGTACAACTTTTTCCTTTCCGTGCACTTTCGTGTTCGACAGATACACGCGTTGTTGCCCCACCGCTCATCGTACATAGCTTGAGGCATTCCACTATCCGTTTCGTTTTCGAGGAAGGCTTTGCGCACGTCTTCTGGGGCCAACGGCTTTTTCGCAGCTACACCGTTGAATCTTTGGCTAAGCTCAACACGCGTGTTTTCTGCGTTGTCTGGGGCCAGGAACACGGAACTGTCTGGAGGGTGCTCGCTAGGGTCTCCATTGCTGTTTGGGGACTTGCATAATGGCGACACACATTTCATTTTTGCAGGCATAGAGCTGCGCATCTTTTGCCGGACATGGCGCGTTAGTAGCTGAATACGGCGCTTTGGTGGCCACTTCATCGCTTTGCGGCGGTTGGGGCTTGGGTACGCCGGTTGTATCGTATGCTCCGCGGGAGTCCTCGAGAGGCTGGACGTTTAGAATCATAAGTATAGATGGCTTGAGTGAAGGGTGATGGGATGGGTAATGCACGACAACGGCTAGAAATAACACGGCCTTTATATCTCATTCTAGAGTATGTAGACATGATTGTCTCTATATCTAGACTACACGGGATGTTGCACTATGAACCAGCAGTTACTAGTAAAAGTGATAAGCAGACGAATAGGGACTGCAACCGCGGCCGACCCCAAAAGCCAGGCCCCCTGGGGAAGGAGACTCCAAGGCACTCTCCGGGCCTGGGGCACTCGTGCATGATGCGGTGGAGATTGATGGTTCGAGGCTGCATAGTAAGCCACGGCAACTGCAGATGCTCCATTAGCACATCGCTTTCGAGACCACCCCGGACCACCCGGGACCACTGGCTGAAACTTGAATACGTACTTCTTCCGCATATCGTCACAGCGCCTTTGTTCGATCTGTTAACCGCAGCTTATTCTAACAAACTGCTTACTTCCCCACTCCGAGCGTGATGGTCCACATTATGTAGTAGGGAGCTGCAAATGGTTCGCAAAGGCGTAAAGTGCTATGCCAGATGCACATGCAGCATCGGCATTGCCAATGGGCAGCTCACTTATATAAATCTAGCTTGCGGCCTTTCTGCTAGCTTATAATTATCTTGGATACAACGCCCCTTGTGCTTTTCAACTCTGAAAATTGAGAAGGGAGCAAGTCTGGGCTCGTTCATCACGTATATTTTAGGTGTCGAATCAAGCGGAGGGTGTCTATATATATAGCCAAACCAACACACAAGCCATGTCTTTGGCATCCACTCCTCATTTTAGAGTTGGGGTTGAGCCTGCGGAAAGAGAACACGATTCACAAGCGCAGGCCTAGGACGACTTTAAGGTGAAAGAGCAGGATAAGTGGCTCCCAATTGCGAATGGTTTGCTCCTCTGTCCCTGATGCTTCTCCCAGATAGGCGGCGCACGCAGAAATACACTCTCTGTTACTGCGAGCTCTTCTCTACATGAAACTGTTATATCTCCTCAATTGATGCACTGCAACCTTAAATCTAGCTACAGGGCCAATCACCAAATACCCTATACTTATAAGCGAATGGATGCTAACATATAATATTTTGCTATAGTGACTCGTGTTATGAAGGCTGCCTTGCCTGAGAATGCTATAATCGCAAAGGGAGCGAAAGAGTGTATGCAGGAGTGTGTGAGTGAGTTTATATCATTCATTACCAGCGAAGGTATGTCACACGACTTGAGACAGGGATACATTAGGCACTGGGACTAATGATGTGGGACTATAGCTTCAGAGAAGTGCCAGGGAGAGAAGCGCAAGACTGTTAACGGAGAAGACATCCTATTTGCCATGACCTCGCTAGGATTTGAAAACTATGCAGAGGCTCTGAAACTCTATCTTGTGAAATATCGGGAAGTATGTACACGTATCTTGCCTCCTCCATTCAAAATATCAAACAATTGAATTAACCCTCTGCAGACCAAAGTAGTACCTAACCACCTCATAGCTTCACAACCCCACCACCCAGGAGCTGCCAACACTGTGAATGCAAAACTTGATCCGAACGAGCAGGATGGCGCGGCATACGGGTATGCATGCCAAAACCTAGCTAGTCGAGGAGGTAAATAATGACAAACTCGCCACATTAGAGAAGGATATATTATCCTAGGACGGCAACTCAAGACGGTAGTATATAAGAAAACGGAGCCAGAAGTTCTCGAGCTGCAGTAGGAGCGCGGGCTGAAGGCTACCTAGGTAGCAACCATCTTTGTCTATCATGTAATCTATATTATTAATAAAGCAAGTGCCCCACGCTCATACATTTTTTTGAAGCGGTTCCACGACGTTGTATCAGGCACCTGCAGGATGCTTGGGATCGCCTATAGAAGCTATCACGTGAATGTTCTCAAGTCACATTTCCGCAGTCTATCCAGACGTTTAGATATCTGCGTCAACGCATCAACATAAGGATTCGAGCGTGTAGCAGAGCTGGCCTCTACATGTTTTCTTTTCGTCTAGGCCCTTGCTCATCTCTGCATTGACAGATGCGGGGGATTGACCTGGAATATGGAGAGGGCCGGCATAAAAAGGAGTGATACCCTACAGGTATGCTTCAGACGTAGTCTTTTACATTCACTCCTACCGAACTAGTCCACCACCTTTTCAAAGTCGTCAAGCTATGTACAGTGTGGACCTCACGCAGTGTTATTTTCATCAGCTGCTTCCTGATTGTAGTACGCAAATGCCAGGAAAAAGTTTTACTGGAGAAGTCACCGTTGAATGGAAGATCTGGTTCACGATCAATGACTCATCGGCTACCACCATGACGACGTTCTTATACACTAACGGGGTACCCGATAAGCTTGACTGGGGACAGCCAATCTGCATACACGAGAAACTCAAGACATTGATACTCGGATCTGCCTCTGCAATTCAATTCCCACTGTATGGAATCTTTGATCTTGAGTGGCGAGGATGCAGGCTGACCTCTAATAGTGATCTCATGTTTCCTACAACATGCAAGGATGAAAAAGGCGCCCTGTAGGTGATGATGCATCGCAATGATGATAAGTTCGCTAATCATCCGTACTAGGATACTCACCGTGAGAGACCTTAGGCCGAGGCTGCAGCCAGAACGTTTGATGTTACTCGATGGTGCTCCTGGTGGTATAGGGGAGCTCTTCTTTAAAGTGATGTCGGGTTCAGGTTGGAACATCACAGCAGAAGATATCCCGCAGGCCACGGATAAGTGGAGAGATGAGCTGCTTAGAGCGGACTCGCACTCGTATTGGTACTAATTTAGCCTGGAACATTGCGAAGACGTTAACAACATAGAAGGTATCTGTGAACGATTTATCAGGATGTGCATCAAGGCTTCTCTGCTCCACCCTCCCTCCTCTTAACCACCTCCTGCTCAAGTGTGCTCTATTTTATTTCGGGCCGTTAGCATGTTATACAGAGTTTTGAGACTATGAAAGAAATACTCATGTGGCGTGTCATTTTTAGAATGGGAGTATGATTGAAGAGTGGGTTAATAATTCAAGTGGATGTGTGTGTAATATTTCGGATTTAAAGCTTGAGAATGAGGAGGGGAAGCTATGGGTAAAACTCCGTACCTATGTATCCCCTCAAAAAGGTCGCCTATCTCACATGGCAGGAGCGAGTTGGTGCGATGTTAGCGTAGAATCTTGAGTTCGATAATCTGAGATACGAGATATTTGATTGATTTGATTGGTCAGGTGGGTCTGGAGCAATCTATGAGATTTCAATCTATCAAGCACTGATCATCTAAATACACGATATTGAGCTCCTATTTATGTTCCTCATACGGCCATGTATCTTGCCATCGCGGAGATGCCAGCTACAGCTGAAACAGGCGTTAAAACGCCGGGCGTAGCATTTGTTCGATGATGGAGAGCTGACACTGATATTTAATGAAACGGCGTAGTTGACTAACGTGTTTCGTACGATCAGGCAGTATTACACCGAATCTCCGTTCAACACTTACCCTCATAATGAAGGTTCGACATGATGACTCAGGGTCATTGACCATGAAGAGCTCAATATCTTTCCACTTTAGCGCATCGTTCCCTCTGCAGTACCCCGAGCCTAAGAGCAGTGTTCCTGGCCTGGCGCTCGTAGCAGTCATCATTTTCCGAATGGTATTATGCTGAACCCTTTGTCGGAATGTTGGGAACCATACTTTAGAAAGTCCTATATTATGATGCAGAAGGTAGAGAAGATCATCGGCATTTATAGACGCCTGTGGTCGTGTAAATGCACAAAGCTTATATTCCTCTGTCAGCTGCCCACTTATTAACTATAAATAGTATAAGCTTAGCGTCAGTAGTAGAAGTAAGGGACTACCATACGTGCTTTGTATCGCGTTTGAGGTCAATAGGGAAGTCTTGTTTGAGGGTTGAGCAGTAGTAAATTCTCCAGAATCGGACCTTAACATAGAATCCATCTTGACTTTTTACATTATGCGTTTTAAGGTAGTCTCGGAGAAAGGTGTTGATAACATTCATAGTAAAGTTGCGAAGCCAGTAAATAGGGTCTGGCGGATCTAGCTTTTGGGTGAATCTATAGGAGTATACAGTAAGTAATATTCATTTCTCGTGTGGGGCTAGGAGCCTTACTTAATCTAGTTCTTCTCGACTACATCGATGGTTTTCTGGGTAGAATCGTCAAACTTGGCTTTGATTGGACGTTGGGGGCCGTTAATCATTGCCATTAACGCCTGGGTGTCTTTCCCAGCCACTCGTTTGTGCTTAACAACTCCCATAATGAGGCACAATATTGGTGTATTAGGGGTAAGATAATAATATAATATTAGATTTAGCTAATCTTAGGAAGAGAAAGAAAAGTACGAAGGTGCTGATGCCCCTATAAATACCTATCTCGTAGGCGGTTACTATAAAAGGACCCCTGTTGGGCGGTTATATCATGATTTTCGAGCGGCGATAAAACGACCATCTGCCCAGACCCTCACCAAGAAGGCCACATAAACTGCGTCCAAAGGCCACCACCTGTGTCAGCACATTTGGTGACACCCCCATTTACTCCGTAAGATAATAGTAGACAGGAATGGCAAAACAGAAAGAGTAGATAAGGCAGTGAGCAAAATCGTAACATTCATTCAATGCAGCCAGAAATAAACAAACAGGAGTCATCAAATGACCCGGCATCACCAGTCCTGTCCCCGATCTTTCATCAAGATCTCAATGGCTTGCTCTTGCGGTACGGGGTTCTGGTTCAGGTCCTTGATGCAATCCGTCAACCCATCTGCAGCGGCGTCAACGTCCTCGGCCGACCATCCCGTACACGCCATGACCATGCGCCTGTAGTTTTCCCCCAGAACAACATTCTTTCTCTTCAGTGTCTCTACTTCGGAGAGTATGGAAGCGGTCTGCTCTTTATGGCACTTCAAGCGCGTCCTCAGTTGCTCGGCAGACGGTAACGAGAAAAGGAACTTTCCTTGTCTCACCGAGATCACTGCCATACCACTATGGCCTGGCCCATCAGGGAAAAGAGTGTCAAGTTTTTGTTTGTCAAAGGTGGTTCTGTCCTTGCCTGCCATTGTCTCGCTGGATTTCTCGCTATTCTTTGCCTGCCGCAACCCCTCTAAAATAGTCTCTGATGACAAAGAAAGGTTTCGAATTTGCCGCTGCAACTCGATTCGCTCTCGAGACTTACTCTTAACCTCGTCAAATCGATTTTGCTCAATCTGTCGGGCCTTCGCGCTTTCTCGGATTTTAGAGTGCCACTGGTTGAACTCCTGTTGCTTCTCGCTAAAGCTGCCAGCTAACTCCTTATCGAATGAGCTTATTGAAGCTTCGATGGCTGTATTAATCTGGGAAACAGTTGCTATTATAGAGTGTTAGCCAAGGCACACAAATTTCGCATAGAAGAAGAAGGAAAGCAAGCAAGAGAAACATACATTCGAGAATATCCTTCTTAGCTCTCGCTAGTTGGTTCAAGTATGCGTCACTCCCGTCGCCAATCTGGAGTCCCTGACTGTTCCCGTTAACCATATCAACGCCTACACCGTAATCTGCAGGCCGGAGACCTGTATTATTTGGGATATGAGGGTCAGCGCCCACTTCAAGTAGTTGTGGAACTAGCACTGTCCTCGCTCTGCCCGCCAAGTTCAGCGCAGTATCTCCCTGATCATCCTGCATATTTACCATCTCTGACATGAATTTGCCCAAGCTGATAACTTCGAATTTGGAGGATTCCGAAAATGCGTTTGCCCCGTTTGTGGTCCCGCCGTGCCGCACTATATACTCCAGGAGAGACTCAAGATAGTGCTTGGCAGCGACATGCCCTCCGCCGCCAGTCGCGGCCATCATAGAAATGTGGTGAAGTATTGTGCGCCCATGTTGATCGATAATCTCGATAGTTGAGCCAAGCATGTTTAGTAGTTTGGGGAAACTGCGGTAGTCAAGGTTATTCCGTGTTCCAACTGCTTTCTGTAGCGCCGTTTCGCCCGCAGCGTTCAATCGGAATATGTTAACCCCCTTGGTTATCAGGGCGTTCAAAAGAGGTAGACGCGCAAGCATAGCAGCCCAATGCAGAGCACTATTCAAAAATTCATCGAGTGGCGTTTCGAGGTCTTCACTGGTAAGTGTGAGAAAGGCAGGGTGGTTGGCGAAGTCCTTCATACGCTTATCCAAAAATAGTGTCATGATAAGTTTCATTTTCTGGAATCTCTCCGGAGTAGTCGCTGCTGGTAGGGCAGGTATCCCATGTCTGGGGTCATCGGGTATTATATTACTCGTAGATTCTGCTTGTTGATAGAATGAGTCGTTAGGCTCAGTGGGAGTTGGCTCTGTCATGGAGCTTGCAGGAGGGATATTATTGTGAATGAACGACATGGGTTGCGTGGTTGACGAGGACCGCATTCGTTTGCGAGGCGGCTCCAGGTTTTCTTCGTGGGCATACTCAACGAAGCTGCGTTGGCTGTTTTGCAGGTTACTACCAAATCCACTATCAGATGCAACAGTTTGCATACTCTGCTGGCTTGCCGACGGATAGTGTGCTTCCTGGCTACTCATTTGTGAAGACTTCCTTGTCATGCTTGGCTGACGTCCTTCATTCCCCTTCATAGAGGACGAGTCAAACCTGGCTTTGTTAATTGCGTTCACTGCCGTGGCTGCGGTACGAGATATACTCTGGAAAAAAGTGCCGCTGGGTGGTGGGCCACCGCCCTGCCCATCGAGTCCTTGTGCAAATCGTTTCCTCTGAACAGCTAGGGCTTGTTCCTTTGTGGGCGTGTCTAGTTGGCCCTGTCCAGCCACGCTGACACCGTCCTGGCCCATGTCGTATTCCAACAACGGTCGTAATAAATCTTCAACCTGATACCGCCTGCAGAGCTCCAGACCACGCTGATAACTGACCCAGGTACCTTGATACTTGCCATACCCGCCCTGGACCTTTTCATGATCACCAGCAGCAACCTCCTTTTCAAGAGTTTTGGTTCTGCGTGCCTTTGCTACACCTGCCACTTTGAGGATCTGAGTAGCATTCAACCACGAATCCGAGCGACGACGCATCATGGCCACCCCATTCACTTCCATCTCGTACACCGAGACATTTGAATAGACGGCCTAGAAAGTATTACAATTAGCTTATACGCTCCACCAGCATCATCATTGAACGCCTAGACAGGTCACGAACGGTGTAAATTTGAGGTTTATATCCATCGTGATATGCCACCGGTCTGTATCCATTCCCATCATTATAGCCGCCAAAGCTACTCCTTGACATTGAGTTGGTCACACCATTAGTCGAGAAACTAGCCGATATGTTCGAGTGTTGGGAGGTTCTGGGAGGAGACCCGGCCGGCGTAGACGCATGCGACTGGGGGACATGGAACGAGTCGTGTCTGGACTGAGGGAAGGAAGAACCGTTTGGCGGGCCGGTATTAGGATTCCTGGAGAACGACATCGTGAACGGACTGGTTTGCACTCGCGGTGTTTCCCGTTCGTCTCGAGGGATTGAGTCAAGGAGGTCCCGTCAGCGACCAGTTATCGGTGGCCAAAGGACCCAGAGGTCTCAGATAAGGAGCAAGCTATACGGCGAATCAGCACCCATGCAGACGTACGAGCAAAGCAGTGTGTTGTCATACCGCAGCAGCAGCAGCACTCTCATATATAACCGCCTCGCAACGACTTTCTGGCGTCGCGACCTGGCAAAGTTGGAGTGGATCGCGTGGTCACGTTACCCGCGCCTTTTGCACTCGAAAGTCGAAGATGAGGACGCGAAGAAGAAGCGAGAGGGAGGAAAGATGGCCGGATGATGGGGATAGACGGGCCTCTCTGTCCACAGCCGCCAGCAAGATCGAGAGAGTGCGCTCTTCTCTTCCGGTCGTCTCTCTCTCTCTCCGTCCTCGCTTTTTTCCCACTTCTCGGTCGCTTTTTTTTTCGCGTCCAACCGCGATGTAGATGCTGACTAAGCAGGACATCTTCGACCTCCTTCAACAAGACTTTTTTATATATAGGATGAAAAGAACCATCACCGACGTTCCAACGTTTATAAGAAAAGGCGAAGCAAAGGGACAGTCTACACACCGGCTATACGGCTTTCTCACCTCCCCAGCTTGCCGCCATGTCGAACCCAATCCCATGGAGGAGCCACTATCGCGCCCTGCTCCGAGAGATCAGCTACCTACCCGATCCCGTCGCCAATAGATATATGGCCCAATATGTCACGTCGAGATTCCGGAAATTTATATCGGTAGAGCAGCAGCTCCTGATGGACTCTGCCAAAATCGGACGCCTCCACACCCGTATCAGACGAAATCTCAGGCTCCTCAAACTCGCAAACGAGGGATATCAAAAGCCACTAGAGCGCGTCATCCTCATGTCATATGGGCGAATCGGACGGCGGAAACGACTTCTATTACGGCCTCTCTTAAACTCTGAAGTCGATGCAGTCGAAGCGGGGGTTGCGCCCTTCTCTGCGGAATGGAAACCCTCACCACTACTTCTCGCCCTCCTCCAGAGCCAGAGCGAGAACCGCGAAGTCGGTGCCCAAAGGGTCCGGAGGCCGGTGAAGGCAAAGGACCTATCTCCAACCATACCAGAATTTAACGTCTTCTCGAAACCACTGGCAGAAGTCCGAAAAATAAATATACGGCACAGGTGGTATGCCGCGGTACTCGATAAGGCGTTTCCCCCATTGCCGCGCCATGACTGGGAAACGTTGCAAAGCCTGGTAGATGGAAGCGAGCCGTGGGTTCTGCCCAAGAGGAGGAAAGGCCCCCAGCCAAACCCCGCCACGGAGTCTGACTCTCAACCTCAGGAAAACTTCCTCAGCGCAGAATTCTTGGTTGATGGCGCAACGAAGGATGCTACTTTTGCAAAATATGTCCGAGGTCGGCCACATCATATAACAAGACGTTTTATGCGCCATATATGGGAACGCATCTGCGCTTTGACGCCACGCACATGGTGGGATGCCAGCGAGAATAAATGGCGGGTTACCTGGGGCATGCGGCGGGCTACTCCCGTGATTTATCGACAACTAGATCCGGTGAAGGGGATGGCGTTGTTTGAGGGGCCTCATCCGGTAACCGGGAAGATCCCCATACGCCAGAACCGGCCTAGCATAGCGAAGGAAGGAGGCCAGAAACCGACGGAAGCTCTCTCGGTAAAAAACAAAAAGACTATCAGCTCTTGATATCCGCCATTCCTCCAAGTAGTAGTACCTATCATACAAACGGTTCGTACGCTTCGTAGGCTAGGAAATAAGGCAATGAACACTTGCGAGTCAGGGAAAAGTGTTTATCTTCCCTCTACCTTCCTCTTCAGCATGCCACAGAAGCTCTCATAAATCACCGGATCAACTCCCTTCACCCACCGCACAGTAACATCGACATTCTCAAGGCTCGGCCGCCTTACCTGTATAATAAACCCAAACACTGCCTTAGCAGTATCGAACTCATGGTCAACCTCGTTGAGCTCACCTTTAGTAGCATGCTGCTGCTGCTGCTGCCTTTTCCGCCGTGCCTGGCGTGACCATACGTTTCCCATGGCGAAGCCTATCCCAGTTGATCTCTGGTGGTTCCACTCCCAAGGGATTTGAAAAGATTTAATCTCAGTATCGATCGTATCGATCAAAGAATCAGCGGATTTACATGGCAGGCTAAAATTAAACTCGGATGGGAAGGGTAGGTGGTGCTTTGGAATATTCAATACCCCCCTAGCAACCGCCTTTATATGCCATGACCAATTAGCATAACGAATCAAACCTATATCCATGTTAATGCGTCACTCACCATTGTTGGCCGTATATCTTTCCATGACCAGGCTATCGCCCAGCGTTTAGTCTTGTCACCTTGGATAAATTCCGTCACCGCCCAATTCTGGTTCCCGAGTCGTTGGAGTTCCGCAATGACCGAGAAGAGGCTACTCCGTTTACCGAGCATAGAGGTATACCACCTCACGGCTTCTCGCAAGCCTAAGCTCTCCTCGGCCATCCTGCTCACGAATGCGACTTCACCACCGGGAGTGACCATTTCAGTATCTGCGCCTGTGCAGACCTACAATAACTTAGCATTGTACATTTAGTAGCACATCTAAGATACCAACGTACGGAAAATGGGTCCTGCTGCTTCTCCTCTGCTAACTTTGACATTTCTTCTCGTGATTCGTAGAATGGGGGATTGCACATTGTGAAATCAAGCCTTCAAATTAGTTAACGTCCAGTCAGTGCGACAACATGCACTTTCGATTGCTTACGACTTCAATGGAATCCCTCCATCAAGCGGAATCAACGGGCCGTCTGGCTTAGTTCCCACAACCTGGATGCGGGATTCGAGCTTATTCCTCGATACATTCTCTCTAGCATACCTCAAATTCTTCTCATCGATATCTACATAATGTCAGTAAACACAGTGCGGAGCTAATTATTGGGCTCTGGCTTGAATTCCGCTATACCTGTTGCCACAAATTTCCATCGCTTTCTTTGGGTAACTCCTAGAAGAGGGTAAATGCAGCTTGATCCCGTTCCACTGTCGGCTCCGTTAATCATAGCTCAACGCTGCGTATCGTCAGCTAAGAAAGGTATGTGCGTACATGTCAAGTCCAACGACTTCCCTGTCAGGATCAAATCTCTCGTGGTAGTCATCACTGGTACAGTCTACCAAATCCTGCAACCAGAGTATGTAGTTGAGCCTGTATGGGGAAGTTGTTTTGTTTTCAGCCCCGTATGCCAGGAACCCCAGCTACAAGTCAGGACATACCGATTAGGAACCTAGCAAGGGGAGTTAACCATGATCCAAGGCCACTACAGGATATGGACACTCACAGGTGGACAGAGTCTATCTTCAGGGAGCGCAACCTCCAAGCCGAAATCACGGCCAAGAAGGCTTCTTGTCAACTGCCTGCAAAGAGAAGCCGGTGTCAATCAATACTGCTGCAAGAAGACAAAAGGGAGAGCCTCGTAAACATAATCTCAAACAGGGACAGAGCCATGTACCTAACGGCATCCGGGTCGTTGAAATTCAGTTGTCCCTTCGCGTTCAAACTTGTATGAGACAGTGTTAGCGACATGCAACGATCCATAACAGGAGAAGAGGAAGAGGAAGACGGCATACAACTCCTTGAACACCGGGTCCTGCAGTGCTAGGGCGTTGAAATCGACCTTTTGCCGATATATATTCCGGGCTGAATCCATAGTTCCTGCAGCCCTCTCTACTTTTAATTTTGAGACGTGACACCGGCCAGGATGTTGTGTCAAGCCTGCATATCTGAAACGTTCTTTATGCAGTCGGGTCTGGAAAAAATATAGTTAACTCGACGAACGCAACAGCTCGAAGATGGAGAAGATGCTTGTTTCCATGCATGCACTAGAAGGACACTAAACACTGACCGGGGTGTCTTCGTGTAGGTATTTTCATAACATTACGGAGTGCATATTCGGTACATAGCTACAAAGTATAGACTCTACTATAATAGTTCAAAGATCATCACTGAAGAGACTGCAGGCCCTGCAAAACATCTGCTGTCTTGACAATTTCTGCAAATTCCTCCAAGGTCGCGACAGAGACACCGTGAATCGTATCCGCGTCATACATGCCACACGGAAACGAAGCAGTTGCATCTCTGACCAGGATCACTCGCCCATTCCCACTGTCGTCTGGCGCATTTGTGACCCCTAGATTGCCGGCCATACGAGTGGTGGTTGATACGCAATGTTCCGCCGTCAAACCCGATATAACAAGCTGCCGCACGCCCTTCTCTCTCAGCCTCTTCTCCAGGTCAGTCCCAATAAAAGAAGAGTTTACGTTCTTCCAGATCACCAGCTCTCCAGGGATAGGTTCGGTAAACGGGTAAAAGGTCGGGCCGCCGTCTGGATGATCTGGATGTAGGACGCTGTTTACATCTGTTGAGGAATGACCGATGTGGATGACTTCGATGTGAGGACTTTTGGTATGCGCAGCTCGAAATGCGTTGACCAGTAACGTGGTGTTCTCTTTATATTGCGGGTTTGACCGTTTGCCCCAGTAGGCTTCATTGTCGAAGGCAGCGTGGTTGTCGATGATAAGAAGGACAGTAGGCAAAGTAAGATCGAGGTCTGCCATCTTGAAATCGTTTGTATATCGTTTCAACTCTTGTGCGGCAGGATATATACAGATTCAACTTGATATACTAGTCAACTTGATATATATTCGAGCCTAAAGTCTTCCATGACTCCTTTTGGTACTCTTCCTATCAATTTGTCAGCAAGGGCGTCGGTTGACCAGACTGCTCAGGCTAAGTTGAAATGATTCAAGATCAAACCTATATATGTCTATTTACTCTTGCTGGTCAGTAGAACAAACGCCTTCATGTGCTTATCCTTTGAATACTCTAGAGGTGCCTCCTGCCAGGAAGGATAGGATATAGGCAACTGGGCTTTCACAGTCGCCAGCCTACTATGCTGCACATCTTGACAATTGCACAGAATTGGACTATTGTCATTCTAAACGATGATAGCCATGGGCTTTCTCTTTGTATATGCTTGCGGTAAAAGCCGTTATAGGCTTCGCTTACAGCTTTATGTCAAGTCTCACTTGGTCTTTCTTTCCTCACAGGATTCCTTGCTCTCACTTGGATCTACTTCTTTAACAATATTAACAAGAAAGCCATGACGATAGACAAGCATTCATTACTCTTATCTCGTCGAATTTGAAAGACATCCATAAGCATGGAAAGCTTGCCGGTTGAGATTTTGACACAGATAATAAGTGATGTATTTACAGATGATACCATCTTCCATCTGGACCACTGCCTCGATCTAGCCTTAGGCTGTCAGTCGTGGGTGGATCTCGGAAATTCGACAGAGGGCGCCTCTGAGGAGTATATTTCCTACTGTACAGTGCCGAATCTGATGTTTCCCTCATATCGTGGATCTATCGCTAACACCGCCCAGTTTTTGAAGAGCATGGTACGAAGGAATCCGACCTCCGCTATGGCATCCTTAGAGCAGCCAGCCCTCGTCTAAAACCTCACCTTCTGGACTGGTGCATGGCAACGTCTACCAGTCGATTCATGCGCAGGATATCCAAAGCACTGTTTTTCGCCTGCAAAACAGTGGCCATGCATGAACGCACGGCTGATAAGCTTTGGATGAACGAAATCGAAAACATGAGCTCCGAAAACCAAAAACTAGCCATCAAACATATACGATCTCTTATCCTTATCAAATCGGGCCCAGGCGAGACTTCTCTGACATCCTTGTGTGGGCTGCCCCGCCGTATTTCTGCATTCTCGAACTTACGCCGCGTTGATCATATGTTTTCGGTTAGCACGCCTCCAAGTGCTCGTTGGTGGAAGAAGCCAAAGATTGAGCGGATCGATATGCCAGACGAGTTGAAGGACATTCTGTTTCCTCAAGGCATGCCCAGGGGTAACCTGAAGATATCGATGGTGCCAGCTGTAGAGGTGGGCGTTTTTCATAAGAAATCGTATTTGGATATGTTGAAAAGGGACCTCTATCCCGTACTCAGATATATCGCCTCCCGTGGGGCTATGAAGGCAGTGGAGGACACGGTTTAAGATGTCGACATTCTGGATAAGAATGCACAAGAATCAGATGTGAAGGAAACTTGGTTCCCAAACATTTGATACTTCCTCTCCAGATTAGCATTACCCGCTCGTTATCAAATCATGAAACGCCGGTTCATATCTCTCTTACGAATCCTCAAGGTACAGTCCTATACTACCTTACCCTTACCCTTAGCTTACCTCTGCGGAATGTATACTTATAGAAAAGGCGACTTTATCTGATCAATTTATAAATACGATGTGCCGTGGGTGTCAGGAAAGAGGTACGGGGAACTTGAGGTGGCAATTATATTTGGATGTTTAGGGTAACAATTTATGTCAAGACACGAAAACACGAAACGCTAAAAGGGTAACAAGGTAGAGAGAAGAAAAAGGAATGCATAACTATCTGTGTTGACTCCGTGAAATTTGCAGGCTTATCATTGGGTATCAAATCGATCGACTGAGAAAAGTAAAAGAAAAAGAGAAAAAAAAAAAAAAAAAAAAAAAAAATAAGAAGTGGGAGGGGGGAAGAAAAAGCAAAGAGAAATCGTGCAGTGTACAATCGTGAGCGCAAATATTGGAAGTTAAATAATATCGAATAAATCAGAAAAAAAAAAGTCGTCTATGGGATTTCGTTAGTTAGCCTCGTTCGGGATATATTATCCTGTATGGGGTGTGTGAAGCGAGGCCGTCTCGGCGAAGAGAGTGTGTGTATGCGAACATGCAGGGAGCGAAGAGATAGGAAATTCGCGTGCATACCAAATTGCCTGCATTATGCAAGTACCTCGATCCCATGATCCTTGTCTGCAGCAGGAGAAAAAGGTGGCGTACACACAAGTGAAAGTAGATACTGTTATGTAGATTACTCTACTTGGTGTAGCAAGGGTTGCACTTCATCAAGCCGCACACCTTGCAGCGCCAGATGCCGACGAAGGGCCCGCCGTTGCATATGGAGCAGCGCCAGGTCAGGATGCTGCCGTTGCTAGTCTGGACAATGGCCCACTGGTGAGGGCACCGCGGATTGGCCATGATGACGTAGGATGGCTTGAAGGAGCTGGCTTCGGTTGACGCTCCCCGAGAAAGCTGCGTTACAGGTGTGCCAGGGGGTGTGGCCAGGGGGGGCGTAAGGGCGTAAGGGCGTAGTAGGGGCGTAGGGGCTGACCTTAGGGGGGTCCGCGCTGGTCGCTAGGGGGCCTGGGTGCAAGGGCTAAGCACGGCCAAGCGTAGGGAGTTCCAGCACGACGGGTCGCTAGTGGGAAACCTTGCCTGGGAGAGAAACCCACCAGGTTGGTTTGGCGATAGGGAAGATAGAACAGGTCTGGAGCACCGGGAAGACGGTATAACGAAGGGTTGGGCGAAGGTTCTGACCGGGGATGATGCTCTGCTGTATGAAGGAAAAAGGAAGCAAGGACAGCTGGGGACAGAAAACCGGTCAGCTTTATACCTGCGCCGAGGGAACCTGACTCACGTACCCTTATTCTTTTTTTTTTTTTTTTTGCTTCCTCCCGGTTAAGTTATGTAGCGAAGGTGAACGGTCAGGTTGACTCTCGGGGAGTATCAATTGGTGAACTACCGTTTTGTATAAGAACGCAGCAACACCCAGATAGCGAACGGCGAGGAGAAGGAAGCCAGCGAGTGAATGTAGAGACGAAGAGATGGAAAACGACCGGGCAGTCAATCGGTATATATATGTATTCTTGGAACATATTGACTTTTTTTTATTTCAAGGCCGCTCGGAAGAAGCAAGCTCAGCTCCCCTGGGGCTTCACGGAACCATCTCCCCTCTGGCGGCCAGAGCTTCAGCTATGGGAATTGTCTGGTCTTTGTCTCGGGTTTTCTTTTTCTTCTCTCTACCCATTTGAGTAGTATCTTGTATTATTATTTTTTGCTTTTTTCCCTCTCTCTCACACTCTCTCTTCTCTCCCCTCCACCCCTTCACACACCCTCGCTGTCGTATCTCCCGTTTGATTGGCATGATGCGGAGAGGGCCTGGCGTTCGTTTCGTCCCCATGGCCGTTGCAGGTTGTATATTAGCGTGACATGATGTTGTAAGGGGTACGCATACTAGGAGATGTGTTGATGTGAGACGGCACCTTGAACCAGCAGGAAATACTCCATACGCCAGAAGAGGTATCCCATCCTACAAAGGCCTTGTTTGGCGACTCTCCTTCTCTACCGGGAGCAGCATGGAGTGGTGTATAGCTGTGAAGATCCCAGGAACCAAACTACTGGTGCCTCCAAAAGCCACATCCTGACCTCCCCTGCCGGCGTCTCCCGTTCCAGTCTCTCGTTCCAGTCTCTACCACCTTCGCAGGGAGACTAGAAAATCGTCAGTTGCCAAAAGAAGTAAGGTAGACAAGCCAACACCCACCGCCAAGTATCCTTGTATGTATAGGGATAGTACAGCGTAGATGGCATTCAGTCCGCGGAGCGTGATATAAGATATCACCGTACCAATACGGAGCGGCCGGATCCAGGATGTCCAGCCCTCGAACTCCCTGGCAGCAAGTGACAGCCTGCCAATCCATCAATAGACGTCTAACCAGCCCAATCAACGAGAAAAGAGATATACTCCCTCCGAGCCGCGATTTTTTTTTGGAGCCCATCGTCCCGCATCCCTGACGGGAATCCCTCCCGCCAGACCGGCGCCATCCTCCTGGGCTGCTGGTCCTGGCGTACGTCAGTCGTCGCCGCCAGTTAATTTTGAGTATTTTTAACCTCGGCCACTTGGAAACAATTGGCCTGTAACCGTTGAAGAGCTCGAGATATCGAAGATTGTCGGCGCAGGAACTCGGGCCTCTCTCGAGATCTTCGGCTTTCCCGGCCAGCGTCCTGTACGACATCGAGATCCCTGTGCGAGGTTCGCTGCATTGTCTGGTCGAGAGGACACAAGTGGACAAGCAAACATGGTTGGTATCACGAAGATCTGATCGTCAAGGGTCTTATTCCATATGTTACCCAGGGCGCGTCCCGCCGCCTGTGAGACTATACTCCCCGTACCCGGCTGGCCGCTTCACCTAGCCGCTAAACAATATTTATTGGAAACCCGTATCGTATCGTGTTAGCGGTCAGGGGACATAAAGGACCTGCTGAGCGTCTACGGGGCTGCGCTGCGTAATGTCCCGATGAATAGTTAACTATCTCGTAACTGGCTGCTAGCTCGTCGCCCTCGAGCCGCTGGACGGTGGCTGAAGAGACCGTCTAGATTGTCGATCTCAAGAGTGCCTGATATTTATGCCAAACCACATGACGCAAGTACAGGCAGATGCAGAGAAGAAGAAGAAAAGATATGGTCCGACCTTTGACATCTTTGGGACTGCCGTTCTAACTAGTGGCCAGGGAGCAGAAGAAACGTTTGGTGGAGGGCATAGAGCACATCTCCCGGCTCCCGTTCTTTTTTTATACCAAAGACTACGACAGAATAATAGGAAAAGACGGGAATCCTCAAAGCCCGACCTGCATTTGCCGCATCACACTGGCAACATTGGACCGTGCATGTTATTCTTTTTTCTTGGTTTGCTATCAGTGTCCTATTTTCATGCGAGTAGGGTCCCGCACCGGCATGAATCTTCATAACTATTTCCTAGGACGACGACGGGAGAGTCATTGGATCGACATGGCCCCCGACGTCGACAACAGAAGATGAAGAAAAAAAAGGGGGAAGAGAAGGCGGGAAAGAGGAAGAGAAGGTAGAAAAAGTAAGGACTAATGACAAGGGATGGATGTAGTTACTGACGAGAACGAGAGACAATTCTCTGTTACTTGAAAACTTAGAGTCTAGCCAACCGAACGGGTGCTATCCAGTAAACCGGCACGGCCTTCTCGACGAGACAAGCACGGATATCGATGTCCGAGATACGGGCGAGTCAGGAGGAGGACGAGCTCTCTTTGCTCTCTTTGCTCTCTTCTCTTGCAGGACCCTCGTGCTCTACATCCACGGGATGACATCGTGACAGAACTTACTCCCCCACACGCGAAGGAGTGGATGAAATGGAAAAAGAAAGCAGAAAAGAACGAAAGGAATAAAGAAAATAGATAAGCAGAACGCAACCGGACAAAGAAAGAAAGGCATAAAGGTGGGGTGGAACAGGAGAGCAAAACGGTGATCGGTGAAGGGATGCTATCGCACACGAGTTGGAGATGGGATAGTACTCCGTACATCGAGGGATATGCAGCCGCGGTGAAACATGCAAGAGAAAATCTAGCCAGAACTCATTCCCCCACATGCTGCTGGTACCCGATCACGAAGATCTTGTAACTCTGGTAAAAGGGTCGATGTGGGATAAGTTCGCATCTTGACTGCAGTTCATTTTCTTTTCTTTTTTTCTTTGCTCTCCAGATGTTTGCTAGTTGCCATAGAAATTGTTCATAGTAGTTATCATTGATTGCCCTAATGAGGTTGATTCGTAAACTTATACATATGTGCGCTCCAACATACCATATTGTGTCGCAGACTGCCAATTTGGTGAGTTGTGCATCTGTAAACTTGGGCCGGGTGTGATGGGGGCGAGGCGTTTTTTATTTTTTTTATTTATTTTTTTAAAAGAGTGAGGGGAAGGCGTTCCATGATAACCCGGACAAAAGCCGTGGTGGTTTAACCATGCATCTGGAACAGAGCGGAAATACTAATGAGGAAGAGTTAGCGGGCACCCAAGGGCAAGTCATCGAATATGTGCTGTTGGTATGGAGAAGTGTAGGTAGAGGTGGAAGTGGAGGTGAATGGGAATGCTGCTAATAGCGTTTGATAGAGATAGAGATGAGCGAACCTTTCTCCGTTATGATGCCTTCTGATGCTTTCAGACAGAAGAACCGAAAGATCGAGCACGACCAGCTTCTTCATGAGTCTCACCTTCTCCAGGGGGAGAGGGAATGAATTTGTCACGACGACGTAATCGATGCTCGGGCAGTTCTCCATCTGCTCCATGGAGTCATCGCCAAAAATGCCGTGAGTTGCAATGCAGTACACCTTTTTCGCCCCGCCTTTCTTAACAACCGTTTCCGCGGCCGCAATCCAGCTAGACGCCCTATCAATCATGTCATCGACGATGAAAACGGTTTTATCCTTGACATCGCCGACGAGGGTGATCATCCGTTCCTGTCCGGAGCGCTGTACGCACACGTCCTCTTCGTCGGAGGACGCGGCAGCATCGAACGAGCCGCCCAAAGCATGGGCGGGCTGGTAACCAGATAGATTCGATATTCCCGACATGGCCATGGTGTCGGGGATTGACCCTTCGTAAGTGTCGGCCCCATTGTTCGAGGCAGACGCAGAAGTACACGATGTTTCCGGCGAAGGATAATCGTCGTCAACAAGGTGTCCTTGTACCAAGCGGCCGGTGATAACCTCTCGTGCACGCTCGTCAGTGTACTCGGAAGTAAACCCGTCTGCGAGGGTAGATGGGGCTAGCATGCTATCTGGATGGGGTGTTCTATACGAATCTGAGTCTTGTGCCGGGTTGGTAGAGGACTCAGAGTTACTGTTACGAGGCGTGAGTATGCCGCTTTCAGCAGCTGTGGCCGCAATTGAGCGACGGAGGTTAGCATTCGGCGCACGGTCGAACCTCTGCTCTCCATCATGGCTAGTAGTGAAACCTTGCTCGACAGAATCAAAGAATATGGCGCTGTCGGTTATGTTTCCGGCCTTTGCCTGCTTCTGTCGTCTCCGGTCGGTAGTAACAATTCCAAAGTTGAGTTTGAGAGCATCTGCTAAAGAAGTGACTCTCTTACTTCCCCCGGCGTTTTTAGTGACCACAACTGCTTCATTCCATTGAGAGACGTTCATCCGAATCCATCGAGCGATCAGGGGCTCAGCAAATAGGTTGTCGACAGGTTTGCCGAAGAAACCTTGCATTTGGGAGGCCTTGGAAGGGAAAGACGACCGGTCAGTTCAGTTTCAACAACCCCCCAAAAAAGGCGGAGATATTTATCCATACATGCAAGTCCACGGTGACGACATGGTCCACACCAGCAACAGTGAGTAGATTTGCAAGCATACGAGCTGTAATTGCCCCCCGGTGGCTCTTCTTTTTCGATTGGCGCGAATATGGGAAATATCTTTTCAAGGTATCAGTTAGATCCTGGGTGCACAGCAGCAGATAGCAAATAACCTACGGCATAACAGCTGAAAATAGTTAGCTTGCGGGAACTTCCTTTCTTCTTTAAGCCCTCTAACATAGATACACACCTGTTATAGACTTGGCCGAGCCGCCCTTGCAGGCCGATATCATAATCAACAACTCCATCACGCTGTCGTTGATCTTCCTACTCCCGCTCTGGACAATGTAGACATCCTGATTCCGGACAGAGGCCCCGATATTGACGCTGGTTTCGCCGTTGCTGAACTTCCGCAGCTCACACGGCGCGGGAAGGGTTCCTAGTCTGTCGCATATCGCCTCGGTGAGGGTGGGATGCGAGGTCCCGGAGAAGACCAGGACGCCTCTCATGGTGGGCTCGAGCTCTAGGCAAAGATCGTATCAAACTTGGGCAGTGTCGACGGGAGAGAAAGAGGGCTGGGGATAGCGAAACGGCCTTCCATACTCTGGCTGCGGCGTCGATGTTTTTTCCCTTTTGAGGCGGTCGAAGATGAAGTGTTTTTAGAGTTTACCCGTCTTTGGCCATACAAAAAATGCTTCTTGGGCTTGCGGAACATGTGACCTGGCTGCTGCGGCAAACAGGAAAAAAAAAAGACCTTTTTCTGCGCGACCTTCAAGAGGACCAACCACGGCGAGCTTCAGCAGTTTGTCCTGGGCGAATCGACGATGTCTGCGTTTCCTGCCATACAGCCGGGCGGCTCTCTCATAGTGGCGTGGCAGGTGAGGGACAAGCGTGTCCTGGTGGTCGGCGGTGGTGAGGTTCGTCACTCCGGTGTTTCTAATCCCAGGGCGTATCTTGGACGCAGCCTAGCCTGGGCCCTGGCAGAGGCTATGGCGGCTGTCCTAAAAAGAAGGAATTGAAAAATAGTCGGCAAAAAAGAACTATCAGTAATGACAGGTATCTCTAGGTAGCTGCTGGTCGAATTGTCCATGCGCTAAATGCGGACTCCAAGGTCACCGTCGTCTGTCCAAAGGCAGGTCTAAATGACGAAGTCGCATTTCGTGTGGCACAGCAGCAGGTTGACCATGTCGATCGAAAATTTGAGCCAGAAGACCTAGGCGGCGTGGACATGGTCTTCGTGGCCGTCGATGACGCGGAGGCTTCTACTCGGATTTGGAAGTTGTGTAGGGAGCAGCGAATCCCTGCAAATATTGCAGATGTACCCTCAGAATGCAATTTTTACTTTGGCAGTGTACACCGCGACGGGCCCCTGCAGGTGATGGTCAGTACCAATGGGAACGGCCCTAAGCTAGCCAGCATCATAAGGAGGAAGATCGCGGCCAGCCTTCCTGGCAATACGGGTGCAGCCATTCAGAATGTAGGGGTCCTGCGGAAAAAACTGAGGGCAGCTTCCCCGGCTGCCAGCGAAGGGCCAAAGAGGATGAGCTGGTTCGTACATCCCAATATCAGTACTTCGAAGTGCATTTTTGAGTATTCCTTATTGCTGATCTTTTGTCTAGGATCTCTCGGGTCTGTGAATCTTGGAGCTTGGATGATTTGGTTGATATGACTGAAGAGGACATGGAGACTCTACTTCAGCATTTTGTGTCTGGTAACGTCCCAACCTTTGAGCAAGTGCGGCTTAAGCAAGGCGACAATCTTGCGCCATTTGACGGAAGCATGGGCTGGAGCTCTTGAGGGGAGGTATTGATATAAACAAATCAAGGGCATATGGCCCTAACCGTTCTAAGAAAATGGTGTAACACCCACTTATCGGCGGGCATGATACGGTCCTCCTTATATACGCCACTCGAACTGCTGTCAACTCCCAGGTTCTACAGGCTAATTGGGGTATCTTTTTTTAACATTTCTTGGCTATCTGGAGGTATGAAGTTATTCCCATCTGAGTTGTCAAGGCTCAATTAGCATGTTAAGCACATACCCCTTAGATCAAATCAGCGTACACCTGGCCGGCACATTAGCTCCCAAGGATAGAGTCATGTTATCATGGAAGGCTTTGGCTTAGTGCTCCCGGCACTGGATCTGTGGTGGAGAGTATACCTTTCATATTTTAATAATGGGAGCCCGTTATATATTCCTTTGTTGCAGCTGTGGCTGTTAGACATATTTGAGAGAACCCAACTGAGATCCTGCAATGAACCTTCTTTCACCACATCTAGATCCTAGACAAGAAAATATAAAATCTCGTGTGAGAGACCAATTTTCTTTTCTAGCCACTCCATGTGCTGTGAAGCTTATCTGAATGGGCACAGACGAGTATGGTTTCAGCGACACTGTTTAGCTGCCGTCGTATATATTGTATAGAAGGACGGCTCCTTTGTCAAGGAACATCATGATGGGTCGTACAAACTTAGAACTAGACCTAGGCGTTTGGTACAGTGTAAGATGGGATAGTAGAAACCTTGGAGAGTTCCAACCGCGGTGGAAGGGAAGTTATAGGAGCTGATCTGATAAGATAAAGCTAGCGCCAAGTCATGGTCCAAGCACCCAATAAGAATAGATGCCAAGGCTTAAGTGCACAAATATAAACCTTAATCCCAGGCGCCAAGCGCGGCCTCCTCCATCCAAGGATGAACATTCTAAGCTTATGTGGGGGCATCGTACATTCGATAAAAACAAACACATAGTCAAATTCGCTTACATATTACAATCAATATCCTAGATAGTTGATTAGGTATGGGGAAGGGATATATATAAATACAAACGCACGATGACGGACACCAAGGCAAAGCATTTGTATCGTTCAACTTCAGGTGGAAGACGAAAACGAATAGTGTGGAAAGGAAGAAGGAGAAAGGGAGTTTTCGCTCTAATTAGCTTTTATTTCCAGAATACATAAACCAAGGAGCTGAAGCGTCAAGAGAAAGTTCAAATAAGTTAAAAGCGGATATCAGCTGGAGGACGTGAAGCTGCAAAAGACGTCTAGGAAGACCAGGAAGAAATGACACAAACATGATGCTAGGAAGATAACTGGAGACCTATCGTCCTACACTTTGCCGTCGGCCATTGAAATAGCCATGTGAAATAGAACCTCGTGGACTAGTTGGCGGCTCTGATGGGGTTCGCGGCGCCATCCCTAATCGACATTCTCCGACTCTGCGAAGTAGGGCTTGGATAGCAAGTCGGATCTCGACGTTGAGGTCACGGGAAAGGAGATCAACCGTGATCGGATAGAAGGTTTCAATGTGCTTTTCAAAGGTCTCTCGCGGGAACCCTGTATATCCTTCAACAACATCAACCACTACAGGTCGCCAAGCAGTGATATTCCGTTGCTGGGATTCCTCGTCTAACTGAACGTATCGCCTTATAATGTCCGCACACAGACTACAGTAAGTTAGTAAAAAGAGTTATCCTAATAAGAATAAAGCGCATTGATCAGGTTGGTGACTTACGGTATGAGGGCATCCTCAGTTTCAGTACGGCTTTTCTTCCGCTCCTCGCGCTCATCATGGTACATACGGAAGAGAATATTGATGTAGGTAGCTGCACTGCCGCTCTCTTGGTTGAGGAGATTCGGTGGTTGCTTCATGAAGCCCTGCTTCCACAACTTGAGCCTCAAATCCTTGGCCCCGTTGAATTTCTTCGCAAACTGGTAGCTCTTCTTCAGCATAGCCATCAAGCGCAATAGCTCCTTGCTAGGAATTTGGGAATAAACTGCATCATTAGAGAACAGTTCGTTGACAGTTTCAATCATTAAAATTTGAAGGACACAATTGATGATGATGCGGTTGAAGAATCGTCGTCGGGCAGCAGTGACGACGGTAGGAGGTTGCTGTAGGTCAGGTTGAGGGCGATAGTCTTCTAGTTCGGATGAAGCTGCCGGGAGTTGCGTTTGCTGAACATCTTCACTGTCCTCGCTTTGTCGCGTCGATTCCTGGCCTCCGTTGGACTTAGCGGAGGGTGAGCCCGGATCAGCCTGTGACGTGGCTTCATCAGTGTGTCGGCGCTCTGGCGGAATAGTTGGGGCGATCGATGCAGCAGTGAAGAGTTCATAAGCAGTGGTTCTTTCGAACAGTTCTACAAACGCCCCGACAATCTTCTCCCAGTGCTCGGCCGTAAATTTATTGACATTTTGTAAGATTAGTTGCTGGAGACAGTTGCTTCCAATCCTGGCGATGGTATCGTTCTCCTGGCATATGCACAAGGTTAGAAGCTCCAAGAATCTATCCAACATATATTCTAAGGCGTCGAAGTAATGCGTAAACAGGGTGATCATGTTTCGTAATGCTTGGATCATGGTAGTCGATAGCCAGACCGAGAGCTCCTCGTGATTTGGAACCTTGGACATCTCGGACTTGGACTGTAAGACGACGAAAATGGGATAGAGGAGTTGGCGCCATAGTACATCCCAAAAGGCGGGAGGAAAGTCGCCGCCGTACCGAACAAGGGTTTCGAAAAGATATGTAAGGGCCCTGTCGTATTGTTAGCTACAGGTGCATGAACCCGATGAACAGTGGTACAGGAGTAATAAATACCTCGATCGAACTTCCAGGTCATCGCCAGTCATAAGGACGTCCTGGAATGCAATTAAAAGCGGATACCAAAATTGTTCTTCAGGGGACTGGCCACTGGGTGCCTGAGCGACAACCTCGCCTTGGGAAGAGCCAGAGTTTGTGCGGCGGTGGGAAAGAGGGCATTCAGGCGTTTTTAGCATCTTCGGAATCGTAGACTTCAGTGTTTCAATTGCTTGAAGGGACTTCTTTTGGAACTTGAGGTTTTTTGAGAATTCAGTGAGGCAAACAACCAAATCGGCGAAAGCCCCCTGAGAGACGACAACACCAAATCGAGTTTTGTAGATTTGAGTCACATGCTCGAATGCCATGTTGACAATTCCCTCTGTTTAAAACGTTAGGGAACGAACTAAGAGGGGTATTTACTATCGGTGATGCCAAACTTACCATACGGTTCTGATGCAGCGACAGAGAATACCCTGAACATCGTCTTCCAGCCTGAGCGAATATTGTCACCACGGGCTTGAATCATCTGGATAAGACATCGTAGAACCATATCTTTCACATTCACAGCGGTGCTATTGGCCATGACGTGTTCAAATGGCTTTAGGAAATCCTTCTGAAATTTGAAGCCAGGAAGCTCCTCGATCTCCATAAATCGCATGGACAGCTGTCTTAGAGAGTCAAGAGCAAAAAACACAACGGCGGTATTAGCATTACAGCCAACGTGGTTAAAATGTTCACCAAGAACTTCCCAAATTTTACTCCATTCAATTCGAACTCGTGTCATGTTGTAGTAGCTTATTTCCACTAGCTTCTGAAGACTGTAGGTACGTGGGGATTCGCTTTGGCCAGAAGATTGGATCTCCTGCCAACTAACAGCGTTCAGTGCCCGGACAAAATCCACAAGCGCCTCTTGCTTGAGGTTGGCGGTGTTTGTAAATATCATATCCACACCTCTGACCATTTCAGCTGAGCGGCTCTCGATCGCAACATCGCGTCGGAATGACGCTGGGCCATTGGCCGAGCGGGGGCGTGGTTTTCTTGGAACATGAAGCGATTTTTGAGAGTGAGAGTTGGAAGAAGGTGTGGCCCTCGATACATCTGGCAACGAGCCTTCATCAACGCCGTCTGTGAGGAGCTGGAGTCGATCGAGTTGGCTGATGCAGGTCAAGATATCTCTCCAGGAGCTTTGCAAATGGTCACCTTCGGTAATGGCGACGTCAAGCAGCACCTTAAGAGCTTCCAAGTTCTTCGCGGCCATTTCCCGGAGGTTGCTTAGATTGGTGAACTTTGCTAGGGCAGTGACGAAAGCAACCCGCGGCGTCTCGAGATCAAACATGCACGAAATCCGAATTGCCAGCCTGATTCCATCCATACATAAGCGGATGGTTTCTCGATTCTGCGTATCCTGGACTTGCGCTGAGAGGCCAGAAAGGAAGGACATCCAAGTTACATTGAACATCGATCCAACGTGGCGTACTGAAGTTGCAGGAATAAAGCGAGACAGTGCCTCTTTCATGGCCGACTTCCTCTGTGCTCGAATCAGGCTTCTATACAGCTGCTCAGTCTTGCTAGATATTTCCTCTGATGCCTGCGCATATTTTTCCCCCTGAATATCTCTGCCAACAGTCGCCAATGCCTGGCCAGCCCTTGACGCGAGTCCAGGCTGGGGCGCGGGTAAATGGCCCATGTTTGCAGCATTTTCACGTTCGGTTCGCAGGACGATCTCATTATTCAGAATTTCGTCATAAATGCCGCTGAGGTACTCATCTGGTAGATCAGAATTGTCGTTGATTCCCTTATTGTTCTTAATAAAATCATCTTTGGTCATGCGACGACCTTTCATTTTGGTGCTGTGCAGATCAGTATTAAGCAAGATTACCGAATAGGCGAGAACATAAGCCGCATCTGCCGATGCGAATGCGTTGGGGTTTTGCGTCACATATCGCTGGGCAAACTTCAGCATAAATCGATCGATCTTCTGTGACTCTCCTGGCAACCTGAAGCTTTGGAGGAAATGCCGAAGTGCATCCGCAAATCGACGTTTAGTAAAGTCCATACAGTCCACAAAAGCATGCATGACAGCAATATTTTCAGCGTCACCTTCTCCAAGGTACTCTCCGAGGGTTGCCTTATCCAGTCGGTCATTTCTGAAGAGGAAATTGGCAATATCAGCTGGGGAGGTGGATGGGATGAATCCTTCAGAGAGCAAGAGTTTCATTCCGCGCTTAGGTTTGAAATTAAAAGTCCGGATGGCATTTGTCAATGCAATTTTTCGTTGCTTAACTTTTTCTATCTCGTTAGGATCATCCTCGGGCACTGGAGAGGATGCGCCTGTATCTGGGTCAGTACTCTCAACACGAGGTGACGGAGCCGCCGCGCCTTGTGTGGTGTCTATAGAATCTCTAGAGATATCAGCTGAGCTGCGTGACATCAATCCACGGCCTACGGATTTTGGCTCCCTTTCTTGCGAGGACCAGATGTCGAGAGAGCGCAAGATTTCCACAAGACATTCCAGTGCATTTTGTTTCATGGCATACTCTGGGGGAAAATTTTGGTTGCTGGTGAGAGGGGTGGGTTGGTCTATCTTGGCGGTTGTGAGGGATGGAAGGAGAGTGCCACGGTTATGCCAGTCGCCTGGGGTAGAGGGGGTTTTGGAATGCTGTTGCTCATACTGTTGCTGTTGGGATGCAGTAACAGTAACAGGAATACTTGACATGCGTGAAAGCTGCTCAATGATTCTATTATTTTAAGGTTAGTTAAAAGTTATGCCGGTAGTATTTCAGGGGCTATCCCCGGATGATTAACATACCCTTGGAACAAATTCTCTAGAGCAGTACGGTCGCAGTCATAATTTAGGTATATCTCAACTAACGCTCTTGGATCACCAGACAACCGTTCCAAAATACGCATGAAGCTTTGTTTCTGAAATATTGGAGAGTTACGCTTCTCGAGGATGGCGAGGTAGATCTCCTTGAAGAAAACCTCCAATTCTTTCTGCAATTAAGTTTTAGCAAACACAAACATAGACAAAGTCACGAAGATGGTGGGAACTTCTAACCTTTAACATCACTCTCATATGTTTCAACATAAGCCAGAATATTTCACAGCAAACATCAAAGACACGGGGCACTGAGCTAGCACCGTTCCTACTTAAACTAAGACAAAGGTGTGGTTTAATAGCTTGTAATAGCGTCATACTATCGTCAGAGTTTGAGCCGTGCCTGATGGTTGCAATAGGGGATGTGAATACGGCAATGTGATTGTTTAGGAGATGCTGCATTAGGTGTAGGGCAAGTAATTTCGACCTCATATTTTGCGCCTTGAGATCCTGCTGTTGTTCATGGGTGAGTATCTTATGGCTGAGTTTGCATAGAGCTCTGAAAACCAGGAACGCATCTTTGATATATATCTCATCTTCCTCATCGGCAGTTGGATCAAGGTCTTCACCCGACCTTGAAGTTTTTCTTGTCGCTTTTGCCCTGGTAACCATAGTTGGCGCACTGTCGTTGACCATTGCATCGTCCTTGTTTGTCTCAAAACTCTGTAGGGTCAATTTCTCAGTTGGCTCCTTTGCGACAGGCTGATCTGAGACGGCCGAAGACCCAATATCGGAATGCACCTCGACGTCATTGGCAGCGCCATCGTCAGAGGGGTTAAGGGGCGTCTCAGCAGTAGAGTCATTGCGGTTTTCGCGAGTCTCCGCCTCCTGTACGCGAACCTCCTTGAGATCTAGCCTTGCGCGCACGCGGTCGTAAACCGTGCCTATCATCTGAGTCAGGGATCCCTGTGCTATCTGCTGATTCTGGCCGGATTTCGAGTAGATGAAGATGTTGTATATCTGTCGAACTGCCTTCAACAAGCCAGCTCCGTGGACGACAATCTTGTCATTGAGCACTGCAGCCAACAGCGACTGGATGATCTGCTGCTGGATCTCTACCGCAGTATGCTCGTTCTCAAAGCAGTCACATATCGTCTCAATTGCGCGCTCTATAAGGGGAGGCTGATCCGCGGACTCACTCCCGTCTGGCACGGAGGGGAAGGCGAAGTATGAGTAGGTGATTAGTTTGCCGATACAGTCCAGAGCAGTCACCTGTAGCGGGATACTGTCTGACTTGCTTGCCAATTGCAAGGGGAGGAAGATCGTTTCGGGGTCGATGGGCTGCTGCTCGGATTGCTTGATATTGGATTGGGCCTGCTTGACGGCCTCATCCAGTTCCTTGCTCCGCCGTGCTTCCTTGGAGGCTGCTATCGTGTCCAAGGCTGTGATCACAAAGACAGCTGAGCTGAGCGGAGCGGACCGCTGCTGGCCCGACTGCGTTGCAATTGTCGACCGGGAGTCTGAGCGCGGCCTCGACTGCTCCGTTACGACTGCAGGTATCTGATCCGAAGCTTTCTCCGTTGCATTGTCATCTCCCTCATCGTCATCGGCAGCATCAGCATCATCGGCGTGTGGTTCCGTAGCGTCGTCATCAGGTTCTCCCTCGTCTTCAGACTCGGGCTGCGTCTCCTCCGGCCGTGCAGCTTCATCGTCGAGCTTATCCTCCTGTGACGTCTCCGAGTCCGTCACCGGTGGTGGTACTGCCGTGGTGGTATCTGGCCCAGCATGTATGTCTGCCTGCTGAGCCTCGGAGGAATGTGCATCGGTATCAGCCATTGAGAGGAGGCCTGGTGGCAGATGTGTATCCTACAACAAGGGCCGGTCCGCACTAGATCACGCTGAACACCATAAGCGCAGGACGGGGCAAACGAGCGAGGGATAGGTGGGCACAGCGTCAGCGCAGGGGAAAGCTGCTCTTGCAGTTTAAATTTATGTAGTTCGTGATGCCCTTGGAATTATCCCCCTACTCTTCTGTTTCTTTCTATTATTCGAGCTGGAGGCCAATCTGGTATTATCTCAGCACGTGCTTAGTCAGTAAATCTTAGTCATCTTAGTCATCTTAGTCATCACTGCTTATGTCATATATGCGTAGTTGGCATGTTTGACCAACCGTGCCTTACCTAAGTCAGGCTAGTCCTGATGCGTCGGTCAGCTGACCTTCATGACTAAGCTGTCGGCCGTTAGTTTGGTGGGAACCACGTCTGGCCGAAAGAGGAGGATCCGCCCCGGAAAGCTCAACAAAACTCATCGTTTCAGCGTTCGAAGAGAGAGATCGAGATCAGAGACCACCGAGCGTTCACTTCCATCTCCAGCTCACCATCATCCCCCGGGCCTGTCTGCGTGGACTCTCGCCTCTCCTCCCTCTTTGCAGATTCAATTGCCCTTCTCTTCCCTTCTCCGTTTATAGACACAATGGCCTCTACTGCCGTGTTGTCGCGGCGACTGCTGCTGTCCAGGACCGCACATGGACTCAGGGAGTCGCGGAATGTGTATCGCCTGTCCGATGCGCTCAGGTACGACCGCCAATGGGCTCAGGAAGGGCTGTTCCTGTTGATCGCGGCTAACATTGGTGCCCCATAGGTCCCAGGTGCCTGCCTACGCCTCGATGGCTAGATACTATGCCTCAAAATGTACGTTGTATCAGCACCAACGGTTTCTGCTTTGACAATCAGGAACAATTATTAACCTACGATGTAGCCTACCCTCCTCACACCATCATCAGCATGCCTGCTTTGTCGCCTACCATGACTGCTGGAAACATCGGAGCTTGGAACAAGAAGGCCGGAGACACGTTGGCACCCGGAGACGTCTTGGTGGAGATTGAAACCGACAAGGCCCAGATGGACTTTGAATTTCAGGAGGAAGGTGTTTTGGCAAAGGTCTTGAAGGATGCTGGTGAGAAGGATGTTGCCGTTGGTAACGTAAGTATTTGCTTATAACGTGTACACATGCAACGTCGATTGCTGATATGATTCCGCGAATAGCCAATTGCCGTCATGGTCGAAGAAGGCGAAGATATCACCCCATTCGAATCATTCACCCTCGAAGATGCTGGCGGTGACAAGTCTGCCGCTGCTGACAAGTCGCCCAAAGAGACCCCCAAATCGGAGGAAGCCGAAGCCAAGTCCGCCCCCTCCCCAGGACTGGAAGAGAGCAAACCGGAGGCACAGGAAGCAGACACCACTGGCGAGAGGCTGCAGCCCAGTCTCGACAGAGAGCCATTTATCAGCCCGGCTGCCAAAGTTCTCGCGCTGGAGAAGGGTGTCGTTATCAACGACGTCAAGGGAACCGGCCCCGGTGGCCGTATTACCAAGGAGGACGTCGAGAAACACCAGACCACTGCCCCAGCTGCCGGTGCCGCTGGCCCAGCCTACGAGGACGTCCCAGCCTCCTCCATGCGCAAGGTCATTGCCAGCAGACTCGCTCAGTCCATCCGCGAGAACCCACACTACTTCGTTTCCTCCAGCCTATCCGTGACCCGCCTACTCAAGCTCCGCCAAGCGCTGAACGAGTCCGCCGAGGGCCGATACAAGCTCTCCGTAAACGACTTCCTCATCAAGGCCTGCGCTGTTGCACTCAAGAGGGTCCCTACCGTGAACTCCCGATGGATCGAACAAAACGGCCAAGTCATGATACGCGAACACAAGACCGTCGACATCAGCGTTGCCGTTGCCACCCCATCCGGCCTTATCACCCCCATCGTCAAGGGTGTTGAGGGGCTCGGACTGTCCAACATCTCCAACCAGGTGAAGGATCTCGGCAAGCGTGCCAAGGAGAACAAGCTCAAGCCCGAGGAGTACAACGGTGGCACCTTCACCATCAGCAACATGGGCATGAACTCTGCCATTGAGCGCTTCACCGCTGTCATCAACCCTCCCCAATCCGCCATCCTCGCCGTCGGAACCACCCGCAAGGTGGCCGTACGCTCTGAGCTTGAAGAAGGCACCGAGATCGAGTGGGACGACCAGATCGTGGTCACCGGCAGCTTCGACCACAAGGTCATCGACGGTGCCGTTGGAGGTGAATTCATGCGTGAGCTCAAGAAGGTCGTCGAGAACCCTCTCGAGCTCCTCCTTTAAACTCGTCTGTCCACGCAGCATCATCCGTCACACCCGTCAACTCGTTTCCCCATTTTTTCCCAAGTTAACTCCCTCCTACGTTCAAACTGATTTCAACTAGACTTGGCTTGTATTTCATATAGCAGATTTACGGCACGGAATGTTCCCTTTGTCTTTCCGCCGCTTAAAATAGTGTATTAAAACCTGTATTTCCCTCCCTGCCTCCTGACATTTTTGGGAAGCTCTGTCTTCTTTCTCTCTCACATCGACCATTTCTCCCTCCGTCTCTCTCTCTCTCATGTGTTATATACTCGTCCTTAAGCGAATACTCTTCTTTTTTTGGACTCTCCTTCTTATATGTCAGCTTTCTCCATCCTCAGCTCGTCCAATTGTATACAACTTCCTTCCCTAAAGAGTGAGGATTCAATTTCTCCGTACCTAGCCATTATCCGTGTCTCGTAGATGACGGCACAGGGAATACCACCTACGGCGGCCTCCCCGATCCTCAGCCCCCTATCTACCGGAGCACCTTCACCCTTCTTAACCATGTATATTTTGTCCCCTTGAACCTGGAGACAGAATAAACCACTCTGTTCTTCCAGCAGCTATATCCCAGACCCCTACATATATTACATGTGAAAAGTTGATGCGCATCTCCTGCTTGGCGGCGCTCTTTGTGCCTTGGAAACAAGCAAAAACTCAACCCTGGTCCAATGACGTAATGGTCGCCCTCTAGAAGCAAGCTCCCTTTCCCCCCCACGATGTGTTTTGTGTATATAAGTGGTACTTCCTCTGCGCTCTCCTCTTTGCCTCTTCCCTCCATCAGATACAAAGCTCCATCGTCCGCCAATCAAGCATCCGATTTGCCTGTCTGGATACCCGGCCAGCTACTCTCTACCTTTACAGGGTTTCATACTCTCTATACCTACCGGCACCATGTCGTACGCTCAAGCTGCCGCTCAGAACTCGAACCAGAGCCGTCAAGAAGTAAGTATCTCTCTTGATAACCCCCATGCTAAAGATGAAGAAGCATTCACTAACCGGTCACTCTCCATTGTAGGCGTAAGTGGGCTGTCTACTGACATAGGCATGATGTATATAACTAACCGGACCGTTGCAGACGAGCTCCCCAACTCCCCAAGGTGAAGAGAGATGAGAACAGCGCCTCTTCACTCGTGGACGTCGACTCGCCACATGTCTCTACTGTCCCGTCCGACTTTGAATCGCAGGAGATCAAGACAAAGACCCAAGCCGCGCGGATCGAGCTTGAGAAGGAACAGGAGGAGCTAAAAAAGAAATACAAAGAGGGTAAAGAAAAGGCCAAAGAGACAGCCAAGGAGGTCAGCGAGCGTGCTCAAGAAGCTGCTGCTGGGAGCTATGACAAGTTCGACCGCAACAAGTCCAACCCTGTCGTGGTCAGCAATATGGTCCTTCTCACTGCCGCCAGTGCTGGTCTGGCATATGGTGCTTACCACAAGCACCTCCGTGGAGCTTTGACTTGGGAGTTAATCGCCGCCTGGACTGGCGGTATTGGGGCCCTGGGGCTCTTCGACTATTATGTTAGCAGGTATGTTTTGCTCTATCGTTATTCATCAAGTTCATACCGTTCCCAGATGCACTGGCTGACTCGAACGGACAGATGGTTCTTCCAAAACAAATATCCCCCAAAATAAATGCTGAAACGGATAGAGTTAAGCTGAATATGTTTCTGTTCGGTTTGTCTATTACCAATTATGCTGATCATGCTTTGTCAAAGAATGGTGGATATCTTGTGTTGGTGTGTACATTAATAGGCATTGACTATCTAGGTTGGTAGCATTTGTTAGGAAAACAAGTCTCCAAGTATAATTTTTCATCCAGCTGTCCCAGATCTGGGTATATATATGCGTTCGCCTTGCTAATGTAACTCTCCCATCCTTAATTCGAACAATATCTTGTTTCCATTCCCCTGTCCTACTAAGGCCCCTTATAAGATATATCGGCAAATTGGATAACTAAAGAGCTCCATAAGCCCACCTTGCTTCTCCCACCCGAATTTATATTCAATGAACAGCCCATGACTCCGGCAGTTGATGTCTGGACCGCCATCCCCAGGCCGTTGAAGAAGAAGATTATCAATATGGGGCGCAAGAGTGCATTTGTTTCGGAAGAACTATCTACCATTGAAAAGTTGCTCGAAGGCATGCCGGCTTATGGACCGTCTCAGAGAATTTCCGCAAAGGACGCGAATGCCTCCGAGTGGACGCGGACGTGGTGGATTCCAGCCATGGAGAATGCGCTGCAAGCACAAAGTAGTGCCCTCTATGACTTTTAATCAATGATAGGGAACTGTCTAGTGATCGAATATATGGGTTGATCATGTAGATATCCATAGGTATATTTTGGAAACATCCAACGGCATCAGGTTGTAGTTCTTTGGCTTTCCGGTTTCTTCAGCCGTATATTAACGTCTTTGTATCTCATTAATGGCATGGGCGATTAGATCCCATAATACGCAACTCAACAGTCATTCTCAAGAAGATATTCAAAGTCCGCCGGAATAACATAATTACGATGTGACCTCGACTAGTCAGGGGAAGAACTCTGTAACTTCCAAGGTTGCCTTGGCTATGCTGCCTACTTAAGTAGTCAGCGATCCATCATTCCTTTTTTATATAGCTTCCAGGACTCATCCCATCCCTTTTCATCAAGCGTGTGTTTCTTGATGTTTATGGAGTATATTGTTGGCCATTTCTGAACATGTTCGGCTACTTACTGGGCGTCGTGTGCCAGTGACCAACGGCCAACACGACGCGTCAATACCAAATAAACGCCTGAACAATACTTCAGACTACAGTCATGTCTCGTGAATCACACGCTGTCTCTCCGGTAGAGGCGCTCCGCCAGGAACTAGAGAAGGAGAGGCGCCTTCGGCAACAGGCAGAAGTTGACAAGAAAAAGGCCGAAAGGGAGAAAGAGATAGTCGAAGAGGAGAAAGAGATAGTCGAACAGGAAAAAATGAGGTTGGAGAAGCAAATACAACTGACTACTCTCCCCGAATTCCTAGAAGCCTGCCATACTTATCTGTCTGTGGGCTTTTCAACGCGTATCAACTACACAACTGGAACTCAGGGAAAGCCTGAAAACGCAACATCCAAGCTCCGGCCAAACCATATCCGAGAATGGACCACATTCTCTCCAGAGCAGTCAGCAGTATGGGAAGACCTTTTCGATATCGACTTTGTTTCGAAACCTCATTTCACGTCTCTAAATACGTTGAGAGAATCGGGTAGCGACTTGGCCCAGAGGTCGCTGGGCTCAGAGCTAGACCTTGGCTACTACGAGCGCTATGCTGTCGAGGACCGGGTCTCGCTTATTATACGCAGCCTCTACTCAAATAATAAACTACGTGATGTGTTTAGCCTCAAGGGAGACGTGGTGTTTGAGAATCACGGGAATACTATAACCGCAGATGGTGAAGGGCCAGAGCAAGTCTTGGATCCGGATATTGGCTCGCCACAACAGTCTCCGGCACAGAAGCGACGGAAGAAAGCTGACATACATGGGGAGTCTCTGCCTGCCACACCTGACCCGCGGTCGAGATCGTCTCGGCCTCGTGCCGACCAGTTCTGTGTATATAGCACAGGGCCTGGAGGAACTATACCCGCATTCATCATTGAATACAAGGCGCCACACAAGCTTACCTTGGACACTATAGAGGCTGGACTTATGGACATGGAAGTCGACGATGTAGTCGTGTATAGCGAAAGTGATGATCTGGTGAAGGTTGCTCGCCGGAGGGTAGCCGCGGTCATCACGCAGTTATTTTCCTATATGATTCAGGCCTCGCTTGAATTTGGATATATTTGTACTGGCGAAGCGTTCATATTTCTCCGTGTGGCTTCCGATGACCCTACCACCGTGTATTACTTCCTCTCCTCTCCGAATAAAGACGTGGGAGAGACTACTGGCTGCGCTGATGGCCCGAACAAGCTGCATCTCACGGCTATCGGGCAGGTTCTCGCCTTTACCCTTCGGGCCTTGAAGACTCGACCACACGGCCAAGACTGGCGCAATCGCGCAGAGGAACAGCTAGAGCGGTGGAAGATTGAACATGACGACATCCTCTTTCGGTCAGACATCGAGAAGAGTAGCGGCAAGAAATTATCAGATTTCAAGCAGGATCATAGGAGCAGAAATGAATATATCCGTGCCTCGCCGATCAGGACACGATCAGCCAGGTTGGTCGCAGCCTCTACGTGCCGTGACCCGGAGGAAAAACCAACAGGCTCGGAGCCTAGCGATAGCGATGATAGCAGTGAGAACGGTGGATTCGACCCCGGTAGCCCAAGCACAGGACTTCCTCGCCGTGCCTCCAACATCATGGTCGTCGTACCTCCTCCTCCTCCTCGTCCTCCTCCACCACCACCGCCTACAGGGAAAAGGGATCGTAGGCTCAACATGGAGCCGCCCATCCAACCCACGCAGTTCTGCACCCAGAAATGTCTCCTAGGCATATTTAACCGTGGACCTCTTGACCAAAATTGTCCTTATGTGGCTAGTCATGGACACGGCCGGCACACTATTGACGATAGTGAATTCTGCAGGCTAGTCCGCGCACAGATTCTGGCAAAGTCCGGTCCTTCAGGCTGCGAATCTATGCACCGCCACGGGACTAGCGGTGCTCTGTTCTGGCTTACACTCTACCCATACGGATACACTCTTGTAGCGAAAGCAATGCCTGTCGAGACGGTTAGGCGTGCGATATACGAAGAGAGTATATATCGACAACTCCGTCCAATTCAAGGAATCCACGTACCTGTCTGCCTAGGAAGTGTCGATATATCTAGCCGGCCACTGTGGTATGATGGTATTTTCGAAGTTGTCCACTTGCTACTCCTTAGCCACGTAGGGAAGCTCATCAAGGTCCACGCCGGGGTCAATGATCTTAAAATCTATGTACCCTCTGCGTGTGAATCGCTACACGCGATCCATCGGCAGCGTGTCCTGCATCGTGATGCGCATATTGGTAACATATTGTGGAATGCAGAGAACAAACAGGCCATGTTTATCGATTTTGAGCGGGCGAGGATTGTCAATAATTCTACGGAGACGAAAAAGAGGAAACTAGGAACAGTACCCTGCTTTGCCAACAATAATGTAGCATTCGAACGGGAGATAAGGTCGGTAAAGAGCGATATGGTACTGCTATCTAGCACGTACCATGAACAACGGCGCAAGGTTGATGAACAAGAAAGGGAAAAGAGGCTCAAAGCGTGGCATTCAAGAACGATATCTTCCCCGGCAGGATAACTATCTATAGCCTTGGAAATCACCCCTTTATATAAAAATTTAAAGTCCACTCCCCACAGCGTGAGATGATCTACTCAATAGATATCACAGACAGGGAGATAAAAAAAAACAGCTAAGCAAAAACAAAAACATACGACAGTCGGGATTCGCTGGTGGTCACCCACCCAACTACTAACCGACCGGCAAGTGGCTTAAGTACAGCTGAGCGGACGGGAAGCTCTGTTTTCCACTTCCTGTGGTCGTATGTACTCGTTAAGAAGAGGAGTGGGATTTTATGGTCAAAGTTGCTGCAACATGCAGACCTTCTCCAGGCCCAGATGGCGGATAGCAGCATTCTATCTATATGCGGTTGCACCGCTTGATCGTGATGCATGGGTAGTCAAGTCCCATACTGTTTAATGTAGCATCCTCTCCCTTACACAATAGTAATCGAAGAGAAGCATTAGGTGCAGCCTCGACACTAAGGGTATACTTTTTGAGATTATCTTTAAACTGGCCATACATACCACGTTGCGCCTGTCTCATCGACTTATCGACGGAGAGATGTCTGATCCTAGACAGTCTATATCTGAAGGCAATCCTTCCCCTCCGCCGCCGCCACCACCTCCGCTTCCCCGAAACACGCCTGCAAAAGGCCTTCCATTCAAGGTAAAAACAGCTCCTCTAACATGGCACTACCGGATTCCGAGCCCTCAACCTGTGAACGAGCCGACTCCAGCGCCGACAGGTACTTACTTCTGTTACGGCACATTAACGGATCCATGCATGATTTCTGAAATTCTGGGTTTATATGAGGAACCGGTTCTTCGACTGGCATATATCACTGGTTATCAGTGCAAGCTTTGGGGACAATACCCAGCCCTACTCGACGGACCCCAAGGTGCCATTGTTGAGGGAGCCGTGTATACCGTTAAGAGCGTTGAAGATGGAGAGAAGCTGGCATCATATGAAACGAGAAATTACAAATCCCAACCCGTCCTCATCAAGTACGCCGATGGAAGAGAGCCATCAGAAGAAGCCGGACATTCATTTCTGTTCGTTGGGAACTCTAGGGATTTGACTGACGGCACTTTCGACTTGGCTGTTTGGTTAAGGAGGATGGGACGGCATGCAGCCTTAGACAAGCTTGAGTCCCAAAGGACAAGCAAGTAAGATGAAGCTGTTGCTGATATCAGATTCTGTCATATAGAGTATTTGGTTGACACTATCCTTGGATCACCTAGCAGGTATAGAATCTTGTAACTTGGACAGTAGCATCTCATCACCGTCCAGCATCCTTCTCTGTATATGAAAGTCAGGTCTTATCTATATATATAACTGATGCTGTTGATGTTGATGTTTTGCATGTTGAAGTTCAAAAGACAACGTCAGCGGGCGGTGAAGACAGGCAGAACTTGGTTACTTTGTTTGTTTTTGGGCAAAGGGAGAAAAAGTTGACAGCTTGCAGGAAGAGAAGAGCCTCAGACCACGTATATACATCCTGCTCAAGTGCTACAGGCCTCCATACCTGGGCCTCGCTGATACATCTTATACCATCCCCTACTCTCTTGACGATATACGCTTTTGGCGCTGTCTTCCTGGCCACAATTGGCGATTTGACGGCCATACATACGGAGTACACACATCTTAGATCGCCATCATGGTACATCTTCCAAACCCCTCCGGATGATATGCCAAAGCTAATAACTATTTCTTCAGAATTCCCTTTTTAATGCTGCGCTGAAACAGTCGGCTGCGGTCCGCCGTGACCTTGATACCTTCGCAGAGGCTCCTGCCAGCGGCCCAGCCGCGCTCCAAGGTTAGCCTCCCTACCGTCTAAGAACCAGACATGCCAGCTGGTGAAGCAACTAGGACGTCCTTTAACACTGACGATGTAACAGGGCAGATATCCGCATCTCTCGCCTCGTTTTCACGAACTATAGACGACTACTCGTCACTTTCGAAGAAGGAGCTCATACCGGCAAAACAGGAGAAGGCATTTGACCGGGTAAAGAACTTTAGAACCGAACTAGCAGACTACAGACTGCAGTTTGACCGGTTACGCAAGGAGAGGGAAGAAGCTGTATGTGTACTCCTTGGCTTTCCATCCTTCCACCTGGGAGACGTACTGACCGACTCCTCATATTGAACAGCAAGTTGCCACAAATAGGAACGAGCTACTAGGTCGTCGACCACACAACGCTGCCACGCCCGAGAACCCATACGCACAATCCAACCTACCTGCCCAACAGTCGGCGTTCGCCAGCCCGCATCGCCAGCAAGCGTCCGCAGGTGGTGGGCTCAGTTTCGGCACATCGCCCTCAGAATATAACCGAGAAACACACGCTCTGCGAGAGCAGTCTTTTCTTTCTAACACAAATACGCAAATCGATGAGTTTCTTGATAGAGGCCGAGCTGTCTTGGCTGATCTCGGCCAGCAGCGCGAAATGCTAAAAGGAACCCAAAGGAGATTATACAGCGTCGCCAATACCCTAGGCGTAAGCGGCGACACGATACGGACAATCGAGAGAAGAGCCAAACAAGACAAATGGATATTTTGGGGAGGACTTGTCATCTTCATCTTATTCTGCTGGGCGGTTCTCTATTTCCTTCGCTGATGCTGGTACTATGATTTGAGCGAGTGGACGTTTTTGTCCGCTTTTATCGACCAACCCAGCGCCCTAGATCGCAGAGCAGGAATGGTATCGCGCACAGAATTGATGGGCTAGCTTGCTGCTGCTCGTTTGGCAGGCTGACTCCGTTCTACTTGTGTCCTTTTCCAACCCCTCCCGCCTTGCCGTCACACCGCGATGCCAATGGCCAGACACAGGCTAGGGGTCAGGAGCATCATTCAGCGTCTCTCGTGGCAGTTGAAGCCTCCATTACGCCCGTCATGCGTATCTCTGCACCCAAGGCTTCGCCAGCCAGCCAAAGTGCCTATCTTCACCTATTGCCTTACGCCTAAAGGACAAAGTCTAAAACATCTGTGCTGGTAGGAGGCTGGCAAATATTACTACCAGACGCCTCTTCCAGAACAACCTCTATTATTAAATTGTATATATAGCCACAAACAGGGACCGTTTGTCTCATCCACAAGTACCTGTAAGCTATTGCTCTCATACATAGAAAACATCCATGGATACTATAATTTTGGGTTCAAAAACTATAGGGTCCCGCCCCAGGCCCGGTTGTATAGAACCACAACCTGATTTAACTAGAAATATAGCATAATATCGATGAAAGACATTTCTAAGTTTAAAGTCAATCACCCTAATAATTGACTTCATGAGAGATTTTTTCAGGTGAGGCAGCTTCAATGTATGTGTGGCATTGTTTGTAAACTCATATATCCCACCGCCAATCAATTTACCTAAGTGCTCATCAAAACCATGTCTGCTCTCGATTTAATAAGAACAACGTGGCGGCTTAGAACTCATCCAAGCCCTTGATTGCTGCAAACGAGGTTTTAACCGGCTTCAAAGTGAAATATGAGCCTGCTTGAGTGGCCGATATCTGAAGACCGTGGTATGCAGAAGCCATCGGGCGTCTGTCCCACTCAAACGTTGAACTAATTCTCGTATCGACCAGGGCTGTGCTGTCTGCCCGCCAATAAAATGATTCATGGCCGGGCGGAGGGTCGTCTCAAGAAGTAGAAACCATGCGACTTGCTGAATTTAAAAAAAGGGGACGGGTCCTCATATATAAATACGGATGGTCAGCCGCGTCCAAGTGCAACGTCAGCACCAGGACGAGATGAGGCCATAAATATCCTATCTATGACTTTTTTCGATTCCAGCATTTGCGGCACCAGGATTTAATCACGGCGCGAGTTCTAAATGCAATGATTACTGATACCTGGTCCTCCGGTCAAATGCCCTTGCGATGAGACACCACACAGGGTTACGACCCGAGATATGGGTTTTGTTATTTGCACTGTGCATTCTCTGGCAGGTTGCGGACTGCACTGCCGCACCGACATCTACTCTGGATATTGAATTAGTTCCGCGTGGAATCGCTGGGCCTAACGAGACAGTCGCTGCTGGGCAGGACGCCATTCTCTGTGTCTTCCCAATAAGTGGGCAATACGGCTTCCTGTCACGACTCCTATACTATGGCTCCCTTGTATTTGCCATCATTGGACGAACTCAGAAATGGCTGGTCCTGGGAGCGTTGGCTTCGGCACTGGCATTCGCCGGGTCTGCATCGATCCATATGATGACGCTGGTCACGTCTAAAACGCCCGTGTTCGACCTGGATATACTTGCTGCCTGGTCGATCCTCACTACCGGGTGTCTTGCCTTTGCGGCGCTCATCCACTGGTCATCGTCCATTCGCAAGTCTGACTCGAGAGTGGTGTTGGTATTATGGGGAGTATTGGTCGCAATAGGCTGCCTTACAGGAAGGGCGTTGCTGCTGGATGTCAATTCCCAAGCGGAGCCAGCCTGCAGGTCTGCGGACGGGACCTTGCTGAAGAGGCAGTCGGACCTGGATGGTGGAATGTTCAAGTGCACCTACAAGTGCTTTGGGACTCGAACACCGCTACGAGCTCCCTCCGAGATCATTGCGATGCCGGCTAATGTCTTTGTCGGAACCTATTCCACCTTGATAGTGGCATTGGTGGGACCATGCCTCGCAGCCGCGCACAAGTCTCTATCGGTGAACTTCTCCCTTCACTCGCCTTCGGATCTATGCGCACACTGGGTGATGAACTACCTCAACCATTCGATGAACGCCCGGCTATCGCAGCATATCTACAACGCAGCCTGTTCGACTTGGTATGGCGGGTACATCTTGCTGTTGCAGTACGCGAGTAAGGCGAAGTTCAAATCACACCTCAGACGTCGCGTAGCAGTTTTCCTAGTCTGCCCGCTCCTTATTATAGACCTACTCCTGGACCTTCTAACGCCTCCTATCTTCGCGGCGAACATCATCGTCAACGAGCTCAACCTCATGGGAAACAACTTCCCTATCGAAGAAGGAATCCGTTCGATAGGCCAGTGGTCACCCATGGTCTCTGCAGCGCTCGTCATCCTCGCCTCGATCGTCAATCACCTAGTGAAGCGTCACCGGACGTGGAAGGAGAACAAGAAGACATCCAAGTCGACCGACCCTCCCTCTGATCTGCCGGTGTGGCCTTGGGCTGGCACCCGGGCATGTGAATCGCAAGCCTCGGTTAGTCCCCTGGTACCCCACGGCCGCGGTCACAGAGACGATATCGATCGGAAGTCGGAGCAGCAGGAGAACGGCGTCATCTATCGCCAGATCAGTCGGGAGGAGACGTTGTGTGCAGAGCTCCAGGACTATCCCAGGCAGCCCAAGGCGTATATACGGCCCTAGACAAAGAGCTGTATCCTTGTACCGTAAACACTAGATAGCTCTAGGTAGCTCGGCTGGAACACGCCACCAATGCGCTATCTAGACCGCCATCACCATCAACTCCACCAAGACCAGCATCTCCCTGTCCCGATGTTTTATCTTCCATGCCGATGTTTTACTTGTAGTGTATAAGAAGAAGAACGCCGAAGTCTCGCCGGCTGGGCCCGAGATCCCGTGATCTACCGGTTGAAAAACTTTCTTCCGGTTCCGACCATCAAACCAAACATCGAACAACATCGACTTTCCGTCTTTTTTGCGCTTCATCCCAACATCACATCCCCCCGTCACTCCACAAGCCTCCCTCCACAACTCCCTGTGTCTTACAGCTGGTCTCTTTCGTTCACCCCCAATTCCATTCACAATGTTTGCCGCACGCCGAACCATCGGTCTCTGCCAGAGACGGGCTTTCTCTGCCACCGCCTCCCAGGTAAACACCGCAACCTCCCAACGCTTCCGCAGAGCTTCTGTAGAGCCCAGTTGCTAATGTATAACGCATTGATAGGCTTCCAAGGTCACCGTCCTTGGTGCTGCCGGTGGCATTGGTCAACCATTGTCTCTTTTGATGAAGTTGAACCCCCGTGTCTCTCAGCTCGCTCTTTATGACATCCGTGGTGGACCTGGTATGTAGCTCCGAAACAACCCTCTCCGGCACCAATTGCGGCCTCTATGGAATACCATGGGCAGTTCAATGGGATAAGTAAACGTACTGACGGTTCTACGACAGGTGTTGCCGCTGATTTGAGCCACATCAACACCAACAGTGTTGTCACCGGCCATGAGCCGACCCCATCCGGTCTCCACGAGGCCCTTCAGGGATCTGACATCGTCCTCATCCCCGCCGGTGTCCCCCGTAAGCCAGGAATGACCCGTGACGGTATGATAGCTCGCTTTTCCCTCAGATTGAAGTGCAATTGGGCTTCAATTTTGAAAATGTGAACTATACGCTGACCAGAATGCTAGATCTCTTCTCCACCAACGCATCCATTGTCCGTGACTTGGCCAAGGCTGCTGCTGACTCTTGCCCCAACGCCAACATCCTCGTCATCTCCAACCCTGTAAGTATACCTTAGTCCTGCGTCCACGACAAGTTCCCCGTCCTAATTCGGTGTCAAGGTCAACTCTACCGTCCCAATTGTTGCCGAGGTCTTCAAGAGCAAGAACGTCTACAACCCCAAGCGTATCTTCGGTGTCACCACCCTTGACGTCCTCCGTGCCTCCCGCTTCGTCTCCGAGATCAAGAAGACCGACCCAGCCGATGAGAAGATCCCCGTCGTTGGCGGTCACTCCGGTGTCACCATCGTCCCTCTGATCTCCCAGTCCAAGCACTCCGATATCACCGGCGAGACTCTTGACAGGCTCACCCACCGCATCCAGTTCGGTGGTGACGAGGTCGTCCAGGCCAAGGCTGGTGCAGGATCTGCCACCCTCTCCATGGCCCAAGCCGGTGCCCGTTTCGCCGACAGCCTCCTCCAGGCCTCTCAGGGCGTCAAAGACGTCATTGAGCCCACCTTCGTTGAGAGCCCCATCTACAAGTCCAAGGGCATCGACTTCGTTGCTTCCAAGGTCCGTCTCGGCCCTAACGGTGTCGAGGAGATCTTCCCCATTGGCGAGATCTCCGAGTACGAGCAGAAGCTCCTCGACGCTTGCCTCGTTGACTTGAAGAAGAACATCGACAAGGGTACGTTTTTCTTGTAACAAACCACCATCATACATCAGGCGATAGCTAACCATGATTTTCTCAATAGGTATCGAGTTCGTCAAGGCCAACCCTTAGATTTCCTCGCGACGAAACCACCCGTCCAATCTCGTCACTTTAGTATCCTTATCACTACCAACCCCTGTACTATGTTCTCTCATTCTCTATCCTGTCTACTACTTCTAAAGGGTTTCTAAGTTATGTGGCGTATTGAACACTAGCGGTCTGTTGCGAATCTATTTCCTTGTACTTTAAATAGCAATTTATGATCTAAATCATTACATTACGCACTTGTACTACCTTCCTCTTTAGAGCTTCAAGCGGAGCTACGTATAGAAACCCGGTGGTTCTTAGTGAAAAAACCCAAATTCACTTGACACGTCCACCCCAATATATTAAGTCAACCCTCCGTTGTCTTTCCTATTTCTGAAGCAATGTCATAGGTGGATTCCTCGCTAACATACCGCCAATAAACTAGCCATATGTCCGAAACCCGCCAAAGTGACATAGTATAAACCAGAGCAGGAGATAAATAAGATATGTGAAAATAAACTATCTGAATAAGATCTAGAATCGCGCACGAGAAGAGAAGAGACAGTAGGATAGAATGGAAAATAGTCAGAGTGGAGTTATAGTGACCGCTTCAAGATGGCAAGGAAGACGTATTGTATTGTGAGGGAAGCGCCAATGAGAAAGAAGACGGAAGAAAGAAGAGATATTCGAACCGTCGATGTCCAGATCCCATACTCCCAACTTGGAAAATACCAAGAAATATCGTAAGGAATAAAAGAGACAAAACGGAAAATCACGCACACCGGGGTAATCTGCACCAGAACCATTGTCCGTAACCTAAGAGACGAAAAGAGAAGGGGAGGTAAGGGTAGAGGTTAAAAACTAGTAATGACACTGGTGAAGAGAAGAAACGAAATTAGAAAAATGGAGTAAGAGAAGAAACGACCTGTACCTAGATATATAGGCCTAAGTGTAACTTCTCATAGCATCCATGTAGCCCGTTCCACCCTTGAGATCCTGCTCAAACGTCTCCGCTACGTCCAAAACGCGCATAATGTGCTGCATTGACAGCGCGACTTTCTCATTTAGGGCCAGAGCCTGTGCCGTACGCACCGAGTTTTTGATCTATATATTATCGTTAGCACATGGACATATATAGTACGAGGGGAGAGGCAGTGATGGGGGCAGCTTACCTGTCGGCCATTAAGGTTATGTCTAGCAAGGGTATCGAAATCTTTCTCAGAGAACTTAACGACCTCCAGCCCGTCCTTGGTCTGCACACGGTCGAGGAACATTTTCCAAACCGAACGTTTGGCCTTGGTGGTTAGATCTCCGTAACGCAGAGCGACATGTATACGAGATTGGAAAGCGTCGTCGAACGTCTCCACACGATTGGTGGTCAGGAACAGAATACCTTGGAAATATTCGAGAAGACGTAAGAAAATGCTGACGAGCGCATTACGGTGGATATCTTGGATAGTTCGTTTCTCGAGGAACACGTCTGCCTCGTCTAGCAGAAGTACGGCACCCCATGAGTGAGCGATGTCAAGAATCTTGTTGAGTTCGCCTTCAAGGGTGCGGGAATCGGTTCCAAGCTCGCCAGCACTGACCATGTAGAGCGGCCGTTTGAGAAGTTCGGCGATACCCTCTGCAGTGAGCGTTTTGCCTGTTCCGGGTGGACCATGGAGGACAGCTACTAGTCCCCTACCTTTACCCTGAATGACGTCGTCGATGTTTTCAGCAGTGTGGAAAGTATGTGATTCAACAAGCGCTTTAACAATCGACTTCTGGTTGTCAGGCAGCACGAGGGAGTCAAAGGCTCCTGAGTTCCAGTCTATTTCTGTGATGCCCGAGACGGTGAATTCAAGCCACAGCTTTTCACTGAATGCGAATCCTAGAACCACCGGCGAAGCAATCAGGAGTTCTTCTTGGGTGAATTCGTATTCGACAGTTTCGCTGGATTGGCCATCACCAAGTTTGGCGATGTCTTCCTTGGTGATTTCGTTGCCATTCTCATCATATTCCATCGCAACGACATGCGTCTTTCCTTCCTTGTCCTGGACGATCTTTAGGCGAGTTTTTGGCTTTGAGTCTTCCCGGTTACCATCTCCGCCCTCTGAGCCAGAATCGGATCCGCAGCAGCAATCGTCGCTATCATCTCCACCATCTGCTTCCATCAGCAAGTCGGGCTCCTTGGGCTTGACGGTACTGATGGCATAATTGGGATTGATGCGTCGATGCAATGCCGGGTCCACCATGATACGACCATTGATATTGACCTTGATAATGTTCCGTTTACGCTTGACGAACGCCATACCCTTGTGGAATCGGTAGTTCATTCCCTGGAGAGCAACGAATTTCTTACCGCGCTCTATAAGCTGCTCCTGCAACGCTTCGGGGTCACGGTGGTATTTGAGCGGGTAGCAGGCTAAGCTGGAGATCTTACGAGGTCCTTTGAAGTGGTCTACCTCGGTAGACATGGTGCCCATACCAAAAGACTTGCCGTCGTACTCGAGATATCGGCCTTCGATAGAGTACCACTGTCCTCGCATGAAAGAGGACTCCTTGGTAGCGTACTCGATCTTAAAGGCGCGCGGCTCGTCCGGAGTGCCGTACGTTTGTGTGTAGGCGATCGTATTGGGTTTGAATAGAGCCCATAGCAGGTCGTAGGTGATTGTATTGTTGTCAAGGAGTGGGTAGAGTGCGTTCTTGGTTTCCGCGTAGTCCCTGTCCAGGTACTTGACGAGGATCTTCAGATGAGCGGCTTTGGTGGCAGTCTTCCTCTTATTCTTCTTTTTCTTCTCCGCCTTGGCCTGCGCCTTGAGCTCGTGCATGTACGCCCTTGTTTCCTCAAGGTATAGGAAGAGAAGATTTGGGTCGAGGACGGGGGTGTCCTGGACGAGACTGACACCCTTGACGCCATCCATGATGTGAGCGAGGGCATCTCTCAGAGGTTTACTCTTGATATCGACGACGGTATCGGTGTATCTGTTCTCCCAGTCGAATTTGCGGCGGACGGTGAAGATGTACTGGTCCCATTCATCAGCACCAGGGTCCTTTACCGTCTCCGTCAGTTTGTAGTTGTGAATCGTATTATCCCACACTACCAGATCAAAAAAAAAGTTAGCATTCATCCAAGCACTTGAGGGTACCAAAGGAACTTACGCTGATCAACTCGCTTAAAAGCCACCTTGGAGGCTCTCTTCTTCTTCTTTCCCTTGACCTTGAGCTGACGCTTTGTAGAAGAGTCAACGGCCACCGGATCCACAAACCCACGCCTGGCTATTCTTCGTCTCCCCGTCCGGAGCTGAAGCTGTTGAAGCTGGGCGAGCTTCTGCTGCTGATCCCGTACGAGACCGTTATTGATAGCTTCAACATCGTCATCCTCCTCGAGCTCCGCCTGCTGCTTCCTGAGCAACTTCTTAGCTCTCTTCTTTGCCGCCTTCTGCTTCTCCTTTTGCTTCTTTGTCTGGTCTTCCTCTGATGAGTCTTCGTCGTCACTGTCGGACGAGTCTTCTGTTTCCTCCTGTCTGCGAGCACGGGCCTTCTTCTTCTCCTTTATCCGTCTCGTGCGTTCCTTGGCCTTCTTCTTCTTCTTTCTCGACTTCTTCTGGTCTGAATCTGAGTCTGAGGAGTCTGACTCTGAGCTGTCTGAGCTGGACGAGTCTGAATCCGAGGTATCATTTTCATCATCAGATTCACTGTCGGTGCTACTACTATCACTTGACGAGCTGTCTGTCTCGTCCTTCTTGTGCTGCTTCTTCTTCTTTTGCTTGCTCTTCTTGGTCTTGTCTGACTTGAGACGTGTGTGGCTGCTGTGTTTCTTGCAGGCAGACTGCTTCTTGGATGCAGCAGCAGTGCCGTCCGTGGCCAGGGGAGGGTTCACCTCCGTCTTTGCAGCCAGGTTCTCTGCCGTCCGCTCCTTTTGCTTGATCTCAAGGTTGTCACCCTTGTCAGCCATCTTGGCGGTATCGTCCGGTATAGCTGATGTTGTAGAGGGTGTGGAAGGTGTCAGGGTAGCTGCAGGAGTATCTCGTTTGGAGCCGTCAGCAGTAGAGGAGGTAGAGGTTGAGGCTGAGTTGGAGGTCGAGGGAGACTGGAGAGGCTCTGAGCCGGCCATGAGGAAGAAGTGAGAAGATATATACTCCCGTATATGGGTCAGATCAAGCAGGCAGCAGCGGCGAACTAAGCTCAACTTATGCTCAACCAGCTCAACAAAGCTCGACTAACGTTCGACTAATGCCTGGGATGGTGGCCAGAGGTAAGGATGAGCAGGCAGAAGGGCGACGGGATGGGCCAAACGGAGACCGGATGGGGATACGGAGCTAGCAGGACAGTCAGGGAGCGGTGAGCGCGGATGTAGGAAGTATTTGTATATTCAGACGTGGTCGAGTGTAACAGCCAATTGTGAGCCAGGGTGAGCTGTTGAGTCAACAGGTCAGCTCTTCAGGCAGCAGCAGGAGTGGAAGAACAGACGAGCATACAAGCAGACAAGCAGATAGACGAAGTAGATGGACATACGAGCACACGAACCAGGCAAGAAGAGATATCCCGTACGAGATGGCGGAGGACAAGAGCTGATGCTGGATGCTGCCTGGGAGGACGAAGTGAGGCGCCGGTGGAGCTGCAGGCGCGGGCAGGGATCGGGACAGGCCTGGCAGCCACCTCACAACCCGTTTCTTCAACACGGTAGCAGTGGCGGTGGCCGGCCTTGGAGAGCTCTTGTGCTGTTCTCGCGTTGATATAAAGCCTGCTGCTGGTGTCTGTGGTTCAGGCCGTTGTTGCGTCTCGCGGGTTGCCGGCTGCTTAGATGTCGATGTCATCGCCGGTCGTTGTGGCCAGGGATCCCCCGGGCAAGGGCCAGGGCCGCTTAACTGGAGCGGTGGAGATGGCCCCAGCTAGGGCTGCTTGGGGCCTGCTTAGGGTATGCCTAGGGGCGTCCGGGGCGTCCTGGGGCGGCCCTAGGCTCACCCTAAGCAGCCCTAAGCAGGCCCTAACCACGCCGGCCCCAGCGCCTAGCGTCAACCGCCTCGCCCGGTGGATCCTGCCCCCCAGGCTTCCCCCTGGCCCCTGGCCTGTCGCCCCTAGCCCGGCCAGGCCCTAGGCCCCAAGCTCCCCAGCTCTCCCCAGCTTCATCGACCAGGCAACAGAGCTTTCTATCCCCCGATACTCCGTACAGAAGACACGATACAGAAGATATCTGGCGTCGTCGGGAGATACGAGCACGGAGGACATGTATGGATACACGACAGGATCTGTATCGGCGATAGAATGAGATCTCGCCTGGTCTGTCTGCTCAAGTATACGGCAGATGGTCCGTCCCAACATCGACCTCGTCCAGCCCCGATTGAAATATTCCACATGGAGGTGCGCCAGCGCATGCACGTCTTCCAGCTTATACGGCCCTGCTACTGGCCCTGTCCTTACCTGTGTTCCGAGATCGGCCACTAGGAAGTGAAGCTGTTGGGAAAAAGTGAGGCACGTCCATTTCACCCAGGGCAAAATCGATGAGGTCGCACCGTGTATCACAGCATGTCGACCGTGTAGATAATAAAGAGTAGAAGAAGGGGACGGAGTAGTCGTGTAGTAACTGCTTCTGTTCATCTAACTAACCGCCTGAATGTCTGCTACAACTATGCAACCAGAACCGCCGCCGAATAACCTGCCATGCACCAAATGTTCTCGACCAAAGTACGAAGTATGAGAAGACCGTAGTACCAAAGGTGTACGGAGTAGAAGAGATGAATCTCAGACACGTCACGGCACTCACTCTCCATCCTCGTCCTTGACCTCGTCGTTCGTCCCGTTAGTGTCGGCCGTCTTCTTGCCCATCTCCTTGAATTTCTTCATAAGCGCCGCAGCAGGATAACGCTTACCGCCACTGTTCTCGATGGCGTCAGCAATACGCATCCACTTCTCGGTCTCAAACTTCTCCTCAATATCCTTCTTGAACTGTACGAGGGCCGTCGCCTACCTATAGTTAGTACATGTGGACAAAAGGAAAGGAAGGAAGAACGGGTGACGAACATCATCGTTTGTAAAGACGGTAAAGTTCGCTTTGATGCGCTGGTAGCGGCCGGACAAGGTACTCCCGCCAATCGGCTCGCCCGTGGCTGCCTCCCAGGCAGCCTTGATCTCTCCCCAGGGCTTATTCTCCTCGTCTTTCATGCGGAGAAGCATCTTGTCCTCCTCAGAGGCTTCTTCTAATGAATTGGGCAACGGACGCTTCCCTGCTTTGCTAGGCGTGCCCTTGCTGGGAGTTGCCTTGCCGGGGGTACCGCGCTTCTTCTTCGAGGGGGTTTCGGCTTCATCGTCTGCTTCTTCAGCAGTAATTGCACCGCCAGCACCTGTAGCCGCCTTGGGCTTGCGGCCCCGCTTGTGGGGAGTCACTGGGGTTTGTGGGGGTTGGGGGTTGTCGATGTCCTAGGCGGTATTAGTGATGCTCTCTCCTGTATATACATAAAGTGATAGAAAGAGAGAGACGAACTGCTTCTTCATTCTTGACGGCGGCCCCGTTCTCTTCTTCAGTAGAAGCATCGTTTGCCTTCTTTCCGTTCGCGGCTCCCTTCTTGCCATTAGCAGCTTTGCCATTAGCAGCTTTGCCGTTGGTAGCTTTGCCATTGGCGGCCTTTCCGTTGGTAGCTTTGCCGTTTGCAGCTTTTCCACTGGGAATCGTAGTGGCTGGCTCTTCCTCGACTTCGGATTCCTTGTTGGTATCCTTGGCCTCGGCTTCGTCAGATTCGCTAGTGGTGTCTTTGAACTCAGCGGCAGCGTCAGATGAGTTAGTCGTAGGAGTGATCTTGTCCCCCTCCGCGGGAACATCGTTAATGTCTTCCATCTTCACATCCATAGGCTCAGTCTCCATCTTGTTCAGAGGGGTGAATTCAGGCATCCTGATTATCGAGATCAGGTAGATGAGCTAAAGAGATGTGATATGGAGCAATTTAATGCAGGCAGGTAGCAGTGCAGAAGAAGGAGCTGTAAAGAAAGAGAAGAAGATGTAGAGAAGGAGAAGTAGCTGGAGAGAGAAAGAGAAGAAGAGGAAGAGAAATAGTGAGAATTTCAAGTGAGAAAAAGTCCTCACGCACGCGTCAGGATATGTGATGGCAACACGCTGCCAGCTAGCTCAGTTCTGCCTAGAAACACAGGGGAAATTCCAGCAAAAAGGTACTTTCCAGTGATGAAAAGCTAATAAGGTGTAGGACACAAGTGATGCTCACTTTTGGTCCTATCGAGATTGAAGCTGATCATTGGGATAACACCCTGGTGAAGTGTTGTAGCCATAGATCGAGGACACTCCAAGTGAGGTTTTATATTGAGACATGTGTGATATGGCCTTCCTTCGCATTTCATCCAAGCAGGACTTGATATATAACTGATGGTATGATATCTAAGGCCAGGCATGCCAGCCAGTATAAACACCCAAGTCCAGGCATATACTTGCCCTTTGTGCAAGTATTTTAACTTCGACTTTGATGGAATCAACATCTCCAAGCATATATATGCCACCACCGAAGCCCCAGACGCCCTTTATCATCATAGATGAATAGCTGATATCTATCAAACCTCCGTCTCTTTTGCGCTTGACGTTGAAAGTGCCTGCTTATATAAGCTGTTACCTTGTGGTCACGTGTTAACCCCTTTCCAACTTCGTCTTCTTCTTTGGACAAAGATATAGATATAGGATATAGATATAAGATAGAGATACCTTGTGGTAGATCAGAACGTCCTCTTAACCGATGTCTGCTGTTTGTAAGTACTCCGTACCCAGACTTTAAGTATGCCGCGAACTAGGTCAACTAGCTGAAACTAGTTGGTAGATGGAGTACTCCGTCCGCTCCCTGGGAAGTCTCCTTGCCTGTGCAGGCTTCTGGCGCAGTTGGTAGTGGCGGCGGGCATAAAAAGATGCTAGGAACGCGCGCTACGTTCGAGCCAGCGGAATCTCCTGACTTTTAATTAAGAGATTAATTGTCGAATAATATTGTTTCAGAAAAAACCCAAAAAGACAGCAGGACTGGCCAAATTGCTCATCCTGCTGTCGCCAATCGCGAATCCCGGGCCCGGGGATTAAGTGCAACCCATCCGAGAAACCATCACGGCACCGCATGGCCAGAGACAGAGCCAGAGCGGATCGAGCGTCGATGGAAGTTAACAGTGGCGCATTCAGGAGTGAAGCAGGCTCTCCTCAAGCGGAGGAAGAGGGACAACGACTCGCTGACGCCCAACCAAGATAGGGTGGTTCCGGGGTAGAACAGCTACCAGCCGCGCCAGAGCTTGCACAGGCTCTCTTTTTGTCTATCTAACACGATATGTACGGTATGAGGATAGCAAACGGTATCTTTGCCGTCCTTTGCCGTTTGATGGATAATAGCAAACAACATGCCTCGCCAGCCGCCTATATATAGGATGGATGTCATTGTTGCCCTGTCGCCTTTGATGGTCACTGTCGGTCATCTGAAAGGCCTGTCCATGATGTTGTTCCGAGAATAGTACTACATGGTACATACATGCCATAGGTTCTGTTTATACCCTCTGGTATATCCTCTAGTATACCCTCCGGCCGATTGCTGCTCGTGTTTGCTGTCCGATTGCTGCAAACGCCCGGCTGCCCATCCTTCATCAGCCATTGTGTCATTATATCAGTCATCCCATCCATCTATTATTCATGGGGTTCATCGTCCATGGTGGCTCTCTTTGACGGTGTGCCAGATGCTGGTCAAACGGCATGGACATCATGGCTCTATAAAAACACCCTTTCTCCATCCTGGAAGAGGCCGTCAGAAGCAACTATCACAGCCTATACGACGAACCGTACATACACTTCCATATACACACTTCCATATTACCTGGAACCAGAGTTAACCCAGCATGGCTCTCAGGCTGTTCCCACGGGGGAGGACGGCCAGCTACTACATCTGCATCGATGGCGTTCGTGTTCATGGCTCGCTGGACTACAATACGGTGGACCACCACATCCCCCATCTCCGCGACTGTCCACGCTCAAGGACGGTGAACTCTCTCGGCCGGCCGGCAGCAGACATCGACCTGACAGGAGTGGTTCATCGATGCGGTCTCTTCGTCAGCCAGCAGGTCGACATATCCATCTTCTACGAGTGTCTACGGATCCTCGTCAGTACACTGCGAGAGCTCCAGCACCATCCCTTCCACGACCCAGCAGCAACCCTATGTGGCCATCTCGAACGCCTCTTCCTCTCTCACAGCCAGTCCGATTGGTCCAAACAGTTAAAATACTTCGCCTGTTTCTCCTACTTGTTCGATGAATCGGTCCTCAAAGCCTCTCCGGCCCTTCACAGGGGGATGAGCACCTTCGTCATCAGGAACGCCCGCGTTCTCACCCATCAGGCTCCACTGAGTATATCACTGCAGTTCGCCGACCTGTGTTTCCACGCTGACTTTATGGCCGTCATGGCCGCTGTGTTCGAGTGTCTGTGCAGCGCTGATCGGGCAGAGCTTATACGGTCTCGGGGCACGATTCCGCTTTATTTGAGTGGCCGCTGGTCGCTGGCGATCATTCAATACATCTTTCACCATTTTGGGGAGAAGGGGAACGTGTGTGAGAAGATCAAGATACGTGCTCGACGCCGCGTGAGGAGACGGCAGCGTCATGGGCCTTTGGATAGGGGGATAGGATTGTTTGCCTGGCCGCGTTGATGATCTACCTAACCTGCATATTCATTGATCTACGGAGTATACTCGCCCGTCACTTACTTCTCCATATTCTCTCTTTATCTCCAGCTAGCTGTGTTCTCTCCCCTATACGGAGTAATAATGACAATTCGTCCATTCTACATATCAAGTCTCTCCCTCTCGTATCCCATTTCAAGACCAGGTACTCGTATAAGTCTCTGCTTGGGATGTACCGATCAATCACCCTTGGAAAAAGCAACGGTTGGCTGGTAAATTGGGCCAGACTAAACAAGTAAATGATGCATACTTTCTATCACCGTCATTGGATCAAGCTATGCCTGGAGATAGATGAAGAGCTCCCTTGACTCTCATTCTATTCTATCTCACTCATCCTCTATCCAGACGACTTACATTCCATCCCCGGCCAGCTCCAGAAACGGCCGTCGGATAATAAGCCTGTTCTACAGAGTATCATCTACCAGACTTGCACCGGAGATTAGCTCAGTTCTTCTGTGCGACTACACTGTACATCGACCTGGTTACCCAAAACAGTCCGAATTGTAATCAGAATCAGCCCGTCAAGCCTCTTTGTTGCCTGGACTAAAGCTCTGCCAGGTAGCCACCAATAACATACATCTCAGCCTCTTGACTGATATTTCAGCGATCTGCACCATCCACCAATGCGGGATGGCCCGTTACTTAAATATTAGGCTAGAAAAAGGGGGCGGCCGCGGGGAAACAACGATACATATCACCTTGTCTGCATCGAGTTATTGCATTCTTCTTTACGGTGGCTGGCTGTCGTTCACTAATTGTAAGCGTACATCATAGTTTAGAGGCTTTGCAGAGCGTAGATGAGTGGTACCAGGTGGGATGAGGGCTTTCAGCTCAAAAATGGACTGGAAGAAGAAGGATAAGCCTCGATGAGATATGTGGAGAGATCGTGGTATAAAAACCGGTCAATTCTCCCCTCGACGAGCTCGTCCTGCTCTGATATTGTCTCCATCAACCAGCCTACTCTTCACAGGAACTTGATCTGCTGTTTCAACCAACAAGTAAGCCAACCTTCACCCCTTCTCCCGCTCACTCTCCAGCCCCTGACACCCCATAGACACAACCCAACCCAACGTCACCATGCGTTTCTATACCATCATCCTCGCCGCTCTCATGAGCATGTTCATCGACGCCGTCATGGGTGCCGGTTGCTTCTCCGACAAAGCCATGGGCAAATGTCTCACCAAGGCCCGTCTCAACACCGCCATTGACACCTACTGCTCGAACAACTGGAGACAGACCACCACCAACTGGCGTCCATGGAAGGGCTCCAACGGCGGCGAAGGCCACATCGGCCACCTTGGCGTGTTCAAGTCGAAGGCTGCTTGCGTTACTCTTGCAAACAGCATTGTTAAGAAGTGCTACACCGGCTCCAACGGTGGACAGAAGGGTGGTGCTGCCGAGGTCGACCAGGCTGCTATCAACATCATTTGGTGCCCATGGAGATCTTAGGTTGACCGTAGCTTTCCTCGGTCAGTCATATGGCTGGGGTGACTTGTCTTGGGGGGAGAGGTGATGAGTTATGCTGGATTGGTTGATGTATGGAGATGAGTTAGTTAGGTCGATGTATACCGAACGAGGGTATCTCACAGATGAATCAATGATGGCCTTCCATGAAGACAATATCTTTAAACATATCAGTATACCAGTCCAAGCACGTCAAGTAGAAACAATTCGTCATTCATTTGTAGGCTAGCTCCGACCGGAATAAGAAAGGGTATATGTACACGGAAGAGGACGTTTTCTGGGACCTTCTTCAATCCCTCCAGGAAAAGAATTGGAACAACCCACGCACACCAGCCGTGTAAAGAAAAATCAACGCATCAAGCAAGACATCCCGATAAATGCAATACAGTACATGAAAAGGTCAGAAAGTAGAAGTAAAGGGAGAAAGAGAAAAATGGTATGGATCATTGACATTTCGTCACAATCGTGGTGGCCACTGGGAAAGAACATGAAAGTGAACACTGGCTGTAGGTCGTTCCGAATGTAAACCTGCTTTGCATGGCGAGTAGACTACCAAGCCGCCCCGTCTGTACCTTTGGAAATACCGTCCGTAGAATGGCGTTGTGGTTGTTCGTCGCTTTCTTTACGTGGGGGCGGAGGTGGACGGATCTTGGTCCCGACAAAGCCTCGACGATTACGGCCTGTTCTACCACGGCCGAGCCAATTGTGCTTCAAAGCCTTGCTCAGCTCTTCGATCTTCTGTTGCGCATCATCGTCGCTTTGGACGCTGGCTAGTACGCATATGCATTGGAGCATACGACCGGCTGTCTCGGTGATGTGTGACGGGTCCAAGGGTGGTGGTTGTGGTGGTGGAGGATGGTTGGTGGAATGGGTCTGGGATAGAATAGAAGGTTGAGACGGGGAGAAGGACGAGTAAGATGACGGATAGGGGTGTTGTTCAGCGTTAGAAGAAGTATTGGACGTCGCACGAGCACGGGAGAGAGATGCAATGGCAGACTCGGACGAGAAGCTACCAGCAATGAGATGGGAGGGCTGTGAGTTGTAGCTTCCAGCTCCGGTTTCATAGCCTGCAGATGTGCTTGGTCGGCTGGCGGTTGCTGCACTGTGCGGAGTAGCAGTAGGGGGTCCGTTGATGTTCGCGTTCATCTTCTCGAGACTGAGACGGGAGAAAGCAGCCTTCAGGACTTCATAGCGCGTCAAGATGACGTTGTCACGGAACGAAGTGAGAACTATCTTGCGGACATCGAGCTCGTTACCGATGGATGTCGATGAATCTCCGTTGCCCGGATTCGCGCCCCAAAACTCGTTTGCTTCGCGGGCACTCATGATCGTGCCGTGGCCCTTGAATTCGAGGTCCAGGGGGAAGAACGTGGCTTGGATGAACGGAAGTATCGTTCCAAACGCGAAGACCCAGATATTCACGAGATGGGGGATGATGTTCTCCTCTGGCACCTTATAGATTGAGTAGTTCAAAGATGCGAACCCGGTCTGTAACAGGTCACGGAGATCCTCGACAACCTCTGAGGGCATATGTTTCTGGACGCAGTACTGGATGTGTACTTTGACCAGCTTGTTGAGATCCTCCAACGCGATGCGGACATCCTCTCCTTCAAACAAGACGAGCAGCTTCGCCTTGAGGAAGTCCCACGCGTCATCGGGTGTCATGTTCTGGAGACCAAACCCTTGCAGCGCCTCCTGAATCGCCGCATTGTTGCCTGGTAGAATGCCCTGTGTGCTCCCCAGGGACGATGATGGCCCGCCGAAGGTGACTGTAGAGCCCGTCACCGACGCAGCGCCAGACCACTCGGCCTGGTGTTCCGCCTCTCGTAGCATCGCGTCTTGTTGTGCAGCAGCAGCGGCCGACGCCTTCTCTTCCTTCTTCTTCTCTCTCAGAGCTCGTCCGCCGTGTCTTAGGTCAAGGCCGCTCATCGACTTTCCAAAGGTCGACACAGCTGGAGACGAGGGTGCAAAGGAGTAGAGTGACTGAGGTGCGCTGGGGTCCAGAGGACGTGAGTTGCTGTTGGCTGATGACAGCGGAAGGTGAAAGTGGTCGTCCTTGTCCTTCAGCTTTAACTTCTGCCGAGAGAGGAAGTGATGTTTGTGTTTCTCTTTCTCCTTGCCCCTGTCTTCATCCAGAGACTGGCGTTCAATGGGGACAACAGTGGTTGCTGAAGAGTTTGCCAGCGAGTATAAGGATGCATTGTTTGAGAGAGCAGCAGCATCATTCAGACTGGTCGTCGACGCATTAACCATTCTTGCTAGACCATGGGCGCCTGAGATAGCCAGTTTACTTGGTGACGGCATAGTCTTGTCCTTTTTATCTTCTTTATCTCTAGACATTCCCATATGCTTTGGCTTTGAAAACAGCTTCATCTTCGACTTCTCACTTTTCTGTTTATGGCCAGTTTCAGCACGATCAGCTCCCCCGGTTATCGTCGTCGTCGTCGTCATGGCACTCTGAGGCGTAGGAGTCCTGGGAAACGCGATATTGGCAGCCGTGGTCGCTGCCACCACGCGTCCCCCAACCGAGCCGTTCTGATAGTTTAGCTGCCCGGGCGCGGACATCTGGGGTTTGAGGTTGCTCGTCAGTATCGGGGGAGGAGACTCTCTGGCACCCCTTCTTCCCGCGAACCCACTCTCTTGCGGCGGTGGTATGGTCTGCGATCTGTTTCTCAGGTGCTGCTGCTGCTGCTGTTGTGGAGCGGCCTGGTGTTGCATCGCGGCTTGGGCAGCAATCCTCGAGGCCGACACGGCAGCTGAATTCTGAGATGCCGTGGGTAGAGATGGCTCGAAGAATCCTTGGGAATGGTGGCGCGAGCGGAAACCTCGAGTGTCAGACGAGGATGGGGCCAAGGGAGATGCCCTGCGATGAACAGGGTCATTTTGGGGCCGCAGAGCACCCGAGAGTGAGGTATTGCTGCCATTAACGCTGCCAGCTCCAGTGGAGGGTGTTCGAGAGGGCTGACCAGCGCTGGGAGAGGGCTGCTGGTTCAGGCTGTAGAGAGATCGCTTTGAGACATTGAGGGTGGTGAGGTTCGAGGTGGTGGAGGACGCACCGCTGCTGGACGAGCTGGGGCGCCGACCTTGGCCATCTGCAGGCCGCGAATCCGTGGGCGTAGGAGGGAGAGGGGAATTTCGGTCCTTATGGCGCTGGGGAGAGGTAGTTGGCTTCATGATGCTGCCTCCGAGGACTGGCCGCTGGACGGAGGTGGTATCTGGCGTTTCAGCAGGACCATCGGCGAGCGAACGCTATGTGGTGTACTGTACTGCCTGGGGCGCCGTCAGCTCGAGCAAGCTAGGGACCATAGTCTCGCCGGGAAGCTCATGTCGGGTCTTCTTTCACTCCATCCTGGCTCTTGTCCGTCAGCTTGCGTTCTCTTTTGACCGTTTGACCTGGAGTCGCATTTATTCCCAGCGCAGATCTACAACTTGGAGATTTGATTACCTAATGCAGAATAGTCTTGGCGTTCGTCATTCTTTTTCTTCACTTTATCATCACTTTATCACTTTATCAATATCAACTTCATCATGTCAATATCAAGGTATGTGGTAGAACTCGATGTAATGGCTAATGTCTAGACTTATCAGACGTTATTCAACTACAAAGTCCTGACCGGTGCCCACTAGTGCGCTGCACAGCTGTGGCTTATCCAATAACGCTACTACGGGCCTGAACAGGAGAGTCAAAGTATCACCTCAGCATTGGCCCAGACAGATACTATATAGACCTATTCAGAGGCCACAGGGATCTCGAAAGTTTACCGGGAGATGGACTTAATTAACCTCATCTTTAACCCTTGAGCTTATCCCGTACTCTTGCCTATCCTTAGTCTTGGGTATGCTTTATCTGACCCCTTATAGATTAAGACACGGGAGAATATACATACGGTGGCGGGAAACTGCCACAACCTTGATCTAATCGAATTCCAGTTGTTTCCCTGAGCTATATCTAACTAGAAACCGCCCTTCAGATATCCAACTTTGGTACTCTCTGGAAGAGCCGGGCCGAGCTCGTCGGCCGTTCATTAACCAATACTGTATATGTACACTTCGGATATGGCATCCAAATAGATAAAAATGGGTCATCGCCCCATGGATTAAGACCAAAGCTTCAACCTTCAAGTTCAAAAATAACCTTTCCCTGCATTCTATGCAATGGCCCTGGATCTTCAAAGTTTGGCACCTCTGGTGCAGTGAATGCTGACACAAAAGAATCACCATCAGAGCCATCGTCGTCCTCCCTGTCAGTGCTGTCTCCATGGCTGTCAACTCCCACCAGCTCACTTGAACGTGGTTCATGACCATTTGTTATAGGATTTGTTGCTGGAACTGTGGTGCTAGCAGCGGCTATCTCGTCCAGAGAGCTGCGTGGAGAGACCCCTACCCACTGATGTGTGCGAAGTTGCCGTAGTGGCAGGTCTTGAGTCCGAAAAGTATTTGGTTGGCTGTACTCCAGGGACGAGACTGGTGTGTTCGTTCGGCTTGACATGGCAGCGTTTAACCCATCCGATGGGTAATGAAGCTGTGAATTGCTGGCTTGGTGATCCGAACGGACAGTAGAGGATACAGCACGCTCCGTAGGAGTCTGGGAACCCTGGCTGACAGGACCAGTAGCGAATATATATGGTTGATCTTGTCTCGTTTGTGAAGTGCTCGGCTCATTGCCGTTCTGGGACACGGCATTTTGGGACACGGTATTTTGGGGTGTGTCGAATAAGCCAATGGGGGTTGATTTCGGTCTTGCCTGGTGCTGGTGGTTATCTTGACTACCCCGTTCGTTGAATTCGTGATCGGGAAGCTGGATACGGGGTACGGCTGGGAGCTCAACGGCCGCCGTCGGAAAAGATAGTATGGGTGGAGTCAATGTGGAAGAAGGATCGTGAAAGAATGCCTGTGGTATCGGGGTAAATCCCATCATCTGCCCGCTACCATCTCGGGGGAAGCCAAGGTTTCCAATTATATTAGATCTCTGACCATGTTGGTTGCTATATGGCACAGATTGCACTTCTTGAAATACGAGATTTTGAATCACTTGGATTCTTTCTTGGGGGATTGAAAGGTGGGGATGGAACCCAGTCTGGGAAAACATTTGACCCAGTTTTATCTTCGAGAGTATACTACTCTTCAGTAGTAGTAATTGCAGAACCTCCGCATGACCGTGATGTGCTGCATACAGGGGCGGATTCCAGCCCATCCCGTCATATTGCTCAACGGACGCTCCCTTGTTGAGAAGAAGAGACACTATCCGGGCATCGCCAGCTCGAGACGCAATAGTAAGCGGAGAGTGCTCTTCTGGGGCCCCATTCCAGGTTTTTGGGCAAAACGTAGATGCGCCTCGATTTAACAAGTGGTCGACAATAGGTGCGTTTCCATTACGGCAGGCGATACATAGGGGCCTAGTACCAGATGAATCTGCGGAATCAACTTCCACCCCTTTCTGACAGAGTAGTTCAACTAGTTCCAGGGAATTTCGGGCCACCGCAATGTGAAGAGGCCGCTGCTGTCCTTCTCCTTGTGCCTCGATGCTCGCGCCGCAACCAATAAGGTGTCGCGAAAGCTCAATGTTTACCAGATCGCAGGCATAATGAAGCGGAGTGAATCCACCGCGACTCTTAAGCTCAGTGGGTGCCCCTTTACGGAGAAGGAACTCGACCACTGAAAACTGACCTGACACAACCGCAAGATGTAATGGCGACATGCCGAGTTTATTTGTCGACCCTATAGAGACTTTTTTCTCTAGAAGAAGCTGCACAATCTCAACGTGGCCATTAGCAGCTGCACCATGCAACGGATTCATGCCACTCTCGTCAGTGCTATTCAGCGATGCTTTTTTTCTGATTAAAAATTCCACAGTGCGGACGTCACCTGCGATTGCCGCGCAGATGAGAGGCGTTCTCCTATGCACTTCAATAGCCTCGATATCCGCTCTATATTGAAATAGAGTGCGGCAAAGGGTATATTGACGGTTTTCACAAGCATGATGAAACGCGGATTTCATATCAGCATCTTTCGCCTCAATATCAGCTCCAGATTGAAGAAGGAAGGCCACCATCTCGCAGTCTCCACGAATTGCTGCCTTGTGTAAAGCGGTCATTTGACCTTTAGCGCGAGCTGTTATCTTGCACCCGGCTGCAAGGAGCATCCGCGCTGCGTCGATGTGACCACCTTCTGCCGCGACCCAAAATGGAGTTCGGCCTAGGGAATCCTTTATATTGGTATCTTCAACTGCTGATAGAAGGACTTGTATGGCGCCCGTATGTCCCCGAGATGCTGCTAAATGGAGAGGGGTTGAGCCATCTATCTCCTGGATATCAAATTTGGCACCCTTCTGAAGTAAGTAATCCACTACTTCCTCGTTGCCACAGTGTGCAGCAACGGCCAATGCTGTTCGACCCGTGAGTACGTGGCGAGACTCGATATCAGCCCCTTCTCCTATCTGCATTTCAACTTGTACCAGTGATCCAGCTTGTGCCGCCTTGATGATTGGCGGAATTGTAGCGCTATCTGGCGAGGATATATCGATACTAATGTCCATGCGCCGTCGGTCCGCCCTTGGCACTGTTTCTTGCTCTGGTATTGGAGACACTGAAGAGAAAGGTTGTGGGCTTAAAAATGGCGAAGTCTTCTTCAGACTACTCTGGCTGGAGGTATCTAATTTCCCAAGGACTTTGCGAATTCTTTCCCGTTTTGATCCAGACTTATGCAGTGGGATAGGGTTTGACTGCCATCGTCGAACAGTAGGCGGTGCAGGCTTTGCTGACGCTTGTGATGATGATGCAAGTGAAACACTTCGCCCGATATCACCTTGTGTCTGAGGTTGAACTTTCTGTGGTGTACTGCCGGTACTTGGCTCGAACAAGGTACTTGGAGGTGAAAGTGTATTACTTCCTCTGAATGAGTGAGAGCGAGCGGTGCCGCTTGCATACCCTTCGTCGGTGGTCATTGACCGCGGAGTCTGGGGTTGAATTGCAGCAGTTAAGCCCGTTTCGTCCGTGGGTGCACGACTTGAGACGGTACGGCTATGCGCCAGTACCCTTCTATACGCGGTCGCGTTCACAATTATATCATCAACGTCCAAAGCAGTTTCGCTGATTGTCGACGGAGCAATGCTGCGAGTGGACGGGTTCCCATGTTGCCTAATGGAACTGCGCAGTGTTACAGTGTCGTCGGCCACCTTCTTCAACAAGCGTCTGTTCTCTTCCCGCCGAAGCAGCTCAACTTGTTCTGTGACGGTACGACTAAATGAGTTTCAGTGTCAATAGTCTGCACTGTAGTCCGTGTGTATATAGGTAGTGTCTTTAAACGCACCATTGACAAACTTGCAAAAGGAAGTTTAATGCTAGGACCTGGGACTGGAGTCGCTGCTGATAGTCCTGCATCAAATGGTCATCCCAAACAGCCCGCATCTTAGCCATTACTCGCAGGTCCGGCACTTCTCTGCCATCGAGGACGCCAGTAACCTTCGAGACCTGCGCAAGGAGGCACTCCATGCTCGCCTTGCACCCATCGATGGCGATGTCCAGGCCCTCCAAATAGTCTGGATGCTCCGCCCTGCCAGAACCAAAAGTTGCCCACTCATGAAGCTGTGTAATGGCAGCCTTGATTGTAACTGCCTGAACAATGAGCGAGTGAATGGTCATGTCGGCATCGGCGTATTTGCCCTGCAAGGCCCGAAGTCCCTGAAGCGTACTGCCGATAATCTGCACCGTTTGCATGGCACCAGTCACGATGCCAAAGACAGATGTGGGATCCATTGGTTCGTTGGTTGGCCTTCCCAGCCTTACTGGCGCTCAAGTGCCCGTTCTAATCCCTTGTAGCCGGGCTCGGTCTGGTTGTACGAGCGAGAGCAGCGGAATGACTGGAAGCATTATCCGACTGACTAGATGTCTCGCCCAGCCGGTAGTTAGTATGCAGAACTGTTGAAGATGCAGGCCTCTGGTGGATTTTAAGGCAACGAGGCTCTCTGCCACAAACATAGCCATCCCTGTAATATCGCGAGCGCTGTGGCCCGTACTCCCCCTTCGTACCGGTGTGGCCTGCATAAGGCTAAAACTAACGAGGCAGTGCTGGAGGGAGACTCAGCCGCCACGGGCTGGGACGATGGTGTTGTCCTCTTCTACAGCCCGGCGGCCGTGTATCGTCCACTTATAACACCCCGGCAAGTCTACAGTATCGAGTAGATGGAGAGGAAGAAGTTTTGATGATGTTTCTTTGCAGATGTAGTTGGATGTAGAGAAAGAATATTTCCCGATTAAGATGCTTGGCATGGATGTCACATGACCTGACGTTTTTGTATCTTTTCTTGATGTTTGATAGAAGGAGAACGTCGACCAGCATATAGAACAGAGAAGAGGACATCTCTAACCGCCAGAAGGAGATATCTACCGGCCCGTCATGGCATCCCAGTCTGATACAACGCTGGATAAGTCATCTATCCTCACGGCCGTCTATCAATCACCCCGCACATCCCAAGATACAGCCGCGCCACCTGCACACGTCTTCGCGCAACAGCTCTCTGCCTCTGTATCCCCATCTGGAGAACACAGCCCTGCGAAACGAACGGCATACCTAGCTGAACTTCGGGGCTCTATAATATCGCTGCAGGCCGATGTGAATGCCTTTCTCACCGAAAAGATGGAGGATGACAAACGTCGCGAGGCCCAAGAGAGCGGGGGGGTCGCTGCAGCTGATGAGAAAAAGGAAGAAGATAATTATGGCGAGGAAGTTGTCAATGATGAAGATGAATGATGGACTCGTTTCGTTAGCGTACAGACAGCTTGATTATTATGTTTACTACGACGCAGGCAGGGGTATCCAATCACGACGCGCGACCTATATACAAAACAGAAAGATAGGTGGAAAGATGGAAGGAGAGAAGAAAATGATACCGAGACGCCATATGCTGGGTGGGTTAGAAATAACACTTCTATAACGCCTATCATACCGCAGAGCCCAATCTATTGGCACAGCCCAAATGAACTACCATATTGCTACGGTAGTAATCTCTGTTAGCAAATAGATGTCAGAGGGAATGGGGGAAAGACAACTTACTTTGGAAACACACTGATAACACTCCCGCCCAACCGTTTATGGCAGTGACTGCACACCCGATCTTCACTAACAGTGATGCAGCGGTTTCGACCCCTGTTATTACCGCCGCCAACCTCGTCACCCAACCGCAACGACGCTTCGGTCTCCATATTTTGAATCCTTTGCAACGAGGAGATAATTCGTCCTTGGTTCAGGATGGAGTTTGCCGCGCGGATACGGCCGCGGAAGTAGAATTCTAAATCATGGATGGGGAGCGTGCCCGGGATAAGGTCAAGGGTTGAGCTAGCTGGCAGCCGGGAGCCATGTCGTGCAAGGATCTCAATTGCAGGGCCATATCTTGGCTCATAACCATGGGGTGGTGACAAGTACAAGGAGAGGAGCGTGTGGTAGATAGAAGGACGGCTCTCCTCATCCTCAATTGCGGGAGAACTTCCGTATGGGACTGCCCGTTGCTTGGTATATGTATCATCTTGCAAATGAGTTCGATTGCAGTACCTTTAGTGCACAAGTCGTTAGTTTATAAGCATATCTCAGACATATTCAACTGTTTGCAGAGTAACTTACTCTTCGGCCTTTGCTGGGTTATTCAGCTTAAACACGTAAATCTCCAGAACCTGTTTGTGTTGGCCCATTTTACTTAATGTAACTGCCCTTGGCTCGAAGAATTCTGGATCTACCCATCCACCCGATATTAGTTTCAGTCCCCATAGCTAGGATATACCAAATCGTGAACTCACCATCCCTTGGAAGTCGATCGAGCATTCTGGCGGGAGAATACTGTTCGCTTGTCTCGAGCATCTTTAGAAGCTTACGCTTGCATGCTCCCATCTCGTCTTCGTTGGCGAATACATCATTAGACTTCTTGCTCTGTAGCAGCTGCTCGAGATACATTATCAACAGCCGCTGATGTATATCCGGCGTCATATCATTTAGTTCATCGATGACATGTTCCGAATACCTAATTGCAAGCTTCGAATCGATCTTGTTAAGGAACTCCAGAACTCGCTCACGCGGCAACGTCTCTGCATTCTCTGTATCAGCAAGGAAGATCTCCATACCCAGTTTTGGGTCACTCCGCAACGGCCATTCGGCAAATTCTAAAATCAGATCGATCATATCCGGAGGTAAATTCTGTAAATATGCGACTGTTCGTTTAGGTCCATGTAATTCTGGGGAGGTCTCTTCCTCGTTCTCTCTTTGCCCGAACTTCTTGAGCTGCTCCAGTGCAGAGCGATGAAGTCGTTTTCCAAATAGGAAGTCGATCAGGTCGCCGTATCGAGCGGTCTGCTCTAGTTTCTCCATTACCACTTCGGGATCACAGAAGTTGTCGATGCGGAATAGTGAGCCTGCTAATGTTGGTGTTGCAAACATGAGGGCTCTGAAGAGGGTAGTGTCGACCAAGGTGGCGGTTTCACGCAGCTTTTGGCCCATATCGACACTCTCCATGTCATCGGAAGTGATTCCCAGGGTCTTCAGCATGGATTGCGTGGATTCATCAGATTGATCGACGGTGATGGAGGGAGGCTTGAGGGTACCATCAGGGCTAATGAACCTGGAGAGTCTTCTGCGAATATCTGCGAGAAATCCCTGGAGCTCGTAAACCGCTGCCTTTAAATCTTTTCCTTCTAGTGGAAGGTCAGCAATAGTCCATTTAAGAATAAATCAGGGGGTTAGGTACGTACCAAGCCGCTTGTCGGGCTCTTTCATGTCTGCGGGTTTACCACGCATGCTTCCAGTCTCACTAGCATCATCTGTCTTCCCTCTTAGAAACGATGTTACGGATGGCGCATAAGTCCCATTTTTGACCTTTGGCTTGTCATCCGGTGTGGGCGGGTCGGCGCTGTTGATGCTAGTACCATTGGCCGGACGTGTGGAATTCTCCTCTGATTCTTCAGAGTTTACTTGCGAGGTATTGTCTTCTTCTTCTATAGAGGATAAATCACCTGCGATGAGTTTGGGGAACAGCCGGATGACAATCTCTGGGGGAGCTGTAACTTCTGTGAACAAGTCCAATGACTTGCGATATTTCTGCTTGTTGAATAGAGTCTGAGCCTTGCGTAGCTTAATCTCCCGTAATCTGCCCTCCTTGTCATTTAGAAGGGCATCTTCTAGCATTCCAAGCAGACTTATCGCCTCATCGAGGTGGTCTTGCTCAACCAAGCAGTCTATTTGGGAGTCGTAACCCAGAGCACTCATTCGCCAGATAACACGCCCGCTGCCTACTAGGAACCCCTTTCCTGCATGAGCAAGGCTAATGTTCGGCTGTGGGATGTGCATCATGGTAGCTGAGGGGAGCGAAACCGATTGAAGAAGAGACAAGGTTTCCGGATTCCGCACCTCTAAGATACCCTTGGACGGATCCTGCAGTGCCAGTAGGTACGGGTACGAGTATCCAACAGCTTCAGGAGTGACAGTCCAAGGAATCTGACGGCGCCTTAGAGCGTTTCCATCCGTGTCGACAAAGTGGGTGTTGACGTCTTTTGCAAGTAAGATCTGGCCTTCACACAACCTAGTCGCAAGGGGTTTAGGTGCTGCTCCGCCCATGCCTATATAGCTCATGCTAGCACCAACCCCTCCCAGTCGTCCAATATCCTGTCCGCCAGCTCCTCCAATGCTTCCGGGGCCCACGATATCCGTAACCTCTTTCGTCACGACGTCAACAATAACATAGCTCGAGCTAAGGCCTGCCAAAAGCTTGGTTCCGTTTGCCCAAGTTATCGTCTTTATCCCGCTTACGAGCGTGATCTCTGTAGCATCGTCCTCCAGCTCCATATCCTGCCATGTCCATAACATAAGCTTCCTCTTCACCGCAACAGCTAGCCGAGAAACTATCGATGGAACGCCCGTGTCCTGGTCCTTCTCGATGTTCGATGTGACTGCAAAGGTGGTAGCACCCTTGGTGCGTGTCAACTGCTCGTGTAGCTCGTAGGACTGTAAATCATGTATTGAGACATGGCCATTCGACAGGGAGAGCAGAATATTAGCCTCCTTGATAATCGCTAGCTGCTCGATCTTATACCGGGAGAACTTCTCAAGCTCCCGTAATAAATCCGTGGGCTTGGGCGTCGTTGCTGGCTGCACGGCACCATCCTGCGCCTCTGTGTGGTCACCCGCTCGCGTCTCGCCCTCATCTCCGTTCGCTTCGTTAACTCTGTATATACGTAGCGACCCTGTATTCAGTCCGACCAGCAGCCTATCTCCGTATGTCAGGATGGACTCTATCTTCGACTTGTCGCGAGGTCGGAACTCGACGAGGGGCCGAGCGGTGAATGCAGTCAGCATGGTTGGAGGACGTAAGATCGATCGATGGTATCGCCGGCACCCGTGGACCACGCTGCTATGTCCATGAGGCCTGGGGCGAGCTGTCTCTCTTCTCTGGTCGTCTTCGTCGTCTTGCGTCCTGGAGCTCTCTTGCTCTGCTCACTTCGCAGCCGCGATGTCATGCTGCAGCTGATCATCTGACTTGATTGGACCAGCCTGCTTAGTCATTCGTCAGTCCAACCTTGCGCCGAAGATCTTTACATCTAGATATCAAACTACATATATCACGGCTTGAGCTATGGTCTTGGGCTATGGTCTTGGGCTATGAGGTACGGCTGATACAGCTTGTGCTTTCATTCTAAGATAGGCGAACCTGGTATCAAGTAGTTGGAAGAACAGAGTAAAATATAACATCCTTTTTTTTATTATCCCATACCGGTTTTCCATGCCATCAAGATCCCATGCTCCCGAGTTCCGAGACCCTTTCGCCTCCAATCTGACGCCATTTAGTATACCTCTATTTCATTCGCGGGGAGAGTTTGGAAACCAAGAACAGGACCGAGTAAGAAAGAAAGAGTAGAGAGAGAATAAAAAAATAAGAGAGAAGCTGTGCTTGCTGAGAGTTCACCACCGCGAGTTCAAGCCCACTATTTGCCTGCCGGTGGAACCTCTGGCTCCTGGTGTTTTGCCGATGAGCCCTTCCCACGCCAGGTCGAGACAGCCGGGATGTTCGCCTTGAACCTTCGCTCCTCCGTCCCGTAGGCTCGAGGTGTAAGTTTGATCAGCGTATGAAGCGGGACCTCCATCCAGGGGCTCTGCTCCTGCGACATGTTCAAGAAATATGAATAGATGCATCGAAGGACGGCCTGATGGGTAACGATAAGCACGTTCTCACTACGCTCAAGTTCCATGATAATCGGCTCGAGACGAATGACAACATCGCGGTAAGATTCGCCGCCACGATAGCGGTAGTTGTATTTATCGTCATCACGAGCCTTGAAGTCCTCTGGGTACCGTTCAGCGATTTCTTCGTAAGTGAGGCCATCGCAGACGCCGGAGTCAAGCTCATCAAGGGCCTTCCACTCCAACTTATCATAGCCCGTTTCTGCCTGGAGGAAACGGGCTGTTTGGATCGTTCGTTTCAAAGTAGATGTCCAGATAACTATTTTCGTTCCAGGAGGGACGCCAGATTCCTTAAGAAGAGAAGGTAAAGCCCGCGCATATCCTTCGCCACGGGTAGACAGATTCGCATCGCCCCCGATCTGTCCTGAAAGGTTGAACTCGGATTCTCCGTGCTATATTCCAAAATAGTTAGCATGGCCAGATTCAGCAACATATCAATAAAGTACTCACTCGAGACAACCAGATTGATCGAGGCTTGATGTGGAGATTAATGGTGTAATAGACCAATCTACTAGACAAATAGTCCCGGATATTGTTAATCACAACAGACGTTCCAACATTGATCAGCTGGATGTAAGAGACGTCCTCGTCCTCGTCGATGGTCTGGTACACTTTCTCATAGTTGCTGATACGCTTCATAAAGTCCTGTGCAGCGATCTCAGGGTCCTGTCCGACGTAATCAGGAGACGTAGTTTTAACTTCGCGAATATTGGACATGATGAGATCACGGTCGTCGCATTTCGATTCGACAAAGAGCGGCTCGATTCCAGCTTCCTGGCACACGTCGCGGATCCACCTGCGCCGGGTCTTGGTAGAGTTCGTTGCGTCGAGGATTGCTACCTGTCCTCCGGTGGTCGAGAACCAGCGGATCATGTCCGTCACTGCAGCTTCGGCCGCGGCACGACGTAGCCTCTCACCATCTGGATTAGACGTATCGAAGAATGCAGCGGTAGGCTGAGGCGTGTCTTGCCGACGGTACTGTCCCACATTGAAGATCTTTGCTGGAATTCCGATCCATGAAAGATAACGTAGGGCTATTTGTTCATTGGTTAGCTCATGTAAAGATACACAAGGTGGGATTTGGCATACCTTTGCCAGCAATGAGACTTTTCCCACGGGCCGGGAGCCCAACCATAACTACGCATATCTTTGCATCATCGTCCTGTCGTTCGTTAGCGGAAGGCTTCGAAGAACGAAGCTCATCATGTCTAGCAGAGGTCTCTGTGGGCTGGGGTAGTATGTATAGGTCTCCTCGGTTAGGGAGGTCATTTTCCAGACAGCTCCTTGACAGAGAAGCCAACAGGGGAGTGTTTGTGTGCAGGAAATAAAAATCCGATGCAGAAATCAAAGGCAGAAGAAAGATGGATGAAAGAGCCCAGGGATGCAGAGGAGGAAAGGTTGTAGAACAGAGGGATGATGAACATGACAGCAGCCTTCATGTAGCTCTAGAGAGACCGTTTTGAGACGGTTCATTCACAGGACAGCCGGAGAGAGAGCTGTTTATTCAGTGACACCCTATCGCTTAGTCGTCCAGAGTGAGGGCGAGCATGTTCCAGCTGCGTTTTGCTGTCTTCTCCATGCTGCCAGGGCCATGATCTCCTTTTCAATGATGTTCCAACCGTGATCTGCCAGCCGTCTCCCCTTTTCCATGCTGTTCCAACTGCCGTGTTTGGGCGAGAACAAGCGATCAACGGCTGTATGCCATCCATCCTGATATTTGTATAGCAGCATCATGGCAAACTTCGTCTTCGTCCATGGTGTTTTCCATGCTGGACGTCGGGGCATCTCGGGAAAAGCGTCCAGCCACGTCGGCGCATCCCGCGATGTCATGTGCCCGGCATCCAGGGTTGCCCGATTAGGCAGTCCGCGGCGTGCTTTCGAACGAGGCGCAAAGAGAAGACAGGCCAGCAATGCAACAAACAGAGGGTAAAGAGCTGGTGAAACGGGGTGGTTTGATGGCAGCCGGTATCAAGGACAAGTATACAAACTGGCGCCATCATAGTGCAAGTGGTTCAGTGGGCAGTGGGGGCAGAAGTGGGCTATGTATCGAACAACAGCAAACGGGCCAGCAGTGACAGCAGGAGAAGAGACGACGCTTGATAGAAAGGAACAATTACACGTACCGGTTCACCAAATATCTGATAAACTGACTGGCGACGGCCCGACTCTCCAGATGCCATCGTTGGGATCTTATATCCCAGGAGTTCCTCCAGCAACTATGGTATCAACCCTTAACTAACGACGGTGCAAGAGCAATGCACAATGCAACTAAGAAGACACCGTCTCTTATATATATACCCGAGATTCAACGGCCAGGAGGAAAAGGGAAGATGTCTCCAGACAGGGGCCCAGGACATCGACAACGATGATGACAACCGACGCCTTTGAGTTTGTCTTTGGGGAAATCTAGAAGCTGGGGATGAGACGCGGGTCTTGTCACCCGAGGGACAAAAATTTCAGCAAGCTCCACACAAGACGAGTCCACACACAGGACGAACAGCAAGGCAAGCCCGGTCTCTTGTCTAGCGACGGGGTACACGGTTTATCCCAGTTAACGAGTGACGCCAACGGCCGGTCAAAAAGGAAAAAGAAACCACTGCACCTTAACGAACCTGCGGGATTATCCGTTTGACGTTTTGCCTGGAATCAGCTGACGGATATGCGACTCTGCGCAAACCGCATTGTTTTGAACGCATGGTTTTGAGCGCCGTGGCTGCTCGGCTGTACGGAGCAGCTGCAATCACACAGGCACAGGTTACGCTGCATCCTCATGGCATCCAGCATTGCAGTCGTCCTCGGGATCTAGTCGAGTAAACCGGGGGTGGTACCTTGTATTGAACAAGGTATTCGAGGAGGCTGAGAACTCTCTATGTTGTAGTTCAATGGATGAAGAACCGAAGTGATGAACGCATATCGGATATTTAGACATACTATCTCGAAAGACGTTGATATTTTAAATGATGCGGCTATGCCTGTTCCACGATATATTCACCTCTAAGCACCTTCGGGGGAGATACTCTTGATGCTTGTCATGCTCATATACTGCGAGATAGAATCTACTGGGTCATGGGCTGGAATATTAGATTCCTTCTCGATTGTTTACAGACCCAAAGCCTTACTACACTACAGATCGAGAGACTAGAATAGATGTCCAAGATGAAAGAGAATTGATTATTTCTATGGATTAAACTGTCTATGGGTTCGTTTTATTTCTTGGTGTCCTAGATTAAGGCAGTTAGTCACTGAATAATGCAATAATCTTTGTGATGGCAATCATAGTGAAAAATAAAAGGTATCAGAAGGAAGGCAACAATGCTGTATCCACACTTATTGTTCGGATCAGGTCTGTGTATTGTATTCATCATGTAATGGGCATGCAGGAGGAGGAAGAGAAATTGCGGATGGCATACCTTTTTGAATGGTGACGAGGAGGTCGAGAAAAAGGCGTCCATCTTCCTTTGCTTCGGGTCATGCTTCGAGCTTCCAATACCCCTAGTGCGCTTCAAGCTGACCAGATGTTGACGGCCATTTATCACCAGGACTTTGATGCTCAGACTCGCTGACAAGTCGGCACTGCCAGCCAACGTCCCATCTTGATCGTTAGCTGGAATCATACCTATTTCGAGCTCGAGATAACCTGTGTTCGACCATATGATGGGATGGCTGTCCAGAGAGGCGCGTGGACCGAAAGAGAAGCTGAGAGGGGCACACATTTGCTTCAGCGTCCGCCACAAAACGGACAAGATGACTCCATGGGACACAACAGCAACGGCCTCACCCTCTTCGCCTTCCTGTAACACGGGAGGCAAGTAGTCATCGAGAAATTTCTTCGCTCTCGCGGATAGATCCTCATGCGACTCTGTTGGAACGAAGCCGTCCCGCGTCTCAGCGGCAGGGGGAGAGACCCACGACTTTCTCTCAAGAGAGCCAAAATCCTTTTCGCTAAGATCAGGAACAACTATCTTGCTATCATGATCTTTCTTCAAAGCATCAGCCGTCACCCGAGCGCGTTGCAAGGGAGAGCAGAAGACACGAGTGAACTGAACACCTTGATGGCGGAAGTAGTCTGCGAGTTTCTCGATCTGGAGCATCCCATGGTTTGTCAACGCCGAATCTGTGACGCCCGCACTGCACGAGTATGAAAGTAAGTATTGAGCCCATCAAGAGGAAACAAACTAAATTCTCTTCGTACTAGACCTGGGCGACGTTGTGTTCGCTCTCAGCGTGTCGGATCAGGTAGAGCCTCATCTTCGCCAGACAGACCGCAGACTACGCCATTGAAGGACGTGTCTAAGCTGTGGCATGCTTCATACCACAGTGTCAATGGACCAACCGCTGCGACCGATTGAAGGCAGCAGAGTGGTGTCTCGACTGTGTGGACGTGGAGATGGAGGACGAAGAACGAAAAGCTCCAGGCGAATTTTTTTCCTTTTATTTACCTGAGTGCTTAATAAGCAACTAGGGCTCCAGCTTCCAGTCACGTGAATAATATGCTTGCATCGCGGCTTTTGCTGGTTTCCAGTAAAAGGACGAACTTGATAGCAGATCAAGGAACGAATGAAGGGTTAGCTGTCCTTCTCATAACGCATCTGACTGTGGCAGTGGACTTACGGCTTCTCTGACCACCGAGGGGCTTGCTTGAGCGTCACCAGGAACAGCTCCTGGCATCGAGATACCATACCCAAATCCCCTCCATCTCCATAGTACTCCGATTAATATCATATCTCTACAATGGTGAGACTTGCGCGGACAGTTACTCCCCATACCGTCTTCTTGCACTACTAATTGCTTTCTTCTCTGTGTAGCTGCCTCTAGGCCTTCTGAATGCGGCGCAAGGCCACCCGATGCTGGTGGAGTTGAAGAATGGAGAGACCTTAAACGGCCACCTGGTGAACTGCGACAACTGGATGAACTTGACGTTGAAGGAAGTGGTACAGACAAGCCCCGAGGGCGACCGTTTTTTCAGACTACCTGAAGTTTACGTCAGGGGAAACAACGTATGTTCTACTTCCATATGTAGTTCACATGAGATTTGGAATTTTGGATCAAGATAGCTGACTAGGCACGTTTCGCCTCGTTTATAGATAAAATACCTTAGAGTGCCCGAAGAAGTCGTCGATTTAGCGAGAGACCAACAGCAGAGCCAACAATCAGGCCGCGGCCGTGGTGGTGACAGACAGCACAGGGATTCAGGACGAGGCGATCGCGGTCGAGGCGGACGAGGCGGCAGAGCACGCGGCAGGGGAAGATAGGATGTTCACCACGATATTGGATTTTAATCTATTTCTTCGATACCAAAATACACATGGAACGAACATACCGACGAGCGCACCCGTAACATATCGAATCATGATCGACGACTACTAAACATGAACTTACCTGCTTTTGAAGGTTGCCCATACAACCAACTTTCGAGACTAAGGATAGCGGGAGTTATACGGCTTAGAATAAGATATGTACTTATAGGTCGAGATTTATAGCTCGAAAATGCGGTTACCATTTGAGGGTTAATATAATATCAATACCCGAGACAAGTCAAAGCTAAACGTCAATCATATATTCTCTGTATATGTGCTCCAATCTACTTTACACTCTATCTCTTATATATATACCCACATATATATTCAAAATCCCCCAATATCAAATATATGTATCCAAGAAACACGGTCCGCCTATATTATTTCATCTCCTTCGTACTCTTGCCATAACGATTCCACTTTCCCGGCTTCGTCTTCCAGATTGACACGGTCATGTCTTGGGCTGGGAAGAAGTTGGCTGACTCGGCTCAGGCTCCGAAGACGCAGCGCTTTCCTTTGGCTGACGCTCTAGCTGTGGCAGATTTTCCTTGTCTTCATCTTCAACAAGTTGATCTTGTCCACGCCAATCGACTGCATGGCCTTCTTGCACCTCTTCCCCAGGGCCAGGTTCGGCAATGATCTTGCCTGGTGGCGGAGCGTCGGTAGTACCAGATTCCGGCTCTTTGCCCTCGGCATCCTCAGGGGAAGGTGTATGGTATTTCCAAACAACCTTGAGACGGTCCAGCGACCTTATCCCCTTCCTGGAGGTTCCCTTGATCCCGTCCATGGCGTCCCATTCCGTCTCGAACACTCCGGAATTATGGTCATGGCCACCTTCAAAATAGGCATTGAACCAGACATGGCCGACAGAGGTGACCATGGTCCAGTCTGTATATGAGACAACAGCCCGTCGCTCAAAGTCAATGTTTACATCTGACGTGGGAACTATAACTCGTTCCTGAGGCCGAAGGATAACATCGTCAGTGGAATCGTTCGGTGTAGACGCAACAACCGACCAAGCAGCGTTTACCACTGATTCAGACTCTGTGACTCCCTGGGCTGATTTGGCCGGTGTAGAGGTTGGCTTTGTTGACGATGGAACGACATCCCCTTTGTCCGCCTGTTTGTCGTCGTCATCCTCCTTTCCAGCCGAATCGGCATCCTTCGAGGAAACATCGCTGTTTTGATGAAAGAACTCGTCTTTGCTAAACCGATAGAACCGTTTTATTTTCCTTCCTTCGTCCACAAACCCTTCCACATCCACTTTGAGCCCCTTTCTCAATCCCCAGATATGGATCTCCACGATTTCAACGGGTCGCTCGACGTATAGTTTGTTGAATTCGTTCTTCCAGCGCTCAACATAGCCCACCCATCGAACCTGACTGGGTATGCTCACACCGGCACCAAACCCAGCCCTCATTCTGCGCTCTGTGAACTGTTTCATGGCGTCTACTGCGCTCCAGCCCTGTTCGCTGATCAAATAACTACAGGCAACGGTCCCACTGCGCCCCTTGCCAGCTTTGCAATGTACCACTGCAATCCTCTTGCTCTTCCCTTCGCCGTTTAGCCAATTCCGCATACTAGCCATGAGCGACGGTATCAAGGCGAAAGGAGGCGGGTGGTGATCCGGCCATGGGAAATGGTGAATACGTCCATAGACCTCATCATCAGGGTATCCGGTTCCTTCAGCACGAAATTCCCATATCGACCAATCCTCGCCGTGTTTTGAATCGAGGAAACGAACCAGGTCTTCTGTAGGGTTTCGGTACGCGCGTTTAGGATACGTTGAGGATGGGCCAGATGTTGCTATGACTGCACAATTGTTAGTCAACATAACCAGCTGTATTGCGGTATGCTTTAAATTGGGCGTCAAAAGTCCTAAGGATCAAGTAGTACAGAGTTACTCACTGTCATCCGTAACATAGCATAAGTCGAGACACGCTTCGGGGTGGTGAACCCGCGGGCTTGCCACTATCCGTCGGAGAAAGGATGCCTATTATTTGAGGTTAGGAAGACGTAACTCTAACATCTATAGCAATTGAGCGTTACTGACCATCGTTTATCTCAGGATTGAACCTCTTGAGTTGAAATGCATCGTGGTCTGCCTGCAGATTTTAAACGAAATCAAGCAACAGTGACGATGCGGAATGATGTCACTCGTGTTTCTACTTGTGCTTGGCGCATTGGCTAGGGAGTTGGATATCAAAACACCGACATGAACTGGTTGATTGTTTAGACGTTACGGTCTGGGGTATATCGATTATAATACATCGAGAACATTCGTGCTTCACTAATATACAAGGCAAACTCCCATTCAATCTTGACGCGATGGCCCGTTTCCTTCTACCGCTGTCTCTGCTTCCGCTTCCGCCTTTGCCTCTGTCACTGTCTGTGTCCCTGTCTCTGTCTCAGTCCCTGCCTCTGTTTCCCCATGTTTCGTCTCCTGTTGTCGTTGGTGCTGGTGCTGCCGTTCTAGATCCTGCGTAGAGCTCAGCCTTCTAACAGGCCGTGGCCCGATGGTGCTCCGGATAACGGGCTTGCGGATGGATGCATCGTACAGAAGCTTGAGAGCATACTCATCCTCTAGCCCATAACATTTACTGCGGATATATTTCTTCGCTTCCATTGACAGGGCAAACCCGGAGCCTGTCATCTCAAGGAAATATTTATGGGCAGCTCCGAATCGAGAGAAGTCAATGCAAAGTAGAACTAGGCTCTCATATGTCTTGCGGTCCGGAAGGATTTTCATCTGGATCATCTCCTGGACGAAGAAGCCGGCCAATTCTCCGTGCTCTGTCTTTCGGCAGACCATGAATAAGATATTAAACGTCAATGTTTCCGCGCCAGATGGACAGATGGTGTGAAGCTCTCGATAAAATTCCCATGCTGCATCTGCCTGGCGTAGATGGGCACATAGTTCGAGTGCGACGTTGACAACTGCTAGAGGGATTTGTAGATTCTCGTCTTTCTTGAGCCGCTTAAAAGTTTCCCAGACAGCTGCTGGCTCTACTTCTGCCGTGATTAAATGGGAGAGAAGTGTTCGAGTCGAGCCGTCCCGGACACCAACGCTGCTGTTGCCCATCGTGCAAAGTATGCGAATGGCCGAGTCAAGGTCGTGTGCCTCCACATAAGTATCAACGAGAGACTCATAGTCATTTAATGTAAACGCGGCACCACGGTCTCCGAGCAATTCGAACACTGATGTCGCCAGCTGGGCGTTACCCGTTCGCGCGCTGATAGCAAGAACATTGTTGCAGACACCGTACGGCGGATTCATATATCCTAGCTCAACATACTGTTCCCAGATGAACTGAGTCAACTCGGCGTGCATAGCAGCACTAGCGGCATCCAGTACGTGGTGCCATATGTTTGGTGAAAGATTCTGACCAGCCTCAACTTTTGATCGCATCAATTGCAAAACTTCATCGAATTCTCCATAATCCGTAAGATTGTAAATGAGGAGCGAGTAAAGCCAGTTCTGTACCGGCACATGCTGCAGCTTCATATGCTCCAAGGTCTCAAGCGCCATTTCAAATTGTCCTTCACGGATGAGTCCCGCAACAATGTTATGCCAGCCTGGCGGGCTAAGGGGTAGCCATCTATCTCGGAGCTTATGAACAACTTCAGAACGAAGGAGGTAATCGGGGTGAATCGCCAGTGCCTAAGAATGAAATGTCCCGGTTGTAAGCCTGCTATTCGCAATGCATAATAAAACAACAATTTCAGTGGATGGGAGGACCTACTTTTAACGCCGCATGGAGAGTCCCCGAGTCTGCCACTATCCCATTCTTCTCCATATCATCCAGAAGCCCCCGTACCTGCTTAGCAGACCCTCGAATGCACTGAGAGTTTGCCAGTATCATTGCGCGGTAATGGCGAACCTCCGGACGAACATGCCTGTTGCGCACGAGTTCTGTGACAACCTTTAAGGCAGCGGTATGATTTGGTAGCTTTTCAACTACATTTTGTAAAGTATTTTCCAGGTTCACATTTGTCTTTCCTATGAGATCCGGCAGCACTTTGCTTTGTCGTAACATCTTTCTAGCGGTTGGCGGTTCCATTGGTCGATGAGGTCTGGATTTCGGTTTCATTTTAGAACCATTCAGCTTTCGGCCGTCATTGCTGGTATTTGATCTCAAGGCTTGCGGTCTGGGGGAACTGACGGGCCCAGAGCCAGAGGCCATCAGGGACTGGAACGACGCAGCAAGTGAGCATCTTGGAGAGCTGCAGAAGCCTCTCCGCGACGAGGAAATGGCATTGTCAAAAGAAAACGACTGCCTCGTCGGTTCATGGAACAGGCGACCCAGTGAGGGACGAAAACAAAGCCATAGCCCGTCTACAGCCACTGTTCTGCTCGACATGCTTTGCTATACGATTTCTCTTAGCTCTTGCTGATGTCTGAAGAAAAAAAATGGACATCGATGATATCACGTGATATCACATCTACCTACAGCCCTGGAGGAAAGCAGCAACAACTTGGACAGGAATATTTACATGGAGGTTTTCTATATACACCGGATTTTAAGCGTGCATGCTGAGTTGAGTTCTATGCCATATAGCTTGCACTCGTTCTAGCTCCCTCCATCTCACGTTGAATGCGTTCTCTCTTCTTCCGCTCATAGATCCCCCTGACAACCCGCTTCAGCTGGTCCTCGCCCTCCGCAAAATTCGATTTCGCAAGGTGTACGGCGGAATCTATCTGCTCCGGAGTGTATATGAAGTTCCAAGTACTCAGATAGTCCTCCTCTAATGGGTCAAGGATCCTGGGCTCGCCGTCTTTCTCGTCCTTGTCTGGGTCAGGGAGAGCGCGGCAGGCAGGGTTGGGTAGAAGGGGGAAATAGGCAACGGCAATACCAGCGTGTGGTTGCGTGAGGTGGAATTCAGAATCATCCTCTTTGTTACCGGATGAATGGAACAGTCGTTTGGATGGTGGTGGATCGGCAGAAGCTATCCTTTCCTCTGTAGTACCAAGCCAAATGTTGCAGAAGGTCAAATCGTTGCTGGCTTCTTGCGCGGAAGCTACTTTCTTATCGGCCTCCTCCTTTGTAGTTTGGCTTTCCTCAGCGATGATATCTGCTGTCTCCGAGGGGGTTGCGTTGGATTTTGGCCATCCTGCACCGATTGGCCAACCCTTGATACCTCGTTGGTGGGCATAACCATCGACGACCGAGAGCCAGTTAGCTTCTTTGCTGTCGGCAGAAACGTCAAATGCGACGATAAGATCAACGTTTCGCCCGGGTCGAAGCAGCGGGTAGATGGGTAGATTGTTACTCATACCCGCATCCATCAGCCGTAAGTGTGAATCTTGAAAGACAGACTCGGGACACGAATCGGGGAGCTTCCCTTCCAGTCCCAGGACGAAATTGGGTACCGTAGCAGGGTCAATGGGGTGAACACGGGTTAGATCCTCGCTTTTACCTTCGATGAGGGCGTCAATGCTACTAAAGCCTGCAAGGCCCATAAAGGCCGGCCGTATTTCCTTGTAGTAGTGAGCGAGGGTAGCACAGAAAGCGCTTCCCCAGACACCCATGAGGGCAGGCACTCTTAACTCGGGGACAGCATATCCATGGGCGGCCGAAATGCCTTTTCCGTCCTTGAAGTTACGTCCGACAGCCCAGGTAGGAATACCGGCCTCGAATTCTTCACAGAATAGCTCGTAGGGAGAAAATTCAAACCACTGGAACCAGCTTTCTTGTCTAGCGATCTCCTTAAGCTCGTCTTCAGAGGCATCGGTTTGGGTCGGCTTTGGTATCTCGTGTCGAATGGCCGTGTAAATTGGCATTGGGTTAGCTCCGCCATTTACCACCGCACGTTGGCTAGACAATTGCAAGTCACTGTCGGTCAAGGCGGCGGTATCCTGAGGAACCATGAGCCTCGCAGCCAGCAATATTCCGTATACGTCAACCAGGCCAAAATCGGCCTTCGGGTCTCCCTTGAGCTTCTCGATCACACCTCGTAGAAGGTATTTGTTTGTTGGCGGAGAGGTTACAAGGTCGAGGGCTTCGGGTGGGAATGCGATATGCGTTTGAAGCCTTGACTTGAGGTGGTCAATCATTTTGCCAAAGTCCTGGCCGCCGATAGAGGAGTTGAATAGAGTCTGTAGCCAGCACGATCCGCTCACGCCGGCTGTATACGTGAGACAGTCCCAGAGCCCGGCATCTTTGGCGGCCATGTATGAACCGGTCCCTGCAATAAGAGCGCGCAGGCCTCCTCCGGATGCACACATGGCAATGACAGGCACGTCGTCGGGGTGCACTTCGGCCTCTGGCAGCCCAAGGTAAGCAGCCAGGTTCTTCGCGATGACTCTACGGCGGTCTGACAGAAAGGCTTGTTCTTCCGGGCATAGAGTGTTTCCAATTCTCACGTTTGCTTCCTCGATAATGCTTGGGTTGAATTGGGGATCGCACGCTTCCTTCCATACGTCGTCAGCCACAGAACCGGGAGCCATTGAGAGCTCGCGCTGCAGGTTTCGCAAGATTTCCGGGGACAGCAAAGTCCATCCAGGCGAGATATAATCCTTGAAGACTGCTGACCAGTCTGAACTCCAGTCTGAAGAGCTAAAGTAGCCCTCCGCAGTGCCGAGTCTGTCTGCCAGCGTTTCCCACGCAGACTTCGGCGTAACGTCAGCATCGGCATCCTTCTTCTCGCCAGCTTCCTTCCCCTCAGGTTTAACCAGCTTGGCTAATGCAGATTCTTCTGGGGTCGGCGCCGTCTTCTTCGCGTTCCACGCCGCAGCACTGCGTCCGGCGTCGCATCGAACGTTCTGTTTACCCAGCAGCGCGAGAGAAGCGCTGCCCGTCACGAACAATGCGCCCTTCAACGCCTGCCGCCATCTTGCTTGTAGGAACCGGGCAGCACCCATCACGGTGAAGCCAATGCCAGTAACGGTGAAGTCAGTCTACCTCGAAGCTGCCATGACAGTTCAAAACGGCGGGAAGTGCGAAACTTGGTCCCGCCACTTTTGCCCGCTGCCATTGACTTTTGGCTCGGTGTATGGATGATCCGAGGTAAAAGCCATCCTGGAGCTTATCACGGCCGCTATACAGCACGTTCAGCGACGGCGAGCATCGTCTGGCGAAGAAGCCGCCTGCTCCAAAGCATAACGCATTAATACTAGAGACTGATATTGAATATAGAGAAGTCGTCCTGTCAAAAAGTAAGCGTAGTTTAAGCATATATTAAGAGTGAAGCCTTGGCGACGTTACGGCTCTTGGCACAGTTCGCATCATGATATCATCTTCCACCTTGATCGCCTGAGCATCAAGCGTCTTCCTCTTCTTCCGTCGCCGTTCTCTCTCTTTTCTTTGGCCGCAGTCAGTACCAATCGACCAGTATACGATTTCGACAGCTACTATCGTTTTTCACCGTATTGTAGCCGCCAGTATACGGCTACGACTGCATGCGAAAAGGGGGGATCCGAGCCGTTGACTCACGGCTGATGACGAACTGACGTCGAGTGGGAGCTAGGTATGTATATTCTGGCTACAAGTATAAGTTTAGATAGCTGACATGATCTCATAGAGCGGCGCAATGGGCGCTCCACGAAACGCCGTTTATGCGGAGGAGAGTGCGGAGGTAGAAGTGCTCTACGCGGACCTCGACAAGCTCAACACCCTAACCAAACGGATCCAAGGCTCTCTCTCACGGCTCGAGGCCAGCGGGAAGGTGGTCAAAAATGCGATCGGTCCTATCTACGGCAATACCCAAGCCCTACAGTCCACCACCACGAACATAGACAGAGTGAATGATGCCATCGAGCGGATGCGCCGTCCACTGGATGTAAAGGGACAAGAAGAAAGCATTATACGAGCCGGGTATGCAATAAAATCTGTCTAGAGAGATCGTCTTCATAAACAGCTTGCTAACCCGCCACCTCTCCGATAGGCCGCAAAACGCTGGGCTACCACAATTCCTCGGTGCGTTGAAACGCATCGACCTTGCGCTAACGGACTTGAATGCCACGAAACTTCGGTCGAATCAAAAGGCTGTCTCCGAGTTCAGCTCACTACTTAATTCGGGGAGTAACAAACTGCAGGACCTATTCAGGTCCACCTTGAGGGAGGAGGCCAGTACGATCGAACCGCTTCACTACCTTACAAAACGTAAGACATTCGGATAATATTGCTACCCATATATACTCTGTAAACCAGCTAACATTTGTTCTTAGAACTTTCTTTCCCTTTACTGTCGCAAGATGCTTTCTCCGAACTTGCTCCAGCTGCAGGCGCAATCACAGCTGCCTCTAAGCATACCCCCCAACAAGGCCACATAGAAAACCCAGCAATCTCGATATACGCTGAAATTCGTGGCCCATATCTAACGAGCAGCTTGCAAAACCTGGCTACTGCATCCATCAGCACCGCCAAACGCAGAGCAGCCGATGGACCTTACAAGCAAGGCACCAACGGAATCGGTGTATACTCTAGTGTCATAGAAGGGATGTTTCTTGCAGAGTATGAGAACATCGTAAAGGTCTTCCCGGCAGACCAGCAAGGAAAGGCCCTCCAGGCTACATGTCGGCCCGCTCTAGCCGAGTTCTCCAAGACCATGCGCGAGCTAAACATGTATATCAAGTCAAACTTGATCACCGACTGCTTTCTTGCCTTTGAGGTCATCGATATTGTCACATCGCTATCGTATCGTCTGGATACGAAAACGGGGGAATTAAAGAATCTATTCTTCGAAGCCCTACGGCCCATCCGTGAAACTGCCAAATCATCCCTAACGGAGCTGTTGGAGGAAACTAGACGCAAAGCAGCATCGATCACCACCCTACCCCAAGATGGCTCTCCGGTCCCACTTGTAAACGAGGTGATGAGCTCCCTATCCACGCTGACCGCATACTCGAAACCTCTTGCCTCTATCCTTACATCCCTAGGAGATGGTAACTGGAAACCTTCTGCGGCGCCAAACACCACCCCTCTTGACGTGGGACCAGACAGCTCCACGCTTCTCTCCCATTTCATTCTCGACATGATCGAAGCGCTCCTGTCTTCCCTCGAAGCCCGCGCCCGAGCGGTCCACAAAAGCAAGTCAACCCTGGGCGCGTTCATTGCAAACAACGTCTATATCGTTGACAGGGTCATCCGCAGCACCCCTGAGTTATCGAGCTGCCTCTCCGCCCCAGAAAATGCCAGTCGGCTCGAGGTATGGCGCAAAAAGGGCGTGTCGATATACCTCGATGCCTGGCGTGATCCATCCTCACATCTTCTCGATGTGCAATATACGAGCAGAGGAGGTGCTCGGCCTACGTCTGGCGGACCAGTCGATTCTAGCGCCATAGTTAAATCACTCTCTTCCAAAGACAGGGACGTGATCAAAGATAAATTCAAGGCGTTTAATTCCTCGTTTGATGAGCTGATCGCAAAGCATAAGTCGCTTAATATGGAGAAGCCGGTCCGCACCTCGCTTTCCCGTGAGGTACAGGCCGTTATCGAACCTTTGTATGCGAGGTTCTGGGATAGATACCATGAAATCGACAAGGGACGAGGGAAATACGCAAAGTATGATAAGGGAAGCTTATCTGCTCAGCTCTCTGCCTTGGGCTAGGAAGCTGTAAGTGTATGAGATGCGGTATTGTATCCCCAGCCCATTTTGGGTATAACTTTTCAAGTACATAGTTCTTTTAGCCTTCTTTTTATAATATACCAAATCAGTTTCCAATAGCCGTATCGTTTATGATGAATATTTAAATTTATCAAATGTTATAATCTAAATAGTAAGGACTATGGTTAACATGCTAAAATCTGGTCTTAGGATATCAAATGACACCACAGCATCAGTGCTTGCGGTAATTCATCATTCCTACCAGCCAGCCCGCGCCTCCAGACGACCTGAGTTTCCCATTATATGACCCCAACCTTAGCCTTTTGGCCTGTAATTATGGTTTTGACTTAGAAGCCTAAGTTGTATATGCATATTCATCGCCCGGCTGGCTACATTTAGTAGGATTGTAAGAGCTTATACTACGCTCTTGGTTTCTCGCTACTCCAACGTGTGGGTGGGGTTACGAGTAATATATTATGCTTAATTCCTTAAATGTATCTAGGTAGCATTAGTTAGCTTTCCTCGCTACGTATATAACCTCGTCCTGTCTTCTACATACATATTATCGAGGAAGTTGGTGTTTAGATGTGAATTTTGCGCGCCAGGAAGATATTCATGCTAGGTTCAATATGCATGGACACTATGTACTCGTGGTATACCCCGCGGAAATAACATAACAACGAGCTAGGCGGTTATATAAATAGAGTAAAAAGGGTAAGCATAAAGGTAGCGTGTGGTATCAAAAGGCTGTAATTGCAGGCATGTGTAAGAAATGAACCATTGACTTATAAACTGTGAATAAAGCTCGACTTAGAATAAGGAAGACGAGATGGAAGGAAAGAAAGCGATCAATTGAATCATTTAAATTAGTATTGGCATATAGATATATCTAAGAACGTAGATAGATAGGTGGGTATGTAGACAGGTATGTAGGTCGGTATATAAAACAAAAAGAAACATGATAAGGGGCCTGATACAGATCAGGAACAAAAAAGGATGAGGCTAAGTAAGTCACAGGCGAAATGAAGAGCAGATGAGGATGAGATGAGGAATCAGGGGGGCAGCGCGCTGGCACGGATAGATATAAACATTAGCAGTAATGGGGAAGACAGGTGGTATTTCTTTTTCTTGCACACTTTCGATTGTTTCTAGTGAAAACATTACGACTACCGGCCTGGACCCATCTCATATATCTGCTCTGGCACAGGCCCGTTATGCGTGGCGCCCATGGGTGTTGATGCCAGTTCGGATGGAATAGGTGACATCTGCTGTGGAGAATTGACAACTGACCCAGGCATTTCGGCAGTCTGAGGAGCTTGAGGTGGATGGGCGAAAGGTGGTGCAATCTTTTGCTCGTTTGGATAAGTTGGTAGTTGGTCGTCGGCTGGGGGCTTCTGTTCAACTGGAGCATAATAGCCTCCTGCAACTGGGGGTGTCTGATTATAGCCTGGATGTTGTGGGTTCATTCCAGTTGGAGGCATGTTGTTGTTCTGGGTGTAAGCGGTGGCAGGAGCGGGAGCGGGAGTGTCCGGCTTCTTGCGCAAGACGAACCACCAGAGGGCAATGAGCGCGGCGGAAACACCAGCGACACAGCCGACGACGATACCGGCGATGGGGCCAGCTCCGAGTCCTGTGCTAGGTTGAGGAGTTGGGGTTGGGGAGGGGCGCGGGTCGGTGGAGGAGGATGGTTGAGGTGAGATGTCCGATACGCTGGTGCCGGACTCCTGGGAGGAGCTCTCAGTGGCGGTGGTGGAGGATGGGATATGGGTTGCGGAGTATTTAGAAGCATAGTCAGGTCCTAGCACGGAGGAGAAATACTGTGATAGCGGCGAGATGTTATCTGATACCGAAGCATACGAGTAGCAGCCGTACAGCTTGGTGTTTTGGTTGAATATGTAGGATCCGCAGTAAGGCAAGGTAGATATGCTGCACTTGAGGGCGAGAGAGTCCTTGGAGCAGGCTGCGTCACAACTGACGCTCGAGGCGTAACAGGTGGTTGGGATGGTGGTACAGTCGCTAATGTTTTTGCTGAGACAGCATCCGGCAGCATTTCCAGTGTAGATACATGTCGCGCGGGCGTTGACGCAGGTCAGGGGGTTTGCTATTATTCATGTTAGTTTATACAATTATTTGATTTCTAATATACGGTCTTTTATGAACGAACCTGGGTCACCATCAACCAAACCACAGTAATACGCCGGAGGAGGGAAAGGGATCAACAAGCTGCTTGATCCCATGCTCTGTCGCTTCGCCAACTCAAGCGGTATACCAGCAGCTAGACCTGGAGGGGGAGTAGGCTTTGGGGTCATTCCATCAACGGCGACCATACCAGCAGGCGTGACGGCGGGCATAAGGTGCTCTAGAGACGAGGCATCCACGGCGGCCAGAGAGAGGAGAGCGGCCACTAGGGCCAGCGAGTGTCCAGTCATGGTGATGAATTGGTATCACCAAGGCCGCGACGGGAGGTACGACGAAGTTGAACTGCACTTCACCCGACCCAAAGATCGGTATTTTTGCCAGAGAGGAAACGATAAAAATAGAAATAGGAGGGTGGATAGCAGGGCCAATATCAGCTATCGTGGTGAAACGAAAGATGGAGGTAGCAATATCACGTCGGGATACTCGCTCAACCTAGAGAAAGAGCAAACGAAGAGCAAAAACGAGAGGTGAAAACGACGAGAGAAGAAGAGGAAAGGGAGGAAGCAGATGCGAAGGAAAGAAAAGATCGGCTCTCACCAACGCTCTAAAAAGAAAAGAAACACGAACGAAGGACTGTCAAGGAAGCTTTGAGCCTCGCCGCAAGCTCAAAGTAATCAAAGGGGGGGAACGTTCAACCTGAAGCTATCTCAGAACGAGCTAGCGAGAAGGTGAGGCTCGTATTCCCCGTCCGCTGACTTGTAGAGCGCAGCTTAGCCCTCGCTCGCTAGAGTCGATAATTGGGCCCTCGGCGGGGGGATGGTGGACTGGGAAACGAGCCATTCGCCAATCCAAAGCAGAGATGGCTGTGATGGTAGTCGTCTTAACGAGGTTATGCCAGCGGTCAAAGCCATGCCGGACGTAAATAGAGTCGTGATTAGCTTTCTATCCGCGAGCAGATAGCGTGCTCCATACATAACTCTGTGCTTTTAGCATTCAATGTCGTCTCTGAATTTCTGTCAGTCGAGGAGGTCATCTTCTACTTCATATTCAGGGGCAGAAGGATGCCGCCAGTCAAGGATAGCCTGGTCAGGATAAAAATTCCCGGCGAGGAAAAAAAAAGCAAGTCGCAGCAAGTCAACCCAGCTGCGCCCTGGGAGACTGCCATGCCAGCTAGTGTATCCAGCCCGTAATACGAGAACAGCCAGAGTTCGCTGGCGCTCAAGCAGTCGCGTATGCATCGTTACCAGGCCGATACCATCGATTTTATGCCATCCTTTTTAGCGAAGAAACCTAGTCTCGGCGCTCGTTTTTGATTGTTCAGCCGCAAGGGATAAAAGTCGAGATGGACGACCATCTTTCCAGGGACACACGAGTCGAGGTGTCAAGGCAGTCCATGGCCACGTTGCTATCCGTACCGTCATGCGTCCGCCATGCGTCCATCATCGTCCGTCATGCAGTGTCCTCGTCGTCCTTGAAAAGAGATGAGATCGGGGTAAATGCAACTGTTTCAAGCGTCAAGTTATTTTTAGCCTCTCGCAAACTCAGCCGAGCAAGAAAACAAACTTGTCTTGCAGCTACATCCTGGCAGCTCGGGTCATCCCTCTATCTCGATGCTTGTTCAGCATCTCTCATCTCACGTCTCATCTCGTCGTCCTCATCTCTCCTCTCATCGTCTCATCTCCTGCTCTCATCTTCCCACTCGTCTTCTCATCGTCTTCTCCTATCATCTTCCCATCGTCTTCTCCTATAATCGTCTTCTCATCTTCTCATCTCTTCCCTCCTATCTTGTGTTGTTGTTGATGTGCTGTTTACTTCTCCGTTTACCCTAATAGGACATCACGTGCGCCCTTAGTCATGCCGGGTGAAGTCGGGTATACTCACGTGTCATCACGTGCCACGGGGAAACGCGGAACGGAGAAACTCGGCCCGTGCGGAGACTCTCGTTCCGTCCCCTGTCCCCGTGACCTCGCATGTGTCTGCAGAAGATGTGCGGGTACCTCGGGGTACTTCCTCCGCCACTATGTCTATAAGAGAGTCCAAGTACCTCTAAGTATCTCGCCATGAGGGGGCGCCGGGGGGAAAATGCGGGAAAATCTCGTGCGCTTTTTCCGCTTGAGACCTGCAACTCCGACCTCCATCGTCCTTTGTGCCTGTTTGCCCTATATCGACGACTTCACCCTTCGCGCGCCCTGAAGCCACCACAGTCTGGGGAAACAGGTCAATTAGCGCGAGCACCGCGGTGGCCGCCCGGGGGAAGCCCGCCAGCACGGCAAACGTAAGATCCAACCTCGGCACCGTCGACGGTTCCCGCTCTCGTGACGCTTTCCTCCAGTCATACCAGATATAAGGAGATATAAGATATATCCCGAGTGCACTCGTCCTGCTCCAGCTCGAAGAACGCATCACAGCACGACAGAGGCATAGGACAGGACCGGAAGGACAGCAGCAACCATGGCGTGGAGGGCCTCTGAGCGTCTCATGGAGACCATCAGCCATTACGCCTCGTTCCCCGCGACAGGCGTCTCGCTGCGGCAGATGGTGCAGTTCGGCGACAAGCCATCGACAGGTATGTCCAGCACAGGTGTGTTTCCGTCTCGTACCATCTGTCATGTTGTCTTTCTGGTTGTTAGTTGTAATTGCGTGCACAATCACCGTGGTTACCCCGACTGACATTCTCTGGTAGGCACACTGTTCCGGGCCTCACAGTTCCTGTCCGAGGAGCTGCCCATACGGCTGGCTCACAGGGTACGGGAGCTCGGCGACCTGCCAGACGGGCTGAACGAGATGCCGTCCATCAAGAAGGTGCAGGAGTGGTACGCACAGTCATTCGAGGTAGGTCGGCCACACCTCTTACAAGTGCCGGGCAGCGTTAATGATGATACAGGAAATAACGAAGCTGGAACGGCCGACGCTGTCACAAGAAGTACGATCACGGCTCCTCAATTCAGGCCGGATGAATGGCCGGGAGCCCAGAATGCTAGAACAAGCGACCCAGAACCCCAGCATAAAGCAAGGACAATACCGCTCCTCTCCCACGACTTCCATCCTCAACAGCATCTACAGCAACGGCAACTCCAGCGTCATCGGCAACAACGGCAGCACCACCACCACAACTACAGCAACCAACGGCGCTAAACACCGTGTGGTTGGAACCCGTCGCTACTTTGTGGCTGCGGACGACGGCGCCGACTGGCCGCCAGAGCTGATAGACTACAACGCCCGTCTTGCCACGACTCTGGACACGATAAAGCGACGACACGACAGCGTTGTCACGACCGTTGCGCAGGGTGTGTTGGAATGGAAACGCAAGAAACAACGCCTCCAGATCGACTCCGGCATACAAGCCTTTTTAGACCGCTTTTACATGTCTCGTATCGGTATACGCATGCTTATCGGCCAACACATCGCTCTCACGAATCAACACCACTCCTACCATCCAAACTATGTCGGCATCATCTGCACAAAGACCAACGTGCGCCAGTTAGCACAGGAAGCCATCGATAACGCTCGCTTTGTCTGTGAAGACCACTACGGCCTCTTCGACGCTCCCAAGGTCCAGCTCGTATGCCGCGATGATCTCGACTTCATGTACGTTCCCGGCCACCTGTCGCATATGCTCTTTGAGACGATCAAGAACTCGCTGCGCGCCGTTGTAGAGAGGCACGGACCAGAGAAGGAATCGTTCCCTGTAACCAAGGTCATCGTTGCCGAGGGAAGGGAGGATATCACTATCAAAATCTCCGATGAGGGAGGTGGTATCCCGCGATCTGCGATACCGCTGGTCTGGACATACATGTATACCACAGTGGACCAGACGCCGAACCTGGACCCGGACTTTAACAAGAGCGACTTCAAAGCGCCCATGGCCGGGTTCGGATACGGTCTTCCCATCAGCAGGCTATACGCGAGATATTTCGGCGGAGATCTCAAACTCATCAGCATGGAAGGGTATGTATACGCCGATGTCTACTATTTTTCATCCACGCGCATCGCTAACAGGTGTCTACAGATACGGAACTGACGTTTACCTGCACCTGAACCGCCTCTCGTCTAGCTCCGAGCCTCTCCAATGACAACTACCAGTCATGAGGAACGGGCAACCACTAGTCCATACATCGCGACACTTCACACCCACCCATCCGCAGCCATCCCCTTACCCATCCTCATCGACGTCGACATTAACACCCTTACCCTCTTCTCCTACACCCACATCCATACCAACATCGACATCATCTGACCTGTTTCCCTTTCTATATAAATCCTCCTGCCGCCCAGCTGCCAAAGAAGCAGGACCGTCCTGGCTTGCGATACCATGCTCAAACAAAAAGCCGAAACCAAACTTATACCAGCGTCTTTCTGGCGTGTCGGGATTGACGGCCATGAACTCGTCTGTGATTCGATCACGGGCAAAACGCAGAGAGGTCTCGGAAAGGAAACAGGTAGGTGATGCGGAAATTTTGGTTAATCCCGAGAGGGGAGGATTGTAAAACCTCCTCCTCCAGCAATGATACCTCCAGCGGAGTTTTTGTTTATTTCTTTCTTTTTTTACTGTACATAACATGCAAACTTGTCATCGTCTGGGCGTCTGCCTGTTTGTCTATCCATGTCCCTTTCCTCTGTTGGATAGGGGAGGGTGAGATGAGACTAGATGGTCACGACAGAACAGATGGTACATCAACCAGCCTACAGGATTGGTCTGGTGAATATATATACCAAGATACTTACTGCATTTACCGCGGGTTGGAGCAGAGCGGAGCACTGGCTGGCAAAATCAAACACTTTGGGGGAGATATTGCCCTGATCTCATATCACATCTACATACATGCATCTATGTATTTGCTATATATGTGGTTAGATTTATATCGTTCATTTTATTTGGTTCTATATATAAAGAGAAAAAAAATATATATACTTTTTGAATATAGTATCAATTTCATATTATCCTATTAGCTACTGTATAATCAAGCCCTTGCTTTCCCCTTCCTACTCATTGAAGATGTCCCTCCCCGTGCACCACCACTGGCTCTCTCATTTATATTCACCATACCATCACTAGGAAGATACTCATTCCTCCACCCCGCATTAACCTCCACAATATCAACGATAGGCGTGTCCGTCTTCCCCTCCAACGTCACAGACGGACTCCTCCCATCATCCATCCAACGCCGTCCAGGCATCGACTTCGACAACGCCGCTCCCGCAGCAGCTCCCGCAGCGTCCGACCGATGGGCCTGGATGAGACGTCCAGCCTCGATATCGTGAACCACATACCTTCGTGGAGGCGGCGTATCAGCCGGCCGACGCGCGAGAGAGTGGATGAAGCGTTGTCGAGTTTGTGGGATAGACTATCACCCCTCGTCAGCATGTGTTTTGCACAAGGATGTATATGTATATGTATATACCTCATTGTTAGAAACGGCGTGAAACATGAGCATTTCTAGATCATCCAGGACACCGAGAGCGGCATGTCTGCGTTCGCGAGACTCGGTGGGTTCCTGGATCTCTTCTGCGTAGACGAATTTGGGATGTAGGTCTTGAGTGCGGTATGGTTGGCCAGGGACTGGGGAGGTGTTAGTATAGATAATCTGATGTGTGTATGGTGTAGGACTTGCCTGGGGCGCGAGGGGCTATTTCGTAGGCTTCTTCCTCGAAGGCGAGAGGGTTGGAAGCGGATGCTGGGCTATCGATGTCCATTTCACGCGATGGATAAGAGGATGTCTCTCTGTCTCTCTGAGGGGGTATCTGTCTCTATCTCTGTCTAGGCGGGTATCTGGTATATGATGATAGACGATGTCTGCTATATGTGTTTGTACTCTTGTAGATGCGTTATCACTATCTCAGAGATGTGAAGCCTGAACAGTCCTGCTCTGTTGATATCTTAGACACTACAATGTGATATCACCAACAATGAGCAGTTAACAGTTACATAAGCAAGTATTCACTGAATATTGAAGAAGAAGAGAAGAAGAAGAGACAAGAGAAGAAGAAGAGAAAAGAGAAGAAGAGAAGAATCAAGTTAGCACGAATGCATACATGGTCTCAATTAATTAATTAATATACATATAGATCGAGCAATCAACCTCTATGCCTCATCTACTCTCCTCTGATCCTAAGCAAAACCAATCAAGAGGACACCAACCAAACTCAAGGAGAAGAGAAAGCGAAAAGAGAAACAGAAGAAAGAAAAACCGTTCTATCCCTCCGCATAACATAGCATAGCAGTAACATAAATCAGTAGATAAATAATCGAACAACTCCTAAAACTCCGCGAAACACCACGACTGGACGATTCTGGATCATTGTAGATGTCGGTCGTGGGTTCTCCGATGCCGCTAAAGGTAACTCAACTCAGCCCGGTTTGGTTCGACCCGACTCGACTCGACTCTCTACTCGAGTCGACACTCTGGCGTGCTTATCCGCGATGAAACTTGTTCACCGTAACGAAGGCTGAGTGTTGGAACATGAGCCACATGTGATGTGTTCTAAACGAGGTCCCAACGCGAAGGATCCGGCCTATATACCTGAAGCCCTGGTGGGAAATGGAACTAGACAAGGGACCAGGAACTAAGGAGGCCCCAGCCAGTCACCACATCGCAATTCGAACGCAATTTCTCCGTCCACAGCAAATGCTCCCTCTGACCAGGTCATCAACAATCATGCACAAAGTCGTTCTTGGGCCAAGGGAAGCCCGTGTCGGCCCTATTATGTTTGACATTAAACGTTAGCAAAGCCCATGTTAGCCCCTTGGCGTTTCGCATTGCCCCAGAGTATGACTTGTAGGTGTAGCGAGCGAAGGAGGCGGATGTCGCGGAGGGGAATACGAGGAGGCTCTTTTGGAAGTATATTTAAGAGCCTCCCCAGCCTGTCAACGAGGGGAGAGAACACTTACCAAGTTGTCAGGTTCGGGTTCTTATAGACGATCTCATGTTTCTTGATATAAGTTGTCGTTTCCATCCCTGGCGGATCGCAGGTGATACTCTTCTTCCCTTCTTCTTGATAGATGCGGATATAGTCAAGCCGCATTGTTGCCGGGAACAGCGGTGCAAGACCGGTCATGTTCAGAGCCGCGAAACTGTTTGACATACCCAAGTTCGCGATCAGGGCCATGGGCTCTTTCGGAATGACTCGCTGGCCTACGTTGCCGTTGGGGCCTAGGGCGCGGGCGTCGAGTTTCCACGCCTTCTCCTCGCCGACGTACCATGTTATATCTCCCTTGTCGCCCGGTGTATAGTCGAAGGCATACACCTGGTACTGCTTGCCGTCGTACCAGTTGTTGTTGAGATTGGTGACGCCCGAGATGGCCTGCTGGAACACACCACCTCGGTAGGCGTTCATGATGGTGATGCTGGGGTCGTATATTTCGGTGAATTCTATACCACGACCGACCCGTTAGCCTTCGATACTGGATGGATGGATGAGGGGGGGAGAGAGAGAGAGACGGCTTACCATAGTTGGGCATGTACCAGATGTCAAAGGGAGCCACCTGACAACTCTGGGATACATCGCCGATGACATTGATAGGCGCCTTGTCTCCGTGCAAAGCGTGCACACTGGCCTCGATCACGTCAATCTCGGGCGACGTCCGCGAGATGCCAGGAGTCGGATGGTCCTCGCCCTGGCAGGTGCAGGCCGGCAGCTTCATGCCAGGCAGGAAACTGAGGCCGCCCGTGTCACTCTGGTTGGCGGTGATACCAGCATCGCACTTGTCGTGATAGCTATAGGGCCACATGCCATCTGTGGTGGCAGGGTAGCCAGGTCTGCCCAGGTTACCCATTGACCAGAAACCGGGCCAGAGACCGGATACGTCGCCTCGTCCTGGCAGAGAGATACTTGCTTCCAGCCGGCCACCGGTGAAGCAGAGTTGGTTCCAGGACTGGACCATGCCCGATCGGTAGTTGAGGTAGTGGCTTTGGAATGCGTCGAAGCGGAGTTCCAACTTGCCATTCTTCGTCGTCACGGCGTCAGGGTCATACCACTGCAGAGATTAGTCGGAGACCATGTTGGCCACGCACACGCACACAGGGAGAGACATACCTCGAGATCCTGCGTGACACCATACCAGATATCGACAGCCTGGAAGTACGGGTCGTCGCCTTCAAAGAAAGTGCGTCCATCCTGGTTGAATTCGTCGGAGAACTAACAAATCAGCATCCTCCCGGTTAATCTGAGCCCGCAAAAAATACGCACCACCAACACCATATCCTTGCCGTCTGCGGATTTCTTCTTCATGGCGGACGCGGGTGTGTCCTTGTCGATCAGGCCGGTCCGTACATTCTTCAGCAGCGGCACCTCCTTGATGCAATCTTTATCGCCTGCGCAGCCGGTCTTGCTCGCCGTCAAACCATTGAAATACGATCTATCCAGTCAGTATTTCAAGTGAGAAAAAAAAAAAAAAAAAAAAAAAAAAGAGGGAAAAAACGTACATGACGGGATATCCGATAAACAAGGTCAGGACACCTCCGATCAACAAGGCGAGGGCTCCCAGGTTGGTTATGCCACGACGATGCCAGATGTCACACCTCCGGTCCTTCTCGTTGGGGTCCGGGTTATGCAGCTCGTCGTCCTTTTCGACATCGTGCGGGTAGACGATGAGGTCTCCGTCCGGGAAGATGGCAAACTTCTCCGTCACGGTCTGGGTGGTGATGCCGTTCTCGTCGTCGCTGCTGCCGGCCCTGGAGGGAACGCGGGAGTCGTCGAAGGGACTGGAGTAGGTATATCCGCCGTATCCGTAGCTGGCGTGCCGGCTGGCGGCGTCTGAGCTCCAGCTGGTGCGTCGAGAGGAGAAGCCGGTATAGTCTCCCGGCCCGGCGGAAGACCTGTGAGGATGCGGATTCGGGTACGGGTTGCCCTGGGCCTCGTCGAGATACGACCTCGTCCTGCCGGGCACGGTCAGTCTTTCTGTGGACTCGTTGCGGGAGAGGTCTGCGGGCGAGAGCGACGGGGAGAAGGGCCGCTGCTGCTGCGGCGAGAGCAAGGCGCGCGGCGTGATGGGCGAGGGGCCGGGCAGCGAGCTGGCAGAGGACGAGGGATTCTCATTGTCTGTGAAGGGGTCCTGGGGCGCCCGGGGGAGCTGGGAGTTGATCTGGAGGGTTGGGGTCTTGCGGAGGCGGTTTGAACCATTGCCCGGACCTGGAGGGTCCATTGCGACGTCTCTAGACTGTCCGACTCATCTGGTGTCAGCTGTTGAGTAGAGTATTAACGTGAGGTGTTGCGAAGATGAAGATGAAGAAGTTGAAGAAGTTGGTGAAGGTGAAGAAGTTGAAGTTGAGGTTGAGTTGTTGACGTATACAAGATCTTAGTCAGATCAGGATTCTTGGTCAACGCGAGCCAGGCACAACACTCTGTACTATCAAGTTACTCCATATAGCTACGACTGACTGACTGTGCGAAATTGATCAAGACGAGATGAAACTGTCTTACTCCTAATGACGTCGCCACCAGTGGAAATTAAGTGATACATCCCAGGCCAAACACCTTGAACTACCGCTCACTAAGAGAACTACAGGCCGCCCGCTGATCGCCCTTCGACCAGCCAACCGCCGCCCCTTATACGCCTCGCCATCGCGATCGCAGAGTTTTCTTCTTCTCCTTAACTCTCGACCGCCCGCGCCTTGAGGCCCACCAGCGTCTCCTGGCCCAGCGCGAGCAGCCAGTATTCCACCCGCGTCGCTCCATGCTGCACCCGATACACCCTTACGTCTTTACCCCCATGGCCAGCAGCCTGCACGGCCTTGACTACGCCGGCGTACTGGCCCTGGGCGTCGAACTGGGTTGCTGACAGGACGCTGACCTGTGTGGAGCTGGCTCCATGGACAAGCCGTGAAAACTCCTCTGTCCCACTGTTAGTCCGCGTCGTAAGCAGCACTGCCACCGACAGTAAAGAATAGGAGTAGAAGTAGGGAGTAGAAGAAGTAATACCTTCGCTGGGCCAGTGGTCGCAGGCGAGGACGACGGGCTCAAACGGCTCGTCGGTTTCGGAAGAGTAGAAGGCGTCGACGCTGCGTAGGCTGGCTGGGATCTGCTGCTCATCGACGTCGAGCGTCTTGCTCGCGAGGAAGCCGGAGTCGTTATTCGTCGTGGTCGTGGTGGTCGTGTCCTCGTTCGCCTTGTCGAGGAACGCGGCGTAGGCGGCGTCGGACGACATCTTTCTGTATGTTCTTGATGTTCTGGTTCTTGATGTTCGTGTTCTGTATATGATGGATGTTCTGTATATGCTTGCTCTTGAGACGATGCTGGTCCTCAGGGCCTGGATGACGCAATGTCGTAGTCTTGCTTGCATGGTGTTTCTTGCATGTCGTGGCGAGTCTTCTTCTCGTAACTACTTAACTACTTAACTACTCTTACTCTTAATACTCTTAACCTACACTACTTAACCTACACTATGGAGTACACTTAACCTACACTACTTACTCTCAACTACACTTACTACACTACACTTACTACACTACTTACTCTCAACTACCACACTTACTACTACACTACTACCACACTTACTACACTACACTTACTACACCGCACAAGATGAAGACGAGTGGAAGATCTTTTGTTCAATTATGATATCATCACGTAGAAAAGCAGGACATGAGAGCGTGATTACGAAGACGAAGCGAGATCCTTCTTGAGTGTGCCCAGGAACGCCCTCTTCTCGGCAGGGGTCTGGTATGCGCCGTGGCCGAACTTGGACGAGGTGTCGATCCATTTGAGGTCGACCTTCTCGGTGGCCTTGCGCGACACCTGCGGCCAGAGGGTCTTGCGGAGGGTGACGACACGCTTGCGCACGCCGGGGATGGAGCCCTTGAGCATCACGAAGTCGTTCTTCACCTCGCCGTATCGGACGAAGCCGCCCATTCTACTCGTCGTTAGTACGTCGTATAGATCGTTGAGGATGACTATTAAGGTTAGATAGGATGACTTACGGGGTGATCTGTTTCTTGCTGACGTCAAAGTCAGTCGAGGCGTTACCCTCGTCGCCAGCCTTGCCGATACGGTAGATCTTGTGGTTGGCAGAGGTACGGTGGTGGTATCCGTCCTGACCGGCACGGGCAACGGTCCACTGTACGTGAGATGGATGCCAGGCACCAATACAGGCAACCTTCCTCAGACCCTTGTGTGTCTTGCGAGGCAACTTCTTGGTACCCCATCTGGAGGTGACACCGCTGAAACCGTGACCCTTGGTGACGGCAATGACATCAATAACCTCGTTCATCTCAAAGATAGAGTCGACGTCGATAGGCTTCTCAAACAGGCCGTGGGCGAACTCGACCTTCTCGGCAATGCTGCCTCCGTTGACCTGCACCTCCATGAGATGGGCCTTCTTTTGCTTGAGTGGGGTCTTGCGGATCTGGGTGTGGGCGAGGAGGCGGACGACGGTGCAGTAGTTCTTGATACGCTCGAGCTCGCGAGTAGAGGCAGCGGCATCGGCGTGGGTCTTGGCGTAGCGGGTGAAGGCCTTCTTCTTGCTCTTGTACCAGTTCTTGTAGAAGCGGCGCTTGACTTCGTCTGAGAGATGGTCGGCCCAGACGGTGGTGAGAGAGCGGAGGCCGCGGGGGGTTTCGATGTAGCCAACGATGCCGACGGCGATCATCTACGCGTTGTTAGTGCCTGGTCTCTAAATGACAGAGAGGTAAAGAGGAAAAGGTAGTCTTACTGGGGGGGTCTCGACGATGGTGACAGCTTCGACAACCTCCTTGCGGTGCATCTTGGCTCCAGGACGCTCAAGATCACGGACGATGGTCGTCATGCCAGCCTTGTAGCCCATGGTGGCAGTGAGGTGGACGGGCTTCTTGGGATCATCCTTGGGGAAGCTGTATCAAATCGCATCAGTATATCATCTCCCGACTCCTCGCTCGTCCTTGGGCACACACCTCTTGACCTTTCCACGGTGTCTGGCAGCGCGCTTTCGCGGCAGGTAGGCAAGAGAGCCTATTCATCGACTGTCAGCGTCCCTCCATATATTCCCTGTATCCTCCGTCTTCATCTCATCTTCAATTATGTATCTGTTGTAGACGTACCGTGCCTCGGGGCTTCGTATTTCCTGTGACTCCTGCAGCGCACATCCGTTAGCTTCAATTGCCATCATCTTCACTCGCCGGACAGCATAACTCACATCTTGACCCTGTTGTTGACGGTTAGTATCCTGGGTGGTGGTGTCAGGTCGAAAATTCAAAGGTTGAAAGTTCGCTTGATCTCGTTTTCTTTTGTGTGGGCTTTGCCGAGTTGGCGAGATTAGATAAGCGATTAGTCATGTCACATGACCAACCCTCACATCAAGGAGTATAGAAGAGAAGAAGAAGAAGAGAAGAGAGGAAGAGAAGAGAGGAAGAGAGAAGAAGAAGATACGTGTAGGTGATTAGAGATGGCTATATGTCCCTATTAGCCTTATCATGAGCATATCGAAGAAAGGTTCATTGCTCGGTGGTTTCAGTACATAGTGTAAAGGCAGGCTAAGAGATCAATATAGGCTCGAGGTATTGTGTCGCCTATACAAGAGTCGCCTTGATCCTGCTCCTTGGTATAGTATAGAGGCCTTCGGACCTATAGTAGAAACATCTGTACTCATATACGATCCCGCCGTCTCGTTGAAGACATCAAAGTCAACGTAGGCGCCGTTTCACAGACTACCTAGGTAGAATACGACAGCTGCATGAATTTGCCAACAAGGCTGCATCTTGGGCTGATGGCAAGGATGCGGCGCTTACAAGTCATGAGGGGTAGTTATGGACTTCCTGTTCATCCATGGAGACTTATAATGCCTTCTACGTGAATGGTATCATATTAAATCCTACTGCTATGGAGGAAGTAAGTCTTGTTGAACCCTGCAAACTGAAATATGATACAGAATCTCATAAGATGACAGCCCGGGAGTCAGAAAGGCTTCCTACAGCGACTCGGCTTCCCTCATGGCGAAAACGAAAAGCCAGAAGCTATTAAAGGTCCCTTGAGGCTCAATCTTCTACGAGATGTCCCTGAACCGCTTGTCGACTTCGTATTTGTGCATGGGCTTGGGGGAGGATCACGGAAAACCTGGTCCTTCTCCCCGGATCCGAAGCATTACTGGCCCAAAGAATGGCTTAAAGACGACCCAGAATTCCGCCAGGTTCGCATACACAGCTTCGGATACGAGGCGGACTGGGCGAGTATAGGAGAGAATGTGTTGAACATTCACGATTTTGGGCTCTCTCTGCTGAGGGAGATTGAAGGAAATCCTAATATCCGCAGAAGCAAGGTATGTCGCCTAATATTCCCGTCATGCTTCTAGGTGAATACAAATTGACCTTCTAGTAGACGAAAATTGTGTTCATCGCGCATAGCATGGGTGGAATTGTTGTTAAAAAGGTGTGTTCCCACATCATCGTTATAACGATAGAGATTAATGTGTGTATAGGCTTATATACTTGCCCGAGAAGATCCCAAACTGAAGGATTTAGCAGGCCGCATTCATACTCTTTACTTCCTTGCTACTCCCCATCGGGGTTCTGATCTAGCAAAGTTGCTGAAACGGATACTGGGGCTGTCATTTAGCACGAAGAGTTTCGTAAACGCTCTTACTCCTGCGTCTGAGACAATCGCGTCTATCAATCATAGCTTCGGACATCTCGCGGGAGATCTCCACCTATGGACATTTTGCGAGACCCTCAAAACTACCATTGGCCTTAAGCCGGCAATGGTCGTGCCTATATACTCCGCATCTCTTGGCTATACGAATGAAAGGTCCTTGTCGTTGCACGCTAACCATCGTGATGTGTGTAAATTCGAGAAAAAGGACGATCCTAATTATAGAAAACTACGCAACTCGTTCACCGCTACCATCGACGAGATCACGTCTGAGAGTAAGAAGGCGGTATTCTTCCGTTAAACGCATATTTTACTTACTCCTTTTATAGCACGCAAAATCTCAAAAGATGAACGTCGCCAGATAGCTGAACTGACGGCCGTATCGAGCCCACCGGCCGATGAACTATATACCCTGGAAACCTTCCGGGCCCCAGGCGCTTGTGAATGGTTACCATCGAAGGAGGCATATAAGAACTGGCAAGGGGAAAATTGTGCCAACTGTCCAATCCTCCTTCTCACTGGCAAGCCAGGTGTTGGAAAATCCGTTCTCAGCAGTTTTGTCATCAACGACCTCGAGGATAGCAAACAAAGAGTGAGCTACTTTTTCTTTAGGCAAGGAAATACAGCAAAATCTACGGTCGTCGCATGTCTTCGATCGCTGGTTTATCAAATGACCTTGTATGATGGTACGATTTTAAGCGAGTTGCTTGTCAAACATCAAGAGACGCCATTTTCAGAATACTTGGATGATACAGCAACATGGCGGAAGATTTTCGCTGAAGTGATATTTAACCGGAAAACCCCTGATCTCACTTTTTGGGTGCTCGATGCTCTTGACGAATGTGAGAACCCGTCCACCCTTTTCACGCTTTTGGCGCAACTGCCGTCGCATATAAGGGTGTTTATCACAAGCAGACCCACCCTCGAAATAGAACAAGGCTTCCGCCAGCTTCGCCATCTCATGAAGCAACATGAAATCACGGAAGAAGATACCATTGACGACATGGCCATCCTTATTGATTCTAAAATGGAATATATGCTAGCTGTTGACATTGACAGCCGTGAGGCATTGAAGAGCAGATTGCTACAAAAAGCATGCGGATCCTTTTTATGGCTTTCTTTGGTCATCAAGAAACTGGGCACGGTATACTCTAAAGAAGGGGCGGAGGAAGCCCTGGACCAGCTGCCGTCAGAGATGAACAAACTTTATGCTCAGATGCTTGAAAGTACTGTAAAAGACACGGGAAAAGCAGCTCTCGCAAGGTCTATCATTATGTGGATGCTTCTGGCCTTGCGGCCGTTGACGATCGATGAGATGCAGGAAGCAATTAAGTTGGATATTAATCATACTGTTCCCAACTTGGGCACATCTGCTCCTGCTATCTGTGGTCAGTTGGTATGTGTCAATCGACGAAATGAGATTGATGCCATCCATTTGACCGCAAGAGAATATCTGGTACAACAAACCGAATATCTATGTATAGCTATCAACAGGCTAGATTTTCACGGTAGGATTGCCCACTCGTGTCTGAAAATACTGTGTGATGGTTCCCTTAATACCCCACAGCCTGAAGTAACAGGCATCCCTTCAAGGCCGATTTCGCAATCAAAGCTTGCAGAGTATGCCTGCTATTATTTTTCACAACATCTCCAAGAGTCTTCTGCAGCGGACGGTACGACGTGGGATCTTTTGTTTCAGTTTCTTGAGAGCAACCTTTTACTATGGATAGAGCGCCTTGCCAGAAAGGGGAGACTACACCTTCTACCACGAGTTGCGGGGGATTTAAAGGAGTACTTGAGACGCCGTATCGAATACCAACCGCCACTTTCTTCTCAAAAATTGGCCCTGGAACGCTGGACAACTGATATTATTAGGGTCAGCGCAAAATTTGGTTCGTATCTCAGGACGTCGCCATCGGCAATTCGTACCTTAGTTCCGGCATTGTGTCCGATAGAGACCATTATTTCAGAGACCTACAGTCATTCTCAAACAAGTACACATATACGAGGTATAAGAAGTAAGACTTGGGACAGCCGCATAACTAGGATCCCCTGCCTACAGAACGCATACGCTGTCGCGTTAGGACCTTTATACTCAGCAGCGGCAATATTTGATGGAACTGTTTGTATATACTATTCAGACTCGATGCAACCGAAGTCAACCTTGCGCCATGGCAAGTTCGATGTGCATGGCATAGCATTATTTGGTGACAAGAGCCAATATTTGGCATCCATCGATGAAAAATGTCTAAAATTTTGGGACCTTAATGAGGGAACTCTAATAAGAACTATCAATACTGATCACCAGCTTAACGGATTCCGCTCAAAGAACAACGGATCTGCCGTGATGACGGCAACGGTGAACAGCGAAGTGGTCATCTGGGAAACACATACTGGAACTGAGATCGAAAGGTGGCAATGGACCAACGCCATTCCTCGTGGCATTGACTACAAGTCCGCCTCAATGTACGCTTATCTTAAGGTGGTCACCTTTTCACGAGATGGGACCGTGTTTGCAGTGAACTACCACCCAGTTGGTGTATGTCTATTCAGCTTGAATACAAAGAGGTTCATTGGCTGCTACAGGCATCCGAAGAGAAGTTCACCCGGTGCCATTGCATTTAGCACACGTGTAAATGTGAATGCTATGGCTATGTTGGATACAAAGGGAATCCTCTCGCTGCACGCATTAGAGTCAGCTGAGCCCTATTACTCCCTTGCAGATATTGACGGGCATGCTCTTGAGTGCTCGCCCGACGGCTCCAAGCTAGTTGTAGGCAATCCCCATGAGATATGCATATATGGGTTTGGGGCTACCAGAGACAACGGTCTTACACTCCTCTATCGGGTTAACAACTACCAGGCTTTTATTCGTCGTATTGTTTTCAGCCCTGACGGCTCACGTTTTGCCTGTCTTTTTAAAGACCTGTTCGAGGTCTACGAGCCTTCCGTCCTGGCTTACAATGAGTTGGATGAGGGTAGCCACAACGACCAGGGTCAAACAACATCTTTGCAAGATCAGGGGTTGGAACCTACACTCGGCAAATCAACAGCAATATGTTGCCATTCCAGCGGCGACTTTGTCTTCTATAGGACGGCGGATGCCTCTATTGCCTACTTTGATACAAGGTCAGGCATCGAAATGGTCATGGTTAATGCACACAACATACCTTCTCCCGTGGAATGTATGACATTCATTGAGGAAAGAGACCTTCTGGTAGTCGGTCACTATGATGGCCACATCATGGTGTATTGTATTGCTCTAGCCGAAGGGGTCTGCAAAATAGAGTCAACACTCGCCCGGATCAAGACGAGGGAAAGGCCCAGATGGCTGCTGGCAAACTCTGCCGGTACTAGACTCCTTGTTAGAAGTTACAGATGGGCAGAGTTATGGACAATAGAAGGGGAGATGGTCGAACGCTTGGTCGAATATACGGCACTTACCCGTTCTGTTGTCAACTATCCTTCGCACGAAGAATCATTTGCCGTCATTGAAACCCATCCTCGTCCCTCGTTGGAGTACTCCTGGACGGACGGGTTGGAACTCTCGCGTGTCCAGGTCCCAACCCAGACGGGCCGCTCTTCCATCCCAAAGATATATGTTTACACTGAGCTGTTGTTGCGTAATTCAACTATTTCCTTACGATGTGCCAACCCATACTTTCGACATGAAGCATTCGATGGCTTTGGGAAATACAAACTCCAAGCTACACAGCTTATCAGCATCACTGGGAGCCTGATGCTGTTCATTGATGACTCAGATTGCGTATGCAGTCTTGATCTTGACCTCGAAAACTCCGCCGAGTACCCAAGCGGCGGTGTTAAGAAACACTTTTTTCTACTGACAGAGTGGAAAAAGGGGTTTAGTGGGTTCATGATTGAATACATCCCATCGAAACGTGAGTTCGTGATCGCTACAGAGGATGGGCTGATCGTCGTGAGTAACGGGCTCGAACTTGCGGAGCCGTGGCAGGACGAGACAGACTCAGTTAGTCTTCCAGACTGAGTGCTTTTTCTAGACCGAGTGCTATGTTATACTTGTCCAGACATTGTTATCTCGATGGTTCGTGTCGAGGTCGCGTCTTACACCAGCAAACAAGCCTCTTACATAAGCACACGTGACTAACCCTAACTCCGCAGCTGGCCTGTCTTACTAAGCCCTTACCTAAGCCCAGTAAACGGAGCAAAAGTAAACTTCCAAACTTCCAAACTTCCCAACTTCCCAGCCCAAACCCAGTCGCCCATGGACGGTCTCGGTCTCGAGAAGCTGGCGCACAGTAATACTCCGTTCCACCCCAGCACTAACACTACACCATCCAACTCTACCTACATCGGTACATGACATGCATGAGGTGAGGTACGGAGGAACAGCGAGCCGGACATCGTTCTCCCAGCCCAACCCCGAACCCGTTCCCATTCCCGTTCCCATCCCCATCCCCAGCCCCAGCCCCGATCAAGTCCAGTCCAGTCCCAACCCAACGACGAGGACAAAGCATGACACGGCATGGGTACAAGCACAGGCACAAGCAAGCACGAACAGAAGCACGGATGGGATCTGATGGGGGGGGAGATCTGATGGGGGTGATCTGATTGATGGGCGGGCGGGTAATTCGCTGCTTCATGCATGCGTCTGCCGTGCTGTGCTGGTGTGCGTGTAGCCCTCCCTCTTGCCAGTGTGGTGTGTGTGTGTGTATGTATGTATGGTGGTGTGTGTAGCGACTGACTGCAAGGGAGCGTGCGACCTCCCTCCCCTGTCCTGGCATATATCGTCGCTGCTATGTAGACAACCGCCAGTGCCTCATCCGTACGTTATGTATGGAGTAATGTACATGTCTGCCGGGCCATCCATGACACCTCTCAGGCGGTGCTGCAAGTAACTCTCTGTAGGTGTGTGTCGTGGGAGTGTGCTGCAGGGGAGTGACAGCAGGGCCATTCCTTGTACCTCCGTACTCCCTTATATAAGTACTCCGTACCGGCCAGCAGCGACGCCGTGGCGACCTCCTAGCTAGCTGACTTCTTGACCTCCCATCCCTTCCGCTAATATCGGTTAGTTCAAGGTGGTCGACGTTAGTGTCCATCCGTGACACAAAAAGTAAATTGCTCCCTCTCCCTTCCTTTTTGCATTTTATTTTCGTTATATTTTGATATTTTTGCACTGACATTTGCAGCATGTTTGCTTTTTGCCATCCCATCTCCGTCCCATATTTCTGCCCACTTTTCGCCCTTTTCTTTTTCCTTGCCTTTACTATCTTTTTTCTTCCTGTTTTTCTTTTTTTTCAGGGGGCAGATGGGCGGGGGCAGAGATGGGGACGGGGATCGAGCTAAGGCGTGGGCTAGTCGACTGAACGGTCGGTGTCGGCTGTCAGATGGGGATGGCTGGCCAGTTGCACGTCGACAGGCTGGCTGCGTAGCTCGTATACCCGACCCGTATATATACCTGTCTGCATCCTCCGTAACTGCTGCTGTCCGTACCGTAACTGCTGCCTGCTGCGTGGGCGGTTTCGTCTATAGTCTTATACGGGAGTGCGATGGTGGAGGGCGGTGGCTTGTTACCATCGGATGGGGAGAGCAGGCCGACCGACACGATCGGCTGGGGAAAGCCATGTCGGCCATATTACTCCGTTATTAGTCTAGTGTTCTGTATGTCGGTGCCATGTCGCATGCAGAGGATGTGTCTTCTCGAAGGTGGGCAGAAACAAGATGTTTGCTCCCGAGGCAAGATCGCCGCAATCTCCTGGCTACCCACCGGCAGAGGCATCCGCCTGTAGCGTGTCCATCTATGGAGTAGTCTGCCATCCGCCATCTGCCTGTCCATCTGCCCATCTGCCCATCCTGCCCATCCGTGGAGCCGTCGCCTTTAACTGTGAGGTGGGTGTTTAACTGAGGTGGGTGGTGACGCCGTGTGCGAAACGTGTTCACATCGGGGCACGGGAGCTGGTGGTGGAGCTGGTGGAGAGCTGGCAGACGAGCTGGCGGAGAGACCAGGCAAGCCCCAGGCAAGCCCCAAGGCGACCAGGGAGCGCCCGATGCGATCGCGCCGTTGCTCTTCCTTTACGCTCTTAACTACAGGATTAGGTAAGAAAGTGAGTAGGTAAGCAGGATAATTTGCACAGGGATGGTGACATAAGGCTTGGCGGCTTGGCGGGTGAATGCACGTTATGTATTACCTAAGCCAGGATGTGGGGCACGAGAGCATAAGGTAGAGAAGGGAAAAAGGGAAAAAAAGGGAAAAAGGTGCAAAAAAAGGAAGAGGGAAAAGGAAAAAAAGGACGGGTGGATCCCCCTTGGAGCGGGTCTTCGGGCGGGTCCTTCTTGGCGGTGCTAGCGCGGTTCAAGCGTGCAGGAAGGTGGAGTCGGAGTGGCCCCATAGAAAAGCATAAAAGAAGAAAGGTTAAAAAGAAGCAAAAAAAGTATAAGTATATAATAGTGGGTCTGGGTGGGTGGGGCGCGGCATGACGAAGGCGCGGCCGAAGAAGGAAAGGGCGAGCAGAGCCTGTTTCATGGTTCTCACGATACGGGAGATATGTATATGTAGATGTAGATGGACATGAATATATATATAGATAGATAGACGTGGACATGGAGGTAGACATAAGACAGGATATATATAGGGAGGAAGGTAGAGGTAAGGTAGAGAGAGGGAGAGAGGTAGAGAGAGGGAGAGAGGTAGAGAGAGGGAGAGAGGTAGAGAGAGGGAGAGAGGTAGAGAGAGGGAGAGAGGTAGAGAGAGGGAGAGAGGTAGAGGGAGAGAGGGAGAGAGGTAGAGGGAGAGAGGGAGAGAGGTAGAGGGAGAGAGGGAGAGAGGTAGAGGGAGAGAGGGAGAGAGGGAGAGGTAAGGTAGAGAGAGAGGGAGAGAGAGTGGATGTGATGACTGACTAAGCGCTGCCGGCAACCCTTCCCACTAGCGCCAAATCCTCGTTCAAGCCCGTCTCCCACTCTTCCCCTTCTTCCTTCCAGCCTCCTGCTTCCTTTCTCCCTTCTCTCTCCTCGCTTCTCTCCTCTGCCTCGCGCACCTCACCACCACCACCACCTCTACTCCTCCTACACCATCGCCATCACCATCACCATCATCATCACTGCTACTACACCACCACGACTACCCACCTACAGTATAGATCGCGTAGCATCGTGTGTCGTGGCAGTGTCAACGTCCAGCACCAGGACCAGCACCGCTCGTTTGCTCACTCCCCAATTGCCTTGCGTCTCCTCTAACTCCTCTCTTCTCGTCGCGTCGGCGAGAGAGAGATCAAAAGTTTCTTCTTTTTTTGGGGTCTTCTCTTTTTTTTTTTTTTTTTTTTTTTTTGAGGTGACTCCTTACACGACGACGACAGCATCAGCATCGTGACAGCACGCCGAGAGGCAGCCAGGAGACACGCGATGGCGTCTCATCCACAGCCATCGCCCCCGATGCACCCGCATCCTCACCATCCGGCCATGGCCAGCCATCCGCAGGTCAACGGCCACCTGCCCATGCAGCAGCAGCAGCAGCAGCAGGCGCAACAGCAGGCACAGGCACAGGCACAGCAGCAGGCTCAGGCTCAGCAGCAGGCGCAACAGCAGGCCCAGCAGCAGCCGCCCCAGGGACCGCCTCAGGGACCGCAGTCACAGCCTGGTCCGCCGGGTCCGCCTCAGCAGGGTCCCGGACAGCCGCAGAAGGGCATCCCGCCCACCATCCCCCAGAAGATCGCGCAGCTCAACGAGGGCGTCTGGCTCCAGATAGGTACGTCTATGCTCTGCTACTTCTATTCTATTCAGATATACTGACAGATGGTAGGAACGCTGTCCGAGCTGATGAACGACTGCGATGGCGCCATGTATGCGTTTGAGCAGGCCATTCGACACAACCAGTGGTCCATCCCCGCCATGAGCGCCATCTCCTGCATCCTGCGCAGCCGTGAACAGTTCCAGAAGGCCATCGAGTACCTCCAGGCCATCCTCAAGCTCGATCCCCAGTCCGGCGAGTCCTGGGGCTCCCTCGGTATGTAATTCTTATGTATAGTATAAAGTGCATAAAGTAAAGAGATAAGAAGCTAACGGGTTAGGACACTGCTATCTCATGCTCGACAACCTGCAGGAAGCATACACCGCCTACCAGCAGGCTCTCTACCACCTGCGTGACCCCAAAGAGCCAAAGCTGTGGTACGGCATTGGTATACTTTATGATCGGTATGGATCGCTTGATCACGCCGAGGAAGCCTTCTCCCAGGTCATGCGCATGCAGCCAGACTTTGAAAAGGCCAACGAGATCTACTTCCGGCTGGGTATAATATACAAGCAGCAGCAGAAGTTTGGTCAGAGTTTGGATGTAAGTTTCTCCTGTATCGACTGCCGGTTGACCGTCACTAACACACCCGTAGTGCTTTAAATATATTGTCAACGATCCGCCACGGCCGCTGACGGAGGAAGACATCTGGTTCCAGATCGGCCACGTACACGAGCAGCAGAAAGATGTAAGTCAGCTGTTTACGTTTGTCCCATGAACTGAGTACTGACACACCTTGCAGTTCGAAGCAGCCAAGTCGGCGTATAGACGGGTGCTGGAGCGCGAGCCAAACCACGCAAAGGTCCTGCAGCAGCTCGGCTGGCTGTACCATCAGCAGAACAACAACTACAGCAGCCAGGAACAGGCTATCGAGTACCTCGAAAAGTCTGTTTCCGCAGGTACGTCCCCTCTCTCAGACACTTCTACTCTAGTCTATATCTAATGTAATGTAGACAACAGTGATGCGCAGAGCTGGTATCTGCTGGGACGCTGCTATATGTCTCAGGCTAAATACCCAAAGGCATACGAAGCGTACCAGCAGGCGGTATACAGAGACGGCCGCAACCCGACCTTCTGGTGCTCCATTGGAGTGCTGTATTACCAAATTAACCAGTATCGCGATGCGTTGGATGCGTATTCGCGCGCCATCCGTCTGAACCCGTACATCTCAGAGGTGTGGTACGACTTGGGCACGTTGGTAAGTTGTTTTATTTTTATTCTTTACGTTTTCATCGCTCTCCGTCTCCCCTTGGGCTTTGTCGCAGTGTTAATTCGGTCGTGTAGTACGAGTCATGCAACAACCAAACGAGCGATGCATTAGATGCGTACGGCCGTGCCGCCGACCTCGACCCATCCAACACCCACATCAAAGCGAGACTGCAGCTTCTCCAAAGCGGACAGGCTGGTGGCGCCAATTCAGGCAACGCTCCCGCGCCGCAGGACGTGCATCCGCAAGCATATCAGCAGGCTGGCGTTGGCGCTCCGCCAGGTCCTCAATGGGGTGCTCCTGCTCCTGGACCCGGTGGGCTGCCGCCGCAAGCTCCCGCTCCGCCAGGCCGTATCACAGACTGGGGCCGACCCAGCGGCGAGCCGCAGAATGCTAATGCTCATGGACCCGGCAGCCAGTTTGAGCAACGAGAAAACGTAAGAGGGCCTCCTCCTCCAATACCACCATTATCCCAGCTTCAGGTTCAGGTTCAGGCCAGTCCACGCCAGGAGCAGTTCCACGAACCGCATTACCGTCCTCCCCCATCCATATCCTCCCGCAAGGGTCCATCCCCCTCTTCTCCCAAATTCCCCTTGTCGAACACGCATACTTATACTGGAACCCAGATTCTCCCACAGCTAGCTCCTCCACAGCACGAGGGACCCGGCGGCCCTCCAAACGGTCCCGGTCCAGTGCCTGGCCCTCCCTTCCCTCCCTCGCGACAAGGTCTAGGACCCGGCCCCGGTCCCGGCCCTAACCAAGGACCAAATGGCGCGCCACCTTCACAGTACGGCCGACCGTTCACACCACCGACTGAAATCCGCCCCATCCGCGAAGAACGTCCCGCCTCAGCTAACGGTACCGCCGCTGGTAACGGTGCCGGTGCCAACGCCAACAACAGCGCAGGTGGCCCCGGCCCATCCTTCCCACCACACCAACAATACCATCATGGTCCTGGGCCCGGGCCTGGTCCCGGCCAAGGTCCCGGTCCAAGCGTGCAGCAACAGCAGAACGGCGGAATTGCGTCCGGCGCTCCTCCACCTGCCGCAGCCATCGCAGCGGCCGAAGCAGCTGCTCGCGAACGTGACGAGAGACCGGCATCCAGCATGAAGAGGGTGAGAGAATGGGAGCCCGAGCCCGGCCCCGGTGCTGGCCCAGCCAAGAAGATTGCCAATGAAGAGTCACGCAGCCGTCTTGACGGTAGACATGACGCAAGAATGGAGGATCAGCCCGGTCCTCCACTGCCACCGCCGCAGGGACCACCGCAGGGACCGTCCCGCCGTGCATCCCCCGGACCAGGACCAGCTCAAGGTCCAGGTCCAGTACCAAGCATGGGAGGCGTCAACGTCGCTCCAGGCCGCATGTCTTCACCCCGCGATCTACGAAGACGCAGTTCCTCTGAAGCCCGCCGTGAGGAGCGCGATCACGCCAGACGTGGTCATGAATCATACCATCCATCCGAGGCAGCGCACCACCCACCCACTCTCCCACCAATACAGCACATGGGCCCAAAGAGCGAGCCACAGACCCCCGGGCAAGCACCACCCGGTCAATCCGGACAGCAATCCCTTCCATCCCTATCTGCCGGACTCCCAAAAGACGAGCGCGAGAGAGACCGGGACCGAGACAGGGACCGGGAACGTGAGCGTGAGCGTGACAGGGAGCGCGAACGGGATAGAGACCGAGAGCGTGAACGAGAGCGTGAACAACGGGATCGTGACCGTGAGCGCGACCGAGACCGTGATAGAGAGCGGGAGAGAGAGCGGGAACGTGAGCGTGAACGAGAGCGCGAGCGTGAACAGCGAGACCGCGAAAGAGACCGCAAGGACCACGCTGCTCTCCCACCCGTCTCTGTACCGGCCGTCCAGGCCCAGGGTCCCCTTGAGCCACCAGCCCGCAAAATGGACGTGGACGAAGACTACGATGACGAAGGCGATGACGAGAAGAAGGCTTCTACGATGGGTAAGGGCGGCAGCCCTGGAAGTGTTAATGGTAGTAATAGTGTAGCTGGACGCGAGAGAGAGCGAGACAGGGAGAGCCAGCGGGAGTCTCAGCGGGATAGAGAGCGAGAGAGAGAGCGAGAGCGAGAAGCTGGACAGGCCAAGGGGGAGAGCTAGTTATCTCCTACCTACCTACCACCCACTGTGACAAAGGAGGGCGATGATGATGATGAAAAATACTGTTTAATAACCGACTTCTCTGACCTTTCTGTCTACCCGTCGACCTATCCTTACACCTTATTCTACTTCTACCCATGTCATTCTCATGTTATTCTACCTGTTCGATTCCAAGCCGTTTGTTTATTTTCTGTTGTGTTTGTCTGCTTCCCCGTTTCCTGCGTTCGTGTTTGTTCTCTCGTGTTGGACTGGGCGCTGGAGCTGGAGCAGGAGCGCGAGGCCGTCTGTCTTATCTTGTCTATCCTTCCCGTCTTCTCTATCCCTCTATCCCTCTCTCTCTTCCTATCCCTTCCTATCCCTTCTTGTATGTATGTTATGAGATCATCACTTCTAGCCCTAAAAACAATCTCTTAGTAAGTACTTAGTCACCCACTTATATAATCCCTTATATAAGCAACGTCGTATCCACATCACGTGGCATCTCATATATCTTGGCGATAGCTTACCTAACCTCGCTTACCTCATAACTTGCCCTCTTGGCGCCCTTTTGAAGCGACGATCTTGCTCTTGTATTCTTTCTCTCCTCCTCATCTCCCCTCGTCTTTCTCCCTCGTTTGCATCCGTCAGCACCGTCGCCGCCCCTCGCACACGTCCAGGCCGTCGCCCGCCCTGAGCAGCTCGTCGTCGCTGCATCGTCCGTCCCAGTGCAACAGTCAAGAACGACAAGAGAGCAAGATGGGCGCCACGGCTTCCACTTCCGGGCGACCCTGTTCATGCCAAGGGGCTCGGCGCCTGGGCGCGCTTGGCTGCCCAGGCCTCAGTTAAGCAGTTCAGTTAAGCAGTTCAGTTAAGCAGTTCAGTTAGCAGGTAAGCAGTTCAGTTAAAGCTTTAGCTAAAGCCAGTTAAAGCTTTACTTAACCAGTTGAAGCATACTCAACCCAGTTAAGCCAGTTAAGCCTCTAACGTTTCTTTAGTTAAACACCTACATCAGCCTAGCCCATCTCCAGGTAAGCCTCTAGGTAAGCCTACGCCTAGGTAGGCCTATCTCTAGGTAAGGCCTAGGTAAAGCCAGGTAAAGCAAGCACGCCCAGCGATGCCCAGAGACGCCTAGCATGCCTAGACTCCGCCAGCTCCCGCCACTCCCCCGGGCGCTGCGAGGCCTCCCATTCGCCCGTCCACTGCCCGCGCCCAGCGTCCTGCCCAGCGTCCTACCCAGCGCTCGCCCAGAGACGCCTTCCAGCCCAGGGCCGCGCTGGCTCTCTGCTCTCATCTCACCGTGGGCTTGGGCTCTTGGTCTTTTCTTGGTCGTGTCGGAGAACTGGCGGAAGCAGAATCCGGGCGACCACCTAAGCTGAGCGACGAAGGGAATGAAGGAATGGATATATAATGCCCTCCGCCCACTGGCTCACTCACCTGCACTGCACATCCGAGAATACACGCCCGCTGCTCCTGCTACGGATGAGCGAGGTTGCTGGAGTGATCGACCTGTCGATGTCTGTCGCGCAGCCTTGACGGACGACGGACGCCTCACAGTCTCCATCTCCAGGCACGGAGAACTCACCACGGACGGGCACGATGGAAGGACAGAGCATGACGTATACGCCATCCTACGCCAACGACGAACATCGCCGCATCGCTGCCGCTGCTCTGCGGCTCTCTCACTTACACACTCCGACCAATGACATCCCCTACACCCCCAAACCAGACGACGAGCAACGGCGCCGTGACGACGATGATGTCGAGCACGACAGTCCCATCCGTCTACCGCAGGCTGCGTACATCCTCTCGCCGGCTGCAGAGTCTGGCTCCATCGACGCGGACGCGGACGCCGACACAGACCGAGATGCGGAGGACTGGCGACGGATGAAGATGAAGATGAAGATGAAGAGCGAGAGCAGTAGCCGGGCGTCGAGGGAGAGCAGCAGTCTGCGTCGGCACGATGTCTCGTCGTCTTACGGCCGTCACAGCCATCACAGCCAAAGGCATAGCCAGTGCCACAGCCACGTCTACAGTCACGACCGGCATCGTGTCGACGGAGGCAGTAACCCCGGTGCAGACATCGAGGAGGGAAACGAAGACGACGACCACACTGACGAGACGGGCTGCTCATCGCATGAAAACGCTTTCTTCATACTAGTATGACGCCCGTTCCTTTTTTTTTTATACCCAAATGCATGGTCATCGTATACAAGTTTAACTAAACTCGTTGTGTCTAGCTCCGAATATCTTTATACCTACCACTCTTTACCATCTTCGCGGCCCTCTACGCCTTCTTATCAGTAATATTCCTCATCCTCGCCACACCAATACGTCTCTGTCCGCCATCACAATTCTTCAAACGCCCCGTCTCCCTCACAGAACAAATATGTCGTCTTCTAGTTCCGCTGCTGAAGATGAATCGTCGGATAGTCAGCACAAAGAACAGTTGCTGCTCTCCTACCAAGCGAAATAGACGGTACAATAGTGCGCATTCAAGCATGCCCACATCCACCATGACGTCGCCCAGACGGTCCTATACAGTATCTACGCCAGTCTCCCCATCTCTCCCAACTTACACCTTGCGCGCACAAGCTGCTACGCCCGGCCAGTACTCGAACTATTCTGCCCCGATGCTCGTGGCCGTACACCTGCTCTCCCCCCTCTTACTACCTCCAACCTTGCTGGCGGCCTGGATATGTGCCTGTTTCTGGATCTTCGTGATGATAATGGGCAATCCGGACGGGAAGGAGAAGACGGACGATGGCCGGGCCGCTGTTCTGGCAGTGAGGAATTGGTGGTGCCTCTGGCTAGCGAGTGCGAAGAGAAAAAGGAAGAGAAGAGATATGGGAGGCGAGGCAGGGTGAGATAGATGTCTCGCTGGTTAAATAGAGTGGCTGGCCGGTTGACTGTATAGATGAGATTTATGTGCGTTGTGTGCATATGTACTAACTAATGATGAATATGAGCTTAATACCATACCTTTTCCATATCACGCGTCTTATAGTAGTAATATATAGAGTAAAAGATAGATAGTTTCATCGCTTCATCGCTTTTATCTAGTCATGCTAATTCATACATACATATTGCCTGTTGTTCGATTCGTTGCATTCTCTCGACCTCCGAATATGGACATGGATATCAATCTGCTTACTTCCCAACTCTTCCTCTTCCCCTACCACCGCCGCCGCCGCCTCTGGAATCTCTTCTGCGCTTCTCAATCCTTCCACTTCCACCGCCGGGGCTTCCTCTCTCCTTACCCATCCCGAGTCCCCGTCGACCGGTCTTAGCTACAAACCCTCCCCGTCCTCTACCTTGAACCGTCTGTCCGCGCGGCTGTTTCCCCTTCTCGTCACCAGAGTCAAGCTCCATCTCATCGCCAGCATCATCACCCTTCTTCCCCTGACTAGCCTTCCATCGTCCCTTTTGGCCCTTCCTCAATGCATCCGGTCCACTGACAGCCGTCACATATGCGTTTACCCCAGATGCACCGCCCTCGGCGGTATCCATGGCATCGTTACCGTCACCGTCCTCATCGCCAAATATCAATTTACCGTCCTCGTCAACGCGGGGACGGCGTTTCTGTCTATGTTTAGACGCCAGGAAGCGCACCGACGGCTTGGTGCTGGATATATTCGCTAGAGCGTCGGGAGCAAGTAGATCAAGAGGGTTGGACTCCGGCGAGAGTTCGCGGATATATTGCTCTCCACTATCGCCAGCTGCAGTACGTCGTTTACCCTTTTGCGTAGATCGCTTGGTAGTGTTGCCGGCACTGTCGATTTCGATCTCACTTGCATCCGAGTCGTCTCCAGATAGGAAGTCCGAGTCAGAACCGTAGACGGCCTTGTCGAATTCGTTGGTGAACGATTTGGTCTGTCCCTGGGATTGGTTGCGTGGCTGCTGTGTCTCCTCGTCGTCTTCGTCTGGTTTGACTTCCTTCTTGCGCTTTTGGCGCTCTCTCTCCTTGCGGATAGAAACAACGAGTTTACGGTCTGCTTCTTCTACGAGACCTTCAACGAACGCAGCTCCAAACTTGCGTATTAGCCTGTCTAGGATTCCCTTGACTTTACTTCTTAGTCGTCCCTTGTGTTCTTTGCTCCACATCATCAGCTTAGGGACGGCTGAAGGAAGTCGTGGCTTGAGAAGGTCGTCTGGCAGCGCGACGACGGCGACCTTGACGAAGCCGAGAACAGAGCGGACTATTTCGCGATTATTACTGGTCAAGAACAGCTCGATTGTTTGTAGCAAGTCAGACTGCATGGATGTTGGCAGTTGGGTGTGGTACTCGAAGAGCAGACGTGACATGGCCGTTACACTGGCAGCAACCATGTGTGGTGAGCTGCCGGCCAGACCAGCGGAGACCATCGTGAACAATTCCTCGACTGTGGCAGGGGCATCTGGTGCGTCATCTGGCATATGTGCAACGAGTGAGTTGCGGATCTTTGTGCCAGGTGGGTTGCGCTCGGAATCCACCATTCGCTGGGAAGTATGGACGAGGAGTGCGAATGCAGCCGTTCTCGCCTTCTCATTGCTCTCTTTGCAGCCTAGAACAATTTCAGAGAGGACGCCAGGGATGAAATGCAGGTCTTCCGTGGGTAGATGGGTGATGACCTCGTGTATAGCTAGGAGGCGGTCCCGATGAGCTGGTGCAGGTGTCTTGTCTGCAGTTGAGAGGATGAGTGTTTGGAGTTCTGCACTACGCTCGGAGAGAGCTGCGCGGCCTGACTCTGTGCCTGCAAGACGAGGGATGAGTTTGTACGCCTTCTTGATGAGCTGGGGGTCAGATGAGGATTTGTTGAGGACCACAGAGGCGAGCGAGAAGAGAGTTCCAAAGCTGGTGCGAGGGAGGTAGATTGACATTGTCACGATGAGATCCATGAGTGTGTGAGAGGTTGGAGGCATTTTATCCCTACGAGCCATGACGGATTTGGTGGCATTGGCTTCTTCCTCAAGTGCGGTTTCTAGCATCGATGTCACGCGAGTAAACGTGTCGATGAGTTCCTATCATTGTCAGCTTATGAACATTATGAGGCAAGATAGATAATAGCATACCTGTTCGCCTGTAATGCTGAGGAATGCGTTGATGCATTGCAAGATGTGACCCCTGAACTGCGGCAGAGTCTGGCTGTACACATTGAACAACACAGCAAGCATATTCCCAGCAAATCCAGCAAGATGCTCTATGTTCTTCCTCGCCTCTTCCTTGGTAACTCGTCGCTGCATAACGAGATCTTCGGTCTCAGACTCAACAGAGGTAATCGCTTGATTCGACTCAACCAGATTCTGCAGTGCCCTGCACACGTCCACTCTCAGCTCAGCCTGCTTATACAACACATTCGACAGCAGCTCGGCAAATGGCTGATCAAAGGCGTCTCTCATGTCCAGCGGCAGTTCGCAGAATCCGGGCAAACATGCCCAAGTTTGCTGCACAAGAGTCTCAAAGATCTTGACCTCGACCGTTTTTTCTGCCTCTCCATAGTCCATCACTCTCTGATATAGAGATTCACTCAATGGGACAAATTCGGAGCGGAAATACGCCAGGCTGGTGTTTGCCACGTAGTCTCTTAGTAGAGGAAGAAGCCAGACACGGCCTGGTTCGCCGGCCTTCTGGTTCACGATGTTCAGTGGGAGGATATCCAGAACAGCCTTGGGGCCCATCACATTGATGGCAGCACCCAGGACCTTCTCGGCCTCCTTTTTATTTTGGAAGTTCTCGTTGGTGCGCAAATCACCAATTATCCTCACTACCTCGTTAAGTACGGGTGAGCTCCTCCATTGGAGCGCATTAAACATGGCCTCAAGGACGTTGAACAAATCCGCTCGCGCAACCTGGTATTTGACCGCGAGTAGGCTGGTGGCTGACTTGGCGAGCTTTTCGATGATTTTCTCATCATACACAGACGCTTCTAGCAGGACCGACTCCGGTACACATGCGACGAGAAGTGAAATCATGCCTTCAGAAGCTGAGGTGCGGATATTTCGCGATGGGGATGTGAGGAAGCTGGCGAACAGGTCGAAGAGCTCCGGTAGTTTCTCGAACGTTTCTTGCGCCGACACCTGTGCAGAGACATCGTACCCTCGAGATAGCACTGCGATCCACGGTGGGAGTAGCTGCGAATCGTTGTGGGCAGGCTTTAACTCTGAAATGGCATCCAAAAGGCGAGGCAGTTTGGAGGAGGAGAACTCGTCTGCCATCCCTGTGAATATCACCTCGAATACTTCAAACGTGCCCATTGTGAGATACTCGTTTGATGACCTGGCGACGTTCATAAGCAGCTCGCATAGCGGTTCGATCTTCTTGCTCGGCCAGCCTCCCGATGCCGCTGCGATGGCCTTGACAAGCTGCAGCGCATGCGATACTGCAGGTTCGTGCTGTGTCTGCTGCTCCTGGTGTTTCCCTTTCTTCCCCTGCGTCTTCAACGTAGCCGTAACACTGTCATTCAGCGTCCTTAAAGCCGTCTCTGCGCATAAATCTGCCGCAGGATGGTCCAACGACGGGCTCGGAGGGGGCTGCTTGAGAATCTGTATCAACGCATCCTGTACCCTCCGTCGAACTTTTGGTCTGTGATCCACGGCCAGCGCAAGCATCCCCGCGATCGCCCTGCGAGGCCCTACTTCTGACGCTGGCAACGCCCATGCCGCCGAATCCTGGGCTATAAGAAGATTCTGTAGACATCCAACTGACGACTTGAGCAGCGGGGCTTCGACCTCGGCGAGCGTCAGGGCCGGCACCAAGCTGCCCAGTATCTGCGCAAACTTGGATCGCAGCAGAGGCGCCGGCACGTATGCAGAGACGACATCGAGCAGATATACGACCGAGGTTGCAAGTTCTTTGTTCACGATGCCTTGAGTTGTGTTGATGGACTGCGGGAGGAGGGCGAGGAGAGCAGCAAAGTATGCGGTTGCTGTGAATTCGGCATTCTGGTCGCGTAAAGTGTCTTCAACGGCAGAGAGAACAACGCCAGTCTGTAATTGATATCAGCAGTCTGGACAATAAAACGGCTGCTATAAAGGAGGCCGGCAGTGGGAGGAGAGATACATACATGGTGTTGATTCTGCAGCTTGGGCGACTTGATCTTGTCCAGCTTCTCATGTAGCGACGCCATGATGAAGATACAGAACTATCCCAGCAGGGACAGGAAGTAACTGCGTCAGCTTCTATCGGCAGTGCAGTTCGCTGTTGTGAAGCTGCAAGAGCTCTCTCTCTCTCTCTCTCTGGCTGGGAGGTTTTTTTATTTTATTTTTTATGGTTCAAGATGTTTGGCCGTAGTTTTTTTTAGGGTGGGTTTTTTTCTATTATCGATAGCAGCCAATGTGGGCCAAACAGGATAACTAACGAGCAACACAGGAAGTTTTCATTCTACTTGGATGGACTGATAGATGTTTTTTTAGAGGTTTGTAGAGTGATAGAAAGAGTATCATGGCCTGTCGTTGAAATATAAACAGACACATTTCCTGCACAGGACATGCATTTCACAATATTCTGCATGGCCTGGCATCCATCAAGGATTAGCTGGACCATAAAACACCCTGCAAGGGCTAAAGAACAGCCAGTACAAAGGCGATCTCAGGCAGAAGGTAAGTGCCGGTGCAACTGAGAAGCAAGCTAGGGCATCGACTATAGCTCTGATGTGTTTTAAAATCACAATCCCAGCGTCTCCTTGGTTAAGAATCACTATATTGCATTGTATAAATGGCAATATTCGGGACTTCCACGCCGCAAGGGGTCGAATCAGAACAAGATCTCCCCACTATGCTCAGGCTCAAATCCAAGAGCTTGCATGTGTGTATTTCGCTTCTTATCTTTGCGCTTCCGCTGGTCCTCTGCTTTCTTCTTCAGCTCCATGACTTCGGATGCAGGTGCCAGGCGGTAAGGCTCTGGAACGTCATCATCTTTATCCAGGTCCTGTAACAAGTGGCGGTCAGTCAGCGGTAGGGTGAGTCGGCGGTGTGTGGACGTACAATCTCCCCAAGAAGTAATACGTTCTCTCCTCTGATCAGGTACACGCCACGCGGGATGTCGGCGTATAGCTTTTCGGCGTATACTCGCTCAACCGTATCCTGGAGCACGATATTGGCTATCGTAAAATCATCAGCACATGTAGTTCAACCATCCGCCTCCCCGGAGAAAGCGAGGTCAGGTAGATGCCATAACATACCAAACTGGTCCCAACTTCGCAATACTCCAATTAACTTGCGGCCGTCGCGAAGAACCAAAACCAACTTCTCTGTACGCCGGGAATATCGAGTTCCAATTAGCCCATAGCTCTCTCTACATGGCAGGTAGCCTATAATTGCCTTTCCGCATATACCGCGATGCGCAGTACATGCTCCCCCACTACGGACGCAGAGTGGTGGGAATCTCACTGTCTGTTAAATCTAGTAGCTGTGCTGCGGTCGTGAACAGCTGAGGGGGTAACTGAGGAGGCCCCTGTGGTTCAAGGAGAGGTATGGCAGATGCTGGTGGGATTTGAGGTTGCTGCGGTTGCTGCTGCTGTGGTTGTTGCTGGTTAGGCGGGCTCGGCTGGTGATACCTCCCGGCTTGAGCATGGCGCATGGAATCACCAGGTCTCCCGCCCGCAGCCTGGTTCGAAGGGTCTAGAGGAGGAAAGTTGTCCATAATTGCTGTCTGATATTATTCGATGCGTTCTATGGCGGGCAGTGGATGGGTCGCGGCGAGGCTATCTTGCGTGAAATTCGCTGGGGACTTCGGGATCATGTGCAGCGGCCTGCCTTGGGCATTGTGCTTGCGAGTAGCGGCAGAGATAGAGCCCGGTCAGAAGAGGGAGACGAAGATAGAAAAATATCGAATATCGTGAAATTGTTCAAGATGGTCGAAGGCACATCCCAATCGGGCAAGGTACGCATTCTGGTTTGTTTGGCCTGTTTGCATTTACTCGTAGTTATTTTATTCCGTGGATCACGTGACTGGCTATGAATTTTGGAGAGAAACGCTGGAGGAAGTTGATATTTGCATGAAAGCACTCGATGATTGCCGGTATAACTATGAAATTCATCATGGGTGTCTTCATGATGGACAGCCTAGTACGGAGTATACTCCATACATTCATTGGTGGTGGAGGGAGAAAGATTGCCTTCGTTGACATCTACCCTGTGGTGAAGTAAGAACCTCCCCAGGGCGATAAAGTCCGATTAACTCGATCTGTGACGTTGATCCTTGAGGCTAAGCGGTCGACCACGTCGCCTTGTTTGAGACATTGTGTAGTGATGGGTAGAGGATTCGGCTGAGGTGAATCAAGTTACAATGCATGGTTACTTTGCAAGTGATCCTCCGCCATCGGTCGATCATGGTGGCTTGTTTAAACATCACAAGTGGGCGTTGTCGCAGGATTTGGATCCTCCGCGAATGTGTGTTTTACCTGTCAACACGATGCCAACACCCTTAGAGCTATGATAACGCAGGCCTTGTTGCGTGCCATACCTTAAAATAGTAATAGTTGAAGCCAATGGATGTGGATCCTGTTCCTACCGCGCCAAAGATCGCGGCTTGGTCTCCGGGCAGAGATCTGTTCTAGAATCCGGGGAAGGCAACGAATAAACATATAAATATGTAGCTTCATACCGTCTTCCCTCACTTCAATCACTCAAACCAGCGGATTACAAACAGACACCTCTTTTGAACAGCCTTCCCATCAATATTTATCACCATGAAGCTCTACTGGATCGTCAGCCTGATGTTCGCTGCCACAGGATTTGCAGCAACCCTAGGCACCCGAGACAACGAGGTAATTCCAGTCCCCACCTCAGAAGGGCTAGTTAAGAGAGTCTTCCCCGGCTAACTTGAATATTCTATCCAGTGCCCAGTCGACCGTCCATGCAACGTCAACCGAGATTGTGGTGCTACCTATTGCCGCTGTGTCGTGGTACGTATTCCAGTTGAGATCTCGAGAAGAAAGAACTGTACTAATGGGTAAATGTTTAGAACAACGACGGAACCCCCGGTGGTCTCTGCCGCCCATGGCCAACCTAGATTATCCCTTCAAGCCTAAAGGGGAGTCAGTTCTCAGTTGATTATGTGCCTGTATAAATTTTATTTTCTGAATTTTTGTGAATGGCTCTTGGAGGACAATAGATCGATTTTTCAGTTTTCTTGTACTCCGATACTACACATGCGTACATATGCCTCGACGTTTCGTTTCTAGAACTTGGGAGCCTGGTCAGTTTTGAGCCACAAATCAATTAGAAGCAAAATTTATGAAATATATATATGTGACTTGTCGTTGGTAAAGTTGATATTATGGCAGGACGTAGCTGTGATGTTATCTTGAATCTGAAGCGATGTTTCTTGATATGTAGAAATAAAGCCGGACCTCACTATTAAGTATATCACGTGATCGGAGCTTGGCTTATATAATCTTGCATGGGTGTTGTTGATATAAAAACAACACCCCATACTAACAACCGATTGACCGCATGAATATTGATATTATTGACAAAGAGAGCTCTTGAGCGTCCGGTTGCATCCATAATCAAATTGCCTTATTACACTACAGCTAGCTGATTCGGCAAAAGCTAGGCTAAGAATCAAGTAGGTTGAATATAGCCATCTTAAGCTTGCCGTCGTCCAATGGTTGATTGGCCAGTGAGACGAGTTGCCTGTATTTGGGCCGCTTAAACGCCGCTCAGATAAACTAGGTCATCATTAGTGTGAGGTTTATCTCACGCGGCTTATGCTCAAAGTTAGGTTCTTTGCCGACGTTCTTAGGCCCGAGAGCTTAGCTGGATATTTTTCCGTTACTGGTCCAAGACCTTTAACGTGTCGTTCTTTGAGGCAGAGCTGCCCTATTGCCTTCCCGTGGACAGAGGCGACGATAAGAATGAGAATAATGGCCCGATCTTGAGTTGGATCCTCTCGCAGCGTAGCGTATCTCAATGCTCATTCGAATGTTTATATGTAGCTGGCAAGCTTACCGCATTTGATAGGGGCCGATCAAGTGGGAAGATGCTATAACTCACTGGTTATAGTTGCCAGCCAATTAGTTCACACCGTCTGCGGTTGTTTATGTTGATTGATAGGTTGGTAGATACATTCAGTGTCGTCTTTACCATCCGGGCTGCCAATGTGACTCTTATGTAGCCCGTTCGCCCGGCACACCCCCGGTTCTTGGCTGCAACTCTTATCCTGTGCATCTTTATCTCATTTCCCGTTGCGAGGTGAAGGTCTAATTTAGGGCGAGGCCCATGCTAGTTAATTATGCTCAGGGATGCACATATTATTGTGACAGGATGCAAGGACGCAGCTTGCAGAATATTTTGTCATACTATGGACCAGGAACTGCTGAGACTTTAAGCTCTACTCTACAGGGGCGAGTTCACAGGTCATAACTTATTACGCCATTGAGAAGAAATTAGTCGTGCCCTAATGGGAGAAGGAGAGAAGTGTTGCTGCTGATTGCCCTAATATAATCTCTTCACTCGCCAATAACCCTTACAATACAGGTGCAACCTTTTAAAGCGCTTTATGGCAGTATCTTCACAGGGCGGATGTTCACCTGCTGTTGAGGCCACAGAGATATTTCGTTCAGCCGTGGATCTGATGGGATTCTCGTTAACAGCTCAGCTACCAGTCCAGCTCCTAAGCCCTTAGCCCACCAGACTCGAGGTTCCATGAGATGCATAAGGACAGCCCAATGCATAAAAAGGAGCAAGACCAGGGGGTTGCCGCGCCTGGCCTCACACACGGTGTGCTTATCCAACATACTCAACCACGATAGCACTAGGCTTTGATCTGATTTCTCGCGGAATATCGAGAAACACAACTCCAACTTCGAGACAAGTTGTTTGATGACGTTGTATTGTTCGGCATTCCCAGAACCGAGCGTCTCATCAGCGTAAGCTGCTAGCCTTCGAAATGCCATCTCCGTAACCGGTTCGTTGTTCACCGGGGCATCTTCGGTTTCTATCCGCGTGCCTGACGAGAACCAGCTGACTTCCAGCCAGGAGCTGCTAGCAGAGAATATCCCCTTAATTCCCTGCAGCAGCTCGAATATGGCGAGTACGTCTTCCAGGACGGTTCCGCTTTCCCTCCCGCCAGGCGCAATCTGTGTAGAGGAGAAAGTGAAGACGGTGGTGATGACGGCAAAGGCAAAGACAGCTTCACAATTGACCGGTGTGATATTATTCAGAGCCTCGCGGAAGGGAGATGAAGCGAGGGTATGATAGCGGAGAGCGGTATCAAAATACGAAACCGCCTCTGACGGATGTTTGACGCTTGACGCTATATGCAAAGCCGCCAACCCTAGTATGCCATCCATCAAGAAGTCACTAGACAATGCTAGACGGGGGATATGGACCTGCCATGCGTATCCATCTTCGGGGACTCCGCAGAGGCTTTTATACGAGTCGGTAGTGTATTTGTGGACTAGTTCGAATTCAAGGATGCGTACAGCTGGAGGGAGAGGAGAGACAGATGCTGCAGACGGCGGCGGCGGCGGGCCAGGACTCGGCTCGGGCCGTCCATTGTGGTTTGGGAGGGGGACGTTGGGTGATAGAGATTGTATAGGGGAGCCGTCTGCGGATGTGGTTGTTGCCCTAACTCTGCGAGCAGCGGCCGAAGAGAAGATGCAGTTTATCTCTCTGTTCTGGCAATTGGTGCAAGGAGGACCCCGTTCATCGCACTAGACAAGCAAGAAAAAGCACAAGGCCAGAGAGTTAGCAGCGGATGGCTTATGGATATCTGAAATATTCATATATTGCGTGCAGGCAAAAGACGATCAGCTCGGGATCGGATCAGCAGGACATCGCCATCCCCCTTCCTATAAGAGGGGCCGAGTAATAAGATATCGAGAGGAAGGGTTTACTCCGTACTATCGATCGATTGATCGAGAGAGAGGGGACAGGCGGATCAAGGGCAAAAGGAACGAAAGCTCTTCGTGCTGGATGGACGCAACCCTACCTTGACTCGTCTCTGCTTGCACTGGTCGCATCCATTCCGCGACTTCTTGTGTGATCTCCGGGGCGCCATGTTTTAACCACCAGTCCCGCCGCATTAATAACAGCCATAACCTGCCGGCATGTCCCAGAATGACAGGTCGCTCAGTCGCTCGCTGGCCTGTCTGCGCACTCCGTAGCGTGGTTGGGATAGGGTCGCTCGGGGGTGCTGGCCAATGGCGCCGGCGGGAGGCCCGGATACTACTTAATCCACCGCTCAGCGCTGAAGAGTGCCAGAGGCGCTCGTCCATTCAGCGATGCCCTGAGCTGCCTGTTTTCCACCAGGGAATTACCTGACTGGCTGGTCCTGTGGCCATTTTTCCGCATTTTTACCTCTATAATTACATCGGACAGGAGGCATGGTGGACCCATGGAGCCTCCAGGGTTCGGACGAACTGGAGAGAAAACGAGAGCGAGAACGAGGATCGAAAGCGAGAACGAACTTGTCATTCTCGTTCCAGCATTATGACTTATACATAAAAAAAACGTTATGCTCTGGCGACTCCATACATATCATGGCGATATCCAGTCTATCCTTCGATTCCTCTTCTCGGTGTCTCTTTTGCTTCGTGCGGTTGGAGTACCCCTGATACCCCATTCTTCTATCAAAAGGACCATCGAATTTTTATATCCAGTCTTTTTGCATATATATATCCAAGATGGCGCCGAGCTTCGCTACTTGCACGGAAGTTGGGCCGGCGTGCCCTGTCGAGGCCACCACGTATGGTTACTATCCACAGCTGGGATCCGGTATCTTCTTGACCGCATTCTTCGCATTTCTGGCGCTCGTCCAGCTGGGACTCGGGGTCTTCACGCGCACCTGGTCCTTTTTGATCGCTGTGTTCATGGCCTGCGCCCTCGAGGCCGTCGGTTACGGTGGCCGTATACTCATGAACAAGAACCCTTGGTCTCAGGACGCCTTTCAGATCCAGATCGTCTGCCTTATCCTGGCGCCGACTTTTCTGGCTGCCGGCGTCTACCTCACGATCAAACACATCGTCATCTTCATCGGGCCGGAGCACTCGCGTATTAAGCCAAAGCTGTACACCTGGGTGTTTATCGCATGTGATATCGGCTCACTCATCCTGCAGGCAGCCGGTGGTGGTGTTGCTGCGGCTGCGACCAAAAAAAATGTGAAACTGTTGGATGTTGGTAACGGCATCATCATTGCCGGTATTGCCTTCCAGGTGGCTACCATGTCGGTTTGCGGCCTGCTTGCTCTAGAATTTTTCATCCGGGCACATAGGAGCGGGCAGGGCTTCACCCCCAAGGGCTCGTCTCATGGAGCTGCGGTGCGTCGGTCCTTTTGGATCTTCTGTGCTGCAGACGCGTTTGCCTATCTGGCCATCCTAATCCGCTGTATATATCGGTAAGCACTGAGGATGTCTGTCTAGCGCTGTCTGTCTGGCTAACTGTATCGTTATAGTCTGCCCGAGATGGCTGGTGGCTGGGGAAACCCTCTTATGCGAAACGAGAAGGACTTCCTACTCCTCGACGGAATGTAAGTCTGCCATATGCTAACCTCTATTGCAAAGACGCATCACTGACCTTTCTCTAGGATGATCGCTTTGGCAGCCGCAACATTCACCATCGTCCATCCTGGATTCTGGTTCCCTCCCATGCGAAAAGGAGCCAAAGCCATACCGCACAGCGAGGGAACCAGTGTAAACGATTCCACGGAGAAGTAACCATTCAAAGATATATATTATTAACTCAATTTCTTATCTCATCAGACGCCCCGGGATCTGTTGTTTGCTGCTTGATGTACAAACTTATCCTTCGTCTATACGTGTTTTGGAAAAATAATGTGCTATTTTAGCGAAGCGTTCATTGCCCACCACCTTCACCACCATGCTTACCACCGTATATAGATCACTATTATTACATTAATTAGATTGTTTACATGTGAAGCCCGAGTTTTACTATACTTCCCTTCATAGATCGTGGGATAGAGAGTTTCGGGGGCTGAGGTATGTCGTCATAACCCTTTCCCTTCCAATCACCGCGCTACTCTGGTTGATGGCAACTTGAATATCTTGCCTCAAGGGACTCTTAGAGGGGCAGGTTTCCTTCTCTGTGTCTAGAAATGTGGTTCTCTATCAATGGCATCGGTTTGAAATGGTCCTCTAACATTTCTACGCGACTATCTAGGCTAACACACCGGACATAGTTGAAGCTAAAGCCTACTATCAACATGGCACCGCCTAAACAAATATTCAAGTGCATTGGCATCGCTGGGGCGGGGAATATGGGGGCTACTATGGCCTTTGGATTTGCCGAGAAGGGAATCAAGGTATCGCTCTGGGACGCCAAAGCTGAAAACGTCGATAATGTGATGAGCAAGGTCGAGGGAGAAAAGGGAGTTCAAGAAAATATCAGGCCGTTTAACGACATTCACGAATTTGTGAAGAGCGTTGATGTGGCCATTGACTCGGACGGAAGGGGTCGTCGACCGTTCATCTTCTCGATCACTCACGGCTGGCCGGTGGATTCTGTCCTAGGCCTAATGATGGACGACCTGGAGGATGGAGATATCATACTTGATGGGGGAAATGAGAATTATCGAAACACCGAGCGAAGACAGGAGGAGCTGGAGAAGGAGGGCGTTAGTTGGATTGGAATGGGCGTGTCGGGAGGAAACCACTCGACGAGAAAGGGGCCCAGCTTAGCGCTTGGAGGAGACGCTCAAGCTATCCGTGTGGTGATGCCGCTGCTGAAGGAATTTGCGGCACAGGATCCTCGGACAGGCGAATCGTGCGTGGCCAATATCGGCACAAGAGGTGCAGGCCACTATGTCAAAATGGTCCATAATGCAATTGAGAATGGGATGCTATCCTCCATCTGCGAGGCATGGGCGCTGTTGCACTACGGGTTGGGCAAATCGTACGATGAGATAGGCGAGATATTCGAGAGCTGGGACTCAGAGGGCCCGCTGAGGAATACATTCCTTGTGCAGATTGGATCCAGCATTTGTCGTGAGAAGAAGAAGAAGAAGCAGTCCGGTGAGAGGAAGTCTGAGAAAGTTGACGAGACTTATATACTCGACGAAATGCATGACGCAGTAGGGGATGGAGACGATGACACCGCAGGGACACTCTACTGGTCTGTAATGGAGGCTGCAGACCGACACGTCTCTGCCCCAAGCATTGCAGCCGGCCAATTCCTCAGAGTCTCTAGCAGGAACCGAAAACAGCGACTCAGGGTGGCTCAGAAACTCAGCATTGAGCCTCCAAAGAAACTCAAGCATATCCACGACGTCCCGACCTTCGTCGAACAGCTTCGAGACGCAACTTATATCTCCATCCTATCCTCGTTCTGTCAGGGGCTAGAGCTCATCGCACGCGGATCCAAGGACGAGAAATGGAATATAAATCTAGGGGACTGTCTAAAGATTTGGCGGGCCGGTTCCATTATCCAAGAAGAGTACATATCCGATTTGCTGATGCCGGCCTTGACATCAGGCGCTCACATCATGAATATGAAGCTCATCGATGAAGTTGCTGCTGCTATGAAGAAGAATTTCGATTCTCTGAAACAGGTCGTTTTGAAGGGCACAGAGTCTGATGCATATATACCTTCACTGTCGGCCAGCTTGGAATATCTGAAGTATGAAGGAGCCAGGATGCTGCCAACTCAGTTCATGGAGGCCGAGCTGGCTTTCTTGAACGCTCATCGTTATGACTGGCCAGGTGTCAGGGGTTAGGCATGAGATCGTACAGGCTGTCAATATCAAATTCAACTTCCTATTTCTACCCTTCGGCTTATATTTTGATCTCTCGATATCATAATGTTTTATATCAATCATGTGTCATCGTTATTGTTCATTTATTTTGTCAATATCAAAGCGCTCAAACAAAACATGGCTAATATCAAATTCTTCAAATGAGAAATCATATCAAGAAAAAAAAGCATTAAAAATATCAATAATAAAACAACAATCCAACTCGCAGCAGGGGTATGCAGATGTAGGTCATGAAAGGAAACGAAAGCAATAAATGGACAGTATCAATAACCGTACGTTGGCTACAGATGAATATTCGACCTTAGGCTGGCATTCGAAAGACGTGGCCGTCTTTGTCTACGCTCCCTTCGCGAGCTGGTTTGGATGAAATATGGCTCCGCAGCCGAGCCGTTCTGCGGAAGATGCGGCGGCGTTTCTCGCGTGAGTTGCAGCAATTTGAACTGCTCTGGCGATATGATACCTGTGCAATACATATGGCGCATAAGGTCGAAGTCCGGACACGGCTCTACCTGACAGCAAGCTCCCCATCGCGGGTGTTCACCAAGGACATGATCCAACATGTTCTGCCAGGCTTCTCCTCCCACGGGCTGCTGCTGCTGTTGATATTGATGCTGATGCGGATGCTGATGCTGATATTGATGTTGGGGGCTCGAGAAGACCTGCTTGCAGACTATGCAGCTGACTTTACTCGGCGGCGGGTGCGACATGAGATGGCTAGTGACGTGTAGCTTCCAGTCCTCGGGGTCTTCGAACGATTTATCGCATTCGAATATTCCTGCAAAGATGCACTTCAGAGCAAAAGGGTCTGCGTTTTCGTCGTGGTCGGGGAAAGGAGTAGGCAGAGAGACGACGGGTCCGCCATCGTTTTGGTGAAGAATCTTCGGCCTGGAGGTATAGATATGAGGCCCCTTTTCTGTTGAGTCGATGCTCGAGCTCGAAGGCATCGACTGAGAGGCGCATATTGAGACAATCATGGCGATCTCGGTGTACTATTCTCGCTTTTTATTCTTCTTCTTTTTTATAATAACGTCGACGGGACACGCTGCTATTTGATCGGCCGGTGGATGGAACTACTTCATCGATAATTCAGATCCATGGACAAACTTGTTATACGATTGGAGGCGTGCAGAAGAAGAGCAATATCGAATCGTCCTGCTTGGGCTTGTATACGGACGGTCCAGCGCCCAAGGAAGTGCCGTCTCTTCGCTCTCGACGGATCTCGACGCTCAGTCTATCGCTATACGTTTCTTAACAGTTAATTCAATACGGCACGAGAGCGATGGCCGAATATAAATAGTTTTCTCGAGTTCTTCGCCCGCCAGAACCCCTCCTGCAAGGTTGGGCGTACTTTTTTTACTCTCTTCACGGCAGGGATAAAAGTCAACGTCTAAGTTCTACTTAGGGCATAAATCTCACAAAGTACTCGCTTGGGCACAAAACTCCAGCCTGGCATGCAGAAAGAAAGAAAGAAAATGCATAAATGAACGAACGATAAAAGAACAACTCAAAAAGCGGGCGATCCCCGGGCCAATTGACTATTTTAACTGACGCGGGCTGCAACAAGTCAGCGCCAGCCACGTCGATGTCCCACTGGCATCCTGCATGAGTTGCGGGATGAGAACGCGGATTCAGACGCCAGCATCCAACCAGTTTCAGCGGACGTGAGAAAGGGCCATATAGCAGCCGTGCTATAACCTGTGCTAGTGCCCGGCGAACGCTACTGCGAGGCAATCGACGTTATGCCGTCATGCCAGAAGATAGCTTAACCTCGCGGGTTCAACGACAGCTGGTCGCCCTGCACTGGCTCTGGGCTGGAGGGCAATATATTCCTCTCTGTTCACAGGTTGAGCGTGTTGCCTGTTGATAGCCCTGGCACCATGCCTACGTCGTCGTCTCGCCGTTTGACTCGCTATAACCGCAGGTGCAGCATGTTGGTAAGCCCAAGCGGGCGTCGTGAACCTCTATCGGGCCTTCTTACACTTGAGTCTCGCCGTGCGTTTTGTTCTGGGATGCCACCGCCCTTGACTGGCCTAGAGGTTCTATCCGCGTGGGCAGTTTCCGCCATGGGAATATATATAAGTCCGTTGATAAGGGGTTGGATGAAGCGGAGAGTAGTTTCCCCCACGATCCATAACCGAATTCAAGGACTACTATTCCTTACAGGTGATGGAGGAGATGACGGAGCTGGTGAGCCAGCAGCTCAACATTTATATCTAGACTGACGAAAGGCTGCGACAGTACCTGAGCAACGAAGTCCGGGTGAGGGAGGTTACTCTCTTCGTCGTAATGATGCGTGTTTCTTGCATATATTATTGAGTCTGGATATTGGCCCAAATTCCACCTTCTCTGCTATCTGATGAATAGTTTATGGTTCAGGGGTAGAACGCAAAGCTGGTGTATACTTAACTTTGGCAATTGAATGGCTTATGCTCAACTCGATCACTCTAGCAGATGGATTATCACGATGGACATTTACATTGTATCTATTTTGCTTTAAGGCATCAACTTCAGGTGCATTCGCTACTAGGGCAGCTTCTGTCTGCATGGGGGTATGACAATAGTTCTATCCTAAAATCCGGCCACTATCTAAGTGAGTCTGTAATCCAAAATCATAATCTCAAAATGTAATATTCATCACATCATATACTCCGTACTGTCGTTAACTGCCCTGGCGTAAAATTCCAATAGCAATATCTGCTGCCTTCGTCTCGGCTTGAATTCTACTTACTCCGTCATCAATTCTGGATATTTCTTTACCACCTACCACGACCTGGCATTTCCATCGTGTAAGGCCTGCCCTGACATGTACATCCGAGGAAATATATTTCACAGTGAGGGTCTGCGCGACCTGGCCTAGACGCTGTTTCGGGTGCATGAAATCTATATCCTCGTCATCTAGAACGCGGCGGAGGTACTTCATAAGGCCAATGAAGGTAAGAAATTTAGTACATTCTTCCATAGACCCATGCGAATCAATAAATATAGCACCTAGGATGCTTTCGATGATGTCTGAGAAGAACTTAGGGGCATTGAGGGTCGAAAGTAACGTCCAGGGGTATTTGGTGTCTGACCGAAGAGCCTCGTCAATATCCCCATGTAACCCCTCAAATATACGGGCTGTGGCTTGCTGCGCCTCAGCAATATCCAGCGTTGCTGAATGGGACATGTACTGCCATAGAGAAATCTTCCGGGTAGACGAGGAGATCTCGACTTTCCCGTCGTGGGAGTCGGAAACCTCCCCGCGCCGCTCGTCCGTGGACGTGCCCATGCATAAGAATGCAAGGAAATCTGCATTGACCAATGCGGTACGCATGAGGTGCATATCTTGATGAGGAATCTCTCTATTCGAGCGGAACAATGTGCTCGTGACGATGGTGTCGAGAATTGAATCACCGAGGAATTCTAATCTCTGATACGTCATTCCACTTATCGGATTACTGGGATGCGACAGGGAGGCGGTTAGAAGAGCCTTTTTCCTAAACGAATAGCCTATTAGGGGTTCAATTCTCGACAGAATATTGTGAGGGGAATTGTCGTGAAATTCCGGTGAAGCATCATATAGCATCGATATGTGCTCGTTGTATGACCGCCACTTTATTTCTGGTAGGAAAACCCGTAGACAACGCAACGCCTTGTCTTCTCCTCCGTCAAGAATGGCTGCACCAATTAAAGACTCAATGACGTCGGCGAGGGTTTTCGTAGATATCTCTCGAGTCGACTCCCTATCGCCGTTTGAGGCACTTTCCGTGTAGTTGTAGTTGTATAGCGGTCGCCATTTTGCACCCGTGAAAGGGGCTGTAAGAATGAACCTGTCTAGTCCCACTTGTATAGCAGCTTTCGAGAGTCGGGTATTGGATACGATCAAGTCTTTTTTACGAGACAAGAGGCCTTCGTGCCAAATTGGGTTGTCTGCCAATAATTGCATACATGCATGTAGCTTTAGGGAACTATCCCCGAGGAACTCGAGACGTTGATAATTAGTGTTTTCCCTCGCTGAAGATGCAGTAATAGCGGTCAGTATTAGCTGGATATCCTTAAAGCCGACGGGAGATAAGATGGTTCTTGATAGCTCCTCGGCAAGTAAGAAGCGACCCACGGTGTGTATCAATGAGGGGATGAAGAGCGCAAATTTTGTGAACCCGATAGGTAATTTGGATATAGAACTGACGCGAGCTGGATCACAATTTCTTGCGGTGTGGTGAGGTTTAGAATCGATGGTGTTAGCAACGGGGTGTAAGAAATCCGTTCGTTTCGGCCATTTCTCTCCTTCGATATGCAGTATCTTCTCTTCCTCTTCACTCTCCTCATCTCCATTTTCAGGCTCTTCTCTCACACATTTCTTCCATACAAACTTCTCCACGGTCCATGGCCTGGTAGTCATATCTGTACGCCTTGCAAGCCCGAAATTCTCAACGGAGCTCAGGTCGTATGCCTCGATATCATTTCCCAAAATCAGGTCGTTTACATTAGTACACCACTCTTTAAGCCCCCCATGCTCCATTTCGAGGCTAGGTATGAATATGCAAGAGAAATCTCTAGATTCACCATCCATTCTACTTGAATATAAAGAAGATAGTAGAATATGCGTGGCCAAAGGAGCCCAGGTCATATCGTCTTCCGAAATAGTCAATGGCTGGGGCGATGCAGATAGGGTAAGAATGTTTGTCTCATTCCAGAATAACTTGAACGTGAAGTCGCATGGAAGAGGGATGGGAAGAATTAGCAGCATTCTGGGCAATTCTTGTGTTGTGTTAGAGCCGATGACAATACTGCTTTGGTAGAACGTATCGGTAGTTTGCCATTGGGTAGCAACTGCTAGCCAAGGATTAAACGCTTCAGAACAGGTTCCCATGCTTGAACGTTTCTCGAGTTGTGCGGCTTCTTCATCTGTCGTCTGACAGTGTTCTGGCATTAAGTGGTCATTAACAAGTCCAGCTTTGTAAAGCTGCAAGTATGCCTGGAATGCGGCGTCTCTTTTCGCCATCTTTTCTGTCCTCCATTCTCCAACCCCCTCAAATTCGCGAAATCTAGAGTCCAGCTGTGTTGGGAGGCGTACTTTTGCGGTTATCTTGTCGCCAACTATCGTCTTCGAAATGATGAAATCAGGTTGAGTATCAGCAAACTCACACGGTATTGTTGCGCAAAAGTGGGAGAGATGTGGAGGGGCATTGTCGAGAGTCAGCAGTGCACTGACAAAATAATAAATAATTAGCAAATAATGTCATAAACTGCATGGGATTCGATATATTATTTCACTTACCCAGTTGACGCTATTCTGAAACTTTCATAGCCGTCTTCTTCCTCCCTTTCGACCGCTAAAAGCTCCTCAATAAACTCCTTGTTACTAGAATACTTCTCCTTCATCATATCTTCCATAGCTGCCCAGTCTTTATTTGTCGAAGTGTCATCTTCTTCGTGAAAGATCACAAATTTCGAGCCTTTCTTTCTGGCTCTACCTCGTCTCTGGACAAATGATCGTAACTGTTTCGGAGGATCAAAACACACAACAAGGTCGCATGCTGAAACGTCAATACCTTCTTCAAGGACCGAAGTGGCGATAAGTAGGTTCTTTTTCCCGGATCTTAAGTCGTCAATAGAGCCTTTCATATGGCCTGCCTTACTGAGCTCTGTAATATCTGCTTTCCGAGAAGCAAAGGAAGAGTATCCTAGGAAATAATCTGGCTTTATATGGGTTAATTCATGGTGAAGAGAGATAAGATGGGTAAGCATAACAGCTGTTGCTCTCTGCTCAACGAAAACAATTCCACTCGAGGTGTTTGAGTGCTCTGATGATAAAAGATTTATCAGGCGGTCAACTTTTTGTGACACCGCATCTGGGAGAGTGTCCCAGTCTCTCTCCCCAATAGAGCTAACCACAGGCTCTAGTCCATTGCAAATGAAGGAATTATCATCCCTATCCCATTCAGACCAAGTCTGGTCAATAAGTGTTGCTTCCTTACCACGTGTACGGCGGTATACTTCAGAAATATATGTTGATGCAGCCCACGGCCCAAGCTCTCCATACATGTGGACTATTTTAGTGAAGCATCGCTTCAACTGTATAAGGCAGGGTGTTTTTCTATCGAGCGCCTGCTGGAACCTTTCCTGGCTTTTGGTATCGAGTTTTCCCTCATATCTGCGGAAAAAGGGATCACAAGTGATATCTATGCTATGCAGCATAGATAGAAGTTTAGTTTCCATGTTAAGAAGCATGGTCGAGTTCTTCTGATACGTGACTTTTCGCAACTCTGGAATGTGCACAAACTGCATCATCTCTTCCCGATTAACCTTGGGAGTTTTGCAGCAAGCATGCAGATTTGTTTCCAACTGTCTGCTCGTTATTAGCCTAAAACCCTGCCGAGAAGGAGCTACATATAGAAGTGGGTGAAGATCATACCTCAAGGCATCATCAGTAGAACTAGAGGCAGGACTAGCAGTCAGACCAAGAACATACGGAAGGTCGTTTGTCTCCCGAAGTTTGTCAATTTCCGCATGATAGAAATTCTGCATAATCTTATTTTCAGGGGAAGATTTGACACAATGATGAGCTGTACCTAGGAATTAGTAAAACTGAAATCGAACAGCAAATTGAGAAGAGAGAGATCAATTCAACATGCCTTCATCGAATACGAGGAGTGCTATCCGTCGTAAGGTAATAAAGCCATTTGACAGGGCATCGAGCAGTACCTGGGGCGTCGAGACAACAATTTTGGTATTTAGTAGAACCGCATCCCATATCTTCTGTGTAGACCAACGTTCCACATTATCTGCTCCGATCAGGACCCTCGTCTGATAAGCAGGAAGCTGTTTGGAGATGGCTAGATGTTGTTGCTCGACGAGCGGAACCTTCGGAGCGAGAAACCAGACGAGCTATGCAACAGTCAATATTGAATATGCATCGTTTGACTTGATGTTTGATGGAATGCATACTTTGTCGCTCGAACATCTTTCAAGTTCCTCTCGGATGCGAAGAATTGCACTACTCATGTCAGAGAGATGCATATAATTAATCTGAGACAAAGGAAGCCAGCAATCAACGCACATTTGAGTCTTTCCGCTCCCAGTATCCATCTGTAGCATAGTACAGTTAGCAGCTGCTCATGTTTGAAAGGGGGGTAAACATTTGAATCTAACTGCAACTATGATATTTTGTTTGAGGCTCTCCTCGAGCATCTCAACCTGGTATGCTCTCGATCTAACCAGGCCTGACCTGGGTGTGCACTCCAAGCCATCATTTTGTCGCGTTGCTTCATCTTGAGCCGTGTCATCTGCACTCGTACTCAACCTGGGCCGTTTCCTCCCCCCTCTATGACTCTTTAGAGAGTGCATTTGGCCTCAGAGTTGTAACACTCTCGTCGTCGTGGGACGGGGTTGGATGGTGTTGGCCCAATCAAAGTCAATTGTTCATAGGGTTCGTCGTTTGTGGCGGGTTGAAGAGATGGAATCCATACACGGGTCTTATAACGCGAGATGATTTTTTTTATTAATGATGAAGAATGAAAGATTTCTTGGGCCGATATGGATGTTGATAAACAGTGAAGGCTGCTGGCATTCTCCGCCGCTTGAAATATGTACGTATGCGAAACCCCGCCATGCATGGATGCATATACTGAATGGTGTGAAAGAAGGGAGGTAGCGATATTTAGTTAAGCAAGAGATGACCTGCCGCACAGCTGAATTCAATAACGTGTCCCGGGTTTTTCACCAGGCTTGGAAGTTTTCATTACTGATATTATGGTAAATTTAATCTATCATAGGTTGGTCAGGTAATCTTCGATCTCCTCCTTACTGAGCTTTCTGAACCGCGGGCCTCGAGAGCCTTCAACGCCTTCGTACCCGAGCAAGTGGTGTGCTGGCGGGCCAACAATACCTATATGCATGATTAGTTGAAGGTGCATTGTGGGCAAGGAGTGAATTCCAGCTAGACTTACCGATCTCGATGGTATCACCGTTCATTTCACCTTCAATTGTTTCCTTGAGCGTCAAAAGAGCAATGTGCACCGCATCCTCCAGCTCTAGACCCTCCGTGTACCTCTTCTCAAGGAACGTCTTCGCGCTCGTGGAGCTCTTTCCAATCGCTGTAGCTTTCCATGGATAATAGCTTCCGCTAGGGTCGACCTGGTACAAGCTGGGTCCGCCCTTCAAAATGCCGCCTGTCTTGCCCGAAGCCTTCTTCTTCTCGGCATCTGTCTCGCCTTCCTTTGCTTCCGCGGTCTCTGGCTCAATGCCGTCGTCCCAGCCGGCGATTAGCAAGCTTACGCCGTAGGGCCTGACACCACCGGACTGGGTAGCTTCCTGTACAACACGAGCGACGTCTTGGACAAGTATTCTTGTAGGAGGGTATTCGTTGTAGATGCGTTTGTAGTTTGTGTGGGACGTCTTACGGGCCTTGTCGACGAGAACACGATAGTCTGGGCCCATTCCGGAGTAGACCATGCCGATATCAGGAGTGATCAGGGAGACTTTTGAGAGCGAGGGAGGGTCGATGAGGGGAGACGATGACTTTTTCTCTGTAGCTAGGACTACTCCATTTGTGGCTAAACGCAGGATGGCATCAGCAATGGTTTGACATGAGCTCGTGTGGTATGAGAGCGAGCTCACCTTTAATTCCCAGGGCAGTTACACCCTGGTTCACAGCGTTTAGAGCATATTCTGCAGACAAGTTAGCTTAAAGACAGTAACTCGCCAGTCCTGAACACGCTTCTCGTACCGATCTGAACTAGTTTTCCACTATGGCAAAGGTCAGCTTCGAGCTCTCATGTTAGCAGTGCCAGGTGTGAACAGGCGTTACCTTGGGGAGAAGGTCGTCAGCGAGAACGAGTAACGGTCGGCCATGGCCAGAGCAAGATATCGGAGCTGCGGTCTAGTAACGCCAAAGAGGATCAGATGCTCTATTCAATGCGGATCGGTGCTGTGCTGGCTGTTCTATCTCCTGCTGGATGCTTGCTTGTGGTCCAGAGGGAAGCTCTCTTCGATGTTCCCAAGGCCGCCAGATGTTTACGCGGTTCCGCAAACGGCAACATTAGCCGCCCGGCTAAACTTGCTGTTTTGGGCGATCCGGCCAGCTTTCCGTTTTGCTTTCTCGTCGCTTCTTTTGCAGGAAACGACTTTTGATACACCAGCAACCTGCAGTCCGCCGACACGGCCAGACAGACAATGTCCTCCTCGTCTACCGGACGGTTTAGAACTGACATACACGTTGAAGCTGGCTGAAGAGAAGCGTCTCTCTTCTTCGTCTTTCTGTTTGCTAGAATATTCACTATAGGAATTATGGACAGAGCTCCTTCGTGGGAGTGGCCGGAAGCCGCAGCGCATCCACGCGCAGAGGCAGCTGCTGCTACTGCTGCTGCGGATACAGAGAATGAGCCGGAAGAGGCGAACGGCCAGCCTGCTGGAGGAACCAAGAATTATCCAAACCGAACGTGCAGGATATGCCTCGAATCTGTACCTCCAACCACCCATCTGCCCTCCGACAGTTTCCCAAGCTTCCTGCAAGCAAAAGTTCGGGTAACATACGACTCCCAAGACCCTGAGTTAGGGCGTCTCCTCCGGCCTTGCAAATGCAAAGGTTCGTCAAGATACGTGCACGAGGGGTGTCTGAGGCTCTGGAGAAATGCCGACCCCGCGTATGGGAGACGCAATTATTGGCAGTGCCCGACCTGTGGGTTCGAATATAGGCTGGAGCGAATGACATGGGCAAGATGGATTAATAGCCGGGCAGCCCAGATGACGCTCACTATCGGGGTTCTCTTCCTCGCCATGTTTCTACTTGGGTTTGTTGCCGACCCAATTATCAACCTCTACCTGGACCCTCTCGATACCATCACCGGTGAGCTTTGGGACGACGATACGGGGAGTTATCCTGTAGGAGATGGGAAGTCGACCTGGACTGAACATCTTCTCAAGGGCCTTGCGTCGCTCGGGGTACTGTCGTTCATTAAAGTGATGCTTGCGCTCTCGCCATGGCAGTGGTGGAACTTGCGCAACTCTGGTCTTCTTGGCGGATCAAATCGGAGAACAGCTAATAGCGGGCGGAGCAGAGCTGCATCGGTGAGCTGGATTGTTCTTGCTATTGGTGTAGCCACATTTCTCTGGGTACGTTTCTTCCTGGCTATCTATTTACTCCCCGTACATACTAACGCATTCATAATAGGGTGTATATAAAGGTGTCCGTGCCTGGAGTTGTCGAATACTTGAAACAGCTGGACAGCGTGTCATGGATGTACCTCTAGATGATGACGACGAAGACGATGACGGCGGGGGCGAGGAAGCCGCATCTTCAACGGACCACGCTCAATCCAAGAAGAATGATTAGTCCTGATCAATATATAGTCTTCCTACAATAAACTCCACCTCTTGCCATAAAATGGGATCACCAACTGCTCCATCGCACTACTTTAAATTGTCATATCCTACCAATGATGTGCCAATTAGTCTTGTTGCGAAGATCTGATAAACTCTTCACTATCCATCGCCTTCACTGCTGTTGTATGCAAGCTCCGGCCGTTAGTGAACGTTTTGTTCCTATTGTCCACTATGGAGCTTCGTCGGCTCGTGGTGTTGGCCTTGGGAAGGTTTGACCGCCGCCTCGACTTTGTTGAACTCGCTTTGGGAATTATTCCATGGACACACCTCCATAGGAGGATCATGCGCTCATCGCTAAGCAAGCTCGCTCGAGAACGTGGTATATACAGTCCCTCCTAAGTTGTCTTCGTATTTAATCAAATGAAATTAACTCTTTATACTCCCACGCTGTCAATTGTGTCATTATGCTAAACTCTTGCCCTAGTGGTCATATCGATTCCTATGCTGGCGGCCTAATCAATCTTCTCCCTAATATCATGATACGCCTTCATCAGGCCCGTGTATATGGGATTCCAAGGTTGAAGACTACGGCTCTTGAACGTTTACAGCATATGTCTTGCCTTCTTAAACATTTCTATTAATCAATATCTAGGGTGGACTAATAAAAATTTAATGGTATACATCCCTACTACTGACCCAGTCACAACCACATTAAACCACACTCCAGTTCCGTGCCACGAAATAAGCAAAGAAGAATAAAAAAAAGCAAAGCGCAACATCTCACACAGGCTTGTGATCAAGTTCTTGGCGACTGTCACAGCTTGGTCCCACCACTCAACCCACGGTCATTTCGCTCTGGCGTATTCTCTCGATTCGAGTCGGATGACAGAAGTGATGGCGACCGAATAGGGAGCACGCATGCGGTTGCGGGCTGGTTCCGCAACACATCTGCAAAATCAGATTAACGCCCGGAAAAGTTTCCAATGCGCAGAATATATTGTAGGGCACTTGGAGAATCAACCCGGTCGACTGGCGCCGGTATAATTGCACAGTTCTCACCCCACATTTTTGCTCCTGCATAGCGGTAGTCTGATGGGAATTGCTCCCGCAAGGAACTTGTGAACATACTTCTTCTTCGGCGGCTTTTCTCGGACAAGCTGGAGTACAAGTACTCCGTATGTTATCGAAGCTTTAGATGAGAAAAGATCAAAAGAAGTGCATAGTATTATTAGTATATTCCCACAATGATGTCAGGATGACAAAACCATAGATCCATTTACCTACGCTCCTGCAGTCCATGACGTAGTTATATATATTTTAGCTAAATGTCAGATACTCTGTGCTGTGGTACAATAGCCAATGCCCACTGGACGCAGGCCATTTGTCCCTTGGTCCAACGCGGGTGGTTAACTGACCTAGCGCCGGCTTTGCCGCATGCTAACATAGAGCCCGTCTTGGCGAGATTAGTACGGAGCACAAGCAAAGACAGGATTTTATGACGACAGTAAAAGTAGTACGGAGGTTTGTTAGTATATGTACAGGCCTGTTCTTAAAACGGAGGCTTCTCCGCCTGAAAGATATACCTGAGCGGACGTGCAGGGTTGGGTATAATGAAGAGAAAATTGCTAGGAGTTAAGCTTTGGTCCCGAATGCAACTTGACCCGCCCTTGGAATAACAAGCCTATGTATATATAGCTGAAAATTGATTCTTACTTGCGTACTATCACATACTATCGCCCAAGGGTACCCCCTTTCAACTCTCCCAAGCTCAGACTTGTTTATATGTCAGAATCCGACGTCAAGTAGATGTAATTGCCAAGCTTTTTTTAGGCGGCGGCTATTTATTTTAAACGCAAAGAAATGTCTTGGCAGGTTCACCGACATTACACGTGACAGCTGCTGAGTCAGAAAGGGTCATGTGATTCTATCACGTGATCTGATACTGTATATTCCGTTTTGGGAAATATCAAAAAGGGCAAAACGACGTCGCTTCTTACAACTATTCTCCCTCCAAACGAGCATCGTGAAGCCAGCGATAGGCAGCTCGACTTTGGCCTGATGTATTCTATGATGCCGACACTCTTGTTCCCTCCGTCTGTGCGGCGGATGATCTACAATTTCTCACCGAGGAATACCCGAGTGGTGGGTTAAAGATAGATATACGAGGTAGACCAATGAGTTGCCTTCGAATAAAGCGACCAGAGGCACGTACACAATAATCGCCCCTCAGCTACGCCACTCGAGGGCCTTTGTCAAGTTTTCCCAAGTTGGCACCGATACTTTGCTCCTCTTTTAACTATATCCAACAAACTAATCCAGGGGTTAGCCCAAACTAGTACATCTCCGTTGTTGACAAGGGACGGAGCCGATTTGCCTGCTCACTCCAGACAGGACTCCAACTGAGGTTGCAGTTACGAGTGTCATGAGTCAAATCCAGCTACCCCGTACTCGCCCATTTGTCCAATCTCGCAGGATGTCGCCATAGTGCGGAGTCGCCGCCAGTGTTTGAGACGGCGTGCTCGACCGCCTGGATAGGCTGCGGAGATGGTTGCGTTTCAGGACAACAACAAATCTTGACCCGCGCACAGCACCTTAAGTTATTCACCACTCACTGCCCCTGCCAGGCCCGTCCGTCGAATGCTACTCTGCATGCGCGATACCCACCATCTGCCTCTTCCCAGCATCCGGTGCTGCGGCGGCACTCTCTAACCCGCCAAGCGAACCGGGCTGTTAGGCTGGGTTAGGCAGTTGGGCTGCTGCAACCCCCAGACCGTCCCTAAAGCCCCCCCGGGGTTCCCTAGGGCCTCCCAGGACACCCCAGGCACCCCGACCCCTTGACCCAGCCGACGAAGGCCGCTAGAGCAGAAGTACGCGGCCCCAACCGAGCGAGATGTGCATGATTAATTTAGGCACTGGCAGCGGATAACATAATTCCTGACCAATGCTGGAAATTGTTTGGCTGCAACGACTCTCACCCCGGCTCATCATGTGAGCTGATTCAAGGGTGATGAGTTTATATATGCGGGGAGGGCCATGCGACGCTGCTCGCCTCGATCGCCATAACTGTCGTATCGCGCTGGAGTTGCTGCGTGAAATCTCATCAAACGTGAATGCGACACTCTCGGACGTCTGGATGATCAGTACAGAGTATAAAAACAGCACTACTCAGCCCTAGGGATCCCTTCTCTGCAGGTCTACTCCGCATTTAAAATATACTTACAACCGTGGAGATCCGGGGCGTTCGTATCCATATTTCCAGAACGGCCAGACGCCCGACCTGCTTTTCTCTAACAGAAAAAGTGATTTTCTCAGGTATACACTGGCTTGATTCTTTCAGATTGAAAGCAATTCTCTCTCTCTCTCGGTGCGACAGGTCGTGGGAGGAGGAGGGAGGGGGATACACCCACTTTCCTACGGGAGGATGGCGGATACACGGACCAGGTGAATACAACGATTTTTTGGCCCGATAGATTCGAATATATATATACATATATTGTCCTTGAGAGCTTGAGCGTGCAATGGCTTCCGGTAACCCGTCTGCGACCGCGACCGCGGCATGTACACCATGTCGTACCGTGAAGATGAAATGCACGCGCGAACCGGACTCGGCGTCCTGCAATCGGTGCAAACGCAAGTCGTTAAGCTGTTTTTACGAATCCCATCGTCGCGGTCGAAAACCGGGCACAAAGTGAGTGTTGTCTTAAGTCCCGCTTGCAAGAGCCTATGCGTTTCTTCAGGTTGATGGTGCGCATTGTTTTTTTATTGTTAAGATGGAAAAAAAAGCAATCGCTAACCGCTGGTGCATTGCTAGGCTGCGGCCCAAAGCTGAACGTTTAAAGGCCGCCGGGCTTCCTGCTTTACTCTCGAGCGCGCCACAGGAAAGCAGTCCTGCTACTACACCGGAGGAAGTTATAAAGTCTGCATTGGACACTAGGTCGCCAAAACGGATCAAGTCAGACGCCAGCTTCAGCTCTCCAGACCTACCTGACACACAACTCCAACCGACCGTATCTTCAGATAGCCCTCTGCCTACCAAACTCGCATCCATATCACAATTGACACACCCTCTCTCTGACAGCCTTGCACCGTTTGCATTGCTGAAGAAGTCGGCCACACCGGGCAATTTCACGATCGCAAACATTTTAAATGCCGAGAATGAAAGCCAGGGCGATGAGTCGTCGCATTGGGGGGATTGCCTGTCTGACGACGTTCCTATAGACCAGGACGATCCTGTTCTGCAAAATTTGGTCAACCTGCCCATCGCCCAAGGCCTGTTCGATAGGTAGGTTCTCCCTCTTAAATCGAACCTCTCCGTAACCACCTGATGCAATCGTGACCTAACATGGTATAATGATCGGATATAGTTTCTTCAAATACATGAACCCGTTTATATGCCAGTTCGACCCAGCTCTCCATACCGTACGCTATATCCGGAATCGTTCTCCCTTCCTTTTCACCGCCCTCCTATCCGTCGCTGCAAAGGTGTTTTGTCCCGCTCTATACGTCAAACTGCACGAGCATAGCGAGAAACTTCTCCACGACATCATGGGCTCGGGCAAGAAGTCGCTAGAGATCATCCAGGGCCTTTGCCTTTTAACACACTGGAAGGAGCCCAGTGACTCGCGGGCATGGATGTTCATCGGCTATGCGATCAGAGGCGGTTTAGAGCTAGGCTTGAATAAACTAAAGCCGTCCATTTTAGATAAACCAATGCAGCTTGTTTCTGGATTTGAGGAAGAAATGGCGTTACGGGAACGACGGAGCAAGGAACGCACTTGGCTCGTGTTATTCATCTATGATAGGAGGTATGCAATATCCCTCCTAATGCAAGCGCCCTACTCGTCCTATTCCCATACTAAGTGGCCCTATGTATAGTCTTAGTTTACAGCTGGGAATGCCTTCAATGGTCCACATGGACCCTTTGATCCGGAATGTACAAAACTGGCATCAGCATGCTTATGCCGCGCCGGGTATCGATGAGATGGTCACAGCACTTGCACAGCTGCGAATAATTGGGTTTGAGCTACTGGACCTCTTCTGGCTTGATCCCGTCCACACATCTCCTGAGTTCATGAAAAAGGACGAATACATTCTTCGGCTGTGTAATGATGAGCTGGATAGATGGGAATCGAGGTGGCATTTGATTATAGACGAAGGTAAGGCAATCATATGTTTCTACTAGGGAGTACCAATACTAACAAGCATTGCAGCCGATGCGACTCTTTGCCAGCGGTTTCTTGTTCGATTCTATGGCCATCATTTAAGGCTACTCCTCCATTCCTTTCGACTACAGCTGTCAATCGCCAACGGGTCTGCGTCTAAACCTGCACTGTGGGTGTGCTACGCAAGCTCGCTCGAGATGGTTCGTCTAATAATAGACCGTCTTGGGACAACTTCCTACCTATATTATTGTCAGGACTCGCTCCATGTGATGGTTGCATATGCGGCTGTCGCAACAATAAAGGTGTGCGACCATGTGCATATTCTGTGACAGTTATATAGTTTGCTAAACCCCTCTCCCCTCTAGATTCTACTCTCATTTCCCGGAGAGCTCCCCAACGAAGCGGAGAATAAAATTCTCAACTACGTCATGGAAGCTAGCGAATATTTCGGTCGACAATCGTCAACAACCAACACAAGCTGCCACTACCAAAGCCAGTTCCTAGCAAATGTGGTTGCACAATACCGGAGGTCAAAAGATTCCCACGCGTCTCCAGTGAAACAACCACTTAATCGGCAGATATGCGCCCCCATGCAGGATAATACAAGCGCCACAGATACCAAAACGCAAGTAAATCTCTCACCGATATCCGTCCCACCACTTCATCATCATCAACAACCACCGCTACCACCGCCGTTTCAATCACAGCAACAGCCACCACAGCAGGATGAACTAAGCCAACAACAGCAACACCTAACGCCCCATAATCAGCATCTCCACGTTGTATCGCACCTCCACAGTGAGCTATACAGCCCGTCGCACACTCCACCACCTATCCCTATGCACATGCCGCTAAACGACCCACTACATAACCCGCACCATGACCAGCAGACTTTACCCTTAATCCATCCAGATCATAACCAACAACTATTAGCATGCGCACGGCCTCTACTCCCGCCGTCGAACATCGAATGCACAATAAGCGGGTCCATCAACAGTGGCATGATTAGCTCTGGCAGGATATTCTCCTCCCCAAGTCTCCCTCCAGCATCGACCCACCAGGGCAACAATAACACTAGCATGATGGGAAGCGGCGGTGGAACAGGGCCAGCAGGAGGGCTACCGGTGACGTCGGGCTCAGGCCCTCCTGTACATGCCCCGAACAGCAGCGATAACAACGACAACTATGACAACTACCCTCCCACAAACTCCCAAAACGTCACTTCTTTCAACAACAATGGAACGTGGGATAATCTATTTGCACATGCTGGGTTTAATATCAGCAGTGGAGCCTTCCTGCCAAACCCTGGAAGCTCTTGAGGTGATGCATATACGATATCGATATTCTTCACCGTCACTCTCAACCTCTTCAGCCGCGCTGCCCACCTTCATTTCTCTCGCAAACTCTGTTTACGACTGTGAATATTCTTCCCTTCCCCTTGCCTACCCTTTGTATATAGTTATGTAAATACGCCAAAAACGGACTTAGACACCTGTCTCTCGTGGAGATGAGTGGATTCGTTGTAAATGAGCGATAATAATGCTGATTCGGTTTCGTATGCACGGTATATCTATATTTTACCGTGCATCGACCATTTGTTATATACTACTAATTGCACATACTTATACAGCTACTACATTTTAATAATACCTATTTATCATGATAGTTTCTTTCGGACGAGAACACAGCAATTCTCATAAACCAACCACTAGGAACCAAAGAAATCAATCCCGTAATTATACAGAGATGCTTGCATCGAGTTGTTTTTTTTTCTTTTTCCCGTTTATGATCCCTCGATGCGCTGCAACGGAGAATTTCCGCTAGCTCTCCAGTCTCCCGCGGTGGCTTTTCAATCTGTAACTCACCCACAATTAATTAATACCAGGTGAGCTCCTCTCTCAACAACCATAGCCAGGGCCATGTTGCTGTTTAGGATTGACGATTGCTCTCTCGCAGACAGGGAGACCAGGGCAAGCAAGGCCACCAGGGCGACTAAGTTCAAATAACAATAGCCTTGTTGGGCTGATTGCTCAGCCTCTGCCAGAGTGTACAATGAGCGCGTGTCACTTACGATGGAGCTGAACGGTTTACGGTGACGGACAGGGCTGGCCTGCTTATACTATATATATAACGAAGATATAGGTGTTACAGGATGATGGCCACTCCTGTCACCTACCAACTATCTCGCGGAGTATACGGTTGATATATATCCTTCACCGTCTGCTTGCAGCCCTTCTACCTCGACACTCATCATTAACCTACCCATCTAGGCCCTCCTTGATCAAAGAAACAGCTCGACAGCGGCGGCTATTATACCTTTTTCCATCCAGCTTGTCTCTTTCACCTCTCGTCGCCGGTTCTGGCATCGCTCCTGATTTAGCCTCTCGTCTGCCCTTTGTTCAACCCTCCACCAAAGCAAACGCTAAACGGGGAAAAAAAAAAAAAAAAAAAAACGCATGAGTAATTAAGAACAAGGAAATTAGAGCAAAAGCATTGAGAGAAGTGGCCAGAAGATCGAATTTACTCATTCGGCGCCCAGGTGGTCAGCCCGCTGCTGCACCTGCATATACGCCAACCCATACCTGCTCGTATGCAACGGCATTTTCCCCATATCAGCCATATCAGCCATAACCGATCTAGTTACCGACCAAAGCTGATTCGGTGGAGAGAATAGCAGTTTATTGCGCCTCGTTCGACCCCAAGCTCATATGTGCAGAGGGAAGCTAGGTGTCTTATACCGCATTGGAAGAGAACATCCCGATTCCCTGGTTGCCTATTAGGGAAGAGCCGGATGTATATATAGCATTTTTTTGGGCATATTCTGTCTTTGGGCATAGTCCATAGTTCCGCTTAGCCTATTATCCCCCCCGCTTACTTATGTCTATTCTTCCCCGCCCTTCGTTTCTCTGTCTTCATTCAACTTGTATATGATTGTATGTTTTTGATATTATCCGGTGCATTCTAAGCGCATACCAAACAATTTTGCAGGGGATAGCTCTTTAATGAGGATTTTGCTTACTCCCTCGCCTTATACCCGGTGTCCTTGAGACAGCAAGCTTTTATATATTTCACATTCTGGCGCATTTGTATTTCCAAAGCCTTCAAAAATCATGGGGCCCCATGAGATCAGTTCCAGTTTCAGCCGTTCATCCGATGAGCTCCAGAGCACTCCCACAAAAGAATCAGCAACCACCACATCCGACTATCAGGCCAAACGACAGCATTCTTTTACCTCACGCAGAGAGTCACTAACGGCGGCTGAGCGTGCGAGGCGCAATTTGAACGCAAAGCTTGCCAACCCTCTTGCTGGGTTGAGCCATGCAACCCTTAGATATCGCGGAGGCCGATATGCCCGGAAGTACCAGATTGGAGACGACGAGGATATCCGCGCATTCGAATTGGGAGCTGTCCTGGCGCAGGACCCTGAAAAATTCGAGGATGTTGAGGGGCTAACGGAGGAGGAATTGGGGGTCCTACGGCGGGAGTTTTCGAATCGGTGGTCACAGCCGCGGGAGATGTATCTGGTTATTATCCTGTGTTCTATATCTGCTGCTGTCCAGGGGATGGGTGAGTCCCCTATTCTATTTCCTCTACCAAGGAAGGATTTTGATGGCTAATTATGGAGTAGACGAAACCGTCGTTAATGGTGCCCAGATATTCTACAAACCACAGTTCGGCATTAACGACGATGACTTTAGATCTACCTGGCTTGCAGGCTTGACAAATGCGGCACCATACCTCTGCTGTGCTCTAATTGGGTGTTGGTTAACTGTCCCGTTTAACCATTGGTTTGGTCGACGCGGCACAATATTCATTACCTGCTGCTTCTCTACTTTAGCATGCTTTTGGCAAGGCTTCGTCAACACATGGTGGCATATGTTCATCGCCCGCTTCGCATTGGGGTTTGGCATTGGCCCTAAATCTGCCACGGTTCCGATTTATGCGGCGGAAACTAGTCCTCCCGCCATTCGAGGTGCGTTGGTGATGCAGTGGCAGATGTGGACTGCATTCGGAATCATGATGGGTTATGCCTCAGATTTGATATTCTTCAACGTCCCGGACACCCAGTATGTTACAGGTCTAGGTTGGCGGTTGATGATGGGATCGGCCATGTTTCCAGCAATAATAGTTTGCTGTATGGTGTTCCTTTGCCCTGAGTCTCCTCGATGGTATATGAGCAAAGGGATACACCATAAAGCATTCAAGTCGATGTGCCGGCTGCGATTCAACAAGGTCCAAGCTGCCCGTGATCTGTTCTACATGCATACCTTGCTAGAAGCAGAATCGACGATGAAGCTGGGCCAACCCAAGCTCCTAGAACTAATCACAGTTCCACGAAATCGGAGGGCTTTGGTCGCCTCTGAAATTGTCATGTTTATGCAACAGGTCAGTACACAAGGCCCCCTTTTATGTACAATGCCAGATACTGACGTCATGCTTGCATAGTTCTGCGGTGTTAATGTGATTGCATACTACTCATCCGAAGTGTTTCTCCAGGCGGGTTACTCCGAGCTAGCAGCCCTAGCCGCCTCTCTAGGGTTTGGACTGATCAATTGGCTATTCGCTCTTCCCGCCGTATATACAATCGATACCTTTGGTCGACGCAACCTCCTTCTCGTCACGTTCCCACTGATGGGCCTCTTTCTACTGCTCACCGGTTTCGCATTCTGGATTCCAGACCACACCGCGCAAACAGGCTGCGTGGCGTTGGGGATCTACCTTTTCGGTATCGTCTACTCCCCCGGAGAAGGGCCCGTACCTTTCACGTATTCCGCAGAAGCCTACCCGCTATATGTCCGATCATACGGTATGGCACTCGCTACCGCAACGACATGGTTTTTCAACTTTACCCTTGCAATAACGTGGCCCAGCTTATTGAGGGCATTTACACCGCAGGGCGCATTCGGATGGTATGCAGGGTGGAATATCATAGGCTTCGTCCTCATATTACTCTTCATGCCTGAGACAAAGGGGAAGACGCTTGAAGAGCTAGACCAAGTGTTCTCTGTACCCACGCGGATACATGCCCGCTGGGCACTGAAGCATATTGTCTACGTTGTCAGAAAGCACATCTTCAGGGAAAAGGGGCTGAAGGAGGTTTTGCTGTATGAAAAGGCCGTCGATAAACCGATATCGCACGCGATGGAGGAACGTCTAGTGGGCTCGGCGCGGTTTTTCGACCTCCGTTAACCACCATCGTTTTACTCTTCTTCCTTCCTTGGTTTGTTTTTGCGCAGATTCGCATAACCGGTGGCTCAGTGGGCTGGCTTGAGGATTCGGCGTTACCGCAGGCTTTGTGTGTTTTATGCGTATAATGTTATCATGTATGATTTTGATGCGTCATGGGTATATGGGCGGACTAATTTGTTGGAGCATTGTTCATATCCGGACGAGTAATCAAATTGCATTCTTCTAGCATAACTGTTAAAGAGGTCTATCTCCATCTCTCCATCCATCTCTCCATCCATCTATATCCATGGATGTCTTGGGCGTATCACGTGCCATACAACGTGACCATGACATAAGCAGGGCGCAGTTCCAGCTTTCCGGGCAAAACGACTCGAAGACCAACGCGACGTTTCTTCTTCCTCCAGAGTCTGCGCAGACCACGGTGTTTTGATGGGAAACACATCATCCCCTTGCCACTCGCTCTGGATAACGCTACAGCGCCCACCATGGCCGGGTGAGACGCCATGGGCTCAGGGTCAGCTTCCGCCATGATTGGGTCTGCCAAGACCTCGACGTTCCTGATCCTCTTCTTGCTGGTGGCCTCCGTCGTCTCGCTGGCCATCCCCCATGGACGCCAGCTTGATACTGTGAAGATACATAGAAGTTGGTTCCCGCGTCCCCTCGTCAATTGATCTAATAATTTCCCCTTGCTGTATTTTTCTTTCTTTCATTGTAGCTGATCTGGTTCTGTAGGCAAAGGCGCGGTTTCGGTAGAGTTCGAGACGCCGTGCAAGCAGTGCTTTGAGGCGGACCAGGAGTCCAATGTTGTAAGTAGGGAATAACGGTACCCCTATCAGTGGCCATTTTGGCTCTAATGAAGAGAGGGTAGATATTTAACCTCCAGCTTGCACGGACAAACAACGTTTGTGGCGAGAGTGATGTGCGACTAAATGACAAAAAACTGAACTTCACCTGGGATGGTGCAAATGCTGCCGGAGAAGGGGTGATTAAAGCCCAGCTGGCGAGAAGAAAAGGCGATGTCGCCTTACATCTATATTGGCGAAGCCTGTGCATTGCCAGTCCCAAGGGTTCCATCGAAAATTATGCTGCCCAGATACTCACTTTCACATTTTATCCTGCGGGCCAGGACGAAGGAAACGTCACGTCCGGGTTTGCAGTCTCCTTTAATTCTGTGGACAAGCCGGAGATTCTACGTCTCATAACGTCGCCAGTGCCAATCTCCAAGGAAGCATCTATCCTAGAGACCTGGCTGAACGCCGGTAGCAAAGACAAGCTGCAGCAAGAGAGCCTATTCAAAGAGGGCCCCGTCACAGATGCAGAGCTAGAGGAAGAACTTACAGAATTGCATAAACTAAGGGACCAGGCCAAGACCCTCGCCGACCTTATCCAGGAGAAGGACGAACGAATCCGAGACCATCTCTTTAGGGATTGCAACGATCTCACCGCGCAGCTCAAGGTATGCAAGTCTTTACGGTGCTTCATATCAGCTACCTTTAACCTTGTGCCGGATATGTTCCGCATGATGAAGCATCGCTTTGGACCGCTGCCAGCATCCTTAGCCGATAGCCCTTGTCGACAGACTCCCAAGGCTCGACAAAATGGTGTATCTAGCGACCAGTCCAAGGGGAATAGCACAACACCCCATGATATACCTCGACTGACCACGGTTAAAAATACCACCACCGCAACAACAACTACTACTACCATAGACTCCTTACCAACTCCCAGCATGGGTTGGTCAGAGGCGCCAAAGCCGCCTCCATCCAACCAACTACCCTCCCGCTCGGCCATAATAAAACATGTCATCCGGGATTTTGCATTCGTATCTCTTTTCGTGGCTGTTATGTACATGCTCTTGAAACATTGCGGTAATTCGCTAAGCTGCCGACGTCGCCGAGTAGATATGTTAGCTCGCCGAGAGGAGCGCCGCACACTCCATGCCTATCGAGCTGCTGCGTGTCGCTATCGATTCCGCCAATGGTGGCACAGGCTCCTAGGCCGCGAAGACATGTCTCCAATCATTCAATCCCCAACTAGCCCCAGCGGAGACCAACACTGTGATAACATCCGAATCACAAGCCTAGAGTCTGACTCTTCCGTCATCGAGTCTGACAATGGCACCATGCCGAATGAAATCTTGGGACTGCGACGAGTATTCGAATTCGTCGGAGAACTTGTGAATCCTAACGGCGCAGAAGCCCGAGCCGACCGAACACGGTCAAGGGTTGTTACTCCCCAAGATATCACAGAGATAACCGCGCGTAGATTTACAGCGGGGACGCCAGCGCCTTCATCTACCGCGCCACTAACCACAATCGGCTCTCCAAGGACAAGCATTAGCATCCTTAGTTATGAGACTGATTCCGAAGATACGGTCGATAGCCTCGACCCAGAAACAGCCACGATGGTGAGTGGATAGATTTGTTGGTTATTTTCATCCTTTACTCTATACCATACGATAGGCTACCCTATACTCAAGCCAATATTATTCCGATTTATTTACATCTTATGCCACTTACCCTCTCCTCTTCACGTTAAGCATCGTCTCCCGTTCATTGACCAGTTGTCCATACGGTTACCTGTCTATCACTTGTACCTTTCTCGTCATTTAGAGTATATTTCTGTTCGTTCGCCCTGGTATGATGAGATCTACCATCTTAATGTATGGATATATTCATTGTACCCTTTTTTGTGTTCAATCTTCATGCAGCGGAGATATAGGGGTGGCTGGCTCATACAATTGGAATCGCATCCCCTTAGATGTACCGTTAGCCTTGTTTTAATTATTACTACTACCTTCAATATGTTATTCTAACGGGTATCCATGGCTTTCGTGGACGTATATACGGACTTCAATGGTTTAGTTCCATAATTCTTGAATAATCGATTTCTGCTTCACTGGAAGGTCTTGGTTATCATACAAAAGTAAAAGAAGAGCTTCAACTGAGCGCCGATTAACTGAAATAGCCCATGAGCTGGCACCCTTAAATTTAGAATTTGACCTTCTTCTTTATACCCGCCTTTTTTGGCTGAGCTTCCACTTCATCTTCGTCATCGTCAACGACGTATTTCCTCTTCGTCCGTTTCTTTGTGCCTGCGGCCGGATTGATATTGGCCTCAGCCGCAGCCTCTCGCTCGAGTTCTTTTGCCCTTTCCTTCCTCCTCTCTCGTCGTTTCTCTTTCCTTGCTGCTCTTTCTTCCGCGGTCTCGTTCTGAGGTCTCCCTTTCTTTATCCCATGTTCCATATCATCAACCACTTCATCTAGATTTATTATTTCTACCGCTCTCTGCGGAGCCCGCTCATCAAATGCCTTTAGTAGCACCGCATATCCCTCCTCGACATTCTGCAACGTCTCATCCAACTTCGTCACCCTTTCGTCCTTGTCAATCTGTATCAACATATCGCGATGTCGCTTATACAAGCGCTGCTTAACCAGCATCCGCCACCAATAATACCGCCTATCATGCTCGTTCTGCATGCGTGATTTTTGTGTCTTCAGGCGCGTCATGTTGACATTTTCTGCACCACGGTGGATTTCAGGGATCTGGCTGAGGAGATACATCTCGACTAGATGGGCAAACTGTGTGGGAGCGATCTTGAACTCATGTCGAAGCTCGTCGAGGGTTTTTGTAGGGATTAATAGTGATGTTGGCATGACTTGGGGGTGTTTGTGGGGTTTAGGAGATGAAGCGCCGGTAGAGGTGCCACTGGAAGGAGTAGTATGGAGTGGGTTGGGGTTGATTGAGATGTTGTGCTTGATGAATTCCGGCTTTAGGGTGTGGTAGTCGTTTGAGTCGCGAAGGGCGTCGAATGATTCGTTTGGATCCTCAATGGTTAATTCGAAGATTGTAGGGTCGTTGAGGCACACCTTGTGAATGGTGCGGTAGAGCTGAGACCCATGGCCGGCATGCTGGTGAGGCTTTATGATAAGGAATTGGGCGATACGTAGGCGGGCAGGTATCTTTGAAAGCGGAAATGAGTCGAATGCATTCCCTTTCTTGGATTCAAGCCCCAGTTTGGCACCACTTGAAGACTTGGGGTGATAAAAGTACCATCTGTATGTGGTTGCGTATCCAGCAAAAGAGTACCTTGAAGCTTTTGGGTTGGCCGGCTTCTTGTGTTTTTCGTATCTATAACCACTGTCAGCATACTGCCATTTCCAAAGGGAGCCCGATGCACATACACAAAATATATTATCCACCTCTCTAGAGTCCATTCAAAATCTTCTGTCTCAATTGGAGTTCCGCCCTCAATGAAAAACGAGACGAAAATCTGTAGCCTATCAAGTATTTTGCGAACCTCCGGATTGGCTAAGGAGCCTGACCATATTTCGTAATCTCTACCGTCTTTAGAATAACTGTGAACGCGCTTCCCCGGAGGTGTAAACTTCGCCGCGTGGTCACTATGGCTTATGTTCTTGGTAAACTCATCAAGTGTCGAGAAGGAAGCTACTAGTAATTAGCAACGCTCAGATAACTAGGTGGTTATTTGGGGCCTTCACATACCCTCTGGAAGGTATGGCTTGAGTGTCCCAAGAAGATCAGTCGCAGTTATATCCTCGACTTGTTTAAACTTCTCATCGTACGAAATATGGACGTGTGATTGAAGGTCATGCGCAGCAAAACGGAGCCGAATGTTCAAATTTCTGTAGCCGAATATGGTTTCCTTATCTCCAAAGATAGGATAAGTGAATTGAGGATAAAAGGTCGAGTCAGTCGTCAACTTTTTGTCGTCCTCGGTGGGCTGGACCAAGGATATCTCAACCGCATCATTCGCGTCGCAGGTCCCTAGGCAAGTTTAACAAACGTTAGCAGTCGAGGACGAGCAGCATATCGTAAGTGAGCCTATGACTACCCACACTCATTTTGTCTATCCATTCTGTGTCAAACCAGCTGAGCTGTTTGGGTTTCTTCTGTAGAAGCTGAAGTTGCGTATCAAAATAGATTAAAGAACGCGAGACGCGATAGAGCTGCTTACTAAGCTTGATATCGCCGCTTACCTCATCCACTTCTCTTTCTTGACTTGCAGACATCTACGTCCTTTGGATATCTATATTGTTGAATGTCTACATTAATATCTACGGAGTACATACTCGTTGATGGCTGGGTACTCGCGCGTGGATATGCAGCTGGTGCGTATATCATGATGGTATTAAGGCTGTGTCAATTAAAGTATTTATATGATCCTCTATCCAGGTCTACATTTAAGGCATTAAACAACCACGTTGAACTCGTCAATTACGCTTGGTGGTTTCTGATACTTGCCGATACTCTTCCACTCCATATCCAGGCCGAATCCCTTTGGCCCTCCGACGTCAAGCCCCCTTTGGTCCTTGGTCCACAATGGATGGGCAGCCATACCGATAACGCGAACCCTTAGTCCGTATTTCAGTTCCTGTGAGCCCACTGCCTCTCCGTCTTTATCCAGTATCGAAATCAGGTCGGGGACTGTGCAGATAACGTCCTGGTTGATTGGATCCCCTGGCTTGTCGATGTTTGTTACATGTGCTGCATACAGGTATTCGTTTTGGAAGGGGATGATTAGATGTGGCTCTGACTCCGATGGTGTTGATGATGACGATGCTGAGCTATCGTAGGAGTCTGCGACTTCTTCGCTAGAGAGGGGAGCTAGGACACAGTATCCCATTGTGTAGCCGCGGCTGACGTCACGGTGAACGTCGATGATTTTACCCGTGTACAGGAGTCTGCCAGGGGTAGTTTTGAACTAGAGGCATCGTGTTAGACACTAATATGCTATTTGACGGACGATGCATAACTCACTATAGCTTCGATAACGTCAATTTTCTCACGACGGGCCAGGTGGATCGCTCTACCTAGATACCACGCCTGGGACATTGTGTTCGGGACGGCATATCGCTTAATGGCGTCTCCAGTTAGCGGAGCAGCTGATACGGAGGTGAATAGTCCCAACTCGACGCAAGTGGTTCGAAGCATCGTCTCGATTCTTGAGTTTGATTCAGCGCTCTATTGACGTCGTTCATGTTAGCTACCAGTCCACCAACCTTGACAGGACACCATCCTATACTTACCATGACAGCCGAGACATTACCTTTGGCATCTGCCAGGACACACGGTGAGATGGGTTCACCATAAACATAGGGTGTTCCTATTAGAAGTCATGTTAAAGAGGCGCTCAGCTGGATAGAAAGGACCTAACTTACCATGCTCTATTGTAGGATACGCTCTTCCCATCAAGTCTCCATCAAGGGTTGGAATATCGTAAAAGACAGCAGTTGGGAAGGTAACCATCCCATTTCCTCCGCCTATCTCGTCTGCGATGATGGCTTCGAAGTGGTCATGCTTTGATAACTTAATCGATACATCCACCGACTTGCAAAGCTCGTTTCCTTGAGGGATACGTTCCGACGCCACGCTAGGTGCTCCATACCATGAAGCGAAAACGCAGACATCAGAGTCCGCCATGCTTTCAGGTTTTGTCACCCTCATCTTTCTCTTTGGGCTCTTTCGCAGGCACTCGAGCGCTATCAAGTATTGCTGATATGATGGACCACCGCCTCCTGTTCCAAGGACCCCAGTGCCAGAAGTGATAAATTCGAGGTCAAGGGCACTCAGATACCACACTCCATTTTCTACTTCCGGCTTGTAAGAGGGAATGTCGACGTATATTGAATGCTTCACCGCGGATCTAGACGTCTCTTCTGAGGCAGATGCCTTTTCGCCCTCAACTCCGTTTCCGTTGGTTCCGTTTACTCCATTCGTTCCGTTGGTATAAGCTGGGAGTTTGGCTTTTTCCATCTCGACTTCCTCCTCGGTCGGTATTCTCAGTTTACCAACTGCCTTGATCATAATCCGGGTGGCCTTGTTGGTTACATATTGAAGCGGTAATTTTTCAACCTCTGCAATCCTGACAGTATCTCGATCTGCACCACGCTGGATGGCCATCTCTACTGCTGCGTTTTCGACCTGCTTCAATACCTCCTTCTCGTCCTTTCCAGCCAGGATCTCGATAACATCGACAGTCCCAGCGACTTTGGCAATGGCGGCACCGACGGCATTTGCTGAGTCATGGTGTGGGGGAATAATGCATTCCTCCACGCCCTCGAGGCCGTCCATGTAGATAATGGAGCCACCCCCTACAAGGAGGACGGTGACTGGAAGGGAGGATACTTTCATGCTTTCAATTCCACGATTTAACAGCTTAGTGATGGACTTGCGTGCCTCATCCACGACTTGCTGTGGGACGTCAACAACTTTGGAAGCATCTCCGATCTGCTCCTTACCAGCTGCAACGACGATGTCTGTTGTTGTGAGTGTGTCTCCACCAAAGACCTTCGCCTTGGTGGTAAGATAGTGGCCGACGGAATCAGGTCCGACGCTGACATGAGAGTCGTCATGACGAACGATGCTTCCTCCGCCCAATCCTATGGAGAGAACTTCCGGCATAGAAAACATGGTTCGTACACCGCCAACTTCGACGAAGTTGGAGGCCTGGCGAGGAAAGCCTGATGGAAGCAATGCACATATATCGGATGTCGTGCCGCCAATGTCTATCACGAGTGTCTGCTTCTCCGCGTTTGACTTGGTACCCCGTCTGTCGAGGGAGGCTAAGAAGGCAGCTCCAGTCAAGCTGTTTGTCGGCCCACTGGCGAATGTCTTGATGGGCAGCTCTGAAGCCGTGACTGCGTCGGTCAAGGTGCCATCATTCTGGGTAAGGTATAATGAGCAGGTAAGGTTAAGGTCGGACATGGCCTTGACGAAGGCTCGGACAGTCTTCTGTGCCAGCTGCAGGATGGATGCGTTGAGGATGGTGGCATTCTCCCGTTCGAGCATGCCGACTCCACCGATAGTATGAGAACATACAATCGACAGGGACGGGTCTACCTCAAGCATGATCTTCTTGCAGGTTTCCTCGTGGATGCCATTATGGTCGAGCGGCGAGAAGACACCAACGAGTGCAACTTTGGTGATTCCTGCTTCTCTGATACGGTTGGTTGTCTCTCTGATCTGGTCAGGATTCAACCGCGATATCTCACGCCCGTCGATCTCGAGACCTTGACTTGAGTTAGACTGTACAATGTTTTAAATGATGGACTTTACATACCTCCATCTAGAAAGTATGTTTGGCCCTCGATGATGTTCCTTAGAGAAGGAGGAAAATCCGTAAAGGGAGGAATCTAGATCAGAGTCAGCACGACGAATGATATAAAGTAAATATAGATATAAAGTAAATATACAAACCTGTTGACTGAAGGTACCGCAGAGCCTGACGACGGCGACCTTGCTTAGGCGCCGGGCATCAGCCTCTACGACGGCGTTGACAAAGTGAGTGGTGCCGATGGCCACGCTGAGAATATCCTGGGGGTCGATATTGGACTTCTGCAGGACACTCTGGACGACGTCCCTTATGCCGCTGGTGACGTCCGGCGTGGTAGGGGCCTTGCTGGAGGCCAGGACGCCGCGAGAGGGCGTCTCGCTGGCCGTGATATCGAGGATGGCGGCATCAGTGTTGGTTCCGCCGACGTCCACGCCAATACGATACATGACTGCTATAACTTCAGCTTATGAAGTGTAAAGAGATGGGCGTGCAGAGTAGACAACTGCGCGGCAAGTGTCAGTATCGCGAGCTCCTTGTTGAAATATATGCATCTTGAAAAAGCGACACCTCCGCACTCCAGTCTCCGTCCGCGATATTATAAATCTTACATGGCCCGACTTAACTAGCCGTCACTTCAATCTCGGGCCCTCTCATCCGCTGCAGTAGGCCACGTTCAAACCTCAAACCTGCCCTGCCCATTCACCTCTTGACGCTGCAGACGGGCTCAACTGATCTTCCCTGATACCATGATCCATGGGCGTTTGGCCGACCTTCCATTTCCACCAACCATCGACATCTCCGAGTACTCCGATCAAAGTCCAGCTCCCATTCGCGGACGAGACGGCGGAGCACCCACCATGCGATACATTGGTCATGCTTAACTCGATGTCCTGGGGGGGAGAGGAAGCAAGACCTGCACGCAAGCTCGATCAGCACTAGGCCTTGCCCCCCGAGGCGTTGCGGCGAGAGACAATATTGGCCGGAGCTCGACCGACTAGTCAACGCCTTGACTGCTGGGCTACATGCTAGTTAACTTCTGGCGTGGCGCCAGAAAACGGGCGCTCGCTCGCGTGGACGAGGGCCCAAGGGGGTGGTTGGTTCCCGGGGGAATAGACCGGAGCCGAAGTATATCTCTGGGATCCCTGGTAGAAACATGGAGACCGTCCCCGGGGTTTGGGGTCGTTTTGCGCAGATATATAGCAGATATAGGATGGGGTGGTGGTTATTGATGGCCAGAAGTTCGCCGACGGCCGGACGGTCTGTCTTACGGGTACGGACTTCTACGGCGAATATCTCGATATACGGCAGGTGGTTTAGGCCCAGGGATGCTCTCTGCTCCTGGCGAGACATGCAGAGATAGAACGAGGATGTAGACAGCTCGGCCCGGCGTTACATCGATACCTACACTGGTGCTGTAGTGTCCAGGATACTCTGTCCTTCAAAGTCCATCAACTGGCCATTTCATGCATCAACAGCAAACATGCGACTATTGAAGAGACTCGAGATTAAGCATGAAGGAGGCACCGTTCCGAACCCATGGATCAATCACGATATCAAGCCCATCGAGGCCGGACGGCGGACCTGGTCGGCGTGGACGTTCACCACATACTGGATCCTGATAAACTCGAACATCTCCTCGTATATGACCAGCAGCTCCCTGATCGCGCTGGGATTGCACTGGTGGCAGGCCGTGATCGCGATCGTAATCGGGAACCTGCTCGCAACCCTGTTCGTGGTGCTCAACTCTTTGCCGGGTGCCTACTACCACCTCGGATTTCCAGTGGTGAATAGATACGTATGGGGCCTGTATGGCAGCCAGTTTGTGATCTGGAATCGGATCTTTCTATCAATCGGTGCGTGGTAGTCTACTCCATACCTCTTGGATATAGCTTCCTTTAACTGACGAGTCCGGGTTTACTTGAACAGTATGGTAAGCTGCAATATTCCTAGTATGACCATTGTCATTGATTAACCCTCACTTCAGGTACGGCTTCCAAGCATACATCGGAGGAGAATGTATATATGTCTGCCTCAAGGCGATATGGCCAAACCTCGAGCAGCGCATCCCGAGCCACCTGTCCCCTGCAACGGGGATAACGACGGCGCAGTTCGTCAGCTACATAATATTTATGGTCATCTCGCTACCGGTTGCCTACATTCGCCCGCACAAGCTACGACTCTTCTTTTATGTCTCTGCCACAATCATCCTGGTATTTGAATTCGTGCTTCTCATCTGGGCCCTGGCTACCATGGGCCGAGCCGGGTTTGGGTCCACAATCTCCGACACGGATGCCCCTGTCAAGGATGCCGGCTGGCTTGTCGCGTTTGGTATCATCAGCACCATTGGCGCCATATCCGCTGGAATTCTGAATCAGAATGACTATGCTAGGTTTGCCATCAAGCCGGGCGACGCCATCATTGGACAAGTTATCAGTTTCCCCGTTGCAAGCATTGTATGCTCGGTCATTGGGGTCTTGGTCACTGCAGCAACGCAGAAGAGATTTGATGGAGCGTATTGGGATCTACCCTCGCTTATGGGAGCTGTCATCGAACATGGAGGATCTCGGTCTCGAGCTGCAGCTTTCTTCGCCGGTGCTGCTTTGGTGGTATCACAGATTGGCGTGAACATACCCGGAAACGCTCTCTCGGGGGGTATATCATCCCTTCCACTACCATATGACAAGGGCCAGCCACTAACCGTTGATGTAAAGGCTTCGACCTCGCGGCGACGTTTCCCAAATACATCAACATTCGTCGTGGTGCATACATCACCATCGCCTTATCGATTGCGTGTAACCTATGGAAACTCGTATCCACGGCCACCGTCTTCCTTAACGTCCTCAGCAGCTATGCGGTATTCCTGGGGCCCATGACCGGCCTTATGATCTCGGCATGGTTCGTTGTCCACAGACGTAAGCTCAAGGTCGAAGATCTGTATATCGGCGACGAGAGTAGCATCTACTGGTTCACCTATGGAATCAACTGGCGCGCTCTTATCGCAGTAAGTTTACTCCTTCTCTTGAACCACATCCATAAGCTTGGCTGTTTAAACGGTCGTGCTAATGACGGTTTATAGTGGATCTGTGGAACGGTGCCTTCACTCCCCGGGTTCATTGCGAGCGTAAACTCGAACGTTCATGTTCCGATAGGCTTCACCCGGATATATCAGCTTAGTTTCCTGGTGGGATTCAGCATCAGTGCCTCCGTATACTGTGGTCTACATATGGTCTTCCCAGACGCCAGACTCCAGCAGTTCGTTGCAACGGCGTCTTCACCTGCCGTGCTTGTGCGAGAATACCGTGACAATTGTGACCGGGAGGATAGCGTGGCTGGGTCCAAGGTCTCAGGAGGCCCTTCTTAGCTGTCTAGCTTCTTTAATCCTTTATCTCTTTCTTCTTCTTCTTTCTTCTTCCTCCTTTCTTTCTTCCTTCTTTCTTTCTCATAGTAGATATCACGTGCATGTATATAGTGCTTACATCATGGTGACATAACTCCTCACGTGACCCAACCAAAGTGAAGGCGAAAGAAGAAGAAAAGACAGAGTGAAGAAGAAGAAGAAGATGGGAAGAAGGAAGACGACGAGGGCATCGGACAGACTGCTGCGTGTGTAAATATTTTCTCTGTTGCTTTATTATTACTCCGCCATCCTACCGTTAATTTCTATACCTACCCGGACTCGTCTACCGCGGCGCGCAAGGTCGCTCTCTTAAGCAAAGTCGCAACACGGCCACATTCAACTAGCTATATCCGCGGCACGAAAAGCAGCTGCCAAACCCCCGAATCGAGGCAGAGAGCGAGCGAGTGTTCATAATGGAATGAGAATATCCCTAATACCCCTTTTATTAATATCAATTTGAGAACCGACGGAAGCAACAGCCGAAGCCATGGACGGGCTCTTTACGCTCGTATGCCTGAGTCTCCTGATGGGAGTAGCGTGAGTACCTCATTTACATTGCAGTTATTCCCCATTGCAAACGGTTATCATTTGATATACTGACATTGTTGAATCTAGGTCCTTTGTCGTTGGATCCCTACCGCTGACCTTTTCCCTTTCTTCGTCCCAGCTGCGGCTCATTTCGGCCCTGGGGATGGGCCTGCTGGTTGGCACGTCTCTTATCGTCATTATCCCGGAAGGCGTGGAAACGCTCTACAGCTCTCGCGTGAAACCGCATCAGCATGGGCGCGAACATGGACACCAGCGAAGGGATCTCCTAGCGCACAGCATTGACGTTCGATGGAACCTTAATTCGGATGTCGCATCTATTTCACGGTCTATTGGCGATATAGAACAGCCGGGCGCGCGCTGGCTGGCGGTTCGAGAGGAACCGGCGTCCGATGGCGACCAGACGCACCCTGACGGACCACCGGAAGCGGACAACAAGGACAAGAAGCCGTCTGGCGAGAAGGAAGACGGCAAGAAGGGGGAGGAGAAGCCACCCGCGCACGAAGACGAACATGACAGCGGACCACACGCTTGGATAGGAGTTGGGCTGGTCAGCGGGTTCATACTCATGTACCTGGTCGACAAGCTGCCACAGTACATGCCCTCGTCGTCGAAGCAGCAGCAGCGGCCATACCACATATCGCTCGACAATCTGGGATCGGGCATCGCCCGGACGACCAACGGCGCACGACAGGGCGGCAGCGACCCTGGACTCGCAACGACGGCCGGGCTGGTGATACATGCGGCAGCGGACGGCATTGCGCTGGGTGCTTCCACCTCCAACATGGGCCTGAGCCTGATCATCTTCGTTGCCATCATGGTGCACAAAGCTCCCGCATCGTTCGGCCTCACCTCGGTCTTGCTGAAGCAGGGCCACTCCACCAAGAGTGCCCGAGCCCATCTACTGGTCTTCAGTCTCGCAGCACCCGGCGGAGCACTCTTGACATGGCTGGTTACGCACACCATTCTGGCAGGCCATGCCAGCGACGAGCAGAGCACCCGGTTCAGAACCGGCATGCTGCTGTTGTTTTCAGCCGGTACCTTTCTGTAAGTGCCCACCCATACACACATATACACATATACTAACGGCCCAGCTATGTTGCCATGCACACGATGCAGGAGAACCCCCTTGAGCCAGCCCGTCGAGAGTCTCACGCAAACGGATACGTTGATGGGCGGGACCCACCGCAACGGCCGAAGCATTCTATGAGAGATCTCATCGCGTCCGTCGCCGGCATGATCATGCCTCTCTTTCTCCAGATCGGACATGCGCATTAATCTCTCCTCTCCTCTCATCACATCTACATCTTCACCATCTCATCACCATCTCCTCTACATCTACATCTCATCTACATCTGCAGCATAGCTCAGCGACTAGACGCATCCCCATATCTCTCCCTGGATAACTACCCACGCCTTGTTAGAGATATCTGTATATAGACCGCCATGTGACGCATATTTTATCCAGCCCAGCTGACCGATCGGCTGAAAACTCTTCCTCCAGCAAACATCCATCCTCCAATCGAGCAGCCGGCGTAGTCCAAGGCTGAACTCCTGCATAAGCAGCGTCAGGGGCGCACTCCGGCGCTTCACCGTAGTCGTCTGTCATAACATCTTCTTCTATCCCATCTTGTATAAGCTGTATCTTAGCGCTGGCGTGGGTAAACAGCGTTAAGGTGTCGGTCCTATGCAGGCCACCAGCGCCACCACCACCAAAAACCCAGACGAGACAACTCTCCATCTCGACTCTCTCCATCTCTCCATCTCACCATCGTCCGCGCGAGTGCAGCCTAAAACATGAACGAGTAACGCCGGTCCTGGTATTCGCCAACCAGACCCGGTTCTTGCAAGGGGGAAGTCATCTCGCCATCGACCGTTTCCCGCCACCCCAGACCAGACCTTCGTCCCGGCGGCTCGAGGGCTGCAGACAGCGACATCGACACCGACAGCGACAGCGACAGCGACAGCGACAGCGAGGTCGACCACGGCATGTCGCCGGTGCTGGCTACTGCGAAGGACTGTTCTTATATATACTGACTGGGACTTTCGCTCCAGAAGTCACCCTTCCGTGCCGTGAAGGCCCTGCGGATGCTATATAACACTGCAGATGTTTCCCAGACCTAGCCCGAGCAGCTTGGGCAGCCGCCGGACGGTTTCGATGATAGATGCAGACGATCTCACGGCGGTTCAAGCGAACTTCAGCAGCAGCAGCAGTGGCGGCAGCAGCAGCAAAATTCACCCATCCCGTTCAGCCATACGACGGCACTCTGGGAGTATGCGACCCAGCTCCAGCACCCGACCAAAACCTCTCTCTACTCCAAGCAAAGCCCGCCCGACCCTACATAACCTACATCCCTCTGCTCCTGCTTCTCCTCCGACCCCCGCACCCAGTCCAACGCCGCATCAACGGGTACCGAGCTGGCAGAGCGCCGGGGAAGACGAAGATACATTTCTACGTGATGCGAGGTCGCATTTCAGCATCCTGGGGCCGGCTGAGAGGCAGAGGTTCCTCGCCGAGGTGCTGAACCTCTGTGACAGCCAGCTTCTCAGCTTCGTGCATCATTTTGTGAGCCCGCGGCTGAAGAAGGACCCGTTTGAGACTCTGCCGAACGAGCTGTGTTTGAGGGTGAGCTTTTTCCACACAGGGACCCTATGTCTGCTCTCGCTCGAGTCCAAAGGCTAACGGAGTGGCGAACGATAGGTACTTTCGTTTGTAGATGATCCCAAGACGCTGTCGAGGGCGTCTCAAGTATCGACCCGCTGGCACGAGCTCTTAAACGACGAGCTGACCTGGAAGATCCTCTGTGATAAACATGCATATAGACGAGTGTCCGAGGACTTTGCCGATAGTCCCGTCAGCCCAGCCTCGGCCCTCTCCCTCTCGAGACAGCCGTTTTCCTCTAGGAGTATGGACGTGGTACCCGAGCCCTGTCCTCCCCAGCCACAGATCCTGCCCGAGGACATGAAAGTGTTCGCACCCGTAGCAGAGTCCTCTACAAGAAGCCGGACTCGAAAGTCACGGTCAAAAACAACGTCCTACAGATCACATTTCAAGCAACGATACATGATCGAGGCAGCGTGGAGGAAAGGTGGTAGTGTTGTAACGAAACACATTACCCCGGACCAAGGAGTGGTGACCAGCCTCCATCTGACACCCAAATATATAGTTGTCGCACTAGACAATGCAAAGATACACATATTCAACACCGAAGGCGAGCATCTGAGGGTGCTGCAGGGCCACATGATTGGAGTCTGGGCCATGGTGCCGTGGGACGACCTGCTCGTCAGCGGAGGATGCGATCGAGATGTCCGTGTTTGGAATATGGCAACGGGGTGAGACCACCATTGATGTATACCTGCTCCTCCTAGAAATGCTAACCATGACCCTTCAAGTGAGAGTATACACAAGCTTCGCGGCCATACCTCCACCGTCCGCTGTTTGAAGATGTCAAACAAGACGACTGCCATATCCGGATCGCGAGACACGACGCTCCGGATATGGGATCTGGCGACTGGCGTGTGCAAGAACGTACTCGTCGGCCACCAGGCAAGCGTAAGGTGCCTCGAGATCCATGGCGATTTGGTCGTATCCGGGAGTTACGACACAACAGCAAGGATCTGGAATATTTCCGATGGCAAATGTCTAAAGACCCTGGCCGGTCACTTTAGCCAGATCTACGCCATCGCCTTCGACGGAAAACGCATTGCCACTGGCAGTCTGGACACTAGCGTGCGAATATGGGACCCCCAGACTGGTCAATGTCATGCTATCCTACAGGGCCATACGTCCCTCGTTGGCCAACTGCAGCTGCGTGGAGATACCCTGGTAACCGGTGGCTCCGATGGATCTATCCGCGTCTGGTCCCTGCAGCGGATGACGCCCATCCACCGTCTGGCAGCCCACGATAACAGCATCACCAGCCTGCAGTTCGACGACAACCGGATCGTCAGCGGTAGCAGCGATGGCCGGGTCAAAACCTGGGACCTGAAGACGGGCCAGCAGGTCCGCGAGCTCAGCCAGCCTGCAGAGACGATATGGCGGATCGCCTTTGAAGCCGAAAAGGCCGTCATCCTGGCAACTCGCGCCGGAAAGACGACTATGGAGGTAAGCTGTCCATATCTCCATCCTATACCCTGTCTCCTGTCTCCTGTCTCTAACTTTCCGTCTAGGTATGGTCCTTCTCCCCCCCGGATGAAAAATATATAGACCGGTCATCCTGCCCCAGCCCCGACACGACACTAGAGGCTTCAACCGCCTCGATATCGACGACCGGCTCCATGTCCTCTGAAACGGAGGCTCCTCATGCGATGGAATATGAGATGCAGGATCTGGAAATGAAAGGATGTAATTGATAGTTTGCCTAGATAGTCTTTTGCCCATCCTCACCGGCTGTCAATCTTGCTCTTTTTATATACCCTCATCGCCATCGCCTGGCCATCGATCTATATATATGCACCTTAGAGATGGAAGACACATACGGAGTATAGCCTGCCTTATTTATCTGTAAATGACAATACAATCCGGCTTTCGGCTTATCTGTTAACCGGAGCATTAACAGACTTCATGTAATATCTATCAAGTATCGGCTTTATGTTGTCGTCGAGTTGTCGAGTTGTCGGTCGCGGCCAAAAGCAGGAACTCGGGAACATCGAGATTTCGCCTTTTTCTGCTCGCACTAGAGCTTCAGGTTTACACCTAGCAACAACTTCGCCCAACCTCACGCCACCCGTCTTTACGACCTGGAATACTCGCTATCATCACGTATAACATCCTCCGGCCGTCTCTGGCTCGCTTCCTTCGACTCACCAGCGACTCTACTCGCCACTGAGACACGCTGCCACTGCCACTAAGCTCATCCTCTCTGCCGGACAGCTTCAGCTTGCCCGTCCTCGCCCGACAGGACGTGTTGAGACGCCTCGAGGCATCCTCCCTCCAGCGCCTACAGATATTATACCACAGATTAATGCGATAATGGCCAGCGAGCCGGAGTCAAACCACAATCCAAACCCGCAGAACGCGTCGATGGCGCCTCACCCAAACCCTCCCAGCATCGAAGCTGCCTACAAGCGGAAATGCATCGCGCTGAAGAAACGGCTGAACGAAGTCGAAGCTCACAATGACGCGATGCGTTTACGGAATGCGCAGGGCATCAGATACATCCAGAAGATGCGCCTCGAATCCTGCATACTCCTGGAGCGCCTCTCTGTCTTGATGGGAATGGCCGATGGCAGCGGCAGGAGAGAGACGGAGATGAGTGGCCGTGCGATGGCCTTGATGAACGAGTCCGGAAGCCTCCTCGACGAAGACCATACGAAGGACAGGCAGAAGCGAGCTGCCGAGGACCTGGATATGCTGGGTGATGAAAGCGATGGCAGCTCCGGTCACCATCCACCTACAGTAAGTTTCACCTCCGGGAGGTAACTGCTAGTAGTCGACTGTTGCAGGATGAATAGCTTTTTCGTCCTTGTTTTGAGGCCGTACTGACGGGGTTCGCATCGATGCGCCAGCCGCAGGAACGTCCGCTACGAATAAAACGAAGCCGTAAAAGCGATGAAAGACCCGCGACTCACAGCGTCAGTGAAATCAACAACAACAACAACAACAACAATAGCAACAACAACAATGTTGTGGATTCTGTTAGCTCTACCCTTCCTATATTTCCCCCTTTCAATCCCTACTACTATCCACCTCCTCATGCGGCTGCTGGATACTACTATCAACCCGGACCTCCTCGTCCGCCTCCTTTTCTTAACTACCCTTATGCCCCGAATCCCAACTATGCCCCAAATCCCAACTATGCCCCGAAGCCCAACTATGCCCCGAAGCCCAACTATGCCCCGAAACACAACTATACCCCGAAGCACAACTATACCCCGAAGCCCAACTCAGCGATGTTTTATACCCAGCACCCGATTACTTCCAAGCCAATTGTCTATTATACCCATCCAACCGTCGGCCCGCACCAAACACCCATCTATCCGCCAGCTGACTCACGGACTATGCAGGTTGACTACCACCACAGCAGCAGCATGAACCAACAAAGCAACGACCTCAGCAACTTCCCTCCAGTCGCATCGGGGCGAGAGCACGCCCATCGTTACGTATCTGCCTTTGAGGCTTTCACTAATCAGAATAGAAATAATATAGCCGAGGCCTTGATCCGGACATACGGACAGAGAGTTACGGACGAGGACATCGATCGTGCATTGGTGAAGGAATGGGATGCCCTGGAACCATCTAAAAAGCGGGAATTTGGAGACAGACTTGAAAAGGATAGTGGTGTCTAAAAACGTGCCTGGCTGTATACTCGTCCTCGGTCGGTATATACTTCCTATCCCCTTTTATATTCCTGTCAGAGGCTAGAACTATTGACTTGATCCGCGACTTCCAACCAACCGACCTTACCCCTTCTCGGTATCTTCGGTTCCTCGCATTCGCAAATACGGCGTCTGGTGAAACGGTCTCGTTCTTTTTAATGGATAGTGGGTTACTTAAACAAGATTCGGTTGGCCATTAGTTCTTCTATCAAACATTATTATTTTTGTTCTCCCTTACTACCATCCGTTCCAAGCAGAAGACATGTATCTGCTTATCATCCCTTAATGACTGGAGGAGCAAACTTGACAAATTCTCGATATCATAACATCATATTGCATCGGACATGCACCAGGAACTTTTAACTACAGCAGCAAAATCGCATTAACGGGAGATGTCATCGATCTCATACCTATACAACGAAACAGACCCTGGCATTTGTAGCTTGATCAGCCGCCATTCAGACTGTTGCTAGGATACTAACACGAAAGCCATATATATCCTGTCATTTACTACACCCTTTGTCACTGTTAAATCTAGTATTGTAATTTGCTTCCATATCAGATGCTAGGTCTGCTTGATTTATGCTCAGGAAGGACGTATATATGAAACAGTGAGATGGAAGAATATAGCAGTACTCCTTAATATGGTTTGATACGAGCTCCCAAAGACGTGAACGAGCCCTAAACTCGCGCCTCCTTTGCCGCCGAGGGTTTAACTAGTTAGCTTATCATAACTAAATAACTAGTTGCCGTGGTTAGGGCCTTGGCCTTACCTAGAGCATCGTGAATCCTTCTTACACATACGGAATGCTGTCGGGCTGGTATGTGACCTACAATGTATAAAACCCATAAAGGAGGGAAATCACTTATTCCATTGGCTCATAATTCAGGTATTCCGCTATCAGTTCCAATCCTTATCCGTTAAGTCAAAAGTGCGTACAGTAAAGAATTAGGTAATACATGTAAAACAGGCGAACATTTTGCTCCCTTCGCTTCGTGCAACCCACGTTTGAAGACTACTACATATAGTCTCTGGTTTTGTTCTCACAGAACTCCCAGAACTCCTTTGCCCTGCCCGTTCCACCATCCTCCGTCAACTTCGACGCGGCGGCAAGATCCTGTCTCAGCGTTCTGGAAATCCGACCCCAGGGGATGATATAGCACCCATTCTCCTCCAGGGTGACCTCTGCTGACAGTCCGGCAAATAGCTCAGTCGTGGCAGCTAATTCAGGCTTATACAAGAGCGGCCTTGCTAGAAATTTCATCCACGGGCTGTATCTAAGGAGATTGGTATTGGCTGCACCTGGGTTGAGGGAGACACTGACGATGTTATGGGATTGGCCGACCCGACGGGCAAGCTCTGATGCTAGGAACATGTTTCCCGCCTTCGAGGTGATGTAGGTGCGAGTCTGATCTTGTGGTGGGGAAGTCAATTCTGACATGACGATGCCTCCTTGGGGGGCAGACAGTTCAACGATCTGACTACCTAGCCAGATAACACGCACTGAGCCCGGGCTAGATGTTTCAGCAGCGGCTTCGAGTAGTGGAAGAAGAAGTTGCGTGAAGAGGAACGGTCCCAGGCAGTTAGTTGCAAGCTGTAGCTCAGTTCCTTGTTTGGATAGGCTCCCCAGAGGAGGCTGGGAGACACCAGCATTATTCCAGAGAACGTCGAGTTTGAATTCTTTTTCTTTGAACGCTTCGACGGATGCTTTGATGGTGCTTAGGTCGTCAAGCACAAGATGGAGAAACTCGAGGCTGCCACCTTCCGACACTGTTGTCTGAATCTCCTTGATTGCCTTTTGTGCCTTTTCCTCGGAGCGTCCGGCAATGTAAACCTTTCCTCCCTTTCGGTACAGCATCTTAGCTACTTCGAAGCCAATGCCTGACGCGCCTCCTGTCACGATGAACACCTTTCCATCCTGTGAACCCACGTCTGCGTCAGTCCAGGTCGGGCTGGGAGGGAAGAACTGCGAAAACTGGGCGCCCATTCTGATTACAGACTACTGTTGTCTTTTCTTGGTGCAGGTAAAAGTGGGAGAAATCGTATGGAGTCGTTGATGCTTCAAAGTTGGACGCCGATGGACAACAAGCGTTTGGAGTACGAGAGCTTGGAAGCCGCGAAGGAACGAAGCTTGAGCTTAAGTCTTCGGAGCTGTACGGCTCTTAGTGCCGAAAGTCCTTGTTCCCCATACTTAAAATCCTTCAGCTGGTAATTAAAATACCTTGCGAGTTGGATTTCAAGTAAGAGTTGGTATTAGCCAATCAGTGGAATTTCCCTTATATACGGAGTCAACATATCTGTTGTTGAACAAAGCGGGCTATGCCGGCAAACGTGATCGCTGCAGCGGCGAGCCTGGGATCGCCCACAGCAGCCTATCGAGACCGATCTACCTGTCACGAGTGGTTCAATAATGAAAGAAGGCTAAGTCCAGGCTGTGCCGAGTTCATGGGACACAGATAAACCTAGCAAAGTGAAATAATGTTAGACGTTGTGGCTGGATATGACAGCTACGAGACTTTAACTGCACAAACCTTACCCTCCAGCCATCGAGAACATATCCTCACATCCTCACATCCTGATCTGATATGCCGACGTGTTGTGATATTCGACTGAGATGTGGTAGGAAAAATCGTCTAGGTATATTACCGCTTTAGGAAAGCGCTAAATATGGAACTTCCAGCCCGTGCATGCCAAGCTTTATATTTCCACTTTATAAGCATACGATCACATGATATTTGCTTACCGATCACGTGATTACGCCTTATTGCTTCAACGATGCCCGAATAAGGCAACTTCCAACCTTGCATCCCATCCATCTCGCTGTCTCGCCGTCTCCCCATCTCCCCATCTCCCATCTCCCCGCCTCCAATCCTTTCGACGCCACGCCCGGATGATCGTCAAGATCAGCTTAGGTAAGGTGGCACGTACATACTTAATTACTTACTTATACGGGCAGAGTGCGGGCTCCAGATGGGGTCGCTGCCTAGGTCGCTGCTGAGGTCGCGGGCTGGCAAGCGAGTAATTCGCATTTCCATGTCCACGCACCCCATCTCCGATGCTACTGGAACTATAGACGGGGGTTCGGCCCGGCATTCTGACACAACCCACACGGCTGGCCAACCCTAATTCGAACTATTGCCAGGTGTTTCTGGGTCTCGCCATGGAGTAGCAAGAAACATACCAAATGATACTTGTCTAGTACATACCTTGCGTACCCTGTCCGGAAGACCCAGAAAAGAAAAGAAAAAAGAATATTCATTTGCATAATTCTGTCTATTAGTCATCGTCGCTAGACGCACGGGAAATCAACATCAACTGCATGTGGAACAGGAAATCTCATTACATTTAAATCGCTAAAATCAAAGCCGAAAGCAAAAAAGGAAACAAATCGGAGGAAGGTCAGCTGCGAGACATGTTGCATGCTATCCAGGAAAAACAGCCGTATGTACACGGATACGTACCCTTTCTTATAACGGTATATCACAAATCGTGGTATCGTGGGCAGTAGATGCTCCACACGAGATTACCAGTATGGCTGTATCTCACTGCCTCGAGGTATGCGCGAGTATCTCTGGAGAGGCTGAGGTTCCGCTTCGCCTTTTCGACAATGATGTTGTACTCGGCGATCTGCTTCCGGATCTCCTCAGCGCATACCAACATAGCCTCGTCTTCGCTGACGGACTGCTCTTGCATGATGACCCAGACAGCATTGAAGACATAGTCCAGACCATCTGCTGCAGCTTCATCACGCTCCTTCCTCCAGGAATATAGGTCATTCGTGAGGCCAAGTGCGGCGTAGCCTGGTCTAGCTAACTCCATACAGAGGTCTAGCTCATCGTCCGGGATAGTAAGAGCCATACCGAAGGTCAGGGTCCCAAACCAGATCCTGAATCGCTGTTAGAATCAAATGCGACGGAAGGCCACGTTTCGGAACACTTACAGCTCGCCAGCGTCAATGACCCGGCTGGGAATATATTCCTCTAGGGTATCAAATGGGCGGGATCTTGTCCGAGCAGCGAGCTGGACAAACTTTGCCCATGCTTTCATGGACGTGATCGCCCGTGGAGCATCTATGACAATCATATTCGCCAAAATCTGGGCTTGGAGTTTCTTCTCCTGGCCATCGTTGTTTTTGACGTTCTGATCTAGTGCTTTGTCGTCCTCGAAAGCATCCAGCATATCATGATGCTGTTCATCTTTATACTGCTCATTGTTAGCGCCAGCAGCTCTGTGGTGCAAGGGAATAGACGTTCTCCACCCACCCCCTTTAGATCAAGTTTTTCCATGGCGTCTGGTATGGAAGGTTAGTATCGGACCGGTGTGGATGAAGTCGGGAGCGGCCTACCATCATAGAGAAAGGCGAACTCGTTTGCATACGAGATGATCTCTAGTCGTTCTGGGAGACATTCTGGCACAGTTGCTCGGATGAAGCTGTAAGGGTAGCCTAAACCACCCTTGTAGCCGACGACAGGACGTACGTGCTTGCTCCAGTCGCTCTGGGCTCGAAGGGCACCGTTGATTTCTTTATAAGGATCCCGATGGATACGGAGAGGGATGCCATGCGCAAGGCCATGGGTCTCATAGACCGATGGGTCAATCTCATCGGAGTAATGGAATTCCATGCTTGATAATTGCTATCTGGCTTGCTGGGTATGTTAAACGGAGGATATAAGAAGCACACACTATTACACAGCAATTCGAGGGGATATCGGGGCAGACAGACCAGACTATATACATGTCCCGATCCCCAGAGCCTCCATATAAATACTATTTACATACGCCTTGCGTGGACGCTCTATGAATCCTTCGACACTATACAACACCCGCTACCAACCACTTTGCCGGTCCCTCGGTAACTTATTGTTGGTACAGGGGAGGTACATTCGAAGTACCTCAGGCACGGAAACCTTCGGCGGCGTTCAGCCTGCGAGAGAGCATGGAAAGGCTTGCACCTAGGACGAGGCGGAGACGGGGGGGCCATAATCCAGATTTGCTAAGTGTGGAGCGAAGCCTGTAAAAACATGTGTGGCATTGATAACTCTATGGGGCCGTCAGGTGGGCCAGCCGAATATCTCACCTTCAGCCTGCTAGCCGCAAACTAGGCTATCTGCTAAAGGAGTAAGTATAACAACCCAGAAGGCAAGACAGTTGGTTGTTGGCAGTCCACAGGGGTTGAGAAATGCGAGATACATATGCACATCTATATAGCCCAAGGCTAGTGGTCTGACGGCTCAGCCGCCAAAACAGCCAGTGAGCACCGTGATTGTCAGGCACGCACTGCCAGCATGGCCATGGGGTCGCTGTTCGTTTGGTTTTCAATACGTATGCATGCACCTACGCGCCGGACGGCTGATTGGGTTCATTTACTTCGGACAAGAGCCTTTTACTCATACCAACCCCTGTTGGTTGCTGATCCGAGGATTCATTCTGGGGCTGGACGGAAACCCAATCGACCATGACTTACAACGTCGCCAAATCACACAGCCCGGACCGAGGGCCTTTAAACCGTTCGCCCACTTCAAGTCTTCGTCTGGCAACAAGGCTCGCTGGCGGCCCCAGCAAATAAATAGATACTCGTGTGCACTGCAATCAACTTCAGTCGCCAGGGAACATTTCTCTATTTTTGTTATTTATTTTGCATTCCTCACCTCCGAATGCCCGGAAATCACAACACCATGGACAACATATTTTTCAACCTGCCGCTCACCCTGACCGTTTTGGGAGGGGCTTTTGTACTGTATTCTATCAGCCGTATCGTCTATAACCTATATCTTTCCCCTCTTGCAAAATTCCCGGGATCAAAATGGGTGGCTGCAACTCATTGGCCAGAATTCTACTATGATTGGTGGCATAATGGAAAATACCTGTTTGAAATTGAGAAGATGCACAACAAATATGGTGAATACCTCTTTCCCAACGTCGAAAATGAGCCATTTTATGTCTAACCCGGCGTTTGCAAGGCCCGATAATTCGGATTAACCCTGAGGAACTCTCTATTCGCGACCCTGATTTCTATAACGAGATCTATGTCACGGAGAGCAAACGACGGACAAGTCACTATGACGTCTTCTGCCAAGGCATTGATTTCGATGGTAAGCTGAGTACCCAGAAGGGGAAAAGAGAGAAGAAGGGCTAACTTTTTCCAGGCTCGCATTTGCTCACCGTGGACCATGATCTCCATCGCAGGAGAAGAAAGCCCCTGGAGCCGTTTTTTTCGCGACAGGGTATTGCGCGCCTTCAAGACATGCTTGCAGAAGTAGCTCTGAACTTGGAGTCGCGAATCAGAGCACTTGAAGGGACTAACACGGTGATTCGACTGGACCATGCATTCTCGGCATTTTCTGGCGATATCATTGGGAAGATCTGCTTGGATAGCGGAGATGAAAATAAAACGTTTTTGAAACATCCTGATTTTAACCCGGAGTGGTACGCAGCGTGAAAGTCTACTCCAAATGGCAAGGCACATATCTAACAGTGTGACCAGGTACGATACCATACACTCGATTGTCCGGTCAATCCCCTTGTTTACAGCCTTCCCCTGGATTGTCCAGTGAGTTTGAATACCCCTATATTCTCAAGGGTGCAGTGGCGCGGAATTCTAACAAGGGTCAGGGTTGTGAGCTTCATCCCGGAATCAATTCTACTCAAGGCTTTCCCCAGAGGCCAGATGTTTAACAACTTCAAAGAGGTTTGTATAAACTTTCCAACATTACAGGGAGCATGCATAGCGAATTACCGAATCTGACGCTAAGTATTCAAATGCAGGTAGCCAAGCAACACATATACCGAGCTTTGAGAGACACGGAAGAAAACGAGAGAACAGGCAAGAAGAGCAACGAACACGCCTCTCTATTCCACTATATCGCGACTAGCGATATGCCCGAGTCTGAGCGGGCTCCAGAACGACTGGCTAAAGAAGCCCAGGTGCTTCTGGGTGGCGGCACAGCCAGTACTGCACGTACAATTGGTTTCACTTCCTTTTACATCATGTCCGTACCGGGAATTCGGTCGAGACTAGAAGAGGAGCTCAAGGATATTATGGCCGATTGGCCGCAGCGCGTCCCATCCTGGGCGGAACTGGAAAAGCTACCCTTCCTCCAAGCTCTCATCAAGGAATCCCTTCGGTAAGCCACAGCTCTAAGCTTCTGCGCAAACTTAACGCTAATCTAACTCTCCCTCACAGTCTCAGCTACGGTGTGATGCACAGACTGCCTCGTATTTCTCCCGACGTACCTATTCAGTACAAGGAGTACAGTATCCCTCCTGGGGTAAGATCATATATCCAAATTCCCCATATTATAGAAACTCCTAGTTCTAATATTGGGGTTTTTTTCTTTTCAGGTGCCTGTCGGAATGTCAGCTTACTTCATGCACTCTGATGCAGAGGTATTCCCAGAGCCGGATAAATATATCCCAGACCGTTGGCTTGGAAAAGTCACACCAGCAATGCACCGAAACTATGTACCATTCACCAGGGGGTCCAGGAATTGCTTGGGAATGAAGTGAGTGTTATTTTCTCTTACCCCTATTGGGCAGCTTAGGTGTGCAGACTGATCTGCCTGCATACTGCATAACCGGCGTTTTCTCCATTTCTATACATGCATGAGTATCCACAGTTTTTGAGGCTAACGGACTTCCTGCAGTTTGGCGATGTCCGAGATGAGCCTTATCATCGCAGTTCTTTTCCGGCCCAACGGCCCCAAGTTCGAGCTATTCGAAACGGATGAAAGCGATGTGAAGCAAGCCCATGACTTTCTTATCCCGCTCCCCAAGATTGAGACTAAGGGGGTACGAGCCATTATTCGCTAAACAAAAGGCATTATCCATAAGATGACTTTTAAAGGTGTGATCGCATCAAGGATGGTTGCTCCTTAGCTTTTGTTTGCATGGTTTATATAGTCTGTCTGGAGTGTACAAGGACAACTTGTTATATAGTTGTACCTTGTTAATATGAGTCCAACAACTATCACTATCGACGGCTTAACCTTACAAGTGTGGCGTGATGCTCTTATATGTGTTGACTGCTAGCTATTTTATTTACCCGCGACCTAGCCTGTCGCTTTATGTCAACTTGGACTCATCCTTGACTTTTGACAACCTGTACTTAAATCGATACCCCGTAAAACGACCCCCGCCGAAGGTTTACCGGCACTACTGTAGATGTAGGGATAAACTTGTCGCTAACTACATCAAGTTACTCCGGGTCGTATTCAGCCTGAGGCTAAGTTTATGGATTCTCACCGTCATAGTACGGAAGTATAGTTAGTGGTTGAGGGGATGGGTAGAGCTTTCGCTTTCTTATCTCTACGCTGCACACGGTTGCCTGTTAGCTGACCAAGGCAGACTTTGAAGATAATTTTCAGGCCGTTTAAACGATGCCGTTAGAAAATTTGAAATACGGAGTACATTCGGAGATATTCCCAGCTCCGCCGCGTTGACCATGCATAGCAATATTGCCATGGGATATATGCATGGTAGTGTGTGAAGTGACGGTAAGGTCCAGGATAGCATCACATGTGGCCTGGATGGGAACATAAAGATGCCGGCCAATAGCCTGGATGGATAACCTGGACTCTGGGTGTGGTCTTGCGACTTGTATAACGGGGGGAAGCCAAATAATAGCATGGATTGATTTGGAGCAACGGCCGCATCAAGATTTACAGGCAAATGCTCTCCCCTTTCCCTCCACTTCCGTATTTTTCTTGCACCGACATATCAGCGTAACAGTATCATTCCAGCCGCACATCCTGTATCTACGCGACACCACGTATCTTACCTTATTCTGATCGCCGTTTGATTCTCACATCAATCGGCTTTTTCTCGACCAGCAGAAACGTCCTCAGCTCTTCCCATTTGAGTTTCTTCTCTCCCGCTGCCTCGAAATCGAAAGCCCAGACCAATCTTGCGAGGATAAGTCTCAGCTCCGCCCATGCAAGATGCTGGCCTATACACTCTCTCGGACCCACGCTGAACGGCTGAACGGCACTTCGCTGGTCTCTGAAGTACGGGGATTTGGGGTTGGTACTAGCCTCGGGGAGCCAACGTTCAGGGGTGAATGTGGTGGCAGAGTGGAAGTATGATGGGTCGCGGTTGAGAGTGTATGCTTGGATACTTACTGTGGTCTGATGGGGAGAAATGGCGAGTCAGCCTTTCTGTTTTTTTTTTTTTTTCAAGGATACAATAAATAGGGGGACAGCATATGTCACTTACACCCCCAGGCAACCATGTCCCGCATACGGTATCACCCCCGGGAGGGACTACCCTAGGCAGCATCCATGGAACAGGCGGGCAGAGTCGTAGGCCTTCTCGTAGGACTGCGTTGAGATATTGCAGGCCCTGTAAAGCCTCCAGGTTCATCTCGCTTTCGCTCATGAATGCACTGCGCACCTCTTCGGTGAGCTTAGCAAGTATGTCCGGCTGAGCCACGAGGTGATTCATGGTACCGCTAAGCGTGGTCGCTGTAGTCTCGCTCCCGGCGGTCGTCATGACCATGAAGGTCGCATAGACCTCTCCCATTGGCATCTTCGTTCCGCCATCCGCCTTTATAACATGCGACATGAAGTCAGGGCGATCGAGTTCCCAGCTGAGACGACGGTCTACCTTGTCGACAATCTGCTGGAAGTGATCCTTTTGCATTTTCTTGAGAGACTCAGGTATACATTTCATGAGCAAGAAGGTGACGAGGGGGAAAAATTTAGTAGCAGAAATAAACGAGGCTGCCTTGACACTGTTGAAAAGCAGAGCAATCCATGGATGGTATCGCGAGTTCTGGAGGCAATCAAAGGACTCTCCAAAGCCCAGTTCTCCAAATATATCAAAGGTGGTGAAGTTGAACCAGGGACCGATATCAAATTCTACCCCGTTTTGGCCATTCTTCGCCTCGGCCGCCTTGTCATGCATTCGTTCGATAAGCAGATTGACATATTTCTGAACCAGCGGCTCCTGAGCCTTCAGTGCACGCGTAGTAAAAGCAGGAGCCAGTATCTTCCGTATGCGCGCATGGCTTTCCGGCTCTATCGCGCTGAGAATCGAGTTTGGCTGACCAGGCTGCCGTGACCACCATATAGGGTCTTTCAGAAACTGTCGATGGCCCTGGCGGATTCGAAAGATATCATTGTATGCTTCTCCCTGCGCAAATGTGACTTCATCCGGCGCTATTCGTATAACAGGTCCGTACACCTGGTGAAGCTTCTCAAAGTCGTGTACTATCGTCCCCTGGATGAGAGCCCGGATGTACGGGAGACGGGTGGCAGCCCATATCCGCGGCCCAGGGACTTTGGCTAGCGGATGGAAGTACAAGTTGTATATAATCTTGCAAATAGGGTACTAGCATATCTGTCAGTTGAAATGTGAAGCGCAAGAATAATAATAAAAAAAAACAATTAGTTAGTATGGAGCGGCAGGATATCTTTCTACTGTACCGCAAGCAACAACAACGCCGCCACCACAACGCCGCGCATTTCGAACAAGACCATGGCGACAACCAGAACTATGAACGGACGCACGAGTAGCAAAGAACAAAGCACACGGGTGAAATGAGCGAAGGGGAACGGAGAACGGCGCTGGCCTTTTTGTTCGACCTCGACTTCTCACGGCTTCATCTAATACTACGAGCTGGTCCCGGGACAAAGGCTGCACTAGCGCAGGCAAAAGCCCAATCCCACGACGCTGAACGGGACTTTTGGGCTCCGGCAGTCCGTATATTATGCGCTCTACGGAGTACAAGGATGATCGACGGACGCTGGACGTTTGGAACCAGCTCTTTGTTGCGATGCTGGCCATATCACAACGGTTACACTACTTGCTTCGTGAGACTACAAAAGACACACATCTACTCCGTACAACGAACGAGATGAAAACAGCCGTGGGCCTAACAGCAGATCTCCAGCCTCTGCCGCAAGCTAGCCCCCTAGCCGCCCGTCTTAAGCTGCCCGAGGCTGGCTCCCGGGCACCAGCACCACAGGACTAGGCGCAGAGAGGGAGGTGATATACCAGCTTCAACTCCCGGGGCCCCATCCTGGCCTTGCGTGGTGCCACGAGGCTGATGCTCTTCATACGCTCTCCATACCTGTCTCTGGCTGGATATTCTGATCTGGGTTGCTCATGCAAATAACTTTTGGACCGGGGCTCAAGGCTGATGGCAAGCATAGCCCAAGCAAATCACCGGCGTTGAAATACGAACTACATTGCGCCCCCAGAGGCCGCCTGCTCCACCTGTCCAACGTATGGAGGTACAGTAACTTACGTGTGGGCTACAGGCAATCCGATTGAGGGGATTGAACGGTGAAGGATCGAGGAGCCACAGACCAGGCCAGGGGGGTGGCCCTAGCCATACCTAAATATCCCCCATCCGTGAGTCTGTTTTTAGCATGAAAGTCTACATTCGATGATCCTGTTGTATAGGCTTCCTCTCGGTCCGACGAACCAGAGAAACCCTCCTATCTTGCTCTGTGTTGCCAATCATGCACGGGTCGACAGCTTGGGGAACCATGCAGGGAATCAGGGAATCGCTGCACATCGTGCTCCTGATCTCCTCATTTATCCGGTAACTTCTTTGCATGACCTGCAGCTGAGCAAAGGTGACGATGGGTGTTAACGTAATATAATATCCTGCCTCTGCAAGTCTGGTCTCTGTTTTCTCTCTCTTCCTCTGGTCTCCCTGTCTTCTTCATGTCAAGGTGATCCGTACGTTTCTTCATCCTACAAGACTCAGCTCCGTCCTTCCTGCCACCTTCAGTCTATATCAGACTTGGCTTCAGGTTATCGACGAACGAAGTTATGGCTACTCAGTGGCTAGGGGCTATTCCTCCTCCCCCCGGAGTTACTCCTAATATCGTCGACCCCCCAAGCCAATGGAATGGCAATATCGCCCTTCATACAGTATGCCTTACGTTGGCTACAACTGCAGTTGCGATGCGGATATACACCCGTACCATCATCACTCGCACTAAGATGGGAGTAGATGACTGTAAGCGAACTCCATACGATCAGTCCAGTAATTGAACTAAACTAATGCGATCGTGTTATAGATCTCTGCCTCGTTTCATTTGTAGGCAGACGTACCCCTATCATCTTTCGTGGACCGCGGACTAAGACATAGATATAGGTTCTGACCGTCGCCTTTTCGGCGTTGATGATAAAATGTAAGTCTGGCAGCTTATAGCTCTTCAGAGACGGTCTCACTAACTTCATTTCTAAAGCGTATACTCTGGGTATCGGGCGCCATTTATGGGACACTCCACCGCTCTGGCTTTCAGACGCTCTGAAGGTACGAAACATAAGCTCTTCGCCGGATAACGAGGACGCTGACAACTAACACATTATATAGTATTTCACTTTTGCGCAATACGTTTACTTGATTCTTACCGCAACGATCAAACTCACTTTCCTCTTCTTTTACCGCCGTGTCTTCTCGCCGCAGACCTTGTCAAAAATACTCATCAGTTTCGGTATCGTCTTCGTTAGCACTTCCCATGTCGCAATTTTATTTGCGACCGTCTTCTCTTGCTCTCCTATTGCACGTGCATGGAACCTGGCTATTCCTGGCCGCTGCATCAATCCAGTCATCCTTCCATACCTATCCGGTGCTCTTAGCTCAGCAACGGACCTCTACGTTCTTATCCTGCCAATTTACCCCGTATGGAACTTGAATATGAAACTTCGCCGCAAGATCAAGCTTCTTGCTGTTTTCGGCCTAGGCATTTTGTAAGTCCATGGTTCAACTTACCACTGATGCTCTTTTCATACTAACGGTTACCCTACTTAGCGCCGTTGCTGCCAGTATAGTTCGACTTGCGGAGACTCCTGTCCTAAAGAGTAGCCCCGACGCTACGTGGAATATCTCTCGATTGGCTGTCTGGGCGTAAGTGATATCTCCTAGATTCCTAATTTATGTAAAAAATTCGTCAAAATATCTAACAATCTATATAGCGTCATCGAAGCAAATATCGGAATCTTCTGTGGATGTTTATTGCTCCTTCCCGCCTTTCTTGATCGCCACTGGCCCAAGGCCTTCTCTTCCTCGGTTAAAGGATTATTCTCTACCTCGAACAGTCGACGACTCGAAAAGGGCGGCAGCTCCGACAGGTCCTCCAAACAATACTCGTGGCCCGACTCCAACCACAGCCATAAGGTCTCGGTATCTACCATGTCAAAGGGCAACAGTTATCTTGAACTAAACCCATCAAACCGCCACAATGCACATGATACTGTTTAGAGTATGTCTGTGTATTGGCAATAATTGCTTATTTTCCTTTTGCTTTGGGTGATGTTAGGAGACTATATGGCGTAACGAGCTTGGATTTGTACATACTATGTTCTGGGATACCTTTTCTTTTGTTTACTTCGTTTATGGGAAGTACCACTTCCATTACAATGTGATACCTACGTTACATTGGCTTCTTTCTTCGATGTTCAAGCGGGTGGATTGAGGCTTATATATATACGATACTATTTCTGAAAAATAATAAGCAGGCTGTATCACTGTTATATCTCTCTTTATGATCTGAATGGGCCTATAGCAAAAGAAAGAAGATAAAGTTGATGGGGCTCAAACTGATATGCTTGGGCAGTATAAGGCAACACAGTGATCAACCATTAGGACAAAAAGTCGGTTGATGAGAGAGTTTTCCAAGACAGAATCATTCCAAGTTTAGCAACTCCCCGCCGTCGTTTGACAGCAACCAGTGAGAGGACTTCCATTTCCAATAACCAGTTTCTGGATAGCTATATTACCTCACGATTTAGGCGATTGATCTTATCTGAAGTAGTGTTCGAGGTACAACCAACTTGACCGTCTAGTTCCATATTCAACCTGGTCAGATTCTTTTAGACTTCGGATAACAAAATATGCACTGCCAGGGGGCGTTAAAACGACTAAGGCAGGTCTGGGGAGATACTTTCGATAAGTACCTAACCACTGGACTACTCCCAAATATCCTCTGATGGTCTGCTCGTGGGCTTTTAAAGGCTCTTGGTTCTAACATTAGTCCGCTGAAAAGCTCAGATTCATCCTCCGGATCTGGATTTGGAGGCTGGTAATTTGTGCTGAGGCCTCTTAACCACCGTGGTCAATAGCAGTTACAAGCCGGGGGGTAGGTGTCTTCGCAATTTCAAAAGGTGGGCTGCGCACTAGCTTTCCCTTAGTGGAGAGGATACTAATGCAGTTCTTAAAGTTCGCATCAGAACTGGTCTCACCACCTTCATTTGCTTTAGCCGCGTAATTGTAGTCAACTGCTGCAGCCTTATCTTTTTGATCACCCCAGAGGATTATTCATTAAAGTATCAGTCTTCCAGCTAAGGGGCCCTTTAGGGTGACAGAGTACTGCATTGCAAGATCGCCTCAGGCTCATCCGAGGAATTGTTATAGAAACCTTCACATTCAAGGCTTCCATCTTCTATGCCATATAACACGCTGGAGGGTATTAAGCCATGACGTGATGTATGGTGATCGTTGGAGAAGCCTCCGTTTCTCTCGGTACGAACTGTCGGGGCATTATCCGTTGATATATTGATAGAAGCGCTATCCCGGTGATTTTCGGTGTCATTTTGAAAGACCGGGGCTTCTATCTCAGAGGCAAAGTCATATCTGCCCAGGATATATTTTAGGTGTGTAGTAGCCGCACTTTTCGAGGATTTCTACCCCCATTTTAGAAGTTGTATGCTGGCGTTATCATCCTACTATTTGCACCAACCGCCCGGATATTCGAAAGATTGAGCTACATTATATTTCATCTAGTAGATGGCAACCTCTGGCGTCACCTTGTGGAGAAAAGAAAACCACCAAAGGACGTTGTAGTGGTTTATAGATACAACAAACGGGAACTGCCTGTGTCATTCACTATAATGTGGCTCATCCATCCACAGTCCATCAAGGCCCGGCGTATTGTATCATGGATACCAGTTTATACCCTTTAAGTCTGCTTTATAGGGAATATGGACAACAGATGGCTTCTATGTCGAAAGCAATATAGTAGTGACGATGGAGCTGAGGTTGAAGCAGCGGAAGAAAAATGTTCCGGCATCTAAGAAAGTCAGTCCTGGCGGCGAAGTTCCAGCATCCCAACATCTTACAAGATGCACATAAGGACAAGGATGCTCGATGCCAGCCTCAACCCAAGGCATGCAGATGGCGAATACCCTGGAACCGTGAGGAAGCAGATGTGGCAAGGGAGTATGGATGCTCGGTTATCCGCAAACAGCCATCCGACGGCTCGCTGACACCGTTAATAGCATTATGGAGGAAAAGTGGACATCATAGAGTAAGTAACGCGGAGAGCACATCATAAGCCCGTCACTTCTTTTCTTTAATAGAGTCCTCATCTAGAGCTGGCCCTTATAGCCAATCTCTTCAGCAAGTGCATCGTGCTCCTCCTTGCACATATCTTTGAGATGAGCTTTTATAGAGTAATAATCGAGTTTCTCAAGAAATTTACGTCCCTTTTTGGATGAGGTTTTGGGGATGCGTTGGTATCCATAGACTCAATTGGCTGCGAGGATTCCATAACCTTGACGCTGGTAGTCTTCGAGGGTGAATGAGAGGTAGTAGTAGACATCGTCTTGTTTGTAGTAAATAGGTTAGATACCTAGGTAGTTGGTTGAGAAGGAAAATTGAATGACTTGCAAAACGAATAAAATTCTACTAAAAAGTCGATGACCTCATTAGGAATATACTTGGTTCTCGCTGAATAACTAACTGTGACTCGGTACCTAAGGTCCCGAGGTCACTAAGAAGGCCACTGCCTGTTTCAATGGATTCGGTGACACCCGTATTTACTCCGTACTTACTCCGTACGCCATTGGGGATAGAAGTCACCAAAAAAAGAACAGGAGAGACAATTCTCAAGGGTCCATGGCGGTTGTCTCGGATGAAGCTCTAGAGGCCAATAAGAAGCTTTTGCCATCCGTCATTAGTCGATATATTCTCGTATTTTAGGGACTAAGCATCGTGACGATTCGAGCGTGGAGGACCAGAGGATCTCGCTTCATTTCCACCAGCTCAGCTTCCTCCAGTGACGTGGCGGCGACCATGCTAGAATCTCGAGCATGTCTTACTTTCTTAAAGTTTTGGCGCTTGGGATGCACCCGAATTAGAACATTCAACAAAACGTTATTATGTTCGCATATGTCTTCCAAAGTATAACTACCGAGAACGAGAGTATAAAATGGGCAGAGACTCGCCTCTCGACTCCTCCTTTCTCATCACAGTCAACAATCCTCTCAATTACTTCACAGAGAATACTTCTATCAGCTATCTATACCAGCTCTCCATCTCAAAACAAAACAAAACAAGCTTCTCACCATGCATTTCTCCAGCTGCCTCTTAATATCTACTCTCGCCATGCTTGCTAACGTTGCAACGGCAGCTCCAAAACTCAATGAGCTCAGTCGCCCAGCACTCAAGGACTCGACCATCCTGCGTTCAACAGTGAGCTGCCCTGATTGCCCAGAGAGGAACTGCTACAAGTGCACTCTCGGCCACAACAACACCATCCTTGCAAACACCGGTGGCCTGGCCTATATCCGTTCTATTGTTGGCTACCAGCTCCCTGTTCCGGCCAAAAAGGTCAGGAAATGTACCGTCCAGTTCCCAGCTTTCACCACACCACTCCAAGCACCAATCAACGTGACTGTCTCTCGAGCTTTGTCCTCGGACTGGAACGAAGATACCGTCTCAGGGGAAACCGCTCCTGATTCTGGGGACGTTTTCAACACCGTCCAAGTCCCGGCATACAATAATATGGAGGCTCTCGATGTTACTCAGGCGTGCAAGGCGGCTTCTGCTAGTGGCGAGTTTTCGATCTACCTTGGCTCACAATTCGGCCGATTTGAGATCTGGTCCAAAGATTCTGGAAACCCATCCATTCTCCACACTTACTACAAATGATTTTCCATGTTTTGTTATTGTACATAATGAGCTGTCCGAGGAATGCCGGGCACACAAGACACGAATATAGAGGCCGATAGCAAACCGCATTAATTGATAATATGACGCACGCGTTAGATTCAAGAATAATACAGAGTTTTAGTTCCATCCAAGGTCATATTGGTACCGTTCTTTTTAAGATTAGTAATGCTTAGTAGGACACCCGGCAGATTCCTTGAAATGGTGTTATAGCAAACGAGACATGCTTCGGATAGCTCGACGGTCCAAAAACATAGGTAACTCTCTGAAGCAGTACAAACTAAGCAGGTTAAATCACCGATAGTGGCTAAATAGCAATCGACGCCTCCCGCTTGTTCTCGTATATGCACATGCACGTACACCACTTATTTACAATTTGTAACATGTGTCTGTGTAACAATGGCAGTGATCAGAGACCAGAAGGTGCAGGGGAAGCAAAGACAACAAAAAGACTTAGCCGCGCAAAATTAAAAAGAAGTAAGAGTACGTAGTAAAGAGTAGAAAAAAAAAGAATAAACAATCTTGCTTGACTAAAAAAAAGCGCCAAATCATCCGGGAGTCTTGCGACGAAGACTCGTAGCTCTATAATATGACATGTGGTTACTTCACTTGATTTAACATATGAACCACCTACCTCGCCGTTGAGATAAACTTCCATATGAAGGTCTGACAACTAATCGATACCTGCATATAAATCGACAATGATATTTATCCCTGCGATGACGATCTCCGCTCCAATCAAAATAATCACTGTGTCATGAGTTAGAGTTGAAATTTCGGGAGAAGAAGATAGTCGGAAAGGGATAACTTACCAATCCATTCAAGGTACTCCCCATGTCTATGACTTGACTGGTCTTTGAGAACAGCAAGGAGATCGGCAATAACGTCTAGACGCTCGGTGAGCAATCCCACGCGCTGGTTCATTTCCAGGTAACTTCGAACAGCCTGATAAATCGGATCAAGTCGAGGTTCCGTCCACATAAGTTCAGGGCTATCAAGCACAGACCCCTGGAGATGAATATTTATGCGAAGTATAAAGAGCTCACCGATCTGCATATTTATCTGTCTTCGAGTAAGGTTCACGCCACCTGTCTGAGCAATCTGAGATGGTAACGGTGATGTAGCCGTGATTGTTTCACTGACTAAATCCTCGAAAAGGGACGTTTTGACGGACTGTGACAGCGCATGCGAGATGGCTAGTTTTGTCATGTAACTTCGCGGGTCGCGTAACGAGATGAAATCGTTGTATATTCGAGCCTGATAGTCACGGGTGTAATAGAAGTTGAAGTTCTCCACTTGCATATCCTCTGCACTCAGTACAGAATTTGCAAACCTAGATACTTCATTTAGGAATCGAGTTTCTTGTTCGACGGTCATACCCCATATTACTACGGTGCCGTAATCAAATAAGAACACTTCAGGTGTATCAATTGCTGTGTCTAAAATGAGAGGCTCGTCAGGTAGAGGTGCTGCTATTAGGGCACGGGGCGATGTCGGGGGAGAGAAAGACTGAAGGTGGTCGTCGCTGTTCACATGCATATCAAGAAGATTCTCTCTTTCCTGATTCTTATGAGTTTCGACTTCTAACTCGCTGTCTGAGAATCCGCGGTCAAGTTGGGAGCGTGGGTTAGTGTCTGGTATTAGGGAGGACTGGGCGATTCCGTCACTCCATCGGCGTGGAGCTTTCATCTTATCTTCGTCATCATAACGATAAGGCGAATAGACACACTCGTCGAAAAGTTTGGGGTTCGTGCCTCTTGTCGCCGCTCTCGACTTCATGAACCTGATCACACTCTCCAACTTGTATGAGTTGGCAGTGCAGTATGCCGTGACTCGAGGAAGGCGCTCCCTGTCTCCTTTACCCAGTCTCGCCGCATCTCTTCTTGCTGTCGGCTCCTTGATCCTTGTTATCTGAGAGTAGACATCCCTCGGGATCTCATCGTCGATCCATATATCGTCTTCGCCTGTGACAGGGTTTGGCAGAAGCTTGAGCTTCTGTGTAGTTTTCGTCGTTCTTTGGGGACCAATCTTCGGCAACGCATGTGGTTTCCCTGCAATTCCTAGTGACGGTTCTTGATTGTGTCGACGACGGAGCTTGCTGTTAAGCGCAGCCAGCACAGGTTGCCCGGCAGCGCCCCTTACGATTGGAGGTGCACTAGGATGCAGCGGTTTAAGCTGATTGACAGCATCTTGCGCTTCGTACGCCGACTCGCCCCTGGTCGTTGGGCTGAACGTTACGGATTTGGATCGCTGGGCAGTCGCAGCTTGGGAATTGGTTTGGGAGGTAGGCTTTCCATGGCGGAGGAGGGGAGACGACTCTGAAGGATTTGGATTCATTGTGGGACGGGAATATGTTGTTCAAGGCGAAGGCACCAAAGTTGGAATTGGCATGGTCACCGCTGTCCAGCCCCTGTGCAGCGCAAGATGGGTCGCTTCGTGGTGTCTTTATCCTTGATAGACGAACCGATGCTGTAATAACAGCTCTCTTTCCCTTTAAAGCTTCAGGTCATGTGAGATATGTATGCTTATGTAACATATGCCATGTGCCAAGACTCTGGGCACGTGGCGAGATCTGCTCCCGCGAAAAATACGAGCATCTAGATATTGGAACATGATGGCCACAGAGGACGGTTAGGCACATACTTGCTTGTTTATACCGTCAACTAGGAGTGACGTTCATCCTTTTGATTGAGAATGATCTTTTATATCATGTCTTATCGAAATAGTAAGTATGGCTGTGTATACGCCGATGATGCATACAGAGCGGCAAGCGCGGATCTCGCCTAAGTCACTTCATATTGCTTATTCCAGAGAACTATTTGCAGAGTTTGAAGCATCAATCTACAAGGTTATACCAACACAACTAAGTGTGTATGGGTTATATCTGAAATTATTGCAAAGATGCGGCCTCCATTATTACCTAACTCACAATCTGGTATGTTGTGCTAGAGAGGTTTTAGTATGACGAACTGATGAGTTATAGGTTCTCGTCTCTTGGGCTGAATAGTGAAATGCAATTATAACACAATTTGCAGTCTTTGACATCGGCGTACGGGATATTGGATTGAATACTAGAAAGATTCTCTTCTATAATTGCATTCCGGAAAGTTCACATAACACTCACTATTTGACCTACCCCTAGAGTATTTTCAAAGACATAGCAGCCCCTTTGTGTTTAGTAGCAAATAATTTGTGCTATGTGGTAGAAAATCGAGATCAGTCAGGATAGGTAATACTCTATAGATTTGTCTCCTCAGGTAAAACAATGAAATAATTGTAGTTTAATACTGCGTGCGCTGATATTTACTATTAAACAAACTGTATTTTAGGCACGACTTCTATCTACTTATATAACTGAACTTGAGTAAACCATTGAATTTTCTGGGCTGCGTCGAGCATGTTTTAATGCACTCATGACCAATGCCCACACCACAGGAGAATAGATTTACATATGTTGATATGTATTTTCGGATAAAATAGGAAGATGTGACAACAGAATAATATGTCGAATGGTCTGAAGTTCCGTATAAGTCGAGGCATTCTCTTTAGTATACAATACGTTGATACTTCCATGGTGGAAGTAGATGTCATGAATATTAAGGTTGTAGATCAAACAACCTAAAATAGATTTAAAGTTTCTCCACCAGAGCCTGGAAAACGCAGTAATCTCATCCATTTTGGGTGACACATTGATATCAAATATTCAGGCTCACTGCCTTACGATCTACGCTATATTATCGAGAATGTATGAATATCTTATTAGATTATGGGAAACAGTTAATTTTATTAGGGTATTAATACGGAACAAACCACTTCGCTTACTGATTTGCACAGCACAAACAGGCTTAATAACATAACTTACTGTCAAGTGTTTAGGTTCTTGTTGATGGCCACTATATTATATGCAAAGATTTATGCCCTAATAAACGAAATTCGTATGGGCTATAGTCATGTGGGGAAAACACAATAGTATAAACTGAATACCTCATTATGTAGACTGATAACGCCGCAAGTGGTATAATCATTTCAGTAACGCAGCTTCATTTAAATAAACTACTTTCGCACAAAGCTGCTGGGCCCTCCTGTAGTACGTCGTAGAGCACCAGTTGCTCCTCTTTTTCGTTTCCCACCAACCCAATTTTCTCTGACGCGTTTACTAAGATTGGACGACTTCGGTGGTAGAGCAGAGTTGAAGCCGCTCCCAGAATCACCCAGTACTCTGATAGCCGTTGACCCTACTTTTAAATCTTTGGGAGGCTTATCGGCCGTTTCTGTAAGCCTAATATGTCTGGGGTTGGCTGTTTTCGACCTTTCCATTTCAAAGGCGGTAATTATCGGGCGAGTAGATGGTTCTGCGTTCAAGATATCATCCGGGAGTAATATTGGTAAAGGCCCTGAGAGGCCCAATTTCAGATCTCTGGGTTCAGCGCTAAGTGTCATTGAACTTTCGGATTGTAACTCGTCTTGTTTAGCAGGTTTTGCTTTGGCCTTTCTAGCTTTTGACTGTTGACGGATGTCAGCAGCCTTTTGGATGGCAGCTTTAGAGGCGGCTTGCAGCTGTAAACGTTTCTCGTGCTCTCTGCGCTTTTCTCGTCTCAATTGCTCGTGTCTAATATATAAAATTTAATTAGTACGTGTGGGTTGAATATTAAATTAAAGCGATATACGCACATCTGCTTGGTTTCTTCTTTTTTGCGTTCTTTATCGCGTATATGTGATAACTGGGCGGCGTTGCTGAAAGCTTCTGGGGCATCATCATCACTACTATCGTCATCATCTACTCCGTTTTCCAAATTTGCGTCTTTGCTTTCAGCAGCATCTGCCGTAGTATCCTTGTTCTCCTGGTTAATTTCCTGACTGTCGCCATTGGTGGCGGTAGGTTCCTCGCTTCCAAAACGGATATAACTTGCTTTAGGCATCGGTATCGGTTTCCGAGTGGACACCGGGCCATCCACGGGAGTTGTCAAGGTAGAATCTGTATCTGCCTGGCTGACTATCGTAACGGACTCAAGCACTTGGTATCGCTTGGGTTTGGCGCTCTCTCCCGCAGCTGAAGGTACCGGGGAGGGAGAGGCACTCAAGCTCGGACGGCCCCTCCGCCTCTTTTGCGGCCTTTTATCGGTATTATCTGTAGCGGATGAGGGTGTCTCTTTGCGCTTTCCATTCGAAACCGGGGAATCTTGCGAAGCGGCCATGCCCTGTGAAAAGGCTGAATTATGGCTTGCGATGCCCATGTCAGAGGATTGCTCTTGCTCGGACGCCGTGTCTTCAGCGCCGTCTGGTCTTTTGAACAAACCTCGAGCAGCCGTAACTATTTGAGACAACATATGGAAGGAAAGAATTCAAGTGTCGTGAAAATTAAAAATAGTGCTGCAAGCAGGTATCCTCCCAAATACGCCAATAACAATTTTTTGCAGGCAGGTTAATCGGGTTTATATTTATCCGAGTTCGAACAGCTTTGATAAGCTTGATAAGGGCAATTTTGCAACCATACTCCAGTTTGCTGGAACGATGATATAGATATCGTAAAATAACCAAAGAAAACTGTCTATGAAATTGTTCATGTGCTGCATGTAATTTCGTAATGGGGCTATATCATGCTCAAAAATCCCCTAAAATGCCATAAACCACCGTCCAAAGAACGCCTTGTATCATTTTCCGCCCAAGATAAATAGTAGACATACACCGTCAGTTGTAAAGGCCGGAAGCTTCGGCTGTCCTTCTTCTCTCTTCAGCTTCCTCTGCGGCCTGCAGATAGTCATCTTCTCCCACATCGCTCACCTCGTCCCACATTTTCTCAAACTCCTTCATATCATGCGGCGGCACAGCCCACATGTTCTCTCGCAGTCGTTTATTTCGTTCCCTGTCTTCCTCCACCCGCTGTTCGATCTGTTTCTTGTCGACAGTCACCATCGACTTTGAAGCGTCTGATCCACCTTTTGTGGTGCTATCGGTGGCGCCAGGATCTTCGAGCGGCTCCAGGTCAAGGAGATGGGCCGGGTAGCTTTCTCGTTCCTTGAGACAGGCGTCGATTTCAGACACCGTTTCGTTGGAAAGTATCTCCTTCGATTGGAGCCCGTTCAAAACACGCCGTACATGTTTCACGTTTGCAGCTCCGGAGCCATCAGCCGGGGCAACAGCATCGACGATTCGCAGGATATCTCGCTGAATCATGCGGACGAACTCGAGATGGTTCTCCTTCGTGGCCATGTCGGCTAGATGCTCTATGAAGTAGATGATGTTCGCCCTAGTATTCATGTTACTCTGCGCAATTTGTCAGTTTTCAATGAGCTCGCTCAGGCCCCGTCTGCGCCATCTCCGATGCTGGCATGCTCACCCTTTCCAATTGCTCTAAGATGCAGGAGTGGAGGTCCTCCCCCATGTCCCTGTGTTTCAAGACATAGTTGGCTGCCTTCTGCGACGAGGTAAAGGATGCGCTTAGATGCTGCAGCTGCGTTGTAAATCGCATGCGGACCTCAAACGGGTCAGCCATCGTCATGATTCGAGTCGCAGCACCTCAGAATCATATCATAGCTGGCTATCACGTCTCAAGTGCGCATCCTTGATGCTGCTTGTGGTGTTCATCCTCGTGTGGTGAAACTCCAAAAGGCGAGAAAAGCACGCTGACATAATAACATCCCTTACCTAAGCCACATGCCAAAACGGGTAAAACCGGGTGGGGTGCATGGGCCCCTTGCCGCCATCGGGCCGACGTTTTCCCGGTTTCCCTTTTGGTGCTCCCTTAATCATCATATAAAATCAGCCTTAGTTCCCGGACTACAAGAACCCCCCCACAGCCTCTTCCCTCCAGTCTCACACCATTTTCGACCTCGTTTCCAGTCGATAGCACTCCTTTTCACCTATTTTCACGATACCACTTCTGCAATCATGTCTCTTCTCATGGATGGAACCCTCTCGCTCGGCCATGCCGGAACTACGGTGACGTTTCTTGGTTGTGGTAGGTTCTTCGCTTCCCGCGGCCGGGGGGCTAGTTAATGCAGGTTCCGAAGAAAAACAAAAGGGCAGCGCGGCTAACTTGGCACCACAGGAACACTCGGCACCTCGATTCTATCGGGTGTGATGGCATCTCTCTCTGAGCCCAGAAGTTCGTCTGCCTACCCTCCACAGTCGGGTTCCGCCACACCCTCCGAGGGACTGCCCGTACACCAGATCCCATCTCGATTCATCGCTTGTGTACGAAGAGCCGAGTCCGTCAAGCGTATCCAGCACATTCTCAGCCCGTACAACCTTCCCTTGACCATTCTACAAAACGAGAACATCAAGGGTGTCACCGAGGGCGAGGTCATCATCCTCGGATGCAAGCCATACATGCTCGATGAGGTTCTCAACGTTCCCGGAATGAGGGAGGCGCTCAAGGGTAAGCTCTTGATCAGCATCCTTGCTGGTGTGCCTGCCGGGCAGATCGAAGATGTACTCTACAAGGACTCCGATGTCGACATGGCGGATAGATGCCGTGTTGTACGTGCTATGCCAAACACAGCTGCAATTGTCAGAGAATCGATGACTGTCATTGCTAGCACCAACCCCCCGCTCTCCCAACTCCAGTCTACCATGGTGGCCTGGATCTTCTCTCGTGTCGGTCGTGTCATCACCCTGCCACCACACATCATGGACGCAAGCACTGCCCTGGCTGGATCCGGCACTGCTTTCGTTGCCCTTGTTTTGGAAGCCCTGGCTGACGGAGCCGTCGCTATGGGCCTGCCAAGAGCCGAGTCGCAGTTGATGGCTGCTCAGGTCATGCGCGGAACCGCTGGAATGGTTCTGAATGGCGAGCACCCAGCTTTGATTCGCGAGAAGACTAGCACCCCTGGTGGATGCACTATCGGTGGTCTCCTCGTTCTTGAAGAAGGACGAGTCCGAGGAACGATCGCACGCTCCGTCAGAGAAGCGACCGTCGTTGCCAGCCAGCTTGGCAAAGGTGTCCAAGGCGTTAACGGAACGCGATTCTAATGGTACATTTACCTATTCTGTGCATGGGCTGGTCTACCCTCAAAACAATTTGTCAACACGATTTTCTTTGGTTCACGATAAACTGTACAAAAAAATATATCATAGTTTTCCTTTGTCACACACACACGATAGAGAGGGTTTGGAAAGCGGATGCATAATAGGCATACAAAGGAAAAGTCTGGACATATGTACGACTCAATGCTAGAAAGGATATTGACTGTATTATTATCAAATACATGGCTATATAAACATGACTTGTCTTCTTCATAACATATTTCCATCGTCGACAGGGCTGACAAGCATCGGATTATTACGGGCTAATAAAGACCCTTCTTCCCCCAAGCCACCAGCTCGTAATATTCCCCCACCAAGTCCGGAGCCATTTTCGGGTTTCGCCTCGTTGAGAATATACCAGATATCCTTCTTCGTAAGAAAACCCTCTAACCTCCCTCTATTAACTATGAGCACATATCGGAGGCCAAGCCTTTGAAACATGTTTAACACAATCTGGAAATTGGCGTGTAGATTTAGTGTGATTGGTGTCTGGTCCATCCATGGGCGGAGGTCAAGAGTTTCGACTGGGTCGGCGAAAGGTTGGTGTGAGAAGAATGTTTGGGTTTCAGGTGATAAGTTCCCCGAATGACGAGACGATGCCACCTTCAAGGCATATGATAATTCATTGCGGGAGACATAGCCGAGTAATGTAGGGTTGGCCATGTCAGAAACCACGGGGAACCCGCGGTATGGTGTATTCGAAAGTAGATTTTTAAGGGATTCGATAGTATGCCCGACAGCGGTAATTACTGTCAGGTCATTGATGCCAGTCATTACCTGGCTAACCGGCACATCTGGAGGCGGGGTATCGTCTTTCTGGTCGAGGAAAGGGTACTCATTCAGCTGTATCCAAGACTCGTAGATGCCGCGTTTCCCAAATATATCGCCACACCATTTTGAGAGCATAACAGCAATCATAATTGGAATAACGTGTGTCAAAGCCCCAGTTAGCTCAAACATGATGACAACAATTGACACAGTCATCCTGGTCGCTCCTCCAAGGGCGGCTGCAGCGCCGATAATCGCATATGTCCCCGGCGTGACGCAAGGCACTCCGGGTTCACAATCTCCAAATAACAAAGAGTTTGGGTGTGCCTTTTGCCATATGTCGACAGCGATGCCAAGAGCCCGCCCGTATAGCGCACCGATGGCTAATGATGGGAGAATCACACCAGCAGGAATATCTAACCCGAATGTGATAGAGGCAAGGAAGAAACCCAGGATTGCCGCAAAGAGCAGCGCCCCGATAACCCCGACGGCATCTGCGCTACTTTTGCAAAGGCCAAACTCGTCGCCTGGAGACTGGGCACATTCTGCGAAAAGGGAGTGCAAAAGCTCAGATAATTGGGCTTTCATAAAGGAGTTTGGGAAGTTGATCAGGCCGGTTAAAAGAGCTACGGCGATGACCTCGATGACAGGGAAAGAGAAATTTCTGGCCTTTCGCCATCTAGAGACCTTCATGTTCAATTTAATGAACAATCCGCCGTATAGACCCCCAAGGATCCCAAGTAACATGAATGGCACGATCTCGATTCGATGCCACCCTCGGGAGTAAGTGACTTGATAGAGAACAATGTTCCCGGTTCGGAATGGATTGACAGCACGGAGTGAAATTGCTGCAGCCATGGCACAAACGAAGCTTTGCCACATGGTTTTATCTGGGAAATAATAGGAAAGTTGCTACTCGTAGTTAGCAAGATGGTTGGATCAGATAAGGGGGGAAGTAACTTGCCTCTAGACTAAACAACACTCCACCGATGGGTGAGCCAAAGGCTACGGATATCCCCGCTGCTGCTGCCGCAGATAATACCTCTCTTTTCCTCGCTGCAACATATTGTTAGTATTGAAAATATAAATGGGGTGAAAGGCTCCGATTCATTCTCACCTTCATTATGATTGAGACTCCTAAATGGTCTCATGATTAAGTTTGCACAGCAGCATGCAACATGAACCAGGGGGCCCTCTTTCCCTAACCACATGCCTGATGCCACAGAAAGGCACTGAAAATAGGTGAGCCTGGTAATCAACTTATTAGGGTGTTGAGTACTCACCAAGCCGACGGATTTTATCATTAGCGTCCACAGTCCCATGAACCGTTTAATAACGAAACCCCCTAGAACTGTTTTGATTTCAGGAATACCGCTATGCTTCGCATGAGTCGCATAAGAGGTGACTAGAATGGCCGCACTGGTTGCGAACATAATCGAATACAGGATAAAAACCGTGTACTCTGCAATAAAGCCACCAACTTTGGAGTGGATATGGAATGCGTTTTGCCATCGAATCCAATGCAGACAATCCGCCGGATCTAATAAATGTAAGCATCTAACCAGGTAATTGCCTCAAATAAGTCAGTGATAATGTACCTTCATACCCCCAGCAACAGAAGCTTCTATTGAGGTAAAACTTCCCCCCTTCCGCACCCGACCGGCAGTATCCTACTTTGATATCAGCAAGCCAACGACTTGCAATATCGATACATCCAGCTAAGAGGCCGACAGCTAGGCCAGTCATGACTAGCACCAACCAAACTTTGCTAGCATCTAATAGATGTCGGAATGTGCCGAGCAAGCCAGGATTGTTGGAGTTAAGGTGCCGTATCCGCTGCCTCTCCTTTGTGTATTCAAAGATCCAGTCAATCGCCGTCAAGTTGTCATATCCAACCCTCCTGCCGGGGCCTTCGATATACCAATCCAACGGCGCCCCGGGTTTTTGAGACGCTCCAGATGCATGATGCTCTGTTCTGGTAATGTTCGGGGAGGTGGGAGTTTCCCTTGATCCGGTGTTATCATCGTCGATACTTCTGTGCCGGCCATGGCGTGGGAAAGATGTATCGTGTGTACTGCCAAAAATGCTATGAAGGCCGAATCGCGATGGGGGTTTCTGCCTGCGTTTAAATGTAATTCTGCACAAGAGAGTTAGGATATGTTCCATAGTGACAGAGGTAGCATGCCAACTTACAGTTGTTCCGAAGGCTCTTCGATTGGATTGAATGATTGCGATATCTCCTCGTCGGCACGATTGGCGCTCATAGTATCCGCCATGTCTATTGACAGTTCGCCAGGCACCTCCATTCCATCTCGTGCAGCGGGACCTAGGTTGGCCACTGTGTGTTCGCAAATACGGTCATAGAGCGGTAGATAGCATTCCTTTCCCTGTCATGAGATATAGAGTCTGTGGAGGAGGAGAAGAAAGCTGAAGCTATTATTGATATATATATCGTCCCTCTTAACGCTACGTTCTTTCCGCCTGCTCTTGGTCCATGCGCCAAAAAGCCGAATATCACGTGATCCACTGCATGCGGTGAGACGCCAGAATAAAGTTTCGGCAGAAAACTATCTCGATAAGGAAATTTTTGAGGTTTCGATAAAAGACATCAGACTCCTGTTCGACAGGAAAGTACGCGCTGTGTAGAATCTCCCGAGATGGAGGCTTTACCAGTGGAACCGAGGCTTACAATAGAGCCCGGTCTTTTACAGCAACTACCAGAAGAGCTTTCACAAATATTTCTCGAAGCTCAGACCAGCTTCCAGCAAGATCGATTGGTGCTGGCGGCTCTAAACCCGAGCTATACAGCTATATTATTCCCACTACTTGAGCCAGTGTTTGTGGACATAGCTGCTCGATGGCTCTCCTTGGATCTGAACATCCATCTTGAACAAGTGATATCAGCATTCTCACGGATTTTACCGCATTCTCCGTATTTACGCCCTTTTGCTGAGAAGGCTCTTCAGACTCAGAATGTGCATTTGCCGTTGTTCACTGAGTCGTGTCCTTCAGATATTTCACGTATCGAGGATGATTCTCTTCTGTCGCTACTCCTGTCAGCCTTTCGGCTGTTAAGTTTCGATGTGGGCACATTTTCACAGTACATATTCCCACATCAGCTACAGGCTCTCTTCTCCCATTCTAATGGAGTCATACGGTGTATGGCAGTTCGTTGCTTCTGTCTGCATATACGAGCTGCAGACGCCATCCTGGAGGATATGCTACGGCGTTATTGCGGCGAGCACCCCCTTGACAATAAATGGGAAGGTCAGATCGTTGATTTCAGGCTAATCAGCTTCTGGGAAGAACAAAGATATAAAGACCTCAAAACAACACTTGACCATGGCCGGAAAACTCGTGATAACAGCTGCTTCGAGCCCTGGATTAAACATTTTCGATCCTCGAATTATACGGCAGAAATCGGTGGTGTCCTTATTCCCACTGTGAAGCAAAGAACAAACTCTCAACCATTCAAGCTGGTACAAACAGCCACTGTCCAGGGGAATCTTCGCAAGGTCGGCGAAGCACTTCTATCCCAAGCCCCACTATTACTTGTCGGTCAGCCAGGGGCCGGGAAGACGTCACTGGTCATGGAGGCTGCAAATGCAATGGGGCACGCTTCATCAATGATAACGCTACACTTGAACGAGCAAACGGACTCTAAGAGTTTGTTGGGGGTTTATTCGACATCAGCCCAAAGTGGTAGCTTCAAGTGGCAGCCGGGGGTACTAACCCAAGCAGCGAGAGAAGGAAGGTGGATTTTAATCGAAGATCTAGATCGTGCGCCGGCAGAGGTAATTGCGGTGATTTTGCCTTTGATCGAGAACCGTGAGCTCGTAATTCCAAGCCGACGTGAAAATATTCGTTGCGCCGAAGGCTTCCGAATTATTGCTACAATGAGGTCATTTTTAAACAGTAGAGGGGATGAAGTTGCACCAGGAAGCACGATGCTAGGTGGCCGGTTGTGGAATACGATCAATGTTGCACCGATACCAACAGATGAAATTTCACAAATAGTCAAAAACGAATTCCCTTTACTTGACGTTACCCGTTATGCTGGTACCTTTCTAAATCTCTACTCCCGAGTTATATCTACACTCGTCGGTCCGGGAGCATCAAGAGGGGCGCAAGGAAGGTCCACAGGCCTTCGGGATTTGATGAAGTTTTGCAACAGGGTTGAAGTACGCCTACAAAGGTTAGGGATTAAGCGTGGAAACGAATCTGTACCCGCTCGAATCGATGACGAAATCTTCTTGGATGCGATTGATTGCTTCGCAGCCCATATCCCCAACAACGAGCTACGGTTGGCGCTTGCGAGTAATATTGCAGAGGAAATGCATATTCCACCACAGAAAATGAGATTTTGTCTACAAGAGCGCGTTCCCACGTACTCTGATGAAAATTTAGAGTTGGCCATTGGAAGGGAGATTTGCCAAAAGACGAACTCACGGAATATGGCAGGGGGTAAATATAGGCAGAACAAATCATTTGCTGCTACAAAAAGCTCCCTTCGACTAATGGAGCAAGCCTCTGCTGCACTGCAAGTTTCAGAACCCATACTACTCGTGGGAGAGACTGGTATTGGTAAGACAGCAGTAGTGCAGCAGCTGGCTGCACTCCTGAACCAGCGTTTAACTGTTGTCAACTTGTCCCAGCAAAGTGAGGCCTCGGATCTCTTGGGTGGATATAAGCCAGTTAATCTTCGATCAATAGCGATACCACTCGTTGATGAGTTCAACTCTTTATTTGAGTCCACATTCTCCGTGAAGAAGAACCGAAAGTTTTTATCCTCTGTCACAAAGAGTGTTTCCGCAGGGAATTGGCCACGCCTTGTCAATGTTTTAAATGAGGCTGTCAAGATGGCCGCGGATCTGTTCAACTCCTCAAAGAAAGTCCAGGATGACCCAAGTGAGACAACGGAGCAACCTGCTAAAAAACGAAGGCTAGATAGTTCAAAGTATAGCTCGTTGTCAAACAAGTGGTCCTCATTTGCATCGGATTTTCGGGAATTTGAAGCCCGTGTTTTACAGGGAGATACTAAGTTTTCTTTTGCTTTCGTACAAGGAAAGATTGTGAAAGCATTAAAAAATGGGGAATGGGTGTTACTTGATGAGATTAACCTTGCCTCGCCTGACACTCTAGAGAGTATCGCAAGTTTACTGCATCACGGGCGTGATGGTGCACCGTCTGTTTTACTTTCAGAAGCTGGCGAGATGGAGCGAGTCGTCGGTCATCCAGAATTTCGCATTTTTGGTGCAATGAACCCTGCTACTGACGCAGGTAAACGTGACCTAGCCCCTGGATTGAGATCTAGATTTACAGAGCTCTACGTCAGATCTCCTGATAGCGATATGGATGACCTTCTCGGCATAATCCGCACCTATCTTGGCCCACTCCTAAACCGTGATTCCCGGGTTGCATCAGACCTTGCCAATGCGTACATAGAAACGAAAAAGCTGACGGTCGAAAATCAGCTAACGGATGGAGCTGGTCATAAACCCCATTTTAGTATCAGAACACTCGTGCGGACTTTGATGTACGTGACCGACCAGGCGCACATATACGGAGTGCGCCGCGCTACATACGAAGGATTTTCCATGAGTTTCTTAACTCTCTTAAGTAAAGATTCTGAGCGGCTTGTTATACCTTTGCTGGAGAAACACATATTTGGGAAGGTTGGGAATGCCAGGTCGATTTTGTCACAAAATCCTCGAGAAGTAAATGATGGAGCTACATACGTCCAATATAAGCACTATTGGATGCAAAAGGGGGATTTCCCACCAGAGGACCAACCGCACTACATCATTACTCCATTCATTGAAAGGAATCTTATGAATCTAGTACGAGCAAGTTCTACTCGACGGTTCCCTATTTTACTACAAGGGCCAACGTCCTCTGGGAAAACCAGTATGGTTGAGCACCTTGCTAAGCTGTCCGGGAACCGATTTGTTAGAATCAACAATCATGAACACACCGATCTTCAGGAATATTTAGGCTCGTATGCTACTAGTCAGGACGGTACTCTTAAATACCAAGATGGTGTACTTGTCGAGGCATTAAAAAAGGGGTTCTGGATAGTGCTAGACGAGCTCAACCTTGCTCCTACAGATGTTTTGGAAGCTCTAAACCGATTACTTGATGATAACAGGGAACTGTTTGTTCCCGAGACTCAGGAAGTAATTCGCCCACACCCGAACTTCATGTTATTTGCTACCCAGAATCCTGCGGGTTTGTATGGAGGGAGAAAAGTCTTGTCCCGTGCATTCAGAAATCGATTCCTCGAGCTGCATTTTGACGATATACCCGAAGATGAGTTGGAATTTATTTTGAAGGAACGTTCCCAAATCCCCCCGTCATTCTGTACCAGAATAGTTTCCGTATACCGACAGCTATCTATCCTACGCCAATCAAACCGTCTATTTGAACAACGAAACAGCTTTGCCACACTCCGTGATTTATTTAGATGGGCGATGCGACACGCGGATGACCGGGAGCAGTTGGCTGTCCATGGTTTCATGTTGCTTGCCGAAAGAGTCAGAAATAGCCAGGAGCGTGAGGCTGTGAAGAGGGTGATAGAAAAGGTCATGGGTGTGAAGCTTGATGAAACGGAAATATACGGCAAATCCACCGTGGAAGCACGTTTAAATCAGCTGTCCGCGGCAGTTTCAGGAAACATTGTTTGGACGCCAGCTATGAGAAGGCTTTTCATACTCGTGTCGGAAGCTATCGAGCATAACGAACCTGTCCTTCTTGTTGGGGAAACTGGGTGTGGCAAAACCCAGATATGTCAAGCTATCGCAGAGGCCTACGGCAAGGAACTCTTTACTATCAATGCCCACGTCAACTTAGAAACTGGGGATCTCATAGGCTCACAGCGACCTATAAGGAACCGATCCTCTATTATGCAACAGCTCGAGGCAGATATACATCTGCTCTTAAACCAGGTTCACGGCGAGCACCTAGGTCCATTTACGTCAGTTGATGACCTCAAAAATGCATTTTATGCAGTTGATTCCTCCGCCTTAGCCACCTGTGATCCCGATATTGTCCAGAGAATAAGAATCAACCTAACGAGAGCAAATTCGCTTTTCGAATGGTCTGATGGGAGCTTGGTAACCGCAATGAAATGCGGTCAGCATTTTCTCCTTGATGAACTCTCACTTGCAGATGATTCGGTTTTGGAGCGGCTTAATAGCGTTCTAGAGACGAGTAGAACAGTTCTACTTGCCGAAAAAGGCCCAGTAGACTCCCTTATAACAGCTGCTGATGGCTTCCAGTTTCTTGGCACTATGAACCCAGGCGGAGATTATGGAAAGCGAGAGCTCTCCGCGGCACTGAGGAATCGACTTACGGAAATTTGGGTTCCTGAGCTGCTAGAAGACAACGATATATTGCCGATTCTAGAGGCGAAGGTCCAATCGCCCTTGAAAAAGGCCCCTCAAGGGATGGTTGCTTTTGCAAAATGGTTCAAGGAAAAATTCCGAGGTCCTACCCAGTCGTCAATATCCGTTCGTGACCTATTAGCCTGGGGGGAATTTATCAATTCTTGCACTCAGCTAGACGCAGATTCAGCTATCGTACACGGTGCCTGCCTTGTCTATATAGATGGCCTCGGTGCAAACCCATCTGCGCTATTGGCATCAAGCTCTGGCGACCTTGAAAGGGACAGGCATTCCTCTTTGGAGAAGTTGGGGCTGCTATTCTCAGTTGACGCTCTATCTATTTACAACCAAAATTTAACTATGCAACTTGATGGAAATAGCCTAAAAATCGGTCAATTTTCCCTCCCCCTTGGTCCTAAGTCTAGCCCAGATTCCAAATTTGCCCTCAATGCGCCTACCACCTTATCTAACACCGTTCGAGTTGCGCGTGGCTTGCAATCTAGCAAACCAATCCTCCTGGAAGGAAGCCCTGGCGTTGGGAAGACAACCCTAGTAGCCGCATTAGCACAGGTCATTGGAGTTCAGCTTACTCGGATTAACTTGTCTGAACAAACCGATTTAACCGATCTATTTGGGTCTGACGTTCCAGTAGATGGAGGTGATATTGGCAGCTTTGCATGGAGCGATGCTCCGTTTCTGCGTGCCATGCAGCATGGTGGCTGGGTCTTACTGGACGAAATGAATTTGGCCTCACAGTCCGTTCTCGAGGGATTGAACTCATGCCTGGACCATCGTCAACAAGTGTACATTGCGGAACTGGGGCAAACTTTCCGACGGCACCCTGATTTTGTCTTGTTCGCAGCGCAGAATCCGCACCATCAGGGAGGTGGGCGAAAGGGCCTTCCAGCATCCTTCGTGAACCGATTTACCGTTGTGTACGCGGACTCGTTTACCTCCAATGACCTACGCATAATTTGCAACAGGCTAAGCCCTACATGCCCGGCAGATAGAATCGACAAACTCGTTGAATTCACCACTACCCTGAATACAAAGCTACTCACTGATCGTCGGTTGGGAGCCCTTGGAGCACCTTGGGAGGTTAATCTTCGGGATATATCTCGGTGGCTCAAGCTGCTTACTTCCTGTCCTGCGGAGATTTCTCCCGCTCAATACCTTGACGTGGTCATCTCACATAGGTTCAGGACTACCCCTGACAGGTCGTTCATTTCACAATTATATGCAAACATCTTTGGTTCTATACCCGAAATCAAATCCTACTTTCACAATCTCAGCCCGAAAACATATCAAGTTGGCTTGGCAAAATTGGAACGGAGCACAGAGCTGTATCATTCTTCGGTCAATGACTCGGAAGAATTTCCTCGCAATTTGCATGTCACTGAATCTATGATGCTCTGCGTGGAAAACAGCTGGCCGTGTCTCCTCGTTGGCCCGTCTGGCTGCGGAAAGACTTCTAGTATACGAAGACTTGCTGCTCTCAGTGGCGCGAAGCTTGTAGAACTTGCTCTTAATTCTGATACGGACGCCATGGATCTCATTGGAGGCTTTGAGCAGAAGGATAGTCATCGAAAATATATGACATTTGCAAGCGAACTTGGTAAGATTTTGCGGCGTGAGATTGCTCTTGCATATGCACACTCTGAGGGTATCCCACTTGGTCCCGAGCTGGTACGGCTATATCAAATAGTCATGCATAGCTCTTTTAACCCCCAATCACTTCTAGAGCACCTTTCCGAAATAGTGTCGCAACACCCAGAAAATGCATTCCATGATATATACGAGCAATGCAAACGGATATGTATCGATAACGGTGTGAGAGAAGCTGGATTTGAGTGGACAGAAGGTGTCTTGATACATGCTATGCAACAGGGCAATTGGGTGGTGCTAGACAACGCCAATCTTTGCAATGCAACAGTCTTGGATAGGCTTAACTCCCTACTGGAACCGAATGGCTGTCTCATTGTAAATGAACGCAAGTCGCCAGACGCCCTAGCACAGGTTATCACTCCACACCCTAATTTCCGACTGTTCTTGACAGTAGACCCTCGACACGGCGAACTTTCTCGAGCCATGCGAAACAGATCTGTTGAAATCTACTTCCTACAGGAGGATGAGATAAACACTTCCCGCTTAAGTGGAGCAAGATATCTGAACGAGGCTGCAATATATCGCATCCGGGAATGTCAGAACCTAATGCACTCTGATGAATCGCTCAACGATGACCCTCAATCAATCGGAATTGGTCTTGATCATCTATCGCCTCGGGACTTAACTTACCTCCACTACTCCATCAAATCATTTGTTCAGCTGTGGACCAGAGGCTCAACGATATCTCCGATGGCTGCCGAATTGATGATTGAAGGTTATAATACTCTCCTTAGTCGCAATGCACTTCTTGGGCAATTAGAATCCATTGGTCAAGAGGGTGTTATAGTGTGCAAAAATGTTGATAGCCAAGAAAAAATAGAGGTTTGTAACCCCTACTCTATTGATATATATGTTGCTAATAATTTGTTAGCCTTTACACCCACTAATAAACCAGCCACGACTACTTTCCTTCTTTCCAGCAGAGAATTCTCAAAAGATGCTGATCAAGGCGGCGAAATTGCAGGAGCTCCAACTACAAATTGTCCATTTTTATCAGCAACTTTCGCAAATGGAGTCTACTGCCAGGAACAAAAAGTCGTCGGAAATGACTCATATAGAACGATCGATGACGTCGATGACTATACAGTCACATTTAAAGGATTCGACTCAACCAGTTGCTAGCTTTCTGTACGGCTGTTGCAGCGCGTTGAATAAGTCCCTTGAGACACTCACTTTGGAAACATGCTCTGATAGCGCCCTTCAACTGGCAGAGGATATCATACACTTTTGCTGGGACGTCTTCCGATTGACGCAAGGCAAAATCCTAGATAATGCCGTGTTTTTGACATATCTTCTTATTGGGAAGGCCATCTGCCTAAGGTTCGAGCATACCTGCTCGGATCTTCAAAGTAATTTTACTGAGCTTTTAAGCTCATTTAACGCCAATTGGAAGTTAAGTACTGGGGAAAGCATGCAGCGTATGTGGGACCTGTGGCGTCCAGCCACTCCCACGAATCCCCGTCAATTAGCACAAAAGGTGGAATTTGAAAAGCTCCGCGCAAGATATGATCGGGTTGCATTGAGATCTCGAGTACCTATTCATGAGTTAGGTCGGATTTATGACTCCTTTCTACACGTCCAAACGTCAATTCTACGTGGAGCGGATAGCACAGCCTTACTACCCGTAAGTGACCACTTTAGCCCCTGTTACATTTATCTCGCTAATAACGATAATTAGGAATTAAACAGCACGATAAGTCACTTTAAGGCTCAAGCACTAAAAGCTGACCCATATGATACTCCTCATTTTGCCTCGGAGTTTGAAACGTTATGTCAATACAACGATTTGTTAGATGACGGGCCCTATACCCCATCTCCGCTTCCAGGGTCCATCAGGCTACTTGCTGGCAGAGCCTCTCGCCCTAATGAAATTTCCTCGATCGGTAGTGCTGTTCCTGGATTACTATCCAAACTCACGCAATACCTGGGATGCCAGAACTCAACTTGTGGCCCGTTTGCATTGCTAGGAAATATTTCTAACTCCCTCGTGCATAAATTCGAGTGTATTGGCCAGGTTCCTCTTGGTCAGATAGACCTACTTGAGTCTGAAATTGGTCTCCTCTCCGAAGGTTTGGCTGCGAATACGTTTCAACTTTCTAGAAACCAGCTTGCCCTTCTACAACGCCAACTAGCAATATTATTCAAAGAACTGCTCCTGTGTCACAGTGATTTTATCGACACAGACTCTTTTTATACCGCTATGCAACAATTGCAGGAGCTTCAACCAGGGGAAATGGAGTGCTTGGAGACCTCCTCTAAATGGGGGGTCCAAAATCACCCAAAATTTGCAGATCACTCGTTGGCCCGACATCTACTTGGAGATAAAATTCCCAGTTTGCTTCAAGGAGTCTATGGCCCCATAGCCGAAAAAGATGCTATCGCCCAGCTAGGTGAACTTTGCGTCAGGCTATCAATAGGGCTACTACACTGCTATGTTCCAAACAGGCCCTTCGACCCATCACTGAGCCTAGCTATTGAACATCAACAACATATCCAGCGGTGGCGGGAGCGAAGCATGAAGCTTGATTGCCTTCGTGCATGTGAACTTCCATTTTCTGGGCAAAAGTCGACCTTACGTATCCAAGCAGCTGAAGATGAACTGGAGTTTCTTAGTGCAACGCCTCCAGACACTCCCGTGACCCGTCCAGAATCCTCTAGATTGGACAATGTGCAAGCCCAGTTCACCAGCATACTTAACTCGGTTTTGAATCAATCTGTTGAGGAGATCATATCAGCCTCGTGCATACCTAATTCTGAAACACCAAGTCAAAACAACTCGGCCCCGGAGACACTACTCCAGCTCAATATTCGTCAGATAGTCCGTCGACTTTCTGTTAACTCCCCAGGATATGATGATATAACTATCCTAGCTATTAGATTCCTTCAACTTCTTGACCAAGGGATAGAGTTGATTCGCCATGGCCGAGTTGATCCCACCCAGGACGCTACGACTATCCTTAATATTTGCCGAATAACTCCATTCTTGGGGCCACATTTACCAGATCTATCCTCAGCCACTACACCTTCTCTCAAGGGAAACCAGGACATAAGGGCGGAGGCCGAAATTCACAAGCTATTGATACTTGGCGCAGCTCAGAATGTTGATGAACAGACCCTCTCAGAGCCTGTTCATGTAAACATTCTGCATGGTGTTCTTGATAGAGCTTATGTTACGTGGAAGGAGAAGTTAGAAAAAGACCAGTCTCAAGAACTAGAAAAGTCCAAATTCTACCATTATCGAGGGTCATTTGAAGATGACGAGCAATTGGATTCTATGGAAATGCTTCGACTATTCCCTATCTACGACAATCATGATGAGCCTGACGACGAAACTCCGGCGCATAGTTTACAAACTGGTGACCTGCGTCTGAAACTCTTCACAGCCTTCAAGAATCTCTTCGTGCCTGGAGATAAAACCCTCCGCTTGAAACATGCAGTCAAGGAAGCATATCGCCTAGTCGGGTTATTGACGCACCACTTAGGTTTAGCAACGGCTCCAGTAGAACTTAAGTACCACCTTGCTCCTGTTTTCCTTCAGCTGGAAGACATCCACCAAATAGACAAGGTCAATAACTACAACTTTTACACCGATCCTAACACGGCAGAAATCAAAAAATTCGCGTCCCTTGTTCAGAAGGTGCAAACTCGCTTTTTCCAGCTACAAGAATCATGGCCTGAGCATGCAACACTTACTGATGTTGTGAACTGGTGTTCAAAAATATTTAAGTATCAGCATCGAGAACCACTAGCTAAATTCCTAACAATGGCCGAGAAACTTCATGAACACGTACATGAGTGGCAGACAGTTGCGAGCAAAGAGTTTTCTGCTATCGATTGCTATAACGACTTGACTTCGACATTAATTCACTGGAGGCGACTCGAGCTGTCCACTTGGTCCCGTTTACTGGACGTGGAAGACGAAAAATGCCAGGAAAACGCAGCTTCTTGGTGGTATATGGCATACGAAGTCATTGTTGCCGTTCCATTACAATTGATACAGGATAGACAGCAGTTGGATAGCCATGTTTCTGATCTGCTAGTCACTCTTGAAAAATTTCTCCATGCCACCCCAATGGGACAGTTCGCTTCTAGGGTTGATCTTATTGAAAAGTTCAAACTTCTCCTATTGCTCTATGTTACTGAGCTGCCAGCCTTGAAGCAAGTGATATCCGCTCTCGACAATCTTCTTGGCCATTATAGACCGTTCGCTTCCCCAATCCACACTTCGCTACAAAATGGACGGCAAAGCCTTGAAAAAGAAATAAAAGAACAAGTTCAATTGGCAAGCTGGAAGGATACCAACATCACAGCGCTACGGGAAAGTGCCCGCCGTTCTCATCATTCATTGTTCAAAATCATCCGAAAATATCGACGTTTACTCGCACAACCCTGCGAAGAACTCCTTTCAAGAGAAATCCCTGGGGGTATTCCGGAATCTCAGAACCCGTTAATTCCCCAATTGCACTCTCCCAAAGCCGTGGCTTCCGCTGCATTGAACCTGTATCAGAAGAATGGAGAGCTCTGGGGTTCAAGACCCACAAGGTTCCAAAATCCCGATTCCACAGCTAGAAACATGTGCCAAGTTTACGAAGGCGCCTTACCTAAGTTCCAAGCAGCCACCGAGCTCGAGGGGATCATGGCTGATGTGGTTATGTCCATTTCAGATTTCCAAAAGCGAACACCAAAGACCCTTACAAAAGAAAACAAGGAGGAAATTCAACACCTCAAGGCCCAAAAGCGTAGCTTTTATGCAACTAAACTCAAGGAACTACGCCACATGGGCCTTAGGTCTAATCTTGGGACAGACTTACTAGATAAGCAACGCTCTGTTAGTCTCGTTCTTGCTACGACGTCAAGCTTTGACTTCCACCATTCTGTTCCCTTTGCTGTCAACGCGAATGAGTATTTCCATCGTTTTCTTCATATGGTCCCAAGTGTGCGCCAAGCAGCACGCAACTATTCAGAAGACTTGAGTAATGTTGAAGCTGGACGGAGTGCTGGGTTCACTGAAGGGTTCCTATATCAAATGCTAAGGCAGAGAGACGTACTATCTCCTGCCCTGGCTTCTCTTGAATCACTCGATAGCATCTTTAAATTGGCATCTGCTATTTCTAGCAATTCAATCATACGTGCTAGTGGCGGGGCCGCCTGGCAACAGCAAACGACCTACCGCACCCTTAAATGGCTACCTACTATCATAGAGCTGTCTTCGACAATTCTAACCATCCATGGCAAACACTCTAATACCGGTTCTTCTGCAATACTTTCTTCCTTGACCTCGTGGAGAGAACGCGCAAATTCCTTGCAGGAGCAGTTAACCACCCTTCCGATCCTCCCGCGCCGATTGTTATCTCAATCCCATGAGGCCATAACCGTTGAAGCGAAGGAGTTCATAGCATGTATGAAATCGGAAATTTTGACACACATGCAATCCCAACCCGAAATTGCATTTGCCCTTAAGCAACTACTCCTCTGGACAGAACATAGTGCTGAAGAAGTCTCCCATGCGTCTTATGACAACACCATCACATCTTCGTTAAAGGGGGTGGACTCCTCTATCCTTACTGCTATGGACAAAATCCTAGTCGCTTTGCAAAGAGTGCAAGGTTCAATTTCGAACGCCCCTATATCGACTGATATTACTGCCTGGCTATCAAAGACGGACGTATCGTTTTCTAAATCTATTGTTGAGCTCCACATTGATGAAATTTCTTCCACACTGAGATCAATTTTCGATGGAATAGAAACCATATCTGACCCTAACGACCTTGATATTGCGATTGCCGGCGTCAGCCTTAGCCTGCCGGTTTTGGAACAATATCAATATATTTGCTCAGATTTGGTCTATCGATACGCCGCCTTCCACTATACGTTTTGCAAATTCGGGTACACCTTGGCTAAGTCTTTCAAACAGGTAGCATCAGAAGGCTTTTGTAGCCCATCAGTACCGTCCGAGCAGCAAGGGCAAAGCGATAAGGTAGAAAGCGGAACTGGCCTTGGCGATGGTGAAGGCGCAGAGGATATAAGCAAAGATATCCAGGATGACGAGGACCTTTCAGAGCTTGCACAACAAAAGCAGGAAGATGGAGACAAGGAAGATTTGGAAGGAACTGAAGACGCGGTCAACATGGACCATGAGGAACTCGAGGGACAGGAGGATGAATTTGCTAAAGAAAAAGAGGATGGTGATGAGGGTGAATCAGATGCGGAAGAGGAAAATGACTTGGATGAAGAGGTTGGAAGTGTTGATGGTTGGGACCCGTCGGCGGTGGATGAAAAGCTATGGGATGGCGCGAATGATAAAGAACAGAAGGACACAGAAAATAACGATGGTAAAGGCGACGAAAACACAGAAGAGATCTCAGCCGCAGCTGAGGAGCGAAAGGATGAGAAATCAGCGAAAAACGAAGCCAGGGAGGACCAAGATGCCGTTGAAAGCGATGAAGACGCGCCAGACGATGAACAAGAAGGTGTTGGCCGAGAAGACATGGATGTAACTGATCCACATGCCCAGGAGAACGAAGTTCTTGATTTGCCGGAGGATATGGATTTGGATGGGGAGAAAAAAGAAGAAGAAGAAGAAGGCTCTGACGCAGAGGGCGGCATGAGTGAAATTTCCATGGAAGATGCCGCTGATCAAGAGGATTTACCAGATGATATCATTGAACAGGACAATACAGATGCGAGATTGGGGAGCCCCGATGCTGATATGGCGGAGGCGGAGAATGATACCAATGAAGAAGGTCAGGCGGAGGAAGCCGGTGAGCAGGAGCAAGTACCCCAGCAAGATGACGAAGAAGATAAAGGGGATATCATCCCGGCAGAAGACGAGCAACCAAAACCCAACCCGGATAACACCGCACCCAGTGACCAGGTTTCTGCTGGTGTTGAGCACGATCAGAGTAATGAGAAGGGCTCTTCCGGAGACGCTGCCATTGACCAACCAACTAATAAAATGGAGGAAGATGGTGAAGGTGAGGGCGACGGTGCCGAGGAGCAAGGTCGAGATGGAAAACAATCCAACATGGAAGCTGGCGATGCGAACAAGGATGAAAAACAAGACCCGCAACTTCAGGCGTTTAAGAAGCTCGGCGATATCCTTGAACAGTGGCATAGGTCTCATCGGGAAATACTGGAGGCTTCTGAACAAGAGAACGAACAAAGCCAAGAACAAGATATTGGCGAGAAAGATGTCGACTTTGAACACCTGGCGGACGATCAGGATATTGCTGATACACAGGCCCTTGGGCAGGCAAATGAGGAACAATCACAGGCGATGAACCAATCCAAGGCAATAGAATCAGACACTAAGCCCCAAGATAATGAATATCTTCCAGACGCTCAAGAAATGGAGGACTCCAAGGTACCCGATAACCTAGAGGACTTGATGGAAGTTGATGCCCCAGTCGCCTTGAACGACCAACAGCAACCTGCTTCTTCCATTTCACGCCCTGATAACGCGATGGTTCGTTCTCATGAAGATGAAGGTAACCCCGCGGAAGAGAAGGATGATCTTGACGACGTCGATACCCATCTTTCTATTATTAACCTGTCATCCGATTCCACCCCCTTGACCCCGCCAGATGAAGCACGCAGGCTTTGGACCTATTATGAGTCTATCACTCATGATCTTTCCCTCTCGTTAACAGAACAGCTTCGCCTTATTCTAGCCCCTACCATGGCAACAAAACTCAGGGGTGACTTCAGAACCGGCAAGAGGCTTAATATCAAACGCATCATCCCTTATATTGCCTCTCAATATAAGCGTGACAAAATATGGATGCGTCGGTCTGTGCCCTCAAAGCGAAATTATCAAATAATGCTTGCGGTAGATGATAGCAAGTCCATGCTAGAGGGAGCGAGTGGTCAGCTTGCATTCCAAACCCTCGCTTTGGTTGCAAGGAGCTTGAGCATGCTCGAATCTGGTGATCTATGTATCGTCAGCTTTGGAAACGAAGAGCATATTCGCGTAGCTCATGACTTTGGGAAACCATTTTCTTCAGAAGCGGGGTCCCAGGTGTTCCAGCATTTCAGTTACAAACAAACCGGAACGAACGTACGGCAGCTCATCGCGGATTCGATGACATTGTTCCGCGAAGCCAGGGCTAAACGACCGTCTTCTTCAGCCTCTGGTGACCTCTGGCAGCTAGAATTAATAATATCCGACGGTATTTGCGAAGACCACGACAGAATCGCCCGACTCGTTCGCCAGGCGCATGAAGAGCGCATTATGCTCGTTTTCATTATTGTCGATGCAGTTCAGGAGGAAAGCCGATCTATTATGAATCTCTCTCAGGCCACGTTTGAGTCCGATGGATCGGGCCCGGGTGACGGGAAGTGGAAAATGAAAAAGTATCTTGACGGCTTCCCTTTCCCCTATTATTTGATTGTGAGAAATGTTCAGGAGTTACCGGCTGTTTTGTCCCTGGCGTTGAAACAATGGTTCGCGGAGGTGGTGGAGGTTTCTTCTTAAAAGTTTAGACAATATTCCCCTTGCTCATTTCATTGCAAGTATTAATATACCTGTTTGTATTATAGCGTATAGTTATAGATAACTACTGAGTACTATTCTATATCTGCCCTGTATTTCTGAAGTGAATGTGCTCAAAACTGCTGGCCTTGAGGATGGAACTGCATTAAGAAGAATACTGGTATGCGGAAGGATATGACGATTAAGAGGCTGCAAAACAATATCCTATTTACATTTCCGGTGTACATGCGTGTACATCCAGAGTTCTCGCTGCTTATGCGACTTATAATTATAAGTTTACCAATGAGAGAAAATAAGCAGCAGTCTCCACGCGGCGGTAGGGATGGATATCGACGCTTACCAAAATTGGGAAAGTGCGACAGAGCTAAAATAAGCTTATTTTAATCAGATAAGATAAGATTAGATCCAACCACTATTGGCTTGGAACTTGGAACGTACCTTATTCAAAAGAAATACTCCGTAGATATCTGAGGGGAATTTTTATTAATGGGCAAAGTTATGTCAGCCATTAATCTATAAAATGTAGAATTAATATCAAATTCATATACCCCCGGAACGGTCTGGGGGAGTGCGAACTCCTGCGGAATAATACGAGACAAGTATATACACTTTGAAAATCACGAACCCCGGTATGAAATATGGAGTGAATGTTTGCTGGAAAATGGGTCGGCAAATTCACACCATACGATATCCCTACCAACCGTACCGGGAGCTTGCTTCTTTTCTACTTCTCTTCCCAGTAGCAAAGCTATCCTCGAGGGCATCACGCTGGCTGGTCACAGCATTCACGAGCTGACTTAAACTATGTTTTCCAGGTGCGACGGCCCTAACAGGTCTATGTTGTTGGGCAGCTAGTTCAGCCTCGGACGTGTTAGACAAGTACGCCGAGTTGGCCTTATACTCTTCGTCTGTGTTAAAATTAAGGACCTTGCTAGAGGCGCCTTTAAGATCTCGCCCTAGCAGTTGTCGCATCTCTGATCGCGAAAGATTGAGGTCACTTGCAACACTTGCAAGATCTTGAGGTTGCGTGGACACCTTCTGCGAAGATATAGCTTCACTAGTCGCTGTATTAACCCCTGTCGAGTCGTCTAGCGCCTGGCCGGTTGATGCTGACGCTGGCTCAGAAGATCCTGTATAAAGCAAGGACTCGTACGGCGCGTTTTGCACGTCGGTATCCATATTTGGGGCAGTTTCAGCCGCGTCTGATAATCCAAAAAGGCTAACTTTTGGTTTTACTTTCGCTTGCGGGGATGGCAGAGGGCTTTCCCCAGCTGCTTTTGACGTAGCAACCAGCGGAGAAATTCCCGTGGTTTTTTTCTTTGGCTTGTTTCTTGCGACGGATAGCGGTTTAAACATCATTGAGTTTCCCTTTTTCTCAAAAACAGGCTCTATCCTTGAACTTTTAGAGCCCTCTGTGAGTGAAGTGTGACTGGTCTCGTTGGCGCTTGACGGTTTTCCAAACTCGTCGTAGGAGCTCAAGTTATCCGCATTCCCACTGCGGTCAAATCCGGGCTCTGCGCTGGTTTTTAAAGTAAACGGCTTGGATCTCGCAGGCACCGGCTGTGTTTTATCTGTCGAATTCCGTGCGGCACCGGTTCGTTTTGGTGCAGGTAGCATATCGTTAAATCCGGAGAATAACCCGCCTCCACCAGTGCGCAAGCGTTTTCTAGCAGGTCCATCTTCTTTATCTGGCCCGGAATCGGTTCCATCCCTACCAGGTTTTGTCTCCGATAGGTTAACAAGGATTTTTCGTGGGTTGCCACGATCGACGAGCGGCTTGAACGAGGTTTTGGATTTTGAAGCTGGAAGCTGGGAAGTGGCTGTAGATTGCTCGACGGGTTTTGTCTCGGTATCCGACTCTCCCTCTGAATCTGAATATGTGACTAGGGCCATTGTGGATGTTTTTGATGTTAGCTGTGTTGTTTGATCTTCTTTCGCAGTCAACGCGATGCTTGTTGCCAGTTGATATCGAATCATGTCACGTGCCGCCGCTATCTTTCCTCTCAGAGCGAACCAGCATCCTCCTTCAGCCCGTAGCTTCAGCTCATAGCTTCAACTCAACGAGTATGAGATGCTATCAGAATTTTGGGCACTGAGCTTCTACTCTCAGTTCACGCCGGCGCCTGCTCTGCCGCGATGCTTGAAGATACCGATGACTGCACAACGTTAGTTCCGCAGTCGTAGGATGGACCCAACTCCCAAAAATGACGTCCCAAGTCGCAGTGACTCTCAATATGGAGGGGACCAGGTTCCAGAAGCGAGCGAATACCGCGCATCACGACCTGGTAAGGTCCGACTGAAATCTAGACATTCATCCAGTGAGAGATCTCGCGACAAGAAGCGACCGCGCGAGGGAGATGACCACTATGAGAGCAGCCGACACCGACATCGACATCGACATCGACGTCGACGCCATCACAAAGATCATGAACCCACGGAGTATCGCTCACCTCCTGTTTCACCCACTACGGCATTTCGTGAGTCATTATTCGATGCACTCGCTGACGACGAAGGAGCAGATTATTGGCAAGCGGTGTATGGGCAGCCGATACATACATATGCTCGGCCAGGTGACCAAGACGAAAGAGGAGAATTGGAAAAGATGACAGATGATGAATATGCTGCTTATGTTAGGGCACGCATGTGGGAAAAAACGCATCAAGGGCTGCTGGAAGAAAGGGAACGGCGCCGGCAAGCTCGCGAAGCTGGAAGAGAACGAGAAAAAGAATACCGAGGCTCCTCAGGAAGAGGGGAAACGGAACGTGAAGCATTTGACAGAATGGTTGAGGAGAGCTTAAAACGTGGCAATGAAAGAAAGGCAAAGAAGGAGAAAACAAACGCCTGGCTTGATATCTGGAAGCGCTATCTTGACTGCTGGGAAGATTTAAATACACGGGTTCAAGGAGGACAGCCCATGTCCAGCAGCGGGGATTTGCTCCGTGATATTCTTGTCTGGCCTGTTAAATCTGGTCAACAGAAAGATGTGAATCTAGATTCAGTGGAGGAATTTTTGCGCAATGCGCCTGTTCCGCAGACGAGTACTGAAGTTTCTAGCTCCAAGCTGTCCAAGCACTCAAACCTTCTAGCTGTTTTGAAGCTAGAGCGTGTGAGATGGCATCCTGACAAAATACGACATAGATATGGGCCCCTGGGGGTTGATGAAGACATGGTTAAGGCTGCTACTGAAGTATTTCAGATTCTAGACCGAATTTGGGTAGAAGGGCAAGCCAAGAGATGATATGTGACCGTGATAGATCGTTAGCTACGTATACCATTGGAAATATTTTGTAATCATCATGGTACGTCCAATTTTGGCTCGCAACAGGTCATATACGGATGATAGGAAAGGAAAAACAAGAATAGTGTAACGAAAGGAACCGCTTGTACGAAGCCTGATATAATAACAATAAATGCCTGCCTTGAATGAGAAATTTTTTAGGAACAATCAGAGAACGTATGGCGGGAGAATAGGGTACGTATCTAAGAAAACGAATAGGTTGGGGTTGGAGATTATGTGTGCTGTGACCATGAAATATCCAAGCTAGAACCTCCCACTCTTACTAGTCCTGTAAATAGTCCATCCAACGTACGCTCCAGCAACAACAGCGAAGAATAAGATGACTTTAAAGAAGAACCATAGCCAACTACCGCCGCTTTTTGGTGAGGTATATGTGTGATCCTTTTGCGCATTCCTTTGGTTGCCAGATTGGCCAGTTTGGCCAGGGCCGGTGCTGTCACTCCCTTGTTTGGTGTATAAGGAGAATGCGTCCACTTCCAGGATATCGTGGGTATCGCTAAGTTCACCAGTTTCTGCGCTGAAGCCGAGATAAGACGCAGCGGGGAGATTTATCGGAGTTTCAGGTTTCGACTCAACCTTGAAGCAAGAAGTCCAGGCCATGTCCGACTTATATTGCAGATCGAGAGCAAGATACTTATCCTGGAAGTACGTGAGACGGAGTTTGGTGGGATATGAGGAGCCGCGGATTCCTCGAGCCTAAAAGTACAAGTTTGTCAGCTGTAAATTCCAATTACTGGGAGGTTATTGATTGCTATACCGAGCATGCTGCGAGCTGGTTCGCTTGACCGTCCTTGGCTGCATCGTATAAGGTGTTGCCGTCGCCAATCATAGCCATCACCATTGGGAAGGTCATTCCTTGTCGGCCATTCTTGTAAGTATCAATGAAGATACCTAAGCCCTTGAATTTATCCGCCGATCCAAAAACTGGGCCCTGACTTGCGCGTCCTTCTGTGAGCCACATGGCCATGCCATCACCGTGAAGGGTTCCCTCGCCGTTGATAGCAAAATCAACCTCAACCTGTATAAAGGCAAGTTAGAGATCTTGGCTACGAGGCCGTGACAGCGTAGAATGAACAGGATAAAGGCCACTAACCTGCCAATTCGTTGCAGTAAGGGGCACGCGAGAGAAAATCCAGCCGCTTTGGGATGGTCGGTCGGCGGTCAAACGAATGTATCTGCGTATATCAGCATTATGCTCTCAAACTCTACAAACCTCGCAGCTTGGTATTCAGCGAGGAACCGTACCGGTCTGCACGAATGACGGTGTCTCCTCCAAAATCAAACCATCGATTCGACATATCAGAGTCTAAGTAAGGCTAATCCATCCAGATGCAAGCACGCGGTCCTTTGTCAATAACAGTATTCCGTTTTCGCGGAGAGTATGCGCCTGCGCAAAGGGCCTGATCGAACGCACCGTTGCCAAGCTAAAAGACCTCATCTATACAGTATAGACGTTAGCGCATATCCTCTAACTGTATATAATGCGCAAGATATACTACATACCGGCACCCTCTTCGTGCTGGGATGGTTATCGAAGTCATTCTCGTTTGCCTGCGTGCTAGCACTGGCGACACCGAGGAAGGATAGTAATAGGAACGGTAATAGCTTCCACGCCATCTTCAATCCAGGCGATTCACAAAGAATAATTGAGAAAATAGGTCGGGAGGAAGAAACTAGGAAAAAAAATGGAGGTCAAGAGAGCGTCGTGTGTCACCGGGACATCTGCCTGCTTAAGCGCGGAGCTGGAAAGACCTCGGAATATACAAGGCTAAACAGGGAGCACGCGGCAGGCGGTATTATCATATATAAATGCCTGTAGCCTGGGTCTAAATAATACCACAATAGCAAGCCAGGAAGGACATGACACCCTGCATCAGTTCAATTGTTGTTTGCGTATAGATAACTGTGTCCACTTCTCGAACATCATCGCGGCCGGATCAACACTTTATCCTGCGCCGGCGTCTACGTCGACGGCGAGACTGTGCATAGGGCTTAACCAGTGAACTTCACAGCTTCAGGCTTGCTGTTATAAGATAAATAGCAAGGTGACAGGGGATGATATACATCCCTTCTTCTACTTTTTCCATGCTCGATGTCATTAATTTCCCAAAGGAGATAATCTTAGTCAGCATAGCGCCAAGAGTGACAATTAAGTAAGCAAATATCACATGATCTGGATTCTTTTTTGCCTTCGAAACAAACAGTTAAAGATGAAGGATAGAGATACAAGCTGGAGATAAAGTCGAAGATACAAGCTAGAGATACATTGAACACTTAAAGAGCTTATTCACTCAGGAATCAAACCCATTCACCCGTCGCCATGTCTATGTCCAACCCATTCAGCTCCCCTCCTAGCTCCGCAAATATGTCCTCCGCAGATATGAAATCCGCCATCAAACAACAACTGCAATCCGAGTCCGCCATGAACAATGCCCGCATCTTGATGGAGGTTTGTCTGCTCCATATTCCTATATTATGATGTCAATGTTAACTTGTACGGATACAGAAATTGAGTTCAAACTGCTTCGATAAATGCGTTCCTAGCCCCGGCTCAACTCTCACATCGAATGAGCAGAGCTGCCTAAACACTTGCATGGAGAAATACATCTCTCTTTGGAACACTACAAGTCGAGCGTATATTGCCCGCATTGGACAGGAGAGGGAAAAGGGCGGCTTGGTCTCGTCTGACCCGACAATTGGCGCATCGAGCGGAAACGGAGGAATTTTCTAGGTCGTCTTAGGGCTACTGGGGGTGGATAATGGCATATTTAATGGGTTGGGGTGAGGAGACATATGGAATTGGGCTTGGAGTCGTATTTCGATCAAGGCGTCATGGGTTATTGACTGATTGTCGGCTCCCGCCTCGCCGTATGCATGATGTTGGGGAGGATGCCATTATATGACCATGCTTTAGACGACAAAAGGCTTGGATACTGTTATATTACCTTAGCCTGGCTTGTTATGCAAGGAGAGAGCAGCCATGGCACAATTGTACCTGTATATTAGTTGTGAGGAAGTCAAAAATTCATAGAGTTTCTCTACCCAATATCTCTCTCGTTGGCTGGCTGCTTTTGAACAGCGAGATAAGATCCAGAAAACAGCACCTGAAAACAATATGCCTTGCAGCCAGGTATAGATTAATCATGCTTTTAGTTACGTCACTTATTGTACCTACATCTGCATACAGATGCAGAGTCGAGTACCACACCACCATCATACCCAAGTCCCCAGACGCATGAACTGATAATAGATATAAAAATAATAACTCATCAACATGGACGGCGACGTAGGGAAAGCAAGAAAAATAAGAAAAAGCATCGTGTAAAAGGCAAAATCGGTAAGAAAAGACGCGGCCCACGTATCTGTATATGGTATGGAATGTATATATAGAGGCATAAACATCTTTGAGAGGAAGATGAATGGGCGGAGGATATGGTTGATGAAATAAGTAAGAAAATGGATGAAATAGATAGTCCCCTCCCGAAAAATTCATCCATGCATCAAAGGTGTACAGAGACAATTAACTATTAAATTGCCTGTTCATAACGGGGGGAAAACCAAGACGAGTAAAAAACAACAACAACTCGATTAGAGGGAAGGGGCGAAAAGATAAAAAGTGAGGCAAAAGCGAATACCTTTGAGACTCGTCCGTGTTCCATATCGCCGGTTTCTCATAAAAATCTTTTTAATATGATATAAATGGAAGACAACCATGAGAGAATCCCACCAACTATCACCTATCAAGTGGTGGGAGGTATATGGCGAGATATAATAGGGTTTCGAACCATAACTTGAAGCTTGATTTGAAGGGTGGTGACGAGATGAAACCCAAAATAAAAAAGAATAAAAAGAAATAAAATAAAAAAATCACAGACCAGCTGTTGCCGATGTAGCATAATTATAGGAGAGGGAGGACTTCCGCTTTCTCCATGCTGGCTTTAGTCCACGAGGCAGACGAAGGGAGCTGGGTCGTGAAGGACAGCGGAAGGATATATTGCCCCATCGTAAATAGCGAGCAAAACATGAAACAGCTACGAATGAAGATGGTGTGCTGCTTCCTTCGTTTAAAAGTCGCGGAAGAGATGGCCGTATCTGATAACAAGGTTAATAGGGGATGCTACGTTGGGTTGGCAAGGGTACGTATGATAGCGCGACTTACTCATCCTCTGCAGGGAGGCCATACTGTTCCGTCTCTTCCGCGTAGGTATCGAACATGCAGGCATCGCCCGATCCACCCTTGACAGGTGGTATATAGGGAGCATCTATCCGCCGTTGGGCAAGTAGCTCCCAAGTGACCTCCGCAAACCACGGATGGTTCTTGACATCCTCCGATCCACCGTGCAGGTTGCCCAGCCTCTTAGTAAGATCCGGCGTGATTAGTCGAGATAGAAGATCCTGTGCATCTGGAACTAGAGAGGGAGGGTATTTGACACGGCATTTTAGGATGTTTTCGTATATTTTCATGGGGGAGCCACTGTCCCAGAACGGAGTAAAGCCGCAGAGCATCTCGAAGATGAGTATACCGAGGGACCACCTGGTTGTTTGTTAGTACTGATAGATAAACATGGGAGTATAAAATAGAAGTACATACCAATCGACGGACTTGTTATAGCCCTTGGACGAGACGACTTCGGGAGCCAGATAGTCTGGAGTGCCGCAGAGAGTCCATGTGATATCCCTTACTTCCTTCGCGAAACCAAAATCTGTGATTTTCAGGTGCCCGTTCTTATCCAAGAGGAGATTCTCCGGCTTCAGGTCCCTGTAAACAATGTTCTTCGAGTGCAGATACTCCAGAGCCAGAGTAACTTCGGCAGCATAGAATTTCGCCACTGGATTTGGGAACCGCTACATCATCCGACCGTTTGTCAGCTTCCGTCATCGTCATATCTCTACGGCTGTAGCCAAACATACCTGCGACTTCCTGAGCAGACTGAACAATTCGCCGCCCTCGGCGAAATCCATCACCATGTAGAGGTTCTTTGCATCCTGGAAGGTGCCCCAGAGCGTAACCAGGAACGCATGCTTGACCCGCTCCAGCATCGCGCGTTCATCGTTCGTATGCTCGACCTGCTTTAGCTTGACCACCTGTGCCTTCTTGAGCACTTTTATAGCGTAGAACCGCTGGTTGTGTATAGACTGGACGAGATGGACTCGGCCGAAACTGCCAGTCCCCAGCGTACGGTGAATAGAGAAGTCGCCCAACGAGTATTTCCCCTTCAATTGGCGTTGTGAGGCACGAATTGAGGCATCCGTAGCCCCTGCAGCATGTTGTTGCTGTGGTTGTGGTTGTTGTTGTTGTTGTTGCTGCTGCTGCTGTGGTTGTGGTTGTTGTTGCGGTTGCTGGTGGTGCTGCTGCTGGTCGTCGTGGTGAGGCGGGTTTATGATATTCTTGATGCTGGTGACGTTGTGAGGCTGGAGAGCCGACGGCTGCGTCTGCTGGGGAGATCTCGACTGCGAGACGTCGCCTGGCCCCGAGGCCGGGTGAGGACTGGGACGCTGGTAGGTGGTGGACATGTTGGCGAGAGCGGGCGCGAGAGTGCTGGAGGGCGAGTCAATGGCGGCAACGCCAGCAGCAGGCGCAGAGGAGGCAGAGATCGAGTGTTCAGCGGCACCGACAGCGTCGTTATTCACGCTGGACTGCTGGCTGGACTGTTGGCCGGGCTGTTGGCTGAGCTGTTGGTGTTGACCGGGCTGGCTGGGCTGTTGAGCGGTATGGCCGGCGATCGCAGCGGGCGCAGAGACGGCAGCGGTGGGAGGAGAGACGGCCACAGTGGTCTCCGGAGCAGAGTCAAGGTCCTTGGATTTCGAGTCCTTCGTCCGCCGCTTCTTGAGTAGGCCTCCAAAGGTCGGCATGGAACAAACAGCCCACCTAGAGAGAGCGGGAGGGAGACTCCGGGCGAGGCTGGAGGGGCGGCGCTGGGGTCGCAGGGAGAAAGGCGATGCAGCACGAAAAGTTATCGACAGGCACAAGGTTAGCAAGACGATACGAGGATTATCTGCAGCAAATATAGTCGAGGGTCGCTCCGTATAAATAGCTGCGGCGGAAGATGTGTGGGATAGAGGCCGAAACGCTGGCGATGCTTTAGAAAACGCCCCCCACCTCCGTGGCGACACGTATGGCAGTCTGTACGGAGTATACTATCTCGATATAACAGATGAAGAGACGATATAAGAGAGATGGTAAGAGAGAAGAAGAGAAGATGGGATGCGGCTAGAAGTGGGACAGGGGGTTTCACGTTTATAGACGAGACGAGGATGAGATGATAAGAAGAAGACAGAGACGAAGATGAAGATGAGAAGAAGAAGAAGATGAGATGAAGATGAAGATGAAGATGATAAAGATGAAGAAGAAGATAAAGAAGAAGAGAGGACTCGAGCCTCGCGGATCAACGCCACAGTAGTCTACGCCGTATATGTCTACGATGACCTCAAAGAAAGATTGATAGAGCTATTGATGAATACATGAGTACTGAGTCCTCCTGCGCCATACAAGGAGACGATATAAGAGAATCACAGCCGGTAGTGAGCCATGTTCTTCTTGATCTCGTCGACAATCTCGATGGCCTCCACGGCATTCTTCGCTTCAAAGTCATATCTCTTCTGCTCGTTCGCCTCCGTCCCTCGCAGCACCACGAACCGGAAACTCTTCGGATGCCGCCTGCTCACCTTCGACCCGATAACGTCGCAGAACGAGATCGAGGTCGTCTTGCTGTTGGCCTCGAACAGCGTCTTGCCCGTCTCTGCCGGCATGATGTGCATGTAGTCGTTGTCAAAGGCCAGTACGCGCTGGCTCGAGGTGGTGAAGGACATCGACTGCTTGCGGATGACGTGGTAGCGCTTGTAGTATCCCCCCACGATCACGTCCTGCTTCTGCGCCAGCGGGTGAAGCATGCGTGAGGCTGCTCCCTTCTTGCTCTTCTTGGAGGAGGTGGCGGCCGTGCCGTTGTCGACCAGCAGAGGCGCGTTGGGAGAGGAGCTACCCGGCGAGCCCATGAGGGAGAGCGGGCCGGCGCCGAAGCGACGACGGACAAGCTCGAGGTCGGTAATGTTGCCCAGGGCCGCGACGGTGCGGTCTAGTGGCGCCACCGTGTTGGAGTTCATGACCTTGAGTAGATAGTTGCCCTTGTCGAGCTGCCATTTCTTGCAGACGGAGTCGAGGATCTCGGCAATGTAGCTGTCCGTCGACGTATTCAGGGTAGTCGTCCGCGTGGAGGCCTCTAGGTCGACGTATCGTACCTTTAGCTGGGTAGAGACTCCCAGTCGAGGAGTGGCTTGCATCGTGGGGATGGCTGGGAGGTCGGCGGGCCGTAGGGAGCTGTCGTTCAGCGCTGTGGTGAACGGGTGGCCCAGGATCGGATTCATACGGCCACCGATCGCTACCTTGATATGGTTCGATGGAAGGGCTTGTGCACCCGCCGTCTGTGAGAGTGGTGGTGGTGGCATCTCTGCTGCTGGTGCAGCCGTCGGTGTAGTGACATCAGGGGCAGCGATGCTATCCCCCGGGCATACCGTCTCGTTCTCTTCGAATTCCGCTGGCGATGCCTCCACGAGCGCAAATTCATCGTACGGCTTACTCCTCGACCGTCCCCTGAATCCCGCTGCTCGGTTGTTGTTCGATGTGAAATCAGTGATCGGTCGTTTCCTGGCAAGGGGAGGGAAGTCGTAGTCAACTTCGCCGTCCTCGACCATGCGTAGATTCCAGTAATTGACTCCCAGTTTCGAGATATCAATAGCCGGTTTGATCTTGTCGTCCGTATACCGCCACAGAGCCAGGCCGATAGCTTCAGCAACTGTGACAGGTCGCGAGTGGTCTCCGTCCTTTGTATCCTTCGTAAGAGGCATGTCCATTGGCTCCTCTGGGTCCTCTGAGCATGGGGTATACAGCTTGATATACAGCGGTGTTCCGGATGACCCCTTTCCAGACAACACAGCATACTTCTCGGTAGGGTTTTCAGGCGCTTTCTTTCGCGCATTGAGCATGTTGGATAGAAGACTGACGGGCTCCGTTGGTGTGATCGGTTGCGCCGGCGGTAATCTTGGTAGCATCGGAGCAGATATATCTTTATCCTTCCTTGGAGACGAACCTCCGCCTTGCGCTTCCATGCCTCTAGGTATCTTGTTCAGCATCAACGGCGACGATGCGTGAAGTGCGCCACGGCCCAGCAACGACCCCGACCCGGCCGTGTTGCCAAAGTCCGACGATATGGCAGACCCAACAGAGCCGGCAATAGAATCATCGTCGTGGTCATGTTCATTCCTCTGAGCTCTCATAGCTCCGCTGGCCATTTCAGCCTCCATCTCTACTTCCTCCTCTAGTTTCTCGCTCTCTGCATCCTCGTCCTCTTCCCGCGGGACAAAGGCTTCATTCTCGTGCTTCAAGAACTTTATTTGTCGCCTTTTCATGGCCTCTGGGTCTAACTCGATATCGGACGACATGTCGCTGCTTGTAGTCGTGTCTCGCCTCGCCCGAGACTTGATGGCTTCCACCGCTCCAAGAGAACTTCTTCGAAATCGGTTATCTACAGACCGTATAGACGGGGATGTGATCAGGACCTGCGGGCCGCCTTGATGCTCGGAGCCTCTGATGGGTGATGAGTCCGCACGATGACGGACTGGCATCTTTGTAAATTGGATCTGCTGCACGGCTCTATTCAATGTAGTGTTAGCAACCCAAATGATATTGATACTCTCCCCTCCCGGCAAAATAGCATATTCAAAATGTACCTCTGTCTCGAAGTCTCCTCGTCACTCTCATCGCTGAGATCACTGCTATCCTCCTCCCCGTCGCCCGGGGTCACCGGCCGTCTGGAATTTTTTGCATGGCCCCTCCGACCCAACTCTTGCCGGCTCCCTTTCTTCTTATACGCCTGCCGTACAATATTTGTAAATCCCAACCCTGCCATCCCCTCCGTATTCAACGTGATTTCTTCGTCTTCCTCGTCGTCGGCGGCGGTAGCACGCCCAGTACCCAGCTGCAAGGTGTCCTCGCCGCCAAAACTGCCATCTCCGTTGATCACTTCAGCTCCCCCTCCGCCGCCGCCGCCGTTGAAGTTGTTGCGTCGCGCGGCATTGTGAGCTGCGTATTGTGCCCCGACAGCCGTCGCCGTTGGTATGGGAGGCGAGTGAGTCCGTTTGATATGAGCGGCGTTTGGGTCAGCGGCAACCGACCACCCAGCAGAACGGAAGCAAGGCGAGTTCAGGATCGAGGAGTTTACATTGATAAGACGGTCGCCAACACCGTCCTTTATCGTAGCCAGGTAGGAAGTTCGAAGCTGCCAGATGGTGAACCTATAGTGCCTGGGTTAGATAGACATGAAAGGGTGGTTAGAGCGATGCACTCAACGTACTCTTCGTTCTGGAGCAACGCCATCTCAAGTCGGTAACCCGCAGTACCATCAAGATAAAACGACAACAGCGCGATCAACAGTGTCTATAGAGTGTTCGACTATGTACGGAAACCGCCGATGCGAAGCTGAAGCCCGGCGCTGGTAGCGGGGTGTCGGTCGTTTTGGAGGATGGGGCGACGATGCTGTGCTGGACTGAGACAAGAGGGCGTTTGTTCCGGCATACGCATCGCCGGCAGGCTGGAAGGCGATGAAGTGAGAAAGAAGTGAAACCAGGGCCAGCCTGGACTTGGTGACCTTGAACTGCGATGCTGGTAACGCTGTCTCCGAAGCGAGCCTTGAAACGTAGCTTCAAATCTCAACGTTCTTTCGATCTGGGCCTCTGGGGTGCATCGGTGGCGTTGTGGCTGAGCTGACAATATTCATCAGGCCATCTTGGTTTGTTTATTACGAGGATACTGCATAGCAACGGAGGAGATATCGATGTTAGAGTATTATATAGGCTGGGATATGGCTGTATTGAGATGTTGCAAGACATAGGTACAGCTTGGAGCGAGGATAGGAACAAGGATTGCAAATATAACCAATCCAGCAACTATGGCAGCCCATATTAACCAAGAAATCAAGCCACTGGATCAAGTTCTCTATCCCTAGCAGTGGATGTCTGAATCTCCCTTCACCAGTACCTGTCTCCTCAGGACCTGCCTTCTCATTACCATCCAGGCTACAAGCCTTATCTTGCATTCTCAGGTCAATACGATGTCACCGAGTAGGGGTGTTGCTGGGCGAGTATGCGTGCCTCTTCCTATAGAAATTCGTTCTCATAAGTATATATATAACGTAGTAGTCAGCTTGACCGGTATGAGGAAGACATACCTCTTAAAAGGGTATATGGGTCATTCTCCCGGTTATCAAAATATCAGGCCTTCCTCATATGGGTATAGAGATAATAGATATGGCATGGCCGCGATAAAATATGCAAACAACTGCGAGGTATAAAAATAAGGATGAAATTTTTGACAGCAGGAACACACGCGTAAATCATGATAAAATGGCCGACATCCTCAGCCCTTCGCCAACAAAGCACCTACCATGGATATGGAGGTTTTAGGGACCTTGTATTGATTTAATACATATTTTTGGTCCGTATCAACGACGTCCTTCCTTATCCCAGAACCAGCGGTACTGCTCGTCAGGGGCTTCCTCGACATAATCACCCACCAGTTCGGCAACAGCATCAGTGGCTTCATAACCGTCTTTACTGCCTCTTGTAAGCCCCGTGCTGCGGTTCCTCATACCAGCAGCACCCTTGACAGCTTTGGTCAAATACTCTGCGTCGTCGACCAGCTGCTGGTCCGCTGTACCCGCGGAATCACGTACTGATTCCGTGATAGCATCTTCAGACAACATAAATGGCTCCAGAATGTAGAGCAATATTGCCGAGAGGCGCAGCATTAGGGCAGCAAGTACGTCTTGTGTCAATGCCGTGGTCCCCTGGCTAAGTAATCCTCGAGAAATTTCGAGCATAAGGCCTGTATATATAGTTAGTTGGGCGGTTGACAAGTGATTTTGCATGAACATCAGAAAGGATTAGGATAGTTGATGCTCACTGCCTCTACCCCTTGAGTTCACTGGCGCAGTGACGCCGGCTCGTGCACAAGTCTGCATGACTGACACAGTATACAAGACGGACTCGGCAATAGTCCTAGTTATAGCCATAGTCACCGCGCCCTCCTTAAGGACATCATTACCGCCAACTTTCCCAACACGGGCCAAAGTAGTCCGTAAGGCCCAGTAAGCCAGCGCCATAATCGAAGGACGTGCCGTCAAAATCAACGTAGCCCAATACCCGGACCAAAACCCTCCAATTCCCTTTTCGCTAATGACCGTTTCAACCGCCTCTTTCCTACCTTGCGAACTAACCTGCCTCCTCACCACGATCGTAGCAATAGGCTCAGTGAGCAACCGTACCAGCGCCCTCGACAACACCCCCGCCGAGACGTCATTCACCATCTGTGCCTTCCAACTCATACCACCCCCACCCCTGGACAGCCTGCGAGACAGAAGCGAATATAACGCACCGACCAATATGAATTCAAAGGCTTCTTTGCTCGCCGCCTCGCCTACCCCAGCGTACAACGCACGACGACCGTTGGGGTCCTTCCACCCTTCCCTAGCCATCTTCACCACATCCCGGACGGTATCAAGACAATGCTGTATCTTATCACGGAGCACGTCGAGGCTTCGTCGTAGGTCGTCTGCCGCGTCATCTTTTCGTTTACTCTCCTTACTTTCGGCAGGGGTGTGATTATCTTCCCCCTCTCGCTGTGCGTATCTCACCTGTAAGCGAGCAATTATGGAATCAAGCGGGTAAACTATAGCGGTTGATATCGCTACAGCAAGGGCATCGGCAGCTGTATGGCTGGCAGATGTGATGGAGTCGTCATTCTGGGCTAGAGAGGTATATAGATCGTAGCTCCTTAGGTCGTTCTTTTAAGGAGTCAGCATCAACTTGATCTCGTGCCACGGGATTAGGGCAGTGACTTACCATTATGTTTCCCCCTGTCCTCGGCGAATAGCTCTTTGATATAGAGATTGATCAGTTATAGCAACGTCGAGATATCTCATCATCCTTTGGTGAGAGCGAAAGAAGTTGGGGAAGTTGGATTTAAGTTCAACCACGTGCAAGTGGAAATAAATGGCTGTGAATCAACCCTTAATAATTTGGGCCTTACGATAGAGGAAGTATATAAGATGAACCCGTCATTAGGCATGGATTGTGCTGGCATGGCTGCGGGAACAAATTACTGTTATTATACAGGAGACGGCAAAAATGACGGCGGAGATCCAGCACCAACAACTACAACTGAGGTAATACACCCTTTCCAACAGTATATACCCTCCTAACCTAGTTCCTTCCTTTGCGCATTATCATTAACATTCGATATCTCAGGGCAGTTAGGCCAGCAGGGTCTTTTCTGATCAGATATCCCCTCACATGTTCCAGCTGCATCAAAAAGATCAAAAAAATCCTCCCACCTACTAACTTCTTCCAGCTCAACCTCGTCTTCCCCAATCAGCTTCATACCTACCTTCTCAACAACCTCTTGCAGATTACATAATCGTGCATTTCACTCTCTTCTCCACACCAAAAAAGAAAGGAAAAGACGAAGAAAAGAAAAGAAAAATAGAATAAAAATAAAAAGGATAAATGTACTTCGTAGAACGGGTGTAAATGATATGTATGTCCAAATATATGATATAAAAGGCTATGTACAGATACGCACACACATGCATCAATCATGCCATATGCAATATCAGTGTCTGCTGTCAAAGCGACTCTCCCCCAATTCTCCCTCTATCCAAACCATTTCCCTTTTTCTATACCCCGTGGCGTGGGTGGGTTTTGTTTACAAGGAGGCAAAAGCAAGCTCGTAGGCGAATCCAACGACGAGCTTACCGTGCTCAACCATCTTCTCAAAGTCGAGCTTGTCGACGGTGTCATCGGGAGAGTGGATGGCTGGGTTGTCCTGGCCGAGAGGAGCCTCGTAGATGAAGACAGATGGGTAGCCGGCCTTGTTGGCAGAGGCGTGGTCGGAGCAAGCATATCCGCACTCGGAGTCCTCGTATTTACCGTAGGTGTACTGCAAGCAGTTAGTTAGTATATATCAACTCGTAGACATCATGGGGAAATAAAAGAAACTTACGGTGTCGAGGATGAGCTTGGTGAAGGTAGTGAGGCCAGCGTCAACGTTGTCGGTGATGACACCCATCTTCTCTCCGTATCCGGTCATGTCCTGGTTAAGCATAGCGACGACTGGCTTCTGCTCCTGCTCGTATTGCTGGAAGATAGCCTGGGATCCCAAAAGACCGGCTTCCTCACCGGCGTACCAGTGGAATTCGAGGGTGTTAGCGGCCTCTCCGCCAGCAATCTTCTGGTCGGAGACAAGGGCAGTGAGGGCCTCGAGGATAGTGACGGATCCAGATCCGTTGTCGTCGGCACCGGGGGCAGCTCCGTCGGGGTTGTTGCCGTTGATGCTGTCCTGGTGAGCACCGACGACGACAATCTTCTCGGATTTACCGGGGATGATGGCACGGATGGAAGGCTGCTTCCACTTGTGCTCGACCTTCTCGGCAGTGGCGCCCTTCACGTTGCCGATGACCTCCTGGACACGAGAGAGGATCCATTCGGCAGACTCGACACCAGAGTCAGCCTGGTAGTAGCGGTTGGGGAACTTGGAGAATTCCTCGAGGTTGGCCTTCATGTGGTCTCCGGAGAGCTTCTCAAGAAGTGGTTTGACCTCGGCCTGGTGGCTGACGTTTCCGGGGAAAGCGTAGGACTTTGGCTTGGAGGCAACACGGGCGGAGGTTGGGTTGTCGGTGATATCGAAGAAACCAATGTCGGCCTAAACATGTTAGATCAGGTCCGTCGAAAGTCGTGACGTAGATAATGGACATACCATGGTCAATTCGAGCTTCTCAGCGTCGGTGACCCAGCGCGTCTCCTGGGGACCGGTCTGAATGAGGGACATGCCTGGCATGGGAGGAGTGGGTTTGGCCATGGCCAGGGCGCTCAGCGCGAGGGCAGCAAGGACCTTCATCTTGAATGATAGTAGTACTGACGGAATAGAGGATGGAAAAAAAGGATGTAGAGGGTATAGGAATAATGGCTGGTACGGGGGAGGATGGTTTCAGAAATCCTTCACGAGGAGAGAAAGGTCAGCGTCAAGAAGGGCGGACGGCGCCAGCTATATATACACCTCCCTATCTCCGTCCTGGCCTTACCATAGGGTAGCAACGGGTGATGGACATCGTGCCCGTCCTCACCCGCCCGGGCCCTGATTTCCAGAACATGTCACTCAGGACCGGTAGAGCATTCCCCGCGAAATGTCAGACAGAATCCGCTCCCCATCTGCAGGGCCCCGCAGATAGGGTTGTGTATAGTGGATTCACTCAGGCGCGCACGACCGGAAAGGAAGCTAGGCGCATACGGAGTAGATATTACATATTTCTATAGTATGTAATACCCATCAGTACCCGTATAGCTACCATACAGAGTAACTGTAGGAGCAGTGTAATATGTACGGCCACATAACTGCATGGGGACACGAGTCAAGCGTCCAGGATTCCCCAAATCTCCCCCTGGAGCAGGTCGAATGAAGAAGGCGTTTCAGGCAGGGCAAATGTAAAGCAAACAAGGCGGCTCGTAGACCCTCAACGGCTCTATCACCTCTTGGCCCAGCTTCAGACTTGTCAACTTGGGGTATATAATCAGCATTGCCCCCTGGTAGTAGCAGATATGGAACTCCGTGCGTCCGGTGTCTTTTGGGCTGCCATTCGTCGCTCCTCGCTCGCTCTATCAGACTTCGGTTCCGGCCGGGATGAAGTTGCAGAGAGCAGCACGACGATCACTCCTACACGGACGACGATCAGTATCCCAGTGGCCGAAGAGAACTGCTTGATCCGTATATTATGCTCCGTAGTGGGTGGACATCGCGAAATTGCTGCGGACAGCGTTCCCCCCCACAAACGACAAAGAGTCCCATCTTTGACGTCGTTTGTAGTGGAATGTTTGCTAGGGATGGCGTCTCTCGCATAGGAGGCTTGTTTGTTCTTGGTCAGGCTCCAAGGCCGGAGGTATTGACCCATGGTGCGCGTTATTGGCCGGGTTTTCTCCGTCCGGTGCCTTGTCCATGTCGCTTTTCTTTCTCTGACTTCTTCGTGTTTTAGGGTTGGTGGTTGCTTTTTCTTTTCCTTCCTTGTTTGGGATCGTGTTTTGGGATGGCTTGGCGGTTTCCACATCGGGTTAGGGTCCGGGGTAACATGACGTTAGCCAAGACTTCGGCCCTTCTTTTGTACGACTTACTAATAACCTCGGCACATTTACAGGAAGATAAAGGTAGAAGATAGAAGAGAGAGAAAGACAACCAGACTCCATTGCCTAAACCTCAAGTAATTCATTGTAACCAGCCAGACCAGGCCCTATTTCCGTCCATCCAACCGCAAAGAAAGCCCACTGATAAAAGAAATGGAAAGAAAAAAAAGCAAAGAGAAAAGAACACGCCATTGTCTATCCACCGAAACCGTACAGGGTGCGGCCCTGTCGCTTGAGGGCATACACAACGTCCAGCGAAGTCACGGTCTTGCGCTTAGCATGCTCGGTATAGGTAACGGCATCGCGAATGACGGACTCGAGGAAAGACTTGAGCACGTTGCGGGTTTCGCCGTAGATCACTGACATGCAAGTTAGTACATCAGTGGGTATATAAATGGGGTGATGGATATGATGGATGTATATGGGCGATGTATAGATGGAGCGATGGATATGGGTGATGGAGAACATACTGGCAGAGATACGCTTGACACCGCCACGACGAGCGAGACGACGGATGGCAGGCTTGGTGATGCCGTGGATGTTGTCGCGAAGAATCTTACGATGACGCTTGGCACCGCCCTTGCCGAGTCCCTTGCCTCCTTTGCCGCCTATAAGAGAGTCGAGTTAGCCATGAGGAACGACGACGTGCTGGAGACGGTGCATCGGTGGTGAGCGATACTCGACGCATCCACCATACAACCGCGAAGTATATGTAGACCGCCAAGCATCACCATCGCCAAACCCAGAAACCATCACCAAAACCACCAGACGACGACCAAGAGCAGAGAAAGGCCAACTTACGTCCAGTCATGATTGCAGAGAACTAGTAAACCGTGTGTACAAGTAGAAGAGTACGTGTATAAACACTGAAAGTAGCGAGGAAGATGGAAAAAGACGCGTGGTGGATGAAATTTGATGATCGCGATAACACTGCGTTGTGTGCTGGGAGAGAGAAAAGGAGGGAAAAAAAATCGTTGCTGGTTTTGGGGGGGGGAAGGCTTAATATAAGGGAAAAAGGAGCAAGGCCAGATCAACAGGCAGAAAAGTTGATCTGGTTGATTTCACTTGCGCTAGGCTGATTAGTCAGGGGGGTTGGTTGATGAGGCGCGAGATCAGGTGAGAAGGAGAGTGTTGATTTGATCTGGGCAAAGAAAAACGCAGGCGAAAGTCAGGCTTAAGTCGCGCTGGAAAGGAGCGTCTTTTGCGGCTGCTTCTTAGGCGCTTTTTTCTTAGGGCCAGAGCAAAGGGAAGGTCTTACAGTTATGCTTATGTAAGGGCTTATGTAAGAGTCACGTTTTACCCCATCACTTTTCTACCACCACATAAAGATAAAGACATGACACGATAGATAGATGTAGAGACACGATAGATATAAAGATAGAGAGATAGAGGCAGTTTCATTATCATGATGCGTAGTTTAGCCCTCACATTAGAGGAGGGAAACTACAGAGCAGAAAAACAGCCATAGTAAAGTAACACAGGAAGAAAAGAAAAGATAGAACACTTTTCCAGCCTCCGAACCATATCAACTCCGGAACCGATGAGGATGGAAGAAACTCCCTAAAGACGACAAGAAAGAAACGCTGAGAAAGATGAACGCGAGAAGAACAGACAGAAGAACGAAGCCGCGCCGAACCCATGCGCCAGACAAACGTACATACATACATAACGCGTCACAACGACGACGAAGAGATTTTTTTGTGTCTCGGCCATAGAAGGCGGACGGAAGGCAGAGAGGGAGAAAGCAGTCTGGTCTGCAGATGGGAAAGAAGAAGAACAGAAAAAAAAGTGAAACGAGAAAAGAGAAAACCGCCTGCTTGCTAGGTGCAAGAAAGAACACGAATTAAAATAATACCAATCAATCGAGTGGAGAGTCCATGTCTAGGAGACGATGGAAAGGAAAGAAAGGAAAAAATTGATAAAAACAAGCCCCCCTGGCATTCGTCGCTGTTTCAACGATGCTCAAACTCAAAGGTCGATGGGGGTGTGGATGATGTTCAAGGGTGACCAGCTGCTCTCCCCTTTAATATTTCAGTGTATGGTTGAGTGATTCATCCCAATATCGCTGTTGGGGCAGGAGAGGCGGGCATCCCTCTCTCTCGCGGGAACGGGAAGGGAAGAATCCCCGTCGATGGCGATGGGGTGGTCACACCCTCCGTGTCGGATGTGGAGGCAGAGGTAGATGTAGATGTGTTCTGTGGGGGAGGAGATAAGCGTCGGGGTAGATGCATATGCATGGACTGCATTGTGGGTGTGGATGACTGGTCTGGTGATGAAGATGATGATGTGTCGATATCTCCCTCTGCATCGAGTTCTAGCTCAAGCTCTGTGCCGTCGTTGGAAGAGACACGCGAGTTGCCTTTCTGCTGGGTATTTCCCTTCGTTGAACCGAACTAGTTTTATCGTTAGAGTTGATTCTATAGAGTATGAAGATAAAGAGTTAACTTACGAAACAATACCTATCCACCAACTCCTTGTAGACCTGGGACTGGTGGTTGGGTCTATCGGACAGAAAATCCGATAGTCTCTTCGCATTCACGCCCCTGGTCGAGTCGTCCGAGTCGCTGTTCCCTTCACTCTGGATACGGGCTTGGACCTGACTCTCAACCTGGGCCTGCTGGCTATGAGGGATGTTGTCCAAAGCCTGCATTCGGGTGCTGGACAAGGAAGTCGAAAAATCATATCGGTCGCCAAACACGTTGGTGCGTATCTTGTTTCGTCTCGTCGGGGAGTCCGGGTCCGGGAACCAGCTTTCCTTCTCAGAGTCGACGTCAACATCAACGACTTCGTGGTGCTCAGACTTGATTTCGAACTGCGTCTCTTTCACAGTCATGCTCATTCCCATTCCCGAGTTCGTGCTCGTGCTCGTGCTCATGGCAACCATGGACAGCGGTCGAGGTCGAGACTTGGATCCCGGCCCCTTTCCAGCCCGCGCCATACGCAGCCGGTAAAGCGGATCTCTGGCACATCCTCCGGCCGCGGCAGGTGTCATGGCCTGTGTACCAAAGACGATCTGGTAGTTCATATCGTCGTTATTATCCCAGAACTCGTTTCCGCCGACGTTATACCGCAAGCACAGGAAGAGAGTCTTATTCTCCATCCCGTGTCTCAGCTGGTCTGCTAACTCGATGGAGAACGAAAAGGTATCGAATCCTACTCGTTCCTCACGGTCGACATCGGTTTTGTTGTATGGTACAAACTCACCGGTGACTTCCGAGACGGTCTTCCAGTTATCCAGCGTGAAGCGGGCGGTAACATGTTTCGAGTATGCGAGGTTCGCCACCGCCACGGTTCCGAGGAGGGCGTGTGTGGTCGGGCAGAGATGGACACGGCGTAGACGGACGGGCATATTGAGCCTTGCGTCGTCAAGAATGGACGGGAAGTTCGTCACTCTTGCCTCCCAGTGGTTTCTGTCCCTGTCTCTGTCTCTTGTTGTCGAGGTGCTGCCGAAGGGGAACTCGGTGTCTCCATCGTATTCCTCCACGGGCGAGGAGCCAGCACTGACAGCCAGCGGCCTGTCAAGCTGCATGAAGTGACGGACCTCTTCCAGCTGGGCTCCAAAATGCACAGCCTTTGAGAACGTAGGAGTACCCGGCATGCTCAGCGGCCGGCCCCGTCGTAGTCTGATAGCCGGCCTGACCAGCTCGCCGGACTTTTTCCGTAGCATGGGTGGCTTTTTGGCCATCTCGTCTTCGTCCTGGTCACTCTGGTCTGGGGTCTGGGTTGCCTGTTCGGGGACGGCGTAGACTATTATACCTCCCCCCGTCGAAGCAGACTCTTCTGTGTTGTGTTGTTGCTGATGGTGGTGCTTGTCAATGGATATCATGGCCTCCTTTAGGCCGTCAAGCATCTCTCTCGTCTTCTGCTGCTGTTTCCCTTCCTCCTCGTCTCCGGAGTTATTCCTCGACTCTGGCGGAGACAAGACTAAGGTTCCCCTCCCGCCCGTCCAGACATCCTGCGCCTGTGCCTGCGTCTGCCCCTGGTGGTGATGGTGCTGCTGTCCCTCCAACTGTTGCAACCTGGAAACCGGCGCACAGATGGTAGGACTCCGCCTGTGTCTATGCAAGTAGGACGAGCTGGACAGTCTCTGGAAGCTCACGGCTGGCTCGAAGCTGTGGCGTCCATGGCGACGGGTGGCAGGACCGGCTGCCACGTTCAAGGTCGTAGATGGTGCAGGCGTAGTCGCAGTTGGGGAGGAGGGCGCTGATGAGGGTGGAATGTAGGGCATCCGGCCTGTTCTCGTCTATATAGCTTCTGAGCTAAGTGTCTATATCTGTTAGTATACGGAAGTGGACATCAAGATGGACGAACCCACCTCGTCAAGCCGCAATCAAGACGACCTTAAGACGACCTCAAGACGACCTTAACAAGATCGCTTATATCAAGACCGATCACTGCATCTGGTGAATAATAGCGAAGACAAGCAAAGGTCTGGTGTAGGTGATGGACCGGAGCGAGCGTGACAGATCCACCAGACAGAGGAGACGAAGCAAAGAAGCACAGCAAAACAAAGACAGCACAATGCAGCAGAGAAAGGACTCGACAATTAATGGAGCAAAGGAGAGATGGAGAAGAGCCAGGGAGAGACGTTGATAAAGGGCCAAAGCAGGGGAGAAGCTGGCGAGGGTGCAGATTTCTTGCCGTCAACCTGGTCGCCACTGGTAGCGCAAGGCAGGGATAGGACAAGGCCAGGGCGATAAGGGAGGGGAGGGGGAAGCTAGTAAAAAGCATCTAGACTTGCGAGGCGAAGTAGTGATACTTCTCTCTCTCTCTTTCTTGATGCTCTCTTCTTTATCATATCCCGATGCCGGACGCTGCCTCGCCATCGACGTAACAGTGCATCCAACGTCACCATCTCTCCCTTTCTCCGTCTATCCGTCTCTCCGTCTATCTATCCTAATGCCATTTATCCTTCTCCTCTACCTTCTCCCGCAGAGTGTGGATCGGTCCACTCGCCGCTGCCGAAAATCTCTGCTCCAGAAAAACTTACCAGCCGAGATATTAGTGGTATATTAGTGGTATATTAGTGGCATGGTTAGTGGGATATTAGTTATAGAGTTGACCAAGTACCAGGTACCTCGAGAGCTCCTTATCTGCCCCGCCGCTTGGGGAGGAAGATGGGCAGGTTCCGGGGACGCGATTGGCGTAGATATCAAGTACCATGTACAGCCTTATCCAGACAAAGACTACTCTTTGCTCGTTGCTCTTCTTAAAAGGTGCTCGTATTCGAGACAGATGGACTCCTGTCGCACCATGGACGAACTCTGGTCCAGGGATCCTCGATGGCGGAGGGTTCGGAGATGGACTCCTGACTCGCTACCTCCTGGCTACCATCTCGTTACTCCTCTAGCAGTTCTCTCTCCGTTCTTATTGTTTCTGTGCGACCATTGGCGCCGGTTATAGACAGATAAACAAAACACTCTGCCAGATGCGTCGTGCTTTACCTATACATACATGCAAGCCACGCCCGATGCCTTGGTTTCTTCTCTCTGCTTTGGCCAGTGGGCTATGTCATATCACGCCATGCGACGCCAATCAAGGAGTGCTGCGATCAGCCACGGCTCCCTAGGCGCGGAGTAGGTTTGTTCTTCTGTATAGGACAGTGTAGCTCCGACTGCCGGACCGGTCTCTATCGAGTGGTAGAGGGGAGTGCGATAGCCGACCTCTACCTGTGTATGTACATCTTGCTCAGGTAGCGGTGAGCGGTGAGAGAGGTCGAAGGTTTGATGCCTGCATAAGATAAAGCAACGCCTGACCAGCTGCATCGTCGTATAGATATGACGGATGGTAACCTGTATAAGGCTGTCTCTTCCGTTTGTGCGGTCTATAAACGACCAATGTTTAGCGCATCGTCCCATCGTCCCATCGGTCCATCGTCTCATCGTCGTCATCGTCGTCATCGTCGTCGTGTCTTATCTTCCCGTGCGACGGCGGATTTCTACCAATCTTCGCCTATGTCGCTTGTCGGCGCTCGTCGGTACTCGCCAGTGCTCGCTTGGCTCCGATCATCGCCAATTACCATGTCCATGATCACCACGGAGTACGGAGAACAGGGAGAAAGTACCCCGTACTCCATACGTATCATGATAGAGTTGCCAGTTGCTTTGCTGTTGGCTGATATCCAATCGCCCTCTCACGCACGTATATCTAGTACCACCAACAAGGATGAAACATGCAAGTCATCGGCAGCTTCCTGGTAATTGCAATCAAGGCTAAACGTCCGTGAGTGTTCATGTACGCGGCAGCAAATTAGTTAGTTAACTGCAGCTGGGGGGTGGTTGCAAAAGCCATCAACAGAAAAAAAGAATGGAAAAAGCAATTATGGGGCTCGACTTCACTTGTGTCTCGGCCATGCAGAGAGATTGTCCCGTCCACTCTCCCTCCCCATCGCTAAGAGAGAAGTTGGAGGTGGAAAGGGTTAACATGGTGGCAAAGGGCATGGAAGGTTGTTCCATTTACATTTCCTTCTTCCCGTCCTCGACGAGGGGCCCTGGCGGGTAGGGATAGCTTCAATCCAGTGCGACGGACAGAGACGAACAGAGACGAAACAGACACGGAACCAAATTCGATAGACGAGTAGTTTATCGTATGATTCGGTGCGACGTCAATGTAGCGAGGGTTTTCGTACCACCAGCTCTAATATCCTTGATCCTTATCGTAGGCTGATATTAAACTGCTCGACTGTATCCCGAAAAATGTCCGCCCGGTCCGAAGATTCCTCTCATCTTCTCTTCCTCTCTTCCTGCCAGCGCCGAGAAGCTTCTACCTCATACCATATCCTGCAAACCCTCCTGCCAACCCAGCTCCAAGACGGCCTAGCACTCAATCCTTCGTCTTAGTCTTCTTCTCATTCTCCTCGCTCGCTGCCGACTGAGGCGCGGGAAGTCGAGGTGGCTAGAATTCTAGCACGGCCTGATAAGCAAGAAGTTTATTTTTATCCCAGCCGCTGCTGGGTCAGTAACAGGCCAGGGATGAGGTGCATTGCATTGCATCTGCATATCTGTGCTGCGTATCAAGGCCGACCGGAGCGAACGGCAGGTCTGCATTGGCCGCTACCTCCACCCTGCCCACGCCTCCAGTACTGGTTATTGGCATGGCGGCGCCTATCCAAGACTGCTGCGGAGTATATGTTCTTGTCGTAAGGTGCTATATATAACTGTACATGTACTGCGATGCACGGCCGCGTTATCAACTTCTTCTCGTCGCCATAGCGCTGAACATCGAACCTTGTGGTGAACGTTCTGGCCTTGGACGCTAGAAGTCGCCATATAAAAAAAAAATCCTTTTGCGGAGGGCTCCGGGCTCCGTACGCGGGGATATCGCCGATATTCGAGTTGTATGTTCGGACTGTGGGTGCAGTCTTGCCTTCATATTTTAACGAGTACAAGAGTTTCTCCCTTTCCTCGGTTACCACTTTACCGCCATTTAATTCTTTGCTTTGGCTCTGTAATTTCTCGCGTTCCATGGTAGATCTCGCGTGTTTGACCTCGCCATCTTCTAGGATTCGTTGTGTCGACTACTTCGATAGTTCCATCGTTAAGGTGTGCCACACGACACGATGTCTGGGAGTGCTAGTGACTTTGAGTGTAACAAAGTTGCGAACTTCCTCCTTATCGGTGTTTGGTGGTAGCGCTGTATGCAAGGGATGTAACTACCAGCCATTGACCCGCAAATAGAACAGTTTGTCTGCCTTACCTGGGGAGCTTGATCGCCCTGAAAAGAAACTTGACCCGTAGATAGTTGATGGATGCTTCATGAGCTTGGGTAAACCTACATATTAGGGTTCTGCCCCTCGGCGACGGCCATAATATGGTTCCTGAACACTCCATCGGTAACCTGCAGCAACTCCCGCGTGGCACCGGAAAATTTATTGATAGTTGACATCGTAGATATGATTAAGAACTTGTATGCTGTGGCAACGTCAGGAAGGACAGATGAGGTAATATCGGAACATGTCAAGGTCTGGATGTGATAAATATATAGTGAATGTAATTGTTTAAAGAATATCAAGCGAGAGTATACACACCTTCAAACTATCCCACCTTAAGCCTGGGTACTTTCGGAGAATTTCATACTCTCTGGGGCGCCTCCACATCCTGCTCTGCCATATTCTGCGGTCAACGCGGCTAGCATTAATAAGTATGACGCCATATATTAGTACTTGGGGTGGAACTTGCAGGCCACCAATAGCCCCGTGGGTGGAATTATGAAGCAGAGCAGGGTCAAAGAATGGATCCCGGTTCATTTCCTGGAAATGCGAAGCCAACAGAGAGTACATAAAAACGATATTCCTCGTAACCATGGAGATCGAGGAAGGGTAGAGGGAAATGCGTATGGCCGGACTCAACTTGTTGGAAAGAGTTGGGCTGGCCTAAATGGAGTTCGTGGGAGACGCCGCCGCTAGTTGAAGTCGCAATGACGATGCAGCCAATACCTTGCTCAGCATCAAGAACATTGCCGTATAGCCTGCATATACCCGGTCGCCCGGTTCTCTGGCCGAGCAATCGGAAAAATCACTGCATTACTTGTCTCTCCCAATGCTAGGGAATATATGCAGGGCTAATCGCCGTTCCCATAGAACGCTCATATCCTTGTCTGTTTCTGCGGCTGTTGACAACAGATTATCCCCTGTCTGGTGTGCTCTATAGCCGACCATACCAGCTTGGGTCTTTCCTAGCAAGTATAATCACTGGAATGCTGAACATCGCTATTTGCTCTCTACATGGTAAAAAAGATGAGATGGATGAAAATAAAAAAGATAAACATGGCGGCAACTTAAACCTTAACTAGCGGCGGCTAACTAGATATCACGTGACTGAGATCGTGTTTGACGCGACTTGACAACCAGCTTGATATTTATCCTACTAATTGCGAAGAAGAGTAGCATAGGGCGGAAGATGGCTGTTTTAAAAACACGTCTTATAACACCATCTTTCCTATTATCATCTATTATCCGACAATGTTATCGTCCTCCACTTTCCTTTCAACGCCGATGGGCTCACGATATGGCACAGCACGTACCGATTGAAGAACAGACTCTGCCATTTTATCGTAAAAAGAAATATTACCCAGTTCAAATTAGCCAAATATTCAACGATCGATATCGGATAATCTCCAAACTTGGATATGGCGCGTACTCGACTGTGTGGCTCGCGAGCGATGAGAGGTGTTTGTCTTTCCTCCGAACCCCTATACATATATATCTTCTTTGCTGACTTCGAATGTAGAACGAAAGAATATACAACACTAAAAATCACTGTACAGACCGACAACTCCTTGTCCTCGATACCTCCTGTCATCAATGAGGTGAACATGCTCCGACGCCTAAAGTCGTTTGCTAGCGAGGACCATCCGGGGCTAGACTTTACACGCCTGGCAGATGACATCTTTGAGACCAAAGGCCCAACCGGCCAGCACTATTGTATTGTATCTAAGCCCCAAGGCACCAGTGTCCGCACATTGCAGGAGCTATGTCCAGACGCCAAGTTTCCAAAGCTTCTGGTTAAGTCATTAGTATACCACTTGTTGTTTTCATTGAATTGGCTACATACAACCTGCGGTGTTGTACATACAGGTAGGTTATCTGCTGGAAATATTTCCTTTAGTTGTCTGCTATACTCACACTGAGTCGATAGATATTTCACCTCAGAACATTTTGATGAGCCTTCTTGGTGACACCACCAGCCTTAAGGATCTTGAGGAGCAGGAGTCCAGGGACCCTAGCGTGCCTGTAATCACAAAGGACAGTAATGGGGCTGTTTCAAGCGTTGTCTACGAGACTCGGCCTCCCAAGCTGGGTTACTCCGGTCACCCCATTCTTACGGATTTTGGCCAAATGCGACAATTTGATGAATGCGTGCATAAGGACTGGTGGATGTCCGATCTATATCGTGCCCCAGAGGTACTCATGAAACTCCCCTGGAGTTTCCCCATTGATATATGGTCGATCGGTGTCCTGGTGAGTCCAGTGCATGTCTAAGCGCGATAACACACAATATTGGGGATACTTACTGAATATGTTGGATCCAGACACTCGAACTCATGGAAGGCAGAAACCTTTTTGACCCCGTAGATCGTGTCAACAACCAATACGTTATTCCATTGGCTCTGGCACAGTACATAGGATATCTTGGTGAACCTCCAAGAGCGATGCTTGCACAGAGTCCACGTCTCTATGCCTACTTTGATGAAGATGGTACGCCGGCTACTTCTCCCTACTCCCTACCTAATTACCAGTTTATACTCACACAAGCGAAACGACAACAGGGGAGTATATAGGCGGGGCTCCGATACCACAAACGAGTCTGGAAGAATTTGTCACGGTCATACCGCCTGGAGATGAGAAGGATAAATTCCTTCAGTTCATACGCAAGATGTTGACATGGGACCCAGAAGAGAGGAAACCATCTATCGAACTCTTGACGGATGAATGGCTTACAACGCCGGGTACGGAGGCTGACTTGGATGAACTGAGATAATGTAGATGGCTAGGAAAGCATTCACAAACCCAAATCAACCTTATGTATTTGTACAAACAATTCACTCAATTTTCAGAATAAGATTTGGGTATGTAGATCTAAGGGCGTATCTACATTGGTCCTACCAAAGTCAAAGATTACCCTTAACTTACCTTTAGATTACCCTTATAACTTGCCTTAAACTTGCCGCTGAAAAAAGGAATAAATATAGGGACTCCGTAAGCCAGCAAGCCTGGACAATCGCCAGGGCAGGCATTGGAGGTTAACTGTTGCTTCTAAAGGAGGTTGCAGAGTCGATCTCTCCGATCCAGGGAAGATTCTACCATGCGGCCAGATTCAGGCTATTGCTACATAAAAAACCAGGGAGGGGGTCAAAGTCCTGGAACTTCCTACATTAACTTCTCTTTTTCCTTTTTCCAGCATCCCAGTCGCAGCGGGCAGATGGAGAGCTTACATGGATCAAGACGCTGTGCTCGCACCGATCGACCATCCAACTGTCAATCAGCGTACTTACTTTTGATCGTGCTTGGACGGCTTTTCCCCCTGTTATCATGCATGAGCAAGGAGAAATGCCGCCCCCAGGGCAGACTCCCCCCCTATCCAGAAGTCTCGTCCTATATAAAAAGATTAGCAGGCGGGGGTGGCTGCATAAGTTCATGGAAGAGAGAGACTTCGTCTTCATACTTCAAAAGGACATTGATGATATTATTATTAATGGGACAAATAGTGTGTACCTCTCGTGTACGACGTGATGGTTGACTTCTGATATACATACGATCTACTTTCCAGTCTATTGCCGACAGTTGTCCTCCTCAAAGGCCGATGAGTAGACAAGCTCGCTACTTTCCAGGGACTTTACACGACGTATGCTGCAATGTTCCACCTCCTCCGTCCCTCGTTCACCCCTGAACGCCTGCTTTGCACGGCTAGCTCCCGTCCATGGTTGCAGTGAAGCTGGACTCATCTCGACCGACTTTTCAGACCTCGAGTTAGTTTTTAACTCTACACGATATCAGGTTATGGTGCATAGCCTGGTTGCTTCGTTGGCTTCGAGACGTGGACGGGAAGGCAGATCTCTCGCTAGGTCGAGGTATGATTTACTATTTCCCCCTCTTGTGCCACTGTCTCTGGCCGCATACACGACGATTAGACGTACGATGGCACGGATGAATATGCAGCGTCAGTGAGCCCGAGCGACCAACGCAGCCAGCGTAGCCAGCAGTAAGCGTTTAGCGACAGATGAAACAATATCGAATAGACCGCCTTACAGAGACACAGACACAGATCATCGATGCCGTATAACTCGAATCTGGGGTAAATAGCCTCCCGCAGAAGCATCAAGGCATCATCAAGGCATCATCTGCCATGTCTGGCCCCCTCCTCGACCAAGCTGGCAATCCGACCTACCCCCCCGATATAGACATCCCAGGACGCCCGATTCGCTTTGGTGAACTATATCGTTCCCGTTATCTCTGGACCTAATCTGGGGGTAAAGGCTATCTGTATATGTGCGGTAAGTATAGGAATACGGACCCCTCAAACTTAACAGTCGATGGTATACCTGCTTCGTCGGCGTTTGATAGAGGAAATACGAGACTATCATATGGCGGTGCAGTGTCGGATGTCCGCGCAACCGTTTCGTCCGTCCATATCCTTCTTCGTCACACAGTGGGCTAAGTGACTAGCTAGCCAGCTAACCAGCTGCTGAGGCTAAGCTATTGGCTTCCCTTATCTATAATTTTTCGGCTTTGCTAGACCCGGAGGTAGGATCCTTGCATGGAAAGTCGGGACTACGCGGGTGCGCTGTTTGATGATCGTTGTAGATATACATTCTACAAGTTGCCTCTGATAGAAGACTAGCTCAGCTTGAGAAAAGAACGACAGGATGCCATAAGGCGGTCGGCATTGGGCAAGCTCTTAAGTTCTACGCCGATGTCGGGGGGCTTTTGTTATGCTGAAATGGTGGGTAAAGCTGCCTCAGGCGAAATGCTTGTTTCACACGTAGGATCATAGATAAAGGATCATCTATCTCCAAATCAATATTCTCGTTATAAGTCATTTCTAGCCAGTATATAAGCCGTGTATATAATGTCGTATCGTAAGTATATGCATCCATAAATAGTGCATCAAGTAAAAAGGAATGCAAAGGAATGCGTATGTATATAAAACGGTTTTTCATCGAGGCCCATCTGCCCCAATATCCTCAATGACAAGAACATACCCGCCAGGCAAAAACCCTTTCTGTCCAGCATAGCACCCCCAAAGCCAGTCATCATTGATATTTTCTGCCTCTGTGATCTCTGCTCCGCGGGGAAACAATATTTCATCGTTTTCTCCAGGTTCAGGATAATGTGACCATTTGGCGATGAGACGTAGCCCTATACCGCCAGATGGCGGGAAGCGGGTAGTGGGGAACGGGGACGACGAAGCGCTATCCGACGGGCTATCTTGCCCGGATGTCAAGTGTTGTCTGGCTCGATTAAGCCTGCGTCTATGACGGAAGCTACCGTCGCTGGATTCGGCCGGTTCGGTCCATGTCCATCGGCCGGAATCCTGTCGCTTGAGCTGTAGAGTACCTCCGTTGATTTCGGAGGCGGGGCTAGATGGACTTGTGGCCGCAGCAGCGGTGGCGGCGGTGTCTTTCTTAGAAGTTGATGCAGAGGCCGGAATGTGTTCGTCCTTCCAGGCGTGGCCGCCCACAAGGCCCTGAACAATCACCCTCATCTGTCCGACTCGATGGTCCTGGAAGCCGACGATTATCATCCGATGCCCCTGTAGACATCTCCGCCAGCCATTTCGGCCATTCTCTTTACTAATTTTCCCCGATGCACCTAGTTTCAGGTAACAGTTGGTACACATGTCATAGTCCCCATCGTTGCACTGACTGCAGTGGAATCGCGTCGTTGACGGGGGAATGGGATAGGTGCAGACGTTGCATTGCGTAGAGAAAGTGAGAGGTCGATATTCAGCTTCTATCGATGGAGAAGGAGGTGTTGTTGTAGTTGTTGTAACTGCTGCTGGTGTTGGTGTAGTTTGCTGGGAGTTTTGTGCTTCGGTCCTGGGCTTACTCTTTACGCGAGTAATAGGTAATAGAGGATGAGTGCAACATTTGTCCTGGTTAACGCATTTGTTACAAAATCCCCATTCCCCATCATTGCACTCTCTGCATTTCCAGAAACACTCGTCCGAAAACCGCTCGCACATATCGCAGAACATGCCTGTCTGCACTCGTTTGGAAGGCAGCGTGTAGCCTGGTCGCGAGCTTTGGGATGACCGTTCTTCCGATGGCCGTAAATATTTTCGCCAGTACAGCTTGTGGGGAGGTTCTCGCTCTTCTGGCGGTTTACTTGAAGATGACATCTTCTTTTCGAAAAAGTATTGTGCCGCTTGCCCGAATCCAAACCAGTGTTGACAACCACGGCCTAGACGATAGCAACGCACACAGAGGGAGTAATTGCCAGATTTGCAATGCTTGCAGTATTTATGTAGTTCATATTGTATATTGTTCTTTTTGCATCGTTCGCATGATATGGACGGCTCAGGAGGTGTCTGCACTGGAGGTTGAGAAGACGGTAGAGAAACAGGATTTGATACCCGTCTGGTTGGCCCTGTTGGAGGGCTGGCTGTACTGGGCGTATTGGTAGCAGCTGTAGCAGTGGCAGGAGTAGTTGGTTGTGACTGTGAAATCTGGGGCCTGTTTGATGGGCGGGAGGCAGTGATTGCGCTTGCAATGGAGGCCGGGGGAGGCTGCTGAGGCTCAGATGTGGCATTTCTTAGACTTGGTGAAGCAGGACTCGGCCTCCGCTGCCTCTCTCCAGGTGATGAAGGGCGTCTTGGAGGGTTGATATGAAACGGCGGGGTGACCTGATGGCGAAGTGAAGGGGATGGAAGAGAGCTATTTGAGGCTCGTCTGCGAGACGGTCCTGACCCAGTGCCAGTAACAGTGCCAGCAGCTACATTGGTTGTATGGGCGGCAGGCTGTGCCAGTGCATCGGACGAGAGTGAAGAGCCAGTAGGCGGAGTTGGCGATGTGCGTCGTCGTCGTGTCCCTGTGCCCTGCTCCGAGGTGCTTCGACGATGATTTGAAGCGCGGTTTGCAGTGCTGGGGTCTAGGAGACGTGGGCGTGAAGCTGGAGGAGCTCTTCGAGCAGGCTCTCGAGTAGGCTCTCGAGTCCGAGGAGGCGTGGAGGCTGAAGCACTGGGTGATCTCTCCTGTTGTCTATCCTGTGATACCTGGCGTTGAAGCGTCGGTTCACTGTCACTTTGCCGGGCACTGTCACTCTGTCTGGAACTGTCGCTTTGCCGGGAATCGCGAGTAGGGGAGGGAACCCTGTGCCGTCGTCTAAAGGCTTGCGCGATACGCTCTGTCAACTCGTCCTCCTGCGTGGGTGTCAGGCTATGAAGGTCGATCCCATCTAGCAATCCCTCCTCGGCAATCTGGCGAAGAATCTCATCTTCAATGGCAGATTCGCCCGTTGATCCGATGAGGGATCGTAAACTGGACTGGTGTTCAACCCTTCTTGAATCCGGACTCGTATCTCTCGAGTCGCGCATGGCCGGTGATGCATTCATTCGTCTCTCCGTGCGTCTTCTCCGCCGGGCATCTTCCAGTCGCTGTTCCCTCGCCTGCGCTACCGGGCTGCGATCCGATCTTCCTCGCGAACGAGACACCGCCAGCGGACTACGATGTCGACGCCCACTTGTGCCCTGAACATCCCGCAAGCTCATATCTCTGACCTCAGCCAGGATCCTGTCATCCTCATCGTCACTGGCAGACCGCACCGCTTGCTCAACCTCAGGCAGCACCGAATCCCCAGGCTTGTAGTCCGCCGCAATCTCCTCCTTCTCCTCGGCCGACTTGGCCTGGCCCGGGTTCGATTGCAAGAAGAGGTCGAGTAAGGTGGTGACCTTTGCATCGTGTCGAGTGTCTCGGACAGCAGCCCGACATGAGGGACAGGTAAACCGCGGTCGACTGACGTCTGCCGGATTCGACGCCTGCCACGAGAACCAGCTTTTCAGACACGATCCGCAGAACGTATGTAGACAGTCGAGCAACGTCAAGGGCTGGTAGAGGATCTCCGTACATATCTATCTCAAAAGTCCGAGTTAGTGCTGGCCAGACGAGAGGAACGGGTACGTCATATTCACCGAACAGGTCAACTCTTTGCCCAAGTCTACCAACGTAGAGCTGCCGTCCTTGGAGTTTCCCATCTCCCGGCCAGTTGGAGGGGAGGGGAGGAGGATATAAAGATAAATAGACGGACCGAAGGTGTGTGCCTATCGCGGGTCAGCGTCGAGCATGGCGTCGAGATGCCAGCTCGCTACGCACTGTCGAGGATGGTCTGAAGTCCTCGCTAGCACTGGCAAATCATCGTGCTGGTCCTTTCGTTCGCTGGGCTGGAGGATGTGCAGACTCGTTATTCTTGTTTTCTCTTCGCTTGAGACATGAGAAAATGTCATCCTGTACACCCCACGCTAAACGCCGACGTGACCTTCTTGCCTGACATCGACATCTACGCATCCTTGTCTTATGTTCATCGTTATTGCAGGCCATCATAACCCTGATATCTGATCATGATACCTCCTGATGATGCATTAAGTCTCTGATACCCGCCTGTGATGGCATAAGGTCTTACCTGGCCTGCCTCTACAGCATCAGGTTACTTCTATGGCCTAGGTCAGGTATCGCCTTAAGCACAAGGTTAGCTCTCCTTAAGCTACGGCTGTTAGGCTATGTTATACCTTACTTTAGGGCTGATAGTTATATCCTTTGCTAAGGGATGCCGGAGATACGATCTTAAGTCTAAGGATAGGCTTAGGAGATACAAGGCCAGCATGTTACCAGTTGCACGTCTGCCTTGCTCTCCTTTATCATCTTGTCTTGGTTGTCTGTGGAAGATGTCGACTGCAGAGATAGCAGACAGTTCTCACCTCTCTTGCTTTGCTTTCACCTTGATATCAATTCCCTTCTTTGTATGGGATCTCAGCTCAGTTTCTACCTGCACAGTGAGAAGTTTCACTACTTATCTACTATTAATCTACAATTAATCTACTGCATGCTACTCATCTAGTATTAATCTACAATTATCTACTGCTCACCAACTGCATGCTCATCTACGCTTTGGCTGATCTAGTGTTTGAACAAGAACTCTATGATTGATCTCTCTTCTACATTAGCCAGGCTTCCTCTTTCATCTACTTCACCAGCTTCGAGCTCCAGATCTAATCATGCATCTCTTCAATATTACGCCTAGAAACCGGGTTCGGAAGCCATGGCAGCACCAACCTCGCCCTTCTACCTCAATTGCTGGTCGTCAAATTGGTCGTTTATCAATCAGTCAATATACGGCAAGATCTAGCTACACGCAGAGACCCCCTGAAGCTCCCTCTCACCAACGAAATAACGGCGGACAGCCGCTTTTTCGACCCCCTGCCGCATTAAATCATATATTTGAACCAGAGGTTGATGAGAATGAATCAAAAGAATACGATGACAGTTCTGAAAACGGTGGCATCGAAGAAGGTAATAGCGGCGAGAGTAACTACCAAGATCCAGTCAATTTGACCGGCGGGAGTCTCCCAGCTGCAGATATTATAGGCGTCACCACCCTTCCCAAGGATGGCGCTCGAGGATTCGGCACCAGAATAAACCCACCAAGCGGAAATACAGGCAAAGCGAGCCAATCCTCCCAATCATCGCAATCTTCTACTATTTCTAGCCAAAAGTCTATGAGTGACATTGAGGCCGAATCATGGCTACAGCTGCGTCTTGCCCAAGAAGAAGCAAAGAAGAAACGCACTGTATATGCGCCGTTTCCGCCGACTTCCGCTCAACCACGCCAACCTCCATCACCGGCGTCACCCACGCCAATTAGGCCACCAAACCCTTGGTGTGTCTATAAACCGATCGACCGTAAACAATCGGCAAGTCTCCAGCGACTGGAGACATTAGAACAAGCCTTCAACAGGCTGGAACAACGGGGCCAAATGACCGAACGTTCCGAGGTGGAGAAGATGGAGTTTGAGAATTTCAAAGCCAAGGCCGACAGAGATATTACTCTATCAGCAACAGAGAGGAAGAGGATTAGTGACATTCTACGGAACATCGAGCGCAGAGAGTATAACTGGTCTGTTGGGCAGTTATATCAGCGGAAAAACGGTGCCAAAAGGAAAGGTGAGCAGGCTACTCGTGGAGATGGAACTAACCAAGCCGCTGAGGGGGTTAATGCTGTGAAGCCGAAGGCGAAGGCCAAATCCTCCCTTAATATCCCTTCTTCTCGTGTGGATGAAGCTGAGCCGGCCTCTTTCAACATAAACCCTGCTACTAGTAACGGGCCCGTACAACCAGAAATCGCGGAGGAAGATGAACTACCAGACGCAGAAGTCGAATTGAGCAGTGATGAAGATGAGCATGAGGACGACGATGTTCAAGGGGATGCTGCACCCGAGCTTGTCTGGGTCTACAACGTATACAGGACTGATATCGACCCAACTGATCCAGATCCTACGACCGTCCACATATCCTCGCACATGAATAAACTCCGCGCTGAAGACGTTATGCGTGATCAGATACGATCCTGCTACGGCAGCCTGAAAGATCGTACTCGTCTAGAATTCCACGCTACGATTCAAGAGGACTCTACCGAACAATCAGTTGAGTTTGCAACTGGTCGTACAGTGGTTGTCAAAGTTGAACGAGAGCTTTTTCAGGAGCCTGTTAAACGCAAGAAGCGGACAAGACTTGAACATATACCCACCAAGATCTACACCATTGTTGAGCAGATCACTACTACCGTTGCTGCTAATGATGAACCTGAGAATGGTCTTTCCACTACAGCTGACAAAGACAGTATTTACATGAACTAGACGAGGGAGAGCGACTTTATGACAAGAAAGAAGTCATGCCAGCTACATCAGACGGGATGAGAAAGGAAGTATACATTCGTGTCTTGGAGCATCTTGTCAGGGGGCCGAGGAATTAGGCAATTGAACAATGCAACTTGATATACCATAGTATGTCCTAGCTAATCTATGCTCATCATGGACTTTCACTTTCTACTTCTCATCATCATCATAATAATAATAATATCTCTTCTCTTCTCTTCTTCTTCTTCTCTTCTTCTTTTACTTCGTTTAAAGTTAAGGTTGTACCTGCTTAATAAGCCGTTCCTGGGGCTGAATATCACGTGATATTATAATTACATCAGGAAGACAAAGCGAAGGAAGACAAACAGAGACGAAGAGACGAATGGAAGGGGAGAAGAAGACAGATATACGAGACAAAGACGCAATTGGAAGGGAAGAAGAGATCCAGAGCAGGAGAAGGCGGAACTGCTGCCTCGACGACGGATCAGTGAAAACCGCTATTTGGAAAGGCATCCAACCATCGCAAGGCTGATAGCCTGATATTGCTCTTCGACCGAACCAGGAGAGAATAAGATATACACGACGACCGTCAAAATGTCGACGTCTACTTCCGCCGTTCCAGCATTTACAGCTGATCTCCCGACCCTCCTCTCCCTTGCAGCCGCCCTCTCGCTGATGCCCCTTGCCTTCGTCCTCGGCACCAGTCTCATCCCCTCCAGCCAACTACGCAACCGCCTCCTTTTCTTCTGGCACGCCTACGATGCATGCACTCACCTCTTCATCGAAGGTACCTTCTTATACCACTGCTTCTTCAGCTACAAGCAGCTCCAACCAGGTGAAACGGCACCACTAGTCCATGGCCCACCATACTTCCTCAACCGGCCCGATAGAGCTTACGGACCCGCGTACGGCGTTGGAGCTTCTGCACGCATGTGGCAGGAATACGGCAAGGCAGACGCACGCTGGCTGGGAGCCGATCTGGGTGTGGTGTGTCTTGAGATATTGACCGTGTTTATCGGAGGTCCGTTGGCGGTGTATATTTGCTACTTGTTGACCAAGGCTTCGTCGACGAGTACCCCGGCCGTGTCCAAGGCAAAGTATTCTGGTCGGTTGTGGTTTTTGTGTATCAGCTTGGCCGTGGCAGAGTTGTATGGAGGGTTCATGACGTTTGGACCTGAGTGGTTTTCTGGAAACTCTGCCCTGGAGACCAATGATCCGGTATACCTGTGGCTGTATCTGGTCTATTTCAATATTCTGTGGGTTTTCGTGCCGCTCTGGGTGCTCTATGTTGCCTGGGGGGAGATGAGGACGGCGTTTACGGTTGCTGCTGCTGCTGGTGAGCGCAGTACCAAGAAGCTCAACTGATTGACCAAACCAACTTCATTTCGTGACTCTGGTATATATCTTGCCTGTTTTAGGCCGAGGTCATCTTTCCTTGTCATTCAAGGCCTATTCTATACGATACATTCGGGTGAATTTCTACCAATATCATGTTCATAAAACATTTTAATATCCGCATTGTCAGACATCATATAACTAATCCTTAAAAGCGCATTACTATCTCTCATCCATAGACAGGGTATTGCTCTTCCTATCTTTATTCCAGTTCTATCTCGGTGATAGGGGTAGGTTCATAGAATATCGACTTTAGAGCAGTTGAATAGCGAAACATCGTCATTATCACTTCTGTCAACAAGGCAGACCGTATCATGAGCAGCAACACTTCTCATCCTATACTACATCGTCGCCCCTTCATATATCATAGCCTATATCTGTTATCCCTGTCTGTCAGCTATCGAGGCTCAAGACATCCCCACAGCCACAACAGGCGCAAACTTATGCTTAACCATAACAATCCTGTGCCACAGCGAATAGTCGGCAAAAGACAAGGAAACGGCACTGCCACAGCTCGTATTGCTGGGTAAGTAGAAACACGAGAAAAAGCGGGCTTGATGGTTCTACTCTTGGTGAAAGCGCGGCGCGGGGGCTGAAGGATGCTGCTATTTAACCATGGTCAACCCCTCCGCCAGCTCCCGTTGAACGACTTTCTTGCTCTGAATACAAACCTGAATACAATATATATACGAACGGTCTAATAGTCTACTCGACATCAATTCGACAGGTTATAGCGGATTATCAATTCTACGGCGGGGGTTGCTCATTAATACTCCATCATGGCTGGATATCCACCACCAGGGCGTATGTTGCGATTTCCATCTGATCCGGTATATAGGACTCATACTGACTTGCTATCTCACAGAGTACGCCTATCCACCGCAAGGCGGCGCGCCTCCTCAGGGCTATCCTCCTCAAAGCTACCCTCCTCAGGGCCAACCTCCCCAGGGCCAACCGCCGCATGGCCAGTATCCCCCACAGGGCCAGTACCCGCCGCAACATGGACAGTATCCTCCTCAGGGGCAGCATGGAGCGCCGCCACCACAGGGACAGTATCCGCCGCATGGCCAGTATCCTCCACCGGGCGGTGCGCAAGCACAATACTACGCACCCCAGGGACAGCCGCCGCAGGGCCAGTATCCTCCTCAGGGCGGCCATCCGCCTCCTCAGGGACAGTACGGCGCACCTCCACCAGGAGGAGCTCCGGGTTACGGATACCAGCAAGGCCCTCCGCAGGGACAGTACCCTCCCGCCCAAGGCTATCCTCCTCCTCAGCAGGGCTATCCACCACAGGGCTACCCTCCACAGGGATATGCTCCCCAGCCAGGATACGGTGCACCTCCTGCCGGACCTCCCGCTCAGCCGTCTCCTGGATATGTGCCCGGTCAGATGGCCCATGGTGACGCAGGCAGAGAAGCTGATGCCCTCCGCAAGGCCATGAAGGGCTTCGGAACCGACGAGCTCACTCTGATCGAAGTTCTCGCGAAACCTGACGCCCTTCAAATGGCGCTGATCTCGCATACCTTCAACACCCGCCACAAGCGTGACCTGGAGAAGGACATCGAAAAGGAGTGTGGCGGTAAATTCGAATATGTCATGCTGGCTCTTGTCCGCGGGCCCCTGATGCAAGACGTACGCGCAGTGAACAAGGCTATCAAGGGCGCCGGAACGAACGAAAAGCTCCTCAACGATGTCCTTGTATCCCGATCCAACGCTGACATGAACGCCATAAAAGCCGCGTATAAGAAGACCTTTGGCAAAACCATGGAGTCTGATGTGCGTGACGATTTATCTATGCAAACGGAACAGCTCTTCAACCTCATAATGGCTGCCACCCGTGCTGAAGAGTCCGCTCCCCCAAACCAATACCAGCTCGACCAGGATATCGCATCTCTCTACGGTGCGATGGGCGGAAACACAGGCATTCCAAAGAATACCGTCTGGCAGATAATCACACAGAGATCAGACAACCAAATACGCGCATTGAGCGATGCATTTAATAAGAAACATAGCCCATCGCTGAGCGTCCAGGTAACGAGTCACTTCTCAGGCCATGTCAGAGATGTATTGATACACATGATAAGCAAGGCCGTGAGGCCGGCTTTACATGATGCTCTCGCGCTCGAAGATACCATGGCCGGTTTGGGTACGAACGAATGCCTGTTGATCGAGAGAATTGTACGTATGCACTGGAACAAGCCCCATATGGAGCAGGTTAAGGATGCATATATGAAGAAGTATGGCAAGCCATTGCGGACGCGCGTCGCCGGCGAGACGAGTGGGGATCTGGAGAAGGCTCTTCTTGCCATTCTACAGTGATTTAATACGGCCTACACATATCATTTACGTTTTAATTTGTTACGAACCAACTGTTATGAATATGATGGATGGATACCACTTTCTTTAAAACTTTCTCCTTGACGTTGTAGTGATTTCTGTCTCGTAATAGAGATTTAAAAATAGCTGAATAGTGTAGATAGAAAATGTGCAAGTTAGACATGGTGCTAAGACGTGATAAAGGAAGAGTAGTGTAAATAGAATGGTATTATCTCGATTTATGGCTATGTTTCCAAGTCTTGGATCTTGGTGTCATTTAAGATGAAATGGGAAATTGGGAGTAAATATGTACGCAAGCATAATATTCCACCCAGAGCAAAAAATTTGTGCGCGACAAGCAATCATTGGAATTAAACAAAATGCCACACACAAAAAGCAGAAACAGGGATAATCCCGATTCCATAAAACAAGCTGCTTCATTTCGGGCATGAGGTCATCACTTCGTAGCTAGTAGCCAAAAAGAAAGTAAAACGGAAAGAAAGAGAGAAACATATGAGGAAAACCCTCGCTGAGGGCTTCGGCTACCTGTGCCTTAGCGATCTTCTTTCTCATTGTCCAACAACTTGCCAACATGGTCCCTCACACTAAATCCATTGAACAGCCAATCATTTCCGTGTCTACCAACCTGCGTCATCGTGCTGCTGCGTCGCTTATGGTTTGAGCTGCTGCTCTTGCGAGAATGGCGTTTCTTCTTCTGGCATTCCTCAGCGGCAGAATCAGGCGAGGTGATTTCCGGGCTCATGAGAGTTGGCGAAGTGGTTCGCTGACCGGAGTGAGCAAGCTGCGACGCATTGGTATCAATTGGAGCTGGGGCGGGAGACTTTGCGCGGGACCGAGAGTTGGACCGAGAGTGGGAGAATGAACCGAAGAAATAGCCCCGGGAAGGCGATGTGGGCGGTTCCAAGCTCGAGGTTGGATGCGGAGAAGCCGTTCCACCAATGCTAGACCCTCTGCTATGGCGGTGGAAGAACTGTGGGAAAGAAGAGGCGTGAGGCGTCTTTACTGTATCGCTGGCCCCGGATTGGGTGGTTGCAGATGTAGATAAGCTTGGAACAGACGAGGACGTCGAAGCTTGAGTCGTCGTTTGAGCCATGTACGGTGCGCGGTCAGGCATTGTGGCGATTCCTGCTCTGGTTTGGAGAATATTATGCCTGTAATTTGCTCGAGAGGATATGTCCAGAGCGTGAAGCTGTTGCAAATCAATTGCAGAAATTCGGTCGGTGTAGTAAATGTTAGAATATATATCTGTCGCCCGGTGAGAATAAGTCAAGCTAAGCTGCAGTGTAGTCAGACGCTTGCGTCATCGACTAAGACAGAAAATAAATGATCGTGTATATATCGGTGAAAGAGTGCCAACGCCCCGCGTCGTTAGGTAGGCAGTTATTTAGGGCGGCAAGTGTAAGAGCTCTTGTCAATACGCGATGTCAAAAAGTAAGGCGAAAAAAGCGAGGGAATCTAGACGTATTTATATGCCCCCCAGCGCCGAAGCGAGGATGATTACCGCGTGCGATAAGAGTCGTTCGATGACTCCCTGTGTATGGCCTGCTAGACGAGGCTTGAGACATCCACACAACCGGTCATTGGCTGTGACGTAGAGTTCCGGAAACTCCCAACCTCTTCACACAGCCGATCACCGCTGCGGAGATGTAGTTGCAGCAAGTAGTCCACGGCCTCGTCTGATGGCCTCAGGGAGTTCCATAGCAATGTTGTCGTCATCTGTGTCTGGGATCGGGCGCGCCCGTAGATACACAAGTTAATGCCTCAGTCCGTTTTTTGAGCCGCAAGTCCGCTGTATCACCTGGCCCCTACCGTCGAAGTAACTCCACGGTGCATGTAATATATGCGGGTTTGAGTTCATCCAACAATTGCTGGCCAAGCTGGAACGAATGCGAGAATGCCACCTAACCATCGCGCGTGACGTTTGGACTTCCGGCATTCACTGGCATCGGCTATCTCGAATGTTGGCAGAGAGGCTCTGGCAATCTCGGCACTTCAGCCCTACAGCTAGGCACGACAGGATCCGTTCTTCCCCGGCAATCGACATGACGCACTGGGAGGATCCTCAGGCATTGACATAAAACGGGTTTGACTGGCCGGAAGGAGAGCCGATTCTTCCTCGGAGATCGCACTTCGTTTTTCTAGCTGCCTTCTCGAAGACAGTTCTCGTCCTCGCCGTGATAGCCGTGGTCGGGCAGTAGAAGGATGCGGAGTGGACCGATAACTGTGATCTTCATCAGCCGGTGGCTCGTATCCAGGGATAGTTATCTTGGGCGCTCCATGTCCGAGGAGCCGCATCCGAGGCCTGATGGTCGACCCGGCCTCAGGCATATTGAACGCTGTCTGCGTGTTAACTATGAGTAATCTGCTGACGCTTTATGTCTCTGTATCAACGTGTAGTCGGTAGATGTGCCTGTAGATGTAGATGGTGTATGTTTTGTATGTTTAGAGGGCTGAGATAGGCCCCGATGACTAAGCCGTATACCTGTCTCTCCTTTGGACTCAGCTTCAGTTTACTACAAGTCAGGAAGAAGTTGTAAGGCCTATATTAATTGTATTGAGTGTACGTGATGCGTGTTGAACCCACCACAGTATACTGCTAATTAATTACTGACATCATGATATCACACATTCAATCTGGTTGACCTCCATCACAAGAAGAAACAGGGTGTCCTAACATCCATGAATGATTCCCTATCCACAACGGGCACAGGGTCCCTTGCAGCCACTGTTGCAATGTTCCAGGCGTCTGGCGCTGGTTGGTGATATGCAGTCGTAAAGGCCCTGGCGATCAGGGACATTCTCCCAGCCTATACACCGAGTTAGAGGCTTCTTTGTAAACATAGCTAGGCGTCATTCTAGATGTGATTTACCTAAGCCGTCGGCAAGATACCAGCCACAGTAGTTATAGCCAATATTGCAGTTTCGGGCTGCAACTAATCCATTGCCGTTGCCCGCCGTGGCCTCCTCTTGGAGTGTCGCGCCGTTCGCAATGGCGCCGAGGGCAAAGGTGATGAGGGAGCTGAGACGCATGTTGGCTGGTTGGTTTATATCTAGTTGCTAGTGAGGCTTTGGGACTTTAGGGTTGTAGATCGGCTTTTGGAGTGTATGGAGATCTTGAGGGCCTTGGGGTTGATGGAGATAGTCTCCCTAGGCTGGCGGACGACCCTCTATTTATACCCCGTGGAAGCTGTCAAGCCGCCGAAAATGGTGGGCGAAAGGCTAGCAGGTTATGGCATACCTCTGAAGCACTGCTTATGGCTGCACCCTGCACATTTTGAGCAATATAGACCGAAGTCACTCGTACCCGTCGTGATCAGGATGCATATACGAGTCGCTGGAATCTGGACTTTAGCAGCTGCATCGTCTGTATTTTCATAAGAAGTCACCCACTGGCCCAATATGGCAGATATTGGGTATATATTTAGGCCACAACTATGGTTGCTACCTACTATTCCCGTAACCACATGGCCTGGACGTTAGAAGATATCATGAAAGGGGACAAATAGCTGGTACAACGGGGAAGGTGAGATGATAGTGCAAGGTTGGTGTCAAGTAAAACACGAAGAATAGATGACAAGACAAGCCTGGCCGGAAATATGTGATACTGTGACCTCGGATTGTCTAGCTATAGCTATAGCTGCGAGGCTATGTAATCCCATCTCATGGATTTTTCTGGGTGGTCTTTCAATATATATAGCACCCGTACTCCGTAATTGTGAAGGAAGAAAGTCAATAGGCGAGCTCATCTATGCCCTATTGGATAATTATATAGATCTGTATGGTATATGTAGCATTGCTCGCCTGAATGATAACCTTTGCAGGTTTGATGTAGCGAAGCTAACATGCAGTGATGACATCCCGCAGAGGGGCCGTATAAGTAAAGAAGTATACTTAATTTAGCCCCGCTGCTTGTTGAATTATAAGGCTTATTGGACGAACTAATACCGGTGTCTAGATGTTATGTCAATTTTTATATTGGCCCATCTTGTTCGTTCTGTCGCCCAATATGCGCCCTAGAATAGGGAAGGATGCATACTAGCATTTCGATCAGCCATTGTACCGCCACAGCCTTCATATTGGTATCGTAAACCTCATTGCTGCCGCTTCTGTGATGGCTAGGGAGAAGGCTGGATCGCTTGAAGCGGATGGCTCGGGAATATTCTTATGTAGCAGGGTTCAATTTAATTTTCTCCGGCAGCTATATTATCCTTGTCCGTCAATGCCTGCCAGTCGCCCTTCGAGGCCCGTCGACTGCACCTAGGCGGCTGGATGTAAGTTGAGAGTGAAGGCAAGGATGCTAGCAGGGGAATTATTTCCGGTCACAACATTTCCATGAAAAAAGAAAACAAACGCGAAGGTGGAAAATAACCTCACGTGATATCCCCGGAATTGTCTATGGGGGGGACCTCAGCGTAATATCGTCCGTCAATAATAGTCCAAAGCAGATATAACCCAAGGATGTATTTCCAACTCCTCGGAGACCTGGACATCGGGGAGAAATATGGCCGTTTATTCGTGCAGGAGACGGGTGTCTAGGCTGATTGACAGTCAACGTCGCCTTAATTTTGCAAGGATGGCTGTTTCACTTCCAGCTCGAGCAGCCCAACTTGTCCAGCCATGACGAAAGGTACGGATTTACCAGCAAGATGACCGGCCATGAAGTCGGGATAACATATGACGAGAATCAAGCTGTAGAGAAGGTAGGTGGGCTAGAAAGCTATTCTTAGCACCATTCTATTGAAATTATGGCTCACTTGGCTCCCATGGTATGGAAGACATACCGGGAAATGTGGCGTCCAGCCTGAATTGATGAAATGTTTCCAGAATACGAAGAGACGACATGATAGTCAGTGTGTTGTAGTGCATTTAGATGCTGATGCCTGGTGACCACCGACCTGAGGAACAAGATACACAAAAAGAAATCTACCACAACCAACGTCAGGAGTGCAAGATTGCGGTTATTTTGATATCACGGCCCGGAGATATGACAATCTGCTGGCTAATCACTAGAAAAAGCTGAGAGTAGGTACCTTGAGAACAAGACAAGAGAGTGTTAGTTGAGAGCACCACTTTGAGGTTATGGATGGACCTCACCTTATCCGACCCTATGTCCAAGACAAGCTCGAGCAAGCCTAGAAGAAACCCAAAGAGATAGCCAAAGAGATACCCAAAGAGAAGCACAAGGAGAAGCCCAAAGAGAAGGGATGCCTCAGGGAAGTACGAATAGTGGTCATTGGAAAGCGCCACTATGAGACAACTGCGACTGCCGCCACGGACACTACGAGGTCAGATATCCAATATCACGATGAATGAATCGGATGAAGATATACCTTATCATATACCACTGTTCGACGTGTCTTCTCGCTATCATTTAACTTATATCGTCTTATTGCCATTCGGTTATACCGGTGACGTTTCACTCATTTTCCTTCGACTCCCGCACCTCCACCACTGGTATGCATGGATAAGAATGATTTTACCATCCTCGCGGGAGCGTGTCTTGCTGCATGGATCTTGATCGTTGGTTTTGTTTTAGCTACCTGGAAGGCGGCGGACAGGTTTACTAGGAATATTACCGACGTTGAATATCCGCAGGTCGAACCTGATACAACAACGTCCGCTCACAGAGCCAAACACGTTCGTTTTGCTCCCACTGTCGAATTCATCTAACTGAGGCTGGATATACGGATACTACCTCTTTCGTTGCTTTTGGTACCACTGTGGCTGATTTTCGCATCAAAAAGCGATCCGACTTCTACACCATAATTCATGGCTCCTGTTTATATGGTGTTGCTTCAACGTAGGGAGGTCATCCAACCCCCCAGGCACCCAAATGGCCCAGGCGACGCCATACCAGTCGATGAACGTATAAGCCTGAAAACATTCATTTTGCTATTCGTCGGAACCGTGTGCATATTTATAGTGGGTGTCTTTTACTGGAAGCTTGGGACGTTTCTGCGGTCGTTCACACGCTCAAGGGTAACTGGGGGAGGGAGGAGTGCTGCTTCACATCACGTTAGAGCCTGGTATGGATGGGTACCTGTCATGGATTATAATGAGCAGAAAGAGCGGTGGAAAAAGGAATTTAACTGGGCTCGGAGGCTGATGGTTTGGAAATCTTCGCATGCAGATTATAGCAGGGTCTGGTGGGATCCAGGGGGCGAAAGATCCAAGCAGCGTGCCGAAGATGAGGGACAGTTACGGCGCATTCCCCTGAGACTGATGAGATATGCAACCAACGGGTTAAGACCTGGATCGCAGCTACCTGTCAACTCAGAGAAAAGTGCCGTGAGAGCTGACAAACCTATACCTCAACCCAACCCGTTATATCGCCCTCGAAGATCACGATACTTCAACACCGAATTTGAAGATGTCCGCTTACCGCGCATTCCGATGCATGACCCTTCATTCATAATTCCCCCAAAGACACGATCTAAATCCTTTGATGACAGCCACACTCGGGTAGCTTTCACCTCGCGACAGGCCCCTACCGCACGAAGAGCTGTCTCTGACGGCAATCAGAATGAAGCCCTCCATATATGGTTCCAGTGTCCCACCGACCAACGACTGCCTGCTAGGAGGAGGGTCGGTCAAAGTAGCCTCTTTAGTTACGAAAACTCCTTGGACGACATTCCAGCTGTGAAATCTCTTTCTTGGAAATATCGAGCGTGGGGAGCAAGGATGCAGTGTCAAACTTTTGGCAACACTCCCCGAGTTCTCAGAGGTCATGCTGGCCGACCAGGAACAGCAATGTCGTTCGCCATAAGAAGCATGATGTCATCAGGCTCTGGCGGCAGTGCTGAAATATATCAATCGCTCTCGGGGAATAACAGACAGTACCAGACCACTTCGTCTACTAATCCATGTGCTCCTACGAATTTATACAGCTGTGACCCACCGCCCGGAGGCCCTCCTTATAGGGTTAAGGAAATGAGCCCGTACCATATACCTCATGTAAACTCCCCAAGCTCACAGCATTTCACCATTGCATCGGATGCTAGCTTTTCCTCCCGATTGCGATACCCTCCATTAACGAAGAGGAGCAGACCTGGTCCACGTTGCAAACCTGGAGAAGACGCGCTTAGAGTCAGAAAACATCGGGGCTTCCGTGGTCGGCCGCCTCTTCCAAATTGTCTAAGTGGCCCTGAAGTCCGACTGGTTGATAACTTGGATAGGAAGCTGGAGTGGCTGTCAAGTGAGACAGACCCAGGCAGAAAATCTTTTGCATTCCTGCTTCTTCATAATCACTGGCTCAACAGGGCTACCTGGGTTGTAATGGACCCTTCGTCAAGAATCAGCGTCCAAAAAAAACGAGCCCAAGGTGACCCCAGAGTCAATACCGTAGCGTTCGGCGGGACGGGGAAAGCCGCCATGTCAAGCGACTCTCCAAGGCTACGGCACAGGGTGAATACTCCACGACTAGATTCTTGGAGACTAGCAGTCAATCAGGCAAGGGTATCGTCTGGGGCTAAAGAAATACAGAAGGTCGCAGAGTTATTTGAAGGCTCCGCTGATGAGGCTGCTGATAACAATGTTGATCCAGCAAGTTGGATCCTCAAAAAGCCGCCACAGGGAAACGGAATGTCCAACAAGCAGAAAGAGACCTATTTCGAAGGCCCCGGAGGCTGGAGTGAGAAGCTCGACTATTGGCAGCATGTTCCTCGGTTTTACAGAGTGCGCAGGGTGGTTTTTCAAGGGAAAGCCAATCGCCGATGTGTTGTTAGAGCTGGCAAAGATATACGCGGTGGTGTCGGAAAGGCTGCTCGGAAAGCAAAGCAGGTTGGGGTCAAGCAATATTCCAAGATCAAGCACCATGCTCCAGGTCCAGGGCATCCTCCCAGGCCGTCAAGGCGTGCGATAAACTCGCAAGTGGCTGTAGAAGAATCAACCCATGCCCTACAAAACGCACTCTTGACCACCGACCAGTTGACTCGGGCCCAGGAGCGAGACGACGGTTAGCCAAGCAGTAGGTGGTAAGAACACTATTATTACCTTTGAGAACTAATTTAATTAGTTGATCTTTCATTTTGCATACGGGGAGAAGAGGCGGTTATAATGTCAGCGTTATGCTTATATGCCAAAGAGGAAAAACAGGTCACTCTCTGCATTCAGGATAGCCATATGATCATACAATCACGAATAAAATCGAAAAGATTCCCAGTAATGTATACACATAGATTCAGTGTAGGTCTAACCGCAGAGAACCAGCCAAAAGACTCCGTACATGCCCACAGATTTCAAGAGAAGGAAAAGGTATTTATACAAAGCGAGGAACGATATTCCGTATAGAGCGCAGGGACGAGAGATATAACGATAGACTCCATAGGTTTAGAAACCGGGCGGGTTAACTCTCTGGCTGATACGGGTCCATTTTGGGAGTTCTGTTCGGAAAGAGACATCTTGTTAGCAGATATCCATACATCATTTCGTCCTGTCGTGCTTCATCCGTCCATATGGTACAGGGGATAGCTCAAATGGCAAGGAAGAACGTGAACAAGTCACAGGGATAGGACATACTATGTATTCCCTTGCGATATTTCTTCTCCTTGCGGTCGAAAATCGTATATTTATCCTTCGGCAGCATTTCCTCCTCTCTGGGCATCTCGCGGTACCATCGTTCAACGGGCTTCGTTGCTCCAACGCCGTTTCTTTCGAGGGCAGCATACACGGTATCGACGACGGTATCGACTGCTCGTAAACGTTTACGTTGTCTGGCCTTCTGCGGGCTTGAGAGCCGCCAGGGAATCTTCCTGCACAGAGCAACAGGTTAGCGATGGTCGTTGGAACCGGTAGCCTCAATGGCACGGATTGCGCACCATAATAAACCACTCAGCAGTGGGGAGGTCGGCTTGAACATCGTGCGTCGTTGTTGGAGAGGATTGGAGGCGGGAAATGGCTGCTCTCGTCGTTCGTCGTGCAAGTTCAGACTCGAAGCTGCGACTTTTCCCTTTGGTTGGAAAGAAAAAAATGAGGCGCTGGATGTTGGTCCGTGCGCATAACTTCAAGATGCGATGATGAAGCTCGACGTTTGTTACTTCGGATTCCACCGGCCGGCTTTCTGTTTTATTATATTCTATTTCTTTTTGTGTACATTATAGAGAATGGCAACCGGATTCCCGTCGTTCTTTAGGGCCCGATGAATTGATCTAGCGGCGTTACTTCCACCTCGTCCCGTTTGAGCTCGCTCTCTCTTCCCCCCGATATCCCGATGCAGCTTCACGACGGGACGCTGGAGCAGCCGTCCTCCGTCTGGAGGTTTTGGTCCTCTACAACTACGCTGGGCATCGCGGCACTATGTCGTGCGTTTCTATATTCGGTTAATACCACCGAAGTCAATGGGCTCGAGAGGTTCTTGCAGCTGCTTGAGTCGCGACAGGATGACGGCTCGAGGACACGCGGGTTAATAACAGGTGAGCTAGTCCCTAGAATTATGCTCAGCCAGTTACTTGAATGATGGTAGCTAATTTTCCTTGACTCTATTCACAGTTTCAAACCATATAAGTGTGTATGTAGACTCACAGCGTCCCCTTCTCGACATATGCGTATCCGATAGGAACACTGGACTGAGACTCTTCGGATTCGTACTGTAGCATGGACGACCCGTTGATGTGGGGGGTAATACCGTTGCGCAACCATTGGGGGTTTCAACCATGCAACCGTAGATGGGCTCTTGGAAGCCATGATATTTGTTTTAAGAATAGGTGCGACCCCATCTTTAGACCCCAACAAGGGTATCTGTGGGACTTTCTAACCCATTTATATAGATTTATGTCGGCATTTTTTACATTTGGGCAGGTTCTCCCAGCACATAGGCTCTTCCATTCTCCCCGCGGAGGTCTCTTCCAACCAAGCATCACCCAAGCAGTCCGGTTGCTATCCAAGGGGCCATTCTCTTCAGCGCCTCATAGTGCTCCCATGGGCAAGCAACGATGGAGCACAAGCAATACCTGTGTCGACCCCTTTTCTGAGGTACCGACAGCATTCACTACGACCGGAGAGGATGCATATCTCGCTCCGTCAGCTTATGCGTGCAATTCATACTCCTGGATCCATATTTTCCCTGAAGGAATGATACATCAATCATCGCATAAAACAATGCGATACTTCAAATGGGGCGTATCGCGCTTGATATTAGAGCCTGCATCGTGTCCCGATATCGTCCCTATGTGGATTGAAGGTACGGACGGCGTCATGCACGAGGATCGCTTATTCCCACGTTTCCTGCCACGCATAAATCAGAGAATCAACGTTACTTTTGGTGAAAAGGTGGATACTGAGGCTATATTCGGGGAGCTGAGGAGCAAGTGGCAGAAGCTCAAGCAAGAATCAGAGCGAGAAGCCACCAAGCCTCTAGCAGTCGGGATCTTGAACGACAAACTCATGTACGGAGAAGAAGCTACGGAGCTACGTTTGGAATGTACGAGGAAAGTTCGCGACCTGGTCCTTGAAGTCCGGCGTTCAAGGGGCTTGCCGGACGAAGACCCGAAGGCCAGCATGGCAGACACATGGCTGAGAGAAGGCCCGAAGAGAGAAGGGAAGATGGACGACGGCTCCTTGGTCAAAGACATTTAAAACCTAGATACGTGGCCATATTCAATACTATGGTGAATGTAAATATTATTTGTTAAATATAGCTGAGGCTGAAAGCTGCCAAGAACCGTATTTCAGCCGCCACTTTGGATATAAAAAGAGTCAGAGAGCTACAACAACCCCTCCAGAGCTCTTTGACCAGACTAGAAATACTCTCGCCCGTTCTCTATGCCCAAAAAACACAAGGCTCCATCCATAAAACCGAAACCTGCCGCCCATCCTTCGCTCGAGTCGTCCAGGTCTTCCGGCCATGGCAAGGCTACAGATCAACAGTCCGTCAACGACATCCTACAGCAGATGCGAAATGCATCGTCGCTGTCCAAGGGCGCAGGCTGGCAAACGAGACTGGCTCCTCGGTCGGTCCATCCTTCGCTGAGGAATATCCTTGAGCTCCCCGAGACACCACCTCCTCGCCCTCGACCTACGGCCGCTCGCCAGGCGATAGGACAGCGAAGACTGCGCAGAACCCCGGGTCCGCCACCTCCTCTTAGTTGGGTAACACCTAACCCGGGATCGAGTAGGGGATCGGACAGCGGGGATAGGAATATATTGAGGAATCGCAGTGTCAAGTTTGCCCGTCGGCTAAATCGTCTTCCTGGAGCAACAGTCCCGTCGCAAGGTAGCTTGCTACATACCACTCTACGAACTATGGCCACTCACTGGGATTGGCATCTACTTTATGACGGGACCTTCCTATCGACATTACCAATGCATATACGACAGCTCCTGCTGACATATATCTCTGTCTATACGGATCACCCATCCATGGGTGTAAGTATGAAGGGTTTGGAGCCCTTATTCACGACTCATGATCAGGAATCTAGCTCTAACGACCGCGCGGAGGTGACCCGATTAGATCTTGGGTTTTCCCTCGGCTACTGGCTTAATATAAAGCAGCTCTCAAGGGAGCTCAAAGGTAATATTCCAATGGATAAGGAGAAAGCCCCAGTTCCGGCCTCGTGGGAGGAGGAGGCAGACCTGGAGACAACAACTCCCGCGCCAGGTCAGCTTGATTTCGCTGCCATGAATAATCTAAGATACCTCTCTCTGGCATCCCCAGCCCCGGATGCAGCGAGCTGGGTCTCTCTTCTTAAATTGCTTCCCCATCTGCCAACCTTAACTCATCTCTCCCTTGCCTATTGGCCGGTCCCAACACTAAAACCCAACTCACTCACGGCAAGCGTGAGCCATGCGAAGCATAAACAACTTACTTTTCAGTATGGAGGCTCGGATACCTACTCATCTTATGAGAATAACTGGGTCGAGGCATCGATTGTCCTTGCGAAACTGTCAAGAACAACTTATAGTCTCAGATGGCTTGACCTGGAAGGCTGCCTTGAGTGGATCCCCGCGTTATGCTGGGATGGAGTTGATATTTATGGAAAGACTCACGAAGTCACAGGCCCGGAGTGGAACGGGTCGTGGAGAGGGGTAGAATGGATAGAACTCGGTCCCGGCTGGGGGCCTGAGAGCTCAGCGCAGGACAATATCACTGTCAAAAGTGGTGGCGAGGATACTGAACCTCAACAACATGATCCACAAAAAGAGCTGGAGTTACTTGAGGACGCTTCCGAGAGAATAAAAGCTGTCGGAAAGCGTATACAAATGATAAGGAGGGAAGGGCGTGGGAAATGGATACATTATTCTGACGGATCAGAGAGACGGGACACGGCCCAATACACATAAAGCGGTTAAGCGCTTCCTTGTAGGCAAGAAGCTTCCTTTCAGTTTGTATATAGGTGTGTTACCATAATGATATAAAGCGTGATGGCTATATTATATTCTCTGCATTGGGTATTCTCATACAGCTCCGTCTATTTTGATTTGAACGACTTCAACGGGTCAACCTTTCTCCCCGAACTACCCTTCCTTGCAACTCTTCCCTTAGTCCGGTTCTTCTGTCTGGCTTGTCGAATCCTGTTCTCCTTCGGCTTGCGTAGCCCAACGAAACCAATATCCTCACTCGTTAATGAACTCTTCCCCTTTGTTGGCATTAGATAATCCGGGACATTCTTCAAATGGCCCTGTACTCTCACAGATCCTAGTTCACCATCGTGCCTTAACTGGCGTAGCTCTTGGGGGTTCTCTTCGAAATGTCTTTTCAATTTCTCACTCTTGACAAGCTCCTGCCTAATCTCCTTTGACCTGGCTTCCTGAACCGCTACCCTAGTGACCGCACGGAGGGCATCTGTCATTCGGTACCTGAATACCTCAATTTGTTTCTTGTCGAAATGGTATGGCTTGACTTCCCGTCCTAACTTGGCCTGACGTTTTTCTATTTTGGCAAGGACTGATTCGTCGTTCTTCGCTGATGGGAGAATGGTAGGTTTATGTTTCCCATATAGTTCGGATGGAACAACAAATGAAAGGGCCATACCAGTTTTACCGGCTCGACCCGTTCGACCAATACGGTGGGTATATGATTTGGCGGTTGTTGGAAGGTCAAAGTTGATCACACAAGCGACATCTTGGAAATCTATTCCACGAGAAATACCGTAATCCTTTTCCTTGCCCGATTTTTTCCGCTTCTTATTTTTATTAGATGGTGCCGGTTTTTCTTCCTCTTCAGGCTCGCTAAGCTCCTGGTCTTCTTCAGTGCCCGTTTTCGCGATGGGTACATCTGCTGTTTTGCTTGATTCCTGGTTCTCGCTCTCAATCGTCTCCTTCTTGGATGCAGCTTTGCCTAGGACTTCTTGGTCATCGGCGGCAATGATGATGTCGTATACGCCCTTGTTGAATTCCTGGACGGCATGTATTCGGGAATTCGCTGGCAACTCGGAGTTAAGAATGCAGCTCTTGATACCAAACTGTTCCAGGAACAGTTTGAGGCGATAGCATCGATCAACATCTCCAACAAATACTATGCATTTGCCCTTCACAAGCTGTAGTTTAAATATGACGTATGTAAGCAAGAACTTTTCATCTTCCGCGCATCTATGGAGTAATGTGTTAGCAGGTCAAGATAAAGTGATGGAATGATTTCGGCAACAACATACTTGACAGCAAATTGACTTATTCCCGCGCCTTCATCCTCTGCTTCCTCGAGCTTCAAGATGACCGGGCTTCTACAGAATAATCCCTTCAAGGTGTCGACCTCAGATGTGAGTGTAGCACTCATTAAGAAAGTCTGGACACCACGCGGAATTGCTTTCGCCAAGCTCTGCATATCTTGCTCATATCCGTATGAGAGGACCAGATCTGCCTCATCGATAACCACTTGGCAAATATCGTCAAGTGCAAGCGCGGAATTATTCACATTGACAATCGCGCGAGCGGGAGTAGAAATAACGATATCAGGCAGATCGGCGAGGAGCGCACGTTGAACGGCATCAGAGACCTTTTGAGTGAGATTCCCCGATCGTATATCCTTGGAGCAAAATTCCGAAAAGGCAGTGACTGTTTTATGTACTTGTTGGGCGAGTTCTCTCGTCGGGACTAGAATCAACGCCGATATCGATTTGTGTGCGGGGTCAGCCTAATAATTGCGATTAGTATAAGATCGGCCTCAAGCAATACGCGCCAGAGCACTTACAGCTTTCTTCTGTAAAATCTTCTGCAGTATTGGAAGTAGATATGCTGCCGTCTTTCCGGATCCAGTTTTTGCCCTTGCTAGAGTCGACGTAACGTTAGCCGGCCGAACATCATTGCAACATATAAACGGATATATAACGTACCCAGGATATCCTTCCCACTGAGTGCTAGAGGAATTGCCTCCGCCTGGACTAACGTGGGCTTCGAAAATTTTTGCAGTGTTAAGGCCTGAAGTAATCGAGGATCGAGGCCAAAATCCTCGAAACATTTGGCGGGTTTTTTGCTTTCCGCCGGGTCCGCCGACGTAGGGACATCGTTCTCGTCTAGCTTTCGCTTCATGATTAAGAGAATAGCACTCAAACGGCCGGCAAAGCAGTATACTAGAATGTTTCTTCTATCTACAGACAAGCAAGTTCGCAGGCCTTTTAGAAAATCTAAGATAAATTATGCTTACCTAAGATTTTTTTTTTACTCCGCGCGGTTAAATATTTCTCCGGAAGTTTCTTTTTTCTCCCGAAACTTCGCAGCAAATGTTCAACTTAGTACTTCGAGTATCGAAGCAGGGAAGATATGCCCCTCAAAGGCCTTCGAAGAGACCTCTATAGCCTTGTTAATTTATTTACTGTTAAATTGCTATTGGCGTGGTTATGCAATTAGCTAGTTAACTAGTTATCCATTGGCGGGCGGAAATTACGAGATATCACCATTAACCCAGACTATTTTTCACCAACCATATAGCCTCACACACAGTCAACGTAAGATTGTTTAGAATCCAGAACCTCAGTTGGTTACTGCTATGCTCTCAAAGGGACAAAGGATAAGCTTGTTTATCGCTTTTATATCCCTTTGCACTATTTCATTACTTCTCAATCGCTTCATCCCTTCCCCGTCATCCAATATATCCGTCAATATGCCAGTCACCCATGTTGTCCTATTCCAGTTCAAAGCGGGAGTCCAGGCTGAGGCTGTACGTGATGTAAGTCTACGGGTGTCTTATGAAAACTTCACTTTGCGCAACGTTCCGATAGTAATTTTCCTATTCCTAGGTTTGCACCCGCATGCTAGGCTTGAAAGATAAATGTCTCCATCCACTTTCTCGGAAGCCGTATATACTTTCGTCATCTGGCGGGATAGACAACTCGATAGAAGGAATCCAGGTAAGCGAATTCATTGCTTCTCCTACCTTGTATGGGGAGGGCGCAAGACCATGTTTGTAAGATATATGCTGATTCTTTTACTTTCTCCGGTATGAAGGGTGGGATGACACATGCATTTGTTGTCAACTTTGCGAGCAAGGAAGATCGAGACTACTATGTTCAGAAGGATCAGATGCATCAGGAGTTTGTACGAAGCGCTGGCGAAGTCCTTGAAAAGGCGCAAGTTGTAGATTTTAGCAATGGGGAACTATAGGAGAGTGAGTGGGATCGAGTACTATACCGCAATCATCCTTTTATTAGTAACTTATTCTGAATACAATGCCATATACTGAAACTCAAATGGTCGCAATATTTCAATTTGGTGATACTAAGATATAAAACGTATATTGGGATGTAGTAACCCATCACTCTCAATCCACTTGCTTTTCGCCGAGAGAAACCATGATTCCGCTGTAGAGCGGGAAGCCGTAGAATGAAAGGGGAACGGGTACACGTAAAAGTAAATGGAGTATAAAAAATATAACAAATCGTTGTGCTGTTGAAGGACGTTGTTAGATAATGGTAGGAAAATGGTAGCATTGAAAATGAGGCAATAGATTCGCTCCACGAATCCAATGTCAGCTTTGGTATTCCAAATAAATGGAATAAAACCAAGGGGTCAAGAATGAAGAATGCGTGGAGGACTATGCGTTTAACTGTGCCTCAAAATGTTGAATTATTATTAACTGGGAGATCAGAAAATGTTGGAAAAGATTGGATACTGCACAAATAGCAGCAGGATGGGGAGAGAAAGAACGTATTTGCAAGGACATCAAGATATCCAAAGGACCAAGTAGTCCACTGTGTAGATCGTGTGCTTTAGTGATGTAAGGCAGTATTGTGTGTATCGTATGGCTCATCTCTCTCGACAAACCACGTCCAGGAGCGGCGGAACTCCCTTATAGACTCGTTGCTAACCTGTCCAATAGGCTTTACCTTGATGTTATGATCAACGGTATATACTTTCCCAAAATTTAGGAAAGATTGCCTATGGAGATGCTCTTCTGGGCTGTAGGGGTTTACCATGATAGGAGCTACCCGTGTTCCCCCTGATGAGTCGTTGGGAGGTAAAGTACCCCTCATATATATGGCCGCATGAGTGGTAGGGTCAATTCCCGGCTTTGATAATCCCCTTCCCTGGTAAGTATTGATGGCCCTTAAAAGCAGTGAGCTATTAATCCACCACAATTTTGACGTATTGGACAAGAGTTTCATACAAACACCAAGAGCACCCACGTTGCTTCTTCACAACAACCATTCTACGAATATTTGCATGAACCTCTTGGTCGAATCTTGCAGGGTAGTTGAACCGATTACCAGCACCGTGTGGGGCCGACGTAGTACCAGCGGGCTGTGACCAGTAGACTGAAAGTACCTATTGTCATTTATCAGCAATCTAATAATGTACGCAAGCTAATGCACGGGGAAAGACATCATACTCTGCCAATGGAGAAAAACTCCCTTGTTTGAAGTCTGTAATCTTTTTAGGAGGTTTAGCTTTCCATATTGACTATATGGTTGACTTGGGTTGAGATCTGCCCACCTCTGTTAAACACAAAATTTTCATTGTTCCGGTGATGATTCCACGGCCCTAGAAGCTTAGTTAGACATTATCTTTATTCTCTAATTTGCTAGGCGTATACATCGGCAGAGTAAACTGACTTACCATCATGGGGATCCCCGAGGCTGCCGAAATTAATTCCTTCCGTTTGGTAACTAACATGCGAGGGTATCGGCGCGGAGTTGCTGTTGGCCATGGGAGAAAGCCAGCAAAAAAGTCAGCATTTAGATTAGTGAAACAAAACAGAAATTGTACAAGCCAAGTAAATGCAATGTTGTAGGGACATAGCGGTGCGGGTTTTAGGTAGTCTCGTGTTAGAGACGCCATAAATTCCCTACCTTGAGCTCAGCTCATAGTTATGGTCTTGGTATCCGTGGCTTGAAGACCTTCTGTTCATATCCGCATAGTTTTGCGGGGCATCATAACCGTCAGGGGTTAAGGATGATGGTGTGTATTGATTCCTTGAACGTGGTGGTTGACCCCAGCCTGAGGGTTGAACTGGATCTCCGGTGGGATGGTTAGCGAAGCCTACCGTGGCACTATTATAATCGGGGCTGTCAGTCAGGGTGCGTCAGTCATGGGCTATGAACTGTCCATCCTTCTCTCTCCTACTGATTATGCTGAAAAGCATTAAAATCGAGGCAAAGAAGAATGAAAGCAATCAAAGTCAGCCCAAGTGTCACGGTAGCCCATGATACTTGTGCAAAAGGCCCGACAGACCATATGAGTAGCAGGCAGACCTACTCATGGTGGCTGGCGGGAGGATAGTTCAAAATATCCCTTCCCTGTGGCACTCCGTGTCCGTATGGCGTCTGTGCTGCCCAAGAAGTCAGTAATATGTCGTGTCTTGTCAATTTGCATCCATACAGTAATAATCCTCCTGGTCGTCTGGAGGAGGGTATTCAGCGCGGCGCTGTCGTGGCGTACTATTTGAGGGGCGTTGAGGCATGCTGGCTGGCGACAATATTTGGATCAAAGCAGATGAACCTAACAAGATTGATGCATCACCAGACAGAGCTGAGGGGGTGTCACCCTTTTGGTCTATCTTCTTGGACTCTAAACCTCAGGACACTGCTCTGGCATTTTATATGCCTGATGATGCCCCTTGAGGGATGCGGCTGTTCGGCCTCTCCACACCGCCAACCTTTTAGAGCCGCATTTGGCAAGCATATACACTTTCTCTAGGATAATACTATCCATTGCGAGTCGTCTCATGGTTGGTAAGTCGTGGCATGCTCAGGTGTCAGAGAGCATGGAGGGCATGCAGCAGACGGCTTTCCCGACAGTTCCATTGTCACCAAGAGGCTGGAACGGTCTTGGCCGAACCGATGTGGAAAATGTTCTGCATGGAGAGATTGGCCGGCATCGGGTATCTTTCTGAGAAATTGTGCATGGGGGAGAAAACAATGGGCTACCAGAGATGCAAGTCCGACGTGCTCTACGTCTGAATGGTAGACTGGTCCGATAGCTATCTCAGGTGATTCGGCCAGCCCTGATGCTGGATCCCTGCTGCCGATGGGACGACATATATATATTTCATGCAAGTGGCTCTTGAGTCAATGACCTATCTCCGTGGCCTGTCGTTTAATCGTGTCGAGGTTGTCGCGTTTTGAAGCCAGGGATGCCAACTTGTAGCTAGTTAGTCAATAGTTTACGCCTTGTATCGTGGATGTTTTTACCAATACATCGACGTCTCAATACGGGCAAATACGAAGGCCAGCTATCCAAGGAGATCCAACTCTGCCCGTCTACGCCTCATTTTCGTCCGCTTCCTTGTTCAACATTGCTGCGTTTGCTTGCAAGCCCCGGAATATGCCATTAACCGCCTCGCTCGAAGTAATAGGTATATCAAGGACAATCTCGGAGAAGGTCGACAATGGTGTTGGCATGCTCTGGCAGCCATGACATCAAATTATTCCTCCGTTTTTGCGGATACAGCTGGAGAAGAGACTGAGGTGAGAGCGCTCTGCTACGATTAATATATTCTAAACTGTTCTGTCTTGACCCCTAACGAGAGTGTTTGAAGCTGGTAGCTCATCTTATCAGCGAATTTGTGCCTGACAGCTTAGACTCCCGTTACGATTTTACCTCCCTATCAAGCTTAAATACCAAGTATACCGACATTGCCGAACAATTGGACAAGCCGCATAGACGTGATGGTTCGAAAATGGAAAATAATATCCCTATGATGCGCTCATTCCCCTTGAGCTCTCCGCCGACTTCGGTGTCTTTTCCAGATATCACACCGAACCTTACCCCGAATGGCTCTCGAGTTCCGGACCAGTCTTCAATAAGCGGTTCAGACTGGGAAATACTGAAGTCACAGCTGTTACGGCTAGTGAGGGATCACGGAAACGTCGCTTCAGACCGGTTTTCTATTCAAAAAAGGCGTGCAAATTTACGGCAGAAAAGAGCTACATCAACAGGCCTGGGGATCACTTTGATGAGTGAATTAAACGCACATTTTTCAAAGGAGGAACCGCATCCAACGTCTCCTTCGCCTCTCTTCACCCTGTTTGAACAATACCAAAAATCATGGACGGAGTACCTGGTCCTAGAGAACGAATATAACGACCAAGAGGATAGGCTGGATGACAGAGAGTTTCAACTCGAAGAGGTCCAAGAGAAACTGAAAAAGGCTGTTGAACGATGTGATACCGACAAAGATGCCATCGCCGATCTCGTGTCTATAGAGGACCAGGAGAACTTGGTACCCAGTTTACCTTTCGAGTCAGGAGAATATCACCCCCTGATGGCTGAATATCTTTCACGCCGTGGCACTCTTAAGCTTGTCGAAGAAAGGCTGTGGGACCTTCAGATGGAACACAAAGAAGCATACGAAGTCTATAAGATGGGAAGAGGGCCAAGGTCATCACAACCGAACGGAGACGATATTGATCTGCTCAACAACTTTAAAAAATACGAAGACGAAATACTCCGTGAGCGTGAGGTGTTGGAAACGGAAGTTGAGCAGCTCAAGGCACAATGCGACAAACAAGGTCTCTCCGAAGATCTATCTATTCCTCAAATATCAGATAGCGACTCAGAAGCTCCGATATCAAATCCCCTACAGTCACTACCGGCGTATAAACACGTACTCTGGGGGAGAGACAGTCCCCGGTTTTTTGAAAGTGCTATGCCACAAGACTCTGTCGACACCGGATCATATATCAACAAGTGGATTTTCCATCAGCTATGCCAGTCTTCATTGGAGGTCCTCCAGCTAAAGCAGAGCCTTGGTTCGCAAAATCTGGAGGTTGGTAGTGACGAAGAGCTTCGCGATCTAGCTATGAGGTATTGGAAGTTTGATGCTGCTGCGAAGCCAGTTTTTCGACCTATTTCAGATGCGTGCTCTAACGATTCTGGCGATTCTCATGTACCGCCCGCCAATGCAAAGGCTACTGGTGATGTTGAGACAAAGATAATCGACAATATTGAGACAATGGCTATCGACAGGATCGAGAGGAAGGCTGTCGACAATAACGAGATTCTTCCACGTACCAGGCCCAATCTTCCCAAACGTCGTTATTCCAGCTTGATCGACTACAATAAACAGCGGCCGAGTCCTAGTCGACGCCAAGCCTTTTCAGCAATTTTTTATTACGATAAGCCTTTTCTTGGTATCACATGAAGGACAGTTGGATACTGGCTTCGTTCGTTGTTTTCTCATTTCTCTTTCCTCTTTTCTCTTCCTACCTTTCTTTTTCGACTGAAGCAAGGGTAGTGAAACTCTATTTACGGGCTTTTGCAGCACAGCGTCTTTTGCTATCAGCCAATACGTGGACTACGTCCACGTATCTCCTTCACATTATACTATAAATTTCGATATATGGAGTACCCACTTGATAATTCCTGAGTTTGAGCATGTGGCGATGTAATATTAGTAGCTAGGCTTTCAATTTTGTGTCCTGAGTTATCACCTTGGTTAATGCGAATACTACTCTTCTACCCTCGGACTAGTCAAGCTGGGCTGAAAAAAAGGGGTAGTATGCTATTGCTAAAATAACATCAACGGAGGGTGACTTCCAAATCTTCCCCTAACCGGATAGAAATTTTGGAGGTTTCTAACAAGGTACCTATTCATGTTCAAGTCAAACAGGAAAAGGACTCTCTCTGGACACCTATGATCAAGCGATTGGTCACTACTTATCAAGTTCAAGCTGGAAAAGACGCCTGTATTCCTCCCTTAGCCGTCCACACTATGCCACAACAACCTTCTAGTGGCCCATCAATAATACAGCAATAACGAGGCCCCAATCATAGTTTGCGTTACACTCGTTAACTAGATCCATCTCGGCATGCAGGCTGCCGAGGGTTGGGATTCCTAGGGCCCTGCAGGGAGGCTACTCAGGTGACAAGCTCAGCATGGCGACGTCCAATGTAGTATTAAATGCGTGGAAGGAGAAATACCGGAACGATGGAAAGAAATACCAAGACAAGACGAGGTATCCGGTTTACCTGGTTTTATAACGTACTACGACTCCTTAATTTCTCTCGACGAGTCAGCTCCCATTGCCTTCTTTTCCGAATGCTTCCGGCGGCTGTCACATATTGCGATGATCCCCTAGAAACCATCAACCTGTTCGAATAGGTTTTTCGCTCTACTTCTTGTATATTTCGGGCATGAAGCAATAAGTCCTCATGTTCCCCAACATTGTAATATATACCATTTACTTTTGGTGGCTGTTTATCCATGCTAGCAGGCCCACCTTGGCCCTGATGGAGATGCATTTATGTGCGTGATTGTGGAGAGTGCATTCTACGTTAACTAGTACCCGGCTTGGCATATGGTTCCTTTGTGTCGGAGAGAATCACTCTGACTCTGGTTTTGACCGATTGTTCAACAAGATCGGGATGATATCTTCTACCACCCCCTTAAGAAACGTCCTAGTAACCCACCCTCGGATCTGGTGATAAGTTATTCAAAGCCGGCTTAAATATTCCAGTACCAGGAATCCTCTTTACGTGTTTCCTGACAGAGTTATATCGCCTATACCTCAGGCATCCCATTGAGGCCGCCGAATATTCCTCTAGTTAATTTAAGCTCGCGCTCCATTATAAGCTTAATCCAGGTATTGTGGGGCGGCCCCATCCAGTTCCTGGTGGATTGGACCAGGAAAAGTAAAAGAAGATGGTTTTGCAAAGATTGATAAGATTCTTAGGCTAGCTACTACATAGAGGGGGCATGTCTTCGTCCACACAATTTGTACATGACAACAAGGGATATACAACATTAATAAACATGCAAATTGTCCAAACTCCACATCCATGAAAGGCAAACGACTAATAAAACGCGAGAGGCCAAAAAAAATATATACCCACTGCCTTACGCCACCCAGCGTCTTAACTCATGACCGACGACTCTCATAATCCTCTCCATCACTATCGCTCAAACTATCTCTGCGCCTTCCACGACCAGTACGGCGGTACCCTTTGCTTAGTGCGGGGATAGGCTGGTGGTAACTCATGTTGCCAGTTCCAATGTCGGAGCCATCAATATGTTGATATGAGTACTCAGACATATTGAGTGGCTCAGTATATCCACCAGGCATTGAAGGGCGTTTACGAGGACTAGATTGTCGAGAATTGTTGGCGCTTGATCGGGGACCGCGGGGACGTTGGGACTTTCGAGCTCGGTGGGAGCGACGCTCAGTATCAGATTGAGTGGCCTCAGACCGGCTAACCTCAGACCGGCGTTCCTCGTCGCGGTGCCGACGCGGTGGCGACGGTTCACGAAGAGGCTTCTGTTCCTCCGTTATCTGAGTGGCCGCATCATCAGCTCCTGCAACGAAGGAGAAGCCTGATACATTTCTGCCTCGCGAGATATCCATTTCCTCGTATTGATTCGTCTGCCCAGCCTGGCTCTGAGTCCACTCGGTCTTCTCATCGTATGTATTTGTCTGTGTATACCCCGCTTCGCTCTGAGTCCACTCGGTTTTTTCATCGTAAGCATTTGTCTGTGTATACCCGGCTTCACTCTGAGTCCATTCACTTCGGTCTTCGTGTGTGTTTGTGTGTGTGTTCGTGTTTGTAACGGTGAAGTCGGAGCCATGATATGTTCCGTCTGCTTCGCGGTTCATCCCACCAACTTCCGCTGGCTTCTCGTGACGGTATGCTCGCATATCATTATCATGTCCGCCTTCCCATGTTTCCTCTCTCTGTCGACGCAACAGTTTTTCCTTTGCCATGGCTCTAAGCCCCTTTCTTCTTGGTTTCTCGCTCGTTGCCACTGTTTCCGTATCCATATTGGTGGTTGCATCGTCGTAGTCGCGATATTCCCTTGCAACAATACTTCCACCGCCTAGGGCGGTACTCCTTGTAGCATTCGATAGAGTACGGCCGTCAGGGCCCTTCCGTCGCAATACCGTGGATTTGTAGTCATCCCAGTCAGTCTCTCGCCATACGAACCCTCCGTTCTTCGCCCAGAAGAAGAACCAGATTGATGCAATAACGAAGGCTGCCCCGAGAAGTGCAAATAGGGCCATTAAACCCTGCATGTTGATACTGTGCGGATCGACGGCTCCCTGGCCGTAGACAGGTAATGGTGTTGTAGGTTCTTTCTCGCGAGCTGCAAGGACTTTCGTAGCTTCCATGGACACTTCCAATGATCTTGTCGGATGAGCGTGAGGGAGGGAGAGTTTCCTCATATTTGCAGGTGTTGTGTTGCGTTTCAGCGACTCAAGGAACCCGGCGACGATAGAGGACGATTCTTCAGAGAGGACTGATCCCTCGGTCGTCGAAAAAGCGTAGGTTGGAGCCATGATGGTGTATGCTGGCTTGACACCCGCTGGCTACGCAAGGAATGCGCCCAACCCCGAGATGGGGACTCAACGAGCTGCTCTAGGTTTTATATCCAGGGTGTCACCGGTATTGCACTAGAAAGGTGGAAGTAAGATGAACGCCTGCAAGCAGGTAGCAATGACAAAACGGTTCAACGGTTAGATAACTGTGACAAAAGAGCTGACTCTAAAAAGTTGACACTCCACGAAGGAGTCAAGAAAGAGAGAGACGAGGTGAAGATGTCGGTGAAATCGCCGTGGCGGGAGTGGAAAATGATGAGGCTGGGCCTTTGTTTACGTGGTTGGTCGCCACGGGCAACCACAGCTTATGTCATCAACGTTGATACCACGTGATTATAAATGCCAAGGCTGAAGCGGGAGCTAAACTTTATTCCATTTTAAGCCATGGCCAAAAGAGGACGCGGCGAAGGGAACGTTATTTGCATACGGACATATTAACCACGGGGCTATATATCTCTGTCTGTCCAACCAGGTAAGCAAATTAGCATCGTCCACGTGTTTTAAGAAACTATAAACACTAACAATTGTCGGGGAGTCATAAAATCACTAACTATGTAGAAGTTTGAACCAAGTTCTTCACGCGAAGTAAAGTGGAAGTAACGTATATGAAGAGAAGGCCACCGTCGGTGTACATGGTTACGTACGATTGGAAGAGCAAAGGCTATATCAAAGAAGAAAAGGCTGGCAAAGAAGAAGCGCTGGCTGAAAGGAGGAGGCTCGCTATAACGGGAAAAACGTATCGTTGGGTCAGAAAGAAGGTATCGTCGAGTTAAGCATCAAGTCGATTGAAGCCAGGGCAGCAGAAGAGGTAGGGCGTTGCAGTATTCAGATTGTACATTTTACAGGTCGATTCCGGCAAGAACGAATAATAAAGGTGAAGTTTCGCATCAAACTGCGAGAAGAAGGAAGACGAAGGATGCTCATAGTATCAGGCAAAACGAGCCCACATAGTGATGAGTCGAACATCGGCAAATTAAGTAGCGGAGTGCAATATTAAAGAAGAAGTTGGAGGCGGACAAGGGATTAGTCAAGTCAAGTCAACGTCGGGTGTGGTTAATGCAGAATAAGTTGGGTATGAAAATGGGAATAATTAACTGTATAGAAAGGAGTAAAGTATAAAAAGAAAAAAAATAAGATAAAAAAGCGATGCATACGTTTGTTGAGTGACACGCATGCAAAAGAAAGGTGGAATGAACAAATGGTAGATACATATTGAATCCAAGGTGAAATGTAAAATGCAGGAAGAAGGGGGGAGGGTAAGGGGAAGGGGAATCGCGAATAAATGCCTCAGAATTATCATAACCACATCAGATCGTCGACAATCGTACAAATCATAACCAGGAGCGCGTGTATAGTAGCGTGAAACAAGAGGACAGGTAGGCAGGCGAAATTACTAGGCAATTGAAGGCGAATGCGAAAGGGCTAAGGCAAAGGGGGAAATAACAGTTGAGGTATCTTGAACACGTCCATGCAAGCAAAATGAATCATCGATAGAAGGCATAAAACTAGGGAAGAGGGGAAATGTGAGAGAGGACAATGAAATAAACCAGCAAATCAAGGAAGAAGAAAAAAAGGAATAAGGGTGAAGAAGAAAAAGGTAATGCCCCATCCAAAAAACCAAAACTAACTCTTTTGTAGAACTTTTGTTGTATCCCGTCGATTTTTTTCTCTTTCCCTATCCGTGCATTCTTTTATTGTTCCTGTCAGAAAAAAATCAAAAAATCAAACGGCCTCCCAAAAGTAGTAGATTAGAACAAAGTCATGCGGTCGGGACAGGTGGCTCCCGAGATTTTGGATATATATTCTCTTTTAAGTGTTCTCCATACCCCTTTGCAGCAAAAGTGGGCCTCAGATTTGAAGAGGAACGGGCACACTATTCTAGTAGACCTCGCCCACTGTATCCTGACCGACTGGAGCGTCTGCTATCGCGTTCGGCCCTGTGGTCTTCACGCAGGCGTCTGATGTCGTCAGCCTCCCTACGGCTGCTCGTGCTGGCGGTGTCAGACCGAGGCAAGAAATACCGATCCCGTCTTGGTCCGCCAATGTTTAACTCGACACCTCCCTCCTCGCCGGAACGTAGGTTGATTGTTTTCCCATCGATAGCGTCGCTAGACAGGCCGATTTTAACTCCTCGGATGATCATGGTGATGCTATCATCGTCCACGCGGGAGCCAGTAGCACTTCCGTTTTTGGTGTTGACATCACTTGTATCATCTTCCGAGTCGCTGCTTTCAGATGAAGAATCGTCATCTTCGATTGCGTCTTCATCGTCGTCGTCCTCATCGCTTTCGGTTTCGCTGCGAGGTATTGGGGGCGGCCTGCGGGAAGCCGCTTTACGAAGCATCTCGCTTGTGAGTGATGGCGCGGGTGGTGGCTGCTGTTGTTGCTGGTGGTGCTGCTGTTGTTGTCGAGGTTGCTGTCGAGGCTGCTGTCGAGAGACCCGGGACACCGGGTAGACTTGTATCACCTGCTCTTCCTCCTCCTCCTCTTCCTCCTCTTCCTCTTCCTCTTCCTCTTCGCTTTCAGTGTCAGTGTCAGTCTCACTTGGGCTTTCGATTTCCGGTTCACGTTGTGGGTCAGGCTGACGTTGGTGTACGGTTCGAGCCTTTGGAGGCGCACGACGGGAAGCCTTTCGGACCATGTCGGTGGTGAGCGTTTGCTGCTTAGGGACACGAGCGGCTTGGTATTCTTCCACTTCACGTTGCTTCTGCTCCAAGAGGTTCTCCTGCTCGATGCCGTAGGTGGACACGCGGCGTGGGCGGCGGGGAGCTTCAACGGTTACTCGGGCGGGTCTGGCTGCATCGTAGTACGTTGCTGTTCGGCGTGACCTAGAGTTGGCGGGTGCCTGAGTAGGTCTTCGCTCTGGCGATTGCTCGCGAGCAATACTTCGGCTCATCCGCCGTTGGGATTGCTGTGGCTGGTGCTGATACTGATGCACTCTCGGTGGGGGCAGTGCATCGCGCATTTCGCTCATGTCGAATGACGGAGGTCGGTGGACTACAGTTGGAGCTGTAGGGGTAGTACTAGACTTTCTAGGAGTAGGGCGCTTCGTAATTGGGATTACCTGGACCGGGGGCTGTGCTTGGATAGGTTTTGGTGCTGGAAGTCGAGGCGGAGGCATGCGGTAGGAATCCTCGTCATAGTAGGTGCGTGACTGGCGACGTGCACGTCGTTCTCGGGACGGCGGACGTTCCAAGTTTGGCATATGACTGGGCGTAGGAGGGGTATTTTCGACTACTGGAGGGCCATATATCGAGCCTCTCCTGGGTCGCTCAGACGAGGGCCTGGATATAGATGCTGTGCGGGGTCGCTCGTATTGCAGCAGCTGAGAAGAGTTTTCGTAAGACGAGCCCATGATTGGAGAGGGCTGGGTGTAAGATGGTTCATTGTTGATGAAAGGGGATCCCATGTATGAGTTTGTAAAGGCCGAGGCAGAGAGGGGTGGTCCGCCGTGGCTGCCGTATGGCGCCGAAGGGCCGCCGCCCATGTACATCATGTTCATATCAGGCACTATTCCCCGGGGGAAGCTGACTGGGCGACTTTGTTGGTGGTAGGAGGAAGAGTTGGATCGACGGGGGTGCGATATGGCCGGGGTTATCGACATCCCCATATCCATTGGTTGGTAGCGAGGAGTTTGAGGCGACGGTGGCACGTCGTACCCGGGCATTGGATTAAAGTACGACGATGCGTCCATACTTCGCGGGTCCATCATGTTCGGCATCATTGCCTGATGGTGGTATCCGAGGCGATCACACTCCGCGCACATTCCTGGAGGGTGTCTGCCGGCCGACATCGACTCGCGTCGCCGGGCCTTCGCCGGTGCGTGCTGCAGGGAAGTCGGGCGATTCGAGCCTCGAGATGACGGCGGTTTCATGCCCTCATGCTGCATCACTTCCATTTCTTTCTGCTCCTTCTCCTTCACTTTCCGAGTATGTTGCTTTTCTCTATCCATAGCATCTCCTCGCGACCTCATTCGAGGTATATCTCGTCCGGCCATGGCGCCGTTCAGCGAAACGACGTATGAGCCGCTGGCACCGCTGGCAAGCGATTCTCCGCTGCTCCCAATCGTCGCTGCAGTGCGGCTCGAATAGCCAGAATCGCTGGCTCCGTCTGTGTTGATTATCACAGGGTGAAGGTCCGGTTTGGAACGTTTGGCGGAAACGTTGGCAACCCGTCTCGTCTCGGGGATGGCTACATTAGCATCTTCATCAAATTCTTCGCAGAAGGCGGCGTACGATTGTTGTGAGCTGATGAAAGACATGACGCGATTCAAAGAATACGCGGTGGGGTTGGATCGCCTATTTAGGTTCGGAAGGGAGCCGTGGATTCGACAACTTCAGACCAAAACAAACTCGCGGGTACCTTGTTTTTGATATCGCCTTCGTGTCGTCGTTGTTCGTTGGTCGGCCAAATTCTCGATTCGATGGCCGGGTTAATTCTCGTTGTCCACCCCCTTTTTAGTCTCCACGGTAGTTTTGCTCCCAGAAAGCGTGGTCTGGCAGCCGAGGTCTGCGTTTCACCTGTATACAGTTGCTCTGAGTTCTAATTCCAGTATAGATTCCAAAGAACAAAGCAAGTGCTCCATCGAAGAGTGCAGGAGTGAAGTTGAAAGATGGAACGTAGTGGCTGCTGTCGTAGCGTGTGGGGAAACCGAGAACTATTATTTTAGTTATCTCGTTCAGCGCGGAAGGGGTAATGTTCCGGTTATATAGATAGCGAGTGGAGCGAAGTATATCGATAGGGGTAAATAAACAAAAAAATAAAAAATAAAAATAAAAAATGGGCAGTGATATGCGACGGAAGTATATATTCGTCGATTCTCGTAGTCGCGAGGGCTAGGAACTGGGATTGTAGCCCCGGAAACCGTAGTAACGGAGAGATATCTGGGTGCTGCTCTGTAAGCCGGGAGTTTCTCGCTACTCCGCGAGCCAGATGATTATCGTGGCGTTGGCGGGGGTGATGAATCTTCGACGAGGTCTGAAACCGGGGGCTGTTTCTAAGCCAGGGTGTGAAGTTCGAGAATGTCGAGTGGAAGGACAGAGCAGGACGAGCAGGTCGACAATAACAAGCGAGATGAGAGGGGATCTGGGAGCTGGTTGACCGGAAAATATGGGATGGGAGAGTGATGGGATGGGAGGGCGCAAGACCGGTACGGCTGGCTCAGCTGAGAGAGGGTCAACGACGGCGAGGAAAACTGGGATACGAGACACGGAAGGTTTTGGTTTCTGGTCTAAAGGCTGGTAGGGTTGTATACTGTATCCTCGGTAGTATCTGGAGTTGGATGACGGTTGCACACAGGTAGCCGTCTCGTTGTCGGGGGAGGAGGAGGTGGAGGTTTGGGCAGAGAGAGCGATGTGACCCGACGATCAGTTATATGGCCGAAGATAACGGAGCCCTATGCCGTATAGTAACGCTGTCGAGGTGAGGTTGTTGTTGTTGTTGTTGTTGTTGTAGTAGTTGTGAGGTTGTAGTTGTTGTGTGAGGATGTCGAGGTTAAGAGAAGGGTTTGAGTGCGAAGTTTTCAGTCGAGCTGTGCTGTTTTCACCCGCAGAGAGTCATCCTGCGCCTGGCGACTTTCTTTCTTTTCTTCTTCTGCGGTGGATCCGGATGCTTTCTTCGCTGGATACAGGCCCGATTGCATTACAGCCTTCATCACGGCCGCTCGCTTCGATACAACAGCGTTCGCCTCTGGAGCAGACAGTCCGGACAGCTGGGAGAGAGTGAGAGGAAGCGAGAGAGTGGGAAAGACGCAGACAGATTTTTTACTCTGCTTCATCCCCCTACGATCGGTATGCGGAAAAAAAAGTTTCTACTGCATATCCGTATACATATGGTACTAATATGTAAGTAATTAATACGGCTAGGATGAGCAGGAGAAGCATGCAAAAAAGAAAAACGCCTCTGCTGCTTGTTTTTTCTCTCTGTTCTTTTTATTTTCTTTTAAATAAGACGCCTATCGAGCCGGGTTGTGGGTTGTTCCTCGTTGTTACATCTGACGTTGAGCTGGCTCTTGGATTGAGATACAGACTGAGAATCAGGGAGAAGAAGATGAAAAGCCACCGCCTAACACGCTGGATACAGACAAGTCTGCTACAGACGTCTGACACGAAGAGACCCTTCCCCTGTCCTGCGTCTCTTCCCTATCTCTATCCCTGCAACAGGCCGAGAGACGAGCAGACAGAGACAGACGATGGAGGGGCAGGACGACGACTTCGGCCATGATGACATCGAAAGGAAGAGAGAGGCGGCAGTGGGTCTAGTTAAGTGATTAGCCGTCGTCTGGAAAACTTCTCTTGATCCACCGATACTGATATCGTACAGGGCACAGCTGGACAGACGGGGCCACCAATATCTACACGCTGTCAACGTCGACGAGACAGCCAGCAGGAGAGACAAAAATAGGCCTCAACGCTCTCAACAAGCTTATCGACATGTCAGCCCATCCTGCTGTCCCCCCACGAATGGACGCGGACCGGGAGAAGCCTGAATATGGAGGCCTAGAGTTACTAATATCAGTATGTAACGAATACGCAGATACGTTTTCAAGGCCCCAAAGAAAAAAACCCTTCGCGGTCACTTGGCTGAGAGGAAGGGAAAAGAAAAGAAGAGCACTACGCCATGATCCGACTTCTGCCACGATTGGGCTGCAAGATTTAGGCTTTCACTCTCGCACCCAAGGAGCCATTGGGCAGCAAAAAGACACGATCAGTGCCCCCAAGGCTGCCCCCCTGAACGTTTCCCGAGGCGACAGTGCCAGTTTCTGCTTCCCTGGGCTTCTACTCCTGTCCGTGAGTCATCATACATACACATACCAGTACAGTCGACGGACAAAAGGCCGCAGTCATATACACGAAGCCTGAAACTTGTCGAAAGTCGGTGGTAGGGTTGCTGAGATAAGCATCCGCCGCATCCTGGTGCATAGCCGGGTAAGTATATAAAACGACATGCGCTAGGCAAGGGATGCTCAGCGTCGACGTCATAGGCTGGTTGGGGCATTTCGTTTACATATTTACGTGTGGCTTTGGTATATTTAGTATATGAGCAGAGTAGGTTGTTTGTTTGGCCAAGATGAGTTTTATGCTTTTTATCTACCACGGCTTATTTTCTGGTCACCTGAACTTGAGGCACAGAGACGCCGAAGTAAGGAAACAAAGAGGTAGCAAGGGTTGAAGGATAGAAGTGAGCGATAAGAGGGGATCACATCCTGGAGTCAAGAATTAGCTTCAAGTTAATGGGTGTATGGTGTAAGAAGGAAACGCACCGTTGGACCGGGTTCAGACCCAGCAATCTCATGCCGTTATGCAGAACCTGTCGAGCAGACTCATAAAGCGCCATTCTCGCCATCTTCAGCTCTGGCTCGCTGCCCACGACCTTCAACACATCATAGCCCGAGCTCAGCGTGTGCGTCATTCGGAACAGATATGTCAATATCGTACACGGCTCCAGCGTCTTTGAAGCGTTGAACACCACGTCCGGCCACTGGGCAAGCAGCCGGATGAGGTCGATGGCATGCGACTCAGTAAGTAAGCTCAGGTCGGCACCACCCAGCTCTTCGGGTTTAATCTCAGCCTTCCTGGTCACAGAGCAGACACGCGCGTGTGCGTATTGCAGGTATGGGCCTGTGTCACCCTCGAACGAGGTCATGTTGTCCAGGTTGAACTCGTAACCGTTGATCCTATCCGGTTCAAGTCAGTTAGGCGAGTTTGCTTAATTGATCCGGCGGGAAAGAAAAAGAGAAAGCAGGAAAGAAAAAGAAACGAAAAGATAGGGATAGAATCATCCACAATGGTTAATTGTCCGATGCGCCCATACAAATCCACGTGTGGGGAGAGAGTCCGGGTCATACATACCGTTTACCACTCATATCTTGGACCATCACGGATGTGATACCGAGCACATCGGCAGTTGCCACTGGGTCTTGGATCTGCTCATATTTGGCAGGGTTCTTCTGCATAACTTCGTGCATCTTTTCTCCAACGTCCTTCAGGATATCGTTCAAGAACTTGACGGTGCCCTTTCGCGTGCTCATCCCTCTGACCATGCCGAAGCTGACGTGCTCGCATCGGCTTGCTAGGTCCTTCTTTCCCACTAGCTCCGTGGCCTTGAACAGCTGAGCAAGATGGAGTTCCTGCTGCGCCGCAACAACATATATCATCTTATCAAAGTGATATTTGTCATCTCGTTCGACGATCGCGGCGATGTCACGAGTGAGGTAAAGCGGTGTTCCGTCTTTTCGGATCACGATGGCTTTACCAAGTTTCTTTGCGCCGTGTTTCGTAAAGTCGATGATGACAGCGCCCTCTGAGCTTTCCGATACACCTGCGCTTTCCATGGCCTTGTAAGACGCCTTCAAGCTTTCTTCCTTGACCTGAGATTCTCCAGAGTAGACGTCAAATTCGATATTCAGCCGAGCGTACGTTTGCTTGTACTTCTCTATACTGAGGTCGCGGAATCGTTTCCAGAGCGCGAGCGCCTTTTCATCTCCGTCTTCCATGCTCTTGAAGTAACGACGGGCCTTTTCATCATAGCTTACATCGACCAGTGGCGCAAGTTCCTTCTCTAGCTCTTCCACATCTTCGTTCTTCTCTTTCTTCGCCTTGATCTGCTCCTTGAGCGCCTTTATAGGTCCTTCCTGCGCCGCCACGTCCTGGTTGATCTTCACATATACCTCGAAGAGATGGTTGATCGGATCCTTGAGAAGCTCCTCCTCGCTGCCATATTTCTCATATCCGTTGGCAAGCAGTCCGTACTGCTTTCCCCAGTCTCCAAGATAGTTGGCCTTGAGCACATCCCACCCTAGAACAGTATATAGATTCGAGATGAAACCACCGATGATGGTACTTCGGAGATGGCCGGCGTGGAAGGGCTTCGCAATGTTGGGAGACGAGAACTCGACAACTACTTTCTTCCGCCCCTTGCTAGGGTCTTTTTGATCTCGCAGGCCGACGTTTGCGTTCGATCCGTAGGCGTCTTTGTTCTCCAAAATGGACCGGATGACATATTGAGTCAACGGCTTATGGCTGTAAAAGAACTGTAAATGCGCGCCTACCACGACCGGTGGCTCGATTAAGTCCGACTTGGGGAATTTTGAGGCAATCTCCGCCGCAAGTTCCTGTGGTTTCTTGCCCTTTATCTGAAGCGCTGGTACCTATTTTGCGTACAAACATCCAACATGATTTAGTGAACCTGTAAACCATCTCAAGCTCTAACCCCAACCATACGTACAGGTAAAATCAAATCACCCTTCTCCAGCATATTCGTCCATTGGATTCTAGGATAGACAAACGCGGCTTCCAGGCCTGTGGCTTCCGCGACCAACTCCGCGACATGCGCGCGGTACTTGTCGATTGGGTTGAAGGCGGGATAGCAATTGGGGTAATTCGATACCTCCGTGCTAACAGACTGAATAGACAGCCCCGCGACGGTGGGCATAGCGTCCGAAGCCATGGTTAATCTTGGACGAGGGACGGTTGGCAATAGATTTGCCCTTCTCCGAGTGTATGGCGGGGTCAGGCCCAGAGTCTGGCGTGACGACGGTCTGCAGTAGCTGGAGAAATTCGCACTGATCCGAGGTTTGAATATACCGGGCGAGAAATATAGCGAGTTTCTAAGGAGTTGCTGGTGCATCCAGAAGGGAGTTATCCTGGAGTGAGATGTAAGAAAAAAAAGGTTTGTGAGTCAAAAATTTGGTGGATAGAAAAAGGATGGACTTTTTGGCGTTGCCCCACGTGAGAGTTTTGGTATAGAGTCAGCTCGACAAAACAGATGTACAAGATAGATATTTCGATGAAGCAGATGTAGATGATAGAACGAAGAGACGGAGGTGATGGTTGTGATGCGATGGCTACAGCTATCGGGTTTATCTATTCCCCTTTGAGCATGGTCTTATCGATATCGAGCCGATACAAGAAACATTTCATATCTATGAGTTCATTTCATCTCGACGTGGAAGACATAATCATATACATGCGAGTTGACCTTCATAACCCCAGAACATAGAACCCCCATAAGTGTCGCCGGATGCAGCCCTGTAAATGCCAAACATGAGAACACCACGCCCGAACGCTCGCCTAGAAAACTACAAATAACAGGAGTCAAGGGCTCCAGAGAGATCGGATATTCTTAATACCCTTGTCTAAGCAATCCGTGCTAGACCTCGTCATCCTCGACAAGCTTGCTAGTATGTTTGGGAAGACGGTGGAGTATCGCGGAACGATCTTTTGTTTCGAAATTTAGCAAGCCAAATCTGAGCCCTAACATGATCGCGGGTAGCATCGTCGAGGCCAGGACGCTTGTTGACTGGAGGCCCATACAGCTGCCGAGTTTGCACCCGCAGTGATAATCGCGTATTGGATAACTGGTCGGCTGGGGTGTCTGGTGGACGAGCCCAGGCAGCATAAGGCCCGCTGTAGTTAGGACCCTTTCCAGGGCCGTATTTGGAATGGAGGACCACTTGACCCGTCTCAATCAATTCGTTTGCAGCTCTGATACCACTGTCCGGGTCGTCTATTTTCTGCTCTTCGGCATGCTGGAAGCTCATGCTCTTATCGTCGTTGGACGGGCTAGAAGTCGAAAGCACATGGATTCCGCCACTGGTGTCACCAACAAGCATGTTCGTCTTATCAGGGGACAAGGCTCCAGACATGATGTTGCGGCCAAGATCCGCAATGTCTTTGGTGAATACGTCTTCTGTGGCAGCCATGATGTTCCAGCTCTTTACGCATCCATCTGAAGATCCGGTGTAAAACTGGGTTGGTTCATTACCCCAGAGCGCAAGACGTACGCCTGTGTCTGCCTGGGATCGCGTGAGCTGGGGATCAAGTTCACCGATCGGCGGGCCATGTGGAAGTTTATGAAGAATCTTGTCAGGATTCCTAAAATCCCAGACGAAGGTTGTGCCATCTGTACAACTTGCAGAAACATAGTTCTCATTAAAAGGACAGAACGTCACATCGTTTATGTCGAGGCCAGGGCAGTCATAACTGACAATATCCCTCCTGCTTCTTAGTGGTTCGTATATCATGACCATTGATCGAATATCAGAGCCTAGACCACGGGAACGCCCGCAGGCCGCAATTCCAGCAGCGAAAAGTGGCGAAGATGGGTGCCAGGCAATATCAAAAACATTCTGAGCGTTGGGTAGAATGTTTAGCTCAGTGGCACCGGCCTCCTCCAGTTGCCAAAGTGCAAGACGGCCGCCGCTTGGAGGGTCGCCACGCGTAGTGGTATTATCGGAGAAAGATAAACCAGCGGCAAGCAGATTTTTCGTATAAGAAGTTGGCCCCCAAGCTAGAGATGTTGGTGTCATGGTCTTAGTGTGGCGCAAAGCCATCTCCAGTGGTGAGGAAAGCACAAAGCCGTTCTCTTGGACCTGCCATAGCCGAAAACTAGAATCAGAATCGCATCCCGTAGCCAGCCGATGGTTATCAAGGCTCGAGAGAGCCATAACATGGACTTTCCCAGGGTGTCGAAGAGTGCCAATGCATTTCGTATCGCAGTGGCTCCTAGTATCCCAAATCTTCACAGTGTGGTCATAACTCGAGCTATACATGCGGTCCCCGTCGTTTGACCACGCTACCGCGCTTATACTCGTGTAGAGATGCGGTTCGCTTGCTGTATTTCTACCGCTCAACTGACTAGTATCAATTAAGGCTCGTGGCACCCGGTGATCAGGCAGCTCCTTCAGGCCGTTAATTGACAGATCTCCTATTATCAGGTTGTTCCCTCGGTTATACATCATATTTCGCGGGTCGCAGCAGGTCGCAGCTCCAGCCGCAAAGCGTGTGCCATCAGGAGACCAACCAAGCACCACGACATCATGAGAAGCACCCTTCCAGGACTTCCAGTGTTGCCAGTTTCCGTTCACTGATTTGGTCAGCGTTCGGTTTATGGATGACCGTGCTCGGTATAGCTGGTATCCAAGTTCGCGTGACCTGAGGTGAGCTGAGGCACTCTGAAGGTCATATCGTATATGCTCCTGGTCGAATTGAGGCGGATAGGCACGTAAAGAGATGGGCGATGTGGACAATGTACCACTCTTTGCATCCATTAGAAATGCTTGTAGCTCTTGAGAAGATCGGTGTTTTAAGGTACTAGCTTGACTGATATCCTTTGCTAGCATCTTCAGCTTCACCTCGTCTGCTCTTCGAAGCAAAGCTTCGAGGTGTGCCTGAAGATTGCTGTCATGTACCGGAGCCCAGACGTTAAGCTCGTGTTTCAAAAGGGTACATATGGTGACCATATGAATATCACTTTCGATGTCCACGATTACCCCTCCGCTTCTATAGCCAAGAAAGAAACCTGTCAAGTTGGAAGTGTAATTTGACATCAGCCTGTTAAAGTCGTTGAGGTGTTCCAGTCTGGACGCAAGGGATGCGATTCCTTCCTTGGTAAGGTGAGTTTGCTGAACACACTTGACAATTAGATCCTGGACGATAATCTCGCTTTCTGGCTTCCTCCTATCTGATAGAAAGTAGTATATTGCATCCATCTCACTAATATCAAGATCAGTGTGGATCAACACCCCCTCCGGCTTCATGCTGGCTTGTCCCTGTTTGATCCAAAGGGTATCACAGTCTATCCTATCCTCCCAAGGATGATATAGTGCACGTTTATCCTCAGTTGCCGAGCCTACGGGCTCCTTCACTACCGTAAGAGTAGCTGAATGATAGTACACATGGTGATACCTGACAGGGGCCTGGCACCTTGGGGGCGAAGGAGAGGGCAGCGGTGGCGCTTTGCAGACTGTGGTACTTCTCTTAGTTACCTTCCTACCACTTTTGAATCCAGGTGGAGTTGAATAATAGTTCGTGGAGCGCTTATTTCGTTTTGAGGAGCGTGCTTGAGTGTGTCTAAGGGGCTCGGTGTGCTTCGGGATAGGGGTCGATGACCTTCGGGGTATATCCTCTCTCTCTGTCATTTTCCTTTTAACGCGCATTAACTTCGTGGCCGGCTGGGTATCTGGCTTCTCCATAGCCTGTGATTTTGCTATCTCCAACTGACTACCACTCACAACCGATGGCTTGTTTTGAGAAAGTAGCAAAGGCGGCATGCTAGACAACATCGATTTCATTGAATACCAATCCACCGGGTGTCGTAGGCTAGTTGTATCCCCATTCGATTCACTCCCATTGCTTGTAAAAGATGTGGTTGGCGTCACAACGTCATCGGTCGTTCGTTTTGCGGGGACCACAGACGAGCTTCGAGAGTCACTTGCGGTGGAATTTTTCTCATTTCGATCGCTGAAAGCGAGGAAATGTCCTAGAAGATCGCTCGCTTTCTCGTTTATGCGATCAATATCCGAGTCGCTATCTGAGAACACGCAAGGTGAATCGGCATTTGTTGAACTCGGAGCGCACGACTTCTTGTATTTTCGAGTAGCGGTACTCCGAAGCCTCCTTTGGCGCTCCATTATTCCATCGCAGGTGAATATCTCTTGCGCGCCCCAGCGTTGCCATGTAGTTCCCTTTCAGAGCGGGCTCAAGTAACCACTAGATATAGACATGGGTTAGCAATTCTTGAGCGCGTGTTCTCGGATGAAGGGTGGCTAACAATACACTCTTCTGCTTCACTAGTAAACTAGCTTCGTTAACGGCGCGACGGGGAGGCAGGTTCTGTAACTTGGGCCCATTATTCGTAGTGTTCTGTGTCCTGGTAGTGAAGGTGAGCTTGATATCAATATGTCATCGGCCTCGAGATTCGAGGTCTTGGCGCGCTGTTGCAAGATAAACTACTTACTAGCGTGGCCAGGCTTTATTTATAGTCGGGATTATGGAGAATGTAATAGACAGTCGAATAAGACCAATAGGTCAGACTTGGAAGAATCCCTGTCGTCTTTATGAAGTGAAAGAAACCAAAGGCAAGCAAGTGATGATAATAAAATTATGTAGACAGTGGTGTTTCCTTTTACTATATTTTCAATTAATATTCGCGACAATCAAGCAACGAATAACCAAAGTCATGACGACGTGAACCAAATAATGATTAAGATTAGACCGAATTCGATATAGATACCCATGCTAAGCCGCCATACCGCTCTATACGTATCCATGATGCACCGCTATCCATGAAGTACTGGTTTCGAATACATACTTTCCACCGGGGGCTTTTCACCTATATTTTAATTCGACCCATCACGACAAGTAGAGGCGACACGCAAGTATCTAGAAGCAGAAAACTTGATCCTCTAGCTTGCTGACGAGGTTGGCCTTCTTGTAGCCCAAGGACTCCGTGGCTTTCTTCATGGCGCTGACCATGGGCGGGGGTCCGCAGATCATGATCTTGATATCATCTGCAGGGGCAGGGAGGTGGGCCTGAGAAGAGAAATTGGAATTTAATAAAGGACTCAATACACAATGAGAAAAATGGAACAATGGAACAACTGACCTTGATCATGTTTGGAGTAACAAAGCCAACGCCACCTTGCCACGTCTCTGGCGGGTTGTTCAAAACGTAGTGAACACGGAAGCCCTTGTCGGTTTCGGCTAGCTCATCAAGCTCTTCCTTCAAGAGGATGTCTTCCACATTGACGTTGGCGAAGATGAGGTCGACTTGAGTAGTGTCGTTTCCTCCGTTGCTTGGTCTACCCTTGATGATTGCCTTGATAACTTGAAGCATCGGCGTGATACCCGTACCACCGGCAATCATACCAATATGTCGGGCCATGTTTGGAGTGTAGACCATAGCACCCTTTGGACCGCGGACTTTCATAGAGTCGCCGATTTTCAGAGTCGTCAGGTGCTTGGAGATGTTACCCTGGGGGTACGACTTGATAAGTAGATCAAAATATCCAGGATTGTCGTCCGAAGAAATTGGAGTGTACGATCGAACGATCTCCTTTGCCTGGCCTTCGACAAGAGCGGCAAGGGAGATGTGCTGGCCAATTGGCAAGCCGAGGATGTCGGTAGGGCGTGGGAGGGCAAAGCGATAAATGGCGACATTGTGTGAGACAATCGTCTTCTCCTTGAGCACGAACTTTTGGAATTCGCCGGCCTTGAGAACCTTTCGTTGTCCTATGAGCGTTTATGTCAGTATTGTAGCTCGACGGAATAAACCGATGGGAGAATAGGAGAATGGTAAGGGGCGCGGGGGGGGGGTATTATTACTGTTGCTGAAGATCTTATATGCGCCGAGGATGACAGCCAACGCCGTCGCGTAGATAATCCAGTCGAACTTCATGATCGCAGTGCCAACAACTAGCAGGCCAGCAGGAATATAAACACCGTCAAAGTACTGGCGAGAAGCCCATGAACTATCCCACACAGTCAACAATAACCCAAGGGCGTCACGCTAGGGGGCCGTCTGGAGCTTCACTCCATGCGATTGCTGGGGACTAACCTCATTCTTAAGCACCCAAAGCTGAACAGGCAGACGCTCGACCAGAGGGGCGAAGTGGTTTCGACTGAGGGATCTGTTTCGGCGTGAATTGGCGGAATCCGGGGAGTCGAGGACCGATCTACTCCATCCAGGGAAAACAGTTGGGATCTTTCGCTGGTGGAAAAATCACTGTGGCGTCACTATTGCTTATATAATCCCGCCTCTTTACGTGCGCCTTGTTGACATCTGGCTCAAACACGCATAACTACGACCTTAGGACACAGGCAAGACATACGGAGTACTACATAAAAGGACAGGAAAAAGGCAGTGACATGGCTTCTTTGTCGGCTGCTTTTAACCTGAGCGAGAGTGACCGCCGGGTGCTGGCTCAGACAGACGAAGAGTTTATCTACCACGACTGGGAAGACCTCAAAGACATCATAGGTTCAACAGCCCACCAACTCGACTCGTTTACTCTCTTTTTCTCACTCTAAACGAACCTGTCTTAAAGATACATGTATAGCCATTAACATAAGGGGAGGGTTTGAGACTAATCTTGCATTTGAATAGCAAATAATAAGCTAGAGCTACTCAAACGCAAACCCTCCGACTTGCGCCGATATGCAGAATGGAGCACCAGCATCAAAGACCACTACGGATCTGTAACAAATTTTATATGCCGAGAGCGTCTTCACTGGCCTGCGGGCACGGATCCGCAGACGCAATGTGAAAATTCGACACCGTTCGCGGATCCGAGGGATTACAAGATCCTTCGGAACGACTGGCCTTATGGTCTAACCCCTGATATCACTCATCTTTGTGTTTGGATCAAGAACAAGATAGATGCAAAGCCCGAGAATGGGGATGTAACCGAGGAGTCACGGGCTTTGATCGAAGGTTTTGTGAATAGAACCTTTACAGCTCGATTGAAGGAATTCCCTGATGCAGACGATAAGGTTCAGTGGTTTAAGAATTGGACAGCCCTGCAAAGTGTGCGATCGTTGGAACATATTCATGTCCTTGTGAGGGATGTTCCGGATGATATTATCGTGGAATGGACCGGAGAGGAGGCCAGGGACCTCTCTCAGGCGAGTTGGACCGTTTGAAATAGATTTAGATAGAAGAACGGTGCATATCAACTGACGAATATCATGAATTTGAATGGTAAATTTCAGGAAAATACACTAACATTCACGTAAATGCACGTGTCCACGAACTCCGGCGCAAGTATAACTCCATCCCACCGGCATAGAATAGTGTATTGAGGCGACAGCAAAGGAGGAGGGAATTAATGGATAAATGTGACGAGGATATAGAGCAAGAGGCAAAGATAGTTGATTGTTCAAGCCTTCTGCTCGTCAACAAACTTCAACGCCTCCTCGCGCGAAACGACGTCAATGGTACTGGCCTTGCTACGGAAGCTCACACCATAGCACTTCTCAGCAACGTGGAGCATCTCAGGTCGGAATGTTGTACAGATGAATTGGCCGTTGGTCTCTTCCGAGATAGACTGGAGCATCTGGGCCACAGCCGTTCGGTATTGTGCGTCGAGGTTGGCATCAATCTCATCAAACAGGTAAAACGGAGCAGGGTCACAAGCTTGGATAGCAAAAACAAGAGCAAGAGCACACAAACCTAGAAAAATGTTAGCACGCGTTATTTGACATGGTATGCCATCATAAGTATGAGGATGGGCGGTACATACTCTTTTGCCCACCACTGAGCTGTTGGATCCTTTGCTGGTCATCGTGCTTGCTGTTGAAACTGACACTAATACCGACACCGATATAGTTCTCTACACTGCGGCGAGCTTCCTCTTCGTCTGAATCTATATCATCCTGTTGCCGGTTGGCCGCATCAGTTTTCCTCTGGATTATCAGTCGCCCTCGGCCAGCAGGAGCAAGTTTCTCGAATACTCTGGCAAACTCCCTAGACACCTGCTTGAAAGTTCGTTCAATTGCCTCATCCTTTCTCTGATCTAAGATCATAATCAGTTCATCAATTGATTTATGTGATGCATCAAGTTCTTCACGTCGTTTTGTCAGCGTCTCCCTCTGTTTGGTGAAGCTGTTGTATTGCTCGAATGCTTTCTTGTTCACGTGGGAATATTTCTTGAGGGCTTCGTTGGCTTTGTGTAACTTCTTGACGATGGTGTTTGAATCGGTGTTTTTGAATTTCGTAAACGCCTCGTCAGGGAGCACGCCCAAGTCACGAATGTTCGCACTGCATTCCAAAGCTTGTGCCGTCAAAGCTGCCTTTTTCTGCATGCTCTTCTCCATACGGCGCTGGTGCCTTTCAATGGATTTCGAAAATTCCTCTAGCTCACGTTTTATATCCGCCCGACGTTGTTCAAGCTGGGTCGCTTCGTTATTCTGCTGTTCTATAGTGTTCTCCAATTTCTCCAACTTTTGGCTGAGCTTTTCGAGTGCCTTGCTTTGTTTCTTTACTTCCCTTTCACTTTCCTTCAGGTTCCCCTGAGCAGTGTCTTCGCCAGCATCAAGGCCCTGGCCAGATAAATGATCCAGTTGCGGGTAAAGGTTTTCTCGTAATTCAACCTCCAGGACAGATTTCCTCGTTTCTAGCTCACTACGGCTGCTGGATAACGCAGCGTGTTCTCGCCGAAGGTCCTGAACCGCAGAATTAAGGCTTTCCAGGCGTGCTTCCTCGCTGCTGGAAAGGGCCTTTTCAAATGGTGTGGCAAGTTCTTCTTCGTGAGCAGTTATTTGGTCGGTGAGCGAGGCGATGTTGGCTTCAATGTTCTTAAAGGCACGTCGTTTTGCCTCAAGAGCGTCTGTCTTGTTATGCAGCAGATCCCGCTTGCTTTTAATCTCCTGGCGTAGTGGGCCGTTGCTGGATTGAAGTTGTTGTCTCTTTTGCTCTGCTTTCTGGAGATATCCTACTGCCTGCGTGATCAGCTGGTCCATCCTTTCCAATTCTCTACGAATCTCTCCCCCACGAGCTTTCTTTGCGTCGAATTCATCTCTCCATTTGGCAACATTCTTCGTTGCATCAAGGCGTGACTTCCGAGAATCATGAAAACCTCCTGTCAAAGCACCACGCTTGTCGGATCTGTCACCTTCGGGGGTGATGGCGTTAACTCCATGACTGCGGGCATATTGAGACGCAATCTGGAGGTTGGGGCAAATAATCGTTCGGCCAAATATTTGCTGGAAGGCCGGCTCATACTTTGCGTCATATTGTAGCTTTTCAATCATCGGGATTGTATCGCTGGCCCGTGGAATATTGCCAGCTCTAGGTTTAAGTCTGTTCAATGGCATGAACGTAACTCGTCCAGACTTCTCCTTTTGCAAAATCTCGAGTACCTTAGTGGCTGTCTCATCGGTGTCGACAATGTAATGGAAGAGACTCTGGCCGGCAGTGACTTCAACAGCAGTACGATATCGGTCGCTGACTTCGAATAGTTCTGCAAGTGTTCCATAAACGCCGTCAAGATTATGTTGTCGTTTTATGCGGCGAACAGCGGCAAGACCTCTGCTAGTGTTGTGGTCCATCATATGCGAAAGTGCCCGTTCAGCTCGTTCCACTTCATGGGTCGCATTAGTGAGAATTGAGTCCAGTTTAGCCTCTTCTCTCCAGAGTTCTCTATGATTGAACATTAGATACTGTCCCGACGGTAATATTTATAGGGGCCCTTACTTTCGTTGATCAATTAACATATCTCGCTCATCCTTAGCCGTTTGGACCTCCTGATCAATGGATTGAAGATTATCTCCCCAGCCATCAGCATGCTTTCGAAGCCTTTCAACCTCTGGCTCAAGTAATGCGATGTCATTCTCGAGCCCCGCAATCTCCTCAGTGGTCTGCATCCGAACGGCCTTGACGGTTGACACTTGCGTATAGGTATTCTGTATTTCACCTTGCAGCCAGCTATCACGCTCTCCTTTATTTCTGAACCTAGAGATTCGCCCTTGCTTTGCGTATAACCTTTGTCTGCCCGTTTCCGCTTCGTTCAGTTTAGACTTGGCCTCATCTTCCTTTGCCTTCATTTCATTGAATTGTGGGACTAGCATGCTCAGCTCTTCCTCACGCTCCTTAATCGCAGAATTCACTCGTTCAAGGTTTGCGTCATGGTTAGCTTTTGACTGTTGAGCAGCACTTTGCCCTTCTAACAAAGATTTACGTTGTAGCTCTGCTTGAGCGAGGGCGCGGGACGCATCACGCCTATCGTCTTCTAGCTGACTTTTCTCCAACTTTAGGAGTTCCATTTGCTGCCGAAGCTCCGCCGTTTGTGTCTCAATTTGAGCAATGTCATTTTCACCTTGAATAAGTCGATTCCGGTTAGCATCCGTGTCCTCCACACCTGCTTGTCGCTGGTCGTCTATGCTTTCAAGAGCGCCTGAAATTTCTGCTTGTTCTCGAGAATAAATCGTGTATTCAAGGCAGCGTCTCTCTCTCTCCTTCTCCTGAAAGTTTCTAAGTTCATCTTTTTCTTCCTCAAGCTCGCCAAGTCTCTCGTTGATATAATCAAGCAGCTCGTCGATTTTCGCACGTTTATTGTTTGTCTCATTCATTATCTTTAATGATTCCGTGCGACGCGCTTCGTAAACCTGTGTTCCCGCTACTTCCTTCAGGAGGACCAGCCGCTCAGAATCTTTCATGTTCGTCAAGGTTGTGACACGGCCTTGCGGCACAATATAGTATGGATTGGATCTTGAGAAGCCAGCAGATTCAAGCAAATTCATTACATCGGCTTTTGTGGCATTTTTGCGGTCCAGGGTGTATTCGTCCTTTTTCAAGCCAATTGTGCGGCGTAGGATAAGCTCGTCTTTGCCAGTCGGAAATCGCTCGTCGGAGTTATCGAATATAATTTCAACGTAGGCAGACATCACAGCGGAGCCCGAGCCCTCCTATTTAATATTAGCTTTATTCTATCGAAATGCGCAATTTGGCCTTTAATCCATACGTGTAACAGCGCCTGGCGCTCTTCCCTCCCCATATGCGTGTAGGCATCGCTAAGGACGAACCGAATGGCTGCGAAGAAGTTACTTTTGCCAGAGCCATTGCGACCAACTATCACATTGTGTTTTGGAGAAAACGGCTCGATAACGGTTTGATCCTTATAGCTATAATAAAAACGAAAAGATCATTAGATGAATTCAGTAGCTCGAAATGCTCCCGTTCCCCTCACTAACCTCTTGAAGCCTTGGATGATGATTTGCTTAATGAACATTTTTGCGGCGATAGACAGATATTGCGGTATTACAGTCAGAAAACCATTATCCGAGTGCGCAACTGACAGGTGAAATGCCGCGTCTCCAGCTAGGCGTAAAGAGCAGTCAACCCCTGGTGATGAAGCAACAAAAGATCGAAGCTACGCGTTGTAAATTGACCGACGAGCGCGTTCTGCCTTAAAGCGGCGTTAGGGCAGCCGGCCTCGGGGAAATAATTAAGCGACGATAAGAAATATTATATAATCTCTTATCGCGGCCCCCACCAAAAAGAGTAAAAAAAAGAGTCAAAAAAAATATCAAAAGCATTGTCGTGTGAAGTTTCATAAACGACGAGCGAAGAACCTCAAAATAATAGATTATTCTCACTGGAGTTACTTGCAGACCTTGATAATGACGGGCGGTATAAAATTGGAGGAAGCTCCTGAAAGAAAATTAGACGAGAATACCAACCAACCAAGTGGTGACCCCACCAGCCAAACAGCCGAGGATTATGAAGGAGTTGAGGAGGAAGAAGAAGATGATGAATACTACGATGATATTTTCGACGATGAGCTGGATGAGGTAGATTTTGGCGCCTCTAACCCAGCGGACTTCACAAAGACCTATAATAGGCAGCGGAAACTGAACGAAGTCGCTGCCGACTCGAACGCACCCCTTTCATCCTATCCGAAAAGCAACCCCCAAAAGCCTACCGTCAATACATATGCAAAGGTTGATGATCAGATCTCGACCTTAGCACGACATGCTGGTAGGATTCGGCTAGACGATGCTCAATCTGGGCTCAAATCGAAGGGCGGAAGAGGAGCAGATAAGAGTGACAGGGCTACATCTGAACAGGTCTTGGATCCACGAACGCGCATGATATTACTTCAGATGATCAACAGGAATGTTATCTCAGAGGTAAATGGCTGTTTGTCTACGGGTAAGGAAGCAAATGTCTACCACGCAATTTCCCAACCAGATGAAGACTCCGATGGTCTACACCGTGCGATAAAGGTTTACAAGACTAGCATTTTGGTATTCAAGGACAGAGACAAGTATGTCACAGGCGAATACAGGTTTAAGCAGGGATACAACAAATCAAATAACCGCTCAATGGTCAAAGTGTGGGCAGAAAAGGAGATGCGAAACCTCAAACGCTTGCACTCTGCTGGCATTCCTTGCCCCGAGCTATTATATCTCCGCCTACACGTTCTAGTCATGGGTTTCCTCGGGAACTCAAAGGGAATTCCAGCTCCACGATTGAAGGATGTACAGCTTCAAGACGAGGACCTGGAAGCAAGATGGGGAAGCTTGTACATGGAGCTAGCGGCGCATATGAGAACCATGTACCATGACTGTCGCTTGGTCCACGCCGATCTTAGCGAGTACAATATCTTATATCACAACCATAAGCTCTATATCATTGATGTAAGTCAGAGTGTCGAGCAAGATCACCCTAGGAGTTTAGAATTCCTACGCATGGACATCAAGAATGTTAGCGACTTCTTCCGTCGAAAGGGCGTCGATACACTCCCTGAGCGAACATTATTTGAATTCATCACTTCAGTCAGCGGGCCGCGTGCTGTTTCAGGCGACCTTGGGGAAATGACGGCAGCTCTAGAAAAGCTTTTTGCCTCAAGAGCCGACCGCCAGGCTGAAGAAGGTGAACAGCCGGAAGGTTCGAGGAATGACGAGCTCGATGCTGCTGTTTTTCGACAACAGTATATTCCTCAGACACTCGAACAAGTTTACGATATAGAGCGGGATGTTGAGAAGCTCCGAATAGGCAAGGGGGATGAGCTAGTTTACCGCGAGCTATTGGCCTCAGCCCCTGACGCGAACAAACCAAAAGAAAAAGACGAGGATAACGACAATGAAGAGGGCTCGGATGCTTCAGGAGGGGTATCTCTATCAGATAATGGCTCTCAGTCAGGCGACGCTGATGAGACCGACCCATTTGCAAAGAAACCACCACGAGGCAAGCGATTTGAGGACAAAGATGCCAAACGTGATCATAAGAAACTCGTTAAGGAAGAAAAGCGAGAACAGCGTTCCAAGAAGATACCAAAACATATCAAGAAGAAGCTCATCAGTGCATCAAAGCGCAAGTGACCCTTAGACTTATTTCTGCTTCATTTGAGATCCAATCGCACAATAATCTATATAACCCCTTCAAGGTACTTATAGACGCGAAATTACTTGTTTCCCTTGCGTTAGCAAAATTAGCATGAGATGAATGAATTCTTTTAACTAACGTCTACAAATTTCCAATCCTCTTCCTCCCGGGCTTAGAAGGATACACGACTATTCTTCCATGCATGTTAACCGAATAAGTCAAAAGCGCGATGTAATCCAATAATGGATGACCATTGATGGTTTTATGCTATTAATCTCCCCAGCAGCTATAATAACTAACTAGTTAATTAACTAGTTATACCTAAGGAGTGACTCCATCCCTTCCACAATGGGAGCAAAATACAGCAACGGATAATATATACAGACGATACAACGAGTTCTTTGCGCAAAAATCAAACTCAAACGAAATGTACCTTTCCCCATCTTCTGGTCTTACTCACTTCCTCATTGAATGCAGTCCCAATAAAAGCTCACGTCAAGGGGCAGCTGGATATCCCACCTCCGCGAGTATTGGTTAATTTGCTGTTCAACATCCTCGAGATCTGCCCAAGTTTGCAGTAACCATCTTTGAAATTGACGACGGATGCAATCGTCTTCTGCCTGGCTTGTGGAATTTTCCGCGGCTTGTTGAGTAGCTGCGATGGAAGCAGAAACCCATTCCGCTATAATTTCAAGGTCGGTTATTAGCAGCCGAACGCCATCTCTGTCATCCCTGGACGGCATGCAGTTGCGAATTTGTGCTATGAAAACTAGAATCGCCATAAAACATCTCAATGTCAAAGCGTCCTGCTGCAGAAGAGTAGTTGGGAACCCCACGGTATATTCAGGCCTCTCTCTTGAGAATTGATGGATTTCTGCCTTTGCTTCCACCAATTTGTCCAGCACTCGACACATTCGATCCATCGCATCCTCGTACTTCCAGTTGATCTCTAATGAGCGAGGCGGTGGCTTAATCTGGACAGTGAATACCACATGGCTGCCATCATCACGTTCAGCAATTTCTCCTTCTGGGACAGCTATCTTCGAGGCCAGGACCCGCATTTTGGTGGAAGTTGATTGGATTAATGTGCTGCATTCATCGGCTTCAGAACTATCCGTCCTAGAATGCTTGCCTAGGCTTTGGTTCAAGGCTAGACCCGTGGATGAGCCTGGGTATGAAGCCTCCTCCTTGTCCGAGGGCTTTTCTTCGCTTTGCTCTCTAAATATTGCTTGCATGGCCTCCATCATTATGTCGGAGTAATCAATGCTAGGGCCGGTACACTTGTGTTGGCACCCTGGCCGTGAAATTCCTGGCGGAATTTTAGGTCTCAAAGCGAGAGTATATGATCCTGTCGCAATGGCCATTGATGGGCCTCCTGGAGCTCCTACGGTACCTGGATCTCTGCCAGCCGAACCGTTACCGATGCAATAGTTGTCAATAGCTGCACGGTATGAGTCATCTGCAAATATAGTTGGATTAGAGAATATATCATAGATTAGGCCAGGGGTAGGAGGATGTTCGCCTGGTAGATGACGGGGGGTTTACCAGCTAATTTATGATTTCGGCAGCAGTTTTCAACGCACTCTAGGCAACCCTTAGCCATATCTTTTAGTGAGTGAACGACCCGTATCCTAGCAATACTCGAAACGGAAGCCTCAGCCCTGCCTGACCCTCTTTTGCGTACGATGATGCTTGGCTAGATCGTATAATAGTGGAAGCGAGAAAGGATATAGTTCTCAGGAGATCAGAAAGGCCTTGGTTTCGCGATGGTGGGCTTGGAAGACAAAGGAGCTCGAAAGAAACAAACAAGTGCGATATATTGTTAAAGAGCGAGTGAAGAATGGAATACGCATGTAGAAGGATATATATGCAAGAAGCGAGTGACTAAAGGGGTTCGAAATGTGGTATTTGATATAAACGACCAGCTAGAACGAATGTGGTGAGGAGAGAAAAGAGAGAACAGGAGGCGGAAGGAAAAGGAGAAAGTGTTTCTTTTAAATGGCCGCCAGCATCCTACTTTGGGTCATGACTCTCATAGAAGGGACGACTGTTATGTTTATTTGTTTACTTGTCTATATAAATCCCCCGGGGAAGTCATGGTCAAGATACCTTTTTTTGGTCTATCTTTCCAGTAAGTAAATCATAGGAAGGAGGTACACTTTAAAAGGGATTTTTATATGTTCTGGCAAATCCAACTATTTCTCTCTACATCTCATTTATACAAACTACTAGCAAGGTCAGGAGGATGCATGAGCACCCAGCAGTTCAACTACTTGATAGAAGCAAGCCTGCAGCAACGAGAAGTTGGGAAGGAGGGTACGGAAGGGTAATGGACAAGTCTAATTTTGAACTGTTCTTCAGATGACCAAATGACATAATATTATCGACATGCGAATAGGTAACTAAGTACAGGAACTAACGTAATATGCCAACCACTTCCTCTTGGTAATGCCAGATATAAACCAGCCATACAAAAACCCTTTACAGCCTATGACGTACAGACAGGGCGAGACGCGTATAATCAACACATCGCCATAGAAGGAGGCGGATGTGGGAAGAACCCCGAAAACATTATTGTCTGCAGGCCTCCTTTTTTGTCTTCTGTGTTCCCTTGGTGGTGGTTGGTTGCTTCAAGAGGGGGAATATGTCGAAGAACATGGAAGCCTTAGTCCTTTTCTGGACTTTGGGCCGAGAGACAGCTGTTGACCTCGCTGTCTTTGCTGGCGCGAGCTTTGCTGGCTTTGCCATCTTCTTTGCAAGATTGACGGCTTCGTATCTGCCGGTCTTGTGGTTGTAGATGGCAATCGCCTTTTTGAAAGGAAGGCGGTAGTCCCTTTCCTTAGGCCTGCTGGCGGCACCCATTTTGACTTGACTGTAAGTTTTGGTGTACAACCTTAAGCACGTACTTGCATATCAGCGAACTGAACTGTAATGAGATGCTTAGGGGTAGTTATATAATGCCAACGTACCTTAATAGTCTAGAGGGAGAGTGTATATATAGGTTGTGTATATGTGGAGGGTATGCACAATATATGATATAGCGGTAGCAGTATATCGAGACTGTGTGTGAAGGATGAGGATGAGGAAGAAATGAAGGTGGAGGAAAGGGCTGTGTCTGGCAAAATATATAGGGGTAGTCATGCCAAAATCCTGACATCATGATGATATCTGAAGGAAACCACGGTTTGGTTTCCTTGGGTCGACCCAAGGAAAAAAAATGGTCGATTCCATAAACACACGAGTATGGTTGACTCAACCATGACGCCCGATATTGAGATTGACATGCCAACCAAGGGCCTCAGAAAACGCAGGAGCGTGCTGAGGGTCAGATTCAAAAGGTAATAAGGTTTAAACAGTTAAATCCTTATGACTGAGGGTTTAAAGACTCTAGCAGCATAGCTCTATCAACCTTAGGTAAAATGGACAGGAGAACCCATTTTACACAACCGCATCAACGAAGCTGTTACCAGTTCTCAAATTTCTGCGCTAGAACCCAACAAGGACTCAACTATTCCACCAATGAAGGCAAGATAGATCCCCCCCCCAAAGTTGATAGAAAGGCAGCGGGATATAGAACTGACAGGCACACTCGAATGTAAGGTTGGCCATGGCGGAAGGGGCTAGGTGAGTATCTCCTGACTATACTATCACACCCGATTTAATCCCCTGCAAAAATCCAAGTTTAGTAGAGAGCAATATCATTAGAACTTCATATAAAACCCAATAGATTACTAACTCAAGTTTTTGTTTCATTAAAATTAGAATAAAAGACAAGACTTGCACATATAACTAGGGCAGTGTGGTCTTGTGTTTATCATCATGAGAGAACTATTCTTATGGTTTTGATACTTATGGTTTAGCATAAAAAACCATAATAGTGTTGATATCTTGGTATATAATAATATATATATGCGTGTGAATATATATTTTGTGTGCGAAGTGAGGTTACTTGGAAGGTAAAATTCCCGTCCCCTGCCGCGGTAGATTCTCACGTGATATGGTCGAACTGAAGGTCAATTTACTTCGTGTAGAAATAAACAAGGAAACATTCAGACACTTGTAGAGTGATGTAACAGCTTTTGGCAATTTAATTGAGATGGCTTAAGAGCTATCTATTTATGGATATCTCCATTTGCCCAAAATTGGCATGGTTACATGTTTTTCTACAATATTCTCTAAGTTCCAGCCTAAGAATATCGAGTAGAATCCAGGGAAAGCATTGACTTTGATTGTTTTTGAAAGGGAGATGCATTCATTCTCATTACTCCCATGCACCTGTGCCTCCAAGAAACAGTTGGAGGTAGGAAAAAGATATATGAACTAGTTCCGTGGACCCAAGGGTAACTTGTGGGCAGTGGTACCATAAGGATAGCATCATATATCCGTACTCCGTAGAGCTGCACTGGCTCCTTGGGGTCTGCCATTTTGAAATGAACTGCCGACAGGGTTACCGAAACAGTCGAATGCTGCGCCGCACTTTAAAGGAGTATAATATTCCAGGATTCAGTACTATTGGTACCCAGCTTTAAATAGCCGCTTAGTGCCGCTATAGTTTCATTTTCACATATAATGACATAGCCATTGGGTATTATTAGAGGGTTATAGAAAGGGGTTCCATTATGACGCCGGTCCGCAAAGCAGGGAGGTCCAACAGGTTCACGCGGAACAGGACGATCAGCCAATCTTATTATAGAACGTTAGGACATCATTTTATATTCCTGAAATGGAATGCCCTTGTTGACACCGCGTCAAAGCTCGTCAAGCTCGTAAAAAAAGGTTGGACACTAACGCCGCCGGTTCGTGCCGTCGGTAACTAGTGCTGGTTATGAGATCTGTTTGGTAGAGTAACCATCTCACCCTGTCCACCATGTGTTGGAATGGGACATTTGTAGTTTCCACTCGGGTTGGGCGGAACGTGGTCAATATATGGCCGATATACCCTTGAAGGCTGTGCGATTTGTCAAATGCCTCCCACGCTAGCTATTAAATCTGCGTGACTAGGACATAGCCGCCAGACTCCGCTATAAGGCTAGACCAGGGTGGTGTTTGAGAGGTTTGATTGGCCAACGAATAAGTAAGGATATAGGATATCGGCGTAGGTACAGGGCACTCCGTACTAAAATCTGGCTGCGCTGACGCCGCCGTGGTTCGAGATCAGTAAACAAGTCATTATCGACACCGCGGAACAAATACATTTTGGGGCAGTCGATAAACGTTCCAGTGGCGTGCCTCTGCGCCTGTCCGTCGCACCACACACCCCGGAGCGGCGATCGCCAGCGATGACGGGCATCCCGGCCCTGGCGATGCAAGTCTTCCTTGCTGCGAACAAGAGACGAGGTCGAAGTTACCTCGAAAATTAAAGAATGGGCCGACCACGTGATACGAACTAAAAATAGGTTCAACGGCCAAGGCTTGGCGTTTCTTCTTCCTCTTTTGGCGCTTTCTTCGTTCCATCTTCTATAAAAACTTCGACATATCACTGGATAGGGGAAGTCCACTGCTCTGTACTGTTTCAACTATTCTCCGTGCATGCAGAGTGCTCCGTACTAGCGTTGACAGCAAAGAGACAACGACGACATGGGGCAAGAAATGCTCTAAGCGCTGGGATCCATGTGACGGGATGGTGGCACGGCGCGTATCCACCTGCATGGAGAACGATATCCCTGGCATTGCGTTATATCAGATAGCAGCATGGGGGTGGTTGGTCCATTCACCACCCTTGCTTGGGTGCTATCCATGCACTGCTCCCCTGACAATCACGTCCCTCGGCCAGTCAGCTTGCATGAACCGACCAAGAGCCTTGCACGGCTCGCTTCGTTAGAGTTCGGATTCTTCAGGCTCCCTACGCGCCGATTCGCTTAGACAATTTTCAATGCAGGATCACTAAACCATGAGTGACCTGGGTCGACATCAATCAGTGGGCAAATGCCTACGGTCACAGCACCTGCGGCCACATCATTGGCAGTATCGGCCATGTCTATTGCCTCCACTCATGCATGCATTGACGGGGCACTTTACTTAGCCCGTACATAGCCTTTTATATTTAATTCGGACATGGCGCCACCCGGGATTTTCTCTTGGAGATATCTACCAATCTATACCCATTTGCATTTCGATTCCTTCTTCAGACTCCTTTACCTTTCACGTTCTACGGATTTACTGGCGTTAGGGAGAATTTAACCGAGCCGATTTCACACGTTTTCGCAGTTTGCTGGCACATGGTACCTACTTACGGCCGTCTCGATCCCTTGAAAACAACCTGGTCTAGCTTCTGAACCCTTGCTCTCGTGCTTCCTCCATCTCTCCATCTCCTCGTCTTACGCAGATTCAATCTCTTGAGATGAACACACAAATCGCAGCCTCTGTTCAACAACCATCACATCCATCGCTTCTTGCGGCGAATCTCGAGTAACCTTGGTCCAAGGGGTTGTCGATACTCTCGCACAACCTAGGGCACCGGCTGTTTGCCTCCCATCTCGTCGTCAACGCCGCTGGACGGTGTCTGACGACCCTGCGATCATCGAACGTGGCTTTTCTCTGTTCCGATCTCTGATATTCTTTCTTTAATTGATACCCTCAACGATGCCGGCCGTCGCTATAATCTTAATTTGGCTTTGCGCTTTTGCACTCCTATCACCGTCAGCGGCATACAACATACCGAGAGATTTGTCACTTCGGCGGCCCTCCAGTCCAAATGTGCTAAACCATTTCAGCCCACTAAAGTCATTAGCTAGCTCCTTCAGCTGGCAATCTAAAGCACCCCGAATTTCTCCCGCTGCGTTTATGAAAAGATCAGCGATAATTCCACGACATGATTCTAAATACACCTTCGATGAAGCGCAGTTCAATACGACCAGTGTATCTACTTGTCAAGATGCCATTGTTGGACTAAAAGCCGTCACAAACCCCTCCGGACTGGCTGCCTGCTTCAACATAGCATTCATAAACGAAGATACCAACGTGTTCGGTGCCGACATCAAGCTTTATCTTGTTTCCGAGGCAAATGGGGAGTTTAAGGATTCCCGATGGGAAGATTATGATCTAAAATTGAACTCTCGACTGATAGCCTTTTCGGGGTTGAAGCGTGTATTTCAAAATTCGACCTCTAATTCAAAAGCAAACTCACCTCGCCAAGTGATGGGATGGCAGTATAGCGGCAACATAAACGAACTTATCAAACTGAAGAAGTTGACACTGTAAGTTTTCCTTACCCACAACTTCGCCATTTTCAAGTCTTGATCTTCTAACCCTCTTGATTATAGTGACGAACACCGCAACTTCTTCCTACCAAACATAAGCATCACAACACAATCTCCTAGCAAGCCCGGCACGCTCATACTAGCAGACATTTCATCCGATACCCTTTCCTACACCGCCGGTTGCTTAGCTAATGACACACATCTACCATACAACGTCAGCATCACCGAAGCCCGAAAGAAATTAGGGCCCATAATATTTGAATCTCTAGCATATGAACTACCTGGTACAAGCCTAGGTATATTCCCCATGGGTCTTATAGTGACCGGGGCATGGGCAGGGCTATTCCTAGTCATAGTTGGCTACGGAACATTTGAGCGAAGACAGTATCGCGATTTTCATGAACGAAGGTTGAAATATGCTGCCTCTATAAGAGGTTATGGCCGTCAACCTATTGTACCCTAGACATATTTATTTTTATTAATGAAAAAAAATTCAAAAATTTTACAAAGTCACACAGTCTATCTAACATTCAACTCTGTCAAAAATCCTATTGCCTTTGCTATGGGACAATAGAACGGTGGTTTACTGGTATACAAGAATATAGAGGCCAGTTTATAACTATCTTAGCTGACTGCGTACTAAATACTCAACGATATAAGATAGAAGCTGCTTCGAGATACGTAAATTCATCAAGGACACCCTAACAATGTTCATCAAAGAATAAGTGTATTTTCTCCCGGCTAACACGAACAGTTCTAACTAATAAATTGCAAGGATGTCGAGTAAATTATACATGAAGATAGTATAAGCTATACATATGCCCACATTAGGAAACGGTAGGACTATCTTTCCCATATAGAAACAAGAATGCTTTCTTTGTCCGAAAGTAATATTGTCGTGAAAAGGTGGTGTCATTATTCTTCTGTCGAAGGTCTGAAGTATGCGGTGATGAATCCCAGTGAGGATATTCTGTTCTCCGGGCCATACCTGCAAATAGATCGTCGGGATGGTATCGGTTCCCATGGTATAAATATAGAAGCCGAAAAGGTGGTTAATTGGTATAATGAGAGTTATAGGATATCCATTTCGATTAGTTAGTGTTTGGTTCCAAAATAGACTCCTAGAGCCACCGCGATGCTCACGATAGCAGCAACCACAATCCACCAACAGACACACTTTTTATCGGAGCCTCCCCAGATATTCCTACCACCGCCGCTAGGTACGAGTCCAACTCCTTGACTTCCACCCCATGCTGGCTGACCTAGGGGTTGGCCATGGCGGCTGAGGATCCCGGGAGGTGGTTGCCATCGTGGAATTCTCTGGCCTAATGGCACGCTGGGTGAGCTGAGGCTAATAGGCTGACTAGGGCCACCGTGAACTGGAAATGGAGAAATAAAAGTATGATGGTCTTCGGGTGTGCTGCGTCTAATTCGATGGCCGCCTCGAAAATGGGGCCTCCTATACGACCGTGAAGGCCGTATCGGCATCATCTCTATATCGCCAAGGCTAGACTCTCGGTCTGAATGTCCTCTTATATCTGCTCCTCTATCTTCCGTTGATTGGCTGTGACTTCCAGACAGCCCTGTCTCGGAATCGAGTGATAAGGGAGAACTATGACGACGTCTGGATTTCCTGGATTGTCTGCTTCCAATCCAACCTGAATGACTTTCAGGCCCCATCCTTATACTGTATAAGGTTTATTATCAGTATATTCCCCCCCCTTCTTAGCTTCTTCGCAGTGTCCAATCCGCCGAAATATGGTAGCAACGGAATCTGGTATAGTTGTAAAGCGGAAGATATAGGGACTCTGTCCAAGCGAATAGCACGTAGAGTCGAAGCGTAGTTCGTACTCTTTGTATACCTGCAGACCTGAATATAACCTCTTCGAATGTAACAGATGCAACGAAGGTAAGGGATGCTCGGGAGGCGGCCGGGCGGGTTATATCCAGGTACAGTAGCGAAAATGGGCAGTTATTTGCGGGCGAGTGCCAGGATCGATCTCGGGTCGGGGATCCAAAATGTATAGATAATCTGAGTAGATGGGCTAGGATGCTCAGTTATATATCTTTCTCATCACCGAGATACTGATGCAGTGCAGTGAACCAGGCCTGGATCGGCTAGCCAAATTCACGAAACCAAAATCAGTGGGCGAGAGCGATGGCCGCACATTATAGTGAAATAACAAATTATCTGAACGACTCCCTTGTATGTTATATGATGGCATAAGGTGGTAGCAGATGGTTCTCGTGTGATGAGGAGTGAACTGTGGCAGAAGACGATAGGTAGTTCCGTCACCGGCCATGTTCACGGTGGAATGGGTGAGTTTATATGTTCGGAAGCGTTCGAGGTGTAAAACAGATATATAAAACGAATCGGATACACAATATCTAGCTGCCTATGAAACCGGGCAGAGAATACCGTGGTATAGTAGGAGCTGCAGAAGATGGGGTGTAGTATATAATGTTTGGATGATGGCCTGGATATCGCTCGGAGTAAGGGGAAGGAAAGGAATTTATAGCCGGATAATAATCTGGTCCTTTCATAGTGACGGAGTTTGCCTCGTGGATCTATTGCTAGGAGAGTGGAATCGGGGTTTGTTTGCCAAAGCGCGGCTATGCCATGCTAAGAGTCAAGTATTTGTTAGTGATGAAGTTTGGCTGTTATGAGGACAAACAAGTTCACTAGTGTAGATATAGCGGTCGACTTACCGGTGGTTTGAAGATATAGTCACCATTATACCCCCGAATCCTTCAATTATGCTAAGCCATATAGTAAATGTATCTGATGAATCTTGAAAAGCGTAAAGGGGGGATAGGGTATATTGAATCAAAGGAATATAAAGTCATTATGTATCATTCTAGCCAGTTCGAAATATAACAAGTGAACAGCCCCAGCCAGCCCATGTCAACCATACCACCAAACACCAAACCAAACCAGATCAGACCGTGCCGGGTATATTCAATACGTCAACATAGCATACAAACAGACATCCACCTTTCGTCAACGAAAGTTTGGAAGACACAACCCACCGATGCAATGCCGGGTATAAACGAGTCAAATGCAGAATAAGCAATTTGTTTGTGCAAGGCATATATGAACAAACCAGAGAGAAAGAAGAAAAAAGAAATAGAAAACAAAAGAATAAATAGCATCAAGCTCTGAAACTGTACATGCGAACTTCGGAGTCTTCGCTTCCGGTTGCCATGCGGCTATCGCTCAGGGAGACACAGGTAACCGGTCCTCTATGGCCGGTGAACGTCCTATCGCAGGTTCCCGTCCGTGGATCCCAGACCTTTGTCATATGGTCTTGCGCACCAGAGACGAGACGGAGGGTATCGGCCGCGAGACCCCAGACGCCCTCGATATGGCCGAAGAAGGTGCGCAGGCAGCGACCGGTAGGTACCTCCCATAGGCGAAGGGTGTTATCCAGCGCTGCAGTAAGCATGTAGCGCGGTGGAGCCGGTCTGTCTTCGGTGAACAGAGCCTCTAATAGGGGAGACATTGGCTGCGTTGGGGGCGCCGAAGTGTTGGGCTGATCGGGCTGGTTATTTTGCTGGGCGCGAACATCAGGGGACTCAGATCCGGAGAGACGATCGCTCGTATCGTCATCACAGTCGACCGTGTGTTTGAGTTCAAACTCTCGTGGAAGGGGTAGCACCTGTTGGACTTGACCTACATGGCCTGCATAGGTGTGGATGCATTTGCCGGTGTCCAGGTCCCAAATGCGAACGGTGAGGTCATCAGATGCAGAGAAAACAGTACGAGACGCGGTATCGAGCTTGACCGAGTTCACCCAGTCGGTATGGCCGCGTAGAATCTGGGTCGATTTATCCTGGAAGTTCCATATTTTAATCGTGTTGTCCTTTGACCCAGATGCGAGAGTTGTGGAGTCGAAATGAAGACAAAGCACTCCGCCCTGGTGGCCGGTGTAAGTCGAAATACACTCGCCAGAGCGCCAGTTCCAAACCTTGATAGTTCGGTCTAGACTTCCACTGATCAACTTGGTGTCGTCGAACTGCAAACAGCGAATGGTCGACTCGTGTCCACGAAGCGTACGTATCTCCTTTCCGGTGTCAACATCCCAGATCTTTATCGTGCAATCGTATGACCCCGTAGCAAGGATATTATCATCAAACTGTAGACACATAACTCCGTTGGTATGGCCTCTGAATATCGTCGTCACGCATCGACCGTATTTCCAGTTCGTCCCAACCTTGAATCGGTCCATATAGACTGCTTTCCAAGGCCGCTGTTGCTGTCCGGTCTTCTTCTCCACAACCTCCTTGCCCGCAGCCCGCAGCTGCACCTGGCGTTTAGTATCTTTCAGCCTCTTCCGGTCTAGAATGGGGAGGCCCCATCCGCACTTCTCACATTTGCGATCAATATGCTGTTCGCACATGCGGTGCCAAACAACGTCATCGTCTGCGAGATGACGCCAGTTGTGCGAGACCTGTGCTGCATTGCATAACGAAGCAGTGTCCAGGTAAGACATGATCTTGAAAGAGATCTCTGGCGGTAGCGCAGTTACAAAGTCGATCCGAATCAGGTCTCGGACACTTGCGGATAAGAAGGAAAGCTGCGGGAAGCAACACTGGGCCACGATTCCCTGCAGCATGAGATTGCGGTGCTTCGAAGGCGCGGCAGAAAACAAGGACCAGAAATGCGCGATACTCTGCTGATCACTTTGGGAGAGAGTAGAAAGATCCTAGCAACAGTTAGTATAAAGCGATATACATCAGCGTAAGTAGGTACCTACCCGTTGCATCTGGTCGACGGTGGGCTCGTCAGCCTGGCGCCGACACTTCAGGTCAGGTCGATGACGGTAGCAGTATTTCGAGTCTGCCTTCTGTCTGGGCAAGGACGAGCCTGCCGGGGCGAATCTGTTTCTTGAAGCATGCTGGTCCCGAATGTGTTTGGCCAGGAACGGCGCAATGCTGTTGCTTTCAGCCGAATTGAAGAGAGACTTGGGTTCCGAGTCAGCCGTATCTGGTGTCTCCGGCGCATTCCCCTGCCCGCCTGGCGTTCCGTATGCTTCTGACTCCGTGAGCTCTGGCTCTAGAGAAGCCGAGAGCCGTCTCCGCTTCCGCGGAGATATCTGAAGATCCCGGTCGAAATTGTCAATCGCAGTGGCCGGCGCGTGTGGCAGCTGGGAGAGGGTATTCCTCGCCATGACCATAGAACGTGACGGTTATCTGATGCCTGTCACTGGGGGAGGATATGCCGGCCGTCGGGGTGAGGAGCGAGATGTGATGTGTGATATGTGATATACACCCTGCGGGACTAGGTTCACCAAGGACAAGCGAGCCAGAGGTGTCGAGAGAGGACGGAGGGTGCAGTCTCTACCAACACGCAGCATCGCGGAGAGCAGCAACAGTGAAAGAGAGGAAGACGAAGCTGTTCTATATACCTCTATATCGGTGGCGTGAGGTCCCCCTGGTCCCTTCGTTTCTCTCTTTTTTCGCCGTTGGAGAAACTTGCCAAGACATAGCTGACTTGATCACCACCGGCCTTGGCGTCATCTCACCGCCCAAGGTACTGGTCACGTGGACTCCGCTCCGAGGACGACATTCTGCCCAGACATCACGCCTTCTCTTCTTCTTCTATCTCTATCTCTATCTATCTTCAACTTCAACTTCCACTTCTCCTTCCACTCCCTGTCCCTGTCGTGCCTTTATAAGGACGGAGCTTATGAGACGGGGATTGCATCATGGGCGCTCCCTGGTTATAAGCAACTAGCTAGTCAATACTCTACGTCTCGGAAAGGCAAATGCCGATATCTGTCCCGCATATTTACTCCTCTATGCGCATCTATCTGGGGCGCCGGAGGGTCGTTCTGCTGCTAGTGCCCTTATTATACCCATCATAAAACTATCCCTGTCGGAGACACGCGCAAGATGATGTCGTCAGCGGCAACGTCTGCATCCTCCATGCACAGCGGCCGGTCAGAGGATATCGAGGCGAGCCGCCTGTCTCATGTGCAGCCTGATCTGGATACCCTGGTGTCGCACCTTGCGGCCGCCAAGCGATCCCTATCTTCGATCCACCATGTCTGGAGGGCCAACGAGATAGTGACTTCCGCCCGTACCGCGCTGGAGGAGAGCGTCGTCGTCTCGGCCCGAACCGGCTTCCTGCGCCGAAGCCTGGACGAGCAGATCCGGCTCCTCTACAAGGTAAGGACCGAAGTAGAAGACGTAGCTCATCGTGGTCGGGCCGACTTTGCAGGGGCAATCAAGGACCTAGATGCTGTCGACAGCGAATTGCAGCGGACCCTTGACAGCCTGCGTGAGACCACGCTCGAGCCCGCGTTTCGTCCCGAGCAGGAGGTATCCAAGACCCTGCACGACTTTATCGACGAGCATGCAGTGGACGACATCCAATCTCTGCTCAAGGACGCAATCGACAATGTTACCTCGGCCCAGTCCGATCTGGACGTGTCAAACCGGGCGTTTGACAACGATCTCCAGTCGATTCAGCAGGCGCTCGATAAATATAGATTGTCTATGAAACGAGGCTCTGTGTCTTCCCTCAGTCTATCTGCCTCTTCTTCAGCGTCACGGGTTAAGATGCCAACCCCTGCCGTAATACCTGAATTTCTGCACTCCCTCGAGCTAAATGCACAAGAAATGGCAGATCTGCTCGAATCATTGGTCCGTCATTTCGATCTATGTGTGACCGCTGTCAAGCACACGGAAGGAGGCGGGGTTGTTGCACGGAACATCACCGGCGACCTCCCCACTGATGTTGGAGCTGGGATACGGGCCGGCGGTGATGTATACAGCGACAATGATGATATCAACAACCCAAACCCGCAACTTGAACCTCTTACCGACTCTGACTACCGCGATATGATCGGCGTAATCGCCAAGGACGCCGCAGAAGCAGAGGACGTTGTCCTCGAAATCCAAGACCGCATCGCAGAGATGGAATCAACCTTAGACAGGGTGCTCGAGCAACGAGATTCCTTGATTGCCGCCTCCGTGTCTACCACCGCCGTGTTTCGCCGGTTATCTGAGTTCGAGGCAACTCGTCTGCCAGAATATGTCGCGCAGTCACATAGTTTTGAGCAAACATGGAAAACAGAACATGAACGCATGCAGTCGGGGATGACTGATTTGAATGACTTGCGAGGCTTATACATGGGATTTCTAGACGCATATGATGGGTTGATACTTGAAGTTGCGCGTCGTATGAGCGCGAAAAGGGCAGCCGAGGACATCCTAAACGATGCACGCGCGAGGCTGGATGCATTATACGAAGAAGATGTTCAGGCTCGAGAAGCGTTCCGGATAGACCAAGGCGATTACCTGCCCTCGGATATCTGGCCAGGTCTAAGTACTGGGCCAAGCAGAGTGGTGTTCCAGAGGGTACATGCAGATAAAACAGGTACAGCTATTCAAGCTGAAAGGACTACGCCATTAGATAAGGGACTGGGCCAGAATGACGCTGACATACCCACAGGAGGAGACGACAGGGTTACAGCTAACGAGGACAAACCAGAGTATATCGGTGAGAGTATCCCCAATTTGCCCAGGCACGTCATCGACCAGGCATTCGCACGCCTAAACTCCAGAGGGTCTCAGCTCCCTTCATAACCGCCCTTGTGTGTACCATATACTCCGCCATGTATTCCTAATATAATAACTATCTAATCCCCCTTAAAAACCAGACGAGTGAAGTCCATCCCCCAGACACATATCCCCAAACACCCATCAGAGCTCTCTTTGATCCTCACATCTTCTTTCCATGTATGATACACCAAGCCTCTCCTTCCATCAAACAGCACCTCAACATCACTCAGCTTCACCCCCGAGGTTGAATTCCCCAACAGGTTCCAGCTCCCTACATCTTCCCTGCAGCAGAGGGAGAGTATGAAGCGTGTGTACATGCCAGGTTGTCCACGCCGGAGATAAGCCTTCGTGACGGAGCTGTCGAGAAAGAGAGGCTCGATCGTACACTCACGGACGAGCAGTAGGATATTTATCCGTGTAAGATAAATTATGTGGTTTTCATCATATGGGTGAGGAAGGGGTGTTTGTGTCTGCTTGGGCGTTTCTTGGGCTTGTTGCTAGGAAAGGCGAAATCAAAGTCACCAGGGCATTTCTTGAATTCCTTTTAAGACGCTGCATACGTCATATGCGTGCTTTGTGCCGTGAATCGTGGCGTATACTCGATACATCGTCCCTATTAACCGTAAGCAAAGTGTCCCCAGCATATGGAAGACTCCGTACATGAGCGCAAGCCTGGTGCTTCTCCTGCATAGAATATTCCCACCAACTCCATTCGAGCAGCAAGGAGGCCTATTTTAGGGCCATTTTAGGGCCAGTTCAAGGCCAAATTAAAACGATGACCACCGTCGGCCTCTGCCCTAGGCCTATGCACCATCGTGGTGGCGGCTTAGAAAGTAGACGCCGTCTCAACCATGCGCCCAACCCTCCATCCATTCCGTCCGTTGTGTCATCTCCGTGATCTCCTTCTGAGAACGAGCTCGGGGGCGCGGTAGACTTGGGATCAGGTTGTACGGACACACCACTAGTATCTTCTTCTCGCTTGAAATCGCCGCCCCAAAGTCGCAGCCGCTCAACGCGGGCGACCTAAGGCTCTCGTGTTCTTGATCAGGAGTTATTAAAATTTGTCCCGTCAACAGTCCGCGTCGGCGATGGGTGTCAAGATGGCTATGATATCGTACTATCCTCAATATTAAACATGATGTGCAGGCGTTAATCCTCTGTATTTCGTTAGGTTGGTCGGCAAGAAAACGTTCGTCGCGTATAATTTCGATGCGACCAGGATGCTTCGATGCATATTTGGCCATGGCACTGGGATATGTTTGGTCGGTGGCTCGCCTTGCTTCCAATAGCCTGTGAGCGGAGGAAACCTTCACGGTTATTGTTATATCTACTGGTTCAAAGAAACGTTTGTTATTTGGAGTTGGAGTCTAGTGACAGCAAGAAATCCCTACTTCGCCCCTTAGCTTCTTGACCACTTGATGCTAACATCGCCAACCTGGACACTGACACTGAACAGTGAGAGGCTGACAGGGTGAAATGGCCCTCATCAGCTCTAGGACCGGGTTCATCTCCTCGAATTCGATGTGTATGATATCTCGGTGGAGAAACGGCTTCAACCCCGGTGTTTCATGTCGAAGCGCGTCGACCATGCCTGTGAGCATTGTGAGCTGTGTATCAAGCAAGTTGACTGACGGTCGACAGAGTTTCATGCGACAAGATGCTGGAGGTCCCTTGCAGACATGGTTGGCTCACTATGGCGGTGGCGGATCTCCGAAGTACCGCACACTTGCGTCAAGGACTAACTAAACCATCCTGTATACAACACCTCCAATTATGAACCACTCCCTGAAGAAATGGCGCACTGTACCATCGGCTGCGATGAGAAGACGGCTTGATCGGTGGCTCAGGGCGCGATATACGGGCTACGAAGGTTGGCGGATTGCCAACGGAGGATTATAGCCTGCCTGACTAGCTTTGGCTGCTCGGCGTGCCGAATGCTCCAGTAGCAGCGCTGGATATATGGCCCATTTTCTCTCCTGGCGGCGCCAGGGCCTCGAGCTTAATACCGCTAGATCAAGGCACCAATGCAAGACGCTGGGGAAAGGGAGAGAGCGCCTTGATCGGGGGAGATTCCAAACTGAACTACCCCATTCAATGGTTTTTCTCGCTGGCTGACCGACTCAAGGATGTGCTCTTCTCAGTCTTTGACTCGGGGTTTCCCTTGCCCGGCCGGAGGTGGCTCTGTGTCATATTGACCCCTTCCCACATTATGTTAAGTGTCACTTTTCCTCCTGCATATACTCCGTACATCTCTTGACATGTTAGACATGTCTAGACATGTGAAGGGCCAACCATATCATGGGCCACTCGCTGCAAGGTATACAATACAATATGAGGACGGCGAGAAAATCCTAGAAAACCGTGCATAGGGAAAGTCGATGGCAACTTGTCTCCCCGAAGTAGCACAAGAGCACGACTCTAAGACTTTTGGTCCTTTCGGTTTAGCATAACTACTAATGAAAAAGTCTTCGCTCGAATAAGCAATGAATGACTAGGGCGGTGGTGCGGGAAACTCCAGAAAAGATCTTCAGTACTTGACGCCCGCTAGACCCGAGTACGGGAAACGGGTGATAGTGAAGCCACAAATATCGAGTTAAGGTATGCTGATGGGTCTTACCACAGGAGTCTAAGCACCACATATCCAATTCAGATTAACGCAGTGGATGATATTCGTATAAAGCCCCGGGACATAGACCCTCCCAGATGGCTGGTCCTGAGTTGGTCCGCGGTCTTCAAACGACATCATTCTCCCATGACGCTGCCTCTTTAAACAGAACTGAACCTGGAAAGCTTCAACATTCCCTCCTTTATCCGTACGCTTCTCACATTATTTCCCTGGCTTCTGTAAGCTATGGATTTGACGCCAGTCTTGGTTGAGACATGGACGCTCTACTCAATAGGATCTTTAATGATCGGGGCAAGGGTTTTTGTTCGAACAAGACTAGTTGGGGTTCAAGGATACGGCCCTGATGACTATCTCGTCTGGTTTACTTGGGTGAGAAAGCGCCTTTAACTCAAAAAACGCCAACCATCGCTAACAATGAACCTGATACCTAAACCAGCTGGCATACACCACCGTCACAATCATAGCCCATGTTTTCTTAGTCCAAGCGGGGGGGAAGCATACCTCCGTGCTGACCGACGAGCAGCGGGCGACTCTGCCGGTGGAACAGCGGAAAGATTGGGTCTATGGCTCGAAGCTCTTCACATTCGGTTTCTTTAGCTATGCCACCATTGTTTGGAGCTTGAAATTCAACATGCTCTTTTTCTACCGGCGGCTTGTGAGAGGTCTGCGGATAGAGCGGTTTATCATCCCAGCCTTCGGATTCGTGGCCGCTGCGGGCGTTGCTGCGCTCCTCACTTTTTGCTTAGCATGTGTTCCTTTCACAAAGCTATGGCAGGTGTATCCAAACCCAGGAGGTCAGTCCTTTCAATCCTACCGGCAATGAAATGAAATGAAACTCCAATCGCTGACACAAGACAAATACAGGTCAATGCTACCCGCAAAACCCAGTGACCTTTTATACAGTTGCTGTTTTGAACGTTATTACGGATATGTGTATAATTGCGATTCCTATTCCGGTAAGCATCACTTATATCTCACTCTCGTTTACCTTTGCTGAATATAAACTCTTCTAGATGGTTGTGCGCGTCCAAGCTAGTGTTATGCGCAAAATTGGTCTATGCATGCTCTTTGGACTCGGCCTGTTCTGTATGATTGCAGCGGTGGTCCGTGTCGTGCTCATTTTCAAGGTATGTTTCATCCTAATATATCGTGGCTCAAGATTCGGGCACTAATTCCTGGTAGTTGAAACGCCACGGTGATGGAGCGCTTTGGTCAATCCGCGAAGACTTCGTTGCCGTTATTGTCGGCCAAGCACCAATGGTCTACCCAATTACCAAACCCAGGTTCTGGAAGAGCGTCTTCGGCGGTGAGGGATACCAGCCGGGAAACGGGACCGAAGGCGGCCACAAATACCACAGTGGTGGGTCGTCGAAGCGGAAGGTCAAAGATCCATACTCTATTACCCAGACGGAGCTCACCATGGTCGACAAGACCGAGAGCCACGAGGAGCTTAACAAGATCGAGGATAAGTCGAGTGGAATATTAGTACAGCGAACATACGATGTTGACGTCGAAAGTTCGAGGACTCAGTCGGGCCATGACGACAAGGGATACCAGGGCCAGGCGTTTTAAGGAATATTTTTATCAGGACTGTTTAACTATGGGGATGGGAGGGATGGGGAGTGTTTCGGCTGTCAAATATTTACTTCGTCATTCTGTATAGTTTAGTTTCCCCCACCACTTGGGTTCACAACGTTACTACGGAGTAACTGCGGAGTTTCTACGGAGTTTCTACTGAGTGCAAATCAAATTATCCCACTTGCGGCGCCTTCTAAGTAGATTGCATGCGCTAAGTATGTGCATGCACGGGGTAAATTTAGTAAAGTTTTGGACTTATCATCCGTTCGTATAAGCGCGGGACGACGATGGGTCTATCCGCCACCCTGAGTGCCACCAAAGCCGTCCTGTGGATAAAATACTCACTGAAGAATCGCAAAAGCGGCCTTTCAGCGTTGACATGACTCTGTTGAATTTGTACTCGACTTCTCGTCGGAATCCGTCTGGGACCCCTTGTTATAAGCATAAAGCATTTAGGCTATGTGGAGAAAACTTTATATTAACAATTCGCCGACCATGTAAACTCGGCAGGGCAAAAAGAAAGTGCGCCGTCCATGGGCCAAAGCTGTCCAGGGGTACGGCATCTCGATAACTACCGAGACCAACAGAATATTCGGCCTTGCACATGTGAGAATGCGAAAGAAAAGATCTTCAATTTTATGCAGGGGATGGTGATGCTTGAAAATAGCCGTTCCTTCCGAATTTCTACACCTAAAGTCTTCGTCAAGCCTATTCTTGAGAAGTGTCTGGAGAGTCATAATAAACACCTTGAAGCGGTTTCTTCATATCAGAGCATCGGTTTAAAGGTATAGATGCGGCTATTGTCTCATCTTCGGTTTTCTTAGTCCAAGGGTCGGTTGATGGGTATAGATTCTGCATGACGTCTCTTCATGCCTTAGACATGCATACTGCGACCTGGAACATTGGCAAATGTGAGATAATAACTAGCTTCATAGAATTATAAACATATGCAAAGCTTCACGGTATCTAGATACATAACTCATTAAAATTAGACTCTTCATAATCATAGATGCGGGTGGCGGATAAAGGTATTAGTTTTTGATAATCTGCAGGGAATAATAGAAAAAAAAAAGACATCAGACAGCCGCTCGAATATCATCACCACGCAATCAGCTGCTTAAAGAAACCTTTTGATTCATGTAGTTTTCCCCCCGGTTCACAACCACCTCGTGGTACATCCATTCTCCGACATCAGCACGCTGAATGGTATATCCCACTGCAGGCTTATCATCGGTGCCCACCTTGAGGGTCTTCCACCCCTTCCCAGTGGCAATGTTATAATCACCAGTCAAAAGTGATGGCCGAACAGCCATGACTCCTCTAAACGCACGGGCAGTAGGTGTGGGATCAGCCACGCAGCGGAACAAAGATTCTTCCATCTTCAGCTTATCCTTGTGAGGGACTGCGAGGAAGTAGTGGTATAGCGCTCTGAAAGCGAAAGGAACGTCTTCAGTCTTGCTGATTCCGGTGGTAGAAACGACGGTGACGAATGGTTGGATTTTGGGCTTTCCAGCCTTCTCAGCGACTGATTGCACCTCGCGTACGGCAGAAATGATATTGTTGGTAGCCTTTTCACATGTATTTGGGTCGTTCAGGGTGACTGGCTGCATGATTGAGGCTTGCAATTTGGGCGTTGAGCCGATACCAGAGATGATGGTTTGGACGAGTGTGCCATCGTTACTCTCCGGAGCCACGGTCCGTTTGACGGCTTCGATATCGTAGACGTCTCCCTGGACGACGGTGAGCTGGCTATCGATGACAGACTGTTCGATGCCTTGGACTTTAAGCTGCTCTGTCAACTTTGCAGGCGTTCGTGCAAGCGCAATGACTTTATAACCTCCCTTGAGAGAATGGGCTAGACAAGAGTTGGCACAGCCGCCGGTTGAACCGATGAAGGCGACAGGACTAAGATTGGCCATTGTAAAGGGTATCACTGGAGGAGAGAGATAAAGATGATTCGAGATGGTATGAACTTTTATCGTATGGTAAGTAGTTGTTTGGTAACGAGGAGAGATATCGCAGGCCTCTTGCGGGAAGGCTGGGGCTTTTTAAACAAGATCTATTAATCTTCCGTTCGCTGGCGGATGAAGGCTCTACATAGTTAGCCGTACATGAAGAGTACTCCGTATACCGCCTATGGAGTACTTTGAAACAGAGTAAGTCCGTCCGAGCCACTGAACGACATCATCTACCATCGTCGTGGCTGTTCATTCACCTCCGCCAGTATGAAGGATGGCTCAAAGTCCGACCGAACAAGCGAGCTAACGGAGGCTCTGCTGCGCTTCTCTGCCTGGACGGGCCAAAATCACGCCGACTTCAAGGGCGAAGCCTTCGCCTAGTGACAGGCAGCCGCATATAAGTATAAGCAACGCAGGGGTGTCCTTTAGCGTTGGAGCGACAAATCCTTCTGCGCAGCGATGTTGTTCCGCGACGACGTCACAAAGGGGCGCATTCTCTGTCGCATCTGTAGAGACATCATGGTACAGCCGTGATGTAGCCTTTGATGAGAGCTATCTGTGTTCTATCTCCGTGTCCCAACAGACAGCGGAGAGTCGCAGTTTGATGCTGATGTTTGCGAAATATCAGACGTGGTTCCTCGACTGCCATGGCTTCGATCTCCGTTCGTCTATTATTGGTTATTGGGCATCTACACAGCTTTCCTATCACACAAAACTGTTTTATTATCATATTTTTATTATATATCACTATTGATGAATAGGTATAGTTAGAGACATCCCACCATTGGAAATTGCACCAAGAAACGATCATCTAGTGTTTAGACATTACTAGACATTCCCTTGGCTTGCCCCTTGGACTTGTCCTATATCAATAATCAAGGAAAGGGGAGAACCGCAACACCCCTCTCGCCATTTTTACCGCGGGCCCGAATCCCAAAAATAACATTATCCTTGCTGAGGTCTATTGTTGCTTCCTGAACCATCCCTACATCCATTTTGTGAGTCCAGAAGGGTGCAATTGTGCTACGCCAGACGATCTCGTAACCGCCAATACCTGCGTTCCCACCGGCTGGAGGTTCCCAGGTAAATTTGCTATCGTTGGTCAGCCCACTCGTGATGACACGGACATTGCGAGGCATGCCAGGAGAAATCGCCAGACTCCAAAGGGCGGCAGCGTTAACTTTTCCAACTCGTGAGATGAAGTCAAAGTCGCAGAATTCAGGCAAGTCCCCGTATTGTATATCTTTGCCCGTTTTGGGGTCCTTATCGATGCGAACGTTCTGATGCTGGTGTGCGAAGTTCTCATTTGGCTCAGTGAATCGTGCCGCCGGGTATCCAGCCTCGAGAAACGGGCGATGGTCACCACCACGTAGATATCTATCCAACCTATAGATGACTGACACTTGCATGTCGGTATATCTGTTTTCCGCTGTTTCCTTGACAAAGCGCGCCAATTGACGTGCTGGGGTATCATTGTCTCCCCCTATCATGATGCGTCTCTCACGCATCTTTTCATCTTCGACATTGAGCGCTGGTATTCCCTGAGCAAAGAGGCGGATGACATGTGGATCCTTCGTACCGTCGTCGGCCGTGGATGAGCCAACGATGTCGTTGGTAAACATTCCTTCTACGTTGGTGGAACTATTGCGGTACGTTTGGGCAAGGAAATTAGATCCGTAAAGGCCCTGTTCTTCTCCTGCCACAGCTGCGAAAACGATAGTTGCCCTTGGGCGTGGGACGTTACGCTGTGACATGACACGAGCGAGTTCAAGAGAGACAGCAACCCCAGACGCGCTATAGTAGGTATCATTAGCTTTACAGTCAATAATGGTGAATTGAGTCCCCAAGATTTCCAAGTATATATTTTATTGTCTTCAGAGGTCAGAGCCACTATAGAACGCAAAAGAACGTAAACATACTCATCGTTTGCTCCAGGGGCATCAGTCTTATAGTCAATTGGGCTACTAGGGATGGAATCGTAGTGACCAGAAACCACGTAGACTCTTTCAGGTTCTTGATCTCCCTTGAGTGTTGCAACCACATCGCTAATGCGAACTGGGAACAGGATCCGTTTCCCGTCTGGCTGCTGATCGTATCCAATCACCTCAACGGTCAACCGGCCATCACTGGCATTCGCGTACCGCTGGAATTCAGACGCAATCCAGTTCCTTGCAGCTCCAATGCCGTATGTTGCGTTAGTTTGAGTGGAAAGCGTGTGACGAGTGCCGAACGAGACCAGTTTCCGTATCGTAGCCTCAATTCTTTTTGGTGAAATCTGGGATAGGATTTTCTGAAGATCCTTTGAGGGTTCTTGGGGTTCGTTGGGGGACCCTATCTTGGTACGCGGCCATGATGCTGCAGGGCAGTAGAATAGGGACTCATGGAATGGATCACTCAGTCCACGGGCACAAACGGAGCCTTCTTGACGCTGGTATACCACAAATGCATTGCAAGAGACTAATAGCAATAGACCAGCAAGCAGACTTTTCATTAAGGCATGCATCCTGGGAGACTGTTAGTGTGACGTAGGCATTGATCACTGGTACTTAGATGCTGGGAACAGCCAAATAAATAGAGAGGGGTTGTTGAGCAATAAGTGGCCGTTTTTATCTCGACTTGGTAGCAACTTGGCACATTCTCGAACCGCTGGAAACCGAAATTATCAACCTTCGAGATATGCCGAGCAGGGATGTTATATTTAATATACACAAACCACCTCGAGCCTTAAACCATCGGCGTTCAACCGTGATGCTTGCAGCTGCAGATAGCTGGCCGCTTTCCGGGCTACCTCCCCTGGCTGGCCCGCGCACACATTACGAGCCAGACAATAGCCCTCAGGGTACGTGTTTGCCGAACGAGCCGAGCCACGCCAGCAGAGTCAGCAGAAAATACACCAAACAGATGTAGAAGTTGTTATTAAAAGAGCATTGAAGCTTGATAAATAGTGTGATTCTTTGCCCCTCAGACCAGGAGAATCCGGGGTAAAAAGTTCCAAGGCTTTGGTAAGTGCCGAGGTAAAGTGGACCACGGCAAAGGAACATTCTTATCCCGATTGTCACCTGATTTGTGATTATATAAGCAAGTTATTTTCCGAGACTAGATTAGGAAGGAGGAAATCTTTCTGATTTGGAAGGTACGTACTGAATGAAACTATTTATAAAGCAATCTTAATTAGCACCTTCTTAATGTATATTTGGTGATTAACTAACTGCAAAAGGAGGACTCCATTACTAATAAACTGCCTCCAAGACGAAAAGGTAGGGGCGGAGGGAAAGCAAGGCGGGGATCTAAGATATAGAATGACAGATGCACACAATTGGCACCTTTTCCTCCAGAGGAAAATGGACGGTAAAAAAAGAAAAGAACATAATATCAAACAATTCATTAAAAGAACCTATGCCTTAAATAAAGGAGGCAGTTGAGAATGGGACCTGAAGCAGATGCAAAGGCTTCTATATATGCGATGCTGTGTTCTCATAAATAAATGGACTGTCATATGTACGTCACCACGTATGCTAAAGGCGCTCAAGAAGTAATGTGGGTTGTGGGTGTTTTCAAGGCAGCTTCTTGATGTGGCCATTCGAAAAGTCGGGTTCGGCGAAGTCTGGCAGGCGAGTTATTCGATCAAGGGTCGGCATTGAGAATCCGTTCCCGAAGAAATACACTACTACCAGCCAGGTGACGACGAAGTTGGCAATGTGGTGTAGTAAGTATGCATATGTAACGCCGTATAGCGCAGCGTAAACAGCAAGGAAGAAGAATAGGGCGGACGTGACATGTTTAAAACTGTAAGCGTGGTTAGATCCATATTCGACAAACTGGTCGGATACTATAAAACAGGGCGTGTTGAAAAAAAAAAAAAAAGGCTGGCCCACTTACTTCGATGTGATCCGGGGTATCATAGCTCCGGTAGTCAACGTTTCGACGAGAAGTATAAAGGGCATTATTGATAATACATTATGGTGGGATGAAAAGGGCGTGAACCAGTGTACCGCCAGGTTATGTCCCCAAACTATAAGGACGGGAATGTTGATCGGGAGAATCCAAAGCATAAGCACTAGAATCGAATGTGCAAAATTGCTCAGGTTGGAATGAGAGCCCGATCGCTTGGTCCCTGTCAGCAAGGCATGCTTGGATCCAGAAGAAGAAGGTGGCACGTACCGTTTCTCGAGCATGGGAGGATGCTTGCACACATGTTATCAACTGAACAATGCATGCTACTACGTACGCGAATTGGTACGGAATAAAAGTGGCCACAAGGAAAAGTAGGACGACTGCATTCACTACCCGGTGTTTTACGGATAGGTTCCACAGCAATGGTCCGATTCTGCAAAGTGTTGGTAAGTACTCGTACAAATGCCTTCATGCAAAGAGTAGAGAGCAATGATCAACTTACCTTCCATCCTCATGTTTGATGTAGCCCTGTCGAGCGGCCACTGTCGAGCGAAGAAGGCCAAGAAGATAGACGATAGCAATGGCGGCATAATTAACGACAACACATGCGCCAACGCTAATGATACCGAAAAGAGGAACCAAAAACCAGAAGAACGTGTCTTGAGAACCTAGTAAGAGGTCGTTTTTCCCGTAGTCTATTGGCGTCTCCGTTGCATTCGACTGCCAGTTAGATGGTACACCTTTGGTCACCACGGATTTGGATGTGGCCAAAGTGGTAGCCAAAATAGAGAAGCCAAGGAAAGTGAGAGGTAAAGAGGAGCGAATACAAAGCTCTAAACTTTCAGAGAAGTTGATGAAAATACCTAGTAGAAAACAAATAAGTTAGTATATGGCATATATCGGGTATTTGGTAAACCTCACCTGTTTGATCGTAGACTCTGAACTGCTTGCGAAGAACCATAGCAACAATCACTAGGGGAAACGCAGCAAAAACAGTCCGATATCTCATTGCCAGCCTGCCAAGACTTCCAAGCACATCAACTTGTAGGGATATTTGAAGAGGCGTGTTACAGCTGTGGTCTGACCAAAGCTGGAAGGACACACCGCTTGCCGCCGGATTGTCTCGAATATGCGGCGGCATATATGGTGCAACACCATGAAGATTGACATCAACCTCTTTCACGTTGACGAAAAACTTCGATTCGTACGGGTCGGATATGTATTGGCGGACAATCGGTGCAAATAGTGTAGAGCTAGCTTTACACTCTTGGCTGTCGAGTTTAAGTTTATAGGCTAATAAGCTCGATTGCAAGGCGGGAACTTTGATGTCTGTCACCATGGGCCTGTCAGCGGGAAGCAAGATGGTCAAACCAGCACTAAGCAGCCGGCCAAGGCTGACCCTGGTTGGTATAACTGAATCCGAACTGTCAGAGAACTCCGCCGCTAGGAAGCCAGGGGCAGCTTTCTCAAACTTGTCAACAACAGCCACAAACTGATACTCCGTCAAATCCTCCAGGCCATATTGAAAGTATGAATACGGAGGTGTGTCGTCGAAGGCGGACTTTGAAGACGAAGTTGATGCTGGAACGTGTATGACATCCTCATAGCTACTTTTGCAGACCAACCTAGGGGAACCAGCGTTTCCTCCAGATAGGTCAAGATTCAAGGAAAGCAAGGTAGCAGACTGCCCAGCACGAGAAGGTGGGTCGCTGCAAAACAAAATTTCGAGCTTGCCTGCTCCTGAAGCTTGAACTCTTTGATCCGTCAAAAGGGTAAATTTCTTTCCAGGAACGCCTCCCCTTGGGGGGACTGGGATGAGATAGGCTTTCGGGCCTTCGTGCTGACCGAATCCGCGCAAAACTAATCGCTCGCCTTGCTTTAGCATGGAATTAGTGTTTTCTTCGAGAGTCAAAAGCGTAGTCGGTTCTAACGCTGTGTTAGCAAGTGCTGTTCAATGTATATGGAAGGTGAATGTTACCGTTATTTGGCAGAGTCTTCTCCGCAGTCGGTTCGATGCCAGTGAGAAACCACTTCCTAAAGATGCTCATGCGCTCGGCCCTTTGCTTCGTTTGAGTAGCTCGTCTAACATCAATTACGTCGAAAATGGATCGAACAACCGCTTTCCGAAATGAGTCGCACCAAGCTATCGAGAGATGATCAACTCCCGTCCAGACATTGGGTATAGTGCTCGTAAAAACGGTGAAGCCATGGGTATCAGGGACCAAAGATGAGAGACTGGTATAGTCTGAGGGCACAATGGTGTCACCGCCACCACCAGCAATAGAAATAAGCGTCACATGCCATAGTGGGTTGTTGTTGGCCCATCTTTCCGAATAGGCGTCGCGCCAATAGGTGTTTATCTGTTTATATGTACGCATCAAATCAGAGTCAAAGGATACAGGTGGCCTCGCATGCGGTGTTGACATTGTAATGACGGAATTCACAGAGTTTGCCTGGTAATTTGCCATGGTTAGGACCGTCCTGGCTACGATTCCGCCCATCGAATGTCCTATCAGTATGACGGAGACTGGGTCCGGTAGATCCGTGTCCCTCCTGACTCGATGAGGATCATGGTAGAGTGATAATATGTAAGATAGGGCGTCGTTTATATATTCCGCTTGGTCGAGTATGGTTTGACCGTGGAAAGCAGCCATATCTTCGTTAAAGTCCGCCATGAAAAAATCCAGGCTCCGTGTCCCGGCTTTAATCCGATCCTGATCGTGCTGCAGCACATTGTGAAAGTACAAGGAAGCCTCGGAGGCAAGCGACCTCCCCTGTCGGTAGCTCCCTGCGTTCCCTGGAAGGAAGAGGACAGGAACACCCTTAAGCTAAATTTAATCAACGTACCCCAGGTCAGCTTCTAATCAATTGATGGTAGAATATAGGGAGGACAGGGGAGAAACGTACTCCAATGTCTTCTTCGCTGTAATCATCCACACCCCGCTCTCGATACAAGTAAAGGTTGTACTTGCTCGCAAATCGGGTATGTTCCGTATCAAACCCAACCAGTTTAATATAGGTGGGCAGCATGCTTGGAGTTTTGCAGCCTTGAGGGTCAATCTGAAGGGTCAGGTACGATTGTACAATACCAAAAACCACAAGCAGACCAAGTACTGCGACTATTATAGTTGATACAGGACATGACCAGGCACTCCGCGACCGAGGCCGCCGCAGCCGTTGCGACTCGATCGAGTTATCCATATGTGACTCCTAATATCCAGGTCTCGGCAACCAGCCCCTCGACACCCTGCTCACTGGCTTTTAACGGTCGTAGAATCGAAGCAAATATCGCTACGTTGCACAGTAGCCAGTCCTGAGAGGGTATGTATCCAGGGTCCGTACGTCCGCCCCAGCTCCTCGCGCCTAGTATTTCGGTTCCTCTCGAGCTACCTCCAAAAGAATCGCGTGAAGTAGCTTTTCGTCGTTAATTCCATTGCCATTTAAGCTGCTAAAAGTAGTGATTAGAGGCGCATTGAGCCCAGTCGGCCGGTATCCTTGCGAGCTGCGATTCGAGGGGTGGAAGAGTCCGGGTGTGTGACGTGAACGTTTCCTCTTCCCTCGACAGGGCTCTCGCGGTTCAAAAGACGGGGCGAGGGGAGCTGTGAGAAGCCCTGTACGCGCGACGAGACTCCAGCGCAAGACTATGGCTGCTCGTGTAGTGCTCGAAGGTCCAAAAGGGGGATGCAGGAATGCGAAGGCCCCAAATGACGCGGAATGCGAGAAATAATTTGATATGCTGAGTCAGCGAGATAGCTTCACCCCTGTAGGTCCACGAGAGAAGCTAGGGCAAAGAAGGAGACTGTCTTTTGCTCCGACTGGGCGCTGAAACAAAGAACATCTACGGAGTAAACGGTCGCAGGACAGAGAAAGGAGACGGCTGTTTCTTTTACCGCAGGATCATTGGGCGGGCCATTCTCTGGTGATGATCATGCAGCCATTGAATCCGTTTAGTGCTACGGCCAGAGCACAGATACAAGGCGAGGCGTCCCCAAGATCATCGCTGGTCTGGTATTCGACACGGCTACGACTATCGATATATCCTTCACCTCGTTTCTCAGCTTCAACCCTCCTCAGACACCGTTTACTTCCGATTTCCAGGAAAAGGGATACTACAACAAAGTTATATGTGGAAGAAGGTTTGGTGCTCTGAAGCTTCCGGCCTGCCAAAGCCTAGCGTGTGTGCCTGCCAGAGGCCCAGAGGCGCTTGTGGCTGTTGATATACGAAGTACATGCGGAGGACGGGGTGAAAAGAGTCGCCGTGGTGACGGCCTCCTGGAGGGGTCACCAACCACTCTATATGAACAGCGACATCCATAGCATCATTCTGTTCTACAGGACAGAGTAACGTTGGCAGCTCTAGCATGTGGGCTACAGGGGATGGTGATGAGAGTGGCAATGTCATAATCAAATGCATGGTCATCCTAGCAGGAGAAAGAAAAAGAAAGGAGAGCAAAAAAAGGAAATAGGAGAAAAGACATATCTCTGGGTCTGCGGCTAATATTTGATCTTAGTTACGGAGGCAACTATCATCCCACATCTCGTCTGATAAAGCAGACCGCCTCTCCTAACCAAGCAGCCCATCAAGATGCTCATCCTCTATATCCTCTATATCTTCTTCCCCTGTGTATATTCCCCGTATATATAACTGGACATATTTTTCTTGGCACCATCACGTGTGTATATGGAATAATATTTCTCCATTCCGTCATATCACGTGTTGTTTTAAAAATATGGTCGGTGCTTATATAATGTCCCGTTAGGAGTTAACGTTATATCCGTTCGTATGTAGGATGAAGCCTTTATAAAGAGCTTCCAGGACCGATAATAGTTATACAAGATGGCAAAGTTCCTCTTACGAATCTCGATATCCGTCGGCCGTGGTGGTCTAAGGTAAATATCTCCCTTCTCCTTAAATATCTATCCGTCCCCCTCTAGTTATTGAATCAGCAGCTCGCACACCACACGATATACAATCGATACTATAATCAATATATTAATAGTCTTCGACACAGATCTGATCGCTTTGGCCATTCCTCTAACCTATAAGGGGTTCGGCTCGTACGTCTTAATGTCGACGGTTCGTGGGCAAATCCAGCGGCAGCATATTATAGGACGATGGGAAATATCTGTCCAGATTTACAGACCCCAAGGAGCGATAGAAAGCGATCGCTACCATGAATGCAACCACAAGGGTAGGCGTCATTACCAAGCCCGTCCTTGACGCCCACTAAGCGAAGAATTAGAGACATTGTTCTCCAAGGAATCTTAATGCGGAGTATAAGCACAAGCAACCTATCTCCGTGATCGAAGGCCTGCAAAAGTCATGCCCCTGGTAGGTTCTAGCCCATCGGAACGCACCCTGCAGGGGAGGATGTAAGTACGTACAATGCGCGACAGACTGCGACTTTAAACAAATTCCATAGCATCCTGCCCCAACCATGCAGCGGGCATGTAACGTTCAATCGGCCATCAGAAACTGGCTTGATGTGGATAAATTGAACGGATCGTCTCAGAATAAGGAAAAACGGCGGCGCCACCATCTTCAACTGCGTGGCCAAGGTAAGCGCCATGCCCACCAACAAGAGAAATGAGATAAAAGCCCTTGGATGAAACTCCTGCGAGTGCCGTAATCTGCTCCAGAAGTAATAGTGGCGCCGTATCTGATAATAGCTCAACAACCTGAGTCGATATCGCCGTGCTTCGTACTCCGTAACATATCAAGATTCCTGTCCCTGGAGACGGTGGAGAACGGGCATATCCCGAGCTAGCAGGGACGCGCAAACTCGAACTAGCAAACGGTAGAGAACGGGTCAGTTATGGAGTATTCCAACCTTCCCTGCAAGCCCGCCGCTGTTGCTTCTATGGAGTACAACGAGGGACAAGGGGGCCCAGGGAAGGCATCGAGGGCCCGGGATGACATCAGTCGCCCCCTGAAATCTTTGTTAGGGCGTCCATCGAGAGAAAAAAAATACTGGCGGCTTGTTTTCCTTCTCTTTCATTTCAAAGGAGCACCGTTGCAATGGTCAAGTCGCGTGTGTGTTCGGCCACAGGTCGCAACGGTCGCCTAAAAAATGGAGTCTGTTTATTATGCATTGCCGGGGTTATATTTGCATTTGTTTTCTCTCTCTGGTTTGGAATGAATTCAGACAAGGACAATGTCCCTCCGTTGCTCACCCAGCTCATCCCGGCCGGCCACTGTACATGCCAAACATCGACTACATTTAACTGCTCACATTCGCTGGCGTCGATAAACTCAGAGCCATCTTCCCCAGCGGCCCCGTCGTCGCGCTGGAGGTTCGAATACGACCGTGATAAGATAAATGTGAGTCTCAGTCCGTCACAATGCAAGGCGGCATTCCCGGGATTATTCGAGGATTCGAACCGGGCAGCAGCCTTCTGGGGTTCCCAGGGCGGCGTCTCTATGAAACATCTAGATAATATCAAACTCAACAACGGGATGTCTCGAGTGATCATACATAACGGGGAGTTATATGTTGTCGCCGCCAGAGCAGCTCAGGAGGACCATCGAAAGAAGATACTGGCGGTGCTAAGCTCTATGCATCATGCCCTTTCCGGAGCAGTTGGGAATTGGACACAGCCTAGCATCGAGTTTATATTTTCCGTCGAAGACAGGGTCGATGATGTCGCTGCACCGGGTCATCCTCTCTGGGCATTGGCTAGAAAGGCGACTGAGGAGTCCGTATGGCTGATTCCTGACTTTGGGTTCTGGGCTTGGGACAATGCAGCAAATGCAATTGGTCCCTATAACCAGGTTGTTGACCGTATACAACGGCAAGAGGTCACTGTACCTTGGTCATCCAAGGCTGACAAGCTCGTCTGGAGGGGGAAGCTAAGTTTTGCGCCAAAGCTGAGACGGAATCTGCTCGACGTCGCCCGGGACCAGCCTTGGGGTGATGTCAAGGAAATCGTCTGGACTGAGAAGCAGAACTTCATTAGCATGGACGACCATTGCAAGTACAAGTTCATCGCCCATGTTGAAGGTAAATCCAGCATCTATACCTCAAAACACTCGTTGGCAAACGCCGCTAACCTTTTGTTTGTTCCCATCTAGGTCGAGCATACTCCTCCTCTCTTAAATATCGACAGGCGTGTCGATCCGTTGTTGTAGCTCATGAACTACAATATATCCAGCATCACCACTATCTTCTCCAGTCTTCGGGTCCGAACCAGAATTATGTCAAAGTAAAGCGTGATTTTTCGGATTTGCCAGCAAAGGTAGAAGCTTTACTGGCAGATAAAGAGCTCGCCAAACGGATCGCCGACAATAGCGTCAAAATATTTAGAGAACGCTATCTGACGAAAGCTGCCGAGGCGTGTTACTGGCGAGAGCTTTGGGCTAACTGGGCAAATGTATTGGACATTGTCGAAGCCGATACGTTTGCCGATAGAGGGTTAAGATTCGAGTCTTTTCTCCTCCTGGAAAGCCAAAAGATGATGGCTTTTTCGCATATTGACACGCATAATGTCTAAGTATATAGATAATAATGTTCTAATGTAAATATTTTTCAATGTTGCGGTTGGCAGGTTATCTTGGTTGACTACATAGGATCAAGAAATATAGAGGGTATCACAAGATTAATTATTATAACGTTGCATAAAAGCAATAATATGTATTTGAAGGTACACAGAACGAATTCTCAGTTTCCGGGGCTACTACCTCGCTCGTTATATACTGTCGATTTCAGGGTCTCCTCGGCCATCCGGCGTTTCCGGATAATACGAGTCTCGGCTGACGGGACATCCAATCATCCTACAAATAAAAATAATGCACTTTGAATCCCACGGCATCCGCTCTAGCATAAATCTTATAACGTTTGCTTCACACTACTTCCTTCAGCTGTTGTTGAGAATAACACTTAGAGTTATCGCTTAAGAGAAGCACGCGGGGCGGGCCGTGTATGTAGTTTAACTATAAAGCTTAAGTTGGAGTGGCGAAGGTTGAAAACGGCTTTATCCTCGCAGATTCTATTATTATAATAGTAATACCTACAAATACATAAATCGAAGTAGCATATGCTAATAATGATCGTACAGGGGTATCATAAATAGATAATAAGGTACGCCGTGCAGCGTCTTGTGTTCATCCAAGAGGCCCAACTTTCACCTCCTGGCTGGCTACCAAGTTATCCCATTTAGCCACCTTCTCGCGTTCGCGATTTATCCGCCGCTTAGCCGACAATATATCCTTAAATTGGCCCTTAGCTCCGTGCTTAATCTTGGTAATCATATCCGCCGCTTCGCCCTTCGAAATAACTCCGCCCACCTCCTGACCAAGCTGCTTCCTCAGATATCCTATTTGACCAGGGCTTGCCCGTTTCTTTCTCCACGGTTGCCACGACGCAATAAACGTCGGGCCCCCAAACACGCGGTTGGCAAGAGTGTCTGCAGCATGAACTGCCTGGACTAGCTCAACAGATGACGCCACCTCTCGAGGACGGCTGAATGGGCTTTTCGATTTACCCGATGGTCCTAAGCTAATAATATGATGGACTGAAAACAGGCCAGAGTCATCTTTGGATATTGTTAATCTCCCGGCCGGGGCGCCGAGGATGTAACGATCTGGACCAACCTGCACCCACGCATTATCGCTGATGGAACGTATATGTTCTTCACTGGATGTGTCCTGCACGAGGTCATGGACAGAGTCGTAATCTGTAAAATCAACAACAACGTTCTCTTGCTTAGGTGACGGTTTTTCTTCGCCCTCCTGCAGCGTGCCGTTCTCAAAATCCTCTCTCCTCTTCTTAAAATCCTTAGCTGGGGTCTCGTCTAAGCCTTCATCAGGATGAAGTCCAAATAAAGTGGGTGTTGTCAAGACTCCATGATCCAGGGAGGCAACCATATCAATGATATGACAGTTCGTTTTTCCTGGATGTAGCCGTAACCCTCTCCCTATCATCTGGATGAGAAGATTTTTAGACCTCGTCGGCCTCGCGAGTAGGACGCAGTCAATATTCGGGATATCAGTGCCCTCTGTAAATAGTCCGCAGTTAATCAAAACAGGAAACTCATAGTTCCTGAAGGCTTCTAGCTCTTTCGTTCGGACATCTTTGGCAGATTGGCCGGTGATATACCTAGCATCAACTCCAAATTCGCGAAATTTCGCTGTCAGGCACTTTACATGCTCAATATCCACACAAAACACGAGTGTTGATTTCCTCTCCTGCGCTCTAGCACGCCATGCCGACACAGTAATATCATTGACCGTCTCAGTATTGACAGCAAGCGAAAGCTGGCGGGTGTGAAAATCCCCGTTCGGGGCATCATCCACTTGTGAGAGGTCGACGTGCGATTTTACGGTCGTGAAAAGGGCATCGGCAAGCCAGTTCTCCCCAATCATATCAACGTAGTCCTTGTGATACACTATATGGTCGATGGCTGCACCTAGTTTCAGCCCATCAAATCGCGAAAAAGTTGCAGAGACTCCAACCAATGCGGGAGAGTTTGCAGTATGTTCGCCCAGGCCGAAATGGGCAAGGGCCTCACGATATGTAGGCGCAACGATATGATGTGCTTCATCTACCAGTACCAGCTTGAACCTCTTCGGGTCATATTTCTCTATCCGGTTTTTCGAAAGGAGGCTGCGGATGGACGCAATCGTAATGTCTGCAGTACCGGTCGCATGACTATTTGCCATCTCAATCTCTATGGTCTTATCTGGATACGCACGCATGCAGTGTTTTGCAGCCTGCTCGACAAGCTCTTTCCGGTGAACTAGGATAAGCGATTGGGTCCTATCTTCACAGCGGGATTGTACACGGTCAATCAACTGTGTAAAGATAACCTATTGAAACATGACATCATCAGTACAGATAATATTCAGATTTTGGCGGCGAATCTCACAGTCTTCCCACTGCCTGTAGCCAAAGATATTCCTAGTCTTTTGTGACCCTTGTCCAAATACGACAGGACAGACTGAATACATTCTTCTTGATAGTCCCGTAAACGGATCTCGGAGTTCGGTATTGGAGCTGAATCAGAGGGTTGAACGGACGCGGTTGAAGAGAGGAGACGAGCTCCGATTTGGGGAACGGTACGGCCCCGGCAACATATTCTCGCAAAGCTCAACCATCTCGCGCAACGAGATATCTTCTGCATCTTCCATGCTTGCTTGTCCTTCGTCTTTACGTTTATTGGCGTCAAATATCTAATATCCTAGATGCAAACAGACCAAACATTCAAACTATGCAAACACAGTATAACTACCTTGTCGATAAGAAAAAGAAAAAGTTGAAGGTGAACTTCCACCATAACAACAGCCGGTGGACGGGTAAATCTGCAGCTGAAAGAATAAATACCCTGCCTATCTACGGGTATACATGATATGTGTTCGTTACTATCGTCCGCTCTAAGCTGCTCGAGCTCTGTTACCTGGAATTGGAAGTTTGGATCGAACCTTCGGTCCTAATAGCTAGCATGTCAAGCAGCAGCTACGAGCTCCAGGGTGATGCCCCTGATTCTAGTGTGATAGAGGAACCGTGGACATCTATTTATGGTTCTTCAGAAATCGGACCCTCTTCTCCTCAAATACAAGATCTGACACTCGTATCCTCTCCCCCGCCCATACAACGGAAGAGGAAACGGGTAGAGCCATGGGCATGGAACAAAAGAGAAAACCATTTACGGCGTGCCAATGCGCAACCTATAATGTCCTACTGGAAGATACTTGAGGAAACAGTTGATGCATTCATCAAGGAGCCTAACCGTGGAGCAGTTATACATGGCTCTCGGTTCGGTATGATTACATGGAGCTCAGAGGAGAAACTCGCGCTGTTTGCAGCCCTGGGCAGGAAAGGCAAAAGCGCGATTTCCGAGATCGCCTCTATAATCGGCACCAAAAGCCGGCTAGAGGTTCAAGAATACCTCTTTGAACTTCAACAGGCTTTGCAAGAGAAGCACATGACAGAGAAAACAGTTCGAGGAGTAACGTTGTCAGACATACATGCGGCTGCCGAAATAAGTGAAGAGTGCTGTCTCGCTTTGGAAAATGTGGCCAATTCACTGTCTGTTCGGGAAGAGCAAGCACATAACATTTCGGGGCGACGAAAGTACCAAAATATGTGGCTTGTAGACCGTACCGCTGCGCTGTACTTGGAAGAAAAGGTTAAAACCAAAGAAATCAGTGACGTCGACCCAAGTGCACACCATATGTTAGCTACAGCACAGTTATTTAACATATTGAACTGGGTCAACCTCTCAAGAAATGTCTTTATGAATTTCGGAGGTCGTCGTATAGAAGATAACTGGACCAAAATCTGTTTTCACGACGAGACTCCTGCCATTACTTGTGACAGTTTTACGGATTTTTATACGCTCGCAGTTAGCTTGACGCGACGGCTAGTGCAGTCGTCTATATTCTTTGCTCTTTCCAGAATTCGCACAATGGAAGAAAGGGGTTGGAATCGACATAGATTTGTACGAAAGGATGATGTGCAGGCTGCCTTGAAGACTTTGAACGTACAAGCTAATTCCCGTGAGTTCTGGGTTAATGCTGCACGACGATGTTCGCTGGATGTTCGCGAGTATGTGAGCAAGGGAAGCTCTAAGACGATGTTACTTTCTTACGACGAGGTAGAGAGACGGCTATCTTCCTCCCATCTAGAACTACCAGAGCTCCCAGAGGTAGAAGATCATGCAGAGAATCCGATACATGATGCCAATATACCATCTAAACAGAGCCAAGAACGAGACATCTTGGAAGATTCCACCTCTCTCTTCGAGGGATCCGATTCGGACACATCAATGGATGAATCAGCGCCTGTGATATCAGATGACGAGTTCCTATCTGGCGAGGAAGATCGCTATGCTTCGACTCTTGATAAAGAAACCAGTCACGAAGAGGAAAAACGGTTGTGGGAGATATTAAACCAGGCCGCTAAGACTAAATCCGCTCCACCAGCTGTCGATATAAAAATGGAAAGCGATGATGAGGAGAAACTTTCACCTTCCCATAGGAGAGTTAAACCGCCAGCAAAAAGAAAAACGGCCCAAGAACTTCGAGACTGGAGGGACTATTGCCTACCAATGGCCGAATGGGAGTTATTTGGATCTAAAACGGTCCACATTAACGAAGAGATACGTGAGAATCACTGCATCAAGCGACGGAAGATTGGAGACGACGGGTAATTGGAAGGCCCTACATAGGTTTTAGACCTAGCCTTGGGTTTTCTGTTAAAGACCGGTTGCTGTGTATATACCCACGGGGCATAGTGCTTGTGTTGTACCACATCAGGGGTGAACGGAGTTTGTCTAGGGCTTTTTACGAAGCCAGTCATCTGGCAGTGTACTATAAAAATAATGTCTAAAATGCATCTAAGGAGTAAAAAGGAGATAGATAGAGCACGAGGAACTATTATTTTGACTAGCTCGGCACTCCCAATTGGAACTGCTTTACATAGAGTAAGAAAACATGCACCCCGTGAAAGACAGGCTATTAGAAGCGAGAGAAATATAAGGCACAAACAAAGGATAACTCCAAAATCAAACGCCGCCATACTACACTTGTCCCAACGAATATATGAGAAGAAAGAAAGGAATCCTTAAATCTCCCCACCCGATACTCCTCCTGCCATTCGCAGACAGAGGTTTCTAACAGATTAAACTCATACACATGTCAGTCGAAAGCTACAATCTTTTCTAAGTCGATTCCGTAGCCACCTTCTCATATCTCATATGACTTGTATTCCGCGCCACCGCCAGCACTGTACGGGTGGACGGCATTAGCGCTATTGTCTACGCCGGTCTGTTGGAAGGAGTAGCTCTCGCCGAGTCCGATGGTTTGGGCTTGACTAGCCACTGCAGCACCAGCCTCGTTTCCTTCTAAGCTGGCAGCCCTGAAAGCTTCTTCGACCTCTTTGATTCTTCTCTTGAGTCCTAGGCGATCAAGGAACAGTTGTTGTCTGGCTTGTTCTAGGTCTCGTCGTTCTGCTTCAACAATGGCTTCAAGTTCTGAGAATTGGGCGAGTTTCAATTCAAGTTTCTGCAGTGTGATGTTCACAGCAGCACCTACGAGGCGTGTCATTTCTCGTTCCTCGTGTGATGCCAGGGCTCCAGCACGGGCAGCGGATGTTGCGAGGGCGATGGATGCGAGCGAGGGTTGAGTTGTCTTCTCCTGCGATGAAGACGAGACAATAGCCACCTCTTGACCTTCAGTTGCGGTAGTATCAATTTCCATTGAGTCCTCGGCCTTCATAGACTCTGTTGCTTTACCTTTACCGCTGTCTTTCTCTTTCTCTGCTGACCCTTTCTCTTTGGCTGCAGTAGCCGTTCGTTTATCAAGCTGCTTCTGTAATTCGCGACGCATTTCTTCAACTGATCGGCCCGCAGCAGCGGCAGTGACGGTAGGCTCGGCCATTTGTGCCAAATAAGCCACAACTGACAAGACAGGAGTCTCTAGCTGACCGACGGGTTCCCGTCCACCCATAGCACCCAACATAGAAGAGGCACCATCGACAGGGTCTTCTAGATATTTATCTTCGATCTCTAGCTGAAGGAATTTCATAACACATTCTTCTGGCGTTCGCGAACCAACATGTCGCGAAATCTGATGCCAGTTGTCGTCGAAATTCTCAAGGGCCTCGAGGAGAAGGAGAAGTTCCGAGTTTGACCATGGCTTCTCGCGATCCTGTATGGAGGTGTACTGCGTGTCTTCTAGCTTGACGAAATCCGAGGCCTGGTGCGATGATGGCATCCTTCCTTGGAGGTAACAATTCGGGCATAGGTCGTACTTGAGCTCTGATGGATTTGCCGTAGTTGACACAGGCGCTGATTTTGAATAGTGGAATCGAAGTCGCGTACAGTCAATACCACAGGCGTAACAGTTCAAAGCCTTTTTAGTCACTTTTGCGGATGCCTCCATAGCTTTCGTGCTAGACTCAGCGGGGGTGCCATTTGTAACGGCATCTTCACCATTCGTTTCCTTGTCCTTGGCATCAGACGGCGTGATCTCTTTGCCTTTATCATCATAGATATTGCGCCGAATTTCCAGGTTTAGGTCAGATTTCGACAGTGGAGTTGCAGCCGCTGCCCTATCCGTTGATGGGTGAGGCTTGCCTGGGGTGACCATTGTGTTTGGACCCGGCTGGAATGGCTGTAAGCCTCGGGGGGTATCTGCAGTAATTCTAAAATGACCAGTAAATGGTGGACCGATATTAGAGGGACGTGATTGTGGGTCAACCTATAATTTGAAATTGGTATTAGTTTAAATGCTCCTTGCTCCTGGCATCCTCGTGTGCCTACCTGGTAGTTAATCAAACCCCAATGCTCTAAAAAGGCGTGAGTTCGCATAATGGCGCAAACGTCACCTGCCAAATTCCTCCTGCAGGCTGTAACTGTAAGGTATTCGACGGGGTTCACGCGATATGTGTTGATCATGAAGTCACGATAGTCCTTGTAGACTGCTGGAGTCTTACTGCGGTTTCGGCTATTGAAGAACTCCGGGAGAGCCTTTTTCTCAACAGAGTGTATGGTGTTCATGTCGAACCAGCTGGTGTAGCTAGGCAGGATAATTGCATGAGTTTGCGCAATCAGGTTCGAACGAGCTGACGCTTCCGTTGCAATCTTGCTCTGGTCTGAGGTGCCGTCCGCAGTACCGTCGACCTGGTTCTGAATCGTAGAGGTATCTGCATCGCCGTCTACCGCGTCATTTTCGCCCTTGGCATCTTGTGTGCCACCCATCTCCTCATCCTCCGGCTCCTCATTTTGCGCTTTTGGTGAAGGCGGGGCATCCAGTAGGTTGTCTGATGGAGTCGGGTTAGAAGTAGCCTTTTCAGGTGAGCCAGCACCAGATTGAGAGCCTACACAAAAGATATCGCACGGTTAGTATCAAATCCCGGCGAAGGACGTCGCCTCACCCGGCCGCGTCGCATATCGAGCAGACTGGAGGCGGAGATAACATACCGGTAGGGCGACTAGGAGAGGCCATCGTCTCGTCAGCTCCGGACTGCGCGTCTAAACTAGTAGCAGTGGGTTTGTTCTCGTTTCCTAAATCTTCTGTCCAATCTTCCATCGCATATGGGGGTGACCCAAGCTAGGAGGCGCTGTTATTCCGGTGGCACTTCGAGGCAGGCGACGACCAGCGCGAGGAGAGGGATGTCCTATATGGCAAACGAGGCAGGCTGGAATGCTACCTGTTCGCTAAGAAGAATTGGTGTTTGATGCGATATCGAGCCGACGGTGCACCTCAGGATGCGTGGTGAAGAGTAAAGAATCGCGATAAAGCAAAAGAAAGAAGGCTTGGGACTCAAAAGCTTGACCCTGCTAGCCGCTTCGGGACGGCCATGTCGCTGCTTTTAGAGTGTATTATGTAAGCTACATGAACGCGTTCGAGACGCGATTAAACACGACCATTTTATATTACTTCTGAACACTTCGAAGAAACAAGTCCCTGATCAGGTCTCTGTGCTAAGATGGCATTGTCATGTTCCCCCCGGCCACTATTCCAGGAGCTGCCGACGATGTCTCCTACCGACCACGCAAAGAGGAAGTTCGACGGAGGCCCTGCGACTGAGATACCGAAGCGCGTTAAGACCGGCCCTTTCGTTATGGACGACGACGACGATGAGGATGGGGAAGACAATGGCGTATTCCAGAGTGATTCTAAACCTGACCTTCTCTTCCAGGGCCTGAACGATGAAGCTCAGCCGCAATCTCGACTCGAAACGTTCAATAACATTTGGAAGAGTAACGCAGGGCTTCCCAACGACACTTCTACGAATTTACCAAAGGTTACCGAGCAGTATACATCTGTTCCGATCAAGACCTGCTCTGGGAAAATTAAATATGTACGACGAAGAACGAGACAAGAAAATATCTCCTACGAGAGATTGATCGCCGAAAGATCCGCCACAGCCCCAGGCAAAGCAACTAGAAGTTATTACGGAATTGACATCCACAAACTTATCGACGAGGCGAAGGTACTAGCACCATCAGCACCAACTGTCGTACCGTCAATCGAAACTCCAGTTCTTGCTCCAGGAGCTACAAGGGCCGCCCATCGACTGTGGACAGAGAAATACCGAGCCAGGAGTTTTAAAGATCTTATTGGAGATGACCGAACACACCGCACTGTGCTCCGTTGGCTAAAGGCCTGGGACCCCATCGTCTTTCCGGGGTTGACAAAGCCAAAGGCCAAAAAGGGGTCTCTCGCAAACGAGCCGGAAGAACGAACACATCGCAAAATTCTTCTACTCACGGGCCCTCCGGGACTAGGAAAGACGACATTAGCCCACGTGTGTGCAAAGCAAGTGGGATATGAAGTTCTCGAGATAAATGCTAGTGATGAAAGAAGCCGAACTGTGGTGACAGGGAGAATTAAAGATGCCGTCGGTACTGAGAACGTTAAAGGCGTTACCGTTATTGAAGACGGCAGGGTTGTCAGAAAACCAGGCAAACCCGTCTGCGTTATCATTGACGAGGTTGATGGCGTTGTCAGTGGCTCCGGTGGAGGAGGCGAGGGAGGCTTCATGAAAGCTCTCATTGATTTAGTCCAACTAGATCAAAAAAATTCGGCAAAATCAAACGCAGATGGGCATGTGGCAGCGAAAAAGAACAAAAAGAAAGGAGACAAATTCCGTCTGCTACGTCCTCTCATTCTAATATGCAATGACGTTTACCACCCCAGTCTTCGACCTCTGCGCCAGGCTTCAATTGCAGAAATTATCCATGTTCGTCGTGTGCCATTCGACCAAGTTGTACAGCGCACGAAAAACATATTTGAAAAGGAGGGCATTCAATGTGACGGAGACGGCGTCAGAAAACTATGCGAGGTCACCTGGGGGGTGAGCGGTGCCAGAAACCAGGCCCTTAGCCGGGGCACGGGTGAGGGTGATATCAGAGGTATTCTGGTTGAAGCCGAGTGGGTAGCACACAAGCTCCGATACGATGGCTTTACCTCTTCTACAAGATTAACTAAACTATGGCTGGAACGACACATCCTGAGCGAACATTCAGGGAACGGATTATCCCGTGGTCTTGGCCGCGGTGGAGCGAAGGAAATCGTCAGCAGGGTCTTTCTTGATGGAGCTGGTTTCCCGCATGATCGACAGGATAACCAGGGGTTTCAAGACCCGTCCTCGAAAGAGAAGAGCAAGGCGCCTGTGGGGGTAGCAGAGCTCCGTAAGCGCGCAGCGATCAACCGACTGAGGGAAATGATCGATGCTTCAGGCGAATATGATCGCTGTGCTACGGAGTGTTTTCTTACATACCCTAACCAAACCTTCCAGGATGATACCCTTCTCTCCAAACCGAATGCCGCATATGACTGGCTCTGCTTCCATGACCTGATATCCTCCAAGGTCTTCTCGAACCAAGACTGGGAACTAAATCCCTACCTGAGCCAAGCCACAATTGCTTTCCACCACCTCTTCGCTTCGTCACACAAGTCTGGAGATGGGTCAAAGATGGACATCGATAATGACGGGGAAGACGAACATCCATTTGCCGGCCCGCGAGCAGATTTCGCTGCGTTTGAGGCCGAGAAACAGAACCGCGCCATCCTCGTAGAATTTCAATCATCCTTATCTGCTCCCCTGAACCGGACGTTCCACTCTGCCGAAACTGTCGTTACGGAGCTAGTTCCGAGTTTAACACGCATGTTGGCACCGGACATCAAACCCACTCTCGTTGGAAACTCTGGCGGGCAAGGTGCTGTTGCCAGCGTGCGCAAAGACAGTGAACGGACCTTGCTTAAGGCAGCTGTTGGCATAATGCATGCTCTAGGCGTGACGTTCGAGAAAACGAAGCTTGAGACGGAAGCTGGTGGGCATGGTGGTTTTATCTATAGGATGGAACCGTACGTCTTTCTTTCTGCCTACTATTCATCGTGCATAGCACTAACAAAACTACAACAGGTCACTCGATTCTCTCAATAGCTATTCAAAGGTAAAGGGCACCGCCTTCGCATCGGGCAGCACGTCAGCCCCTGTTCGATATGCAGTCCGCCAAGCACTTGACCAAGAATACCGCAAGAGCCTGATCAGAAAGCAATCAGAAGCTCAGCATTCTCGCGTCGGTGGGCCACCACGCTCGGCGAGAAGTAGTAACGACATGGATGGTGCAAAGGACAGTAAAGACATGCAAGCCAAAGCCGGCCGATCTACAGGACCAAAGCGTGATTTCTTCGGAAGAGTAATCCCTGAGAGACCAGCAGGGCGGCCCTCGGATACAGGGAAAGCAGGTCAAGGGACAGGCAGAAATGCAAACTCTGGTGATGCGGGTAAGAAGTCGAAGACGGCCTGGATCAGTTACCATGAAGGCTTTTCGAACGCGGTCAGGAAGAAGATCACGATGGCTGAACTGTTATCTGGGCTGTAACGGCGTATACTTATGACTTTCTAAGTGCAGGCGTTTAATGAGCGGGTTGTCTATTTAGCGTGTACCTGGGTATATCATAGGGCATTTATGGTTTTTGTTTCCTATTTCCTTCCGTTGCACGATGTCTAGAAATAAATACTCGGGGTAGGAGGCCAGGCCCTGAAATCCACCCCCAGCAAACACCATATATAATATCACGATCGTCACTATCCAACCAGACTTCTCCGCGTATCATTAGCAGTCATCAGTGAGGTATGGGGCATACGCGTACCTCATTCTCGCAAATCAGCGCTATCCATGCTATATACAGATGCCTACACATGACCTTTCTCTGGTGCTCGGTGTGGAGTACAGACAAGGATGTATGGCCAAGTATCGGAGTCTCCATCTCTCAGGGTCGGAGAGCCCTTGGAGGAAAAGGCTCCAGTATTAATGCTAGACCATGCGCCTGCCGATATCCGTGAAGTTTAAGGCTGTAACTGCTATTCTCTAATAAACGGCGGCTGGGGACCCTGGGAAGAGTTTGTCGGGATAAGTGCTCCAAGGCAATCGCATTACGTGTGCTTCGTGATGTAGCGCAGCCATTGTCGATTTGGTTACATTACATTGGCATGGAAAGCTAGTAAATTGGACCGTATATCAAGTTTCAAATAAGTCGGCTTTTATATCGTTGGAGCTATGAAGATAGTATATATAAGCATGTGAATTCAAACAGGCATTATCAAATTATTAATATCAGTGAACTTTGTAATCAAGTAAAGAAAACATATCAACAGAAAATCGACAAACAAAGGAGAAACAAATGAAATGTCAAATTGTATCAGCCCCCCATAAACGCCATTCCAGCTCTTTTTTCAGCCTTATAGTCCTGTCAATCGGTCAAGCCGATCTACGCCCGATGCGCAAAGTAACTAGCTCTGGCTGATTGAGCTGTGGTGGGCGATACACACATCGTTTCCCTCGTTGATGGACTGCAAGAGTTCAGCTTCGATGGCTTGGCTGTCTTCGAGCGACGGAAGGCATCCTTGATTGCTGTTATGCTGGAGACGGAGGAAGAGCTCATGATCGAGCTAGCGGAGGAAGTGACCTTTGTATCGTCGGCCTTGAACAGGCTGCTGTTTCGCTTGGAGAAGATGGTCATTCTGGGAGTGGTGGCAGAGGCGCTCGACATGGTTGTAGATGTTGTTGTTATGGTGTTTGATTGCTTTGTGGAAGGGATTTTAGTTATCTGAGCTGGTATCTTTGGTAGAGGCCGGTCGTTCAGAATCGAGGTTGGTTCGAGGGTATATCCGTTACATATATGGCAATGGGTTATAACTGGAGTGTGAGAGAGTTGCCAGTTGTCAGTCAAGTGATGAAGACCCGAGTTATGATATATTCAAGAAGATATTGATATTGAGAAGATATCGATATTGAAGTAGAACCTGATGTAGAACTGTGATGAAGAAAAGGGGAAGAAGGAGAGGACACCAGCTCCTTCTTATAGATAGATGACCGGATCAGCATCTCTCGGTATACGAAAAAAGCACCCCCATTCTCGGAATACCAGGACTGCAAGACATCGTCATACGCCAATCTGCGTTACAGATCCAGGCCAGAACTGCGAACCAAAACTTTGATAGACACTCCGGTGAGCATGACGCTGACCTATCCCGGATTCTCGCCATGTAAGCCTCATAGGCGCGGTGGAGCTGTGTCTTATTCCGATGCATACGCCCTCTTAGCTCTCAGCTTTGAGGCTGCGCTAGCAGTTGGTTGGAACCGTGGTGGTTGGTAAGAACGAGGCCATACGCCCTTGATCACTCAGGCCGTCTCTATTGAATGCTTTGATTGCAATGGCAAACTAGACATCATAGTCATCGTCATCGACATTAACGTGGACTGTTTGATTGACCTCTGTTTGTATCGAGTCTCCATCCTATACTCCATCATTCTTACTATCCATGTTCTCCGTGTTCTCCATGATGTTCTAAGGAGGTCGGAGTAGATCTCGGAATGGATGACACATCACTCGGAATAGAACCCTTACTAAGCATCCCGAACCTCGATATAAAATCTTACTGGCTCTATGACGCTCTATGACATCCCCGTTGATATCGTGTTAGGCCTGAATATACGAGCCTTAACTCAATTGAAGAGTCATCATCGACCATTTTCCGTTCTGGACCACGCGTTAAACGACGGAATCGGACTCCGCGACAGTGCAAACACGGAACTGCTTCCCTCGCGCAAGTCTGAGCCATCCAGAGTGGTCGATCGCTGCATGAGACACCCGATATACTTTGCATATTGACTAATTATGTGTCTAGATTTTGGCTACAGGGTGGTTGTCACTTATACTGCTGCCTCCAGCTTCAGCCTCGGAGCCTTGCATACTGTGCTGATGTTTAGGCAGCAACACGGGGTGAAATTAGTCATATGCAGATATATACTTAAAGAGGCTGGCATCATCAGACATTCCTACGCTCGGGGAAGAAGTTCCGGCGTTGGATGAGGCTGCCTATGTACGGAGTATGGGTTCACATGCCTACACCTCATATTAATGGATAGAGACGTCAAGGAAGCCGGTTGGACAGGGTATCTTGCATAAAGATGAATATGGACTGTCAAAGTCTCTACTAAGCCCGACTCCACCTATATCAACAATGCCCTAAGTACACTGACAGCGAGAAGGCTGATACATATAGCACTTGGGCCTGCTCTCAGGGCACCATTTGGAGCATCGCCGGAACCCGACCCTGAACCCGAACCACCGCTGCCTGAAGTTGGAGCAGTACCAGTTGTGGTGACTGTCGCAGTAGTCGTAGGTAAAGCAGTACAATATCCATTTGAACCACATCTCTCATCCGCATCGCAACATTCCTTCTCACAGCAGCTACCGGAGCCAGGACACGCGCCGCTCTCGCAACACTTCTCGCTCTCGGGACGATAGCAGCTCTTTGAAGCAGCACAGCAGGACTCCCCTTTGCTACACGACCATGCATCGTCACCGTTTGTGCAGCAGATGGAGAAGATCGGATCGTAGCATTTGCCTTGGCCACACGAGCGTTTATAGTCGGGACAGCATCCTCCGTCTTTATGGCAGGTGCTGGATTTAGGACAGTGTCCGCCATCGGGGCAACATACGTCTTTCTTGGGGTCGTAGCAATGGTCGTCACCGCAGGATTTCTTGCCCGTCGGACAACAGCCCGATGGTTCGACGCAGTCGTAACCTTTATCGCAGCTCGTTCCGCGAGATTCACAGCACGTCTCCGTAGAGGGATCGTAGCATCCGTCTGCTCCACAGCCTATATCGGGCTTCTTGCAGCAGCCATTCTGGGTACAGTTCTGGGTCGTCTTGCAGCAGCCAGTGCCGATTGTGCACTCATCTATAAAATCGTGTCAGCTACCCTTAACATAATCTATCACTCGGTGGCTTCTCATACAGTATCCCGCGGAACATGACCGCGCGAATAGCTTAGCACCAGAAAACCCTTCGAAGCCAGTCAGAGTACTGTTCACAGAGCGTTGAGGTCGGAAATCTCCTGCCAGCCGAGACGCAGGTTTCGCATCCACCAACGATTGGCCTGCAAGCCTCGGAGTGCTGGCAAACACAGAGCTTGAAGCCGCCAGTAGGCCGAAAACCAGATATCTCATGATTATTGGTATATCTCGCTAATTTTTGGTTAGAATCCGGTTTCTTTTTTAGAGAGAAAGTTGTGCGATGGCGCAAGCAGTCTCTTAAGACTTGTTGATGGGCCCATCTCCAAGAAGATCGGCTCACAGACGGCTTGTCAAGCAACGGTTTGCCCGCAGTTTGACATGGTGACTTCACATAGTACCTCTTGGTAGCGGCCTATGTTGGTAAAAATCTCTTGGTATCATAAAGAAGAGGAGGTCCTTGCCCCATCACGCTCGCTAGGAAATACGAGAATTCCGTATCTAGCGGCGACAAGAGAGCAAAAAAGCGGTTTAATACCTCGGCCATCTTCTATATTTAGGAGATACACCGCGGAGGCTTGGTATGAAGGTGCCGCCGGTTGGTCTGATATTTTCCGGCCAAGAGTCGCGAGTCATGGGAAGGTCGACATAAATGATCGAGTGGCTCAAACACAGCACATGCAGTCTATAAAAAGCCAGTTATTATAGCACAAACTAACATTAGTTTGTATACGCACGGCTTGTGAAAAGTCAACTTGAACCTCCGATTGACAAACATCACGTCGCCCATTCTTATCCATGGCGATTAATAATGGACGCGATTAATAATTCCAGCCTCTAGCCGACGTATGACGACACAGGATGATATTTCGCTTGGATATCGGAAAGACATAGGGTTAGTAAGGGGAGACGGATGAAGTTGGTGCTTTCTTTCTTCCCCGCTCGGCATATTTCCGAGGCGGGTTGGATACTTATGGAAACAGAGCATGTTTATAAATCTGTGAAAGGAGGAATATCTAGAGATGTCGAGGGATTCAGGCAAGCATTACTTTAATATTATCTTATCTGATGTTGAGTATCCATGGTATCACCCCAGACCAGGGTTATGTTAATTTCTATCCCTGCAAGTATGGGTACGGTATACGTATGCAATGGCTTAACCCCAAGCTCTCAGGTATACTAGAGTATGAACAGAAATGAAAGTCAGATGGCTGAGTACATCTATATATAAAAGCCAACAACGTAAAAAGACAAATATACATATATACAAAGAGAGCCAAAAGGGAAAAAGGCCAGCGCATGGTATAACTCAACACCATCCATTTATGCATATGGGCATCGCCATCCCCCTGATTTTTCATACATCAACACTCCTATTGTCTATTTCTTCAGCTTCTCCGTCAACTCAGGCACCTTCTCAAACAAGTCTCCTACAAGTCCGACATCCGCAACCTGGAAGATAGGCGCATCAGGATCCTTGTTAATCGCCGCAATCACTTTGCTATCTTTCATACCAGCCAAATGCTGGATCGCTCCCGAGATACCAGCACATAGGTAAAGTTGAGGTGCAACATTTTTACCCGTCTGGCCGACCTGTAGCGAGTTATCGGCCATCTTTTCATCGACGGCAGCGCGGGAGGCGCCGATAGCAGCTCCGAGTGCGTCGGCTAGGGGTGTCATGATGCGGTCGAATTCTTCTTTTGACTTTAGGCCTCGTCCACCGGAGACGACACGCTCGGCAGTGGAAAGGTCAGGGCGCTCGGAGGTGGTTAGGTCTTCTGATAGCCAGGATGTGGCGGAGGGGGCGGATGGGTCGACACCGTCGGTTATCTGGGCGGTACCGCCTGTTGATGGGCCGGGCTGGAAAGCTGTGCCGCGTACTGTGAAGAATTTGATGGGGTCCGTGGATTGGACGGTTAGGATGGCGTTGCCGGCGAAGATGAGACGGATGAATGCTGAGAAGATGTTAGTATAACTTGGTACATGTAGATGGGTAGGGATGGAAGTAAGACTTACTGTCCTCGCCCTCGATGCCAGTAACGTCCGAAACGGGTTGAGCATCCATCATAGCCGCAACGCGAGGCAAGACGTTCTTTCCAAATGCCGAGTGGCTTGCAACAACATGGGTGAAGCCTCCCTTCTTGATATTCTCAACTAATAGCGGTCCGTAGTTTTCTGGCAGACCCTACACCGTAGTCAGTCATACATGTACATCCAGGATATACAGTCTCACACCCAGCAGTATGCACGCACCTTATCATATGCCTCATTCTCAACGGCCAACACACTCTCTACACCCTGTACTTTCGCAACCTCGGCCGCAACACCGCCCTTGACACCCTTGCCGGCAACAAACCCGGTCACGGATCCACCAAGCTTTATCGCAGCGGCAAGAGCAGACAGCGAAGAGCCTGCAATCTGACCGTCTCTGTGTTCCAGGATAGCCAGGGTGGAAAGTAGGCGGGACAGAGACGACCGCGAGAACGGGCTGGTTGTGGAGGGGTATAGGTGTCTGGTGGCCCGGAGGATGGACGGGCGGGCGAGAGAGTTCATCGTGGCGGTAGCTGCTCCTTTGCCGACGGTGCTGGACTATGGTTTTGCGTGGTAATGGGTGTATATCCGCCTCAATTGAGTGAGTGAGATGGGAGTTCGCGGTGGTGGAAGCGAAGTTGGAGAAAGTTGAAGCTTTGAGGAAGCGTCGGTCGTTCCTCGGCGCCGATAGCCGGAGATGACTAAGCGATCGGAAATTTTACCACGTCTAGTAGATATAAGAAGTAGAATAGTAAATGAAGAAATGTAGATGAAGTAGATGAAGTAGAAGAGCTAGATGATTGATTAAGCAAGTAGATAAAGGAGCGCTTTTATTGCACCAACAAGTCCCAGAATCTAGGGGTAACGTAACATCGCATGCGCCGTACACCAACATATGAATAACCCTTTTAAACAAGACATCATCACGCTTTAGATTTCTTCGCCAGCTTCGTTCTCGGTTTCTTGATATCCGCCTTAGTCTTCGCGGCAGGCAGAGCAGGTACATCCCCGCCATCAACCTGAGCAACGGCCTTGGCCTTCTGGGCCTGCAACTTCGCCTTCCTTGCGGCTTTCAGCTCATCTTCCTCTGCCCGTTCGCCTTCCTTCTTCCCATCGGTGACGAGCTTCGACCGCTTGGCTGTCTTCTTGGGCTTGTCTCCCTCCGTCTCTCCCTCTCCCTCGGCAATGCTCTTCCGCTTCTTGCCCTTGACGGCTTTCTCTTCCCCTTCCTTGTTTTCCTTCACATCCCCATCTTCCACCCACAGCTCGTTGGCCAGCCATACGGGCATGGCAGCCGTATTTGCGCCCTTGACATGCACGGCCTTGAGGTTACGCCATCCTCTCGACACGTATTTGTCAAGCATACCATCCACCACCGCGGCGATGTTATCTGCAACCTTCTCGGCCGGCCAGTTCGACCACCCCACCCTCAGAGCGGCCGTGGCAGCCGGCGCCAAGTTGACAGGAACACACGATATGGCCTTCTCGATCTCCTTAGCGACTATGGCCGGCGAAGCAACAGATGCGGCCTTTTCGTCTGTCGGCGGTCTCTTCTTGTCGGCGGCCTTGACTCGCTTGCCGTCAACCTTTTGAATCTCGTCAATCCGTATGGGGATAGGCCGTTTGGTAGATTTAAAGAATATCTTCCCCAGCGTGTTTACAAGGCGCAGTATGATGCGGTCGTCGGCCAGGAATATGTCGTGTTCAGACAACAGCTGTCTCCTGCTCTCAAACGACTTGTATCTGTCCTTGAGCTTCGAGAAACCGATGATCTTTGTGACCTTGCCGGCTAGCTCCTGTGGGAAGTGGGGGTCTGCAATGGTATCTTTGACTGCTCGTTGAGGGTCGGCCGTTATCAGGCAGATGCTGAGATTTGACGAGGGGTTGAGGGAGTGAGGGACGGCGATTTTGCCTGGCTTGAGCCTGTTCTTGTCCACGAGATGCTTCTTGGTGGTCAGGATGAGCCAGATGGGGGATTTGTCTGTGAACTCATCCTCTCCTTCTTCGTCCTCGTCGTCGTCGCCCAGCGGCAGTTTCTTGACCGTCGAGTCCGCCGCCTTGCGCTGGTCTTCGGCCTTTATGTGCGAGAGGAGGGCAGTAGATGCGCGGAGGACCTATACACACCATGTCAGATCGAGAGTGTATATAACTGTAAAAGCGCACGACTTACCTGGCTAGTATCTAATTGATGGTGCGACCCCGCGGCGGGCGCCTTGACGAGGGCATCTGGAGACACGGCCATCTTGTCGCTCTGTAAAAGAAAAGTACCTACAACCGCTCTTCTCGTCGAGCTTTTTCCTTCACACCGAGAGGGAAAAAAAGATAAAAATCGATTGGCCGGCGAGTGGGACCGGAGTATCTTTATCCCGTGATGACTACGTTCTTACTAATGGCTTATATAAGTATCTACGTAAGCATTCTCCACGTGCTCTCACGTGCCTGTACCTGCAGCCAAGTTTCGAACCTTACTAAGCCACATAAAAGTCAGGAAAATAAGGTGAAGCAAGGAAAAAGAAAGCAAGGAAGAGGAAGAAGAAAAGAAAACGAGGATGGAAGAAAAGCCAGCGAGGGGGCGCCTTGACGTGGTGCACCCTGTTAGGCACCACGTTAGCCGTTACCACCAGCACCACCAGCGTACCGAACACCCGAGCACAGCGACGGCCAGCGGTCGAAGCCACACGAGATGGGGAGATGAGATGAGGAGATGAGATGGGGACGAAGCCACTGGAGGCCAGCCAACAGGCCAACGTAGGCCAACGGAGAAGCGAAGGACAGGGAGGAACGGAAGGACGATCTAGCCCTTGCGGTTGGCGTGCCCCTGAAGGCTGAACCTGCCCCTGCCTCGTCCGCCACTGACATCGACATCTCTCTCTATCTGTCTCTGTCCCTCTCTGTATATATCTATCTCTCTATATCTACGGAGTATATATCTTCTATATCGCTATATATATCTTCATCTATATTTACTCTGTATCTTCATCTACATCGCTATATCATCTACATCATCTATGTTGTATCGTCGTAACGGTGGGCCTGCGTGTCCCCTTTTGGCTCCTCTTCTAGCGCCACGCCCTGTATCCTCTGGCCACGCACGTCCCTTGCTGTTTCTGCAGTCTGGTTGGCGGTGTGCCTGACCTCCCGCCCAACCGCCCTACGCCCACGTTATTGGCGTCCTTAACCCCACGCTCTACCTGTTTTTTTCCTTTTTCTGCCATCCTTTTCTCCCGCTTTCGTCTTCCCCTTGTTATTTATCATCTTCCTCCCATCTCCATCTCTTCATCTTCATCTCTCTCTCTCTTCCATCACTCTTTTCATCTCTTCACCCTTTGTCACTCCTTCAGTCGTCTCACGCGCTCTCTCTGCGTGCCGATCTCTGCCCGGAAGTCACTCTCTTCCTCACGCTCTTTACAGAAATAACATTGCGTCGCCAGTCGCTGTCCATAGCCTGGTATGTCATCACACAATAACCATGGTTCATCAGATATAGCATCAGATATATTATCAGATATATCGTCATGGACTCATCAAGAGAGCCATGGTTGACTGTTTCCCTTTTTATGGTTATTTGGTCATGAATATGTCATGGACTCGCGCTGATATGAAAGCTCTAGACCATATAACTCGCCTGCCCTGCCACTTGACGTCGGCATCGCATTCACGTACATACCATCAAGATGAAGTTCACTTCTACCACCGTCCTGACGCTGGCCGTTGCCGGCTCCGTCTCTGCTTCCAGACACGCTCACGGCCATCACCACGCCCACCTCGACAAGCGCGTTGTCACCCAGGTCGTGCCTGTCCCCGGCCCTACCGTCATCGCCTATGTGCTCGACGGAAAGCCTATCCCCAAGGAGGAGGCCTGCTCTGGTGTCAAGAGCGGCAAGTACTCTTGGGGTGATGGCAGCAGCCACGACGATGTCTGCGGTGCTCCAGCTGGCCCTGTCCCAGCTCCTCCAGCTGGCAACCAGTTCTACGAGGCACCATCCAGCTCTGTTGCTCCTCCACCAAAGCCAACCCCTCAGCCAAAGTCCTACGGCGAGTCCGTGCCAAAGCCAGAGAAGCCAGAAAAGCCTGAGCACCCAGAAAAGCCAGAGGAGCCAGAGTCTCCATCCGGCGGTGAGGGTGTCGACCTGGAGTTCCCAGACGGCAAGGTCGACTGTAGTGACTTCCCATCCAAGTACGGTGCCCTCTCTCTCGACTACCTAGGCCTCGGCGGTTACTCTGGCATCCAGCACGTCACTCCCCTCGGAAACGCATTCGGCACCATCCGTACCGCCATCTCTGGTGAGTCTTGCGTTGACGGAGCCATGTGCTCCTACGCCTGTCCCCCTGGCTACCAGAAGTCCCAGTGGCCAACCCGCCAGGGTTCCACCGGTGAATCCGTCGGTGGTCTCGAGTGCTCCAACGGTAAACTCCACCTCACCAACCCTGGCTTGTCCAAGAAGCTCTGTATCCCTGGTGTTGGAGGTGTCAAGGTCAAGAACACCCTTGGCCAGAACGTCGCCGTCTGCCGAACTGACTACCCCGGAACCGAGTCTGAAGTCGTCCCTCTCAACGCCATGCCTGGATCCACCACTCCTCTTACCTGCCCCAAGGCCGAGTCCTACTATGCCTGGAAGGGTATGCCCACCTCCGCTCAGTACTACGTTAACCCAGCTGGTGTTCCCCCATCCAAGGCTTGCCAGTGGGGTGAGGCCGGCGGTAACATCGGTAACTGGGCTCCTATCAACTTGGGTGTTGGCGAGAAGGCCGGTGCCAAGTGGCTGTCCATCATTCCTAACCGCCCAACCACCAACGCCATCTTGGACTACACCGTTGAGATCGTTGGCGACAACCTCGGTGGTACCTGCAAGTACCAGGGAGGAAAGTTCCACTCCCTCACCGGTGTCAACGAAGATGGATGCACGGTATGTACCTTAATCTTAACCTTATTCTCACACCTTATTCCTTTGCGTCACCAGCAGCAGAACAAGAAGAAATGCTAATGCTTCACTCAATAGGTCCAAGTCATGTCTGGTGACGCCACCTTCGTCTTCTCTGAATAGATTTCTCACGATCACATGTCACTTCCTCAGTCTAGTTCTTAGTTGATGAAAGCCACATTACATTAACCTGACCTCTTCCTCATACCTGACTCTGCTTTCCTGCTAGTACTTTATCTGCGTATCCCCCCACCCCCTGCCCTGCTCTGATTCCCTTTCTTCCCTTCTTACACTGTCCATTTTAGTCACCTTGTAGTTACAACGTTTTACTCTTCTTCTCTTCCAACCTCTTTTCTCTTTTGTCTTTATCTTGTCGTTAAAATGTCCTGCTTGTTAAGTATTGTTTATTAGATGAATTATATTCTTTACCTACTTTCCTGTGTCCTGATTTCCAACAAAAGATAATGTCTGATGATAGTAGGTAGGTGGTTCTGCTGAGTGGTGAAGGTTACATTGACAGGGGGATGGACAGCTATATATCTCCCACTCGCTTGCGCTTCTCTCGCTTCAAAGATCAAAGCCCATCTCAGCCAGCCACGGTTACACTGCTCATTTCTCCGATTCCCCTAGTTGGCCAACCTAAGCAGGGAACCAAGCTTCCCAGTCAGCCACACGCTTTCAGAATCTCAACTTTCCCGCCGCCATCTATATACGTGGACCAGCTGGCTTTTAAAAAGCGGTATGGTTAATGTAAAGGGATGAGCTCCCTCTATCCCACCGAGCTTGCAGATCTGGTTATCGAGGGAAAGAGATTGGCGGGTTATGATACTTTCTTTTTCCACCCGTCAGCGCCTGATCCCAACAAAGAGACGCCTCAATTTTGAGTATCAATGCAAGTAGTCATGACGTGGACTACAGCATCATTCAAGGAGGCAGGTTATATACTTGCCGGAAGCCTCTAGTCCCGCGAGCGTAGATAGCAACTTCAACCTTCAGAAATACCCTTAACATACGCCTTTATTGCTGAAACGTATACCTCTTTATATCCATCTCGTCAACATGCGTTTCTTCAAGACAGTTCTTATCCTTGCTGCCGCTGCAGCCCGTGTGTTGGCTGCGCCCGATGACCCCATTGTAAGTTTTCCAATATCCGTCTCAATACCCAATATACAGAGTCCATCTAACTCGAAAGAAATAGGGCGAGATTTTCGATAGCAACACCTGCGAAGGCGAGATTGTTACGCAGTTTTTCAGCCAGGATTGCAACTCCTTGAACATTAGCCAGTATGTTAACTCGTCAATGTTTTATTCAGTTCCAGTTAATTTGCTTAATGGGAACCTGCTAATACCACGATAGGTCTATTATTACTACCATAGATGTCACCTGCAAAATACATAAGTACGTCTTCTTTCTCTATCCGAGACCCCTAGATACTAACGGCGTGCAGGGACCGTCGTTGTGACGATGAGGAGTCATCTACTCAGAAGGCCAATGCGCAAGCCTGTGCGGACCTAGGACTCTGGAATAACCAAGATGACGGGGAAGCGTATTTCCAGTGTAGCTCGAGCAGTTAGGGTGGCTATTTTGGTGGCTTATTGCTAGTTCTATTTTTCATACCCTTTCTTGCCATCCTATCAAACAATATACAAAGTCTAGCAATTGATATAAATGTTTCCAGCTGTCTCTGATAGAGAAATACTGTCAATGGCTCTCCTGATAACTTCGGGTTGGTTTGATAGGGTTCTCGCCCTGAATACCACTGTAGAAGCCATGTTGGAAGAAGGGACCAAGCAACACATATGAAGGATACCTTCCATATAGAGCTTAACTGACAACCTCATAAAGGTACTTTGTATGGGATCATGGATTCCCTGTTAAACCGTGTCTATAACTGCTGGGTAGCTATCCTTTTGACACGTCTAGCGGGAAAAAGAAACAACAAAGTGGCTTGCGTTATTCCGTAGTAAAAGCTCTTAGATCACCCACGGTTCCTTTTAGCTATTTACGAGTGCCCAATCAAGCAGAGACTTGATTTTGGATACTTTGGTGACACTGCATGACTTAAATTTGGGCCGCCTCGGGAGTGTCATCCAGGTGTCTATATGAAGGTCCTACGACGCACCGTACAACTTCTTCAACCAAGTTAACAATCTAACCAGTATTCTCTTACTTTATCATACAAACGTCCTCCAAATACTCCACACAAGATGCGTTTCTTCATCACTGCCTTGGTCCTGGCTGCATCCTGCGCCTTTGCTGACCCAGGTGCTACAATTGTAAGTTCCACTGTCCCCAAGGTATCCTGTAATGCCATCTCTCTAATACAATCATAGGGTGACCTCTACGATAATGAGGGATGTCAAAACGAAGCCCTTGGCCCTCTCATTGATAACCAGTGCACCAATATCACCGATGTCACGTATGTGTTACACCCTACAGGATACAGCTTGATTCAACCCCCTTATATGTCAAGAAAACCAGCTAATACAGTTAAAAGAGCTATCAATTTTTCTGCGGCTAATGCCGTCTGTTATCTGTTCAAGTATGTCAGCCCTTTTTTCATTAAACACCTAGTGGATTTTAAGGTATAAAATGAAAACGAAGCTGATAATATGCAGTTCCGACGATTGTTCAGGAGAGCCTATATTTAACGATACGTTGACAGATGGTTGCCAGCCGGTGAAAGATTGGGCGGATGGCAAGAGCTTCATCAGTTGCTTTGGCCAAACGAGTGCTTAAGGTCTACGAAATAATGGCAATTCTTTTAGTGGATGGACTGGGGTTGATTGCTTTGAGGCTCCGTCTCCTCCAGATATGATGTTTTAAGGGGGCTGTGTAGTGCATATGTACTCTTAACCACCTATCGCTTTTATCTGTCCCTAGTCGAGGTTGTATAGACCAATGCAGTCTTAAATAGAGAACATTGTCTATACAAAGTATCATTCAAGCATCAATATCCATACATTAACCGTCCTGGAATCTAAACAGTAACCCAAATGGATAATTCACCGATAGCAGAATAATTATTGAAAGGCTTTTGGTATAATGCAAGAATATCGACACCAATAAGTTCGCACGCTTTGGATAGCTATAGGACATGTAAATATAACGCATGGGTGAGACTGCTTTGCCTGGGGAATCATGGGTTTAATCATCGAATGGCCAGAGCAGCTCGAAGACCGCCGTATCCCATCCAGGATGGGCCTTGTACTCGTCAATGAGTTCTCCCTTCACACGCCGAAGCGCTAATTTCGCTTCATCATAGTTCTCATGCTCCACAATTCCTTTCTCGGGCCAGAGATCCCCAAGCCGCTGCTCAATCGACTTCATAATTCTGACACCTAACTCAGCTCGCTCCACATCTGCTTCCATTACGGCAACCTGTGCATCAGAGAACTCGAACGGGAACCCTGGAATGCCGGTATTTGCCCACTCATCTCGTAGATCCAGCAGAAGTGCACAGAAATGGGGTTCGCCCATCTCAAATATCCGACGGGAGAAATGAAGTAGATTGCCGCTTGTTGACTGCTGAAACTTGATAGCACGATATTGAGCTGGGATTTTATCGCGAACAAGGCTGCGCCAGGCAATCATGACCATTTTGTTGATATACTGCTTTATGGCCGCAGATTTTTCTTCACCCTGGAGAGACTTAATCTCACTTGGTATCTCGAGTTTTTCAAGGTTATCACCTACGTCGGGGCCCTCGTAGTCTAGGAAAGAAGGGTCCAAACAATGGTCAGTTAGAGGGGTAATTTGCAGGGATTGCCAGTCAATTATTCCTTGGATTTCGAGATTGTCTGGATTGACGAATATATTTTCGTGATGCAAATCATTATGCCAAAGATGGCCGGTTGTAAGGGACGGATCTTCTGGCAACAATATTTGCTGAATTTGAGAGTAATACCGCAACGCCTCTAGCTTTTTATCCGATGTAGGCTGATATAATGGTTCTGGGCCGTAAAGCATTGCCAGGTGCTTCGGTATATGTTTGAGCGTCTTGACAGCCATTACCTCGCGGTCTCCAATCGCTCTTCGGTAATCTGTGACCGAGCTCCCTGAACAGAAGGAAAAGGAAACCGTATATAAGTGACATCCTAGTAAAGATTGTTTAGAATCGGGGGAGCCGCTTACATGGACCTCTATCACACTGGATAGCTTGTCGCCCCTCATCGGTCCATTCACGATTGGTGCTGGGACCAATAGTAAACCGAGAATCCGTAATGGGATTACCTTCTTCGAAGTAGAGGGGCTCATTGGACGGTGTATCTATGTTTTCCGTATAATAGAGGCTTCCAAGCCTGCTAAAGCTTACATTTGCCCACTTCTTCATGTAGCGGATGATCTGAAAAAGGACCTTGAGCTTTTGGTTGGGTTGTAGACTCCACCATATGTCTGATAGCTGGACGCCCGGGATCTTTTCCATTATGATATATTCGGCTTCGACGGGGTTGCTCTTTACATCAGTAGAAGCATTCCATGCGTACACCTCTGGTACTGGAGTATGAAGCACGTTACGAGCAAAATCCATGGTTGCAACCTCGCTGGCGGTTGTGCGGCAGGGAAAACCAGCGTTGGGGTTGGGTAATTTTGCAATAACTTCTTTGCCATTGTCCATCGTAAGGATCAACGCCTTATTGTAGAGGCCATCAGGGCATTTCTTGATGTCAGTGCACCTCATGGCACCGACAGCTTTCGCCGCCGTGGCCGCAAGCTCCTGCACATTAAACCGCACGCGACGTTTGGCCACTTGTTCATTCTCACTAAGTATAAAGCGACCACGAGTGTAGTCGAAAAGGTCATTGCCAGGGACTATGTAGCTTTATTAGCTAACCTGTACTTCTGGTAACCTGCCCGCTATCGAGTACAAACCGGCTGCAATTGTTGTAAGAGGCCGCTGACATATGAATGGAAAATTTGCTTTGATGGGTTGGATAAGTCGTTTCATGTTTGCTCATTGGACATTGTTCATCCCTCGACAATAAATCTAAAGCAGGAGGTATGGTGTATCATCTTCCAGCTTTACGTGTGGCACAGATAGAATCGCGCCCAAACCGCGATGAATTCCATTCGTTGGGGCGCGTCGTTTCTATCGTCGTTCCTGGGACCAAGGGACTAGTTACGTGAGCAATGCAAGCCGATACAACCCAAGCCGCCCTGCCCGCTCGCGTTATCCCCCTATAAGATATCGAGAGTACGAGAGTCGCGGCCGTGATGGATACGGTACGCGACGGATACGCTGACGACGAGGCTGTCCCAGAATTTTGTGGCGTTTGGCGCGTGCCGGGGAATGGGAGACTTTTGAGACATCCGTTTCATCGGAGTTTGCATTCCAGAGGGCTATACTCCGTATAGCCTAGACCTTATCAAAGTCCAATAACACAATAACGGAAATATGTACCCACACGGTCTCTCCTGGGAGTTCTCAAAGAAGAACTTTTCCGCCTTAACGAATGTATTTGGCATGGGCAATAAAACCCACATTGAGACAATAGGAATTACTTCTGTGTCAATTCAAAACCCATCGACTAGACATCTGGCTTTCTCCAGTTCTAACCGTTCGTCGTTTGCCTTCCACCACCAGTCGTTTGTCTCATATAACTCAGAATTTGCTTTAACGCACTCCCCTTCGCCGCCAGCCACCCCTTCTTTATCCCACGGTTTGGGGCTCAGCAAATAATGAATGTTCTTCACATGATCATCTCTCCAAATTTGCTGGTGGATACCCTGCCACCGCATAGGCTTGAGAGCGTTGTAGGTATATGGAAGGGAAACCCAACGGCGCGGATACAGGTCCGAGAGAAGGGACTGGTCTGCAAAGGCATACTGTGTCGTGGCTGTCGGGTCTTGGAGCTGGCAGAGAATATCACTATAGATACTCTCTGACGGGTTAAGCACCAGAAGGCCGCCATTCAATATGGAAAGTCCCGCTGTTGGTGGAGCGCCTTGGAGCTGTGCTTGCTCGGGGGTATCATGTTGGCTTGTATATGCGCAGTTCTTAGGAGTCCTAACAGTAAAGGAATAAGTATGGACCTTCAACATTGGAATAAGCAACGTACCAATTACTCGGATAATGTGGTTTGTTCATCGGGTTACAAACGCAAGCATGGCACGCAGCAAACACCCGCTGACCCTGGCCACCCATGGTAGTATCATCCAACTCGAGATCCATCAACTCGTCCATATTCTGCAACACTAGCATGTCACTATCCAGCTGTACGACACGGTCATACTCGACCAGCGAAAAAGAGGCCAGCTTACTCCAACAGTCGTAAAAACGGGTATCCTTGCTATAGTCTTTTTGGACCGAGGGAAGCAGCCCGGGGATATGTCGTGTGGGTATACTTCTGGCGGCTAGGGCTGCAAGGCCTTCAGAAGGGAATGCATCTGTGTATAGCGCTACGAGGGGATATTTTGATCCGGATCGTTTAAGGGAATAGTCGAGTGTGAGCAGGCCCGTCAGGTAGCTCGTATTAGTGACCAGCGCAGTCCATACTATATCGAAGGCAGGAAGGTCAATCAACTGGGGAGTATTCTAGGGTAGTCAGAGCAAACCTCTTTTCTCCCCTATCCCTACCACGCTTTTCGAGCCCATCTAGGACAGACACCTGGCTACCTCTGGATGGTCACTCAAAAGTATCACGATATAGATCTAGATCGACAACGGAGCTAAGGCGCATATCCCTGTCATGATTTTAACCTGGGCTGCAGTAGTGTGAACCCTAACCTGGCAAAGCAGGGATGGGCTTCAACCGTCGAGACTGGATATTACCGTTACTGCTGTTGACTGCACTTGTATCTCGTTATCGAGCAAAGTACTCCGTAGCCTGTTGGATGTTTATATTGATATATTGACGTTCATTGATACGTGTGGTCCACTGTGTGCATCTGGGGAAGTGACGTTCGATATTACATAATCATAGATCGATAAGATAAGATCCACCATCACGTGGTCCGTGTCATCCTTACATAAGCCGTGTATCTCTTACCTAAACATATCACGTGCTCTCCCTCTTCGTGGCCCAAAAAAGCGCGTCTTCCAACGTCGCTCGACGTCGAGACGCCCGATCTATACACAATTGTCGCTGAGACGGGCTTCTTTCGCAGACTTCCCTGATTCTGCTGCATTGTTGGAGGGTCTACGCTGCATCCAGACGTCGTGTGGTGTTTCACCTCTGCTTTCGCGTGGTATTACCGTCACGGTTTGTCCGTCCAGCCACCAAACGCGTCGCCTCCACTGCAGCGTGTATACGTTTAATGACAGGCATCCTCCGGCCCTTGACCGTGACCCTTTTCCCACACAACCCTTTTTTGCTCCTTTTCCTGTCTCACGGCCACCGGGCGGCTCTGTTCTAACCACCGATCAACTCCAATTTTTAATATTCCCCCGTGTTTACTCTTTCAATCCTACTCTTTTGCGTTCCCGCGGTGCTTAGTTTTCATCTTGTGTAATAAATTAATTACTTGATATTCGGCTGCTGCCTCCTCAACTACGCACGCGTGAGACTCAAACTCATATGAACGGACCACGCAAGTGAAGGATAATAGGGTGGCCTCGAGTTGGTGGGAATTGGACTCCTATTTTACTCTCCAGAATGGACTCGTCTCCCCCGAGAAAGGTCTCCCAGGGGCAGCCCGTCGCGGGAGTGAAGCGTGCAGCATTGTTGCCGCCGTTTGAACCATGCTCTTCACCACCGCTCCCTCGACCAACGAAGCGAAGGGTTCTCAAAGGCGAGGACTCGTTCTCGACCTACCCAACGCCTGTACCGACTTCTTCGACCGCCATCCTGAGCTCGTCACCCTCCCGAATACCGCCTGCACTTCAACGTACGCAGTCAGTCACCTCGGAACGCGCCCCTCTCTCCGCCGTACCGTGTGTGATGCTCGAGGAAAACGGTGAGCCGATTACGATGGGTCGATCGAGCGCGTCGTGCTCATATCAACTCTCGCCCAACCGTTTGATATCGAGAGTTCACGTCAAGGCTTTCTTCAAACCTGCCGGCCACCCGTTTGATAGGGATAAGATTGAGATTCTATGTACGGGGTGGAATGGTATCAAGTTGCATTGTCAGGGAAAAACGTATGAGTTGGCCAAGGGAAAGACGTTCACGTCGGATATCAGGGATGCGGACGTGATGATCGATGCTCAAGACTCGCGTGTTCTTGTTCAGTGGCCACGTCCAGAACGAAAAGATTCCACGTCAGATCATACATGGGACGAGTCGTCACCTATCCGAAACGCAGAATCTCGTTCTCGTCACGGATTTTCGGAGAGTCCCCTCAAGTCTAGGGAGAGACTGATGTCGCCCGTCTCTCCATCTCCTGCTGTTCAAGCTCTCAGCTCTTCCAACCGCCTAACGCCGAGCCGCTCCATACCCAGTGCCGTTGTCGTGTATGAAGACGAGCCTTCCCCCGTAAGGCCCAGAAATACCACCCCTGAGCCGAATTCCACCTCCCAAATCACTCAGCTAGCCTCCTCCACCTCTCAGGATGATAATGTTCGAAATTCGTTGTCGAGCATACTCACAAAAGCTGATGAGCTATCTGAACATGATGAAGAGAACGACCCAATTGTCTTTTCGTTCGGTCCATATGGAGAGAATATTCTACCTCGCATGGCTGCCGTTCACGCTGCAGACTCACCATTCACCTCACCGCAGCAGAAGCCCGCGAAGCGTGCTCAGGCGTCCCGCACCTTATCGATGACCAGTGCATCCCGCTCTGCAATCCAGAATCACATCGTAAACCAGCTGGCTTTTTCGCGTCTCTCATCTACCCCATTCTCCACGATAGTCAGCAACCTCCCCTCTGACCTGGTTGGAACCGGTTCATCGAAGAAGCCTAGGGTGGCTAATGCTGATATCAGAACAATCATCGAAGAGACAAGATGTATAGGTACAGTGAGCCGCAAGGGCAAAGATGCTGCAGGGAAACAATTGGAATGCGAGTACTACTATACACCTGACTTTGATACGGATGAGATGAGGAAGCAGGCGGTCGTCAACGATTTACGGAAGCCTGGCCTACGGAACTGCAGAAAACAGCACAAGGTAATATCTCTGATTTCAATCTATTTAGACACCGCTGTTCTAACTCTATATAGCAATATTTCTGGAAACGACCAAAGACGCCTTAGGATATATGTGTACGCTTCAACCTGCAGTCCTCTTTATCGCGCCAACCATCATGTCGAGTTATTCTCAAGCCAACCACCCGAAATCAAAAAAGTATATCCCGTTTCTTCCATTTTCCGCGTCGTTTTCTTATGTGTAGCATCCGCATAATAATGTGATGGTGTTTCGCACTGTCTGGGTTCACGGTGGATGACATATGACATCCTTCCCCCTCATACCCCTTCCTGATTGTATTATGTTTAGTCAAGTTCGATTTTCCTTTGTCTCACCTCCCCTTTCCCGGCTATCCCAGTCCACCCTAGATATTAGACATACCCGTTGGCACTTGCCACTATTCTCACTTAAGCCCTTGACGCCAACAAATACCCAGCACACTGTTAAAGTTGATCTTTTGTCTGCTCTGCAGAACGGCCTTTTATAAGGCTTATATTGTTAACGACCTGTTTCATCCCTATCCCCCTTACGCTCCCCCCAACCATCCAACCTCCCCCAAATGTATGTTTCTAGTCCTTAGCAAATATCCAATTTTTGATACCTTTCATTCTCTCATGCTTATCTGCGCGTTTCGGCGGTGTCTAGTCTAGCCCCTGTGTGTTTGGTATATTCGACACGAGTTCATTATTGCATGGCTATGTAACCTGATGGTCTACCTAAGAACTACGCTCACGCAAATCCATTCCTCAAGTTATCATACTCACTCGTGGGGTAGTGTAGGTTGTTCTCCCTCATCTCCAACGCATCAGTACCACCGAACCCATCGACAACTGCCTTGATCAAGCTCCTCTCATGATCAATGGGATGATCACCACTTAGCTCCCACCACATCGCTCCACCCAGCCCAGTGCCCCTGATATACTCGACCTTCTTCCTCGTGATTACAGGCGTATCGTAACTGACCACCTTCCTCGCGCTGGCAGAGTAACTCCAACTAGCTATCAAATTCTCGTCGTTATGTTCCTCCGCCCCATCCTTTGGAAGAGCCTTATAATCCCACGTTCCATTCTCCCATGACCCCTCACCAACACCCTGGAACGGCTTACCAGGCCCATCAGTCTGCTCAAAAGCACGACCGTACAACGGTAAACCACAGATGATCTTCGCGGGATGTACACCGCGCGCCATGTATGCACGAAGTGCACTATCGACGTTAAATGGGGTTGAGGCTGGGTTATCTGCTGATGGATAAACGTTCGCTTGATGTCCGGCGGTGGTGTCCCAGCTACCTGCGAAATCATAACACATCATGTTCCAAAAGTCCAGATAACGATCCATTTCCTCCATGCGGAGTACAGAGTAATGCGATCCACCGCACGGCGCGGCAACAGTCAACAACATCTTACCTCCATCAGCACGCTTGACGACCTCCGTAGAGAACTTGTCCAGTTCATTCCGTGTAGCTTCAAGGAGGAGTACGAAATTTTGTGCCTCAGTGTCGTCCTTGGGGTATTCCCAGTCGATATCTATACCGTCGAATCCTAGGTTGGCGACCAGCTTGACAGCAGAGCGTGCAAATGTCTCGCGGCCCTGGGGTGTGGATGCTGGACCGGCGAAGTTGGCAGAGTATGTCCATCCGCCGATGGAGAGGAGGGTGTGGAAATGGCGATGTTGTTTTTTAAGGAGGAAGAGTTGTTTGATGCATCCGTAGGCGTCGTTACCGGTGTCGTTCCAGGAGTCCTGGGGATAGTGCTTTTCTAGATCGGAGTAGGTGTCTGATAGATAGCTGTAGAGCCAGTCAGCGAGTGTATTTATATTGCTTGATAGGACGATCATGCATACACTTCACCTGTCTCGGGGCGGACATTCGCAAACGAGTCTGAAGAAGGCTGTTAGCAGTGCTCATTGAGTAACAAAGGCCAATTGACCCTTACAGAGGATATGAGTTAGGTGGTTTGCTGGAATGTCTGCGGGCTGGTAGTTGCGTCCGTAGATTCCCTATACAAACATTAGCATCTCTACTCCAACCATATAATCAGAATAACATGCAGAGGAACCCACCCAGTTCGTGAAATATCCCACTGTCTTCAGGCCTGGTCTCCCGCCCGCTGGAAAGGCCGTGGCCACGGCGGAAGCAATGCTGACCCCGCGATCCCCCTCCACTGGCGGAGCGGGGGCGGGGGCGGGCACAGCGGGCACAGCGGACAAAGCAGACACGGCGGGCGGAGGGGCGGGAGTTCCGCCAGCAGGAACAGGCAGGTTGAGGACCTGGAGATACTGGATCACTCCAGGATCTGTAACCTGTGGGTTGGCTGCGATGAGGGCGTCCAGCGAGATGCCATGGTCGTTGGCTATCTTCCACATGGAGTCGCCCTGCTGGACGGTATATGTTGGGCTTGCCATGGTATTACCTGACGAGTGGTGCTCTGCAAGTTGATTGTATGATTTATATCTGATATCTGATAATTTAAATTACTTTCTTGAACAAGATTCTATGTCTAGGAGATATATAACGACTGTCCCAAGGCGCAGTCCTTAGCGCTCCACCATGTTAGTTATATAGCTAACTACAGGGTCCAAGATGACGACAACCTGCCGCAGTCACAGTTGGAGAGTACATAACATGTTGCCCACTGCGCATGAATCCAACAAGTGACGCCTTGCCGTCCTATATCGACCTTTTGGCGATGGATCGGACAGAAGGTTGGGCCGAGTCGACTTCACAAGGTCCGGCTTGCAAACCTCGGCCCATGTCGAACTGATGGGATGGTCCACTTCGCGCTCTTTGGAGTGAACGCTGGGGTTGATCTGGGGATGGCAACGAAGGAAAACAGCACTCGATGTGTCGGCCGAGCGCGCGAGAAGGCGAAGAGAATGGTATATATTCGACTGATCTCTCGTCGGTGATGCTCTCGTCTACTTCGCTCGTTAGTTACCACGCAGTTTTAGGCCGGATAAATCAGAATTCGCGATGGCTTCAACAGTGTCATGGCAGTCGCCAGCCGGCAATAAAGGCTTTACGGATACTGGAATCGTAATCATTGGTGGTGGGATCTCTGGTGAGTCGCTCGTCCGGCGCTGGCTTGGTTGCATGGACTGACAGGGCTTCATAGGAATGTGTATGGCCATCAGCCTGCTCAAGAACAACATCCGCAACTTTGTGATCCTAGAGAAGAGCGCTGGGTTGGGTGGGACATGGAGGGATAACAAGTATCCCGGCTGCTGCTGCGATGGTATGTCCATTTTATAGTTGACTTGTTGTTTGCTGTGGCATACGCTGACGCTTCTTTAGTCTTCTCTCATCTGTATAGCTTCTCGTTTGCGCAGAACCCGAACTGGACCAGGCTGTATCCTTCCCAGGAGGAGATACTGGTACGGCACACAAGTCTTACTCCCTTGCGCAAATGGACGGACCGCTAATTGAATATACGTATGGCAGAATTACCTGAACGATGTTGGTGATAAATACGGATTACACAGATATATCCGTTTCAGCTCCATGGTAGAGGAGTCTCGCTGGGACGAGGTCGAGAAGAAATGGAAAACCGCAGTTCACGTTGAAGGTGCCAAAGATTCTGAGTTTGCAGAACGATATACCATCTCGTCTGATTTTCTCTTATCTGCTGTCGGACAGCTAAACTACCCTCACTACCCTTCCATCCCTGGGATCGATGACTTCAAAGGCAAGATCATGCATTCCGCCAGGTGGGACTGGAGCTATGACATCAAGGGGAAGAAGGTTGGCATTATTGGAAACGGTGAGCGTCCCATTATACCTATATATGTCAAGACTTCATATTAATTGGTGATATTTAGGTGCCACGGCGTCACAGATCATCCCAGACATTGCCCCCGAAGTATCACACCTCACCGTCTTCCAGCGAACCCCAAACTGGGTTGCGCCTCGCTATGATATGTCAATGTGGTTCCCCGCAAGAGCCATATTCAAATATATCCCCGGTGTTTTGGCCAAGTTCCGCGCTATAATAATGGACGTCCGTGAAAGTGTCTTCGCTTCCATCCTCAAACCCGAATCCAAGATGTCTGACTTCCTTAAAAGGATCAGCCAGGACATGATGAAACGACAACTTGCAAACAAACCTGAACTCTGGGAGAAGTTAACTCCAGACTACCCTCCAGGCTGCAAACGTATCATTACCAGTGATGACTACTACCCTGCCCTAGCCCGGGACAACGTGAGCCTGGAAACAGGCCGTATTGACAAGATCTCCGAATCTGGTATCGTGGTTGACGGCACTGAACAGCAGTTTGACCTGATAATCCTTGCCACCGGTTTCCGCACAGTTGAATTCATGCATCCCATCAAAATCTACGGCGAACATGGCCGCTCACTCTCCGATATCTGGAAAAACGGCGCCCGTGCGTTGTATGGTATAACCATCGAATCTCTACCTAACTTCGCCATGCTCTACGGCCCCAACACCAATCTAGGCCATAGTTCTATAATCCTCATGGTCGAAGCGCAGACACGCTACATCATTACACTGCTGTCTGCCGTCCTCCGTTCAAAGAAGCGCGGACAGACTCTTAGGATAACACCAAAGACTGACCGCATAGACGACTTTAACGTCTCTCTGCAGAAGGATTTATCCAAGTCTGCCTTTGCTCATCCAAGTTGTACCAGCTGGTATAAAAATGAAGAGGGCCTTATCACCAACAACTGGTCCGGTAATGTGGTAGACTACCAAAAGCTATTGTCCAAGGTTAACTGGACCGATTTCAACATGTCCGGAGATGATTCTATGAAGGACAAATCCACCACTCGCATTGGGCGTGTTAGGGAGGAGTCACTGATTGGGCTTCAGACAATATCTATTGCTGCCGTTGGCGCCGCCGTCATTGGAGGAGTGGCGTGGAGGTCGCCCGATTTCTTCCCTCGATTGCTTAAATCGCTTTCCCTTTTATGAGATTGGTTTGGATATTGTATGATTTTGATTTTGAAATTTTTTTGGTATTTTGGAAGAGTTGTGTTATTTAGACGGCCGTATCGTCCCATTTAACGTGGACAGGGCGACCGAGGTTATATTTGTACATATATCGTTGGTGGGAATGAATCAATATTGTGATGGCTTGGTTTAACCCCTTCCCTCGTTCCTTTTTTTCTCTTTGCTTTTCTTTTCCTTTTCTTTGGTTTTTTTTTTTTTTTTTTTTCGGAATAGTCGATCGTCAGCGATTTGATAATCCCCTTCTTTCTTCGGGGACGAGCTTTGGTTTATGACAATTTTAGCTGAAAAATAACGACGATAACTTTTGAGAGCTGCCTCGATATATCCTGCCTCCCCATGCTCGATCGCTTCGTGCTAACGGCCATCACGTTCCGTAAAGCCTGTTTCTTTTCCTTTCTCCAGCCCAGTCAATCTGCTTTGCAGCTTGTGCTTCTGTTCCTGGGCGTTGAAGCTGTACTGACGACGCTTAAGTGGTGGAGGCTTCCAGTGAGGATCCTCCCTTTGAACCAGCCGCGGGCTTGATTCGGTGGATGGGGGTGATGAAGAACCGTCATGATTGTGATGATGGTGGTCAGGTTCGGTTCGGGTTTGGACGTTGTCCATTTTCGGCTCTTGACTGACTTGCTTCGTTTGAGTCTTGGTGTTCATTGATTTGGAATGATGGTTGGTGGTTTGATAATTGTATGTTGGATGTGATGCTTCTTTTCCCAAACCGGAGGCAGAGACACAGCTACTTATAGGCAAAATGTCTGGTGAAATCTCTGGAGATTCATATTCATTTTTTTATGAGATCATATCCTGCCCGCGGTAGCACAGGAAGCTGCAAGCTAGCACAAGAAGCTGCAGGCAGAACCTGATGTGAAAGCATATGCCGCTGTACCGGTACTTACAGGGAGTTTCTTCCCCTCTCCGCCTAATACAAGCGGGTTTGATTATCGCATTGTTTTCGAACTGCAAAACCATACGCCAAACGGGGTTAATATTGGCGAGAAAACTTGCTTTGATCATGTACGGTTTCTACACGCCACCTTATGAATGGGTATGTTCAGGGGTTATTTAGCCTGCGGGAAAACAACAACTTTAACCGCTCCGGGTTCTTTTCTTCCGGTTGAATTATAGGCACGGAATAACGACATATCTGATACATTTTTTAACCTGTTTTTTTATATTCACAGGCAAGAGTCGCTACATAGTGTCAATCTACAGAAACATCGAGATTACATGTCACTGATTCATCAGCTCGCATCTGGCGTACCGTGTACCTCTGGATGCTTCTAGGATGTTTGTACTCGGGCCTTGAAGTGTTCTTGCAAGACATCAAGCTTGGCAGCCTCTATCAACCCTGGCCACTTCGAGATAACCGACCTCATTAGAGTTTCTTTCTCCGATACGGAGTACTCCGTAAGCTATTCCTCGCTATGTCATAAACTGATCACCAGGGCAGGGGTATAGCTATCGGTTTACTATAGCTCTCGAGATTTCTAAGAAAAGTCAATGTCTTCTATTACCGACGGCGAAGCTGAACTGAGAAAGGGCATGGAGTTGGAGTCACCGCTTGAACTGGACTCTGAACTGGAGCTGGACTCTGAACTGGGCTCTGAATCGGGCTCTGAATTGGGGCTAGAGTAAAAGATTGATGCCGGATCGAGTGCCTTTGTTTTTGCGGAAGGGGGAATATTTCTTTCCTTCTGGTGCTGGCAGGATTGGTTCTTGTTTAGTTCCGCGGCATAGCTTGGAGGAGGAGGAACAAAAACACCGATCATCACCTCTATCCGAGGTTTCTGAATAGGACGCCTTGATGACCGAACAATGGCAGCTCTACGAGCTTGTTCAGCCCCCTTGGCCCCCAGAGATGTCATCAGTTTACCACGGGCTGCTTTTAGGCGTGCGTGTACCTCAGGAACCTCATCTCCAAGTTGAAAGTGTGCATACACGGCCACACGTAACCACATAAATTCGCGCAACTCGTTTGACTCTGGAATCTTTATATGACATTAGTGATGAGCTACAATATAGAGGAGGATCACATACTGGTACACATTTTCTGTGGCCTTTGGCACAACGATCACACCTCACACGACCCACAGTAACACATATACCATCTATATCTCCATATGTTCGCACACAACGCACACAAGGCGCATAACTACGCCCCGTAGTTAGCATTCAGGAAGGCCAGGGTATATCCAGTAATCCAGATACGCAGGCTACGCTGAAAATAGCAAGTACGGGCATGCCGCTAGATATATAATCTAGGAATATGCTCGCGGCAATATAATGCAGCAGCACCCAATGCACAATATATTGCTATTCCCGTAGACCACAACGCAATGAAGTGTAGGATATCGAGCATGGTATCAAAGAAACACATAACTGTGGTGGAATGATACCTGAAATATCAACATAAACTTACCGGAGAGCAGCTGGGAGTTGCATCTTGGTCTATCGAAATACAACAAAACGGAGTTGAGAGTACTGGCAGCTAACCAGTGAAAACGTGCCGTTGCTAGAGATAGCGTTCTCCTTGCTCAGGATAGCAGCGAGAGACGCTTTTCTACCGTTATTCGGCTGTTGGCGGTAGCATCATGTTTGATATGTGAAGGATGAACGAGAACTTCAACAGTGTTGTTGTTGGTTGAGTACTTCCCTTTTGGGAACACAAAGCTAATGCATGCCGCTTTTATAATACATTACAAGCTATATAACGGCACTGGTTATATGCTGGAATAATACATGTATTATATATATATTAGCATACTATTGGCTGGGGTTGCAGGTATTGGTATATAGCAGTAATAATATGACTCAGCTAATTTATAATAAATGCTATTCCTAATCAGGAAATTTACTGCTTAGTCATATGAGATAAGTCACGGGAGATCAATATAATAAGCTACCTATAGATCATGTGCTTCATTGCTAAGTAATAACCAATAAGAGACGAGAATCTTTATCACGTAATCAAAGTGCAAACAGTCCAAACTTTAAAAAAAATATGATATTACATAAGCCTGCATGGCCTGCGATTTAAATGTCACGAAACAAAATGCTTCAATTATCGGCGTTTTGGCGGGTGTTTTCCCATAGATAAAGCTGGAATTGGCCCGGATTCACTCTAAATAGCTGCTCTAGGGTTTGATCCAATTTAATTCTACGTAGCCTTGAGGAAGCGCTGTATTTCTATTCCGTAGCCGGGAGGGGGGGACCTTACCAAGGTATTGCCCCAACTAGTAAACTCGTTGGAGGTACGCTCCGCCCGGCGAGTTCCTGTATCCTCCAACACACTCTATACTCGCAGTTATCTTCCTCTCAGATTGTTCTTCGCCCTTGTCTCTTTGCCTAATGTGGCACATAACTCTCACGTTCCGTTTCCTTCCATATATCTTTGAAGAGCCGGGGAACCTTATTGGGCCTGTATCTGGACGGGATCTAAGCGTCTGTGGGAGTGGAACATGGAGCGCGCAAGGAAGAGTACGTGATATTCTGACATTTTTAACGCTGTGCTTATGGATGACTGTGCTGGATAGGGGCTAATGTGTGCAATAGGAGAGCTCCGGGATTTGAACGCAGCCGTATGGGCGGGAGAGACAGGTATCGTCATATTCTAGCTTGACCATGCAATGACTAGCATGAGCGCTTCTTCCTCTAAGATTACGCGAAATACTGATTCAAGAATTGTCTTTTCTTCCACACAGATGTCTTCGAAGTTAGCAAATCCTTGGATTCTTCTCTAAAGAAGAACACCGCCTTCATCAAACGTCTCCGCACTGGAATCACAGCTTCGGCTCTCTCCACGTTTATCACCGACGTTCGTTCGCTTTCCCTACATAAATATCTCTCGGAAATCATTTCGGCGCTCTATGAAGGCCTTTGCAAGCTGAAGACGCCAGGGGAAATAGCGGCTGGCGTAGAAATAGCCAGTGCGATTCACCAGCGTTTTGGCCCTGACGAATTTACGAAGCGACTGGCATGGAACCTGGGCCGTGGCCTGACGTCACCAGATAAAGCGCAACTTAAAGCCTGGACTCAAGATGTTCGTGAGCGGGAAGAGAAGGAACGTCTGTCCCGGCATCGAGTTCTACTCCGTGTTGTGACGGAATTCTGGCTCGTTGGACTCCTTCGAAGCTTGGATGATGTAGAGAGGCCAGATGATTCCGCCGGAAAGGGCAAAGATTCTGGACCAACTATAGGTGGAAAGGGACCTGATGGAAACGCCAAACCTCGACAGTTGCAATCATCCTCCAAGCCAAATCAGGACAAGGACGAGGAACCGTTCCCCCTTGAAGTTTTAAAGGATCTACTTGGCTATGATAGAGAGCATATTAATTTACCGTTAGCTCTGCTCTTTGCGAGAACATATAGCTGGGATATACTGGGAGTCAAGGCTCTTGAGGAGGGGAGAAAAACAGTTGAGGCAAATGGTGCAACTACAGAAGGCTCCAAGGAAGGACATGGAGCTGCGTCCGGTGACGAATCTCCGACAAACGCATATCAAACAGACGACCCACCTCTGATCTCTGATAAGCTTCAGATACGTTTCAAGAATGTGTTGAACAGGTATCTCGAGGACGTGAAGAAGCATGTCAGCCGAGACCAAAAGGCGCTTGCTAACCAGAGTCGTCGAAACGCGGAGGCATACGTGAAAAGTGGTGAGATCCTTGAAGACCGCCAGTCGAATTTCGAGAAGCAGACAAAGACACATGAAAAACTAGTGTCAAATACGCAGTCTCTATGCGAGATCCTAGGCTCAGAAATGCCCGACTTAGCCGAAAAGGAAGCCTCAGACGGTGCAGTGAGTGGAAGTATTGGGCTTGTGAAGACAGGCGAGTACCTACGCGGGCAAGGCGAAGGAGCAGGCATTTGGGAGGACGAGGAAGAAAGGCGTTTCTATGAAAATCTAGCCGATTTCAAAGGAAAGGTCCCTGCAGTTCTTCTCGAAGATGGGAAAAAGAAGAAGCCAGACGGTGATGACCAGGCCAAAGGCAAAACGGAGAATGAAGCGCAAAATGGTGTTGCTCCCGGATCTAATGGAGCCAGCAAAGTTGATGCTCCAGCGGCCGATTCCGGCATCAAAGAATCCGAAGAACCAGCTACCGCCATAGCCAACAAGTCAGTCGGTGCACAAGTCGACGCATTGCTCTCAAAGCTCCCTGAGTTAGCGAATAAGGATGCCGTCGATCAACTGGCCCTGGATTTCTGTTTCTTGAATTCGAAGGCATCTCGTAATCGCCTGGTCAAAGCTATCCAAGAAGTGCCAAAGGGTCGTTCTGACCTTCTGCCATTATATGCACGCCTTGTAGCTACACTTGGCCAATACCTTCCGGACGTACCTCAGGGACTAATCACATACCTCGACGAGGAGTTCCGCAGCCTTCAGCGCCGGAAGCAGAAAGAATTTCTGGGCCAGGTTCGCACAAGTAACATCAGATACCTGGCTGAACTCACGAAATTCGGCGTTGTCCCAGAACATGTTATCTTCCACTGCTTCAAAGTGAGCCTCGACGAGTTTTCCCGAATGAACATCGAAATCATGGGTAATCTGCTGGAGAACTGCGGAAGATATCTGTTAAGGAATCCTGAGACTGCTCCCAGAATGGCATCCTTCTTGGAGACCCTTGGGCGAAAGAAATCTGCGCAGCACCTTGGGCAGCAGGAGAGGATGATTATTGAAAACGCAATGTACTACGTTGACCCTCCGCCTAGACCAGCTATTCAGCAGAAGGAACGCACACCGATGGAGCTGTTCATTCGAAAGTTGATGTATTTGGATATGAATAAGCGAAATTATACCAAGGTTCTGAAATCCATTCGCAAGCTACACTGGGAAGAACCAGAGGTAAGCATGTATCTTGCTACGTTTATCTTATACATCGTTCGCTAACTCAATCTCAGGTGGTCGGTATTCTTGAGCGTATATTCAGCAAGCCAGGTAAAATCAAGTATGGAAACATTCACCTTCTTGCAATCCTTATCAGTGCGCTATACCGTTACCACCAGGCCTTTGTGATTGGTGTCATCGACAATGTCCTTGAGAGAATCACCATTGGCCTCGAGCACAACGATTTCAAATTCAATCAGGAGCGTATTTCAGACGTCAAATATCTGGGAGAACTTTATAACTACAAGATGGTCGACTCGCCGGTGATTTTTGACACGCTTTACCGCATTGTCACTTACGGACACGGTAAGCTATTCAATAGGTGAAATTTCCTCTTTCGCGCTTTACTAACACCTCCAATCAGATGGTGGCACACCTTCTCCTGGTAAAATAAATCCACTGGACATGCCAGATGATTACTTCCGTATTCGTTTGGTTTGTACCATTCTAGACACATGCGGTGTCTGTTTTGATCGTGGCAGCGCAAAGAAGAAACTCGACTTTTTCTTAACCTTTTTCCAGGTATATATATGCAAGATATTTAGGCCTCTATAACCAAGCCTCTACTAACGAACGGAATTTAAGTACTATCTACATACCAAGGATCCCATTCCTATGGATGTCGACTTTGTCATCCAAGACACATTCGCTCTAACCCGTCCCCAGTGGAAGTTTGCTGCAGACTTTACAGAGGCTACCAAGCTCTTTGCTGAAGCAGTCGCACAAAACTATCAGGTTCAAGAAGCTGACAAAGTACCAGACCCTGAAGATGAAGCAGAGAGCTCCTCCTCCTCTGACGATATCGAGGATGACGGAGCTCCTGATGTCGATGAAGAGTCCACCGATGAAGCAGAGGTATGTTCAATCCCTCGCTACCACCGAAACTGTTACCAACCTCTCACTAGGTCACGGCCAACGAACCGGATAATGACAACGAATCCGAATCAGAGGAAGAGCAGATCTTCGTTTCTCGACAGGAAGAAGAGCGTGACCCTCAAGCCGAAGCTGAGTTTGACAGAGCCTTCGAAAAGATGATTTCAGAGAGTGTAGAATCCCGAAAATTCGAACGTAAAACGATGTTCGACGTTCCGCTGCCCATGAAGCGTGCAAACCCCCGTGATACGGCAGCTGTAGAAGAGCCCAAAGAGTCCACCCCGATACCTTCCAATACAATGCCATTTTCTCTTATGACCAAGCGGGGAAATCGCCAGCAGGTGAGCTACTATATTATGATATATCTTTCATAACATGGAAGTGTCGCTAATTTTTATGTGCTCAGACGCGCACTATCGATCTCCCTTCCGACTCTAGCTTTGCGGTTGCGATGAAGTCACAACAACAAGCGGAGCGCGAAGAACAGCAACGTATCAAAAATCTAGTACTGAACTATGATCTTGGTGACGACAATGACAGCAATGACGGTGATACCAACATTTCCTCAACCCAGTTATTCATACTACAAAAGAACCCCAATACTAAAGGCTCAGTCAAAGGTTCCGAAAAGCGAACTTCCCACCGCGACCCGAGAAACGATAAAGCGGCCCGCAGTGGATTCCGTGCTCGTAAATTACAACTGAGCGATGTTGACTGGTACGGAAAACAATTTTAATGCTCACACCATCTAGATCAGATAGATCGAGACATCCCAGTTCAGAAATGATATACTCAGACACTCAACAATGATTTTTGGCCGAGGACATTTGCTAATTATTTCCCCAACTTGTGCGTTGGGCCTGGAGAGGCTCTTCGTGCAATGGAATTTCGCTTTAGGACCTGAAATTTTTCCCTGGTAACCGTTAATTAGCCTAATACCTCCTCATAGATACCCTGGAAATCGACCCTGGGGTCTTGTTAACATAACTCCTCGCTTTATTACACATGCCCAACCTCGGTACGATCGAACATCACGCGCGTCGACGAATATATCGGATCCAACCTTGGAATAAATAGAGGAGTGACGTTGTACGGGCCCTGGCCTCAGCCGAATGGGCCTCGGAATACGAAAACTGCTCCAGAGACGTGTCCAGGCCCAGAGGTCTACTCCAGTTAACCCATCGTCTAGATCGCAAGTCCACCTGCCGCTACTGGTGACCATTTAAAAGGAGCGTTTTGAAGGAGTGTTTAGGTGGGAAGTTGTTAACGAGTGGATGAGGAAGCGAGTGCTATTGTGGTAACGCTATGACGGAGCAACGCTATCAATTACCCTCCTTCACCTATTTCTTATATTCCGTTTCTTACTTCTCAACTTTCCCTGTGGTTCATCAGCATCTGACCTCAAGAACGCGACTCTTACGTTGCCACCAGATGTGAAAGGGCTCGTTTTGAAGAGAGTTGTTGTAATGCGACTTGTATCAGAAATTCTAGAGAATATTCAAAACAAAATTCTTCATACGTAGTAGAATGATAACTTGACTAAAACTTCTCATCTAATCACACCTTTTTAACACAATCTAGCAAATCCAGAAAATTGTATGTATGAGGGTAGAAAAAGATTATTTAATATATGGCTCGGCTCCAGCCCCAGCTATAGTAAACCCGAGCGAGAGATGGGGCATGAATGCATACAAATTGGCATCACCACTCTGACTATGACAGTGGAGCAAGTGAAGGGAAATCCACAACACATCTATCCATTCTTCCATTCGAAGTTTGAATAATTAAACGCACCCGCTTGAATATTTCGAGGCAGGAAGCTGGAATAAACCCGCCAATAACAGCATTTGTTGTCCAGTAACGACGACGACAACTTATGGTACTCATACCAAAAATGTAAAGGGCGGCAACAACTAGTCACCGCACTGGAATGTCGTGTTTGGAATTGGGAAGCCCCGTTTGTACAGTCGTTCATCGATACTATCAGAGAAGATGCTCCTTAAAATACCCCAATGCGTTAAAAACCCCTATATCGAAACGCTTGACGTCTCACGCTTCAATCTAGGCGCTAGCTCCACCGTAAAAAGTACTGGAGTTGAGGTCTCAATCTGAACCACATCAGCTCTTATATGGTTACTCGTGCTTAACTGGCCCCCAAAATCCGTCTTCCAGTTATGCACATCCCATTCTAAACCTTGGGTAGTTATCAGGGACGGACCACCAATGGGTATAATCCCTATATTTTCCGAGAAACACAAATGGATGGCTGTATTGCTGCTATCCAAATTCCCACATTTATTGACACCCGTGGCCTTTTCGAGAGATGACCCTCCAGGGGTAAGTATTGTGTTCTCACCCTGGTGTAGAAAAAATGAGATGCTTTCTTCAGATATAAGATATATCTTCCCATTCGGCCTTGTAATCTGCACAGAGGCGGGAGGGGTGGCGCAGAAGAGGTGGTGGATCTGAGCGAATCCCTGGTCAACACGCCCACCTAAGCCCCCAAATACGATCACATCCAACTGTTCACTCTCTTTTTGAGAGCCGGAGCCCTGACTATCATGCCCTCTCTGCGGCGCAGAGCTAAGTATATCCGCACAATTATCTGCAAGATAACTAAGACATTTCATAAAATCTGTAGAATATTGGTCTGGATTCTCGATTATCGTTACGTCATGGCTCTCATAGTGCCTTCGAACATCGACATGGATGGAATCGAGGTCTCCAACAATGGCATCGGGAAGCTAATCTTCAAGTCAGATACTAGCACATTGAGCATTTCTGATATATACGCTAGAGCATATTACTAGAGCATTGCATACCTCAGTGCTCTCTAGGCCAATACTCTTCGCTAGGCTATAATATCGATTAGCCCCGCCATCAGCACATATTATGAAACATGCTGTTGAAGTTAGTTAGTCGTCATCAAGGAACAAACTACATCTAGGCCTTATAGGGCTGTAGAGCTTCAAGGGTATCAGTATGTTGCCGTCGCACCGTGTCTTTTGAGTAGTTTAAATGCATTCTGATTGATAGGCTGGTTAAGAACTAGCAAGGCAAATGGGACGGATGGAGGATCATCGGAAAAGAACTGAGCGGGGTGCCACTGCATCTTGTATCCACTGGTTTTATCACCTCGCAGCTAGAGAAATATCAGAAGTCGAGTCTCTTGATGCTTTTTGTTCGTCTTCCATCCTGTCCGACGTTTGATATTTCCCAAACGGGATCTCGGGTTCTTCGGCGAATATTTATCCGGATGATGCTTACATAATCTCCAATTTTCTCCGTGATTAACAATCGAGGTCGGGAGAAGAGACAGAAAGATATCCAATCGCCCATTCAGTCCAGTCATTCACTTTTTTAAACCCAATGAATTTGATTCGTTGTTGATCTTGTCGTTCTAAGCTTTTATATTAATTTTCCTTCTTTTCTCCTTTCATCATGTTCCGATCCGCGTCGAGATCATTGCTCCGTGGTACGCCAGCTACACAACAACTTCGATTTGCGCAAAGTCGGAGATGGATTAGCGATGCACCATCGCCAGTACAGAAGAAACAGGGATGGAGAAGTACAGTAGTGAGATGGGGCCTTGCCGCGGGTGCCGTTTACTATTATAACACAAGCCCTATATTCGCTGAAGAGCCCCCTCGTAAGTACAGCTACAGCAGTCGTCTAAATTATCCACTGGTGGTAACTGAACTGACCTTGCCGGAACTATAAGTCGTAAATAACGCCGGATATTCCTCGAAATCGCAAGACGCAGCCGCTTCGCCTACAATTGAGTCGTTAGCGGCCGCAAAGAAGCCGAAAGCGCAGCCAACTCCTCAACCCTCGAAACCCAAACAGTCACCATCCGATGAGCCGTCAATAGCTGCTTCGGCTGAGACGGGGGCTCCAGCTGTGGGAAGCGAACAGCCACCGGTGTCTGCGGGTGATCTCGAGAAGGAAGCAGGTCAAGAGGGTGCATTCAACCCAGAAACTGGAGAAATTAATTGGGATTGCCCTTGCTTAGGTGGCATGGCACATGGGCCCTGTGGAGAGGAATTCAGAGCTGCGTTTTCCTGTTTCGTATTCTCCGAGGAAGAACCAAAGGGAATGGATTGCATTGAGAAATTCAAGTTCGTATCCCTATCCCGCTTATCCCCCTACAGCTCATACAAGGTAGAGGGTTCAACGTTTGTATTAGAATATTATACTAACGGGTCCTCACTTTATTTTTTAGGGGCATGCAAGATTGTTTCCGACAACACCCTGAAATTTACGGCAACGAGCTTGACGATGAAGAAGTGGATGCCCAATTAGAAGAGCATATCGCCTCTGAACGGGAAGCCGAACAAAAATCGTCCGTAGAAGGATTAGATGCTGTACCAGCTGCTACCAAGGAACAAGCTGAAGCCGAGCCGGCCAAGGACAAACTACATGAAGCGATCTCGAAGGAGCTAAATAGCATTGAATCAACGGTTTCAAAGAACTAGGCTGCCTTTATAGACGATATACGGCAGACACAGGAAAATACAAGCCTATCGAAGTTACCGAACATGCAAGACCGTCTCAGTATTTTGGCCTGCCAGATATATGCTACATGTCCCTTTTGGTGAAAGCGTGGGGAGTACTGGGTGAGAGCTGTCCTTGATTTTCTTATCTAGATGGAGAAAGACCAACGAAGTTGTAAAAAAAACAACCTGTACAACTAGATATATAAAAGAGCGGAGACGAATAGAATTTCATGTATTATATTTATTCTCTATTTACTTATTCAAAGTTCGCTTGTATAGACTCGGGGTGGGTTGGGAGACGTAGAGCAATGATATCAGTACCTATAGTCATTCAAGGGTATCGTGTAGAGTAATGACCAGCTAGCAATTAAGACTAACACCGGGCCATATAGTTCATACGCCAATCTAAACGAAGGCTCGTTGATGAAAAGGGAATCCATATACAGCACGGTTAAACAAGCCATGTGAGCATGATGGGAAGTGTAAACAACAAGAACGGACTAAGGAACTTCAAGGGACACGTTATAGAGGGCTCTACCTATTGTTCTCACAAGTTATCCCCCTTTTTGTATCTGTAGATAGCAGATAGCGAAGGATAACGTTGACTTCTAGAGACAATGAGAAAAGGGAAAGGGAAAAGGGAAAATAGGAACTAACACCGAACCAAACCAGTGATCAAAACGTAGCCAATACATAAACCAGCCTATAAAGTAAGATAGGGAAATAGGAGAGGGCGCAGAACAGGGGAGGCATTATATATATATAACAATAGCCCAGTCGTTCTCTACCAGAGGAGAGGCAACGGGGTGAGTAGTGAGTTCGAGGGATAGGGACAATGGGGGAGTGGACAAAAGCAGAAAAAGAGAACCGATTCAACCACTAACGATGAAAGCCGTTTCCAGCATGTAAAAATCAAAAAAAATAAGGACACGATAACCAGTACCAGCATAAACGCGTCGTGAGTAAACCAAGATGATCCAAGAATTGCATTCATCGTATCTCTAGCGATTGTCGTAAGGGCGGCCGGGCCACCCTGAGATTTTACCAGAAATCCAATCGGTTCGATGATGCATCAGGGTGAAAGTGTCTCAACACTTCAGATTTGCTTACTTCCTCAAGATAGCCTCATAGAGGCTTCCTAGCGTGCAAAGAGCTGAGCCCGTCAGCAGGCCGGTTACGCCTCCTGGAACTGCACCAGATACTCTCTGGAGAGACATGGCACTGAACAGGTCCCAGAAGTTGAAACCCTGGCCATAGACAAGAGCGGCCACCAACGCCTTCGATACGTTGAATACCAACGGGTCGCCGCAGGCCTTGCACTTATCCTGCGCCGAGGAGGCAGCCGTTCGACGCGCACTGGCGGAGTGACCGGCAGACTGGCTCATCTTCAGGTTGATGTTGACAAAATACGCGACAATCGATGGCAAGGCGATGCTGGTGGTGACCCAGAGCAAAAATGGAGACCAGAAAGACGCGGTCAAAAGGACAAACAGATCTGGGATCTTGATCGCAATCTCAGGCAGGTTCAAGCTCTCCGTCGCAGGGATGGTGGTTAGGTACTTCCATGGCATGACCTCGTTTAATACGCCGAACAGTTCGAAAGCGGTGATCAGAGTTTGGATGGCGTTCACGCTACTTAGCCATGAACGAAGCGTGTAGGTACGCTCGGTCATACCAGACTGGTCCCATGCTTCTGATACGGATTTGCGGACTCTAGTGGTCTGTCTATCAATTGCGTCCGTAACCACGGCTGGAGATGGTGGTAGCGAAGGGAACTTGAGTGCTGGACGCGCCGGGGTCTGAATCACAGCTGGAGCTGCATCAGGCGGTGGGGAGGATTTGTCCGAAGCCTCATCGGAATAGTCTCTACATGCGCCAGTTAGTAACTACATCTAAGGATAACGGACACGCTGGGTATGCCTGGCGAGACGCGTACGTTGCTTCGACTTCTTCCTTGGGCTTGATAGATCGCCGTGTACGTGTTGACCGCTTCACCGAGCCGTCGAGCGAGGAGACCTCTGCTTTTGGTTCCCTCTTGATAGGCGATCCACGCGGCGGCTGCGCCAGTCGTCTGTAGTATTCGCTCAGCTTTGGCTGGTGAGACAGGCTGGATCGGTTCTCGGTGAGATGGGTGTCGAGCGCGACGGCGAGCTCGTTCTTCTTGAGGTCGGCGAAACTAGCAGGACGACGACGTTAGAGGACACCATTCTAGACAAATAACGATCGTACACGGGCTAAAACGCACTCGTTCAGGTCTGCTTCTTCGGCCAAATCGACAAGGTCGCTCTTTTTGAGCGCGCGAAGATACGGTAGAACAGCCGACATGGTGTAGCGATGGTGGTATAGACTGGATCGCGGGAGGTAAGCGACACGTTCTAGCGTAGTTATGAAGATGCGTGGGCTATATATAAAGCAATAGAGGCAGGGTGGAATACGCAGGGTGGTGTTCGCGGGCGTGTAAGAGAGAAGTATGTTGTTCCGTGGGGTGGCCGGGCGACTTTTTATTGTTTGACGTTGTTGTTTACATTTCTGTTTACTAGCGTGTTTCCCTCCCCCAGTTCCCGATCGGGACATTCTTTGTCCATCCACGAGTAGAAGAAAGACGGCGATGATAGAGATGTCTTCGGACATTAATTAGTAGTGTATCGTACAGCGTTCTCTCAAAATATACAATCAGCAAGATGCAACCAGGCATTAGATCTATTCTAAAAGCCCCCCATAAAACGCCGGTCCCTCGGACGCCCGCCCGCCTCCCTTCAAGTGGGCATTCGTTTTGATAATACTGTGCATGCAAAAGGTGGATGGTCTGTTTCATATCAACGCGCTTCGGAGCTCGCTCAGCTCTTGATATGATTCCAGTTGCTTGAGGAAGTACTGGTAGAGGACCAGCATGGTTCCGCTCTGTATGCTGGTCCAGAGGAATCGTGGCCCGACTCCCCTGAACCAACCAGCAACGCCTTCTGTCTTATATATCAGTTTTAGCCCCGTTAATATCGATGAGGTGTGCAGGATTGCTGCACCGGGTTTGACAGTTGATGTCGACGGAGATGAAGTAGAGATGAATCGTGTTTGTGACGAGGGTGGTGTGGTCGAGGTTGAGGTCGAGGTTGAGGCCGTGGCCGTGGCCGCGGCCTGCAAGCGGGCCGATTTATGCGCGTCGCCGGCTGTGCTTGATATGGCTGGCCGGGCTGAAGGCAAGGCGTCTGGATTTTGCTGCGTCTGTATTCGGGTTTTGACGACATCAAGGGGACAGGTGATGACACCCGCCATACCACCAGCCGTTGCGGCAGTTAGTACTTCCAGGGAGAAACCAATATCTCTTTGTCCAACCCAGCGTTTGGCCAGTTGCTGCTCTTGTTCATAAAATGCAAATTGTAAAGCGGAGAATGGCATGTCACGGAAAAGGGTGGCCTTGAAGCCGGAGTAGAGTGCAAAGAAGCCTTCTTGTCGAACGATGGTCCGAAATGCATCGGCGGTAGATCTATAGTTGTAGCCAGACTTGAAGAATGGATTGTTATATCTCCCTTGGAGCTGCAGCCTTGTTTTTAATACTTCGGATGGCACATAGACGAACGATGCAGCAAAATCGGCAATAAATCCTACCACGAAGAGTTCATTTTAGCCCTTATCAACGCAAAACCGTAGAAGATAGGGTAGCTTACCTCCAGCCAAATATGCCAATGACGGATTTATACCCAAATCTAACATCCACCTCTTACTATACTCGTATGTGCCGAAAAATATGACTGTCCCTGGAAATGATCCACAAAGAGCCGGTGTGACACCACCATATAGGCCTCTTCGGATTCCTTCTTGTCGAAATATAGTTGCGTATGATGAGGACATGGACGAGTATTTGGGCGGGATATGCGGATCGCCTTGTTGCCTCGTTTTAACCGTATCCAGGGAATGCATCAGCATATCACCACTCGTGCCACCAATACCACCTGCAATCATACACTAACATGGAAAGACATCGTTAGCAAAGTAATTAGCAATATTAGGCCGTAGCCATCCCTCAACGCTGCACCAGCAGCCTTTCTAGGGGCAACCCACATGTAGATACGGCGGCCGAACGTCCTTTTCTTCATGCTGAGTATGTATCCTCTCCTCTCTCCTCAATATGCTATCCGCTTTCAAACCCCCCAAACCCATACCGCCATCACCCAACGTGGATCCCCCAGAAGACGACGACGACGCCGCGGCGAGGGTCGATGAGTCTGAGGTCGCGAAAAAGTCTGACATCCGCGACACCAGACTCATCGCCGCCCAGGAAGTGGTAGTTGGATAAACAGCGTTCCTGCGTTCCGGTATAATCAGATATGGGTGGCTTCTATCAGCTAGATTCGGTCAGGAGGAGCTTCCAATTGCTGGTTTTCCGCGAGGGTTTCTGGGTCGTGCGTGGGTAGACAGGAATAAACAGCAAACGTCTATTAAAGAATCTATACAGAAAAGACAGAAGAACGGCGTATCTACGTAGTTCACGCCCGAACGGAAGATATCGAATTGCTCAGTCTTTTTTTTCAACCTTTTTCGTCTTTTGCCCAAAATCCGACGGAACAGGAACATGTCTTTATCCGGCTGAATAAGTGGGTTATAGCCAATGAGAATGCGAGTTTCAAGGATATAAATTACATAATCAGCTTTTTCGAGTAAAAAAAGTGCAAAAGGAAGAAACATTGTTGACTTTGATATCTCGGCTTTGGCGGAAGTGCTAGAGAAGTCGGAGATAAAAGCAGCTGAGACCTGGTTTCTCCGTCGGGCGAGTGCTGTCGACTGTGTATCCGCGCTGCATGGGCGGAGTATATGTATCAGGACGGAGAAAGGTTACGGATAAGGATAACATGCAAAGTTGTTGATTTTTCCTATATTGATATAACAAAAGATTTTCACAAGCGGTAACAGGAAACAATTTAAACGAAAAGAGCTCATAACACCTCTTCATTAGCATTAGGTACACAGGTATGTCCATGTTCTTTTTTGTCATTTTGAGGCGAGCATAAAACCGGGGCTGGATGTATTTGCAAAAGAAGATACACGCCATTCCGTGCCTTCTTTGGGGGTGTAGAATCACGAGTAAACCTATACTCCATGCTTAGAATGATATCCTCCCTTCAATCGTCTGTTTACTTCTTCTTCTTCGTCTTCTTTCAGTAGGCCCAATAGGCCAGCCAGGCCAGGTTAGGGGTATAATTCACGTAACGTCGTTGGTAGTAGGTTGAATAATATTGGGGAGTTCAGCAGGGTGGATGGGGTGGGATAAAAATATAGCGATGTTGCTATATTCGTGTGGTGAAGGTCTCACTAGCCAGGAACTATGATTGTTTTTGCTTGTTTGGTGCTAATCCCTCACTCATCCAATGCCGAGACCCCCCATCGAGTTGGCATTTTATTTACTGTGGCTTTTTGCCAGGTGTTTGCTGCTGGAAGCGCGCAAGATATGGCTTCAGGTCCGTGACATTGTACAGCTGTCGAACAGAGTTCTTGACGACCTCCCATCCTTGGCGGACAGCTGGTGGGGTACTCTGGTGGGAGAGGGTGGCGTCGATTCTGGCCGTCGAGTGGGCGACGACAGCCTGCACGAACGAGCTCTGGGTGTAGCGGGAGCGGAAGAACCAGAAGTAAATGACGAGCAGAACCCAGCTGCCGCTTGAAAAAGTGAGAGCGGTGAAAATCAGGCGGATCAGGAGGGACAGCTCGAGGGCCGCTACCATGGCCATGCTGGTGTCATAGTAGGTCTTGACGAAGCGGCCGATCTTGTCGGCCAGAGGAGATGCCTTACCGGCGGCTGGTCTGCCGGATGGAGAGGCAGGGCCAGCTTCGCCGGCGGGGGCAGGCTGGAAGGTAGGAATCAGGTAAGTTCGGGTATACGTGGCGACGTGGAAGAAGGAGTAGATGGCGAATGGAAGCAGGGCGAAGAGAATCTGTCGCGAACATAGCCATACAAGGGCCATCCCTACTCCCGGGTTAGTTAAAATTTGAACAAGGCTGCAGTATAAAAGATTGATAAACTTACCCAAGTACTGTACGTTCTCGTCTCCAGCAAGCTTTATGATAACGCTTGGAATGCTTCCTCCCAGACGTCCACGGGCCACGTATCCCTTGTACACGACAATTCCATAGGTAGCGGCCGCGGCAACGAAAGCGAAACGGTACGATCCTTGGGCAACGGTGGTGTAGGTGCTGAACGTGATGCACGATAGGAGGTACCGGAACACAGCAAGAATTAGAGTAAAGTGGCTATCACCCACAGTTAGCTTAATAGAACATATATTTCTCGGCAAGCAATAATATATCTCTTCGGGGAGGGTAAAGATAAGTGCGGTGTGCGATCCCCAGCCTCAAGACCGTAGAAGTGGAAGCAAGCTGCAATGGCGAAAATCAGGATCAACGTACCCTATAAACCAAGCGAATCTATCAAGCAGGTTAGCGTCTATCTCGTCAAGCATCTCGCCGTGGGTTTGGAAGCAGGGAGGGTGGTCGCATACTGTAGTGTCTGGGCCAGCATCTTGAGCCGCTCTGCCAGCGGCAGTGTTGCGGGGGGAGGAGGAGCCATTTAAGCAGCAAGAGGAGCGTAATTAACGATAGCTGGAGAGAAGACGAGTGCAGCAAGAGAATCCAGTGGTGAGGGCGGCCAGATTCTCGCAGTATGGAAGAGTTGATGTCGAGGTTCAAAGGTCGAGGAGTTGTTCAAAGTTGATCGAAGTTGTTCTAAGGTGGCTTCGCTGATGTGTTTGCATAGTGTGGGCATGTTTGACTCCAGGTACTAGTACCTCTTTAGTATAGAAAGTACCTCTATTCACTATCTATTTATATAGGATACTAAGTATCTCAAGTACAGGTACATGTAACTGGTAAACAACATTTAGGGCTTCATCCCACATTTTTCATCTATCTTCTCAGCATCTTTGGACAATATCAGCAACAAGGGAGGTTTGCGCCTCGCCAGCCCGCGGTGGGCAAGTTCACGGACGAGAGAAGCCCGCCGTCGACAGTCGGGACATGCGATCGTGCTCGTTTCGCAGCTGAGAGGCAGCTGTTCCCACCGTCGCCACGAAAAGACCGTATCTTCACGGAGAGTGCTGGACGATGACGATGATGTTTCATCTTCTATAGCCTGTTCCTCGTCGTCTTGACCGTCTCCACCGCCACCGCCCTGGCACGCTTGATAGATATCTCTGGGCCCGGATATGCCATGAACAACCTCGGAGACACGGTAGATACGTCCGTCGCCAGCTACAGGCAAACACGGCGAGAAGCAACTCTGCAGCTCATCGGGCCTCATATACACCTGCTGATGACCGCAGGAATACATCTTGATCGTCCCCACGGCCTTCTCATGCATTGTCCACCGTCCACTACCTCGCTCCCGTATCTCGTTGAGCCGCTTGAACAGCCGTCTTCTGCGCCCCCTCTCCTCGACACAGGCAGGACAGGACCCGAACATGTCTATGGTGGCAGTCACCCAGCTTTCTTCAGAACAGGTCCAGCTCGGTATCCTGTCGGGCTCGCGCTTTGGGTCTGGGTTGCGGAAACGGATGCCGTTGGGCGCATGGCAGCGTTGTACTGGGTGTCTGAGGTGGCAGGGTACTATGTGGCTGCAGGCGAGGTAGTGTTCGTTCGATATTAAGCGGCACATTGAGAAAAAGTACTGTACCGGAGGTATGTATATGGGTGTACATGAACGGGTAGCTGACCGTTATTCTTATTTTTTTTTTTACATGGAATGCAGCCGCTACAGCCGCTATATCCAGGGATATATATAGAGTAGATGTCCAAGATCTTGGATTAAGCGGTGAATCTCGAACAGGAGAAAGACATCTCGATATATATTCCCTGTATGCGACAGAAACAGAACTATGAGCATCTACAAAGGCAAGCAGCTATAAAAGGGTATAGAATCAATTTATTGACTAGACGTAGAGAGTGTGAGGGACCAGGTGTCTAACTTATCTCACCAGCATACACAACTTAGGCTTAATACATGACAAGAAAGTAAGTGAAAGTTGGAGGAGAGTAGTTTCGGTTGGAGGGATATAAAGTAACAAAGCAAAAACAAAAAGCAGGCAGGGCAGGAGGGCGTACATTGGCTTAAAACCAAGGGACATAAAGAATTAATTAATCTGTTTGAGGAAACAAAAATGAGATATAAGAAAAAGAGAGAGAGACGAAGGGATCGTGATCTGCCTTCTCAACCGTGCTATCCTATCATACCCAATCCGTCCAGTTGTTCCTGATCCTGATCCTGCTCCCAATCGCCACCGTAAGGATCATTTTCAATTTTTTTGGACTTTTGGCAAGTTTCCTCCCCTTCCAGACCAGAACCGTTGCATTGTGTAGCACAGGCGCAGTGTGATGTAATGGCGAGGCGAGGTTAGTAAGTGTGTTAGACTCGGGGTAACGGATATTGAATTCATTAAATAAAACAGAAGTACGGGTACTGAGAAATACAAGAAAAGAAAATAACAAAAAAAAGCAATAATAAAGTAAAGGGGGAATTGAATGAATGTGAAGTAAGGTGGTGGTTATGATGGAGAAGGGGTTATTGGCGTAGTTGTTCCGGACGCAAGTGAAAATATCTCAGAGAGCGCTAGATCCATTAGTCGAGTAGGCGGTTGGAAGGTGAAAGGAAGAGAGAGAGAGAGCGAGAGAGCGAGAGAGGATAGTAAAAACACTGGGTCTGGACTGATACGTAGCGAAGGAGCCAAGAAAGGAAGAAAGAGAAGGGAAAGAGAACAAGGTAGAGGTTTAACGAAGAGAGAACCCCTTTCTCTTTATCTTGTCTTCCAGCGGCCGACCGCTTTCCAGACGGGCTTTCTTCTCCTCTAATTCCTGGCGTTGCCTGTCGAGCTGCTCCTTCATCTCGCGATGTCTGGCGAATAGCTCGTCCTCGGACTGTTTGAGCTTGCTCTCTTTCTCCTGCACCTTCTGCTGGAAGACCATCTTCATCTCGGACTCCATCTTGGCGAGTTTCTGCTCGTGCAGGGCACGCTCTTCCTCCTGCTTGACAGCTGGGTTGACCTCCTTGAACACGCTTGGGTCCTGGGTGACGCCCATCTGGGTAAGCTTGTCGGAACGGTAGTTCTCGTACAAGGTGTTGTTGGTGTGCTCCTTGAGCTCCTCCATGTGTGTGCGGATCAGCATCTGGCGGAGCTTGACGAAGTCGCAGTGCTCTTCGTTGTCGACTTCGATGACACCCCATGGGTAGCGACGGCCACGGACCTTGCGGCCTTCGTTGTTGGTGACCTCAGAGTTGGCGCCAACAACGGCGAAGGGAACCTTGGACATGATCTCCTTGTTCTCTGCGATGGTCTCTTCATCATCGAGCTCGTAGCGGGGACCCTCGAAGATCTGGATGGAGTGGTGTTGGATATCCGAAAGGATCTAGGCCGTAATTAGCATATTTGCAGAAAACAAATCAAAGAAAGGAGGAATAATGCATACTCTCTGCTTGAAGAGGGCAATCTCTTCGTCGGTAAGGGTGTCGGCCTTGGCGATGACTGGGATCAAGTTGACCTTGGTGTGCAGGCGGCGCATGACTTCGATGTCCAAAGGCTTCAAGGAGTGGCCAGTTGGCTGGATGAAGTAGACGCAAGCATGGACGCGGTTGTCAACAATGTTCATGCGGTTGACCTTGTTCTCAGCATCGAGGTAGGCGTCGAATCTCTGCTCAATGTTCTCAACAATTGGGCGCCAGGAGTCGTCGTTGTTGACGAAGTCACCGAATCCGGGGGTATCGACAACGGTAAGGCGCAGGCGGACACCGTTCTCTTCGATGTCTGCGCTGATGGACTCGACGGAGACGGTCTTGGGGATGATATCGAGGCTTGGGCCGGTGCGTTCCCGTGGTGGATATAGGGATGTGTTGAAAAGGGTGTTGACGAGGGTAGACTTTCCAAGACCAGATTCGCCTACGCCATTGTTAATACTGTATATATATGCGAAATATGCAGTCTACTTACCAACGACCATGACATTAAAGTTGAATCCCTTTCGTACACTCTTGCGGTGCCACTGGTTAGGCAGGTTCGCGAAACCAACGTAGCCGGCCAGTTTTCGGCGGACGACGTTCTTCATGTCACTGGCAGCCTGGGCAGCGGCCTTGGGGTCCTTTGAACTAACGGTCTGAGCCGCTCCCTGGCCCATGGGGTTGCTGCGTTCGACATGTGGAGAGACATGGGGAGAAGGGGGAGCAGGCGAAGGTCGAGTAGGGGTGGGGATACCGTTAGACGTAGCTGGTTCGATGGGAGAATCATTGTCAGTTTCACGGTCATAGTCAGATTCAGAGTCAGGAGTAATTTCGTAAAGAACTCCGGGAGATATAGGTTTATCTGCGTCTAGCAAAATCTCATGAACAGTAACGGCCTGCACATTCGTGCCCACGATATGGGCATTGATGGCAGCCTCGTCGTCCATCTTGATCATTCCAGACCTTCTTGTATTTTACAAGTTTTTATTCTGCTAGGATACGTTCTATCCAGCCTGAACAAAGGAAAGAGAACGAGTGATGGAAAGGGAAAATGTGATGGCCGATTTGTTCAAGAATCAACTGTCCAGCGTCGCACAGGAACACCTCTAGCGCATCGAAAAAGAATCTCCAACCGGTCGACCAGATCAGAATGCAAAGTCAGGGGGGAAAGGCTCGAGGCTTACCCATCGTGAAGGAGTATTTATCTCGACGGCGAGAGGGAATGCGAAGAACGCTTTTTGTGGTAGTCGGAGAAGGTGAGACCTAGAAGATACGCAGTCAGCAACGCAAAAGCAGCAGCGAGGAAGGAGAAAAATAGAGACAGCGAGAAGGGAGAAAGCTCGAGGCCGGCGTACGTTGCTTCAATATCCAATTGCGACTGCAAGACGGTCGAGGTGAGCGTGTGAGAGAGAGCAAGGATGGTCCTGTTGGGTGGTGGCCGAAGAAAAAAAAGGGTTAAAGCTATGAAGCCACGAAAGACAAGGGTGGTCAATGAACGAGAGACGGAGAATGAAACAGGCGAAGCACCGCAGGACAGCGAGTGCAGAAGTGAAGGCGAGGGCAAACGGAGTCGAGCAAGGGGAAGAGAGGAAGAGAGAGAGAGAGGTTGGAGATAGGAGCGACGACGAGGTGAAATTGTTGTTCTCAGGAGAAAGGGGGTTGGCGGTTGGTGGCCCGCCGGGGCGATCGCGGGCCCCTTTTTTTCCACCTGTAATCTGCTTTCCATACCACCACCACAATCCTGCATGCTTACACGACCTACACTACTTAGACGCTACTTTATATACCGCTATAGACGGGGTACATGGCCGGGTTATACAGCTAGACGGCGGTTGGACACATCCGTTGGCGTCCTTGGATACATTCGAGATACATCCCGTTTGTGTCAGCGAAAACGGGCGCCCCTGGACTCCTGGTTGGCCGTCGCTTGTCCATTTCGTCCGCCTCGGCCTGCTGATTGGGCTGTGAAGGGATGCGAGCGTAAGTTATTTACCATCGGTACGTGACAGCCGCGTTGTGACAGGTACTGAAACATGGACGATGCGATAGACCTGAGGACTCTGTAGCAGATGGAGATGGATGACTCTGTAGGAGATGATGGAGAGATGATGAGATAAAAGATGGAGAGAGACGTCGTGGCAGACGACGTGGTAGATGCTCCGTATGTCTTCTGGCGAGAACAAATGTATGAAGTATTCTGTAATGAAATAAATGTACTTCGTAGACGAAGAGAAGGCATCCTGCATCGTCAGGAGTTCAGCTCGACCATGGCTGCGTCTCTTGTCTTAGACATCACGGAACATTCTCACCGGCATGGCAGCGTTTCTTTTGAAGACACGGAGTAGAAACGTTTCTTTTAGGATTCTTCACCTCGCTGTGCCTCGGTCGATCGATCGATCTCGCCAGCTCCCTTGCTCATGGCATCCGATATCGTACTCCGTAGCTCCCTTGTTATCAGATCTGGGACCGTTGATGGTTGAGGATGAAGCTTGGGTCCTGGAACGGCCGCCGCAAGGTTCGAGGTACGCCCGTAACTATCGTCTCGGGTTCGTCCATCTATCCGTCTCTGTAGAGTACGGCGAGACGCATATCCCTGCTGTCTGCGTCATGATAGATACTCGCATTTCATGCCCGGATTTTTCATTCCTGGAGATCCGACTTGCCACTCCTCGCAGCGAGCTCTTTCGCTATTACGGACTCGTTAACTGATCATCCAGCAAGCCACACTATGGGAAAAACTTACTTATGGAATCAACGGCGCCAAGGATGCTAATTCTTCGCTCCCCTGACCGTCCTTGACGAGCGGAGATTCGCTTTGACCAACCACCCGCCCGCACGGAGTATACCTACGTACCACGCATATAAATAATTTATATATAGAGTAACTCCGTGGTCGTCCATCGTTCCTTGTCGACCGTTCCGTCATCTGCTGTCCTTTTCGATCGCCATCGGTTCTCGTCCGGGCAAATTTCGTTCTTTCGCCTAATATCATTCGACGGCCCCGTCTATACTCAGGACATACCCGGGACATCCAGCTATATAATCGCATTTAACACAGGTGCCCATTCGCGACCCATCTTCGTCAGGGTGCAGGTTACACATGTCGGGAAGTACGAATCCCAATCAACGCGCAGACAATGGCAGCGGTAGTGATGCATCGCGCACATCGATAGCGGTCATCGGCAGCGGTATGGCGGGTCTGGTGACTGCGTACCTGCTGCAGCGCGATGAGAACCATAGCCGGAAATTTGATATTGAAGTCTTTGAATCGGTATGTATAATGGCCTGATCGTTCCGCTCCAGATACCCGGCTCTTGCCATACCATTCCCTCCATTGAGTGCAACTCGATATGTCCGAAATGACCCAATTCGATTTATTTGCGCTGCTTCTGGCCTGGATCGAAAGCCGGTGTTTCTCGCTTAATCATGTTGGGCATCGGGCCGGGCTGGTATGGTGTGACTATCACTCGTGTGTGACCAGTTGTTTCGGATGCACAGTCTTTCTCTCAAGGCGACACAGGCACAGGCACGGGAAGCTAACAGCCACGATCTGTAGCAAGAAACATTATCTCTAGACTCGGCGTCTGTGACCATTGAATCAAAGGATGGAGGGGCCGCACAGCACATCAATCAGCCTATGCGCGACTTCGATGAAGGCTTCTATCCGAACCTGAAGCGCATGTATGATTATCTCGGCATCCAATGTGATCCGAAGAAGTTCCTCTTCAGCTTCTCATATATGCCCAAGGCGGACCCGGGGGACCCATCTGCGCAAGACCACGAAGAAGCAGCTGCTCAGGCCAAAGTGTCATTCGTCCATTCTTCAAATAATCACCAGCTCCCTCCCATCCGCCCAGAAGGGTTAAGCTTATGGTCATGGATTGGAGAGATAATATATCTCGCCTTCTTTTTCGCATGGTTCATCGTCGCTTGTTTCTGGATAAACCCAGGTAAAGGACATCGGAAACCCTCGACTATGGATCAGGATTACCCGGAATCACTAGAGGAGTACTTCCGCCGCATCCATCTTCCAACATACTTTGTAGACCGATACATCATACCCTCGTTTTCCAGCATGTCAACATGCTCGCACCGTGAGATGCTCTCCTTTCCAGCCAATGACATAGTGCAGTACATCCGGCGCACCTACGGCGCACCGCATTATCTTGTACGCGCTGGAATTCGAGAAGTCGAACGCACCCTCTCCAAGGGTCTAAACATCCGGCTCGGAGCACGAGTCACCTCTGTCCGTCAGGCTGGTACTTCAGTCATGGTATGCTGGGAATCGACGTCTTCCGCGTCTGAGCTGGCAGGTGAGAAAATCCCGCCCATGTCAAGCTGCCAGAGGACATTTGACCACGTAATTCTCGCTATACCGCCAAATGCAGTGGGAGCAATCTTCGAACCTCTCCGCGCAGAAACATCCGTAATACCCACGACATCCGTTGAGGCATTCATCCACACCGACTATTCTACCATTCCATGTATCCGCTCGTCACCATCACCATCAGCAGAAGTAGGAACGGCTTCAAACGCAGAAAGCCAATGGATCCATCTTCGGTCCACGCCTGAATCAACAGAATCCATCCATCAACATCCTTCGTCATACATAATAACAAACTCTCCCCTGACACCTATTGAGCCTGGCAAGATCGTCCATCGCGCGTATTTCACACGAACGCTACGCACACCACAGAGTAGAGACATAGTTAATCGTATCTTTGATAAGACAAGCTCCATCTCTGAGGAGGAGAAATCGGGGGAACACGAATCACGGAAGAAACAGCCTGTTCAATGGCGGAACGGGGATGGGAACGTGTGGCTCGTCGGTAGTTGGTGCTGGGATGGGATGGTCCTATTAGAGGGTTGCATTGTATCCGCCATGCGTGTTGCCGATGAATTTGGTGTCATGGTTCCCTGGGCTAAAAGCTGAGTGTCACCCGTGGTGTTGTGGCTGTGGTTGTTTAGAATGTATACCCTGTACTAATTGCCATTTTGGGCTGCTCATATAGATGAGAAATTTTTTTTTTGGCAATTGTAGTGATTCTCCCGGCTTCCAATTATACCAAGATAGTAGTTATACATGCGCTCAAAAATTAAATGTGTAGGCGATATGTGTTAATTACGCTAATAGATGCTTCGGTTGCATATTTAAATCATGTCAGAAACCCCCTTATCCCGGCTTATAGAGGTCGTAGTCCATGCGTCCAAATCATGATGCTCCAAGTAAAAAAAGGGAAACAAAATTGTAGGTAAAGATTCCGTAGTGGTATGGTAGAATGTACAAACTGGAATAGTGTAACACTGGTGATAGACGCCGCCAAGTCGGGTAGAAAGCTCACAAGATAAACCCAGAAAGAAAGATCATAGAGCTGCCTTACGCGTTACCTTTTACCTTTGGTTTCCGGCCTCTCTTTTTCGGGGCCTCGTCTTGGGATATATCAATATCATCATCTGAATTGGCAGCCTTTTTGGGCTTCTTGAGCTTCGCTTTCGCCGCGCCGGCCTTCTTCGCGCCAGCTCCAGCCTTCTTCGCTTTTGCGGCTTTCACATACTTGTCCTTCTTTAAATCTAGGTCGCTTTCTTCGTCCTTGACCTCTTCTTCACCCAGGATTTCTTCGGCATCGTCTGATTCGTCAATTGCATCTTCCAAGTCTGGTTTTACTTTGGGTAGCTTCTTTGTCGATACAACACTGGACGCTTTCATGAACGGCAAAGGGTGGGAGCGTTGATTGTATAGACGTGTGAAGGTTGCCTTTGTTTGGGAGTGGATGTTGATATTCTTCTCATTCATAGGACCAAGGCCGAGCTCAGTGATAGAATCATAGTCGTCTCGGGTTAAGAAGTAGCTGTCCATGAAGTCGATGACTTCATCGACAGCCTCCTTGCCATCAATCTCCATTCTCCTGACGGTCTTATTCCAGATTGCGGGTAGGTATTGCTGGCGAACATCATGTCGGTCGCCTGAGGCACGCAGACGCATGTGCCCCTGAATTTCCTTGACTTGTCTTGCCATTTTGCCTAGAGGAAGAAAATGTGAGTATTAGGCATATCCGAAGGTACGGGGTATATGGTTTCTTACCTTGTTTACTATTATTACCCAACCAACTAGTAAAACCAACCCTATCCATCATATTTCCAGCCATAAAACTAGCGGGCCTCACAAAACTGAACGCTGCGTGCGTTGGCATCAGACTCCATTGCTGTTGCGAGCCATGGATCATTCTATCCACTAAGTCGCCATCGCTGATGCTCTCTGCAGCTTTATCAGCTAGCTCCAGTAATTTGTACTGCCTCTCCTTGCCACTATAAGTGCTGGCAGCCATAGGGTTTGTTTTTAAATAATTTTCTTGCAGCATGAGGTAACTGAACTCATGGTCGTTGAAATACAGTTCAATCTTTTCGTTGAGAGTCGACTTTGAGCTTGCAGCAAACATTTGCGCACTCAGGATCTTTCCAGCGATATCCCAGGGCTTCAGGATAACATGTTTCTCCCATGCTTTCGACATTTCCTTGCCTTGATCATAATCGAGGTTACTGGTGCTGAGTTTTATCGTTGATAGCATGTTAATTACTTGTCGAATATCGGCGTGGGTTCCTTCAATTAGGCCATCAAGTACCTGCGGCGGTATCTTTATGCCTTCTCGGTAACATATGGTAAACAATCGTGCACGAATTTGCTCTGCCGTTGGTCGTCTGAATGGCAACTCGAATGTGACGTGGTTGAAAGGCTTCATTTTGGGTAGTCTTCGTTCATTGCAAATGAGGATTATTGGAATCCTTGTTTTCTTTGCAATAGCAGCCACAGCACCAACACCACCTCGATCGCCGGCAGACATTCCGTCAACTTCATCCATAATCATAACTAAATTCTTCTTGCCAGGTTCTACTTTCTTCCCCTCGCCCGAAAAGTATCCTTGTAGAGATGTAGTATCAAGGACTCCGCGTAATGATGTTTCAAGTAGTTTTTTGCTTCGAGTGTCGCTGGCGTTTGTCTCGACAATATCAAAGTTCTCAAGCTTCGCAACTAGATGAGCAGCTGTCGTCTTCCCAATGCCTGGAGGGCCGTGTATCATAACGGTACGATAAGTCCCAGATCCGTCTTTACCAGGCTTTTTGAAACCAGCTCTAGCGTTCGAATGCCAGGTACGGAGCCAATGTTGAAGTTTTTCCACTGTGCCTTTGTTTCCACAGATCATATTAAGGGAAGTAGGAGCGTATTTAGTGGTCCAGAGTCGATCGTCAACAGCTTCATTTTTATCCCCAATGCTCTTAGACTTAGAGCTCTGACTTAAAACGCTGGGGGCTGGAGCCTTCGATACCGTACGTTTCTTTTCCTCACGATCTATCTCGGCCGCCATTTCTTTGATTTTTTGCTCCTCGGCCTTTTTCTTTTCGGCATACTGAATAGCTGCCTTTCCATCCCCCCCGTTTGCAGGAAGTTTCCTAATCAACTCGAATAGACCCTCCTCATTGATTGTCTTGAGTTTGTACTTTTGGATGGTCTCAAGCTTCTTCGGACCAGCATCGCTACCTAGCACGACATAGCTCGTTTTCGAGCTGGGAGCAGTCATACTTTTGCCTCCATATTTTTTCACCAAAGTCTGCCCTTGCTCTCGACCAAGGGTCTGGAGAATGCCTGTGAAGACAAATGAAAGGCCGGCGAGACAGTTTGGCTCTCCAACGGGTAAATCTGCATTATCAATGGCACCATTGGATTGAGCTCGCTGAGCAGCTGCGGCGAAATTAAATTTCTTCGTCTCTGTTGGTGGTGAAGGTGCTTTAACTTCAGGAATACTATTAAGTATGTCCTGTATTTCTTTGCTTTCCGGTTGATCCACCTTGTTTGCCCTTGGTTTCTTTGGGGTAGACTTGGATGCTGTTTTCGAGGCCCGCGCACGGGGAGTTTTCTTCTTCTTTTCACCATCGTCCTCACTCGCCCCCTCGTCTTCGCTCAGGGCAGCTGACTTTCTCTTCTGCACTTTTCGGTTAGGTTGAAGTGCTGGACTTGACTTCTCCGTCTTTGATGTATCTACCGCAGTTGGAGGCTTCACAACCATATCATCGAAATCCGACCCTTCATCTTCCTCATAGTCATCATCGGCCTTTCCGGATGTCTGAAATTCGGAGGCAAAAATATCGTCTCCTCCCAGATGTTCCTCCGCGTCGACGATCCGCTCTACTTTAGAGGGCTTCTTTACTTCTTCTTTTGCGACTGGTGGAGGTTCATGGATTTCAACTGAAGGAACATTTTTGGCAGCTTTCCGTGGGCTCTCTCGTGTGACTAAGGCGGTCTTTTCCAAGTTGGGTGTCTTCGACTGCTTAATATCAGTAGATGTGCTCGGTTTGCGGCTCTTCTTGCTTGAGCTAAAGTATTCCGATGTCGTGGTAGGCTCAGCCTTTGGCTCTTCGGGTTTTCTATGGAGGTTGATGTCAATTTTTCGAGTCATGTGTTGTGAATATCCTGGATTATGGGGTCTCACTGTTTTTTCTTTGGCTGGGGCTTCGGGGGAGCTTTAATAGGCGTGTCATCGTCATCGTCGCTATCATCCACGACTTTTCTACTTCCTAACCGATAGTTAGTATAGAGTTCTTAAGTATAGATCGTAGCAATAAACATACTCCTTTTTCGAGGATTTGATTTGTCCTATAACAGTTAAAATTTGCCATCATTAGCAATAAAATCCCAATATTAAATCCGTTGCTTGCGTGGTATACCTCTGATGGCTTGGGTGCTGGCTTAGCAGGCTTTGGTGCTGCACCCTGGCCTCCTTTTGGGCCAAAAAAGTTTCTGATGTCTGGTGCCATGTTGTCTATCACAACAGTAGACGATAACTGCCCCAGATATTCAGCTTTGGTGTTCAATGTTCGTGCTCCAAAAGTCCCATTTACCAGCAAGAGTGAGAAACACGTCCACTTTGGGTTGGCGTTTCCCAAAGACGCGCCAAAGCACGTGATTATATTAATATTAGATTAGGTAATCTATGGATGTGCTTAGGTAATTCACTGCGATGGATGCAACTTTTGAAGGGAAAGCTTGATACGCAGGGAAGAGCCAGCATTCCACGCCATTGTCTAGCTCTCATACACCATGGGCCCGTCATCGAGGGCATTCACCCCGTCTGGGATGTTCTCAATTCCATCGAGAAGTTAGTCTGACCTTATCCCGCCCCTGCAACTCTCTGGCTAACTCTTTCTCAGTATCTTCGATAACTACCTCCACTGCACGATGTTTTTCCACGACCTCCCCAGCATCCAGTTGGCTGGTCCCCAAGCTGGCAGAGAAGAGTAAATCGCAAAAGGGACGACCGCACATGGCCACCGGTGGATCTTCTCGCGGCACAACGGTGGTTTGGGGCGATTACGGCCTTCGAATGGTTGATCACGACCGAAGAATGCCCGCATCAGCGCTGAAGATTGGTTATGAAACGATTCAGAAGCGACTAAGAGGAATGAACTATAAAATTTTCCCTCGAGTCAGTGCCAATATCGGTGTTTATACGAGTGGTAACGAAATGCGAATGGGAAAAGGAAAGGGTAAATTTGATTATTGGGCAGCGAGGGTCGGAGTCAGTCGAGTCATTTTCGAACTGAAGGGAGATGTACACGAAAAGGTTGCCAGAGACGCGTTTAGGTTGGCCGCTCACAAGATGCCTGGTAAGTCAATGTGTTGGAATATTGGGTGGGTTTGCTACCTATAACATAATACTAACAGTAACGTTTAGGAGTGTATGAATTCGTAAAGAAAGGCGACCCGCCCGTTGTTGGTATTACCAAACTGAAAGACGGTGTTACTCTGGAATCACTCAAAAGGCCGCGAAGGGCAGTTCCTCTCAACTCGAAACCCGAGGCTGTATCAACAACACCGGCACCCCCTTCCTAAGGCGAGGCATTGATATTCTGGGAATTACGGCGTTGGATGTACATTAGTTGTAATTTAAACTTATGTCAAATATAGAGCTTTTTATCCTCTTCAATTTTTGGTATAATATATGGCTGAAGTTCGGCTCGATAACAGGCAGAGGATTGAAAGTAATAACAGTCAAAATGTTAAAATATATTGTATATCTAAATCTCCCTTGTCGTGATATGATGGAGAAGGTGCAGACTAAATAATCTAGCAACAGTGGCCCCAATGCTAATAGTTAACAATGCTGTTCGTTCAACCTTCCTCTCAAAAATCGAGCCCCATCAAATAACTATCTAGAATTAGTATCATAAAAATTGTAGGGACTGAATTATCACCAGCGAGACATACCTTTCAAGAATCCTCATAAACTTCGCGACAAAGGCTTCAAGGTGGAAAATAACTTTCTAAGCGGCGACTGTATGTTAGTGCGGTCCTCGATTTGTTAAAAAAAAAAAAGGAATTGACAAATTGCACACGTACACTTCCAAGCTTTATCCTATGTTCGTAGAAGGCTGACCATTTAATGACTTCAGGCTTCAGAGCATCATCAATTTTCGGTATTAGTTTGAATGTGAGGGTCTGTTGCAACAATGTTTAGTGACTGATCCATATCTCCAAGAGAAGGTTTCTACGTTTCAGCGTTTCACATATTACCTTTAGAATAGTTGTGGGCGGTATACAATGGGTTAGTAGGTCATATAGTCGGGCTCTCACTTGAAGTATCCTAGCAGGAGACCGCTCTGCCATGATTTCTTCGGCTACCACAGAGATCAGCGCCTCCCAGTCTGGTGGAGGGATTGGCGTATCGTCCGCTACTTTCTCACTAAAGTAACGGTCAGCATTGCATCAAGCCATTTTCTGAGTGGTAGTCGTAGTAAAGAAGAACGAGCTCACTTTTGCGCATGAACTGCCTCAAACATGAGAAGGGCCCGGCGTAAATTCCTCCCACTCTCCTTGGCTAACCGTTTATTGAGCGCTGGACAATCATTCCAACCCTCTTTCTTTCCAGCAAGCTTTAGAGCCTGGCAAATGTCATCCTCCGTTGGCGCAGCAACTCGGACCAGCAGCGTTCTCGATCGGATCGGGGCAATAATGTTGGCGGTAGTGTTGGCAAGTAATATTAATCGCATGTTGGGACTGTATTTCTCCATCGTTCTCCTGAGTGCCGCCTGCGCATCTCTGGAAAGATGGTCTGCTTCATTGATAACAACAACCTTGAATCGCTGTTTAGCGGATTGATCTACCTGCTGTGTCTGTGCAATTTCTTTTAAAAGTTCCTGGACCACAACCCGATCGTAGTTGCCCACATCCGACGGTGTGAGTTCAAGGTGATATATAGAAGAAACAATGTTGAATTCTAGCTTCCGGTTACTGCTTGTCTGAAAGACGCGGGCATCAATCTTAATTTTCTCAACACCGGGTCCATATAGCTCCTTCAAAGTAGCAATAATTCTGGTTTTCTTGCCTGCACCGGATGGTCCATAGACAAGAAGATGAGGGAAATCGCCGCTTTGTGCCTAGAAGGTGTCTCAATGTTAGCCTTGCGAACATAAGGAAGTCCGAACAGGGCCATACCAGAGCTTTAAGGCGAGCTGAAAGATCATGATGATACGTAAGCGCATCGAGGGTCTTCGGTCGTAATCTGTCAACAAGGAGTGCCATTGTATCTGTTGAATGATCAATTGGGGGGGCTATTTTTTTGAGCTGTGGTGTTTTTGATGGTGAGGGCAAGCTCCAGGCGCGTCAGGGACGCGATTCTATTTAGCAGCCGGTTTGCGGCTGAGTCAGCCGTCCTCCATCAACGACAATCTTTAATATAATGTTAACGAGTCCGAAATATAACCTCCAGTAGTACGGAGTGCGGTTTGGCCAGATCGAGCCTTCGGGATACTTAAATATTCTGGGGGGATGTGGGGTGGAGGAATGGGTAGCTGTTATGCTCAATGGTGGCAGCAGATATGCCTATCTTCCTTACCGTAGAGTATTACTTTTGTTCGATGGATAGTTCTGGTTTCAACATCTATATATGATTATGGCCGGGGCTATCAAGCTGCCTGTTGCTTCATAATGCAAGATGCACCAGTTGAGGCTAAGAATAGCTAATGTCACTGTACCTATAAATATATCTAATATCTAAATATACACACCCAATTCTGGGATTTTTTTACACCATGAGGGGAGACCCTGTATCCAAACGCCAAAAATGCAAAATAACGGTGCAGGTTGTTTTGGATCGCGGAGTATCTTCATATCCTAGAGGCAATTTTAGTCGTGGCCTTGCGGTATAAATTTTTGGAGTTAAACGTCGCGTAAGTTATAACGAGGAGTATGGAACTAAGGCATTGCCCGTAAAACACCGTCTTTATCATATCGAGCTTCTGTGAACGGGGGTATTTATTAGTAGACAATTCCACAATGGGCCGAAGGAGCCAAGTATAAGTGAAAGGAACGTACTGAAAAAGGTATATGATAGCGTAATCGTATCAATTCCCCTCATGGCAGGATCTTTGGCGAAATCCGGGTCAATAAAGAAGAATACAGGCATATCCACCGTCTCTCCAGCATTCAGTCTCTGTTCTTCAAAACAAAAACACTGAATCTTGCTGAAATAAGGTGAAACCTGAGCTGGAGTCACACTATATGTTGCAACACCAATTATGTCCTTGTCACCTTTGTTCGATGCAGTATAAAATGCCAATGCGGTTTCTCCGGGAAGGACGCGCACTTCACGCTGTTGTGGAGTAAATTTCCAAGGCAACACATCGGACACGGAAGCATTGAACGTTATGCGAAGACGGCGGGAATCTGTGAGCGGTATGAGGCGGGAGGAAGTATCAGTGTTTGTGAGATGTGTTGAAACGGGCTGGCCGTTCCAGCCAGTTTGTTGACATATCTGCAAATTTGAGCCTTGTAAGCTTCAACTCAAAACGAACGGCTACAACAAAGCAAGCGAAGGCTATCAAACCATTTTGTACATTGGCACGGAGCCATATGAAACCGCGACAGTTCCGATGATAATGCTGATCGTATAGTACCTAAGAAAGTGTAGACCATTAACAACGCGGCCTTTGAATAGGCGCAGCTGTGAACTCACATTGTCGACGTATTTTTGTTATCCCATCTTAAGCTGCGCTTCGCATTTGAAGCTGATTGCTGTCTCAGCGGAGTTTGGCTTGCAAACCCTCGGGTCGGTATTCGGCATCTTGTGTTGCTGAATGTCCTAATTGCGGTTGAGATCCGTAAACCCGTGGCCGGCTGGGCCCATAGTGATATTAACCGCTCCATTGTGGTTTTTCTGAATGATCCCGAGATTCGCGTCGAGAAACGTCGTATGAGAAGCAATTAGAGGTATGGTCTTAGCGCCGCGCCAATATATTATCACGTGATATATAAGCGGCGTCTAAATAACTTCAGGTTAGCGATGTCTTGGCAGGTACTCTTTATGAGGAGAAGGTACGGAGTAATAACAACCAACAAACAACATCGGGATACATTGCTCTTTGTACAGACCCCATAATGAGATTTAAAAGAGTTGGAGATATCAAGAACTATCCTAGTATACATCGGGGGCCATTGGAACATGGCCTTTTATTCCTTTGGTTGAATATATGCTGGCTCGGATTCATGGCTCCTATTCATCCTGACCCTCGATATCCTAGCACAGGCTCTAAGATGGCATCCAAGCCGTTTTCAAAGGTAATTCGGCCATTGGCTTTTTTTCTGACCCAAAACTAGTCCGTACTACCCGTGGTGGAACCTACCCCGATCTGGCTGCCGAGAATCGTGGGAAACCGTGTTCTTATGGAGAAACAGCTGTTATCTCTTAAATTTCCAGCAAATAAGAATCTATATTTTTGCCATCCCATTTCATAATCACCGTGTGTAGTACTCGACAAAGATGTTGATCTGTTCAGTTTATTTGCGTTTGGCCTGCGATCGATAGTGCATGCTTGGATGGTCGGCCCAACAATGGGCATAAAGCCCCAAGATATGATACTTGACCCTGTAAGTTTCTATAGTGTCTGGTGCTTTTAACCACTTGTCTTAACCCTTATCTAGGGATTGGTTTCCACGCTTTTGTAGACACCTCTGCCAATCGCAGCTTGGACAGGGGATCCCTTTCGAAGGCCCTGCTCTCAATGTGCAAACCTCTAACCCATGGCAGCCCGCCCTCCCAAAAGTCAGTGCTTGAAGCCACCATGCAAATTCAGTTTTGAAACATCCGACCCTGGTCATAACTTCCACACCTCTATAAGTAAAAGCGGATCTACCCGTGGGGAGTACCTTCGTGACAGAACTAGGGGCTGTAGCAATCCCTGGCATTACTAGTTCACATTCAATTATTGTTTCCTTGAAGTTCATGCAGGCACGGTGACCTACATCTTTTTGAGCTACTAGGTGCATACTCCTGTGGATTAATACATTCCCAGTCACTATCCGGGCTCCAACCGATGGATGCTAAAGAATAAAAGTTTGCTATGATAGTTGTCACGAGCAGAACTACCTCGCTAAGACCTATGAAATTTGCAGGTCTGGGCAAAATGTCCATATATATACTCCGTACTTCATCGGTGGGTCCACCATCTCTGAAGGAAGGATATACTCGTTGTGGGGAGATATCGGCTGATTGGATCTTCCCACTCCATTCCTGCCTAGCGGGACTATACCAGCATTGGCTAGATTTTGGTTTCACAGCACCTTGCCCCTTACACTACACGAAGGATTAGCTGTCACACTACTCCGTACAGTGAAGGGCTTACGAGCTAAGGGGAATGTAATACATTTGGAGAAAAGATTAAAAAGGCGTTGGACACCGATGCAGACGGCTGGATATCCCAGTATCTGACCGAGAGAGGAGGGCAGAAGAACAAAAGCCAAAAGTTATGCCAATTATATACACAGAAAGTGTAGGCAGAGGATGAAACATAATTATATACGCAGAAAGCGTAGCCGTAGGATAAAACAATGGAGGAGCGAACGAAAGATGGCTATTTCCTATCAAGCTGTAGGAAACATGCACCATACCAATTAAATATCAAATTTCCCCATTATCCCGTTCCTGTTGACACACATCTCGATCCGCAGCCAACGTCATTACCATCTGCTTCCCAAACAACAGCCCATTATGATTCCGGTCATAATTCCGGGAGCTTGGTTGTGAAAAGATTATTTTCAAGAACACAAGACATTAGTAGAGGCCAACACAAGTGTTAGAGTCTATTCTGTCTGCTTTTTGCTGCGATGAGGCACAGCCTCCTCGGACATCACCCCTTGTGATTGCTCTCATCTCTGAGCAATCTTGCTTAGGGAGAAGTTTGTTTACTTCCGGTACCAGTTTTCTTGTGGGTCTCCCAAGCACTCTCCAATGGTAACCGCTATATGACCAGAGGTTAGCCAGGTATTCAACAAGTAATAATAAACCTAAAATGGGAATTATTGGATAACATACCCTTCAAGCCTCTCTTCTTCACCTCATCCAACAGTTGCTGCATCAGAATCTGAACCGTCGTCTGATGGACATCATGGCACAATACAATTGATCCACCGGCATCCAATCCAGTCTGGAAGTTTTTAAAGCTGATTGGTACGCCTTGAGGTGTGGCGTTCTCATAGTCCTTGGTGTCGACGTTCGCGTCGAGCATGTGATATTGGAGTTCGGCCATGGTCTTCAAGACAACGTCGCTGTACGCGAAGTAGGGTGCACGCATGTAGGTTGGTTTATAGCCATTGATAAGGGGGGAGAGGACGTTTTCGAGTTTTGTCATTTCGGTGATGATTCCGGTACGGTTGAGCATGGATAGATCCGCATGAGAATACCTGGGAATTTGTTAGTCCTTTAGCTACAAAACGCAAAGCCTTTGAGTAAATACTCACGTGTGTGATCCAAGCTGATGGCCCCCATTGAAAGCACGGAGCATCACGGCAGCGTAGTCCTGAATGCTGCCAAAGTTCATCGCGTTGACGAAGAATGTCCCCTTAGCGCCATTCTTCTCGAGGATATCCAAAAGCTCGTTGGTATAGTCGAACGGACCGTCGTCAAAGCTGATAGCTATGGTGCCAGGAACAGTGCAGTTCGAGAGTACTTGGCCATAAGGAATTGAGGAGTTGCCAGGTGTCGTGGGTGGCATGGTCGGCATGCCGGTTGGGACCACTGTCGGAGAAGCGGTGGGTGTGGGGATAGTTGAAGTTGGGACTGGCTCAGTAGGGGTTGGCTGATCCGTGGATGAAGGAACAGGAACAGGCTCCATCGATGTTGGCACTGGATAATGCGGAATTGGGAAATGCGGAATTGGGAAATGCGGAATTGGGCGATGCGGACGGGGGGGCCAATGGCTATTGCCTGGAAAAGGCCACCAGGGGTATCGAGGTTTTCCAATTGCTCGTGTCTGTCCCTGGTGCAATGGGCCGGCTGCAATGCAGCAAGCAAGCACAGCAGCGATAACGAGTATGTAGAGTCGGCTCAACATGATGCCGATGCAAATATGTACAGTAACTGAAAGTTGTAAAGAGTGTGCTGTATATCGAAACGAATGTAAATGCTGTAAAGAGCGTGTGGCATACACAGGCAAATGGCAATGCTATAAAGAGCGTAATGAATATATGTATATAAACGAATGTATATAGACGGCGAGAGGGCGGTCTATTGTGGTATTAATGCATTTTGGATAGAGAAAGCATCCATGGATGGGAGGTGGAGAGTCAGGGAGCTTTATATCTCAGACTGGCCCTGGACCTTGCCCTTGAATGCATGGCGAGGCTTGAATACTGAGAATGTCAGAGATAGAGAGACCTCTGTGTTTGTCTGGATCGATCGGCTAAGCTCGAAACCATCCACTTTCGTACAAACGCCAGGGGAATGCTGGTCGAAATCTCGGAAATGAGCATTTTTGGTAAGTGTACGGAGCACCTCTCCAGCTGCTTGGCCGGCACCCATTAGATGGCCACCACACAGGATTTTTAGCAATCGTGGATAGGTAGATCACACCTTGGGCGAGTGCCTCTCGTACTCGGTACCAAGCCATCTAGCCTTCCGCAGCCTATGCAACTGGCCTTACAGGTGATGATAGGGGTATAAGCATCACATCACCGGAAATAGAACCTAATTGTGTTCTATAGACCAGTCTCTTGGGGTGTGGATGATTGAATGGGCTCAATCTTTGCGATCCAGATGGAAGATCTCGGCCGGACGAACAGAAGGGCAGGCCACCGACGATCCTCCTGGTCGATCTGATGGGAGAAAAAATCGGTTCCTGGGCCACAATGCGACATCGCGAGTCAGGGCCAGGGTAACTCGAGAATACAGCAAGGTTGCCACCAAATTACTCTACCCGAGGCATGCCACGGTATGGGGTATTCGTGTTTTGAGCTGTCTTGGTGTGAGAATCGTGACTATTCCAAGAGTTGAGAGTAGAGTTTAGTGCGCGACGTTTCATAAACCGAGCTACTATGGGCCCTTGACATCATGGCAGGGGTAGTTGATGGAAGAACTTTTACCCACAGATAGTGTACCTGACTAGGTCCCGCCGCCATCCAGGTCCCTGGCCACCCAGCCAAAACTTCAAACAAGATCCCATATTTTTAGTTGGGTGGCCAGGGACATTTGATCGCGGGCAGGATGCCGGGCAGGGGCCTTGGTGAGAGACACACCTCCCGGAACGGGGTGGCGGCATCTCAACATTGCTGGCGACTCAACGAGTGACAACCTGATGAAACGTCGCCGGGCAAATCGTTGCATTAGACGATAGATAATCCGGCCCCGGCGCTGGAGTTTTGTCGTTCTTACTTTCCTCTTTTGATCCAGCTTCATGGAAAGCTTGTCGGTTAGACACCATCATGGTGCTCCGTACTCCGTAAAGCATGGCAAGATGGACAACGGAGCCCTGTACCTAAGTTTAACTGTGGGCGGAGGTTGCAGATTCCTGGAAACGGACCTACACAAAGAGGAATGCCAGTCTTAAGACGAGGCTACTATGGTTCTCGCGCTTGTCAAGGTTATCAAGCTATGACAATGGCAAGTGCTTGCATAAATTGGTTATGCCAGCCATAACTTCGACCATTATACCCACGAAAAATTCCGGTTTCCGTGTGGAAGCAAGATTGTTGTAAGCGATGTGGATCGGGCCTTGGCAGGGACGGGGGAATTCCGTCTGTGATCCAACATTATTCAATGTAGCCTTCTATCTGCCCTGGAAGAGCCTCGAATTTGTCAGGATTGACGCATGGTTGCGATTGAGAGACCGTCTAGCCTTGCACTGAGACGTTCCTCCACAGCTGCATGAGCAGCTTCAGCTTTCCGATTATCATCGTGTCGGGATTGGCGATCTCGTAGTGTGAAACTGGTAGCCATTGTCCTTGAGGATCTTCGTGTCTGCGGACGCAGCCCTCGATATCGACAGAGTGAAGAAAGTCCGCTAGATTATTATCCCTGACGGACAGCCACGATATTCCCAGTGACAGAGGGAGTTGACATCCCCTGGCACGAGCTTTCTTTTCGCTACTTGGTTATAAATAGAAATATATATCTAGCTTCATTTGCTCGGCAACCTCTTTCAGGTACAAATCTATTATTTAGTTCTCTCAGAAAATGCAGCATCTCTGATCTTACCTGAGATAACAACTCCGTGGATAGATATGGTAATATTCTGCATAATATATGTGGGGCATGGACACGATGTTTGATCAACTTAGTGGTTGCTTCTTCTTCGTCGTCTGTTACTCGCATTGGAGAATCGTCATTCTGGAAAAGTCGGCAACGGCGGCGAAGAAGAAGAAGAAACGAGTAAATCCTCGGAGACAGCCACAAACTCTGCTGTATCTCCGTCACTAATAATTGCGCCTCGCCCTGCGGCTCACACGCGTCAGGTAGATGGTGTCAAAAAGGCTTGCATCGATGATCTTCAGGAGGATCTCTGTGGGTATGTCGTGCATCTGGAAGGCGATTCCTCGGTCTTACTTCCGTTGTAGAAGCCGAAAAACGATCTCAACCGAATGTCTGGAAAGGGGTCACTGAGTAGCCTTTCAACAAAGAACCTCATACTCCGTAGCTTGTTCAGACACCTCGCAGCTATCCTCTTCAAGATGGTAAATATAGTGACCAGGAGGTGAAGGTGCAAAAGCTTCAAAAGCTTACAAAAGGGGAAATTTCAAGCCCCCTTTCCACGTGATGTATAGCATGGTCATGTGATTCTTCGGAATCGGTTAAATTAATTGCCGATATCGATCACGAGACTAGCCCAAGCTTGGCGCATGAAGGGCCGAATATAAAGACATATACCAAGCGCTGTTTTACAATCTCGTACTTGGGTTCCTCCTCCTCTCTCAGTTCGTGATACCCATAGGAATTTAGTGCTCCTTTGCCACTATTCTGTCCTCTGATATTTCCCGCAATTATCCGAGGAGCCCCGTTCGAATCATGAAACGCGCCGCGTGCTTTTTGCCATCCGTGGACCGCCTGGCATGAATCTGATGCCTGATGCTGTTGGTCCTCGCAATCTCTTCCCCAGACTTGCATCCGAGGTATGGAGTTTCAAGTCTTTCCGGTCTGGCGGTCTGAGTACATATAGTTCGGCCAGTGACTCGATGGCCTCCATGATGATGCACAGATTTCCGGACTTCCGACTATTCTGCCGCTTCGTTTCGCTCTTTGACCTTTACGCGGCTTATTAGGGTCGAATGACCATGAATGAGACTGGGAATTACAACTATCGCCAGGCAGACCTCTCCTAAGCGACCACTCCTGAATCCCATGATGTTCCAGAGAGCGCTGTCTCAGAGTATTGATTGCCGGATGGTCCCCTTTCTCGAATGTACTGGATGCGTGACCGCTGCCGTTGATCTACTGTCGTCTCTGCGTATCTTACCTGAACATTCGCGAAGGACTGGGAGGCCAAGTTTGGTAATTCGAGTGCTCCCTTGTAAGGGGAATCGGTTTGTACATGTTCATGTCGAACATCGAGACATGCCTGTTGGACAACCATTTGACAATGTTTACAAGCCTCTGGCAGCTTTCTTTCGTGAAAGAGCTATGCATCTATTCTCGCATTTAGTCATGCCTCTGGCGTTTCTCCCAGTATCATCGAAGAGACCGGCATTATCACGGAGGTAGAGAATAGGGGGCATTCGCGAGCCTTACGGAATACCACGTTTGGGAAGAGATTTCCAGTTGTGTGATCTCAGCTCTGAGCTTCGTACCCTGTATCTGCCCAACTTGCCTTTTTGCCTGAAATTTTTCTTCGTGCATTTCAGCCGCTTAACTAGCCACCACCGGCGGCAACTCAGCGAGAGAAGGGACGGGAGCAGAGGAAAAGGAGGGGATTAGTTCTTCATACGGGGTTCGCTCTTCGTAACATCTCGTTCACCTTCACCCTTAAAACTGTCAATTCCTCGCGTTTCGTCGGAATTTCGCCTGCAATCAACAGTCCTACTCGAATAAAGACTTCCTTAACCCTCGAGTTTTATTACGATACTATGGGAGTATAGATATGACACGCGCTGCAGCTCAGCCCAACGGCCTCCAGAGGCCACGCAAGCAATTTCATCCCTGCTCCCCACATTCTTCAAACCATACGTATATCAGCAAGTGGGCCTTCGGGATAGCCGTGATGGAACGCTTAACTCTCTGTTCCTTGAATACCGAGTGTATATATAGCACGCTGTGAAGGTGGAGTGATACCGCGGCCTCAAGAAAGCACATTGGTTGGACCTCACGCGTGGTTGGGGTATCCTGTGTTCTGGCTCCTTTACCGAGTGCTACCTTCCTACTCAACATAGGCAGCGATGGACCCAGGGTGGAGGTATATGTGTTTCATTTAGCTACCCCGGGCAGTGTCAGCGGGTACCAGTTGTCTGCAGAAAGTAGAACCGACGCACCGGCTACCTACAGACTTGCAGCACCACTCGGAAATACTCCGTCCACACTTCCATTCTCCTACCTAATTAGGTTCTTTGATCAGTTTATGCATCTTCGCATGCCAGCACACATAGGATATATCCCTGCCTATGACTTGCTACGCTCCAGCCAAAATATAACATGTTTATACATGTTTCACCCGTCTTAACAGAGTGTTTGAGCTAGTTCATGCTTGCACTAACTACGGAACATATATCAAACCTTTGAAAGCGGAAGAAACATTCCGACGCTGCTCTCCCGTGTCTTAGAATAAACGGTGAACCTACATACTTACACCTCGCGACACTATGACGAAGACGGGGTAGAAATACGGAGTACAATGCATGCATTGTCATTTGCTAGCCCCAAACTTGGCCTCGGGTGTCGTGCCGGCACCTATGCAGAGTTACGTCGAATTAACCAAGTGTCCTACAATACTAGGGCAAGGTTGAATAAAAAAATGTATACTTGTGCCTGCGTGCTTTCTACGTTCTAAATGAACACTCCTGGAATCGATCAGATATTACAGTCTATATTATCTGTGAATTGGCTAGCATAGATAGCAAACACTTGAAATTCGACGGAAAATAGTCGCGGGAGATGGCATGCATTGCAATTCCCCGCGATTTCATCTATTCCCTACCTCTTGTCATTAAGGGCGTGGGATTTATCAAAGCAAGTATCCGGGCTAAGTATGGTTAGCCTACTCCTTTTATAGTACCGATATTTGAGTTAGTTATTCCGCTAACGTGGCTTAACCCCAACCCTATATATCTACGCACATATATATGACTTCGGTGATGCGGAGAGCCCAACTAACTCGTTGCAGGATGATGCTAACTTACGCTATGGAGAGTTAACTACCGCTGCTAGTTAAGTTCTAGATATGAAAACGTGCTACTACTTATCATGCAATGCAACCCCATCCTTGGAACCCGGACAAAGGAGGAGAGACGCCGGCGTCTCGAGTCCAGGTGGGTTTAGGAGGAAAAAGGGGGCTCTTAAGGGGCCGGTTTACTATTCTCCGACGGTATATTTTTGCTCCAGTTCAGGTCGTCGTGCTCTCTCACTGGCAGCTGACTGGAATGAGTTGCAATGAGTCGAGGGGATCATCACCTGCGGCTCCATTATTTTGCTGTTGCGCTGCTACGACCGTTCATCCACTTGAGAAACTTGCTCGACATTATGGGTTGCACCTACAAGGAATATTTATCTGTACGGGGTAGTTCCTGTTATGTGCTAGTTGCTATCATAAGTTCGTGGAAGCATCGGACCTATGCGTTTAATGCCGGCCCTCCTAAATACCCCCAGTCCCGTCTGTGGCAGTTCATTCCAGAACGAGACCATCCCTCGTGGCTTCGAGGCTAAATATGGAGAACTGACATTCCCTCGCGGCGTTTGCTTATCATAGGTAAGCCTTTTTCTCGTGAACTTTAATAACCTCCCGGCGAAGTTGTAGAAATGTGGATCATCAACCATACATCTTTATGGAACCGTTGAGAGGCGAATATACCCTAGAAGCCATATTACTCCATTTCAATTACGTGCCATATAGCACTTCAAATATGATATTATTACAGGGCCCATTACTGGCCCTGATACAAGCGTTAGTCTAAATGTACCTGGCTCTATCAGGTACGTACTCGCCAGACTACAACCGAATGCCGGCATTTTGTGCTGCTCGAGAAAGTATATAAACCAGGCGCAAACCACCATCTTGAAGCTCTTTTAGACAGCCTAAACAGCCAGCCTTTCCATTCCTTCACTTTCACATTCATTCTCTCATTTCCACAAATTCCCACGCTCCCTTTATTTCTTTCTGTTCCTCATCAATCTTCAGTCTTTTCAACTTAAGATGCAACTCATTACCTTTCTCGCCGCAATCGGTGCCCCCATGGCCCTTGCCGCTACCATCCCAAGCGTTCCCATGAACCATTCCATGATCGATATTCAACTATCCGCCTCTGGCAACTCCATGATCAAGGCTGTCATTACCAATCAGGGTGATCGTGCCTTGAACTTGTTGCGACATAACACTATCATGGATGAGAACCCAACCCGTAAGGTTATGGTTTACCAAAACGGTAAGTCAGCCATGGTTTTTAGAATCGCCTCCTTGTTGTGCGGCATTATTCTGACATGGTAATAGGCGCTGAGGTCCCATTCACTGGAATGCTCCCCCGCTATAAGACCTCTGATCTTGCTCCTGAATCCTTCATTAGCCTCGGCCCCAAAGCCAGCATCGAGCATTCGTTCGATCTCGCTACCACCCATGACTTGAGCCGTGGTGGGAAGATCACCGTTGTAGCCCATGGCACTGTCCCTACCGCTGAGGAGAATGGCACTACCATTACTGGACATACTGTGTATGAATCTAACGAGGTCACTATGGAAGTTGATGGAAAGAAGGCTGCTGCTATTGAGCAGGCCATGGGAATGATCAAACCATCCGGGTCTATTGACAAACGCACCAACATTGATACTTCTAGTTGCCAAGGAGAACAACTTAACGTCTTGGAAACCGCTCTCGCTAATTCTGCTCGTCTTTCACAAGCCGCCGCTAGCGCTGCTCAGATGGATATGCAAAAGGTCCAGGAATACTTCAAGGCCACTGATAGCCGTACCGTTCAGACAATCGTCTCCCGTTTTGAGTCAGTTGCCCGCGAATCTAGCTCTCAGACGTCCGGTGGTACCACTTATTACTGCAACGATAGCATGGGTGGCTGCAAGCACGGCGTCCTCGCATACACTCTTCCATCTCAGAACATCGTTATCAACTGCCCAATCTACTATTCCGATCTCCCAGCACTTGCCAATTCTTGCCATGCTCAGGATCAGGCTACCACTACACTCCATGAGTTTACCCATAACCCAGCTGTCGTCTCTCCTTACACCAAAGATCTTGGCTATGGCTATCAGCGCGCCTCTGCTCTCCCAGCGTCCAAGGCCATCCAGAATGCTGATACTTATGCTCTATTTGCCAACGGTATGTTACACATTTTGCTATAACTCGATATTCCGAGCTAACTTTATTCGATAGCTGTCTACGTTGGCTGCTAAACAGTCGATTGATCGTATCTTCGCGATGAACTTCAATAACTATTCGGGACGATAAAATTTCTTTCTTTACCTTCAGTGAATCAGTTCAGTTAATCAGTTCAGTGTGACTGCAGGATCTTTAGGCCGTTTTATCATAAATATATTTCTACTTTTGTATATACACTCGTTTTTACTTGGTAAAAGCAATATATGGACATATTTTCTACAACTGTTTTTATTTTTCTTTTTTTTATACAAAAAATGGCGGAGCTCTCAGCTTGGTTCAACAGCTACAACTTATAAGGACAATCCGAAGAGTTAGCCAGAGAAGAAATATAAGAATATATGTAAAGATATGTGCGAAATATAACGCTGAGTAAGAAAAATTCTTAAGAGCGTAGTCACTTTTGGCTCGGGGTTATGCGTAGAGATAAATTTGGTAGAAGAAGAAGAAGGAGAAAAAGAAAAAGAAGACCACCTCGCTGGGTATCACTGCCTCTATATAAAGGCGGCTTGTTGCGTTGAAGCTCCATGAATTAACAACAGCCGCAAATTTGATTCTTGCCAGACAGCTCAAATGTTCGGGCTAAAAAAGTACATGATCCAGAGCGCGCACAAGGGTTTGTTTTGCTCGATCTTCATTGATAGTAGCATTCACGCTATCTCTGTATTTTGGGAAGTAAATACATCTACTAGCAGAATGATATATTTCAGATCTCTTGATATATGTATGGGCCACTCTTAATTTCCTGCCCGACTTCTATTTGCATGTTCTTAGGTTACTAGAAAACGTAATACTGAGAATAATACGTTCAACCGCCAAGCATTCTTGCAGACTCCTCCATATGCCCTTGGAATACCAGGATACTTTAAAGCACAAGACCGTCAGCTATAAGAAAAAAAAAAGCCTTACCATTCATTACTCAGAACTAACCTCTTTGGCAAAGAGGCAAAAAATACAAAAACATACGACAGTCGGGATTCGCTGGTGGTCACCCACCCAACTACTAACCGACCGGCAAGTGGCTTAAGTACAGCTGAGCGGACGGGAAGCTCTGTTTTCCACTTCCTGTGGTCGTATGTAGTCGTTAAGAAGAGGAGTGGGATTTTATGGTCCCGGTAGCTGCAAAATGCAGACCTCCGGAGGTGTTTACTGCGCCAGGGTGGCCTTGACATAACTATATAAAACGGACTTTGTTCATCGGAACAAATTCCGGATATACCTGAAGAGATAATTAACCCATTACGAGCTTGTAGAGTCAAGTTTCTGAGTGTTTGACCCAAACAGAGCCTGTTAATGGGAAGGAGTAGGTTGTAACGGAGGAATGTGTCAGTAGCAAGGCATATATTTAACTAGATGCTCGTCAAGAACTACAACAGCTGTAGTTTGTAAAACACAGCAAGCCAATAACGCCCTTTTCAGCCCATCAACAGCATTCTCGTTCATTTCATGGAGTTGGGCTCTGAAAGTGTTATAACCACTTCTGGAATTTGGCAATCCACCATTTGAAACCCTTCTTACACTCTGTGCCGCATTGCCATTGAGACTTTGGGAGGGATCGATACACTAAGTGGACATATTGAACGCAGTCAATATGCTGAAGTCGAGTTGGATTTGTACCCCGACCCCCCACATAACTGAATTAACAGTTATATCCACAATTCAAGGGTAGAGTTGGCCTATAGTAAGTTAAGGCCAGAAAAAAGACATATGATGGAGTATTCAGATATGTTCTGCCTTATCATGGGGTATAGATAGGATGCTGAGCCTTGCCTATCGTATGGTAACTCAGTATAACCTCCTCTTCCTCCCACCAACCAGGCCAAGGCTGTTTCCTCCTCCTAGAAAGCATCATAAAACACGCGAGAGGATAAGTGTCCCTCCACGCCATCTTTCAAACTCCGGCACAAGCCTACAGAGTACTGTTTGCAAGTGTCTTGAAAACAGATTGGTATCCTTGCGCTTTGGCTGGTAAGACAACTCCTTCAATCAATCGACCGGCTAATGCTTCGTATCATGGAACATTTCGTTAAGCGTGAAGCATGATAGGGTTGAATTCTCAGGCTCTCACGTTGCAGGTTCATATGTGTTGTCCCATCTGTCAGCTATTGCAGGGATTCTGGGACCGCACTTGGTGGAGGACGGGTAATATCAGGAGGTTCTAACGGGTATATGGCACTCTGACATGTTTGGACCTGTTAGTTTCCCACATAAATAAACGTACGCCATCGATCTTAGTATCTCAAAACGGATATCTCCACGGCTTGAATCCCAAAATCTCACCGTACATCGCCAAGTCGATATATCTACATCTTGCCAAGATTAACGTATTCCACCAGTCAACGATCATCACCACTTAATGAACACACCCCAAAAACTCTGCATCCACCAAAACAACCACCTTCCAACAGCCATAAAATGGTCAATGAGGCAGCAATTGCTGCTGCGATTGAAGATTTAAAATCGCAAAAGACTCCTAATTACTCACAAATCGCTAAAAAGTTTAAAATTAACCGAATAACGCTGGCGCGGTGGTATTAAGGTGCTATAGTCTTAAAAGCTAAAGCAATATCTATCTATCGCAAAAAGTTAACAAATACACAAGAAGAAGTGCTCCTACAGCATATAAATTGATTATCAGAGAGAGGCCTATCACCTACGCCTCAGGTACTGCGAAATCTCGTATACGAACTCACTAAACAGGCTATTAGCATTAACTGGGTGGCTCAGTTCTATAGCCGGCACAAGGATCGCATTAAGAGTCTCTATCTCCGCACCATTGATCAATCCAGGCATATTACTAATAATTCTAAGCATTTTGAACACTTTTATGAGCTTGCAAGTACTTGTTTATTAGTAGTTAGCTATTAAATATTGATATTAACCTCTTCTTTAGCTTAGGGAAGCAATAAATAAGTATAATATTACTCCAGATAATATTTACAACTTTAATAAGAAAGGCTTCCTTATTGGCCTAGGATATGCTATTAAATAGGTGGTTCCTGTTTATGCGCTTAAAAATAGAAGGATAATAGCTATATAAGATAGAAGTCGTGAGTTTATCTCTCTACTCGCTGCTATCTCTACAGATAGAGAATGGATTCCTCCTACACTTATTTATAAGGGAGAAGGTGATCTACAAGACACCTGGGTGGACGAATTTGACCCTCAGAGAGAAATAGCATATTTTGTAGTATCTCTAAATGGCTGGAGCAATAATAACTTTGGCAAGGAATGGCTTCAAATATTCGATAAGCATACAAAGGCAAAGGCTGGCCAGGGAAGAAGGCTTCTTATTCTAGATGGCCACTCATCTTATATCAATATGGGATTCATCAAATATATAGATAAAAACCGTATCTTGCTAGTTATCTTACCTCCACATTCAACACACCGTCTGCAGCCATTAGATGTTGGGATATTTGGGCCATTAGCCAGTGCATATTCCCAGGAAGTTGATAATCTCTTACGCAGCGGATATGGGTATCTATTAATGTCAAAGCGAGACTTTTGGAGACTCTTCTACACTGCATGGAAAAGAGCTCTTACACTAGCAAATATTAAGTCTGGATTTGCAAGTACAGGGATATATCCTATTATGCCTCAATGTCAAATGAAATACTTCGATAAGAGACCTCTAACACCTCCGAATATCGATATCGAGCCTCCTACCCCTATTACTGTACGGGGTCTCCGCCACGCGGTTAAGAAAGTGTAGCTCCGGCAGTCATTAACTGCAACGGTTTAATCAATCTGATATTACTATCTAATTGGCAACACAAGCGAAGATACAAAAGTGAAGAAGAAAAGGAAAAGGTGCAAATGGCTCCGATCTGCCTGCTTTGTTGATAAAGGCCTCCTGCAAGACATCGACCTTTCCTGATCGGGTAGGGTCTCCGGCAGGTGTCAGCTTCTTTGATGCAGGCAGTCGGTTGATGCCGAACGGCCGTTTGATACGGGCCGTTGAGAAAGACATGCAGCTCAGACATACAGCGATCGTTCAACCGGTCCGATCAAGCTCCCGATTAACCACTCGTGACCATCACATTAATCAGCCTTTATATATCAAAGATCATCCACGCTAGTGAGAGGCTAGTCTTTGATAAAGAGATCTTACTATATAAAAATAAGTCTCTTATAGCTATACTTATATAAGAGAAGAAGAAAAGGAAGCGAGGCAAGGGCTTAGGCCTATTTAAAAAGGATAAAGCAGGCTAAGCGCAGATATTCTCTCTATCTAAGGTTAAAGCAGCAAGGCAGTGAGCTATCAAGGTAGAGACTAAAAAACAAGATAAGATAGCTTAGGCAGAGGAAATAAAGCTTTAGTAATTGATTTACCGTGATAATAAGACTCAAGAGGCTATAGAGAAGAAGGCTTAAAGGCTTGTAGATCAACAGCAACATAAGGAGGCTCTTAAGAAGGCCCGCGAGGAGACTGCAGCATAGCACGCAGAGGCAGCGATTGAATAGAAGCGTAAAGCTAGTGAATTGGAAGCTGAGTGAATGGCTAAGAAGGCCAAAAAGGCTTAAAACAACGTCTTAAGCCCTATCTCACCTTCCCAATTAGGAAAGAAGAAGACTTCACCTTCTAAGGTTGCTCCTATCGATCCTATTGCTCTAATACCCAATTTCCTATCCCAACCACGGGGAACCTGTTCCGGGCAAGTTATCAAGCCCAACACTCGTTTCTTTTCTTAATCTATCTAATTTATATGTAAACTAGAACCCTACTATCGTTATTTAATAGTCAATTTTATTTGTTATTTACGTTGTGTTGAGATATCTCGATATTTACACGCATGTTTGGACGTAAGGAGCATTTGGAGGTGGTGATCGTTGACTGGTGAGATACGTTAAGGCGAGATACAGATAATTCAATAGTCCAAAATAAAAAAGCAATCCACGTGGCTTCCTCGTATGTCTGTTGATCATGTCTCTCGCGTAACCATGGTGCACGTATAAGAGCATGTTGCATCTCGGATCTCAAAAGTATATCTTAACATTCCGCATATACTTGGATGAGCTGAGTATATACGGGGTAAAGTGCCTTTTTAGATAATAGCCGATCGGCTATTTGTCCCGTCCCCTATCCTTGCTCGTTAAAAGTAGGGGATGAATATTCTTTGCAGAAAAATTTCAGTGTGTTCCCTGTAAGGCGATCTTTCTCGAAAAGCCCGCTTCCAGGTACCCTGTTCGAATGATGGCAGGGATATATAACCCAACGGCTCTATCCTTGTCGGGAGCTGGCTAGAATGAATTTTATCCGTGCCCACACCGGTGATTAAGAGGTATTAAGTAACCGTTCCTTGACCGTTGCAAAATGTCTGTCCATAAGTACTCCGTACTGAGTAGCTTGATTTCTAACCCCACCGTCACCAAAAGGGGAGCTGGCATTTTCCACATCTGTAAAGACCCGTTAAAGTCTATTCCCCCTTTCAGGCTTGCGACAGGGGTAGTATAGGGCGTATCGAGCGTCATCGGTCAACAACGTACTAACTGGACAAGCAGACTGGATAATTTGCTCGCTTCCACAGATCTTACCCACATACAAACGCCGGATCCCGCATGATACGAACGTAGATATGCTACCGATGTAAAGTGTGACGGTGCAAAGATGCTATGACAGCAGTAGAGTTTTGAAGCGTGTATGATATTTCGATATTGAAGCCTGATCGGCGGGTAGTCAAGATCTTAGCCCTATAAGGCGTTTGCTCAGTAGATCTGCAATCGCTATACCACGGCAAAACATATAGTGTGGGCATGCTCTTTTTGGGGATTGGACTGCCTAGCTGATCGCCATTATCGCACGAGGTCGGTTATTTTAAAATTCAACCTCGTGGCAGCACAGCATGCACGAACGGCCTAACTAAGCCCCTTAAACGAGAGCACGGCAAGGTAGCTTTGCCCCCTTGAGCAGATCATTCACCCTTATTGAGAGGGCTTGCATGCAGGATTTTTCTTGCGTGTAAACGAATCGGGCGAGAAGCGTCGTGTTCGTGTTCGTACGGAGTATACTGAGACCGCTGAGACTGAGGCGCAGCACCATTGCTCTTGTTCAGCCGAAGCTGCTATATTTATATGGGAACAACAACCTGGCTCCCTGTTTACTTTTCTCCTTTTTAGGGATTTTCTGCAGGGGTCAAATTAAGGTTGTACCTGAATCACGTGGAGAAGATCTAAGTGGATACGTATTATGTAATGTGGTTCAAAATCCACTGCACCGGGCCTACCTATATACATCAAAGATTCGGTATCGTTAACTAAAGGGGAGATGGCACGATGACGTTTCGATGGACGGGTCGGAGTGGAATGTACGGAGTAGTAAGACATCTATTATGTATATGTATATTAAATGACGTAAATATAATGATACAAAGATCGAATGTAGGATCAAGATAGGCAAGCATTTCATGCGAATACGCGAGTTAGGAACTTGCCGAATACGCCCCGGACCATCTTTGGGTTTTCTTGTATACATGCCACGAGGATTGCGGTGCTGAGAGAGAACGCCAGCCTCTCCCTCCATTGGTACTGCGGATAACATTAGCATCAACAGGTATCAAACAGTAAGATCAAAGGAGCGGCAGGGACTCCATACCTTTCTGTTATACTCCCGCGGCAACACCGTCGCGAGAGCTCTCGGCGCAACAAATAGGCTGATCTCTTGCCTTCTGCCCGCTGACTCAACAAAGATGCTCCATCCACACATCACACACCCCGCTGCAACACAGAGACCGGAATCCCACATCATCGGTGTAACTGTCTTGGCACTAAACAGCCTAGGCCCTATCCTCGTTCGCGCCAAACAAACCGAATAATAAAAAAGACTAACGAACAGGCCCAAGAAGGCCGAGGAGCGTAGTGCAGACTTTACTGCGTGGATGTATGTCCGGATTTTTCGCGATCGACATCGAACCGCGATCTGGAGAGGAATGTAAGTGGCGCAAGCAAACTTGAATGCTCTGGCGAACCGCCAGATGGCAGTCTTTTCGCAGTTGGGGCCACAACCCATGTGTACGATTTCGCAGGGGATGGGGACAGTTTTTTCTGGGCAGCCCCATTCGGTTGGCCAGCCGTAGTCGGCACACATGGATTCGAGGACGACTTGGTCGCCGTTGTCGCGGCCGTAGATCCAGTCGCCTCTCCGGGCGGTGCGGAGAGCGTCGAGGATACGGTCATCTAGCTGGGCGGCCTCGCTGATCCATTTGCCGTAGGAGTAAGGTAGACGTTCGGGGAGGTAGAACCAAGCCCACATCACGATTGCGGAGCTGATGGCGAATACACCGGTGTCCGCTAGTTTGGGGACGAGTGACTGTATCCGTCGTCCTGTCTTGCCGGTGCCATTGGCATGGACACGGCGGGAATCCTTCCACCGCGCCCAGAGCACATTGACCAGAGCATCTGTAGCTCTAGTTGCGGCAAAGAGAGTCAGGTCTAGGGTCCTGCCGGCGAGGTCGGGCTTGTCTTCAGCCCTGACCTCTGTATTGCTGCCGCCCTTGGCTTGATGGCCAGACGCATCGGAGGAATCATGTTTCTTAGTCTCCGGCCGCCTGCCGTGCGGATGTTTTGCTGTACGATTAAGGATGGGAAAACAGATCAAGGCAGACAGGAAGGCCGCCAGGAACCGCAACAGCTTCTCTGACGAAAGTGGAATGGACAGGGGTCGATACCCACTGGAGGCGAATCTTAATCTGACAGCTACGAGGGCCGCAGGGAGGATGGAGGAACCACCGGCCAGCAGGGCACAGAATGCTGGGAAACGGTCCCATTTGAACCCACAATGCAAGATGCGGATAAGCTTCACCCACGGTTAGTTTGAGCCTGTCTTAACACTCTTACACCCAAGGAATGATAGGCGAGAGAAAGGGGGTTGAACGAACACGCTGCAGCTTCTCTGCCGTCCCCAGATCTCGTCTCTGCAGAGTTTTCAGGAAAGAGATAAGTTTCGGCAAGGTGGTGGTCAGGTATCCAAGCGCAAACGCCCGAGCAACCCTGTCCAGTCGATAGTTAGCGAAAACGAGCGGTTCACGGCTGGCGAGCGCGATGACAATAATAGACCAGGTTTGGGCACACACGGTTTTAGGACGTGAAGACGATCAAGCCGACGCAGCTCCCTCTCCATCTTCGACATCGTCCCAGTCTCAGTCCGAGTCTCAGTCCGAGTCCTAGTCCGAGTCTTGGCCGGGGCTCTGAGGGACGGACGGTGGTTGACGCGTGAGGGGACACCCCCATGAAGGAGCCGACGCGCTAAGAGGGTACCAGGACCTCTAGAGAGGTGGTCGATCTGGTCCTGGAAGCCGGAATGTGTCCGTCTGCGGGGCAAGATCGCATTGAGCGTGTCGGGTGCAGCTACAGTCAGTAAGCAGAGTATTCTGGTGGTGATAATGGTCGATGTTCGCGATGTTGACAAGTTCGAGGTGTCGTTGGACGTTGTCTTGGGAGGTACAACAGAGGTACAAGCACGTGAAGGGTGAGCCGCGGTTAACTTGTAGCCGCCCAGCCGAGAGCCCAAGTCACTTCCCTGTACTTGCTTTTGGCCCTGACCTTGTCCCTTTCCTCTGCTTTCTCCTAAAGGGGGAGAGAGAAGGGAAGGGAGAAGGGAAAACCTCCGAAGTTGACCACCGGCCAGGGATCAGGGAAGACCGCTTCTGCTCCCGTTACTCAGCAATAGCTCGAGCTCTGATGGTAAACTATAACCAGCGCCCGCACGACCTCCCACGGCTCCCACGACTCCCACGACCTTCCACTCCGCCACCACCGCCATCACCGCCAGTACACCCCGTATCGGCATCAAGACAACTGCTTTGTAACGACGATCAAGGAACCCGTCCGAGCCTGCATCTGTCCTCGCATCTCGCCCGCCCAGCTAACCGGTTCTAGTCATTGCGGGTCGCTAATTTTAAAATTAAGGGTTTGGGTTGCGCAAATGCTGGGGAAAAGAAAAGAAAAAAAGCCATATGGCGATGACGCCTTAACCCCCGTACTAGACGATAGCTAACTGGACCTTGACCAGGACGGACAGCAGCTAAACTGCATAAAGCACAGCATAAACAGTTTTCAGTTCCACTTGCGGGCTGCTAGACAAGACAGAGAGCTGAAACAGTGGTAGGAGTGGACATCTTCATCCCACAGACCACTTCCATTCATCCGTGCCTCTTGGACTGAAACGTAAAAAGCAAAGGCAAAGGGAAAAAAAAACGATGAAGGGCAAAGAAAAGAATAAAAACCGGGGCCGAACCGTCGGGATGTTTTCCCTTTAGGTAAATTCCCCGATAAGCTTCGCATGTACCTCTGCTTATTTCGATGCGCTCGATGCGCTCTTTTTTCGGCTTGGCTGCTTTTTACTCGCTGTTTTTCGTGCCTCCTCATCGCTTTGCCTGGCTGTGGGTGTGTATGCACCGTGGCTGCAGGCGTGTGGGCGGTGGCTGCTTAGTAAGGGGCGGGCGAAGGGTGGAGGGAGGCCAAAGGGAGGCCAAAAGGGGGGGTGGAACGAACAGGGCGAGTTATGCTGGAAAGTGGGCAGAGTTTTTGCCTTGGGGAGCTGGGGTTGGACATCCACAGCTATATCCATATTCCAGATGTCTAAAGTCTGGGGGTGGCACACGTGTCGGGGAGGCCGTGATGATCTCGAATATGGTCGAATGGTACGGAGGAGATGTTATATTAGAGGTGATTATTATAGGTGGAGGACTAATATGCTAAGAGGTGGTAGATCATGGGTGTGACCCGATGTAGATGCCGTGCTGATGCCGTGCTGATGGGTAGAGAAGCGAGGAGGAGAGAAAACATGAGTGTCATCAGTAGATAGGTAATATGTGTGAAGGCTGTACAGAAAGGCAAGACATGGTATGGTATATCAACGATCCAAACAAACAAAAGACATTGGCCAAGTAAACACGAATCCGTCCGCCCAACACCGTCCGACCGTCCTCCCATTCCAGCCGTGATGGTAGTATATATGTTGTTCATCGTCTGTCATCCCCCCCTAGCCTTGAGGTCCGCCAACTGCGCTTTCAGAAGCTCGTTGCCAGCCAGTAGATCCGCCAACCAGTCGCCCGCCTGTGTCAGCATGGTGCTCTTGCTATACCCTCCTCCCTTCAGCTCCGGCACCAACGAACACAAATCATCAAACCCTTGCTTGATAAGGTTACGTCGTTTCTGTTCAGAGAGGATGTGGTTGGTTCGCTTCTGCTCTTCGGACAAGTTTTCTCGGCTGGCTTTGATGGTGGTGCCGTTGCCGTTGCCGCCGTTGGGGGATATGCCTTTTGACTTGCGACTTGACGACGGGCGAGCGAATGTGGAAGATGTCGTGGTAGCTGTAGAGGGGTATTTAGAGGTTGATAGAGCGCTGACAAGTTCTGTGTCTTCTTCTTTTATCTTGTTGTTGCTCTTCCGTCGCTTTTTGGGCCTGTCTTCGTATGCGGACGAGTTCGGGTTGCGAGGTGCAGCGAAGGATGAATCTGGCCCATGTCTATCTGATAATTTTCGCACAGGAGATGACGGGCGGGTGTTTGCAGCGCTGGACTGCGCTTCTAGGCACTCTAGGTTGTGTAGTAGATTTTCTGTCGTTTCTTCAGCAGTAGGTTGGCCAGGTGGCAGGCGGTAGCCCTGGTGAGCAAAGCCAGAGTCGGATCCCCACTGTAGCATGCTGCTACCCAGTTTCATACTGCTGGCTGCCGCACCGGGACCGGTCTGGTGGTCGCTGGCCGGTGTGCGGTTTACGGCGTGATCGAATATCATCGTGCTGGTGTGTATGCCCTTTGGAATGACAAAGTCCTTTTGTAGCGCGTCTCCATTGTACCGGCCAAAGTGGGCGCGTTTTGCATCTAGTTGGTGATGATGTTGTTGCTGCTGTTGATGTTGTCCGTGGAGGCTGTGGTAGCTGCTGTGAGCGTGGTGGTGATCCAGTAGACCGTGGTCGGTGTATATCTGGCTATTCAGTGCAGAGAGGTGGTCGTGTCCATTTTGGTAGAGCATCTGCGCCGCTGCGAGAACGTCTGAGCTGAGCGTCCCCGATCTATCAGGCGCGGCCATCTCCCTTGACTGCTTGGATGAGTGAATGTGGTGTGACTGCTGCGTTGGCAAGGTGGTGGTAGACCCCTCGAAGGTGGGCGGTAGATCAGGCCAGCTGAAATTACTGCCAGTGCCGGGCTCAGCATTGTCACCCTGGTCGCCGAGCGAGAGCCAGAAGTCGTTGCTGTCGAACTGGCTCGCGTTTAGCGATGTGAAAAGGTTGTCTAGCATGTTGGATTCGCTGTCGTCGAGCAGCGCGGGGCCCGGCGGACGTTCGGGTGCGGAGTCGAACGGCGTATCTTGCGGCGATATCAGGGCGTCTGCCATCGTTAGTTTCTTCTCGTCTCTTGTTTCTATCTACGGGGAGGAGACGTACAGCCAAAGGGCCCTGGGGGAGGGGTCGTTGCACCCTTCATGTGATGGACAGGCTCGGAGAGACCCAGCTCCATGCTACATGCAAGCACGCTGCTCAGATGCGAGGACTCGGTGGAGGTTGGTTTGGCGAAGAGGGACGGCCTAAACGGCGATACCGTCTGGGTCATGCAAGAAACCATCAATCACTGAGCAATCAATATACCACAGCAGAACTGTGGCAGATATCTTGATATAGCGCGCGGCGAGGTAGGTCGTGTGCTTGTGCGGGGACGTCGAGGGAAGCGAGCAGACGTAGAGCGAAGGCGAGTGTCGACAGACGTAGAGAGTGTATGCGAGTGAGTTGGCGTAGATAAAGGTGTTGATGTAGTGAAGGTGTGGTGAAGGTGTGGTGTAGTATAGAAGGTGTAGTAGAGTAAGAGTTGGCAGGAAGCCACTTTATGTCTATCACATGCGACCGCAGCAGAAAAAAGGCGGCGGCCCGTCCTGGGCGTGTGATCGCTGGATGAGGTAAGCAGATGAACTTTCAGCCAATCAGAAGAAGCCGGAATAACGTCGCCCCGGGTTGCCCTTTTCGTCCCAACTCCGATGGAGAAAAGAGGATATATGGAGATATATATGGAGAAGAGAAATAAGGGATATGGGGATGGTAATAAGACGATGGATATGGGATGTGGCCTGCTAAGACACCGACACTGCGTTCACCGGGCTGCCCTCCCCGATCCCATCCCTACAGCCATCCCTGGTATCCCGATTGGGCGTCGCCCCAGTTAATTCGCTCCTCTAGCGCTGAGGCTATTGCAAATGGTTTCCAGAAGCGTAGAGGACTCCGTTACTTGCGCGGCTCTCAACTCTGGCTCAACTCTGGTTGCTGGCTCGGTCGCATGGCGGTATTGCCTGATCGATCACGTCGGGCCGAAATTGTACCTCATGGGACGCAGGAAAAAGTAAACCCCATACCAAGAGGAAAAAGAAAGGCCGGACGAGAACGGCATATCAGGCGTGTCTCGATCGATCTTCGTTCGGTTCTGAACCTGTCCTGCAGATCGTTCACTCGCACTTTTTACTTTCTTCGCTTTCACTCGTAGGCCTGACTCTGCAGGACGAGCAAGGGTGTCTTACCTGCATACGGCGTACGAGCTGCTGTGATCCTGGACAGTCTCTTCCCCAGGCCTGTTTCACGTCTCGCTGCCTAGTTTAGTTATACTTCCGTCCTGGTTCTGCGTTTCAGCGTCAGGAGAACGGTTGATCTGTGGTTTCGAGACGGTTCGCGGTCTGGATGGCGGTTCACGGTCCTGGTCCTGGTCCTGGTCCTAGTCCTGCTTTTTGAGCCGCTATGGGTAGCTCGAGTAGAGTTCGCGTGGAGTTCGGTTCGGGTTCGAGTTCGAGTTCGGGGTCGATGTTCCTGAGTTTGGGTGGCGGGCGATATCGGCCGGTATAGGCGGAGAATGGGCGGATATCGAGTGCGTACGTATGTTGCTGGCCAAAACGTGAGGATCTTGTTTTGATCCGCATTGGCTGCGTAGCTCGGGATGTTTCGTCTCGTCTTGTCTTGTCTTGTCTTATCGTCGACGAAGGAGCAACGCTTGGGTCATGTGATCTGAAACGTCTGCGATGATTTCTGCCTCCAACTCCTACTTTGACGTCGAGGTAGCAGACTAGGGAATCGTGGTCTTTGCTGCAAACCTGGCTGATATGTCACGCCCTCAGTTTTCTAATTCTCTGATATCATAGCCGCCGTTTACCTTGATTGGCGAATATACCCGAGCGAAATACTGGGCTGGTACGCAAGGTAACTGTACTTTGGCACTCCAATCAATGTTGGCATCGGACAGTTGGAGGCTAGATGTTAGAGATAGGGAATTAGGAGCAAAACTGGTTACACAACCTATGCAAGGCATGATCTGTGGGCATATCACTTGCAGTCGCCGCCATGAACTATGGAGCTATCAAGTGCAACGGCCCACTTTGATACTGACTTTATTGTGAATATCAATGTCTAATACTACTCCACGATTGAGTACCTGTCACCAACCATGCTCAGTTTGATACCTGCACCTTTGCTTTCCCCTCTTCTGCCCTGTCGGTGTTCTTAATGAGGGGTGTATTTCTCATGAACCACATGGGGATCAGGGGAATGGCTGCAAGGCTAATTGCAGCAATACCCAACAGGCCCTGGAACTCGCGGTGGGCTTGGTTGATAGCAATGCACCGTGGTGTGGCGAGGGCATATTCATGCACTTTTCCGGGAATATCGCACCTGAGATAATGTGTCATGCACGGTTCGACGGAGAACAACTGATATACCTTTATTGGCCAGACTATATTTTGCAGCTCGCCTCTGAATTATGACCATCGTGAAGACCAATGGCAAGGCTGTAGGCTGGAGAATGGTTGCCCCCATACCCTATCCACAACTCCAGGTCGAGTGGGGTAGTACCCCATCCCCAATAAGAGTTCCAAGTATGATGGATGGGATACTCGTGAGGGGTTCAGGGAGAATTACCAGAAAGCACAATCAACCAGGCCGGTCACATCTGTGACAAATACTTACTAATGTTGGCATTCCAATGGAAAACGTGGACATCTCCGCGCGACCAATTGCATCACTCAGCTTGGCAAATGATCGGGTAGGCGCAAACTTGAGTAATGTTACCAATCACAGGTTCAGCGCTCAACATTGAACGTTGACAAAGTGAGCTAGTGGTCATACACGATTTTAGCGGTGATCAATAGCGGTGGTTAGCTGCAACTATGGCTTGTGTGGTTGTGTGGAATACGTACCCAGAAAATGCAGCTAGTAGGGGTTACTTCAACCAACCTTTCCATAGCAGTTCTGTCTTTGCAGCACCTGGCTGCTGCAATCCAGAGTGGGAGTAGCGTAACACATAATCGTTGCAGGAATTTCCCTTGTCACGAGACGCTCCGTTTACTCAGTAAACAGACTTCTCTGCGTCCAGTGGCATAGCCCTGGCTATCTCACGAGGCTTGCTAAGGGTATAGTACAAGAGAAAGGAACCCATCCTTTGAACCTGCCCTTACGATGTTGGTTCGCGTGGAAACTTCCAAGTTGGGGCATCGCGCTTCTCATATGATTGATATGATTGATAAGATTAGATCCTATCCATTCAAGCTACTCGCTGTATCATTGGTTCGCTTAACGTATCTCACCAGTCAACGATCACCACCAGTCAACGATCACCACCTCCAAATGCTCCTTACGTCCAAACATGCGTGTAAATATCGAGATATCTCAACACAACGTAAATAACAAATAAAATTGACTATTAAATAACGATAGTAGGGTTCTAGTTTACATATAAATTAGATAGATTAAGAAAAGAAACGAGTGTTGGGCTTGATAACTTGCCCGGAACAGGTTCCCCGTGGTTGGGATAGGAAATTGGGTATTAGAGCAATAGGATCGATAGGAGCAACCTTAGAAGGTGAAGTCTTCTTCTTTCCTAATTGGGAAGGTGAGATAGGGCTTAAGACGTTGTTTTAAGCCTTTTTGGCCTTCTTAGCCATTCACTCAGCTTCCAATTCACTAGCTTTACGCTTCTATTCAATCGCTGCCTCTGCGTGCTATGCTGCAGTCTCCTCGCGGGCCTTCTTAAGAGCCTCCTTATGTTGCTGTTGATCTACAAGCCTTTAAGCCTTCTTCTCTATAGCCTCTTGAGTCTTATTATCACGGTAAATCAATTACTAAAGCTTTATTTCCTCTGCCTAAGCTATCTTATCTTGTTTTTTAGTCTCTACCTTGATAGCTCACTGCCTTGCTGCTTTAACCTTAGATAGAGAGAATATCTGCGCTTAGCCTGCTTTATCCTTTTTAAATAGGCCTAAGCCCTTGCCTCGCTTCCTTTTCTTCTTCTCTTATATAAGTATAGCTATAAGAGACTTATTTTTATATAGTAAGATCTCTTTATCAAAGACTAGCCTCTCACTAGCGTGGATGATCTTTGATATATAAAGGCTGATTAATGTGATGGTCACGAGTGGTTAATCGGGAGCTTGATCGGACCGGTTGAACGATCGCTGTATGTCTGAGCTGCATGTCTTTCTCAACGGCCCGTATCAAACGGCCGTTCGGCATCAACCGACTGCCTGCATCAAAGAAGCTGACACCTGCCGGAGACCCTACCCGATCAGGAAAGGTCGATGTCTTGCAGGAGGCCTTTATCAACAAAGCAGGCAGATCGGAGCCATTTGCACCTTTTCCTTTTCTTCTTCACTTTTGTATCTTCGCTTGTGTTGCCAATTAGATAGTAATATCAGATTGATTAAACCGTTGCAGTTAATGACTGCCGGAGCTACACTTTCTTAACCGCGTGGCGGAGACCCCGTACAGTAATAGGGGTAGGAGGCTCGATATCGATATTCGGAGGTGTTAGAGGTCTCTTATCGAAGTATTTCATTTGACATTGAGGCATAATAGGATATATCCCTGTACTTGCAAATCCAGACTTAATATTTGCTAGTGTAAGAGCTCTTTTCCATGCAGTGTAGAAGAGTCTCCAAAAGTCTCGCTTTGACATTAATAGATACCCATATCCGCTGCGTAAGAGATTATCAACTTCCTGGGAATATGCACTGGCTAATGGCCCAAATATCCCAACATCTAATGGCTGCAGACGGTGTGTTGAATGTGGAGGTAAGATAACTAGCAAGATACGGTTTTTATCTATATATTTGATGAATCCCATATTGATATAAGATGAGTGGCCATCTAGAATAAGAAGCCTTCTTCCCTGGCCAGCCTTTGCCTTTGTATGCTTATCGAATATTTGAAGCCATTCCTTGCCAAAGTTATTATTGCTCCAGCCATTTAGAGATACTACAAAATATGCTATTTCTCTCTGAGGGTCAAATTCGTCCACCCAGGTGTCTTGTAGATCACCTTCTCCCTTATAAATAAGTGTAGGAGGAATCCATTCTCTATCTGTAGAGATAGCAGCGAGTAGAGAGATAAACTCACGACTTCTATCTTATATAGCTATTATCCTTCTATTTTTAAGCGCATAAACAGGAACCACCTATTTAATAGCATATCCTAGGCCAATAAGGAAGCCTTTCTTATTAAAGTTGTAAATATTATCTGGAGTAATATTATACTTATTTATTGCTTCCCTAAGCTAAAGAAGAGGTTAATATCAATATTTAATAGCTAACTACTAATAAACAAGTACTTGCAAGCTCATAAAAGTGTTCAAAATGCTTAGAATTATTAGTAATATGCCTGGATTGATCAATGGTGCGGAGATAGAGACTCTTAATGCGATCCTTGTGCCGGCTATAGAACCGAGCCACCCAGTTAATGCCAACAGCCTGTTTAGTGAGTTCGTATACGAGATTTCGCAGTACCTGGGGCGTAGGTGATAGGCCTCTCTCTGATAATCAATTTATATACTATAGGAGCACTTCTTCTTGTGCATTTGTCAACTTTTTGCGATAGATAGATGTTACTTCAGCTCTTGAGACTATAGCACCTTAATACCACCGCGCTAGTATTATTCGGTTAATTTTGAACTTTTTAGCGATTTATGAGTAATTAGGAGTCTTTTGTGATTTTAAATCTTTAATCGCAGCAGCAATTGCTGCCTTATTGACCATTTTGTGGCTGTTGGAAGGTGGTTGTTTTGGTGGATGCAGAGTTTTTGGGGTGTGTTCATTAAGTGGTGATGATCGTTGACTGGTGGAATACGTTAGAGGAGGAAAGCAAACAACGCAAAAGGCCAAAGGCATCAACAAGCTTCATTTAACTACGGGAGGAATACAATAACATTATTAACATATCCTCTATACATAGATATCGTCCACTCCTACTGTCCATGCTTGAATAGCTATAAAACAATATACTATCCCATGCTGGACGACATATTCTACTCTGCTATGCCGACGGCTCCATATATGCCGAGAACGGCGGCGGCCAGCATCTACCCCCAGGAATACCCGTCATATCCTCAGGGATCTTGATGTTCTGGACTTGCCCAAAGCCTCGGGTTCTGCTTTTTTGCCCCTGGCCAGATCGAAGACAAGGCTGCCGGGTAATTAATCAACTTAAATGTGCTTAAATCGGTCCTGCAGAATGAGGGGAAGAGCACCACAAATTCCCGACGAGCGATCTGGAGCTCATTGTTCATATAAAAGAATGTATTTAGTAACAAGTATGAGTTTCCCACACCTCCACATTGGCATTTTCACACCAATAACAGTCTAACTAGGCACATTGATTCCGTGAGTTTCATCTTACTCTTTGACAAAGATGGCGGCAAACTTTTCTCCTCCATCAAGATACCCGGCCACTACCGTTGGTCTAAATCCCTTCTTTTTATACTCATCATATACATCCTGGTATTCCGCAGACGTCATTCCATATCGCGTATATGGCTTCTCCTCCCGACCATCCATCTTCTCAAATATTCCCGCGAAATAGACCTTTCCACCAACTGTATATGGGCAGATCTGCACAGTGTAGTATCCGTCTTTCTTCAGCTCGTCGAATTTGGCCTGGTACTGGGTGGTTGTCAAGCCAGCATACGCCTTCCACGGGACACTGGTTTTCTTCTCCCACACGCCAGCGAACTGCTGGTCATCGCCAAAGGAGTACCCGCTGATGGATCTTAGCCTATAACCCTTTTCGATGAACTCGGTGAACCACTTTGTGAAGTCATCGCCCGATATGTTTGTGCGTTCCGACCATGCGATATTGGACGTATTTTTCTCCCAGATACTTGCATAGCGACGTTCGCCACCGGCATTGTAGCCCTGAACTAGGAGAGGTCGGAATCCGTCATCCTTTAGTTCGTTGAAGGCTTTGTTGTATGCCTCGCGTGAATAGCCATAATTCGTACGCCATGCTGGTCCAGACTGGGGTTTCTCGAAGATGGCATTGTATCTCGCCTCACCACGGGAGGTGGAGTAGCCAGAAATATAGTAAGGGCGGTAGCCATCGCTGGTCATGGCGCGGAGCTTGTCACCATACTCAGAGCTGGTGAGACCATGGAGGGCTCTCCAGGGGTTAGCTCCTTGGGCAACAGTGAGGAGAGAGGCTGCTGAAGCCAACAGAGCTGTGAAGGAGACCTTCATTGTGTCAGGAAGAGGGCAGTGGCTTTGCTAGAGGGTCTGGTAACTAGAGAATTGGATGAGCGTATCCGTCTGGATATGAGGGATCTATTGCCATCCTTATATACCATGACTTTGCCTCATAACGCAGTGGCGATAGTAATGTAGCCTATTTGGAATATCCTTCCCCGCCATCGAATTGATCTGATGCATCGTGCGGAGTATATCAAGCACAGAAGAGGCCTGTGCAATATATTGCTGTATGTAGGGGCTTATCCTGGCTGCAACTCAGGGGTTACGTCCACGGTATATAAGGAGATATATATTATATGCCCTCTTGATGGCTGTCTACCCCAGCTATTGTCCTGTGGGGGTGGGATGGTGTTCGGACTCTATGACAGCAGAAAAGCAAGATTATTTCGTATATCGGCGATAAAGTATTCAGCATGCGGTATACTCGCAAGCTTATAATCTGACAATTGACATGGCTAAGCGAAATAGACGGCGGACCTTCCTCATTCTCTATATGCGGCATGGATCACTAAAGTGACATATGTAATAGCAAGCGTACTATTAATATATTGCAATGCCGTGGGGAGTTGGAATCCCAGCAGATAGGGTTAGAAAACACGAAATAAACCTTAACCCAACTACAATCTTGTCCTTGGCGCCTAGGAGAATATTAAGGGCAGGGATCTCTTGTTCTATTCGCGATCGGATCGGAGCTTGGATCTCCAGGTGATACTATCCAAGAAGACGAAATCTCCCTGCTTGAAGAATACCGGCCGATAAAAATAACCCGCTATTAACACTCTATACCTACAATGGTAAACGCATGCTCTGCTGTAATCCTCTCGCTCTACAACGTAAGACTAGTCTACGTATTTTGTTGAACGGAGATTCGGTGTAATACTGCCTGATCGTACGAAACACGTTAGTCAACTACGCCGTTTCATTAAATATCAGTGTCAGCTCTCCATCATCGAACAAATGCTACGCCCGGCGTTTTAACGCCTGTTTCAGCTGTAGCTGGCATCTCCGCGATGGCAAGATACATGGCCGTATGAGGAACATAAATAGGAGCTCAATATCGTGTATTTAGATGATCAGTGCTTGATAGATTGAAATCTCATAGATTGCTCCAGACCCACCTGACCAATCAAATCAATCAAATATCTCGTATCTCAGATATTTGCCTCAACGTATACCTAGCAGTCCAGCATCAGAGGCCTACCACGGCAAATAGATAGAGCTTATACCTTAAAGATAGGCTATATAATGTGGCAAACCTAAAGGGCAGTCTGTAGGAACATATGTAGTTAAGAAGCAAGTAGGCCGCGAGAGAATACTTAAATGGATCCGAATTTATAGAACAACTCTTGCGAGCAAGACAAGCCTTATAAGAGATAACTCCCTTCGCACTAATTAGATGTAAGTTCTTGAGAAATGAATTCTTTTGACTTGGAGCATGCAGCGCACAGAGCATATCTCAAGGGCGGAAAAATACTAGGTATATTCTCCATTTAGTTAATGGGCCTAGAGTGGCTATGAGAGTTTTCCACCAGTCTAGAGACTGGTGATATTAAGGATTATACCAGGGAATTACCTAATAGGAGATAACCTCCTCAGTGATCCATGGATTCCACCCGGAGAGCCCTGTATAGAGATCGATAAGATTGTAAGATCAGATTAGATAAGATTTCATTAGAATCCACCTAAAAAACACTAGTTAAATGCTCAATGGCTCGTTCAGCTGACTAAGTAGATCAGGTACCGGATACGGTTAGGAGGACCCATCCAGAAAAAGACTTCCAAGCGACAACACCTAAACATCATACGGAGTAGCTGGATGTCGTATCCCTTCGTCATCCCTAACTCGATAACGAGAGGTTATGTTATCACGAGCCATGGAAATGACATTCATATATACTGAGTACGGAGTACTCATACACCTCTGGCCTCAAAATATGGTGCCGGAAGGATGTGCGAGGAAAATATTTGAGCCGCGTTAGTGGGATAAACTATTGATGAAAGGATATCATCATTGGCCGGCTTAAGGAATACAAATTAGTACGTTGGCTGATGTGTTCAGCCACTGTATCACCTAACTAAAACCTCCAAGGAGCCTTGACGCATCTGCAGAAATATTTCTGAGACTTGCAGCACTATCGTGCATACAGAGCACTCCGTACCCTACGAGCATGAACGAGAATGAAGGAGGGTGATACGACTCAACGAATGGACTGCGGTCAACAAGTCACACGAAAAGGGGGGATTAACGCCGGGGTTGTTTCCGAGAAAGATATATCTAGCCTCAAAGAGTCAGACAGCAGAAAGGAATCGATAGCGGAGATTCTACAGCAACAGCTAGACTTAGTGGAATGCAAAGTGTCATATTGGCAGTTGTATCGCTATGCATCAACAGGAGATTTTGTGGTCCTTGCGATTAGCGCCTTGTGTGCCATTACTGCAGGTGCTATGGTTCCATTTTTCTGGGTAAACTTCCCTTTAAACGCAGTGACTAAATCATCGCTTAACATGAGCAATAGGTAATCTTCGGCAATATAGCCCAGCTATTCCAAGATGTTACCCTCCGCCAAATCTCGCAAGACTCTTTCAGCCGCGAGCTTTCCGCGAGATCCCTATTTCTAGTTGTCTTCGGAGTCGGTGTCTTTTTTGCGACATATATTTCTATCGTGGGATATATATTTGTGGGGGATCGTGTGACACGGAAGATACGTGAAGAATATCTACGGGCTTTGATGCGTCAGAATATCGCGTTCTTCGAAACCAACGGACCCGGTGCCCTCACCTCAAAGCTATCATACGACTGTGGCCTGATCCAGGATGGCATTTCTGAAAAAGCCGCCTTCACACTAAGTGCAATAGCAACGTTATTTTCGGCTTTCATCATCGGCTTTATCAAATATTGGAAGTTAACCCTAATTGCCTCCTCTGTTTTGTTTGCCATAATTCTCTTGACAAGTATCTGTTCAAAATTCATTGTGGCCTTTACCAGCAAATCATTGGGCCACTACTCCTCCGCAAGTACTGTGGCAGAGGAAGTGCTAAATTCGGTTCGCGTTGCTGCGGCATTTGGCACTCGGGACAAGTTTTCTCGGCGATATGAGGCTCATCTGAAAGATGGGCAATACTGGGGAGTGAGACAACAGATAGTTGTCGCGCTAATGATGGCATTCCTGATGTCCGTGACATTTTTCAGTCATAGCCTGACATTTTATATGGGATCTCGCTTCATTACTAATGGAGAAGCTACTCTTGGAGAAGTACTTACGATCGCCCTGGCGATTCTCGTGGGTGCCTTTTCTTTAGGACATGTATCGCCACATATTGGAACCTTCGGTGATGCGCTGAGTGCAGCCAAGAAGGTCTATGCTATTATTGATCGACATTCGCCTCTTGACTATTCAGTGGAGGCTGGCAGGTCGTTTGAGCAAGTTGAAGGAAATATTGAGTTCAAAAATATTACCCATATATATCCTTCGCGGCCGGAACAAGTTGTCTTGGACGATCTTAGCCTAAAAATCCCAGCGGGAAAAGTAACCGCCATCATTGGCCCGTCTGGCTCTGGCAAAAGCACCATAATATCCCTAATTGAGCGCTTCTACCCGCCAGTTGGCGGAACCGTCTTCCTAGATGGACATGATATAAAAGATTTGAATATCCGATGGTACCGCCAGCAGTTGTCATTGGTTAGCCAGGAACCCGTCTTGTTTGGTACTACGATATACCAAAATATTGCGTACGGTTCTATTAAACCGAGTGATTATGATGCATCGGTAAAGGCTCGAGTTGAGGAGGCCGCGAAGCTATCGAATGCCCATGGATTCATTATGGCATTACCGGATGGATATCAAACTAATGTCGGCATGGGTGGAACTAAGCTTTCGGGGGGGCAAAAGCAGCGTATTGCTATCGCTCGGGCTCTCATGAGGAATAGCAAAATCTTACTGCTTGATGAGGCCACCTCTGCGCTCGATGGAGAGTCCGAAGGATTGGTGCAAGAGGCTCTGGATAGAGTCTGTACCGGGCGCACCGTGATCATTGTTGCACATCGACTATCTACTATTCGAGCAGCAGATGTTGTGGTAGTTCTCGCCAATGGGCGTGTTGCCGAACAAGGATCTCATGAAGATCTGATGTCTCAGAAGGGCTTGTATTATGAAATGGTTGACGCCCAAAAAATCGTGGATAAAAAGCCTACGGTGGTTCAGCCTAGCAAGTCGTTGGAGAACCAAGATCCCATCCCAAGCCCCACGGAGTATAAGCACTTTAAAGAGGATCACGAGCCTCTCCCAGTCTCTATCGCCAACAAGTCCGGCACAAAACGCTCGACCTGGATACTTATTTCATTGATTGCAAGCCTTAATCGACCTGAAACACGATATATGTTGGTGGGTCTCATGTTCTCCGTCCTTGCTGGTGGAGGCCACCCAGCACTTGCTATAATTTTTGCAAAAGCCATTCAGAATCTCTCCTCCCCGAAAACGATGTATTATGAAATTCGGGAGAATGGACAGTATTGGGCGCTGATCATGTTTCTCCTTGGTCTTGCGCATCTCGTCAATCTGTCAGTTCAGGGGATTTCATTCGCCTATTGTTCAGAGAAACTGGTAACTCGAGCTAGAAGCCAGGCATTTCGGACAATTCTACAACAGGATATCTCATTCTTTGACCGCGACGAGAATAGTACGGGTGCTTTGGCGGTTGTTCTTGCTAACGAGGCTAAGAATCTATCTGGAGCGAGCGGCTCTACGCTTGGGACTATCCTCCTGACCGTAGCGTCATTAGGTGCCGCTATCGTCATTTCCTTTGCAGTTGGATGGAAACTGGCCCTAGTCTGCATCGCAACAGTCCCTGTGGAGCTTGCTTGCGGATTTTATCGAGTTTCTATGATTGAATCGTTCGAGCAAACAGCAAGGAATGCGTATATAAGCTCGTCTAGCTTTGCTAGTGAAGCCGTCTCGTCCTTACGGACGGTAGCATCGCTGGGCATTGAAAGGGATATCACAACTGCATATCATGACCAGCTTGTCCTTCAAGAAAAACGAAATTTATTGACTACAATAAAATCGTCTATTCCCTATGCAGCATCTCAATCGTGCAGCTTCTTCTGCGTCGCGCTGGCATTTTGGTATGGGGGCAACCGCGTCGGGGATGGTGAATACTCGATCTTCCAGTTTTTCTTGTGTTTTGCACAAATCATCTTTGGCGCCCAAGAAGCTGGTCATGTCTTTGCATTCTCCACAGACATTGCCAAAGCAAAAAAAGCGGCAACAGTATTGAAAGGCCTCTTGAGTAACAAGCCTCAGATTGAGCGCGAAGACGGGTCATCCGAATATCTTGAGAAAGGGGGCATAATCGAAATCCAAGATGTGCATTTCCAGTACCCCACTCGACCCCAACCAGTGCTTTGTGGATTAACAATGACCGTTCAACCAGGCCAATATGTTGCTCTAGTCGGATCTAGTGGAAGTGGGAAAAGCACCGCACTCGCGCTCTTGGAACGATTTTACGATCCTACTTCAGGTAAAATCACATTTGATGGGCAAGATATCCGAGATCTGAATGTGAGTGAATACCGGAAGCGGCTGTCTCTTGTTAGCCAGGAGCCGTCGTTATTTCAAGGAACCATTCGGGAAAATATCTTGTTCGCCACAGAGGAAGAGACTGTGCCAGAAGAAAGGATCATACAGGCATGCAAGGACGCCAATGTATACGATTTCATCCTTTCGCTCCCGTAAGTGTTCCCTCTAGCTATGTTGACCACTCAAAGTCTCTGCTGATACCAGTGATGTAGTGAGGGCTTCTCGACCATGGTAGGCAGTAAGGGCATGATGCTATCTGGCGGCCAAAAGCAACGATTGGCTATTGCTCGTGCATTAATACGGAACCCAAGGATTCTGCTGTTGGATGAAGCCACCTCTGCACTAGATTCAGAGTCGGAACAAGTCGTTCAGAAGGCCCTAGATGTTGCTTCCCGGGGCCGGACCACCGTTGCTATCGCACATCGTCTCAGTACGATTCAAAATGCAGATATAATCTACGTGCTCCACGAAGGCAGGGTTGTCGAGCAAGGTACACACCAAGAATTATACCAACGCCGTGGACGTTACTATCGACTGGCAGTGCTTCAGTCAGTCGGTGGTCCTTAGGTGCTGGCATTAAGAGGATCGAATTTGATTCATAATCACTAGTCAACCCTTCGTCTACGATCCTAGGCGTGATAGGCAAGTGTCTGAGCCTCCTTAACTGGTCTCTTTGGGGGAAGCTGCTCGAAAACATCACCTCTGGGTTGAATTTTCAAGACGAAAATCACCCGCAAGCTCAAAAGTGATTACCTTTAGACTTTAACCGCCGGCGCTAGTCAAATAGTTAAATGTTGGAGCTTAACCTAAAAATATATTTTAAACCTTCTATCACTAAAAGCCGACGTCAGCTTACACGGAAAGATTTATAGATCTGTCTCCAGGTGGTCTTAAGAGCTCTCTTATAATCAAGGAGAGATAATTGTCTTACCACTTTACCTGTTGATGCTAGCCCTAGATTAGCATCAGATCCTTACATACGACTCTAATGACCCCGAGTCTGCGAGAAGGAATAATACCCCTGCCATGTTTAGTTATCTGAGTACGTGTCCCAATGTAACCTCAGGTATACCACATCCTTCGACTGGAAGTTACGTATGGCTGTGGAGTCTAGCGATCAGGTCGTAAGAAACGATCGCACTTCTCCACGATTTCGATGTGTTGCGCTTTACTAAACAGTTGCATGGATAGCAGTCAATACAACATACTCAAGGGTTACATTTGTCTCAAGTATATGTTGGCGTTGGATAAGCCCAGGGAAAGGATATTTATGTCACTTTTGGCCCCTTCAGCACTCCTAAATACAAATATCCTCCGATATACTCCGTATTGCTTTAGCTTGCGGTCCAGCCGCGCGGCGTAATGCGTCATGATTATGGTCTCTCAAATGAGAGGCTTCTAAGTGCAAAGAGATATATATACTACTCCATACAAGAGGCCCCTGCAACGGTCGTCTTGAGATAAAAAACTTCTCACTCACACTCCTGGAACATATCAAACCTATAGACGATGCATCCCATGCCCATTGTTACCCTGGGATTGCTCCTGGAGCTGCTCATTATTGGTGTAGCCCATGGCGGCGAGGTTACGGATGGCACTGTAGCTGCCGCCAACCCGGGGGATACATGCGAATCCTTTGCGAAGCAATGGCATATTTCCATCGAGACGTTTAAAATGTTGAACCCCGATGCCACCTGTCCTAACCTTGTATGGGATGATTCTTACTACATTTCCGGTACCTATCAGTCAGACACAGATACGACTTCTTCCACATCAATCACCCTACGAAATAACATATCTTCTCCCACGTCTTCATCTATAGCCACCCCGTCCACTACGAAGCCAGGCCACGCGAAGGAAAGCGATAGGTCGCCTCAAGGATCGTCCGGTAACAGATTGCGGCAACCTCTGGCTGGTCTGCTACGTCTGCGTTCACACTCCTAGCCCTGAGACGTTGATTACCACTTCCACCTTCATCTCAAGGACCAGCAATTATGAATGAATGCTGTTAGGAATAGGCAAAAGAAATCCCATAGGACACCGATCATACCATTTTGGGGGCTCTGGGCTCTTGCTATGAACTATTCTAGCTCTGATTATAGAAGAAGCGAATAACACGAGTTGCACCGATTTATAACTAAATCGTTATTGCCCATCTGATCCGAAGGAAGGAAAGGGAGGAACCGGAAGATGTTGCCACCGTGCCATCTTTTTCACGCCCTAAACAGTGTAATAGGCCCATTGCCAAACATAAATCAAAGAAAAACAAGTTGAACCCACTGGCCGTCAGCGTCCATATCTCTCCAGCATACAGGTATATGCATACATAACGCCTCGAGCGCGAAAACGAGAAGAAGAACAATAAGAAAAAAGGTCCATTCGAAAAACGCGAATGGCGATGGGTATTTAAAAATATTTACACTGAAAAAAAAAGGGAAACGAGCGGGAGGGGATAATAGGTGTATCCTATCGATGAACATCTACGCGCTTTGTCGGCAAGAAGTTCCCTACAATCAAGGAGGGACTTGAAAAGGAACATCCGTTAGTAACTTGTGTAGTAAATAATAGAAGACGAAGAGCTTACATGTTATGGTTGTCTCGGCGGATGGTGAAGGAGAAACAGCATGGTATATTCTGTTTGGGGCTGTTCGGATCAGGGCTTTTCAGCGTACAGCTTGTAAGCATTGCCTTTTGCGAGCTGTCGAATGCAATAGCGCCGAATTTCTCCCAGTAACTAACAAGCTGGTCTTCAACGACTATTTCATGAATAGCAAGTTTACCCTGTAGATAGATTCATTGTTAGAGAAGATGGTTGGATAAATGAGTTGGTGAGACCTACATCTCTCAAAGAATCCATTGGCACATCGATTAGTTGTGCCATCTCTTGGTTGCCTCTGAAGATCTGGCCCGTACGTCGCCATAGACAGGCTGGTATGGCCATACTAGCAAATACACGATCATACTCCATTAAACTTCGCTCAAACCACATCTCAACTAATACCAGCTCGATATCGGTAAGAGCATGCATACGTTCTCTGAACGTAGGTCGGAATTTATCCAGCTGGCGGAGAATCTTCTGTCGCGAACTAGGCTGCAGGTGCTCTTCCATGTATTTGTTCAATCGAGCATAGCCGTTTACATAGTTGAATGGCTTCAGTAAGCCGGCATCATATTTAGCCTTGAGTAGCTTGTTCATGCGCTCTTCCGGGGGGTCGGTTCCAGAAGGGTCAGCGGCTGTCAGGTAATATGTTTCTTTAGCTTTGTCGTTTCCGACAGTGCTGTTGGGTCGTTGTATGGCGCCTCCCTGGGGAGCCTGTGATGGGCTGACGAATTGTGAAGGAGATATTGTGGATTGCTGCGGTTGTTGCTGGGGGTAACCTTCATTATTGCGGGATAGGTTTGTGGCCATGGAGTTTAGAAGCGACATATCGGAGTAGAGACCCCTTACCTCGTCGTTGGGATACATTGATCCGTCGTCTAGAAGGCTTGTGCTGAGAAAGTCGTTGAGGAGATTATACTCGTTGGTGAATTCGGGTGCATTAAACATGTAAGACGGGTGGAATGTATGGATATCTTGAAACTGGTTGTTTTGACCACCAAGTCGCCATTCGTTGTTATACCCCATTACTGTGAAGGAGTCAGTATAACTATGAGACAAGCAGGTGGTATTCGTATGGTCATCTCTTACAACTCTGCTGGTTAACGTCAATACTCGGGCCGGAAGCGGCTATATCCTGCGGAGGAGCGCTCTGGGAGGAGGTCAGGGAGGGCGGTTGCATAGAAAGGGCCGTATCTGGCAGTATCTGGTCGTCTAGGGTTTCACGTCCCTCGATAGTCTGCGACATGCCTTGATTACTTTCAAAGTCATTGTTCGCAGCGGGACTTTCGCCAGCGGCAGGAGCGGCGGCAACGGCGTCCTCCGAGTCGTTCTTTACGCGTTTGGTCGGTTCGCGAGGTTTGTCATGACACAGATGACCGATATTGCGTTTTATACAGCGGCTACATGGTCGACCCTAAGAAGCACAAAGCCGGATGTCCCCGTCAGCAAGGCACAGCCATGTAGGTCGACGTGTCATGGGATGAAAGGGACTAGAGGGAAATTTGGTTGAGAGATTGTCGTACCGAATCGCAAGTCATATGCTGTTCAACGTCATCACGGAAAAGAGCGATTATAGTCAGTAAACTCCTGCAACTGATACAGACAAAATGGAATGACGGCAGTTGTTATGCATCGTAGCGGTACCGCTAAGGTCTTGGAGACATGGAAGTGGGATGGAAGGTGGGTGCGATAAGAATTGAAAACACGATGATGAAAGAGGAGATCTGTAGCTCACCGATCGACGGCAGTAGACGCATGCTGTAGAGCGAATGAATGGTCAGCGGTTTTACTTCCGACGGCGCGCCATGGATAAAAAAGCAAATAAAAAATAAAAGAAAAAGGGCAACGGAAGCATGCGTTGCATATATAAGGGAGAAACAATAAAAAAAAAAAGGTTGAGACTCTGAGCCCTGCAGGCCTGATTTCCAATGTGGACCCCCCTTTCGTACATCCATACAGGCGGTCAAAATGCACTGAGGGAATAAGAAGAAGAAAGATGCGGGCCTTTCACGCGATCTCATGCGGCTGCTCGAGCTTCTACTCACCATGGTTGACCTTCCGTCTCTTCTTTGGGCTGGAACCCGTTGTTGGCGGCGCCTTGTCTGCAGCTCCTGCAGCTGTTTGACTATCCCCAGTGCTCATCATCGCCATCGCCGGCTTGGCCGTTGCGGTGTCCTGCTCAGCTGAATTAGCAGACGCTGGCTCTGTGGCACCATTGCTACGTTTGTCTTCCTCCAGCGCTCCCGTCGCGGTCTCGGCAGCCTCACCACCCATTGCGCCTGCGCCCAATCGCTGGAATGGCTACGGCCGGTTCTCTGGCGAGAGTATATAAGGGGGGAAGAGGGTTCCGGTCTGTCGTTTGTCAACGTTCCACACAAGCCTGGGCGATGGCCTGTCCCATCAGGTACCACTGCAGAAGCTCGACGGGGGTTCGTCCAGAGGAACGTCGAAGGTTGAGGGATGGCGGAACGGCGGAACGGCGGAACAGCGGAGGTCGAGGCAGCTTAATGGACGAATTCCTGGCGTTCCCGGTGGTAATTAAGGCGGTATATGCGTGCGCTGGCGGAAGGTCTGGGGGTTAGGCCTGGCGTATGGCCGTCGAGGACGTATCTAGTAGAACACGCAATGTTGGGATCGCGCGTTTCAAATTCTGGGTTTGTCGGCGAACAAAAAGGCCATCGCAAGAAGTGTGAGCGAGCAGTCTCCTCCAATAGATCCCTTAACCGACGCACACTCGAGATGGAGAAACATGGATGAGCTCTTATCTGCGTTGCTGGGCGCATGGGGGGGTTGGAGAAGGGTGAGTTGGGTGACCGAAGAAAAAAACGCCACATATTAGTAGCATCAAGGGCGCCAAAGTCTAACAACACCGAGCAAGAAGCCCAGATCCAGCCACGCCGCGAACAGGAAACAGATCCAATAGCGGTGCTGGGATGGCTGGAGAGTCGCTCTCGGAGGCGTACGATACTGCGCAGTGTTTTCATGTTTTTATCAGGTTTCATTTTACGGCTTGTGCATGTCGAGATTCCATCACATGCAGTGCCGAGCATGATACAATCAATAGTTATGTCTGGAGCTACTTGGCAGCATAAGATGAGTTGTTAGGATGATCCCTGGATGCATCTCTCTCTCTCTCTGTCTCTTTCTGTGTGTGTCCTCGAGGCATCGCCAGTTCGCTGGAGCCGTGTCAAACGGCCGGATGTGCCTGTCGATACACCGCTCTCTGCCTGCTGCAAGAGTATCGCCTTGAGAAGCTTCCATAGCGTCGACACGCACGCCCTCTATACTGTGCATAAACCTCCGTCATGGAAGTGTGCCAAAGTGACGTATCATCCATGCCGAGGCCACTTTATCTGTGTACCTTGTTCGTGCAGGAACAGCGAGTCGAGTCCGTGTTAATTTCTTTTCCTCTCCAGCCAAGGGAAGTCTTTTCAGCCTAGCGGGAGCATGTCTAGTGCCGACTTCGCTTGGGCGATGGCGTGGCCGATTCCCCGTACCTGCGCTGCGTTGCCTTGCATGGACTCGAGGTGGTTGCGTAGCTGCTTGATGGTTGGAAGGAGTGCTGGATCTGCGTCGAGCTAGATGGTTAAAGTACGTGTCAGCACCGATACCGTTCCGTTAGAGCTGCATAGATGATGTGATCCGTACTTCACTTAGGACGGTCTCGTCGTCTTTCAGCGTAAAGTCCGCAACACCACTGCCGGCTTCGTTCATGCTCGATTCGTCAAGCTGTTTCAAAACAGGGTGAACCTAAGTCAGGTATCAGTATCATCATATACCCTGCTTCACCTGTAAGTACGAGACCTACGTTCTTGCTCAACCTCTTCCTCTCAGACTCCGCTGCCTTTGCATTCCGCTCCAGCTCCTCGAGTTTCAATCTATCCTTGGCCAACTCTGCTTCTTCCCGTTTGATCTCAGCCTGTAACAGTCGGATAGAACTTGTAGTCGTCGCCAATTGACCTTCCAGCGCTCGCTATAGATGTAAGCTTCAATCCCACCAAAAAGCCGAGGGTAAACATACACTCTCTCCCAGAGCACCCTCATAATCAAAACTCCCGTCCCTCGTGCCCGCTGGAAACGGCATCTTTGGCAACCGCTTGCCCAGGTTCTTGCGCACGGTTGCAAGCGCAGACTGTGCTTCGACGCGCTTCTTTTCGTCCCGGTGTCGTGTTATAACTGGCAGCTCGACAGACAAGAAGAGCTGTTTCACCTTCTCCTGCGTAGAATCCGATAGGGTTGTCCATTTGGATTTTATCGTTTCTTCGTTGATATGTCGGATGCGAGGCTTGAGGGCGGCGAAGGGAGGGTTGTTGGGCTTGCTGCGTTTTGCTTTCGCGGGAGGAGAGGAGGGGCCATCGGCATCTGCTTCTGCCTGCGTAGTATGCTTGCGCTTTGGAGCCATGCTTATTATCTCGCAGCTTGTAACGTCGGTTATATCGTAGCTTCAGGAGCTTGTCGCTTTTTTTATATTGAAGCTCTGCTACCTTTCCCTTATCGGGCTATCGCGATCTAAACAATTACTAATCCACATAACTATTATTGTAGTCATGTGACATATTATCAGATACAAGTCAGCTGACACCTCTATATGCATGAATATCTTTCTAACTCCCAGTTTATTCTGTTGGAGGATGGCAGCTTTGCAAGGCTATTTAAAACGATGGTATATCTCACGAAAGGCATCGAGCTCATTTCTAGGAGATCGAGGCTTCAGGGAGCTCAGTGGTTATTTCTCGAGATTGAGCCATGTGTTACATTTTGATACCCCTTCGTTGTCTATTCGATATATAGGAGGGCAAGTCCCATGATAGCATGAAGTTCTCTGATATCTAGCTCAAATTGAACCTAGCATATGCAGCAGCATGATGCGGAGATCCTTCGATCCTTTTGCAGATATTACATACCCAAGGTCTACGCCGACATGGAAATAAGTCAACTATGGCGTTAGCTATGGGCGCATCCTGTGGGATCCCATAAAAATAAGCTCTAAAGTTGTAGTTATAGGATCTAGTGACGGTGTCATTGGGATCAAAATATTCAACTTTTGTCCCAATCGTTACGTTCGCTCCCCAATTGTCAAACCGAATTCTTTAACTAACTAGTCAAGGTTCTTAGTGTGCGGATTCCACTTGGTTGTTTGAGAACCCCAGCTACCCTATATCATCCCAATGTATGGAATCTGATTCTTCTCGTTTTACACTGGATGAAAAGCCAACCTCCCGGTCGGAAGGTTCATGATCCTTATAAAGCGATTCCTCGGTACCTTTCGCTCTAGATAACATGTTTACTAATATGTTGCCCATACAGAACGGAATTACGTGATTACCATAGATATGTACAATGAGATGAACGTGCAGTACAGATACCCGGGAAGAGAAATTTGATAAATGGGTAATATCTCACGCTTCCAGTAAGGGGCAGCAGTCTATGACTCGATGTGGGAGGAAGTAAGTGGAGAAAGAGGACGAGAGAGATGTTAGTTAACGAGTGGAGAGAAGCAGGAGTGAGAAGGAGAGACGAAAGGATAGACGATTTTCCTGTACAATATGGAAGTTATTGGTGGTCAGCCTCTGGTTACGACGTTCAAACTGTTTTTTTCAAGGATGCATAGTTGTACATACTATAGACCTAATGAACAAACATTAAAAAAGGAACAGAAGGGCGCTATCAAGAGTAACATGGTCACTTGGCCAAAAAGATATAAATATATATGTACTGCTACAAGGAAACCGAGAGCAAGAAAAAAAAAACGATCGTTAAAATAGAACATTCATTTCCATCCCACGGAGGTCGGCGTCTATATCAGCGATACACTAGTGCACAAGATCAATGGCCGACTCAAAGCTGCTGTCCACCAGGTCACCGCACCCGTTTCTCTTAAGGACAAGAAGGCAGGGGTTCTTCCTGAGCGGTACACTATCGCCCTGTTTGCCAAGGCAGACCGCGATGCACATGTCGGTCCTCTGCCCCAATTTGTCACCCCTGAAACTCCCCAGCGCTTCCCTCATCTCACTGCTTTAGAGCTGCATAACAAGCGGGTTGGCCAGTTGTACGATGCGAGGCCTAGGACCACTATGTCTTAATCTAAGCATGAGAGTGCCTATGTTAGTTAGATACTACCCCCTTTCTATCCTTGAATTTAGAGAGATAGCTCTCCTTCCCGTCCTTTATATGTTATAGGCTATCTGCGTCGTAGCCACGGATTATTTACTTATCAGACAAATGTGCGGAACTGAATAACCAAGAGATTCTAATTGCCAAAGTAATAAATACATATACTTGCTCTTGTTCGTGGGTCGCTCGCACAGTCTGACCCCCGATATTAAAAGGCCATTTGCCCCTCGGTTAACTAGTTATCGCCAGGGTATAACTAGTGTGGAATGGCTCCACTCTCTAAGGAATTAGGTGCAAAAGTCAACCAGGCAGAAATGAGCGTCGTAACAGCCACAAAATTACATATATCTATATATGGAGCTCCCTCTTTCAAGTACCTGAGAATGTCTAAATAAGAATTCGAGCAGATGATTTGTCCTTCAAGACTTGACCAGACGCCACTGTGTATGCGAATGCACACTTCTCACGCTACATACGAATATAGCCTACCTGTCATTTCCAGGCATCAATCCATTGTTATATGCTGTCCTCCATGGCGAGTGTTAGTGGTGATTGTTCAGACCATGGATTCGGCCCGGGGAGCTGCCAAAGATTCGATTTCACTCTATTGTTTGAGCAAAGCATTCTATCTATCCTGCCATCAGCGATTATGATTCTCCTGGCGCTTGCGCGGCTATACTTTCTACATGGAAAGAAGGTTAAAGTTCTGCCACACCCGATGCTTAAGTCTAAAATGGTGGGTACTGGATCTACAAGCCTTGCCTTGACGTCCTTCTTTATAACCAACAGTTAATATGAGCCCTTCTGATATACTAGGTCGTGGGCACGATATCCATTGGCCTTCAACTAGCGCTTGTGGTCCTATGGGCTTCAAACCATACAATTCGAAATAGGGTGACTGTTCCGTCCGCTGTCCTCTCGCTTATTGACTCACTTCTAGTCGTGCTCCTATCCTCTGCAGAGCACTGGAGATCATGCAAGCCTTCATCTTTACTGCTTATCTTTCTCCTTCTATCTAGTCTTTTTAGCGCTGTCCAGATTCGAACTCTCTTTCTGATACACGAATCTTCCATCTCTGCGGTTTTGACAGTTGCTCTGGCTGCCAAGCTTGTGCTGTTCTTCCTTGAAGCGCAACCCAAAGTTGGCTATCTTAAAGAACCCTACAGCTCTTACTCTCCGGAATCAACCAGTGGCGTCCTCAGCTGGAGCTTTCTTTGGTGGCTCAATAAACTTTTCATTACTGGCTTTAGAAGGGTCATGACGTACGAAGATCTATTCAAAATTGATGAACGAATCGACTCTCGAGCCCTAGAGGAAAAGATAGGAACGGCCTGGGGAGCCCACAGTATGGGTACACCCAATCCGTGAATATGGAATTTTCACTAACCAGTCTTAAAGAGCATTCAAAGGGAGATAATGTTTTAGCAATTGCAGCAGCATTCTGCTTGTCATCAGAATGGCTTTTGACAATAGTCCCGCGCCTTGCATTAGTTGGATTTAATTATACACAGCCCTTCTTGATCAGTCGCTCTATCAACTTACTCAGTCATCCAGACTCCGAACAGTCCCGGAACTACGGATATGGCTTAATTGGTGCGACATTTCTAGTATATGTTGGAAAATCTGTTAAGTCAAACCCTGAAGGCCAGCAATTCTAACATACGCTAATACCTTCTCGCAGTTGGCCATTGTACATTATAGGCAGCGTATTTTTCGAATAACCACTATGTTCCGTGGGGCAATGGTTACTCTTATCTATAATCATACTATAGAAATCCAGGACGGGCTGCAATTTGAAGGTGCTGCTTTGACCTTGATGTCGACAGGTAGTATAACAGGTTGAATGATTTATTTGCCGTTTACTGACTGACTACGACAGACATTGAAAATATTGTGGACTCCCTTGAGTCAATCAATGAGATATGGGGCAGCACAATCGAAATGGCAATCGGGATATGGCTTTTAGAAAAGAAATTGGGAGCAAACTGTGTAGTGCCTACAGTTCTCACCCTGAGTAAGTACCCTTCTACCCTCCAACTCTATGCTTCAAAGCTAAGCATAGGGCTATCAGTTTGTACTTTCGGTCAAGCTTTTGTCGCTAGGCATATTGGTAGGAAGCGGCAAATGTGGACTCAAGCGATCCAGGAACGGGTATCTACGACAGCATCCGCGCTTAATTCGGTCAAAACTATAAAATCAATGGGTCGGCCAAATCAGTGACCCCTATCTGAAGTTTAGGATACTGATTAATTTCTTACAAACAGGCCTTGAGAAGAGTCTGGAGGTAACATTACAGAAGCTGCGGGTGCATGAGCTACGCCTTTCAGGTGGATTTATGTGGCTCATTATTCTCTTGAATGTCCTCGGTGCGTAAGCTCCAAAATATTGGTTCGGACCAACCATGACTATAGTTAGCTAGTTACTTACAGTCTGGACTAGCGACCCTCCCGGCTATCTGGTCGCCAGCTATAGCATTCATCGCGTTTACTGTCCAAGCAAAGATTCAGCACTCGAATCTGCTTTCAACTGAACAAGCCTTCACTTCACTGGCCCTTATCTCACTAGTGACGATTCCAGCGGAAAGTTTCATGGATGCGATTCCCCATGCTGGTGCTTGCCTGGGTTCCTTCACACGCGTCCAAAACTATCTCCGCCTCCCTTGTCGGGTCGACTACCGCAATGGCTCTCTACCCCCGTTAGAGAAGGCATCATTATCGCCTTCTAATATTCCTTCATTGCACGTTGTTGAGCTAGAACAACTGAGCTCAAAATCAACCAATTTGGACGCCCAGAATGTGATCAGTTTGCAAGGGGTGACTGTTTGTCCCTCAGTAGCGGCTCCCCCTGCACTGAAGGATATTACCCTAAATATTCCAGCCGCATCGCTGACTATGGTTGTGGGGCCTGTTGGCGCTGGGAAAACGACTCTAATAAGGGCCATTCTAGGCGAACTCGTCTGCGAAAGTGGATTGATAACTGTCACATCAACACAATTAGCTTATTGCCACCAGAAGCCATGGTTAACCAACACGTCTATTCTTCAGTCAATTTGTGGGTTCCATGAGGATCTGGCAGTTGATGAAAGTTGGTATAAAGCAGTTGTATACGCTTGTTGCTTAGAGGAGGACATCAAATTGTGGCCTGGCGGTAGTTATACAAAAATTGGTAACAACGGGCTAATCCTAAGCGGAGGCCAGAGGCAAAGATTGGTGCGTAAAAATTACTCCAAACCAGGTGGAGCACACTAATTTTAATATAGGCTCTGGCTCGAGCCTTTTATGCTCGAAAAAAGGTTATGCTCCTTGATGACGTATTCAGCGCCCTTGATGCCACGACGATGGATACAATATTTACCAGGCTTTTTGGGAAAAATGGCCTGGTACAGAGGCTCAATAGCACCGTAGTGCTTGTCACACATTCAAGTATATCCACAATGCTTAGGTTGTTCATCACCCCTGTCTCTAATTGTTTTCTACCTAGTTAAACACCTTCATTTCGCAGATAGAGTCGTTGTCCTTGATAAAGGGCGCATTGTCCAAGATGGGCCAGGCGACACTATAGACTCTAGAACGGAAGCACTAAGTGATACCATTTCGCAGCCCTTTGAAACAGAAAGAATCCGAGAAGCAAAGGAGTCCTTTAGTTTACTAACAGACGAGCAAGACTTAGCGCGGCGGACTGGTGATATTGAGGTTTACAAGTACTATGCCAATTCAATTGGATGGAAGTATGCAACTTTATTTGTTATTGCTAATATTGGATATGCTTTTGCAATCGCATTTCCTAGTGAGTAACTTAATGCAGCCTTAGTACTCAGGAGTCACTAACCGCAATTCCAGGGGCATGGTTAGCACTATGGGTTGGAGCTGGTGGCGATCAACTTCACATTTATATCCCCGTGTATGTGATGTTGTGCATCATGGCAGACGTCTTTCTCGCCGGAAATCTGTGGTAGGGGAGGCTACTTCTATATTCAAAATGAAAGTCTAACCGTGTTAGGGTCACCTTCATCAAGATTTTACAAAAATCGTCGGCCCGACTCCATCAAGGTCTACTCGAATCTGTCATGAGGTACGATATCTTCTGGAGACTGCGATTTTTCAAAAGGCTAATAAATAGTCAAGAGCGCCGCAATGCTTTTTTGCGAACACCGATACAGGCGTTACCCTAAATAGGTACGGTCTAATTAGATCCAAGGAATGCGTAACTAAATGATACTTATGCAGACTTCGATAGATTTAGTCAAGATATGTCTCTCATCGACAACGCCCTGCCTATAGCGTTTAATCAAACAGCAACTGGTTTGTGTTCTCCCAAAACCAAAATATAGATGAAAAAGACATCTTGAGGTCGCCAACTAACGGGGAACTGAGCAGAATTCTGCAATTGCGTCGCTCAAGCTATACTGGTCTGCACAGGATCTAGCTACATGGCTCTTACGGTTCCATTTACACTTCCCGTTATTTACCTAATCCAGGGTGTCTACTTGAGAACATCCCGCCAGCTTCGACATATGGATCTAGAGGCAAAAAGTCCGATATACTCGCACTTTCTGGAAACTTTACATGGACTCTCGACTATCCGAGCATTCGGGTGGCAGCAATCATTGAAAAAAATCAACTTACACCGCCTTGATGTTTCACAGAAGCCCTATTATCTTCTGTTTTCTGCTCAGCGCTGGTTAAACTTGGTTTTGGATCTTCTCGTGGCCGCGCTAGCAACAATTCTTGTTTCTCTCGCCTTCACCCTGAGACATAGTACCAATCCCGCTCTCCTCGGGGCGGCATTAAACACCATTTTAGTTTTAAATCAGTCACTGTAGAAGCTCATTACTTCTTGGACATCGCTAGAGACGTCCTTGGGAGCTATAGCTCGAGTCAAATCACTCATTGCTTCGACTCCAACTGAAAACCAGCCCGGAGAGGACGGGAAGCCACCTGCGGTATGGCCAAATAGGGGTGAAATTCAATTCGAGTCAGTGTCAGCCTCATATGATGGGGTATGCATGGCGTTAAGCAGCATCACGATGCGGATAAACCCTGGTGAAAAGATTAGCATCTGTGGGCGGACCGGCAGTGGGAAGAGTTCTCTGATTCTTGCTCTTCTCCGCCTACTCGATATATCGGCGGGTCGTATTATCATTGACGGCGTGGATCTGTCTACACTTCCGCGACACGAAGTCCGATCCCAAATAATCACAATTCCGCAGGATCAGTTCACACTCGCAGGCTCCGTCCGTCTTAATGCCGATCCTTCGGGGACAATATCTGATGACTGTATTCAGAATGCACTAAAAAAGGTGCACCTTTGGTCTTTGATTGAGTCGCGTGGTGGCCTAGATGGGAAGATGGACGCCGGCTCCCTCTCCGCAGGGGAGCAGCAGCTCTTCCGACTCGCCCAGGCCATACTTAGAAAAGATGGCCGCAAAATTCTTATTCTCGACGAAGCAACCAGTAATAGTAATGTCGATAGTAACACGGACCTTCTGATGCAAAGACTTGTCCAGGAAGAGTTCAAAGATTTTACCATATTGACCATTGCACATCGAGTGAGTTGCATTAATCCGCTGAAGCGTTACCGTTGTACTCGGTTTCACTCGAAAGATATTCCTTGCCTTCTATTGCACACTCCGTTCGAGCTTTTAAAAGTGGCTCTGGTATTTCTGATGCTAATGCTTTTATGTTAGGTGAACACAATACTCAATTATGACAAGGTGGGTGTCTTCGATGAAGGAAAATTAGTGGAATTTGACCGGCCGCAGAACCTTCTAAGGACGAATGGTAGCCTCCTTGGGACCTTATACAGGGCAAAGAAGGCAGATTGAACCGTATGAAATTTTGTTGCCCCTAACTATGACTCGTGAAGAGACCAAGTATTGGGCGTTGAGGTTGAAGTTGTATCGGCAGCAGGAGTGAGGTAAACATCTGCGATAGGCAGGCCAAGTTACAAGTTGAATTTTAATCAAAGTACCTTTAATAGCGCACCTGGAGGTAAAGACTCTTGGTTATTAAGAGAGAATTATAGCATTAACCTTGCACAGCTTCTTATGGCTTATTTTTGTATTCAGCTTTGAGGAATAGTAGCCAAAACGTCAGGATAGCCTACTAAAATTTCATACGCATGCCTTAAACATATCCAGGAATCCAGGGAAATCTCCAACCATGTATCACACAACATATTTTTAGTTGCATTCGCAGCATAAAGAGGCCCACATCATGGATTTCACTCAATATAATTTGTGCTCCAGGGTTGTTCTTTCAGCTATTAAGCTATCTACGTTCATTTTTATGGGGGAAGCTTCAATATATGTGTCTAGTTACATTTCTGCAAAGACACCTTTTTCTTGACCACACTCGTGGCAGGACCTTTTACCGCTGCTCACTTTTGAGATTGATTGGATTCGATCGTTCAATTAGTTAAACCGGACCAAATTTCAGGTAACTATATACATGCGCGGCTCAACGCCCAGAACGCCAGGATTTCATCATAACAGGTGAACAGGTAAACCACGCCACAACTTTGCTGGGACTAGCTATATCGACTAGCCGATAAACATTCCATGTCCCATTCAGAGCGGCAATATTGAAGTTGATATCGTGGGCAAAGGCTTTGCTAAGTAGGTTCGGAGGAGTGAAGTGTAAGTCCTTAACATGATCCGATATAACTAGCACTACGCCAGGTATTATGCAGGTCACCGAAGCTGACATCTCCCGACGAGACGGTGAACTGAGAATGGAAAGTGGGAGAAGATGGTATCGATATAGACCCTCCCATTTTCAAAGATGGGAGGTTCGTACGTACATATTAAAGACAACACAGCAAATAAGGCCTAAGAGCAAACCAGATAAGTCGGCTCTCCGAGCGCCGATTGAAGTAAAGAGCCAAGGTCTGAAGCCCAGGTCATTACGCTGGGACAACTATCCACAAAGTAAGGAGTAACTAGCTAAACCTGAGAGGCGATGGACATCCATGCATATCATTCGGCCTGCGTTGACCTCACTAATGGGATATTATCAGAATCGGCAAACACAAATTGGAGCAAGCACGAGAGATCGATATTCGCTTCTAGCAGTAGAAGGAGTAATAATAATAATAATAATAAAATCCCAACAAACGGCTGGTACCAATTAAGCCGACGCGGCCGCCACCATCTCGACTGCTCTCCGCCGTTGTCAAGAAACGTCTGAATACCAATCCCCCGAGCCTCTATTAGCAAAGACTGGCATTCCCGCGACGTCAGGAAATATATGAATCTGATCAGAGAAACTCTCCTTTTCAGCCTCATAGGATCCTAGATAGTTGGACCAAGATCCATCAATCGTGATACAGGGCCGTAGCTAGGATCCGATGATGACATTAGCTTTGGTGATAGTATATATCATCAAAATACAAGTCACTTTCAAGGCACAGTAATGTTAAGATGCATGTTTTGGACTTCGTTTCTTCATATTTGCGCCTTCAGATGATATGCTGCGTTTATATTACCCGATCGGGACAGTGCACGGTTGCCTTTCTCTTTTATCTTTTCTTCCCCGCGACCAACGTCAACTTCTACACAACATCAACATCACCTCGAGGTTCCAATGTCAAGAGCCGTAACGACTCGGCAGGATGGCTGAGAGTGAGGTAACCAAGATATGCGGTTAGTTCATTTCCCCTTATTCTGTCTATCAATAACGACATACCTGACGCGCCTCTAGTGTTTGCAACCAGATTATGCAGCGAAGTCCAATCATCATCAGTGGCCCTACAAGTAACTACAGGCAAATTAAACGAGTATATCTACAAACCATTCCCACTTGATACCACCAGCTTAAGCCAAGATGTACGACGAACCTTGGATGACGCCGCTGTGGGAGTATGGAATGCATGTAACTTGTTATTTACACAAGATGAGAGCGCACAAAATAGGCGTGACACTTGGTCGATGCGAGAAGAGGGGATGATGGAGAGGATGACGGAAAGGATGGCGGGTCTATGTAAAGGTTTGTTCAATCGTTGCGCGTGGAAGCGCATTCCCTAATTCTCTTGAGATAGCGAAGGTATTTGCGTTCCTTTTACTTGCGTGTGTGATGGGGGATAAGAACGAGGATCACGGTAAGTGACCTACTTTGAAAGTGATGCAGCGGATTATTGCTCTCAATTAACGGCACTTTTAAGACTATATCCGGCTTCTGAAGCCTGGTTTGAAGACAGCTAAAAGGGCGATAGGTTAGTACCCTCACTCCTATTGGGTGTATGCGGTTTTTTTAACAGCTGGAGGATAGTCTTGGGCTATCTAGATCTAAGTATAAAGGTCCTTCAAAAGCTGGCTGATTACGAGGCGAGAGTATCCCAAATTGGATCCAATGAGGCCAATATATTACTGGCTGAATGTCTATCCCAACTTTCTATCCTTGTGAGTTTGATTGAATAGCACTACGCCGTGACATTAACTAATGGATGAATAGCGATGGAGGGATCCAACGAGTCAATCATTCAGTGGCCTGATTTCGCTCTCTATTCAGAAGGACCCTGAGTTTGCAACCAAAGCAGCTGACATTCTCTACTATATTGGCGACGAGATGATTAGACGGGGTGAGTATCCCGAGGCTGCCATATGGTTACAGCAATGCTACGACATTATACAAGAGCTAGATAGTTCGAGCAAGTCATCCAAAGAATTTCGACAATGTGTTCTGCATAAAACTAGTATGCCACCAATTGATCATGTCTTATGCGTCGTCTAATATCATTAATCGCCTTAGTTCAAGTTCGCCTGGAGCTAAAGGACATTGGTGAGGAGAAGACTACGCTAAAGTTACTGGAGGATTTAGATCGTGTACGCAGCCCATCGGCCAGTAACTCTTTTGCTCACTAACGAGTAGGATAGGATTATCACTCCCACCCTAGTACTTTGTACCTAGGGGTTGAAGTTTTTAATAGAATAGGGCCGCGTATAGAAAATGGGGAATTGCAATGCCATAACCGTGAGTGCTCCCTCACGGTTATCTAGCATTAAAACTAACGCTACCGCTAAAAACAGGCCTCGCTTTAATCACGAATGAAGTGGTGATTAATAAACCTAACCTAGATATGTAAGTCGGCTCTAGGTGTCCGTGGTTACAAGAAGGTATCCGTCTAACATATTTCAAGGATACTGCACTGCATTCATCAGTTCTGGCTATGGAAGTATAGTGATCCCCTTATAGTCTCAATTGAATGAAACTAATAGCTAGTGGATAGTCCTAATTCCGCGTGTCGAATTCACAAAGCTTTGATAATTTACAGGCTTCAACTCACCGAAAAACACCAGGTTGAATTATTAGAGAAGGCAATATTAACATATTTCTGGCTCTGTGTGTATAATCCGAAGACATTTGAAAGCCTAACGCAGATGCAGGAATTCGTATCATTGCTAAATATAGGCAACCCGCGAACGTTAACCTTCGGTGTTGATGCTTCCCAGGTGGCACAAATAGTATACTATGCTCCTCCGCTTTTGGAGGCCTATAAACTGACTCTTAGTCTAGTTGTTTTCAAAGAAGGTGCATCTCTGTATCCAGGCAGGGGAATTTAAGGACGCAATGGAATGGTGCAAGTTAGCTCAGCACCCCCTTCTTGCAGAGGGCAACCAAATTATAATCCAGAGGTAAGATGCCTTTCTTAAGTTTGAGTCTAATATATATTCCATATTTTCTTATCTTTATGCCATAGGAAGCTATTATTCTGCGCATTACACCTGGACCGCGATACAGCCTCTGGTATTATGGACGAAATTAAGGGGCATGGCAAATCATCACCTTCTATACAATTTCTACAATTCAAACTTGCATTAAGGTTTGATAACTTTGACTTAGGTCTACCACTTTACCCTTAACATTTACAGCTATATTTAGCTAACCTTTATGATCACGGTAGTAACAGAAAGCTTAGATAATTTGGTTCTTTGTCAAAGCAGCTACGGACATATGCTTGCTTGCATATCTGATGCTAAATCACTTGGGAAATCATTTATGCTACGGCCAGTCTTCATGAAATTGCTCAAAAAATATGATTCCTGCCCTGACCAACAACTAATCATACGTATTCCCGTCTTTCTTAAGTAAGTGTTAATTCACGGCTCGACAACCGTTCCTGGCTGCAGGATTAATGCATTCATTCTGTTAGATGCTACGTCCGCCTTATGGCCGATATATCATTGTCCAGTGGCCAAAATACAGCTGAAACCCCGCTTATCGAACAAGTCTGTCTAATATTTGAGAAGTGTAAGACTCGTTGTTCTGCGGTTAAAAACTGTGGCTAACCATGTGGCATTCTTCTAATAGTCAGTGAGAATGTTTCTCAATGCGTACTGCCAGGACAGGCACTACTCAGCAATCTCGAATGGTTTTCCCGCAATTGTTATAACTTAGCAACCATATACTATTCACAGTGGCCTGCACTATATTCGCAGCGACTCATAAACTCATGCATAAAGGTTTGACCTACCAGACCTCTACACCATATGGCATAAAATCTGATAAAATCTCCAGATGATAGGCTTGTATCCAGATGGTCTGGGCTCTGGTGCCTTATTTAACATCCAGGAGCGTAAATTTAGGTGCAATGTTATGGCAGCTACGGTGTGCGTGGCCTTAGCAAGAGAAAATGCTGATTCTGCCTTTCAAGTAAGTATTCTATTTATCAATATCCCTTCCGCGAATGTAGCTGGGACCACTACCACTAAATTCCGTACTAGGTTTTACATTACCGTAGTGCAAGGGAACATATACAACAGTGCCGAGAATACATCAAAGCTCGTGTTCCAAAGGATTCACAGAAAATTCCGCTTACTTACGCTAATATCTACCATTCATTGGCTGTATTTGACTTCGAATCTGCTATTTTTTCGGGACAGGTAGAGGCTCTCCAAGAAATCCTAAACGATCTCGTGGATATAGAACCAAATACGAGCTGCATCCTTGCGGGTCTGGTTATTTCCTCCAGGCGGACGGACCTCGTAACTTATGAGGTATTCCGAGTAAGCTGCTTTCACCACCTACCCTATAATCCCTATGATACTAACGTTCTGTAGCGAGTTTTAGAAACTGTTTTAAATTCGCACTATGCACGCAGCATTTTAGAACAGTTCCGCTGGCTTCACTGTCTCTACCGACTGGGTGTCATCTGTGAGGTTGACTGTGCGGAATATATCACGCGTACAACACTGGAGCTGGCCGGTAAGGCTAGTATTTGTAGAGATACAATGGCCGATATCGAAAAAGTTAACATCTGCGAAGAAATGGAGAGGTTGGGACTCTCAATGTGGAACCAGTCGCTAGAATATTACAAAGCTGGAGACGAGAATTTGAGCCGCAAGTGGTGTACGGAGGCACTGAAACTAGCTGAGGGAGTGGAACTTGCAGGTTGGTATGTGATGTCTCTCTTTGAACGATTGACCGTAGGGTCTAGTTACTTGAAGTGGGATTGTTTTTTTGAACCTACCAAACCCTAATAATGGTGCTGGTAAAAAGACTGCGAGTCCTAAAAGCTCTTATTTTATTGGCAAACTAAATAAAAACACAGCTTATTTTTATTTGAGCAGACGACTAGGGTAGTAATTGTGAGTTGTATTATATCTAGGGCCACATTTAATTGTCCTGATAAAATAAAAAAAGACCCCAAGAATTTATGGTAGGCATATCCGTCGGGCCCTTGCTGAGAAAGAAAGGAAACTCCAAACAAATGAGAGAAAGATGACAAAGGTTTATATGAGCTCTTAATACGAGCCATGTAAACAATAAATGCTAGCCAATAAGTGGAAGGGAATGTCAAACAAATGACCCTGGTATCATAGAAGAGAAGCAAAAAAAGAGCAAGTAGGGTACTGAGAAATGAAACTGCTTAATCAAAAGCGGGAGACTCCATCCAAACCGTATTATGCCGACCAACCGCCCACACACAATTTACGCAAAGAAAGAAAACTGGCTTTATCACAAATAGAGTAGAGAAAAATATCGAGATGTCGGAATAAAGGAAATGAAGGAGGCAAGTAAATGTATCAGGAGGTCGTGGTATGAAAGACATAGAAGATTTATATCAAAAGTGGCAAAAAGAGGTAAATACTACCCCTCCCCATCCGCGTCAAGAGAATTGGTTCTATGGCCTTTCCCATTCCGCGCGTGGCCTAAATTAGGCGTTGATGGTATTCGACGTGCAAGTCGGGCTGGTTTAGGGGGTAATGGTGACAGATCTTTATTTCTGCAGGTAGTGGGTGTATTCCCGTTTGAATTGGGATCATTCTTCGCCCCATTCATCTGTGACTTTTTCATCTTGTCGCCCAGCGAACGAGCAGTTAGATCAAGTTCCCGCTCGAGTTCGCTTGCTCCTTGGAGGTTAAATTTATCGGGCGAGACGTTTAGCTTTTTGCGATAAGCTCGTAGTGTCCGACAGACTTGTTCAGTAGACATGTTTAGACTGCCAAATTCGCTGGGCGAGTTACCGTTGGTAGGCGAATTCCAATTGGATTTGCTAGATGTGCGAGTGCGGATTTCAAGCATAGATGGGCGTCGAAGACTACCGCTGGTTCGAAGACTACTACTGCTAGTCTTGTTGCTCACTGTCCTAGACAAATGTCTGGGGCTTGGAGGGGAAGGAGATCGATTGGCCTGATTCCTATCGGAATGTGGTGTGGTGGGAGATCGGCGAGGTGGAGGCAGGGGGGGCGTGGATATTGCAGATATGCCATTGACGCCGTTCTTGAAGCCTCCCCCTAGAGTGTATCTAGACGTTTTCTTGCGGATACGGGGGGGAGAATCGCGGACTGGAGTTGGGGTTGTCATGACATTATCTGACTTTTGAAATCCAGCCAATTCGGTTTTTGAGAGGATGCGCCGGAGAGGTGGTTTAACTGCCGTAAGCTCTTTTGTAGGAGTCTCCTCCTCTGGGTGGACGACAAGGTGTGGGCTTTCTTGCAAGTATTGCTGTTGAGTAGAGAGGTTCCACACCATGATAACTCCATCCAAGCCAGTACTGATGAGTGTTCTCTTTATTACACCTGACGGGTTCGGTTCGTTGTTTTCAAGAAGCACAACGTCACTAACTCCTTCGGTGTGGCCAAATTCTCTGGTCAGAAGTGTGTCCTTTTCTGAGTCGTACACCCTTATGGACTTATCCGTCGTCGATACACCAATAAGTAGTCTCGGGCCGTATTCGGGATAATCCCTTTCAATGGTGAGGGAGCTCATGACTGCCGTATCGCCACTCTCTGGGTCAACCACCCGAAATGAATGAACTTGCCGGCTAGATGGTATATGGTATCTCTGAATAAGTCTATCTATCGTAGATAAGATCAGTGTGTCTGGGTCACCAGGCGGGCATATCATTGAAACGGGCGAGGCTTTCAGCGTGATGACTTTTGAGAGAATAAAGGCAACCGTAGAGACGCCGTCGTCATCCCGAGTCATCCGTTCGCGAATGATAATCGTTCTGTCTGCCGAGGAGGAGAGTAATCGTTTACCATCCTTTGTGAATATTAGTTGCCCAACAGCGCCAACATGCTCATCCATCGTTTGTATTACATCGATTGAGTAGTCGGAACTCTTGAATAGCTGGACCATTCTATCCCGCCCGCAGCTTGCAATTAAAGTTGTCTCCGGATCTGAATAGATTGCAATATCAGTTACTTCAGCCCCGTGAGCTCTAACTTCATTTTGACACTCCCATGTTTCCCCATTAATTGTTCTTAAAAAAGAGTTAATGACCCAGTAATGTATAAGTATTTATTTATAGTGGGGGCACTCACCTTATTACCCCATATCTATCCCCGGAAACAAACATTTTTATGCCGCCTGTAGCTCGTAAAACCTTTAACTCATTGGCGTCATCGTCATCATCTGAAAGTTGTTCCAAGTCGACCTTGTATGTATCACAGCAGGTTCCTTTAACATTCCAGAATCTGACAGTCCCACCACAGGACCAGGTGAAAAATTCCGCAGACCTAGTATTAGGTGTCTCGACGGTGCTGATCCCTAGCACAGAATCTCGGTGCGCAGATACGGAGACATCCGCCACAGTTTCGATATTGTCCTTGCTCAGGGGGTCAAGTGGGCATATGCGTAGCGTCCTGGTCGAGTCCACGGTTATCATATGGGTATCAATGATTCCCATGGAGACGATTGCCGCCTTTTTCGGCATAGAACACGCTTGGGCATCAATATTCGCGGAAGTTGGTGAGAGCATGGGCGATGATCTCATTGCGTCTATTGAGCATTTCTCTAGCAGTCTACCGCGACCACCAAACCAAATATTGGCAGAGTTACAATCTATAACAACGGAAGAAACACCAATATCGAATCTCTTGACGTATTGGAGCTTTTGCTGGCCGTTGGAGTCATCCAGGAAACATACCACCCCCGAATCAGAGCATATAATTGCTTCATGGTCGGAGATGCTGGATACACATGTGAATGTGCTGTGATGCAAATTGCCTAGTAGACAATTCCTCCCAGACAAGGCTATTGGGAGTGGACTCGTAGAGGTATTTGGGGAGTCAACACTGGGTCGCTGCTTTAATGGAGAATTCGGCCTGCCGGCGTCTCCGAGCCTCCAAACCTTGATGTGTCTTATACCGACTCTGAGCATAGGATTAGCATCGCTTTATAATTGCAAACATGGGCTAATGACATACGTAATTAGGTTATTTCCCATCCAGCACATATCTCGAACAAAGGATGTGCACTTATTCGTTGAATGGAGTTTTGCAGAGCCATTTCTGAGATTTATTTGCCAAATATAAAGGAACCCGTCGTTAATATCGCCCAAGCTTGCCAAAAATTGCGAATTAGGGCTGAACGCGAGGCTTCGGACACCGAAAGTGTGTTCGGTGATGATTGAGAGGGGAACGTCCGCGGGAGAGTCCTTAGCCGTAGCAAATATCAGGATACGAGGGTTATATCCAGTCTATGGTAAGGGAAGGGGAATAGTTAGCATGGTCGTATTCCGTAGTGATGTAGAATTGGTTTGAACATGCCTCTCCAGCCGCCAGCAACCTGCCATTAGGGCTTAACGAGACGCTTGTGACTGCTTTTATCCTCTCTCGCGATGTCCACGATTTTGGCCCATTGCTCTCTGCCCACTCCCCACCATTTGGGGAATTGGTATAAAGCTGCGAACTGCCCGATATCGACGCTCGCAGCGAAGCCTGGGGTGGTCTGAGTCGCGATTCTGGGGTCGTCGGGGGTCCTGGGGGGTTGTAGAAAGAAAGAATGGGATTGACGCCGGTCGCCGCCGGCCGTGCTCGAAAGAATCGCTGGGAGACGGACAGGTCCTCGTCTAGCTCTGCGAGGACAGCGGCGGAACCCGCACACAAGGCGAAGGAGCGAGTGGGTTCATGGTACGAGAAGCCATTGGGGTTTGAGGTCGTTGTGCCAATAACGGTTTGGAGAGAAAGGGTGGTCTGGTAGCTAGCTGATTTGTAGGGAGTTCTCGAGTTCGAAGCTGGCTTGAAAATAGGAGAGTTTGCGGGCGTGATCTTCAATGACGAGTGGGTTGCTGATGATATCTTGCTCTTGAAGCTGAGAGAATTGCTGGTGTCGGTACCGGTGCTAATGTTAGAACCGCTGCTGCTGTAATTTGCCATCTCCCCCTGCTCCAGACGCAAAGCTCTCTGTCCGGTCCAGGCGTGCTATCATTTCAGCTCCGGGCTGCATTGGGCTTTTCCGACGAACGAAGCGGCCTCTGCCCACGGAGAAACACGCCTATCTGTGAGGATTTACGTGGTAGAATTGGTTTGTATGCTAAAACAATGCATTCATGAGCAAAGATGTCAGGGAAGATGTGCAGCTGCGCCAAAAATTAAGCGGCGGCAGGGTTCTTCACCTGTGATGGAGCGATGTGGTTGGAGGACGAGGTCGAGGTGTGTCGCCTTGCCGTGTGTAAACAAAGGCATTCATTCACTGGATACGGATACTCCCTGCTAGAATTCGTGTTAGCATGTTGAATGGAAACTTGAGCTCCGGTCGATTCCTACTTGGCCTTGCAGAATCTAATAATCCTGTTTGCTACCCTCTGTCCCGATGTTATTCACGGAGTTCAGCTGTGGCTAGCTAACTTTGCGGGGAGTGGTAATTGTGGTTACAAGCCGCAGCAAGCTGCCAATTCATTCAGGCTCGTCACAATACCGAGTGAGCAGCCATAGTCTGTACTATATATGGATTAAATACTATCAAGTATATGGATGTCTTTTAATATCGAGAGATGATGTTTTCTTCCTTTTCTTCCTTCACTTTATTTACTTCAACTTTCCTAACCGGGTAAGGCGTGCTTATATAAGATAGGAATGCTTATATAATCAGTTTCTTCCCTTTTTCTTGCGTTTTGAACATCGCGAAGAGACTCGATATCTACACAAAAGAACGAAAGATGCATAGGAGTTGATGATGCATGACTGGATAGGCCTCTACGAGCCAGACGCTCGGTCATAGCATTTGGTTCTTGCTTCTTGAGCTGGAGTGGGTGAGCAGAGAGGTTGAGCCATGCTATATAACTAACCAGAGGACAGCTTTAAGCGTTCAACTACAATATACTAACTCCAAACTAGAATGTGTCTTATGTTTCGTATAGGCACGATCAGACGCTTACAGAGTACTTCATACACAGTTTCTTGATAGAACAGCACTGATATTCGCTTGACTCGCATCGAAGAAATATATATCCGGCTAGCTCCATCACGACCACCTGAGGAACCCTGGTCAAATATAGCTCGCTCATACTCGAATTTGAAACTTCTGGCGCTGATTCAGCGATAGAGAGCGATTTGAAAGAATTATTAATGTTGACAAAGCTTCGTTTTCGGCATGAAAACCAACCAGCGAGTCGGGCTCGCCCCCGCATCACCAGCCGACCACTTTTGCCGGTTCAAATAGCCAGAATATAGCATATTTTATGGGTACTTTGATCAACGACAGCCGAGGGATTGGTGGGAATAGCAGTTAGATGGTGATCCGGGGCGGAAATATGGAGGTAATGCCTTACAGGCGGGAGGTTCCCGCCTGTTCAATTCTCCTATCACCCTCATCTATATAACTCCATCCCGTAGACCTTCAGAAGCCACAGCTGCAATGCAAACATTGCTATCAAGCAATCAAAGTCAGAAGACTAAGGCTCTGGCAAATGGGTCCCTTTAACTCAACAAAGCTGGGAGAAGAGGCTCAACATAGTGAGTTATCCTCTGACCCAGAGCAAACAGCTCAGGATTTACCCATAGTAAGTTCTATTCAGTCAGTGGAACTAGAACTTGATTTGACCGTTATAACCCCAGAATTGGTCATGGCTTCGCAAACACCTTATTTTGCTGCAATGTGGCTTTCATGCTGCCGGCCCAGGATTTACCAGTGCTGTCCTTATCCCTGGAGTCCATGAGATGGCTGAACAATACGACGTTTCTCCTCAAATGGCGACGTACCTCATAGGCGTCCACGTCCTCTTTCTGGGTGTGGGCCCTTTCCTTTGGAACCCATTGATGAGTATGTATGGACGTCGACCGGTGCTGATTGCGAGTATGTTGTTATCATGCCTTGCCGCTCTGGGCGGGGGATTCGCGAAGACCTACGGTACATTGATGACGGCGAGAGTGTTTCAGTCTATTGGTATTTCGTCCGGTTTTGTCGTGCCTGGGGTCATTGTCGTCGAACTTTTCAGCCCCGAAGAACGAGGGAGTAAGAACGGTATTTGGACGCAAATGGTGGCCATAGGAGCACCCTTGGGCGGAATAATAGGCGGACCTGTGGTCTACTATCTGGGTTGGCAGTGGACGATGTGGCTCATTGCTATCATCAACGGTTCCCAGTTTCTCGGCTTCATGCTCACCTGTCCGGAGACCTCGTACCGGCATCGACAGAACTCTGGGTTTGACACATACCGACCTTCGGAGCTGGTGTGTCTCCCGAAACGGCTCCCCAACCAGCTGAGCATAAGAACACTCATCGAGCCCATCCTTCTCCTACAAAGCCCGCACTTGGCTCTGATTGCCCTGGCCTACGGGGTCACGTTTGCAATAACGTCTCCTGGTATTTCCGTTATCCTACCCCTTGCGTTGAAGGAGCTTTATGGATTCGGTGCGATCGCACAGGGACTATTCTTCATTGGGCCCCTAGTCGGAGTATTGTTGGGTGAGCGGCTGGGTGGTCCTGGGTGTGACTGGGCCATGAACCGGGAACGTCGCCGGGCTGCCACCCATAACGACCGAGAGCGTCTGGAATCTCGCCTCTTTGTGGGATTGCCGGGTTATGTGATGGTCATCATCGGCGTGGTGGTTTTTGGCGTTACGCTGCAGAACCGCACCCATTGGATCGCGCCTTGCATTGGGTTCGCCGTTTCTAATTTTGGATTGCAGCTGGTTACAACACCTCTGAAAACTTACTGTGTCGACTGCTACCCGTCCCATTCGCCATCAGTGCTCCAGCTGATCAATATCATCCGCCAGACTGTGTCCTTCACTGTGCCTTTCTGGAGCCCGAACCTAAATGAGACTGTTGGTTACGGACTAGGCTTTGGGGTCGAGGCCCTCATTCTAGTGTTTTTTTATCTGTGCAGCTTGTTGGTCCTTTGGAAAGGTGCAGTCTGGAGACAGTCAGTCCAAGTGAAAGGGCTGAATGACGACGGGCAGTCTTAGTATCGGTATTAGGCTCCTCTATATCCAACCTGCGATTCGGTCAAATTAACCCGCCATCGTTCCCGTCTAGCCTGTTGAAATCGTATAATCCCAGTCCTCCAACATAAACACGGGATAGAACTTGCCATGGGTCGGGCAGGTTAGCTGAAAAGAACATCAGAAGAGACCTTTTTAAGCTGTGGCTCAGCTATTTTCATAACTAGTGGGTATATTCTGACCGTTCATTGATACTTTGCCTACGGAGTATGGCCCATCCGAAGAATATAGGGGTCCCAGGCTTCAGCCACTGGCTCTAGCTACGAGATCGCTACGTAACCTCTCCTTAAACATACTCTAGCCAGTTAATCCCGTCTTAAATAGATAGCCTGCTTAACAGCACAACCTGATCGTATCCCTTATATGTCTTCTACCCCTGCCCCTTTTCTACTAGCTATCCTAACTTTTTACAAGTAGTCACCGAGAACGGCCCTAGGGCATGTAGAGGCGTACGCTGCGGAATCAACGAGGATTCGAGGTATACATCCTAGCCAGGGAATGTCAATGCTATGCGTTACTGAAAACCATGTCACACATATATATGATAGCCCTGGAACCAATATGAAAAAAAGTCCAATGCGTCATATTGGAATCTCTATTTTCGTCATTGACTTCGCCCTTAAAATATTAAAATCCCATCGCTCACACCGAGTATTAGGGATGCGGTCGTAAAGCTAATACGACTTTTTCCAAGACAACACGGCCCATCCATATAGGAAATACAGGAGGAAGCAGGGAAGGTAGCCTGAGGATTATGGATTCGGGACGTGGAAGTGAGTGACCTGCGAACTGATGCTTCTCAGGGGCTTAATACGCGTGACGAAGCGGACAACTATTCCTAAATGCTGCAGTATTTCTGTTTGAGCCTTTTCACTGTTTATCAGATGCATGTCTTTCTGCAGAGCCTGGTGTTTTTGGGTACGGCCGTGGATAGACCTACAACTCAAGAAGACGATGTCGTGAAGCCGATCACCAGCTAGCAGAAGTCTGACTAGTGAGCTGCTGCAGGGAACATCTACAAGATGCGGGGTATTCAATGGTTGTTTGAGCTGTGATATCATTTGAGCAAGTGAACGCCAGCGTACTTGATCTAGGACCCGAAGTTGCCAGCCGTTGCTCCCTATAGTTATTTAAATAACGACGACTATATTTATACTCCGCACACGCTCGCGTTAATCAGACTGCATAACATACTATACCTGCACGAAATCAAAAACAACCGATACACATTATCATAAAGTGACGCAAAAAGCAAAGAAATGCCAACAGAGGAATCGCGCTCAAATGCAACGGCGGAAGCCCGCGCAGCATTCACTGCCTCCCTGACATCGGTTGGCACCAACCTGGATGCCGACCTGCGTACTCGAGCAGGAACACTCCATGACAACGCCGCGGTCATAGAGAAGCAGCAAGAAGACTTGAAGCGGACGACCCAGGAGGTTTCCAAGCAGAGTAAAGAGCTGGAGAAACTGCTGGACCAGGGCCAGACTGGCCTAAAGGAAGTTGGCGATTTGCAGAATTTTGCAGAGGTGATGGAGAGAGATCTGCTGGTCCTTGAGGAGACGCTGAGGTTGGCTGAAGAGGAGGATCAGAGAGAAGGAAGAGTCGAGAAGCCGGCGCAGGGCTGGCTGAAGAAGTGGTTTTAAAGGGAGGCCGTCATCAGTGAGGCGATTGAACACCTTTGGTTAACTGTACGGGGTGATATCTTTGGTTGATTCCTTTTATTCATGTTTATTTTATTATTTTATTTGTTCGTTGATATCTCAAACATGGTGTTACTTTACGGCAGCGCAGTGATGGCTGGAAGAGATACCAAACTCGCACGGAAACCAGACTCCAAGGTTAGGGAAGTTCGAGATCTGGGTTATGTTAGTTAATATGGGAGCTATATTCAGCGAGGTATATCCAAATTATGAACTGATGATATCAAGTTTTCAAATCATATTATAAAACCAAAAAGGCCCTCGGGTATCACCTCCCTCACGAGCTGTAATCTTCGACAAACTCCTCCCATATATGTTTTATGCTCCTTGGTCGCTTCCCAGCTATAGACCGACGCTCTGCGTGGCTATTCCATTCGCTCCATTCATTCCACTGTCCTAGGCTCACTAGATGTCTCATGGTAGGCCGCCCATGCGGACAGTTCCATGGCTTATCGATCATTCCCATGTGTTTCACCACATTCTCCATCTGTCGATGAGTAAGGTTCTTTCCAATCATGATACTCGATCGACAGGCCCTCATTGCAAACATTTTCCTCACTTTGCTAGGGCGTGGAACGAGGTGGTCAGAGAATGGAGACGAGACAGCAGCCGAACCTCCAACACCTTCGGCATCACTATCAAATTCGTTCCTTAACCGTTTCGCTGGAGTACCCTGTGAATGCTGTGGCGACTCAGCAAGCAAGACAATCAACTCTTCCAAGTCACGGGTATTGAAAACGACTTCTTTGCTTAGCGGTAGACTGATAAGCTTGCATCGCCTACCGATGGGCTCGTCACCGCTTGTATCAACTTCAACGATAAATCCATTCTTCTCCAATGCTGCAAGATTATCGATAATGGTTTCTTCTTCCACGGCAGTCAGGTCGAGTAACTTTGGCTGAACAAGCCTCTGATTTTGCACAGTTGTTTCAGCCTGGAGTCGTTCAAAGTTATATTTCTCATCAGAGGCATGTTGGTCAATGATGAACAGCTCGTCTTGCTCGGCTGAAGTCCCTATACAAGCAGGGTCGTCATTTCTTTTGGTACCTGGTCTTGTCGCCAGGATAAAGCCGAGATTAAATTGTCCGATTATACGCATTTTAGCAAAATCTTTTTTAGATACTGCCAGAGACAACTTCGTTTCAGGCGCAATCTGCTGGTCACCATCATCCGCCTCATCTTGGCCGTGAGCCACATGTTCATTTTTGAAAGATTGGATACTTTCATAAAGCGTTTTGATCTGGGTCTCAATGTTCGCAATGGAAGTATCCACATTGCATATCAATTCATGCGTAGAATCTTTCTTCCGAGGTTTTCGAACTATTCTCTCTGCACGTTCGATATTCCTCTCTGACGGGACGGCTGATGCGCTTTCCGCGGCTTTTATTAGCTCATCAACCTTTGCGTCTTCCCGGTGCTTTCTTTCATCATCATCAATGTAGCTTTCATCGGAGTCCGAGGTAGGAGAGTCACCGCGTTTTAATCTGGATTCTCGACTGTGCTGAAGCGTTTGAACCTCATGTCGTTCTTCATGCTCCTCGTGCTCCTCATGCTCATTGGCATTGTCTTCCTCGTCATCGTCATCCCCTTCTGGAGCTTCATCCTGAACTTCCTCTTCCCCTTCGGTATTTGAACCATCTAACCCTGCTATGCTGACATCCTTCTCGTCCTCCTCACCATTCTCGTCCTCGATGGCGTCGTCGCTCAGATCACCTTCGTTGGGTTGGGTACCTGGGGCGGTAAAAGCCTGAAGGCTTCGGCTTAACTTACTCCTGTTTATAGTTATAGCTCTGGTCTTCGAGGCTGGCGAGTGCATATGCAATCCTGGATAACTCTCTAATCTCCGTTTTACAGGATCTCTGCCGATAGTCGATTGGTAGGTCTTGTTCCCTATCGTGATAGTTGCCATTTCTGCAGCAGGCCTATTAATTCGCATTCGGTCAAAGGCATTCTGAACCACCCCGGGCTTGTGGGTCGGGGTTCCATAGGAGGGGCTACTTGAGATGTGATGTTCCTGCGTTGATTGTGTCTGGGATAATCCTTTATCACTCTCCGTAGTTTTGTTATCAGAAGGATTTCCGGGTGTGGTATATACGCCGCTAGACTCGGGAATAACAGGGTCGTGTTCGATTGTCTGTTCAGGAGTTTGAGTGTCTTTGCTGCCACTGCCGAACATTTGGAGCGCTTCCTTCATCGATGATTGAGGCGTCTGAGCAGTCTCCCGGTCATCATGTTCCACAACATCGTTCTGCCCTAACCCCTGGCTATAACCTGCAATAGCAGATGGCTCCTCCAAATCCTGCGTTGCATCAACCGAAGTTGGCGGTGTCCTTTCCTTTCTCGGCCTTATCTCATTTTGCTTGCTAGACGCAAGCTGCGAAACTGGAACTGTCTGGTCTTGATTTTCAAATAGCTCAGTAAGAGATGCCTTTAAAGATTCGATTAGAGCGCCGGCATCATGCAGTAAAATGGTTCGCTTATCAGGTGAGACGTTAACATCGTATGCACCAGTGTCCATTTCAAAGTTCGCAAAAATAAACGGCGATTGGGATAAATTGAACGATTTGTAGACCTCGTTAAAGGCCTTCGCGATCTGGGGTAGTCCACATGGCCGAGAATTCGCAAAGAACATTTGGCGATCAGGTGTTTGCCTTCCCTCCCCAAATATTGGTTTAGATATGTGGCCATGAACAAATATATTGTTAGTGGATTTTCCTCCTGTGCCTTGGAACCGTTTAGCCGCTGAACTCGGCTCAAACTCTAGGTCTAAGTCAAGGGGCATCAAGGCAAGAAGCGTCTTCGCGCCATAAACATTCGAAATATTCTCCCTCGTTGTGGGGTTAGATTTCGTGGCAAAGACCACCGCGCTTTTCCCTTTTGACATCTGATTTTTAACGTTAAAACGGACGCCGGTACTTATACATGCATAAGCATGTAATAAGGCTAAGACCTTTCCATATTCTCTTTTGATATTTTTCTCCAATTCGCGCCGCCGAACCGGCAGAGGTTTGAATAGGTTTTCAACAGAAATGGTAGTCCCTTTCTGACCAGCAACCACTTGCGTACTCTTGAGCTTTCCAGAAAATTCAAAATCCAGCTTTGAGGCTCTGGGAGCTTGGTGTGCTTCGGCTGTAACAACCTTGAGAGTTGAAACGGCGCATAGTGATGATAGGGCTTCGCCGCGGAAGCCGAAGGTTTGGAGGGAGGTGAGGTCAGCGAAGGTGGATAGTTTGGAAGTGTAATGTTTCAATGCTGTGTATTAAATTAATTAGAGTAATCAATTTGGAGGAGAGCGCTTCATTTTACCCAGAGACTCGTAGTTATCGGGGGAGATTCCGTGACCATTATCTTGGATTTCTATCAAATCGAGGCCGTTGTTTTTGAATCGCACGTCTATGGTTGTAAAGATTTGATATTAGCCACAGCGATAGCAGGTAAGATCATAGATCATATATATATAATACCGATAGAGGTAGCTCCAGCATCTAGACTATTCTCAACTAACTCCTTTACCACAGAACAGAGGTCAACGATGACTTGACCCGACTGGATTTGATGTACCTACGGAGCAACGTTAGAGATGTAGAAAGCAGTACGAAATTTTAACGCATCAACTTACCGACCGAGCCTCGATAGGCTTAATTGTTGCCATCTTCAGGTCATGGTGACGGAGTTGAATAGTCGAGAAGTCCGACTACTGCCTGGCTTTACGAATTATTATTGATGGTTTGCGCGTCGCGTAGGGATAATTTTAACTTTTGTTCCTTCCTGACGTCATCGTTTTTTCTACGTGTTTTTTTTAAACCAACGAGCTCTTTTACGTGATTTGAAGAACTATCAAGACGGAACGAAATATATATTCCTAATCATCTTTACAAAATACAATAGACGGTTGTAAAAGGAAAACATGCTCTGAGTGAATGACATGACAGCTGACAGGGTATGTAAACAGTTGAATTCAAAATGAACGCCGGGAGAAAGGATGAAATTATCGAATGCTGGGGGATTATGCGCCAAATCGATCTGGTAGGACAATAGGAGCCACCAGTGTCCATAGATATATAGCGTAGCACACCCAAGCACTGATAATCTTCACCCAACTCGCCCAGTATGTCCTGCCAACGGGCGCGAGGTCGTCTTCGGCATCCATTTCGAGGGGCTGTGTTAATAGCGTGGCTACCCACATTGTTGCTAACAAGAAGATGAAGTGGAATAGAGAGTAGGTGTACTGTGTAGAGTTCCGCTCGTCGTCTTTCGAATCATTGCCATCATCCGACTCGTCATCGCTATCGTCTAGCGCACTAGCAGGCAAACTGCCACTGTTGACAGCAGCACGGAGCGCTTCGGCCCGCATTTCACGCCGACTGAGTCCTGGCTGCTGGGTCACGAGATCATGTTCCATATCATTTTGGTTGATGCTAGCATAGTTATTTTGGGCAGCGCTGGATCCCATTGCGAACCCTTGTGTTGCGGCACGGGTTGTGGTATAGGCAATTGTCAACATTGTAACGATGGCGCCAATGACGACCGATGCGGTCCTTGTACCGTTGGCTCGAAGGAGAGGGTTGCAATTATTGTCATCTGGCTCCATGGACACGGCGGACATTGTTAGATACGTGCAGTAGACGGTGACCATGGCCGCTTGGGCCAATCCGGCGCGGGGATTGGATTCTTGAACCGCTGGTTGTACGGATATGAAGGAGATAATGAGAAAGACGATCAAGTTAACCTACGCAGCGTTAGTAAGTGTGTCCTCAAATAGGGCGCTGTATTGTTTAAAAACTTACGGTGATTGCTACCTTGTTCATAGCACAGTTATGGCCGACGAAAAAGATGTACATGAGGACAGTCATGGCAATGGATGCAATATACATCCCGAGTGTCGAGCCAATCAACAGGCCCTTCCACATTCGTGACCCATTGTCTTCAATCTTTTGCAGGCATAACTCTGCCCAGTTATGCGCCAGGTCGACCAGGAGAACGAGGCCGAGTAATAGGAAGAGCATAGCTCCCGTAAAGGCAATGTAGCTCCCCCACACGATGAAGAAGCTTTCCGGGATGAAGAACGACAAGACAATAAATGCCAGCCAGACGATAACCTTGGGACCCCAGAATCCATTCTGTAACTTGGCTCGTTCATCTTTTGTGGATCGGACACCGAGAAGGAGAATAGCAAGTATTATATGGAAAAGACTGAGGGCGAAGTTGATTCGATGAACGGCAACCCAGCCATGACACTTTTGGCCGTCGCATGTTATCGGTAAGAAATCGAATGTGAGGTGTTCCAGCTTGTTAAGCGCCCACCGTGTGAGCATGACCCAGGATAGGATCGAGTTAATTAGAAGTATGAAGGCGTATGCGATTCGGGTGGCCATGCTAAATCGGCAGTCAGTATTCTGGTAGCCTTGAGGGCAGGGTAATAGAAGGTATGGACATCTTGCGTACCTGCTCTGGAACTTCCCACATACGCTGCATATAGCAGAGCACGTCGCAGCACCGCAACATGATGCGCCGAACGTCAATAACTGCGTCTAGTTAGTTACCTACTCGAAGTCTGTTAGGAAGATGGCGGGTAGTGACAAACATACCGTTCCGACGCTTGGGATCGCCATCAAAGGCAGAGATAGAAGCGCGCCCATCTTGAGGGACTCGTCAGGATGCGCTCTATGAACGACAGGCAGACGGAAAAGAGTGAAAGGTGAACTGGATGTAGCTGTAGGAGTGTGAACCGCGAAGAAACCATAGTCGACGCTGAGAGTTGCCTCTTTGGGGGTGCCATCTACACGTGACCTTAAAATACTTGGCATTCTTACGTCATACTTACCTAAGTGAATATTATGTCATCATTTTGCATATCAGTGCTAAATTTAGATCTCGCTTATATAATCCTATTCTGCTTAGCTCATCTTGCCGCCGATGTTGGCTCGGTAAAAAGGGAAAAAAGGGCTGAGGCGAGCGAACTTCGGCATTTTCATAACTAGACGCCGGCGCCCTCTTTTCTCTTTTTCATATTAAGGAGTTGAAGACCTTGCCGTGTCCTTTTACGCGCCGTATGGCTGCTTCATGTCACTGAGTAGGACTTCCACCGTTTCATACCATCGTACGTACGCAAACGCCATCAAAACCTGGTGCTATCTTTAGCCCATCACAAGAGGGTCCCTGATGATGCGTCGCGGGTTGGGATATAAATCCAAGCGGATATATCCTCCACACCACCTCCTTTTTCTTCAGATTCTACTCCTTCGGTCTTTACTCCGTACTGATTTTTCTTTCAGTAGCTCACCCTATGACCCGGTAGCACGTCGATATCAGGTTCTGACGGTGCTCTTGCGCCTACCGTGGCGGCTCCAATGCCGTACATATCTCTCGCCACGTACCGGTTTATAACCGTGGTCGCTGCAACCCTTGTCGCGCTGGCAAGCGGAACTAATGTAGGTTGATCGAATTGGCGCAGAAACAGTTACAGATAGAGAGAGCTTGTTACTTCTTGGATTCTTGGCGGCTAACCCTCTGTTCAAGTATGTATATTCAGCATGGGCACCACAGTTCGCCGACCGCCTGAAGCTCACCTCGACAGAAGGGAATCTAATTGTAAGTGTGGAGCTGTCGTCCTCGTATATATACACCGCAATGATCGTGGTTCACTGATTGTTCATAGGGCGCTGCTGGAAATGTGGGTTTATATGCAGTTGGAATCCCCATTGGATATATGGTGGACACCAGAGGAACTAGACCTGGTACCCTCATTGGAGCTATTGCTTTATTCTGCGGTTATTTTCCAATTCATAGAGGTGAGTCTCATATGCATTTCATTTATTCCTACGGAGATTATGTTCTAACATTTGTTTAGCCTACGCTGCTGGCGCCGGGTCCATGAACGTTGCGCTATTATGCTTCTTCTCCTTCCTTTCGGGCATGGGAAGTTGTGCAGCGTTCTCAGCAGCAATAAAAACAGGTACGATATCATTAACCGTGGTAAATGTGTCGACGATTCTCACCAACGATTCCAACAGCTGCAAGCAACTTCCCCGACCATCGAGGCTCGGCAACTGCTTTCCCACTCGCAGCGTTTGGTCTTAGTGCATTTGGCTTCTCAGCAGTGTCAGCCATGGCGTTCAAAGACGATACCTCTCAGTTTCTTTTATTACTTGCCGTCGGCCCTTCGTCATTGATACTGGCCTGCGCGTATTTCCTACAAATACTTCCCCCACCGCCATCATACTCTGCAGTTGCGAATGGTGAATATCCCGAGTCAAATGTATTGCAAAGTATCCAACCTGCTGAAAATATACAAGTGGCTTCTGAAACCGATTCGAACCGTGCGATTGCCTCCTCCTCCTCTGCGCAGGTTACCGCACCGCTACCTGCAGAATGTCCGGCTGTTCCAAATGCTTCTGACGCAGAAGCCGACGAGACCTCATCCCTGATGAGCAGGGCTAGGTCGCTGAGTGATAGTGGCAGCTACCTTCAACCTCAATCTTCTAAGCCTAGCGGCACCGACCATGCTAGCACCGATATACGGGGAATGCGCCTTCTCCCTACGCCACAGTTTTGGCAATTATTTTTACTGCTCGGTATTTCTACAGGAGTTGGATTGATGACTATTAAGTTAGTACTCACCGCATGGTCCATTACCTACGAGTAATAGCTAACATTCTTCTTAGTAATATTGGTAACGACGTGAGATACCCCTTTACATTAGGCGAGGTTTATGGTCTCTTTATTAACATTATTTTCTAGGTCATGGCCTTATGGAGGTACCGCAAACCCAATGTCAGCCCCCATTTTCTTCGGGAAAGACAAGCCGTACATGTTTCGATCTTCTCTGTGATCAGCTTTGTAGGACGTCTTTTAAGTGGTATATCTCTCTCAATATCCTACACTTTAATCAACAAAGACACTCTAACATTTCCCTTGTCAGGTATTGGATCGGACTTCGTCGTTAAACGCCTCCACATGTCACGATTCTGGTGTCTTTTCGCCGCCAGCATCCTATTCTGCATCTCCCAATTTGGGGGTAGCACGATTTCCAACCCACGCCACCTCCTATTCGTTTCGTCTCTGACCGGCCTAGCATACGGTATGCTCTTCGGTGTTTACCCGGCCATCGTCTCCCATACATTCGGTATATCCGGTTTCTCCCAAAATTGGGGCGTCATGACCCTTGCAGCCGCTATTTTTGGTCACATTTTCAATTACATTTATGGTGCTATATATGATAGCCACTCGAAGCTATCACCGGATGGCAAACGTCAATGTAATATGGGCTTAGAGTGCTATGCAACGGCGTATTTGGTGGCCTTTTACGCTTCCATATTCTGCGCTGTATTGACATTATTGGGGATGTTCCTCGAGAGGCGAGGAGTTCCCCGCGGTATGGATGCTGACGAAGACGAGGTTGATGAACGAATTGCATGATTTCTCTTATATCCCTTGCATTGATTTGGTTATAATTTCGAATTTAGCGATACCATTTATGCGCAAGTCGAATTATCTAGCCCACTTACTTCCTAGATGTAAGGAGGCTATACACTGCCCATGTTTCTCTTTACTTTCATTCTAATATATACTTTTGGGCACTTTTGTTTCAACTTCTCTCTTTCTCCTCGAATTTATGCGAACTAGTCCATTGGGCCATACTCATCAGGCTTGGGTATCGATATCTCAGCTCGTTTAGACAAAAATAGATTTGTTTTGCAACTCTTGAATTTTGGATACTCCAATTAAAAACGAACCAAGATATTAAAATTTGCTAAAGAATCTATTCCCTATTCTCACGTGTTGAATCGCCTCCTTTTTGCGCTTTTTGGTTCGGTTTCTGTCTATATTACAACAACTAAAAGTAAAAGCAACCATCGCCTCCCATTCCACGAAATAAATTATAAGAAACCTCACCACTAAACCAAAAAGAAGTAGAGGAATGAAAAAAAAGAAAAAAAAAAGATTATACCTCTCTAGAAAAGTAGAGAGGCTAGAAGATTCGAGACACATAACTCCGACTATAGGGGCGCGCAAAGAGAGATGAAGTGATTTTATAGTAAAGACAGGTGAGAAGTGAAAAGGGTAATAAAACATGCAATCACAAGAAAAGAGTGTAATGAAACGGAAAGCAGTTAGGATGTCCGAGGATATGCTGCATGGGTAGGGAAGAGTGGCAGTAAAAAGTACCGAGCACAAAGATTCTATCCACAGCTTGTGTGGAAAGGCGATTAACTAATGATATGATATGAAAAGAAGGATAAACGCCACAGCGTTGGAACGCTGGTGACAAATATGGATAAAGGCATATAGAGTACAGAGTTCCGGGATTTTATAGAACGAAAAATAGGCTTGAGAGGTAAGAAACGAGCAAGGCATTGACGCCAAGAGGACATCAACTTCCGGAGGCAGAAAATGGGGAGGCTTAGTGAGAGTATAGACGAAACGAAGGATAAGAACTAGCAGATAAGGTTGCCGCATTGTGTGCCAACTGAAGGTCAATACAAGAAAGAACCGACGTCCTAGACGTCTGCAGAAGGTTTGCTGTCAAGGTCAACCTTCTCTGAAGAATCAGAAAGTCGACATCTCTTAGCATGAGGTTCTGCGGGCTCATCCTTCGACTGGCCCTGTTCTTGCTCAGATAAGCGACCCTGAAGTTCGCTTATCCTACGTTTTAGATCCTCTTCTCGCTTCTGTGCTTCTTTGAGGGACTGTCGTAGACGCGATTCAGAGTCCTGAAAGAGGTCGTTTATCAGTTCCAGCTCATTGACTCTAGTTTTTAGAGATGTGTTTGCAGCAGCCAAGCTTTCGTAAGTCGGGGGAGCGTCCAGATGGCGTTCGTTAGAAGACGTTGACCCCGGGGATGGATGTTGGAGCTGTAATGAGGCAAAGTTTGCAGATGGGTTGAAGTTGGGATCGGATAGGCCAACGTTGTCAAACATATTGTGAGGAGGGATACTGGATGAGCTATGATAGTTGGGCGTATCCGTCCGTGAGACGGGAGAGTTTGAGCCATCTGAACGACCAGGTGACAGCTTCCTTGAAGCACGAGCATACCCGTATGGCGTAGTGCCATCCGATCTTGGGGCAGAATGGTTGTTCGCATCGGTATTGGCCTACACCAGGAGGTAATTAGACTCTTAGTCCATTAACGTGACTAAACATTCAAGTACCTTTCTCTTTGGGCCCTGGCCTGAAGTTTTGACCCGATTACGGCTTTTTATCACGTCCGTCTTCAGGTTCATGGGTCGGGGCCGTCCGTGAAGCTTGAGGAAGAGACCGCAGGCGTTACAGAGCACCGAGCCCATCTCATCACGGCGCCATAGTGGAGTCTTGGAAGTTCCGCAATTCTGGCAAACGGACTGCAATTGAATATGACTTTGGTCAGCTAACGCAGTCGCCATAATAAATTGGATGTAGGGTCTCTGTGACGCGTTGTGTATATCATATAGCTTCCAGGGTGAAGATAGAAAAGGGTTATATCGCTATCTGGAAGCTATCCTGATGACGGTGCTAGATAAGGAGAAGGTTGACGGATTTGGCGATAAGAAAGAAAAAACAGTTTAAATGGATGCCAAGCCTTCTGCTTAGCTATGCCTAAATAGGAGAGCATTTCATTGCAAACGGCAGGGAAATCCAGCAGGATAGCGCGTGCGCGATCAAGGGCAGAAGACTGGGATATAAACGGAGGTGGATATTGCGTGACTGAGTTTCACTATATGCTTACCGTAGTGCTACCTTGTCCTCCGTTAGTCGCGGTTGCAGCAGAGGTCGCATAGTTCACGCTCTGGCTAGCATTATGGTTATTGCTCGAGTTATCCGCGTTATCGTAGGCCCTATAACGGATTAGAGGTTAGCATGTTTGCATTATATCGATCTGGTCCAGGCATTGATCATGATGTATTCCTAGGACCAATCCACGGCCGAATGGCCGCTCCTTATCGGGGCTTTCTCATCAAACGTACCGTAGATATGAAGTCTGATCAGAGGCGGCAGATGCCAAAGCAGAGAGACCTGTAGCCGAAGGGGCGTATTCAGCCGTTGAGGTCTCTGGATATTCGGTATTTGGAGGAAAGGAGTTGGAAGGCGAAGCTGTTGTGTTGGTAGTATGGTAGGCCTGGGAGGGCTCTGCAGGCTCAAATTTCATCGAAGAAGACCCGTCGCCTTCCTGAGGCGACGTGAAGTCGGGAATGTCTCGAACTTGCGAGGATGAAGAGCGTAATGCCGGGTCAATGGCGGATGTCCCTAGGGACAGGGAAGCTACTGCGGAAGCCGTGGTGAAGGATGGATTGAGGCACCGGAGGCCTCAATTATCTATAAAGGGGTAGGAAGAAGGGAGAAGGAGGATGTTTCGGAGCGGAATAGAGTACGGGAACAGAGGATATCGATGGCTGAATGGTGATGCTGGAGACGGCGAGAGTCGAGAAAATAAGCTGGAGAAACGAGATAAAGGAACTCGCGATAAAAGTGTTATCAGGGCGATAAGTTGCTTATGTCATCTATCAATTTAATATAGTCACATGATAATATATTACTAAGCTGACGTAACCCAATTGTTTAATTTACTGTTGTCCAGATCACCCGAAAGGGGCTTTGCAAGGCAAACGGATTTTTCCTTTTTATCACCCAGAGCCATATCACTCGCACCGTGTAGGTTGCAAATGTTGCCTTGCGTCCCTGCTCTACAGAAAAGAAACGATGCTCTAGACCCTGTGTTTGTTGCATCGGCGTCTTGAGTTTCAAATATCCTTGGGCAAATGCTTGTCAAACGCGCCTATTCTCCTTTTGCCTACTGCTAGCCATCCGATCATCACGGCCATGGCGCCAAAACACCGTCCAGCAACTTCGGGTTACGCCCGTCTTTCCCAGGCAGATGCCCATGACTATCTCGACGAATCTGATGATGAGAACCGGCGCCCTTTTCCTCCGATAGCCTCGAATTCAGCTCCTCGATTCGCCCCGATTCAATCCAATAGCCAGAGACACGATACCTCAGACGTATACTATCGCCGTCAGCATGGAGGCCGGAACCGAGCTCGAAGTAACTCCTCCGGGGTCGATATTAAGGCCATTAACATGCGATTGGAGAAATGGGCGGAAGAAATCGCTTCCAAATTTAAGATTAATCGGGTTCGCGGGAAGACCTCCGAGGAAGAGGAGCTTGAAATCCACCACTCTGTCTTTCAGGCCTTGGATGGCGTCCGACCAGTCACGGCAGCCTCTCTAGAGTCTGAGAATAGCGGGGACCGAATGACAAAGGCCGAATTTGAGCATGTTGTGGATAGTGTCAGGACGGCTATTGAACTCGGTGTCCACCCGAAAATGATCTCGCAGGGAAGCTCTGGTAGTTACTTTGCGAGAAATGCCCAAGGAAAAGTCGTTGGAGTATTCAAGCCCAAGGATGAGGAACCGTATGCTTCGCGAAACCCGAAATGGACCAAATGGATACATCGAAATCTGTTCCCATGCTGTTTTGGCCGCGCCTGTCTTATTCCCAACCTTTCATATGTCTCCGAAGCTGCTGCATACGTCCTTGATAGCCAGTTACGAACAAACCTCGTTCCTTATACCGATATCGTCTACCTCTCATCAAAATCCTTCCATTACGATTTCTGGGACCGACGGAAAGCATGGTATGGTAGGAGGCCCTTGCCTCCGAAGGTAGGCAGCTTCCAGGTCTTCCTCAAAGGCTTTAAAGATGCGAACATATTCCTTCGAGAGCATCCTTGGCCTGATCAACCAAGCACCGGGTTCCGCGCCGAGGACGCTCCTCGCAGGAAAAAGAGGGCATGGAATGAAACTTGCGCGCCCTCTGGTGCTCAATCGGACGACGAAGACGGGGATGAAAACCAACGGATGCTCGGAGCAAACACTCCTCAAGAAGCCTCCGGTCATCATAAGTTCCACTGGACGGAAAATTTGAAGCAGGGTTTCCGGGAAGAGCTTGAAAAGCTCGTTATTCTAGACTACATTATGCGAAATACGGATCGTGGTCTTGATAATTGGATGATTAAGATCAACTGGCATACTGAGGAGGTTGCAATTGTGTCAGAACCCGTCAGAATGAATGGAACAGACCATTTGGGCGACGATGACCAAATGCCCCCGGCTCGTCCAGTTTCTGTAAATTCCCAAGGGAAGAATTCCCGTACCGCTCCATATAGACGCCAGGATGCTATGACAGCGACTAGCCGTGCCGGAACGCCATCAAACGCAGCCGAGCTAGCTCAAGCAACCCTTTCAATTGGAGCTATCGATAACAGTTTATCCTGGCCCTGGAAACATCCTGATGCTGTAAGTGAACCTCGTTCAACTTCTTCAGTTTTGAGTATACTAATAATATCTTATAGTGGCGTAGTTTTCCATTCGGCTGGCTGTTCCTACCCGTTTCTCTTATCGGCCAACCCTTCTCGCAAAAAACTCGCGACCATTTCTTACCACTTCTCACATCTACCGCATGGTGGACTGAAACACAGACCGCGCTTAGAGCGATATTCAGCCAAGACTCGGATTTTAAAGAAAGCATGTTTGCCAGACAAATCGCCGTGATGAAAGGGCAAGCGTGGAATGTTGTTGAGACATTGAAGCAACGTGACCATGGACCACTTGAGCTTACGCGGAGAACCCGAGTATGTGTCTGGGACGACCTAGTAAACGTACCCGTGGCGATTCCACTCCGGGCTCCTTCGACCGATGCACATATGTACCGAGCCAACGGCAGAGATCAACTCCACGAGGAAATGGATATTGGAGCTGCTATTACCCCAGAGCCCCGTGGCCACCGAGATCTCTTGAGCTTTGGCTCACCTACAAGTGAACTACCCAATCCTAATCGTTTCGAGCTCTCTCGCGACCGGCCTTCCCTAGATTCTAGTGCAGCGGATGGGCTAATGAGTCCGATGTCGCTTGATTCTTCCCGCCTCCGCAACGTTGAAAATTTTGAGGAAGGCGGCCGAAAACTTGCCGGGAGCTGGGCGTCCACGGCCCCTCGGCAAACTGATCACCATTCCAGACGCAGATCGCATCTCAATGGAAAATTACCATCACACAAGAAACGTAACTCGATATCACAACGACGAGACAGTGCGTTTGACTTCGGTGGCGACGACCTTGAAGGTGACCTGGGTTATGCTGCAGCAGAGGAAATGGACGGACACGAACGCAAGGTGATTGTGGAGAGACTTGAAACCGTCAAAAGCAAAAATCCAGTGTTCACCTGGTGGTGACCCCCTCTTCCTTCTAACATACCTTTTTCCTTGTTCTACAAAGTTCAGTTTTTTTAATGCCAATTCCAGGAACGTATACAACTCTCGATCTATTATTCCCCCCTTCTATATTTCATATTCATGCTTTCTTATCACAGCCCGTTCTATGCTACGTTTTCCTCATTTTTTTTCTCCACCATTTATACCTCTTATAAAAAGATCGAAATTGCTCTTTAATGATATGTGCATGCGGAGTTTAGCGCTGTTGGCCGTTGATTGACACTCTGATGGCATATATATTCGCCTCTAATATGGGACCCATAATGTTTCCTCGTTGTATCATTTCATTTTCGTGGTGTTGACCATAGAAGCGATTCTTTTGGTTTCGTGGGGCGGGCCATTTACTCTTTTGAATGCTTTCAGCAACTTGTACATTAATCATGACCTCTAGATATACCTCCATATATCTATCTCTCCGTTTTCCTCACTTCCTTGTCTCTTGCCTTCTGATAGCCCCTTTACTGATTAAGTAAGCCCTATCATCACATGACATTTTTTGCCGCTTGGTTTTATCCGCCGTAGCCGCCAAGCCCGCCTTTTATCTTATCTCACTTCGAGCCTCGATCTCGCATGCGTCACTCTTCACTCGTCACTCGCCAGCATCAATCGAGCCCACCACGTCCATCACTGAGTGAGCCCACCGTGAAGGCAGGACGGGCGCTTGTAGCGGGTGCTTCTGACCTTTTTCACTTACCTTTCATCCCTCGCGCTCGCTGTCATCTACCGCCTTCTACATCACCCTGCAGCACAGCTCTCTCGACTGCGCTCTGTGCCTCGCCCGATGGAACAACCCAAGATATAACCAAGATCGGCTCGTCGATATTTCGGCCATTAGATCCTTCAATAAATTTCTACCTTGTAATAACCACACTCCCTCTCTCGGACCTTTTCGCTTCGTGAGTTCATCAAGGACCGCGATACGCGACGATGAGCTACCCTTCCGCGGCTCTCCTGTTGGACCCCAAGGCATATAAGAGACAGAATACGACTGGTAATACCTCACCTTTCACCCCTATTTTTGAGCACAGATGCGCAACAGGCGGTGATCAAAGAATGAAACCTCGATACTTGAGTGAACCGCCAGATTACATGCCTGTTGCATCCCCTTCCTCCCTTCCTCAGAAGCGCCAATGCATAGACGACTTTGACCCCTTCAAAAAAACAGAAACTCACTCTCATTTCAAAGGTCGATCAACCACCGGCAATAACAATAGACCCCCTGATACCCAGAGACCCAGTGCAACTGGAGCTCCCCCAGGAACCTCGTTTGATCCCAGACAGCTACTCAATCCTCGACAGTACAAGGTTCCGGCCAGGCCTTCCCCGAACGCCCCGAACGCGAATAACCCACAAGACTCGAATAGCCCCAACTATAACCATAATGGAGCCAAGTCCACTACAGATACCCTTTCGGGTGGAGCAGGAAGTGAAAATATACAGCCAGGGGCTGACGGGTCGTCCACAGCCACGCATCGAAATATGATTGAGGACATGTACGGAGTTGAGAGGAGGGAGAACCAGCCACAGAAACGAGTCAAGATTGACAACGGACCGCCTGCAAATAGTGGTAGAAAGAGTCAAGGAAAATTTTCGAGCGCTGGTGCCTCAGTCCTGGGAGGGTTTATGAAAGAAAAGGCGGATAATATGAAACAGCCAGCTATAGCTGCCAATACTATCGATCTTACGGCAGGTGAGTATAAATCGGTCTCAATCGATAATTATGGTGACTAAGCGGACGGCATTATAGACAAAGACGACGACAAAAATGATGACGATGTGATATTCGTTGCTAATAAGGATAAGGGTGCGGAAGAAGTATGCTATGGTAAAATAGAAGGGGCGACAGTACATGCGCATATAGTTCCAGCGCCTCCTAGGTCAGTATTTGGTGGAACTGCACCAGACTGGCCTTCTATTAGGTGTCAACTATTACGACAACGGAGCCAAAACATAACAATTGAGGTCCGGGATGTGTCTGGCCGATCATTTGGAGTTCTTGACTCTCACGTCTCCGCTGCCCTGGCGCCCCTTCTTGATATGACCTTCGACCTGCGAACGCAAGCCCGCCTCGACGTCCGCAGAAAGAAGCCGAACGAATGGCCTGGCCAGGCATGTTCCGAGTTATTCCGAATCTCTATAAACCTCTACGGTCCTAGACGCATTGCCGATAATATTGGTCGCGTTTTAAGCCAAAAGAACATTTGGCTAGGCATTCCGAATGCAGTTGAAGCTGGTATCTCGACCTACAATCCTCATGCCGAGAGGCGCCGTCTACTGATAGCTGCCGCGCAGCAGCAGCAGCAACCACAGCAAAATCCTAGGTTTGCAGTTCAATCGGAAGTCCGTACTGCTGAGGAGGTTAGCAGTGCTGTTACGAAGATGTTCGATCAGCTTCAAGGCGCTCAAAACCTTCCGGAGATAGAAACACCAGAATTGCTAAAGACCCAACTCCTACCCCATCAAAAGCAGGCTCTTGGATTTATGTTAGAGAAGGAGAAACCACGCAAACTCGGTCCCAATGAGGCAGACAACAACTCGTTATGGAGGGTTGAACAAAATGCCAACGGTCAGAGAGTCTATCGTGAAATTATCAGCGGTGTGACGATGGTCACAGAACCGCCTCAGATCCTAGGCGGATTATTGGCTGATATGATGGGACTGGGTAAAACCTTGAGCATTTTATCACTTGTATGCTCAACTTTTCCCGAGGCAGCAGCTTGGGCAAACGAGAAACCGGTGAACCCGTCCACAATCAATGCAAAAACAACTCTGCTTGTATCCCCTCTTAGTGCCGTCGGTAACTGGGTGAGCCAAATCAAGGAACACGTTAAGACGGATGCCCTCTCTTATTACGTTTTCCATGGACCAAATCGAACTGAGGACCCTAAGGAATTGGCGAAATACGATATCGTTATTACCACCTACACAACCATTTTGAGCGACATTTCAGGGAAAAGCTCTAAGAGAGGCACAAGCCCGCTTGTGCGTATTAACATGTTCCGCATCGTTCTAGATGAAGCGCATATAATCCGAGAGCAAAATGCCGCCCAGAGTCAAGCTATATTCCAACTAAACGCACGAAGACGATGGTCCGTCACCGGGACTCCTATCCAGAACAGACTTGAGGACCTTGGAGCGGTACTGAAGTTTCTGAGGCTTTCCCCATATGACGAACGAGGTCGATTTTCTGCGCACATAGTTTCACCTTTCAAGTGTGAAAGTCCTACTGCCATTACAAACTTGCGTGTGCTGGTAGACTCATTTACCCTTCGCCGTGTTAAGGATCGCATCAACCTACCGCCACGGCATGACAAGACCGTTATGCTTACCTTTTCTGAACAAGAGAAGAAACTTCATGATTTCTTCAAGAAAGAATCTAACTTTATGATGAATGTCGTCGCTTCAGAAACTCGCGAAAAAGTCAGCGGCAAAATGTATCATATAGTCTTGAAGGCTATGATGGTTTTAAGGCAAATCTGCGCACATGGCAAGGAGCTGTTGGATAAGGAAGATCGTGAACGGTTCCGAGGACTTACTGCAAACGATGCTATTGACGTGGAAGAACTTGATGACGATCACTCTACAAATGCTGCCAGCCGAAAAGCGTATGAAATGCTAGCATTGATGAAAGAATCATCCGCTGATGCTTGTGTCCGATGCGGAAACTACATAACCCTCCAATCCGACGATAGCCCGGGAGATAAAAATGCAATGGTAGCCGCCATTCTCCCCTGCTATGACATTTTGTGTGTCGACTGCTTTACGCCCATTGGGCCTAAATTGGACGAAATTGCTGGCACACCCGTGCAAGTCTCTTGTGCATTTTGCAAGAGTGTGATCACCCCGACATACTCCGTCATAACAACCACCGGCTTCGAAGGTTATCTAGCCTCACTTCTTGAAAATAAAAAGAACCGCAAACAAGCCAAAGCATTTGGGCTTTACGAAGGTCCTCATACAAAAACAAAAGCTCTGGTTTCAAATCTTCTAGATACAGCTGAGGAAAATAAAAAATCTTCACATCAACCTCCAATCAAGAGTGTTGTTTTCTCAGCTTGGACATCGCATCTCGATCTAATCGAAATAGCCCTGGAAGACAATGGCCTAACCGGCTACACTCGCCTTGACGGCACCATGTCACTAAAGCAACGGAATACAGCGATTGAAACCTTCTCCACAGATGACAGCATTACAATTCTTCTCGTGACAATAGGAGCCGGCGGAGTTGGCCTCAACCTCACAGCTGGGTCGAAGGTTTATATCATGGAACCGCAATATAACCCTGCAGCTGTTGCTCAAGCTGTGGATCGTGTTCATCGTATCGGCCAAACGAGAGAAGTCACCACAATTCAGTTTATTATGAACGATAGCATTGAAGAAAAGATCACCGAACTGGCGAAGCGGAAGCAGAGACTAGCTGATATGAGCTTGAATCGAAAGATGGATAGACGGGAGATGCAGCAGGAGAGACTTCAGGAATATAGAAGCTTATTCAAGTGAAAGCTTTTCCCCTATCTTGGTCATTGGCATTTTCTTCACTCATGCCACAATCAATGGCCGCTCTTTTTATTTTCTTTTGTTTATTCTTCTGCTACACTTTGACGACCGGCACTGATGTCAACTTCGGCATTTCCGGAATTTACGACTCCAATTTACGACTGGGAAAAAAATGGTATTAGGGACTGGAGTTAAGACGGGTAGAATGACCATGTTTTAAAATCTGGGTGTGTTTTCCCCAGTGTTTTTCCTTAAAGACAGTGATGAAACCTGCTCTAATATTCCCTTCATTTCCCCCTTTTTATTTTCACTCGTGCCTTTCTTGATACCCTTCGTCTTAAATACGATCCCATTCTATATCTTATGTCAATACTTCTACTTCCCACACCCCCTGCTTTATATTAAATTCTGCTCTTCACATGAACCCCAGCCCCTTTTCACTCGTTTATTGTCTACTCGAGGCCGCACCAATAAGCTGCTGCAGGAAACCGATTTCTAGAATATAGATTACTTCATAGAGCCCAAAATGCCACGTTGGATCTGCTCTCCATTTAGCTTTAGTCGTACGCCGATAAGTAATTGTGCATGTAGATATGTTATGTATTGCCACTAGGTCGCTCTTCATAGCCCATCAAAGTATAGAGAAATCAGTTGTTTTAAAAGACATGGGTATCATCAAAAATTCGCAAAGAGTATCGAAACAGAACCGCTCACTAACCATTTCACGCGCCTGATCTAGTTATACTCCCCTGCTGACAGCTTCCAGCAGCCCATCAACCTTCTCGGCCAGCTTCTTCATCTGTCTCCGTTTCCGTCTGCGTACTTTTTCCGCTTCCCGTAACTCGTCCGCCAGGTGCCGTATCCTAGCTTCTTGTTCTGCTTCGCTGCTCCCGATCCCTGGAAGCACACTGATAAGATATTCAATTTGCTGTTCTTTGATGATTAAGTCCCTAGCCAGTTCTCTCTGCCGTTGGGCAAAAGTATTCGGCGAATCAGGCCGTGGTGGGAGGTCTCGCCGTTCTTCCTCCGCTCCCGGGCCTGCAGCATCACCCTGCTGCTGTTGCTGCTGCGGGGTTTGATCTTGGCCTTGTGCTTGCGCGGAAGCAGGTTGGGCACCGGGAGTGTTCGGCGACGCGTTTTTCGGTATCTTCTTTAGTTGTGGGATTGCAGTCGGTACGTTTGGTGGAGGGATGGCGGGTGAATGGTCATGATATGTTGTAAGATAGCAGAGTGTAGCATAGAATTGGGTTGCCAGCTAGATATTAAGATTAGCATCGTATTTTCTTTCATAATAATGTGCCCGATTTGCATAAGACCGTTCTATCGTACCTGATCTAGGCATGTTTGAAGCTGCGTGAGGATGTCCGCCATGTCAGAGAGCGAGCTTTCAGCTGCAGTCGCAAGACTTCAGCCGGAGAGATGAAATCGCAAGGCGAGCTATATCGAATTATCTAGAGCTGCCCGTCCCGTATATTAATATGAAGAGAGCAAGAAGGGCAGGATTAGATGTTTTGGGTGAAGCGCATCTTGTAGCTATGAAGGCGAGAGAGAAGGAGGAGAACAAAAGTTTGGGGAAGAAACTGAACCCAAAAATGCTTCAAAACGGCCAAACAAAAGCTTCATACCAACGATGATATACAGAAGAACAGCTGCACAACTCTACAGGACAAGCTCCTACAGCTCTAAACATAGCTTTGCAAGGCTCTTCTCTACCGAGAGTCCCTCGCTGCCAGTTCCACCTGCATCGCCGACGTCTCACCACCATGACCTGCAGTCATTCCTCGACTATGCAAAGAGGACATCTCTCTCTACACAAAGCACAACCTATGTAGGCACACTATACGAATACACAGTGCTACAGAGTCTACAGAAGCATTTTATCAACGCCACTCGCATCGGCGGTCGTGCAGACTCCGGCATCGATCTCGTCGGGACTTGGTCTCTACCACCCTCATCCTCAGCCCATCCGCTACGGCTACTAGTACAATGCAAGGCAGTCAAGGCGAAAGTTGGGCCAAATCTGATACGAGAGCTTGAAGGGACGTTCTCGGGGGCACCCGTTGGCTGGAGAGGCGAAGGCATATTGGGGATGCTGGTTAGTACACGGGAGGCTACAAAGGGAGTCCGAGATGCGCTCATCAAGAGTCGATACCCGTTGATATGGGTTCTAGCTGATCTGGATGGGCCTATACGGCAGTTCTTATGGAACAGGAGGGCTGCTGAGGTCGGGTTGGAAGGATTGGGGGTTGAAGTCAGGCATGGAGGCGAGGCGGATCCCATGAAGAAGACTGTTGTCTTCACATGGAACGGAGAAGAATTGGGATAAATAGCCAAAAAGAAGCCGTGGGAAGATTTGGGATATACATTACTAGACCTCGAGAGTTGGGTGCGACACGCTTCATTATATATATTCCTGCCATTCCTCGAACAAGGCATCCATACCGTCGGTCGTCATTTCATATGAGCCGCAGCTATGATACTCGTCATTAGGGGCTACCGTCATATTTGCAGCCAGATTCCCTATGCCATGAAGCAGACACACCTGGTACAGGGCTATACATGGAGATCTGATCATAAGAAATGACCCATTCCGCCTGTTTCCAACTTGGCCACCCACATCCCAATATCTGCTGTCAGGTCGCCGAAAGAGACAGCATATACTTGGCGGAAACGAAAGTGAATTGCAGGATATCCCACGGCCAGCTAATTCGTTCATCCTAGGATCATAACGTCCATACATTCTCTGTGAGGCAAACAATACGTCAACTGCGTGGGGCCTTCAAGTGAAGGACCCGGATGAATGTCGTATCCCGTTCATGTATTCCACCCTGGAGTTGGCCATCCATCTTTACCTCCACCTTTTTCCGGCCAGCCGTCAGGGACAGCAGCATATGTAGGCAGGATATATTGTTTCTCACACCGAGCGGCTGTGCATTTCAGGCCACAGAGGCCAAACGTGAAACAGTAACATTCCCCAGCAGGCGGGCAATAAACCGGTTTCTTTTGCATAATTACTATTACCATAGTTAGCATAGACGCTCAATGGGCGAGAAACCGTTAGTAAAGCAGGTACATACTGTGCCACATGTACTCCATGATTCTCCCGCTAATATCGTCTGGAAGCTCCGTCTCCATGAGCCATTTTCGAATACGTTCATAGTCAGTCTTGGGCCTCAGCATGACCTGTTCTCGCGTGGCAGCAAACTGGGATGAACATGTTGCACCCACTTCCGCTGGGACTTCGGTGCCTGGGAATATAGTCCTGAAGACCGTTGCGAATGCAAGTTCAGTCTGCTTGCGAACTATCGGGCCTTCGTCAATGGGATTCAAGGGGTGCAGTTCTACTGGACAGCCTGGGACCCAGCTGCATCTCAGAGGCGCGTAGCCTGCCTTGGAAACGGATTGGAGACGAAGTTTGCTGATAATCGAGGCCCCGTCTAGGTGGTGCAGTTAGCATTTTTTTATGTCATTTCTGTGAGTATCATATATCTAGGGGTTACATGCCATATATTGGATCGTCATTATGCCATTGATATCGTTGGCCATGCATAAAAATCATAAAGTCTGGCAGCTTGTCATAGCGATCTATGATATACCTGGGATCGGGTGTATAAATCTCAGCCCAAGTCAAATTCCTGCACCAGGACGATGCACTCTCAGTATCAGGGCGTCCTCACGTTAGATAGACCATGGCCTCTCTCCCCTTGTTCACAGGGATAGATAACCCCGATTTACTCTCCCCGTCGCCAGCGCCAACGCCGGCATCAGCGATGTAAACATTCGGAGTCCAACCAGACAATTGCTCCTGTATCCAGGATGTATTGTCGGACGTCACACTTGCGACGACCAGCTCCTTTGAAGCTGCTGCTAGCTTCTTGGAGTCCGGCTCAGGCTGATGTTGAATGCTGGATATGGCATGGCTTCCAGGCGCTGGTCTGAAGAGAAGGAAGTAGAGCGTGAAGACGACGGAGATCGATATAAAGATGAACAGATGGTTTATGCGTTGGGCCTGGCGAGGGCGATAGACAGGCATTATTTGTGTCTTTCAGGTATTATCAGAGGCGGTTCTTCATTGGAATGACGTCCTGAACATGACGACGTTGTTTCTTTGCTGTTGATGCTGATTTGTTGCGGAAGATCGCCATCTCGACTCTTAAACATGGTGATGCCAATAGTAAACACGCAGCAAATCAATACAGACCACCACCCGTATGTAGTAGGCGTAGTCATATACTTGCGGATAATGGCTGGTAGTCAAATAATATATTGATACGATGCTACTCGGGATACTAGAACTCATAAACATGCATATTCGGGTGCTAATATATAAATACAAATCTGCCTCTGAACTCCTTCAAATATCATACCGGGTATCAAAAACGAGGCCCCAACTCCATGTCCTAGGAGAAATTTAAGTGTATCCAGCTATTCCTGCGCGAGACAATCCCTACATTGCCTGCCAGAAATAATTCGCATAAAAGAACCGTGAGAATTTGGGATCGATATTCACGACGTGGACGTCTCCTTTTCGCCTGTTCCGGATAATGGCTTTGTTATAATTGCCAGCCTCGTCGGTGTCAACATCAATGCCTAGTGATCGATAGATTTTAAGCCGTAGTCTAGTCGCAACAATGATTAGTATTACAAGCCTACCATAGCAGCACGCAAAGGACACCTTACATAGTCGCATCGTCGGCCTCTCTCTCTCTTCTCGTAAGCTCGTCTCCCTCGAGGCCCTGCTCGTCTAACTCTGCTTGTCTGGCTTTCAACGCTTCCAGCTCGGCCTCTAACCGTTCACTCTCAATCTCCAGCTCGGACGCGGCCTTCGCAATCCGGAACTTTTCTGTGTCTAGCTCCACGATGGACGCGGCCTGGCGAGCGGGATCATGCGACTCGACGGTCTCCTTGTGCTGGGCGTTGAGCGTGTTTAGCTGGCGCGAGAGTTTGCGGAGGGAGTTTTCGACTTCCTGGAAGCGCAGGTCTCGAGACTGCTGGAGGGAAGAGAGAGAGTCGTTTATGCGCGAGAGAGCGGCCTTGTCTGGCTGGATGTTGAAGTTGGTTATTGTATGGTGGATGAGCTGTAGAATAGTTAGACATACATCGTGAATATATATTAGGGAGAGACATTACCGTAGCAGGATCTTCTTCGAGGAGCATCTTGGATAGCTTCTACCGCTTCTATAGCCAGTGTTTGCTGGTTGATGTTGTTGATGTTTTTGTTGTTGCAGCAACTCGAAGAAGCGCGGCTTGATCCCCGCAACGCCACAGGCAAAGCCAGCATCAAAACTTCTTCTCCGGCTTCATCTTGCACCTTTTCGTCGTTTTAAGCGGTCAACAAAAGAAGAACACTCGTTTCAGGAGCTTGCAAAGGCGTGTCTATCTTTGCGCAAACATCCGAGATAGCTTTTCCCCGTACCTATGGCTTCTCTACCTTGTAAGTGGCTATGCAAGAGAGCTTGCAGCCCCCAGGCTTCCGCATTAACAGCTTACGACTAACATGGACGGGTTTATTATTTAAAGATGCCGCGGACGCTGAAAGGTCAGTTCCATATGTCCTTGTATACAGACTCACAGACTGACGAAAACAACGATGGACAGCCCCTTGAAACCAGCAGAACTCCAGGTCCTTCGGGCACAGTACGAGAAAGAGGGCGACTACGTCGGCGTCCAGACCAAATTCAACTATGCCTGGGTATATATTACGCTCCGCCTCCTACGGTCCTTTATCGGAAGCTAACTGTTTAAACAAAGGGCTTAATAAAATCGAACGCCCGGCCTGAGCAGCAAGAAGGAACCCGACTGCTCTCTGAGATATTCAGAACAGCTCCCGAGCGGCGACGAGAATGCCTCTACTATCTTGCCCTGGGCAACTTCAAGCTGGGAAACTACGGCGAGGCCAGGAGATACAACGACCTCCTCCTAGAACACGAGCCGAATAACCTGCAGTCCGCGAGTCTGCGGACGTTGATCGATGACAAGGTCGCCAAAGAAGGGCTTGTAGGAGCTGCTATCATCGGTGGTGTCGCCGTGGCCGCGGGCCTGATCGGAGGGCTCATCATGAGGGGAGCCAGGAAGCGATGAGCGAGAGACAAGCAAGCGATGGCTTCTTTCTGGTCTACCTGTCTATTACGATGTAATATCTTTTTGAGTATCTACTTATGCCCTCTTGTATATTCTTCCCTTCTTTTTGGCGAGCATTTTTGGCTGGGCGTTCCGTTGGCTTTTTGAAGAGGCAGTTCCCCATTGTTCCTCTCTCTCTCTCTCTCTCTCTCCTCTTGGTCCAGCGTACCTGATAATGAATCTCTGACTTCACCTTCATTCTTCCTCCGACTTCGACTTTCTTCACCATAAAAAAGATGATGACTAAGCATCACCAACGTCATCTTGCTTTCCAGCTTCCTCGCGCAAAGGAAGAAGTTGAACAACAAGCAAAGAAAAGAAAAGAAAAGAAAGAGCAGATGGGCGAGCGAAGCTTCGCGAAAGCCCAGGACCCTCTGCAGCCTTGTCGATAGATACTTTTCTCTCCCGCGGTCAACTGGATGTTTGTCTAGCGCATCAAACTCCCGCCTGGCCACCGAGCCCAGCGACAACTAAGGAACAGCCCCCAGCTCAACTTATCTCCGACACCGTTGACAGCAATAATACTCCCATACGTACCTACAAGCCGGACGAGTTTCTCCGCCACTGGCTGCACGAACAAACCCCCCTCGTTCGCGATATCGTTACAAACTTCTGGACCACAAAGTCGCGGGGCCGTCTTTTATTTACCTGCAGCGCCTGCCCCGCCGAGCATCGTTCATTCATTATTATGTTTTCATTGTCCGACAGTCAAAGATATAAATATTGATCCTTCAACAAGCGCATTTAAAAAAGAGGGACTCGTTCCCAAACCTCTCATCGTCTCCCGGCTGTTCTTAACCCTCTGCAAACATGGCCGAACGGGTGACGGGTGACCAAGTCTTCTGCCACGAGTGCGAACACCAATGGCCTAGGAGCGAGCATGGGCTCACCTGCCCATACTGTCAGTCGGAGTTTGTCGAAATAGTAAGTATTTTATATCAAGATGCGCTCCGGGCTGAACACTCCAGCTAATAATTCATACAATAGCTTGAGGAGGATAACGAACAGAGCGAAGATACCCACTCCGAACCCCGACTTCAACAGCAACAGCAGCAGCAGCAGCAGCAGCAACCGTATAACCCTGGCCCGACCATGTTCTCTGGCTTCAACAATTTTTTACCCAATCACCAAACGTTCCACGAAAACAACGCAAATGGGCACGTCACCCGCCATCACTACCACTCCAACGATGGTAGATTTCAATTTACAAGTACCACTATTCGGTCTCCAAGAAGCGGAGGAGGTATCAGACTGGCGATGAACGGAAATGCAGGACATCCAGGTGCCGCCGAAGACCCCCTTGTACCCATATTTCGCAACTTCAACGCCATCCTACAAGGCATAGCAGAAACACAGCCCAACAGAGGTGGAATACCGCCCGGCTATGGATATCAAAACCAAAACCAGCCACGCAATAATAACTATCGAGACACGGACCCCCCAGAGATATTAGGTGGAGGGCTATGGCCACAGGATGCAAATCACCCACAGGGGAACAACCCCCAGCCACTGCATAACTTCAACGAGTGAGTAGCTCTCTAGCATTATCTTCTATTTTATTGCGATATTCTAATACCTCTATAGTATTCTAGGTTTCTTACAGGGCGCTCCTCCCCCAGCTTACAATGGCGGTGGATTTGTATTAGGCAACCCTCTCGCCGTCATCGCCCAGGCTCTCGGGATGCACCGACATGGTGACGCCGTCTATTCCCAAGAAGAACTAGACCGCGTAATATCTGAACTTGTGGACCAGAACATGAATGGTGGTGCACCCGCTCCAGCCTCTGACGATGCCATTCGAGCTCTACCAAAGAAGAAAGTCGATAAAGCTATGCTAGGCAGTGAGGGCAAGGCTGAATGCTCCATATGTATGGATAGCGTTGATTTAGGCACAGAAGTTACCATGCTGCCATGCAACCACTGGTTTCACGATAGCTGCATTTCAGCGTGGTTGCATGAGCATGATACATGCCCACATTGTCGACAGGGAATAATGGCAGCACATCAACAGACGCAACAGCAGCAAAATCAAGGCCTGCCAGGTTCTGCAGCTGGCCCACCTGGTAGCGCTGGAAATCCGTTTATTATTCCCTCAAGCCCTCCATCAGAACAACCGCCTAACATCCCCAATAATACCCGACCGCAGGAAGGAAACCAACAACCGTCAGAGCGGTCAGCACCCGAATCTCACAGTACAAATACTGGAAGTGACTCACCGCAGCCTGGCGGTTTAGCTGGGTGGATGAGATATCATTTTGGAGGAGGCAGTAGTACCTAGTACATACATACCGCAACCCCAAACGTTTCTCGACATCTACATCGAACGTCTTACTTACTCCAAACGTCCGAGAAGCCTTTTCACGAATTCAACGCCCCATTTTTCTTTTTTTTTCTCAACTGCATAAAAACTCGGACTTGGTTTGGGGTTATAGGTGACGGGCTGGAGCCTTTGATTTCATTTTATTGATTTGGATCTTATTAGCTCTTGGGCATTATGGGGCGACGCAGGCGTTTTATTCTTTTTGCCCCATCTGCCTTCACTTGTATTCCGTTTTATTCTAGTGGCGGCGTTCCTTTTTTGATGTCCCCTTTTTAAAGATAGCGAACGTAATCATTTGGTCTTCCTCATATACATTTTAATGTCCTTTTCCCCTGATCTAATAACTAAAATGGCCTTGTATCGTCAAAGATAAGTAAACAGTATTTCATTCGATGTGACTGGGTACTCATTGCGTATACATGCAGCCATGTCCATTTGCATGACATTATGAAGCTACATTATTGCTATTTCATGGATCCAAAGTCCTCCCTCCCAAAAGACACCTTCAGGGAAATCTACAAGTTACAATTCCCTAATTCTTTATATCCAAGGCAGCCATAGCATCCTCGACAGCCAGCCTCTCGAACAGTCCCTTAAAGACGCCAGCCAACCACTCGAAATCACTCACCTCTAGGTAAATCTGTGCACTAAGTCTAGTCCAAATTGAGCCAGCATGCACATAGCAAGGAGACATCGTATGATGCTTCTGAATCAGTTGACGCTCCATCCATCGGCATGTAGATGTTGCATCACTGGCCTTCACGACAAGCCATTCGGGCCGTGATAGCTTACCCAGAGTAGCCTTCTGGTCGTCTACAAGGGTAATTGGCAATCGTACATTTGCAAATGCACATTTACGGAACTCGCTCTCCTTTTCTTTGGCTGGGTCGAATGCGCCAGACGAGCAGAATTCACCCAGAACATCCGTTCCAAACATCTGGGCCACACGATTTCCAGCCTCAAAGGCTAGGTTGTTGCAGTAGTTCATGATCTTCTCTTCACCGCCGCATACTTCCTTGCGGTACTTGACGGATTCAGGAACACAGAGGAACGGGATGTCATCGTTTGTGCCGGTCCATTCGAATTGGAGTTCAAAGTTCGATTGGTTGCAGAGGATGTCGAATGGTTGGGAGTAAGGGTCATCTTGCTCACCCTCTTCGGAGCCGGTTTTCAGAACTCCAGGAACGGGGAGAAAACCATGGGATGTTGGCATGGTGGTGCGAATGAGATGTTGGTTGCGCATCGGGACGTAGAATACTGCACATCCACGAGGGGTGAAGAGCCATCTTAAGGGAATGATTAGCATCAGTTATGATAGGAGGGTGCTCTGAGATGATAAACGTACTTGTGACAGTTACTGACAAAAAAGTCCGGGTCTATTTTGGTTAAATCGAGAGGAATCTGTCCGACACCATGTGCACCATCGATGCAGCTCATGATCCCTTCTTTCTTGCATATCTCCGTGAGTCTCTCGAAGGGCAGCCTGACTCCAGGTTGACTGACAACGGTATCAAACACGGCGACCTTGACGTTCAGCCCTTCGCCCCTTGCCTTATGTATAACCGTCAAGAACTTCTCCACCATCTGATCATGCGTGATAGGGAACTCATATTTGACCTTGCGTCCGCGGACTGGGGTTGTCTCTGCCAGTGATGCAATGGTCTTCTCAACCGCTCCATATACAGTAGAGAAGTAGACAATGATATCCCCTGGCTGGTAGACAAGATTACGTAGCGCAGTATTAACGCCTGTTGTAGCGTTCTTGACAAATACGATCGTGTTCGTAGGAGCATTGAGCATGGTACCTAACGCTTTGCGGGACTCGAGAAGATAGTGTGCCAGATCATAGCGGAGGAATTGATCAGGGCTACCCTCAAACTTGTCCTGGATTTCGCGGAACCTGTTCAACACGGCGATCGGATATGTACCGAACGAACCTGAAGGATATCAATCAGCATTGGCTCATTTTATATAAGGGGGATAATGTCGTTTGTCTCTTTACCATGGTTAAGATTCCTGAAGGTCGGTTCCAATGGAAACTCTTTGAGAAGGGAATTGCCGAAGGAGGCAGCAGGCTGATATGAACCCATGCTGGATGGAATATTAAACACCGTAACTAATGATAACTATCCAGCTGTGTAGCTCTTTCAATTTGCACAGGTCAGGACGAGATATCCAAGCCTTTATATAGACAGCCCTCTATAAAAAAATAATAATCTCCTCTGTGACTCGAATATACGGGAGACAAAGCGAAAGTTGCTCCCCGCCATGTTTAGTTCACCTCGGCGCAATTCTGGGTTAACTCTATACATTGCATTACATAACGTCAACGGCCCGAAGAGGCAAAGAGTACGAAGGCCCGGGAGGTTTATCCATAGCTGGGGTGAAGCTAAGCTTGCCATCGGTCGATCGTGGGCCGACGCTGTTGGTGATGTTGCTGATGGTGATGGCATATCCGATTCGATCGATCGATGCCAGGTATTATGCAGGGTGTCAGCAGATTCCAAGAGATGCCATGTCATACATAGGGCGTGTTCGCTAAAGTAACGGGTGTCACAGCGGGAGAAAGGAATGGCGGAGATCGAATCAAGATTGGAAAGCCTAGCTAGTATGGTTTCATAGAGTACACAAGACATAGACGCAAAAGGCAGACGAAAATATCAGGGCAGAGAGGCGGGATAGCAAGCTATGAAATACAGGGAGGAAGAATATGATATGCTCTGTATGGAAACGCCGTCTATCCAATTCTTCCCTTTTTTGGAACCATCTTGCCATATCGTATCATTGTCACGCACGCAAGCAAACATTTGGAATTAAAATAGCAAAGGACCACACCCTGTCAAGTAATCATTTAAGAGATTGGCGTAGATGGCATTCACCGCTTGCCCTTCTTCTTAGACACCACCTTGAAGGCAGCATTGCTGGCTGTCGTGTCTTCACGACTAGCAGCCGCGTTCCCCTTCTTGGCGACCTCGTTCCAGCCGTCGGATGCATTCTTGGATTCAGCTGGTGACCCGAAGGCGCCTGCTCCGGAAGAAGCAGGGTCAACGATGCCCTTATCTGCCAGCTTACGGCGTCTGATGAATTCTTCGGCGAAGCGGCGGCCATCAAGGGTTTGGGAGTTGGCATAGACGGAGTCTGAGATGATTTCCGACTCTGGGGGTAGGAAGAGGAGCTGTTGTACAAAGTCGTCCACTGTGTAGATATGTTAGATTTACGTAGCACAAGGCTGGTAGAATGTGGTTCTTGACTTACCATTAATAGAACTATTAAGTCCCTTCTCCAGGGCTAGTTTCGCCCATTTCGCCAGCTCTTCGGCTGGACGATTGGCCGAAGCAGCTGCGGAATTACCAATGCTTACGGTTCGAGACATGATGGATTTGGGCTTCGTAGCTGGCGTCGGGCTGGGGGTCAAACCAGGGACGTTTCTTGAGTTGACAGCAGTAGTAACAGGCAATGCCTTGGCCTTGCCGCTAGCTCCCACGGTAGTCCAGGCGCCGCTCGCAGCAGCAGGTGATGCGGGCTGCTGGGCAGTCATTTTGCTAGCAAGCTCAGCATAGCGCTTTCCAGCTGCAGTTCCCAAGGAGTTAGCAGCAGATGCAGCGGCAGCGGCCGCGGCAGCAGTACGCTGTTTACGGGCTTCCTCCTCCTTCTGGATCTGCGCCAGTGTCTTCTTTGGCGCGGTAGTGGTGGGGGTTGCCTGGTTCTTACCGCCTACCGATTTCGACCATGCTGAAGCTGCATCTGTTGTTGGGGTGGACGCAGATCCGCTTCGGGCCCAGTTGGCGGTTGACGGGAGGCCCGGCGCAGGGGCAGGCGGTGGATTGGCGCGCTCCTGTTCGGCTATGGCTCGGCGTGTGGCGGCAGCAAGTTCTTCTAGCTTTGCAGCCTTACGAGCTTCAGCTTCTTGAATTTCACGAAGAGAGGGCCCTTTGGCGGCTTCAGAGTGTTCCTTGGCCCATGGTGCGACAGATGTGGCATGTACTTCATTAGGGGTTTGGGTCTCGGAACGGGTCTCCGCTGCAAGGTTGTCTGCTACGTGCTGGCGGTTGCGCTGTGCAGCTGGAGCTGGAAGTGGTGACTGTGAAGGTGGTGGTGGGAATGGCTGTGGCAGCCCATTATCGATCTTTGCCCATGGAGATTCAACTTCCGCTGGGGGAGCCTGAATGTTAAACTGCTGCTGCTGCTGTTGTTGTTGGTGAAGCCGTTGTGCCGAAGCAGCATTTTGCACCTTTTGAGTTAGGGTAAGTTCCTGCTCATCACCTTGATTGAAGTGGTTCTGGTCGTTTGGGACAGGAGATTCTTCTTGTGATCGTTGTTCCTGGTTAGCTTCTCGGTGGCTGCTCGGCTCCTCGGTGCGTCGAACAGGGATGTCCTCATCGGCAATTCTGAGAGCATGAAATTGACGAACCCGCTCATCTCTCGCTTGCTGGTCAAAGATAGACTCAGGATGGGCTTTGGTAAAGTTCTCCTGCTCCTGCTGAAGACGGCTGCGGTCCTGCAACATGGTGGAAACAGCCTGGTTGTGCGCTTGGTTCTCTTGGTGTCCTGGTGGGAAAGAACCAGCATTATTGAACCCAAATTGACCCGCTCCCCTATTGACGTTTATCCTATCCATCAAGATAGGCATTTCATCGTGGCCAACGCCGAATTCCGGTGCTCCGGCCTGGGAGCCTGGAGGTCCAGTGTTCTGTCTCATAGGGCCCTCGAAGAAAGCAGGCACGGAATGAGGTGGTTGGATAGGGCCTTGCATCGGTGTAGGCTGGAAAGCTGCAGGTGAAGTGATGCTACCGAAGCTAGGCTGACTCTGGAGACTATGGGCGCTAGAATGATGCTGCAGCTGTTGCGGGTTGATAGGATGAGCAGGGCCCTGGATCTGTTGCATCTTCATTAACGCCTGTTGCTGTGCAAGGTGTTCCTTCTGCCTCGCCATGAGGTATTGTTCTTCCTGCTTTCGGCGCTCCAATGCATTCTGCTGCTCAGCCGTAAGAGTAGTGCCGAAGCTAGGGAAGCTGCTTGCGAACGGGGGCTGAACAGCTCCGGCCTGTGACGGTGGTGCTGCCCCCCATGGTCCTGGCTGGCTCATTGGCGCACCGTGAGGGACACCAATTTGCGGAACTAGGAACGGTTCGCGGGAGTTGCCGATACGTCGAACAAGTTGAGCGAGAGGCTCATACTCTACATCTTCAAGTTTCTTGACTTGTAGTTCCGCAGTGAAGAAACCGGCTTTGAACCAATCGTGCATTTCTAAACCAGACCAGGGTCCTTGAGTGTTACCCTGTGGGTCACGGTAGATCCAGCGCATACGATCAGGCATAACCATCTGTCGCTGTTGCGCGGGAGGGAGCTGGCTGGATGAAGAACCGCCGAATTGGCCTGCGTTCTGGCTCTGAGGCATATTCCCGTCCAAGAGTGATTGGGCCGAAGGGTTGGTGACTGCTCCACCGCCAGAAGTACCTACAGGGGTGTGAGACGTAGTTGACGTTGGATGGGTTAACATTGCACTAGATTTATCATGAGACATAAAGGGATCTATCAAGATGTTAGACTCGTGTCAATCTTCATATAGCAATATAGATGTATTTACCTTGTGGTTTTCCAGGCTCTTCGTTTGAGTGTGACTGCTCATTGCGCATTTGGTCCTGCATGGCAGGCGGGAAGAGAGAGCCCAATTTACTGGGACGTGAGGTAGCTCCCATATTTGAGAGGCTGGTTTGCGAACCAAAGATGCCAGCTCCTCCCAGACCAGATGCGCCAGGCGATTGTAAGTCAGACATTGGTCCGAATATTGGATCACCAAAACCAAACGCAGGTCTCTCTCGAGTTGGCGTGCCTGTGGCGCTACTTGTCGGCCATCCGCCGGAGTTCCCGAGAGAACCTAAGCCGCCCAATCCTCCCAAGCTGGGGAACCCACGATTGGCGCCTACGCTCGATGTCTGACTGCGATCAGCGGCAGGAATATCGGAAATGATTCCTGAGCGAGACATGGCGCTGAACGAGCCATGGCCTGAATCGTCGCGCAGATCGCTGATGTTAGGCAGACGAGCGTGTTGCTGGATATCAGAGCCTTCATTATCGGGATCTCCAAGACCGACGTCGTTGTTTCGATCGCCACGCGGACTCTGGTAAGGGTTAGTATGCGTTGGGCTCATGGGTTCATGGTGCGTATGGTTAGGGGGTTGAGATGACGCAACTAGATCACGTAGAGCGGATGTGCCTCCCGGCATCCCGAACGAGGAGAGACCGAACTGATCGATCCCTCCTATCCCGGACGTGCCTATCTCCTGGCCTCCAAGTGCAGCACTTCCACTACGGCGTTCATCGACAAAGGGATTAGTTTCGCTACGAGACGGGCGGTTCCTAAAGGCTTCCTCGGTCGTTTCCCTGGGCATGTCGTCCTCAGTTTCGGCAAGCCGGTCAAGACCAATTGCAGACGACTTGTCCTTGTTGCTACCGGACATGTCTTCGGAGCTGCCCTTGGAGAGTAGATTTTTAAACCGACTTTCACCGCGTAAGCTTCCAAAGCCCGGTTTCTTTTCCGTAGCGCTCTGCGGTGCAACGCTGCCCATGGCGAAATTTCCAAAGGCTCCAACTCCCATTGAACCGAACGCCGAGCCCTGATTTGACGACCATGGAGAATTGGAGCCAAGGGCACCCGCGCTGACGGGGTTCGTAGCACTTCGTTTAAGAGAGCCGAATGGCGAGCTAATGTCGAATGAGGGGTCCCGTTCGGCAAAGCTCTTCTCCTTCTCCTCCCATTTGGAGTCAACGGCGGATTCCTTAATGTCGGTTTTCCGGCGTAGGATGGACGGAGGCGGAGTCGCAACGTTTGATTCATCGCGGAAGAAGCGGGAACTGGTAGGTGACAGCGGATTCCCCGAGTCACCGGTCCCCCGCCTCCGAGGGACGGTGCGTGTGGAGGCCGGTGAAGTTGAATTAAATGCATTCATATGACCATGAGAGACCGACAATTTGCGGCCAAGCGTACTGCCGGTCGAAGCTCCATCCTTGTTGGTATTTTGGGGTGGAGGTTTGAGAGGTGAGTTGACGGAGGTAGAAAACAGCTATGACCACTTATCAGCACAGAGTCCTTTTTTTTTGAGATCCAAAAGAGAGTCACACGCACTTCTTTCTCCTCCTCGTTCATATCCATTAAGCCTAGTGGTTCGCTTTGGCCTTTATGATCCCAGCAGACTTCCGGGCCTGCGGCATTATAGTCTTTGGAGTCGTCCTGCTTGCCCCAACTTCCGTTGGTTGGTGGGCGTTCACTGCGAGGGTTCCAGTCGCCCATAAAATATCCAGAAATCGACTTCCCCCAGTCCTTTGATCCCCGCTGGTTTTTATAAAGACTGAGTAGCTGCTCCTTGGAATAGCTACTGTCCCCGTTACGCGACGATTGATAATTGGAGCTGAGGTGGGGTGGGATATACGCAGCACTGGTAGGATTGGAGGTGTTGGCCACGGCCGCCGGCGCGTTCTCTCGGCTGTGGGAAGGATTGGTGGCAACAGAAGGGCGGCGGAACGTCTGTGTAGCTCCGTTCATGCGATTTCGAGACCTATATAAAAATAGTCAGCCTGGACCTAGAAACCGGTCTTTCTCCACGACGACGGCCGGTACGGACAGCCCGATCAACGAGGCAGGTCTCCTGGACCAGAGAGCACGGAGGATCCCTACCATTCACCGCTATTCATGACCTCTCTCCTCGACCCAGCGGCCGATTCTTGTGTGTTTCCAGCAGCCGCGGAGGCAAACGTAGATGGCAGAGGCGAAGACATGGTGTGGTCGATAAGCTGGAGAGGCTGATCAGCAACCGTGAGAACAGGAAAGAGACGAAAATAAGATCAAGGGTGGCCGTGTCGTCTTCACTTTTCGGTACACGGTGGTGAAGAAAACTTGGACACACGACAAACTTGCTTACCACAGCGGACTTGGAGTCAGGCGCGCCAGAAAGAAAAAAGTGAGCAGGAGAGGAAGGGCGAGAGGTGACGATATCGAGGGCTTGGACGGTGCGAGACGGAGTGGTGAGAAGTCGCTAAAGATCGAGCAGCAAAGATCAAAGGACGGCGATCGATGAAGAAGGTCCTGAAGAAGTTCCTGCAACCTGACGGGCTCGCGGAGGCTGGAGTGGGAAAAGGGAAAAAACCGAGAAGGCGCAGGACAAATCACGGGACAGCGTGGCAATACTTGTCTCAGGGTGGAAGTGGTCACGTGTGGGAGACCGGACAGTAGAAGAAACTTAGCACCACGGGGATCCCTAAGTCCACGCACCATCTTTAAACGAGGCAAAAGTCGAGTTTGACGTTCAACTTCACAGTCTTGCTTGATAGACTCTTGATAGAGCCAACTATGGATGATTACGACATCTAGTGTTCGAGGCTCGTCTGGTTACTTGTCTGGTACACTTGTCCGGTATACTCTGGCAGACTACGAGCAGCAAAGACAGTCTGTGGCCGGCATACAAGACACGTATAGACCCCTGACGGTAGCTCGCTTCTACTCCACAAGCGAGTCAACAGTGCTAATATCGTGTTGAAGACAGACATCGCCGTTTCACTGTGGAAGTCTAACGGAGAACGCCGTTTCACCGGCAAAGAAGCTCTATCGGAGCGTTGGTGGCGGTCTCTGGATGGCGGTACAGAGCATATACTCTCCAGTAGGAGGTATGCGGGTTCCCAGTTATCCTATAGAATAGCCGTCAAGTGCCAGCTTCGGCCCAGAAGCTGGTATCAACGTCATCACTTCTTGTCTGGGTACGAGCCGGACCAGGCGACGATTCGAGCTTAACCGTTCGTCTCTCCGGGCTTTCCAGAGAGATACAGAGTACTTAGCTGTGGCGATGTTTGCATCGAAAGTGTTTGCTAACCGTCAGATATTTCGGGGACTCAGTCTAATTGTTGCCCGACTGCATCAAACAGCAGGACATTCTCTCGATAAGCCCTGTGACCGATGGAATGCTGCACGGCAAGCAAACATGCTCTTCCTGTACATCTGTGGCATCGTTGCAGCTATGCTGTTGCATATAAATATGGAGTATTTCTTCAGCAGATCCTCCTAGGCCTATTCACCTTTGGCTACTTAGATATAGCCATGATTAGCTCTTTAGATATCTGAAGGATAATACATATCCGGATCATATCTATGATGCCTTCATTCCCACTCAGGCGTCAAGGCGGCAACCACAGAGGACCCCTAGATAGCTCGGGCATCCAACCTGGCCGAACTATGGCCTCGGTGGTTGGTCGGCGTCGTTTCCCATACATTCACGCACCCGGCCCTGGATTCAGGAGTGCAGAACATCTCATCAGACAGTCACCACATGCAATACAAGCTAGTGCACCTGCTCACGAACAAGTTCACCCTATACAGACCCATCACAGTTTATTTTACGGGGCCCCGAACCGCCACCATCACCAGCAAGTCCAACCGCGCGCTCAGGGTCGTGTTTATTCTCACCAGCTTGCGCCCCAGGAAGAGGTGCTAGTAGTTCCCCCACGACGTAGCGCTTTTGATGGTGGCCATAGAAGCTACCAGCCTACTTACATGTCTGCACCAATGTGTGGCCACCGTCGCTATGCCCAACCTAGAGAACTCATCAACTTACCAACGGGGCTCCCCATATCTATACACCCTCGACCTCCCGATGCTAGACATCATGGCCGCTCCTGTCCTCGTCATCACAGACGAAGGCACTTTCTCGATGGCGAGCCAGATATAGTCCATGACAGGGATCATGGAGAACTGCATGACGAATCAGACTGGTCATCCGATGACGAGTCCCTATTAGGTGTCCCTTCTTTCCTCAGGGAAGAACATGATCGCAGACGACGAAGATGGAAAGGGCGAAGACGAGATCGTTCACTTGATGATTCATCCTCTCTTGAGTTTCCTATTGTCTTTGATGACGAGTATGATGATCCGCGGCTGTTAGATCGCTATTGGGATGACTCGCACTCTTTTGTTAGAAAACGGCCTGAGGATATGCATTGGTGGTTTGGCAGTTATGATGGTTGACTCTCGATCGCTGTTCGAGCCACGCATTCACTCCTCTATGTAACGATATGCCCATCATCCTATAGCAGATGAATAGCATGGCGTTGAATAATTAACACCTGGATATGGTGTCTGGTACTTCCCAGAAATTTAGGGCCCCACATTTATATCTCAAACACGGCTAGAATACTGCATATATTACATTTCTCCATCCTGGTAGGGCCATATGCGTTTATATAGCTCCTTGTCAGTCTCGTTATCCGCACTTTCGAAGAAGGCATCTCTGCGCTCCGCGACCGCCGCCTTCACTCGCTCGAAATCAGCTGGATGCACCATTCCATCTGGCGGTAGTCCCCACCCATCTCGAAAGAGGGTCAGTATTTCGGCGACGCTGCTCGAAATCTCTTCTTCAGCGGAGCGTAGTTCCAATTCTCGTTTACCGATGGTTACGGGACATGTACCGGATTCTGGACAAAGATCCTGCCACCGCTCCACGATGGAATTCAGTGCACGCCGGAGGAAAAAGACAGCTTGATCTTCCCATACGTTCACGACGAGCCGGGAAGGATCTATTCGGACGTCAAGATTCCTGAGCTGAAGCGCGGCTAAATGGCTTGGGTTTTTTGCCCCTGTTTCAACCTCGTAATACCTATGGCAGGTCATGCTCTTTCGATCATTCTCAAACTTTTCCTTCTCTTCCTGGTCTAAGCTGTCATAGTTATCAGGGAGCGCTAGGGTCCAGTCATGGGGTACGCCGCCAGGATGCTCAAACATCCTTGGAATGCCACATTGATAGTAGAAGGGCATAACGGTAGCAGACTGCCAATCAATTATGCGCGTTATTTTGTTCAATTCGGGGTCAATGAATACATTGTCAAGATGCAGGTCAGGATGCCAAAGCGTTGGCGAATGTGTATCATCCACCTCCACTGGTGGAATCATAGCGGGAGATAACTTAAGATATCGATTCAAAAGTTCCAGAAGCTCGTCTGGAGACTGAGGTTCCGTAGATGACCGGTGGTAATTCATGCGAGGACGGGCATGTTTTTTAGTGAATAGGATTTCGTTCTTCGCCATAGCTTCTACAAATTCTAGCGGCCCGTCGACTGCATGTCTTAGTAAGAGTGAGATTGATTTTAGGGTCTTCGGGGAGCGCAGCCTTACATGGTCCACGGTTCATGTTCATGCTAGCCCTATCTCCACGCCACATATTACTTGACACGAGTGGTCCCAATGTAAAGCGCTCGAGTATTGAAGTAGGCAAGGATGAGCCGGTTGCCAGAATTCCATTGCTGCATAAATCGTCTGGGACATCCCCCTTGAAGTAGATGCAACCGCTTTTTGAAAACTTCGTAGATGCAAGCTGCTGTTCTATCTGCACAATCTGTTTTATTATTTCAAGCCTGCGCATCATCGGCCATTGGTACCAAAGCATTCCCAGTGGCTTTCCTGGTGCTTTTTCTTCCAAAATATACTCCGCCCCAACGGGATTACTCCGATCAGCAGACCAGGCAATGATGCGAGGAGTAGGAATTTTCAGAATATCACGCAGCTATTGAAACTGTCTATTAGATATCAGTCCCCAGGTATATTGTATCGCAAAAGTACCTACGAACTCTCGAGTCGCTACTTCAGATGCCGTTGTATAATAAGCAGGACCAGCGACTGGATTTGGAAGCTTTGCGATGACTTCTATGCCATTATCCATGGTCAGAATAAAGACCTTATTGTTTAGCCCTTCGCGGCATTCGAAGACGTTAGTACCTGGATAATGAATTAGCAGAGGTGTACCAGGTAGTAGGTAGTAAGTAACTTGGGGGCGGTACAATATCGAGCACCTTCGCCAGAGACTGCAGTAACGGCAGCTTTCAGAAGCTGTTGAGGATCAAATTTGAGATATCCCAACGATAGGTGTAAAGATTCGTTATATCTACACCGAGTCAGTGAAAGTGTCATAGGCCACGACGGGGCACCTCAAAACATGCATCCAGCGGTTCCTAGTATACTTAAACAGTTCCTCTTCTGAAATATCCTCCACTACAAATATAAGCATCATAGTAGGTGTGGAGATACGGAGCACATACAGGCTCCGTTAGGGCCTTCTCTAGTAAGACGAGGCATCTTCGTTCCATGATAAGCTCGCTGGATGGATATCCAACCTAACGGTAAGGTTGTTGTGATGACTCGCGACCAGGCACAGCGATGAGACAAAGTATGCTTGAGTAATCGATGATATAAAGAGTATGTTCGGGATATTAAAGGCATCACCACTTGGGGACATTGGAATAATTAGCATTTAAAGCAAATTATATCAAGAGACGAGTACGCTTGCTCTTATATTCAACGAAGTTGGTGTAGTTGACGGTGGTCAAAGAAAGGGACAAGTGTCTGTCCAATAGGAACGAACCCATGGCTATTTTGAACCTGTCCTTCCCAACCAATTCCTCCTACGATTACTATATATTTTACTAGAATTATATACCAATAGTGGCCCCGAATAATATCCGAAAACGATACCGAAATTAGAAACCAAGGTTGATGTATCAACTATGACCAAATAAGAGCTGTTTATCACAGGATTATGGAGCCGGAGTATACTTAAGAGTTGGCCAGCTCCTCCCACTCGACACAATTGAGCTTACTGGTCAATTTCCTTAGACCATTCACCAATCATCATTGGTGTAGGCTCCGTGGTGTAAATGGATTTACGGTACTCATCCACTACGAAAGTAAGTGGTTAGTGATGAATTGTTTATGCAGAATTAAGGGCACAGTATAATTACCATGTTTTCCTAGTTCATTCCAGCTGTCGACTACTTTTTGTATCTGCTCCTTCGTATACGTGATATCGGGAATCTCGTTCGATTTGACTGAGGCATAGAGATGTTGGAGGTCGCTGTCTATCTTCTTCCAGCAAGCCTCTAAGGCTTTTAGGAGCTCAATAACAGGCCCAACGTAACCCTTGAAGGCGTCGGCTTCTCCCTAAAAGAAATATTAGTTAGGTTTACGCAAGTAAAACCAGAAAGTGACATATCTCTTGGGACTTACGCTCAATCGCTGAACATCGGCACCGACCATGAGACCGCATTTCAATGCCCCGTCATACGGCTTTAGCTCTCCCTCGATCGCTTCAATGATGTTTTTAATGGATAAAGCTTGAGGGCCATATGCTGACAACTTTGTGGATGGAAGGACACCAAATAAGGTACTGGGCTTATTAGCTATCTACACCAAAAGAGCGAAGAATAGGAAATATCAAGTCCACTCACCACACTGCGTACAATGGGATTGTAGCGGCAATCGCATCTATATGAACGTATATTAGAGATCCGTGTGCATGTACGCCATTCAAATAAACATACTGTAAGTGTACTCCTCTCCCTGGTGCGACAAAACCTGCTGGAGGGACTCGACCGTGAGTTCTAGATGTCTTTGTTCCGGCGGGTCCAGTAATTTTTTCATGGCAGCTAAGTTTCCGTGCAATGCCTCCTGATGCTTCTGAACGATGGATCCGAAGTCATTGATTCCCTTTGAAACTTTACCATATCCGGACTCTTGCTGGGCAGTATGCTTGACCAACATCTCCGCGAATTCTTGAATACTCGCCTTTGCTTCTGCCATCGCAGCTTGATCTGGGGGAGACTTATGTTTCGCAGTATGGTAATCGTTAATTGACTGCATCAGGTTGCCATAGTATGAACTGGTAGTAGTGCCGCCGGCAAGCTTTGTGAAATTGTAGATATCATCAGAGCATTGGATCAAGGCTTTCCAGGCCCCATCTCGGAAACCCTTGTTGGCTGATTGGATCTATATAGCTTGTAAGTGTCCATTCTATTTCCCTTTCGATATAGTGCATAGACCATTACATACCGATTCATAGGTTTTGACCAGATTATTAACCTCGGATGCAACAGCAGGGGCTTTGGAAAGATCAATACCCATTCGTTTGGCATAGTCTTCAGGGGTTATGGCGAGGAAGCAGCCGGTCCAGACATATTTCATGAAGGAAAACAACTGAGGGCTAAAATGCGCAAACACCTGACGTTCTTTCAGCTTGCCGTTCCATCTGCCCTTGACGGCCACCATGAAGGCCGGGTTCGGGGACCAGATGTCGTCCAAAGCGGACCCAGGTTTAGAAGCCATGTTCCTAGATCGAGGTGAAGTTATATTAGTGCAAAGAAACAAACGGTAGAGGAGTGAGGGAGATGAGTCCACCCCATTTATGCTCTGATTTCTGGCCGTGGGCAAGGAGTCACTTCTGTCGACCACGTCAAGTGCTAGTATCGCTCACGGGGACGAATTAGTATACTGTAAGATATTCTTCAGATTGATATTTTGTCCACTTATGCATTTGTAGATGGCTCGGGGAAGTCCTGCAACTCACTACATATCCTCTTCAATATTGACTGCATAAAACAAGGACTAGCCTGTCTTGTTTCAGCCCGTCAGCCCGCCTCTTTTCAGTTCCTAGAACTACTGCGTAGTAAAAGCTTCTATGGAACACGGATTTCATTTTTTCTTTTTGTTCTTCTCGGTTCTTTTTTCCCTTCTTTTCTTCTTTTGGACCTTTTCTTTTTTTTTGGCTTTCTTTTTCTTTTCTCTTCTTTTCTTTGCTTTTTTCTTATATTGAGTTTACTCGAAGGATATAGATCTGATAGAGGGCATTGAACAGTTAGTTACTCCGCAGGAACTAACTGTGAGCAAAGGAATATGTAAACACTTCTATGAAGTAAGTTTTGCTGCAGTCAATATCAGAATCCAAATTTGAAGGAAGCAAACCAGCAAATCGTGCACTGCGTACCTTATGCCTTTTTAGGGTAATAGTATTCCAAGGAGCATATGAATATCCTAGAAAGGAAGATGCTTGTGAAAATTCATTGAAATAGGCTGACGTGTAAAGACCCAGGCAAGAGATCAACAATCCAGGTGATCTTGAACTTAGTGTCGACATCATAACATAACGAATGGGCAGGAATTCAAAGTGACCTTGGCCCTCTATATTTGAATAAATATTTAACACCAGGCTCTCACCTTTGTTCCCATCCCTTCAATACCAAATTTTGACGAAAGGAACTATAATACCTCATCCCCTCAAGCCAGGCATTTATTGGAATTAGCACCATGACCGTTGACAAGAATTTCCTTTCCCCTCGAGATATTGTTCACGATGGTCAAGTATGTCTCAATGGGCCCCGCATCATGAATGGCACCAAGTTTGCCATAGCATGCTTGAACCTGCCGCAGTCCGTTTCGGGAATACGTGAGCGTGCTCATATTGACGATAAAACATATAACCATGTAAGTATATTAACCAATTACTCGAGCGCCCCATAACTTTTTCGTTTCATTAGGCTAACTTTTTAATAAGTACGCCGATATCCTCCTAAAGCTCTTGAAGGTCTTTGTGAGGATGTTCGAAATTGCCGATGACTTTAGAGTGAGTCCTTTTAAACCCACCCTAAACTGGCAAACGCATTTTAATCGGATATCTAGAACACTGTAAACGTGCTAAACACCGCGTGCTCGAACACCCAAGATTTTGCAAAATTAGCCGAATCCACTTTCCGTAAGCGTGTCTTCCAAAAATCTGTCTCAATTCCTCATGTGAGTTGTGCTAATTGGCATCTTTAGCCGAGTTATTTGATTGCTTCAGCAAGTACCGTAAAAGCCCAACGACTGAGATGCATGATAAGATCAATAAAATCAACATGGAATGCATTGTATCGGCTAACATTGCCACTCGCAATGCCGGTTTGATTGGTATCGGGGGATTGGTACGAGACTGGCAGAGCGAACAGCAAGACTTGCAGAACGTCTACCGGGAACTGATTGAAAGAATGAAAGCAGCCGAATTCATGCAAATAATTGAGAAGCTCTTTGGTATCAGTGGTGGTATATCCGGTTTAGAAAACCTGAAGGTAAGCCATGCTTTAATCTGACTGAACCCTGACATCTACTAACATGGCCGGCAGACATGGGTTGAGGAGCTCGATACAGAAGCTGGCAGTGCCATTAACGATCTAAAAGCTTTTGAAGGTCAGTAAATCGACGTAGATGTTGACGATGCGAACATATGAAGTACTCACTATTTCAAGGTTCCTGGCATGCTATCGACAGTGACTCTATTGCCCTGCAGGAATTGCTCCAGGACCCTCACAGCAAGGACACGGACAGGCTCTTGCAAGTGGAGCTTGCACATTTGCTAGAGGGATGGAAGACTGTCAAAAGTAAAGGTGAGCAGCTATAAACTTTGCTTAGTAGGATGGACTTTGTTAACGCTTGTGGTTTTAGTTGAAGAATTGCAGCAGGAGTTCATTCAGAAGGCGCTGGATATGCTAAACAGTGCTCCCCACCGCTGATATACTGTACTCTGGTCAGCTGGGTAATCTATGTCAAGTATCACGCAAAGAGGCCCCGAAACGTGAACTATCTCCAGTACACTAGATACCTATAAAGGTGGAAGGGGATGTCCTCTAGTAGCAACTAGAAGGCGCTCTGAGAAACTGTCAATGTTTTGTTAATCCAAGTTGAAATCTGAACTGTTGAGGGTCTTTCGTATCTTAGCTGTCCCATACTTATCGAGACACCCCATGTCCAGTAAATTGTAGCTTGTAGACCATCCGGCTCTGATCCAATGACACTGCTTGATATTAAAACTGAGACGTCCATCTCTCTATCCTGGAGAAGAAAACAAAGGGCGTCGTGTGTACACGTGACTTTTACCTCGGTACCTAACTACTTACGGTCACGTGTCACTGACTAAGGAAGTTTTATTCCTGTCGTATTCAAGCGGATTACGGTGTTGATATATTGTTCTAATTTGCTGGACAAGGAGTACTTCAATGTGTTTTATTACTCAATATTCCAGCGGGCGTGTTATTAAGCACAAAGGGGTCGAAGTTTTCTAAGGGGTCTTCTCCATATATTCGCTCCGTCTGTCGCTTCCTCCGCGCTTTTTACCTATTCCCTAGTTTAGGGGCCTTTGCCATTGTGCTCCTCGATCCATCGACTCTCTCACTCTACTATAAAGATGGAAACTACCTTTGCTAGTGGCATTTGTTATTAGCCTGCGGAAACACGCTAGAACTACAGCTGTGTCTAGCCATGATAACCTCATAGCTCGGGTGGTATGATGGCGATATTGACCTAGAATGCGAAAACACTCTGAAGTTATTCGGCGTCACCTAAGCTACTCACCAAATGGAACCCTTTCGTTAATCTTGACCGCAAGCCTTGGAGGTATAAATCCCGCTCCACTAACCTGGAAGTTCAGCTATCACTTCCGATCCAGGAATTATACCCACCACCACAGGACTATCTCCAGCCGCGTGGACTGCTTTGGTCCGTTATTTGCACGAATTCAAAGTGCCGGTCTTTGGAAAGCGCATAATTGAGGGGGCGGGCGACGGCGCATTGTCGATCCCTATGCTAGACTTCTTATCTCGAAAGCTTTAAATTTCAGGTGCCGTGGAGGGCAATGAGTACTGGTGCAACCACTATGTCATAGGCGAGCTGGCCAGGGATAAGGCGGAGTGTAATCTGTTCCGCAGGGTCACATTGATGTCATTGGGCCTGTTTCTTGGGGAAATGGACTAGGGCAGTCAGACCTGCCACTTTGTCGACTGAATCCGGAGACCGAACTACTACGGTCATGCCAAATAACCCTGCTAATCTAGGCAACATGGAAATTTTAGGTAATTGTAAGTATTTCTCCACTGTTATTGGGTTATGCGGGCAACGTATCGATGGGAAGCACACACGGCTGAGTGATTCTCAGGGTGTCCAAAGAAAATAAGGAGAAGTTCCCTACGGAGAAGCCGTGGGCTTTAGCAGAAAGTTATACATTCTTGTAACTAATACTAGTCCTTAGATTAAACTATGAGACCCTTTCGAAGACCAGGCCTTAAGCTTCCCTACTAGGTTATCTTTCGAAGGCTCAACACTACTTTGCAAACTGATGTACGTCATATGGAATACATGTCCATCAAAATGATCAAACTCGTCGATAATGATCTAACCGTGGAAGTTCAGTTTCCTTGATTCATATTTCAGCTCTCGTCTCGTCTGTATCGGGTCAATGGTCTAAAATGACGAATGTTTATTTGCATTCGGACTGGATGGGCCAATGCAAACCTGAGATCTTCAAATTACCTGCCTGCAAAGGGTTAAAAATGGACCGTGCGCTTTACAGCCATCTAGAATACGATGTGCTTCACGAAGAAGAAAGGAAATGGATGTTCGGTAACATGCATATAGTTTAATTCCATGCATTCACGGTCTTGGTTGGAATGGAAAATTAGGCAGCCATGCATTACCCAGGGAGAGTTTTTTTTTTTTTTTTTTTTTTTTTTGATTCTACAATGCTATATGCAAAGTCGCGTGTTACTCAGAGTAAGAACGAATTTAGGCCGATTTTAAAGCTGACGGGTGTTGCGGTGATCTTATAGGCACGGCTTTACCGAGATACCCCAAGGCATTTGCTGCATCTATTGCGAATAAGGGAAGACATGACTGTTGGTTCTCCTGTCATGCGGATACGGGGTGTGGCATTTACAGCGCTGAGGTTATAGTCTGAATGATAATTGATGCAGGTATTCATCGGCTCCAATCCTTTGAAACTCGCGCTTCCCAGTTTATGCTAGCCACGTATACCTTGGAGGTCGAAGTTGACTGCACGTCGATGAAAGTTCCCCGTCGGTGACTTAACTGGCATACGATCCATATCTAATCTCACTGAAACAGATAGTAACTATCTTCGAGCCCACGAGTTGTGCTACTGTGTATGAAAACTTTTGATTCTGGATAATTGAAAGGATAGGAAAAGATGCCTATCTCTCTGCGCGATCCGCAACCTTCGTCGCCAGATGGATGGAAAAAATACTCCGAGGCTGTGGGAATAAAGGAAATTCCCATGCAGACGTATGAGCTGCTGGAAAAAGAAGCCGTGAGTCTCTATTTGTTGGTCTATAGTGAGAAATAACTAAATATTTGGTAGAGAAGATGGACAAAACGAAGCATTTATTGGGAGTATCCAAAGACTCCTATTCCTGAAGTGGACTTTGTAAGAGTTGTTGCCGATGTGATATGCTTTCAAGGGGAGGTTTTGGTCGATCTGTCGAAATCTAAGATCTCTCTGCTTCATGCAAGAGTGGTGACTGCTACCTCGAAAATCAATCTCAGATTCAAACCCGACACGGAGCATGCCTGTATCTTCGTCATTTATGCCTCAGCCCTTGATAAGCCAATATCCTTTTCCGTTGAAGGGGAAGATGGGACAGAGGACCTTCAATTGGGACCTCAATTTTCTCCGCATGTGGGCGTTGAGATATCATTCAAAAAAGGGTCGGCAAAGCCTGAGGTGCATTACGTCGAAGATTATACCGGAATTGAACCGTCTGACCAGTTTCAGAGCAACCTGGAAACTCAACTGCGTATCGCATCAGTGTTATTCTGGAAATACTCAACCATTGCACTCTCGCAGGCCGCATATGTTGCGCAAGCAACATCACAAACTAAATCTCAGGCGTTTCTAAATCTCCAAGCCGCATCCATTGGTCAACAACTAGCCGCAAAAGAAGTTACTGGGCCTGACATGAGCTATGCACCCGTTTTAAGCTTCGACTTGTACTACAAAACAACAGAAGCTCTGATAAATGCCGCGGACGGGTTCGAGCAGCAATACCAACTTGTTCAGAATAAGGCAGAAGAAATTGAAGACCGCCTGAAGGCGTGGGATTTGGCCGCTAAACATGCGGAAAACGTAGCAGATATGCGTCGCACGTTTGTGCAGGCAGCGCTAGAGAAATACAATCAATCTGCAAAGATTGTCGATACTCTCAAAGGACAATTCGAAGATGACAAGTTTACCCTCCGTAATGCGAGATCAGCCTTTGTTCTTGGAATTGAAGAGTGGAAAGATGCGATGAAATTCAAAGCGGCCTTTGCGTTAATCACGGCGGTTATCGGTAGGTGGCTGCCCCTCTTTTTCGGACAGTGCTAGCTTGTTTGACTGAAGAAATGGCTAACATGTATTAGATTTTGCTGTAGCCATTGGAACGATATGTAGCGGAGCCGGTTCACCAGCAGGTGATGTGAAAAAAACAGTCGAAGCTGTTGAAGAAGCTGAAAAAGACATAAAAGCCGTTGGCAGCTTGCTGAAATCCAATACCCTCAAAGACCTGTTCAAAGCCTTGGGCCCGATATTTAAACTATTTCCCACCGTCAAAACGGCAATAACTTCAATTGAAGAGCTCATCAAGAACCCAAAAGCTGGCGTCGACGAGATTAGTGATGTCATCGGAGGAGCCGCAGATGCATCGGCTATCATTTCTTTGGGAGCGTGGGACAAATGGACGCTTGAATCCGACGCACAGCTAGCTTTTGCTGTGGAACAGGATATTAAGGGTGCAGCAGCATACCGGCTAGAACTTCGAAAGCACGCCGTTAATGGGAAGCAGCTCGTTCAAGCTCAGGCGGAGACCATTAAAGCCGGCCAGGAGTATATTCATTTACAACTTGAGTTGAATCTTTGTAAACGCGATATTGAGGATCTGAAAAAGTTCCGAGAGGAATTTGAGAAGAAAAAGGCGCTCGAAGAGGAAGCTATGGCCAAATTTTATGACCGATTCATGTCCATACGGACTAGCATTACACTGGTCATGCGCAGTCTCATGTGGGCCTACAAGTATGCGGCATTGGGGAACAGCTCTGTCGAGCTAGATTGCCTCAAGGATACTAACGAATACAAGACTGATCTTGCTACGCTCCAGCTAGAACTTACTCGCTATAAAGAAAAGTACCCGGGGGGCTTTGAAAGTAAGTTCCTACTTACAAGGTTGAATTTCTACCTTAGAAAGAGACATAGACTAACAATTAGATTCTAGAACTGACACCCATATCTAAAGCTACTGTGGATGTGAGTCCTAGTATATTGAGATTCCAACAACAATACCTCATGGCTACTAATATAAGTCAAATCTTAGCTTCCTCCGCCTTTTTCAGCGCAGATTGTCGCGTCACTGAAAACCGCACCGTATTCCGCTAGTTTCACTCTGGCACCATGCAAATCTGATACCCCTGAAAGTCAGAGTCTCGCTGGGCCGTTCGACGATGCATCTCACTTCAGAATTACTGGCCTCCATGTTTTCCTCGTTGGGGCTAAGCCCAAGGTAATCAGCATGGGAGATAATCACTCGCAGTACGAGCTTCGTATCTCAACTTCCGGTGTATACGCCGATATTGAAAACGACAAGATATTCCAATTCACTAGCCCTCCTCTACTCAATAAGCCGTTCGACTATAGTGACGCTCCGGGGGGGAGGTATCATATCGAAAGGGACTCGATTGTAGAGTCAGATGAATATAGCCAACCCACCCCATTTACTAAGTGGACAATCACGATAAAGAACCCGGACTCACTGGATTTAACCGGACTGACCGACGTTCGCTTGGAATGGAGTGCTAAGGCATACACACAATCTGCCGCGAAATAAGCCGACGACTCGCATTCGTGGAAATTTCGGGTTCCCCTCATTCATTGACAAGTTGATTTTCATCTCTAATAACAAGCAATTTACTTAAGTATTAGTTGAATAAATAAAAATTCCTAGATGCCGATCTTATTAAGCAAGAATGCTAAGATTTAGTTGTTTGTCCTAAACAGGGTATTCGTGAGATAACTAGTAGGTACGTCGTCTGGTCCAATTTGCCATCCATGACTTGAAGCTAGTATGCATCTCCCCGCATTACTTGTTATGAGCGGGGTGATGCAGTCGCTTGGATACCCCGCTCTTATTTGAAATTGGCCTACAGCTGAAGCATCCCTAACCTCTACTGTCGTGGAAGGTTCCCAAGGTATCGAATATAAAGTTATTGCCAGAAAACCTTAAGCCTCGGCGATGTTAAGCTTTGCGCTAGTTGCGGGAAGCTCCACACTGCTTATTTTTGCGACGACATTGGCAACCCACCCACACGCGCATCCAGCTGCGTAAACCACAATGCAGACATATGGTGAGGCTGGCTGAATGACCTCATGGAGCTAACAAATAGCATCTAACCTTTGCCCTATTTAGTCTAGAACTGCATATACAGCCTCGTATTCCACTACTCACGGCGTCCTAGGAGCCATTTGCCTCGTCAACTCAATTGCAAAAATGAGCAAGTAACACATCTTATAGGAAATAAAGTTAACACTATCGGAAGCTGAGCAAACACCGCACTTATTTCGGTTAATTCATAATTCCAACTACATTCGGATTTGTTAGTAAGGCGAACAAACATTGGAATTGGTCAAAGATAATATCCACTGGAGGCATCCGATAGGAGTGCTTTTTCAGCAGTCTATATATAGACTAGTAACTCTATACCCATGGTGGGTTGGGCATCTTAACATATCAATCTTTTAGTATCCAAACTGTAAATGAGTTCTGTGGATTGCAGCTTCATAGATCAACCTAATTTTAGATATTGACAAAATGAGTAATGGTGGAGAGTGGAGAGTGGGGGAATCCCCAGAAAACACCATTGTAACTATGGCCCGCCAAGTCCTCTATTATCTTTTACTGATCAAGACCTATAGGAATATATGTGACGTTTTTGCCCCTCTTTTACTCTTCAGGATAAATATGGGCTAACTACCTGATGTTCCTCTATCCGATTCTCCCATGACAGACGCATTTCTTCAATTTTACAAGCAGTTAGATCCTGTCCTGTGAATTAATTGGCTTTCAATCTATAACCATGGCACCTAACGATATTTTAAGTGGCATGTGGTTCCCTAGTGATAACTTCAAACAGAAAGTTACTGGAAAGCTCACGGTGGACGGCGTGGAAAAGCCGGTAACCAAGGACGTCCTCCTTCTTTCGCACCCTGATGTCATCAACCTGATGAAATATGTTTGGGCTGGCAGTTTCCTTCCTACCTCACAGCAGGAATATGGTGAACGTATGCAAATCGATCTTAAAACGCTCCCAAAAAAGATTAGCACTGAGATGGACAAGCTGGTTGGGGAGTATTCAAAAGTATGTCTCTGGGATTTTTTAGATTACACACTCACTAACAGTAGACGATTAGATCAAAAAAGATAACTCTACATTCCGTGATACCACTTGGAGAGGGATAAACAATTTATCAGATGACATTGTCAATTACGCCAAGCTTGCTGGGGGTGACATGAAAAGCTCCTTTTATGCTAACCTTGTTCAGGCAATTGGCGACTACTTTTTAGCCAAGGAGAAGGGGGATAAAGGGGCGATGGCCGAAGCAAAAGAGTCCGTCGTCCAATTTGCCGAAAAGCTGCTTGCGGCGGTCGGCGACCTTGCACAACGGGCTCGAAAAGTTCGCGATGAAATTGACGACTTCAAGAACGTTACGACGAGCCACCAAGTGAGTTTGACTACAACCCAGGTATCCATCAAGTCTTTGCTCGAAGGGGAAAAGGGGGAGATCCAAAAGTTGGAGAAGGATATCAAGGAACAACAGGACATTTTGAGGAAGGAGAACGACGAGCTAGAGCACGGTACGTTAGAGCATCAAACTGGCGAGGCTGCAAGACATTGACTCGGGGTTTGCATAGATAAACTTGTTGCAGAGACCACACCGTCATATGCGTGGTGGTGAGTGCCCTTCTTCTATTTGCACACTAGGTCGAGCTTCCAGCTAATGCATTCAGTGGGGTCTTTGGATTCATTGCGGCTGTTTCCGTGGCTAGTGTTTATGGGATGAAGATCAAACAAATGAAGGATGCCATTGATGAAACCGAAAAAAATATCAAAACAGACCAGGAAGAGCTGCTCACTTGCCGTACGATTAACGCTGACGCCCAACGAATGACGGTAAGACTATGAATATCTGAAATAGGCGAAGTACATAGACTGATTTACTGCGTTTGAAGGAGGATCTTAACAAGTTTCTGCCCTTATTCGCGCCTGCCATCAAAACACTCGAGATTCTAGAAGGTATCTGGCAGAAGATAGGGGGTGATCTCAAAGGAATTCATGATCTTTTCAAAGTTCCTGGCGAAGTCCCAACCGTCAGGGTCGAGCAGGTCGAGTTACAAAACATGATGGATCGCTGGAATGAGATGGAAAAATATGGTATGTGCCATATTCCCAGTCTTTACATGCGGTTAACCCTCCTCTAACGAGCACTTTACAGTGGATGAATATCGCCAGAAGGTGCACCTCAGTGACCCAGAGATCATGACTCTTGAGCAGTGGAAAAAGGCAATCGAGAAAAAACCTTAGTACCGATGGTCATGGATATTTCATTTGGCACTCTACACTTCGTGAACTGCAACACGAAACAGAGGACCATATTTTCGGGACATTAGTTAATAATCTCAAAAGATACTGTGCATTTGACCTGATATTCTCCCCTTTTGGTATTTCAAGGATGATGAGCCACTAAAGACAGTAATATTTAAGTATATGATCTAGATGTGGAATCGAATAGATGCCCTAGTCTAGGCAATATCAACAATGGCTAGTCCTAAGGGCTTTCGATATATAGCTATTCAAATCAAACAAAGAGGAATACCTAATTGATAGCATTTGCAATGCTTTTCCTTTCGTATCTTAGAATAAAAGTGGTCAGCCTTTGGATCCGTTATTAGCTATTTAATTACTCTTGAAAACTCATGTAACCTAATATTTCATTTTGAAATCGTGCTGCAGGGTTAAGATAAGCCTCTTCCTCCTTCGATGCAGAAAAAAGAGGCGCCGTTTTAGCTCTAAACAAGGCGTTGGGGTTCATATAAATAGGCACCAACTTTCCTCTCTCGGGCCACCTGACGACTCAAATACTCTTCGAATCCCTCTCGCTCGAAGGTAGCAAATAAATATTTTGGGTGCACGCAATGGTCTGGGTGTCTTTCTACCCAAAATCAAACGATGTGGTTGATACGGCTTTGATATCGCCAACCTGAATGGGCTGCCGGAGATAGGCAACAAGATCAGATTCTGTCCAAGCTCGATCGGTGTTGTCGTAGTTTCGGTTCCCAGGAACTAGCCCAAAATTGAAGATCTGCAACGCGCCATTCAACATCAACGCACCTGTTGTGCCTTTGGAATGGCTAGTAAAATACTTCTGGATAATAGCAGATTATTTTTGTCATTCAGGATAGTGGACGTGCCATGAAAGCAGACAACATCAAGGTCATCGACAGATAGACCCTATGTGCCTAAGTATCAGCAATAGGGACACCCTTTTAACGTACATAGTGTCACGGCCATAACTAAAGCTTTCCCAGCCGGCCCGGACCAAGATATTTCTACGGATCTTAGGCTCAGTAACCTTTCTCGCCCTAAGGTCCTGCAATCCACCTAGCCGAATCCCTTTTATGTTCTCCAATATTGTTGAAGGTGTCTGGGCCTGATCTTGGGTAACTTCAAGCCGCCGTCGTTAAAGCTCTCCCATAGTTTCAGCAACACAGACGCCAGAAAATGCGCAAACTATAATACAAAATACTCCAAGTTAACATTGACTATTTCCATATTTGATACTGGGGGCTCACCAACAAAGTTACTTGCAAGAGCAATAGCCGCAACCCCGAGTTGCCCTTATAATACCCAAAGGGCAAGCGCAATGATGTCAATATGACTATCCCATAGCTCGTGGAGATATCTTAACACCGAGCTGATACGCTCAATATCCACACTCATTAGAGTGAGCGCTGCTCAATTGCGTGCGTCTGAGACATCCACCATATAGTTTGAGCAGAGCATGAACTGCATCTAGCCGTAGAGAGAACTCCATGGAAATTGCTAGCACGATGGAAGGTCGCGATGATCGATTAGGCTGCCAATACCGAAGAACGATGATGGAAATATAGGTTCCTGCGATAATAGAGACGGTCGCAAAGGTTGTGTGGGTCTTTGATACAAGCCCTGGCGCAAGAGCGAGAAGAAAAAGCGCAGTCTTAACGCATGTAGAAATAAGATGCGCAACCTAAGGAGGTAGAATAAAGCAAAAGCGAAGCAGACATGGCTCGTTAGCCATAAAATTCCGTGTGTTTGTATAGACTTATCCACTAATTTCGAGTAGAAAAGGGGTCCTGTCACTGAATATCTCGGCTGCTTAGATAGGCGAGATAGCTGTACTGGCAGGGAGAGCAAGACGAGACCGCAAACTCCAATGAGGGAAAAGGATTCCTCGAACAGTTGAGTAAAATTGAACCGATTATGAAATTATGGTGCCGCCGTGTGGCCAAACACGTCCCCAACAGCAATAGAGCACATTTGAAATCAGTAATCATGGCACTACGAGGCCATGTTTCCGCTTTCGATTTTCTTTTTCGTCCTTTACGTGATGCGGACAGGGGGGAAAAATTCAACAGCGGCAGGCGTGTTCAGACGTCAGTCTCTCTGCGGGAGGACTCCATCTCATGCATCTTAATTGGTTACTATGACCGATATGTCGGCCATAGTAGCGTTGATAAAACATTGTCGAACTGGGGTATGGAGCATCGCGGGTGGCAGAGCGGAAAACAAACAGTCGGGGATCAATCGCCATAGGCTTCTAGCTAGTAGACGTAACACACCCGTGCAGGTCGGTAACGAATAGACTAGATGTAAACAGAACGCACAAGACGGGAGGCTGAGCCAGATAGCTCTGGTAGGCTCAATGGTTGGTGGTTGAAGACAAAAGCCCGACATCAAAGAGTCGCGTCCCGTGACCCGCACTTCCATCTCAACGTCAATGTCAACATCAAGGTCAAGGTCGACGCAATATCCAACATGAAACCTCAAGGAAGCTCCGCCAGGACGCAGGAACCCTACGGACATGCGTACTCGTGGGAAGGATATGGAGCCAGTTGGTCTACCGGATCTATTTATATGGCAGATACATACGTCTGCCCCTGTCCGTCCTGCGCCCCAATCACCGGCATTTAAGCAGGGTTCGCATGTTAGCATGCAGATGAAATCACAGCGGATTCAAGGGGAACTCCAGGAGATGATGGACAATCAATAGAAGATGGCTAGCGATTGCTGTCGTACGCATGAAAGGCCATATATCTTCCAAACCGCACTCCTTTCCGTCGATATAGCAGAACGACTGTCTTTTCTGCCTTCTTTTGCCATTTAGTTACTGTCATTCTTTTATACCAGCCCCTCCAGGGCCAATTTCACTCGCTTGTTCATTGCGATTGACAGCACCGTTATCAAGTTTACTTGTTGCTCTTTGTGCTTCCCTATACTTCGATCATAGATACGGCAATCCAGGTGAAACAAGGGAAAAGATCGATAAGGGAGACTTGAACCATTCAAAACGACTATAGCCCATTGGAAAGAATGTGGACGGCTGTGCCGCTACTCTTGCTCCTGACGTCCGCCGTTAGTGCCCTCGCCACACCGGCAAAAACCGTACCACCACAAGTGGTTGCGCACTTCGCTATAGAGACCCCAACTCCAACGACTACAACGCCAGTCCGTGAAATACGCCGTGAATTCTCGATCTCTATTCCTCCAGTTTCCATACCTCCGGTGTCTATACCTCCAGTCTCTATCCCAAGCAGAACGAAATATTCGCATGTGAACACATGCACGCCGACGATCGCCCCCGACAAGAACGGCTGGGTACCACCATCAGAATGCAATTCACTCTACAACTATTACCCTTCATTTGCCGCCGCAATTGCATTTGCTGTCCTGTTTGGTGTGATAATGGTGACACATTTTGTCCAGGCTACTATTTATAAAGCTGGATTCGTCTGGGTTGTCCTGATGGGAGCTACTTGGGAATGTGCGGGATTCGTGACACGGTCGCTTGGTACACGCGACCAGCAGAGCTCTGGGTTGGCAATAACATCCCAATTGGCGGTTCTACTCTCTCCGTTATGTATAGTCCTCCGTCCTCAAGGATCCCTTTATGCTACAAGACATTCTCTGACCACCATCATACAATAGGGGTTAATGCCTTTGACTATATGGTCCTTGCCCGCATGATTCATTTCTTCCTTCCAAGTCGGTCTATTGGTATCTTCAAGCCAGCCCTACTGGCGAAAATTTTTGTGGTTCTGGATTTTGGGGCCTTCGTCATTCAGCTTGTCGGTGGCGGCATGGCCGGTCCTGGCCAAAACCCTGAGGCAGCTATGAGAGGCATCCATATCTATATGGGCGGTATTGGGATCCAGGAATTTTTCATCCTTCTTTTCCTCGTCCTTGCCATCCAGTTCCATCGCCAAATGCTCCACCTCGAGCGTACTAGAAGGTTGTCAGGCATGAAACTGAAGTGGAGACCTCTCCTGTACTCGCTATACATCAGTCTTCTCTTCATCACTATTCGTATCGTTTACCGGCTAGTGGAATTCTCATCTGGACATACTGCATCCAACCCTATTCCATACCACGAATGGTATATGTACGTTTTTGACGCAGCGCCAATGTTGGTGGCTATCGGGGTCTGGAATATCGTCCACCCAGGGAAGATCCTTCAGGGTCCTGAAGCTAAGATGCCTTCTAGCGGCATTGGCAAGCTTTTTTGTTGCGCATGTTGCACCTGCTGTGGCAGGCGCAAGTCTACGAATATGCAAAAAATACTCAGCTCAGAGCCAGCAGCTGGGGATGAGATGCTGCCGTTTCGTCGTGCGGCGGCTCCTTTGCCATACCGATAGTATTTCTTCATTCCGTACGGTATGTATCCGAACAGATATATTTTTTTTGGGCTTCCCCTTTCCGAAGTCTACACCAATTGGTTCCTTCCGAACCTATTTTGACCCGGCCCTAAGCATTGGGTGTAGCTAGTGAGTTAAATTTTGTGACTAAATATCTGTCCTCCTATCGGACCTCCTCTTTTGACAAACCCTCGAGGCAATAAAAGGTCGTCTAAGTTTCGTTTTCGGTATTTTGTATTATACTCCAGCAAGCCTAACCAGCATGATAATATGATAATTTGATTTCTGCGTATTAACATATATTGGAAAGATATGAGTTTTTTCCATGGTCCGCCATAACTACCTTAGCGCTAAATAAGGAATTGTTATTCGCCTATTCCATAATTTAGTCACTTCATATTTACACCATGGTAAGTCGTGTCTTTTCATTCTGACAGTACCCTATATACAGAGTATATATATAAGAATCAATCATGCTTCCAGCTGGACGAGCCGCGCGTATGCAATCTCAATGCTACAATTGTCTCTTTACTCTTACATCTAGCTCGCAGCACCTCCTCTACCCCAAACTACCGCGGCAACTTGTCTCTACTCCAGTTTTCGCGTCGAAACGATATCACTCGACAGTGATAGCTGAACGTGACCTGTTCACATATACGTCTGGGCGTTATCTTTATAATGAAAAAATTCGACTTGCCTAAAGATACGTCGAGTTCGATGTGGATGCATTGAAAGTCATTGCTGCAAAGGCGGTTGACCGCCAGTCGACCATAAGTATCAAAAAGCTGGCAGAAGGAGGGTTCAATAGAGTGTTCATTCTTACTATGGATGATGGATTTGAAGTCATTGTGAAAATCCCATATTTATTAACCGTCCCGCAAAAACTCACCACCGAAAGCGAGGTTGCAACTTTGGACTTCTTACGCGAAACTGGCATCCCTGTTCCTAAGGTATACTCCTGGTCATCGGACAAGGAGAATGACGTTGGTACCGAGTATATCATCATGGAAAAGGCTACGGGGAAGCCCTTGACGGATCGCTGGTTTGATTTAACGCCTAAGGAGAGGTTGAAGCTAGTGACCAGCTACGTTGATATTGAGAAGAAGCTGTTCTCCTTTCCCTTTGGCGCCCACGGAAGCCTGTACTACAAAGATGCGTTGACGCAAAATCTCAAAGCTAGGTTATACCCTCCCAGTGAATCAGAGAATGATAGCCGCTTCTGTATTGGGCCTATTACGGATTACATGTTTTGGCGTGGCCGACGTGCTGGATTTGATTTAGATCGAGGGCCTTGTCAGTATTCCTCATAGAAAATTTGGTCCTAACAAACTAACTATGCATAGGGAGAGATCACTGTCAATACTTGCAAAGTATTGGTCGGCGGGAGCTAGAATGGACAGAAAAATTTGGGAAACCCATGATGAATGATTTCCCTCACAATGCACTCGAGGGCATGCCAATGGAGATCCCACACGATATCTACATCGATTTGCTCAAAAAATATCTCTCGTTGGCACCTTATATATTGCCGGAGGATCCTGCAGACCCCGTAAATAAGCCAACATTGCGACACCCAGGTATACTACGCCATATTATTTCAATTGTATTGCTCATAGCTAACGCCAACCGAGGTAGACCTTAACCCAAGCAACATATTTGTTTCTGAAGAAGGCGAGATATCTTGTCTTATTGATTGGCAATACAGTACGATCCTCCCACTCCTCCTAGTGGCAGGAAATCCATCGATGTTTGACAATCCTGACTCCGAGCCTCCAAAAAATTTCGAGCAACCATCTCTACCACCAGACTATGACACCTTGGACGCAGAAGGAAAATCACACGCCGATGATCTTCATCGACGAAGGATGTTGTTCTGGCTATATATGGTCTTCAACGGAAGGGACAACAAGCCTCATCTTAAGGCAATCCAGTATCCGATGCTAATGCCACGCCAGCATCTAGCCGAGAGAGCAGGGCTTCAATGGACAGGAAACTTCATCACCTTAAAAGGCGCAATCCTCAGGGTCATTCTCAACTGGGACATGATTCTAGGGAAACGGGCTGGAACCGTCAAGTGTCCTGCCCGCTTTAGCAAGGAGGAGGAGGAACAGTTTTATGCGCTAGAAGAGCAGTGGTTCCAATTCAACATTTTAACCGAGCACTGGCACTCGAATCTAGACGATCTAGGCCAGGACGGGTGGGTTAGAAATGAATCGTACGATAAAGTTGTCGCCTTGAACAATGAATATAAGGAGGAATGGCTGGCTAGGGGAGAGGATGACGATGACCGACTCCTGGTTGAGAAGGGTTGGCCGTTCCAAGACCACGAGGAGGCGGACTAAAAGCAAGGCTCAACGGATAGTGACCATGTAAAGGAGATCCAACGGCCGGGTAGAGATAAACACACACCCCCCAGGGCTAAATGTACACCCTTTCTCAACGCTAAGCCTATTTAAGTAACCACTATACCTGATTAGGAAATAAAATGGTTAAATCTACACCCCTGCTTAGTCATAGAAAATATCTCTTAGGCGTGTTTGGATATCCTATATGTTTACCAGCAAATATCAAGCAAATATCAAGCAAATATCCAGCCAAATATCAGGCCAATATCAGGCCAATATCAAGCTAATATCAAGCTAATATCAAGCTAGTATCAGGCCTATTTTTCAGCTGTTTAACAGCACTTTTTGGGCTCGTTCTGGAGCTTATTTACCTACTTGTTCGCCTGTTTATTCGCCTGTTTGTTCGCCTGTTTGTTTATCTACACCACGGCCAGCACCGCCCCTACCGCGGCCCCTCCCAGGGGCCCTTATATTTGCTGCGTTACGTGGTGGCAGCGCCGGTGTTGGTGATGAGTATGAAATATCTACATAGAGTACGGAATAAATATTTGACGAGGTTGATGACTAAGTAGGGGTGTTCATTTAACCATTTTATTTCCTAATCAGGTATAGTGGTTACTTAAATAGGCTTAGCGCCTCCAAGGGGTGTTCATTAGCCCTGGGGGGGGTGTGTATTTATCACTACCCCCAACGGCCTTTGCAGTGGATGATACATCACCGAGAACTCTCGACACTGGGGCTTTAGCTCTGCCTAGAGGTATCCAATCAACAGGATGAAGCATCACATTGTTGTGGCGCGGTGTCTCCTCACTCGTGGTATCATCCGGTAACTCCATTCCTCAGGTCCAGTATCCTGTAATAATCAATATATGATACATACACAGGGTCTTATTCGCGGCTTTTGTTGCTATTGGTATATTGTTGTTGTTGTTGCTGTTGCTGTTGTTTTCTTGTCGATGTTGTTGTTGTTGTTGGAAGGCTGAGAATTGCTTATATAATCACAGTTATAGCCGAACTTTATCCGAGCAGCCCGCAGTTGAACCTCGGCAAATCTTGGAGTTGGCTACGCAACATCTGCATATACCAGCTTGATTTATACAACACAGCCTCTCAATCTTCTATATTGCACTACATTAGAGGGGGTATTTATGCTCATATGTTGTCCAGTTTAAGCCAACAAGAGTCTTTGAATTCTTCTAACTCTCATAATGCCTGCTGGAAAACGATACCGTGTTAATTCGCCTGCAATGCTCTAAACGTGGGGTGACGACATAACTACTCCGTACTCCACGTTGAAAAGGAATGAACGCTTGTGATTACAAACCACCTGTCAGGTTAATACATCTTGGTTAATAGCTTCCCGGTATCGATCCTCAAACCAATTGACCTTGTGTCGAAAACAAAGTCTTGATTTCGAGCAGTTTACCACTCGCCAAGGTAACTAAGGCTAATAATTAAACCCCAGCGTTGAGAGGCACCCAATTCCCGCTGGTATTAACCGAGCTGAATTGTAGATACGCCTTAACTACGTCGATCTTATTTACTAACATTGCTTAATAGGAATCAAGCTCAGCGATCAGGAGCCATTATATCCCTATATCATAGGGTCTATACGTTGTGCCGTGATTGAGAATAATAGATTTCTTCTCGGATTTCAGCAACCATGCATGCAATCACCATTACGAGTCTGGACGGCAAGTTTGAAAAGCCTGGTCAAGTCTATTATCCACTGTCGCTCCGTTCTGTACCAGTACCTTCACCCAAGGGGAGTGAGCTGCTCATCAAACTCACCGCAGCTTCACTGAACCACCGTGACCTCTTTCTCCGTCAACATCTTTACCCAGGGGTATGCTTTGAAACCCCCCTATTGAGCGACGGGGTCGGATCCGTGATTTCTACGGGGCCGGATGTGCCCCATGCTCAATCCTGGATGGACAAACGGGTCATCTTGAACCCGGCAACGGGCTGGAAGGATGCACCCGATGCGCCTGAGCCACCTGGTGAATTCAAGATAATGGGCGGCACCAGTTTCTATAACAAAGGAACGTTGCAGGAATACATCACTCTAGATGTGAGCGAGGTTGAGGAGGCACCGAGGCATTTATCGGATGCTGAGGCAGCAGCGTTGCCATTGACCGGGCTAACGGCCTGGAGGGCTCTCGTGACCAAAGCCGGTGAAGCCAATTCTGGGCCCGGAGCTGCAGTCTTGATCACCGGTATTGGCGGAGGAGTCGCATTGATGGCATTGCGGTTTGCGGCGGCCAGGGGCGCGGATGTGTATGTTACAAGCTCCAGCGAGGAGAAAATTAAGCAGGCAGTCGAGCTGGGTGCTCGAGGCGGGGTGAACTATAAGGAGGCTGGATGGGAGAAGAAGCTGCTGGGTATGTTACCAAAGGGGAAGGCCAAATTCGACGCCATCATTGACGGCGCAGGAGGAGAGGTCGTTGAAAAAGGGGTGAAGCTGCTAAAGGTATGTTTGTGTCCACTTCTTCTACGGGTAGACTCCACACTATCATTCTGCCTTACCATAGCACGCATGTTTTCACGCCTTTTCTATATCATAATCTCGATATCATATATGCACCCCGAAAGTCTAATATCGTGGTCAACCGCGGAGTGGACATAGCACCAAAGCGCGTTGACCGTCCCCCTTCCCTGCTTCTGATAGGCAGGATATTACCTTCGTTTCTTAAGTGGCTCCATACGAGTTCCAATTAAGGCCCATCACTAACGTTTCACGGCCCCCTTTTAGGACGGTGGAATAATCTCCATTTACGGAATGACGGTTGGCCCCAAGATGTCATGGTTGATACAAGCAGTTCTTAAAAACATTGACCTCAGAGGTACAACGATGGGTTCACGAAAGGAGTTCAAGGATATGGTGGATTTCGTCAAGGAGAAGGAGATTAAACCGATCGTTTGGAAGGTGATTCAGGGACTTGACAACATCGAGGCCATTGATGGATTGTTCGATGATATGAAGAAGGGAAGCCAATTCGGTAAATTGGTGATCGAATTTGGCGATTCGAGCGGGAGTAAACTGTAAACAGGCCCCCGTGAAAAAAAAGGGGAATACTCCGTCTGGCGATAGGAAAAACGACAGCACCAGCCACAGCTATAACAGAGCAATTAATTAAACGATTGATTTCATTTCCACCTTTTCTTTTTCTCTCTCTCGGCCAGTGAGCTACACTGTTCTAGCCCCCCAGAAATCAGAAAAGCAAGCTGCAGGACGCGTTTGTTCCCGAGCGTGGAGAAAGCTCAGAAATGAAACGCATATCAAAGGACTTGTATAGGCCAGGGATAACTCTACCTTACCCCTAACGTTTTCCAAGCTTTTCCACATCCACCGCATAACCATCAACGCAACTCCGCATCGTCAGTGATAATCAATAATCTCCGAATAAACTAATTTACCAGTTTTTCCTCTTATTACGAGGAGCTAGAGCTGATTCTCGCAATATCAAACGGCTGATATACCGTCCGTGCGGCTAGTTAGGATATCCTAACTCGCCCGAACGAAGCCCGGCAACGCCTGTGCTGTGCCCACCAGACGTCCCTTTGGCCCGTATCTTTCATTTAATTTATGTCCATTGCTCAATGCACACTGTGGGAGGTAGATCATTGGACATCTGATACGCCGGAAGTAGATCTTGACAGGACGCGTCAAGCCAAGGCAGGGTTGCCCTGGGAAGATGAAAGGACGGAACCGCGAACTGCAGGAGAAGCAACGCCGGACAAGATCTGTGTAGATCCTAGAAGGGGAGGCCAGCCCACTGGAGCCGTTGCCATCTGTGAGAGCTTACGGCTCAAAGCTCGGCGGGCAGCGGCTTTCCGTTTGCTCCCCTGCCTCGTGCAGAAAAAACAAAAGCAGGAAGCCGACAAGCAGCCGATCTGGCGTCGAGATGAGATGTTCCCTAGATATTCTACGGACGGCAGCATGCAGAAAAGTATACACCAAGTATACACCAAGTGCGTACCGACGGGAAGGACGGTGACGCGAAAAGATGCAGCACATCGCGCGCCTTGAGATCCCAATTGAGCAAGCAAGAGAGCTAATGCGGGCATGATATGCAAAGCACATCGAGTATCCGTTTCCCCCAAGGTCAACTATTATGCACACACCCCCATTTAACCAAGGATACCACTTGGGACCCTGCAGATTGATCATAATCGCGCAGTTAAGCGAACGGAACGGGGTCACGACAGCATTGATTAATCACAAGGGCCACCTTGAGAGCCTTTGAAGCTGTCTCTCCCCCCGTCCGACAGCTCTCTCGCCCACGCCGGCCTTCTTATACTTGGCGTTAAGTAACGGAAATGGACAACGTCTGTTTCAGCACGACGCATGCTTCTGGCACTGATCTACTTGCAGGGTAAGGGTAGAGCCATGGACGTGGGAGGTGGACGTGGATGTGGACGTGGCCGCCAGCATGGAACAGAATTCTATGGCCCTTTCCAATCAGCCCTGGCGTAGGTGGTAAGTCTGGTAACCATGGAGGGAACAGGAAGGGTAAGGAGATCGCAGGGTGGTGTTGGGTGCTTTGAAGCTGAAACGCCAATTTCCAGAAGAACAAGGGGAATCCACAGGGTATGGAGAGGGAGGAGAAAGGATACGGCGAACAAATGCACGACTGGCTCGGAGGACATCGTGCGCTCCGGAGTACGGAGTATATGCTGAATGTGCATAGTATACCTACGGAGGATGGCTATGGCTACTTTGTATACACCGTATGCAACGGTAAAGGGGGGGGGAGGATGCGCTTACCTCGCCTGTTAGTCCGTTCTCCGTACGGAGTACATGAGTTGGGAGATCAGAACGGGATGATTAATCTTAATTGCAGATGGATGAAGGCTGAGTTGACAGGATGAGATCCGATCTGGGTTTCATCTTTATTCGGGAATACACTCTCTGCCGACCACGTTGATCGATAGGAACACCTTCAACCCTTGGAACCACTCATCCTCCAGCCAAGTCTACGGAAGTCAATAAATATAGAAAAGATGTCTGACCTTGCACCGCGGCAGTCCCAAATCCTCACTGACGATGAGTAGACGATTGGCCGATACAGCCGTTGAGAGACTCCATCTCAAAACCCACAGTGTCATCATAGGTCGTATCCTGCGCCTGTAGGGCAGAACGCAGGGCCCAAGACGTGGAAGTAGGAAGAAAAGAAAAAACCGTAAAATAAAACGCCAAAAATGCTACCTACTCCGGCGGTTCATGGGAGGGTTCCATCCGATATTTAAAGTTGGACCACCGAAAAAGGAGAAGGGGAGGGCGAGGTGGGTGAAGTGGCCGTCCATCCGCATCGCATCAGGGCTGTGCAAGTGTATATTTATGCTGTGGTGTGAAAGATTTTGCTGCGAGAGGAAGAGGCTATTAATAGAAACACAGCCTAAAAATAACCCCTTTCCTATTTTATATGCACCAAAGAGAAGAACGAGCTATCAGAACCCGCAACCGGAGAGGTGGGATAATTACCGTAATGATGGGTGTTTTCCTTGACAACGGCGAGTGTCTTCTCGGCTACTCTTGACCAGGCCAGGCAAAAGAGAAGAGAAGGGAAGAGAAGGGAAGAAGAAGGATGCAGGGCGTCGTTTATGTCAGCAGGCAGGGAGCTATGCTTCATCCTATGTATGAGATGCACGCATGTACGACGTCGACGCGATCACACTGTAACGGTCGGCCACCACCCTATGCTTGCTTCGATCATATATCCAGCCAGTACGGAGATAAACAGCGAGGCATGGTTCATCCTGCTGAATCCATCTTCACAAGTACCCTGTACCTCCCTACTCCTATACTCCTATACTCGTACCGTAATCGATGGCGTAGAGGCTGCGACTGGCGTGGGATAGCAGACGGTCAGACGGTCAGGCGTCCAGCCCGGTGATTCTTCTTTTGCTTCTGTGGCTGCAAGCAAGGTCGAAGATGGTGGATACAGCGCCATGCACGAAATGCTCCATGCACCAACAGACAGACCATGATATCCGGCAGGGATGGGGGAGCCACACACGCTGATCCCTGGAGCGACTCCTCCATCTCCATGGCTCCTGTCCACGTCCTGCTCCGGCTTCCGTGGCCCCGTAATCTCTTCTTCCCTCATCTTTTCATCTTATATCAAAGCACTTTTATAGAGCAAAAGAAGCGAAACGCCGGCGGTGTTACTAGCGTGCGACCATGCCCAATACGCATCCTTACAGCCAATACCTAAAATACCGGCGTGACGTGGGGATGCCGCCTGCTGATTGGCCGGCGGAGCTGCCTCATGTGACCTTCCTCTGTCCCTGTTGTCTGCCCTGCCCATACCATTCTTACCATCCTTACACACCAAAGACGCTCGTGTATCGTGTATGGCCTTGTACCGGACAGGGCATGTGTACGGCGGAGGACCCACTAATCGCCGCTTCGGGAAGGGGGCATGTCGCTTCGTGGACCCGCGCGCTAGTCCCCATCGGGCGTCGGCGGGGGAGCGAGCGCCGGTAAGTTTCGTATCTTTCGTCACGCTTGATACACGACCAAGGAAAAGCCTCGTCTTTCTTCTTCTTCCTCTCTTATCACACTTCATCTTCTCTCTTCTTCTACTTCTTCTACTTCTTCCCTCCTCTCTCTGCTCTCCTCTCTCTCCCCTCGCTTGATATCTTCTACCATCGTTTTTCCTTCGTTTACCCAGTTCTCCCTCCCAGATATAACAACCCTCCCCCCACACACTCGCTCTTCTCACGAAGTTACGCTCGCTTCCCGGTTGTCCTCGTCGTCCGTTGCCTTGTCCGGTTCTATCAACGTCCCGCGCCCTAATCAGTTTTCTTGCTCGTCATTGTTCATTGTTTTCTTCTTCGTCTGCTTTTGGGGACTGTTCTTTCGCTGTTCTCGTTGTTTTCCATCCCGTAATATCTCGCTGCTCGTTAATTATCCGCCGCATACTCCGATTTCCGCTCCCGGGTAGTCCTGCCTACCGTTCGATCGCTTCCCACCCGACGCTCCAAACCGAACAACGCCAGCACTCATCCACAAAAAATATATACTCCGGATATATATATATATTGTCTATATATAATTGCAAGCGAGAAGCAGACGGATTGGACCAGACTCAGCACCCCGGTCAATTACGTCGTTGCTACTAGGCAGATATCAGGCCACCCTCGGCTAATATATAAACGTCACCTCATCACCATCATCACCACCATCATCAACAACAACATCATCGACATCATCATCGAGGTCTCGCTGTTCGGAAGAGACCATATAGCCCAAACGAATTCCACAACGGTATTCATATGAAGAGCAGAATCTTTATCGGACAATCTATAATCAAGGTCAGCGCCAGACATATACGCCCGCCTTTGTTGCGTTCCCATCATCATTTTCATCTACTCAATGCATTATCCTTCCTGTCTGTGTCGTGTCGGAGTCTAACACATCCACAGATATCCTGATTCTCCTTCATCAGTGTGTGCAGCACTTGTTTAAAATTCATTGGAACGACAGTGGCTTTTTAAAAGCCATCTAGCTGTTTTCCTTTATTCTCTCGGTGGGTTTCCCTTGTCCATCCACTGCAACTAGCCGAGACCCTTTCCAAACCGCATCACTTTTTCCTCTCTCCTTCTTCCTTTTTTCCTTCTTCCTTTTTTCCGTCCCACAATTTATCAACGCATACTAACCGTGAAGCAGCTTAGTTTATTGCTTGATTTTCTTTCACGGCAGATTTGATCTACCGCTAGTTGCTGAGACAAGATCCCCAAGGCCCCGTTAATCAACGCCGAAAAAGAAACCAGACCTGGTCGCCTATTCGATCTCAACACTTGCCTTGTTCTGTGCCACTTTTCCGTCCTAGCCTGAACGAACCCACGAACTCCGGGTCCTGCCAATCCTCATTCGTTCACCTTTGATCGGAAATTTTTTAAATGATTTTTTAATTTTAAAAAATCACCCACGTCACTCGTTTATTGTCTCGGAGAACTGCGTATCTTCTTACCAGATACATCGTTCTTCAATCTGTTTTATTTTTTGAGATCTAGTCTCAGTCACTCGCTTTAAAACCAAAACCCTGTTCCCGCTGCATAATCTCTGCAATACCGCCAATCTGGCTTACTCAAAGACTCAGGGAGCTCCGGTATGTACCCCTTTCCTGATACTTTGGTTTTGGATATATCTGTGCATTTCCGACCTGCTTGAGTCGTGTCTTTTCTTTCATTCAGCTTTTGCCTCCTTACCTGCCTGCCTGCCTCTGCCTGAAGATTTCGGCTTCCAGTTTGACTAACTTCATCATTGTTACAGTTCGAGCTCCAGTCCCCATTGATCTTTGACGAGTCTCTTGACTTCTCTGATCCAGAGGAGTCTCGGTTCGCTGGGGCCTATTCGGACAGCCTGCTGGCTAAACCTGGTAATCTCCTGTCCATGTCTGCTCTCGACAAGGCTCAAAAGATTGATTACCTAGGTAAGTTCATCCTGAGCCTTTTTCTCTCCCCGTATGATTCTAACATTGTATAGACTCGGACGAGACTTCCAACGCGCTGCGTGAAACATCAACTCTGCTTGCGTGCCCACCAGGATCCTACGGAACTTCCATGTACAACCCAATGCTGGATGGTAGCTTCATTTCTGACGACGACAGTGCTCACTACATGTCGAACAGCGCCTATGCCGGTTCCCCATTCGACATCCGTCGCTCGCCCAGTCTGGAATCAAACTGCAACCCTGCTCCCGAAGTGACCTCCTTCTCGCCTTCCATTGGGTACGAAGGCACCAAGTTGACCATCTACGTTGAGTCATTTTACGATCTGCTCAACCCTCCTACCTGGACGTTCTCTGTCGTCTTTGGGTCCGCCCATTGCGACTGTACGATTACCTCATTGGGCCTGGAAGATTCCAAATTCCAATACGCGCTCACTGTCACCGTTCCAGCATTCGTATCCACTGCTTGTTCTGCACTTTGCGTCGCTCTCCAAGTCGTCCTCAACGACCAGGAATCGTCAACTCAGCATATTGCACGCATTGGTTCGTTCACATACGACCAGGAGGCAAGACAGATGTCTCCCCGCAAGAGAAGAATGTCTTCCGCTTCAGATGGCACTTCTGCTTCTGCCAACTCTAGCTCTGTGAAGCAGATGCGCATCAATGATGGTACCAAGGTCGAGCGCCTGTCTGCATCCCCTTACTCGCCTTATCTGCCAACGCCCAGCTCGATGGGTAGCTATTCCGGACAGTATCAACAGGTTCTCCCCGCGGGACAATACGAGCATCAAATTCAGCTCAGAGCCACTGCTCCCTCGCCGCTCGCTTCCTCCTGGAGCCCATGCGTTTCTAACGCGACCGCAACGTCTTGCAGTCCTCCCATGTCCGTGACTCCCATTGCTCAGGAACCCGAGATGAACCGCGCAAACCCAACTCTGGTCCGTACCTCGACCATCCAGCAGGCCCTCGCGGGTGCCCCAAGCCCGAATGCCCCATTCAACCCATACGCGATGTACCCAAGCAAAGCCGTGCTCAAGCTGAACGGCGACCTTGATGCGATGGCTCTCAACTGGAAGCCCGAGGAATGCGAAGCCCAACGCCGCCTGGTTCAATTCACTCGTCGTCAGGAAGGAAGCACTATCCACGCTGACTTCAAGCCCGTGGCTCCTGCTGACCGTGTCCCTAACAGCATCTGCATTAGCTGCATTCAATGGGCTGGCAAGAAGGAATGTTATGTCACCAGCGTTGACACAATCTACTTGCTTGAATCTCTCGTCGGCGTCCGCTTCACCGTGGAAGAGAAGAACCGTATCCGCCGCAACCTGGAAGGTTTCCGTCCCATGACCGTCTCAAAGGCTAAACCAGACAGCGAAGATTTCTTCAAGGTGATCATGGGTTTTCCAAATCCCAAACCACGCAACATCGAAAAGGACGTCAAGGTTTTCCCATGGAAGATCCTCACCCATGCCCTCAAGAAGATCATCGGGAAATATTCCGCCAGTTACTCGTCTACGGCCGCAGCGTTGCCTGCTCCCCTTCGATCCAACTACGCTGGTAGCCCTAACATGTCGAGTTCCGGTATTGTGGATGTTCGTTCCGGTTCGCCCGCGGGACACCAGGCTAACTCCATGGCCAATGCGCTCCCACCTCACACGGCCTCTCACTTGTCCTCGTCCAGCTATATGCCTGTCATGGTCACCAGTGCCGCATCGCACCCTAGCCTAACCGCCGCATATAGCTATTCCAGCCTCCCCCATCGACACATCCAGCCATCTCCCATCATCGTCCCTAGCCAGGCAACATTCGATTTCAGCGCATATGTTGGCCACAACCAAATGCCGACCTACCAAAGCTCCTAATCGCGCTACCAATCTCACCTCAACCTCGAGTTCATTAATTCGTCGATTCCGCTTCTCCTACTTTCCTCGTTCCTGCCTGCATAGCGAGTTCCTGCTCTATTTCCTCCTTGTTTTCGCTCTGCGCATTCCCTGTTCAGCATTTTTCGAGAGTTTGGGTCCCGTCAGTCACTCCTTACATACCCCGATGCCACCAGTTATTGAGCAGTTGTGTTGGTTGAAAAGCAACTGTCTACGAATTTCCTTCCGTCACTCCTTAACGACCTTTATCAGAAACAAGCGTGGTGTTGGTTGCATTTATCGTTGTTTATTTGATTTTTTGGTGGCTCCGCTTATAAGTCGAGTCCTGTAATATTGTGTTATTATTTCTTTCCTTTTCCGCGCTTTGCGTCTGCGCCCGTTGGTCATGTCTCTCCTTCATCCTCCTAATGACGCACCTAATCCTAATACTGTCCTTCCCTCACAACCTCACCACCACCGCCACAATCACACTAATACCGCTCCGCTCCGCCCACCTCGACATCTTCCTCTCACACCATCACCCCGACTCTCCTTACCACATTGTACAGACGTGCTTGTTTCTGCCTGAGGCCGCACAACATCACAGAACACACCAGCATTTTTTCCGCATCTTGCATAAAAAAGACTCCGAGTTGGGCTGGTTTCACTCCTTTTAGCATTGACTGTTAATGCGCTTTTTTTGCCAGCGTTGAATTATTATTCCGCATGGGTTACACTCCTTTTTTTGTTATCGGTTATAGAAAGAGCATTTGCATCGGATATGGGTACGGGACTACAGAACTGGTTCTAACTGTCGTCTGTTTTTTTGTTTTCTGCTTTTTTTTCCCTCGCGTGTTTAAAAAAGGGAATTTGCGTTTTGTTTTGCTTTGCTTTCTACTTGCGTTGTTTCTAATAATTTATTTTTGCCTATTTTGAGCTTGCTAGCAGAATTGTAATCTTCTTGGATTTTTTGTTCGTTTACTTACTTTTTGGTCGCCTTCTGCGAGCCTGCTGGGATGGAAGAAATTGGAGTTCAATTTTAATAACATATACTACTTCGCTACCAACATGATTCTCTCCGTACTTCTTGTACTCTGTACAAACTTGATATATCGACGACAACCGACAACCGACATTCCCCGTATACATGGCTGGGATGTTCTATAAATACACGGACCGACTTCGGCTCTTCTGGTCTGGTCTACGTGGGGCGAATCTTAATTCTATCGGCGGAAAACTTTTGAGGCAACAAAACGGCCACTGAGTCACCCCCAAGTTTCCATGCTGAGGCCAAACGGGCTTTGTTCGACTATCATTTCTGGCTCAAGCGAAGCTCGCACGCCCGTATACGCAGCAGCATCTTCCCTGTCAATTGATGCCACCTCGTATCGCAAGGTCCTATCCAGTCGTTGACTTAATTTTGGCACCTGCTGCCCCACTACAGCTAAGTGCGCTGGTCTCGCCAGGCGTGCATACATATCTGCCACTCCGTCAGCTGAACCGGTGGCTGCTTATTTCCTTGCAACAACCTACAACACCAGACAGAAAGGATAGTTCTCGCGATTGAGAAGCTGGTATATTCGCAATGGAGCAGATAAAGCAGACGTTCGCAAAATGCAAGGAGGAGAAAAGGTCTGCGCTCGTGGCGTATGTCACCGCGGGGTACCCGGAGGCCAGCGAGACGGTTGATATCATTCTTGGGATGGAAGAGGGTGGTGCAGGTGAGTTGTTTTCGTTGTATGGGTGGGATGAGATAGAATTGTGCCTAATACTCCTTCACAGACATAATTGAGCTTGGAGTCCCCTTCACAGACCCCATTGCCGATGGCCCTACCATTCAACGAGCAAACACTCAGGCCCTCAAGAATGGCGTCACAGTCACATCTGTCCTTGAGATGGTTAGAACCGCCAGACGAAAGGGCCTCAAATCCCCCGTGCTGATGATGGGTTACTACAACCCTTTGCTACAATATGGTGAAGAGAGGATGTTGAAGGATGCCAAAGCTGCAGGTGTGAATGGCTTCATTATGGTTGACTTGCCACCAGAAGAAGCCGTCAGGTTCAGAGACTTGTGCAAGAAGGAAGGGTGAGTGAAATCTCAAGCGGATACTTTCGCTCTCGAGTCATAGAATAGACGCTAATTTTGCAACTTTGAAAGATTATCCTATGTTCCGCTGATTGCACCAGCTACTTCAGAGGCTCGTATGAAGCTACTTTGCGGAATCGCTGACTCCTTCATCTATGTTGTGTCAAGAATGGGCGTCACTGGCGCCACTGGTACTTTGAGTACCGGGTTACCAGAGCTCCTGAAGCGAGTACACTCATACTCCGGAAACGTCCCCGCGGCTCTAGGCTTCGGTGTTAGCACAAGAGAACATTTCTTGGAAGTTCAGGGTATCGCTGAGGGCGTCGTTATTGGTAGTCAGATGGTCACTGTCCTCGGTGAAGCGGCTCCAGGAGAGCGTGCTCAGAAGATCAAAGAATACTGCTCAAGCATTACTGGCCGAACTGTTGAACGAGGCCCTGTTCCTGAGTCATCTGCTGAAGCACCCGGTTTGGTAGATCAGCTCGAGGCTCTCAATGTCACCAAGAACCCTGCTGCTATTCCGGCACAATTCGGAGAATTCGGAGGGCAGTTCGTTCCTGAATCGTTGATGGACTGTCTCGCCGAACTCGAGGCTGGATTCAACGAGGCCAACAAGGACCCCAAGTTCTGGGAAGAGTTCCGCTCGTATTACCCATACATGAGTCGTCCAAGCAGTCTGCATCTCGCAGAGCGCTTGACTGAACATGCCGGCGGAGCTAACATCTACCTCAAGCGAGAGGACCTTAACCACACTGGCAGTCACAAGATTAACAATGCCTTGGGTCAAGTCCTCCTTGCACGCCGCCTTGGAAAGAAGCGAATCATCGCTGAAACTGGAGCCGGACAGCACGGTGTCGCTACCGCTACTGTCTGTGCCAAATTCGGCATGGAGTGTGTCATTTACATGGGTGCAGAGGATGTTCGCCGTCAAGCCCTTAATGTGTTTAGGATAAAACTCCTCGGCGCATCAGTCATTCCTGTTGAAGCTGGATCGCGCACTCTCCGCGATGCAGTCAACGAAGCTCTGCGCGCTTGGGTCGTCCATCTCGACACGACTCACTATGTCATCGGTTCTGCCATCGGAGCTCACCCATTCCCAACCATCGTCCGAACTTTCCAATCCGTCATCGGTGAGGAAACAAAGGCCCAGATGAAGGAACTCACTGGCCGTTTGCCAGATGCCGTCGTCGCCTGTGTCGGCGGTGGAAGCAATGCGGTTGGCATGTTCTACCCCTTCTCCAATGATCCGAGCGTCAAGCTCCTCGGTGTTGAGGCTGGTGGTGACGGCATTGACACCCAGCGCCACTCCGCTACCCTTACTGGTGGATCAAAGGGTGTGCTTCACGGAGTCCGAACATATGTTCTCCAAAATGAACATGGCCAGATCTCCGATACTCACTCCATCTCTGCCGGATTGGATTATCCCGGCGTTGGTCCCGAGTTGAGTAACTGGAAAGATTCCTCCAGGGCTCGTTTCATTGCTGCTACCGACGCAGAGGCCCTGTTGGGATTCAAGACCATCTCTCAGCTTGAAGGTATTATTCCAGCTCTTGAATCTTCACATGCTGTCTACGGTGCACTCGAATTGGCCAAGACGATGAAGAAGGGCGAAAATATTGTACTCAATTTGAGCGGACGAGGTGACAAGGATGTGCAGAGCGTCGCTGATGCTTTGCCTGAACTTGGACCTAAGATTGGTTGGGATTTGAGGTTCTAGATTATTGACTGGCATATAGGCGCCATTAAGGAATAATGGACTCACTTATATAAACGAAAAAAGATTTCGGGACATACTTTCCGTAAATTTAGAGACACATTAGCCATATTCTAAGAAAATATTACGTTCAAGTGAATATGGCTCTTTCGAAACGTAACCAGTTATTAATTTAAATCAGTATTAAACCTCTGATAGTAAAACTCGCGCATCGCCATTCCCAGTAATTCCAAGACTCAGTTGCAACTCCCATCCCATCCCATCCCTAGTCCCAATATTCCTCCCAATATCCATACATATTATTTTAAATCTGTCTCCTTGACCTCGACCGGTGATGCATCAAGCTCCACAGGCGAGGTAATGGGAGTTGAATCCAGTTCCCGAGCTCGGTTCATAGCAATGTTCCCGTCAAGCTTCTTCTCTTCACTGTCTAGTTCGCTCACGACGTTCTTCTTTGGAGCACGCGCAATGACTCCTGCAGAGTCTGGCATTTCTGGAATCCCGCTATCAGATGTATCTGGCTTCTCCTCCGCTCGTACCGCTGTTTTTCGCCGTCTAAAGAAGTATACAGCTCCGATTGCGAGTAAGAGCGCAAACACGGCGCATCCAGCAGCTATACCGCCAATTTGGCCTCCGCTTAAGCCATGTTCAGATGGCACGCTCGACGAGGTAGCGGTGGATGAACTCGGTGACGTGCTTTGCGTTTGATTGGAAGTTGGCGAAGTCATAGACATTGACGAAGACGCCGTGCTGGTGGCATTATTGAAATCGGCAAATTTGACACAACACTTTATATCATCAGGGCCTGGGCATGGCCATGGCTACAGAGATGAAGTTAGCTTTTGTTCAACATCAGAATTGTCCGCTTTATGCTATGACTGCAGTTCATAAATGGCTTCGATAGTACGTACTTTGCCAGTACCAGCAAAGAACTTGCCATTATCGCATCCGTTATTTGCAACGCTTCTGCATACGCCTTGACCCTCTTTCACATTGCAAATATGGACAAGACAGCACTATCCAAGGAGCTCGTCATTAGTCGTTAAGTCCATCATGTGGCACTGGATGGATAGTAATGCGGAGCACCTCGATATCATCGCCTTCAGGAGCACATATCCCCTTTGTAGACACACCCCGACCTACCAAACATATTGCACGTTAGACACCATCATTGATGATTCCACCTGAAGATAAAGAAGATGAGTGCTCATACAGCTCCCTTTTGGCATGCATTCTCCAACGCCTTCGTTGGTACTGCAAGTATTGTTGTTATTGCCTTGATTTGATTGCCGCAAGGCAAGTCGAGCCCCAGCCCCTGAGCTGAAGAGCCGCATTTTCGTTGACTTATTCAACCAGCCTAAAGCCGTCAGGTACGGAGCACAGCGTTCACTGGCGGCCGCTCGGCCACGGGAAACTCCAGATTTATATATAAGAAGGAAAGATGTGCTTTCAAGAAGGCTGGTTCTACTCCGTACATCGTCGAGGGAGATCTCCCCTATCCACAAGACCATCTGCTCTTCGTATTTATATAACCATCCGGGTCCGCAACTGGCGGGAACCGCTTCCGGTTATAGAGTGGGCTGAAGGTCAAAAGTCGTTTCACTTCGTGCAACCAGAGACATCAGCCAATAAATTGAGTCTATACACAGGGATGCGGGTTGATTGGCGTCGTATTTCCCGCCCTTTGGCTGACGATCATCTCGCTGAGCCTTGTTGTCGAGTCCAGCTCACCTCGCAGAGCCGCACCAAAGTTTCCATGTGAATATGCTCCAGCATATCCAACGAGTAGAACACTCCCCTGTCGTCTTTTATGCAGTTTCATCGTCTCTTGACGTGAAGAGAGAAGCTGAAGTAGGTAAAAAGGAACGGCGGACGCAACTAGATATGGTCACGTGATCACTTATTAAGCAATAGAGGGCCTCAACCCGTGATTGGCTGAAACGGGAAGCTGGGAACTACCTCCAGGTCGAAGCCCGCGGTCGATGTTGACGATGCTTGATGACGCCCGGAGCTGCTGGTAGATATAACTGCCCGCCTCGCCTCTTGAACCAGCCCATACACCGTCACTTGGATATCGTCGGGGTCGTCTCGTTCACGCAACCATGGCTCCAGGCTTAGAAGACCGCCGGATGGCTTCCGTCCAACCTCGCCTCAAATACAACACCGTTGGAGGTGTCAACGGACCCCTGGTCATCCTCGAAAATGTGAGCTTCCAGGCATTCGCTTTCCCTGGTATACTGGATGTCAAATGTGCTGACGGTTGAGGGGGGGGGCCTTTATAGGTTAAATTCCCCAGATACAACGAGATTGTGTCCCTTACGCTGCCAGATGGAACTGAACGATCCGGTCAAGTGTTGGAGGCTAGAGGTAGGTGCAGCTGTTCCATTTAGCTACCATTCCAAACGCTTCAGCTAATATCTTTATTTAATTCAGGAAGCAGAGCTGTCGTCCAGGTCCGCACATCGACCACTGCCTCGGTATAACGAATGCTGACTTAGATTGGTTGTTGATTCGCAGGTATTCGAAGGTACAACAGGTGTTGATGTCAAAAAGGTGCGGGGAACAAATTGAATCATACGCGAGCACCAGACACTGACTTGATAAAAAGACCAAAGTCGAATTCTCCGGCCACAGTATGAAGCTAGGTGTCTCGGAAGACATGTTGGGTCGAGTGTTCGATGGATCCGGACGTGCAATTGATAAGGGACCCAAGGTCCTTGCCGAAGAATATCTTGACATCAACGGCAGTCCTATAAATCCTTATTCGCGAGTGAGTTTCTCCAAGGCGATAGTCCCCAGGAACCACCAGGCTAAAACATTATCCTCATAGACCTACCCTGAAGAGATGATTTCCACTGGAATTTCTGCAATCGATACCATGAACTCAATTGCTCGAGGACAAAAAATTCCTATTTTCTCTGCTGCCGGTCTTCCTCACAACGAAATTGCTGCCCAAATTTGTCGCCAGGCTGGTTTGGTGAAGGGACCAAGCAAGGGAGTACATGATGACCACGAGGAGAACTTCTCCATCGTTTTCGCCGCCATGGGTGTTAACATGGAGACCAGTCGATTCTTTACCCGAGACTTCGAAGAAAACGGCAGTATGGAGCGTGTCACTCTCTTCCTTAACCTTGCTAATGATCCCACGTAAGATCCTACTTCATCCGAGACTCGTATGAGATCTAATTGAGCTAACGAAATTGATGCAGAATTGAGCGTATCATCACTCCTCGTCTAGCACTGACCACTGCAGAGTACTACGCTTACCAGCTAGAGAAACACGTTCTTGTCATTTTGACCGATCTTTCAGCTTACTGTGACGCTCTTCGAGAGGTCTCTGCGGCCAGAGAAGAAGTTCCGGGACGACGTGGTTACCCCGGTTATATGTACACTGATTTGTCCACCATTTATGAGCGCGCTGGTCGAGTTGAGGGACGAAACGGCTCTATCACTCAAATCCCCATCTTGACTATGCCCAACGACGGTAGGTATTCCACGCTCGCTTATCATTCTCCCGAAACTCCGGCGCTAATGGGTGAACTTTAGATATCACTCACCCAATTCCTGATTTGACTGGTTATATTACCGAGGGCCAAATTTTCATTGACCGTCAACTTGACAATAAGGGTATCTACCCACCAATCAACGTGCTTCCATCTCTCTCCCGATTGATGAAATCTGCCATTGGTGAGGGCCGTACCCGTAAAGATCACGGTGACGTTTCCAACCAGCTGTATGCAAAGTACGCCATTGGTCGTGATGCCGGTAAGTTTTCACCTATGGACTCTTGTCCCCCTTACGGTGGTAGACAAGGTTATCTAACAATGAAACCACAGCCGCTATGAGAGCAGTCGTTGGTGAAGAGGCTTTGTCTGCCGAAGACAAGCTGTCGCTTGAATTCCTGGACAAATTCGAGCGTACCTTTATTTCTCAGTCTCCATACGAATCTCGAAGTATCCACGAGTCGTTGGATCTCGCCTGGAACCTTCTCCGAATTTACCCTAAGGATCTACTCAACCGTATCCCCAAGAAGGTTATCGACGAATTCTACCAACGATCAGGCAAGGGACGAGCTCGTCCAACCAAGGATACGCGGGACACCACCGAGCCCGCTGCTCCCGCTGAAAACAATCTCATAGACGCTTGAGAAACACATCCTTGACCTGGAATGTGTAATATGTTGGCAAGAACAGGGGTTAGACCGTGTTATTAATCTATTTTTTCTCGGTATTGTATCTAAGCATCTGATATTTATTCGCTCATAGCTTTCATTCTCCACGGCAACAATGGTCTTTGAGGATAATCACCGGTCCATATTGGGTAAAACATTTCGTAATACACTTCTAATTTGACATCCATACTAGAAGTAGTTGCCCTGAAGTTTGACGTACTCTCTAACGGGGAACCTCATTATTCACAAGCATCCAAGCATCGTCTTAGCACCAATTATATATAAAGCATTTCTTTGCTCCTTACGAGCTTAAGAATCAATATCAACAGCAAGGTTTATGATATATGTTCCAAGTACATCTAGGCTCTCAATATAATCACGCTTACACCTATGAGTATTCCATATAGCCACCAACGTGGTACGATCCTTGCAGCATCCGATTTCTTGTCATGCGAAGAATTTACTGAACGCTGCCCGACCATCGACGGCGTGGTGATAGCAATAAACGCATGCGCTACAGTCCCATCTCGTACGGTTTTAGAAGCATCCTGTTGCCAGCCTTTCTTGGTAGCGGGTGGTTTCTTCCAATCAGACTCGGACTCATACCACACTCCATTTACAACAGCTCCTTCACCTCGTGCCAATTTCGCTATCTGCTCTGGTGAGCAGGTGTCTTTGACCTTTCGAACGTAGCATGTTGGCTTGGCCATTGGTGGTGCGGAATTAGTTGCTGTGGAGTTCGCATCGCCCTTGGTGCCGAAAGAAGTTATATCTACTGGTTGGCCAGTCGATATATCAGTGTGTCCTTGGATAATGCGAGAGAAGATCGTGAACAGTGTCTCCGGCTGGTAAGCGGGTATCAAGTGGCCAGCGTCGTAAATTCGAGTGAACGATAAGTTACCGAATTGTCGAACCATACCGCCAATGTATGTATCGTTGGTAATTAGGGGTGCATAGCCTGCGGCGTTAAAACCGCTCAGGTATGAGGATGGCGAAGAAGATGACGCTGCAATCGAGAATGAAGCAGCCTGGCCGCCCATCCAGTTACACAGATAGTCTCTGTCTCCGTATATGAGGGCAATCCGTATCCCGCTGTCCAGAAGCTTGGCTAGATCCGAGATATAATCCCCTCGATCAAAGTCTGCTGTATTGAGAAATGCCGAAGAAATTATTGAGCTGTAATCTGTAATATTCATTGAGACGCCAATGGACTTCTGCACTTGGTCTGAATTGAGGTACTCAAGGTATGTGTGAGGAGGAAATGGATCGAGGTTGCTCTGTGTGATGTCGTGCCCACTTCGCCCTATCTTTGTATATAAATTAGGGGTCTCAGCCAAACAACTTGAAAGTGCGTCAAGGCACTTTTGATTAACAACTCCCACACCGCCGGTATTTTCTGGGTCGGAGGTTTGAATCTCTTCGCGGCAAGCGATGGTTTTATCTCGGCAGCCGCCTGCTCTGGAAAAATTCTCAAGAAAGGCATTCTTATCTTCTGAGCTTGTAGCGTTGATCCCATAGCTATTATTATATGCAAAAGCCGGATAATAGGGATTTTGAACCAGATCATCGATGCAACCTTGCATAATCCCAATAGACCTAACGTTTATTTCCAGTGTTTCTGAGGCTGATATTTCTCCTCGCCTTCTGCGCCTATTCTGCTCCTCAAAGTGGGTGACAAAACTAGGAGCGTATTTGCCTCCGTAGCTCTCTGCAAATAAATTAATTGAAGCCGATTGAGGTTTTCTCCTGCGGGTCAATTTCTGGGTGCCTATGTAATACTGAGGGAATTCTGTCAAGATAGACTGTAGAACATGCCACATAGCTTTGGCTGCCGTTGAAGTGGTATTCGTTGTAACTTGCACGTCATTTGAGCTAGTTACCACCTTCAGCCAAGTATCCCTAGGCTGTCCCTGCGGCGGATCGGAAGGAGGGAAAGTATATGACGAGTCGATCAAATTCAGAGAGCCCTCCCGTAGCGAGTCAAAGGAGAAACCTGACTGAACAGGCTGATCAATGTATAGCATGTTAGAGCCCCTATCCCAACCCCATTCTCTTGCACGGGTTCCAAGTCTATCCTTTGCAATTTCAATGACCTCGCATGGCCCAGTCTCTTGAAACAATCCGACTAGACTCGTGCTCCCAGGTCCACCATTAAGATAGACTGTGAGCGGTGCTTTTTCAGGATTGATCCTTGACTCCACAAGCCAGAAGAACGTGTTGATAGAGCAATTTTGCTTGATCAAGCCCAGTGTTGACGGGGGGAGGCTTACATAGCCGGTATATTGTTTTTGGTCTTCGAAAGCGGTTTCACACGTCCCAGGAAGTGGGGTTTTGTATTTTATGGAAATCCCATCGGGGCTGGAAGCTGAGACGGTACTGCCGGTGGTTGCGCTCGAAAACCCTGTGTACGATGTCGATTTCGCAAGTGCTTGAATCCCCAAAGCGGAAATCGTGGCCAACACGACAATTAAGTGGCTCGACGTCTGTGCCTGGCTGTATCAGCATGAACCATGCAGGAGATTGTATCAATAGGCAGCCTCCTTACCATCTGTCATAGATCAGTTTCGGTGACAGAACTGCCAAAATTATCTTGTCCGTGCGTATTGAATTGAACGAATTGTAATATCAGATATAAAGACAATGGCAAATCATATTTAGCCATGCAAGTTGTGCAACCCCCCAGGATATATCTGGCTGATCTGAAGCCAACAACAACCTTCGGATTTGAAGGACAAACGCCCGTCAACGGGAACAAACGAAACAAGGAGCTAAAATCTGAAGAAAACCTGAAGGGACATATATTTGGCGTCGAAGGACCAGGGTATAAACGACGTTTTTCTCCCCCTATCTCAGGGTCTCCCCCTCCCGGGATACTAACGAGACAGCTCCGCATTCGCAAGAGTGTTCCGTTCCCCAGCAGCCACCCCAGAGGAGACCAACATGATCCGCATAATCCAAGGGCTACCGATCGTTTGACAAACGCGACAAGCATGCGGCAGCCCCATCCTGTCCGACCTGTGGCGCTCCAATCAGCCGATGGATCAAACAAACGAAACAAAGAAATGCATCAAATGAATTGTTGGTCTGCAGATTATTGAAATTACCCGGGTGTAGTTGTTTTTGTTGATGGTCATATTTCTATCACGCTGAGACGTTACCGTTTGTAGACAGAAGCTCTGGTGTCTACCGCGTTTTCTGGGTAAACATCGCCGGCCTTTTATGTGGTGTATGCCAAAGTAGTTAGTAGTTCTATGCATCTTGATAGCCTGGATCCGAAGACTGATCAGAGTGATAAACTTGTGGTAGATGTGAAGTCGGAATGTGCAAAATATTTCTGCCCCTGTGAGGAACCTTAAATAGGCAATTGCAACAACATGGGAAAAAACAAACGAAGCGATGAATCTTCCTTGCTAAAATTTCTCCTTGCGAAAACATCTAGCTGACTGCAGGCTGCCTACATTCGTCATGGTGCCTCGAGACGCACTCTCAGTGACGGTAGCACGCATCGCAAGGCTGGATTCTTGCGAACAAACACGGCCACGCATACGAGTAGGCTCAAGGCAGCGGAGTTTTAGGATTATCAAGTAATTATCAGGGGAATACCTACTCCGGATTATACGAGAGGCTCTCCGTTATACTGATCACATCAAGGCTACAGGATTCCAACCCTGGTTGTTCCCAGTATAGAAGGGAATATACAAGAGGCATGGGGAAGTATGCAAGGGTAAAGTGTTGGATACAACCATAGAAATGGCCGCTTCCCAATACTCATTATATTTCATCTGCTTTAGCCTATGCCCTTCTTTGGCGCACTACTACTTCAACGGAGCGAAAACTCGAAGCAATGGGCGGAGTGTCTTCTACTACCCGGTCCCAGGATGCCATGGACTTCCCAAACGGCAACGGAAATGGAGATACAATCAGCTCCTGTGGAGTTTCATACGACTACTTAATGGAAGTAAACAAAAGCACCAAACGCTATAATGCATTTGGACTGCATGGTTATGACGTCTATGGCTACCCATCCAGGGGCCCGAACGGTCGTCCAAGCAAGTATTCAGTTATAGTGAAGCCGAACGCAGATATCGTCGACACGGCCTTCCTTGGGTGGAACAAGTTTGCGCCACCAAAGCACCGCTTTACAGACCAGAGCGTGGAAGACAGATTTTGCTCCCTCCTCAGCAAGTCTGGGGGGAGGCTCTGGCCTAGCAATGTCCATCATTTCGAGAGCACCGTGGACCCAACGACGGCAGATCCCGGGGATGGGCTACAGTGGTTTTTTGCATGGCCTGGCATCGAGGAACATCCAAGTGCGAGGAACCTGACATCCGGCGAGGAAGAGTTTGTGGAGGAGGGCGGTGTTTGGGCATTGGAATACAAGTACGATTCCGATCATGGAGAGCATGGGAAGCTGAGGATGTGCATCACGATGGCAGAGAAGGTCGAGGTGATGAAGGAGCTAGGTGCGATTTTCTATCAAGACCCGCGAGACTGTCCGCCACTGCGAGATCTATATCCTAGCGTATAAATATACGAATAGCGGTGCCATAGTTAAAACTTTGGCGTAGTGCGTCACAGTCCGGCCCTCGCCTTATCTGATCGTGATGTCAGCCTCAGAAATAATTAAACGACGCACAGCTTCAGCCCCTCTTCCTCTTCGTCTGGTTAACATGTTCAGTCCCGGGGAAAGTCGGTCTATCTACGTATATTCCAGTGGCATGGTACGATGAGTCGAAAGGCAGCGTTGCAGTCCCGGCTGCTGCTCCGTCAGGTAAGCTACAGACCCTTGTTCACCGCTGGACGGTACGAAGCCGAAGAGCTGACAAGCTGCAAACAACCTCCAGCACGACCACCTACGATGTCAAGCCTACAACTGCCTCCCGCCCTTGAAGCGACGATGCTTCTCTCGCCCTGCAACGGCGCTTTCTCACCCGTCTCCCTTCCACCGAAACCATGAGAGCGTTGCTCATCCCGCCGAGTTCGCAGCCCATATCGGCCATAAAGCAAAGGAGAAGGAAGAAGACAAGGTCAGTACGCCAGGGGGCTTTGGCTTATTGCGATGATATATTCTTACTTCCGGGTCCCGTTATCGCAGGAATTCTTCCTCGACCTCTTAAGTTCCGCAACTACCAAACGAGAAGCAAAGTCATATCTCTCCCGGTTTACAGCCCCCCCAAAACCACTTCCTGCCGATATACACTCGAATGAGGAGAATACGGCTGGGTCTCAGGCTGTCAATGCAAAAGATAAACCCGCGGTGGCCTCGGTTAAGTCTTCGACCAAATCCGTGGCTTTCGATTTACCGAACTCCAAGGCCACAGTTCAGGAAAGCCTACATGTTGCTTTGGTTAAGATCAAAAACCCGCATATGCTGGATGATGCATGTCTTCATGGCATTTCCAAGACCCTCTCGCAGCTTAGCAGGCTTGCTATGAGCTGCTGCATTGTAGTAGACGTTGATACCCCTGGGAATAATGCAGATTACCGGAGACTAGCATCCGACCAGGCAAGCCGCTTTGCTGCTGGAATCGATAAAGTCCATAGCTTGGGTGCACGGCGATTGGACTCGGTGATGTCCCTGGATGGACCCGCACGCACGCCTTCCGTTTTGTCTAGAAAGTCGCTACTTTCTCCTCTATATCGCGGTCAGATCGTGGTAGTTGACCCTGTCGGCTATACAAGTGATACCTCGGAGGCGTTTCCGATATCAGCAGATGAGCTGATATTAGCGTTGACAAGAGAGCTAGCCGGCCTAACATGCAAACCTACGTTGGATGAAAGTGCGAAGGAAGCAGCACGGAAAGTTAAAGAGCGGCAGCAGGAGGTGTCTCTAGAGAGGCTCATTGTTCTAGATCCATTGGGCGGTATTCCATCGTTGGGACATGGGCGACATAAATCTCATGTTTTTGTTAACCTTGAACAAGAATACGAGGATATCCGGAGCGAGATAACCCAGGCCACCAGATCCAATCCACGGCGTGTACAAGAATCCGACGCACCTGGGCTGCAAAATGGACTGGAAGGACACCTAGCTAACCTGACATTACTCCAAAAAACACTGGCAATTCTTCCACCATCCTCTTCAGGCCTCATTACAACCCCACACGACGCCACAAACTTAGCAAACAGCCGTCGCGGCTCATCGGGGACTCCTATGGTGGGCACTCGCCAGCGACGGAACCCCTTGATCCATAATCTCCTTACAGATAAGCCTGTCCTTTCTGCGTCCCTACCCGCCCGCCGGCGCGGCGAGGAGAATGGCGACCAGACCCCAAACAACACCCAGCTACGCCATTCAACTTTTGTGAAGCGTGGGATGCCGCTGACCATGCTGCCTGATCCGAGAATTAAGTGCTGGACTGCAGCGAATAGCGGAGCGCCCCGAATAAACTTGACCGATACAGCAATTGACCTACCACGGCTAGTTCACTTGATTGATGACTCTTTCAATAGAAAATTGGATGTTAAACACTACTTGGATCGGGTAAACAATCGACTTGCAGGCCTGATCATTGCCGGTGAATACGAAGGCGGCGCGATTTTAACCTGGGAAACGCCTCCCGGTGTCCCAGACGACGGGAGCCCCGAGAGTATAGTGCGAATGGTTCCCTACCTGGACAAGTTTGCCGTTCTAAAGAGAAGCCAAGGCACAGGCGGCGTTGCTGATATTGTTTTCAACGCGATGGTCCGAACCTGTTTCCCCAGAGGAGTCTGCTGGCGAAGCAGGAAGGACAACCCGGTTAATAAGTGGTACTTTGAAAGATCAAGGGGGACGTGGAAGCTCCCAGACTCGAATTGGACGATGTTCTGGACCACAGACAACGTACCAGAGAACGAACAGCTTTTCGAGGACTATGAAGGCGTCTGCCGTTCGATCCAGCCCAGTTGGGCCGACGGCAAGAAGGAGATCGACTGAATACGCGGATCTACGATCTATCTAACAGAAAATACGCGGATCTACCTAGCAGACATCTGGTCTATATACTCCGTGTACTCCGTAGAGCTTTTTCTATCTTTTCTACATGGAAGTAAAGCTTAACCAATTTAAACATTTTTGATGTGGCACGGACCACCTTTCTATCCTTTTTCTTTTTAATCCAACGAAGTTTTTGCCTCCAAAACAACGGCGAAGAGAAAGAAGAGAGAAACCGAGAGCCGGACGTGAGCTACTTGTACCATGCTTGCTGAAGATGAAGAGTTGAAACAACAATGCCAATATGCATAGAGTGCTGTTACCCCGTTTCCCACCTTTACACGTCCTACAGCAAGGCGGATGATCGCGCCTTGGGCAAGGGAGTGCGTCTGACGCAATGCCCGCGATGTCAGCGATTTGCGGATAAATACGTTGAACATGACTTCGTTGTGCTCTTCATCGATCTTGTTCTTATTAAGCCGCAGGTACGGCCTTATCGTGTATCCCTATTGCCGTGGTTCGTTGCGCTGATTCTACTAGGTTTACAGACACCTGCTCTTCAACAGGCTTGGGAGGGACGATGACAAGTTCGACGTAAGGACCTCAAATTTCACACAAGACGATAGATGTACTGACCTTCTGGGCTTCGTTGCAGCGCTCGATTATCCGTCTCGGGATCCTTATTCTCCTTTTCGACGTATACCTCTCCTGGGCACGAATCGAAAAGTCCTCCGCTATCGCTGCATCGTCACTTGGGAATACTCCGATAATAGTTCAATATGTCTTCTTCCTCACGCTGAACGCCCTCGCAACCCTCGCACACCACATGGCCGTTCGTTTCCTGGCTACCGTACTCGTTCTGAAACCAGCGGCGCAATCTCAGAAGGCCCATGACTTGGCGCATCGAGTGAACACCCCCCTACCTCTGCCATCTGACGTTAACGCGGCCGGGAATGGCATGGCTACTCAATCCACACCGAACCCCAATACAGTATGCGGGCCAAGCCCTACAATTCTAAGCCGTTCATCGTCTGGTAGCGATACAGTCGGCGCCTGTCCTCAGCAAGCTACTTCTTCTACCACTTTACCAATGTTGACCGTGGAACCAGAATTTCCACCTCCCCTCCGAAGGGCATCCACGGCCCCTCCGCAGATACGGCCGATCCCTCCTCCGGCACTCGCCAGTCGAAATGCGATAAGCACAGCTCTCCTAGTTAGCAGTTGCACAAAGCTGTTCCCAATACTCCTGGTTATATGGGGAACAGACGCATCAGGCGCGAATTCGGCTGATTCCGATACCTTGTTTCCGCCGGGTGGTAGCGAGGAGTCTGCCTTCCCTGCTCTACCCTCCGTGTCATGGTCTTCACAATCCCTTGACTCGATTTTCCGGTCTGCGTTATCTGCTGTCTCGCAGCCTTGGTCATCGCTGCTTCTATCAGTCACGAATACCCACCTTGTGCTGTTGAATAATATTGAAGCTCTGCTTATTCTTTTAGATTGTGGTTATGCCTACGCCATTGCGCTGACTCTTGGCGGTCAGTTGGCGAGATGGGTGGTGGAGAGATCTCTCCTAAGCCTTGTAGGGCTATGATATATGATGTACCCCCGAGCTAGACTACCTAAAAATCAAAAGAACATGTAAAACGAAGCAGCAAGGTGTCTGAGATATGAACTCTAACCATTCATGACTGGGTTTATCGTGTTCAAATAATATAGAGATACCCATGAAAGGAAATGATATTACCCAGTGATATATAATGCTACAGATCCCCGTCTGATAGGAAGGTTTGTGGAAGTATGTGAGAAGTATAAGCGCTGAAAGAAACCCCAAGTAATAGAAAATAATATCAACAACTCGCCAACCGCGTTTGTTCGTCGTTCAATTGGCATGGTGTGGTCTCCTATCGCTGCTCTTCGGTCCGAATAATGGATGTAGTTGTGCAAGGAACGTTACCGCTATACGTAAACGAAACATTAGTCTTTATACGATCGTAGATATCGAGTTCATAAGAGAAACAACATACCCCACATGAGATAGCAGAATGTGAATCCGAGAATCAGCGAGCTTCGCCATACCCTAGAGGTCAACCATAAACGTTAGCCGGGCTATTCAAGGTCGAGAAGGGGATATAACTGTTGCCTGGCCAAGATAGTCCCTAGCTTTTGCCAGTGGGCGTTTGCAATGGGAGGGGTCTTCGCCGGGCGACGGATATAGATTCGGAGGAAACGGGGAGTAAGCGACTAACGGTCTAGTTTCTCCCTTTGGACTGAATACCCATGCCAATGAGTTTGCAAGGACGACGAAGACAAGCCCGATAATTATGGTCCAACTACTCAGACAAGTTGTAAAGTCAGCGCGTGAGTCTCGTAAGATATAGATATGATGCTCCTTACCCGCTAGCCATGTTTTCCTATTGTATATTTCTTAATCTCAATTCATCCGTCTTCGGTTCGAGATGCTCCTGGCGTCAGGATAGAGCGAAAGTTGGTCGGAGGCGTGCCGTGGGAGGCGGAAGCGAGGACTCTGAAGTTGCGACTAGAAACGAGGACCCGTGTCTATATGTCTGAAGATAGATTCCGTGTGAAATGAGCGTATAGACAGCGATGTTTCCTCGATGCTTGACGCCTTCAGCGAGTTGAACCTCCAAGGTGAAGCTACGGATGATGTAAGCATATCACGGTCACGTGGATATGCCAGCCTCCCGCCTTGATATAGAACATTGACACAATCTACAAGGACGTAGCAGCATCACTCGCTGGTTAACTAGCTGGTTACTTGAAGTTATTTGACCGCGTGGACTATCTCTGAGCACTCTAGCGTTGGCGGTTGGCATCCCCATATCCATTGTGAATAGTCCTAGAGACACGCAGCTAATGGTGAGATTTCAGGATCAAAGATGAATTCAAGTCTTATAAATGACTGATGTAAGAATCTTCAGGCTACTCTGGGATGGTTATGGGCAGCATTATGGGCAGCCAGAGATGGCTGATCCGAAATGCATGTCGTGCGAGGTCTTCGGCGACCGCAATCCCATTATTCTATCGTCTGTTCAACGTGCAGAGGGTTATCGATCCCGTCAACAGCAAGTTAGACTGGTATATAGTTACAATAGAACTTACGACAGTTACATACGGCGGAGCTTTTATGTCTTGATACTGGTTGGCGCGGCTGCTCATACATGTCACAGCAGGGGCGGGATAATAACCGTTAGTTATGAATGACATAGCACTTTATAGTACAAGATATATAGCCAAAGGTATCCCAGCTTGATGACCCAGATTGATAAATCTTCTAATACAGCTGACATCGTCGACCAGATTGCGGAAGAAGGCGGTTCATACAGGCAACCCCTGAATCAACAGTCTCCATCTGAGCATATGTGGCACCTCTGATCGCCTAGCTGGATGTTTCGATTGGCTCAAAGTATGTCATCATGATGCCCTCCAGCAACGGCTTCGCAACGGTCTTCAGGGCGGCATGGGCCTTGCACTCGTTGTCGTAGAACTTCATGTCGTCCTCGGAAGCAAACTCGGAAACGACGGCGAGGTTGTAGCCCTGACGGCGCTGGTCCTCGAAGGTCGATCCGGCCTTCACCGAGAGGATATATGGGGCACCATCCTAGCAACATTCGGACTTAGTTAGCCGTCGCTATTACTTATCGTCATTCGCGAGTGCGATCTCGCTCGTCCAATTCCAGCGGGAGATCCGTAGGCCGTCGGCAGTTTTATCGGCTTACCTTCTGGGCGTCCTTCTGCATCGTGCGGTACAGAGCAAGGACGGACTTGCGGTCCTCCTCCTTGGGGATCTTGAACAGAGTTACGCGGCAAATCGTCATGGTGATGGGTATGCTCCGTAAGGTCTATGGCTGGGAAGATAGCAAAATGTTTGGCCGTCAATGCTGGTCACCAGCGCCTCGCCCCCTATATATGTAGAATCCAGTATATGCCCCGCCGGCAAGAGTCCGATAGCCGCTTATTAACGGTGCTCGTTTTCAGCTTGATCGAAAGCTATCAAATGGTATACGGCGGGCGAAGGGCGTGCATCCTATCACCGATGAACATATCATGAACATATCTGATGAACAACGGTGTCTCCAGTGGCTATACGATATCGCCTCGGTCTATACTTCGCATCGTTCCATGGGACAACCTGGCAGATAACTAGTTAGCATGCTAGCTAATTGGTTAAGCTTCAACGCCGCGAGCGATGACGTCTATCAAAAAACTTCAAACGCCCTTGTCTTTCATCTCCAAGGGTTGATAGGACCGTCCCTACGACAAACAACTTCGCGCTCCCTTCAATTGAAATAGCTGCTTCCCCCTTTACCGTTTACCGTTTCAGCTATTAAATCCCAGATATACCCCGGATTATTCTCTCGCTCATGCTCTCCTGCTTCACTCTCGTCGACCGCTCCCATAGTACATACTACATGCTTCTCCGGCCCTGGCTCCCCAGCTCTGGATGTCCTCATATATCAACAATGGCGCCTCCACTCCTCTTGTCGTCAATGACATCGGTCCTGGGGATTTCCGCAACCGTACCCAGGCCGTCCGCACGCTCTTTACGGCGATACTCGCTATAGCTATGTACAACTGCCTGGAGCTCTTCGTGCTTATCTTCCTGACTTTCAAAAAATTCGAGGGCCTCTACTTCTGGAGTCTTGTCCTGGCGACAGCGGGCGCCTTGACTGAATCGGTATTCCTGGTGTTATTTTACTATATGGAAATACTGCCTGTGATAGCCTTCACGTTTGCCAGCATCGGTTGGTGTTTCATGATTACCGGACAGGCCCTCGTCCTATATTCGCGACTCCACATGGTCCTACATAGCCGACTAGGCCTACGACTCGTTCTAGCAATGATAATCCTTACAGCAATTCTCTTTCACATCCCGGATATTGTCACCGGGTATGGATCTGTGATTAGAAATAGAGCACTGCCCATGTTCACCAAAGCGTTTCATGTAATGGAGAAGATACAGTTGACAGGCTTTTCGGTGCAGCAATTCATCCTCTCCGGGCTCTACCTGTACCTCGCGGCAGGGCTCCTGGGCTTCGTGTCCGCAAAAGCTCGTCGAAGGGAGCTATACCGCCTTATCGCGATGAACATTGTCATCATCATCATGGACATGACCCTTGTGACCTTTGTGTATCTGAATTGGTGGGTGGCGCACGAGTCGCTAAAGCCGTTCGTCTACAGCATCAAGTTGAAACTGGAGTTTGCAGTTCTGCGCACATTGGTTTCCATGTCGAAATCCGCTTCCAACGAATTGCCGGATTTCGTGGACCCGGATCAGATCGATAGAGACTTCAGGTATGCACAAGCTATACCGATGACGGGAGCACGCCAACGGCGAACCGGCTCCATGATATCTGAAGAGGTAGGCTGGGACCAAACGAGTACAGCGCGTACAAGTGACTCCAGCTTAGCGCAAGCAAATGGTCAAGAGACCGTGGGGTCTATAGCTCCGTCTCAACCTGTCAGTATGACTACCTACAAGAAACGCACAAAAACATATCCTTGAAGGTCCTAACGCAAAAACTTGTATTTGTTTGGGATTCAATCGACATATACAATTTTTTGGCCCTTCGTTCGGTAGCGTTTCTAATCAAAAACTACAGGCTTCCCCTGACGCTCACGGCAGGGCATAATCTCACATTCCATGCTGAGCCTTTCACACGAGCATTGAATAGATGCACTTCCTGATCGGCCGTTAGCTATGGTACAGCGGGTTTGAACCATCTGTGGTCCTAAATGCCTCCTCGAGGATATTCAACCCTTCCTCTAGCTGCTCCTCTGTGATCACAATTGGTGGTGCAATTCTCAGACACCCATAGAAGCTACCCTGCGAGGATAGCATGGCAGAGACACCTAGTTCAAAAGCATGCTCCGAAAGACGTTTACCCAAGCCAGTGTCTGCCTGTTTAGTGTTACGGTCCGAAACGATTTCAACTCCGGCCATTAGCCCACGTCCACGCACCATACCAATGCAGCCGTATCGAGACATTAGACGGTTCAAGCCCGCATGCAGAACCTTTCCTAGCATGGCTGCTCTTGCGACGAGGTTGTCCCGCTGGACAATTTGGAGCACTTTGAGGCCAACAGCAGCGGGGAGGGGATCATTGACGTGGGTGGTATAAAATAGGAAGCCTGCCTTGTCTGCCTCAGCTGAGATCCGGTTGCTGGTTATCGTCGCCGCGAGCGGGAGACCATTGCCCAAGGTCTTGCTCAGGGTCAGAATGTCCGGAACAACTCCGTCATGGTTTGAGGCTATGAGATCCCCACAGCGTCCCATGCCGGTTTGCGCTTCATCGATAATCAGAAGCATTTTTCGCGCCTCACAATGCGCTTTCATGGCTTTCATATAGCCTTCTGGCAATGTCATCATACCTCCAGAGGAGAGAATCGGTTCCATGATCACGGCAGCCAGGGATCCGCAGGATTGCTTATCAACTAGTGACCAGCCGTAATCCAACTCCGTTTTCCAATCATATGAGCCGTCTGGAAAACGGAATATGGAACGATAGTCATCTGGTGCGGGCAACATGAGATTCCCTGGCATCTATATCCCCTTGGTCGTTAGAGGATGTTTGATAGGGGGTAAAGGCATGGTAACTAACCGTTGGCCCATAACCAGCTCGACCATTCCAATATTGAGCACCATTCGAACCAAATGTCATACCATGCCAACTTGCGGCTAATCCCACAATCTCAAACTTCCCGGTTACCACCTTCGCCAACTTGATAGCGCACTCGTTGCTCTCGCTTCCAGTGCTTAGAAATATAGCCTTATCCAACCCAGCTGGCAAGGCGCTTGTCAACTGTTTCCCCAATTCGATCACAGGCGGAGATACCATGCTGCTATACACATGGTCAAGCCCGGTGGCATGTTTGGTGATTGTTTCGACGATTTCGGGATGGCCATGTCCGATCAGACAGGACATTTGCCCGGATGTCCAGTCCAGCACCCTTTTACCGGACGCTGTCCAGAAATATATGTTTTCCGTTCGCGTAACCACCTCGGGCAGGAATTCAGAGCCATACTTTAGCAGGCAGGCATCCGCATCCTTGAGGAGGGAGGCGTTGTCTGCCTTGTCGTACATATCTAAATATTTATAAAAATAATTTAATTGATGTTAAGAAACCAAGAGGTTTATCGGAGGAGAGTGGTTCACTGCGATCTGAATGGGATACATTATTTCTCAACGTCCAGCACTGCGTATTTATATCAAGTGTATAGCATCGAGTCTTCATCGACAGAGCAAAACGTGTGGAGAAACTAAACGGGACGCAATCACTACATCCATCTCAGAAGGAAGCCTATACCGAAGTACCTGCATATACTTTTGGCCTTTCACTAGGTTGGTCTAGCATCGTCCGTATATTCTGGGTCCTGATTACACCTCGTCTTCCCCTCGATACGGAGTTACTGGAACAGCCGCAGACGGCCGGGGTACAATCATATTCTAGACCTTGTTTAAGGGTACCTTTCATGAAATGTAACAGATAAAGGATGCTACACTATAATCAACGTAATACGGATATGGCGGAAAGGGGCGAACGACCGCCGGTTATACGGAGAACCTCTGCCGAGTGCTATAAGTAAACATTCACTAACCCTTGTACATGTCTGGTGTCTGCATAGAACAATTACTGTTCATTTAGCTAGAATGAGGCTTGGAGCAGTTAATACAAATATAATGATAAGAATAAAAGTAGCCAAGAATGAAACTGGGATCGAAACAGGGGCAGTAATGGCCAGAGCAACGTACAGCACGCATGTATACAGGCAGAGAGAGAGCTACGATTCCACGCAGGGATAACAGAGAGTACCCCGTAATATCAAACTAGGGACAACAGACAAGGGGTTGTAGCAATTATCTAACCAATTGGTTTGGGGAAGTGGATAACATGAAGATAAAGATTAAAGAGTGCCTCCGCATTTGATTGAAGGTGAGTGCCTGGCGCTGTTCCCGCTATAGAACCATTTGTGTCTGCCGCATAGGGCAACGGGTCTGGCGAAGGCGATTCTGGCAGGGCGTAAACGGTGGGTGTTGTAGACATTTTTACGCGCCTTCTCGACTCTTGCGGTAGTTTGCCTATTTGCCAATTTAAGTATATTGTTACATAGATACGGGTCGCGGAATATAAGGTCATACCTCTTGCTCGACCTGCAGGCCGTCAACGATGGGGCCAAGCTCACTAAGGATCTCGTAGGCCTTCTTGTGATATTCAAGCTGGGCAGCGATCAAATCTGCCAGGTTGCGCAGTGGCTCGGGGGTATCGATGACCTGTACCTGAAGTTAGACAGCGAGATTCGTGAATTGCGGGGTGATGCTGTCACTTACATTCTTCATTACACCGACGGCTTCCTCGGTCTGTCCAACGAATTCATCTTCTGCCTGCTCAATCTCAGCACGAGCATCCTCGCTCAAATGGTCCATGTCCTTGGTGGCTCCCTTGGCCGCCTTGGTCGAGTCAAGCATAAGTCTCGAGTTCTCCACATTCCTTCTGGCCTTGGTAGCGAACATGAGGTTTGTGTTGAGGGTAGTGTTCCAGCCTGCAAGGAAGCGAGACTGGATCTGAGCATCCTGAGCCAACCGTGCCTCTCCGATCTTTTCAGATGCGAGAGCAAACTTCTCTAGACCGATAGCCAATTGGTCCTCGGTGCCGGGAGTGTTGGCTTCGACGATGACATGAGAACTGGCGAGGGCGGCGCGGGCAACGGCATGACTAAACGTCTTTGGCTGAGGTTTCGCGGAAGGTGGTGCGGTCAGAGCAGATTGTGCCTCTCCCGGGGAAGAAGCCTGAGAGAGGAGCTGAACTTTCTCGCTAATGGTGCGGCCCAGGTCGTTGAATGATTCGCGAATGTTTGGTGGGTAATCATAGGCTTCATTCGAGTATTGCGAGCTGAAGAATGGGGGAGCCGAGCTCGGTTAGCTTGCTGAACACATGGTGTATTGCACGGGATATATGGCAAGTCATATGCTCAAAACATACGTGACCTGGAGGAGCTTCTGGTGGACAGTCTTTAGAGCATCGACTCGCTTCTCAAGCTCGAGGTAGTCATTTGGAAGTTGAGTCTGGATATGAAACGGCGACGCGCCGACATAATAGATCAGTATAGTTCTTATAGGACTCCCCCTGTGTAGACGGTGCGATGTACTACCCTCTCATCAGCCTGGCCAAGCTGCTCCTTTACATACTGCTGTGTCCGCGCGGCGAAGGGGGTGAAGGTGGCACTGTGTAGTCCATTGAATTAGCTATTTGAATACATCACAAAGCAGGATAGACGTCTCGTTTGGTCATGGCGATGGTGCGCCAGGTTGCGTTGCTGAGCTGATGGTACAACTCTAGGGCTATGGGCAGATGGGGGCCAGTTCTGATAGAGGCGTACATACGTGAAGTTCTTCCCAAAAGCTTGGACTTTATCCATGGCTGCGACGTTCTCCAACTGTGCTGTATCTCTTATCGAGCAAGGGGTAATCTGCAGATAGCCAGATGAAACGGTGATGAGCAGCTGTTTTGTTCGTGAAGACGCTCAACTCGAGGGTTCCAAGTCCATCGCTCTAACAAAACAGCTCGCGCATGCGTCAGCAAGGGAAGCTGACTAAGCGGTCCTCACTTTGATGAAGATGAAGATGAAGATGAAGATGAAGATGAAGATGAAGATGAAGATGTAGGATGTTAAGGTCACGATGAAGATGTTACGATGCACGTTTGATCATTATCGTATTATTTAGATCAGGTCATTATACAGTCTATTTTACGTTGACACGAACCTGACTCGCCACTCCTATTTGCAAACCACCATCACCCTTGACTCCAGAACCACAACAGAGAACATAGGAAAGATATAGGAACGAGTGTTGAATATACCAGATGCATGAGATGGTAAGAAATAGTGAGAGATGACAAGATAACGAACAGGCCAACTTCTGGCTGACCTTGAGCGCCGCCGGGGCCTCTGTCGTGAATGGGGAGATGCTGTATAGAGCATTAAGTCAAAGTTGCCATCATGGCACGGAGCAGGCGAGGAGTTGGGGCTAAACAGAATGTTAGCTGTATGAATCCATGTTAGGCACACCAGTTGATACATACCTTTATGGTCTCGCCTGACAACGACCTCTGCTGGAGGTCCTTCAATGGCCGCCATCACCCTCATCTGCTCTCTTAGTTCACGCTCAGACGGGCGGTTGCGGTAAGGGACCAGGAGCCGTTCCGGGTGGTCGTCTTCTACCTCTAGAACGCGGATGGGAGACGATCGTCGACGGACGTGTCTGGGTCTGGGTCGTGGGCGTGGAGATGGAGAATACGCTCTCACCGGCCGCAAGACTTCCATGGGCGGAGAGGGTGTTCTGGCTCTCCGTCGTGATACAGACCGACGCCGTTCGACAGCAAGGGGGGAATCTTTGGCGCCGATGATCACTGTCTCCTTCTCCTTGGTCCGCTTGGCTGTTGTAGGTACTATGAGATGTCAGTTAATCTTTCTCTAGCCTCTAAAGAATAACGGTACGTACCTCCCTGACGCATCACTTTGCTATATTCGACTAGCTCATGGATGCGTTCGTCCGTAAGGACCTTGGATATCATGATATCCTCCTCCTAAGACGCCAAGTTAGCTCTTGCATATTGATATACACATAGAGTCGGCTTACATATTCTTCAAACTCGTAGCCGAGGTCGTCGAGGGCGCGGGGAGCAACCATATGCTTGGGTATACGGGTCGTCCCCGGCCTTGGACTCGGCCGTCTAGACTTCTCGCGGGGAGCATCCGGTCTGACGCTCGAAGACCTCCTCCCCCGCGGGGTTGCGCTTCTATTGCGTCCACTCATGCTCCTCCGAGCGATATCATCACCGAGGTGAGTCTCTGAGATGCGCAGCTTTTCAAATTTAAGGTCGGAGAGCCTATTGGGGCTTCGTTTCCTGGGCGTAATGGGCGGTCCGTAGTCATCCCTATCGTACCGTCGATAGTCATGGGAGCGCTTCGTAGTCGCGAGGTCAAACCTGTCCAGCGAGGACTGACGACGGAGCAGCGTTGGGCGCCGAAAATCACGGTCGTCGCTAGCGCCTCGAGCCGGGGATGCGTCTGGTCGCCTCCTCGAGGGAGTTCCAGACTCTAGATGCTTGTCGTTGTACTCTCGGTCGGCTCGTCTGGCTGGGACGAGGTGGTGGTTCTGCGTCTCGGCGGGCTGGAGGTAGTCCTGGACGCTGCTGAAGAGCGACCGCCTGTCCGTACGATGCTCTCGCTCGTCCTCTACCGACGGCGGACCCCTCCGCGGCCGCATCTCGCGGTATGGCGCTGGCTCCTGTCGTGCATCACGCTCTTTCGTAAAGCGCTCTGCATCCCAGCGGTATCCGCCTGCTGCAGAGTTCCCTGTCGCGCCTGACATGTGGACCAATGTGTGTGTTTCCTGGCCGCTGCCGCACTGCAAGAGACCCGACTAACAGACGCGGGTCTGATCTGGCTGTGATCCGTGGTAGAAGCGTACGGCTCGTTCCGTGACTCTCCCGTGGATCGATCACTTGGTCAGTTGTCGACGGATGATTCAAACTGATAGAACCCGCAATATCAGGTAGTCGTAGTATCAGGTAGTCGTAGTATCAGGTAGGCCGTAATTCAGGTGGTCTCCGTATTTCAGGTGGTCTCCGTAATTCAGGTGGTCTCCGTAATTCAGGTCACCGATGCTTGTCGATGCTTGTAGACGATGGTAGATGCTTGTAGGAGATGGTAGGAGAGGGATAAGATATAGAAGTGGGAGCCTTGCTATGATGACATCTAGTCCTCTTCAAAGCTGAAAGTCAAAAGTGCAACAGGGATTCGCAGACTCGGTTAAATAAGTTATATGTCATATTCTCAGCAAGCAGCAGTGCTCTTATATAGCTGTAGCTATCACCAGCCATGCTGCCGGTCCAGCGCCTAACCAGCTGCCATTTGCTGCCACTTACCTGCATGGATGCACTCCCCAGAAAGGAAGAAGAACAGCCCGTTAGCTAACTAGTTAGTTTAACCGCCGAAGAGCAGGGACCCGGTTGTTTCATCATGGTTATAAAAAGAACATCTCAGTTATTTCATGCGCTTACCCAGCCATCTGCACTCCTTTCTGGCCCCAGAAGTGCATTTCAGTTCCTGATAGCCAATTGTTTCGCCCTTTCTGGTCTCTCTTCAGACAGGCCGTGCTTACAGTCCGTCCTGGCTACAGACAATGCCAATAATAGCCTTTGTTAAGGGATGTACATCGACAGGTACAAAAGGCGAAAAGCCGGAGATATGGAGATGATAGCTTCACACGTTTCAGCTGCTCATTCACTGCTCTCTTCAACGCCCGGCAGGTAGACAAGTAAGCTGTCTCCTAGCCCTGGATCGACTTCCATTGGGCATGCAAGTGGATGGGATGGCTTATGGCGATAGGTTTATTGGCCAGGTTCAAGCCAAACCCTGGAAAAAGAATGGCCCCTGGCATCATCTTGCTGCTCTTCTTCCACTTACGGATGGCCTGCCACATTGCATATTTGCCCGGCCTGCGCTGTGCTGCTGGTCTCCCGGTCGTTCGGGGTTCGGGGGGGATGCTCGGGCAGGGATCGATGAGATCATATCGCCCCAACTGCAGCCAGTACGGTGATGGAGACACTACTTTGCTCCTGCACTTGCGCGGAATATGTGCAAACACAAGAGACAAGACAGGTGATCTCTGCTCTGGTTAGGTAGACATCGACGAGGCTTCTTGGGTGCTACTGATGGACATCCACGTCTAGATATGTCGGCGATGCCTCGGGAATGCCCAAGTGGACGGAGAATTGTCAAAGTGATACAGTTTTATTTTCCTTACGACGTAATCCCTCCCTTGTCACAGGATAGTTATACTGGATAAGTGATATGAGGACTCAGCCCAACTCTACAACAAAAGCATCCCCAATCCGGCAACGATAGCACATCCCAAGTATACACCGCCAAACGCCGAGCCAGAGACTTCCCAGATACTAGCATTCAACCACGTCACCGCATCGCTCTGGGATACCTTTATAGACACATGTGGTTTGACGGTGCAGACGGGCTTCTTGACCGGTGTCTGCGTGGCTGCAGCACCGCCAAAATGACAGGCCGTATCCCCGTGGCCCTTCTTGACCTGCTCCTCATAGTAGGCATTGAACGCCCAAGAGAGCTGGTCGATGGGATTACACATTCCGTATGTTCCATAGATACCCCCGGTTGCATTAGAGGCGATCCCATCACAGGCGCTAGGTGAAAGACCGCAGACTGTTGAAAATAGCCTTGACAGGTCTTCGTCGCGTACGGAGGATTTGGCTCGGCAGGTGATAGATCTAGTCATGCAGTCACATAGCTCCTTGTCTGGAGTTGGAGGCAGCCTGGACGAGGCTTCCCAGTCACTACTAATAGTAGGACATGGGGCATTGTCGGTATGCACTGGGGTGTAAGCAGCCATTTTTGGCCCCTTGGGTGTGACCTTCGCCATCTGGCTGGCAAGGGCCGTGAAGTCTTCGAGTTTCTCAACGCTGGAGCCGGATACATCGACCAGGCCTGGAAGACTGATTTAGCGATGTTGGCCCCCCTCGCGCAAGCGTTTCAAGGAGATATGTGCTTACCGTAGTTATTCTGTTCCTGGAAATACATGTAGACGATCCCTCCAGACCAGATAGACGTCATCTTGGGGCCATAAATGGCCTGCACCTCACTAAACTTCCGGGGCGAAACGGTATTGCATCCATATTCGGCGAAAAACACGGGAACATTATATTTGGCAAACTCCTTCGTGCGGTCTGCATATCCAGAGGTTTCAAAGGTAGAATCTCCACACCACTCGTAGATGTTATATCCCCAGAAATCAATACGCTCGTCATCCGTGCCGCAGTCGAAATAAGCAGCGAGGTTTAGCCGAATATCTGCGTCATCATCAGTTGCGTACCCAATGCCCATCGGCCGATATCCCTTCTCATATATGTAGGCCTTCATGTCTCGTACTGCAGCCTTTACAAAAGCACTGGCGTCGGTGTTGGCCCTATCATTCGCAACTTCATTCCCCGCAAAGAAACCGATGACGTTGGTATATTTTGCCAAAGAATCAATCACAGACGTATAACGAGCATACAGATTAATGTCCCATTCGGGCGAGTTACGGTCGATTGACTGGGACGGCTCGGCCAAGTCAGCAAGAACGTAGATACCGGCATCGGCGAGCAAACGCATGCATTCGTCGTGGTTCTTTTCAGGGTGAACGGCGTATACGCGAACTACGTTAGTCTGTAGCTCCTTGAGGAAAGGGATATCTCTTCTGCATCCGGCGGGGTTTGCGAGGGGGTCCGAGTACGATTCGACCGAATTGTCGCCATCTGTGGTAAGAAAGCGGCTTGCGTTTAGCTTACTGCTGATTCCGTATACTGATTTGAGTATGAGTTAATACCTTGATATGCGACTCCTTTGATAAAGCTATGGAGAGGTTAGTTCTGAGAACGAAGTCACTCCAAGGGACGAGTATACGAACAACTGCTGTCCGCTGGTTTTGTAAAAGAAGCGAGAACCCTAGTACTATGTTAGTTATATGGGCTTCCTAACTAGGGGGGCCTCCAGCGTACTTTGATCACGATGGGGTCAAGTTCAGCGGCATAAGCAGGGAGAGCACAACATGCTGCTAGCACGATAGATAAAATAGTTGCCAGAGGCGCCATGGTGAGTGTAAAAGAAATATTCCAGAAGGAAATTAGATATCTTATACGTCTGTCCAACAGAAAACGGGTATAAAGTGATGGCTGTGGGATGGTTGTATGGATGAATAGCGTCCCTCACGCTGCTCATATTGGTTTATTGACTGTATATACACATGGTAGGAGCCCCAGTCGATAAGCATCCTTCCTATACTGTTCATATAGACATGTTGCCACAGGAAATTCCCAAAATACTACCACATTTCCTTGGTCGTGCTTGCCTGGTTATGAGCTTGATCGTGATATAGGCAGGAGGAAGGCAGGAGAAAGATTGGAAGAGCGTAGTTTGATCATTCTCGACATATTCAGTCATATACAAGAAATAGATGCTGAAGCTGGCAAGTCAGGGGTATATCTTAGTGTTGAACGGAGATTCGGTGTAATACTGCCTGATCGTACGAAACACGTTAGTCAACTACGCCGTTTCATTAAATATCAGTGTCAGCTCTCCATCATCGAACAAATGCTACGCCCGGCGTTTTAACGCCTGTTTCAGCTGTAGCTGGCATCTCCGCGATGGCAAGATACATGGCCGTATGAGGAACATAAATAGGAGCTCAATATCGTGTATTTAGATGATCAGTGCTTGATAGATTGAAATCTCATAGATTGCTCCAGACCCACCTGACCAATCAAATCAATCAAATATCTCGTATCTCAGACTTAGAGTGGTCATGAAAGGCAACATAGAGCCAGCTATGTATTATCAAGGAGTGCTAGGGGACGATAGAAGTGGCACTTGTACAAGATATCATTCTTGGGTATATATATAGAGCTCCAACGCCAGAGTACGGCCCAACATCTCATATACGGTGCCTGATGCCCAACCTCTGCCAGCGAAGAGCAGTGTATATGGCCCTTTGAGAGGAGATAATCACGTGCTAACTGCCAAGAATAAGAAAGTACCTGGTTGAAAAAACCACCGAAACCACACGCCTTAAACCACTCGGCCAAAACACAAAGTGCACAAGAGGTTTTCTGCTCTTGGCAATGGCATGACATAAGCGTACCTGACCTCGCTTTTGAGCACATTTTTCAACTTGGTCCTTTCTTGCTCTTGGCAGCTGGATATCTCGATCCTGATAGGATAGATTTGCTTATTAATCAGTCACCATAGCTCAACTGACCTCTGAACCTTAATCTTTTCTCAGCGAGGTCAGATGAGCTCACGGGGGGCAGGTCAGGTGAACTTTTCACTTTGGTCCTTTCGTGCTCTTGGCAAAGGTCCACGGAACACGGAGGAACTTAGCTCCAGGTAGTCAAGGCTCTCGACCTTAACGGCTTAGATAATACACTGCGGGAATATTTCGGAAGCTCTCGGCAGTCGGCAAAGTTATATACGACGTCGCATGTATAAGAAGCAAGATATGCCAGCCTTCATACCCTGTTGAGTCAAGTAGCTGCTTGAATTGATGGCCTGTTTGTGTCTATACTTCCCCATTAGAGCTATAATCTAAAAGAATTTTCCATTTAAAAGACATTTCCCAAGGGTTTACGAATATCCTGACTTGAGTCCTCAAAGAGTGCATTTCTATTACTATCTCTATCCATTACTACTGGTCCCTATCAGCTTGAGACAAGAGCCTGATAACATATCCCGTCCCTCTTATTAAAATGGGAGAAGATCAGGTTGCATGGATTGGGCTGGGGAACATGGGAAGGGTATGGCAGACTCTCTCTTATAGCGAAGATTACATCTACAATACCCATACCCAGTCTCTGCTTGCTACTATCCTTGCATATTCCGTTTACTCCTCAGCTTGTTTGCCCTTGAACTCACATGATATATACAATATCACTGCCTAGTGCAGCTTAGGAGGCTGGGCGGCATCTTCCCCTGAGTGAATAACACATCTGGGGCCCCTTAAGTATTAGGTCAAGCCAGAGTAATATAACCAGGAAGGGAGCGTGGCGCAGCGGTATACTGACTCAGATACCAATGCGATAACCCCACGAACTCATGCCCTCAAGTGCAGTGCTTGCATAAGCCTCGGATTCTCCTGCATCCTGAACCATCTACGGACTTGTCTGTCTGTCCAAGGACATACGGGTGAAGCTACTAGCGCACGAGCGGTTGAACATAGCTTCATCTAGTCTGAACGGCACCAGACTTGCGTAATGAGAGGCTTGCGAATCGTGCCCGCTGAGTCTCGAACCCCTTTTTTTTTGCGTTCTGCATAGCTTCACATATCAACTTGGGATAGACGTGATAGGGCTGAGGTGGACGCCAAACGTGCCCGCCGACGCCCTGGGTTTGAACCTCGCTACTCTCTCTTTTTCTTTTTTGGTTTATTTTATTTTTATTTACCCTCCCTTTGAGCCCTGCATATACAATATATCTATAACCTACCCATACTACACAGTCCCTACAGCACATTTATATCAAAATGCACGCTTGACTCAGACTAACCTATTCTCTAGGCAATGGTCAAAAATATCACGGAAAAAGGCTCACTATCAAAGCCACTTATAGTTTATAATCGTACAGAGTCCCGAGCTATCGATCTTGCAAAGACGCTGTCCCAGCAAATCATCCCAGTCTCAACAGTCAAAGAAGCAGTTGAAAAGTCTACAATAATATTCATCTGCCTGGGCGACGATGCTGCTGTCGAAAGCACAGTTGATGCTGTATTGAAATCTACAGACGTGGCAGGTAAATTATTCGTGGACTGCTCTACCATCCACCCAGACACAACTCGTCGTCTGGCACAGCTCCTCGAATCCTCAGGCGCATCCTTCGCTGCTTGCCCTGTCTTCGGCACCCCGTTGATGGCAGACGCTGGGAAGTTACTATGTGTTCTTGCCGGACGCAAAGAATGTGTTGACCGCGTCACACCATATTGCACCGGTGTGATGGGACATGCCGTAATCGATCTATCGACCAAGTCAGAGAATCCTGGAATGGCTTCTATGCTAAAAGTGATGGGAAACACTATGATATCTCAAATGGTTTCTGCCATCTCTGAAAGTCTGGTCGTCGCTGAAAAGTCCGGACTGGGCGTCGATGCGTTGCACAGCTTCCTTGAGGTGATCTTCCCGGGACCATACGTGGATTGCTCCAAGAGGATGATATCTGGAGATTACCACCAGCGTAAGGAACCACTTTTCGCAGTTGACCTTGCCAGGAAGGACGCAAGACATGCAATGGAGATGGCGAAGGCGGTGGATGCTAGGATGAAAGGGGTGGAGAGGGTGGATGAAATGTTACAGGCTGTCAAGTCGCATTCAGGCGAGAAGGGAGACCTTACTTGTATCTACGGCGTCGCAAGAGAAGCGGCGGGGATGAAGTTTGAGAATAATTAAAATGGACAGCGGTTGAGGCCATGATTAAATTAATTAACTAATTAGGATTTACGGTGTCTAGCCAGCCAGGTCTATGTAGGGATCTATCTACGGACTAATGAGGACGGAATGCTCTTAAGACTACCGTCTGTTGCGATCCTGTCGCTTCTATCTCCTCGGCCTCTTCCATAGCAAAGAGCAGTCGACTGGATCGTATCACAAATTCTAGTAGTAGAACAGGTCAGCGCTCGCTATCTCGCTCTTGCACTAACGTTGAAGGAGGGGGTGAAGCGTCTACTTACCATCGATCTCAATCGTGTAGTACACGATGGTATCTGTCAAATCGCTGACTCCACGCAGGAACCCACAGCTTGTCACCTCCTGAGTACTGCCGATATGCAGACTTAGTCCAGAGTCCATTTTGGGGTCCACCCACTTCACATCTTCTTCTGTTAACGAGTGATCTACCTCGTCGGCCAGGTGCGAGTGGGTGTCCGAATCAGAATCTCCTTCGTACGGGTCGGTAAAATGTCGTGGTGACGTTAAAACAGGCTGTTGGGCCAGCCAGTCCCTCCAGAGTCGTACAACCCCCTTGGAGACTATAACGCCATCCGGTAGACTGTCACCGAGCAGCTTGGCGTAGACACAGACTTGGGAGAATGGCTCGGCAGAATCGACGAGAATTCGAAAAGGGGCTACTCGACTGTTTCTCGATGATGTGTTCTGACCGCCCAGAGAGTTTTTGCGGCCTGCCATGAAGCCTCCATTGTTGACTTTACTCCCGCCGAAGATTCCTCCTATCCCTTCCGAGCCTTCATTTTGGTCGTCTATGGTGAACACCTTCCAATCAGGCGAAAACATCGACTCGAAATGCTGCATTACCTTAAACCGAGTGTATTGTTCCCTCAGCACCCCTAGGTCGCCAATAGAGAATACATGTTCTAGCGATAACAGTCCCTCCAACTCTTCGGGGTGTTCGCTGGGATCATGGGGTAGTGTCCTGGTGTCGAGGTATGTTCCTATCGTGCGTCCCTGCGAGGCCACCCTGGAGGGCAGATGGCAGTCCAGCCGAAGAGTATATTGGCCCTTCAACTGCCTTATGGCCGCGAGCCTGTGGCTCAAGATGTGGCAGATAATGTTGTAGAACCGAGACGAGACATTCGTCCACTGCAGAAGCTCACGTGAGGGGAAAACTTCGAGGATGGTGATGAGAAGCTACATAGATGCAAGATTTAGGTTAGTCGGTTCAACAGCCAGCTACAGCTCTAGATCCACAGACAGTTGCGTCCTTTCAAGTGTGATGGCTAACCTCGTAGGGAAGAGAATAAAGGGGCGGCGAGCTGCCTCTGGTGCACTCCATGTCTCTCATATTGTGTGCAAAAACTCGATAGCAGGACAGTTCTCGACCAGGCAGCGCTAGACAAGACTAAAAACGGGAATAAGCATGAAGAAGGAAAAGAAAAGAAAGACGCGGACGATCGACGCCGTTAAATAGAGAGACGGTGCCGCCCCTGGTGTGTGTTTTGGTCTCCAAACTCCCCTTGGCCTTGCGATGCATCTTTCTTCGCGCTCTCCACAACTTCCCGCCAAGAGCCAAGTCTAAGCGCCAGTAGAATTTCAGTTGCGGAGGATTAGTCATCCGTTTCTTGTAAACACTTAGAAACGCTTAACAAACACTTATCTCGACCTCATCATGACTATCAGACTGTTGTGTGTGGTATCCCGGTCGATACGAAGGCTTACTTATTAGATCTACAGATCTCCCCTGAATATGGATAATGGCGGAGACACGGCAGCTATCTTGACTCCAGGAGGAAGGGCTGCTCAGATGACCAACCAGGCCCTGGCTAGATATCCAACCCATGCCCGCCATGTGTCAGCTGTCGAGATCGAAACTCCTTTTACACTGAAGTAGCTACGGACGTGATTTGCTGAGTTTATGTGTTAGACTATTCTAGCCCAACTTTAAGCTCGTTACCTGCAATTTCGTAGCCGTGAGGCTTCAGCCCGTCGGTATGGAGTTAGCTTCAAGAGATAAAACGGTTTCATCCATGGTCGACATTGGAACACATCACCTCTTCATATCTATCAGCGGGCCCCCGCGTTCTGACCGGGATCCCATTGCCATCATACTTGCCGGCGCCGGGGATGTCACTTCGTCGTACGTCGCGGTCGAGAGGCTGGTAGCATCGTTCTGCCGCATTGCCATCTATGACCGGTCTGGGCTCGGGCACAGCGAAGATGGGCCACAGAGACACACGGCTACCATTGCTGCCACTGAATTACATGCACTACTGAAGAATGCACAAATCGAACCGCCCCTTGTATTAGTTGGTCACTCGTACGGCGGAATCGTGGCGCGCGAGTACTTCCACCTATACCCTGGTGACGTTGCAGGCATGGTTCTCCCAGACGCTGCTACGGAAAGAATGAGCGAATATTTCAGGGTACCCGACCCAAACATCAACGCAGTGATGGGCACTCTTAAATATTCGCAGATTACAGGGCTACGTGATGACTCGAAGCTATCACGAGAAGAATGGAGGACACGAGCAGCAGACATATCTAGGGGTGTGATAGCCACTCAAGCCGAAGCAGCGGCGTTTATAGAAGTTTGTGAGACCCTGGGGGAAAAGGATCAGTATAAAATCTGTGCGATGGGTGACAGACCGTTAAGCGTTATTCGCTGTAATAGCGCAAGGGACTATCAGCGTATCTACGAGAAGGGTGTCGAAGCAGGAAATGGGACTGAAGAACAGCAGTGCGCGTTTCGTCAGCTGTTGGACCGATGGGACGATATCGACCGCTCGTTAAAAGAAGATCAACTCCAGTTGTCGTCCAATAGTCGCCTGGTTCACGTCCCTGATGGCGGACATCATGTTCATTTGATCAGACCAGATATTGTTGCAGAAGAGATTCAATGGGTCAGGGACATGATTTTGTCGGGACCCTAGCCGCATTCTAACGTATATCTATCGTTTCAGGTTACGATTACTTTTGTCTATCCATGAAGGGGTGTCTTACAAGAAGGGATACTCAAGAATTTTGTTCTACTAACCGATTACTGTTAGTTAGCCCGTTAAGTCGGACTTTGATAAATCGTAGTAGATCCGTAGATACCTATATTTTGTTACCTTGAAGCTCAAATAAACTTCTTATCTAAGCGTTTACATAATCGTTATGTATTACGTCAGCGTTGGTGTGTAACTTGAACCTTATTTGGAAAGCTTACTCGGAAGTTTTTTTGCATCATGAACAATTTATCGAAAAATATACCACGGGCGTGGAATAACGACTGATTTGGAAGCAGCCATGTTCGCAGTACCAGGGTGGTCCGTCTCGTCTTCTGAGCTAAAGCTCCAGAAAGAGACGCCCACAGCAAAAGATGTGTCTACACCCAAGACCCAAGAAATTGGAGGCTCATATAAGAAGCGGAAGAGAGAGCGTGGAGCGGATACTGATGGCGGAAAGGTCACAAAATCAAACGTGAATGAGATGTGGAAAAGATACATTGAAGGGGAGGCGCCAAAACAGAAGAAAGCACGACCAGAAAAGGTAGAAGCTCAACGTGAGCGGGCAGACGGGAAGGAATCGAATGCGAAGGGAAATACCGAATCACATAAGCCAGCACCAAAGGCCAATAAAAAGGCTAAAAAGGGAAAGGCAGAGAAGCTCTCCAAGAAAGATCAAACGACTGGCAGCAATATGACACCTCTAGGAGCTCGTGAGCCTGTGGTGACGGCCGACAATACTACTCCGTCCCTCCCACCTCCACCTCCAGCGAATTCAAATTTAACACCACTTCAGCAATCAATGCGACAAAAGCTATTGTCTGCTAGATTTCGTCATCTCAATGAGACGTTATACACAACTCCTTCTACGGAGGCAATGGAGTTGTTTACAAGCAACCCTGAAATGTTCGCAGAGTACCATGCTGGCTTCTCGCGCCAGGTTAAAGAATCATGGCCATCCAATCCAGTTGATGGATACATTGAATCCGTTCAAACTCGAGGAGCCGTCCGACCTCAACATAGGGGACAGGGAAAGAAGCCAGCCCCGAGCAGCTCAAGCCTCCAACCACTTCCAAGAAGACTTCAGGGACTTTGCACCATCGCCGATATGGGGTGCGGTGATGCACAATTCGCCCGCGCTCTTGCTGCCTCGAAGAAGCAATTGAAACTTAAGATACATAGTTTTGATCTACACGCCCCAGACTCCGTGATTACTAAGGCTGATATTGCCAATTTACCGCTTGAAGACGGGAAAGTAGACATTACCATCTTTTGTCTCAGCCTTATGGGGACTAACTGGGTCTCGTTCGTCGAGGAGGCGTGGCGTGTACTCAGAAGTGACGGTAAAGGCGAATGCTGGGTCAGTGAGGTCAAAAGTCGGTTTGGGAAAGCAACTAAACATAAATCCGCAAGAGGTTCAATTGGTCAAGTCAAGAAAGACAAAGGGAAGAAGAAGAAAGGCGAAGATGGAGAGGAAGATATTGGGGAGGAGATATTCGCTGAAGATCAACATAAAGGAATGGATGATGATCAAACGGACATCTCGGCTTTTGTGGAAGTCTTTTCTTCCCGTGGGTTCGTTTTGAAGCAGGAAACTGTTGATAAGTCGAACAAGATGTTTGTGAAGATGGAATTTATGAAGCATGGAGTGCCGAAGAAGGGGAAGTGGGCAAATGCGAATGGCCCGATTGAACCGAAGAAGGCATTTAAGAAATGGGGTTCTGTACCCGAGGATACGGGGCTAACTCCTGAACAAGAAAGCAAGGTGCTGAAGCCGTGTGTTTATAAGCTGAGATAGATATATAGATTCTTGATATCCAGGACTCTCAAATGCAATTAGCTTCATAGCGGTCATCACCGTATTCAGTTTGCTTACAGCTAGTTACTAGGCAACTTCGAAATTTGGATAACCGACAAGGTCTTCCAATTAAGTCTATGAAGCGTTCTTGCTATGGGCAGGATTCAGCCCAGAGTGATTTAACTCCTAACTCCACGCTAATTTCCTCCTAATGTAGATACAACTCGGCCCATGTCCTCGTCGCTATAGATCTGGAAACCTTTCTCTTTCGTGACGCTGGCCAGCTGAACGTTCTTCTCGTCGAGCTTCTCCTCCATCACTTGTTTCAGGGTCTTGAGAACTAGAGTCTCGGCTTCAGCCAGCGTCAAAGACCGGTGATATTCATTTTGTAGTTCAGCCTGTGCACCCTCGCTTCCAGATCCTATAGCCTTCGCATCGTAGCGATAAAATGTTCCAGATGGTTCCGCATGGTACCTATAGCATTAGAATTCCGTCAGCAACTGAAAGTGTATGTCCCGTAGTCGGATAAAGAGGGAACTGTACAGTTGCGGGCCATCCTCATCGTGTCCTGCAATCAACAACGCTACTCCGAATGGTCTACTCATCACGCTCTCCTCGCCATCAGCTCCCTCTCCGAACCGTAGAGCAAGATCACATATCGCCTGGGTACAGCTTTCGACTCTAAGAGGCTCTGAATAATGGAATCGATGATTCTGGGTCTCCACTCGTGCGTGTTCCACCATTGATCTGGCATCAGCCTGCAGACCAGACATTGCACATCCTATGTGTTGATCTATCTCAACGATCTTCTCGACTGACGACGTTTCAAGCAGGGTGGAGGTAACTCGCTTCTCGACACCGAGGACAACACCCTCGGAAGTGGCAACCTACATGGCGAAAAGCAATATACGTTAGAGAGATCCTCCGAGGCTGCTTCATTAACAAAAAATAGAGAATATCACTTACTCCGATAGCAGTGGAGCCCAACTTTATAGCTTCGAGGGAGTACTCTACTTGGAAAAGACGGCCCTCCGGGGAGAAGGTGCTGTAGGGCAACTGTATAAGCAACTCTGCGACTCAATACACCACCATAGGGGGGCAGTATATGCTTACTTGATTCCACGATCTAGAGAGCAGTCAGTATAGGCGCCATGTTGGAGGGACTATGCAGAGGTACTTACCATACTCGGACCGGGCGATGAACATGTTGAAATAGTGAAGGAGAGGGTGCGTTTTTCAGCAGATACCTATGATAGCTCGTATATGTGTCGGAGGATGCTGTATCGTCGTCCCTGAAGCAGCTTTATGGAGTCCTGGTCGAAAGCTGTCCTGGCGGTGGAAGCTCCCTCTTTGGTCCACGCAAACAGACAAGTGCCTGGGCAGAACACGCTAAACCCAAAGGGGAGCTGCGTAATCATCACGCCGGACGCGGTTCTATCACACTTGCGATCTGCCCTAGATAGCTATCAAGTCCGGGGAAAACGAAGGGACAAAGACAGGTTTCACGCCGGGTTTAACGCTTTTAAATGATTTATGATTATGAATTCCCCTTCTACCGCGAAGTCCAGGGCGGCACATGAGCGCGCAGCGAGCTACAACACCGTAAACGGCAGGCCAGGGGTCCCCTCCTCCGCCCGCGTCCATGGGAGGACAGCTTCCAGACACGAGTCGCCCTTCTCGCGAGAGACTACTCCGATGGCCGAGGGACGGCCTGCCGCAAAGCCGATAAATAAGAGCCATATCACGACGAGTGAGGTGCGCTCAGAGCGGACGAATGTGATTACCAGGGAGAAGATCCAGACCAAACGACCAGGCAAGGAGAACGTTACGCCTGGTAGTCCGAGAGACTGGGATAAGTCTCGCATGAAGAAGGACCATCACAGAAGCGGTTCGGTAGCAATGGCGTCAGATAAGCCTCAAGTTGAAGGTCAATTGTTCATTGCGCCCAAAAAACTACTTAAAGTACTAACATATCAAATAGTACCATGGAACCCAACAGTGTCACTTGTTCCTCACTCCGCCGCGCCCCTTGCCTGCCGGGTTTCCGTTCCGCCACTATTTTCAGAGGTACCGCAGTCGTTACGCCCCGGATCTCTGCGAGATATGTCCCTAGACGGCCAAGAAGCCGCAATTCTACAAGACCTACTATTTGTGTTTATGGGGTACGAGGGCCAGTATATACACTACGCAAATACATATAACCCTTCTGTAGAAACAGACCGTCTAGTGGGGCCCTCTTTTCAGATCATGCCGGGTCTAGATCCAAGCTTAAGGGACCTGACGATGTCTATGTTAAAAATGGCTACACACTACAGCGCAATGGAAGCATTTGTAGAAGTGCAGAGCAGATCGGAACTTGGCGCAGTCAACCATGCTCTATGTGCAGCAATACGGAAGCTTCTAAAGGATTATCTGATTATGGTTGCCCAATTGGAGACCCAGTATATCAACAACCCGAATTTTACACTACACGTCATGCACCTCCATACGATGCCTACGAGCCAGACGCTAGCCCAGCTTTATTCCCTAGGACAGGAACTTTTAAAGAAAAACTCGCTATTGGCGCAAGATCCGGATGAGTCAATCGACGATTTCGATGATGTTGATAATATCCTAGAACAATTACGAGAGGGAGGGGAATTGGCTCCTGGGAGTATGTCTAGCAAGAAGCTCTGCAAGGGTGGAAATGTGCTGGGCCTTATCAGCCAACGTCTCGCAACATTTTCAGGTGATCCCGCAACGGGAGTACTGCTGCAAACCTTGCTACGGGAGGCCAGTCGACCTTATATGACCATGTTGAATGAGTGGCTACACCACGGTGGGATTAGAGATCCGCACGCCGAGTTTCTTATCAAGGAGCAAAAGGGTATCAAACGTGATAAGCTTGAGGAAGACTATACCGACGAGTACTGGGAAAAACGATACACAATTCGTGATAACGAGGTCCCTCCACAGCTGGATGCCGTTAGAGACAAGGTCCTATTGGCAGGCAAATACCTAAACGTTGTCAGAGAGTGCGGAGGTGTTGACATTAGCAAGGAGGTGAAAGACGTTCCCAAAACGTTTGATGATCCTCGTTTCCTCGACAACATAAATGGAGCGTATGCGCACGCAAATGCATCCCTTTTGAACCTTCTATTAACCAAGAATTCTCTTACCACCCGATTCCGCTCGTTAAAACATTACTTCTTCCTTGACCGCTCCGATTTCTTTTCATACTTCCTTGAACTTGGTACCTCCGAACTTCGGAAGCCAGCCAAACATGTCAACGAAGGGAAGCTCCAATCTCTTCTTGATATAGTGTTGCGACAACCTGGCAGCATTGCCGCTCAGGACCCCTTCAAGGAAGACGTGAAGGTTAGAATGAATCAAATGGGGCTGACAAAATGGCTGATGCGTGTTGTGAGTGTTTCCGGAATTGACCAGGATAACCCTGACGGGGGCGTGGAAAAATATCAAACTCCTGCGCCTCAGACTTCTGAGAACGATAAAGATATTATTGGATTCGATGCCCTCGAGCTTGATTACCTAGTACCGTTTCCGCTCTCGCTTGTGATCAGCCGCAAAACAGTCCTCCGCTATCAGCTGGTGTTCCGACACCTTTTATCCTTACGCCATCTCGAGACGCTACTCGTTAACTCGTGGCAAGACCACAGTAAGTCTACCAGCTGGAAACACAGATCATCTGAGCGGAAAGTCGAGCTTTGGAAAAGAAGGGCATGGACTCTTCGCGCTAAGATGCTCGTTTTTGTTCAACAGCTACTTTACTTTTGTACTGCAGAGGTCATGGAGCCCAACTGGCAGATATTAATGAACAGAGTAAATGGTGATGGCACAGAGGCGACGGAAGTGACAGTAAATGGAACGAAGCAAGTCAACAGGACTGTGGATGAATTAATGCAAGACCACGTCGATTTTCTCGACACCTGTCTTAAGGAGTGTATGCTCACACAGGGAAAACTCTTGAAGGTAATATCATAGCTTCCACTATACAGGACCTAAACACTAACCCACTGTTGTCTTAGATCCACTCTAAACTTATGACATGCTGTACGATGTTTGCATCCTGGTCTGCGTCGTCGTTGTCTCGCAGTCTCGCATCGGCGGACCCAGATTTGTCTGGCCCTATGGATTCCTCGAAGAGCTACGATCCTCTCAGACTTGCCAAGCTTGAAGACACTCTCAAACGATACGAGGATCACTTCAGCCGACACTTGAGGATTCTAATGGATAGGTAAGGATCATAGCCGCATTCCCGCTCACCTAGGAGATATAAACTAACCTTTGCATCAGTCTTAACTATTTTGCTGCCACAGAAAGTGTAGTGTTATTGAAACTAGCACACTCATTGAGCGCAATTGGGAAGGAGGAATGATAATATATCTTACGACATACGTATAATTCCTTTCAGTATATCAAGAGCCGTGTCGAGGCCGCTGGTTGCTTCAAGAAAAAGAATTACGGGCTACATATAAGTCTGTCAGTCGAATACAGCGAGACGCGCACACCCAACAATCAGTTAGCTGATGATTAGCTTTCAGTCCCGGCTGAAACTGGGGTATTATGGGCAAACGTGGCTCGATCAAGCTGGAAAGGGGCAAGATAGGGAGAAAACCATTCTGCCCCTAAACCAATCACGCCCACGGGAGGTAATATATCCTCGCCTCCGATATTATTGGCAGGGTGGGGGATTGCTATCATGATTCACAGCCGTCCTGCGGGGGAGAGGAGGGACCATGAGGCACCGATTGAATTATTGATAATTCGCGATAGACTAAGCCGCTAAACCACAGGATATCAAAGAAGTTTATACCGTAAAATACACAATAAACGCCCGACCCCGATGAGAAACGATAAAGAGGGAAGAAAACCCCTTCAATGTCACTTTCAAATCATGCCTTTTCCTTTTTAGAGCTCTTTTTGTGCTTGACTTTCTTCTCAGCCTCTTCTCCATTCCGCGTATCTTCCCCCTCATCCTCTAGCCGCTTCCGCTTCTTCTTTTTCTTTTCCCCCGTATCTTCCTTTGGCGGGATAAAGTCTTTCTCCTGTTCTTTCATTTTCTCCGCTCTCTTCTCCCTCTGCTGCTCCATGACATCCTCCTTCCGAGCCCGTTCTTTAGCCTGCTTGCTAAGGAAATATTCACCACTCTCGATCTGCAGATCAACCTTACTCCTCTCCTGAGCAGGCGGGAACGGCGTGTAGACCTTCTTCGCTTTATCTGTAACCTTGAATGGTTTCCGTCTCTTGCTAAGCGTCTGTTTCTTCAGCTGTGGAAGGAATCTATCCCACGACTCCTCTGCGAGCTGAGGATCCTTGGCGAGCTCTCGTTTAATCATTAATTCTTTAATATGATAGATTGGATGGATATTGTTCATGCAGTCCTCGACGATTCGGCGGACTTCTTTCAATCCTTTGAACGGACCCATGGCAGCAACCGTATTTCCTTGAACGAGCAGGTAGGTACTTGTAAGCAATTCGAGGGCCTTTAACGTCGAGCCAGATGGTCCAAGGATGCGCTGTCGTCGCTTAACGAATCGCTCTTTATTTCGAACCAGGTTACGAATCTTGATAATATCGCACGCGACGTCATCCTCGAGGATCTTCAATGCCTATACAACAATATTAGTATATATATATCCTTGGAAGGAGCTCAGCCATGCTCACCTGTGGCGCCGGTACACTTCTGGCAAGCAGCTTAATCAGATCTCTCGCTTTCAGGATAGCAGCAGGGTCGAATGTCTTTCGGGTAGTCTTGACAGTCATGCTACCCTCCACCAAATCCAGTGTACATGCAATGCCACTCTTCTCGAGCGCCTTGGTTACTAACGGCCATACCTCCCTTAGGTAAACCTCTCGGTATTTAGGAAACAGGCTGACGAAGGAGGATTCTTCTGTAAAAGTCCCGCCTACGTTATCGGAAGGCTTGAACTCATCAATCTATCCAAGGAAAAAAAAAATAACGGTTAAGCTAGAGTCGCATGCAGGAGGATGGCGGGCACAACAAACCTTCCACTTATCAATGTCATCTGTGTCCCAGGGCTTATCCCTTTTATACGTCGACGGCATCTTTCCTTATCGCGCGCTCCTCTGGTCGTCTTCACCAAAAGCTCTCTTGCTATCGACGAAAAAAGCTGCAAGAACCGAAAAATGCATAAGGACGGCCGCATCGGGCAAGCGAGCCGAGCGCTAAGCGTGTACCTTAAAAAGAAGGGAAGGTCTGCCGAGATACCACGTGACTATGTGTATGTTATATCCCTGTCACGTGTCAAAAGTGCCAAGAAAGAGGGAGCTTCCCGCGCTAACCGTAAGCTGAAACTAGCGTGGCCCAGCTATTTTAAGCGACCGCGTTTGGGCCAAGCGCTATCCAGACCTCGGCTTGACTTTTCTTTGGCGCCGGGATGTATTATCTTTACATGGGAGACAGCTTCAGTTCGTGGCAGAGAGTAAGAAACCCCTTCTCCTTCGGCCACTTAGCTCTACCAGGGCTCATGGTGCTGGCTGGGGGGGCGCTTTATACTTCTCCATGGCGGGTGGGTTTTTTTTTGGGCGGCGATCCACACCTGACCATAGCGTTTCCTGGCCCACTGCGCAGAGAAAGATAAATGGGGACGCCCTTTTGACGGCAGAATATGTATATAGTTGGCCGTGGCTGAAGTGCAAGGTGTTGGGATCCAGCCATCCCAGGACGATATAAAACAATGGTTTCGACGCCTCCTGAACCCGAAGCCCACTCCGTATATGATATTCGAGTCTACCCTGAGTTTGTGGGAAGGTTTTGCCGCCACTGATTAGGTTGGCTGCGAACTCTAGTCAAGGACACTGAGTTGCACCCCAAGTCTCAAAAGCATTTTTTCATGGTTAGATATCCATATTTATAGGTTAGTTTAGAAGGACGTGAAGGAGTCACCTGGATAGGATACGAACCAGAGGCCGGCCTACGGGTGTATGTTCTGGTTCAGGGGGGTGTTGGGACAAACGGGCTACTCTGCGGCCCATTTTCGCAGATGAGACTGGCGGTAAAGGGGCTCGAAAGGCTATAATCTCTTGGAAAGAAACATCCCTGGCTTCCATCTACCATGTATCAGTTTGATAACGAGTAGTCTATATGCACAATCCTCAATGCCGAAATGCAGCTTGTACCTGGTAGCGTCGATTAGGTACACCGTACAAAGTATAATACGTGCCAGGACCTTGGGAGGCGCTTCAGGTACGTCCCGGTGGCCATCCGCATGAACCTCCAGAGTCCCTCGATCAGCTCTGTTCGTCCTCGGTCGTCTGCTCAGTTCTTCTGTCGGGGCCTGTCTCGATATCCGACGGTCTGTATTCCCGGCTGACAATCCCCAGTTCAGCTCCTTTGTTCGTGGCCACTTCCATCTCTGCTATCTGGCCTGAAGATCCAGCCGGAATCACCGCCACCAACATCCTTCGTCTCCTGGATTCCAAATCTTTGATGTGAGACTCTGAAGGTCACGAAGGGTACTCGATTCGAACGGCGATGTTCATTCCTCGCCTTCATCAGGACGACGGTGCTATAGCTAGCTCGACCTCCTCGGCTACTTATATAGGCCTTCTCTTTCACCCGTCGTTGATGCTAAACTCCAGTCAGAGGCTGTCCAGCTTGGAGTTATGTCGTCGTCTTCCCTTTCTTTAGGATAGAACGGTCTATCCTACCGCATAAGAGGTTTCGACGTACCCCCGCCTAGCCTACCACGACGATTCAGCAACCCTCATCTACCTTGCACGATCTTGTCCAACCGGTCAAACAAGACAATATCTCAGCTCTCGTGGTCGAACTGTTGGTCGTTCTAATAATCAAACACCCGGAATAAACGGTCATTGACTCCTGTCGACTTCCTAATGTATCCATTCAAGTAAACAAATACTTGAAGCAGGCGAGCGAGCACGATCCCGAATCCGAGTCTAAGAACGACCTTTCAATAATAGACGGTTTCTAACAACTGGTGAGAATAGGTAAGGGTCTGTTTATTTTTTCTTTCTTAAACTGATTTCGGCTTTCGACATAAGGTATTTACAGGATTGGCAAAGCTAAAAAGTGGGAGGAGCGGAAGTCTGCCTGCCGTCCCCTGAAATAGAGGTCAAGGCTTCCGTCCGATGCAAACATATCTATCAAGTCAGATTCGGCTATTTCAACAAGTCAAGGGGTCTCACTCACAGGGGGATATACGCTTTGATCAATGGATCATCTACCTCCTGTCTAGCACCGGCCAAAATCTCCTGAAAGTCAGCCTCAGACATACCAAGTCGGTGCATCAACGGATATAGCCCAAGAGATTCGAGGAGTAAGTGACAATTTTCTCTGTTCGCCTCTCCGATAGCTCTCATCCTTGGATCTAGCCTCTGATTAGCGGGATGCATCAACTAGTTACGAGGGCTGCCGCGATATGTGGGTCTTACCCGTTGACCATCCGGATAATGGCAGGGGTATCATCTTCGATTCGATATCAACCAAGCCAGCCGAGGACATGAGGTTGGCCAGCTTCATTCCAGCTCGAAGGTCTTTGACATCATCTAGAGCGGCAATATAGTTCGTGCTCCATCGCCGTAGAGCATGGTTTTCAGTCAGAGCCCCGCTGTCCGACTGGACGTTGAAGTATACTTCTACCATTTGTGCCCAACCACCGCGCTTTAAACACCTGATGATATCATGGCCTGGTCAGAGACCATCCATATATAATGCGCAAAAAACAAGGTATCTACCGGCGTTACCTTGAGGCAAATGCCGGCGATTACCCCTATACCAAATTTCAGCGATCCAAGAGACGCTGTTCGACTCACCTAGCAATGTCTCGGAGATATCGTGGCCATCTTTCCTTGTTAAGGCCAGAGGCAACTAGCCGCGAGTGAATAAGGTCGAATTGATTTGAACGGAAGGTAAACGTGCGGTTTAAGTCGTCAACCTAGCCGTCCCTCAATTAACACACGATGTTAATTGACATTTAAATTCCCTCAGGATGAGCAAAGGTCATTTACCTGGAACCACAGGTTATGCGGCGTATCGTCTGGCTTCATATGCGGAGAAACGTCGATTCCTATAACCTTTTGTGTTTTGCGTGAATTAGAGATAATTCTTCCACAGCATGTATGCTAGTGCGACATACTGCACAGTTTGGATACTGCTCAGCGACCTCTACTGCCCAGGCCCCTGAACCATAACCGCAATCTAAGACTTCCCTCAGCTGCTGAACCGGTGGGAATATAATCCTATAGTCGAAGACCCTGTTGAAAACCTGCTGCTGAAGCTCCAGCCTTTCGATCTCTTCCTAGATATGAGGGATGAGCAAGATAGTGCTGGTTTTCATTGTCGAGGAGAGGAACCACACACATCATCGATAGGAACGAAATATATTTGATTGTCGAGTGCATATTTCTGATAGTCACGCCCCTGGAAGGTGATGATCTCTGAATGCGCATTATCCAGGGCTGTGGTACCGAAATGAGGGTCACTATGAGGCCTGGCCGTTAGTCACTAATACCAGGCTATGAATAAGGGAACTAGAGGGCAACACTACTTCATTTTGACGGCGTGAACTGTTCAGATGTTTACTGAGAAGATGTGGGATTCTTTGATGGTGAACCAGTGCGAGGGTTTATTCGACAGGCTGTCTCTGAAATATCAGCCCGATAGTTCGTCCAGGGGAGGCCCGGGCGGCCATTTACCGTTGGAAATCAAAGACGGGGGTTCGAGCTTTGGGAGTAACGCACTGCCGGTCAATATGGCACCCTCACCTTTTTCCAGCATGTCACGAGAGGGCGTAGTTAATGGGACATCGAATCACCGTCCTGCTGACTGGCGTCCACGATACCAAATCCTTGCTCAGCCTGAGTCGTGGGCATGCCCAATACCCCAGGTAGACCCGGTCACTCGTTCTGCACCCTAAGACCGTTTACAGCAGCCCCTGGATAAATTTATTTCTTGCAGACAAGACTTCAATACGCCAGGACCGCAAACCCCTCCAATTTTATGCGCAATGGAAAAAAATTTATCTTTTGGTTGGGAACCGAGAATGCAAGTGAGAATGCAAGTCATCGGACTACTGGCGGAATTGAGGCTAGGGCCATTGATCTTTGTATGAACGTGGATATCCACTGCGGAGGCCGCCGTGAACAATTCCTCTTATTCCCCGCTTGTGGGAAGGTTCAGATTATCACCCATATAGCGGTGAAACGTTAGGTCACCTGCCTACGGAATCGATGCAAAAAAGGGACCTACTCGTGGGGGTGTGCAAGTCATTATTCCCACGGTCAATCTACTCCTCCCAGTTCTGCAGCCATTTGCACGGTTATAGGCATTACAAGGGTGTTGCTGGATATAAGTACGAATGGCTAAATTATGCCGTAGGCTGAGCTACCTGGGTTGGCCCGTCTGGGTTGACGTATGGCTGAAAATATCCTAGCAAAAGGTGAGGAATGATGACGAAGTGGAACCGGAATGAACCCATTATAACGTTCCACGTATCTCAAGCAAGGGCGGCTAGGAATAGTGAGTTCTTCCAAATACCCCCCCAGCATTCTCCGCGATTCAAAACTCAATCAAATCTAGCGGCCATATCTCGAATTTCCCAGTGACATGGACTTGGGTCACTCAGGCTACAGTCCCTCTCTCCGTTATCTAGGGGTCCGGGAGGCTGCATTCTATGTCCGTTACAGCCACCGGGTTGCGTGCTGGCCTGTATGGTATACATTCGCATCTACCAAGTAACCTGTCATGGCCAGATCATAAATCGCATGTTTACTCTAATTCAGGAAATATAAGCAATAGTTACATACGCCACGCCATTACTGACGGCTATTGCTCCTGGCCGACAAACTATATTCAAAGCAAGCTAACGCGGGAGCTGGCGCAGAGCATGATCTTGGTCGTGGGGATGATCCTTCTCTTCACTGCCGTATCTGGTGCATGCTGGTAAAAATGTATATTACATATACTACATATCCGCAGGGTTCAGCAATATCAAGCAAGCACAAGCTTAAAATATACATATTATATTCAAAAGGCATGGGGGCGGGTAACTACCAACACTACAAGCCATCCAGGCGCATCCAATTCGAAAGGAGGCTGGCTGCTCACACACAAACCAGAAACCTACCTCTTGATACAATTTATTCAATCCAGCTGCCATCCTGGCAAAGACTTCGGCCTCTCAGCAAGAAAATTCTCGTCTAGGTTCGTCTCATGTTACGACATTGGTCGCAAGGGCAGGTGGATCTTGCATACAGTGTAACATGCACTCCTGAAAAAAAGGGAGGATTATGCGCCATGATTATGCAGAGAATCGGTTGTTATGGAACATGCGCAATGGCCAATGAAGCGAGGCCCCTTATATCTTACGCTAACACCAACAGCCAACATTTGGGATATGTGATGTGGGAGGGTGACGGTACTCTCTCTGCCTCCAGCGAACGGTGAAAACGATAAAGATGTCCAACATACGGAGTACGGAGTCCTTGCTAGCCCAATGAAGCCAATGGATCCATGGAGATCTCCTAACCGGAACTATATCAACCAACAAATACCCAACCTTGGACGTGTCTGCGTTTTTCTGAAATATTATATATCCCCTGGAAGGTTATGCACCTCACCAATCAGATGAAGATCGATGCATGATATATGCAGCAAGGATCAAAATACTAAACGAATGCGACAACAGGATCGAAGTGCGTTGCCGTCCTCCCTATCCCATGTTTGTGCCTGGTTACATATCTCTGTTTGCACACGCTGTGTAATAGCAGCTGCAAACATGGCCAACCTAGCTGATACAGCCGACTTCCACTGGGATTCCCTACATATGGTCATGGCTGCATATGCACACCCCGGCGCCAGAGACATGCAGCTCGGGGAAAGCGGCCGGCTCCTATTTTTGCGACTAAAAATCAATACCCTTATATCCCCAAGGCAAAACAGATTTCATGCATAGCTGTAAGGCGCATCCTTCTAACCGAAGTGGACATGCATCCCAAATCGAGATGTCATCCCGAGCTGAAATTCTATTCGTGCTTGGTATAATTCTTTTTTATATTACTATGGAGCAAATAACTGTTGGTTATATGGGAACGATATGCTCACACCAGAGACATTGATCGCCAGATAAGTATCGTCGTTGCCACCTCTGTTCACCCAACGACTACTTACATATGAAGATTACCCTGACGGTTTTACTTTTGAGCATTCGGCACTATACTGGCCTCGCATGGGTCGCTTTGTTGGCAATTATTTATTATTAGGATTTATTATTTTGGCTTGCGTTTTTCTAGACATGTGTCTCTCCTACCATAACAATAGTAATAGTCGATTCTCGTCAAAACATCAATTCATGCCTCGAATTCTGAACCGCGTCCATCTGTGGCATACCAGCTAAGAACGATAGCAGTATAGGCTAATTAACGACAGGAACGCTGAGTGTAGAAGGTCACCATAGAGCAATCAAGCCTTCAGCACAGTGAGGGGCCAGACGGCGAGGAGATAGTGCGAAATCACAACGCTTTCTTCCCGGCTTCCCTCTCCATCTTTCGAAGGGCACGCTTGCGAATGGACTCATGCATTGTCTTGTTGAATCCTATCACAATCTTACTCAACGGCCCAAGGAAGGTGACTATGCTCCATGCCATCAAACCGTGACTCCAGTATGGCGCGGAGGTGTAGGCATAAGAGAACATCCCGCCGCTGCGTCCAATATGGCTGAGAGTAGCGCGGACGAAGTCTCTTGGATTTGGGATGGTCATGCTGGACTTCCTGATCTTAGACATAGCGGAGGTGACGAGATAGCTTTGCGTGAGTTGAACAGTAATTCCATAGGGTTCCAATTCAGATCCCAACGCACTCGACCATTGCTGCAAGAACGCCTTGCTTCCAGAGTATGTCGCTAGGAGAGGGGTGGGGAAAAGGCCACCGAACGATCCCATGGTCAGAATCAATCCACGCTTTCGCTCCATCATGCCGGGTGCCACGATCTGGGTAACACGAAGAGTACCGAGACAGTTGATGGTGATGATATCCTCCATTTCTTCCGCATCGGTAAGGACGAATGGGACAGGAATGGCATGGCTGAGTCCGACGTTGTTGATGAGAACGGAGATATCTAGTCCCTTGACCATCTTCTTTAACTTCTCATAATCGTCATCGTCGTTATGAGAGAAGTCCATGGCAAAGGTCTTGGTTTGAACAGTAGCATTCTTCTCACAGATATCTCCAGCCACGGCAGCGAGCTTGTCAGCCGATCGCGAGACGAGGAAGATATTAAAACCGGCGCGTGCGAGCTGGTGAGCGTATTCCTTTCCAATTCCATCAGATGCGCCAGTGACGAGGGCCCAGCTTCCCTTGGGACCGAAGGAGCGCAACTGTCAACGCAGAAACGGGGATATTGTTAGCAAATAAAGTAACGGCGGTTTAACACAGCTCTGCAGAGGTCAGTATAATATAGCATAGAGGGTCTCGTACCGGTATTCCTGGAAGAAGGAAGATGCTGAAGAGAGCTCGAACGACGCTGAACACCTTCGAGGCGAGGAACAGACCCCCAACAGCAGCAACGAACGTGGTCCCAATTGACGCCCATCCGGCCGGTGGTTCGACGCGGAACTGATGGACGGCCTCACAGAGTGAATTCATCTTGCTTGTCGTTATGCTCTCCACTGCTGCTCCAAGGTGGGTTGTTATCAGGGTATACAGCTTCTGTTGACTTGGAAGTTCGTAAATATTTGTTTGCCAAGGCCACGCCCAAAAGCTCAACCAGCAACCCCTTTATTTATTTATCCTCGCTTCATCAGAGAATATTCACAGAAGAGCTGAGATCAGTATCGCCGGCCTCTTGATCACCTTGGACCTCTAGATACCATGGACGCAATTATCTCCTATCTGCCTCAGCATGAGGGACTGCTCCCCAAATGGCTCCTCTTTGTACTGTCCCCTTCTACCTTAATCTAGGTCGCAGTCAAAGAATACAAGCTAATATGTACTATGATGTATACAGGTTTCGGTCGTTTCCTCTCTAAACACATTCCAGGCATTCGCCAGCCCTGCTTATACCGGTCAGCTCTACTCTGAAACCCCGATGACGCCTCTCTCCTCTCGCAAATTCGGGACCTGGACTTTCCTCTCCTCTGTCATTCGCATGTACGCTGCCTACTACGTGTCCAACCCACAAATATACGATCTCGCTATATGGACATACGGAATTGCACTGGCGCACTTTGCCAGCGAGTGGTTGATATTCAGCTCCGCGAAGGCCCAGGGGAGATTTATCAGTCCTCTGGTCGTGGCTAGCTGCAGTTTGACGTGGATGGTCACTCAGAGAAGCTGGTATCTGGGCCTGTAGGGCTGGTGTCTGAATATATAACGGGTGTCGGGGCGTTTGAATACAAAATGGTATGATGGAATGGCATATGATGTTGCCCATGTGTTGACTGTATCTAACCTGGGCTTGGGACGCCAGATATTTGGAATATAAAATGCATTCCTACACAAATTATGACTATATACGGCTCAATTGGACATGAAACCGCTCTATTTGCGTCTACCATAGCCCAAGAGTTGGAAAACCCCTACAGCTGCTTTCTATATAGCTCTCCTCCGCAGCTCCTTAGCCTTGCTGCAGCCTGCTCCGGAGTTATGTCACGCTGTGGTTCTGCGAGCAGCTCATACCTAAAGAAAGGAAAGTTAGCTTGGGATCGAAAGCAAAATGACGGCACTAATATGCTCACCCAACTAAGAACTTCTTCACGGTAGCGCTCCTCAATAGCGGCGGGTAGAAATGGAGGTGGAGGTATGAGCATGCCATCTCTTCGTCTGATCCGTCTAGGGGGGCCTGGTGAATGCCCATGCTATATGGGAAATTGGTTTGGAAGAGGTTATCATATCGACGAGTTAATTCTGCCATTGCCCCAGCCAGGTCCTCCTTCTCTTCCTGTGTCAGGTCCACCAGTGCTCTTTTGTGCCGTTTGCTAGTTATCATCGTCTCAAACGGCCAGACAGCCCACCAGGGACACAGGACTAGGAAAGTGTCGTTTTCAAACACGATTCTCTCCTTCTTTTCCAGCTCCAAGGTAGCATAGTCTTCGAGCATATGACTACCATTATGATCCTTGCAGTATTTCATCATCTGCGAAAGCTCCTTTGACGGCTCTTCAGGCAAGGAGCTTGTTGTCCAAATTTGGCCGTGTGGATGGGGATTCGAACACCCCATCGTTGCCCCCTTGTTCTCGAATATTTGCATATAGCGATATTGTTCCATTGGGTTCGATATTTGCCGAGCTGGAGAGTTCTCGGGAACGCTAGTCGCGGGATACGCCGTACATAGGCTCGATTTTGGCGAGACGTGCAGCGCGTATATGTCGGCCCAGACATTGATTATAGGGACAATCTCTTGCGGCGAGAGGTCTGCAAGCGTAAGGTTGTGTTTGGCGGAAAAGGTCAAGACATAGCATCTGCCCTTGACCGGTTGAGCTTGGAGGAATCGTGCAGATAGGGACGCTTTCGATGTGTTAGCCTGACTCTATACACTGAATCAATGCAGTAATCATCAAGATAAGAGTATCAGCTTTAAACCAACATTTTTCATCGGGTTCATAGTCTGCCTGGCTCTCCTTGACGGCACTGTAGTCGTTGACAAACACAAAGACCTTGTCGTACTGCGGGTTTCGATCGCCTTGCGCGCGTTTGTTTCCGGGACATAGATAGCAACTTTCATCGTAGGCCGAAAGGTAGGACTTTGTCGGCGCTTCTTCTTGTCCTCTATCAATAATCAGTTCCATGTATCTGATATCGTCGTTTCAGGGTATACGCTTACTGCCATGGTCTTTTTGTCCGATGCGGCGAGACAAGGACGTGTGAGCCCGTAAGCGGGTTATACCTCCGGTGCGATATATCGTCTAAAACCTGATTGACCATCTCGTCTATTCTATATACTATTATACGTCGTTTACAAGAGAAAAAGCTAACGTGGGGTTGAGATATCGAAGCTTCCCCGCTGAGATAACGTCATAGTTCTGCAGTTATAAAACAGAGCATCTTTCTACGATATAATTAAGACGCGACTTCAACTATTACCCTATGGGTTATATCCAGGCTTCATGTCAATGAAGGCTCTACTGTGATAAAGAGACTCGAGCTGTTATCAACCGTGATAGCAGCGACTTGTTTAGCGGTGCTATCAATCCGGCTTACCCGGCTCTCGAGGACTCTCCTATACTCCATCAGAGGATGCAAGACTGCTTGTTTGTTGATATCCGCTTCCTCCGCCCATGGACACGGTGATACGGGCCAACTGGCAGGGCGGCAGGCTGAATCGACCAGGAACATGGGCTGAGGCAGGATCTAAATTTGTTTCCTTGCTACGAATGTTGGCACCAGCCGTTCCTCTAGAGCGGGCGACGTATCCAAGTCCAGTCCAAGCAAGAGCTGATCAATCAAGGGCTCTCGAAAGCAGATTACTCAACGGGCTGGACGGTTGATCGTTGACCTCTCAGATATACACACCTACCCCAGCCCGATAGCACCATCCATGCAGTAAATCATGGGTATCGCTGCAGGACAGCCTACGAGAATGTGCATCGACAAAGTTATGCAGTGACACGAGCTGGATGCTGTGCATGCAGTCTGCCCCATGGGTAACCTATGGTTGCATTGATATAGCTTGGTGGTTCATGCCAGCTGTCGTGGTTTAATCTGTTCGATCTCAGCGCAACCTTTGGATGGCAGCTGGAGACACTACACTACCTCGACCCCTATTAATAGACAAGCAGGCTGCATAAATCGATGTCTACCTCACTATTGGACCCAAGAAGGAGAATATTAAGCGACTCCCGTACGTAATTATCCAAAGTCAATTACCTTCTTTTGCCTATAGATGCTGGAGCTGTTAGTTTTAGCTACTGGTCAATGCCAGAAAACAAGCAACCATGGCCTCCCCAGCAACAGATATGTTAAGCGAAGAATAGGGAGCTTATCAAGGCTCATCTATGCAGCCCATCTATACTAACTATATGATTGTCAACGCAAATAGAACTCGCCGGTTCATACACAGACATAAAATAGAAAACGGCCGTAAAGGCACCATCCCCGGTCGACAGACCATGTCAGCTACGCATCCGCATCCTGGCATAACGTGCTTTTAATGCTCTACCCCTGCCAGATCCCATATAAGGAATATGCACTGAGTAGTTTGATTCGACGACTTACAGAATCACGGTGCAACAACACGAACGGCCATATATCCATCTCGTCGGCCGCTGCTATAGACTTGCTATAGACTTGCTATAGACTATGGCTGTATAGACCTATGTGGCGAGCGTGCTTTGCCCCAGCCTGGGTCTGCCTGCTGTAGGCATAGGCGTAGGCGTAACGACAGACCTCGAAGCGAGCATGCAAGGCATAGGCATGACCCAGACAGGCAAAAGGACCTGCAAACTGGTCTATTGAGATCTAGTCTTGAGGCGAGGGCCGCTGGCACCGTCCCCCGATCTCGTGATGATGAAGTCTCTGGCCTCCTTTTCCAACGTATATATTTTATACGCGCGAATGACAGGCCGCAGCTTCGCCTCCATGTGCATGTCATTGAACTAAATGTTACGGAACGAGGAAATAGGGTTCAGCCTTGCCCATCAGCTTTTCTAAAAAAAGGCCGGGACCGACCTTTCAGCACTATATATTCGATAGTCTATGGGATGGAAACACTGTGCTGCATGCATGCATGCATAGGTTTATACACGTCGAAGCTCGCTGCTGGTGACGAAGCTCCCTTCCCGCCCAATAGCTCGACCGTTAGTTGCCTGCTGGGACGGCGAAGTTGCCTACAGCTACCTAATATAGGTAAATGGACTGCTTTGAGCCCCATCCAGCGAACCGAGATCCAGCGAACCGAGAGAAACGCAAAAGCAAAACCGGACAGTATGCGGCTATTTCCAGCTGGAGTAGACCTGGGTCCTTTTTGCAGTTCGAACGGGCCGTCAAGAATCGTCACCGAGTCCTTGGATCGCGCATCGCGCGGGGACTCCGAACACCTCGCTTATACGACGAGGAGACCCTTGATATATGTACGCGGTCAGCAGAAGACCCTGGCAAACACATGGACCGTGATCGATATCACCACTTCAGTCACCGACAGTACGATGCTCATCACATCTGTGTTCAAAGGGAAAGGCAAGGATGGAACCCTGCGACTATTGTTCCGAATTCTATTTTTACGTCGCTAGCGACTTGACCTGAGCACAACTGGGATATTTCGTGTCCGTCCGCCTGTAAATGTCCGACACCGACGAGAACAACCAGCGAGCGACTGTTCCACCGCATCGATGTGATATATGCGAATAGCTGAACCCTTTCCCCCCTTTCTTTTTCCCACCAGACAAATAACCTTGATCGGAAGACAGACAGAGTTCCGGCGTATACTCGGTGATGTTTGGCTTTGTTGGGATAATTCAGCCACCTACCCTTATTCCAAACTGTCGCAGAGAGGGAGAAAGATGGCGGGGAAAGACCACTATCTACGGAGTGAGACTATCTGGTGTTCTCATCCTTGTCCCTCTGCGGGAATCTCCCCATCTTTCTTTGCTTTTTATCCTCTTGTAGTGAGCATGCATCGATCACGGTAGGGATAAGATGGATAACTGCATTGGGGGGAGTTCAGGCAAGCATCCAGAACGGAGACGGGCCTATCGGGTGCGCGAGAACTGGGGATATCTTCTCGTATTGGCAAGTTACGCAAGGAATGGATTTGCCCATGTGGACGAAGGCAGTCCCCTGCATCCGCATGCCCTTGTGCAGCGTGGACATGACATGTGGAAGCAACATGCGTATATGTATGAGGGCGAGGCATGGAAAAAGAATAAACGGGCGAATGAGAGACACAAGGTTGGAGTTAGTTCGAGTCTCATAGCCCGTCTCCGTATACTCACTCCATACAGGTCTACAGGTCTACGGTGAGGCTCTCCAGAGGACGCAAGTGATGCATCCCAGCAAATCCCGAAACGCCGGGAGTGTTATATGGTTTGCGGCAGGCATAGAGACCTGTACATCCTCAATTTCCCCAATCGAGATAGGGCTACGACTTGTGCATACGCCCAGTAAGGCTTTTGCTCCGACCTCCGCTGAAAGAAAAAAAAAAACAACCAGAGCCAGGGGGGGTGCGAGGATCCAATAGAGGCCGGCCGACCCCCTGGCAGCCATGAGCTGGGCGGTGGGAAAAGTTAGCTTGTCTTACCCTTGCGCGCCCCATGCCTATTTCTGGACGAAAGCAAAGAGGACATGCAAGTCATCAGCTGATGTGATGATGCCATTTATACTGGGATGAAGGAGGAAAAGTCAAGATAAGGGACGGGGTTCGCCACTGGGCGTGGACAGCAGAGCCGGCCAGAACTAGGTAGTTCTAGACGCCGACGCTCTTCTACAGATTTACAAAAGAGAAAGAAAAGCAAAGAGAAGCAAGAGGGAGAAAAAGCAAGGGCACGAAAATGGACGGGGAAAAAAGCAAGGATATCGCGCATGGCAAGAGAAGAAAAGAGGAAACAGAAAAAAGAAAAGAAAGGAGCCGGCGAAAGAGAGGGAGGCAGTGACATGAGGTCTGGACCTGCTGGTAGACGCCGTTTACATCCTCCTGATGCAGACCGGGTAAACTCAAGGCTCGTCCAATGGCCCTCGGTGGCTTCGTCCGCTGGCATCCCCCAGCCCATGTCCATGTCCATATCTCCCATGGCCGCAGGGGGATACACCGCGACTAGTCGGTTCAGGAAGGTTGAAAGGCTGCTGATCTGGACCCGACGAGTTGGGTGCTGGCGTGCAAAAGCTTGAGCACCCACGGCTATCAACTCTATCATATCACTCTACAGCTACAACTACAAGTCTATAACTATAGGAACGACAAGGCTATGACGACAAGACTACGACGACAAGACTATCACCATAGGAAGAAGTAGTACTCTACGGCAGCGTGGGACGACTGAAGAGATTCCTTTTGAGAACCGTTTCGGCCACGTTGGTACTAAAAAAAGGCCATCCAGTCACTGTCCAGCGCCGGGCCAAGATCGGAAACCTTGTCTCCCTTTCTCCGACTGAAAGTGAAAGTGAAAAAGTGAAAGTAACAAGGGTAACCGATGTCTCATGGCAATCTTATCGCTCAGACGCAGAACAACGCAGAGACAGAGAGGCAGGGCAGCGGTGGCGGCGGCTGGGAGGGACGTTCATCGAGCTGTCAGAATGTATATTCGATATGCTCAGTCTGGTGACGGGGGAGGCCGGCAGTCTGGATCAAAATCACCGTCCTCCGTACAGACAGGACGACTATGTCGCAGCCCCGGTAATATTACAAGCCAGCACCCTGAGGAGGCAGGCTAACAACTTAGCATGACCCTTAGCATGACGCTGGTATAGTGAGATTATTACCAGGGCCAACCACCGGGGCGGTCGAGTTTGATATCTTCACGCCAGCTAGTTGAACCCGCAGAACTTAATCTACACTAAGTCTGCATTCATTTTAGCAAAGAAGAGTCAGGAATGAAATGAAAAAAGCAGAGGCAAGGTTCGATGGTGCCTTCTCTCCAGCTTCGTCGATACATACGATGTCTATATCGGTCTATATGATCCTATGTTGATACAGAATATACGTCTATGTCGATACTATGTCGATACTATGTGATACGCCCGTACGTGGCTGTCATATCTATGGTAAGTCTCGCGTGCTATATCTAACTCTATGCGTCCCAAACAAGGGGTCTGCTTCGTTGCTTTTTCCTCCTCTCGGACTCTCTCGACGCTCTGCAGAGTTGCTAGTTGCTTATTCCCTCTAGGTTTGCCTGGATTTGCCTCAATCCTCTGCGTATCCGCCGGACAATTCGTCCCCTCGGTATAAGCCCGACCCAGCAGGGAGGGAGGACCGAATGCTCCCCACCAACTATAAAGCAAGAGAGATTAACCATCGTGCTTAGAGTTGGCAGAAGAAACCATCTTACCGGGGCCGACAGGACGGTCGGGATCTTCCAGACGTTAACTTCACCTCGACGACCGCTTGACAGCTAGCCTTGTTCTCGTCTCGTCTCTCTGCCTCACTGTTCCTTTTTATCTTCCCTGTTTGGGCGGCGTTTCATGGGATTCTTCATTGGCCCGCCAAGATAGGCTTCACCTTCACTAGCATCAAGCTTGTTATATATATATATATACCTCTGCATCCCCGCTGTCGGATATTCATTGATACCACCACCACATCTACCTATCTATACATGTCTCTGCTTTAAATCAGCATCAGCATTACTATCAGCAGCATCAGCATCACCAGCATAGCATCCTCAGCATAGCATCATCATCACCAGCACCATCACATCACATCACATCACATCTACCATGGACATGGACCAATCCTGCTTAAAAGGCTTGGAGAGCCCTCCACAGTCGGCAGAAGAGAAACCTTCCAAGGACTCGTCGCAAAAAGCCAAAGGCCCAAGAAAACGAACAAAGACTGGCTGTCTGAGTGAGTGTTGAGTTGCCTTCCATCCTCTCTCCCATACTAACGTTGACCTAGCCTGCCGCAAACGACGCATCAAGTGCGGCGAAGAAAAACCGAGATGCAACAACTGCATCAAGTCCAAGCGTGAGTGCGAAGGGTACGGACAGCGAGTTGTCTTCAGACATCCTGTCGGCCCAATTCCTCACCTTGGACCTATCCGCCAGATCCAGGGCATGGGCGGGATGGCCGCCATGCCCATGATGGCCAGCTCGTTTGCGCATTCCATGCAACATCTCGACAGCTCCTCGTCTCGACCCGCCCTTCTACCCATCGCTCCCCGTCCAACCTACCACCACGCACACCCTGAAGACGGCTCAAGGCATCACCACTCCTATTCAGCTGGCTCCGATCCATACGCCTCCTCGCATCATCACTCCGCCATCAGTCCGGACCAGCCACCCTACACTTGGGAGTCCGTCTCCTACAGCGATGGCTCCTATGTCCCCTCTACCTCCGCTCAACAATATACGACCTCCACCACCTCCGCCAGCTATGTGACTGCCGATGCCCCTTATCCCAACCAGGAGTATGGCTATGAAGATTCCGCCGCCTGGCAGGATACCAGCCAACTCCAACCCTATGAAGCTGCGGCTGTCTATCAAGCTCAGCTTTCACTCCAAGTAGGATTGCCCGCTCCCCTTACCACCACCACTACCACCACCCACCAACCCGAAATAGTGAGCAATCTAGCTAACGGCATAGGGATTCCATCCTCCTCCGTCGATAGTCACGCCAACACCCGAATGTATGGGCACATACCGATTCATAGTAATGTAGCACTGACTAAAGGTTTACGTGCAGATGTTCGACAAGATAATGTTTCTACAGTGATGCCCAAGTTGGAGTCGAAGGAGACCTTGCTTTTTCCTGATGACCTGAAACAGCATAACGTGGTGATGCACGATATTGGTGAGGAGAGTGATGACTATTATGATGTCGAAACGGATGGGGAGCTAGAAGATCCGTATCCTGTTCCTCCTTCTTCTGCTTACTATGGGGTAGAAGGTGGCTCGGCGTACCATTCTGCACTTGCAGTATCTAATCCGCCATTCGCGACTTATATGAATTATGATAATTTATTGGCCACATACCGTCCGTCTCCATTAACATCCCCCCTTATCGACCCAGAGGTCGCCAAACTATTCTCCCACTTCATAGTCTCTGTTGGCACTGTCATCTCGATCTTCGAGCGCAAAAATGGCATGGCGCCGCTCATTTCTTCCCCCGTGCCAACAGAGCAGCAGAGCCTGTTCAGCTATACCTTGCCCACCATGGCGTTGGAAAACCACGGCCTGCTGCACTCGATACTAGCCCTGAGCAGTGCCCATCTCGCCAACACTACCGGCCAATCGTCCTCCGCTGCCTTCAGACATTATCACTTTGCCCTGCGACGAATCAGCAAGGCCGTCGGCCTCCCGCATAAGAGAAAACAAATATCTACCCTCGCCGCGACCCTGCTGCTGGGCTTCTTCGAGGTCATGGCCTCCGAGCACTCGAAATGGGGTAGCCACGTTGCAGGCGCATCTCAACTGATACAGGAGATTGACTTTGTGGGTATGACGAGGCGCATTCGTGCGATGAGAGCTCTGGCGAGGAAGCAGAAATCGGTCTCGGGCGCGAAATCCTGGTTTCGGGCTGATGATTTTCGGCTGGAGACGTTCTTCGACAATGACGTCTACGCACCGATGGAGAACGAGGTGGACGTAGACCTGGTCAGCACGATTATGGGGAGAGAGGCGAACTACGACGGCGTGGCCGGTCAGGTACAAGGCGAAGATGCAACGCCGGAGACTCAGCAGAGTTTGACTCCCAAGGATATAGAAGAGTACAGGATCAAGACGGATCTCTGCTGGCATTACTGCAAGCAAGACCTATTCCACAGCCTGATCAGTGGCAATCCTCTTCTGTACGTATACATCTTTTTCATCAATTGAGTGTATCGAAGAGAGAACGAGAACTAACTGTTTAGATTACCGTACGACAAATGGGCCCAAACTCCGCCACGCTCCCCTGTTGGAAAGATACAGGCCATCTACGGATCCATGGACCACCTGCTGCTCCTCCTTGCTCGGATATCCGCCTTTGGCGTAAGGGACCGGAAGCGAAAACTCAAGGTGATGGAAGAAAACGGCGGAGAATGGCGGCCGCCTCCCAATATGTTCCCCTCTGGCCGGCGAGGAGGCCCTTCACCAGGCGGTCCGCCGCCCCGGACAGTCCCCGGCGGCCCGTCCAGCCATGCCCCGGGCGTGGATAGGGAGAAGAGCCCGCCGATGTATGGGATGCTGCCCGCGAAGCCAGTGCGACTGCTCTCCGGCTTTGCGGGACAGCCCAACGGCGCATCCGCACCCTCGCCTACCAGTACCGAGGGGACAGATCTAGACGCTCGCACTGCAGAGGCGGAGGCCGAGTGGCAAGAAATCGCAACGGCATGCGAGCGCTTTGAACAGGCCATGGGCCCGTCCTTTGCCCCGTTGCCCCCGGACGGAGCGCCCTTGATCACGAGTCCCTTTGGGCCAGCATTGCAGTATCGGACACACATCATAGGCTGCATCTGGGGTCTCTACTATGCAGGCCGCATCATCCTCCATCGATTCCACCCGTCCATGCCGCCGGCCGCGACCAAGGCTGCAGGCGCTGCGGCCCCGCGAACGGCCCAATATGCCCAAACCATCGGCCGCATCGTTGCCGGAATCCCCTACGACCAGCAGCATTTCACCTCCGCCAGCACCAATCTAAACGTTACCATCGCCGGGGTCCTGAACGAGCTTACCGTCAGCCTGTTCTTTGCAGGGGTGCAGTATGTCGACCCTGCGCAACGGGCCTGGACCGTGGCAACGCTGCGTGACATGTCAAGCATAACGGGCAGCAAATCTCCAACCGCCATCGCGCATGGTTGCGAGACGTCGTGGATTAAGGCCTTTGAAGCTGGCCGAGGTCCGCCGTACGAACGGCTCGTGTTCGACTATGACCCGAGCCTCAACCATCGCGAAGGAACCGTTGCAGAACGCAGTAGCGATAATCGCTGGGTTACCGTTCATCGCGGGAGCTCTATATCCTGGGCCATGGGCTTGTTGTCGCTGGATAGTGATTTTACTACTTCGGATGGCAGTCCTCCCAAGTCGTAGATTCCACATGTTTACTCCTATTCTCTTACTTTTCCCTTCCCCTTCCCCTTACCCCTTGCCCCTTGCCCCTTGCCCCTACCATTTCACCCCTACAGCCCCCACCATTCCTACCATGATGACGACGTGATGATGATTAATGAATTTAACGTGCAAAGGATCTGGAGTATATTTTCCTTTTCTCGCCATGTACTATGTAAACATAAAGGGTGCATTTTCAAACCTTGCATATCTATTCTCTCCACTATTTTTCTTTCCTATCCCAATATTTCGGTAGTAAGAGTGTTAATTTCATCGTTCGAGTTTCGGGATTATTTTTCAAACTATATTATAATGGAAAGTTTTGCATACGTCCTATCACATTTCATTTCATTGAACCGTAACTGCGTTGAAGGTAACTTGAATTACATTTTTCTTCCAATTCACTTTTAATTGGCCTTGAGTTCCCGTTCCTAGATAAGATATCCAATTGCACCGTCGAGATTACCATTTGCAGCATCTAGAGCCTGGATGGCCTCATCTCGCGTAAATCCTAGATCTGTTATTTTTGCAATCGAGTCAGCTGGCCAGCGTGAGGCTCGCTGCTGTGTGTTAGCGGCTGAAGGGCCTACGGGAGCTGAGCCGGTGCCAGCAGCAGCAGCAGAGGAAGATGCAGGCGGGTGCAGTGATGAAGAGGGCGGTGCTGTTGGTCGCTGGATGCCCATTCCTCCAGCTGGCTGCTGCACGGCGCCCGTTCTCCCTCCGACAACAGCTCCATCGCGGCCCATCACCATTGGCTCGTCTTCAAACTCATCCTGATGCTTGGGTATATCAGCTTCGTGTAAGAACGGGACGGTTTCATTGCGGATTTTCAATACGCCTTCTTTCAAGTCGATGCATGCTTGGTGCCGTTTAAGCATATCTAACCCTAGTAAAAGGTCTATGTGCTTGCCGTCCATCACCGTAAAGGAGCAAGGGAGGAACATGTCGCCGATCTTGATTTCGGCGCAGTGGACACGGCCCAGGATGTCGGCGGTGCCAACGCCCTTTGCGATACCTCCGTATCGTCTATCGATTAACCGCATGATGTTGCAGGCTGAGGCACACTCCGGTGACATTATAGTGACCTGTGCCCCGGAGTCGACGAATGCTTTCACCTTGTGCCCGTTTACTTCTACTGGGATATACAGCATAGATACTCGACCGAACGCTAATACAGTTAATATAGAAAGTATATAAAAAATTGTTTGGAAACAAAAAGACATACCTTCAGGAGTGTGTTCCATGGCCGTGTGTAGGTTTTCTGTAACTGCATTCTGACGAATGATCTCCTCGATCTCTCGCTGCGCAGCGAGATTGAACGGATCCGCATTCAACATGGCTATTCTTGCTTCCTTCGCTGCCTCTGCCTGCGCCTCCGCACGGCGATGGGAGAGCATTATGTCTCTAAACCGCTGCGGATCATCTACTGCTGCCGCCAGCTGTGGATTCTGCTGCCTGACAGCCGACAGCACCCTCGGGTCTCCCAGCATATGCAGACGTATCGTCTCTGGGTCTGGTATCGCCTGCTGCCGGCGCGAGGACTCGCCTTGCTGCGGAGGGCCTCCAGCTCCTCCTCCTCCTCCTGCTGCTGCTGATGCCCGCGAGGGGTTACCCTGGCCTGAGCCCGAGCCCGAAGCCGAACCGGAGCCTGGGGCTGGGACTCGGACTTGCATACCCAGCATGTCACCTTCGCGTATGCCTATCTGACCCAGCGGCTTTGTATCATCTGAGAGGAGCTGGTTGTTGTGAAAGAGGTACTGTGACTGCGGGGGGATCTGGATCTCGCTCTGTATGACGGCCTTGAGGTCTGCCAGAGTCATGTCTTCGCCGACATCGAGCGAGACGATATCCGAGCTGATAGCGACATTGGACGCGACAACAGAGACCGTGATGCGCCTTTGACTCTGGTTAATATGGGGTAACCCTGCAAGCTCCGGAGGAGGAGGTAGAGCGACTTACATCTTGCACCAGTCGCAGTCGCAGCAAATAGATAAAAAGGCTGTTTATATTAAAGCGTGTGTGCGGAACCCGGGAGCTTGTATCTTGTTCCTGAGTATGGCCCTGGTGATGGGGGGAAAAGGCGTGAGGGACAGATGATGTCCAGGCTCCAAGCAATGACGCAGGCGGCTCTTCCGCACCACTTGGCCTTCGACAGACGTCTTCGAGGAGATGGACGAAGTATTGGAGAGCACAAGACAGAAGGTTAGAGCTGCAGCTAATATGGAGAAGAAACAACCAGGGAGGATGTTATTTATACACCTAAAATGCTAACTCTATCGAAACCAGGTCGGACGAAGGACTGAGAGCGGACAATCCACCGAAGCACCGGGAAGGAAGCAGAAAGAAAGAAAAAGAGCGCCATGAATTAGTAACAGTCGCCAATCCATGCAGACTGATTCATATTGATTACCTCCTGCGTCTGCGGCGCTGCAAGGACGCGCCCTCTTCTCCGGCTGCTGCTGCTCCATCCCTCGAACAAGCCAGATACAAACGCAGGCGGGTGGGTGTTATTGGCCGGGGGAGGTGAAACTCGACAAGTACGCACCCGTTCTATATCCACGATGAAAGCCTTGGAGTAACCACTGCCAGATACAGGACAGATGCATTCTCTTCTCGTGCAGGAGGCCCGAGATGTTGCATATGGACTACGGGATACGACGCGCCTCCCGTCTTGTCTGGAGAGGGACGACAGGGATAGACGGGATGTTCCTCTGCAGGTGAACAGATATCTCACCATGCTGCGCGGCATCGTGTGTCACATATATCACGACTTACACGGCTATCACCTGGCAACGAGAGAGAGACAGAGGATAGACGAATAAGACGGGACAGAGGATAGACAGGAGAGGAACAAAACGAGAGAAGAGAGAGGCATCCCTTGTAACTACCCAGGCTTATCCAGCTTCCCTGTACATAAGCTCCCGGTGTCTTCATCCCTCGATCATCCTGAGCGCCAGGAGGAGTTTGTCCCAGGTCCAGGCATCTGCAGGGGGCTGTTTGTTCCATGACGTCCAGCTCGTAACTCCCGTTGCTGTCTCGAGATTGCCGGTTTATCGTCCGTTTGTTCTATCGTTTGTCCGTTCTGTCTGTCTGTCTGTCTGTCTGTCCGTCTGTCTGTAGATGCAACGGCCCGGCCATGGGCTTGAAGATACTCCCGTGCTACTAGTATCGCCAGCCAGAAACTGCGTGAAGAGCATGTATCTCCCATGTACCACCAGCCAAGTACCGTGACCAGCGCGGGTGAAAACTTAGGATGCAGAACTTCGACTTCAACCAGCATACACCACCAGCATACAAACGACGACGACGACGACGACGACGACGACCACGGACAGGACGAACACGGACAGCCTCGCGGATAGACACAGGACGGACAGACACGAACGCCTCGCGCAATCCCTTTTCGACGGCTTCCAGCTGTTCCACAGCTAGACGCAGCCTAGGACGCCACAGTCTGCCAACAGTCGATCGCCCCTCAATTCTCTGCCAGCTCGCACGCCAGAACAGTTTGGTGGGATAATATTTCAAAGGTAGAAACTCCTTGCGCTGCTATCTCGGCCCTGGTCTCCCCTGGTGCCTCTGCGGCCTCTTCGTGGTGAGGCGGGGTGCTCTTCCTACGGTGCTTGCCTGAGGCCTGCCCCTCCTCCTTGCGCAGAGCAGAGCCTGGTGATATGGCGGCTTCATACCCTGTACCCAGTACAGTGCGGTTCAAGCACCGGTGCTGTAAAGGGAGAAAGAAATACGTTAGATGTGGTGTTCGTCTCTTTGTTTTATTGCTGTTCTTTTTGCTAGCCTTACAATATACACGCTGTTATACTGCCTCTTCAACCCTTGCTAACGGCCTTAAAAAACTAGTTCCTGCAGACTGTAACGCGAATATCTAGCGGAACCCTGAAATAGGTGATACTATACCTACCCTGTCTGGGCCCGCTGTCATGGCAGAAGGCACTTCCATATCCGCGACCCCGGTCGACGAAACACACGATACCAGCCCCCCTGCCTTTCACGCCGTTCATCTTAACGACGTCTCAGGGCTCGCGGGTCGACCGTCTGCGCTCTCGCCGAAACTATGGGCTAAACCCCGGTCTGAGCTCCCCAACGGCGCCAGCGCTAAGGGACTAGAAGCGGAGGACGACGAGGATGAGGATGACGACGACGATGATGACGAGGATGTTGAGGAGGTATATGCGGCCACAGGTGGTGCCTTTGGAGGCACAGAAGAAGACGACTTTGTAGCCGTAGACCATTCGGATGCGTCTGACTACCCTTGGTATATGCGGTCCCGCGCACCAGCAAGGAAGTCGGAGCTAGATCGTCTCCACCCATATGTTCAGCTACTCTCGGTGTCGGATGCTGAGGCCTGTGAGAAAGTTGAAGCTGCCTTCCCTGAGAATCAGAGGTGCTCTAAAGAACATGTATGTCTCTCCCTCCAACACGCTTTATCGAGCCCGTCTAACCCGGAATAACCAGATAACCTACCGTCTCTCGAAATGCCCCGAACTGTCTCTTGGAATTTTCTCCATCCCCCCAGCTACGGCGGATAAGCCTAAACCCAAACCAGAGCTCATTGCACACGTCCTATCTACCAGAACAACGTCATCCGTAATCACCAATGCGACAATGGGAGTTCCAAAGGACTGGAGAAGTAAAAAGTCAACCTTACCCGCCCCAGGCGATGACGAGCCTATTGGCCACCAGGACCAGGGGTCAACTATCGCCATTCACTCACTCGCTGTTCTCCCAGAGCACCAGGACAAGGGTCTCGGCAAAATGCTAATAAAGTCATACATCCAGCGGATCCAGGACGCGAAAATCGCGGATCGTGTCGTCCTGTTAGCCCACGACCATCTCCTAGCATTTTATACTAGCCTAGGATTTGAGAATGTTGGACGTAGTAAATGCACTTTTGGCGGCGGTGGCTGGAATGATTTGGTATGTCTTTGAATTACCCTTTACCGTTACCGTCAGCAGTGCTAATATCATTCGAATAGGTCCTCGAGCTCAACAAGGCTAACTGAGTGTTCATGCGTTGAACTCTTTACGTTGGAACTACCCTCCATCTCTATTTTCCTTCTTGTCGATAGTTATTCTTTGTGGCGGAGTATATGTGGCTCCTTCTGCATGCGGGCTTTTGTGTGATATTTGGAATGGCAGTCGGTGGTGTGAGTACGTCGTATCTACATGAGCTCTATAATCCTGGCAGCGGGTGTCCCAGGAACGGTGGAAAAGCATTGTTACGCATTATGAACATGACGGACGCGGTGGCAGGTAGGCGGGCTGGGGCAGGAGAAGGACAGAGCAGGGCAGGGCAGGGCAGGACAGGGCACGGAGGGAGGTATATCGAGATGAAAAGGACGAAACTGTACTATAGCAATAGCAATATCACTGTATGTATCTTTTGCTCCCGGAATCGTCCCTTTTGCCCTTTTTGGGAAACTTCGACCTCTGTGATTAGGTAATATATATACTCGGAATATTTATTAATCCGATATCTCTATATACTCACGTGATAGCTTATAATTTCCACTTTAACCTGCCAAGACCCCGGGAAAAGCTTCCGTTTATGGCCAGAAATCTCAGAAATCAAAAAAGTTTCCCACCTTTTGATAAAGTCCGGAATTTTTGATTTGGAGGAAGAAACAAATCGTCTTTGTTGAGCTTCGACCCTACGTTAAAAAGCAAGGGACGATAACTCGAGCTCATCATGAAGACCACTTGGAAGGATGTAAGTTTTATTCCCTTTCCCCGTTTAACGGCCTCTGTGTGGCTGCAATTCGCTTGACAGGTCGAGTAGAGCGGTGTCTAACTGTGTGCGCTCGACTAGATCCAACCGGTGCCGACGCACCAGGAGTTCCTTGATATTGTCCTGAGTCGGACACAAAGACGATTGCCCACGCAGATCCGTGCTGGGTTCAAGATCAGTCGAATCAGAGGTATGCTCTCTTGAGCTTATTCTCTAGAACCGAGACGAAGGACGAAGGGACCGGTTGGCTAATGAAATATCAAACGTGTAGCCTTCTATACGCGAAAGGTCAAATTCACCTCTGAGACTTTCTGTGAGAAATTCTCGGCGATTCTTGATGGATTCCCAAGACTGCAGGATATTCATCCATTTCGTAAGAATCTCTTACCTTGAAAAAAAGCGGGGGATATGAACGTCCCTATAAGGGAAATTTTCTCGGACTGACCGAATTTTTTTTCTCTTTTAGACAAGGATTTGTTGAACACGCTGTACGATGCCGACCATTTCAGAATTGCGCTCGGTCAATTGTCGACTGCGAAGCGCCTGGTCGAGACGGTTTCTCGCGATTACGTACGCTTGCTTAAATATGCACAGTCGCTGTTCCAGTGCAAGCAGCTGAAGAGAGCTGCCCTTGGACGTATGGCAACGATATGCAAGCGTCTAAAAGATCCGCTCCTCTATCTCGAGCAGGTCCGTCAGCATTTGGGCCGTCTTCCAGCGATCGACCCCAACACTCGAACCCTACTTATCTGCGGATATCCAAATGTTGGTAAATCAAGTTTCCTGAAGAGCGTCACCAAGGCGGATGTCGATGTTCAGCCATACGCTTTCACTACGAAGAGTTTGTTCGTTGGACATTTCGACTATAAGTATCTCCGATTCCAGGCCATCGACACCCCGGGAATTCTAGACCACCCGCTCGAGGAGATGAACACCATCGAGATGCAGTCGATCACGGCAATTGCGCATTTGAGATCGGCCATTCTCTACTTTATGGATCTCTCTGAACAGTGTGGCTACTCGGTTATCGACCAGATCAAGCTATTCAACAGTATCAAACCGCTTTTCTCGAATAAGCTCGTTTTCATCGTTATCAACAAGATCGACGTGATGCGCCCAGAGAACCTTGACCCTGAGACCCAGGAGCAACTGCAGGCTGTCCTTAAATCATCTGGTGTGGAGATGCTGCAGCTTTCATGCACTACGACCGAAGGAGTGACTGCGGTGAAAAATGCGGCTTGCGACAGACTGATCGCCGAGCGAGTTGCACAGAAGTTGAACACGGGTGCCAATAGCTCAGGCGCTCCTACAGGACGACTGGGCGACGTTTTGGCTCGTATTCATGTAGCTCAACCTTTGGGTGGAGTGCGTGAAACGTTCATCCCGGAGGCCGTCAAGACGCTCAAGAAATACGATAAGAATGACCCCGAGAGACGCAAACTGGCAAGGGATATCGAAGAAGAGAATGGTGGCGCTGGTGTTTACAGCTTTGATCTCAAGGAGGGCTACCTCCTCGCCGATGACGATTGGAAGCACGATAAGATGCCTGAGGTCTGGGAAGGAAAGAACATCTACGACTTTGTCGATCCTGATATTGAGGAGAAATTGGCACAGCTGGAAGAGGAGGAAGAGAAGTTGGAGGAAGAAGGATACTACGACTCTGACGAATCCGTTGAAGATGCTGACGAGGCTGAGATTCGCATGAAAGCTGATCTGATCAGAGAGAAGCGGGCACTGATCATGAATGACTCGAAGATGAGGAAATCCCTGAAGAACCGCGCGCTGATTCCACGAAGCTCAAGGAGCAAGAAACTGTCTGATATGGAGAAACATCTCGATTCGATCGGTTACAAGGCAACTGCCTCTTCTTCGCGTGCCAGAGCTCAGCCTCAATCCCGTGGCCGAACCGCCACTAGAGATGAGCCAGATGCCATGGACGTTGATACCCCAGAGTCGCAACACGATGCACTCCGACGAGCCGTCAGCCGTGCACGAAACCAGGCAGCTACCAACCGTCGCGTGGACGGTGTGACCAACTTGTCAAGCAGGTCCAACGCAGAGCGACTCATGAAACTCGGCCAGAAGACCATGAACCGTATGGCCAGACAGGGTGAAGCAGACAGACACACTCCTGCCTCTCTACCCAAACATTTGGTATGTCACTCACTTATCTTCCAGTCGTTTACTCTGTTACTAACCCTCAACCTTTCAGTTCTCTGGCAAGCGTTCTATCGGCAAGACCCAACGACGTTAAGGAAATTCAAGTTGATACCATTTCAGGGTTTATACTTTTATCATTTAATGCTTTTTCCTATGACGAAATGACGTTCCCTGTTTTCTTGAGACCCTTGGAGTTCGCGGTGTTATGGCTCGATTCCCTATACTTATAGAAGGTTAATGAGTGCTCTTGTCGGAAAAGTTACCTTAGCCTCAGTTGCAAATACAATATCAGTCAAATTAATCCTGTCCTGTCTTCTCCCTTAGTATAGCTGTATAGTTGTATAGCTGTTCTATGCATGTAAAGCTCAAAATTGAGCCAGGTTATTTATTGAGTTTGGCTGACCAACCACAGCTTTGGCCGCATGACATAACTTCTCGCCGAGCCCCAACTCAACTCTCCAACTCCAACTGCAACTCCAGCTCAACGCATCAACTACTCCTCACAGACAGACTTGTATCTACTTAGTGCACTCTCGTTATTCTATCTAGCTGGCAAGAAACAGCTGAATTTATCTCTCCATATCCTTTACCGCGCCGCTCCAGGCAGTCACTCGAAGCACCCAGAGGGATATCGTCATCATGCAGTTCCCTTCGACCGCTCTCCTCGCTCTCCTGATCTCTCCACTCGCCCTAGCCGCTCCCTCCTCGCCTTTCCTCGATAGCTTCTCGCAGACGCCGATAAAGATAGAGGATGATATCAGCGTACCCGGCGTTAACCCGCTAACTTACTGTACCGACCCGACGGGGAACATTCTTACCATCGAACGGGTAGACCTGTCTCCAAATCCACCTATTCCGTAAGTCACTGCATGAAAATACCCTAGATCTAGGCAGAAATATGCCTTTGTTCGCATATATACTGGTATCCAGGACTAACGCTTGAGATACCGCAGTGGCAAACCCCTCCAGATCAAAGCCTCGGGTGTCTTTTCAAAGCAGGTCGACAAGGGCGCCACGGTCCAGCTGCAGGTCAAATATGGCTTCCTTCAGCTAATAAACCAGGAAATGGATCTATGTGAACAAACTGGGAACGTTGGTCTGAAATGTCCCCTTGAAAAGGGCAAGATGGTGTTCAGCAAGAGCGTCGATATTCCCGCGGAGGTTCCTCCGGTGAGCAGCCTTGTTTATCTCCCAGGCATATGTACATGACTAATTCGAATCCTTTTTAATAGGGTAAATATACTGTCAAGGCGGACGTTCAGACTGCTGGCGGAGAGCCAGTCACCTGTCTGGATGCTTCTGTTACATTCGAGATCAAAATTTAAAGCAATATCGCCTCGATACGTCGCCGCAGTCCGTCGAACACTATGTGAACTGTCACAATCCATACTTGAGCTCCTTCAATTGCCCAGTCATTTTCGAACGGATGGCCGAGGATCTGATTTGATGACCTTGGTACGGACCAACATGAAATGATACGATATGGTTATGGATCGAGTGGTGACTTTTTGGATACTCTTATGCTCATACGAGCAGGCTTGCGTTGTTTTACCTCATCCTCTGGACGAGACCAGGTGTAGCATCCTGACCTCCACGCATTAGTCTCACACACGCCCTCTCTCGAGGAACATACGCTCACGTCAGTGCCTGTTATGCTATATTTTTGGGTTTTTTCTTACTTTGGCTGTTTTGGCTGTATATCCACGTCGTTCTAGCGTGTTTTGTTCCATCTGCTTTACTGTTTCTCTGTTCGATGTTTCATTAATTCGGTTTTTCTTTTCAATGATAAATAGACGACAATAATATGCGATATATCACGGATGTAATTTCTTTCAGTCTTATGCCAGTCGAGCCCCATGTCTCGTAGTGATTATGTATTGAAGACTAAGGGAGTCATTATAAATAGAAATGTTCAGCTTTCGGCTCTATATTATCGTGAAACATCACCGAAATATATATAAATATATCAAAGTACCGCATCTTTCTTCGTGCAAAACATAACTACTCGCCAAACAGCCTTCTCACTCGTCGTAATACACTATCCTTCTCGGGGTCGTAAGGATGGTCCTTGCTTGGAATCTCAAGCACGGCTGGGAAGGCATCAGTGAAGGTGTCTACGCTATTGCGTATCCTCTCAGCCACCTATTTTACCGAATCACGGTTAGTGGGACATCCCTGACATTTATGGCTGAAGATGGAAAGGGGAATATTTGTGTACGTACGTGCTGGTTTATGAGTAGGACACCAATGTCTTTTCTCTCCTGTGTAAAATTTCGGAACGCCTTCTCGATGGCGCTGGTCTCAGTCTTGGAGTCAACCACGAGAAAGTTGCGCTGGGAGTCTGGAGGATCCGTTACATGCTGGTTACCGCAAGTTAGATCCGAGTATCAATATTTGGCATTTCGTTATTTCTCCCTGAATGGAGGGGCTCAGGATTAGGCTCGTTGGTATACTCACGCCTACGCCAGCAAGGAGGAGGCCAGTGACTGAGCTGTATCAAAGATCATATGTTAGTGAAGTACTCCCCACATTCACATTTATTTAAGTCAATGCAAGGTAGGATTTCGGGAATACTTACTCCTCATCGCCGATAACAGCAAGGAATTGCCTATCCTATATATAAGACACATGGTATCAGTATATGCGAGCTCGTCAATCCGCGATATATGACAATCAGATTCGATGTATGATGCGGCACTGTACCTTGGAGCCTGAAGTCATAGTGCTTTCGATTCACCGGCCAGAGAGGAGAGGTTCAGCGAATTAGTCCAGCGGGAACCAACTCGGATAACAAACGGGTGATTCTTTCAGAGGCAGCACAATCCCTTGCAGAGGAAGAGTAAACGGCCAACTTCGTCGCTGGTGGAAGCTGTTTGACCGTGAAGCTGCTTATCAGATGCACATGATCTCATAGTGCTTATGTAATACATACATTCCTCACCTCGTCGCGATGGATTCATTCAGTAGTAGTAATAACATATCAAGGAGACTGCTTCTGGCCTTAACAAGACAAAGCATCTTATTGTTTACAAAGCTTCTAACAAACCTCATCGTGCAGTTGTTTTGTTAACTGACCAGGAGTATAGGCCATATCACGTGATAGAGAGCTACCTCAGCAACAACGCTCAGTTTAGTAAACAAATATTTTGATACAGCGACGAGAGCAGCAGACCTCGAACACCACTCCCCAGGGTCTAGGTGTTGCGCGTTTGGGACCTTGTTGGATTCTTGGATCGGAAATCGATAGAGAACTGAACCGGAAAAGCTTTGGAGAGATCATGTGTCGGAGTTAAGAAGCACCAATAACCAACAGCCGCCTACTCCTTTCCAGCATCGACAGCCATATCGCTGAATCCTCACGCCCTACCACCCGCGATGCCTCCTCTCATCCGACGAAGACCGCTCCTAGAGCGTATTAAAGCCTACTTGAACCCTCTTGACTTCCTACTATGGCTGTCAGAGGAGCTTGATTCCAGTGATTGGGAGCAGTGGGAGAAAGAGTGGGCGTTACCTGTTGGAATTGGCATGAATGTTCTCTTCCTCGTTGCGCGTGCGAACAGCCAGAAAGGAAGTCGAGCTCATGATGATGTTTTTGGGGATGAGGGAGGTGTGAGCTATATTGCTTGGCTGGTACGTTGATGCTCTAGGAGGAATACATGGTGCAATTTTTTTTAACTGACCGTATATTGGGACTTGACAGGCTTCGTTTATGGTTCACGCTTTAGCGCTTCTTTCTATTTCGAATGCGCTCTACGCGTTTAGCCGGAAACGGCCTTATCGACTATTCGAAGTGCCTATTGATAACGTGCCTTCAACGCCCTCCGCTCGGCGAGTTCAGGTGAACTCTTCGCCGATGGCGTCCTCGCCTCTACGCTTAATATCCAGTGTCCTGTCTGTTGGCTCGGCGGAGCAGAGGGCGCATCCTGATGCGCAGCGTGATGTATGGCAAGTTTCGGTCTGGGATCCGCATCCCCTCGCCATTCGGCTGTTCTGTCTGTTTAGCCCTGGCCACATCCTGGTTTATTGGCTATTCCTCCCTACCCTTTCTACGGACCCCAGGCCTAGCGTGACGATAGTGACGACTATATTCGTGGCCATACTTTTGACTGCACAGATGTCAACCCTTTCAGCTTCGTACTCACAGCAGGCTAAGGACTCGGCCTTAGTTCACAAGGAGGTTCTCAACGAATATGACACGAAATTTGTCCACCCTAGAACAGAACCAGGGATGCGCAGCGTTGCAACACAATTTTCAGAGGCAGATTCATATATCCAGCATAAAGATGAAAAGTACAATGTGGTGGAGGCTCAGACACCAGTCGTTACACAGCACGCCTTTAAAACTCGCCCAAATCCCAATTATATTCATCATGTCGATCCTGATTATCGTGTTAAACGACAACAGGCAACTCCTCGGGCGTCTCTATCGACGCCTAGAATATCATCAACTGGTTCAATACAGCGACCATCTGATACCCAAACACCTTCATATTCTATAGATCCATTTTCACCAAGCACTACACAAAGCGGAGCAATCCGCCAACCCCAATTTCGGCCCATATCAGGGACAGGAGATGGTGGGAGCCTTGGGGTGTATTCCCACGCCCAATCACCTTTGCGCAAGTCTTCAACTCCCCTTTTTGACCGAGGGCGGAAAAGTACTACCTTCCGAGATTCCGATGGCATACAGAGCCCCAGAAATATACCAAGCAGCCCTCTCAAGAGATCCAGTGTTGCGGGTGATATGAGTTCAATGTTATCATCCCATAGACGAGCCCGGCTAGCGAACGATGTCACTCCTAGGAGGGAAAGCGGGAGGTTTTGATTATTGTCCCTCTCTTTTTATACGTCTTAACATACCTACAAAGAAGTCAGATTTGTACAACAGCCCCTTTTAGCCTTGCAGTTTTAAATTCAGCCGATGATACGATTATATGATCTTTACCTTGCTGCTCCTTTCCGCATACTCCATGGCTCCTTCTACTAACCCATTTTTATCTTTTCTTGTTTGTTTATTTATCCTATCCATCGCTATTTCTTAGAATCAGGGTAAGCAACTGCCAAATGGGGGCCAATATCCTCTTTGGTCTTAATGTTGATGCTTCATAAAAGCTTCATTTTGCTAACGAGGAACACATCGCAAGACTATCGTTTCAACAGCAGCATATAATATCCCACTCTCTCTTGGACTTGATGCTTTATTTTGCGAGATATTCTTACTCTTAAGTGACCACCCACTTCAAGTTCTTCTTCACTGCAATGCCTATATTAACACCGTCTACCTCGGGTTCCAGCGCTGCTTCATCAACTGTGGCTGCTCGTGGAGGTAAATTGGATAAAACGGGCCCAAAGAAACAGCCACGCTCATCCTCTTGGTCGGCATGGCTTTCAGCCTCCGTATTTCGTGCCCCTGAGGCACAGAGTCATCCTACTTTTACTGGTCATGATGGGCAAAACGACAACGATCCTGGGGTCGATGCCAAACCAGAGGATGAGGCAGATATCGGCAAAAAAGGAAACCTTCGCAAGCCCGGTCAGAGTGATGAACATAAGAAATGTGTTACCATCGAAGAACCCCCCGAAGACGCAGGCAATGATGCAGAAATTGATGTGCACAGTGATGCAGGGACCGTCAGGAGACCCGCGATACCCGGCAGCAATACAACACCTAGTTTTTTTCTATCACCACCACTGCCTGATGGCCATCAAGCCTCATCTGCCGAAGCTACTGATCGCTTGTCAGGAGAGCGTCAACATATGAGAACCACCCTTTCTCACCCTGAGCGTCAATGGAGTGAAGACCACGCTCAACACCCAGCTGGTCGAAGAAGGACTTCCCGAACAGTCAGTCGAGACGATTGTCTGACGGCTCGCGGTGCAAACCCACGTACTGGAGTCGTTAGCCCCAGTGCAACGGACGAAAGCCATTCAGATGACCTATGCCCTCAGGTAGAGAACCCAAGTGGCACGGTAAACCAGAAATGGCGTCTCAAAGGAGATCAATGGATTAGCTTAGATGCTTCGGAGAGGACACCATTGCCTACACCTTCTACTGACGATGATACGCATAATTCGCATTTCATTGATCCTCAAGGTCAAGCACAAGCTCGTATGCCCCATTCTTCAGGTGTTGGCGAGAGACTCAGAAACTATCGAGACCGCTTTATCGTCAACGCACCATCCGCAAGGGAGTCATGTCCTCCAACTATGACTCCGCAGCAAGCTACAGACTTCCAGCGTGCTTATAACCGACTTCTTCGCCATGAGAACGATATGATGGACCCCGAAAGGGCGCCGAGTCCCAGAAGTATGACTGCTGAAGGGCCTAGCACCCCTCCAAGAAAATTGTTAAAGGTTCGCGATGCACCCCCTTACAGTGCAGGGCCTCCAAGGAGGGAACATAGGGGAGACCGACCTCCAGTACCTTATAAACCCCATCATGAAAGTGGATCACCGCAATGGAGGCGTAGCTCTGCTCCTTCTAACGGCCAACAACCACGGAACGGGTGGAGGGAACAGACCAACAAATGTTTTTTAGAAGATGGGCAAGCATATGGAGGAGAAGAAAGGGCCCTGCGGATGCGGAACCCGCACGCAGTCGACCCCCAGCAGAGGACGTGGCGACGCCCTTCAGAGATGCCTCCGTACAGACCGCCTGGTCAGTACATCCAACGCAGCCCCCAGGATGCACAGTATGGAAACCGCCGTTACCCCAGCATGCCAAAATACCCCCAGGAACCCCATCCATATTACCGGAAAGAACTCATCGAAAGAGACAGCCCCGACAGCATCCAAGAGAGAAGGTTATCCAGGACCTTTCACATCGAACCCCGTGGCCACGCAAGTCAGACGCTTCAGCTTGGGATCCCAGCGGCGGACGACGTACTCGCTACCATTACCACTACCACTACCACGTCCACAGTCACACCCATTCGACTCAACACCACCGAGGTGGACAATTACTTTACCAAGGACGAAGTCATGGACAAGACAAGCTCCTCCGGACAATCTCACAGGGCATCCGGAGAAAGCGTCGCCACCACTGGCACGAAGACAGGGAGTTCAGGAAGTGCAGGAAGTGCGGAGAATGTCGAAGATTTAGGAGGCAGGGGCCAGACAGCAGCATTTCACGTCATCGGGTTTGGGAAAAATACCCAGGGGGTGGATGGGCCCATCACTATCTTAGGGATCCAAGATGGCGAAACAAAAGATATAAATGAGGCTAGTCTAACCCAGCTGATCGTCCGAGGTTTATTCTTCATCAAAATGGCATTCGATCGTTCACTATCGATTGTGATATGCTGTTTAACTCTTACCGCAGCGACATGTAAGGGGTATTATCAGTATGTGGTGTCAAGAGTGCCACTTAAACTAAGAACAAGACCGGGCTTAGGGTCAACGGGGGCGGTAGGTGGTGTTTTACTTGTAGCCATCGCTGTGTCTCTTATTCTGAACGTTTCAGCAGGGGAATTCCCCTTTAGGAGCTCCCAGAATACAACACAAGCTACACGAGGCCATTATGTCGCTTATTGATGCCCTACACTCGTTCAGATAGAAAGCGTTTCTTTTACTACCCTCTCTAGTGTTGTTCTACGTATTAGACAATGAAATCATTACTAGCCAATCGTCGTGGTTCTGTTACACCTTCATTTAAAAGTGAGAATAAGAGTTCAAAGTACATTCGTTTTATCGAAAAAAATCCATAGAATTCTTTTTGAATATTAGCATATGAAAATTACAAAATGCTCTAGAAAAAAAGTAACCTAATCGCTGGTTTATTCATGTTGAAATAATGTTGAAAAAGTCATCACCCGTTGCATCATCACAATCATCAAGGTAGTACTTTGTTGAAATCTTCCTTTTGGTTGCGCGCCTCCCGCCCTTTCGCCCGCCATGATATAATTGGATAAAATGATGCATCTCAGGCTCTTTTGTTTCCTCTTCTCCCTGTTCCTCTAGACGCCGCTTTCCCATGCATTGAGTTGAGTCTAGCCCCGGCTGTCTTCCTTAGACCACAAGTTCTCCCTTTTTTTGGCGTTCACCTTTGTATTCTTCTATTGAAACGCCGATAGTGCAAGGGTCGAGAGGAATTAGAGGTGAGGTCATAGAGAGATAACGAAACGAAAAATAAAAACAAAAACGAAAAAATCAAAATGATATGCTTTAGAACGAAACACGAATGTTGAATGGGGTATTTGACGAAGGTAAGTTGAAATGGAACCAAAAAAAGAGGGTTTAAAGTGGTGGTGGTGGTAAATTGCGAGTTAGAGAGAGTGTGTGTTGGGGGATGGCAGTTGCAATAGAGACATGGTGTGGATTAGCTCTAGTTTGCTGTAACAGCTAGTTTCTCAGCCTTTGAGACCAGCGCTTCTGATGATGTTCCGTTCTGCTCTGGTGCAGCAGCTTGTTGAGTGCCGCTGACTTCAGTCTCGAGGTCCTTTACGACGAGACCCTTGAATAGGTCGAAAATGTCGTGTGTCTTGTGGAAGTCATTGTTTACTAAAGTTATGCATTAGTAGATACTCTTATGAACCTGAAGGAATATACGTGTTAGAGTGATGACTTACCGATGTTGAAAAGATACCAGTTATCCATCGTGTTTTGGATCAGCTTCCTGCTGGGGCTTGCAGCGTCGTGGCATTTGGCCCAGTCATCGCCCAGTCTGTATGCCTCGTCCTTCCAAGCTAGGAAACTGACTGTCTCTACGATTGTAGGTTGAATCACTTCCTTGGAAGCGAAGATACCCCAGGTGACGGCATTGGGTGTATCGCTGGTGTTTGTCTTCAGCTCGCCGTTCTTGTTGATACAATGGTACGTCAGGTCAGAATTGGTCTCGATGCGTCTAATAACCTCATCGATCAAGGTAGGAGAGACGAGTAGCTCGAGATACGCCTTTTGGTACACGTAACCATTCTTAGGTCCCCATCCATAGACTGGATGCGAGGATTGCGCTCCGTTGATCGCCGGCTGGGAGTTGATGGTCAGGAATCCCCTGTTGTTGAGTTCTATCAGGTCATCCTTGATGATATCCGACTCTTGCGTGATGGCGCTTTCACTCCATGGAAGTCTGTCGAGTTTCCCTTCCAGGAAGCGGATGAAGATATTCGATAGGTCTTTGATAGACTTGGGCTCACCCCATAGCTTAACGTTTTGCTCGTTGGTGCCCTTGAGTCCGATACCGTAAACGTCAAGTTCTCCGAATGCGGGGGACCGGGAGTCGGTCCAGCGGCCGTTGGGGAACTCATCCCAGGACTGGGTGCGTGCGACGTATGATTGATGTCTGTGTCTCCAGAAAATAGGTCGAACGTCTTCCTCTCTCCTTCCAAGACCCAAAGACTTTCTCCATGGCAATGGCTTCTGGAGAGGGGTCTCGGAGGACGGCTTCAAGTTTAATTCCTCCAAAACCATGGAGGTTGACTGTGCAAGATTCATAGTATAGCTGTACATAATTTGGTCAGTCAGGGGCCTTGAAGGAAAGAAGAATGGAAGGGAACATACAAGTGCAGATGGTGAATGCCACCATCGAGTAGTTTTCTACACATTTCGGACACAAGAGCCTTTCCGATCTGCTTGACGGCGGCGTCATCGTTTTTGACAGGCTCGAGAGCCTCAAGCCAGCCCTTGGGGATCTTGCACTTGACCCAGTTCGTTCGACGAATGAAGGCCGCATAGGTCGAGATGGGCATGATACCGGGTATGATGGGTACGGCGATGCCAGCCTCCCGGCACTTCTTGACCCAGTCCAGGAAATGTTCGGCATCGTAAAACATCTGGGTGATGATAAATGTACTACCCATATCGACCTTCTCCTTCAGGTACTTCATCAAGAGCTCAGGGTCTTCCTCGTCCTCGCACCCTTCTGGGTAACCGGCAACGCCGATATCGAAGTGGTTACCATACTTCTCCCTGATATACTGGACAAGATCCCTCGCATACCGGAATCCGCCTTCGGTCTGCTCCCACGCCTCTTTCTCTCGCGGCGGGTCTCCTCGCAGAGCTAGGATGTTGGTGCATCCGGCCTTGAAGGCACTCTGGAGAGCTTCGTCGACCCTCTCCCTGGGCATATCCGTACAGGTGAGATGCATGCAGGTCTCCAGTCCATAGACGGACTGGGCTACATGGACCATCTCACATGTAAGCTCTGCCAGCCGGCCTCCCGCACCCCATGTTATATCGATAAAAGCTGGTCCAAGTCCATGCATACGGTCCATACGATCGTACAGGTTCTGCACACCTTGCGCCGTCTTTGGAGGGAAGAATTCGAAGGAGATTCCGGGCCGTCCAGTGGCCTCTGCCAGGGCCAATTTGTCTTTGATATGCATCTTGGGTTAAGCTATTGAGCCGTAACGTTAGCCACGCAGCACAGCACACAGCACAAGGATGCCACTTTTAGCTCCGAAGCAAGCAATATGAACGCGGAGGAAAGGGAGATTAAAACAGAATCGTCGATAGACCATAGGTAGGTGTTTTGGTGGTCGGTGCAATTCACGCCAGGTTTATGGGTTTTCCCTCCGAGGTCGGTTTCACCCCTCTATGAGGATAGACAAAGAGCCGTTCCACCGACAACAAGACAGAAGGGATGAAGGGAGCAAAAAAGAGTATGAAATCGCCCTCAGCCAGCCTCGAGACGTACCTGTCTACCGCTTACAGCGATCAATTAGAGATAAATAAGCCGAAGTAGCAGGTCGAGAAAAAAGTCAAGAAAAAAAGCCTCCGAGCTGGCCCAGGGGTCTAAGGTCCGATCCTTCTACCTGCTATCTTTTCCGACTGGGAGGACTTTCAACCGAAGTAACGTTTGCGTGCCCACCTGTCTGCCAGTATGCGCAACATATAGTGTTAAGATGGCGATTTATCTCATGGGGCGGGCGGTTGGAGCTGTAGAGGAAGTTGGATGAGCTCTGGAGAGCGGCGGCGATAGTGAGAAGCTGCAGTCAGAGAGCCCGAGCAGAGATATAGCAGAGATAGAGCAGATGATGTAGTAGCAGTCCGGAGTAATAGATGTAGATAGAGAAGTGAAAGTAGAGAGAGAAGTAGAGAGGAAAAGGAAGAGGAAGAGGAGGGATGTCAGATATTTAAGAAAAGGAGTTTGCCCGTTTCTGCGCGATTCCACAGTTCAATGGCGTTTCTTTCTTTTCCCAACTCCTTTTCCCAGACTTTCAACTACGAAGGGATGATAATAACTATTTATGTCTGCTCTACTCTGCCTTTACCCCTCCACTATCACTTGCTCGTCCCGTATTCACCCCTGTGCAGAGAACTGGCGATCGGCTTTCCTGTCCCTTGCGCCCTTGTCCAGCTCGTCCTGTCCCTTGCGCCCTTGTCCAGCTCGTCCTGTCACCCTGGCTGACCGGAAGGCATACGGCATCAGCATCGCGATAGGATACAGGCTCCCTGATGCCTTCGGAAGGCGGACAGGCTCACCGGCTTCCACGCTGGCAGGGATTGGTCTGTACGATATTGATATTCAGCCCGGCGCATCGTGAAGTGTCCAGCAAGGATCTCGCTGCTCTCAAGTAACGCAGCGTGATATTCAGTATTTCAAAGACGACTGCGTGCTGTGACCTCACGTGTAGACTGAGTATCGTGTATCATATTGTAGATGTCGGTGTATGTAGATATATGGTATGTAGATGTAGATGTAGATGTTATGTATGTGTAGGTGTATCGTAGCGAACTGGTGGAGAGCGGGGGACCATGAACAGAAGACGAAGAAGAAGAAGAAGAAGAAGAGAAGAGAAGTTATAGACACAACTCACTGCTCCGACTTCCATCATCCTCGACGCGATAGAGACGCCTGTCACATCGACTGAACATCGAAGAAAAGGCCAATTGCTCTCTCCGAACGATCCTGAAGCTCATCGCAAGTTATACCCCGCCTCGCAGGAAAAAAAATCTACATCTCTTCACGATAATTATATACTGTCCAGCGTCAACTCGCCATGTCAAACCAGGACTCCTCCAGCGGCAGCAAGTCGCCAGACTACAAGTCGAACCTCCTCTCCATCCTCATCTCGAGCAAAGTCCTCTCGTTCGGCTCCTACGTCCTCAAATCAGGCCGGAACTCGCCCTACTTCTTCACCACCACCCTACTGCACACCGCACCGCTACTGCACGCCACAGCCTCTGCCTGCGCGACTGTACTGTCCAGTCCGCCATTTGCTACAGCTCAGGATAACGGACAGGCCGCCGTTCCTAACTTTGATATCATTTTCGGCCCTGCTTATAAGGGAATACCGCTCTGCACGGCTGTGTTGAACGAGCTCGGAGTCCGGGATACCCAGGGCGTATGGGATAATGTGAGCTACTCGTTTAATAGGAAAGAGGCCAAGAGTCACGGCGAGGGAGGGAGTATCGTCGGTGCGTCCCTGAAGGGCAAACGGATAGTCATCATAGACGATGTTATCACGGCTGGCACGGCGTTGAGGGAAGCTGTTGGCATCATCGAGAAAGAAGGCGGTATCGTGGTTGGTGTGCTCGTTCTCTTGGACAGACAGGAGAGAGTCAATGATACGGAAACCAAGAGCGCCGTTGGAGCTGCACAGAGGGACCTGGGGGAGTCGGTTCCTGTTCGTGCGGTGCTGGGTTTGAACGATATTATTGAGAAGCTGGGAGACGATATCGGGAAGGAGAATCTGAAGAATCTCCTTGAATACAGAGCCAAATATGGCGCCGAGTAGTTGAGGAGCTGGATGGAAGTTCTAGATCAAATGATAAATCTGACAGTGTATATGACTAGGCATTCTTAATGAAAACTAACGGACAGAAGATGCTCAATTTCATATGATGCTATGATGTTAAACACGCAAGAGCCTCCTTTTTTCAAAGACATATACACAGGTACAATATCGCCCGAAAACATGATGCAGTTATGTAGGTATTATGACGCCACGCGTAATGTCGACAGTGTATGAACATGGGGGAATACAATAGGCTCTGTTAACTTTTTTTCTTTCCTCTCTCACCATTCCAGTGGTTCACCCTTGACCTCGCCCCTGTTTGTCTTGGGAACGGGAGCAGCTTCTACCATGACAGGCCCTGTTTGCCCGTTTTTCCGCTTCAGGTATCCGCTTCCATCCAACCAGGGGGTGTCGCGTGTCCGCTGACCCTCGAACTTGCGGATCATGCCTTCCATCTGCATGGTTAAGCCGATGTCATCGAGGCCGTTGACTAGGCAGTGTTTTCGGAACTCCTCGACTTCGAACTCTGCAAGCTTGTTGCCGGCAGCGTCATTGATGCGTTGGTTGACCAGGTCGACTTCCAATTCGTGACCGGCATCGGCCTCAGCAGCTAGTTTCTTGAGGATTTTCTCATCGGGGATAGCGATGGGGAGCATCCCGTTCTTGAATGTGTTGTTGAAGAAAATGTCTGCAAATGATGGTGCAATTATACACTTTATGCCAAAATCAAGCAGGGCCCAGGGGGCATGTTCACGAGAACTCCCACATCCAAAGTTCTCGCCGCTGACGAGGATCTTAGCGTTGCGGTATGGCTCCTTGTTAAGGACAAAGTTGGGGTTTTCTGATTCGTCTTCGTTATATCGGAGAGGATGGAACAGGGCACTTCCAAGGCCAGTGCGCTTGATTGTCTTGAGGAACTGTTTGGGGATGATGGCATCGGTGTCAACGTTCGCCCGGTCCAGGAATGCGGTGATTCCCTTGAGGGTGGTAAACTTGGGTAGCCCGGCCGATGTCTTCTCCGCAGTAGTGTTGGTATGAGGCTCATTATCTTCGGGGTAGTCAAGAATCCGGTCGAGCTCGTCCTCATCGTCCACGTCGGCATGAATTTCGAGTTTCGGCGAGGACTTCTTTTGTGTCGTTGGGATTGTTGATGCAATCTTGCGTACATCAGCGAGCTTTCCGACTATAGCGGCGGCGGCTGCCATGGCAGGGGACATCAGATGTGTTCGGCCAGCGGCTCCCTGTCGGCCTTCGAAGTTTCTGTTCGATGTACTGGCGCATCTTTCTCTAGGCGAGAGGATATCCGGGTTCATACCGAGACACATGGAGCATCCCGCTTCCCTCCACTCGAATCCAGCATCAAGAAATATCTTGTCAAGACCTTCGGATTCAGCCTGTCGCTTGACCAAGCCGGATCCAGGAACAATCATTGCACGCATGATATTTGAGACAATTTTCTTGCCTTCCACAATATGAGCAGCAACCCGAAGATCCTCAATTCGTGCATTCGTGCAGGAACCAATAAAGACCTTGTCGACTGGGATATCCTCCATTCGTGTACCGGCGGTGAGACCCATATACTCCAGGGCCCGACGGCAGCTTGCTTTCTTGACCTCGTCCGTGAAATCATCGGGGCCAGGGACGACACCGGTGATTGGAACAACGTCCTGAGGCGACGTGCCCCAAGATATCGTTGGCACGATATCCTTTGCATCAATGACGACCTCCCTATCGTAAACAGCACCGTCGTCTGATTTCAAGCTTGACCAGTAGGCTACTGCCTTCTTCCATTCTGGGCTGTCGTACTTTGGCGCGAGAGGTCTGCCCTTTAAGTACTCGAATGTGATTTCATCAGGCGCAATCATACCAGCTCTGGCACCGGCTTCGATAGACATATTGCAGATTGACATGCGTGCTTCCATGCTGAGTCCTCGTATAGCAGATCCACAGAACTCGATGACAGCTCCATTACCGCCCGCAGTTCCGATCACACCGATCACGTACAGGACTATGTCCTTACTGCTGACGCCTGGTGGAAGCTCCCCATCTACCTGTACACGCATGTTCTTACTTCTCTTGGTGATCAAGGTCTGAGTTGCAAGAACATGTTCGACCTCGCTGGTGCCGATACCGAACGCCAATGCGCCGAATGCTCCATGGGTAGAGGTATGGCTGTCACCACAGACAACGGTGGTACCAGGTAGAGTGAACCCTTGTTCGGGGCCAATGATGTGAACGATGCCTTGTCTCTTGTCTCCCAACCCAAAGTAGGTGATGCCGAAGTCCTTGATGTTGTCTTCCAGCGTCATGCATTGTATCCGAGAATCGGCCTCTTGCACGAATCCTGCAACATTCTTGTATGTTTCGCGGGAGGTCGTAGGGATGTTCTATAAAACATTATGGTCAGCCACCGGTCCGCCTAAGAGTGTAGATATGTGTTCTTACGTGATCAACTGTTGCCAATGTGCAGTCTGGCCTCCTAACCTTCCGTCCAGCGTTCTTCAGGCCTTCAAAAGCTTGCTGTGGGGTAGCGCGTTAGCATTTGCAGCTATGGAGCAGGGGTCAAGCTGTACACGACTTACTGGCGACGTAACCTCATGCACAAGATGTCTATCTGCAAGTTCAAGCTTATATTAGCATGCGAGATCCTATAGCAGGGGGGCCGGTGAAAAGGTACGTACCTATATACAACAGGATTGTGCCATCTTTCTGTTCGTTGACGATATGATCCCTGAAGACCTTGTCGTACAGCGTCTTTGGCGTTTTATCTAGAGCCGGCATTGTTGCGAGTCTTGTAACGAGCCACGCCTGGCAGAGAGGAAGAGGGAGAGAATGTGAGAGTGAGGAAGTTGAAGTTGTAGTTGTCAATTGGGATCCTGGAGCTTTCCTTCTCGTCCATATATAGTGAAGCTTGGAGCTGGCGGGGAGCGGCCGGTATCGGCGGTCATCAGCTTATGACGTACTCCGATTGGCCAAGAAGCGCCAAGACGCGGGTATTAGTCATGTCGTGGCATCGGGCCGAGGTCGCCGCTTTCGGACTCTTTCTATAGAAGTATAAGTATGAATATAAGTATGAATATAAGTAAGATATTATGAATATATAGATATAAGTATATATGTATGAATGTATGTGAAGTATGAATGTCTATTAGTATACAAATCCCGGCCCGCGGTTATCTTCCCTGAAGACGAGCAAGGCAAGTTTGTGTCGAACCAGGAGCGCCCCCACGCCGCAGAGCAGCTGGACGCCGACAATGTGAATGGCAAGCCTGTCCTCCCGCAGCGGCCCAAACCAGAGCAGCCACAGATTGAGCAGGGTTAGGTTCGTCGTCTCGACGATTTCCCCGTCTTCGTTCTTCTTGACCCGCAGAAGATACAGGGCGTCCAGAAGATCGAGGCCCATTGCGATTATCCTGTGAGGAGGGCGCGCCCATTCGGTGACTGATGGCTCCATTAGCCCTGTTCGCGGATTGAACTTGGGCAGCCGGTGTCGTGGACAGGGGATCACATGAAATAGCTGTGGTGTCGAGTATAGGAAATTAAAAATCTGGGGTACAAACAACAGCAACAGCGTTTTGCTGAAATGACCCAGTATCCCCACAACGGCAAAGACCATGCCGGCAAAGTAGCAGTAGGTATCTCCCACAAAGACTTTCGATGGGTACCAGTTATGCCACCATAACGCTAGCGATACGGCGATGAAGGGCAGTAGCAGGTATATGGAGAAGAGATGGGAGTCCGTGGCCGGGTGTGGGTACGGCGTAAATGGTGACAAAAACAGTGCGTCGTTTGCTATCAACAAGCAGGCTATGGCTATCGACTGCGAAACCTCGATCCCGTTGATCCCAGCTAACATGTTGATGCTGTTGGGGCAAAATATGGCAACCGCTGCCATATATACGTAGTACATCCAGCCAAGATCAATGGACGGGCCCAGATACTCTTGGAGAGGGACGGGTACGATGACGTGTGTCACTCCAAAGTCGACAAAGTAAACGATGAGCATCGGAACTGCGGCAAACGCAGGAATAAAAAACTTATGCCGCCATCGAATATCCAAGAGGTCGTCACCGATGCCAAGTATGACGATTGACTGCAACGAGAGTAATCCAGAGAGATAGGTCGCGAGCTATATATCATTGAGTAAATAGATGGTTCACCCGTACGGAACTATACAGCCAGAGAAATACCTTATTGTGAGGGAACTTATGCAAAAAGCGCCCAGTCTCAACGTGGTGGACTGGTAAAGGTATATCACGATTCCCTCCTCCAGATGTTGCTGCAACGAGTTCCTTGTAGAAAGGAAATGGAATAAATATGATAAGAATCAGAATATAAACAACTGCAACAACGGCGCCCATAGTTTCCGGTCTAGAATATGCATTAGCGGATGCCTTTTAATAATAACGGGCGGCAAGACATACATCTCTATCTTCTTCAGCTTCGACATGTCTTTCCCTTTCAGCCCAGCTTTCATGAATACATCCCCTAGCCATCGAATGAGGCTAAAGGACGCCGCAAAGGCGATCCCGGACAACGCCAGTGAAGCAACCAGAGGCTCTCCATCGCCCTGAATCGCGTTCTTCGCGAGGACAGCCGAACAGGCTATCACCAGCGCAAGTAGACTCCATGTCTCTCTGCTAGTGAGAGTTACCGCCATCGTATCATGCACATCCTGTGAAGCCACCGTACAGTTAGTCAAAGGCAAAAAACAGTTAAAGAGAAATGTCCGGCGCTTAAATTGTACTATTTACATCGCGCAAGTTGTCCTTTTGTTTTTCGCGTCAATCAAAGTTAGGCGCCGCGTCTAAGTCACGTGGACGACCCGACAGAGCGCAACTACAACCCGCGCAACCAAGAGCAAGTAAGTAATCAAACCCGCGACAGGGCCAGCTTGCGCAGTCATTCTCTCATGCAGGAACCCAACCCCTGTTCTAGGCAGCGATGAGGTACTGCGCGCGCCTACCGATGAGATGACAGCCTTCACCGAGTTCGAAGCCGGCCATCGGGACTTGGTGACTGTGACCAAGTTCAACTTCTACGGCAATCGCATCTTGACAGCCTCTGCGGATCACCGAATTAAAGTGTGGGATCAAAAGGACGATGGCTGGGAGCTTACAGATACTTGGCGAGCGCATGACGCGGAGATTCGTGATGTAAGTCAGGGGAGATGCGTTTGTTGTGATCTCGTTTGAACCCCACGCTCACACCTTCTGCGCCAAAAAGGCAGCATGGAATGGACCATTTACTGGCCAGCATATCGGCACCGTTGGGGAGGACATGAAATTTAAACTATGGCAAGAAGACGTTACGCAATCCCGCAATTCTGGGCGACGCTTCCGGAACATCTTCCGCCTTACTTCGCCCATTCGTACGCCCTACGTCTCGCTGGACTTTCGAAACATTGATCTAGAATCTTGGCTTGCTCTAATCACGCGCGATGGCCTTCTTACCGTCCTAGAACCTGTTGGTGCGGATAACCTCTCGGAGTGGCAGCAGCTGGACCAATTTCGCGTTTGCTCGGAGCCCTCGAGAGGTGATGAGACAAGCTTCAAGGTCCAGTTCCATCATGACCCTATGGACATGACACATATGATTATGCCTTCTTGGGACAGTAAGAGCTTGTCCCTTGTGGTTGCAGCGATGAATACCGTTAAGGTGTATCGAATGGCTGCGAGTAGGAAATTCTACCACGCCATAGAGTTAACCGGCCACACAGGTCTCGTGCGAGATATCGCATGGGCGAACGGTTCTGTCCGTGGATTCGATATAATCGGCAGTGGATCAAAGGATGGCACTATCAAGATATTTGAGATATACACGTCTGTTACAAATGGCGGGAATAATAGCCAGAATGGGTCTACAAATAACAACGCATCTCGGACCCCGACACACTCCGGCATTGGAACTGCGCTTGCGAGCCAAACAACCACGGCGCTTGTAGATTCGAGAAAGAACAGCGAGAGTCCGTTTAAACATACGTTTAGAGAGGTCGCTTCGATTGATAGTAAACACCTTGATGTTTGGCAGGTTCAGTTTTCTCATGCAGGTTCGTGACACCCCACATGAACTCTTGAATGCACCGCACTGCGCACCCTTTACTTACCGTCCGCATTTAGGTGATTGCCTGCTCTCCTCTGGAGACGATGGTTCTCTCCGGTTCTGGAAACGAGCTACCTCGGGAGACTGGTTAGAGTTCGCAGAAACCTCAATGGACAACAACTAGGTCCTTTTTCAGTCTTACGGGCAACATGCCTCTAGTCGAGCCGATTCGGCTCATAGCCCTATTAATCACCGCCTCTATGTTTTAGTAGCTTGCAGCCCTAACATCCTGCAGCCTGGACACAGTTAACAACGTCACCACAAATTCTTGCATATGGCCATATATTAAGTCTATATACCCACATCACCAATGTGTACACGCTTTATGTATATGACATGCAATGAGAGTATAATCTCATTATAAGGCATTTTACTTCCAGCCTACTCCGTTTCTATCCGTGAAACTAGCTTAGATTATCAATATTCGGGCATCAGTTCTTTTGCCGCCCTGGTGTATACCCGAAATCTTCCTTGTATAAATAAGAGTATACATCGTGGTCTATATGGCTACAGCCTGTCTCTCTGTAATGCCAGCGCAGGCAGAGTACAATTTAAGCCAGCCATAGAACAGCAATATCGCAAGAACAGTATGAGTAAATAGATGTCATAACTGCAGGTGACGCCAAAACCTATGGAGAAGTAGGTTACAGTGCCATTAGATACCCTTCATTATATTCCTCTAGTGCGCAATCTGACCTGGCCATCCTATGGGGTTAAGGAAATTGGAGGTTGATTATATGCGTTCACATGAAATATAAATATTTCAAAAAGTGTGAAGAAGGAAAGAAGAAAAGAAGGAGAGAAGGGCGAAAATGCGAGTTTGATATAAAAAAATGCAGTCCTCGCCATCAGTCACGTGGTGCTCTCGGATTAAAGTAAAGGCGGATCCGACGGCCACTCAAAAGGGAAAAAAAAATCAACGCTTCAACTTCTCTCTTGCTCCTTCAAACATCAACCAGCCAGAAAGCTCGAAATTTCCGTCTGTGGGATAAATATCTCTTCATCATATGGATGGCAATCATGTAACTGCCTTACCATAATGACTGAGCTGCCAGATGGAACAAGTCCTGGACTCTTGTCGAGGAAACTCGATATTATAGCTCGTTTATTTCATTTCTTCGCTTGTGTTATCACACTGATCACACTGATATTGTGTAAGGGAAAACAGACTCCAGGCTTGGAGTTCACAGCTGCTTATGATGGTTTTTGAGTCTCTTATGTGAGACAGTTACTAACATTACCTGAACCACAACTTTGCCAACATCTTGTGCCTCTTTTCTCAATGGTCAAGATGTATACTTCGTTTAAAGGTCTAGTGGAAGATCAATCCTATACAGTTTTTTAGCAGAGACTGCGCTTTCTCCACCCTGCCACTTGGTCAATAGTCGAGTATGCGGGACTAATACGAAGCGAACATCACTCTATATAGTTTTACTTGAATATTCAATCCGTTACTTTAGCTCCTATCTGTCTATTTATTCGGTATCCTGGGATTGGTAGTCCTATCACGTAGGGAGCACACTGCTTACGAGAAGTAGCTACGATCAGTCTTCTTCCAATGATACGATCTCACCAATAATTTCGATTTCTTATCACGAGCATAAACCCATAGTTATTGTTTCATACAAGCGTAGCTAGGAGGACAATCAGCGAGCATACGGGCGATGGGATTTGTAATTGAGAGTGGGCCATTGATTCTTAATACTAAGTGCATAAATCTTCCATTAACTATTTAATTAACGACAGGTGGTATTGGTGCTTACATGCTCAACATGGCATGATCTCAAAAGCATCCAATGCTTCAAAACACAAGGCAGGGAAAGACAGACAGGATTTCGTGTCCCCCTGTTGTAAAATCGATCACACTTTGGTCCTTTTTTGGGGGGTTTCTTTCGCTTTCCAGAAAGAGAATGATGGTTTCTTTATATTATCTTACCTTGGTAAGGATCAAGGCGCTGCGGCGTTTTCGATAGAAACGATAAGAAAATGGTGGGAATAGATAAGGAATCTTCGTATCTTCCTGCTCGCCCGCTCATCCTGCTCCTCCCGAATCTAGGAGCCTTCTCCTCAATAACTATACTATTCATTTTCTTATCACTCAAAAAAAGAGCTGAGATCTGAAGATGAAGATAGCGAGGCGCTAGCACTGGGCTCAGCGGATGCAGCGGATGCGTCAGATGCTGATGGGGAGGCAGATGCGGATGGGGAAGCAGATGGAGAAGCAGAGGCAGCGGCGGAGGCAGAGGCAGACGGAGATGCAGACGCAGATGCGGCCGTGGGTTGCTGACTAGAAGCAGAAGCAGAGGGAGTTAGGCTTGCGGAGGCCTTTGATGGCTTCTTCTTTTTCTTCTTTTGTTCCTCCTCCTCTTTCTTCTCCGCCTTCTCGCCCAAGCCAAAGAGATCCATGACTGAGGGGCGGGGAGGTGTGGCCGTTGGTTTCTCTGCAGCTGAAGCAGCAGAGGGCGTGGCCGTTGCAGTCATAGATTGGCTTACGGATGACACCCTTCCTGTTTGAGCCCCGGAAGGCCGTGGGCGACGCCCTGACATGTTAGATGGGCGCGGGCGGGCATTGCTGGCAATGGTCTCTGCGCTTGTGGTTGGCATGGGAGCACTTTCACCTTGAGTTTCAGGCATGGATTGTGTCCCACCGCCCATGGTCTGGGGCTGTCTCGTCTGTCCTTCCATGGTTTTGCTTTGTCTTTGCTCGCTGCCCATAGTCTGGGATTGCTCCTCACCCATAGTATGGCCATGTTCTTCAGAGCCCATTCCTTGAGACTCATCCGTGCGATGGCCGCTTGCTGACATCGATGGCATCGCCTGAGAGGCAGACTGGCTTGCCTCTGGTGAATTTGGCATAGGCTGGCTTTCTGGTGTAGGTGATGGCACTGGCGTTGCGCTCTCCTCTGGCTCGTTTTCGGCTGTAGCAGATGCAGGGGCTGTAGCGGAGGCGGCGGAGGTAGCGGAGGCAGCAGAGGCTGTAGCACTAGAACTTGCACTAGGAGAAGCGGTCGCCTCTGTGCTCGCGGCTGTTTCACTCGCAATGCCGGTAGGACTTGGGTTCTCGTCATCGCCATCCTCCATCATGCCGAGGCCTCCTGCTCCAATATTAGGGGTTGGCGGTTTACCTCCAAGGTTACCCAACCCCCCGAGTATACCCAAAAGGCCATCCAATTGTGGCTGTCGGCGATGGTTCACATGGGTATTTCCGCCAAAGTTTCGACGATCTATAACATACATATCAGCATATCGAACAGGGTGAAGCTGTTTGTAATTGGAAATCCGTACCAATTGCTGCGGAAGCAGCAAGTCCAACGAAGGACATAAAAACCAAGGAATCAAAACGCATATTGGCTGTTGGAAAGGATATCCTTCTTTTAAGATGAATGTCACCTATTAGTATGAACGTCTTCAGTATTCAAATGATTCACTAGCAAGATGCATACCTGAATCAAAGTCAAGTAGCTAGGATGTCTCTGGTTCCAGACCTTTGAATTTAGCTGGCTGCTTGCACGATTGTTCCTTTGAAATCAAGAAAGAGTTCCTTGATACCCATTTAAATACACCTATCCATCTGTATGGCGAGATCATAGGTGTGGGATAAGGCGGGGTCTCAAAGACCACGATTAACAAATTCCTGATTTTCAGGTTATCCAGACACAGGCACAGGCTGTGGACTGGAGAACTGAATGTTGTCCCTGAGGCACGTTGCACACACTTCTAGATATACTTACATGGTGCTGGCTGAGGGATCTTCAAGCTCGATCTTCCAACCGTGGTGGAACATCCATGTATCTTTTAGAAAGATAAGCTCACATAGGAACATTTTAAAGCTTTAAAGTGACACGGCGTGGGGTTAGAAGTTTGGACCCATGGCTCCGGGCAAGAATACCTCAGACATTCGTCTCTTCCCAGAGCTTGAAGGTGCTGAATTAGGGGGCTCCGTTAGGGGTTCTGATAATTCATGTTGCTAGATCTCCACACTCAGTATGAGAACTATTAGGTGAGTATTCAACCCTTTCATAACATATCTATATCATGAGCCTCGGATATAAAAAGATCTGATATAGGACTAACATTGCGATAAGGACGGCTGATCGGCTCTGGCAGGAAACATTCGTCACCTAGAGATATGAGGGGAGATAGGCGGGTGTGACTATGGCTTTAGAGAACGACAATAGAGTCTAGGTATGCCAATTCATGCTTGCTCGAACACAACATGAACACGCAATCCGTCACATCACCGGACGAGATATTCGGTGTAAATTCCAGTTCTAGATGAAATCCCAGCAAGGATCGATTCTCCTCTTCGGAAACCAAGTCACCGGGGCTTGATCACAATGGATTTTGGTTCGGGATCGGCTCCCAAAAGGCGCCGGGTGCGCCTCAACTTTGAGGTTTCCAATAGCGCTCCAAGGGTTATAGAAATGTTTAAGAAAGATCGGCATAGTTGCCGGTGAAGTCCTTGAAACTGCAGCCTCAACAATGCCATGCAACTAACCAACGAGGGGAATCTCCGCTATGGCGAAGAAGCGATGACTCTGGAGAGCTAGGACAAATCGGAATATAGCCCGAAACGGAAACCGAGCAGCATAGATCATGTACCTCAGAGCGTTAGGCCCGTTGAGCTGCCGGACTTATGTGGCAGCTGGGATGGTAGGGCCTGCGGGTGGACGGGGGACACAGGGCTGGTGCCTCTCCGTGGCCGGCCATGGATATCGAATGGAACTGCGCGGAAGTTCATGTGTGACAGCCGATTTTGCTTGTTCCCTTCTGTGATGCCCTTACCCCTCTCTCATTTGTCAATGGTTCATCTTCCGCTGCCGCCAGGCCGAAAGCTCTTGTAGTGTCGAGTTGACAGCTGCCTCCAGATCACGTCGAAGTAATCCATGTGTCTGAGCCTAATTGGCCTGGTCGGGTATTGTCAAGGCTATCATATCGCTGTTGACAAGCGAATCTTCCCCTCATCATAGATTGACCGTTCTTCAGGTCTGCAGTGCTCCGTAAGACGTTCCGCGTAAATTATCAGTTCGACTGAAGGCCTATCGACCGTGGAACTTGCGGCATATATTGTATCTCAACTCGATCGTCACTCTTCCCACGTAGCTAAGTTGAGAGAATGTAAGTCTATGGTCGAGAAAGATGCGGATTGACAGCTAACGTCTTGTTAATCTCAATTTGATGGTTGTAGTCTCAGAACGTCCACTTAATAAGCAACCCTCCTATGGCATCGTGCAATGCGGAGGTGGCTGTCGATTTCGAGTCGAGTATAGCGTACAGTGGTATGTCCTACAGTGAACATGGGGGCGTAGAGAATGGATGGTCCTGTTGCTCCCCCGAAGATAGCACAGAGGGGTAAAGGTGAAGCGTAGGATGAGGGGCTATACCTCAAGTTGTACGGCCCGAACCAAACTTCAAATTCTGGTAGAAACATCATTCTGGTTATAGAACCATCCCAAGGCATAGTGACCTAGTGGCGTTGCTGATGGAAAGATCGGAGCTGCCCACGCATAATTTGAGGTATGTCGTAATCCGTATTCCATCGCGATACAGAGCAGAAATCAACTACACCGAGCAAAACACAAATCATCAAAGTAATTAACCCAAAGGCGAGCTATTTACAGGCAAAGGTTGCAAAGACAAAACATAGCTAAGACATGCGGGATAAGTTGAGAACCGGAAGGCTAAGGGGAATAGTTTAAAAATTTCGTATAGTCGTCATATGCAATGTCATGCCTTTGAAATCCATCCACTGTGGACCATAAAATCATATATGCGGCTTGATTTTTGGGCATCAATCTAAGGGGAAACGCCACATGGTTAGCGAGCATGATCGTCAAAAGGGTAAGGAACAAAGGTTGAATAAGTTTTATGAAGAAGCAAAGGAGGGGATCTCACCTTGCACATCGATTTGACGTCCTTTTTCTTCAGGTTACCACCCTGTTTCATCGCTTCTTTGAGCAAATGTTCCTTGATAGCCAGATAAGGCTTGGGATTCAAATGTAAGATATTGCAGAGCTCAGCTTCGTCTTTCGTCAAAAGGTGCAGGTCCGGAGAATTATCATTTTCAACTTTCCAGGGGACTAACCCAGTGATAAGTGGTATTGTGTATTTAGTTTTCACTGGTTGAGGGGTAGGAGTGCCTGCTAGACTGTTGCTCGCAAAAGCCTTGTCAAAATCATTGAGAGGCGGTGGCTCCGAAGCGTTGGCCTTGGAGGAACCAGGTCGCTGTAACCGAAGTGGAAGCTCTGGTAGTGTCAATTGAGAAGCCGCAGACGGCCCCTCCGAGACAGCTGGGGGCTTCGGCCTGGTAGTGCTAAAGCGGTCAAAGGAACCCTGCGGCACAGAGCGCTGGGCCCTTTGTAGTTTCTCCTGCTCATACTTCTCACCGCTCTTGAGGTCACCGATCCCCATCGTCCTCCACTCCTGGAGCTGTGCAATAGCAAGCCTAAGATTATGTTCGTATTCTAAGCCCTTTGTGAATTCCTCGAAGTCGTCATGGTTCATCATCCGGGCGAATGGCTTGGCTTTGTTAAGGAGTTCCCGTTCCTCCTTCGTTCGCTTCTTCTCCTGTGCCGCATTCTTACGGTAGTCGAGCAAATTATGCTCGAAGACGATTTTCTTCCGTTCTGTTCTAGCGGTTAATCGAGAGTTATAGATATCCTTCACAGTCATCTTCAACTCCATTTCTGGATCCATCTCGCCGTTTGCGTTGAGACCATTTCCAGGCTCGAACTGCATATGCTGTACCGCCTCTTCAGCATCGTTGGCAAACTCAGTTTCAAATTCGAGTCGACCTGGCATGTATCCTTGAACCTCATGACAAGCTGGGACTGAGGCGGTTGGTTTTTGTTTAGGCGTTGCAGGCGGTGCAGCTTTGGCGGCATCCTTACGCGCTTGTATTCGTCGCTTCTTTCGTGCTTGAAACTCTTCCTTTGGTATCTGCACCTGTAACGTTTTGTCATGGGGGTCGGCAAGATCAGGGAGCGGGAAATTCGACCCTCCAAGGTAGGTTTTGATATAATGGTCCCTGACTTCATCCTTCGTCCGGTACCCTCCAATATGATCCGCAATATCAGCCCATGACCCAAGTCCGTATATCTCCGCTCCTTCTAGAAGAAGAAGCTCCTCGTCGGCGCCCCAGTCGGGGTCATATATGGGGACCGAGTTCTGTTCGACGACAGAGTACGGGTGGGTGCGAGGATCGTGGGATTTGACTGCGGCTCCTCGCGCAAAGCAGGGGACACACATATCATACTCGGGGCAAGCACTGTGGGCGCATGATATCCGGACCTGATATCACTCATTGTCAGTTCTGATATCATTGACTTGTCCTCTACCCTGCAAATGGGATCTCACCGTGGAGGTGATGTCAATCGAGCAGACATCACAGTGGTATTTGGTTCCGCCATCCGTGCCACGCGCCGCGGTCTTCTTCCTTATAACACCCATAGATGTGGTTGTCTGCGCATCGTCTGGCAAGGTGTATATGTTGACCAAATCCCCCCTACAGCCAGTATCGAGCAGTCAAGGCCGTCTCTTCGACGCAGGACTATCCTTTCCTCTGGTCTCTATCTTCGAGTTGGCAGGTTGAGATACTTTTGAGGTTGAAAGCTCAATGACGGAAGGAGCCGCCCTTGCCCCGATCTGGTTTAGTGCATTTCTACACGTGACTAAAGTGGCTGTGTTTTTAAGGTTGGTGACTAAGCATGTTACATGGATTATGTAACCCGGGATAATAAAAGTCCATGGTCCGGAGTTTATTTCCCAAAAGATACATTAAGGAAATACAGAGGATGAATATAGGATGAATATAGGATAAAGTACAAGGGTAGCTTTGGATAGATATAAGGAAGGCTGAGGACAAATATCAGGACAATACAAGACAAGTCTAACAACACTAAGAGAAGCTGAAGAAAATGAGATGACTGTAAGTCGCATCAAGGTTGTTCCGGCTGTGGCTTGCTGAGTCAGGCCTGGAGTACGTTGCAGCGAAGATAGTGAAGACAGTGAAAGATGGTAGATATCACCATGCCATCCACAGTCACTGCCGGCCTGTTCGCCTTGCCCTTAAATTGGTGAGCAAGAGGTCTTCTTGTCCTGTTCCCTTTGTCCTCTTACACCTTTCTTTCCGCCGACATAGCCTTCTGTTCAGGGCTCTTTTTTACCAGCTGAACAGCCCCCACACTCTTGCTACTCTACCGCAGCACCACTTAGTAGGGGATTTTTAGATATATGCCGACGACACTGCTGGCAAGCCGTGCAGCCTAATAGATTTGTCTATTGCTGAAATTCCCGTCAACATGTCGTGGAAGCTGACCAAAAGTATGCAGATACCTTGATATCCTGTCTATATCAGTTCACAATCTCTAGATACTGACCCAAGACGCGTTCACAGAGCTCAAGGAGACGCACCTGGCGCCTCTGGCAAATACTTTCAGCCGGTCCTCTACCGCGTCTGCTCCCAAGGCAGATGTCCCAGCTGAAGATGGTGCCCCTCTTAGCAAAACTCCAACCGCATCTTCCTCCACAAGTTCAAATGGCATAGGTGAGCTACTATCCATCATGGCGTCTTTTTAAATCTGATCAATACTAATCTTCCTGTAGCTGCTTCAGAGACAGCTGCTGCTGCAACTCCTGATCCCTTGAAACCTGGAATCCTCATCGTGACCCTCCACGAAGGCCAGGGCTTCTCACTCTCCCCTCACTACGAACAAATCTTCAACTCCCACTACCAAGGCTCCGGCCCATACTCCGGTTCAATGAGACCAAGCTCCTCCCACGCATCACATATCCCGAACTCGTTCTCTCAGTCTATGAGACCACAATCTACAAGTGGTGGCATCAACGCTGCTCCGACAAACCATGGACGCTACTCGGCAAAGCACTTGCCATATGCTTTGCTAGACTTTGATAAGCTTCAAGTCTTTGTCGACTCGGTTTCGGGTACTCCGGAAAACCCACTGTGGGCAGGCGACAACACCTCCTTCAAATTCGACGTTTCTCGAGTTACGGACTTGAACGTTCAGGTCTACATTCGGAACCCCGCGGCACGCCCCGGAAGTGGACGCAGTGACGACATATTCCTGGGAGCTTGCAAGATCAATCCTCGCTTTGAAGAACGCCGTCGATTCGTCGAAGACCCTAAAGCCAGCAAAAAGGAGCGTGAGAAAGCCGCCGCAGCTTTTGCCCAAAAAGAGAAACAGCTTGGCCAGATGGGCTCCGAGTGGATTGACCTGCAGTTTGGCACCGGAACAATTAAAATCGGAGTTTCGTTTGTGGAGAACCGTCAGCGAAGTCTCACAATGGCTGACTTCGAGCTGCTCAAGGTTGTTGGAAAGGGCAGCTTCGGAAAGGTTATGCAAGTCATGTAAGTGATAGTAACTTTCATCCGACATATCATCATACCCTACACTTTGAGCGTTGACTAACGATGCCTTGCTAGGAAACGCGACACCGGCCGAATTTATGCGATGAAAACCATCCGAAAGGCCCATATCATCTCGCGCTCAGAAGTAGAGCATACTTTGGCCGAAAGATCTGTCCTCTCACAGATTAGCAACCCATTCATTGTTCCGCTGAAGTTTTCTTTCCAGTCTCCAGAAAAATTGTATCTCGTTCTAGCATTCGTGAACGGTGGTGAGCTTTTCCATCACCTTCAACGGGAACAACGGTTCGACATCAACAGGGCTCGATTTTACACGGCGGAATTGCTATGCGCCTTGGAGTGTTTACACGGCTTTAAGGTGATCTACAGGGATCTTAAACCCGAAAATATCCTACTAGATTATAGTGGTCACATCGCCCTATGCGACTTTGGGCTTTGTAAGCTTGGCATGAAGGATGAAGATCGCACCAACAGTATGCACATCAACCCCGTTTCTTATTGTCCTCCTTACTAACAAAGTCGTTTTTCAAGCATTCTGTGGTACCCCAGAGTATCTCGCGCCAGAACTTCTCCTTGGTCATGGTTACACCAAGGCCGTTGACTGGTGGACTCTGGGAGTTCTTCTATACGAGATGTTAACTGGTCTTCCCCCTTTCTACGACGAGGACACGAACGAAATGTATCGAAAGATCTTGCATGACCCTCTCACCTTCCCAAGTCAAGAAATTGTCCCCGGTGCTGCGAGAGACCTTCTTTCACGCCTCCTTGAGCGCGACCCCCAGCGTCGTCTCGGTGTTGGCGGCGCTGCCGAGATCAAAGGTCATCACTTCTTTGCAAATATTGACTGGCGCAAGTTGCTACAGCGTAAATATGAGCCCAGCTTCCGTCCCAATGTGGTATGTCTCCCTGCTTTGGTATCCTTTTATACATCCCCTATTTTTTACACCTGCTTACCGATACTTAGGCGGACGCCCGTGATACTGCAAACTTTGATATTGAATTCACATCAGAGGTCCCAGTCGACTCCTTCGAGGAAGGATCCGGACTTTCACGAACCATGCAAAGACCATTTGAAGGATGGTCGTACAATCGTCCAATTGCTGGCCTGAACGATGGAGGCGGTAGTGTCAGAGACCCTGCCTTTGGAAGCATCCCTGAATAAGGGACCTGAAAATAAAGCATCAAATCCTCCATTCTTCTACAATGGACTGCACAACCACATTAAACTCATTACACCACTTGATCCCATATTCCGATACCTTCTTTTCTACGACTTCTCATGCATACCTGAACCACAGCAACGAATTTCTTTACCCAGAGGTTAAACTTCTTTAAGAGGCAATGATGGCAACGATTACACATTAAACATTACACTGATGCTCTCACCGTTTCCTCATGATTTCCTTTTTTCCCTCTAGCTTTCTTTCAATTTGCTTGCTAGTTTGTTTTTCATTACAACACTCATCGGTGGGCGGACGGAGCTTTTTATGTTTATTTCTGCATATCATATTGGTTTTTCTCATCACTGAGCATTAACCTCCCCAGGCACTAGCACCATGCACTCGTTCTTTCACTGTTTTAAGAAATGGAACTCCCGTCTGTTTTCCCCTTCCCTATGGATGTCCATGATCAAAAACACATTCATGGGCTTGGGTTGATCTCTTCTTTCTCTTCTTTGTCTTTATTGCCTTTCAATTTTTCTTTTCTTTTCTTTAAATTTCCTAAGGGGTGGGACAGCAGGTAAACCATTCTGGACTGACTCGGATGCCACACGGGCGTTTGTGCCAGCCTAGCTTTCTCTTTTGCTTTTCAATCCCCATCAACCCCGAGGCTTTGTTTCCTTTATGAATTGTGCTCTTTCTAGCTACGGCGAACCGGAAATGGACCTTTCTTTTAAGTTTCTCCTTTAGCTACCTTCACACAATACAAGTTCAGTAAAATAGTCCACCACTACTTCGATAAATGGACTAAGAAACCCTCCATCCTACCTAGTTCAATACGATGTGGATGTACAATTCTATTTATGAAACGTAAGAGCTGTTCATTCGTAGAAACTGTTCTCATAATCTAAAGTCTCAAACAACATTTTCCTCTTTCCCGTCTTCCAACACTTCAAGCTGCAGTCCAAAGTAAAAATCCGTCATAAAAATTATTCAGAAGCACCATTTGCCGGTTCCTCTACGGGCTGCTCTGTGGCCGTCTCATCACCATTAACATCAGCATCAACATCAGCATCAACATCAATCAAATTCGCGGTCTTTATACCACCTTCTGCCTCCAACTTCAAATAGCTGTCCCACTCAGGGAACAAGTCATCATCGGCATTTTCAACACCTGGCGGAACACTGATGATACGAGCAACTTTGGATTTGCCACTCTTTTCGAGGCTCTGTTTCCACTGAATGGCCAGCTCCGGGGTACGGCTAGGCTTGTATGTCTGGGCGAAAAAGACAGCTTCCGCAAGACGGTTCGTTTGAACAAGGAGGTCAATACAAGCGTCTATATCGGCCAATTGCCACAGAGCTGAGAATGCGATGTTATGCGAGCCGACCTGCTTTGCTTGTTCAGCCAATTTTTGAAGGCCCTTGGTGCTGCGGCTTGACGAATGTAGCAAGAGCAGGGATCCTAAATCTTTGGCATTTGTAAAGCATTCTTCAGCCAGGGAGAGGTCCCAGGCCGTCAGAGCTGCATCACCGACTGTCTTCCACCTGTGTTCAACGTCTGTTATTTTGGCAATTTCAAGGGCAATGTCAAGTTTTCCGAGACCGAGAGCAAGGTCAAAGCGATGTTCTTGGTCGGTGGCGACCTCGAGGGCAAGGTCCTTATAGCCCTGGCCTTCCAAGAATCGGGCAATCTTGTTCATCTGGTCCTGGGGGATATCCTCTAGTAGCTCGGTCGCGGAGTCCATGTCACCTCGCAACACTAGAGTTTGGTACTCGACGACAGAAAGTGAGAGGGCAAACGAGACAGTAGCGAGATCTTTGTCTGCAAGGTAAATTCGTCCATCGCGTGGGAGGTATCCAAGGAGATACATGGGCTGGTCGAAGTGTGAAATGGTGTAAGTCTGATCTCCGACCAAGTAGTTCAGTCGGTTGGTCGAGTTTGTATAAATAAAACAGTCCCCAACCCATTCACCGGTGCGGACGGTTTCGTTAACATCGGTAACAACTTCAAAAGCAGCTTCAACTCCATCCTCGTCAGCCTCTCCGGCATTGAGGCCTGCAATGTAATTCTCTCGTGAGAAGCGAAGCACATAGAAGATATCATCACATGCAAGGGTGACCAGTTCTCCTGATTCTGACCAGTATACCTAATAAATGGGTCAGTAACTGAGGTATAGGCTAGGAATTTAGTAGTGGATTACTAACCGCTCTAGGATCGACTTCTATCCGTCGAACAAGGTTACCGGTCTCCCAGTCAAACATTCCGATACCACCTTGACCCTTGACCCCAAGGAGGACACCAGAGCTCAGACCCTCAGCCTGGAAGCCAACATCGAGCCCGCCACTCTTTTCTTTGAAATTTCGGAATATTTTAACGCTTGTAGATGACTCTCGAATGGCATAGTCATTGCTGTTGTCCTTGGAGCCCCATGCGAAATCCAATGCCTGACCAAAAGCCTTGTTCCTCCAGGCAAGGGCGGTATAGATGATATATTCACCATCCCCACAAACGGAAACAAATCTTCCATTCGGCGAATGGGCCAAGGTCTGTGGGTATATTTCACAGGACCCAAGATCCTTTGTGGGCAGGGAAAGAGGCGCACCGTCTTTCAGACTTGAGTCACCGCCCTTGATAACAGTAGAAACGACTTCGTTGTGTCTAGCCAAGACGATCTTGCCAGAGCCATCCATAGATACGGCAGGCTCTTCCCTACCCATTTTAACAACCACAGCTCCATCGTCAAAACCCATTGCAATACCCTGTTTGCCACGTTGATAGCTGACACACCATGCCCTCTCCAGGCCATAACTAAGAGACTGTTCGAGCCTGTAGGTATTCGCATGCCAGAGCTTAATTGTTCCATCTTCAGAACCGGAAATAATGATCGGGAGTTCTGGGTGGTAACAGGCAAACGATACGTTGCTGGTATGGCCCTCCAGGGTAGCAATCAATGCCTTTGTGGTGTAATCCCAGATTTTCACAGTCTTGTCGTCAGAGGTCGTGAGAAGATATGGCTTATCGGCCTGTGGGTAGTACTCGACATGGTTTACACCCTTGGTCTCGTGTGCTTCAAGAGTATAGTTTGGAGTAGGTGAGCCCAGACTCCATATCTTGACAGTCCTGTCAAGACAGGCCGAAGCAAATGTGTTGGTATGCTTTGGATTGATGGCGAGACCCATCACATAGTGGCTGTGACCCTCAAAAACCTGTACGCACTTCCATGATTTGTCCCAATCCCACAACTTAATGGTCATATCATCGGATGCGGTCAACACAAACGGGTGTGTTGGGTGAACGGCGATCGATCGAATGTAATCGGGATGTGCCTCAAAAGATATAATCTTCTCCGAGGTATTGTAGTTGTATACCCGCAGTTGGAAGTCATCCGAGCCACAAACAATCCAGTTCTTCCGCGCAATGAATCGACCGGCTCGTACGGGGACATCGGTAAGCTCAAAGGTTTTGATAATCGACTAAAGACACCAGTATCAGTTACCTGAGTATAGTCAGTGGCGCGTGATGAGGAGTACTTACCTGAGTCTCGTAGGACCAGATATAGACATGGCCTAGGAATGGAAAATTAACAACACAAATCCTCTAACTGATAGCACCAGAAAACAGGCATAGCATACCGCTATATAACGTTGTCAAGATCTATAGCAATCGTTAGAAAGGAGTCTTCCCGAACTAGTATATGATTGTATGCAAGCTTACCCATGGCTCTGTGGGGTGAAAGTCAATCCCCTTGACTCGCTCGGAGCGAGCAAAGAGTTGTCGCTATTAAGAAGTGTCAGATAGGTTTCAAACCCTTAAGCGATCCGAGATAGCGATGTAGACAGGCTTACCTTGACGTCGAACCGCATTTTGGTGGGTGAACGGGGGGGAAGGGATGGCGGCTCAGGGCCGCAAAAGTGGCAGCTCTTGACGAATAATTATGTATATTAAAATCGGCCGTTAAGAGAAATAGGTATTCCCCTGTGTCCAGCGCAGACAGATGTAATCAATTGGCTGTTTGCGTGAATCCGGCCATCAAGCAACCTGTCCACATAATCGCTATCGGAGGCGTGTCTAATATTAAACGGACAGTGTTTCCACCAGCTGTCCCAATCCGGTTAGCCTGGAACCCCAAGTACTTTGTACCTCGACAGATATAAACCATCTCGACGGAGTATACAGCCACGATATTAACCAGCTGTCTGTTCTCAGTGTCTTGCTAGGTATCTAGAGGGATATATATTACATCCTCTACCTGGACTGCTAGCTGGAACAGCTGGAACCGCACCCGATCTCGATCTCGATGCCTAGAGACGAGTCTACAACTACTCCACGACAACAGATAAAACGTCTGGATAATTCGACCAGCGGGCCTCTATTGACTTGGTTTGATATTTGTGCAAAGCATGAGTCGCAATATCACGATGGTATATAGTATACAAAGTTGGGGGGAAAATCACAGGCTGGATAATTGGAGAACTCTCCACGCCATCTCATAAAGTACCCAGAGCGTGCAGTCTCCATCGAGGGTGACAGCGTAGAATCACAGCGGCATTGATTTATTATGAACTGGGCTCCTCGGTCCTCTCAAAGTAGGTCCATTGGCCTGGCTTGGGTTTTTCCACAAGTTCCTCCCAGCTAAATTGCAATCGTTAGCGCGAGTCATCGAGCGTGTAGGGTCATCATCTCAAGGACTTACACTTTGCTCTTAACCATCTCATCCACGAGCTTCAGTTCACCCTCAGCAACCTGGATGACCTCCTCTATCAATCCAGCGCCAATTTTGTTTTCAATCTCGGAGATCCTAGGTGTGACATTAGAATGCTGCAAATCACCAGTTTCGACAAAGGGACAGGACATACTGTGCAGCCTCGAGTGGAGGTTCGGACTCCCAATGGATATCGGGCGTAGCACATTTGGCGGCCTCGGCCTCCGCTTCCTTCATGCGCGCTTCCATCTGCTCTTCGCTCAGATATGCGCCCTCCTGTTGCTCCGAGGACGTATCTCCACCCCAGAGCTCATCTCCCTTTGGGGTGGTATCTTCTCCCAGTTGGAATGCAGCGTAGGAACCGTCAGGCCGTAGAGCGGCCTTATATTTCTCTGGGTTCTCGGCGACAAGGGCTTTTACTCGCTCGAGCCAAGCGTCGAACCCGGGTGGCTTCGTGGACTTGACAACATCCAATCGGTGTTTTGTGAGGGCCTCTGTCGATTTGCGATATACAGAGGACTCCGGGATCGTCTTTAGTTTCTCAAGCGTTGTGGTGTAGAGGTAGATGAGGGTTGGTCGCGGGCTAGGGTGGGTTGAAAGGCCGGTAAGACCAGTCGGGGTGAAGGGTTCCAGATACCTGGCCGGCTTAACATTAGCCAGGAGCCGTAGTGTCGCCCTCATGATGTGCTAAAAAGCGAGACCTGCGAGCACTGCGATTCAATTGCTGCGTTGAGACGATGGCAAGAGAGCCCGATGCTGTCGTTCTAACTCGCTCGCCGTGGACTTGACTTGCCGCTTATGGAAGCCGGACCTGGATAAACATAAACACCGAGAAAACCAGAGCTTACCTAAGCAGACGTCCAGAACGAACTCTCGGGAAGCATAAGGGGAAAAGCAAGGAGAGGCGCTGACGACGAAGCAGATTCAGGCCATCCACGACGCTTCATGTTTCATGATAACAGGACGACCTGGCAGGAAGCAGCACGCATTACGAGGAGATTCAGCCCAGGAATATAGAAACCGCGAAACCAGCAGCCAACGAAACTGTTCCCCCAAAGAAGAAGCGAATCGTTTGCGTCTTGGACTGGTGCCAGGAGCCTCGAAATATCCCCGGCCCTGCGCCTTTGAGTCGAATTTGGGCGTTATCGTCGATATTGGCCTCTGCGGCCCGATCAGCAGCTCAATATGAAGACATTCCCTTTCCTCTTGTCCCTCCTTGCGACGACGATATCTCCCGTGTTCGGCCTACCGAGTGATCAGGCTATAGAAAGACGAGATGAGTCCGAGAAGATAACCACGGGCCCTGATCCTCTGTCGACTGTATTCAATGGAGTTACGGTACCGCCCATGAAGGAGCTTACAGCGTCGGATTTCGAAGAGAGTATAAAGGAGGACTATTGGTATGTCTCTCTGGGTGCGTTTCGCCTGCCAGGAAATACATCGCTAACCAACGGCCGTGGGATTCCAAATATAGGTTTGTAAAGCATTATCACCCTGATTGCATACACTGCAAGGCCGTTGCGCCCATCTGGCAGACTCTATATGAATTTTATTACGTTCGTATCACTCCCCGCGTGCCTCTTTGCATAATATTAACAAATGGGCTAGACTTCCAATCCGTTATTGTCATCTACGGCGAAGCAAGCGGCCGATTCTGAAAAGTCCTTAAATTCGTTCCACGGTTTCTATAACTTCCACTTTGCATCGATGAACTGTGCTGCGTACGCCGATAAGTGCCAGCAGCTCGGTATAGCCGGCTTCCCGAGATTCGTTCTATACTACAAAGGGAAGCCAGACGAGACATTCTCGAATGAGAAAAAGGGCATGGCGGAGCTTAGCAGCTTTGTTGAAGGGAAACTGGAATTGATCCGACCTGGCTCCAGGCCACATGGAGGGGTCGACCTTCCCGAGCCTGGTGCTAAAGAGGGCAAGATGGTACTGCCAGATGACAAAGAAAAAACCGACACGAAGCCCGCACCTGAGAAATCCGAGAAACCTAAGGACGAAAGCAAGGATTCAAAGGACCCAAATAAGCCAAAGGACTCGAAAGATTCTAAGGATTCTAAAGACACCAAGGACACTAAGGACACCGAGGCCCCCAAAGATCAGAAATCCCCGCCTAGGCCCCAAGTGCCCACCCCCAAAAAAGAGGTCAAGGAGAAGAAGTACAATCTCTCGGGTTCATCTGTCTCTTTGACGGCAGAATCTTTCCTAAAACTTGTGACTGCAACTCAGGATCCATGGTTTATCAAGTTCTATGTCCCATGGTGCAGCCACTGTCAGGCTCTCGCCCCCGTGTGGCAGCAAATGGCAAAGGACATGAAAGGAAAGCTCAATATCGGTGAAGTCAACTGCGAAGCGGAAAGGCGTCTCTGCAAGGACGCCCGCGTTTCCTCTTATCCAACAATGCATTTCTTCCGCGGTGGCGAGAAGGTCCAGTATGAAGGTCTACGTGGACTTGGCGACCTGGTAAACTATGCTACCAAGGCTACTGACGTGGTTGGTGTTGGTGTTCAATACGTTGACGCCGAGGCATTCAAGAAGTTGGAGGAAACAGAGGAAGTTGTATTCCTGTACTTCTTCGATCAGGCAACGACTTCAGAAGATTTCGCTGCGCTTGACCGACTCACCCTGAGCTTGGTGGGCCATGCCCGATTGGTGAAAACCGATAGCAAAGAACTTGCCCAGCGGTTCAGGATCTCTACCTGGCCACGCCTCCTCGTTGCTAGGGACGGAACGGCGAAGTATTACACCGCACTGGCGCCAAAGGATATGAGAGATTTCCGTGCCGTTTTGTCCTGGATGCAGAGCGTTTGGCTCCCAATTGTCCCCGAATTAACTGCCACCAATGCGCGTGATATTATGGATGGGAAATACGTTGTCCTTGGAATATTAAACAGACAGCATACGGAGGACTTTATCCAAAACAAGCGTGAGCTTAAGAATGCTGCTCTCGAATGGATGGAGAAACAGACCAGGTTATTCCAGCTAGAACGCCAGGAACTGCGTGATGCCAAAGATCTTCGCATAGAGGAAGCAGATGATCGTAATGACCAGCGAGCTCTCCGGGCTGCAAAGAGCATGCGCATCACCATTCGTGAGGATGACAAGAAACAAGTCGGATTCGCTTGGGTTGACGGCATTTTCTGGGACCGATGGGTCCGAACTACCTTTGGCGTTGATGTGAAGAATGGAGATCGAGTGATAATTCATGATGAGTCGGTAAGTAAATTAATTTCACAAGACGATGTGGTGTATAATCATGATGCTAACTTTCAACGCGACAGAACCGACGCTTCTGGGATTCATCACCAAACGGAGTCGATATCATGCCCAGCCGCACTTCCATCCTCGAGACACTCACCCACATTATCTCTTCGTCGCCAAAACTCAAGTCTAAATCCACCATCGGCTTCCTCGAGCACGTCTTCTTCAGCATTCGCACTTCCATCAGCTCTCACCCTTTCATCACCCTAGCTCTATGCATAGTCACCATCGCCATCGCCTCGCTCTGGGCCAAGCGCCAAATCCGCCGAGCAAGAAACACCACTGGAAAGCTTGGTGTCTCTGGAAGCTCTTCCATGGGCTTCTTCCACCTCGACGGAAAGGAGAAGGGCCTATTTGGAGCTGCTGGATCTGGTCCAAGTAACGGAAAAGTCGACTAAATAGGCGTTTCTATAGACTTTTCTCCTTCCCACGCCATCATCCCTGGACCTTTCAATTTGACAAATAATATTGTTCTTGTTTTTAATGTTCTTTGGCCTCCCTGGGTTTGAATGTTCGCTGATTTCTTCTTTTGCCCTTTTTTTTTCTACTATGGGTGTTTTTTCCTTCTAATTGCTATCATATCATATTTATATACCTGGCTAGCCCACTTTCTTCTCTTAGCGGGTTATTATATTTACGTATCTTCATAAGAAACGAACCAAAAAGGCGTTAGTATTAATATAAACAGGTTCATAGATAGTCAGGCAATCCCGTAACGAGGTATGATACTTCCGGAATCAAGGTATATCCTGAGGCAATTAACGTATGACTTCAACAAGTGTTGGCTTCACTCTCAGAGTTCATAGACGGCACGATTAACGTCTAGACCCTCGTCTGATCTAATCCGATAGTCGTCCACCCGTCCTCATTGATATCCTGGAAGTTCATCACACGGTTACTCCCATCAGGCCCATAGCGGTCCTGCAATGCCCCCCAGTCCCGTCCAACCGCTGTCGCCGGTCGCCATCTGAATGCCTCCGCCAGCTTCGGATCCAGCTTCATCTCCATTGCATCTGCGATGAACGAGCCAACGGATGGAATATGGGCAAATCCATGACCTGAACCGCCCACACCCAGCACCAGGTCTTTATGCTCTGGATGTGTGCCGATGAGAAACTTGCGGTCTGGAGTATCGGCGCCTGCAGAAGAGTCAACATGATATGAAGCGTCAACATGATATGATAGAAGTAGTAGTAAGTAACTTACACCAGCATATCCGGGCGAAACTAAACGGCCTGTTAGCCAGGTATGGCATCGTCTCCCTGAGGAACTGACGCACTCGCCGCTCAGACTCTATGGGAATCTGCTCCTTTGCGAACGGCTTGCTCCTGAGTTTCCCTCCCTCCATGACCCAATTGCAGTATCCAGGATGCTCATCACATATCTTCAGTTCGTGCTTATCTTCGTCTGGCTCCATGAAGAACCCTCGCTCGACATTGAACAAAACTGGTAGGTCTTTGTAGAGCTTCACCTCCTCCGGCGTCATCTTGATATGTGCCAGCGTCCATGCCGTGGGTCTCAATTGATCTTTCATGTCCAGCAGACTCTCCGCCGCAGCCCCGGCGCATAGAATGGTCTTTACACCCATATGGACATGGCCATCCGCAGTGCGAACCCCCCTTACGGCCCCATCCTCGTCCTCCGCGTAGACAAGCTCAGTGACTCTCCCCGCGAGTCCAGAAATGAACGTAACTCCCAACCTGGCCGCCTCTCTCGCAGCACTCTCCATGCTCTTGCGAGCTGCCACCCAGCCGGCTCCGTCTTTCTTCCACCAGCCTTTCCAGCCAGGGAAGTCCCCCGTCAACACACCCTCGGGCATCGTGTCACGGAACTCCTGTGCCGTCGACAGTGGTATCCAGCCATTAGCAGCCGTCATGCCGCCGCCGGACGTAATATACTCCCTTGCACCCACCGAGGTGGCTGCGATGATGGCACCAGTCTCATGGAAGTAAGGCTGGAAGACTGGATCGTTCCACCCGCTGACCGCCGCCTTTGCGAGGGTGGTAGAGACGTAGTTTGTCTCCGGGCTGTCGGCAAGCTCGAGGATCTTGTTCACATCGTTCCCGGCAGAGATGGGCGAGGGGACCGGGTAAGGATCGAGCACTTTGATAGCCGTATATCCTCTGCGGGCGAGATGGAGGGCGGTGCTGATGCCCCAGGTTCCTGCACCGACGATGATGATGGGCGAGTTCTTTGCTGGTTCAGACATTGGGAGCGGTATTAATTGGTTATCGCCTGTCCTCAGCCATGGACAGTATACACCTCCCATGCAGAATACTGTAAGTCCATCACGATCATAATATATAGCCAACCCTGGTCAAGGACCGGCGAGGTACATAAACCCTGCGATGCGGGGAACATATATCTGGAATGAAGAGTTAGGCATGAATATATCGACGGCGAAACGGATGGAGGCTCTATCAGCTTTGTGCTCTATGAATGAGTTTTGATATATTGACGATGCGCCGACCTTGACGGACTTTTTGATGGTGAGCCATCACCCTTGGAGCAGATCTATACTGATGGAGTAGTCGAGAGAAGTCCGGCAGCTGTTTCTACCTGTAAGCCTAGATATTATATCTACCAGTTGAATGTATCCTGTCACTCTCAGGTTTTCCTAACTACCAGCTCATCTACACCACTGTATTCCATACAACGCAGTGGATGGTCAATCTGGCATCAACGAGCTCATCCTTCCTATCCACAGTGGGTATTGTATCCTGGATAAGCAAACCTATCCCATAACATCGTGAATATAACTACGTCATGGACCTGTAGATCATGCAGCTCAAACAAACACTGGAGCCACTCTGCCAGTTGTAATACGAAGCTCTGATCCTTAGTCTAGTTATTGTAATTGAATAGTCTACAGGGGGCTATACATCGGAAAGACTGCCTCTATACTTGGCTGCGGTAGAGCCCATATCAATTGGCGTTAAACTCCTCTACTGCCGTGCACAACACGGCGTTACTCCTCTACGTCTATCCATATCGTAAAGATGAGCAAAGACCAATCACCAGCTACTAGAGCTGGGCAAGATGGAGCAGGAAAAAGAAACCTGCCTATCAGGTCGATACATGCCTGCTCAAGGGGCTGAGGAGTGGCGAGCATGCCAGGTCGCATCTCCGATATCCTTCGACTTCCTCGCTGGGATGAGACGAGTCCGACCTGGTTTTACAGCTTCATGCCGTGCGGGTCAGCGAGATCTCAACCCAAAACACGCCACTGATCAAGCTATAAGGACTTAAGGCCGTCCGTCTTCTTCTTCTCTCGTCTTGCTATCCAACCGCCAAGGTGCACTGCCACGATCGAGACACACCTCCTCATCCTCGTCCTTCCAGCGAGAAGTGTGTACCCTGCCGAGGTAGCTCCCATAACGCTGTAACGAGCTAGAGAAACGGCGGATCGCGGTTCATTATTCATCGATCGTTTGACTTCTCTTGGCTGGGAGATAGTATAGTATGGGTACGTCCCCTTCTGCACCGCCCGATCCGCGCCACATATAGACAGTGAAGACAGAAGTTGAAGTGAACTTGACGTTGTGTTAAGTGTTTGATAAAGTGAGAGAGAGAGTGCTAATAATTGTAGCTCCGACGACTATCAAGTCGCAGTTCCACCGCGTTGGATCATCGTTCTCCTCCCGCGCCATGCCCAACGACGCTGAAGACGTCGGCAACGGGAACGCAGACGAGCGTACGGGCTTGCTGAATGGAAACAGTCGCTACGGCAGCCAGCGCTGGTCTCGTCGCGATGAGAGACTCTGGGTGAGGGCGCCCTTCGAGGTCTGCCACTTGACCTATGCCACGCTGGCGAGCAACTATATCAACGTCCTCCTCGTCTTCGTGCCTCTCGGCCTCCTCTCCGGCTTCCTGCACTGGTCGCCCACGGCCACCTTCGTGCTCAACTTCATCGCCATCATGCCATTGGCGTCCCTGCTGAGCTTTGCGACGGAGGAGCTGGCCGCGACCCTGGGAGAGACGCTCGGAGGACTGCTCAATGCGACCTTTGGAAACGCCGTCGAGCTTATCGTATGTACTCTGAATCTCGATGTAGTTGAACCTCGTTGAAGTGGATGGAGCTAATAGAACATATACAGGTCAGCATCGTTGCTCTGTCCAAGAATGAGATCCGCATCGTGCAGTCCAGCATGTTGGGCAGTGTCCTGTCCAACATCCTCCTCGTTCTCGGCTGTTGCTTCTTCTTCGGTGGTCTGAACTACCACGAGCAGCTGTTCAACAGCACGGCGGCTTCCACCATGTCCTCCATGATGACTGTAGCTTCTGCCTCGCTCATCATCCCATCCACGCTCTATGCCTCCCTCTCCTCCTCCAAGGCAGACTCCAGAGAGAACATCCTCTTCCTCTCCCACGGAACCGCCATTATTCTACTCATCGTGTACATCATGTACCTTTACTTTCAACTAAGCTCCCACTCGGACCTCTTTGAAGGCGCCAGCGAAGAGAGCGGAGAGCTGGGTGAATCAGGTGAAGAGGAAGAACGCACCCTCAACCCGTATGCGGCCTCTGTTCTCCTGCTCATCATCACCCTGCTCGTCGCCGGATGTGCCGAGTATCTCGTTGGAAGCATCGACAGCATCGTCGAAGCAACTAGCATCAGCAGGACCTTTATTGGTCTTATATTAATCCCCATCGTCGGAAACGCTGCAGAACACGTCACCGCCGTCGTAGTCGCATGCAAGAATAAGATGGACCTCGCCATCGGCGTCGCTATTGGAAGCAGTCTGCAGATCGCCCTTTTTGTCACACCTTTCCTGGTCATCCTCGGCTGGATCATGGATAAGGATATGACCCTGCACTTCCAGACCTTTGAGACCGTCGCTTTCTTCCTTTCCGGGCTGGTCGTCACCATCTTGATCCAGGACGGTAAATCAAACTACCTCGAGGGCGGTCTTTGCCTTGGAATGTAAGTTCTCCCCACACACTCTCTCTATAAAGTGACAGAAACTGACCATAATAGGTATATAATCATTGCTCTCGGATTCTATGTCTACCCCGATGACGCAAAGGGTATCGGAGCCGTTGCTGCCCAGCTCGCCAGCCGCTTCTCCCTTTAGTTGACATGTTAACATGGTCTTTCACAGTTTAGCGCACCGTTGGCCGAATCTCTTCAGTCAATGGCTGCCACCAGTAAATTGCAGACCGCTTTTCCCTCTTTGTTGTTTCCTATGCTCTTCTTGCAAAGACACGTTTATCGTAACCGACCAACGGCCATTTGTATTATCCTCGGAATAGTAACGGCCATCTGTTCTCTACAATCTCACTTGACGTGCTCAGTCTTATATGTATCGTGGTGTATCTTCTGTTGCTCAAGGGACGCGCGTTTCTGTTTCTCTTTTTTATATTGGGTGCAACACCTGCAGGCGCTTTCACTTTCAGCCCTGAACTGTGGACATTTTAACACTCTATTATACAGGCTAGAGACCCAATAATATTTAATCACCGCCAAACTATCCAATGGTTGATTTCTTTTCGCTTTCTCCAACAAGCTGAACAGCTGGAGCTCTATGTAAACGATTAGTAATCAGATATAGATCACGTGTCAAGATTACACGTGATATACACACGTGACCACAACCAGCTTCGAGTTGGAATATTGGAGGTCTCTTTATACCTCTTCAAGACAGATAAAGAAAGTCGTAGCTTGAAGATTTATGTCTAACCTATTGATTTGCATACAATTGTCATATATCTCAGATTGTATGTCTGGGCTGCGTTCTGTGAAGACAAAATGATATATCACGTGATATAAGTTTTAACTTGAAGCTATTTTTTTCCATCCAAGTCGAAGGCCAACAACTTCAAGGTCGAATCGAAAGCAGCCGCAGCCATTGGAATCGAGCGGTTGCATTGCTGCCGTCATACGAGAAGGCGGACATACAAACACTCAAGTCGACCCGTCAGCCTGTGACCGTCAACCACCCGCTAAGTCGCCAGCAGGGCGAAGTTAAGAGATTATCACTCAGAAACGAAAAAAATACCACCGATCATGCCTCCCCGAATTCCTATCCTACCGACTCGGTCGACGCTCTCCCTTATCCGCTCCACACAATGCAGTTCCGCAAGCTCGATATCTGCCACTGCACACCCGATCACCGATTCTCTAAACCAGACCACTCGCCAGTTTAGAAGTATAAGTTTACTTGCTCCAAGATGCAATTCTGCTTCGCCATATAGGGCACAGCGCGGAGCTTATTCCTACCGCATGAGCTCTACCTCGTCTGGTGGTAGTGGTAGTGGGAGGAATAATGATGGTGGAAATGTGGAGAAGCCATTGGGCCCGAATCAGGATCAATTGCCGCATGTGAGTGAAGAGGCTGCAGCGACGGCTAAGATTTTGGATAAGAAATGTGGTGAAGTTGGTGGACCTGAGTTGGAGCAAGGGACGCCAGTGGCAGACGTATGGCCCTCGAGTTGCTCGTGGTATTTTCTTATATTTGATTACTTTGCTAACGCTGGTTTGGTTCTGTGTTAGATCCTTAAACGAGACAAGGATGCTCTTAAGAATATGCCAAAGGTTCTACGCGATGAACTTGCTTCGAGCCAGAGTGGAAGCGGCTCTAAACGATCGTTCTCAACCTCCTCCAGGCGCCAGGATGAACAGAAGGAGGTTAAGGATATGTCGTCAACTGATCCTTCGGTCGCCACTGTTGCTAATATGCTTGCGGCATCAAACCGAGGGGAATCCGTTGAAGTTGGACAAGGAATTCCAGAAGGCTTCAAGTTCGAACCGCCGACTCTGCCTCTTCCACCAAATGAGCGTGTCAATCGCCGATACGAGCCATTGGTGGAACAGTTTACCAAGCTAATGATGAAGGATGGCAAGCTGTCTCTTGCTCAGAAGGTTGGTTGGCCTGTCATTTCACTTTTACCTGGTTGGTGTCTGACTTATCTAACCCTGATTTCTATAGCACATGGCCAGAATTCTAGAGCATCTCCGAACCGCTTCTGCGCCACACGTCGACCCATCAAAGCCATTCCTCCCCGGTCCTCCTGCACCACAGCTCCCCCTGAACCCCGTCCTATATCTAACTCTTGCCGTTGACTCGGTTGCTCCCCTTTTCCGAATCCGAATGATAAGGGGTATCACTGGTGGTGGTACAGCACTTCCTATCCCAAACCCATTGGCTCAACGCCAACGTCGTCGAGAGGCAATCTCATGGATCCTTGAAGCTGCCGACAAGCGACGTGACAACAAACTTTCTCTCCGCGTGGCAAACGAAATTATCTCAATCGCCGAGGGAAAGAGCAGTGTCTGGCTTAAGCGTGCAGCAATCCATAAGCAGGCAGCGATGTCCCGTGCAAACATCCGCAGGTCGAATCAGAGACAGAAGATCAAGAGGTCGCTTTAATCCATCCCAGGTAAGCGGAATGACATATCAGGAGAGGGGAAAAGTCTTGTTACTCTTTCTTTTTCTAGTGGGGGGTTAACTGGCATTGAGTGTGTAACATATTCCAGCTGCAGCCGAACTTTTTCTCTTGTATAACTAGCTTTTTTTTATGTACCTTAACCCCCTTGGAATTATATATGTAATCTGAGCTTTCGGGGCCGTCCTCTCCATTTGTGGTAGCCATTGGCGCCCTCCACCGGCCTATAGACCAGTTCAGCCAGTTCTCGAACCACTAGGGTCTGATTCCAGTTGAAGATTCTACTCCGTATGCCGAGTCGAACCTCCTTATCAGTGACATCATATAAGAAAGTGTAAATATATGCAAACCTGACAATTGTAACAAGTATAAGTTCAAGGTGATGTGAAATGGTCGGAGTGGTGAGATGTTGATTGTTGACCCAAAGCGGAAATGTTAACGTTGGCAGCTTTCTTACTACAACATCACCACAACCTCGTCTCTCCCACCATCCATTTCACTTCCTTCCAGCCACCTTGGTCTATATATTTTACTTTCCAGCAGATATTAGCCAAGCTGGTATTCGCCTAACCAGCCATGGCCAGCAAACAGGCATTCAGGCATCCTTGTTGGACTCTGATGGGGTGAATACGGACCATATGGCTAAATGTTTCTAGCAGCGGGAGAGCGACTTCGCACCAAGAGGCTTGGAGCTTCTTTTTTAGCACGTCTTGCGGCATCGTGCAGGTGAGTTAATATCGACGTATCGCCTTCGGGAAACTCGTTTGCCAACCTGATCCCCAGATCCCAGTCCTTATGCAAAATTGGCGTTCTCCAAGACTGCATACTCGGCCGTGAATGGCGCATTTTCCTCTCGACCTTCCAGACTGGGGGGAAGAGGCAGCCTGCAGAGAACCTGTTTGCAAGGCCGATGGCTCTCATAGATTACCGATATTCGACCTTGCGATCAAACTTCGTCCGAACGAAGTCTCGTATTTCGATGTTACATGCAATCTTCCTCTAAATCCCATCATGCACCTTGCGGGGGACGACTACGCCTGAGTGCAGCAAACCGCCAGGACGTACGGAGTAGCCACCACGCGGGCTCCGATAGGCGACCAGAAGGCGTTATCAGTTGCTCCCTCCCGCCCGTGGGGAGTGATTGGGCGGGCTTGTGCCGAAAATCAATGCCATTTAACTATCGAACAATTTAACGTTACACTGGCGCGACTGGCGGTCGCGTTGGGAGGCATTCTGTATGCTCGTTTGTTCACCGAACCGCCTGCACAGAGACGAGATGCCTGAGATCTGCAGGCAAGTCTCCGAGTCACATCATGCAGCCTAACAACACCATGGCGAGGAAAATTTCAACATACCTGCCTGAGATGGCCGACGGAAGAGGTCGGCTCCTACAGACCGTCCCCTCATTCTGCATTCTGTTAATCTGGGGATAAACACCCAATTTTTCGCAGGGGTACCTGGATTAGGATCTCTGCAACCCCATAACACGCGAGCGGGGCCTTCGTATGCCATCTCACCAGTAGCAAGGGTACCGACATTACAGCTCCGTTGGTAACCTGGCTGGCGGCATGAGTCTTGCCTAGGCTGTGAAGCGTCAAAAATATACGACGAGAAGCCGGGTATTAATGACGAAATAGTATTTCTATTAGAAGGGCAGGGAAACCCACCTGGTTTCCTTCGATCGTTCTTCTGTGGTGCAGATTGCCTCGTGGAACTACAGATCACATTTTTCCTCCCCCATAGCACCATGGTCAAGCTCGCGGCCTGTCTGTTGCTGCTTGCAGCTGCAGTACAAGCAAAACTCCCAGTCACTCCAATCAGCCAGCTCCGTGCCCAGGTATCTTGACACCAACTGCATTACCTTCCCCAGTCCTATTCAAAAAGCACCCAACATGGCTAACAATCACTAGGCCCTTCGTAACAACGAACTTGCTGCACGTAGCGATGATCTGAATGCTCAGTATCCAGCTTATCAAATTCAGATTCCCATCGACCATTTCCCAAAGAGCAGCAGATATGAACCTCACTCCACGGATAAGTTCAACCTGCGATACTGGTTCGATGCTAGCCATTACAAGCAAGGTGGCCCCGTGATCATTTTGCATGGTGGAGAGACCGACGGCGCAGGTTCGTGATGCTATAGCGGCCATCTTTGATGCCGCGGTTGCTAGATATCCAATTCCCAGGAAGAGTGCTTACGAGAATGCTGCTATAGGCCGTCTTCCATTCCTCCAAAAGGGTATGCTTGCTCAGCTTGCACAGGCTACCAATGGTATTGGTGTTGTTATGGAGCACCGATACTATGGAGCATCGCTTCCAACCAAGGATTTCTCTAACAAGAGCTTGCGATTCCTGACGACCGAACAGGCGCTTGCTGATACCGCTTACTTCTCGAAGAACATCAAGTTCCCTGGTCTTGAGAAGTACAACCTGACTGCCCCTGGTACCGCACATATCTTGTACGGTGGTTCATACGCTGGTGGACAAGTTGTAAGTTAGCCTTATTAATTATCGCCTTACCTTATGTGCTGCACCGGCGTCCTCATACTAACAATGTCAATTAGGCCTTCCTCCGTACTCAATACCCCGATATCTTCTGGGGAGCCATTTCTTCCTCTGGTGTTACCAAGGCCATCTATGAATACTGGCAATACTTTGAGCCCATCCGTGAACATGCTCCACAAGACTGTGTTCATGTTACTCAAAACTTTGTCGATATTGTCGACAACATCATCCTCCGTGGCAAGAACGCCAACACGACCAAGGAGCTGAAGGATTTGTTTGGCCTAGGCCGTCTCCGCGACGCTGACTTTGCCAACACCCTTTCATCCGGTATCACTGGCTGGCAGTCAACCAACTGGGACCCAGCTATCAGCGGTAAGAGCTTCTACAAGTACTGCGCTGATATCACCAGCGACCGCTACCTCTACCCAGCGACTGAGGCACAGAAGGCTTCTGCCAAGCGTATCATCGAAGCCGGTGGACACGGTCGTGAATCACCCGAAATTCTGCCTCAGCTGCTTAACTTCGTTGGATGGCTCAACAAGAACACCGTGGCCGAGTGTACTGAGAAGGGCCAGACTGTTGAGGAGTGCTTCAACTCTTATGACGAGAACTTCTACCAGCAGGATAGCGCTGACCAGAGCTGGCGAGCATGGCCCTGGCAATTCTGCAACGAGTGAGTATTCTCCGCCAGGTTTTGTATGAGTAAACTGAACGAGAATGTGTGTGTTAACCGTGTTATTTTTTTCAGATGGGGATACCTACAAACTGGAAGCGGTACCCCTAAGAACATCCGCCCCGTCGTCTCCCGCTTGATCGATCTACCATACACCTCCAACATCTGCAAGCAATCCTTTGGCATCACCAAGCCATCCAACGTCGATCTTGTCAACAAGTATGGCTCTCTCGACATCGAATATGAACGCCTTGCACTTATCGATGGAGAGGCCGACCCATGGAAGGAGGCCGGTGTTCACGCTTCCGCTGCTAGAAAGCGAAGCACATCTACCAACAAGCCATATATCCTGATCGCCGACGCCGTCCACCACTGTAAGTGAATCTCCGAATCTATGAATCTCTTTCAGCTTACTCACTCTGTATGCTAGGGGATGAAAACGGACTCCTGCCAAACGAGACCACCGCCGAGCTCCCACCACAGAGAATCAAGGAGGTCCAGGCCGAGGAAGTTCGCTTCGTTAAGGAATGGATGAAGGGTAAGCGATTCTTCCCATTATCCCCTCTTTCGATCTAGAAAGTTCAAACTTTAGCCGTGACCTCATGCTAACATGTTCTCCCCCGCAGATTGGAAGCGCAAGCACTTCCACCATGGCGTCTAGTGGAGGGGATGTACCCTGTAACATTTAGAATATATATGTTTTGGTCATCAGACTTCCTGCAATATGGGTACATCGTTGATGAATACACCATGTCTGGCTCTTTCGTATCGTCTGTAGTAAATTATGCCTCAGTATAGCTGCGACATCGTATCTCATGGATCTCATGGACAGCGGCACCTGATATGAATATCACATGGAGTACGTACTCCGTACCGTTGGACCTCACCAAATTACCTGATCCGGTATAGCGTTCCAGGTCGGGAGCGGCCCCCGCCGCTTTAACCTTGTTTTTGACTCTTTTCCATCCAGGAAATATGTTAGATATGTTATATTCATATATGGGATATTGGTAGGGCAGGAGAATGGAGACAGGATATTGTTTGAGCGCAGTAGCCTTTGAAACCATCCCCCAGAGTCAAATGGATATCCAGATTCATCTAGTATGAGAACATAGCTGCTTTTATAAGGCATCCCAACCTCAAATACAGCTTCAAGTTGTTCAATGCCTCCAAGGGGCGTAGCAGTTGCAGCAACCGCTAGCCCAACATGGAGTTCCACTGTCACAAAAGGGAATACGTTACTTGATAGCTACGAGACATCCGTGGCATCATGTCGTCCCCTCTCCGTGCGTTAGCCCGAGGCTCGATGTTGGTCGGTAAACATGGTCAACGCTACGTTTTGCTCGATCCGCTCATTCAGCGCAAAGGAAAACTGTGCAATGTCTGGAGCGCTGCAAAGCAGGGTGACCCGATGCACCAGTTCGTCCTCAAGCAACCGGACGATGAAGATGGCCCCGGGTAGCCCGATTTCACCAAGGAGATGGAAATGCAGAAGCTGTTGTATAAATCTGGTTATATCCGTCAGATGGTGGATGTCATCCCGCCTCCTTCTGATACCGAGCCTCCAATTATGGTTCTTGAGGCGTTTGAGAAGTCACTGTGGACTGCACGGTTACGGCGTCCCTTTTCTTTGGGGGAGATTCGATCTGTTATGAGATCTATCGCGATTGGACTGAGTACTATACATCACAATAATGTTGTGTATACGGGTTTGTCTCCAAGAGCAGGTCTTAGGATATCAACGGACGCTAACTACGTGACAGACTTGAAGATGGAGAACGTCCTAGTCAGTGGGTTCAACAATGAGACTGCAGGCTCCGGCGAACATCTGGTGACGAAGATCGCCGATCTTGGGATGGGTATGTTGTTTCAATATGCCTTGCCGCCGCGAATACTCGACTGATTGGGACCAGTACGGCCGCCCTCCAAGGGCTCCATATCCGCACTCACATATCGTAGCCCTGAGGTGTATTTCAACAAACCCTGGACAACTGCAACAGATATATGGTCTTGGGCATAGTTGTAGGCCATTCCATACCCATGACGCTCTCGTGGTGAACTAAATTAACGCATCTATGCAGTACCTACACCTGCTTCAAGCCCATGCCTATTTTGAGGAACCTGGAATGTTTGACTCCTTGAAGGTCGAAGGGACGTTGACAGACAAGGAGAATACTATCCGGGCGGTTATGGCGCAAGAGTTCGACCTTCACGCGATCGACTATTACAACTCGGACCCAGATACGCGACAGCTGTTGCCACCAAAGGATGAGACGAGGACCGAGCTTGATCATTGGGTGGTAAAGCTCATCGATAAGGATATCCCGGAAAAGGATCTTGAGACAGTGCATGTCGCGCTCAATCCTGTTCCGGAGCTACGCCCCAGTGCACTTCAGCTTCTGGAGTATGGATATATTTAGGGCGAAGAAGAGATAGTGATTGTCAAACCCCTATTACATTGATGGAGCTCATGACTGACTCTTGTAACTTGACTTTCCACATTACTCCAACATCTTGCTAGTTTAGTTCTTGATTAGATAGATAACGTTAGTATTACCACTGATATCAGTGTTTTGTTGATGTTATTTATGGATGGATGGCCAAGGGCTTGGTGTAGAACGAACCTACCGCAGCACTGTTGGCTTGAACACTGCCAGCACAGCACAGCCTCTAATGTCCAGTAACATTAGTAGTTAAGCGATAGAATTAAAAAGGACTTAGTCTAATTAGCTGGTTCAAGGCAGACTAAAGTCGAGGGCAAGACATAGGCAATTTTGCGGCTGAGTCTCCCTCTGTAGCTGGCTCGTGTGAGCTTCAAATAGCTGGCCGAAAGATTTGCTGAGTAGAATATCGGCGTAAAGACATTGCTCGATTATTTCACTCTCTGAAGCTGCAGTTGAATCTACTCATCATGATAATTAAAGTGATTAATGCGGTCAAAACCGCCCTTGCGCCTAAAAACATCCCGTTTTGCATGGTCAATGAAGCTGCGTTGAAGTACTACAATGTTCCCCGAGCTATCCTGGTATGTCGGCTCCCAAGAGCAATACGGAGTTTTCAGATGCTTACAGTAGAACCTAAGGCTATCGAAATTTGTGTTCCGGAATGTCACATTGCGACGGCAGCATCGCAGCTTGCTCTATATGCTGATGTCTTTCGATCGCATCCATGGCCAGACGAATCAAACTCCACCCCAGACTACCTAAAACCCTACCGCCGATTCCAGGCTTTTATTGAAGGTCAATCCTTCGATGTGATAGTTCTCCCGGACACGTTTTACCATCTGGAACCGCTTCGCAGCAACATTGTTCGTATTCGTGGCTATACTCCAGACCAGATCAGGTTCAGCCGGCAGCTCGATTTTTCGAAAGATTTGAATGCTCTTTCGGCTATCCCTGTGCCCCGCCTGGCGACTCTCCTCCAAGGGGTAGCTCAGAGATACCTTGAATCAAAAGAGTCTACCATAGCAGCATGTGTAGAGGAGTTGGTGGACGGCATGAACTTGGATGAAGCCTGGTGTCTGGACCACCTTGATACCACGAAAACTAAGGCGATGGAATGCATCCTCAACCGTATAGCAACCAAAGCATCACGTATACCCGAGTCTCAGCCTGGGAATATCACCCGCTTCGTCGAAACGGAAGCGGAAGCACGAACGCTGTGCATGATTCCGGGGTATAATGAACTCAGCTGGAGCCGAGAACAGCAGACTCAACCAACGGAAAAGCAGGACTCCGACCTACCTCCAGCGTCAAGTTGGCTTCAATCAGCGGTTATCTTCCTCAATAGGGTGACGGTGAACCTCAAATCTGCAGTATTCCACCAGCCGCCCTCACATCCGGTTAAATTTCAATATATATCAGACCTCCACCTGGAGGATGGCCAGCGTTATGAAACGTTTGTTGTCCCAAGAACGGCGCCTTACCTGATCCTAGCAGGAGACATCGGATGCTTCTGCAACTACAAAGAATATGTTGCCTTCCTTGCCATACAATGCAGCCAGTTTGACCATGTTTTCCTGGTTCTGGGTAACCACGAGTTCTACTGGATCACCCACAAAGACGGGCTTCAGGCAGCAAAATCACTTGAAGATGAGCCACAGCTGGCCGGCAAACTCACTCTTCTGAATAGGAATCGAGTCGACATCAACAGAAGAGTGACTATTTTGGGTTGTACCATGTGGTCTCACATACCCGAAGACTCTAAGCTGTGGGTTAGAATGAAGGTATCAGACTGCAGCATAATCAAGGAATGGACCGTTGAGGCCCATAACACAGAACACAATCAAGACGTCCAGTGGCTGCAAAAGGAGCTCCATAATATCTCACTCGAAAAAGAGAAGCGCGATGTCATCGTTGTCACGCACCACGCCCCGAGTTTTATAAAAACCGCCGACCCAAGGCGTACATCGCAACCTTGGGGGACTGCATTTTGCTCAGACCTGGTTGAGTCTCAGGTCAGGTCCTGGCAGGGTTCCAAAGCCATTCGCCGCTGGATCTTTGGGCATACACACTGGAATACAGCATATAGGTACCGTGGCATGACTATAAGCAGCAACCAGTTTAAATATGACCCTAAGCGAGTTCAAGAGCCGGGGTTCTTTCGTTTCTGGGTCACTCCACTTGGGGAGCACTTTGATGTCACGAAAACTGCTGAAATATAATCCGCAATGCAGTTATCATCCAAGTCAGAATCCATCAGCTTCAGGCACCTAGACGTTCGCCTTCCCTCGACAAGAACCACTCTCGTAGTCTCCTATCAAATTTGAAAGAGTGATATGCCTTAATATATACCGCCGTAGGATATTGAGACGCCCAAGACACATCTCCCATCTCATCTAAACGTCGTCGATGAAGCTGAACCCGGTTTACTCGCATAAATGGATGTCATGGGAGAACCGCGTCGCTATGCATCTTATGCAGAGTGATTTGAACCCATGACCTGCGAGCCGTTCGGGATCCTGCATGACATCGTCGTCGCTTCGATCTCCGCAAACCTGTAAACTCCGTATATCAAATCGACCAACATCCCGGCCTGCAAGGAGCGTGATGTGGAGGAAGATCCAATTGCATGTACAAGGCTTACCACGAGGCTGGGTTCGTAACTTCGTAAGCTCCCTCCGGTTTTGCTTTTTCCTATATCAAAAAATTGGTCGTTCAGGAGTTGATATTTTCCACCACAGCCTCATTCTGCTATCGATGTTGTCTTGGTATCGATATCAACGGGCGAGACAGGTAGGCGTAACTAGTAAGATACTCCGTAAGAGATAAAGCACTCCATAGTGTGTAGCACTGCTGTATCACATTAAAATGATAGGAGATGGCAGCTCCCTGCAAAGATCGACCGGACAGCTTCATCTCAACTTCCGCAGCCACCGACTCGCCCGCTCCATCGCTCAAGTCTATCGCTTCATCTGACGCAGCGGCAACGAAGCCTACGACTTGGCGAGAAGACTCGTGAGTTGTGCTATCCACAGAGGAAGACCACCGCGCGACCCCAAAGCTTGCATATTGGCAACCGGTCCAACCGCCGCAAGACAAAAGTCACTCCCAGGCGATTTATCCACAGCTCTTCCACACACACCCCAGCAGGACGTCCCGCGGAAAACCACCTATTGGGCCAGCGAGACGAATGACGCCGTGGTCTAGGATCTATCGCCAGCCCGAAGTAGGACCTGGTCGGTCAGGCTGACTCTGTTGGATTCGATTCGTCTGAAACCCGTCGCCCTTTACCCGCATCGACGCCGATTACCGGGTTGGGGCTATTTATAAATATTCACAGTCAATGATATACGCTCGAGTCCGCCCGCAGGTGACTGGAAAGAATCTTCAAAGCTGCCCACCCTGGCTCAAAGAAGTCCCGGCCGGAGTTTCGAGCTCGTTGAATTCAACCGCGCTGCCAACGGGCCCTCGTCACCACCATCCTCGCCGTCTGGCCCGTCTCCCTTGCGCGCAGAGTCACGTCGACGAATACACCCCGGGAGGAAAAAAGGTCCCACTGCATTTGCATGGCTGTTTGGGTGGGGGGGAAGGAGGGGTCACCAGAATCCTATTCACAGCCAGAGCGATAGGCGAGATAGCCATAAAGAGAGTCGACAAAGGAACAGGCACGGCGCCAGATCAAAGCGGACGAGAAGTGCCGAACAGGCGAACATCGACGGAGGAGAAGAAGAGAAGCAAGACAATAACAGCAGCTATTTTGGAGAGGGAGGCCTACGGCAGCAGTTATACAAGCTTGGTCGTGGATCGCTAGCTCGTCTAGCTACAGAGGAAGAGACCATGAAGTTCTCTCATAGCATCCAGTTTAACTCCGTTCCGGACTGGAGTGACAGTTATATTGCATACAGCAATTTGAAAAAGCTGTAAGTGACAGGCTCGCATGTTGGTGAAACGATATATATGGTATACTAAGTTTTACGTTATACAGAATATACACGCTTGAAAAGCAGGTGAACCACCCGGAAGGCCACGAGAATGGAGAAGTCGAATCTGCTCCCCTCCTCGATAGGACTCTCGACACGGACGCCATCTTCCGTCGTGCGTTGGACGGGGAGCTGGAGAAGATATGTTCGTTCTACCGCTCCAAGGAGGCAGACCTGTATCGGGAGGTGGAGGAAATAAAAAAGGAGATGGAATCCTTTGCCGAAGACAGTATCGGGATCAACATGGACCCAATTGCTCAGTCCCATGTCAAATCACGAACGCTCAGCTTTGGAGGCAGAAACCGGCGCAGCGAGACGACACGCCACGCCACCCTTGCCCACCACCGATCAAGCACGATCAGTGAACCATCTGGGCCCGATGGTGAAGGTGAAGCTGACAGTGATGACTCGGAGGATAACATGGACATGGCCGAGTTCCCACAGCGAAGGATAAGGAGGCACTCGACCTCGTCTAGGGACTGGACAAAGGACCCACGGCCGCAGGGAGAGGACCTGATGAACAGCGAGCTGAATGAATCGAGACTTTGGGGGATTGCGCACGACCCAGAGCACTCGGCATTGTATGGAATCGGCGTGTCGTTGAAGAAACGTGTCATCGGCATATATGTGTCGTTGTGTGAGCTCAAGTCGTTTATCCAGCTTAACCGCACCGGATTCTCGAAGGCGTTGAAGAAGTATGACAAGACTCTCGACCGAAGCTTGAGGAGAGGGTACATGAATTCCACTGTCCTGGTGGCCTTGCCATTTACAGATCCAACCATCCTCCAGCTAGACAACACGATTGTTAGCGTTGAGAGACTGTACGCTGGCTTCGTTACAGATGGAGATCTGGCACTATCTAGACGAGAGCTTCGTCTCCATCTACGTGAACATGTTGTCTGGGAACGCAACACGGTATGGAGAGAGATGATCGGTATAGAAAGGAAAGCACAGGCTGCGAATATGGGAATACGCAGGACGCTTCTTGGAGGAGAGCAGGATATGGAAACAGCTCAACGACAAGGCGACGAGCAGGAGGCGGGTATAAAGGAATTCATCACGCCCGTAGGACGATGTCCCGTCCCTTCGTGGCTGTTGTCGTCGACGTTCGCGACCCTGGTTGTGATCCTCGTCATATTCGGCGTGATGCTGGTGGTGCCGACCATGAAGAAGCCGGAGCAGCAGAATTGCCTGGCCATGCTTGTGTTTGTCAGTTTACTCTGGGCTACGGAAGTTATACCGCTCTTCGTCACATCGATCCTTGTGCCGTTTCTCACTGTTACGTTGGGAATCATGCGGTCGGAGGAAGACCATGTCAGATTGGGTGCAAAAGCAGCTACGGCCGCGGTCTTTGCAGCCATGTGGACGCCGGTTATCATGCTTTTGCTCGGAGGGTTTACTATTGCGGCCGCCCTCTCGAAGCATGATATCGCGCGCAGGATGGCTACATTTGTGTTGAGCAAGGCCGGTACCAGACCGAGAACCGTACTGCTCACCAACATGTTTGTTGGTATGGTGCTGAGTATGTGGATTAGCAACGTTGCTGCCCCCGTGCTCTGCTTTTCTATCATTCAGGTAAATCATCTAGTCTATTCCTATAACTGTCTGAATCACCCACTAATCGTTCAATCTTTCATCTAGCCAATGCTTCGAAATCTACCGACTGATTCTCGATTCTCCAAAGCCCTCATCCTAGGCATTGCCCTGGCTTCTAACATCGGAGGTGCTGCATCGCCAATCGCATCACCGCAGAACATCATCGCATTGCAGAACATGGACCCTCCCATCAGCTGGGGAACGTGGTTCTTCATCGCACTGCCAGTCTGCATCCTCGCGATCCTAGCTATCTGGGTCCTCCTCCTGGTCACATTCAAACCAGGCCGGGGGACAACCATCGTCCCAATTCGAGCCGTTAAAGATAAGTTTACCGGTATCCAATGGTTTATCACCTTCGTCACGATGGGCACCATCTGTCTATGGTGTGTTAGCCATCAGCTTGAAAATACATTCGGAGACATGGGCGTCATCGCCATCCTCCCGCTGGTACTCTTCTTCGGCACTGGCATCTTAACGAAAGAAGACTTCAACAACTTCCTCTGGACGATCATCATCCTGGCGTCCGGTGGACTCTGCCTGGGGAAAGCAGTCACTTCCTCAGGCCTACTGCACACAATTGCCCGCTCGATAACGAGCAGCGTTGCCGGACTCAGCCTGTACGGCGTGCTCTTTGTCTTTGCGGCGTTGATTCTGGTGGTGGCGACTTTCATCTCACATACGGTGGCGGCGTTGATTCTGCTCCCCTTGGTCAGAGAGGTGGGTATGGGTATGGACGAGCCACATCCTAATCTATTAGTGATGGGCAGTGCACTGATGTGCTCCGTGGCTATGGGCCTGCCGACCAGCGGCTTCCCCAATATGAGTAAGTCCGCGCTTCAGTGCTTGTTTTTCGTGCTTGTTTGTTACCTGTCCATGCTAACCACTTTATGTCGTATAGCTGCCATCATGATGGAAGTACCCGAGACCGGCCAGCGATATCTTCGTGTCCGCCACTTCATCACACGAGGCGTTCCTGCAAGCATTCTGTCTTTCGGCCTTGTTGTAACCCTTGGATACGGACTGATGGTCGTTGCGGGGTTGTAGCCTCTTATTTGTCCCTCTCTTTCTAATATGGAGTACGCATCCCTAGCTTCTACAGGGGGTTCCCATATTTTTTCTTTTCATATCTTCCCATATGGAGTATTTTCCCTGCATTTTCCAGCCTGTACTTGTACACAGCGGGCGAGAAATATATAGAGTGTTAGATGCATGACTGGCCTGCAAGGGTCCCTGCCAGATCATTGGCCCTCGAGCCAGTTACTTTCCTCCCCTTCGCTAACTATGTAATCTCTCTCTCCATACAAAGTCCTTCCATACGCAAAAGCACGAAGCTCCAGCTTCACGTGACTAGATCAGCGCCGGGCAAGTCCGCCCCCTTTGGCCCTGGTAGAGTGTTAAAAAGAAACACATGCGGCTGGCACTGGCTGGCGAAGACAGTTGCGGGCGTCGTATGCATCTGTGGCCGTGGAGTTCATGCTTTCGTGTCGCTAGGGACGGGAGGTTGTCGGAGGAGGCTTTTGGCGGCCATGGATCAGCAGAGCATCAGCTGTATCACGGCCGATCGATATATATAAGAAGCAGCTCCCGTCGCCAGCTAACGTATACCATCGCCTTATCTACCATACTTTTATATACGGGTACTTCTAACATTACGACGCCATGCTGTCATCTACCTCTGTGGTCGCCGGTGCCCTGCTCGCGGCATCGCAGCTCTCCGGCGTCTACGCTGACGGCTTCTCCTGTCCTCCCGGCGGCGAGGTTAGCTGTCACAACTCGGGCCCTGTCCAGGATACTTGCTGCTTCAACTCGCCCGGCGGTCTTATTGCCCTTACTCAGTTCTGGGATGCTGATCCAGCCACCGGCCCCGAGGACTCGTGGACCATCCACGGCCTCTGGTGAGTGATGTTCCTCTGTACAGAGTATTGAGTAGAGTCAAGGCTGATACGGGGCGAACTGTAGGCCGGATAACTGCGATGGCACCTACGAGCAATTCTGCGATATGGGCCGTGAATACACCAACATCACCGATATCCTCAAGGCCCAGAACCGAAATGACGTCCTCGACTACATGAACATGTACTTCAAGGACTACAAGGGCAACGACGAGAGCTTCTGGGAGCACGAATGGAACAAGCACGGTACTTGCATGAGCACCTTCGAGCCATCCTGCTACATGGACTACATGCCCCAGGAGGAAGTTGGTGATTACTTCGCCAAGATCGTTGAATTGTTCAAGGGATTGAACACCTACAAGGTCCGTCTCTGTGTTCTGCTGTTGTTTAAGACAGGACCATTGTCTAATCTTTTCGCTATCAGGCTCTCGCCGATGCTGGCATCACTCCTAGCAATGACAAGACCTACGACCTCAGTGCCATGGAGGCTGCTATCAAGGCTTCCTTCGGCATGGAGATCACCCTGAACTGCAGGAACGGTGCCCTTAACGAAGCCTGGTACTTCTACAACGTCCGTGGCTCGGCCCAGACTGGAGAGTACATCCCTACCCTCCCAGGTAAGCTCTCATCGCCATCATCCAATACCCATTGCGTGTATGCATGTTTAACCAATCCCTACAGGCGGCACTCCCTCCACCTGCCCCAAGACTGGAATCAAATATGTCCCCAAGAGCGGCGGTTCCACCCCACCACCCACCACCAGCTCTCCCAGCGGCCCAGCTCCTACTGGAATCTTCGCCGGTAAGGGCTACCTCGTTGTCACTACTCGAGACAGCCAGGACGGATGCCTCATCAGCTCTGGAAACTGGTACACCACCGGAACCTGTGCCACGTACACCGCTGCCGCCTCCGGCTCTGGCTTCACCTTGACGTCCAGCAAGGGAGTCTGTGGCATGTATAACGGACAGTTCAAGTGTGGCTCCGGCGTTGCTGCCACCGTCTTCGGAGTAAGTCTTCCAGATTCTCAAGTATAAGAGTAACCTGACTAACCGTTTCCCAGTCTTCGAGCGGAAAGCTCTCTGCTAGCGGCAAGGATACCTTCTACGCCGACAAGGTCCCCAGTGGCACCACTCAAGTTCCTATCTACACTTCTCCTCACTCTGTCCCACTCACTGTTTCCTGGCAGGCGGTTTAAGAATGCCTCTGCTAGATGCTAGATGCTAGATGCGCTAGATGCGCTAGATGCAATAGATACGATGAATGAATGAACATGATATACATGATCTTGCACATACATATACAGTAGACGTATAGTAGATATAGTAGACGTATAGTAGATGTATAGTAGATATAGTAGACGTATAGTAGATGTATAGTGGTTATGCAGAGTAATGCGTCACGTGATGTTCCCTTTTGGACGCACAAGTCAGCATAAGTTCTGCTTACCAACAAAGTTCTAAGTCACGCGCTACTCCATATCCGGCCTAGCGTGGTTAAAGGTAGGGCAAAAAATGCTCGACAAGCGAAGCGACTGTGCGAAATTCAGTTTTACGACGACGACGACAAGCTCACTCAATCGCCAACATCTCCGCCCTCCGACATAAGCCCACGGCGTTGCTTTTGGTGAAGGGACTACGAAGATAACACAAGGTGAGCCCCTCGACCCGCATCCCTTGCTGCGTTCATCTCGATCTGTTCGTTTCTGTGTGTGGTGGGCGTGTTTGTGCGGGCGTTCAACGACTTTGCGCTGGGGGGAGAAATATCGACTCAACACGACCGACACAGGGAGACGGGATATAATACTGCTGTGTTCCGCATGCCCTACGCCGAATTGGTCTTGAGCTGTTTTACTTGGTCTTGACTGATTTCTAACTCGGGTCTTCTTCAATTCACAGTCCAATACATCAACCGCAATCATGGGTATCTCACGAGACTCCCGCCACAAGCGTTCGGCCACCGGTGCTAAGAGAGCTTACTATCGCAAGAAGAGGTATGGATATCTTCCGTCGTTTGGGACGTTATATACACATCCTTGGGGGAAGGAGAAAAGAGAGGCGAGACTGACAGTGGTGGGCGTTTTTCAGAGCTTTCGAGAAGGGTCGTCAGGCAGCTACCACCCGTATCGGCCCCAAGCGCATCCACACCGTCCGCGTTCGTGGTGGTAACCAGAAATTCCGTGCCCTTCGTCTCGAATCCGGTAACTTCTCCTGGGGCTCCGAAGGCCTCTCCCGCAAAGTCCGTGTGATTGCTGTCTCCTACCATCCTTCCAACAACGAACTCGTCCGTACCAACACCCTCACCAAATCTGCCGTCGTCCAAGTCGATGCTGCTCCATTCCGACAATGGTACGAGGCACACTACGGTCAATCCCTCGGCCGACGACGCCAGCAAAAGGCCGCCGCCGACACCGAGGATAAGAAGAGCAACAGCGTCGCCAAGAAGCAGGCTGCTCGTCTCGCCGTAATGGGCAAGGTTGACCCTGCTCTCGAGAAGCAGTTCGAAGCCGGTCGATTGTACGCTGTCGTTTCGTCCAGACCTGGCCAGAGTGGACGAGTGGACGGTTACATCTTGGAAGGGGAGGAACTTGCTTTCTACCAGCGCGCTATCCGAAAGTAAACCACAACAACAAGTTCAAAAAATTCTAACAAAATCTTTCTACATCTTTTTTTAAACCATCCTGCAACTGAGAAAAGATATAATTTTTTGCACCTCTTTTATGTCTCTACTTGACAGGCGGGACGTTGCTGTGCTGTGCTGTGCTGGTGCTAGTGCTGTTGTTGTATGTGGAAAGCGGCTTTGATCGGGAGTTTGTGCATTTACCCTTACGATGTGATAAACATTACCGACGCATTGATGTCTGTAGAGCTCCGGGGCTAACGTCTCGGCTTTCTACTCGGAATGAATACATTTTCCTACCCTTCTTAATCGGTCCCGGATTGCCCTCTATCACTACCCATGCGGCTAGCCTCTTAGAAGTAGAATACGCCCCATCAACCGGATAATAAATGTAATTCCATATCATATCAGTATACTTATAAGATGTAAGCTCGTGACTCGGCTTAATCATATTGTTTCTCTATACTAGTCCCATAAGATCTATCAATGATTAGACCGCATTTATATCTAGTAGACAAACTCCTGCCCAACAAGCTCTTCACTCAGCTTCCATAATCTCTCTGCCTCAACAGAGCTAGTAGCCCAAGGTTTAAGAGTATCAACCCAGGGATCCGCAACACCGCATTTCGTAAGGTATGAGCCGTTATGGGCTATATGGGCGTTAGCACATTTCGCTAATATTATAAGAATAAACATTAATACTTACTGGAAAGATCTGGATCAAAAGCAGCGAACACATAGGTTGCTGCACCTTCCTCAGGAGTAATAAGGGGTAAGGAAGTCATCTGGGCTTCTCGGTTCCCCAAGAAGCGGTCTAGCTCATCTATAGCTAATGTCAGCTTACATCTCACTTGCAAGTATAGGACTGTAGTACGACCTACTCATTAAAGGAAAGGCAGTCTTCCAGTCCAGATGAGCACCCAAGTTCGTAAGGATGACCCCTGGATGCAGACTGAATGACAAGAGCCGATTCTTGCTCCCCAGTTTCTGGGCTAGAGAGACTGCCATGAGCATGTTTGCCGTCTTTGACTGGCCGTAAGCCTGCCATTTATTATATGTCTCCCCGCCCTATACGAATGCCGGAGGTATTAGCGCGGCCCGTGGTTATATCCATGAAGGTAAACTTACCTGAAAGTTATAGTCATGGAAGCGGATTGGACAGAGTCGATGGCCATTGCTGCTGACCATGACTATACGAGGCGCTGGAGAGGCAAGAACCTTGCCCATTATGAGATTCGTAAAGAGGAATGGGCCTAAATGGTTTGTTGCAAACTGGCTCTCATGTCCCTCAGGAGATACCTTGTAATCGACAGCCATTATACCAGCATTACTAACAACCACGTCAATATGGGGGATATCTGTCCATCCATTGACTGTGTTGGCGGCATTCCGAACAGCGTCAAGAGACGAAATATCGAGCTCAAGGATGCGAATAGCCACAGGTGAATCTGAGGTTTCTGCTACCAGCGTCTGCACAGTTTCCTGTATTTTCGCAACATTGCGGCCTGCAAGGATAAGCAGCGAGGGTTCCGACTTTGCAATAGCCGTAATAAAGACAGCGCCTAGTCCTGATGGTGAGACGCCCGTAGTAAGAACAGCTTTCCCCTTGATCTGAGGAGCGTATAAGCGGGCTAGAGAGCTGGCTGTCTTGCCAAGAGGAGGATTTTTCGGATCGGAGGTCATGATTGCTCACGAGGTTCAATAAACTTGATAGAATGAATCTTTTGATGAAGGAGAATGTCGTTGGATACTGTTGAACGAAGTCGATATGTCGCTGGACCTGTTCTTATATATGTGCATCGCGCGCGGATATAAGTCGGAGATTGGAGATATAGATCAGTTCGCACCAAACGCCGGAGATACAGATATGTGAACTGCTAACTTGACGGGGGCATCCAAACGAAGGATCCCAGGGCAATGTAGAAGAAGCAGATGAACTGATTTGGGTATATTCCGGCTCTAGAGTATCTCCGTCAACGACTACTTTTAGCCTGGTTGTATCAGGTCTGCCCCTAAACACTACCCTGTCGTAGATATCCAGTCTTTTTACAACTCTTAGCTATATCCATATAGCCATGTACGTCTCAAGGAGGCTGAAATCGAGTTGGAATAACCGGTGAATTAATGAGGCGGAGTTAAGTAAATATATCGGGGTTAACGGTACGCAGTATCCATACATATACCGCCAGCAGCATATCAGAAAGTTGTGTTGACTGTTTCATAGATCGCATATGGCCCTATGTAGTATGAAGTATCAGTAAATCTGCCCTATGTAGCATTCAGCAACAGTAAATCTTTCCAATAAGCGTTGTAGCCCCTTTTGTATACTCAATATGCCCCTTATATGTATATAAAAGACATGTGTGGTTGTAGACACCCTACCTTTGGGAACAAACCATCTGTAAGACTCCTTATCATCTAAAAAGTGTTCAAATAGGCCTTGGTCGTGGGTATATCCTTAACACTTGTCCATGGGCTTGTTCCTGGGTTTGTCACTGTGCCTCGGCGCTATAAAAAGTGAGGTTGTCAACGCCTGTTCAGGAACTTTCCGCTAGGTTCAACCTCACCCTTTTCCCAACACAGGAAATCACTTCACAAAAAGGGGTGGCTGGTAGTCACGGTGTATAACACTCACACCCGATGGCCCCATCATGAAAAATCTGCTCAAAAGAGGGGAAGGAGGGAGGGAGTGGCTCGGCTTCGAGGGGGCTTGTAGAGAAGATTTTTCTGATAGTCACCCGAGTGCGTCCAGTGTGTTGTATACTCGCTCGCACAGTTCGCTAATTCACCCAGCAACACTTCGCCAGCTTCAAATTCCAGCGTCAAGTTGACTTGATATCGCACACAAATCGATTCCTCCGCCCCTTTTCCTGCTTTGCGGTCCCAGTTCACGTCTATAAGACATCTCAGTCTCTCAAAATTCAGCATACAAAGCTCATATCAACTTCAAGTCGACCCCTTTAACAGCCATGGATCACCCATCAACACCCCAAAGGCGCAGCTCGCCTGAGGATTTCCTAGGCATTACCCCGAAGAGAAAGGAGACTATGACTCCAGGACTGCAGAAGTTCGAGCTTCCACAGGTCGCCTTCACTTCCGAGTTCATCCCCCTTGAAGACCCCTTTGGGGATGAGATCCCGCCCTCGATCTCACTGGCCGAAGCAATCTGGAGCGACTACGAACGCAGTACCTGCAAAGAGATCACTTCCATCCATATCGACCGCCAATCAGCAGAACCGGGCCCTCAAATCAACTATGAGGTCCTGAATCAAATGATCGTCAACATACCCAAACGCATGCCAGACGCATACGCCGCGGCTTTTAAGGCCCTAGCCAACACTCGTGTACGCTACTTTGCAGCATACCAGGTTCTCCTAGCGGAAAAGAGAACCACCGCCGACTCCTTTGCGATGGGCAAGCTGCTCCATATGAAACAAATCCGGCTCCAGCTCGACCCTGCCACCTACGGCGGGGAGCTCGCTGCGAAGAACAAGGAAGCAGTCAAGAAGTGCTTTGAGGAATGTGTTAAGCTGAAGCAGCGTTTTGAAGTCTGCAAAGAAGGGCTGATAAGATGCATGAAGGAGTTTATCCAAATGAAAGCCGTGGTGATTCCGTACATTGCTCGACTTAGGGAAGGGTACGTCGAAATTCAACGACGCCACAACTTGCAGAAAGAGAGCGAGAGAATTGAGAGAGAGAAGCTCGAAAAGGAGAGACTTGAGAAAAAGAGAGCTGCAAGGGCGAATTTTTTGAAAGAGAAGGCCAAAAAGACGGCTGCTGCTTTGAAAGAGGATAGTGTTACCCAAGCCCGCAAGGCGTTTGAGGCACAAGCTTGGGCTGACTACCTGGCAAGAAACAAGAGGCTCCGAGAAGATGGTACAGAGGTCTGCCATGGCCGCGGTGGAAAGAGAGTCAACCTCGGACATTGATGTTAAAAAGGGGTATCATCCAGCAGATGGTACAAGAGCGCCAATGGATATTGCTGCACCAAGGCCATACAAGAAATAGATGTGGGTATTTCTCTAAGGATTTGACATCTTGAAGATCAAGAGCATTGCTGTCTCCAAATAGGTTCGAGGTATGCAGTCCTCTTTGTCTTTATTTGTCTTATTCCCATATCCCCGATGGTTCTGTTACTAACGCCCATGACGTTCGTTAGGACATCTTTGCTTGTACAAAACTCAACAGGGCTCGGATATCACGGCTCCATAGCAGCTCGGATTGTTTTGCCCCGGTGGCTATATCGAGAGAGAATACTGGTATTATGCATGGTTTGCGGCTGGGTATCAATCTCCTGGTTGGAGTTTCACGGTGGTTTCTCGAGCAAAGTCGTCCAATTTGATTCTATACAAAGGTAAAAACACAAAAAAAAAAAGCATAGGAATCTTGTTAATAGCTAGAATATGTCCACCAATGAAGATATGATCGTTAAATGTAAGAACTGCCTCCCTTTATCCCTTCTCCTTTCTCTGTTTCCTTCGATGTTTCCATAAGACGTCGTCTCTTAGGGCTTATCACGTGGTATATGGTCATGTGATATTTACTTACAGCGACTGACAGGCCTTCAATCCTTCCCGCAACATCCGAGGAACTGCATGATACGTTGCATACCGTCACTCGAATGCGGCGTTTAGACTACAATATTTCCATGGATTATTCCATGCCACCAACAGGCCTTGTTCCATTTTATACGAGAGTATCACGAAAACACGTGATTATATAAATAACCTCCGCCTCTGATTGGCTGAAGAAGGTCACATTAGTCCTAAAAAGGTAATATTGGATTCGCGTCTCCGGTTTATGACGTTTGGAAGGAGTTTTTGATCTTCGCGCCGACTTTCCTTGAGAGAATACGGGAAACGAAGGCAAAGGAAGCATTTAAACCGTCATCGCTGCCTGGCTGAGGATGTTCTCATCTTTCTTTCTGTGTGAGATTCACGATCATGTCTTGAGCCTGGTAAGAGACACGCCAAAAACGCCAACATATTAGTCTATTCATCTATCCATCATGGTCAAGGTAGCCATCGCTGGAGGCTCCAGCCCGACACTGGGACATTCAGTTGTCTCTGCCCTTCTGGCAACGAACGGTCGCCATACACCTATTATCCTGTCGCGGAAGAAAGCTGACGACGGCACGACTTCGAGCAAGGATGTCTGGCCAGTTGCCGGCTCATCGTCGTCTACGGCAGAAGTAGAGACACGATACGTCGACTATGAATCAGACGATTCGCTGGTAGCCTCCTTGCGTGATATAGATACAGTCATCAGCGTCCTCCTGATCCACGACACGGACACATTCGTCAAGACTCAGATAAGGCTTCTACACGCCGCTGAAGCTGCAGGCTGTCGGCGATTTGCACCCTCCGAGTTCGCTGGGACGTATGACATGCACTTCAAAGTCGACTTTGATAAAATGGCCAAGTTGCCCGTGTGGGAGGCTGTTCTTGCGTCAAAGATCGATGCCGCCATGTTCTCATCCGGGATGTTCATGAACTATCTTGGGATCGGCTGCCCGGAGAAAGATGGCAACCGCGCCGAGGCACTGGCAGGCTTCGCAGAGGGGCCCTTCTTGTTTAATCTTGTTGAGGGCTGGGTTGACATGCCGGTGGTGGAAGGCGATGGTGCTTCACCAGCCCTTATAACAATGACTAACATTCGTGATATTGGCCGTTTTGTCGCTGCGGCTATCGATTTGGAGCAGCCTTGGGGTAAGCGTGAACTTGGAATGGCTGGCTCAACGCTTCGGTTCGACGAGATGGTCCCTCTGATCGAAAAATATACTGGTCGTAAGATGGAGATACGCCCGTTTACAAAAAAACAGCTTCAGGAAAGGGCTGCCAATGCCTCTGAGGGAGTTGCGGGAATCATCGAGCACATGGAGTGTCAGTTGAAGACGGTCTGCTGCGAAGGTGGAATCCCCATCGAGCCAACGCTGAACCGGCTCTGTCCCGGGGTGAAGCCCATGACGGTTGAGGAGTTCTTGCGCAAGTACTGGGCAGAGCCATCTGGTATTTCTGTCTGATCGAGCATTGTTGATATTCTGTCAATATTTTGAAATCGATAACCAAAAATTTGTGAAATCTCGCCTGTTCACTTGGCATGTAACCGGCTCTACGCTCTGGCAGGAGGTAGCATCTCAGAATGCAGTGCATGCATATTCGCCTTCATATCGCATCTGCGCATGCTGCAAGCCCAGGTCTAGATTTAGAGCCCAGGAGATTAGTAACAAGTTGAGTTATCCTTGGGTTTCATATCAAGGTTAGATTCTGGGGTAAACTCCAACGGCTTCTACAGCTCGGATCAAGTGCAAGAATGGTCACATCGCCGTGAACCTGGACAAACCGGCCATGGGATGCCATCTTCCGGCCGACGAGCTTGGTGGAGCGCTTCGAGCTAGGTCGACCCCTGAGCTTCGCGCCAGCTAAGAGACACATAGCCCCGAAGGATGAAGCCCGCGAACCCAGTCAAGTCCTCAGCCAGAGCTCCTAATTGGCCCCTGGCCAACTTTTACATTGCCAACACGGCTCTTGTTCATGTGCTGGGGTTACATCCCAGCTGCAGCAGAGGCCGTCCGTCTCGATGTCACTGTCTATTCTCGCTTTCGTGAAGCTGGTGAAGGGTGGTATCTCGCTGTCTGATTATCATCTGATGGCGCTGGATGATGCTCAGGCCGGGGTCGACGAGCGTTTTGGGAGGAAAGAAGAGAGAGAGAAGCACTTCCACGCGGGTTACATCTTCGTATTTTAATTAAATAAGACCCGGTTTCTCCACCGCGAGGAGCACTGGATGCACGAAGCTGGCGATGGAGTGCTATGGATTTTCGTTCGTTCGGCCATCTGATCATCGCGATGGGAGGGTTACACGCAGAAAAAGCAACCCCCGAGGGCATCTCCCAGCTTTTTTGATCTGGCAGGCAACTTCTTGGTCACTGACACCTTTATTTACCTTCTATGGCTGGGTGAAGTGAGATCTAAGATCGTGTGTCACTTTGTCCCTGTCTGCTTAACTGGCTGGTCTTGCCGAAATTACGGGTATAAAGCTGCCCTCCTCCTTATTGACCCGGGTCTACTGCGTTCTTCTCTCGCTAACAAACTACATCGACTAGAATACACACTGCGATAAGCGCCGAAACGATGCATTTCGCCCAAGCTGTGGCTGTCGCAGCCTTGGTGCTGTCTGGAGTTAGTGATGCCGTCGCCGTCAACCCGCTACCCGCCCCAAGATCGATCAGCTGGGGAAAATCAGGTCCCCTATACCTCGCTCCCTTCGTCAGATACAGTGGAACACGCGACCAGAACCTCCAGGAAGCCTGGCGCCGTACCTTCAACACCATAGTCAAGCTTCGCTGGACGCCGGCTGTGCCTGACGTTCCATTTCCTACTTTCGATCCCTTCCCGACCCCAAAAGCTAAGCGCGATGATATCGGTTACAGAAACTCGATAGGCCAGGTTAACGTCAAAGTAGAAGATACCAAGGCAAAGCTGTCCCATGGCGTGGACGAGTCTTACACATTGGAGATCAAGGATGGATCCAGCAGTATCGATATCACTGCCAAAACAGTCTGGGGTGCCCTCCACGCATTCACAACTCTGCAGCAGATTGTCATTGCCGATGAACAGAGTGGGCGACTGTCCGTTGAACACCCCGTCATGATCAAAGATCAACCTTTGTATCCTATCCGAGGTATCATGGTTGACTCTGCTCGCAATTTCATCAGCGTGGACAAGATCAAGGAGCAACTCGATGCAATGTCCTTGTCAAAGATGAATGTCCTTCACTGGCATTTAACCGATACCCAATCTTGGCCAATCGAGATCAAGAAATATCCCCAGATGACCAAGGACGCTTACTCTCGACGAATGACCTATACTCACGGAGATGTCAAGGATGTCATTGGCTATGCACGCGCGCGCGGAATCCGTGTCATACCAGAGACTGACACTCCTGGCCACTCCTCGTCCGGCTGGAAACAGATTGACCCGGATCTTGTCTCTTGCGCTAACTCCTGGTGGTCCAACGATGACTGGCCAAAGCACACTGGTGTTGAGCCAAATCCAGGCCAACTTGATCCCGCATACGACAAGACCTATGAGGTTATCGAGAATATCTACGGAGAATTGTCCGATCTCTTTGAGGACGAGATGTATCACATTGGTGGTGATGAACTGCAGCCGAACTGCTACAACTTCAGCTCTCATGTCACTAAATGGCTCGCTGAAGATGCCTCCCGAACCTTCAACGACTTACTACAGTCATACGTCGACAGGCTGTTCCCAGCCTTGAAGAAGCGCAATGACCGCCGCCTAATCGCCTGGGAAGATATCTTCACTTCTGAGCAGATGCACGCAAAGAAAGTACCAAAGGATACCATCATGCAGTCCTGGAATAAGGGCCTCGAAAACCTCAAGCTTCTTACGTCGAACGGCTTCGATGTCATCGTCTCCTCGGCCGATTTCTTCTATCTTGACTGCGGAAACGGCGGCTGGGTCACCAACGACCCTAGATATAACATCATGGAGAACCCAGACAGCAAGACTCCAAACTTCAACTACCTCGGAGACGGCGGTTCGTGGTGCGCCCCATACAAGACCTGGCAGCGTATCTACGATTACGACTTCACCGATGGCCTCAACGACGAGGAAAAGAAACACATCCTAGGCGGCATTTCGCCTCTCTGGTCCGAACAAGTAGACGACGTTATCATCTCTTCGAAATTCTGGCCCCGTGCCGCTGCTCTCGCCGAGCTGTTTTGGTCCGGCAACAAGGACGATAAGGGTCAGAAGCGAACAACGCAAATGTCCAACCGTATCCTAAATTTCAGAGAATACCTCGTTGCCAATGGAGTTGGTGCCGCTCCTCTACAGCCTAGATATTGTCTCCAACACCCACACCATTGCGATCTCTTCTTGAACCAGACCGCTATTGTGTAAAGACAAAAAGAGAAAAAAAAAATGTGAAATAATGAGCTTAGTTAGGCTGCTGGAATTTTATTTAATCATTCCTCTTTCGGATACCCTATGTTAGCAACTTTTTTATGGGATTTACTTTAACTTTGAAACGGCCTTTGAGGACATGCGTCTCCGTTCACCCTCTTTTCAATCTACATATCCTTCGCCTCTTTAGCCATGTACATAATGATGCGCCACTAATAATTAACAGGCTTCCGTACCTTTGTAGATCCACGGCTATCATCTCGTCCCTGATGTATATTGTCTAAGCTCTTGCTACGAATGACAGCGTGTGGGGACCCAGATACGCTTTCTACAATCTAAGATCTACCTTTAAACGCCCAATTTGATAGAACATAAACTTCAAGATTAAACGTAGTAAAACAGAAGTTAAATGAAGAGCAAAATAGAAAAATATTGGCCTTGGGTATACTAGGTACACCTGCCAACAAAACGTAATTATGCAAAATATAAGGAGTAGAAGACAAATGAAAATATCCAGTATGGGGCTAAACATTGGTATCAAAAGGGGAACATTCAGAAAGTATCCAACAGGTAGAACAGAGCTCATCCAAAGAGTCATATCTTACATAAATGTAAGAGCTAATGGGGGTGTAAGTAATAGCAAACAACAACAAGAAAATAGAAGGGGGGATAGGTGGAATAGTGCCCTTTAAAGTGGCTTGGTATGACATGCACAAAATATGAAACTGCTGTCTGAGGGCAATTCATTAAATCAAACACGGGGGGACCCGGGAGTAAAGCAAGGGTTAGGAGTATATGTCCAAGACATCCTAATCTCCATAAAATTGAACTTATTCTTCCTTTAATACGCCGCCAATTCCGCTTCCATCTCGAAAGTTCGCACGGCTGGCCTTTCGACCAGATTTCAACAGGCTGAATCGCCTCATGACTGAATCACGCATCGAGGCACTCGAGTTACTGTTAGTTTCGGAGACGTCTACCGGCGAGCTAATTGGAACCTTAAGCCCGGAGCGTTCAGATATACCCGTCCGGTTGCTGCTGTTGGTCGAAGGTCGCGTCTGAGGAATGGTTGAGTAAGAGCGTTGAGTTGGCGTTCGGGCGGTTCCATTCTGTTTGCGGGCTGCCTTGGCCCTTTCGATGATGCGCTGCTGTGTTGTTCGGATATCTTCTGTCGAGGCGGCCGGCGTACCATTTGGCCCCCCATTCTCGTTACTGCCTGATACACCACCATTGTTGCTGCTGGTGGTGCTACCATTTCCGAACCAGCTTCTCCGTTTCTGTGTGCCATCTGTCTTCCCTTGAGTTGAGTGACTGCCTTTCCTCCCATTAACGTCCGTCTTGTTGCTTGCCGAGGTGGTCGCTCGGTTTGGCTCATTTACCAGGGTGCCATTAGGCGTAGCCTCTTCGCTTATCGACTGATTCCTGAGGCTATTATTGGATCTAATTGTTTCCTGGGTAATAGTCGCAACTGAATTGGAAGCACCGTGATGTGAGCGTTTAAATGGGTTGAGGCTTAATCGACGGCTCGGAGCCTCAGACACTGCATTCGAAAGAGTTCTAGTGAGCGAGGTGATGGGTTTCTGCTGTGCGGTGTCGCCCTGGGATTCCTGTGTTGGTGGCAATCCTGAAGCCTGGCTGTTTGTAAAGGGATCAAATTGATTGAACGTTGGGAGTCCATCTTCTTGATACTGTGGTCCAACGTTAGGTACAAAAGTGGCGAGTTCATGCGAGAAAATAGCCTCAAACTGTCGGACAAGGTCCAGTTGGTCAGATTGGTATGACGGTCGTAGATTGAATAACATTAGACAACGCTTTATTGCTAATGCATGTTCTATTAGAGCCGTTGCAAGGGCATTTCTGAGTGGATGATGATGATATCCAGTCGCTTCAATTTCACCGTTCTCGGTTCGAGAATCCAAGTCATCGTCTTCCTGAAGGAATTGGCGATATAGTGCAGCGCACGTCGAAGGATGGGCTTCGACGTCGACGAGTTGCCGGATAAGTTCGCTTACGGCGGTGAGGTTTGCATCCGGGTTCATCGTTGCTCTCCTTTCAAGGATCAGAAGCTCCTGGGTTTTACGCCATGTCCTTTCGACTGCAGTCTGCAAGGGGGTCAGTGCAACTTCATCAGTTGCAACGATCTCACTGCGCCTGAGGATATTTGGGAATGGCTCGGCTACGGTGTATATGGACTTCTCGACCCATTGCTTCCTAACATCGTTGCCACCCAGATGTTTCTTAGACGTGACTGAGAATTGGGCAGGTACCGAGGTCAGGAGGTGATCCCGAACGGACTGGGGAACCTTGGTGCGTTGGTAAACTGGATGGTTCATATCCCGGTGGATGCTAACAGCAGATATTCGAAGGAATTGCCCCTCTAAATCTTCAATTTCACCAGAAGTGACAAGCTGAGCTGCCGGGTATTCCTTTTGGAGTCTATCTGTAAAGCTGGCCAATCGATCTGTTGGGTGGCCCTCGAAGATGTATTGCTTATCTCTCACAGTAGTCGGGAAACCAAGGCCTTTGAAAGTAACACGGAAATATCTGGCGACCTGAATATCGTCTTTGACAATGGAATCGTAGATTCTTGCCATGGACGTTTGCGTCCTTGAAAGCTTAGCAAAGTCTAATGTCGTATGCTCGTATTGTTCTGCAAGCTCTCTATAGCATGCAAGAGCATGTGCCCAAGCCTTTCCATCTTCGAAATGTTGAATGATTTGAAAGTATAAAGCTTCTTTCCGATCAAACGAGGTCTGTTCCGGAAACCCAGGGCTTGCAACGGCAGGAAGAAGCTGGGAGGTATCCCAATGGTAGAGATCGGCATGGAACTGAAGAGCGAGACCAGCTTCTGTGAAGTTACGGGCAGAAACCTGTCCTCTTGCGAGCTCATGTACATAGCGAACGAATATATCTTCTTTATCCATGTCTTTCATGAATTCCATCAGCTTCAACGTATTCAAACTCTCCGAAATATTACCGGAGTGTGCCGCAGCCAAAAGATCGAGCAATTCGTCAACAGTAGCAACAAGCTCCTTTAGCGCAACCATGAGTTCAACATCAAGAGTCGTAGAATTTGGATCAAAGAGATCCATCAATTCATTCATAAACAGCTTTTGGGTAATACTTTCGGAAAAGTTCCTGGTTTTGAATGTCTCGTCTAGACTGGATATTATCTCTGCTTCGATCATAGCCAGATCTTCGTTTAGCTGCCACTCGCTGACAATCATCGTCTGCAAGATTTCAACGGCAACGCGTCGAGGTCCCTCGTGGACGCTTAGACAAAGTTCAATGATCGGAGGCACAAGGCTAGGGACGTATTGAACTTGATATCCTCCTAAGCTCGTTAAGCCATATCGCTCACGCTCTTCGGGACTAGTTTCCCAGCCAATGGCTTTCCAGGTTGTGCGCAGAAGCTCTGCGCCGTGCTCACGGACATCGCCAGCGATTTTCCACACAGCACGTCGTTTTTGTTCTGGGAACGTCTCCAAAGCAAGGGCGTCACTTGACACCAATTTCAAAATCGTGGCAAAGAACAATCTCCATAATTCCATATCGAAGTTATCAGCTTCGTCAACTGGTGGGAGGAAGTATTTGATTAGCATCGCAGACCAATGCTCCAAACTCTTCACCACAGACCGGTGGTGATAGATGCGCAAACTCAGCCAAGTTGCTGGATATGGAACACAATCGAGGATTGAGATATGAGTAGTGAATGCGCGAGACAGGAAGATCGCCATCTCGTCAAGCTCCATAACCAGCTCCACGGGGTTCGGAATGGCTGATAACGCTGCGGTCAAAGCGGAAAGTTCAACAAGAGCTTCGTCGAATTTTTGGTTGGTCTTTGATTGCTTAAGTTGGAATGGGAAAGATTTGCTGAATAGTAACGAAAGCCAGTTTGATTCTTCAACCCCATCAGACTCAATCGCACAATACGAAGCCACGACCTTTGGCATGTATTCGAAAAGCTCTGGTTCTGGATGTTTGAGCTGCTCTGCAAGAATAGACGAACAAAGCCTAACCTGATCTCTGTACTGGTCTGTGACTTCAGCTATTGCTCCCCAGTAAGGGTCAAGCCATTTTATGCAGCGGGTATAGAGCATTCTCCTCTCTTTTTGCCCGACAAATAATGGAAGCTGGGAGTAGTTCAGGATCAGGACAAGCTTGTAAAGAATAAGCATGCCTTTGACGTCCTTGCATGACTCCATAAAGCTCAAGGCGATGTCAATTATTTCTGCCTTGGAAAGTGCACTCGAGAGTTCTGGTAGCCAAGTATGGAAATGCTGGACGACAAGGGTCTTGCTGCCCACAAGTATTGGGGCAGGGTTTTGCATGAGGGCTTCGACCGATTTGAATATGAACGTCAAGTCACGGTTGAAAGTTGACTGAATATTGGTAATGCCGATGCCTTCTTCCTTTGCCTTCTGTTGCTCTCTTGCGTTTATTATGAACTTTAGAATATGTCTTCCAACCTTGAATGCTGCACGGAGGTTGCGAGATTGTTGTGAGTCAGGTGTTGCTTGAAGAAGGCGGCAGTAACTCCTGATTAGACATGGCGTAGCAAAAGGGAAGTTGAACTGTTCTTTCGCATATTGGTCAACCAAAGGCCCAAGGTTGAATCGTCGATCATGCAAGATGCCGAGCACAGTGACCAGGTCAGTAAACACTAGATCCTCGAACTCGTCATTTCCAGAGTGTTCAACTATTATACCGAACAATGCATCGAAAACATTGCTCAGCTGTTTGACGATCTCAATCTCCGGTACGAAGACAATTCTTCGTAGTAGCTCCAAAAGCTCGGACGCTGGCTTTTCTTTCCAATTGATAAGTCCAAGCATGACTTGATCCTGAGAATACTCCGTACTGCACAAGTCGGTCTCCACGACCAGAGTTGCGACTGGTCCGGTTACAGCCTCGTCCTTGGTCGATTCGTTTTTCCCGAGTGCGCTCCAAGGTAAGGAAAGATAGGCTCCTTTGCCATTCTCAATACTGGAAGTTGACTTATCGTATGCATGTAGCAGGAGAGAATGAAGCCCATCTCGAATAAACGCTTGTTGGTCCCAAAGCGGCATCCAACTTAGCGCAAATGGAAATTCTGGTGCGTCCGCTACACTCATGATTAAATGGGATCCAGGGACCTGATCGGCGGGGATACTCAAGCGGATTGTCTGATTCCAGGCAGAAAGTCTCTCCGTGACAGTAGTTCTCCAGGCAATTACGGGGGTAGCGTTAGATGAAGGACAGATACACTTTTCGATTCTTGCGCCGGCGCCATTGCGGACTTCTAGGGTTAGTTGTATGTTGCGGAGGCCAGTTGATTGTGGAACAGGGACTTGACCATGAACGGGGTGAGAGAGGAGAGCATCTCGTGAAATATTCGCTCGTGAGAGGGTAACATAGATATCCGACCTTGGCTTCGTTGGCGCCCCAGGGAAGCCTATCCTTCTTGTCTGGGTAACACTGTGGAGGAGAGTAGGGTTCTTTTTAACAAGGGCGTCTGCATCAGTGCCGGTAAATGGATAGAGGTGAATATGTAGCCTTGCAGCTTGGTATGCCCTAGTATACCGTCCAGTTGGGCTGTAGACTAAGGTGCGAATAATTTCGTGGAAACCATCTGTTGGGCCTTCCTCTTCGTCATTTTCGCCTAGGGGCGACCAAATGGTGAATACTTGTTCGGCGGCTTTTCCAGCCTTCATCAGGGGCCCAACTTCAAGCGCTCCTACACCGATCATACGACAGACAGGGTCCTTCTTTTTAGGCGTAACGTTTGCCTGCTTCTCCTTCTCCGCTCCATCGCTCGTTCGAGGTGGAATATTGTTTGTCTCCTTCACTGGTTCTACAGTTTGACCACCCTTAGTCTTTGGACCCCACATCATACTTCTTCTACCCCGTAAGCTGCCTTTGCCTGCTGTGTTAAACTGGGCTCCGCCTTTATTAGGTCCCGTTGCAGAGGATGACTGGGACTTTGCTGTGGGGGATGGGGCTGTTCTCGGTGGTTCCCAGCTTAGAACCCTAACGGTAAGGAAGAGCTTAGAATCCGACCCTGATATTTCTCCAATATCAGCCGCACTTAGTTCGGTGAATAGCGTCTTCAGTTTCCCGCTGATTGCAAGGGAAGAGAAGCTCTCGGCGGAGGGGACGTCCAACGAATAGGTTTCAGAAAGCGGTTTCACGTCGCCAGTCGGCGATTGTAAGCAGAGGCTTACCGCAAGGATAATCGGACTTGTATTGGCGCCCGTAACGGCGTTCAGCTCGAAGAGTAGATGATGTAGCGAAATGGTATCGGATGGATGCGTAATTTTGCCATCAAGCATACTCATTTCCGACTGAAGCTTCGTCAACTCGATGGCTGAATCGTCTCCAGTAAGAAGTCGACCACGCTCAGATGGATCGCGGACTATCACATCCCCACTAAGCATCTTGTTTCCTCGAACGAGGTTCCATACCGTTTCCTCGCGGAGCGCCTTTCTCTCCTGGGCCGTCAGTACATTATGCAGGAGCTGTCGCCGGGCAAGGTCGAGTTCCAGAACTATATTAGACATGCTCTCCAGGGTTGCGTACTGTCTCCCTAGAAGCAGCTCGTGGATGTTGGTTGAGTGCCATTCTCGTAGACACGAAGCAATTTCATCAACTAATGGTTCAGAGGCAGAAGTAGGTGTCTCATCTCCTATTTTGAGCATGGGGACAGGCGCCGATGGTTTTGCGCCGTCGGCGTCGCGGGGTGGTGGAGGCAGAGAGACAACCGAACCCGCTTTCAACGACATTCCAGATCTCCGCTTGGTCGCATCCTCTTCCATCTTGAGGACCGTGAGCTGTGATAGTTTGCGAGCGGTCTTCACTTCCGGTGCAAGGTTGCGAGAAGTCGGCTTTGGCTCGCCTGGCTGCCCATGTTCCGGAGACGAGGCGGAAATCGACCTCGAATCACCGTTAAGCAATGTACCTGTGCTGTCTCGTTGTTTCTCATTAAGCTCTTCTGCATCTCCGAGCACTTCTCGAACCTCTACGCAGTTCTTTGGAAATATGCCGGAGAAGACACGGGCTTCTAGTGTCTGCCCTCGAACGCTTGTAAGGCCAGCAAGTAGCGATGGCGGTGCAACAAGGTACCCTCGATACCATGCGCCGTTGGCACCGCCTTGTTCGATTATGTATAACTCATCTCCAAGCTCGAGAGGCAGGTCTGCAGGCGACGATGGCTGAAAAGGGTAGACCGCGACCGCAAACGCAATGCGAGGTAAAGGTTTCCAGGGCATCCTGCTGGAGGACGCGGTGCGTTCGTGCGTTCACTCTAGGGGGGAGGGAAAGGACGAATTAGTCGATCGAGACGTCGAGTATGTCCTGTCGACGTAAGATATAAAGAGTCCTGAAAAAAAAGGCGAGACGGGGATCGACCAGCTTCACAGGGGTCTGAAATGGTCCAGGGTTTGGATGTATCGCGAAAGAGCGAGGGTAACCTTCAACTAGGAATGAGAACACATATCAGCCAGCGGGCAAAGGGATAAATGGCAGCCAGAGAAAAGAGTCCGCGCAGTACTAGATATGATGCTGCACATCTGTACCGTGGACGGTCTGCTATCCTCTTGCTATCTGCTCGAAACGTCACTCACCACAGATCCTCCTCAGGGCGAGTTATCTGCAGTCAGACATCTGAGTCCAGCCAATTGCGGGTTCCTCTCTCCCTGCTCAGTCCCAATTCGCCTTCTGCTGGTTGCGAGACTGTCGTAAACGAGCGGCGTTGTGGTCAGAGGCCAGTCCGCGTCGCCAGGAGGTCGACTTTTTGGTAGGTTTTGGTTATAGTTACGGAGTCGAGGAACCGGTGCGGATAGGGTTCGACCACCCCAGAGCGCGCCCTCAGCTATTACTCCGCAGACCCGGTAAGAACAGCAGTAGAAGACAAGATATTTCGATATAGGACGAGTTTGGCGAGGAGTTATAGAAAGAAAAAAAAAAAAAAGTCCCTCGGTGGGAGAGAGAGGAAGGTCTGCCGTGTCTGCTCGCGGCGCCAATCACAGCCAGGGATCGCGCTCAAAGGCAAAGGGCACCCCACAAGCCGAATTGTGAGCGTTGAACCCCTGAATCCGATCCCGGGGAGCTGCAGACAGCGATACGAGAAGATGGACAGGGAGACGGGCAGGGGGATGTCGGGCGGTGGGACGGGTGATGTGGATGGGTGATAATACAAGATGGACGAGTGATAATACAATATGGGTTACGGAGAGATATAAAAGACATACGGAGTATATTAATCCAGTAACTATATACAAGGAGGCAAGCCGGATGGACTGCGTAAAAGAAGTATAAGGGTATCATTGCGCCATCGTCCACCCTTCTGCGATTATCTTTTTCCAAAGTAGATTATTCATTAAAAGCGTTTTTACCCAACCTATGAGAATATGTTGAAGCAGATAATTAAGGGCATTTTCTGTGTCACCGGCCCTTCCCCCCTGGGTCGCACGGCGGGAGAGATGCTGTGGCACGGCAGCTTGACACGCTCGCCCAGTTAGATCGTTAGCTAGAAGTGACGGTAAAGGCGACACCGATAGCTCATCGAGAGCCGCTGTGGGATTTGACCCTGGCCTGGATCTCGGATTGGAGGAGTCGCTGGTTGGCGAGACGGGTCTGTAGCCCCTGGCCCTGGGATTCGATGTGGTTGACGTCTTCAGAGAGAGTCTATGGGTGAACACGTCAGTAAACATGCATCTAGATAGGGGGGAAGCAAGGGAGACGGAGCGGGGGAAATGTAGACTTACATCAAGTTCATGAGAGTACAGCGTGAGCAGGCCGTCAAGTTCATCGCACTCGTCCATCGCACGGTCTAGCAGCTTAGCTAACTGGTCGACTCTTCCGTCGTGGGAGGACTGGAGCTGGCTTAGCCAACTGCTGGCTTGCACGCGGCCTATCTCTCGACGGATATCTGTCTCCAGTGCCTCGATGCCCTTGTCCTTGGTCAGTCTGCCGTCCCATCCTAGGTCTGTCAGGAGCCAGTCAAACTCCACGCCTCGACCGCCCAGGATGGCCGGATCGATTCCAAGCGCACTGCAGGACTTTTTGGTATTGTCCTCTCGCGGCGGTTGAACAGGCTTCATTTCCTTCCTCTTCAAGGACGACGACTCTGTAGTCTTGCCAAATGAAACTTCTTTCCCTGTGCTCGAATCTGTAACCTGCACCTTTGGTGGCTCCGTGGATGCTTTGTTCGTAGCCTCTGCGCTGGCGCCCCTCAGTAAAGGCGCAGGCACGACGCCGGTGATCCCGTCCGGTCCCTCCGTCTTTTCCTTCTCTTTGGCAGCCAGGAGACGCTCCGCTGCGCCGCCTGCCCTAGGTCTAAATGCGTTGTATGCATTTGCGGCTTTGCGCAGGACATTGGCCACGTCCTTTGCACCGCCCTTGCTCTTCATCATAGGACCGAGGCCAGGTCGGTGAGCTTGGGTTTCTGTCTCGGTTTCTGGAAGAGATGTGCTACTTGCAGTCGTAGCGGGGACATTTATGATCGGTGGTGGTTTAGGTTGCTCTGGAGATGACTCGGTTTTTGCCAGCGGCGCACTGGGTTCAGGGGCTCGAGCTGGACCTGTCATTTCTCTCGAATCTGGAGCAGTATCCCCGTTGATTGCATTTGATCTTGCTTTTGGTGGTTCGGGTTGTGGTATGTTCCTGGCCACGGGGGGTGGTTCAACTTTAGGGGGCTCCCGGGAGGGAGGGGGCCCTTTATACCTATCATCATCGCCGTCGTTACTTTTGATGCTCTTCTGATCGTAGCTGGGAGATCTGTCGAACGCCGGCCGCAACGATGCCGGCAACGATGCTGGCAACGATGATTCGCTGGTCGACGGCCGTGTTTGCGCCGGTTTGCTAAAGGGTGATAGCTCGCCACTATCTAGACTAGGCTGTTTGTTTTGGCCATATGCATGTGGCCTCTCTTCCGACTTGGGTGATAGTGCCGGAGCCGGCATAGGAGTATATGTTTTGTTTGGCAATAATCCCCCGTCTGACACAGGTGATAAAGCTGGTGATGGAAGAGCTTTATACGTTCTGTTTGGTAGCGTTTGTGGATGTTCAGACGTTGCCGGGGATGGCACGAGGTTTTCTGTTGAAGGAGCTTCAGCCAATTTCCTCGATAGTTGCTCTACAGGTGGTGTTTGGGGCCCAGGTCTGGCGGGTTGACTGTTATCACCCGGTATGCGTGGTAGCAAACCGGTGGGAGGCGGACCACGCGGCATTGGGTCCTGGCTCGGCTTGTTTTGTAGGAATTGCTCCCTAGACGACTGTTTCCGTGCTTCCGGTGGGCCATCTCGACTGGGAGGTAGAGTTGAATATGGAGATTGGTCACGGCTTGGTGCCGCTGAAGGTGATCGCGAGCGAGGTTTCCTGTTATCAAGGTGCATCAACCTTGGATCCTGGGCCCTCGCTGGAGGTTGGGATTGGGCCTGGGATTGAGACTGAGGTTGAGACTGGGGTTGCGGCGGAGGTTGTGAACTCGACGGCAAACTCCCAACAAGCGCTTCTTTCTCGCTCGGATCCAGCCCAATGAGGTCTGGAACCTTTCCGCCGGTATACTTTCTGTATATCTTTACAAGACTGCCAATGAAGAAGTCTCGCTCTTTGGATGTCGCTGCAGTCCAGTAATATGGTTTCGTGATGGTAACGATGAATCCCAAGTCCGCAGCCCATGACTTCTGCTGTTGTTCGGTCTGGTTTGAAGGGGTTAGGTGGTCGTATATCTGGATACGCGATAGATCATCCAGCATCCACGTCTTCCCTATCGAGAATGTGCCATCACCGTTCTCTCTCGACTTGTGCATGCGGACTCGACCCGATTTCCGCACGGAGACGATGATCGCTCTCGGTTTCTTATTTTCCGGCGGCGAGTTGACGGGAGGCGGCGCTGATGGATAGGCTGCATCCTCCGTGATACGGATATGGGTAATGTACGACTCGAGTGCTAGGTGATGGTTAGCTGTCTGCTCGTTCAAGGGGAGCTTTCAAGGAGTAATGCGGGTGGCAGTAGAGGAGTGCTGGGCTTATCGGACTTCGCGGGTTCACGATGCAGTACGCCCGCAATGTAGAGAGAGCCCTCCAGGGGAGGAGAGGCTGCGTAGGTAGAAAGGGAGCAGCTTACTCGACCCGTCGGCGTCCTTCTTCGAGAAACAGCTTTGAATTATCCTCCTCTTCTCGTCCTCGAACCTCTCTGCCCTCGAGGACCCGGACGACGGATGCATTGTGCCTGAGCCGTTGCGCATCTCTCCCCCGGCGCGGCGGTCCTGGTGTGGTGAAGCGGACGGATGTCCACGAGAGCGGTCGCGGGAGCTCATCTCGCCGGCGAGGACTGAAGTATCACGTCTGGACAGGTCGTTCAGGGCCGCACCATCTGAGCTGCTGGTCTCTGCCGTCGGGTGCTGTTCTTCTCCGTCTCGTTGTCTTCTCTTCGTCTTCGTCTTCTTCTCTTCTTATTACTTAAAGGCGAAAGTCGCATTGACATGTACTGTAACCTTGTTACAGCCGCATTTAGAAGGATTTTATTGGCGGGTGCGCTAAATCCAGCCAATCAGAGAAACAGAAGTTGCCGCTGTCAGCCAATAGGGAACAAGCTTAAATTACCATACATAATACACTCCTCCAAAGAACATGGACTCTTCATAGAACATAGAGCTCATAGCAGGCTTCATAGAACAAGGACTCTTCATAGAACATAGACTAGAACATAGAACTCATAAATATAGAACTCATACTCATACTAGATAGACATGTAGACCTCCTGTGTCTATTTACTCCGTATCACCCATGCTCCTACCCTTTCTGGACTAGCGTCCTAGCGTTGTGCGTTTAAACTTTCTTCCCGAGAAGTTTTTCCACCGAGTTCAGATTTGAAGATTTGATCCTTTTTTTTATATCACAGTCGGCGCGAGTTAACGAGCAATTGCCTGTATACGATGGCTGCAGACAAGAAGACCAAGGCCGGAAAGGCTGAGAAGAAAGCAGATGCCAAGAAACAGGCCCCCAGACAAAAGGTATAGCCGTGTGCAGTCCTCTATCACTTTGTCTGTGCTGAAAGCTAACGGTTGATAATCCCGAGTCAAGACCACCTCTGTCTCGCCGGCGTTGCTGGCGTCTATCTCGAAGTTTCTGGGAGACCATGCATTCACCAAGACCAAGGCAGCCTTTATTGCCGAGCAGCAGGAGGACTCGGTTATCGCGAAGAGCATGCGAAAGGCCAACCTGAGTGACGACGAGACTCCTTCGCTGGATGTCATTTATGAACTCTGGGAGACGAAGAGCGGTGCCGCACCAGCAGCTGATAAGGAGGAGGAAGACAGCAGCGACAGCGACAGTGCATCAGGCTCGGATTCGGATTCGGACTCAGATTCGGATTCAAGTGACGCCGGCTCAGATGTGTCGATGAAAGACGCTGCTGCCAGCAGCTCGTCTGAGAGTGAAGATAGCTCGGATGATGATAGCAGCGACGACGATGACGAGGAGGAGACGAAACCGGACCCGACTCCGGCCCCGAAGACTGCAGAGAAACCATCCCTGAAACGTAAACTCGAGTCCGACTCCGACTCGTCCTCTGATGATGACTCTGATTCTGACTCTGGTTCGGACTCCGATGAGGCCCCCTCACCAAAGAAAGCAAAGCTAGATTCGCCTGTTAAACCAGCTGCAAAGAAGGAACCGGAGCCGGATTCTGACTCGGAGTCTGACTCTGACTCTGATTCGGATTCTGCCTCTGGTTCTGGCTCTGACTCTGATTCTGATTCGGACTCGGATTCCGACTCCGACCCTGATTCAGAATCAGAATCAGATGATGCCAAAAAGACCAAAACACCGGCAGCAAAGAAGGAGGCATCCACTCTAAAGAAAGCCATCAAGACTCCGCTCCCGGAATCGGACAGTAGTGACAGCTCCGACGACGATTCATCCTCCTCCGATGATGACGACGAAGCCGACGATGAAGATGACAAGGCCAAACCCTCTGCCTCCGAAGAGCGCAAAACTGGCTCCGACTCCAGTGCTACCCTGGCAGCCACATCGGGTCAAAGCGACTCCGACTTCAAGGCAAAACCTGTCCGTAAACATACAGGGGCCAGGCCAACTCCGCTAGCTGCTGCAAGTGAACTACCTCATAACCACCCTTCCAACGAATATGTTCCATATGCGTATGCTGAGCGTGCGCATCGTGACCTGTCAGTCACCCGCGGAAAGGGGTTTACCAAGGAGAAGAACAAGAAGAAGCGTGGCTCATACCGTGGTGGTCCCATTGATATCGGACCAGGCAACAGTTTCAAGTTTGACGACTGATCAATCGGTCTGAAACCCCGTCCTTTTATCATCGGGAATATTTGTATATTCTTCTTCAACTCGTGTTGCTTAAATATTGGTGGTAGGCCCCTTCTTTAAATTTTTTTTTCTGGAGTCGATCTAGCAAGGCGTTTTCGTGTTTTGGGTCCATTTGAGACTGTTTTCTAGGTTCCAGCATGCCATCTAGATGATTAGAACCCTGTTCAAGGAAAAGGCGCCTCTTTCACGTTCTTCTCAAGGCATGGATTTGGTTAACTAAAAGGAGCAAAAGGATCAAAAAGGTTAGAAAGATAAATAGATTCGAGAAATTCCAAAAAATTCTATTATATACCAACTCCTAGCCTAAAGCGATTTTAATCTAAATGATCTTTTCGCCGTCACTAGCATATCAATCATCTATTATAATTTCTTCGCCACGGTCCCTTTATACGGCGACTTCTACTAATCCAGGGCTGGAACCAACGCTCATCCCAACCCGGAATACCATCGTCATGCTGCCCATTCGTCTTGTCAGGACCGGTTGCACGGCTCCTTGATGACTCCCAAAATGGCTTCTGCATCATTAATCGTACTCCTCTCCCTCTGTCTTCGGGCAATGGACGCTCGTAACAAGATAGCTCAAAGGGCTGATACTCGGCGGAGGCGTTTGGGTCTAACCTTGAACTTAGATTTGCCGAACACCAGTTCTCCTGAATGTTTTTATTGCCGGTTCCGAACAGGTCTTCGGTGCACGCCATGTCCAGTCTCGCCACACCGTTTACTACGCCAACATAAAGTGTCGACGACGTAGGTGATGGGAGGGACATGCCATATATCGGACCTCGGTAGCGGCGGGATTGGAGGTGTGGTTGAGCTCGGCCGTTGCTGGCAATCCCTGATACTTCATTACAGAGGAATATCGAGATATCCCTCCGAGGATATCGGATTGACTCTAGGGAATGATGATGCTGGGATGGATTGGAGTCTATGGGCCGATGGCTTGGTTTGGGCATCGATGGAGCTCCATTGTAAGCTTCAAGGTGACATTTTCCGGCCATGCGTAAGTCGAATATCTTGACGAGAGCATTGGCCCCGCTTCCTACAATCAACCGTTCATGGCCAATTGGGAGAAGGGTATATGTCGGGCTATCATCCACGGTATCACTATAAACCGCAACGCACGGTTTCGGAGACCGAAGATCATGGAGTCTATATACCAGTTAGTTAAAACTGCAATATAATTTAGCTTGACCTTGCGTCTAAAAGGGATGATACCTTGTTTTACTATCTTCCCAGCCGGATAGAAAGAGGCTCGAAGATTTCGCTCCACTGGAACGTGCGGCCGGCAGTGACACGATTGTAGTAACCCGAGGCTTTCTCGATGTGCTTTCGTCTTCATCATCTTCAATCCGAATAGTACGGTCCTTTCGAACACCCTCGAGACAAAAATTGAAGATATCAATCTTGGCGGTTTCACCATCCGCCCCGACGGCAATCTGTTGGTTCGAAAGGAGCTTCGAGCATTTACTCCTCGAAGGCCCATGTGAAATCGTTCTCAACCTAGCAAAAGGCTGCACGCTTTCACTTTCACTTTCATTTTCACTTTCCGAGTCGAGCTTGTAGAACGCAATAGATCCTCCGTCCAAAGCAACTGCAAGGACTCTATCAAGGCCAGCGCTGAGGTCTGTATATTCCAGTTTGTGTCCGTTGGTATCGAAGCGAGCTTTAACCGTGCTACGCCCTGCATTGGGCGAAATAGACAAATGGACGACTTCTCCGTTTCGACGGCCGAGAATGAGGTCCTCACGATCCTCAGAACCGGCTGAAGAGCTAGCACCAAGAAGATGTAGCCCGGCAACGTCATCCCAGCTATTCACATCATGTAAGTCGTTAAAAAAGATCCATTTTGCACCATCGTAAGAGCTGTTTCGGTTGCCGGCTCCATCTACCTCGAGCTCACTATTGCCGTGTCTGCCTAGATCCTTTATGCGCAGCACCACATCGGCGCCAGCACCCCATGCGAGGACCTCCTTTCTCGCAAACCAGTCGTTCGCATACCACGATTCATAGCTATCAATCACCGGCCGGTATCCCAAAGTAGGCCTGTCTGTCCGGATAGTCCTAGGATTCCCTATCCTGGTTGCGTTGGACGGCGTCAAAACAAACCGCCCAGTCACGGCGCGGCGATCGAAGGCGTGAGAACGCAGAGTAAGCGCATGAGCGGCATCTCGCCAGAGTGGAGGAGCGGTGATAGCAGGATACCTGCCCTGGACGAAGGCCTGGAAGATGCGGTAGTTGTCTGCTGCGACGATGTTGTAGAGGTGACGGCAGGTCTGGGCGAGACGGCTCAGAGAGCTCGCGGTAGGTAGAAAGGACGCAATGAAGTAGATAAGCTCGGATGGGAGGTGCAATAACATCACCCTGAAAAAATTTCTTGGTTGTTGAGGTCTTAGTTAGCTTTCATGTCAATCAATTGTGGTTTGTGTCTTTTTTTTCCAGTGTTCGTTCTCTGCGTCATCCAAATTTTTTGACCTTGAGGCACCAAAAACCATGAGAACCTTGGCCTCAGGTCACTTTTGCTATGGAACAGGAATATGAAACCGGCCAGTGCTACTTCACGGCTAGGTACCATCTCTGGTTCCGGCTCTCTGGGATCAATATAGGGAGTATTAATAGTCTACGCCCTGGAGCAAGCATCTATATACGCCCTTGCTCCCCATAGAGAGCAGGACCAGCGTAAAGATCCATCCTTGACCCTGTCTTCTGTCCAACGACTATTGACAGCAATGCATTAGTGAATGCGGGCCTCTCTATCCCAAGACTATTCGGCAAATATCTCCTTGTAGCGCCCAGGGGGTTGGAAATCCACGTTGAAAAGGGTTACATGATATATATTCGTTGACTCCCACCTCCGCGGGGACATCATTCGTATTTCCCGTTATATACCCGCGAGATCGCTTACAGGATGCACTTTGGAGGCGTGATACCGTTGTCAGTACATATACTCTAGAATATAATGGCTATCCTCTCCTCCGAGCTGTCCCATGTAACAGCCGTCGCCCTTCTTTTGGCATTTGGACTGTATAAATTCATCATATACCCGGCCTTCCTTTCCCCGCTGGCCAAAATCCCCAATGCCCACTTCACCTCTGCATTCTCGCCTCTCTGGATATTATGGAGGAGATATCGAATGACGGGCAACAGGACTATTCATGCCGCTCACATGAAACATGGACCTATCGTACGCCTTGGTCCGTCTGAAATATCGATCAACTGCTACGAAGGTGGCCTTCGAACGGTCTATACTGGAGGTTATGAGAAGCACGAATGGTATCCGAGGCTATTTGGTTCATTTGGGTAAGCATAGGATATATACCTGTCTATATCATATTCGATATTAAACTGCTCCCGTTAGAACAATCAGCATGTTCTCCATGGTGGGAACAAAGCAACATTCGATTCGGAAGCGCATGCTTGCAAATGTATATTCCAAGTCTTACTTGCAAGGGTCATCTCAACTCAAAGCGGTCACCCGGACTATACTCTTTGATCGAATCTTTCCAATACTCAAAGACTACGCCAGCTCAGAGTCTTCCGTTGAAGTCCACGAACTGAATAATGCGCTCGCACTGGATTTCATAACCGGATATATCTTTGGTGTGCCAGCCGGCTCTAATTTTCTGCAGGAGCCGTCACTCCGTCAGAAATGGCTATCCATCTACCACAGCCGTAAGATATTCGAGTTCTATATCCAGGAGACTCCTACGTTGCTTTCCTTGTCGGAGGCCCTGGGTATACCTCTGATCCCAAAATGGTGCACAACTGCAAATGAATATATGGAAAACTGGGGCCTGGAGGCATGCGACAAGGCAGACGAGAACATTTCCTCAACGGACCCCATGACCGAGCCGGTTGTCTATAGACAGCTCAAGCAAGCACTGGAAAAACACCTTATTGCTACTTCTGATTCAGAACCGAGCGAGAAAGATTTGGCGCAGCTACGACTCGAGGTCGCCTGTGAAACGTTCGATCATCTTACTGCTGGACATGAAACCAGTGCTCTGACTCTGACGTATCTATTCTGGGAGCTTTCTAAAAATCCAGAACTCCAGGATCAGCTTCGAAGGGAACTTCGAACACTCAGCCCTAATGTGGTACCCCCGACTTCAGGGGCCAGCCCCAAACTACCCTCTCATAAATCAATTGACGCCCTGCCCCTTTTAGATGCGGTGATTATGGAAACCCTACGCGTTCATCCACCAATTCCAGGAATCCAGCCTCGATTGACTCCTGCGGATGCTTCCCTGGCCGGATATCATAACATCCCACCCAACACACGTGTGAATGCACAAGCATACTCCCTTCATAAAAATGACGACGTTTTCCCTAATCCGGATAGTTGGCTCCCAAACCGGTGGATTGCTCCTCCAGGTTCTTCGGAGATAGATGAAATGAAGCATTGGTTCTGGGCATTTGGTAGTGGAGGCCGAATGTGCATCGGAAGCCACTTCGCTTTACAAGGTAGGCCATGTCGACGTTCCGAATTCTCTCATATTTTAAACCCCGTTAAGATATAATTGTACTAACAGCAACATAACAAACTAATAGAAATCAAGCTTGTGGTTGCGGCGCTATATACAAGCTTTACAACCTCTGTGGTAGATGACCAAGGGATGGAACCAATTGACGCATATACAACTCGCCCAACAAGTAACAAGCTAGTGCTAAAATTTGGACTCGCATGAAGACAGCCATTCAAAAAGGCTGAATATGTGAGATAATAGAGGTTGTTTTTTATTCTTGGTATATATTTAACCTTACTCGTTTTACTATGCTGCAACAGACCGTAGCTCTGCAATAGCTAATTCCTACCACAAGAAGGGTATGTGAAACATTTACAAGGAATGCACTAGTTTCGAAATAGATCTATTATACAACAGTAATAAATACAACGTTCCTTAATAAGACAAAAGATATTGTCACATATTTCCATTGTGAAAGCCCCAAACTCCATACCAATGCGAAAATTGGCTCTGAACCCCCAAAATCTCGTCCAGTCAGTTGTACATTTTCCCTTGCACCCATGGTGAGCAGTATTTTCTCCATGAAAGAACCCAAATATTGGTATCCCATGTCCGCATGAAAGTGATATTTGCGATATGTGAAAACGACCAAGGCGCATCGAGGTATAAAATTTATTCATTTCTTCTTGCGTGGGGAGATCATGCGGAACATTCGAGCAAGATGGTAGTTGATAGTGTTCTTTCGTGTAATCTTCGTAGGCTGTTTTGTAGAAAGTATGCAATCGTTAGCTATCCAGCTTCAATTCAATGCAGTATATAAACTGCTCCTTAAGCCTAACTATGGAGTATAACCGGAGGTAAACACATACGTTTGCATCTGTGCATTCTCGTAACTGCTGTTCCAAAGCTAAGCAGCCTTGGATACTATAGCCTGACGCTCCCCAGCAATCTGATCAACGGTAAAAGACAGGAAGTTAGCTAGGGTCCTCCTCAAGCTTCCGCCGCCATAATATGCGTCAGATATCAATCAATCAACCGGAGAAGCTTACTTAACAGTGCAGTCATGGCAGCGAGACATGGATTCGAGTCATATTTCATAGGACTCTTGACCTTCAGTCGTGGAATTGACTGCAGTCGGATGGTGTTCATCCGTGTTACAGACGCCTTGGGAGCCATGGCGGCGGCGTGTATAGAAAGAAATATAGGATAAAATGCCGAGGAAACCTGCCTATAACACCCTCAGATTCGCTCAGTTTGTCGTCCGGCTCGACTGGTCTTCAATCAAGATATCAATTGCACCAAAAGCGCTTTTCTCTTCGCTCTTTTCAAGGCCAAGAAAGAGTTGACGCTTAAAATTATTTCCGTTCAAAAACTGCTTACTAAGCGTTCAAAGATGAACCTGAAGGCGAGAAACCGAGCAAGGAAGACGGAGTAATAACCAGTTCAACCTTGAGTGATGGACTGTCTTTGAGGAGAGATGAGATACAAAAGAGTTGCTAGACTAAAAGTACACTGTTCGTGGGGTGGTCGATATTCGCCGTCCCTCTCACACCCAGCGGCGTCGCGACCGTTTTCATACCGCGCCTCTCTCTACAACCAGAAGCCAAATCTACAGACTCCCGACGAAAAAGATGGTGCGAATAAACAGGCGGAAAGCAATGGCGCTGGTGCCATGTCAAGGAGGCTGGCTGAAATGGCGGAAGATGCCATGACACAAGGTGGCAGCTCGACGAGGAAGAATATACAAGAAGCCGGCTTCTCCGAAGAACTGAAGCAAAGACTACAGGATAGGATTGCCGAAAGCTCTTTCAAGAATGAAAACGCTGCGGCAATCTCTTTTGCGAACCTTCCGGTAAGCGATATCCTGTCTCTATGGGCTTCAATTTCTCAGGAGGCTAATTGGGATCAATTACGAAGCGGAGCGCGGGTAAAGGAACGCGAGACATAGCTGCCGCTGCGCCATGGACAGGGGACGAGAGCATCCATGATGCCGCGCTTCGCATGCTTGACGATGCAAGCAAGCCTATGCGTGTCCCATTTCGGCCTCCGCATCCAGGAGGGCCAATTCCCGCCGTGCACAGGAAGCCCAAACGAAATGTATCCTCCGGTGGGCGATTAGCGGCAGCACGCGAGCGTACCGCAGAATACACTCTAAATCAGGATACAAATACCTCTAAAGAAGAACGGGATTCTTTCCGCAAGGAACTTCAAGAGCGCTTCGGACCCGGCGTGTATTCTTTCCCCGTCTCTATCCAGGGGCTTAGTTCGTTGGCAAACGAGCGGATAGAGGACGCAATGGCGAAGGGTCAGTTTAAGAATATCCCTAGGGGCAAGGGGGAAAACGTCAAGCGTGATCCTACTGCCGACAGCCCGTATATCGATACCACGGAGTATGTCATGAATAGAATCCTACAGAAACAAGAGGCCACTCCCGAATGGATCCAGAAACAGCACTCCATGCAATCAGAAATAAACCAGTTTCGAAGCCGCCTCAGGGAAGACTGGAGAAATCATGCTATTTTAATGATTAGAAGCCAGGGGGAAACAATGGAAACGCAAGTTCGGCGTGCACGCGCCTATGTCGCCGCGGAATCTAGACATAACAAGATATTACAAGCTCGTGCCCAGAATCAACTGAATGGTTCTGCTGATAGTCAGGGGCAGCCCTCTACTGCAGGAGGTGAAGAGATATCCTCGACTCCCAATACCGAGCCCCTAGAAGATCTTCCCTGCCTGAGGGATCCTCAGTACCTTGCCACGGAGCGAGAGTACCATGAGCTGAAAATAAAAAGGCTTAATGAATCGATCCGGTCGTATAATCTACAAGCTCCACAGGTTTCGCAGAGAGCGTATCTTAATCTCCAGCGGGAGTTGGATTCATGTTATGCTGATACTGCCCTCGGGCTTCCTGAAGAGATTAAACGGAGGGCAACGGGGAGATCCCACAACTCTGGACTTACCAATGGTCGTCAAGAGGGCCTCGGAGGGTATCAGCTATCTCCGGGCTTGGGTCATAAAGCTCGAATATATGACGAGGACAGTTCTAAGGGCTATGGCTTCAAGCAGATGTGGCGAGACTTATGGGGTTAGAATGTATGGTATCTTTTATTAAGAATGCTATGCAGACATCAATCAACTAGTTAAAGCTCATCAGTAATCCTCTAAACTCCAGCCACGAGGCTCAGCACAGCATCAAGGACAATGATTATGGTGAGCAGCCAGCTTTAAGTCGGCAGTTAATCAATACCAGGTCAATAATAACCATAAAAATTGGAAGCAAGGCAACTAAGGGTATCAAGAAATCAGCATGAGGATTCACTGCTTCGCCTGTAACCTCAGCTTTCCCATGTTCTTCGTCAAGATTCTTACCACGCCCATGATAGAGCGCATATTGGAGAAGGTGTACATAGAATACCACATCTACCAAGATCGTAAACAAGAGTTGAACAATGACCAAGTGCCGGAGGGTCCTCCTAGGGTGGTAAACCAGTTCCACGGCATCCCTTTGCTCAGTCGGGATTTTCTCCAGCGCAGGAAGACTTGACACCAGAATTTGAAATCTGGCGAGTATACCACATGCACTGACATGGCATAGCAATGTTGCACTTCTCCTCAAGTTCTCTTTAACAATTGACTGTTCTTTCAAATGAGCCAGGTATACGATCCCTTCCATGCCAACCCGCAGGATGGTAAGGCCAACAAACAGAAGCACAATGCCTATGACAACCCACCAGGGGAAACTGGAGGCAATGTCCTTGGCTAGGGATCGCTTCGATATACCCGGAGCCGTCGCCTCTGCATCTGTGGCGTTGGTGAACATCGCGAGGAGAGGTATGACAAAGGGTCGCCAGGGGAACTTGGGATAATCGTTCTTTGGCCATCCTGCTTGCGCCATGTCCGAGTCACCAAAGGGGAGTCGTGAGATGATCTCGAGGTCGCCAACCCATATTTCGTTGACCGCGTTCCCAGGTTGGTAGAAGTTGGGGGATTTGACACCGCTGACGGCAGATATCTTATTGCCCATGGATTGAGGAATGTGTTTGTTGGTATCTAAGTGGCTCAATATCTGTTGTGCATTTCCTATCTTCTTGACATGAGATAGGTTGTTAACATTTCGACCTCTTCGTCGACAGAGACTCGGAAGATATCATTTTACATCGAAAGCACAACCAAGGACGCCAGAAGGAGCGGAAGCTGCCATCGAAGTTGAACTTGGGGTATATTCCACGGTTCCAGTTCTAAACATTCATCCTTGGTAGAGTCTTCCGGGCGAACCAAATAAACAACAACATCACTTCGTACTCGATCAGAATAACTACTGCTTATTCCCGACCACTTCTGGGACAACAGTCTCAATACTACTCTGGACACATACGAGATATGACCAGTATTTGTGCGATGTCTGGAGATTGCATTATCAAATATTGCTTTGCCTGCAGGCGAGCGGTCACATCAAATATATCAATGGGGCGATCAAACTCCTCGACCACACCTCATAAGACTCATGTCAAAGAGAGCATAAAAAGGGCAGAAATATTCAATGCATCGCCATCACCTCGCCTGCTTCGCTTCAGAGTACGAGGCGTGACGTTACTGGGAAACAGGCGAGAACTCTGCCTGGCCGTCGATATATCGGATACTCGCCTGCGATTTGCTGCCCACCACCCGTGCATGAATGAGATGAAGAAACTAAAAATGTGATGGCGCGACTCAGTGTGACGGGTGGCTGCTCTCTCTGCATGGCTAAACGGCCCGTCGACCAACCAGGCCGCTGAAGAGATGGCCGTCCCTGCAATGACTAGCGATGCATCGAGCTCATTGGGCCTATCCCTGGCATCTCGTCACGGCCTATCCCAGTGACCTGCAGGTTCGATGCGCCCAACGGCAGAGCTGGAGGCGCCTCTCCGGCTTGACGGTCACATTCCTTGCTCCACACAGAGGGCCTGCTTTTCTTTGCTGCAATGTTCTGTATCGCAGCAGGTGCCGATCCCCCCGCCGCCTACGCCTGTTGAAATATCTCGAAAAGAAGGGAACGTCCCCAGCCAGAGAAAAGGGCGAAGGCATGCCCAATATTACGCCGCAGAATGTTGGCTCCTCGATGTTCTGTTTATATGTTGAGATTTGCCTGTCTTCTGCTGTTTCTCCTGCAGCCCGTTCCCATTCGAGCTGATTCTATCTGGGGGGCTAGCATCTGGATCGATCCAGCTCCGCCGCCAGGCGAAGGACCCCCAATATCTGCATCTGCTATCAGAGATCCTACGTTACTCTGGAGAGAAGTTGTTGCCATTGTCGCAACATACATTGCCATCGTGTCTCTCCTCCTAGGTTGCCTCCTCACCGTCGGCAGACGGCTCCGTCGCGGCGCACAAGAGTCAAACAGAACACTAGAGATGGATCTCGTCAAACCATCGGGAGGAATGATGGAAGAATCACCAGCCCCAGTGGAATTCTCGACCAACAATATGTGGCCGAGTCCAATGAGTCCTACAACCCAAAACAACGTGTGGCCGAGTCCTCCTAAAGGTAAAGCTCGATCCTTCAATCTACCATGGTCGTCTTCGAATCGAGCACAGTCCGCAGCCTCAATAGCCGGGAGCGTTTCGACAATTGACGAAAACGTTGTCCAGGCGGATCGTATGAGGGCACAAGAGGAGATGGAAAGACTCTACGCTGCCGTCATGGAGCACGATGCGAGAAAGTCCGCCATGTCTCAGGACACAACAAATACTAGAGGAACTCTCCCCTCACCTCTGAGGTCGCCTGTACATCTACAACCACCCGATGGCCCTCCGGAATTCCGCCATTTAAGGCGACAGCAGCAACCAATGTCACCTGTATCCCCTTGCCCTGGATCGCCACTCTCAGCATGCCACCTACCAACGGTATCCGAGTTCGAGCCTCAGCATCACTCTAGTCTACCTTTCCAGGAAGAGCCAGCTTCTAAGGAATCACCCATTTCACCACGAACCGAACGGTTCTCCAGGCTTTCACAGCTCTCTTTCCTCAGCTCTCGATCCAAAAACTCCACGACCTCCCCAAAGAAACTGCTCGGCCGCAGTTCCGTCCGAGGCCTTCAAATCTCATCCCCAATGGGCTCCCCAGAACTCAACTCCCGCGACTTTCCCGATAAACAACCCCTCTCCCCACGCACGTACAACCCCGGCCCTCCTCCCTTAACGCCTCATGAGCAAGCGAAACTCAACTCTCCTCAAGGCAGCATGGCCCCTCCTCCAGCAATCCTTGCTTCTCCGCCCAGCAAGGAATCGCTGGATAGCCGCAAATTCCGCCCTACCCCTCCCTCGCTGAATATAAATACTGCTCATAGTACACCTCCGCTGCCGTTCCGTGTTGCGTACGACAGCCCCATGAGTGCACCCTCAACCAAGACAACCATCGTTGAACGACGGACTAGTCTTATGCACGGACCACGGACAGGGGTTCCTCGAACCCCTTACAGTCCGTATATGCCATTTACCCCCATCACTCCATTGACGCCTAGCCGCATTGTCACCCGCCAGGAGCGGAAACAAAAGCAAAGGCGGGATGGACCAAGAGTGTTGGTGGAGGAAGATTTGGTGAAGAGTGATGAAGATATGTGGTCATAGTTAATGCCTTATTCCTGTCTTTTTATGGTTTTTCCTCTACTACTTCTTCTTCTTCTTCTCTTCTTGAAAACGTTATACGCCCTTTTATTTCTTCTCCATTTAGCGTTTTTAACCCTGAGATAGTAGGTATCTATTTTTAACCCAGTTTTCCTTTTCCTTTATCTCCGAATCTTATATCTAGTTAGGAAAGTCAATAAAGACAAAGAGTACAATATAATTACCTCGAGGTTATTCGGCTTAAATATTAAAAGCTTTTCTATCCTTTTATCAAGGCGAGCTAGGGAATTGCAATGGGATTCATTTAATAGTTTCCAGTTCGAACTTGACATTGGAGGAAGGACTTGCCGAAAAGAGAGAGTAAGAAACATGACTAAGCGTTGGCTAATATCACGTGAAATCAAAATCTTATCTCGGCTTATCGATAACAATTTCTGATAATTCACCCACCTCGATAGGACGAGGAAGCAGCTAAGCTCGAACAAATCGCGAAAATAAATATCAACAATGCCTCCAACGGTATGTTTCAGTTGCAAGTCTGCCAGGGCAGTTATTATCCGGCCGAAGAACCGCCACAAGCTTTGCAAAGAATGCTTCCTTGCCATATTCGAGGCCGAAACCCACGAAACCATCAAAAACAGCTCCCTGTTCGTGCCAGGCGAGCGAGTTGCGATTGGGGCGAGCGGTGGAAAAGATAGTACGGTTCTTGCTTCTGTTTTGAAAACGCTTAATGAGCGATATGATTACGGCCTTGACCTCGTTTTGCTCTCTATCGACGAGGGCATAAAGGGATACCGGGATGATAGCCTGGAAACCGTGAAGCGAAATGCGGTCCAGTACGACATGCCTTTGGAAATAGTCAGCTACGGAGAATTATATGGTTGGACAATGGATCAGGTGGTTGCGGAGATTGGGAAAAAGGGCAACTGCACCTACTGCGGTGTATTTCGACGACAGGCTCTTGACCGTGGCGCTGCAAAGCTGGATATCAAGCATGTTGTTACCGGACATAACGCCGATGATGTTGCCGAGACTGTGATGATGAATCTACTGCGTGGTGATCTACCTCGCCTGGCTCGTTCCACGAGTATCATCACGGGCTCAGCTGCTAGCGACATTAAACGAAGCAAGCCTCTAAAATATGCATACGAGAAGGAAATTGTGCTTTACGCCCATCATAAAAAGCTTGATTACTTTAGTACTGAGTGCATCTACTCGCCTGAAGCATTTCGAGGGAGCGCTAGGACACTTATCAAAGATTTGGAGAGGATCCGGCCGAGTGCTATCCTGGATATTGTACGGAGTGGAGAAGACATGGCTAAACTAGTACCGCCAGAAGTCTGTGGAGGCCCTACTTGTTCGTCTACAAAGACGGCAACGAGGGATGGAGCTGATGAGTACTCCGCTGGTGGATGTGGAAGCCAGAATGGAAGAAGTAGTGGTGGTGAAATGGCGAACATGGAGAAGAAACTTACCGAGGATGAAGACGCCAAAGGTCGTGAGACTGAAATATCACTACCAGTCATTTCCACAAAGCCAGAAAAGGGTAACTCAAGGAAGAACCCTACCACTACAAGCCAGGGTCGTGACAAGAAACAAAAACCTATAAAGACCCAAACGATGGGACAGTGCGAGAGATGTGGCTACATGTCTAGTCAAAAGATTTGCAAAGCATGCATGCTACTCGAAGGATTGAACAGAAACCGTCCAAAAACGAGCGTTGAACTAGTTATCGGCGTCGAAGAAGAGGAAGGTAGTTCGACGTTGATGAGGCAGATGGAAGGTATTCAGTTGTCTAGCAGCTGAAGATGAAATCATGTTACAATACCAGAACACGCTCAACCCCTTTTCATGATACAGACACACGGTATGCCAACATATTCTAAGATAATATGGTTCTTAGCGCAGTTGAGATTATCTCCGGCGCAGGAGACGAAGGCCCGTCTACCACGGAAGCCCGTCCCAATTATCGAATCGGATACGTGTGATATGACATCAAGAATGGCGAGCAGCATCTCTCTGCTCCTGGAGAAACAATAGTCTGGATTTGCAACTGTTGCGACGAACTTCATTCCAATATAGTCCGGCGCCTAGAGGCTTGGGTAATGATCAAGCGAGGCTACCAAAGTCTTCTTTCTCCTAAATGCTGCAGGCCGGCATCTGGCGCTCTAGTAGTTTAGAATAGATACCAAAAGTTTAGAAATTTATTCACACAACGCTTCTAAATATCAATATCCTTCTTAGTATAGAGTTTTATTGCTCCATGCTTGTGAATGTTTTATTTCTTCTATCGAATAACCCATTTATTAACGCCAGGACTCCGCTCATGCACCTGGTACCTTATGTTTGAAAGTAAATTCATTGAATATTCTTCATAACAGGAATCATAAATCTAAGCTTCATCATACAATGCAATGCGCCATCAACGGCGTAGGGGTTGACTATCCGCTCAATAATAATCGTACCTCCGCTGTGCCCTCCTTCTTCTTTCCTTCTCAAACAGGGCAATCCCAGTTATCAAAATCATAACATCAAGTCGTTCCCCTGCAAACGCATATTCATCGGTATCGAATACTTCAATCTTCCCCTTCTTGTTCATGCTCTTTAACCCGTTGTTTGCAATAACCGCAACAATCTTACCCGTCTCCTCATCGACCAGCTTATAATTGCATGCGCTTAGCTTGGATGGCTTAGAAGATTCCACCCCCATAGAATGAGTTCTCTTCCAGACGAACGCGCGGCGTCCGAGTCCTGCTCCCGTTTGCTGATCTTGCATGAGAAGGTCCAATTCGAATCTATATGTTGAATGGTCTCGGCTTTGCCTAGTCATGTCTTCCCACGCCATATCTTCGGTGCTTGTGCTAACATGGTCGATTTTGAAAACGTCATTACTTATATAATCGTTACATCTCTTCTTGCTCTTGGTTGTTAACCCGATTTTCGAGCAGGTTGAAAATAGGACGAATTTGCAAACGGCGGCCACCGGGCCTTTCCTATCTTCGCCTAGATGTAGGCTTAGGTCAGGGGTGCCGGGAGTGAAATAGGAGTTATCGACATGGTAGAGGGGCCGTTTCTGGGAGTCTGATATCCTGTAATGTATCGGGAAGGAATTGTAGATGTGGAATATGCGGGAGGAAGTCGATGACTGCAATGATGATGAAGGTTGAGATGCTGGAGACATCGGCCACGACATAATTGCTGAGTATTGGTCTGGGAGATAGGAAAATGTGCGAAAGGCGCAGTATTAACTGATATTTCCGAAGTTAATAACTGCTGGAACCATGAATCGCCCTCACTCTTTTATATCTTTTCTGTCCAGGCCCATCGCTCCATCTCCATCTCCATCTCCACACCCTCCACACCAAGGTACAGCCGCCGAACCACAGAGATGGGACGTTTTTCAGGGCTAAGTTTAAATCAGCCTTGGCCACGAGGAATACGAGGAGATGCCAGATAGGGAGAAGGCTCGGAACACTCACCGGAGGGAGGGATGGCATCTCATCGTATTCCGCTCAGCTTGTTTCCGTGGTGGATGGTGGTTCTTATGAGGATAACTAGCCTTGGACGGCACAAGAACTCAGCCATGTTGGCCGTGTGCTCGCCAGCGAAGGCTATGGCTAAAGGATACCCTCCCAGCGAACCTGTGGCCTCCCTATGGATGGATATATCGAACAGCCTGAGAAAGTCTTCCGTGGCGCGGTTGTACAGCCAAAGCTACTTAGTCACCATGACGTCCGTCTGGTTCATCTTCATCGACTGAGCATGGAGAATTCTGCTTCTCAAAGTGCGTCTACACTGACACAAGATGCCGTTAACAGTTCTCAATGGCCCTGATGTTCGGTCCCTGCTTCTGTCGTTGACCCGGCAAGAGGTCCGGGAAATACAGGATAAGGTGGCCAGCGTGCTACGGGAATATTCCAGAGGAGCTCAAGACGAGTTGGGCCAAGTACAGCAGCATATGGTAATTCGACAACAAGATGGACTAGATTCGATTCTAATGCCCCTACACTCGGGAGGTGATGCAGGGTTTGAGGTGATGAATGTTCTTGAGGGAAGCGGACAACAGAGAAGACAGAGTCAACCGGCGTCAATACCCTCCCCAAGGAGGACTTCAAATCCGGGGGATAATCAAGGATCGATCGCATCTGTGCCACCGGAAATAGAGAGCTCTCCCTCTGTGCCCTCACAGAGAACGATAGAAGAGCATCCTTCCACGGCTAATTTCGACAAGACCGCCAACACGGAGAGTGCTCGAGATTTCCGATCTGGCTATCTTACAATATCCGACTCTTTTGGAATGCCAGCCGCCCTAATTAATACGCAAGATGTTATCCCATTTCGCTCCGCCTTATGCTCCTCTCTGGTATTTGCGAGGCGAGAGAAAGTAGAGGCCATCACTATCTTTGGCGCTGGCCGTGTTGCCTTCTGGCACATCCGTCTTGCTCTTCTACTCCGGGGCAGCCAAATCAAAAAAGTCGATATTTTCAACCGTTCGTTTGACCGTGCAAGCAAACTCCTACGTGATATCTACTCGCCTGAACAGATGCAATGGCGATCCGGCGTTAAATTCGCAGCTGTCAGCCCTAGTTTTATAGACTACGATCGAGACTTGAAGCACAGTGTGACAAACGCGGACGTTATATTCTGCTGCACATCCTCGAAGGAGCCACTCTTCCCAGCAGATTATCTGATTATGCCTCCTACAAGCCAGAAGGGCCAACTTATCAGTGCTGTTGGGTCATGCCGGCCAGATACGGCGGAGTTAGATCCCCTTCTTCTCAAGCATGCTACGGAGGGCCACCGGCACTACCGCGGCGGTACGGTCGTGGTGGATACCCTGGATTCTTGTCTCCAGCAGGCAGGAGAATTAGTCCAGGCTGGGCTTGACCCTCTTCGCCTGGTGGAGGTTGGAGAACTTCTCATGGTGAACGATTTCGCTCAGCGTGGCAAATCACCTGATGAGAAGCTTTTGGACTGGATACAGGATGGCGATGTCATATATAAAAGTGTTGGCCTGGGGATGTTAGATCTAGTCCTCGGTAAGGAAATATGGCATCGTGCAATGCAAAAGGGGATTGGTATCACAGTCCCCCAGCTTTAGCAGACGATCTCGCGTTTGAATAAATGCTGGCGAATACCTACATGGCCCTCATCAACGGAAAAACTTCAATCTATTTTAGAATTTTATGATATCCTTCATAGCAACCCCTGACTTGATATGACAAGGCCCGGGCGTCTAATATGCTAATTTTATCACCTTCATATCCGATAGAGATGAACTCCTGGCAACTCATCTCAAATGAACCGAGGATGGAAAGTTTATAGGTGAGCCTCTTGCATCATCACAATCAAACTTTCGACATTGATGTCATCAGATGCCGAAGTCAAAATTGTCTTGAGGCAATATGAATATATAAATGGATGAAGGGTAGAGCAATGCTCTCAAAGGAACCAAGGCGGCGATTCATTGATTTCCCAATGGCATTTATATACGTCCTCCTGCAGGATTGCGATCCTTGAAAGCACCAGTTCCTCGCTTCTTCTTGCAGCAATAGCTCCTCAACTCGAGATTGATTGATTCTTCCTCCCGACGATGGTCTGCACTATCTATCTCCCCGATGGCTATTCTCTTACGGTGACTCCGGTTTTTGGAGGTTTTTCCTTCAAAACCGGTGGCCTTAAACCAGGTACTAGCAGCCTTTTACCCGCAGGCTGGTCAATCGTTATAAATTCTTTACGTGACCCTGACGTTTCCCGCGCGGAGGCAAGTCCTAGTACTGAACTTGAGGATGTACAGCGAAGAGGGCGGGATAACCCGTTTGAATGGGAATCAAGTCGATACTCCAAGCCGACCTTGAATAGTGACTATTTCTTCATATCATCAATTACGCTCACTTCAAGCAAAACTGTCGTGCCAAAGTCCATCTCAACTTGTCAGATTGCGCTGATTCTTTGGTCGACTTTATACTGGTACTTCCATCAAAACGCACCAAATACACGCCTCACGACGAAGAGTTCGGCGATGGTTCCAGAGATTGCACGGCCAAGGGGGGAATGGATAGTGCATGTTCGGCACGAAGGAGTCCTCAAAGGCAGGAACTTATTACTCAAGCTTGAGAGAATGGGATTGGTTACCACCGAGGAATCTATTGTTGGGCTGGAAGACCCTAATCGCCCCCTGATCAAACCGAAGATGTTCGTCAGCCGTAGGAGTTTCTGGCAAATCGATCCACACATTTTCCTATTCTCCCTTGCTCCCGATATGACCCCGAAGCCAACTTCGCCTTCTCGTTCTGGATCTAATTCGCCTTCCCGCGGTGTTAGAAGCCCCAATAACGTGGTGACAGCCGCACCAATTCCCGGCGGCTCATTTTATTCAAGTGGCCATGTACCGTCCTATTTCCCTCCACCGCCAGCCCAATGGGTCCTGCTTGACGGATGGCTCCGGCACCCGATTCGCCAGAAGCCGCCTCGTCAGGGCGAGACGTTTTATATCCGCTACATCCCAAGTCTACAGAAAACGTTATCATTCCGTGTCCCAATCCTAGCTATAAATTCATCAGAAAATAGTGAAGATGCTTTAGGCCGATATCATAGAGCACTATGTATCGGCATTAAGACCCTCGGAAACGACGATGGTACCAGACCCATTTTATCTGAAGGTCCAGGATCAGACCTTGAACTCCTACACAAATGGATGAACAGCTCCAAGGCGAAAGAGATTTGGGACGCATCTGGTCCCCTTCATATCCAAGAGCAATTCCTCAAGGGTCGCCTTACGTCAAGATATCTATTTCCTGCAATAGGCTGTTGGGACGGTAAACCGTTCGGCTATTTCGAAATATTCTGGGTCAAAGAGGGCTCGGTACAGCGGCCCTTACCAATACTTGTCGATGATTTTGATCGCGGCCTTCGTTGTCTAGTTTATGATCACGAAGACAGAAAGCCACATCAAACCCAAGTGTGGCTCAATGCTCTGATCCATTACTGCTTGTTGGCGGACAATCGGACCCAGGCTATCGCAATAGGGCCAAGAGTTGATGACGAGGAGTAAGCAGCGTCCCCGATCTATAAATATTACCCTCCTTTTTTTGCAGGCTATCATATGAGAGGAAAGTAGACCACTGACATATCAAATATAGATACATTTCTAGCCTTATAGCCGCGGGCTTCTATAAGGAGGGCGAATTCACGTTACCGCAGAAACAATGCGCTATCATGAGACTTAAACGAGACAACTGGGAGGCTCCAACCCTGTAATACTATACTCTGTCAATAGAGAATTAATCTCACTAACTTGTAGTTGTGGTAATTATTAAAAAATAGACATTGATTTAGACCTTTAATTTTCGAGTCTACCACTATCGAGTCATTAGGGATAGGGCTGTTTTTGTTTAACCAGACTCGCACACCTGATCATGTCTTCCAGAAGGATGAAATTCTATGGAATCTGACTCGCGGTGGAAGGTATAAGCGATTAATGTTTGGTTGACGATAACTTCCAATCAAATAGTGCAAGTCGTTTTCTCGATACTGGCAAAGATTAACTCTGGGGCAGGTTCGTGTGCTAAATATTCTTCTGTTGCCGTGCTACCAGTGACAAAACCAACACGACTCGCTACTGAAGTAGATACGGAATGCAGTTGACGTAATTCGGCCGCCCTCAACCGCATAATATCATTGCCTAGTCCTGGTAAAGCACTAATTAGCATGCATAAGTCTACAACGACGTGTAAGAACAAGGAAGGGCCTGCAGAACGTAATATATCATCTCAAACCTGGTGGCTGCGTTATAGAACTTCATACGGAGTATTCTTAAAGGGATAAAATGGTTAAGAGTATATTTTGTTGATAAATACTATATATGACTTCGTTTCTCCCAAAATATAACAAATATAACGCCGCTGCCATGCAATCGATTAATCGGATGAGAACATGAAACGAGGACAACCAAAAGCATGAGAGGTCATATCACTTCATGTAATGCAGATCTCCTCTAGTAATCCACCGAAAGTGCAAAGAGAGAGTGATGCTAGGCATGTATGAAAAACAGGGAAAGCGAGTGTTGCTTTAGAGACAGAGGAAAACAAAATGCAAAAACCGCAAAACTCCTTTTAGATGCAAATGTTGTCAGGGTACATTAAAACGCGGGAAAAAAATAAAAACGGAAATTTCTGTGTTCTGTGTTCACGCCAAGGGGGTAACTGGGAGTTTGATAGCGAGTCCAGCTCGAGATATTGTGGTGACTGTGGACTCTGGATGGGGAAAGGGGAAGGAAGGAAGCTAGGTATGACGGACTCTTTCGACAAAGGAAAATATTCTATATTTCAGGCCTATGCCGTGGGGCGGGCCTTGCGCTTCTCCATGTAGGAACCTGCGGCGGATCCGAAGAATCTAGAAATGATACCTCCGGTACCAGCGCCTGCGGTCTTTGCACGCTTTTGTGGCTGCAGTTCGTTTTGGAAGTTAATGGCGTGGCCCTTTGCCTTTGGGCGCATCAGCTGGATGTCCACATAGCTGTACGCCAAGTGAGAGGGAGTTGGGCTGGTGCTGCCGTCGGCTACGGCTACTTCATGGAAAGACGAGGCGGTGCTGATACTGGCAGGGGTTCCTCGAGAACTTGGCGCTAAACTGGATGATCGGGACGACGAGCCGTGGTTGGAGTCGGCATGGCCTAGCGCAGGAAGATCCAAGACGGAAGGCGGGGAGATAGAACGGCCTGATCGCTGCAAGGATTGACGACGTTTATGACGAGCTGTACGATCACCAGAATTGTCCGCGATCGAGCGGGGTGAGTTGTACATGTCACACTGCATGCCGTAGCCGCTTGGAAGACGAGCAGGACTTTGGTCACGAGAAGCCTGGGCCAGAGCTGTGCGCACGGCAAGTTCACGTTCGCGTTCACGCTCCATCTCCATGTCGCATTGGGCTTGGAGATGGCTGCGGATTGGGGCGAGGAATGGCTCGAAGTGGATGAAGAGGTCTTCCACGTTGACACGAGTGTCCCAGTCAAGCAAGTAGAGAAGTTGACGTTCCATCAAGTTGACTTCTGGCAGAGAGAAGCCGAAGCCTTCGTAGCCCTTGACAAGCGTATATCGGGACCAATGCTTGTTCTTTGGGCTAGAGTCGTTGAGGTTTTTGGCAGCTAGGATGAGCGCAGCCAAGAAGATGCGATGAGAAGTGCATCGCATACCCTTAGCAACTGGTGGGAGCTTGTTCTTGAGGCGTGCAAGGAACACAAGAGACGACATGAGAGTAGGAACCTCAACGTGGGATCGGGTAACAAGCGAGAAAATAAACGCCTCCAGCGGTGGCAGCGGCGGAAGATGAGACTCGTCCGCGGGCTTGAGCTCGGGTGACGCTGGTGGTGTGATGGTACCCTGTTGCGCGACAGCGCCTCGAATGGCACGATCTTCACAGCGAATAACCATGGACGACTGTCTGGCGAGGTACGAGATCATCTCGCATGAAACTGGCATGGAGATGAACTCGTTCAGAGCCGCACGGTTGAGAGTAGAGCTTGACTTGGCCATGATGGTAGTAGTTGATGGGTCGTAAGATATGTCTTTGGGGGTGAGAAATCAGTCCGGTCCGGTGAGATGCAGAGAGCAGGTATAGAGTAGTTTGTCGGTGTGTTGAATAAAGATAATGTCGTAGATTAAAGCAGCGTAACTGTCTCTCTAGATCCGACCAGCGGAATAAAACAGACAAAAGAAAAAGGCAACCCGTAGAGAGTCGCGGTGTAAAAAAAAAGGTAGTAAGAAAAGGCGGATCGATGATGTTATTCTGTTGCATTATGTTAGATATGCCGGCGCTCAAAGGATGAATGAGAATGCATGCAAGAAGAAGCGGTATGATCCCCGCCAGCCACAGGGGTAGCTTGGGGGTCAACTGGGGAAACGGAGCGCAAACGTTAAAAGGGTCGGTATTACTTACTCAGAGATCCAGACAGGATATGCGATGTCTGTAGAGCAAGGGAGTCGTTGGCTTATTCAGATATCCAAAAAGTGTAACCGACAGCCGGCGGAGTATTCCAGATACAGCACGAAAAAGATAAATCCAAGGCAAATAATGCAAAAAAAGTGTCTATGGGGGTATGGGGAAATGCGGTCTAATAAATATGATGGGGAAAAAAGAGACTCGTGAGACGTATCAAACGCCTTCTGATGCAATATTAGGTATGGGGGAAAAGATGGAGGGAAAGGTTTAGATGGCGATAGGCATGTGGCTAGTTCCCGTGAAGAACAGTAACCAAGGAGAGAGGTGAAAACGAAAATACAAAGCAGCTTAGTGAAGAGCAGCGATCAGGAGATGAGAGAGAGTGCATAATATATACCACGCAGCCTCCAGGAAAGACAGCATGAACCTTCGAGCAGGAGGCCCCTGGTCCGGCGGTTGCTGATGCGTCAGTGGTCCCGCCCTCGACCTCGAAATAGATGCGTGTGTTGATCCATGATTGGCGGTTAGCTGCCAGAATCCTCTCACGGCCAGTCGTTTGTCATGGGCGACATCAAGACCGGACGTGGATGAACCTCTTGCATTCGAGCATACGCGCTCACATCTGCGATTATGTTACAAGGGCCCCTGACAAGAATAGCAGCATCTTCGTCTTCAGTACGCGCCGGGGGGCCCGCAGCCGGCCAAGGAAAGCCAAACAAGGCGGCCATATCCATGTTTTAGTGCACCTGAGGGCGCCAGTCTGATATGCAGGCCTTGCGGGAGAGATCATTCGTCGACCGTCAGCCCAGGAGGACAGATGCAGGCCCAATCATAGCGTCGGATGGGCGGGCGTCAAGTGTTTCATGCAACGTTTGAGACCATGATTTTCTTTTTTTCTCCGTCTACTCCACTGTATCTCTTCGTAGCCTTAATGCCTTGATGCGGTGGTTGGGAGATGGTTTCTTCCCTTCTGCTGCTTGCTGTAGAACCGGCTGGATATCCATGCCAGAGTCCACCAGAGTCCGCCAGAGTCCACGACAGAGTCCGCCAGAGTCCACGACAGAGTCCGCCAGAGTCACGACAAGGAGTCTGTATAACTAACTCGGACGGAGTAAACTGCTATGCTCCGGGATTCCTCCATCAGGCGTCAACCCAGTGTGACTATTTTGACTTTCGTAAAATTCCGTTCTCGTCCGTTCTCTCTGGCTGTCTGTATCCCTGCCAGGACGAGCAGCCAATACCCTGGCATACGTCTGTTTGTGTCCTTCATTCTGCGACAGCAACGCTCCACTGCGACAGTCCGACACGGGGGAAAAGGCCGGTGTGGTTGGTGGCATGCATGGAAGATTTACTGATGCAATCTGAGCATCGGGCATGAACCAACACGCTCACGCTCGCACTCTTGTAAAGGAGACGGGCGACGTGGACGTGGCCGAGTCGAGAGAATCCTCGTCCTCGCGCCGTGTTTTATCATGTGTTTCATCACGGGTCTCGCCCGTCCTGTTGCGTTGTTGCGTTGTTGCTTCTCTCCTGACGTTGGCTTGTCATGGGAGCGAGATGCGTGATTGATGGAGGAGGAGGCCGAGTTGGTCGCTTTCTCCAGCCTTGCATGCAGACATAATCGTAGATGCTCGTCTATTACTCACGGCATATAATCACTTTAGAAGCTGCATACAATCGCTTTAGAAGACCTCTTCGACCCTTGTGAGCTGCGGTTTCTACTGATTACCTGCGATGACCAAATTTGGGGCTATACCGGAACATTGTTACTCACCTACCAACAACGCCGAACCCCCCAGACTTAGTAATCGTCAACAGGCCAAAAGAGAACAAGCGAGGGCGATTTATTATTATCTTCCTTAACTGTTGGGTCTGGGATGTCGGATTGTCGGATGCCCTGACCGGATCGCCGCTTGGAAAATTGTTCCTTCAGCGAATTCTAGTTCCGCCTGGGCGCTAAACAGAAATAGAACAAATTTCATGCATCCTCGCGCCCATGCCAATATAACATGCGATATAACAGTTTCCAGATCCCAGGAGGACCACCTATTGGCCTGTTTCAGTGCCCTATTCATATATCTATCGGGGAGGATGCTTTCAAACTCTGACTGTCGAACTCCGTATATGGGTTTCTCTTGCCGCCCGTGTTTCTTTGAAGGGTCCAGGACCCAACATGGCAACATGATTTATTCTTATCCCAAGAGTTGCATGCATGGGCAACGGATTTGGATTTGGATTTGTTTCTTCAGGAAGGGAGCCTAGGGGTTAAAAATAGGCTCGACCGGTCCAACTCTTTGCACAAAAGAGCCGTTTACACTGCAGCGTTGAGTGTTGTAGATGCCGTGGTGGTATCTCTACACTGGTCATTTCCCTGATCGGTTACCTTGTCAGTCTCTGGTCTCAATTATCTTGATGGATCCGTCAAATATCCAAGTCGGTCCGTGCCAGGTTCTTGCATCCTAAATTACATAGGGGTTCTGATGTTGGGATGTCCGTCGTGTGGAATCTCAAATTTGAGTCTTTGACTGCCACCAGTAACAGTTTGTTGGAAGCCGACATAATCTTCATCTCCGCAGGCGAGACAGAGCCCGATCACCAAGCCTATCGTCGCCGGTATTCTCAACTATGGTGATTGGCAGTGGGCCAAGATGATAACCTGGACGTCCTCAGCAGTGGCACCCTGATTAAACTTGCGATAGGCCGTGATAAACCAATATTACCGCCATGGACCTGATGATGCTAACCCAAATATAATACTTCCAAGATGACCGAATATCGGTGACAGCCTTCTGTCCTGCCCTTCAAGCAGAAATATCTCAACCGGAAGACTATGCAGTTTCGTGGAACGTACCCCTGATAATCCTTGAAATGTCCAACGCTCAAATGCACAACGGTGAACCGCCCAGGCGTTTTGCTGTCTTACGTGTTCTCGCACTTGCGATGTTTATATTCCCCGACTGCGATCATATCCGCGGTCCATCTATGATTCGAGAAAAGGCCAGAAGACGGTGACCTTGCTCGTGCCTCCACAGCAGCCCAACCTTTCCGTCTGGGGGTCACACCTGCAGCATCCGCTCACTCTAGGTAGATGATCTCCTAGGCATATTCTCCGTACAGCACACTAGTTTGCTAGGAGCTAGACGCTTCTTGCAGCGACGATGCAGAAGGCCTACATACATGTCTGTGGACTACTTTATTCCTAATATTTTACTCTTCTAGGAACCGTTAGTGTGGCTTTTGTGGTGAACTCTCGTTCGCGGGAACTAACTTATCTCAGTCACCATCGTCGTTCTATGATGCTGTGTTACTCTGGATATGGTGATCTACCTCGCGCCCGTCCTTGCATACGGGTTAATCATTCTTTTTTACTTGCAACTCCAGATAATGGAACGCGTGTGACTGCGAATATGCTCCGTGTTGTCTATCACAATTTAATAAAGTCAATAGCTAAAGCTAACACGATGTACAGAGTACATAGGTCCTATGAGAAAGCCGTTTGGGGAATGAACACCCGATCAGAGAACTTTCTTCCATGATGTTTCTCTGGCTGGGAATATCTGCGCTCGACGAGGGTAATCCGAGCGTCATTGACGTATATTGATAACACGACCGAGGCGTTACGGCTGGATGACCTTGAAATGGTTATCACGCCTACATACCTATTCCCTGAAACTAAGGTCGATCATGCAGGCAGGTATTAATATCACAACCAAACAAATCGTTAAGATGGTACAAGCACTTGACCTGGCGTCTCGGAATATTAACCAAACCAGATCTCATGGATAGGGAAGCGGAGATGCTCGCAGTCGAGATTGTTAGCGGGAAAGAACCAGGGAATAGGATACATCGGAGTGTCATGCGTAACCTGGGGTAGGAAATATTTACTCAATTACAATAACTCTGGGTCGGCTTTTGAAAACAAAAAATAAAATAAAAAAATGGTTTCCTTGGGATACTTCGGAAAAATAACGAGTTGGCGTTGCCAATAGCCATGGATCGTCTCGTGGCTGGTGCCAAAACGAAGATGCCAGGGTTCAGTGGACGCAAAGACGGCGCCACACGACGTGACCAAGTGCACCGGCAAGCCACGGCCAAGGGTTTGCCTTGGGTGCTTAAACGAAGCCGGAACACCGATCGTGCTCCCGCGGCGGAGCTAGACGAAGTAGATGCTTCTATACGGACTTCGCCCTCCCGATCGGAGGAGACTATGCGGAGAATGGTCGCAGCAAGCGACGCCTGCACGAACTCTCTTTGTGACATCCTCTTTTTTCCCAGGGTAGGCTCTGGACGAGGTACCAAACATGCCATGGAAGCGGCTCAAAGGGATATTCATGTCAAAGCTGAGAGATCATTGCAGAAGATAGACGGCTGCAAGCCTCAATGCCTTGAAATCGCATGGCACTCAACGTGATAGTGTGGAGAAACAGCAAACATTCTTCACTAAGTCGTTTCAAAGGTGGTACAAAGGTGGTACATAGTTTGTGGTGATCACCAACTATGTGATGTTCAGTCTTCTTGACCACACGCCACAGTCGTAAGGGGCGATGTGTTTCGTGGTCGACCGTCCCAAGGCGATAGTTAAGGCGCTGATTGGCTTTCTCCCCGAGCACTTTTCTTATTCGATGAAAGTAGATCGGCAAGAGAAGTAGCGGCGAAAGATGCACCTCTGCCGGTCTCACTAGAAAATATGAACATTCTACTCCGTATGCGGCACGGAGTTGGCAACTACCCTGGGGCGAAAAAAGGAATGGACCAAGGGGAAAAGAGGTCAAAGAGCAGGAACAGAATGTCGAGAAAATGTTTGTCTGCGCACGTACTCCGTATTCCACGTTCCTGCGTGTTAGAGGAAACAGGCGTTCGGCTGGATTGTCTAGTAGACTATATTCTGTACATGTTATTGCCATATATCGAGCACTCCGTAAGAGTACCCATATCATAGACATGAATGTGCTGTTTACTCTGGTCAGGTGGCCGGCTTAGCACTCCGTACGTATCCTCATACTAGTTTATATCATTTAGCCTCATGGCATGAACTTGGCATCTTATCCCAGGAGATCACTAAAGCAACCACTCTCTCGGCTACGGAGGCGACAAGCTAACTGTGACGGTTTCCGCCTCAGCTTTCGTTTAAAAAAAAGAATTATCACCTCCCAAGGAACCGAAGAACGTTCTACGTTGGTCAGAACGCGTCACGAGAGACTGGCTACCCCTTTTTCCTTGAATGCCTTAAAGGCGCTGCCCTAGAGATAGTGCAGCCATGTTTTCGGGGAAATACTGGCCTGATGCCAAATTGTCATAGCTTCTGCACGCCATTTGGTCCCTCGACAAGGAAAGGAAACAATAGTTCTCGCATAGAAGCGAGTATGGTACGCAATACTCCGTACGCTCCTTTTGAACCCCACCAGACAGCGGTACTATCGGCAGTGCCTGCGTGGCAGTGGAGAGCACTACTTTTCAGGGTCCTATCGGGCGGCTGAATTCTTCTTCGCGTGAAGCTCTATCCACTGCCCGTGTGATCCGAGATATCAGAGTCGCTAAGCTAAGCTGCACTGTCCGATTTGAGGTAGACGCCTACTACTCGCCTGATGAGACTAGGTTAGCAAGTGAAGGAAGAACGAGCTTCCTGTGGTAAGTCGGCTTTTCTACGTATGGAGTCTTGGAGTACGGAGGAGACGGAGCACTGGCATGCCCAAAACGCAACCACCATCATATACTCCGTACTGCACGCCAATTTCAGTCCTCCAGGCTGGATCTTCAAACTGTCAACCTTAACACGTTTCTGCGAATCCTGCGTGGGGTACCTTGCACATCTGATCTATTGAAGATCGCCACGATTATATGTGCTGGCTGCGGTTGCAGTGGCTGGCAGGTTGGCCTAACGGTCGCAGAGATGTGCGGAATTGAAAAAAAGAACGCCAGCCAGCCTGAAACCGTGTTCGAGGGGAAGAGTTGTAAATCATCCTGACGCTAAGGCTGCCTCCTTTGACGCTACTCCTGCATACCGATCTCCTGCGCTCTGACTCCCAAACATTTCCACGACTCAGAGCCGCTATCTGGGCGAAGTCATGTATCACTTCACAGTCCGGTGTTTATTGGTGTCGTAGATCGACTCGTGTTGCAGTTCGAGATCTCGTATAGTAGTTCGAGATCTCGTGCTATCTCTTGCTCCTCTGATGCATACATATACCCAGTAGCGTCCGCTGTCATGCAATGAGATTACGTTCCTCCTCCTCCTTCCCCTCCAAATCCGTCAGACGAGTGCTAGACTGGCACAGCAATATGCAGCTCCCTCCAGCCTCAGTGTTGGCTTCGTGGCCGAAGCCCAACTACAAAAATCCACCAGAAGTTCACGGGCCAGCCATAATAATAATGACAGCAATCTTTATGCCCTTGATGCTGTCGATTATCGGAATACGAATATTCACCCGCGTTCGGATCTTACGGAGTTTTGGCTGGGACGATATTTTCATTATTGCAGCTGCGGTTCCTACCCTTGGATGTGGAATCATCACCACCACTGCCGCCATTACCTTGGGCTGGAATCGCCATATCTACGATGTTCCGTTCTCGCAGCTTATCTTGGGATTAAAATTGACGATGCTGTTGGAGTGCCTCTTTGCAACTGGTTGCACCCTCACCAAGCTCTCACTGCTATTCTTTACCCGGAAGATCATGAAGGGCAGCGGGACCCCATTTCTGCAATGGCTTGTCATCGCGAATATTTGGATTGTCGGTATAGAACTGATCATCTTTCTCTTGGTGGTTATTTTTACTTGCCGGTACGTTATGTCCATCTTCCAGGTTTCCATATATATATATATATATATCATCTTGCACAAGCACTCCCGCTCGATCCAAGTCACTTTACTAATGCATTTTGTTTAGACCTGTCTCGCTTTACTGGACTCTGTCGTCTTTTCCTCAAGAGTGTATCAATGAAAGTGCACATCTACTCGCCAGTGGAGCAATTAACACCGCCACTGATATCGCCGTTATTATCCTGCCAATTCCTAGCGTTTTATCGCTTAGCTTACCTACCCGGCAACGCGTTGTTCTTGTCCTCCTTTTCGGCGCTGGATTTGGAGTCTGCATCGCCGGTGGGGTACGTGCCTATTATACCTATCGACTGAATATCGCGTACGACAAGACATGGGAAGCCTACTACCTCTGGATCTCTGGCACGGTCGAGCTCTACGTCGGTGTCGTAAGTATTCACCAAAACCCTCGCCGAGTGGCACATATATATAAAAGGTTAAAACTAACACCCTCCAGATTGGGGCCTCACTGGCATCGCTCAGGCCCTTCTTCGCACGATACTTCCCAACAATCTTCGGCAACCAGCGCGAGCGGCGCTCTTATGCATTCTCAACCTCAATGGCACGACGTTATGGCTTCCGCCGCTCAAACCGCGGTAAGCCAAAGCCTCAGAAGCCGAAAGAAATCAGTCAGGCCACTACAATAACTATGAATGGTGACTTCGACTTCACCGACCTTGGTACCTACAAGAGCGAGATAGGGAGAGAGGAGAGGGAAGAGAGGGGGGATGTGGAAGAGGCCGGGGGGAGAGGACAGAGAGGGCATAGAGAGAGCCGCGAAATAGGGGCCCTGCCACCTATACCGTCCACGTTCGCAGGATTTCCAGGGGATCGAGATGGATCCGAAGTCAGTTTTCATTCTGCATAAACGGCGTCTGAGTTGGGTTTCAAGACAAAGGCGAAATAATGGGGTTAATGGGTATCAGGCGTTTGGCATGAGGCTGCTTCTATAAACGAATTTTTTTGTAATAATATAATGACGGACAAGACCATATAGTCACTTCCTAATCAAGCATGCAAATGAGCACGGTCTAATAGATCCACTTGGTTGACAGGCATATCAACGAGGTTACCCCTCGACGGTGACGTTGGATCTGTACAATGTTTCTTCTTTGATCCTTGGATGTTTTAAAGATGTAGTTCAGGCCATGGCGCGCTTTACCCAAATAAGAAGGCCTTGTCGACGAATGGGACTTTGTATTACGTAATACACGATCTGGCTGTGCGGCGGATACAGAGTAAATATATATCATTTCACACGATATGAACAAGAGTACTTCATCTATTCTAGTTTCCTATCTCTGCCATTGTTGTACGGAATAGCGGATGCTTCGTGGAACCAAAGCAGCATCCGTACCTCACAGCGCTTTCCAGCTACGGAGTTCAGGATGCATATCGGCACCACTATGAAACATTCCCTCCACATCCCTGTCGCTCATTTTCATACACCTACGGCCATAACACAAGATGTAGCAAGTCAAGATTTGACCTCGTTGAATGTTTTCTGACCTCATTAAATGTGGAAATCCTGATCAAGTATGGGAAGATTCCGGGTGACACATCATATTTCTCGAGCCATGAGAAACGAGCCCCAACTGATGAATGCGCACTGCCTGGTCCTTCATCTAATGTATGCCCTAATGCACCTGGGCCTTGGACGGCATATCGTACGTGTCCATCCCGGTGGATGTCATGGTGGTGATGAGGAAACAGAGGGGCCACTGGCCTTTTTAGCCCAGGGACAACTCATTAAGCGTCAGATATGGTCATTTCCATGAGGTCTCGACAGGGAAAAACGCGTTGTGCCTGCAAAAATCAAGGAAACCGCTAAGCATGTGCATAACAGCTGCGTTGGTTGTTGTACAACCCCAGACAACAAATTGCTTTATGAGGTATTCCATCCCGTCTAGTGTATGGACATCCAACCCCAGGCAATATCGACCGCTAGCTAGGCAATGGGTATTTACTCTTTCACTAGGAGAACAGCAGAGGTGGGCGATGAGCTACGTCACCTAATTACACCGAATATGAGATTTACCCAATGAATGGAGTCCATGTGCATAGACTCAAATCGTTATTGACGGTTATAGCGCGATATAACTCCCGGATCATGTTCTCAGGCACGCTTTATCCCGTTGGTCCCGTGTACAGCGTGTTCGCCCCTTTACCGTTCAACGAATGGACTTTAACGATGCCGTAAATAGGAGGAAACCGATGCAGATACCCGGCATAACCCTGTTTTTTAAAGCCATGCCGCCGTTACACATTTTCAAATGGCCTAGTGAGACGTCTCACAGAAAACAGCAGATCCGTTTAGAGTAGTGTTTGGAACCCCAAATTAATTGGACACTGCGCGTGAGGGCTCCAAAATAGTCATGTAATCGGTCAGATTACTTGAAGAGAGCACGGTTCATATGTTGTACGGCATATCTAGTCGAGCACATCTTTGCACGACACGGATCCAGGGGTAATATCACCAGCTCAATCAAACGATTTAGCTTAAATAGAGCCGTTTGGCTCTGCTCTCTAGCCCTCGAAACTACACACTCATTCATCTTTACAGTCTTTTCTTCACTACCATCAAGTCCATTCATTCTTTAAAACTCCAACCCTTCATTTTATCTTAAAGTGAGATTGAAAATCGCTATCCTAAATCTAAATCAAAGTGCATTGACTAACAGACCTAGAACCCATTTCAAAATGAAATTCCAAGCCGTCCTTATTTTCTTCGCCAGTGCCTTGGCTATGGCTGCTCCTATCACCGAGGAGAAGCGAGACCTCCCTGTACGTTTTCTCCATTTACATACTATCGTGAATTTATCCTGGCTAACAATTTGAATCTAGGGTTTGGGGTCTCTTGGAGTAAGTGCTTTTACCAATTGGACAAACGGCCCCAGTATATTGAGGTGGCTACAAGACGAGAGTCAAGTTTACTTACTAACCCTATGTTTTTAACCATCTAGACCGTTGCAAAGCTACCCGTAAGTCTCTCATCACCGCTGCTCGGAAAAGATGGCGGCAAGATCCTCTAGATGATTGAGGACTTTGTTGATATGGGATCCCTACATATTAGGGTACCGTGGCTGGCGTTGTAAGTGCGCTCCCATTGAAAGAGTAGAGCATTAAGATGCTCTTTCATGCATAACTTCGACTAACACGACCTACTATTGAAGGCGGGTCAGCTTCTACCAAAGGATGCACTCGGCACTCAGGGACTTAAGGGTCTTGATCCAGCTGTAAGTATCCCCACCCAACGCCCCCAACAGGGGAACGAGTATCAACGTGGCTGACATCTGGCGTTTCAAAAACCTAGACTGTGAGTAATTTTCTAAGCCTCTGCAAGTTTATTGTGAATGGGGTTGACTTGAGGATGTCCTTTTCCACAATCGGGTATAGCAACAAGTGAGTTTATCCCCCGCATTTCAGCACACACAAGCTCGCAAATAAAGATGAGTTCTGGCTGACAGAAAACAAAACTAAAGATATAGTGATATTGTATGCGATATACTCAATGGCTTCATCGGAGAAGCTATGGATTTCGGGCCTTCTTTTCGACTTATACCTTCTTTGCAATATGTTGGTGGTGAATTCTTTGAATATTCTTCAACGTGGGGACCCTTGATGCTTCGAAATTCTGGTAGGGATGACCTCCTAGAGATACGGGTATTAAAAAGACGCTAATCCGATCCCTGATGGTTAGTTTGCTTTGGCTTGGATTTCTTGGGATTTGTGTATTCGATAATAATGCGTTGAACTTCGGGCGGTTGTGCAAGGATATAATAGCCATATTCGTCATTGGATAGATTATTAAAACTATTTTATCCAGCCATTATGTGGTGTTTCCCTCAGTTCAAGTAAATCGCCCTCGCTTCCGCCGTCGTTGCAAGGTTGAGAGTAACTTTTCGTCCAAGCTCTAAAAATAACGGAAGGTTATATCACGTGGATAGTCTAAATCTTGAAAGTTCGACCAATCAGAGGATCCTGGTGACATCTCCATATGCTTGGCATCGGTGGATGAAAAAAATCTTGGGGAAGATAAAAGCATGACGCAAAGCCGAACGGTTTCGATTCTGTCATCGGAGAGGACATTCAATAACCAGAGCTTGATACTGATAGAGAAAGTATCCTAATACGAATCACTTTCTTCATGGTGATGGCACCTTCAGCGACAGGACCAGATACGGCCGAATTTCCCTCTAAGATGGAGGCGGAGGCGGAAAACCAGAGGGGTACTCCGGACCAAATGCAAGATGTTGAGAAGCTACCGCATGACACTCCAGCAGCTGAGCGAGAGGGACCCACCTCTATATTCAAGGGCCTCGGTGTCCTTGACCGATTTCTGGCGCTATGGATCTTTCTAGCGATGGCAATTGGGATTATTCTGGGGAACTTTGTTGATAATGTAGGGCCAGCCTTGCAAAAGGGGGCTCTCGTGGGCGTCTCACTGCCAATAGGTAAGTTCATCGTATAAACATACCCTACCTGGGCTCGGTTTATTATCTCTCAAAAGCACTTCTCTGCTTAAGACACGGTCAGTGCTAATGGGTATCCGACCTTAGCAATTGGACTGCTTGTCATGATGTATCCAATCCTTTGCAAAGTCCGCTATGAGACTTTGCACCAGGTGTTCAAAACCCGTGAGATATGGATCCAGATGGGCTTCAGTATATTTATCAACTGGATTATTGCTCCTCTTCTTATGGTAAGAACATCCTGAATTGATTTAATCTGTCAAATCATTTGCTAACGAAGATCATTTGAAGTTGGCACTCGCATGGGCATTTTTACCGGATGAGCCCGAACTCAGAGAGGGACTAATCCTGGTCGGCCTAGCTAGGTGTATTGCGATGGTATGTCTATGACTGTATTCTCCTTGTTTTCGTGTAGCAATAATCGTTGACTAATGGTTTCTCTTTAGGTCCTTATCTGGACAGGCCTTGCTGGAGGGGACAATGAATATTGTGCAATCCTGGTCGCCGTCAACTCCTTATTGCAGATGGTGCTTTTTGCCCCCCTGGCGCTATTATTTATCAAAATAATCAGCCATTCGGAAAGCACGATTCCCCTGTCTTATCCCGTCGTTGCAAAGAGTGTTGCTGTATTCCTCGGAATACCTCTTGGTGCTGCAATAGTCACCCGGTTTACGCTGCGGAAGATTACTGGTCCTGCCTGGTACGACAACGTGTTCGTCAAATGGCTGAGTCCATGGTCCTTGATCGGGCTCTTATTCATCATCCTGGCCCTCTTTGCTTCGCAGGGGAAGCAGGTTGTCCATCAAATCGTGTCCGTCGTCCGTGTTGCCGCGCCTCTGCTGGTATATTTCATCATAGTGTTCTTTTCCACACTATACATCACTTATCGGCTGGGCTTCGGATACAGATTATCAACCACGCAAAGTTTTACCGCGGCGAGTAATAACTTTGAACTTGCTATTGCGGTTGCAATTGCGACTTATGGAGCAGACAGTAGCCAAGCTCTCGCGTCAACAGTTGGTCCGTTGATCGAAGTTCCTGTGCTGCTTGGCCTGGTTTATGTAGCGAAGTTTGTCGCTAAAAGGACCAACTGGAAGCCTTAACGTGTCAAGATATGATATCTGACCTTTGATAAGCGAGCGTTTTGTATAATTTATAGAACCTACCCAAAATAGAGATAATAGGAACTTAGTTTTACATTCAAAAAAGTTTTGAACGAGAGCCTTCTGTTTCTCATACTGATGTTAGTGGTTCGTGTAATAGTCTGACTAAGCGACGAAAATTGTATCACGTGAAACTGCAGTGCAAACAGAATAAACACTTGCACTTAGGTAAGCACGCGGTGTAAGCGGAAAGGGAAAGGGGTCACCGACTTCACCTTCACGTCGAGGAAATGTGTGGAGGGAGTATGTATGGAGATTGTGGCTTCATCAATACACAAGCATAATTCAAGGATTAATCATTGCATGCACATGGTTCTAAGCTAAGACTATGAGCTATCCTTTCCTCTGACCCGAGGAGAATATGGAATACATGCTTATTCTCCTATCAACCTCTTGAAGCTATCAATCCATTGAACGTCCCGATGATTACCACACCCTCTCAATGGGAGACATGGTACGGAGTACAGGAGCTGGAGTCTACATCACCCATAAACTCAGATTTGGGCAACCATTTCACTTATGGAGAAGATATCTAGTAGATATTTGCCGTCAAAATCGCGACTATGTACAACTCCAATGAGAGTGAAATACTCAGTTCCATCCGACCTCGCATTTCCAGAGCTATTACGGGGTATTACACAGCTTTTTCAGGCTATTGCACTCTTGCACACTTGAACTTTAGGGGTAATCATCCATGGTGGTATGTGTTGTCTCCTTCATGTTGCACTGCTTGTACGTTAGTAACAAATAGATCAGAGCTCTACCTTGGCAATACCCTACTTCGTCTACCTAGCGACATTGATGATCTCTCGCTTAAGGTGAACCCGACCTAGGGCCCATCCTCTGTCTGGATGGCAGATCCTTTTCCACCGGGGACCCATATGGATCGGCATAGACAGCGAGGATGTTCCTTTCCGTGACGTGCATATTGTTCTATCCGGCTTCGCGGAGTCCTTCCGCCCATCCACCACAGGGAGTTGTTACTCACATATACGGAGTACCGCCACTGCTTCTTCCACGTGAAGCCCCGTTTTCCCCAGGAACCACTGTCCTTTCCAGCTGGCGTCTGGACCCTTGCTTGCATGCTGTGGAGAGACTAGGCTAGCTACTAGTTTTTGGGCCACGTTTCCCTTCGGCAGATCGTATAGCAGCCAGCCAAATCAATGTGCTTGGGAAGTTGCCATTAAAATGGGTCCTGAAGATGGGAAGATAAAGCCAGAGCCAGATGAGTCCCTTACACCAAACAGCGTTAAAAGACCATGGTAAGATTGTTTGAATATTGGGTGCAAACACCTACACAGAAGAGGGTATAGAACATGCCGGTGAAGCGGAGGACACTGCCTCGCTTTCTATGTTAAGGACTATTTTTGCTTCATAGCTAGTAGCAGCCTGGTCACGATATCCAAACCATGAATAAGGCGTCACTATCAGATGTACATTAGCCGTATATCTCGCGGGCTCTCTCTTCCAACGATCTCTTCTCTCAGCATAGTTAAGCTTTTTGGCTGCTAAAATTGGGGTTCATGGATAGTCGAATTTGCTGTTGTGATGTACACGACGACGTATATATCGACACTAAGGTCAAAGCCAACTCAACGCAGAACAAACCCACGGATCAGTCTTTATTCCTGCTTAACTACTGCTCTGGCAAACAAAGCTTAATCGTAGCTGGCATGCGTAAACTCGTTGAGCCGAGTTGCCAAAGTTGAAGTATGGTATGGGTATATTGGGTATATTAATCGTATATATCTAAAATACAATGTAGAAAAGCAAGTTAAACGGCGCTTCATGATGTTTATCCCCTATGTTCAACATTCAGCTACGCGATATAAGATTAGTGGACGCTGATATAGAGAATGTTGGATACCACGACCGACCACAAAGCTTTCCAAGATCCAAGCAAATCATTATTTCACAACCAATTGGCCTCTTGACTTGTGTGTTTTCCGGCTAGCCCTCCCGCAGACTCCACGCCTCGTCATCTATGAGGATTCGTCCTTATGCTCGATAGGTAGATTCATTCCAACTCTCCTGGCGCTCAATCGGACCCGTTCTTCCTGATCCATGTCGGCTCCGGGGTTATATCGTTCTAGCAGAGTAGCATACTGCCTCTGTGCTTTGATATATTGCGTGAACTGCTCTGCTTCTTCGAGTTGGGCGCGTGCAGCATTTTTATCCGCAGGTGCTGTCGAGAGGTGTTGCCGGATCTTGGTCTGGAGGGGGGAGGACGAGAAGCGTGGTCGGGGGGGTAGCTCGCGGAGTATGGCCCGGTATATCGAGCGAGTCTGTACTTGTAGGTTCGCCATATTTGTTGCGAGATTGACTTGAAGCTGTTGATGCTGGAGATCTTTTTCTGATACTCGCGAAGATAGGAAGTTTGAACATAAAAGCAGCACTAGCAAGTTATGCTATCTTGGCATCACTTTTAAAAACAGCGTCATAAATAACCCATTTTCATTCGCCATTTCTCTTGAGCTTTCTCTCGCCGGTTTGTTACTTCTCTTGTGTTTAATTTACTCGCCAGCAGAGGTCTTTAAGGCTTTGGTGACGTTCTCGCTGCATACTATAGAGCTGATGGCTGTATTATGCCAGGTCTGCTCCGAGGAGCAAGCGAAATATCGGTGTCCAGCTTGTGGCGTGCAGAGGTAGGTACTCTCAACAATATACAGAGATGAGCTTTCATGTTTCGAGGAGAAAAGATCTATTCTAACCTGCTTTACCATAGCTGCTCGCTGGCATGTTCGAAATCTCATAAAACATCGTGCTCACCGACTATAGCTGAGCCAGCAACCAAGACTGATGCGTTGCTAAATGGCAGTGAAAATTTATCACCGGAACACGACCGTCAGCCTCCGGCTGCAGAGGTCGACGCGGCCTCGGTCAGCAATGCGCAGGCCCCTGCTGTATCTGTACCTGCTCCCGCTTCCGGACAACGAAATACGAAGGAGGATTTCTCCGGCCTCGACAAGTCACCAAGATTACACGAGCTGTGGAGTAGATTCCCCAAGTTCCGTTCTAGGCTACGGGAGATTTACAGCTTGACACTGGAGGAAGAGTGGGTGGAGATGAGCTATGACAGCCATGGACGTGGACGTGGACGCGGGCGCGGACGTGGTAGGGGCTCGCATTCGGCAAGAGGGGGCGGGAGGAGCAGAGGACCTTGGACGGCGGAGAAAGGATTCAATCGCGGTCTTGGAAAGGTTCGCAAATGGAGGGAATCCTGCGATAATGATGGCCCCTCGATGCGCGCCTCTGGCGGAGCTGACGACGAGGCGTTCCGACGGTTTATTGCCCTCGTTCTTGATCATGACACTACGACGGCTGGCTAGATCTACAGTGGTCTGCGTTACTCTTATCACTGAGGCGAAATTTACCGACCTAACGGATCGCATCTGACGAGTGCCCCCTGATTCACCAGCTGCCTTAACACACTGCTTAAACCCTGCTGATCGTGGGGGTTTATGGAAGCATGCGGTTCTATTCATGACCTCACTGTGCTCGCGCAGGGAGGGTCTGAGAGATGAGTCGCCCATCCTATTGGATATGGCTGGTAGACATGATTCGTCGTCTTCTTTGTCTGACGTGCAGAGTACACCGATGTTAAACCCAAGAAATATAATATCCGGGAATGAGATATTATCTAGCCTACAAGCATATTATGCTGGCTTTGATTTCTTACGTCACGAAGCCCTCAGTCCTACCACACGGAAGGCGACCTTCTGTTCCCCGCAGCTGGCGATATTCAAGACCCTAAGCGGATGGAGGGTCCGAAATGCAGGTACTTGTCTTTGGCGTGGTTTGAAACATAACGCCTTCAGGGGTCAACAGCTTAACGAACCGTTCTACATGTACACAAACCAGACATGACCAGCTAGTGAGCGAGACCCGGCTGCTACCCGATAAATCTTCCTAGAGTGGGGGAGAGAGTCATGTATTGGGAATTAAGGGACACCCTCTACGCTCGTTTCCTACCTCGTTTCCTACCCTCTAGATGTGATGCCGCGACATATACGATATTCCAAATAAAAAATATTGAGCCAACTCTATCGAGGATAAGCACGCCCTCGTCAACCCAGCATCTGAGCCTATCTCGTCGCACAAATTGGGGGCAAACGAAGGCTGAATGGAGGCTCTGTTGCACATATTTTCTCCGTCGGGCTGATGTGCACCACCTGCCCCTGACGTGCTGTTGCCACCACCGCTGAAGCAGCGATCAAGCTGGATATCTAGAAATGCGATTATCGTCGACTCCCTTGCCCTCCATCGCTCTCCTCGCCGTCTCATCAGAAAGTGGGAGATGACAGGCCTCCAACTTTATCGTAATGCTACCTGTCTTATACATGAGCCCTGTTATATCCCCCCGGTATGTGAGATATTACGTAGATCGAAACACCATCTCTTACATCTTACATCCCTTTAACCAGCCGTAAGAGAATATCTCATGGCTCGTAGCTGGTAGGCGGTTGGTCTGCTTATATAGACCATCCATGTGACGAAAGGCTAAAAACCAACGGCCTTTTTTTTCGTTACAGACTCCCGATAAGCGCAGAAACCTGGAGCGTCCTCTGTCTCACTAAAAAGTCATCACGATCTTAGCCCTGTTGCAGATCTAGGGTCCATTCGGGGTCTGTTGCACTGCTATTTCGCCTCTCGATCCTGTTTATATATTCCTGTTGCGAACGTTGTACCGTCGACGCGTTGTGCCTTGCCTGGATCTCCAACCGAACCACCGACTTTCCTGCTCCACGCTCCTCCAGGGTTTTTGTCACTATCTCTACTGCAGAGGACGACTGTTATTTTACCAGGCTGCAGACTCTGACTCGGCTCAATCTCTGGCGATGACGAGCGGGCAGCATCTGTAGAACTGTGCGCAGGTCTGGGTACGAAATAATGCAGCATCCGCCAGGCTGTCTTGATATCGATCCCCAGCAACCTGTTCTCCAAGCATATGGGTCTCCCGAAGAGCTATACTTAAAACGCCAGCTGTCTCACACACTCACACACCCGTATAATGTCCTCCATGGACCTCGCCCGGACACGGTCAACCAGCGCAGGGCGTGATGGTCTTCCCTCTGCACGACCTGCTCGCCCTTCGCTCCAGAATCGCACGTACTCGGCCCCGGTTGGCAAGCTCCAACTGCAAAGCCGCTCTGGCAAGCAGGACACCGCTGGATTTTCGGCAATCGCAGAGAACGAGACAATGATGACGGGTCAGGTACCCGAAGAGAGCTTGGAGGAGGTAAACACCCTCTCGCTCCCAAGACAACAGATCGTGTGATACTGAAGGACAGGCGGCTAACGATTACTTCTGTCATCTAGGCTGCTACATCTGGCCATCAACTTCCCCAGGTAAATTTGGCGGTGGTGGGCGCCCAAGGCGTGGGCAAGTCGACGTTCGTGAAGTGCGCGCTGGACCTGAAACAGACACCGCTGGTGAGATCCTCGATCAAGAAGATGTCGATGGATGGAGCTATATATGTGGTCCGGCTCCTGGAAATCGCCATCCACAAGATCACCCTGGACGACCGCGGCCGCATCGTCTGGCCCAAATTCCTAGGCGAGCAGGCACTGCCTCCCATCGACGGGGTCCTGTGCCTGTTCGACTCGACCGATCTGCGGACCGTTTCCCAGTATCCACAAGTTCTAGGTAAGAGAAGAGAGAGCCTAAAACGAGTCCCGTCTCTTGCATGTAAATTATATATGGTTCTTTTAGCGTTGTCTACCCGACGATGCAGCCTCTCCTGATACGACGGACTCATGCTAAATCCCGCTCAAAACAGATGCCCTACGGAAGTCGAGTAATATCCCCTTTCTCGTGATTGCGTGCAAGTGCGACGGCCCTCAGGAAGAATCCCAGCACGACCCGTTAATCCTGGTGCAGACATGCCGGTCCCTTCTAGGGTTAAAGGTGCAGAGAATCTCGGCCAGCATTCCAGAATCCCACAAAAAATGCATCTCGACCATCCTTCGCGCCATCATCATGCGCAGTGCAGGTATGTCTCTCTTTTTTACATATATATCTCTATTTTTATATGTTTTTCCCTATCTTTTTGGCTTTATTCCTCCCCCCACCAAAGAATGAAGTCTCGACTGTCGCTTTGCCCCAAGTTACCTGTCATGTGGCCAATTTAGCGAACTTCGATGCTACTTCGCCAGCACGGCGAGTCAGAAGTGGCCTGTCGCTGTCGTTTCGTGGTCTGATGCCGCGAGGAGAGTAATATATATCGAAAGGGCAGCATCGCGGACTGGAATCTGGCTTATCTCGATGGGGCACTGGTGTCTTCCCCCTGTCTATCACGCTAATTTCGCTCCCGGCTTTCTCCACCCACGCCTCGCACCGCCCAACAAGACCTGCGCTACCCCCTGCTACGAGGTTGAATCCAGTCCCCCAGCGTCGAGTCTGATCACCATCCATCCTGTCGTTTTTTCCGAAGGGGAGAAAGAATGATATATCTGTTTCCCGCTCTGTTTATTGAAGCATCTCACGCTGGCTTTCCGTTTAGCTGACGTCTCAATGCTCTCTCTTGCAGATGTAGCCTCATCCGCAGATCTCTTGCCACCATCCTCTTCCCCGAACCGCACGACGTCCTCTAGCAGCCTGCTACCTCGCCAGCCTCTCCCCCGCAATCGACAGCATACCCGGGCGAGCTCCGAGAACCCCAGACCCTCGACCAGCGATACCACGAGGTCCGACCGATCTGGCGGAGGCGGAGGCGGAGTTGAATCGTCGAGCAGCTCGTCTCTGACCCCTGGTGGTCACGGTTCGAGGTATGCTCGCAGCAACTCCCAGCCCGTGCCGCCAAGAACACCACCCGGCAACACGATATCGAACCGCAGCACGTCGGAGACCATCATCGAAGATTCACCGCCGGGCAAGACCAGGTATCGAAACCTGAGGACGACGTGGAGGCACAGTGCTGGGTCCGACGCGTTCAGTAGCTTCCTTGATATGGATGATGAGTTAGAAGACTCAAGATCAGCCGGTAGCCCATCAAGTCAAACTCCCTCAAAGGAGAAACTGGACGATCCCGGCTCGACGCTGGATGAACTAGTCGACAGACTCCTCTCTTTGCCTCTGTCCAAACAGGACGCTAAATTCCCCGCCATCATCCTCTGCCTATACCGGAAATTCTCTACGCCCCTCCAACTCCTCACTGCCATAATTGCACGCTTCGAACACATCACCTGCAGTCGATCACCCTTACTTACGCGCCATGCGGACCAGCTTAGATTTCTCAACGTGCTCGCACAATGGGTTTCAGAGTATCCGGGAGATTTTGCAGGAGCCAAGGCCCGGAAACGGCTGATCGAGTTCATTGCCTCGCTGGAGAAGAATATTGTGTTTGCCTTTGCCGCGAAGGAGATGAGTGCTTTTCTCGACAAATTCGTCGAGGATGATGATCTATGCTGGGCCTACAACGGGGAGGAATCTCAACCGGAACCTACCGACTCGTTTTTGGATAACTCCTTTCCGGGCCAGTCGGATAATGTCGCTCAGTCTATGGGCAGGTCTATAGGCAACTTCAACCAGAGTGATGTAGACCTGGACCTCTCATCCCAAAATTCAAATTTATCAACAACCTCAAGTGCCGACAGGGCAGGAAGCATTTCAAGCCAGTCATTCAGGACCCTGCTGAGTGTGGAGTCTGCTCAGCGTGAAGCACAGAAGCTAGAGCTAGTGCCGCGGAGCCTTCTCACCAAAACACAATGGCGCATATTCATGGACATTCCAGACGAAGACTTTGCTCGGGAAGTGACACGGATGGACTGGATCATGTATAGCTCTTTCCGGCCTCGCGAGCTCATCCGACACGTCAGCCTATCCGGCCCCAACAAGGGGAAATCCTCTGCCTGTTTGGAGAATGTTAACCGGATGATCAAGTCTTTCAACCATCTTGCGTTCTTCGTCGCAAGCATGGTATTACTCCGAGACAAGGCAAAACACAGAGCTCAGGCGCTGGAGAAGTTTATGAATATATCATTGGTTTGTTTCCCAGCCCCTGTTTATCTTAAGTCCTTTTAAGTTACTCTCGGCTAACGGTTCTAATTAAAGAAACTACGCCAATTAAACAACTATAATTCGCTAGGCGCAGTCATTGCAGGTCTAAATGGCACGCCCGTTTCTCGACTATCACAAACTCGAGAGCTCGTGCCTCCGACGCTACAAAAACAATTCATGAGTGTGGTGATCCTCATGAGCACGCAAAAGAGTCACTTTGCATACCGACTAGCGTGGGAAAATTCCTTCAATGAAAGGATACCGTTCTTACCCCTCCACCTTCGCGACCTGGTGTCAGCAGAAGAGGGTAATAAGACCTTTGTCGGCGCGAACGGAGACCGAATTAACTGGCGAAAATTTGAGGTTATGGGCGACGTTATCCTCTCCATTCAACAAAGTCAGAAAACGTCGTTCCCCGCCTACAATAAAAACGATATTGCACAATGGTTGATCCTGGAAGCAAAATTTGGAGGAGACGAAGAAGTGAGTTTTATCTCCCTTCCCTACATATCCTGCTTGAAGACATTTGCGAATATAGATGCTAACAGAATAACCAGGAATTATATAGCCGAAGCATGCAGGTGGAAGCATCCGCTAGCGGTATTCCAGATCCCGGACGGAAACGATTTGGATGGAGACGAACTTGAACTGATGATTGTTATGATAGTAATGTCCTTGATACGGTCTATTTCTTGTAATAGAGTGTCAATATGGCTGCCAGCACTGAAAGATTCAACGTTGGTTCATTTAGGGGTAGGGAGGATATATTTTTCATATACCTAAATTAATACCTGCCATTTACACAGGTTTCAGCCATACTAAACAGACCTCCCTTTCCCTACTGCTTCGCTTCCCACTTGATTGTCTATGTCTATTATTGTATACCCATCTTTCTTAGTGAATTGCGAAAAATCGGCTCATGTTGCTTTTTGGGAAGGGAAATGGAAATGATGGAGTTTTTATGGCAGATGGTATTTATGTCCTAGCTAATGTATTTTGTGGCATTTGTTTTGCTACTTATACGGAGATTGAATGTCTAAGGCTTCCTTTGGCCTAACTTTTACTCGCCAGTAGAGCTGTTGCTATTAAGATAATCGCTTTCATTTCTTTCGCCCATGACGATCTAGGTACCCAAGTAATACGGTATATCAGTTTTCTAACAACAATCCCTCCCAATTTTTATCTCCTCGCCCACGCTCAAGGGATTATATAAGGTATCCAACTTGAATAATATAGTAGCTGGTAATATATGTGCCTGAAATAATGAAAATATATTTCAACTTGTTGGTTGGGAGTATGCTGTAATTTTAATAATGCCAGTGATCCTTGAAAGAGATGGAGAAAAGGTGGTAGGTATCTTGAGCCGTAATAAATCAGTCTAAAAAGAAGCAATAGGAGGTACGTAGAGCGTAGAAGACGAGAAAGTAGTAGATTTCTACCTAGCTACTACAAACAAACAAGATCACCAAGCAATTGGCTCAATGTTGTATATTTAACGGTCGGCTGCATTGACTGTCAACTGAAGACCGGAAGGCAATCATTAAAGGAAAGGAAGTAAATAAGCTAATGGCGTTTACTTATTTTAAACATAGACGCAGTTATAGGACCCATCAGGAGGTCAATTACATCCCCAATGCTGTACTGAGCCCACTACTGAAGACACCCAATCGACTTTTCTCTTCGCCGATATTTGAAAGTGTCCAGAAGGTATAGGGCTTGGTTGGGATCGCGCTCCCAGCGCTGGGAACACTCAAGCAACAACCGCCGCAGTGCAGCCATGCTGAAAGTAATCTGCCCCTTTTGTAGAGTCCAGCCTCCAGGTTCGCCTTCCCCAGGAACTCCATGAGTGAAAATTCGAGCTTTGACAGCTCATGCATAATTTCAGCCATGCCGTAATAGCCTCTTTTTAATAGAGAGGCAGGAGTCCCGGGTTTGAGAGTAGCGGTTTTCTGCAAGAGGAATATCTAGAATATCTAGATAATGAGCTCCCTTCGATGAAGGTCATGACAATGTACAGCCCAACCTCGCATTTGCCAAAGCCTATAAGACTTTTGGAACTGGTGTGGGTATATTATGAGTAAGACTCCTCGTGGCCTTTCAGTACGGACAATAACTGCGCCAAGGGCAGCGAATTAGACGAACAAACTGTGGGAATTTCGATAGGTAACTCGATAGTAGGCATTAAAGGGCCTCGCCTAAAAAACTGGCTTGATTGTTGTTCTGCAAAGTGATCAGGAGACAGCCCTGATAAACCGGATCAAGGCATGCATGAGAATACGCAAGCAAAGCAAAGCTTCTCGGGCTAAGCGGAACTGGCGGCAGGGAAAACCTGGCTGGCCTGAACAAAGGTTTAGACAAGGCTTATCATCTGGTAATATTAGGCTTGTTCGTTCGTAGTTGCAGGTTCAGTAGCCGGATGGAGGCAGCTCTTTGGATATCAGCACATCTTGCAGGATTGAATATATTTTAGCAGTTCATGGCCTGCAATGACAGGCCCTTTCTATTGGATGTTGGGCCCATTCTCTTACGTGTTCCCTCAATGTACCCTCGAGGTATGTTTTTATATCCCGAACCTCAGGTTGTTGCGTTGTCAACGTTAAGGGGATGATGAGGTAAGCAAGTCACGCGATAAAGTAAAAGCAGCGTGGTCTCCTTCCTAATGCGGCATCCGTCTCGGAAATCTCTCCGACGGAATAACTATTATCCCTATTAATAATTACGTCAATGTTAGGTACCGCGGAAAAGTAAAGTCGTTTAGGGCGACTTGACAATTCTCCAACATATCAAATTATGAAATTGGTTCGCTTCACTATGGCAGCGTCGAGGCCGTTATCTCATGTGTTGTCACGGGCGGTCGCTGGCTCCATATCGGGGTCGAGAAGGCGAAGCTCGCAATTATCGTTAAGATGGCTTTCGAGCGCCAGCAGACCCCCCATGGTCATATCGTCACATCATCGCCCAACTTTGCAACGGCATCACCAACCTGTTACGCAAGGGCGCATAGGTGTTCCTTCGGATCGACGTACTATATTCATTGAGACGGATACCACTCCAAACGCCGATGTGAGTCTGTCTATATCCTGTCATCCATGCGCGATTGCGATGGCATCCCGTTTTCGTCGTCATATCCAAAGGCTCCCGCGAGCGATATAACCAGCAATTGGTCTAATAAATATACTATGTACAGGCCCTTAAGTTCAGACCGAACCATCCGGTACTCCCTGAAGGCTTTCCAGTTTCGTTTCTTGAGTACTTAACACCACGATCTACGCTCCAACCGCCTCATCCCTCTCCGCTAGCAGCAAAGCTTCTCAACGTCGATGGCACTGTATCTGTATTTTTTGGCTCAGACTTTATCACAATCACTAAAGATAGTGATGCCAACTGGGCCCACATCAAGCCAGAGGTGTTTAGCCTAATTACCGAAGCAATCACAACTGGCGAACCATTGGTAAACATTGTCGAAGCCAAGCCAGGCAAGGACGGTGCCGAGGAAGCGGATGGAGAAGAGGCAGTACGATACAACGAGGAAGATGAGGAAATTGTTGGGATGATCCAGGAATTGCTGGAGACCAGGATCCGACCCGCTATCCAGGAGGATGGCGGAGATATCGAATTTCGCGGATTCGAGAACGGAAATGTCATGCTAAAGCTTCGTGGTGCTTGCCGAACGTGTGATTCGAGCACAGTGACCCTGAAGAATGGCATTGAGTCTATGCTCATGCATTATGTGAGTGTATTGCCCCATCCATTTTTTAGTTGAGCTACTAATCCGTCCATATACAGATCGAAGAAGTGAAATCCGTTACACAAGTAGTTGATCCAGAGGAAGAAATTGCTGCGAAAGAATTCGCACAGTTTGAAGAAAAACTAAAGCAGCAAAACGGGCCAGCTGCTACAACCTCGCAAGGATAGCCTAGATATGGTCAGAGTATGACCTGATGTCGATTTAATTTATGCATGCTACGATACCCTTTCCTCCTTAGCCTGATCAACCCCTCCACACATGCTTCTCTTGATCGGCATATCTCTTGCATTTCCTTTCGACGCATGTACGACGGCTCAGCCATCCATACTCCTTGTCCTGTTGAAACGATAGCATATATACGCAGTATAAAAGACGCCGAGGCCTCTCTTCAGCCAATGTGCGCGCCGTCAAGACCATTGCGCGCCTGTCGTGCAATTCTACGTTGCATGTGCTAATAACCTTCCCCTGTGCACCGGGAAATCCTCCACTCTATCCAATAACAACCGTTCCATCATGTGCGAACGGGTTGTTTTCTGTATTTTTTGAAATGTTGTATACATACCGGCTTCACCAAATACATAGTATGTTGAGCAATATTATATATATCATCATCACAAGATATCCAGGGCGCTACCAGGGCCGATAGATGAGATATATATAGTATATGAAGAAGAAAATCCGGATGGATTCTGGGTAATAATGGAAAATCATAAGCTGATCTCTTTACATGGGCTATGGCCTTTTGGGGCCTTGGCTACAGGAGAGGCCTCCGCAATGAAGCATGACGAAGAGCACGAGCACTGGCATGGGACATAGACATGGTTCATTGGAGGAAAGGCGCCGAAAGTCTTTAAGAAAACTACGGACTAAAGGAGGTAAAGCTCTGTCATTGGCGATGCAGATTCTCTTGACTGTTTACTAGAAGGAGAGAAAAGTGGCCGGCTCATGTAGGTGTAGAGTGGGTTTCTTACTCTTGGAACGTAGGACTTTGTTTAATATCCGGTTATTAAGAGCGAGATATGGCGTTTAAAATAGATGTAAAGCATATAAAAATGACAATCGGAGCAGGTCTGAGCTTTTATGCTCTCCCGAAGCTATCGTAGCCTTTGGAGAGCCAGTGCATGTTGAGTTAACTGTATTATTCGTGGTTAGACATAGCCGAAAAGCCAAGAAGACGATCGCCTGGCATACATCACATCGCTCGAGTGCTAAGATGTTAGTGTAAGTGGTTTCTTTTGAGTGGACGGATAACAGATCTCGGAGCCTTTTGCTTTTGCGCTCTTGCTTTAGCGTCTCTTATTATTCATAGTGGTTACTTATTCGTGTCTCCGTACTCCGTACACATGCAATGTAATACCATGGATAGGAAACGGCTCCCTGCTACGCGATTAACTCCACGATTTTCCATGCCGAATACGTGATTGGGGGAGGGTGAAGGAATGGTTTCACCAAACATGCAAAGAAGTGAAGCGGGAAGAGAGAAAATCGGCTGGAACTATTGGCTGGAAAGCGGAATACCCAGTGAAAGGCACAGTCTTGCTAGATATTCGTTTTTTCTTTCTCTGGCTGTACAGGGTGTAGGTTAAGGAGCTCGTACTATTTGGGATCTGGTCGGTGAGTTAGAGTGTACATGGCTGGCCGGAAATTGTTCGGGATACGGTTCCACGCATCCCGCATCCCGCATGCTGGATGGATATAGGATGTGGAGGTGGAAGGCAGGAAAATCCCTCAAGAGGCCAGAAGACTGCCAGGCGAGTTACTATCCTAGGTGAGAAGTGCGAGTGTCGAGGCATTACTGACATGTATTGTGGGGGTCCGGATCAGTACCTTGTACTCAGTATGTTTCTATTCATAGAGAAATGTGTAAAGAGTCTCCGGTGCGTAAGGGCGGGCTGTTCATCCCCCGAAGTATCGATCGAGAAATTCTATCACGGCGCGAGGTGGCGAGACCCAGAGAAGTAAGATATAGGAAGTAAGATATAGCATTAATACGCGGGGTGCAGAGGACTGAGGGGGGAATGTTAAGCCGTGGGTGCATATGTGTGTGCCGTTTCATTCTCATCGTCAAACATGGCCCCTTCCCTTGTGGCTGCAGTAGTTATGCACGGAAATATCAACCCCATATCTGATTCGAGGTCTCAGCCCATATTCTTCCAATATCGCCTACCTGATTACCTCGTATCATGGCGTCAACTGTGCATGCTGCTGCATCAAGTGGAGTAAACTTACGGCCGCCGAGTATAACTACTCTTTTTATTCTCTACCCTCGTCCATGTCCGTGGGATGTATCCGTATATCCTCGATAGTACGCCGGCCGTCTTGAAGCCACAAAACGCATGCAACCCCCCGCCATCATCCGGAATAGTTATTCTGCGGTTGGTCCGTCGGCTACTTGGGCCAAGCCTCGACCACGGCTCTGGACTGAAAGCTGAACCAGGATCAGCAGCAACGTTTTGCTTAGCGTAAACTTCCTCGCCAACTTCCCCCCTCCCTCCGCTCTTCTTCTTTCCTGTCCGTCGTCCCACTACTGTTCGGCCTGTCCCACGACTTGAGGGGGGGTGGGCGAGGGCGAACCTTAACGTCGTTACGCCGCATGGCATGTCGAATGGCAGCTCGGCGCGAGGTGGAGGGCTCTGTTTCGCGTGTACTGTATATATTAATAGTGGGCCTGAAATAAGCATCTGGAGAGTCATGGAGTCGCCATCCCGGTCGAGTGCTAACTAGGTGTAGCCAGGCTCTCCTCATCGACAACAGCCGACGGGGATTCTTTGTTTGCCCTTGGTGAGTTTGGCCATGGGGGAGCTTTGGGCAAGCAGAACCGTAGTTTGGCCCCTCGAAGAAGGTTAACGGTGGGTTTGGTGAAGTAAGATATCCACTGCAGCTCAAGGCGTCGCGGAGTCGCAAAGTAGCAGAGCAACGACGCTGAACGGGGGACGCCGCCGTATATTATATCGTAGGCAGCATCCTGATATCAAGCATGGATGGCGGTTCGAGGTTGGAGATGCCCAAAGGAGAAATGTATCATGTGAACATTCACGTGGGGATGCGTTGCCCTAGTTGGAGCCCAAAGGAGCAACTCGAACTTCCACAACTCCAACCGCATCCCTTCAACCTCACCTCCTAACGATCTTCCATTAACCCGCGAGGATGCAGCGTTTTTGGAAGCGAAGCAAGGAAGCAGAGCTGCAGTATACGACGGGCTGGCTGAGGGGGGCTCACTGACCCTTCTTCTTTTTTTTGGGCAGTCTTTCCGGGTCTATTTTGACAGGTACTCGGCGGAGGGGGGGCTTTTTTTGGGAGGCGATTCTCTTTTTGATTCTCATATAGGATTGTACATATACCTTGGCCACCAGAAAGTTAGTTGGTGCTCAGTTGGTGCTCAGTTGGTCTCTGGTTGGTTCCTAATCGGCGCATGGTGAAGAATTGGAACAGTTAGAGTCTTGTGCAGGCCCGGCAGAGCGTCTATAACTACGAGTCTACAACCAACGGCCACAGGGATGGATATCTACAGACCCCCTCCCGTCTTCTCGCAGTCACTGTAACACGAGGGTGAAAGAAAAAAAAAGACGAGACGACATCAGCATCGACTGTTTCCCCTGAAACCTTTCCTCTCGACGCTTTATACATGGGATCCTACTTTGATACGGGTTGCTCCGTAACTATCTGAAGTTCGAGATAGACCTGGCCTTGCACTGCTTCCGTCTAGGTAGGTGACCAGACCGATTCGCGCCAGAACCCGGGGGCTTTGGCCTCTCCTTGACTCGAGACGGCTACCGGGGACCCTGAATCCACGACTCCACATATAGAAACTGTTGACTATAACGCTGGGCTGAAGGAGCTGGCCGATAGCTGGGCAAAAAGCTGTGAAAGCTGCGTGAAAACAGCAGCCGGTTCGGGCCTTCGCTTCAGGTAACTCCATCTCTCCTAGCGCCAGCGCCAGCGTCAGTTTCAACATGACAGTTGGCTCCCTGATATAGCTATGGTTCTACCATTAACTGAATCTCTTTAAGAAAGTACAAGCCTGCGAAGGTTTTAGGCGCAGATCAAGAGATTCCAGACTGACTTTAGGCTCGAGGCGGGCCCAGGGTTCAAGGAAGAGCGAGAGAACCAAGGAAAAAGAAAGCAGCGGCAGCAACAGCCAGAGAGACGCAGCATCGGCAGAGAGACGGAGCAAAGAAGCAAAGCAAGCAACGCGCAGTCGCAGAAAAAGCGAAAAAAATAAATAGAAAAAAAAAAGAATAGGACGAGAGCTCGGCCACACCTCCTGACTCCTCTAAACCTAGTGCCACCACCATCTTTTCGCTCATACGTCGTCGATTCTGGGGTTTCTGGAGACGAGACTTAGTGAGCCATCCAGATCTACCGCCGCCTGCCTCACGCCACCCACTTACTTCTACCGCCGTCTGCTGTTTCTGGCTCTACTTACATCTTCCGCCGCCCTCGCCCTCGCCCTCGCACTCCTCACACGACCGTCAAAACTACCTTCCCACGCCCGTCGACGGCTGTTGAAGCCCTGCCCACGAGTTCCACCGGCGAATGCGCCTGTCTCTAGATAAACCATCGCCGACATCTTACCTCTCTCACCTCGTCATCGTGGCCAGGTTGTGCCAACATCAGAAGGTCGTCGGCTATTGAACATTCTCCTCTGTACCCTACCCCGTCGCCGACTCCCGCTTTCTCACCCCCATCGCCCTTCCGGATACTTCATACTTGCTCTCCTTGTTTCACACGGCACTTCTCCGCGAGAAAACGATCCAGGCGCCCGACGTCAGCTCATATCATCCAGCCTGGTCGCCCTGTAACCCCTCCGCAACCTTATTTGACAGGTTGCGCATACCAGACGACCTTGATCTCCTTCCTGCATCTCGTCGCTGTGCGTATGCTCCTCTGAGCGTGGGTTGGGGGAGACAATTTAGAATCGCGAAAGATTTATACCCTCGTACGATCTTAGACAAGTATGTTCATCCTCTCTCGTCTCGTCCGCGTCGCCGGCGTCCGCTTCTCAGACTAACGCGCGATGGATTTCCAGTTTTCAGGTCCTCGTTCTACTCGGCAGAATATTATATTACGTCGCATCCTTGAAACTACGGGGTAGGTCGCATTCCAACCTTCGGTGGCGGCTGTCAATCTCTTTGTCAGGCGAGCTGCTGCGCAACCCGCATACTTCCGCCTCCGGCGTTATCATATCAGGTTCATATGCTGACCGTCTTCTTTCGTCTCAGCTTAGATCTATTGTAACTCCTTCGGTGATTTCCCTGGCGCGTGTCGCCAGTGGTAGCGCCCTCTCAACTTTCCCCAGATCGGGGTTGACGCACGTGTGAGTGTTACTAGCCACGCGACGTTTTCAAGTCTCTTGTCGCGAACCTATCGCGACAGCCTACAGATCGAAGGAAAATATTATCTACATGAAGACGTCATACTGTGGCGTTCATCAGAGATCGATTTGATTTATGTTGCAGCTTCGGTCGGGACCATTCTAACCTTTCTATTCGCCCTAGTGAGAGATATTACCATTTGTCGACACATGCGAGCAGGCCCTCTTGTTTTGAATCCGGGGACTTACTTGGACCTTGGATGAGCGTCAACTAAGCTACATCCCAAAATTCAATCCTACGCGCTGCATCAGTAGCGCCGTGTCCCTCCACGCTGAAGTATCGGCACTGAACAACACTTGGAAGGGACCCTCCAACCAGTTTTCGTTTCTATTCGTTTTATACTCCTCTCCGATAATTATGGCGGCTTCAGCTAGAAACGGCCAGCCGGTACGATCCGCGAGCGCTGCATTTGCAAACACGCCGGGCAACAATGCATCTATATTGCTGGAGAAATCACGTCCTGGTGTCCGTCGTTCTACCCCCGACTCTGATGCCCTTGCTTCTTCAGACGACGAAGTAGACCATCACCATCACACTCAAACCCAGCCTACACCTTTAGCAAACCAACGTCGCCGAACATCTTGGCTTAACGAAGTGCCCAGCACCCTTATGAGGAAAGCCTCACTCCCCGCCACTAGCTCATTTTCTCCTGTCAACTCCAATCCCACCACACCCGCTGCAGATCAAACATCGTGGGGTACTGCTACAAGCCCTGGAGTGGCAACATCTGTTAACTGGGGAAACGCATCTGGCAGTGGTTCTTTTCCATGGGGTACAGGAATCTGGAATGCTGAAAATCGAAAGGAGCCACCTTCTCGCATGGTAGAGGTGCTCCAGTCGCCTACGAGTTCAAATCCTCCCAACATGATTAGCACATCAGGTGAAGATCAAGGAAATGCAGCTGCACACCAAGGATCTGGCGATCCCCCGATCCCATTTGCCATTCCACTTCACCCAACCCCCAAAACGTACCGCTCTCAGTCATACTCCGTCGGGCAGCTGGACCCAGAATCCAGCAGCATGCCCCCTCCCCCTACTGCAACTTCAAACAAACCAGCTCCGCCTGTCAGCCGCAACAGACCTGCTGCGCCATACTCTTCCGTTCAGCGTCGTTCATCTCGCCCCAGCTTGCTGGAATTGGGGCATGACCCCGCGACTCTGGGACGAGTGCGCGAAGATGATGACGACATCAGCCCCAACGGTATGGAACCCAATAACAATAACTGGGCATCTAACCAAGCACGTACAATCGAACAACTCACCATGGAGAACGCAATGTTGCGACAAGCTGCATCTAGCCAAGCTGAAGGGCCAAGATTCCGTGACCGTACCCTCTCGTCAACTTCTGCTAACAGCGGTTATTCTATGGCTCAGACTCACAAGCTTCACCCGATTCAGGGTAGCGTGCCTGAGGAGTCTGACCTAGCTGTAGACGACTTAGAAGATGTTGGCGGTTTCGCAGGCTACAACAACTCCCGCAGCAATGCACGAAGACGCTTTAGCGAGCACTCGACCAACTTAGAGAAGCAGTTTCCTACTTTTGCGTCCTTGGAGAACCGTACCTTGGAGAACATCAAGAGGGCTCAGTGGCAGAGTTCACTGGGCTTTGGCAGTATCTCCGACATACCCCAGAGTCGTCGCCATTCCTTTGCTGATACCTTGACGAGACACCCCTCCTCTTCTTTCCCTTCGTCTAGTGAAACCCGTGCATCGGCTGGATCGACATCTTCGCTACTTACCCGTGATGAAGGAAATTTTGCAGACAATGGATTAAATGCCTCGTCCGCTGATATTGGTAAGCGCATTGTCTTTGTTTGACTTTACACAATTGCCGTACTGGACGCTAACAGCGGTTTTAATAGCGTCATACGCACCCGGACAAGAAGGCATTCCATCCTCTGGGATTTCAACCTCGCTTCATCAGGCATATGTCATGCCAAATGCCTTTGGCCGTCAACACGCAGCCCTCGGCCAGCCACATCAAAACCAGCAGCTCTTCATTGTCACATTCAAATGTTACCGAGCAGATGTATTCTATATCCAAGAGGGTACTGGCCTAGAGGTCAAAGCTGGCGAGCTCGTCATTGTTGAAGCTGACCGTGGTACCGACCTGGGCACTGTAGCCCACGCTAATATCAGCTGGGCAAAGGCCAAAGAACTCAAGGATCATTATGCCGAGGAGCATTACAAATGGTTGATGTTATTCTCACGCCAGAACCAAGCAGGCGGTACCGCAATTAACCCGAATGGACCTCCATCTTTGGGTGGCGCGCCAGGTAGCGCCGTCGGTGGCATGGGCCCTCAATCCCAACACACAGCCCAGGAACCCCAGAGCGCGGAAATAAAACCTAAGTTAATCAAACGACTTGCTCAAAACCATGAAATCCAGACTCTTCGTGATAAGGAAGGGAACGAAGCTAAAGCGAAACGTGTGTGCCAGCAGAAAGTTGCAGAACACCGTCTTAACATGGAAATTTTGGATGCTGAATTCCAAATGTAAGTATATAACCTCTATTTTCTGCTGATCTACTTATCTTTTTTTTTTTTTACTAACTGTAATACAATTATAGGGACTGGAAGAAGCTCACGTTCTACTATTTTGCTGACTCTTACATCAACTTTAATTCTTTGGTGACGGACTTGTTCAAGATATACAAGACCCGCATCTGGATGTCCGCCATCAACCCTGCTTCCTTCGTCACTCCATCCACTGGATTGCCCGCTCCAGCTCCCGGTGCCGGGCTGATGGGATACGGACAGGATGCCCACGCAGACCGTCGTCGACAGCCCGACTTTGGCCAGTATGGCGCCAGCATTAACCATGGCCTCTCCCCAGCTCTATACCCTGATTCATCTAACCGTGATGCTGGGCAGGCCGGAATGCGTCCTCCTTATCTAGATCCATATCAAACTTTTGGGGTTGCTAGGCAGCCTGATACTGGGTTTGGAGCTGGTATTCAACCCCAAACCGACCCGTTTTCATCATACCCACCGACCAACTATAGTATGATGGATCCCAATGCTGCTGAATTTGGTCGACTAAACGCCGGCGGCCACAGAGCCCATCCAGGTCAGAATGAATGGACGAACCAGTTCCACAGTCTCTCCCTCAATTCCTAAAGGACACACTCGCTAGCCACTATCGACATCGCCATAATCACGGACGCGTTTAACAATTCGACCCTGACAAAACCTTCGTTTTCAGATATGTTATCGAAATAACATATTCTCTTTTTTTTTTCGCTCTCGCATCTCGATACACGAACAGACCTCATTTGTTTTAGAAATAATAATTTGCAATGGCGTTGTCGGAGACAGTGAATACCGTTGTTACTTTTTCCCGAGATTCGAACCCTTCGTTAAAATACCACTAGAGTCTTGGAGCTTACGAATAACGGACTATTCACACACACACAAACAGACCCCTCGATCTTCCGGATACCTTCGAGCTAGTCAACCGTATTGGACAAGGTTCATCCACTCGTTCAGTTTACAACCTCACCTTCGTTTCTACATACATTCTCGCATCAATCTACCAATAGCACGAAACTTTACGAAAGCCGAGTCAAGAGGAGGGATATCTTAACCCAAAAACAGAAATGAACAAAAAAAAAGAGAAGAAAGGTGTAACGATACATACAGCCAGTCTTTGTAGGGGTTTTTTTTTCCCTTTTCACTATTTGCAGTTCCCCAATCCGTGCTACAATTTGTTGTTGTCACCAGTTGGTCACTCACCGCTTCCTTTCTTGTTAAAATATCCTTGCTTAGTTTTTTTTCTTCTTTCCTTCGACATAATCCCTTTCACTGTTGACATTCCGAGTTTAATCTCATTTTCTTTTTCTTTTTGCAAAAGTTCGATAATACACCTACAAGACAAGAGAGAACACGGCGAGACCAGAAATTGCTATTACATGCTGGGAACATTTTGCTTTGCAGCGTTTTTGACTTAGAAGGGCCTTCTTTTCTATTCCATGTGGCATCTACACTTCATTCACAGACAGACAGACTAAATTAAATAAATTCTTGATCAATTATCATATAAAGGCTTTCATTATTCACAGCTCTCTAAAGTAGTTTTTTTAATTATAAACATGTCAGGAAACGGGGGGAACAGGTAGTAAATAATTACAACGTTGCTCCAAGGTCCTGTTCCCAGATATTGAATCCTTCGCATGCATCAGTCCCCAAGCAAGGTGCAACAATGGACCCAGTTAAACTAAACATTACAAGCGAGTGAGGGTGTAAGTAGGCAAAGAGGAGGATCGTCCATATTCGAGGTCCGCTCATAATGAGACGGAAGGTGGGGGGATATCGGAGGATCGGGAATCGTTCTCGCATTTCTCATCTCCACCAAATCTAGCAAGGATTCAGACTCCATACTAGGACTCGTGGGGGGCATTATCATAAAAAAAAGAGGAACATCGTGTTTAATACAAAGGCGTTTCAAATCCCATTTTATTTTGTTGGGACGTGTGAGAACAAGAAAAAAAGAATCCACCAATAAACTGCCTTCGTTGTGATTCCCTCGTCGCTCTCCCTGGTGTTATGTGCGCTTTGAATATTTTAACTAGTAGTTGTAATTGTGCGGTCGACCGTTTTGCATGGCATGAGCTGTCTTATCACGTAGTCAATGAGTTTCGTCTCGGATGAGGGCAACGATCATGCTGTAGAGGTAGAAAAAGAACATGACTAGGTGGAAACCGAGTTTGATGAAGGATTCCTAGAAAGGTTGCAAACCACGGGTTAGAACAGGTATTGCTAGGAGTATGGTGAGTTGGAGGCCCTACCTTCTTATGAACGTTCAATTTTCGGAAAATTTCTGTGGCATCGAGGAGATGTTGGTTTTCGAATATCCTAACAAAGAGAAGGGTAGTTTGTTAGCCTGTATGCCCCCATATAGCCAAACGACAAATAATGAAAGCTGTTGGCGGGATATGCAGTTAACCGCGGGGTGTGAACATACTTCTTTGCATTGTATGCTAATAGGGGGAGGTTGAATGCGATTGTGAGCCAGTAGCCGTTGATGATGAACAGGAAGGTTATAAAGGCGTGGACGGCGGCTTCAGGAATGATATAGGCGTTCAGGCGGTTGCACAGGTCAATAGGGTTGATATAGTCGCTATAATAGTAGATAGAGTCAGCCAGTGCACATTTCCAAGGGCACGATGAGGCCTGTTTGACAGAGTCTTGCAAGACTCTTCCTCAGCCCATGTGCTGAAAGAGTTATATGAGTACATACCATTCCAGATCGCTATACATGATCGTGAAGAAGACCTGTAGGAAGAGGTTGACGGCATTGATGAGGACCGCCAGGAGGTATAGCCATGCTTCCCCGGACATCATGGAGACAGCTGAGAGATAAAGCTGTTGCTGATACAGTTAGAGACCGCTAGACTGGCTGGTTATGCTAGGAAATCGTGCGGAAGAAGCCGTATCAACAGGCGGTCGCCGAGTGTCGATGATGCAAGGGATCAGGCGGAAAGGAGGCTGGAGCTGGACTTACGGGATGCGGACAGTGAGGTTGGAGAAAAGAAAGGTCGGTCGGTCGGTGGTCGACGGGTCGAGAAGCGCGCAGAGTCGACTGTTGGATGGCAGATCTTCGGGGGATACAAGCTGGAGTTGGACTGCGCAGACGGTGTTGTTGTTCCGTGGGATCTTGAAGTTGTGGGAATTACCCGATTGGGCTTCGTCGTCTTCCGCCCAAGATTTCTCCCCGTCGAAAAAAAAATATAAACACCAAAAACCAGCTAGTTATCTCGCTAGCAAGGATCAACCCTTTTACGCTCTGTTCTGACAGAGCCTCGAGGTTTGAATGGCTTTAGAGAGGACGCACGTTTCCCTTTGTGCGCACACGGAAGCGGTTTTACTGCAATATACGATACGGATGCCAACTTGTTGAGATGTTGACTTGATAGCACAGCCACGGCATATTTATGGACATATAGAGTACGAAGACTTCGCCTGCACTGATGATGCGGCAGAGACGTCTATCCTACGGCGCCACAAGCCCTCGATGATCCCTCTCGTCTTTGGATTCGCTCTATTCGCTCTTCTCTCGACATTTCCCGCCAAGCAGGGAAGCTGATAGATGCAAAAATAGCCTGGTGGAAACATCTCGTCTTAGAGTTTCTGCATGGGCCGACCAATATTGGGCAAAAGGCTTATATACGTCAGACTATTTATATATCAATACGGCTGCCTCGCTGCGCGATGGGGAGCTCGAGGGAGTTTTCTTCAGGCTGAGGAACCTATGGTCTGAACTGGATCCACGCCCTGGTTAGCCTGTACGACCTGTACCTCCGTCAGATTTATAGGTCTCGTCCCAGCTTCAGCCTGAGGACCGGTCTTCTCGTGGATTCCCTCCTCACTCGTCCATTGCGTCGCTGTACGGCTCAATCAGAAGCGTCAGGATATATCGCCTACGCAAGATGGAAGATGCGGAGCTAGACGTCATGAATACAGAACAGGATGATCCCCTCTTGCAGTCAGACGAGGAGGTCGGCGATGAACCGATACCGAACCCGTCTGAGCCAGTGACTGTGAGAAGGAAGATAAATCAAACCAAATTCATCGTCCTGTGCATCATTGTTTTATTCGCGCTAGAATTTGCCGCATTTTTCGATTTCATACCGCAAACCCGCATCTTTGAAGTGATTACCTGTCGCAACTACTTCGATAAACACCATCCGGATCGCTTCCCATATCCGCAAGATATCCCAGAGTCGGAATGCAAAATAAAAGCTGTCCAAAGCGAGATAGCGTATGTACAGGCGTTGGCTGCGAGTTTCGACGCACTTCCTAGTATGCAGGCCGATCCTTTCAATTATTCTACCCGCCTTGTCATAGGCATTTTTTCTACTCAGTTATCCATTCTAGGCATCGAGCCGTAGCTGATCTAGCCTCGTTTTAAACTACAGGTATCCTACTCCTTCTTCCCTATGGCCAATTAGCCGATAACCCTCGGTATGGCCGCAGGTTTGTATTACGATTGACCATGGCCGGCATCCTATTGGGCGTTTTATGGGCCTTGATGGTCTGCACGTTCTATCGTTACATACCCCTTCGAGCAATCTGGGTTGGGAGTATATTCGCATTCATAGGTGGTGGGCCAGGTGTGACCAATGCGATGATTATGACTATGATAGCCGACGTGGTTGATGAAGTGAATCGGTTAGAAAACTTCCTACACGAGTACCTTGTGCTAGAATTTTACCTAGTAGCTAACACATGATATATAGGTCGACCGTCTATTTTCAGACATCCTTAACTGTCGTGGTCGCTCAACTTCTTGCACCGTCTATTGGATCGGCTATGATGATGAAATTTGGCCCGTGGCTACCTTATTACTTTGGGACGGCGTTTTTTACCATCTGCTGTCCTCTAATATTACTGCTACCGGAAACCATTCCCTTACAGATTGAGAGGCCTGTCGTTGATCATTCAGAACCTGCATTTATGGACGATAACATCTCTGGGCATGATCCTCACGACGTACACGGGAAGTTCGCTCGCGCTTCCCTTGGAGCCAAGTTAAGGACCCTCTTTTCAACAGCATGGAAAGAATCGAAATCTGTTCTTAACAACCGTACTGTCCTACTCATCCTCTCCACGTTCCTTCTTTCAACGCTGGGCCGAAAACAGATCGATCTGCTATTGCTATACGCATCGACACGGTATGACACCACCATATCGAAAGCCGGCTTCGTTCACTCCTTTATGGCCTGCGTCAGCATCGTTCTCCTATTGCTTGTTCTACCTATCTCGTCCAGCTTCCTCTCAAACACTCTCGGTTTATCCAGCAACATGAAAGATTTATGGCTTTCCAAAATAAGTGTTGTGTTCCTCACGATAGGTAGTTTTGCCATCGGCTTCTCCCCAACATTCGTCATCATGGTTTGCGCAGTGACAATCTATACACTCGGCTGTGGCTTCAACGCGGTATGCCTTAGCCTGGTTTCTTCTTTTGTCGACCCAAAATATGGTGCAAGGCTATACTCCATTATTTCTCTTATCATTATGTTTGGAACGCTTCTCGGTGGTCCATTTTTGGCGGGATTGTTCAACTTGGGATTGAACCTGGGTTCACCTGCATGGACTGGATTACCGTTCTTTGGTTCAGGCGTGGTTCATATATTCATCGTTATATCCGTTTGGTATATTCGACTACCTTCCTTACAACTAGCGTAGCGCTAGTTTTCCCTCCTTACTTTATATATAGAAGAAACAGTGAGTGGCGTTATATGCTGGTTTAGGGGGGATTTCGGTATTATTTCCTTCGCAGTTTGCTTCGTTGGCGCGTTGCATGCTAGAGCATGTACCATATGATTTACTGGATCATGAACCCAGGATATGTCGATTATAAATTAGATATGGGAACATAGACTACGTACTTCAGGAACGGAGAACTTGATCAGACTCTCACTTGGATGAACAGGTCAGAAGGAAAATACAATTGATAGGGTGATATTATTTATTCTAACAAACAGTAATAAGGGTATGTCCGTGTATCTATCGTGTAAAAAGTCGCAAAGGACCAGGTTATGAAACTCATAAAAACAGCCCCGCAGTTGCTTTCAAGTACCAACTTGTCCCTAGAAAGACAAGAGTATAGGAACCGAGCAAGATTGATATAAGCAAGTGGAGTGCGCTGGCAATATAAATATAGTATGGGTGCCGAAACGAAGGAGGCGTGCTATACAATGATATCCCAAAAACATAAATCGAAACGTCTTAACAAACGAAATGGTATTCTCCTCTATGTATAATAAGACCCAGGGAGGAGCCGGTCTCCTATCTCTTCTCAACAAGCAAGAAGTGCATGGCTGCATAGGCGACGACGATTGAAACACCGGAGATAACACCCAGTCCGATAACATCGTTCCACAGGGCGAGGTTGTTGAAACCAAAGGCACTCAAGATTGAAGCGCCTGGGACCTCGATATCAAGGCCATATTTGTGGTCAATGAGGGTTAGGAAAGTGACCTCATTAACGATGAGGCCCTCAAAGGCATAATGGAAAATGGATAGCTAATTTAGCATAAATAATCAGCAAGGCACGTTTCAACAGGGGGTTTGAATTAAGTTATCAAGACTTACTGTTTGCAACCACAGCGCTGACTTGGGAATTGCATTATGGTTGAGTAGTAGACCAGCAAATAGAAGACTGAACAGCATCACCAAGCTACCAATTAAGTTGGCGACACCTGGGTCTCGGAAGACGATGCCGATGAACAAGCAGATGCCTGCGGCGGCAAGATTGAATAGAACAAGGATGAGGATGAATTTCGAGAATTCCGGCCAGTCTGGGATAAGTCCCACCATAGGGTAAATGATAACACCCATTATGATAGGAGGAATTAGTCGTAGAGGTATAATATCGAACATAACCTTGGCTGTAAAGTAGGTGATGGGGGAATAATATCCATTAGCGCGCTCACGCACGAATAGTAGCCGTTCGGAGGAAAAGACAGTCAAACTTGTGAGTGTACTGAAGCCGAAAAGCGCAAGAAGGAAGAAGAACAAGCCAAGGCGATTCTGGAATCCCTTGATATCATCTGTGAGGCCGTAGAATAGGTACCCTGATAGAACAGCAAGGAGGATGGCGATCGCGTAATGGGTGAGCATGAGCATCGGGTTTCGGTAAAGATTCTTCCAGGTGCGGTTTGACAGGATAACGAATTGTCGGAGTAAGCCAACCCTCGCATAGCCGGTCATCTGGCCAGCAGTACCATCATTAGTCTGTTGTTGCGACGGGTCAGTCAATCCGTTCGCAGAGAGTGCGTCTTGAACGGAAGTGGATATTTCTTCACGGATAGAGTTAGCCACGTTTGAATTGGCGTAGTATGAAACAAGTACGTCGAGATCTGTGGCATATCCAGATGCGATAGGAGGTAGATGGTCCGGGTCTTCCAAAATTTGCGGGGGAACATGTCCTTGTTGTTTAGATAGTGGCAGCCATTGCTGAGCACGCTCAGCCAGGCTCACAACATGACCATCTTCATTATCTGTTTGCGGTTCGGGTGGGGATTCAAGTCCGGAGGTCCTCTTGCGAGTGTAAAGTTGTCTATCCTGACGCTGCTTGAGAGAGGAACGTCGTTTGTCTTTTGGCCTTAGCAGCGACTCCTGGACACTTTCAACAGCGCTACCGTTGTCGATGCTAGCATTGGAAGCGCTGGCAACAGACTTCACAGCCCTCAAGCTACTAGAAGCGGTCCGGAAGTTGCTATCATGGGCGTCAACATTTACGGCCGGCTCCTCTGTAGAACGAGTTTGGCTTGCGTGCATTGTTAAATCCACGAGATAATCTGCGATGTTGAATCCTGGGGGGCAAGAGTATCCGATATTGTCAAAGTAAGACTGGCAGCTCGAGTATGGCCCTGAAAAGACCGTCTTCCCCTTTCCTAGCAGAATCAATTGGTCGAATAGAGCAACGATGTTAGATCTAGGTTGATGGATAGTGAAGATCACCGTGCGGTTGTATGTTTTAGCTAGGTTGACCAGGCACTCGACCACATTGAAGGCATTGAAGGCGTCCTATTCTCATGTTAGAAAAGTTGAGCTCAATTTGACAGAAATGAGGGACCTACCAAACCACTAGTTGGCTCATCAAGGAACAATATACTTGGACTTGTGACCAACTCGCATGCAATACTGACACGCTTCTTCTCGCCGCCTGATATACCGCGGCCTTTGCCCTCCTCGGAACCAATGAGTTGATCCTTGATATGATGGATACCAAGTTGCTTTTCAACCTCGTATGCCCGCTGTTGCTTAGCTGCATCACTCATATCCCGAGGTAGACGGAGCAAGGCACTGTTCAAGATAGTTTCGTGGACCGTTAGAGTGGGCAGCATTGTATCATCCTGGTCAACAAATCCAACAACCTTTCGGTACTCATTGTCGTTGACCTTTTCACCATTCACATAGATATCGCCGTGGACGATGCCTCGTTTGTTCTTTTTGGCAAGGATGTCTAGGAATGTTGTCTTTCCTGCGCCAGACGCGCCCATTATCGCAGTAACTTGGCCATTGCGCGCAATGCCACGGATACCTCCAAGGATCTGCTGGCCATTAATATAATACGCAATATTTTCAAATTGCAGTGACGCCGGTTTATGGTCTGCCATGAGCTTTGAGCCCTCATCGTCAGAATCGTCAGAGAGCGCAGTATATTGACTGTAAACCTTGCGTCTCGAGAGGTACCAGACGAGGAGGATAGCGCCGACGACGAAAAGCGAGCACCCGGCGATAACACCGGCAATGAGTGGGGTGTTGATAACTTTCACAGGAGGCTTGTAGCCTGGCACTCCCGTCTTGTATAAACACTCGCTGGAGCGACAGTCTAGTAGAATAGATTTGTCGCCAAACATGTCCGATATCACTTTATCAATGACTGGTTCCGAAAAAGTGCTACCATCCCTAGAGCTGCCGCCTTGAGTAGACGTTGAAGTAAACTTGGCCGGGCCTGTAAGCTCCCCAAACAACGGCTCTAAACTAACGCCCTTCGTCTCGCATAGCATTCGATCAGGAACGCATCCGCACTTAATATTCTCGCACGTATACGTCGTTATATTCGTGCTCGGCGTTATTTCCATTTGCCACTTGCATTTATCCAGTGAGCAGTAGAATGACTCCAGTTGATCGACCCAGACTAGACAGGGAAGTGGTGGTTAGCTCTATTATTGTATGTTTGTCAGGCAGAGTAGATATCTATCAACTTACATTGAAAGTTGCAGGTTTCGTCCGCCTTTTTGCACGAGAAAGTCACCTGCGGCTTTTGTTCCTTGAGCATATCTCGAATCTTTCTGTTGGTGACATCACACATCTGATAGTTTTCAACTATCGTTTCTCCCTGGTTATGGTGCTTATAGCAGATTCCTCCTTCTTTTTCAGGCATCATGGCATTGCAGGCATCATTGGTCTCGCACATGTTGCAGTTGATTCCCGACCAGCCATCCTTGCACTGGCAGGTCGGGCCCTTGCGAGGAGTTCTGTCCCGTCCATCGGCCAGCGAACCACACAAGGGCTCAGAACAGTCATCTCCGCCAAATCCTGGGGGACAGTCGCATTTGCCGTTGAATTTATTGCATTTTCCAAACTGGTGGCACTTGAACGCATCGAGCTGGCAGTTGAAGCAAGGAGGGCATTCTGGCGGTCTGGTGTCACGGAGAGTGAAAGGGACCGATCGGGAGATATAATTCTCTGAGGTGTTGTTATTGAGCTCGTAGCCACTGACCTGCCATGTCGACTGTAGCGCAGGGAGAAGGGCGAGGAGGCCGAGGAGCGCAAACGGCCCCATCGTGTCGGTCGCGGTCAAGGAGCGTAGGACGTGTTGTCGGCCTGAAAACGAATGGCGATGACAGCCACGCGGGGATCAGCTCGAGATTAGGATAGCATCAAGGTCTAGTATGGGCTATATCCAGAGCCACGGTTGTCGAGTGTGATGGCTCTTTGGATGTCGGCTCCAGGGCGTTTAGCTGTCTGCCTAGCTCCGGGCGTAGATGATCCGGCGGTTTGAGAGAGGCGCGCGGCGTCAGGGATGCGTCCCTGGAGAGGCAGAGCTGTAACAGGCCTGCAGAATATGTGTATGGTGTATCAAGCGGGCCCGATGAGAAGGGCGACGGTGACGTTGGTGAAGATGGTGATGGTGGAGAGAATGCGGAGGTTGGTCCGTTGAGGTTGCAGCTCGCCGAGGCGCATCGCGGTGACGTTCTTCCGGGCCAAGGCCGTTACAGTCCTACCAAATAGTTATATCGACGACTCTACTTCAGTCAGTGAGTATGAGTGTCCAGGATATAAAGTATCTCTCGTAGACGATCTCACCGTAGACTATGTGAGGCCAATTTGAAGATAGAGATTAAGCCCTGAACCGTATCTTTTGAGTTATTCTTTGCATAAAGACATTTCGTTACTTTTTATTACTTTTTATTACTTTTTATTACTTTTTATTTACTAACGCTTAACCTGCCTTATACTTCTAGCTCTGGCTTACTGTAAAGGTAGCATAGGGTAGCGAGCCTTATCCGACCAACGGATGGATACATGGTCAGGACTTACGATGGCCTTAGAGACGACATAAGGTAGTAAATATTAGATATAAAAGGCTGTCTTTAGCATATCCCTTGATAATATATTGGCCAGTAAGGCTATATTAAAAGATTTTATAATATCTATATACAGGCGTGAACTGATCTATGGATATCAGCATACTTCATCCGATTCTACATATAGTACTTCATACACCCGATTCTGCATATATCTGCTGCATGGTTAGCGTATCATCGACATAAGAAGCAGCTAGTCCTGAGTCTATCTATACGAGAGCCGTAGCTTTATTTCTACCGACATGTTTATGGGTTGTGGCTTATGGCTGAAATGGTTAAATATTTGGACGTGGTGGGATGAAAAATGTAAATTTATATTTATTTGTAATTCGCAACATCCCAAAATTCACATCTTCGTATCTCTACTTCCAACATAACACCGGTTCCTATTCGCCTGGAGGATATTCAATATGGCTCAAATCGAGTACCTTGCCATGGAACGAGTATGTCTCTACCCAGCAGTAGACGGAGAAATCCAACTAACACAGCATGCAATACCTAGTGGATTGATAGTAAATCTGCAGAAGCAAAATATGACCTCTCCAGCTCATGTGCCAAAATCATCTCGATACAGGATCTAACGGCTCTATCTGAAGATAAGTCGGAGTCGAACGAAGGCCCTCTGTCCACCCAGGTCCTATCTAGATGTCTTGGATATGGCGAAATGGCGGGTTCGACGGCGCTGCGTTCAACGCTCGCTGGCCTTTATTCGGTCAAGACGCCTGTTCCACTGCCAATCGAGAATGTTACTATTACCAGCGGTGCATCTCTGGCCAACTACTTGGTTTTCCAGGCCCTGTGCAAGCCGGATGATCATGTAATTGTTCATTATCCTACCTACCAGCTGCTGTATTCGGTCCCCCAGTCACTCGGGGCCGATGTCACTCTATGGAAAGCTAAGGAAGACGACAAGTGGAAGCTTGATGTTGAGGAGCTAAAGGGCCTCATTAAACCAAATACAAAGATGATCGTGCTAAAGTGAGTACTTTTTAATATATTTATACTTGGTGGAAATGAGATCTCGCTTATACCTCCTGTAGCAACCCTCAAAATCCCACGGGTGCAATCATTCCTCGCACCACCCTAAAGGAAATTATAGCTATCGCCAGGGAACATTCGATCGTTGTCTTTAGCAATGAAATCTTCAGGCCTCTCTTCCACTCCGTCCACCCTGGAGATGAAGAGTTCCCACCCTCTGTTCTATCTCTCGGGTACGACGATGTGATAGTAACCGGCTCGATGTCGAAAGTGTATTCCTTACCTGGAATCCGCGTTGGCTGGATCGCATCTCGCAACAAGAAACTTATCGACCAGTGCACAAAACTGCGTTCATACACTACTATTTCCGTTAGCCAGCTTGACGAAGCAGTCGCCGCATATGCTTTGGATGGTAGTTGCTTGCACGCTCTGTTAAAGCGCAACACAGACCTCGCGCGACAGAATCTTGCCCTCCTCGTATCCTTCATAGAAAAGTACAAGTGGGCATGCGAGTGGGTAAAGCCAGTTGCTAGCAGCGTTGCATTCGTCAAGTTCGCAAAGATGGGTAAGCCTGTGGATGACCTTGAGTTCTGCGCTCAGTTACTGCAGAAGAAAGGCGTGCTGCTGGTTCCTGGCGCGCAGTGCTTTGGCCCCGGCGAGTATACGGGCTATGTTCGTGTTGGGTATGCGATTGACGCCAAAGAGTTCGAAGCTGGCTTGGACCTGTTGAAGGAATTCATGGAAGAGGAGTATGAGAATATCCCGTTGGCCGGACGAAAGCTTGCGATACGATAACTGGGCCGGGCGGGTTTCTTCTGGTCGCCCATGTTTAATCATATCCGTCGAACTATAGTTCCACTTTTAGACATCGGAAATTCCAAGGGCTCTTGGTGGTTTAAGCATTTTTTTTCATTCTTTTCGCGTAGTTTATACTCCGTACCATCTGCCGAGAAGCTTCTCGCTTCCAAGAATGGCGCGATTATTACGGATTGCGGAATGTGAGAGTCCAAACGCCCTCTCCGTCCAAGGATGAAGAACTTTCCATCGCAGATAAGGATGCGGGGGAGAATCCGTTTAACTTTTATACTCCCAGGCAGTTATCTGAGACGTACATGTATAGTGCAAGTGTGACTTTGGCGATCATCACTCGCATATACATATGTTCTTCACGAGTCATAATATGTAACTCCGACCGAAGCAGCGTGGTTGGCCGCGGGAGAGACAGTGGACCAGCGATGCAGAGAATAGCAATACGATGCGGAGGAACACCCACATCGTTCCTGTTCAGAAGGAATTGGGGTTTGTCGATCGATTTCTAGAATAATATCTAGCCTCCATTGATGTGCATTGCTACGGGGGCTTAGCAGCACTGATCGGCACTCATGACAGCTGACAACTGGACAAGTTTGCAAGCCTTCTCAACGTGAGGAAATAGATGCCATTCTGCTAGGCTGCCTTTCATAGCACGCACCTCCTCCTAGCGTTGGTTGGAGGCAAGAGTGAACGTCGTGATAATGCGGCTGAACGGAACATTAGCAGCCACCCAAGTAAGCGACACGAGAGTATAACTTGCGGCTATTTTTAAGAGTTGAAGCGGCGGGCTGACCGTTGTTGCAAGGGCATCCGATGCCAAGGAGGGAGGCGCGAGGAATCAAGGATATGGGTGTGAGTTGAGACGGATGTAAAGCAACTCTGCCGAGTGATACTCTTCTCGGCGCTCTTGATACTGCTTCATCTCATCCCTACGACTCCGTCCTTTGCTGCCTGCAATATAATCGCCACGTTAGGGTCCCTCATCTTGGATTCCAACCACCAGCCTTTAATAATATCAACCAGGAAGCAGACGTTAAGTGGCGTCGTCGAGACTGAACCATCGCATCTCCCAAGCAAGTTTCAAGCATGCCGAGGCGGGTGGCCAAGGATACCTTATTCTGGGGGTGTTTTTTTTTTCACCCTTCGTCTTCGGGCGAGCGGACGGCGTTCGTGAATGCTTGAGTCTCCCGGCCAGCATGGAAGGACTGAAGAATGAACTGCTCTCCCCGGATTCCAAGCAAAAGCCGGTAGTTTCCGAATGCTTAACCTGGGGCAGATACTACTTCGGCCTTCTATTTTCAGTCGAAGATGATGCTCAGACGATCCCCTCTTTAGGAATGTGAGGCCTTGACGAAGGGATGGACACTCCATGCGGGATAAAACCCACCCAACACATGCCTGCGGTGCTGGCAGGGCATTGGCAGGGGAAGCCAAGCAGTCTGGGGTTCGGAAATCATTTTAAACCGGAGAGAAAGTGGGTTAAGGGGGTATCCATGCGAGACCTGGGAGCCATGGTAATAGCACCGACCACCGGACTTTTACTCCATCTCAGCAGTACGTTGTGCCTATAGCTCCGCGACCCTGCCAAATATCCGTCTGCTAAAACGGAGAATCAGGAGAAGCAGGAGATGCATATATTATATGATAGCAGATGACTTAGGTGACGTAGACCATCTATAGATAGGGTTGCAGCCGGAACGAGAGCATTTCACTCCCGGTATAGGAGCAAAGCTTCTATCGCTTATTTCTAGAAGTGTATCCCTATCTTCTTCCTATCTTCTATCTCTGTGGAGAGCATGTATATGCCCAGCCGGGATACGACGGTAGAAAGTTAGCGGTGCATGATGCATCCTGACGTGCGTCTTAACTCACGTATAATATGGATATAATATCTCCCCAGAGCGTTTACCACGAACGACCTGGCTCCCTGGATAGATGTTCATACCCCGCCTTCCCCACAGAACATGCGAGCTCATCTTGGTCATTCATGTTGATGTTCTTGGTCATGTTGATATTGATGTTGATGTTGATGTTACCAGAGCTGAGCGAGTAGCGTAGATGCGGGCCGTAGAGATGGAGATTCTAGAAGGGTTCGTAGATCAGGGCGAGCGCTGTTCCTGAACATCCATCCAACAGCTGGAGATCCTAGACAGCGTACGTATCTCTCCTATGGACAAGGGTGGTTATATGTCAGGGGAAGGTGACGGAGGCCAAGGTTCGACCGGTTTGGGCGCTAAAGGCAAGGCCAAACGCACTTGGTTACCATCCCAGGCGTCGTCTCCGTCAGATCTACACGCCCATCAACCTGCGACCTGCGACCTGCGACACGACAGAGAGAACTTCGCGAGTTCTGCTCAGTCCCTAAGCTTTCAGGTACCATGCAAGCTTATCACCGGCTTTCTTGTCTCAAACACTAGCATGCTTCGTGGAGCGGGATGCCAGCGCAGAACGGGCAGGCGATTGAGACTGATCATCCCATCAACATCTCCTCTTTGATCGCATCTCCAACACGTCGATGAAGGATGATGCTGATATGGATGAACCTCATGCTCTCGTCCGAGCCCAGCCGTATTGAAAGGTCATCGTCTTCTCGTCCGGCCGTGATCTACGCTGCGTCCAAGAGTGACCTGACCAGGACCTCCGATGACACCTCCCCAGTGGGCAAAATGTGCCGTATAGCGGAGGCGAAGACAGGACCTGATGACCGCAACTGGCGAACCTATGAGCCTTCTGGAAGACCTAATTAACATCATCTCCTATGGAGCAAACGGAGCCGGGCCTGATGTTTGATGACGCCCTATATGCCAATCGAGTGTGGGAGTACGATTGCCTCGGCATGACCGACCCAGAACGATCGACAGGCTGAAGCTACGTTACTTGTTAGCGCGCCGAAAACCCCGTATAATATCTCCCTGCTTGGCGAGCAGGGCAGGTTATGCTCCGTACTCACTCCTACTCCCCTCCTCTGATAAGATGAGGTTTGACACGGACCGAGATGAGCGGGGACCTATCCCAATCAGCCGCCAGACCTGCGCATTTTCAAGCTCTCTGGGCCGGGTGAGAGCCTTGTATGCTTGCATGCCTGCATGCTGGTTGGCCTCACATGGGTATTACGGCGAAGCATGAAGGAATGGGATGAGTTACCTCAGGACCACCCTCCCCCCCCTTGCACACGAGCAGGGAGATGGAGACCCGGCACGGCAAGAATGATAAGACTTTTGGAATTGGCAAGGGGGGCAACAGTTCTATATAAGACTTGAAGATGTCCATGAAGGTACACAGAAAGAATCAAGCAGAGTCTTCATTCGAACAACAGCCCAACTCCTCCACACCATCCACATCCTCACTCTCTTTCTCTCTCTCCTGTTTGTCCTTCAGTGAAGCCGGTATTCTCTCAAGACAGACATCAACATGCACGGACTTTTGTTCGCCGGGCTCGCGGCAGCCTTGCCATTGGGCGTATTTGCTCACCCAGCTCGCCCACAATCTGCTCTCAGCCCACGCGGTATCGATGTCAACGCATATCGATTCACCTCCGCAGCCAAGTACTCTGAGCACAAGACCACTTCCCAGATGACCCACGCCTTCACCTACTCCAAGGATGATGACTACGTCTCCACTGCCACCAAGCTGGTCAAGAGCACTTTCCCCAACATGACCTTCCGCACCGTCAAGGACCACTACATTGGCACCAACGGAATCGGTCACGTCCACTTCAAGCAGACCGCCCACGGCCTCGACATCGACAACGCCGACTTCAACGTCAACGTAAGTTATACTCAAGTCTTTACAATACGAACATCAGCTTACTCATCTTTATAGATTGGACGTGATGGCAAGGTCTTCACCTTCGGAAACTCCTTCTTCGAGGGAGAGATCCCAAAGACCAACCCAATGGTCAAGCGTGACTTCTCTGACCCCGTCAAGGCTCTCCACGGAGCTATCAAGACCTTGAAGCTCCCAGTCAAGCCAGAGAGCGCTAAGGCTATGCCAATGGACGGAACCGAGTCCTTCAAGTTCGAGGGTACTTCCGGTGCTCTTTCTGAGCCAATGGCCAAGCTTGTCTACATCCAGAAGGATGGCAAGCTTCACCTCACCTGGAGAGTCGAGACCGATGTCGGTGACAACTGGCTCCTCTCTTACGTCGACTCCAAGGAGTCCGAGAAGGTCCACAACGTTGTCGACTACGTTGCTTCCGCCGACTACAAGGTCTTCGCCTGGGGTCTCAACGACCCAACTGAGGGTCAGCCCTCCATGATCAAGGACCCATGGAACACCACCGGCTCCGGCTCTCCATTCACCTGGCACGGAGACGGCCAGATGGACTACACCGTCACCCGCGGAAACAACATCGCCGCTCAGGACAACCCAAGCGGTGGTGAGCAGTGGGAGAACAACTACCGCCCCGACAGCCCCGAACTCAGCTTCGTCTACGACTACAGTGAGCAGATGAGCCCAGAGGACTACAAGGACTTCGCCATCACCCAATTGTTCTACACCACCAACACCTTCCACGATGTCCTCTACGCTCTCGGTTTCACTGAGGAGGCTGGTAACTTCCAGGCCAACAACGGTGACAAGGGTGGTGCCGGCGAGGACTTCGCCATCTGCAACGCCCAGGACGGCTCCGGTACCAACAACGCTAACTTCGCCACTCCCCCAGATGGCCAGAACGGCCGTATGAGAATGTACACCTGGACCACCGCTCAGCCAAACCGTGACGGTGATCTCGAGGCCGGTATTGTCATCCACGAGTACGCCCACGGTCTTTCCAACCGTCTCTGTGGTGGCCCAGCCAACTCCAACTGCTTGAACGACCTTGAGGCCGGTGGTATGGGTGAGGGATGGGGTGACTTCTATGCCACTGCCATCCGTCTGAAGCAGGGAGACACTCACGACACTGACTACACCATGGGCGAGTGGGCTGCCAACCAGAAGGGCGGTATCCGTGAATACCCATACTCTACCAACATGCAGACCAACCCCTACACCTATGCTGATGTGCAGGGAATGAGCGAAGTCCACGGCATCGGTACCGTCTGGGCCACCATCCTCTACGACGTCCTGTGGAACTTGATCGATGAGCACGGCATGAACCAGAACATCATGCCAAAGATGGTCAACGGTGTCCCATCTGATGGCCGCAACCTCGCCATGAAGCTCGTCCTCGACGGAATGACCCTCATGCCATGCAACCCCAACTTCATGCAAGCCCGTGACGCTATCATCGATGCCGATCAAGCTCTCACCCAGGGACAGAACAAGTGTGCTCTCATGAAGGCCTTCGCCAAGCGTGGTCTCGGAAGCAATGCTAAGCATGGATCCAAGCGCGTCAACAGCTTCGACGCCGGCCCAGGCTGCTAAATGCATTACCCCTTTCTCTTCCCCTCCGCCTCTCTGCCTTTTGATGTACATAGTTTGACAGGCAAGGGATTTTGTACATAGCCAACTTCAATTCAATTTTTCAATTCACATGAATATATTCAAATATGATCCTCTGTTTCATCCGTAATTAACCTCGTTCACATATTCGATGGGTCATATCATCCGTTGGGAATTCTGAATATGACGAATGCACGGCTTGCTCAAATCTCGCTACCAAAAGACAGGGATAAACTATTCTCCACTGCTCCAGCTTGTTTCATCTCAGCTGTGGAATTACTCTGGCCGTTCGAGACGTGTCTAGAAACGGGTGTAGCAATATCAGTCCTTTTATTGGTTTTCCGTAGATCTCCTATTCTCTGGAGGTACGGCGTCCTCCGTCGTGATGTCTCGAGCTGTGCCACTATAGCACCGTCATTCAAATAAAGATTAAGAGTGCGGAATAATGCAAAGGCGCGACAGGGACTAGATATTGGCGAAACTCAGCTCCCGGAGCTAAGGAATTGATCCAGAGGACAAGGCGCAGGATCCGGCTGCTGTCCGGGGGCGTTGGAGTTCCCCAGAGTCCAGCTGTTCCTCCGTGGCTCGGGATGGCATATAACACGAAGTACGGGGAGCATCAGGATCGTTCCGTCTCACAGAAGATATAGATATCGCGACAGGAAGAGCGACGGTTCACTTCCTGCTCGTCCAAGCAGCTTCAGTTGATATCGACCTGGACGCCGTGCTGGCCCCTCGCTGGGCACTCGTATCGGCATCCCATCACATGTCTCCCTCATGCTGGACGTCTGGAGGCCATGGCGAGGATGCCAAAGATGAAGCCGAGCTGTCTGGCGCGAACGCTGCCAGATCATAGGAAAGATGCGATGGACGATGGACGACCGGCGGTGGAGGCGCGAACGTGCCGAGGCATCGACTTTCACGCGCCATACGACGATCCACCCCCTTCGCTCTCCAGTTTCCCCCATATACCGTACATGGAGCCCTTCGATCGCATCATGAATTGCACTGCACGGCGGACTTTGGCATACTGCTGGGAGCAAAAATTCACTGGGGAGGGCCGTTCTAGATTACAGGCACTGTTATGACTTGCGAAAGGTGGTGATTTCCGCGTGAGCTTCGTTTTGATTTGATCGCAAGACTACTTTTTTCGTCTCATCTTCCAGCCATGAGCATTCTCGATAAGATAGGCAGCATGGCCTCCATGGCAGGTAGGATTGCAGCTGCTACTTCTACCTGTTAACCCTTTTAACTAACGCAATGTGTTTTTTTTTGAAAAAGGGCTGCCCGACCTGCCGGATGTTCCACTGTCACTTGCGGCCCCAGCTGCTGTCGCGACGCTTGCCTACCTGAACGCGAAACTGGGGATATCGTACGATCTAGGCATCATATCTTCATATGCGAGGGCGGTCATACGAGGAGCTCTTCGAGACAGAAGCAGGAAGTGGAATCACTTTTACCTGCTGGAGGAGTTTGCCTTGAACCCGAAGAAGGCGCACGAGGTCTTCTTGGTATATCAGGGCAAGGAATGGACGTACAGGCAGACCTACGACACGGCCCTTCGCTATGGGAACTGGTTCAGGAACACCCATAACGTCAAGCCGGGAGAGGTCGTCGCGATAGATTTTATGAATTCCGCAACATTCATATTCATCTGGATGGGGCTATGGAGCGTTGGCGCACTTCCGGCCTTTATCAATTATAATCTGACGGCCGCCCCATTAACTCACTGCGTCAAGGTGTCTACCGCGAGACTGTTCCTGGTCGATGATGAGGTCAGGGCCGCCGTTCCTCCGGAGCTAGTTGAAAAACTGGGAGCTCTTGATTTCAGAGAGAAAGGCGGTGCTGTTAAGGTTGTATTCCATGACGAGAGCTTGCAGGCCGAGATACTACGACGAGAACCCTGGAGAGCTCCCGATGCGGATCGACAAAATCAAGAACGAGCTGATCCAGGTATTCTCATCTATACCAGCGGTACCACAGGCCTACCCAAGGCGGCTATCATCTCTTGGGGCAAGCTTCTACTGGCCGGAACATTTGTTTCCAACTGGCTTGGACTGAGGAAAACCGATCGTGTTTACACGGTAAGTTCGAAGTTGTTCTTTCTTGCGGTGATTAAAATATCATCTTTCTCTTGATATAGACCACTGACATCTGAACTAGTGTATGCCACTCTATCATTCCACGGCTGCCGTCCTTGGCTTCGTTGGCTGCTTAGCCAGCGGAACTAGTCTTGCCATTGGCCACAAGTTCTCTGCCTCGGGTTTCTGGGATGATGTGCGAAACAACAACGCCACCATCGTGCAATATGTTGGAGAGACCATGCGCTACCTCCTAGCAGCTCCAGTCAAACGGGACCCTCACACGGGTGAAGATCTTGACAAGAAGCATAACGTGCGACTGGCATTTGGAAATGGGCTACGGCCGGATGTCTGGGACCGGGTCAAGGAGCGATATGGAATCGCAACCATAGGAGAGCTTTACTCCGCGACGGAATCAACCTCGGGAGCATGGAACCTGTCATCCAACAGCTTCAGCGCTGGTGCCATTGGCCGATCGGGCGCAATAGCTGATTTGATCCTCGGCAGCTCTGCCGCTATCGTCAAGCTGGACCATGACACGGAGTTGCCCTGGCGTGATCCAAAGACCGGACTGTGCAAAAGGATGCCGAGAGGCGAGCCTGGAGAGCTCCTCTATGCTCTAGATGCGCAGAATATCAAGGAAAAGTTCCAGGGATACTTCAACAACCCCGGCGCCAGCGATACCAAAATCCTGCGTGACGTTCTCAAGAAAGGCGACGCTTGGTTCCGCACCGGCGATGTTATTCGCTACGATCCCGAAGGGCGATGGTTCTTCTCTGATCGCATTGGCGACACGTTCAGATGGCGTGGAGAGAACGTCTCGACTAACGAAGTTGCTGAAGTCCTGGGGTCTCACCCTGAGGTCTATGAGACGAATGTGTATGGAGTCCTGCTGCCCCATCACGACGGCCGCGCTGGCTGTGCTGCCCTGGTCATGAATGGAGTTGAGCCCGATGCCGAAAAGTTAGAGCCATCTGCAGCCTTTCTCTCGTCGCTGGGCGAGCATGTCACCAAGAACCTGCCCAAGTACGCAACCCCATTGTTTCTCCGTGTAACTCGCGTGCTAGAAATTACGGGAAACAACAAGCAGCAAAAGACTGTGCTGCGCGCAGAGGGCGTGGATCCCAATGTTCTAGAGAGCAATAAGAGCAGAGACCGTCTTTACTGGCTAAGAGGGAAGACGTATGTGCCATTCGAGAAGAAGGATTGGGAGAAGCTGAATGCCGGCCAGGTCAAGCTGTGAGACGTAGATACCCTTACAATATCTTTGCTCTTTAGATGACGTTATACATACATACAAATGAGAATTACGCCTTTTGAACTGCTTTCTATACACGCCCTTCAATCTCCATCTTTCTCCCCATCCATTCCCATTCCCCCAGATCCCTCGCGTGACCCGGTCTCAAATCGCATGAGCTAGCTAGACATCGTAGCTGATAAAGGCCCTTCTAATTACCTAATATGCCTGAGATGCACCAAAACTCGCATTTAGCGCCAATGAGAATAGTGCAGACAGTTTTTTGGGCGTACTTCACGTGGTGGAGCCAAGTCATCAGAAGGGCGTCCCTCCATCGAGACAAGCAACGAGCAGATATAAAGAAGAATCAGGCTGCACAGGCTCTGGAAATCCAATTCAACGATCAATTGACCCTCATATCACCGTAAAAATGGCAGAAGCACAGAAAGCAACCAAGCTCTGGGGTGGCAGATTCTCCGGTAAAACACATATCTCCCCGCATGAGCTCCTACATCTACTCTCTGTGATACTAATGCCCGTCTTCTTTATATAGGCGAGCTCGATCCGTTGATGGTCACGTATAACGAGTCAATTAACTTCGACAAGGTGTTCTATGCCCAGGATATCAAGGGATCAATCGCCTTTGCCCGCGCCAACGTTGGAACCGGCATTCTTACCAAGGAGGAGTTCGCTGCGATCGAAAAGGGATTGACTCAGGTGCTTCAAGAGTGGAAGGATGGCAAATTCGTTATCCAGCATGGTATAGATGAGGATATTCACACTGCCAACGAGCGTCGGTTGGGCGAGATTATCGGAAAGGACATTGCGGGGAAGCTTCACACGTACGACACCGCTCTTTTTACGTATATATATCTTCGAGATGGGTTCAAGGCTAATGTGCAGTTTGCAGTGGCCGAAGCCGAAATGACCAGGTTGCGACTGACCTGCGAATGTGGCTCCGAGATGAGCTCCGTGAAGCTGAGAAGTTCCTCGTTGAGCTACTCACCATTCTCACGGACCGTGCAGCCCTAGACATTGATTATTTAATGCCAGGATACACCCATCTTCAGCGTGGACAGGTATGAGACAACCCAGTCGCATAACAATACGTGCTGCCTACTTGGATCTAACTGTCATCTTTCTAGCCCGTGCGATGGAGCCACTGGATGCTCAGCTACGGATCTGCGTTCCTCGGTGACCTCGAACGTCTCCGTGAGGTGATAAAACACGTCAACAAGAGCCCACTTGGGTGCGGTGCCCTTGCCGGAAACGCCTTTGGAATTGACAGAGTCGCCATGGCAGAAGAACTAGGATTCGAGGGGTTGATTCAGAACAGCATGGCGGGAGTGGGAGATCGTGATTTCATCCTAGAAGCACTACAGTGGGCGTCGACTTTGATGCTGCACATGTCTCGCTGGAGTGAGGATTTGATCATTTACAGCACGACAGAGTTTGGATTCGTTAGACTATCCGACGCATATACCACTGGTAGCTCGCTGATGCCACAGAAGAAGAACTGTAAGGATCTCCTTCATCGAACGCCATCGATATATGTACTAATTGGTATCTAGGTGACTCCCTCGAACTGCTCCGTGGCAAGTCTGCACGTCTATTCGGCGCCATGGCCGGCTTGACGATGACCATCAAAGGAATTCCATCCACCTACAACAAGGACCTGCAAGAGAGTGTCCAGCCGATGATCGAAAGCATGAAGACCGTCAAGGACAGCGTGCTCATCGCCGCCCGTGTCCTCGCGACCCTCACCGTCTTCCCCGAGAAGATGCTCGCGGCCCTAAGTCCCGACATGCTCGCAACCGACCTTGCCGAATACCTGGTTCGAAAGGGTGTTCCATTCCGAGAAACCCATCACATCTCTGGCCGTGCCGTTGCGTTGGCGGAGAAGGAGAATATCCCGATGGATAAGTTGACGCTTGCTCAGTTCAAGGGTGTCGACGAGCGAATTGGCGACGATGTCCTCGAGGTGTTCAACTATGAGCGATCTGTTGAGCTCAAGTCCGCGATTGGCGGGACCAGCAAGTCTGCTGTTCTCAAGCAGATCGAGACCCTGCGAAAGTCATTGTAAGCTGGGGACTGGAGTATATATCGGCCCTGAGTCACGAATTAATGTCAGCAGATAGGGAGTTTCGAGAATAATGTCATTGGTATGGAGGTGACAAGGGTCTCCGCTGCATCTACAAAAAGAAAAGAAAGTAGAGCCAAACAAATAAATAACGAAAATCAATACATAATCAGGAGAGAATCTGAATAAGAACGTTTTCCATTCAGCAGCCTCTCATAATCAGAAGTTCGTCATTGCACAACATGGAGTGAAACCCGCACCTCAGCCCCGTACGATGCACCTCGAACTGCCAGCACGGGAGTGGTGTGGGTCGGTGGCATCTCAACCGATATAGAGTAAAATATCGCGACCATCTTAACAGCAAAGACTCCAATTTTCTCATAAGCCTTTGTCAGGCTGCGACAAGGGTCAAAAGTATGTAACCGCCATAATGACAAAGTCCATGTAATGTCAGCCGATTACGCATTCGAGTCGTACAGGGGGGAAGAAAAGGAGACTGGCGATATATGCCAGGCAAGCAACCGTGTCTTTTTACCCATTGCTTTGACGGAGTATAGCAGTGCCCTTTTAACAGTGTCGTAGGTGAGGCGAACAAGCCTTGGACGTGTGGACATGTCTCATCGGCCGCTCCACAACGATGCTACTATATATATGTATGTAATCTCAGGCTACGGGCAGCCCCCCACAATGGCGGCGCCTATTTCTTCATCGTATCAGCCAAAGGATGCGTCGATGCGATGATCGGTTCGCAACACGACCAAGAACCTGCTGGCCGATCCCCCTTGGTGGCTTTTTAAGCAACTCAATGCTGCCCCCCGCGGCATCCCGCTTCCCGCTAATCGGGCTTACCGTGGGCTGAGGGCACCCATTTTTTTACCTACCTTTGGGGCCTCGTGAGTCGGGGAATAAAATAGTTGGCCTGGCTTCGCGTTGGTGCAGGGAGCCCTGGTCATTCCTTCTCCGCTACTCTGGACCCGGCGGTGCCTCGTACCCTCGCTTGCCCTTTGAGACAACAAGCAACACCTCTCACCTCACCACAGCCGCAACAGCCTCGAAAATAGAGCCGACAGAACGGCGTCTGCATCCAGTATTGCCTTGCATCCTGTATCTCCCCATCCTATATATTGTAATAGCTGGAGGAAGAAATAAAGATTTTAAACATGCCAAGGCCGCCGACCTTATTCGCACGCTAACCAGATCGGGAAATGGGACGCGTGCTTCGAAGGAAGCCAACCTCCCAACTTGTATAACTTGTATATACTTCCCTGTAGCGCCGTTTAGATTTACGCACGGAGTACAACACACAACCTCTGGGTATGTAGGATGCTAGACAAAGCTGCTTATAATAGATGCGTGCTGACAGAGAAGGGCGGAGGCAGCGCAACTTAGCCGGAGCCCGCCGTAGGGAAGGACGCTGTGTCTGAGATTGTCTGGTGGAGCTGGTAGTGACTCCATAATAGAACTTCCACTCCCACTTCTTCGTCTGGCGCAAGTCACTCGCCGCCCAGAAAAGTGAGAATTCGGCTCGGATGGTCGTCATTGGCTTTTAACGCTTTCTCTGCCCTCTTCTTCCTCCTGATTCTCCTTTCTCAACATTGGTCGACATAGGTGTCTTTGTTTCTGTGCTTCCTCCCCTTTCATCTCCTTCCTCCGCTACTCTTCAATATTCTCCTAGCTCCCGTTTTTGGCGTATCTTAGTGTATAGGATGGGCAGGCTGCCCGCAACCATCGTTCACTTACTATGAATTTCCCATCGTTTCGTCCATCGCGTGCCTTCCTCTACTCGCTGCTCGTCGTTTCGCTCATAACTGCAAAGGGCCTACATCTGCTGCAATTCGCCCGCTCCGTTCCGCCACTACATTTCATCGTCTTCTTTCCAACGCTGTTCATCTCAGATGCACTGGTTGCACTCCTTGGCCGGGTTCTACTCCATGGTGGGAGCAGCGGTATATGGCCAGCTATAGGCCTGGCCGTGGGGAGCTTTCTCTCGTACGTCTTCACTTTTATAAGAATATAAATATATGCTTCCTTTGGGCGCTTGCTAACTTACTGTTTATAGGGCTGTCACATTCTTTGCTGCATCCTCACAGCTTGGTTTCTACTATGTCACTGGAACTGAGATGCAGTGGGACAATGCCGGCAATGTCGCCTCCGATCCAGCCGCTATACGGATAATGTTGAGTGGGCTGCTTCAAGTGTCTGTTTCGGGGATGATTCTTTCGTTCTTGAGCTGGGTCTCGTCGCCGTTCCTCTACAACAAGGTCGGATACTGGATGTCCGCAGTATGGAGGATGCTCACAGGCCCAAAGTGGGAGATGATGCTGCCAACAGTGCGAAATCAGCGAGATCAGCCACAGAAGGGGGGTATCCGAGTCAGGCCCATGTGCTTGATGATCATGCTCGCATCACTGCTCGTTTTGCGGCTCGTCCGGCCATCAACGCCGTACGGTTTCATGTCGACGACCCTCCCCGTGGCCATGCTTCGAATGTTCTCACACCGGCACGGACACCATTCACACCGGCACGGATGTTCATCTCGCCATTCCCACACAAAGGCCTTTCCACTGTCCAATCTCACCTCATCGGAGCACTGGGAAAAGCCGAAGGGTAATTTCAAGGGCTGGGCGCCAGGGGATGACAACTTCATGGTCAAAAGATACCGCAATCGACGTCCAGAGTGGGTTACGGATACTCTCCCTGATGGGTTCCATCGCTGGGCCAATATTTCTCAAACTGCCGATACAAACTCCACATCCGGCCTGCACGGATGCTCCGGCGACAACGAAGCCCCCAACTTCTATAACCCCGTTGCGGACCCTATGCGTATTACAAACCTAGATCTCGGAGTTCACAAACGCCTGCAGAAAGTTTTCAATGACGAATCTGTCCTTATTTCGCATGTGGTGCTGGTCACCATGGAGAGTGCCCGCAAAGACCTGTTCCCCATGCGAGAAGGGTCGTTTCTTCACCGGTCCATTCTTGAATCGAACGATAGGGATGAGTGGGAGGAGAAAAACAACTTACTCTCTCAGCTGACACCCGTCGCCCATCAGATTACCGGCGAGGGCTTCTGGAACCAAACCAAGGGCAACCGACCCGCCTTTGGCTTACCGGATGGTATATGGAAAGATTCAGCAGCCACGGGAATGGGCGGCATAAACATAATGGGCGCCATGACTGGAAGCACATTATCGGCCAAAAGCTTCCTGGGCAGTCATTGCGGAGTATATCCCTTGCCAGTTGATTTCCTAGAAGAAGTTACCACCAACGTATACCAGCCTTGCGTTCCTCATATTCTCAACCTGTTTAATCAGGCCAAAAACAGATTCTCTCAGCACGGAGTCGAGGGGAGAAAGGTTAATCAAACAGCTGGGGAACGCCCCAGTGTTAAGAAAAGAAAGTGGAAGTCCATATTCATACAGGCGTCGACAGATTCGTATGACAGACAAGACAAACTAAACAAGGAGCTTGGATTTTCGAATTTCATCGTGAAGGAAACTTTGGCTGACCCATCGTCGAAGTATTATCCTCCCAAGCAGCCTATACTAAATTACTTCGGGTAAGTCCTCCCACTCTTAAACGGAGTAGATTGATATGCCGGGGATGTTGAAGCTGATTTCATACTCCAGATATCCCGACGATGAACTGAAGCCATGCATTCGTGATGTCGTAACGGATGCTATAAACAATAATGAACGGCTCTTCCTTTCTCATTTCACCAGTACCACGCATCATCCGTGGAAACTTCCCTCAAGTTTTGACCGTGAGTCGTATACTGGAGTGAATGGGAAGGCAAACCATGACCCCATGGACAAATATTTAAACACCGTCCGGTACGATGACGCTTGGCTGGGTCAAATATTGGGTATCCTAGACGAGAAGGGTATTGCCAATGAGACTTTGGTTGTTGTGGTGGGAGACCAGTAAGTATTTCTCCATTCTCTACTCAGCATAGCCAAGGATGGGCATTAACAACGCAAACAGCGGACAAGCCTTTGAAGAAGATGCTCCGGTCCAAGGCACCTATAAAAATGGCCACATCAGCAACTTCCGTGTCCCCATTGTCTTTCGACACCCACAGCTACCTCGCATCAACATTGAAGCGAATGCGACATCCATGAGCATCCTCCCTACTATCCTCGACCTCCTGGTAAACTCCAAGTCCCTCGACGACCACGACACCTCTATCGCCCAGGATCTCATCTACGACTACCAAGGCCAATCACTCATACGGCCATTCCGACCAAAATATAAGGGCCGTCAATCATGGAACATCGCAATCATCAACGCAGGCGGGAAAATGATATCTGTGTCCTCCGCAGCAACACCTTGGCGTGTCGTGATCCCACTCGACGGAGAGTCGCAGTATTCCTTCAGCGATCTAAAAACAGATCCGAACGAACTTGATCCACTAAGTGCATGGAAGGTCAGCTACCTTCTCCCTGCCGTGAAATCGAAACATGGTGCAGATGCAAGGCAGTGGCTTAAGGATGCAGACGAGGTCGCCCGCTGGTGGGTGAAGGAGATGCATCACCTCTGGAACTATCACGAAGGATCTGACAGTTGATGACGCCTGATCTTCGAGTCAGTCGCCCCCACGGTCCACGGTCCAGGGCTGTGACTAGGGTGGCCCGTCGCCGGCCGAAATCCCACCTATCCAACGAAGCGATGTCCATGATATTACTGCCAATCCCTTAATAAGGCTGAGCATATTCTCGATTTATTTTCTTTATCCCCGTTTTTAATCTACGGTCCTCCACTTCCTCCTGGCATGTGTACATCTGGGGGCGGAATGCATCAAGCGTATCATCTCGATTTCCCCCCTTGTTCTAATCTCTTACTTTCGACATGGATGGGGGTTCCTGCTTTTGTTTCGTGCTTTTTAAAACTTAGCATTGGCGTTGAATCTTTGATACAATAGGCTGGCTGGCGTTTTTCCCCTTTGTTTTTCGTCTTACTTCAAGTCTAAATGCTTATGCAAAGAGTAGCTAAGCGACGGAACTTGCGGAGGATTAGTTATGTACGTCAAAAAAGAATTCCACATCGCCAACAACGCATGAAATAAAAAATATGTATAGCAGTGACAATATAGCATAAGTTGATCTTAACTCATATTTTTTTTCTGTGGCCTGCGTTTCACCCGTGCATATATGGCTAGTCCCTTATTACTTACCAAGGCCAACTAATAATCAGTCAGGACGACTTGAAAATTTTCTCGAAATCGCCAACTATCCACTACTGCAGCATGTCCTGCAGCCACGGGCCGGGCAGCCTGACAAGACATGTCTCCTGCAGCTGACGATAGATGAGCGAGTCTGTATCATCTCAAAACATGAGGAAGCACGGGGGTATAGGGATAGCGTGGACAGCAGGATAAGCTGATTACGGGATATATCCATCTCTGCACGGCAGGTTGACACAACACCGCGTTATTCAAGGCTATTATTTTGCTGACTGAAGGTACTTAGGGTCCTATATGATAATCCCTGACATTGTGATTACTATACTACATAATGTAGACAAACTGCCTGCATCCTGGGAGATGCAGGGCAACGGCTATCATTAGAGCTGTGTGTCGTGCATGATCGCTTAGGCTGGCTGAAGAACGGTCCGGCATTCGTTCGACAGGGCTCCTTGCGATCAGAAATAGCCATCTCACTCCATCCAGATGTACTACGCACTTCGTGTTCTCCAGCAGATTGGAAGGTTTCTTGAGCCTCACGCTGAAGGCAGGGGGGTCTTGCAACCACCAAGATCCTTCGGCGAGCTGACTCTGGCCCCTGGTCGTCGTCGTGGTCATCGTCCTCGTCGTCGTGGCCGTGGCATGTCATCACCCATTTCGCGCTGTCGACGTCTCCAATACGTCGTCAGCGGTTGATTGCTCAGGGTAAGCCTTGCAGGCCGCGAGCCATCGCCGGCACCGAATGCGTATGGACGGCGCTCATATTTATCCCTAGTCCAACTGGCCACGGCGAGCTGCACGATGATGGCAGGTGGAGCCGGATTACCCTTCCCGCAGTCCAATGGGACTGGAGGTCGTAACGCAAATTTACTTCCCCGGGACAGGGTTTTTGATTATTTTTGTGTTTCTGGTGTAAAAGTACGGAGTGAGTTGGAAGGGAAGCGAGTTACTAATCGCATTCTGCAGCTGCAACGACGGGCCTCCGTGATGTGTCTCTTATGCGTGCGATCTCTGGCTCTGGATTTTCCGAGGGAGGCTTTGACAGCTTGCATCGCCGCGGTACGGATGAAGTCCCCCTCTCATTAAAAACAGAAGAGAGAAGGGTCCGAAGTCAGGCTGAAGATGACTCGCGTTCCCTCTTTTCTCATCGACTGTCGGCGTCAATATATAGCTTCTCAATTAATCTGACAAGGTTCGAGATCGCAATTCTTTTCCTTTTTGCGCCTACACAAATCTCGAGATATACCCGGCATTTGACCCTTCTAGTCCATCGGTAGAGCCGAATCAACTTCTAACCAGTCACTTGCAACCTGCAGTGGAGGTTTGACCCATCGAGCTCATCGGCCGCCCCGTCTTTCGTTCTCCTTCCTTTTTTTCTTCTTACCCACAGATGCGGCTGCTCGCGCCGTTGGACCATGACAGTTCCGCCAACGAATAGCATCAACAATATCAATGGCTCGTTGTCCCGAATGTCTACCTCTGATACTGCCATCCCGACCTCAGTCAATGCTACTGAGCTGCTTGCCCATGGAAAACCGTTCATTGAATTCCCTCGATACTCCATCTTCAATCTAAGGCACCAGATACTACCAGGTGAAAAGGTGGGCGGAAAAGCGGTGGTACCTGAGCAGAATGCCTCCGAATCTATCGCTGGAGTTGTTGACAGCAATGCGCCAGAAAATTTCTCCCAGTGGTTGTCGACGAGGCTGCAGATTGGGCAGCCGTTCGTGATACAGGATTTTGATAAATTACCGCAATGGAATAAGAAGCTGTTTTCTCTTGACGGGTTGATCGAACATTCTACGAAGAAAAGTATGTCTGGCCCCTACTTCTATCCACCATTTTACAATAATTGGAGCCTTTCCGTTAACCAAGCTGATCTTTTCCAGATATTCCTATTCGAAACTGCAGTACGAACAGAGACCTAAGCTTCACCCTTAAGAAATTCGCCGAAGCCTCTGAACGCTCGTATCGCGAGTTTAAAAACCTCTATGCTCGCGACCTACGTTGTCCTGACTCTTGGTTAGAACAGTGTAGGAAGTTGCTACCTCCAGAGATCCAATGGGGTGGCAGACTAGATCTGTTCCAGTGGTTGCCATCATGCGCCCGAAGCGAGGTCATGATGGCTTATGTGGGCTCTGAAGGCTCTTCGTCAGTATCCTATCTATTAAATTGGATATGTACTTGTACCCCTTATTAACCCTTTCATAGATCTGGTTTCCACAGGTGCTTCTCCTCGACGGTGGCTCTAAATTTACTAGTTGATTATGGTGGTAGGCCTCCATTCACCTATCAAAGTGTTTCATAAGATTTACTACAGCCTTCAGCTAACTTTTGTTAAAATCCGGATCTAGATCGGCCGGTTCTCTGTTTTGGCACGGATTTCAGCTCCCAAGCAAAATACGACAGCTTCGCAGCCGCTCGTGGCGCATCACCTCATGTCGACTGGCTAAATATCGAACCTGAAGACCTCAAAAAGGCAGATTTCCCAGTATACATCTGCGAACAATGGCCTGGTGACTTGGTCGTCTTTCCTCCTGCAACAGCACACCAAGTTTGGAACCTTGGAAATGTTTCAACGAAAGTGGTGTGGAACATCCTGCATCCTCTATCCCTGGATGCTGGCCTTCACTATGTTCAGCCTCCATTCAACCGCCTCTGCCATCCAGACGTCGCTCGATCAAATCTCTCGCTGGCCTGCGCCATGCTGAGTCTGCTCCGCGAGGATAGGCCCGCAACCATTCCTCCCGATTTGCCTCTCCTCACTAAGCTCTTCAAACAGATGGCGCAGGATGAGACAATTGACGATCGTCCTGCGACAACGATAACGCTCGTTCCTATTCCGGAGACAGCTATCGCAACTTGCAACTTCTGTGGAACCGCCATCTGGAACCGACACTTACGTTGCGACCAATGCCAGGATTTTGATCTATGTCTCATGTGCTATTTAAGTGGCCGCAGCTGTGAGCACCCTTCAAGCTATTCATGGGCTGAAATAGTGCCGCAAGAGACATGCACGCGTGTTGTACTACGAGCAGAGTCTATACTTGGGTACGATATAAGCAAATCCTCCGAAGGATCCCGTATTCCAGACCAGCGCAAAACTCTAGGTACGGCGGTAAATGAACTGATATTAGCCAGGCAGAGCATGGCGGTGAAACTGTGCCACCTATGTCGGAGTGATCACTTGGAATGGAAAGGCAGACGCTGTGATAAGTGTTCGGCGTTTTTTTGCTATCGGGGGCTGTACCGGCATTTCGATATGGCATCGTCGGATGTGATGCGACATCCAGGCTTATGGATCTGCCCAAAATGTCTAGAGAATTGCAACTGCCGAGTGAGTGTTCTTTTCTTTTTCCATTCCCGCTTAGGGTGACATGAGCCTGGTCAGGTTTTTATCCGGGAACCGCCTGCTGTCTGGTTGGTATCAAAATCGGACCAACCATAAACTAATACACCCTCCCTTTTAGTGCTGCCATTTCCCCTCTGCTTATGTCAAGGCTGAAAAACCCGCATCGAAGCGTAGAGTTCGACCGGGAGATCCGCGGGGAAAGAACATGGGGTTTACAGACAATGTATTTGACCAAAAAAAGGTAAGTAATTGTCTTACATGGAGGCTCCGCGAGAGTTGCGGCTGATCAGGATGATCCCTTGTCACAGAGAAATACGCCTGCCCTCCCTACGTCTCCTACATATACGTCGCCACCCGCTGCTAGACAACATAAACGGTCCATCTCATCATGCTCGACTGCCCAACAATCATTGTTATCTGCACCGCCTCGCCGTGCTACCGCTTCGGCTATCACCCTCCCGACTCTCTCAACCCCTGAACTAACCCACTCGTCTATTGTTCATGGAAGAAGGGACTCCACCGTCGAGGTGATCTCGGATGGCACCCCCCATGCGCGATCCAAGATGCGACGATTGTCGATTGTATCGCGTGATACTACACCGAAGCCCCATCCCGAGGTACCTTCTGGTAGAACCCTTCTCGGGATTGACTATATAACACAAAGGTCTTCCTCCAATGACGACCAGTTGTCGCTTCCCCCTTTGAAGGGCAGCTCGCGCTCCAGCGGGCCTTTTACCACGGCCTCACCATCTACCATATCCCGCCAGTCAATGTCACACGATGGCGGGATGGCTACTCTTGCTACTCTCGCAAGCACTAGAGAGAAGGAGCAGGTCTCACTAACCAGTAGCAGCTCTATTGGTGACGCTCCTCGATATGTTGACAGAGATCCTAGGGGTGAAGGCAGCAGTGACACCATGGCCCTAATGCCACAGCCTGGGGCACATTATCAGCATCAAGCTTACATCCCACCTCACTATCAAGGAAATCCGCCATCGCAGCTGATGCCTCCGTCATTCGGAGTTCTCCCTAACCCCAAACAACCGCCCGCTCACTATCAACCCCCAAGTGGTGCAGGCAGTGCCTTCTTCAGCGGACCCCAAGCTACATCAACCTCAACCCCTCGTTCAACATCGATGACATTACCCTCAAATCCCAATCCCCCCTCGTCCGCTACCAACCCTATACCTGCACTTGAGACGCAACTTCACCGGCTCCGTCAGTATTCTGAAGAACTGCTTTCTCTCTCCCTATACAACTCCCACAGGCTTCTTCAAGACGAGATCCAACGGTTAGAGGGAATATTGCTATTAGCGAAGAAAGACCGGAGTGAGCGTGTTCTCCGAAATCTGGAAATAGAATTTCCGGCTTTGATTAATATCCATGAGGGTTTAAAACGGGAAGGCGCACGGTTAGGTTACTTCTAACCGTACCAAAACAGTTTTATCATGTCGGCCATGGAACGGCGCCTTATTCTTCCTTTTTTTGTTTCCTTTTTGTTATATGTAGTAATGACGGGTCATGATAGATATGGATGGAACGGATGGAACGGACTGGGTGGCTACGATACCCTTGGCATTTTTTCTCTATGTCTGGCTTGATGGATGGATTTGATATGTCTTCTTTCCCTTCTTTTCTTGTGCTATTATTCTCCCGCCTGATACTGTTTGTTTTAATGTTCAGCGAGTGATGGATCTGCTAGGAATCGGTTTATGCTCGTTTAAGCGCAGAGCGATGTGTTGAATTTCTGAAATATATATTAACATCATCAAGATAGTATCTCGTTTTAGATTGGCAATATTACTAGAATTCTTTTTAGCTCGTGATCCAATTGATTGAGGGACTGCACATAGGAACCTGTAGGGAACCGTTCAAATCGTCACAACGTCGACAGTAACACCCGTATTTCACTATCCTGTTGTAAATGGGCTTCGAGAAGAAAATAAAACATGGTCTGGGGTAGCCTTTACGACAACTACTGTCGTACAACTAAATCCTAACAACCCGCAAAACGGGATAGTTCGTAAGACCCTGGCACTTTTCATGCTTCGAAACTCGATTTGGGATTATAGCCAGCCCTGATATTCTCGATTAAGGAACAAAGTCATCGTTTTTGATCTGGTGAGAGAACGAATGCCATCTGAGAGGTCTTACGGACGTACAGCTTGTCTTTACATGTAGTGGTTACATCGCACATGGCGTCAACCTGCCCGTTGCCGAAATCATTACGCAGTCACTGTCTTAAACCGGGCATTCCTGAACTGGCAGAAGTCAGACTACATGTAGAAGAGATATAAAACGACCTATCTGCCCTTCTATTCCACGAATTGGTTCATCGAAGCCGTCTTAAGTCTTTACCCACGAGATTTCAAGGCCTGCATAACGCAAGATGTTATACAAGATAGCTCTTCTATCGATGATATCCATAGCAAGTTGCGGAAACGTCCGCGGGCCACCTTGCCCTTCCCTCACCGGGAAACCACTTTGCTGCGCCAGGGCAATGGACGCGAAAGACCTTCCGCCTGGTTATGTAGCGTTTTTGAGAGGAAAGGGTATTACAAACGTAAGAGGACTTGTTGGAGTCGACTGTAAGCCTTCTAGTTTCCTCTGCACACCTTGAGAATGTTACCCGTCCAATGCGGATATTTTTCCATTGATTGGGACATATCAAAGTGAGTTCCAATGCTAACGATGGGTTATACATCCATTTAGGCCACGAAGGCTCTGTCGGGGAGCCTGGAAAGCCTTGCACGCCGGTTTGTTGCTTGAACAATGACTTTGTACGTCCCGGCCCCAATTCGCCGAATGTTTATTAATCAATAAGCCTATGTTGGCCCCGAGGAATACCATGAACTAATGCGATGGTAATAACAGAATGGGATAATTGCCACGGGTTGTGTTTACTCAAACACATAGTGATATGTCTGCGAAATATCAAGGAGGAATAGGGGGGGTCCGCGGCTGAATTCCGAGTTTATTTCTGACTAAGACAGACACACTATAACATCTTTGTTCATCATCGAGACTGGCATTTTTGGACGTAGTTGCGCTCCTGATCATAAACTGTTGAACATGGTCCCTTGGATGGCCCTTGGATGAACCCTCATCACGTGGTGGAAACCCCCTGATTCAAGTATAAAAGGGAAGTGAGATCCTGGTTCATGTACGCAGTTAATTTAATTCTCAATCACCATCTCCTTAAGGTAGCCCTCTCCATGCGCGAAGTCAACGTCTATACTCCGTACAAATTCAGGATATCCATAGCAGGCACCATCTATCCGGAATTCATTACAACCCTCATAACTCAGGGGTCACTACTTCCAGTGCTCACCTTCGAAAATCGTATTAAGATTGCCGCGACGTTCTAAGACAATCCCTAACGCTATACCATAGTTTCTTAAATAGGTAGTTATGTGTCTTTTCAATAGATCGTCGGAATGGTATGCATCCCATTCGTTTGGACGAGAACCGTGTGGTGAAAAGAAAAGCGTTGGATTCCGGAGAGAGTCATGCAATGGAGTTCATTGCTAAGACAACAACCATCCCTGTTCCGAAAGTCTTTGAGACGCGGTATGTCCAGAGGGAGCGGGACACGCAGTTTTGTATTGTGGTGGAATACATACCTGGCAAACCATTGAATATAATATGGAAGGATCTAAGCGAGGAACAGAAAACAAATATCTGTTACCAAATTGACGGGTATCTCTCTCAGCTTCGAAAGCTAACTGGTGATCGAATCATGGCAGCAGATGGCGGTTCATTGAACGTGGGCCTTTATCAAAGGCGCTGGTTGGGTCCCTATGACACTGTGAAGGAGTTCCATCACTCTTTGGCCAAGGGCGAGCCGCATAACTTGGGTGACAATCATGCTATTCATTTTGCCCATGCCGATCTAGCCCCCAGGAATATTATAGTTGATGAGAATACGGGCCGTATCAACGCAATCATTGACTGGGAGCGGGCTGGATGGTATCCAGAATACTGGGATATTGTCCGGATGAATTACGACCGGCCAAGTAAGCGCGAGATGGGAGGTTATACCAAGCATTGGAAGTCCGTTTTCAATCACATATACGAAGAGGAATTTTCTGCGATGGTGGATCTGATTGAACGAACAATAGTTCCATATCCAGATGGAAATGTGAATGAACCGCGTCCCGACATTTTAACGTCGTCTGCCACTCATGCAGAGCAGTTACGAAAGACCTTTGAGACCAATCTTGAATAAATATACGATGTTTGGAAATTAGCATTTTGATTATCTTAGCTAGAGTCTAGATAGCGCGGTAACCAGATATAAAGCTTGAAAATAGTATTTTCTCCCCTAGAGTAATATCTCTATGATAGCCGAAGCGATCCTTGATGGCAGGCCAATATGATGCTAAGTATTAGGCCAATATGATGCTCGATTTTGATGCTGGATACAGGGAAGGGGAATAGTTATAGCTGTCCAGGTCATCAGACACACTATCTCTAGTCATCATCCATGGAGATTGTGGCACTTTTTGACGAGGTTGCGCCCCTGTCCATGATGTAACGCGGGTATCATTATTATGAGGAGGAAGTTGGACACAAGAACTCCATAGATTGGAGCGGAATAGTTAACTACCTACTGCAGGTAGCTCGATAACTATCACGTAAGCGGGGCTTATGCATACGACAATCCGCCGAAGGATGAACCCATAAATAGGCAGCCATATTTAGCTTGTCACCGTTGAGAGCCTTCTTTCTCACCTTTTTATCTCACCGCAAAAAAACGAAGAATTAATTATCACAGAGAAACTGAGTTGCCATCAGCGTAAGGAACTGAGCTTCCTATCTATCAATATATCTGCTTGTCAGTGGAATTATATAACTAATATTACCCCGTAGGACTTTAATCGTGCACGAAAACCATCCCGAGTCATGGCTACGCAGACGGGCGAGAAAAAATGGTACACAGGCAGCTGCCACTGCGGTGCCACGCGATATGAAATCAAACTCGACGCCTCGAACCTTGAGCTCACCAAATGCAACTGTAGTATCTGCCACAAACGTGGATACGTCCTCTTGAAAGTGCCCACCCTGGAAGATATAAAGCTCATCTCGCCAGCGTCTCTGCAGGAGCTGGGTGACTACACGTTTGGAACGTGCCTAGTCCATCATCGGTTTTGCAAGACCTGTGCTGTTTCTTGTCTAGCAGAGGCCAAAATCGGCGGCGAGGAAATGTATACTGTCAATGCTCTGTCTATTGACCAAGACCAGGGTATCGAGCTGAAGGACGTCAAAATCGGATATGTGAACGGAAAAGCTATCGGTTCACTTTACAAGTTCGAGAAACTGGGGCCAAGAGATGAACCCCATCAAGGCGGTTGCTGGTAGCCGTGAGTGAGGGCAACGAGTCTAACATGAGCTTCAAATGTAGATAATTGATAATTATAAACACCCAATGCACGAGAGCACTGAATGGTCGTTTCTTGTCTGAAATATTTCCGCATTGGGCCAATATAAAGAGATGATGACTAATACCTCACTAATCAGGGGCCTCTCGATGCCGAGGTTGTTTTTATTGCCGAACCACAAGACAAATGCCGAAGAGATGGACATCAACTCATCTCATGGAGAGAATAGCGACGCGATCAAGGACATATTTTGATCTCAAGACGAATACTAGCTTGGAAACACTCGCTTTATCCCTAAGTTCCATGGGTTGAAACAGTCATGCTCCATTTTAAACCCAGTTGGCTTCCCCCATGCCGCTCAGTGGCCGTGTCCCTCAGTCATAATGGCCCCGTTTGCAGACATGATACCCAGTCCCTAGTACATACATACTCTACCCATTCAGAAGAGCAATCTGCGTCAGATATAGCTGGTAAATTTTTGGCTAAATTCCGGACCATTGGGCCCCAGAAACGAACGCAGATTCTGGACGCTAATCAGCTACAACTTCTTTCTCTAACGCTCAATAAAAACCATATATACCCTGGTTCGCCTCTGCTTTCATTACCTCCTTCTCAGTCTACAAGCCAGGCGTCAACTACGCCTCTCGATGGGACACCAATCCCGCCTGGTTACCACTTGATTTATTTCACACCTCAATTTCTAGAGGATCAGCTGGGACAAGATGGGACGGATGTATCCTATAACCCCGATCCCCCATTCACAAGGAGAATGTGGGCTGGCGGCGAGATGCTGTGGCCGCGCGGAGGAGGTAGTGAACGACCAAATCTACTTAGAGTTGGACAGACAGTGACAGAGACGACAAGGCTTCTTAGCGCTGAGCCCAAGATTATCAGGAAAACTAGTGAGGAGATGGTCGTTGTTGGCGTGGAGAAAACCTTCGAAAACGAGGACGGAGTTGCCTTGATAGACAAACGGTGAGCTCTGGTTTTTATGTTTTATGTTAACACTGGGGCCCCATAAAGATATTAGCTAATTATCGTGTTATCTAGTAATTGGGTATTTCGCGAGGCGCTCAAAGTCCCCTCTCCAAAAAAGGAAAGATTGAAGCCAAAACAACGAGATGAGCCTCGTAATGGCGGTGTTTCGAACTCCCCAGCAACCCCAATACCTTCCACCTCAGCAAGCAACGTCCATACGTGTAGCTTGAAGCAATCGCCGGTAACCTTGTTTCGGTTCTCTGCCCTCACTTTTAACCCACACAAAATACACTATTCAGTACCCTGGGCTCAGGATGTTGAAGGGCATAAAAATATAGTGGTCCATGGCCCATTGAATTTGATTTTAATGCTAAACTTTTGGAGAGAGACGAGGAAAGAAGGCGAGAGAGACCCCGAATATGTTGTGCCGGAGCGCATTAAATACAGGGCAACAAACCCGCTATATGCGGAGGAGGAATATCATATTGTCCTTGAAGATGAACAGCGGAGTTCAAAGGTCAATATATATAATCCCGAGGGCAAGGTGAGCATGAATGCAGAGATCACTAGCTATTAACCTGTACGACTTTTCGTCCATCGGGATATACCATCTGCTTTCACCAACTTTTAACTACTAAACCTAGGGATAATGGATATGAGTATCAGTACCTAGCTCTCTAGATTGTAATGCCTGGAAGTGTCAGGTTCTCATATATTAAAGTGAGTTCCTTGATATATACGGGCCCAGCCAGGGTGAAGTAAATGGATGCCTCTGATGAAGGTATATCGAAACAAAAAGTAAACTTGAGCATAGCGAAGGATTCAGGGCATATTCCAACATTTTATACTTAATTTCAACTGTAAACTTCATTATTATATATTCTATTTTTCCTTAGTGATTGTTTAAAAATTTGATGCTTCCAGGAACATAAATTTCTATTTTGGGAAATGCCGGCACCAGCTAAAGATTCTCCGAACTTAATCAATCTCCGTCCAGCTCATCGACATTAACACATATCGCCGGGGGAATGAAGAGAATGCAACTGGTAACAACAATTGATTTACACAAGCTTATGGAACGAATATTTGCTGATCTTGCTACGTTTATCCTACAGGAACCCTAGAAGTTATACCCGACTGCCTATTATTCTTCAACCCGGAAGCTATGCGGGTAACGCCTCTCACGCCGCTTCTGCGGACGGCTGCCAGAACGCAATATAAAAACATATCCATAAAGCCATCTATAATATCTCAAACCCGACAATTTAACCTCCCATCACTTTCCTCCTTCGCGCCTCAATTCTCTGCGCCCGAACCACGAAGCCTCTCCGCAACCCGTACTCTACCATTCGCGCCATTACCACTTTTCAAAACCATCTCTTCAATCGATTCCTACGGAGATTTTCTACCCTTCCTTACAGCTTCGAAAGTAACCGCCCATGACCCCGTAACCGGTTATCCCACTCGCGCATACCTTACTATCGGGTACGGGCCTCTCAGCGAAACTTTTGAATCAAAAGTTGAATGCGACGAGAAGAAATGGTTCGTTGGTGCGAGAAGTGGTGATATCGCGCTACAACACAAGCAGAATCCAGGCGATAGTCGGCTTGGGTCTGCAGGGAGTGATTCAAAGGGCGAATGCATATTTGAATATTTGGACACGATCTGGCAACTGGAGCCATTGAAAAGGGGCATGAATGGGGCTGAACGGACTAAGGTCGACTTGACTGTTCGGTTTCAGTTCCGGAGCGCGTTCCATGCAACTGTGATGGCTGCGGTTGAGAGTCAGGTCGCTGGGTTAATGATTGAAGCGTTTGAGAAGAGGATGATCGAAGGTGGGAGGAGGTGAAGAGATGGTAGGCTTCTTTGAGGGATTTTGGAGTTGTAAATAGACAGCGGCGTAATATAATGATAGAGCCTGGGAATATCATGGCGGACCAGGTAACCAGGAAAGTAGATGATATACATATATCTGTTTTCTAGTGTTAAATAAAAGAACAAGTGTATAATACAAGGCAGAAGGCTTCAAATATCCTTTATTTCCTGCTCCCGTCAAAGCCCATATCTGACCCAGCCTGTTTATAATTCTGAGCAACCTCTTCCCAATTAATCTTATCCCACCACGCATCCAAATACGCGGCCTTGCCACCAATTCCCCAGTCTCGCAGCCATACGTGTTCCCAAGTGTTCACGCAGAGAATTGGGTGGATATCGGCACCGCCAGGAGCGATATATTTCTGTTGTGAGAGAGGTCCCATGGAGCCGTATGTTCGGGAGGCAATTCTTCCCACAGCTTCCAAGTTCTCGCCTCCAGTGACTCCGGTAGTTTGTGTGGCCATGTCCACTGGTTGACGGCGGAAGTGTGCCTGGGGGTATGGAGAGCCAGCGATGTAGGTTGCTAGGATCTTTAATTGGGCGGTGTCCTTCATCTTGACCAGCCAAACGAAACCCGGTCCGAACATAGCGTTGGCGGTTGCAACGAATTCTTCCTTAAGAGATTCCACCGACGAACATGATTCTACAATGGCTTCTTCGAGCTTTTGAGGAACTGGGACGGCGGTAGGTGACTATTTTTCGTTCATGTGTTAGAACTCGACCACAAGGGAATGATGAGTATGAAACAATGGCAACCCACTAGACAGTTGAAATAGAAATGGTTATTATGCGCCATGGAGGCATAGTTGAAGAGGGAAGCCATGCTCGCTTGACGGGCGTATTTGATCAAAAGGGATCCAGGACCGATATTCTCATCCGCGGTACCTTCAAACCATAGTTAGCACGATTACAATTAAATCCATGATCTCTCCCATTGCACTGAGGGAGAAAGGACTAACCTCCTGTGAGCATATTGAGCTTCTGTACCAGGTATGATTGGTACTGTACCCAGGCCAGCTCGTAGCCTTCTGGAGAGAGGACGCCCGGCACACCATTTTCCTTAAACTGCGAGCCGTGGGTTAATTGAGGGACGCGGTGGAAGGCCCGGCTCTGGGCTTGTAGCCGTAGGGAGCACTAATCATTATATATGCTGTTAGCATCTGCTGTGACGGGAAGAATAGTCTCGTGAGACACGCACTCGGGATGAAGAGGCGAGCAGACCGGCCTGCTGCCGTATGGAACGTTGAAATATCATGAGCAAGGATAAGCGACTGCTATAACCACCCCCGTAGACTCTCAATTGGACAATGCAAGAATACCGAACTGCGCTGGCCTCGATCTTCCTTTTCTTTTGCCCTTGAAGATTTGGAAGGCAGAGGCCGGCCGGAAGAACGTTGATCCAAGGTTAGCGCCCAGTTGGGAAGCTCCGGCCAATCAGCACGTGAGCAGGCCTTGACTTTGCCTGAACTCGAGACATCAAAGCATCAAATAGCACCAGAACAGCATCAGAACAGCAGAAGACCCGGACAGCTGCAGCCAACCATCCGTGATGGGCCCTGGGGACATGTAACCAGTGCCCCCGTCTGGCCCGGGTGCCATACGAGGCGGTTTCAACTTCGCGCCGGCCGTTGGGCCTACTGGCAGGCTGCATTCTTCACGGCCTGGGGTCAAGGGCTCCTAACCGCCCGGCCGTCAGTGACCATGGATCAGACCCTGATGAGGGTTCTAAAAGGGTCCCGTTTGGCGAGACTTTGCGAGGCTTTGCTGGGGTTATAGCCATATAACCCCAGGGGCCGCCTCTTCCTTTGTTTCCTCTCAATCTTCCCTCTATTTCGTCCCCTCCATTCATCTCAGGGCGCTGTTTGCAGCTCTTTAAAAGCATTATATCTTTAATTATCTCAATTCTGCTGGTACAGAATTCCACCACGGCCTACGCTATATACCATACTTTAATACTTTCCACACCGTTCTCCAATAACATATTCGAATCCAGACTTGCGATGGTGAAATCGAGTTCACTATTCCTCCCGCTATACCTTTCTTTACTTTATCTTTCGGGCTCTACGAATGGCTTAAAACTGGGCTCGGCACCCAGCAGCCTTCGGCCCCGTGGCGATACATGTGCCACGGACGGCTTCAAACAATGCGGAAATCCAAACCTCCCTAAAGACTTCTGCTGTTCGGAGACCTCGGATTGTCTGGTCGTAGACAACGCAAGTACGGTTGTTTGCTGTCCAAAAGGCGCTGATTGCAAGACTATCCGGCCAATAACGTGTGATGTTCAGCGGCAGAACGTTGCCGTCGATCCAGGAAGCTCGGTAAAAACCACAAAACTGACCGACGATTTGCCAAAATGTGGGAATATGTGTTGTCCGCATGGGTACGCTTGCCAGGATAGAAGTTGTGTGCTTGTCAATTCGTCGTCCGAGCCCTTACCGTCTACCTCAACATCGACATTGCCAACGACATCACCAACGACTACCGCCTCCGCCACATCAACCTCCACACCGACAGTGGTACCAGCAACATCACCAAGCGTGGAACAAAAGTGCAATAACTTTCCTCCCGGTGCCGTGGCGGTAGGGTTCTTCACAGGACTTATTGGCGGAATCTTAGCCACTGCTGCATTCTGTTGCTTGAGAAGGCGACGCACTAGCCATCCTCCAACCCAGCCGCCTAGCTCGAACGCCAACCATTTCCGACAAAGGTCCGTGGAGGGTACTGTTATCTCAATATCCGACCCCATGCCTTCAGGCACACAAGACTCCTTCCGAACCGACTTCCTGCGGCAACAGTCGAGCTACTATGACCAAAACAAGAATGACAACCGTCGGTCCAGGGTTCAACGCACAAGTGACCGAGTGAAGAGTTTCTTCGCGCCGAAATTCACGGTGATAACAGATCCTCCACCTTCAGACGTCCCACCGATGCCCGTGACTCCACCAAACAAATCGTACCCGCAACGATCCTCGAGTACGGAAAGCATCAAGGTGTACAGTCCCGTGTATCTTGGTGGCGAGGAGAATAGGTTGAAACCTCCCATCGGTATTACGGCCTCCGGCAGGCCAGCGACAACTTTCACCGAAATGATGGAGCGAGTTGGATTTCAAAATGGCCGAGGCAGCCCATTCTATCCCGTTACAGATACACCGCCACCTCCAGTGTCGAAATCTCCCGCTGGTAGTCCTTTAAAGCGGATATAAGATTTTTTTCTTTACCTATCCCGGAGCGCTGTATTGGGAGAGAGCTTTTTGTCTAAGTTTTTGGTAAGGGGGAATAAGAGAAGTGTAGAATTATCCACGAATATTATCTGGAGTTCTACTGTACATACATACTTTAATTTGGTTATATAGCCTCTTAGAAATTTCACAAGTATTTCCTATAGTGTTATATTTATTCTCTATTATGTGAATGTAGTATTGGGTATTATCTCATGATCTCGATCGCAAGCTCAGTATCATCCTCTTCACCTCCTTAACCAACCCCAACAGTAATGGAACTCCAATTGGTCCTAAAAGCGGAAGATATACAGCCACCTTATGTTCATCTGGGAAATATACTTGGCCGACCATACTTTTCTCGAAAAAGCTGCGTTCGGCTTCCTTCTCAGCAACTCTGGCATTGGCGAGGGCGGACTTGAAGGCGCCCTGGTGCAGCAATTCACAAGTTGAAGAAAGATGCGATAGTGTGCGGGAGACGGACGTTGCGACTGTGGCAGGGATGGGTATGTTAGGAAGTGAGTGCGTGAGGCGGGCAAGGGATCCCATTGTAGACGATGCAGATAAGAGGAGGGATGCAGTATGAATACGGATTAAGCTGTGAAGCCGTAGTGGTAGAGATGGTGGGGAGGTAGGGGTGCCGAGAAGCGTAAGAAGCTGGTGTGAAAATGTGTCCATAGCAGGCTTCAGAGCCTCGTGGGAAAGGTGATATGGGTTCTGCGGTTGTGGGTCTGCAGATAACGGTGGGTTTAGAATGGCCACACCTCCCCATTGAGGAATAAGCCAACTTGTAGCCGAGTTCTCTTTGACAACTAACGGTGATTGAGTCGGCGATGGAACATAAAGGATAAAATTTATGGTTGGTCCGCCACCAATGCTAGGGCTCAGAGGCCATTCAGCGGCGTTGATGAAGCCGCTCAAATCGTCCTTTTTAAGTGTCCATGCAGCTTTGCTTTCATCATATTCAGGCGGTGTTGCGGTTGGTGAGAAAGTGGCATAGACTTGCACCTGAGTGTCAACAGAAAAATTGCTAATCGGAGACAATGCGCTGAGAAGCGGAGATAGATATTGATTCAGGGCGGATTCAATCTCCCAGGACGACGGGGCCGGACCTGGGGTGAAGAGAGAAAAGCTTAGGTGGTACAATTCGGCGTATTTGAATGACTTCTTCGCCCGGCTGGCGATAGATTCGAGGAGCCGTGGAGGTGTCGTAGGATTTAGCGCGGTCGCCCTTTGATCTTTGCTAATTGATCCTAACCCCTGGGGGCCTTGTGCCGCTAGCCCTCCCGATATGGCATTTTTCGAAGCCGAATTTGCACTGTTGCCTTGCGAGAGTATATACTCGAGGGTTGCCTTCTCTTCATTAAACAGCGTGCGCAATTCGTTTGCTATGAACGTTGTAAGGGGCGAATGAGAAGTGATCTGCGATTGCACCTGGCTAGAGGGGTAAAATACGTCCAATCGCTCAGAGTATCGATGCAAGTCCGAAGAGATTGACGTGATATCGTCGAGTGGAATTAGCCGTAATGTAAGTGCAGAATCGTCCGCGGCTTCATTGACGGCTCTCGGTTCAGCATCTAAGCTCTCCTTCGTTTTCATGAGACGAAGGCGGAGGTGGTGTGCGGAGAAATCGTTTAGGTCATCAAGAGCATGTTGCGCGGCTTGAACAAGGGACTCCGCTTCGGGCACATTCAAGCCTGGCGTATGAACATGTATATGTAAGGGGAAAACGGGCCGACACGACTACATCTCGACACAAAAATTAATGACGGCCGTTGACATTAATAGGGCTGATATCTAACCTTTCCAGTTGCCCAGTTCTCCATTTCATGTAGCGGGAGCTTGGCTCTATAGATGGACGTAGTTTTCCACCACATAGGCAACCCGAGAAGTAATATGATCAACCAGAAAGTGAGGACGACAAGCGATCTTGTTCGAATCGCCTCTGGTTTCTCAGGCGGCGCGCCACGGTAGACAACGGACTCCGGTGCTGGCTCATTTTCCGAGCTTGAGTCCGAGCTGGGGGGGTCAGGCCTCCCTGCAGGAGATTTTCCCCGCAAAGAATCTTTCTTGCCCATGGTCAGCTCATGTTTGGTCGAAACATCGTGAGAGGGAGGCAGAAGGTGAAGTCGGTGGTCTGGATATAGAAACGGGTGATGGCATTGCTGACTAAGGCTGTACCTGGCTTGGCGGCGGGAAATTTTTTGGAGACTTGTCCAGTTGATTTAGTTTGTAGATAGCTTCAACACTGTCGAGTTAACCTGCAATTGAGCCGCCAACGTAGCTGCTAAGCATGCAATGACACTTGTCTTAGAAGCAGTCGCATAAACCCCGCCTCCCTCGCGCCCCCAATTTGGAAAGACAAAAAGATATCCATCGTTCAAGATGTTCGATACCGTCTGCAGTTACCCTCTACCGGCGGATATCTTCACCCAGGCCATCCACCCTACAGAGCCAATTGTTTCCGTCGGCCTTTCTTCTGGCCATGTTGAGACTTTTAAATTGCCTGCCGAGCATGGCTCAGATCCAGGGGAGCATAAAAATGGACTAGGACACATCGACACCATTTGGAAGACGAGGAGGCATAAGGGGAGCTGCAGGAGCTTGGCCTTTGGCATTGATGGAGAGATGCTCTACTCCGCCGGCACTGACGGCTGGGTGAAGGCTGCAAAGTCAGAGACCGGTCGGGTTGTGACTAAATTTGCGGTTCCTAGGCCCAAAGAGAGGTACGGCGCAAACATCCATTGAGGATAAATCGTTCCAGTCTATAGAATTAACGGGCATATTTTTGTTAGGTCTCTTCATGAAATTGATGCCCCTTGCCTCTTACACGCACTCTCTCCGCAAACTCTCATTTTGGCTACCGATTCCAGCGCACTGCATATCTTCGATCTTCGCGCCCCATCCACTGAGGTCTCCGCCCGTCCGGAACAGACTCACTATCCTCACGATGATTACATATCATCCCTTACTCCATTACCTCCATCTGAAATGAGCACCTCCGGCTTCAGCAAGCAGTGGATAACTACTGGAGGTACCACAATTGCGGTCACCGATCTCCGGAGAGGTGTAATGGTCCGAAGCGAAGATCAGGGCGAGGAATTGACCAGTTCTACATACGTTACCGGCTTGAAAGCTGGAGGAACTAGCAAAGGAGAGAAGCTGGTTGTTGGAGGAGCCAGCGGAATCGTCACTCTCTGGGAAAAGGGCGCTTGGGACGACCAAGACGAACGGATCACTGTCGACAGGTCACCGCTCGGCGGCGAGAGCCTGGAGGTGCTCGCCAATGTTCCAGATGAGATAAGCAATGGTAAAGTCGTCGTTGCTGGGCTTGGTGACGGACGTCTGAAATTTATTCAGCTGGGCAGTAACAGCATTATATCTGAAACCAGACACGATGAGGTAGAAGGCGTTGCAGGCCTTGGATTTGATATTGGCGGGAGAATGGTTAGTAGCGGTGGGTCAATAGTAAAGGTATGGCATGAGGCACCAGGGAATGGAAGCGGGCAAGATAACTGGGCATCATCGTCGAAACGACACTTTGAGGATAGTGATGATGATGATGATGATGAAGCTGATAGCGACCAAGAGGATGCGCCTGAGAGCGACGAGGGCGAGAAGGAGGATAAGAAGAGAAAGAAGCGGAAGAGAGGCAAGGGAAAAGACCGAACTGGTGGCCAGCATGTGATGGCCTTCAAGGATCTTGACTGAAGTTCTCTGTTTACATGGTGATATCAGGTCTTAACCTGACCCGGCGGTAGAGACTTTTGATATTTCACCATCAGGGCGTTCTAGAGGACAAGTTCAACTACCTGAAACAACTGGTGGATGGCAGCGTCCACCGTATACCATCAAATGTACAATATTAATCATTTGATCCGTTTTGACCCAGTCGTCAATCCTAAACAAAAAAACTATTGAGCGTTCTGCTTTGGGAATTTTTGAGTTCGTATACGAAGTGGAACTTCAACCCAGAGTCACAATTCAAACCATTTCCAATCTCAAAACAGCGCCCTAAGGCGTACTGATGAACCATTCCATCAACTTATGGGAGGATCAGGTATTCTGCTATCCTCGCGTGGCAATCAGCAATAAACTCTTGCACTCCAGCATCTTTCCCTTTCCATAAACTACAACCGATACCCAAAACTCGCCAATTCCTCAAGCCGAGAGCCTCTTCAGGTCTGATACCAAAGATGGAACCGTTTGAATACAATGCGAGCCCAGCCCGAGTCATCTTCGGAACTGGCACTATAAAAAATATACCAGATGAAATTATACGGCTGGGTGTAACAGCCCCGCTACTTCTATCTACTCCGCGACAAGCAAAGCTCGTGGATGACGTGAAGAACATGCTGCAAGGGAAAGTAGCTGGAGCCTTCAACGACGCGGTGATGCATATTCCAACGCATATTACGGAGAAGGCACTGGCGTATGCACAGGAACAAGATGCGGATAGCATCATATCCATAGGCGGCGGAAGCGTCATCGGGCTAGGGAAAGCTATCAGTTTCCGGACAGGGCTTCCACACATATGTATTCCAACTACGTATTCTGGCAGCGAGATGACGCCGATACTTGGGGAAACGGTTAACGGGGTAAAGAATACTAAAACTGACCCAAAGATCCTGCCTGGAACGGTGATATATGATGTCGACTTGACGATGTCGTTACCCGCCAGTCTAAGTGCTACGAGTGGAGTTAATGCAATTGCTCACGCAGGTAGGCTGATATCCTAAAAATCCCCGTTCCAACTTCATCGTTGTATCTGCGGTCATTGCTGTCTACTGATTTTAATGCTAACTAAACGCTAGTGGAAGCATTATATGCCCGGAATGGAAATCCAATCGTGAAGCTCCTAGCTCGAGAAGGCATCAAAAGCCTTTCCACCGCGTTGCCAGAGATCGTAGCAAATCCGCATTCCGAAGCTGCGCGATCTGCTGCTCTCTATGGCGCTTGGCTGTGCGGATTGTGCCTAGGGAGTGTTGGTATGGCCCTGCACCACAAACTGTGCCATGCATTGGGCGGCAGCTTCAACCTGCCACACGCAGAAACACATACGGCTGTGCTTCCTCACGCCATTGCTTACAACTCTCCAAACATCCCCGACACAATGGCGACTTTGGCAGAGGTGCTTCCGGGCAGTGAAGGCGACGCAATTCGCGGCCTAAATGTTCTTTTGGCGAAACTACAGGTGAAACGAGGGGCGAAGGAGTTTGGAATGAAGGAAGAGGACATCGACCAGGCCGCCGAGATAGCAGTGAGGAATGCCTACTGGAATCCCCGTGAAGTTCAGAAGAAGCCCATTAGGGAGCTTATTAGACGGGTATGGGCAGGTGAAGAGGCCCGAGCCGATTTATAAAGCGTCATTATATATATATCCTAGTTAAAACTTGTCTAACCCGTCTATCTCTTTCTCCTATTTACTTGTCCAGTTATTTATTTTTATTATTTTATTTTTTTTTTATAGAGCGGCGGGGGATGAAATCACGTGGTGATAGCGAGAAACTTTTTCGGAACTTTTATCCCACCAAGAAGAAAGGAACAAGGGAATGCAAAGAATAAATATATCAAAGAAGGGAAATTGGCGGCAGCAGGGGAAATGGCAGAAGATTTGAAGGCTGCGCCGGTCCTTTCGACTCCAGACTCTCGGATCCTAGATGAAACAGAGCCTACAGCGAACAATCGATCCATAGGCCAGAACTTATCCGACGAGGAATTTCGCATCACATATGATATTGAACGGACGATCAGGGAGATCAAACAAGGAAAATGGCAAAGGATTGCCCTTCAATTTCCCGATGATATGCTACCTGATGCCCCACGGGTTTTCCAGCTCTTGAGTCGCGGCCTCAATCCTCAAACGGCGGGGAATAATAGTGGGACAACGAAGCACACGACCAACGGCCATGATGGAGACGACAAGGGCGTGGAAGAGGTGGTCGATTCTATCAATAAGGAGCTGAATTTGGACGAGAAAGCTGATTGTCCGGCTCCCAAACTATATATTCTTGCTGATACCTCCTACGGAACCTGCTGTGTGGATGAAGTTGCTGCAGAGCATGTTGATGCTGACGTTGTCGTACATTATGGGAGATCATGTCTATCACCAACCGCAAGATTACCAGTGGTCTATATCTTTACATGTAGACCGCTCGATCATGATGCTGTTGTCCGGGCATTCGAGGAATCATACCCAAACCGCGAGGAACGCATCACAATTGTTGCAGACGTCACCTATGCTGCCCATGTTGACGCAATAGCATCCATCCTCACAAAGAGAAAGGGCTATACAAACGTTTTTGCGACACAAGTAGTGCATAATCCCTCGTCGCCAATTCCCAACCGGACCATCCCACCATCGGTCGAAAGCGATAACGAATCATTACATGAATGGCAGCTCTTCCATATTTCGGATCCCCCAACCTCACTGCTTTTGACTCTATCTTCCCGTGTGGCCGCAATCCGGATATTCCCCACTGATCAGGGAACCAGTAGTGGTCCTGCTTCTGGAAGCAAAGCCCTTCTAACATCAACGACAACTTCCCTTCGCCGTCGTTATGCGATTTTAACGCGTCTCAACACCGAACCGATATTTGGAATCCTCGTGAATACCCTCAGCGTGAAGAACTACCTCCACATAGTCCAGCATGTGCAAAAACTCATCGCTGCGGCTGGAAAAAAGAGCTACCTGTTTGTAGTCGGAAAATTGAACGTGGCCAAAATAGCAAATTTCAGCGAGATTGGAGGATGGGTCATTATCGGATGCTGGGAAAGTTCACTTGTAGACAGCAGAGACTTTTGGAGGCCGGTCATCACGCCATATGAGCTTGAACTTGCCTTACAAAGTGACAATGAGAGAGTATGGACTGGAGCTTGGAGCAGCGATTACCAGTCGCTTCTTAACTCTGAGATATCTGCATCTACGACGAATGCGGACATTGAAACCGAAACTGCTGCGGCTGATCAAGGTGAAGGCGAAGGTGAAGATGAAGCTTTCTCTGAGCCGGAGTCAGCACCTCCCGATTTCGATCTACGAACGGGTCGATATGTTTCAACATCGAATACGCGACCCATGCAGGCTTTGCCACATGCTGCAGATTCCGGCCCGTCAAACGAACAGGTTGCCAGCGGTTCGAAGTCGCTAGCCAAACGGTTCAACACAGACGTTGCCACGATCGGCGGCGTCGTCTCCCCTGGTGCCGAGTTTCTCAAATCCAATAGGTCGTGGAAGGGTCTAGGCAGTGATTTCGTCGTTGAATACGAGGAGGACTCTAGCCAGGACGGTGGCCCTAAGGGAAGCGCGGTCGTCGAAGGGCTTGCCGGCATCGCCCGAGGATATAGAATCGGCGATAACCAGGAACGACGATAGCATTAGACATTATAACTGTATATAGCAAAATCAAACTTCCCTAACTTCGCGGGAATTCCCTTCTATCCTAGGCATCTAGAGGCACCCCGTTGCCCCTGAAACTGCCCTTGGACCTGTCGTAGCCCTGCTGCTCTGCTCACTCTTGCAAAAAGGACAAGGGCCGGTGCCTTAGCCGTCCAGATGCTAGCGGCCTGAGAGGAACTACTGTACCCCTTGCCATGCCGGACAATTTTAAATTATACACGACCGGCATCAAGGCCTCGCATCCCTGGCAAACATCGCTGTCCACGTGACATTTTTCTGTAGAGGGCGCGCCAAATCGGCTGCTAGCGATTATCGAAAGGCTTTCAGGTTGCGAGGAAAGCAAGGCATCGCGAGACCATCGGCTTCATCCTGACATCCCGGCCAGAGAAGAGTTGGGATCCTGCAATGTGAAGACCCGGGCTGCCTCTACCGTTGCTTGACTTTGAACAGGCTGTGCCTCAGGCTCGAACTAAAGGAGAATATCCGGCAGCTTAGATGTGTCAACGCGACCATCTTGCTCCCTATCTCGCTCCCCATATCCACGACTCTCCTCTGCTCTGCAGCCATCCTCACTTCTATGATGCTCACATATATATCGATCTCCGGCAGATATCTCACCAGATCGACTTTCCAGTGCTAAAAAATCCAGGATGGCATGCATCTTCGGGCCAGACAGAATCTCATCTGACGATGTGAGCCCAAACACGCCGGGCACGCCCTCGGATCTCATTTTCATCGAGGATAAGGGACGAAGGTCGCCTACGAGGCATTCGGACCTCTCGACGTTCGAACGCGTCCTCTCCACGCATCCGCCAATCTTCGAATCATTCCTCCTGCAGACACCGACCGAGTCGATCCTCCAGCTTTACCACACCTCCTCATATCTCAGATCCTTCCTCAAATCATATCCGACAGCATGGCAGTATCTGTCATTTCGTCTTCTTTTACCCTCCAACACGCAGGTTCGCCCGCTGGTCGGAGCAACAGACTCGCAGGGAAACCAGCGTCAATCCCGGCCTTACGCACTCGACCAGCTACTCCTCCACGTCATCGTGCCCTTCAGTCCGTCACTTCGCAGCTTAGATTTGGATAACACCGCCGTATCGGGTCAGAATCTCATTTCCATCGTCCTTAGCGCGCGTAGAGATACGCTTGAGCACATCTCGGTCCGGGGATGCAAAAACGTATCTCTAAAGTATCATATCATTCCTTACTTGACCATGTTTGGACTACAGTATGATGCAGACACCGCAAACCCCCTCGGACCCTCCTCAAAAGTCAAACGGCTTGCAATCAAAAGCCTCTACACATACCGCTGCCGTCACCATAGAAGGCGTCCTTACTTGACTTCGTCACTCCTCAGGAGGGACTCCGACTCCGAACCGACCCACGAACTAGTCAGTCTTTGCCATAAGCTTGGTATATGGACGGATACTGCGTGGTGTACTACTCCAGCGGGACGCTGTTTACGGAGGCGCGGCTACGTGTCCATGAGAGTACCGCAGGGCAGCCCCGAAGTATGGGTTGTATTCGACCGGCTGTGGAGGTCAAAGAATTGGATTGGTGCGTCAGCAGACAGCGGAGAGCCTCCTAAACGAGATGGGCGTCTATGGGAGCACGACGAGACCGGCCATTCCGGTGAGCCATTAGGAACTACCGGGAATCGGAAACAAGGCGAGGGCAAGACCGTCCCAACGCACCTTCGCAGCAGTCACAAACGATTCGTGGACGATATAAAGTGTGATGCGTGTCTCGAACCGATACATGAAAGATGCGAGCAATGTAGTGTTCTGATGCATTGCGTTGGATGCCGCAAGACGCTCTGCTACAGCTGTGCATACGATACGCCTTACCCACGGAGGAAGACAATGTCTGCTAATGACTCTACGGAGGCCTTTTGGTGGGCTCCAGGGGCTACGATATCCCCCTGTGCTATGCAGGAACCTTTCCAACATCAGGCGGTAGCTAATGCCGCCAATGCGAATAATAACCCAAATGGAATGCCCAATCCTCCCACTTACCCAAATCTGAAACTACATTGGTGTTGTACTGAACCCATGTTTACTGGTGGCGGTGGGATAACCCTTGGAGTAGCTGGTCGTGAGGTCGACCGAGTACGCGCTGCTCCACTCCCCCGTGGCCAGGGATGGGAGGATCCTGAGTACTCCTCAAATGAATGGAGTAAAAACTTTCCTAAATATGCTTATGGGGACCCGAAAAAGCCCGACTATACTCTTGCTGAAGGCCACACTGAGATGATGCGCTGGCTTCTTGGCCCATCAAGCTGTCAGGTCTCAAGTTGTCCTCGCAATCTGTGCCAGGACTGCTTTGATTCGCCCCAGTGGAAAGTACATTGCAAGAGTTGCTCAAAACCCCTATGCATGGAACATGACCTACGGGGATTGCGCCTTCGAATATGTGGTTATCGGGATCTTCTATTAGAGAAACTTGCTATAGGGGACGGTCGGTCGCCTAGTACTTCCCCCTCTACATCCGTTGCCTCTCCTGTGAGGCCCGCATTATCGACGTCTGCTTCATTTGCACCCCTCAGATTGGCCCCCCCTGAACAATCACGGCCCGGAGCTTCTAGCAGCAATCCTCTACCGAATGAAACAAATTCTTCGATTCCCGCTACAGCAATGAAAGCCGCAGACAGTCAGGGAACCGATCCGACCTCTTCCTCCACCTCTAACAACCATACCCGCTCTTCCACTCCTGCATCAGTGTACTTCGAGGCTGCACCACAGTCTCGGAAATGGCTTGGCTGTCAGTCGTTCTTCTGCCCTCAATTCCGTGCTGCTGGGGACCACCGTCAACGTTGTACAAGCGTGCTAAGTGAGTGCACCTCTTGCTCCGTCCACGTTTGTCAAGATTGCGTTGACGAAAACCCACCATGCACTTGTTCTTATTGCGACTTGAATTATCTTTGTCCCAACTGTTACGTGGCGAAGGAACAAGACGGCACATGTCGTCGCCTTGAAGAGGAGCGAGCAAGACGAGATGAGAAGCAAAAGCGTGACCTAGAGATGTTCGAGGTGGCTCTAGAACGTAACCTGGCCAATGAAGTAGCCGGGTTTGCTGGACAATTCTTTAACGGACTCTTTAACGACGGCGAAACTAGCCATCCTGTTATAGAAGAGCCAACCGATACTATGGAAGAAGCCGCCCCTTCCTTGACTCAGCTGGATGGGACCACCAACGGTCATCCGCAGGGCCATCAAGGTGATTCTGCGCACGCTGCCGTCTACGACGACGACGAAAACGGTCCGGCAGGTAGTGGATCGGAACATACAGAAATCCTAGGTGACGATGCTTAATTTGCAGTCGATGCCTGCATAATCTCACCTGAAATTCTACCACACGTTGCGGTACCACTAGAGATCGGGTACAAGCCTTCCTCGCCACACACCTAACCTCCATACCCCCCTTAAACTATTTGCGCTTCATACAGATTCACATGCGTCCTTGAACTTTATCATATCCTCAAATCTTCCTTTCACTACTCATGTCTGTGTCGTCAATGGCCGTTCGAGGTCCTGCATTTTTGTTTCTTTTGTTACGTCGAAGTTGTGTCTTTGTGTCTTGGTTGATCTTTTTAACGACTCTCTGTCTTTCACTTCCTTGCAAAGTGGGTGTATTTCTTATTTCGGCGAAGGGAAACAATTTCAAGTTAAGGGGAACTGGGGCTACTAGCAGGCATTTAGCGAAATGGTGTTCTCTCATTCCTTATTCAATCCTGTTACTGTCCTACCGTTCCTGTTTACTTTTGTTTTCAATTCTACAGGTGGTTCGTTATCTTTAGTAAAGTATAATATTCACTTGTTGATATATTTTATTTCCTTTAATGCTGGCTTGTTTCCTGCGATAAGTGTAAAGAACGGTATCGGGAGTTCGAAAGTCTGGTAGCAAACAATATGCAGAGGAACTTTTTCTTGGAAGATCGGGTACAACTAATATATTATTTCTCAAGCCTTTAGACTTTAAATGGGGGTTGAATTTTTATCAAGGATTATGATAATGTGGAAGAGGAAGAGTGTCCAGCACTTATACATCTCCAAAACAACCCAACAGAGAAAACGTATCTAGGTTATTTCCCACTACGCCACCCTGGATTAAATTATGTACAACAATTGTATATGTCCGTAGAGCTCTCTAGGAAATGTTCTGTTTCCAATGCCGACCCAAAGCAGGATAATATTCTTTCCCTCTCCATCCTTTGGTACCACACCCACCATAATAGATCCTGCCCAGTCGTTAAAAAAGAGTCATAACTAATAATCAAAATACGAGAAAAATGCACTATTATCATCAATTGCTCCTTGTATAGTCAGGTAGAGTTGCATCTTTGCTTCTTCTGGCGCTCTCACACGAACGCCGAGAGCTACCCGTATAGTCTCGATGAAATACTGGCGGTGGTGTAGCAATTGGAGAAGGTGGCATTATCGAAGAGGTATCGGTTTCAGTCATTCCAGTATTAGTGACGGAGATAGATATCGACATTGATCGGTGAGAGTGAGCTGGTGACGAACAGTAGGAAGAATATGGAGGCGGAGGCGTTTCACCAGTGGCGGTAGAGGTATTCCCCAAGCTACTAGGGAAGGATATCTGCGATGATGCATCGGACGAATCATCCTCTGCTACATTACGAGGGGAGCGTTGATCATATGTGCTCTGGTTTGTTTCGAGCTGGCTCTTTTCATCTCGTGGGTATTCGCGATCAGATATGGGTTGGAGACCCGAGAAGGCTAGAGTCTTTTCCTGAATGCTGATCGGCCGTGCCGTATATCTCGGGAGCGGCTGGCTTGAGTGGTATGGATCGTTTTCATCGACGAATGGTTGATATCGATTGTAATTGGATGGCGGAGCTGGCTGTATTTCTGGGTGGGGTGGAGGGCAGCGACCCGACTCTTTATGTCCCTTTCTACCCTTTGAAGTATAGCATGCACAGAGATTGGCAAAGAAAGCCATTTGAGGTGATAGACAGCGAGACTGTGGGCACCTCTCTGGATGTAACGAGCGTCGTCAGCGGCCAGATAAGCCTGTTTGGGGGAGGAGAGGCCAGTTGGACATGCACACCCTCAAACCCCTAGCTGGGGAGGGCTGACTCTTCGCAAAATCTAAGCCTCTATATCGCGACTGCAGGGCATCTCTATCGACAAGAAGAAGGGGGAAAAGGCCAGAGAAAGAGGAACGAGTTACGAAACGTTTTGTTCCTGGAAACTGCGGAGAAACTGCGGCTGAGTCACGTGGCTGCTGCGGCTCAGCGGATATCCCGTAATCTATTACACCTTGTATCGTAATTAACCAAATTGGCCAATAGAAATAGACATAATAGTGGATCTGCTGTATAAAGATGGTCAGATCCGATTGGCCGTACCAGAGATAACGGATTATATAATAATCCGATCCCGATCTTGAAATTCTTATCGCAAAAGTAGTTATTATAATCAGATTTCGTTTCCAACAGACAAACCAACCCCTCCTGTTCCCTTTATTCGATCCGAGTCATTCGCAAGAGCAATTCACCCACTAACAGAATGACGGAACCGTCTACTTCGGCCTACGCAGAGTGTAAAGACTACGTGGCAGTCGCTCAGCTTGTCGAGCCGGTTCCCGTTCCGGCACACCGATCCCACGACCCCGCCAACAATCAGAAACGAACTGACCCGTTCCAATTTGGCTCTCGTTTTCTAGAAGAAGGCGACGATGTCTTTGAATTCAACGCCTGGGATCATGTCGATGCAGACCCAGAATACTACGAATATGCCGAATTACAGTATGCAAGACAGCGCGCATCTCCCGTTTCCGATTTCGACCGCCATCGGTTTAATTCTCAGCCTGCAAAGTGGTGGAATCTGTTCTACAAGAATAATACAAGCAATTTTTTTAAGAACCGCAAGTGGCTGAAGCAGGAATTCCCGATTTTGGGCGAAGTGACCGCTGCAGATGCGGGTCCAAAGGTGGTGCTTGAAGTCGGAGCGGGAGCGGGCAACACTGCTTTCCCGGTTTTAATGAATAATGAGAACGACAAGTTGATGGTTCATGCGTGCGATTACTCCTCAGCTGCTGTTAATGTTATGCGGAAGAGTGAAAATTACAACGAGAAGCATATGCAGGCAGATGTGTGGGATGTCACAGCCACCGGCGAAGGCTCTCTTCCTCCAGGTCTCGAAAAAGAATCTGTGGACGTTGTTGTTATGGTCTTCATATTTTCTGCGTTGGCCCCGGCAGAGTGGGAACGTGCAGTCTCGAATATATATCAGGTCTTGAAGCCGGGAGGCTATGTCCTATTTCGAGATTACGGCAGGGGTGACCTTGCCCAAGTGCGATTTAAAAAGGGTCGATGGATGGACGACAATTTTTATGTTAGAGGGGATGGCACGAGGGTATATTTTTTCGAGAAGGACGAAGTATCCCATATTTGGGGCAAATGGACCCCCCATGGAGGTATACCGGAGTTTAAGACAGGCGATGGCGAGAGCACTACAGCTATTGATAGTAGCTCATCCGATACCGGGTTCGAAATTCTCAATATGGATCTTGACCGCCGATTAATTGTCAACCGCCAAAGGAAGCTGAAGATGCATCGTTGTTGGCTACAAGGCCGGTTCAGGAAGCGGATACCTCCTTCGCCTTCTAACGAAGGTGCAACCGCACTTGAAGAAGCAAGTGAAGCTAAAAATTAAACCCAGCGCGGGAGAGCAAATACTATGTTTGGTATACAGCTTTGCATTCACTTCGCCGCCCCCACAAAGAATACAGACACCCCCGCGGGCTTAACGAGGACATTACTGGTCAAAAAAAAGCCCGATCAGATCAATTCTGATAATAGAACGCGGTTTGACCACGGCTCTCTGTGCTCGGATTCTCCCTGCCTCCACAGTAGAGCTTACGTCTTTCTAACCCGCCGTGATTTGGAAGTCCCGCTGTCCCAGAGAAATTTCGAACCGCACAAACCAAAGCCAATTCAATAAAGCCTCTTGATAGACTAGAATATGTTGATACATATCTTATATAGATATGCACTCCCAGAGTAATAGAAGAAATTTCTCTGATTCAACCTCTTTCGACCGATAATAAATCTCCAGCCCTGGGAAAGTACATACTCGGCGCTTTGTCCGTGTACCGATTAGAAATGTTAACTCGCATAATACGGGGATAACCAATCGCCACCCATCCCCTAGATTTGATATTGAAGCTTGCGTGACATTTATCTCCACATTTTCAACCCTTATCGAGTGCAACCTATCCATCCCGCGCGGGTGTGAGTTTCAAGCCTTCGGCCTTTCTTCCAGGCCATATAGAGACCAGTTTACCTTTTCGGCTATAAGCCCGGCAGGGCCTTTCGGGCGAGCATTCGAGCTGCAGAATCCCGTTCCTACAGTGGAGACCTTGAATAGCTCCCACATCGAACCGAGCCCTCACTCTATGCACTATGGCAGGGGAAGCAGATGAATGGCAGGATTCCACATTCTGAGGGGAATTTATATATCCTGGGGACCCCAGCTTTCTCCGGGTTTTCTACTCATTAACATTTCCATTGATTTACATTTGAGCCGTCATAATGGGCCAAGTAACGGGCCAACAGACCATTGGGTCTATAACCCAGGCAAAGAGGTCCGGATGGTCCCAAAATGTTGCCAAAAATCCATTCATATTTGGTGTTGCACTGGTGAGATGCGTCTTATACCCCTTTCTAGTCATTATACTGTTCTGACTAAATGGCCATCCATATACTAGTTCTCAACCCTCGGCGGATTTCTCTTTGGTTATGATCAAGGTGTCGTTTCGGGGGTTCTCACCATGGAGTCCTTTGGGGCAAAGTTCCCTCGTGTCTTTAGTGACTGCGGATTTAAGGGATGGTTCGTTTCGACCTTACTACTTGGTAAGCCATTGATATGTTCTTGGAGGAATAGACGTTAAGAAAACGGAGTGTTAACACAGTAATTAGCTGCTTGGTTCGGATCACTGGTGAATGGCCCACTTGCGGACAAGATTGGCAGGAAGATGTGTGTGATGACAGCTGTTGTCGTTTTCGTCATTGGATCTGCCATTCAAGCCGGAGCCGTCAATATTCCAATGTTGTTTGCTGGTTTGTTTTTCTATATTAGCTACCTGTGCCTAAGTGATAGAAGCTAATAATCTGCAAGGTCGTGCCGTTGCTGGTTTTGCCGTTGGTCAGCTAACAATGGTAGTTCCTCTCTACATATCTGAGGTACGGCTCTTATAACTAACCACCATTTTTGTTTGAATATAATAGAGATACTAACCAACGTACAGGTGTCCCTGCCAGATATACGAGGAGGACTAGTTGTGCTGCAACAATGTAGGCCCCCACCTTGAATCCTTTTCAACTATGGCCATACTAATGCTATCATACATACAGTATCCATAACTATCGGCATCCTAATCAGCTACTGGCTTGACTATGGAACGAATTATATCGGAGGTACTCGATGTGCCCCTGAGATTGCATATACTGGTGGAACTGCTCAGCATCCTGCTTTCAACCCGTATAAAGATGTTGGACCGAATGGTTGTGATGGACAATCAGATGCCGCTTGGAGGATCCCCCTAGCCTTCCAGATTGTCCCGGCTGTCATTTTGGGAGTAGGAATGAGTTTCTTCCCAGACTCCCCGAGATGGCTGTTTATGATGGATCGTGAAGAAGACGGCCGAAAGTCACTAGCGAAACTACGACAGCAGCCTGAAGACCATCCTTCGATTGAGGCAGAATTCCTGGAGATCAAGGCGTCTGTTATCCTCGAGAACACATATGCCAAAGAGAAATTTGCGAATCTGTCTGGGTTCAAACTCCATGTTGCGCAGGTAGGTTGACCTTGACTTCAAACAGCAAGCGCCTCGTCTCATGCTAATATTTTATTCTCTGCAGTATTACTCTCTGATAAGTACCTGGTCCAGGTTTAGACGACTTGCAATCGGATGTTCCGTCATGTTCTTCCAGCAATTTATGGGCTGCAATGGTAAGTTTCAGAACCTCCCGCTACAGTTCATCCCCTACTATAACTAAATGCTAACTCAATAATAGCAATGATTTACTACGCTCCAACCGTTTTCAAACAACTAGGCCTGGATGGAAACACTGTATAATCCCCCAGCTCCCTTAGGACATACTTACGACCCATTACTAACGCTACCACAGGCCTCCCTCCTGGCTACAGGGGTATACGGAATAATCAACTGCATTAGCACCCTCCCCGCGCTATTCTGGATAGACAGGCTAGGTCGACGAGTGCTCTTAATGTGTGGTGCAGGCGGAACATTCATTGCACTGGTTGTTGTTGGCGCTATAATTGGCGCATATGGCGCTCACCTCAAGGACCACGCCGCTGCTGGATGGGTGGGAGTTGTCTTCATCTATATTTACGATGTCAACTTTTCGTATTCATTCGGTAGGTTATATCCTGCATTCAAGGAAAATCTGCACTGAGCAAGAAACTGACAGGACATGATAGCTCCGGTTGGATGGGTACTTCCATCGGAAATTTTCCACCTTTCTATCCGATCAAAGGCCATCTCAATCACCACCTCGACAACATGGATGTGCAACTTGTAAGTTTAAGCCTCCTCGGTCCTCAAAAAAGATACATGGCTGACCTACTCCTTTACTCTCTAGTATCATCGGTTTGGTAACGCCAGATATGCTTGAAAAGATTGGCTGGGGAACATATATATTCTTCGCAGCTTTCTGTCTTATCGCATTCATCTTCACATACTTTTTTGTTCCGGAAACGAGAGGAAAGGTATGGATTGATTTCGGTCTCTTATAATGGTTTATTAATGGTAGCTAACCTGGATATTTCATTAGACACTTGAGCAGATGGACATTGTCTTCGGCGACACCGAAGCGCACGAGGAACAGAGACGTATCATGCAGATCGAAGCAAATCTTCGGGGGACTGATATCAATGATCCAGACGTTCTCAAGGAAAAGGAGGTGCAGGAAGACTCCGTCTAGACTGGGTATACGTAAGAACATCGACAACTTTCTACCCCTGACTTAAAAAACAAAGTGAGTCGGCCTTGGAGTGGAGACTCCGATGAAACCCGAAAACAAAAATGTAAAGTGTATACAAAAAACCGAAGAATGAATATCGGAAATAACAGTTCATCGAAGGCTCTAATTAAATATTATTATATGTGGCGGTACATTGATCGGCTATCATATCCAGTGAGCCATGATCACAAAGCATGCTTTATCAGATTTTGCAAAATGATGAAGCGAGAGAAGAGTCAAAGAGAAAGAAGGAAAATATGCAAGAAAATGTCTATGATGGCAGGGAAATCTTCTAAGAAGTAAGACAGGGACACTCGCCCTTTGCCCGCAGAAATGCTCCGGCAAATAGATCTTGCATAGCAAAATAATGAAATATGATACCCCCCAGAACAGCCATATGCCAGATATTGTGGCTGCCGCCAACGTAGTCGAAGAATCCGGGGTGCCAACGCTCAGGAATCTGTGAGGCGTAGATGCATGCTCCGCAAAAGTAAACCAAAATACTCTTTACCACGGGAGCGTAGAAGTAGAGAGACCACTCTAGGCCGCGGGTGTAGCTTAGCTGGACGATTGGCGCAAACCCGGTGAGGGCCAGAGTCACATAGAACGCAACGCGCGCCCAGGCCATGTGGGGGCCGTTGAAACGAGGATGCCAGGGAAGGATAACGCCGGCGATACCTAGGGTAGAGGTCATGAGGATATAGGTCCATCGGGAATACGGTTCGCAGTAAAACGCAGTGTATTCTGTTGTGACAATGGAGGCAGCCACGAGCAAGGAGATGCCGGTGTAGTCGACGCAAGCAAAGCGTTCCATCAGGGGCTGGTTAGCTATACTGTTCATGGTATGCCACATTGTGCTGCAGACGAGACATTTGCAGGCGGCGATGAAGAAGACAAAGGCAATGGTGACATCGGTTTTGGTGCTGAGGTGGAAATTAGGGCTCAGCGGGTAGAAGTAGAATGCCACGGAGAGAACGATGATCAGGCCGATGAGATGTGACCAGATGTTGAACATCTCGTTGGAGAAGGAGAAAACCGAGGTGACGCATTCGATCTTGGAGGCTGTGAAGCGGTAGCCCTTTCGGATATGAGGGTTGACCCTCCATGGGTGGGGGAGGTCAGAGTAGTGAATCAGGCGTTTCTCCTGGGCAAGGGCGATGGCTCGATCGATGCTTTCACGAAGAGCGGTTTTGGCGTGAACTGCACGTTCGATTCCTTCATCGAGCATAACCCGGGCATGTGTTATGCTAGAGTCGACGGCACGCAGACCTTCATCAATGGCGCCGTATAAGCCACGATCCCGGACACTATGGACACGGGCTTCCAGCTGAGAGAGAAAGTCTTCCATCAACCGCATGCTCGCTTGGGCCTTTTGTTCGAGCGTCTCTTTTGTGGCCAGTGCTTCATTGTAGCGGCTCTCGAGGGTCTCGACGACGATACGGGCTCGACGTCTTCCTCCGCCCATCAGCTCACCAGAAGCATGGGAGCAGGAGTCCCGGACGGCTACCAGGGCGGCATAAGCTCTCTTTAGCCCAGAGTCGATGTGAAATATGTGTGATTGCCGATAGTCTTCTAGCCATTGTAGTCGTCTCTCGAGTTCTGCAAGAAATAGCTCGACCTGAGAAAGTAAAAAAAAAAAAAAGCAAACGAGTTAGAATTTCTACCCCTGAAAAGTGACGTGAAACGGTGCAACTCACCTTGAGAAAGACGGCATCCTCGTCATAGTCACAGGAAAGTCGTCTGGCTGTATGAAACGAATGTCTTCGTCTCCGGTCTTTCAGCAAACCGGTCAATTCGTGTGCAGGCGAGAGGAAGCCCGAAGCAGTGCTAGACGGTGTGCTAGTACGGCTCTCTATCGTAATCGAAGGAGACGTGCAGGCCATAGCGGCGGTTCTATATGAACTTCCTCCTAACGTACACAACGTCGAGTCCCTTCACGTCGACAGAGATACGAGATATGGCCGTGTTGAGAGTGTGGTCTGGGGGTACTCGTTTTCGTGTGTGAGAGTGGCGGAGGTCGAAGTGATCAGTTGTATGCCATCTCTGCCTGCTCAATGCCTAAAGAAGAGGAAACCGGACACTGCTGAGGACGCGGACGAGGTGTCTTCGGGCATGAGAAAGGGGTTTATATGGAGGAGGGGCAGCCGGGAACCGTTGGGAGGAAAAAAGGACGCCGTCCGGGGTGGAGATGTGTGATCAAACTGCGCGCTCTTGGCAGGGTGTCATGGGCAGGACGAACTTCCGAGGTTGCAGCGGCTTCTTATCTTGTGGAAGTTGGTTGTATATGCTAGTTGATGCTATATTTGCAGGCGAAGGCGAGGATGCGACGCGGAAGAAGGCGAGATACAAGGTGAATGCAAAGTCCCGTGGAGTTGCGACTGACGCTCATTCGCCTGGACAGAAGTTGTGTATCTGCATTACCAAAGTTACCGGCTTTTTAACAAGTCAAAGGGGTGGAAAAAGATGCCGGGACTATGTTAACCCGGTATCTGATACGGCATCTTTCAATACGTGTATACTTCTTTTCTTTAAAGGTATAACCGACATCAAACTACACGATATTAACTACCTATCAACCAGCATATAAACAGCATAAGTTAGTACGCGAGTATGGCCGTCGAGCAGATCGTCACGGACCCTGCGCTCATCCCCGCACTGGAAACTTGCTCCAACACCCTTGGCCAAGCGCATCAGCTCATCGATCTGCTGGAGAAGAGCATCCAGAGCCCCCCGTCGAACCCCCAGGACGCACTGCAGGACGCATACAGACAGCAGAGACACGTCTATTCGCTGCTCGCCCAGCTGCGGGGACTCAATCGCGAGGCCATTCTTAATGTCAGGTCTACCAAGCAGTCGACCGCGGAGGCACGCCAGGAGATAGACCGGCTTCACCTGCAGCTTCAGAATCTATACTACGAGCAGAGACATCTCAGCGGCGAGATCGCTGCGTGTGAATCATACGAGTGCGTTTATATATAAATATTTTTAACCTTCCAGCTACTGACGGGTTCACTCTACAGTCATAGTCACTTGTCGCTGCCGTTGATCCCCGTTGAAGAATTTATTGCCTTGCATCCTGAGCACGCCGATTCGGATGAACACGAACTCACAGTCGCCCGGATAAATCACGAACATGCGGAGAGGGAGAAGCTGGAACAGGCCCGCCAGGAACTGTTGAAGAAGAAACAGGCGTTGATAGCGGAGAATAAAAAGAGAAAGGAAGATTTGGCCAGTTTAGATCAGGACCTCGAACGGTTTATTGACGTCAGTCCACTACTTTGCCCTTTGAGTCTCCGTGTCTGCTAACCGTTCTCCAGGCTGCCAAACCGATCCAGAAGATATTTGAGAAGGTTTACGTACCCGTGACCCGAAAGGTAAACGGTGAGGAAAAATAAGGCCAGCCTTCCTGCTACTATTGTTTTGTGATCTTGTTCTATACCCATGCATATATAATGGCGTCTTAGGGGTGAAACTATATGATTCTATTAGAATATCCTCTACCACATAAACCGCTGAACTTTTCCTGGCTCCTGTGGCCACTCAAACCCTTTGTATAAAAACATATATGCCGTCACGAAGTTTATAACCAAATACCAGGCCGTCTCGACGAGTAAAGGAAGATATTCGAGAGTCGTTGCGCAAATGGAAGTATCACTGCCTGGCCTTTCACTACTCTTGCGACTTAATGGGGTAATATGAAGTCGCCAAATGACCCAGGGAATTATGAAATATCGTGGCTCCACCAGCGGGGCGGTGATTAGTGAGAGGGATGTTGATATAAGCCATATCAATACAAAACTGGTTCTTGTTAGCTCCTCATCAGATACTGAGCTTTGTCCTTGGGATTTAGCCAACTCTATGCCTGGTTTTTGGTTGGATGACGTTGTTGAAGTAATACTGGCCGAACGCGGGTCGAATGCCGCGATAGTCGCCCACCCGCATATAAGATATACTGGCGTCACGGCATATTTAACCATCGGGTGTCGAATCAGGAGACGGAAAACGTAAAACACATAGTGGCGATTATCAGCCAGGGTGAACGGGTGTACAATTGTATTTAGGTGGACAATTGCAGTCATTACACCCAGGAGACCGAATATCACACCAAGGCGTGGTAACTTGTTCAGTAGTTGGCAGAGATTTTTCGCATTCTGTTTCGTAATAGAGTTCCATGCACTCATCGCCCATGGATAGAGGATTACTGGCCAGGAGAAGAACATGAAATAGGGCCAGATGTATAGCATTTGAGGAAGATGCAAGGCCGCACTGTGGAATTCCTTGTGGCCTATAGAGAAATGGAGAAAAGCGTTAGAAGTAAGAATGGCAGGTTATAAGGGTCGCAATACTTGCCCAAGACAACACTTCCATTAACCATTACAAATAGTCCAAAGCACCCAAGAAAGAAAAGATAGGGCAAAAGTGCTACCAAGACAGCTGGTAAATTCGCTACTGCGGAAATGGCCAACGATAGCCCGGTTTTCAAGTAATCTGCACGCAATAACTTAGCATATGTCGGTTTCGTAGGACGTTGTACGGTGGGTAGGTATTACCTTCAAAATACGCTTCGCTCGCAGGCGGGTCGTACACCTGGTTCAATTCCCAACTACCCCTTGCGAGACGCCATATATCCGAAGAATTGCACGACGCAGATCTTGAGCTGAGAGTGTCAACTACTTGCAAGCCGCCGAGGAACACCGCCACCCAGAAAATATTCGTTTGCCGGAATACCAGAGCCGATAGTCCAAGAATTAGAAGTTGAAGATATTTTGCATTATTGGGGGTGCTGCCTTTGTTCCTCGAGGGACTCCGTGAAAGGTCAACACTATAGGCCTCCAAAACAATAAGAAGTGCGGCCAAATCCGTATAATAAAGTCCTGAAAAGAAGAAGATTGGCGGGAAAAGACAGATATTCAGGGCACTTAAGTTGAGCAGCCAGGGGTTCGTCTTGTGTCCTTCTTTCGCTAACAAGTTAGCTTGTTTTATGGAAAGGAATCTTCTCAAAAAAAACTGCAGCACGTTGAAGAGTACCAGTCCATTTATACATCGTAGAACAGAAGCTGAAAGTTCCACAGGTTTCCCAAACAGCATGGACGACGTTGCTGCGACAACGTATGAAACAAGGTATAGTCCTGGAGGCGTCGTAATTTTTGGATCCCATTGCCGCCATCGATGGTCCCAGTAGGCCTGCACCTGTCTCACATGGAAGACTTCGTCCAAATAGGGGTCTGGAAGAATACTGTTCGTCTTCCCTAGCCAATAAACCATCAACCCAGCTGCGAGCAATGCAGTGGACGCAGCGGGGATAACATGGCTCGTTGCCATCGTGAGAGTGAACGGGTATATAATTGATCTCTCTACTTTGAGGGTTGTCAAAGCATCCTATGAAGCTTGATGAATATAGTCTGGACTAGCGACTTGGAAGGCTGTAGAAGAGGGCAATTGGTGAATATTGAGTTGGCAATTTCCTGGACACTGGTATTCCAATGGCTGGTATAACGAGTATTTCAGGGATCGCCCTCCATGTGGCTATATCCCAGGCATATAAATGTTGAAACAGTAATATCAATTGTCAAAAAGAACCAAAATGTCAACATCGCAGCTATCCACGTGACATATCTAAAACGTTGATGGTAATGCCTTACCTAAGCTAGATATTTTGATAGAAAACCGCCCCGCGAAAGGACGCGATGAAAGCACTTTTGTATGCTCTCTGTAGCTCTGGAAAGGTAGCGCAAAACATCCAATGGCTTTCCCGCTACCGAGGGGGATAACCTCATCTGAAATCGCCTTTCTCTGTGAAATGGAAATGGTGACCGTCGTTCCTCGACAGCGGCTAGAGGGCCTTGAATTGCTTGGAGTGAGTTAAGACCCCGACTCCTCCAATACGGCTATGGTGCAGAGATACTGCACTGGTAAATCTACCTATTATATACCCCGGTAGCCGTTAATGGGCCTATAAATGGGACCGCCAGACTATTGCTATCTTCCGCTACGATCACTAACCCAATATCCAACGTCGCCAGGGACCAACAGAGGCGATGGTACCGCCCCGGCGATGCATGCTACCATTCTGGCTTGCTCTCCTGCTAAAACGACAACGCCGTGTTAATATACTGGCTCCCTCGTGGCTTGCCTTGGAGTCACTGTCCTCAATTCTCGAAATAGAGACCAGGCAAACAGAACAATTCTGTCGACCGCCTACTCTTCTATCTCCCGCACAGGATGGAAACACGGGTGCCAGACAGCAAAACCGCAGCCACCGAACTCCTCGCCATCGTTATGATATGGATGGGAAAAAATACACCCCGACACCTCCATTTTTACTTCAAAATACCGTGGACGTTGATCAGATCGAGGAAATCCAACAATCATTGCCTTATCACTGGCTTGAGCTTGCGACTATGCTTCTCGATGTGGCAAGTGATGATATTCAGGACTCTGATCAAGTACGCCGCTGCATACGGGACCTTCGAGAGGTGAGAATGTCGAAGATGCGTCATTTGATGGAAGGGCTAGATGCCACTGCAGTTGGAGGCGGGGACGGTCTGAAATTGACTGGCGTTGGAGCGATGGAAATCGGTGAAGCAAGAGGGTTTATAGCTGGTGCTGCTGAGGCTCTGAGGTATGCTCGTACGATCAAATGTTGAATAACGTGCTCTAAATATCTTTCTATAGGCAATTAGGGGCTTCGAAAGAGGAAGCTTTGAGAGATCAGACAACAGAGGAGGGCGGAGGCGAAGGCGAAGATCTTCAATTCGGTGGAAAGAATGATTACGATGACGACATGGATTTGGAGTTATAATCTCTGATACGACTCTTGGCCCCTTCTCCTGAGGTATTGGGTAGATGTTCATGAGATTTAGAGGGGTTGAAGCGTACACTCTACGTTTAGCCATCGTCTAACCAGCTTGCAACTGATATAGCTCTTTGCGGAACTGAGTCGAGCCGACAAAGGACTTGACCACTGCAGAACGTCACAGAGCCAATGGCCTCCTGAGCGACCGCAGTATGGTGGACGAGTAGCCGGTCCCCGCCACTGGCTACGGACTCATACCCCACGGCGAGGCAGGGGTATATAGTTAAAGGTGCTAAACGCATGATGAGTATCTCGAAGTCAAGGATATCACATCCACGAGCGGAGGAACGTTATTGGCTGGCAGCTATTTACTTCCGGGCCGGCGGTTGCTGCAAACTGGAGGGGGAGGTTTCACTGTTTACAGACGGACCTTCGCGATCAGCCATCACGCCAATACCGCTGCTCCGTGAGGAATATGTGGCATCCCGTCAAACTGCCTTGTCAAGCCAACATAGCACGATGAAGAGCGGATAAGCTGGTCGGTATATAGACAGCCCTGCACCATAGGTTTCTATGGTTTGCACGACTTTCGACAAAATGGGCCCATATAATATGGCTAAATTATTATATCCAAACGTATCTAACAACTAATTTGTCCCTCCCTAGTTTTGCAATCTGAGGGTCTTGCTCTCGCGAGGTATTTGCAAGCCCAATCCGCCACAAACGCTGTAGCTGGGATAAAAATGCAATGAAACGCTTCCAATGCCGCTAGAAAGTAAGAGTGAAGAGCATCGTCATCTCATCGCAAAAAGAAAAATAACAAGAAATCCCATGTTACTATTAGTATTATTATTGCTGTTGTTGTTTTACAGCTTTGTCCTTCTCCAGCATCTTCCTCCTCGCGTTGAGTATCATGTCGTCCCGTCGTTTCTGCATAAGCCTCTGCCTCTCAAGTTTATCACGCGACCAAGCACTTTCTTGCCGGAGGATCGTGGAATCGCCCGAATCGGCCCCGGTCGCTTCACTTTCTGTTGACTCGGTGTCTATTTTCGATTGAAGGTTGTACCGTGAGATGAGATTCGTCATTACAGGTTTGGCTGTCTGTGGTGTAGGAGAAGTAGTTTCCGTTGGAGTTGAGGCAGCCGGTATTTGAGGTTGGAATGTCGGAGGTGGCTATAAAATAAGTACAGCCATGTTAGCAGGGTTTAGAAATGCAAGCATATATAGAAGCAAAGGAAAACCGTGTTCAACTCACTCTCTCCAGTCCTCTTCCTGTCAATATCCTCTCCGTCGTGGCAGCCACACTCCCACCATTCCGCTGTAAATCCCACAGGAGCTCTCTCCTGGTTAACTGCGGAAACATCTGAGCTAGCTGATCTAGCTGCACCGCATCGACTCTCTGAGCCCCTCCTCTTCCACTCTGCGCATTGTCATTCTGGGATGATGTGCTGCGCGACGAGAAAAACCACCGGAAGACGAAGAATGAGACGACGGCGAAAGTGATGAGCGACGGAATATTAATTGACGGCTCCGTGTCGGCCATGAATGAAGTCATCAAGGAATGCGAGGGATCCCAAGGATCGCGTGTTCCTGTTTAAAAGAGTAGCGGGCTATTTCTCCGCAGAAGGCCAGGTAGCGGGATAAGGGGGCCACGCGCGAAGCTATTGCTGTTTGATGGGATGGCGGGAGATGCTGGAAGATTTCCGGTTGGCGAAAATGGAAGAATCAAGGCTCTCTCCGCGGGGTATCTCGACGGACCTGGTGGTGATGTGTGTTTGGTGTCCAAGTGGTCTCTTTGGAGATTCGGAGGAGTGGCGGCGATGCGTTGGGAGCCTCGGGGCAAACTGATCGTCTTTAAAGTTCCGCGCTTGCTGGTCGACAGGGTTTCCCTGTATATAACATAGAACATAAAGTCCAGGAGATACATACGTGATTCTATATGAGAATTCAACTAAGAGAGATAAATTCAAAGGCGCCTAGCTGGAAATCGTCGGAGATTACCCTCTCCATACATAGTTACAATGCATCCATAAGCACATAAGCAACCCCCAACCCCCATTGCAGCCGTGAGATATCCTGAAAGAAAGTAATACCAAATGAGACAGTTCATCACTTCAAGTCCGCTGGCGTTAGTGCCTGTACCATACTGGTACCCTCACTAAACCTGGTCCTAAATATCCGGTTGGCATTCTGGAACATGCCGTCCTTCAAGCTGACGACGATGAACTGTGAGCCCTTGAAACGGGTCTTGATCAGCCGGCCGATATTCTGGGTATGGGATAAGTCCAATGCGGCATCGACCTCGTCCAGAATATACATTGGTGCCGGCTTGAATTGCAAGAGTGCCATGATAAGCGAGAGTGCGATGAGTGATCTATGAAGGAATATCAGTAAAGCCGGTCCAAGACCACCATCAAGAAGAGAAGAAACGACTTACCGCTGACCACCACTGAGCTCTGTCAAGCTCTGCTTCCATACCTTACCCAGGCTGACTTTGACTTCAAGACCGTCGCTAATCTCCTTGCCTTCAGGAGGATCGAGCTTAGCGAAACTTCCAGGAAGAAGTTCTGAAAATATCTGGCCAAAGTCTGCAGTGACTTTGGACCAGGTCTTCTGCAGGGCTTCTTTCTTATATTCATCCAAACTGATAATAGTCTCTTCAATCTTTCGCTTGTCTCTGATGACTGTTTTCATCATATTCTTGAGCGAAGCTTCCTTCTTCTCAACGCTGTCGATCATATTCATGACCTTGGGGTTAATCTTTTTCTTCATTCCCTGGAATCGTTCGGTCACATTGCGCAGAGACGCCTTGCACTCGGCGATGTTTTGGTTCTTGAAGTCGTATGGTGTGCCAGGGCGGCCAAAGCTATCTTTCTCCTCCGCGATCCATTCGTATTCGCTCTCCATGTTTGACACGAGCTGGGCAGCACCTTGTTGGTCCTTGTATACCTTTTCAAGCTTGTGGCCGAGTTTTTGCAATTCCAGGGCCTCTTCTGTTATTCGTGCAGATTTGGATTGCTTGGCCTCATCTAGGTCTCTAAGCTCATCATCGAACCTGGTGAGTTGTGCCTGCTCATCTTCAAGCTGGGCCTGGGCGGTATCATGGTTTTCCTACACAGCCCTACATTAGCATGTCTGTTTTTTTGGTTATAAAACTCCAGATCTCTCACCTTTACTCGAGCTTGTTCTTTGCCCATTTCCTCCAATTCCTCCATCTGAGACTTCAAGACTTGATCAGCCTCAGCCAATTGTTCCTCAGCTGTCGTCAAATCACTGCCGGCTTGTTCAGACTCGAGCCGCGATGCTTGGAGTTCCTTCTGGAGTGTCTTCACGGAAATGGAGTTTTTGCTCAGCGTTTTCTTCAACGTATTAAGGGAAGACTCGAGTTCGGCAAGCTTGCTGTCCTTGTTGTTGCTAAACTCATTCATGTCTTTCTCAATACGTTTGATATCCTTGGCGGCTTCAGCATGGCGAGATTTTGCATCTGTTATATCGTTCTTCAGCTGCGTTATGTTCTCTCTCATCTCCTCTACGGCATGAATGATCTAACGAAGAGTCAGCGATCTTTTCCATTAAAAAACGTCGACAGGTTGACTTACAGATGACGACGAGTTCCCATTTATCTGCTCTTCCGTGAGTTTAATTTCGTGGAGTTTGAGGTCAAGCTCCTGTTTTGTTGAGTGCGCGAGATCCATCTTCTTCTTTTCCCTGGCCATAGTATCTTGTAATATGTGAAGAGCTCTCTCTTTGGACTTCAATTCCATCATAATTCCGTTCAACTTCTGCAGAATAAGGAGAACACCGCTTGAATTTGGCGCACTACCACCTGACAAGGTTCCTGAAGGGTCATAAACATCTCCTTCAAGGGTCACGCTCTTCATGCGAACTGAAGGGTCAAAGGTGACTTTCTTAGCAGTCGCCGCATCATGGCAGATCAGCGTTGACCCGAACACATACTGCATAGCCGCAGTGACTTCCTCATCATATCCTATTAGGGACAATGCAAGATCTACCTTTTCAGGGGCCAGATCGGTTGCCGCCCCTATTTTTTCAGCCGATGCCTGGAATGCGGATATCTTGTTTAGCGGAATAATGGTAACTCGCTTTCGAAGTTTGCCGTTCTGCAAAAGCGCTGTTCCGGTTTCTGCGCTATCGACTACAACGTTGTATAGACGACCGCCGGCACAAATTTCTAGTGCGGTTGCTGCCTGAGAATGGTTCTTATCGAGGGTAAAAAGTTGGGCAACAAGACCCTTGACTTTAGACCTGTTGAAGTTGGGGCTAGGATCGGAGTAGTTGAAGTCGATGTTTGCAACTCTGCGTTTTAGACCATCGGCCTCGCCACGAAGTTCGCGTATGCTCCTCTGGAGATTTGACTCTTCTTCGTACATCCTTTCCTCCTTCCCAGGTTCAAATCCCTGTTTTGCAAGCTCTGCCTCGAGCTTTTGAGCTTGTTTCTTCAGAGATTCAAGGTCCTTTAGCAGACCTTTATTCTGCTCAGCAGCTTTCTTCGCCCGAGGCTCTTCCTCCTTGATGCGTTTTTCCAAGTGGGAGATTTTGAGCTTGGCCTGTTCTTGTTCCGTGGCAGCCGCACTGGCGCGATTTCTAGCATCTTGAAGTTGTCCCTGGTAGCCATTTTCATGGCCCTCTTTTGAGGCAACTCCTGTTTGTAGTGTCTGCAAAAGCTCCTCCTTCTGTTCCACTTCGGCGGTTTGAGCATCGAAATCTGCCTTGGCTTTATCATATTGCGCCTGCACCTTATCGTATATTTTTTTCTTATCTTTTAAAGTGGCTTGAACCTCAGTGAGAGCCTTTTCTGCCGCTTCTCTCTTATTAGATTCTTCGCCCATGCTTGACTTTTTCAAGTCAATCAATGTTGCTAGTCGAACCATCTCATGAGAGTAGCTCTTCACTTTATCTTCCAACGCTTGGAATTTGCCCCCTTTCCTCAATTCCTTGTCACGGGCCTCCTTGACCTTTTTCACATCCTCCTCCAGGTTCGCAATTTCTCCCTTCATCCTTGTAGCGTTGGCTTCCAAATCTTCAATTTTCTGTTTTCTTTTCTCAACCTCTTCCGCACTTAATCGCAGACGATCACCATACTTTAGATAGTCATGGGCAACAACCAGTCTCGTCAATCGTTCGAGGTCATTCTGCGTTTGTTGAAAGTCAAGGAACGCCCTTTTCTCCCCTCTTAGCTTCTCCAGCTTAGGTTCGATTTCCTCCTGTAATAGCCCCTCAATCTCTCGTACTTTCATCTCTTTCTTGGCCATCGTTTTTGCCGCTTTCTCCTTCCTATCCTCAAACATTCGGGTTCCGGCAGCTTCTTCAATCATTGCCAAAATCTCGACGGGCTTCATATTCAACACTTTCGTTATACGGCCTTGCATAATCAGAAAGTTTGGGTTATTTATATTTAATTGAACACTCTGAAAAAGATTCTGCACTGTTTGTTGCTGTGCACGGTGGCCGTTGATCAAGTACTTGCTTGTTCCACCTAGGACAATTTGCCTGGTAACCGAGATCGTAGCATATTCTTCAAATCCGATCGGCGATATCGACTTGTCGCGGTTATCGAAAACAATTGTGACGCTGGCTTTGGTGACTCCCGCCTGGCCTCGCTTATATATAAGATCTTGTAGGTTCTGAGCTCGAACGGTGCTCATATTGGTGATTCCTAGCACGAAACATATGCTGTCGAGAATGTTGGATTTACCACTGCCGTTAAGGCCGGTAATGGAATTAAAGGACTCATCCCTATGCCGTAGAATAGCAGAGTCAGTTTCGTAGACTCGTAACGTACTAATGGATGCGCATATAGCAGAACGAAGTAGTGAAGCAGACAATGCGCAATGATTGCTAAACGAATAAAGCGCGAGCTGGGCAACTTACCACCCAGATATGACCGTTCGCACCGCATAGGATTTAAACCCCTATTTAAGCCCAAACATTTAGCAAAGTTCAATCCACAGGCAGTTAGGCGTCTCCAATGCCATGGGCAAGTCGTCCACTCACATCTATAATAACTTCAACAATCCTCATCGTCGCGTTTGGGTTCGCCCCTCGCTACTTTAACAAGTGTGCTATTCCGACGAAAAGGTATTTCCAGAAGGAGCGCATTAAAAGAGGGAAACGTCGCGGATATTCAAATCAAACGCAGCGTTTTATCTCGTCCAGACGGTCGTTATGCGGTGTTGACATCGATTTTGGCCGTCGCTCAGCTTCGTGTATTTACTTTTGTCTCCTTTAGGCTAGAGCAAAATAGGTGACCTCATCTGTCACGTGATATAACCGCTGGACATCCCACTCGTTCTTCTAGTATAGGGAATAGTATAGGAAAAGGAGGAAGAGCAAATAGAGCAGAACTATCAGATTCATTATGCTAAATCCCCCGTTTTTCAGGATTGGCTACCCTACGTTACCCCCAACGCGACGTCTTTAAAAACCAGCACAACCAAAGATAACGCGGAAATGCTTTGGCTGATTACAGCGTCTGCTGATGTCTATAGTTCGACATTTCCCTATGTATATGGATACTCTACTGCTCTTCGCCAACCAGGGTCTCGCCCTCTCTGAGGCCTTCGACGACCAGCTCATGTCCCTCAGATCGGCGGTAGATATCTTGAACATCGTCTGTGGGCAAGTTAGCTGCATGTCTATAAAGTAGGCTTAAGGGTAGGGAGTTTACCGGTTGTAGTTTCAAAGTGACTTGTTGAGTCGTAGCTCTTGGAGATATAAACATGGTCGTTCTTGCCATCCTCGAGTGGCTCATAAAGCGGGATTGGGGGTCCCATGAACGTCTCTTCGATCTTGCCTAGACGGTCAAAGCCTGGCTGGAGCTCGAGATGATGGTTTGCTTCACCCTCGGCGATAGTTGAGACGATAGCAATGTAGTAACCCTTGGGGCAAACGTTGTGTGCAGATGAAACCATAGCAATGTAGATATCTTAAAAACGAGAGATTAGTTAAAAAGGTAGATTATGGAGGGGTGGAGGGGGTGAAATACCGTGCTTTCTTCCAACTTGCGACTGAGGGAGGATGAGTTGCAGGGAGTCGCTTTGGTCAGTCTTCTCAATGGGGTGGGTCAGAATGCAGATTGCCTTCAACAAGTGACCAACGACCTTGGCCTTGTGAGGGAAGTACGAGGGGTCGGCCAGAATTTTCTTAGTCTTGGTTGTGAAAGAGAATCCATCACCGGGCTCGCCTCGCTCCTTCATGGTGGCCTTGATACCAGAAACCTTTCCATCCTCATACTGAACCTCATCGATGTTCGTGTTCAACATATAAGTTCCACCGTGGATGGCAGCCAAACGGGCAAAGCCCTGTGGGAGCTCTCCAAGCCCGTAAAGTGGGTAGATATATGGAGATTTTCCGTAGCGAGCCATGGAGTTGACGTACAATCGGATGCGGTTGATAGTCTCAGCGGCCTTTCCGACCTGTGAGATGTAATCGTCAGACTGGTACAAGGCCATGGAATGTCCGATGAAGTCGCGAGTGGTGGCCTCGAGCTGGAACTTGTCATAGACATCCTTCATGGTACAAGTAGCCAGGTTGAGTCCTAGTAGTTTGTCAGATCATTGCCAGGAAACAGGGCGGTTTGAATAAGGGGGAGAGACTAACCTTGGTGAGTGGCGGGATCTTCCTCGTTGAACTCGCCCACCCATTCAAGGAACTTCTTTGCACGTCGTTTCTCAAACATGCCCATCAGAGAAGATCGAAGAGCCTCTCCAGCATCTGAGGGGACCTTGGCAACAGTGGCCTTTGGTCCATTGCCCTGCTGGACATAGCTGCCAGCAATCTGTCTGAATTCAAGGTACTTGGTAACCTCAGTTGAGACGAGGATGTTGGTCAATTCTCCATTCGACATGAGCAGTTTCGGGACCAGGTCGACATTCCAATCATTCACTCTGCCGTATTTCTCCCATGGCTTCTCTCCGGGCTTGACATCGCGGAATTTTCGAAAGAGCTGGCAGCTGTGTCAGCGTAGGCGGTATAAGCGTGGGTTTCTTTTTCCTTTGTACATACAGTTTCTATGTTGACGGAAGCAGCTTCACTATATTTATAGATCAGTAAATGTAACCACGGCAAAGACAGACACGGACTGGAATGCACGAACCCGCCATAGTGATCATTTCGGTCGATGTGGAGGACCTTCTGCCCCTTAACACTCAAAACGCTGTGTGCCGGTTATCTGCAGTTAGCATTCAAGTCCCCCAGCGTCACGAATAGAAGGTATTCGGGCCAGTTACCCTGAAAGAACACATTCCGTCAAGCCTAAAAGGAGCAGCAGTCAGTGAGTGAGACGGTCGAGCATGCGAAGGTGGGGTTCCATGTTACCTGTGCCCAGCACAATAACGTCATACTCTGGAGACATTTCCTCCATCTTGAGAGTTGTTTCTGGCTGAGTGGGAGAGATCGAGGTAGAGGGAGCTGAGCTACAGAGTGTTGAATATGGAGAGATGGCAGGAGGTGGGTTGGGGAGGTGAAATGATAGTAAACATGGATGCCGGTTGACCTCCTGCTAAAAGGTGCGCTAAGTACTTAGTTCGGGGCTATCGAAACGGCCACCAGCCAAGACCCAAACCCTGCTCTCCTGAACAACGAACTGCACAAGGAGAACACTCCGCACAGATAATAGCAAGCTTAACATGTCTTAAACGCTTGGGGCTTATGTTTCAGAAACATTAATTGTGAATTATATAGTAGTGTACATCATCGGCCACAGTGTATGTGTGCAGACGAAGGTTGTTATACATTTGTAGTATTGTACAGAGGGAGAAAGGTAAGAGCCATGATTCATGACACCTGGCTTCATGCAGATGCAGTGGGTTGACTTCTAGCCTTTGCTCCATCAGCGTTCAGGTCCTCGACCGGCACCTCTTCGGGCATCGCGTCCTCCTGTAGCTCGGCGGTTTCTAGGAGTGCATCCTGCTCCGGTCGATAACCGTCGTTGTACAGCTCACGGGCATCTGACCAGGAGTTCCACCGCTCTCGTAAAACATGCTTGATGTTGTTCTGTGTGGCCACGATCTGTAGTTCATGTCGAGTTAGCATGAGGCTACCAGGATACTGAGTAGGAGCAAGTAATAAGGTAGAGAAAGCAATAATCAGAAAGAAATTAATTCCCTGTTAGAATCATGTCGAAAGGGGTTTAAGCGGTCCCAATCGTGACTCATATCGGCGAGTGAAATGGGGTTCATCATAATGGATGCTTTGGGTGAGAGATAATAAAGGCCTTCTTACCGTCTTGTCCCGGTCTTCGGCCTCGTACTCGCCGTATCCAGCTTGTAGTCGGTCCCGTTCTAAATTGGATGTTGCAATTCGGTTACGTTCCTTCACACACACCCACCAGAGACAATGCAGGTCGTCCCATGATTTCTGGCGTAGTTCCTGGACAGTCCAAGAGCGGCCTATACAATGTCAGTAGGCTGCCACAACTCAATTGAGCAGCACAGGCTGAAAGAGAGCCATACCGTGTGCGTGTTCCTGCTCTGGAGTAGGAAAGTTCTCCTTGTTTGGGAGGAAGAATCCCCAGAGGCCGTGGTTTGGGTTGACCTCACGCGCCTCGTGCCTCACCGGGTCTTCTGGCGTTGGCAGCGGGTACTTTGAGGCAGCCAACCGATGTCTGAGACCGCTTCGATGGATAGCAGAGACTCCACGGAATTTGCTTCGGTCTTGGAAGGATGGGGAGGTTGAGAATTTGGAGGACTGCGAGAGGGTTATGAAGGGGGAATAGAGAGCGGGAGCGAGGAAGGGAGGAGGCAATTCGGCCAGCGAAAGCCCTCCATGGCGAGCCAATTGAGCAATTGAGACCTTTGGACGCATTGGAGCAGATTGAAGGAGTTCGATCTTGCTTGTTTGAAGAGAAAAAGAAGAATTTGAAGGAAGGAAAAAAAACTCAAACTGCGCTAAAGAAGGTAGTGTGTCATGTGATATCATGTGACCATCCCTGCAAAGACGAGAAGAAAGAAGAAAGGAAGAAAAGAACAAGATGATGAAGATGAAGATGAAGAAGAATATGATAGATTATAGATACTTCTAATAGTGGTTGGTTAGTTATAGAAGATAGTATTTCTCTATGTAGGAGGGATGACGGTGGGATACAGAACTTGGAGACATCTATATGCCTATATCCTATAAACGTGACTCTTCAGCAAGACTGTAGGTGGCTTCAGTCAGCTGGCAGGACTGTAGAATAAGATATATACCTATAGAATATAAGTGATATACCTATATCAGCCTAGATGTAGATACTTGGTAGTTTTAACAGTACAACACCCATTTGAAGATGGTCCGTGCATTTCGCGCTTGCTGAGCCAAAAGTCCAGCATCAACTCAGCCATCCTCAAGCTTGCAGAACACAATATCACCACCAGCAGCTCACAGATATTGCCATTGACACTGTGTTACAACTCACTTTCAGCCCCTTAGCACCGCGACCCTAACTTATAACCAAAACCTCCTCCAGCTTTTCCCTACCGAAACATCCAGCAGGTGGAACACGAGCTCTACCCATCAGCATGAATCGGCCAGGTGAGATACTCTTTATATTGGACATTACCACTGGGACAATCTATAAGATCAGTCTCAAGGCTGTATCAAGACAGTCCTTAATGTGCATTCAGCTTGCTAGCTACATTATATCTGCGGCGCTGAAATGTGCCACCAAATGATATCTCCGCACCCAGATGATACCTGCTGCATGCTATATATCAGATATTGTGTCGCAGGCAGCTCCTAGCTATACCCTAAGACTTTCTTATGACATATTTAGCTAATGGCTCTCTTTACTATTCTACAGGCCCGGGCCAACAGCCTATCCGCGGGATGTCAGGCTTCCCTACCCAGCAACAAACACAGAACCGCTCCGCAAACACCACACTATTGTCTGGACGGCTACCTAATAGTCAGATTGGTGAGGACAAGGGAATACCTGCGCCTACAATACTCTTTACTAAATTATTATTTCCTTGATAGGCGGCACATCCGCAAACTGGGGCTTTGGGGTACCTATGGGAGGAACGTCAGGACTGCAGAACAACCAGCAGAGGACGGTGAATCCCATGGGCTCATTTGCACAAAGCGTAGGCGGATCTCAGCCTGCTGCTCCTCTTGATCTCTCGTGAGTTGCACGCATCTCTCGGCACTGTCTTTGTCCTCTTATATCTCTTTTCTTCACCTTTCAAACAAGATGCTTCACTTGCAAGCTTCAACCTCCCTTGCACCAGTGTCGAAATCCTCAACATGAGGGCCGATACGAAGTTCGGCTATGCCGGACACCTCTACAAGGATATTGCGGATGAAAACGTGCTAACTCTCGATCTTACGTCTCTTAGCGAATTCCCCTCCCTCTCCAGCGGTCCGCAGCAGAATGTCACTCCAACCCCTGGGCAAGCTATCTGGGGCAGTGCCGGCCAGCGCACGATTCAGCAGAGTCTTGGACAGAGGCAGCCACAGGCTCCCGTACCTCCGCAAGCTCCCTCGAGAGAGTCACAGATCCAGGCTCAGCAATCGCAACCTCAGTCGCATGCGTCCCATGACGATCAGTTCCCCTCGACAACGCAGTTCGTCACGCAGCTTGATGATTTCCGGAATGGCGTTCAGGCCATGGGACAAATCTCGAGTGGAAACCAACCGCAAGCCGGCAACGTTGACGACTTTCCACCCCTGAGCAAACAGTCTGATCAGAGCGGGGCGGTTGGGAATTATGCCGGTTCTATGGGATTCCCTGGGTTCTCTACTCAAACGCGTTCCTCACTCGGAAATCAACAAGACACGGGTAGAATAGCTTCACCTGGAGGTGCCGGTGCATCTGGTAAGTGGTAACAGTCTAATCTAATTTGTTTTGATTATATATGCTAATAGGTTCCAAAGGCACGTCAGTACCGCGGTTACCAATTGGGCAGAACCAGAATGGTATAATTGGGCAAGATCACGAGGTAACTATATGATGTTCGCTCCTACCTATCTTCAGACGCGTTCCTTAGCTAACTAGACATGCAAGGACAACACTCAATCATCCATGATGAGCCAACGCGGCATTGACCAGATGCAGCAGCAGAGCGCAAGCCAGATGCAGCCCTCGCGCCAGCAACAGTCACAGGCGGATAACGAGAATCATGACCCTTCACGGGCTAGCCAAACCACTGAGCAAACCCCCCTCTCTCAGATGAGTGAGCAGGATCGATTCGGGTTAGCCGGCCTATTACGAATGATACATAGTGACAGCCCAGACGTTGCGAGTCTTGCAATCGGTCAAGATCTAATGAGCCTTGGATTAGATCTAAATCAGCCAGAGTACGGATTCCCCGTTTGTTACGCGTTTCTAAACCAATATGGCGCGCGCCGTGGTAGCTGCTAACCATTTTATTCCATTTTTGAACAGACCGTTGCATCAAACCTTTGCATCTCCATTCATCTCATCCAATGTGTCAGTTCCACTGCGGCCAGATTTCACGCTCCCCGGCTGCTACAACGTGGCCAATGTCCAGCCCCTGCAAAGCCGTATACCCAGCTTCAGCGATGAGACTTTGTTCTACATATTCTACAGCATGCCACGTGACATTATGCAAGAGTTAGTCGCAGAGGAATTAATGGGAAGAAAATGGCGGTACCACAAGGTTGAACGTGCATGGCTGACTCGCGACGATGCGTACCCAAGTCCTGTCGAGGTGGAGAGAGGTATCAGCGAGCGCGGCGTCTACCTGTGGTGGGATACCAACACATGGAAGAAAGTCCGAGTAAGTGAATATCTATTAGACAGCTTTGAAATATACAGCAGCTAATCTAACCATGCTTCAGCGCGAGTTCATTCTACGATATGCTGATCTAGACAACCGCCTCGACCCCGGCAGAAACTTTGTACGAGGAATGCCATTCCCTCAAACCACATGAGAGGACCAAACCACCGGAAAGAAGAGAGAACCTGAGAGTTACGAATGTGTATGATGATTTCAACTGCATGTTTCCTGGCCAGATACTCATCTGAGGATGATTAGCATCTTACCAGGCTGAAAAAGGGTCGTACTATAGGAATAAACTCTTGTAGATAGCTCAAATGAAAAAAACGGCTTTGAACGACTGCATCCACCGTGACGCTATATGATATTCTCTTTATATAACAAGGGCACCTCCAGAATCCTCTAATATGTATCCTCTATAATATGCCTGCCCGTTCGATCCCATGAACCCATACCCATAAACCACATCACAGCACCGCCGAAGCATCCATCGGCGTGCTAGCCTTATCATGATCGCCCAAGACAAGTACCTGGTTCGTATCCGTCCGACGAATATCAGCTTTCAACAATGCCAGTCGTTTCCCAGCCTGAACGAGTTCACAATTGATAGAGATCTCCGTCCCTTCTGGCGCAGGGCGGAGGAAAGTCATATTCAACGACCGACTAACGCCGCCCATGGAGAAATGCCCGCCCATCCCAAGCAGTAACGTCGTAGTAGCGACATCGACCAGCGTTGTAGCACACCCGCCGTGCAAATTGCCTAGTCCATTGCACATTTCGGAGGCTACTGTTGCAATATATGTGACGCGGGCTGGGGGGCCGTGGCTCGCAGAGCCAAACCGAACATGCTTGCGGAACAAGTTACTGTCGTAGCCCTGGGGAATAGTAAGCATAGAACTGCTGTCGTCATATATATGCTGTGCGCAATATACCACGGAGGATGACCAGGGGACATACGATATTTCTAGGATTCAGGACAATGGCATCATACATCTCCTTCATACGCTCTTCGAAGTCATCCGAGCCCGCCATGGTATATAATTGATAGCCCGACAGATATATACAGCAGAATAAGCGATCTCCAGGCAGAAACCAGAAAACGAGGTCGTGGTCAGCTCCTTCGTGTTAATTTATAGAGCTACCCAGGGCAGCCGAGGTTAGAACAGTTCTAAGTTCTTTTCTATATAAGCCCCGTCCCAGCAATAGTCCATAGAAGTTATTCAGGTGGCCATCTAGCACAGAGTAAAGCAGTACGGAGTAGATATCTCTGAGCTGGCCAAGTGTGGAGATGTATCAGCTGCGTGCGCGTTGAGCAGGAGATACATAACTATGGCTGCTCAGGGCTAGTGATGACTGCTTCTTTCAACATATAGGTTAACAGCACACTCAAACTGACCCATATAGCATGAAGAGTAGTATCTATCATGAAGAGTATCCCCGAGTACAGAAGAAAGAAGAAAGAAAAACTCGAGCTTCAAGTCGAGCAACACAAGCTGTATATCACGTGACTGATATTGTTCACTTTTTGCGAGTTCAAAACGAGCTTCAACTTTGATATCTCCAGCCTTTTAGCCAGAACAGCTTCAACACAGCGCACACTCAGCACATTATACCCTCTACGGCCGCATATCCTGTTACGATACCTAGACTGCAAGTGAAGAGGAGAAGGAGACACCCAACACACCTTGCTCGCCAACATGGCGAGCTCAGACCCAACCATCTCCGACTCCCTACTCGCCCTCAAACGCGCACTCTCCTCTCCATCCAGCACACCGGTTCTGACCACATCTCCCGATCTCTCAACAGACCAAGCAACAGACGACATCTCCAAAGCCACACATCTCTACCTGACCGAGCCGATTCCGCAGACCATCCCGCTCTCGACCCCAACGCGCTTCGTCTCGGCGGCAGCCAACCAAGCGATTGATCTGCGAAGTATCTATTTCGCGTGGCTGAAGAAGGATGTTGCGATTCCAGAATACATTGCCTCTGCGCAGGAGGTGAATGATGCGCTGGCAGGGTCGGCGAAGGTGTTGAATCTTGTCTTCGTTGAGAAGGTGGATTTGATCAGTTGGCTTGAAGGAGCGTCGGATGAGAGCGAGTATATTAAGCCGTTTGAGGGAGGGGTGGGTGCTGGTGATTTGCTGGTTGATTCTGGCGCGGCGGCCAGCGCTGCTGCTGCAAAGGATGCGGATGTGTCTGCTGGTGCGGCGGCGGCGAGTGCACCGAGTGCGGGAGTCAAGGGTTCTGCGGCCGGTGGTAGGGCAGCAAAGAGTGTCGATGCGCGGTTACAAGCTATATACAACGGCGAGCGCAAGCTGGGAGACAGGAATACGGTCCTGAGAGGAATTCGACCAACCGTAAGCCATTCCAATACGGCTGGACAGTCCAATTGGCATGTATAAAGCTAACAAGCAGACATTAGGACTTTTCGCATATCCGCAAGACAGCAGAGCTATTCCTAGGCCGTAACCGGTCTCGTCCACTCGGCAGCAACAAGGCAGGCGGCAAATCAGCCATCCTCCCCACCCCCGGAGCAGGCTCTCTCTCTAAGAAATCCCCCGACTCCAGTTCCTCCTCATCCCGCCGACCCAACCCCATCATTCTCGTCTCTCCGTCCGCCTCCTCACTACTACGCATGTCGAACATCAAGACCTTCCTATCAGAAGGCGTCTACATACCACCAGACCATCCCTCCCTCTCGAAATCCACGGGCTCTAACCTCCTACACCTCTCACGAAGCCTACAGACGATACCTGACGCGTCTCGATCGTCCTCGACGCCATCAACCCACCCCGGCGCCTCCTCGGCTGCGCGGAAACCCACCCTCTTCATCCTCGTCGATAGCACGGCCGACTTCAAGCCTGATTACTGGAACAGAGTTGTGGCGGTGTTTACGACGGGCCAAACGTGGCAATTCAAGTCGTATAAGTGGTCAACGCCGCAGGATCTCTTTAAGCATGCTACCGGCATACATGTTGGGTGGAGGGGAGAGGAGCCGCCGCGGGAGGTTAAAGGGTGGGGTCGAGGAGTACGCAGCTTCGCAATCGATAGATGGGATGAGAAGAGCGCGAATTTGAACGGCCCTGGTGCCGTTGGCGGTGCAGCTGCCAGCGGAGCGAGATGGAGAGACCGCGGTGTTGTCGAGGGCATCTGGTCAGCTATCGAAGAAGGCATGAAAGCCCGCGGATGGGGAGGGTCAAAGTAGGCCCCCCTTCCCCCCTGGTCATCGTTAGTATCTTCAGCATCCCGTCAGGCCGGTTCTCCATGTGGTTTTTTCCTGATCTTTTATTCCAATTTTGTATTCTATTTACCGGTCATGTCAGGTCAGGTCGTTGCTGTATTTTCTTCCTCGTTTTGTTCGCCGGTCATAGAATTAAGCAGAGGAACTGGATACCAATGAAACGCATCCTCGCGCACGGCTGACGTAGATATCATTTATTACAACGTGGAACCGGCTTCAGCTGTGCATGAAGGTAGAGACTCCGCATCCCGTATAGCAGCCGCATATATTAACCGCCAAGAGGAATACATCAACACTCGCCACTTTCTCTATCCCTATCTCTATCCCTATCTCTATCCCTATCTCTATCCCTTTCTCTTTACCTTTCTCTTACTCCGTACCTCTATCTCTTTATCTATCTCCCTCCCTACACACATATATACAGCGTATATATATACTCTCTCTCTACGGGGTATGTGTGTATGTAGTACGTGTGAGCGGGAGGTAAAGGGGCTGCAAGTGCCGAGCTCGTGGCCCATGGAATGATCAGCGACGATCGCGACCCGAGCCAGTAACTCCAAGCATCATCCATGGAACCCGCAAAGTCGATATACATTCAATACTTCCCTTGCTCCATCTTACTAAGTTCGTAATGCCATAACTACAATACTGAAGTAAATTTCATAGCCTCGCATGTAAGGAAGGCAACGCAAGTGGAGCACAACTAGAGTGAAGATATGGTATATTTTTCTCATTCATGGCCGTCGCTTCGCTAAGGGGGACATGATGGTGCTGTGCTATGCATGCGATGAAAAGTGTATCAGATAGACCGCCGCCAGCCTGCTATAAACCGTAGAAATAGACCGAGGAAGTAAGGTGGATGTATAGAGGGAGGTATGGAGGTAGAGGTGGAGGTAATAGATATTAGCATTAACGAGCGAGCGAACGAAGAAAACGAACAAATGGAAAAGAGTAAATGGTAGATAGATAGAAGTAGATACGCCATCCAAATGCTTTCTTTAGTATGTCATCTCAGTAAGTAGGAAACCTCTCCGCCAGATCCAGATGTAGTAGAGGTAAGAGTAAGAGTAAGAGTAAGAGTAAGAGTAAGAGGTAGGGTATGTATGTATAAGAGGGAAAAGCGACCAATCGCTCAAATGTCTATCACTAGAAGGAAATAGAAGGTAAAAAAGGATATAATAAAGAGAATAAAGGCATGACAATGAAGATGAAGAGAAGAGGAAATTCGTAAAGTCGGAAGAAGAATATTTTCTAGAAGGCGGATGCGGATGCGGATGAGAGGAAGAAGAGATGGAGTCGAAGATGCAAATGCATTGAGTCGGGGATATATTTTTTAGGTTCGCCGTCGCCAGTCGCCGTTACCGTCTATGGTTTTGGTCGCGGAGTGAAAATGTCAAGTCAAGCCATTATCTATTGAATGTTGCTGTTTTTCGTGCTTTTTGTTTTTCGTGCGTTCTTTGGGTTCGTTCTGTTTTGCCCGTGGCTATATATATGTGTTCGAGCTGGGTTCTATTCACGGTCGCGTACCCCGACTCATCGACCGTTCAGGCAAAAGGGTAGGCGAATATGACCTTCCGCTTGTCGTCGGGTTAAGGTCAAAGTCATGTTCCTGCAAAACAGCCGCGTACTTCGGATCCCGGGCGAATTTCGGTACAGAGTCCTAAATTGAAGCATATTTAGCATTTTGTTTCGGCGAGGCGAGGGTTTAATATGTAGAAAGTGTAAACTTGGTATTGGCTTACCGATGACATGAGCTTGAATACGGATAGTTGCGCGGCTTCGAACAGCTGGACGACGTCCATTAGGGATTTGACCATCGATGCGTCATCGCCTACTGCGCGGGTCATGCGGCTTGCTAGGCTGTTGCGTAGGGCGTGGTCGATATTTAGCTCGCATGGCGAACCAGGTGCCAAAAAGGCGTTATACAATCCTGCATTCGTTAGTATGTGGGTGCAAGGAGGGAAAAGAAAAAAGGTAGTTGGTTTCAGGATGATTGACGTACCGTATGCACTGGCGAGAGTTTCCCGAACTGTATCCATCTTCGCGAACGCCCCCGCCTTCTCGGCCCGTCGATAATTGGCGGTGAAGTCAGACACGTCGAGGTAGAAGGACATGTTCTCCTCACAGAGCGAGTATCTCAGGAACTCTCGGAATAGTAGCCGCAGAGCGGGATCTTGGATGATGTGATGTAATCTTGCGTTGTTCGAATCCCGTGGCGGCGCTGCGGTGTTGGGAGTAGAGTTTGACGAGGAGGTCGACGAGTTCTGCGTCCGCTCCCTTGCTATCCATCCACATACCCGCTGACCGTGCTCTGACACTCCGTATATTGCGTTCTTGGTAGGCTGGAAGAGCGATGCCGAAGGGTCGTGGGCGATGTATACCTTGTCCTCGAGAAACGGCGTTATCAGACCCTGGCGGACGAAGAGAGAGGCAATCTCCATCGTCTCCCGTCGGTCTATGGTGGTGCAGCAGTCCATCAGCCACTCCATGGCCGCCTTTCCGGTAAAAGTGTTTTGATACAGTTTATCTCCAATCTTGCGTTCGCGGGCCATCTTGACGCCCACGACGCCATTGGTGTAGTCTGACACCGAGTCCGAATCTGAGGACGAAACGGACGACTTCAGGTTGGGCCCGTCCTGGCCGGCAAACCGACGGAAGATGACTTCGATGGTACCCTTGTCGTTTGAGATCTGATCGGTGATGCTATCCCGCTCCATGATGACGAGCTGCATGGTGTTTCGCGGCGAGTCGATGATGTCCATGATGTGTCTGGCGGTGATGCCGTTTCGCTGGCAGAAGCGGTGGAGGATGTTGATGCCCTTGGGAGTGAGCTGGTAGAGGGCACCCTTGAGCGGGAACTGGGAGGAGAAGCGGCCGTCGACGGACTCTATGAAGCGAGCGTCGACGAAGCGCTGGCAGACGCTCCGCGCCATCTCCTTGGCCATGGAGAAGGTGGTTGTGGTGGTAGTGGTGACGATGCGGGAGGGATCCTTGGGGTCGGGCATGCGGTTTGACTGGGAGAACTTGAGGGAGCCGAGATTGTTGATGGCCTCCTCCGCGGTGAAGGTGTGTTCGAACTTGGAGAAGCGGACGCGGTGTGTCTCGAGCTTGAGGCTGACCATGAGCGTCGAGAAGAGGTCCTTGAAGTCCCGGGTGAAGGGTCTGTCGTCGGTGGTCATGCGGAGGAGACGAGACGACGTCTGATGCATCTTGGAGGCTGGCTGGGTCATGTCGGGGGAGAGCGAGGGCCTGTCGTCGGACTCCCAGCTGTCTGGGTCGCGGAAGGGGTCCTCTTCTACCTGGTGGTGCTGCTGCTGTAGATGTTGATGCTGCTCCTGCTCCTGCTCCGGCAGCGACTGTTCGTGCTTGTTGTATGAAGTGTAGGCGAGGTTGAAGGCGGAGGAGGTCTTCTGGATGGCAATTGCAGCCAGCGAGCGTCTCGAGGCGCGGCTGGGGTGGGAGTAGACCTTGTGGCCTGGCCGGTGAACCTGGATGTCGTCGAGAGGGACGTAGGGCCGGTGCTTGAGCTGTTGGTGGTGGGCGAAGGAGTTTGATCTGTCAAGCGCAGGCCTGCTCATTGAAGTGGCCTGTGTAGAGTAAAGTGTAGAGTAGTAGTAGTTGTTGTAGTAGAGCGAGAGTCGTAGTAGTAAGTGAGTAACGAAGCAAGTAAGAGAGAGAGAGAGAGAGAGAACAGGGAGAGAAGGCTATCTGATAAGGCCGACGGGCGAGGGCGAAACAACGTGGTGGAAACCGCAGAAAGAAGCCCGCCAAGCCGGTATCGTATCAAGCCCCGGTAAGTCTCGTACCCGTATCTTTCTGCAGTACATACGTGACCGTACGCCTGACGAACTCGTGGGCGCCACGCGGGCAGAACGTGGCATTACATACATACACACCGTACCGTACATACCATACACCTATATCTCTCTACACCTACTCTACACTTACTCTCTCTCTCTCTCTCTCTCTCTCTCTCTCTCTCTCTCTCTACACTTATATCAACACTTATATCAACACTTATCCTCTCCTCCAGTGAGTACTTAATAATGATGAAACGGCTGAAACAGACCCGCCGACACCAGCCAGGATGACCATGCTACGGTGTGATCGGTGCCTGTCAGAACGTGGCCACTAGCTCTTACTAGCCTCCCCTTGCCTGGACCCTCTCTTGGCTGCTCACCCAAACTTGCTTCTTCGTCCGTCGTCCCCCGTCCTTCCGCCCTCTTATTTCCCTTCTCGCCTTCTTTTCTTCTTCTCGCGTCTCTCTGTCTCTCGCCGTCTCTCTCTGTCTCTCTCGACTTGTCTTTTGTATTGCTGACTAATGCGGCCCAACTCCGCTCCCTCCGCCCGCACGTGGTCTCACCGCCTAAGTAAGCGAGCCCAACACGTGGCTTCTTACCGCTAGTACTTTACCTACTTACTTACCTACTTACATACTTACCCCTTAACACTTACACTTACACTTACACTTAGGCTTAGGCTTCACTAGGCTTCACTTAGATACACTACACAGGCTTCACATACACAGCCGATCGAGACTATCCGGTCTGACCGCAAGCGAGGACAAAAGCAACGACAAAAGCAACGACAAAACGTGGAAGAAATCTTATCCCACGTTCTCCTTTTCCCTTTCTTTTTCTAGTACGAGCCGTCTACAGGGTAAGCGTGTAGTAATATCTTAGTGATGCTCGCCACGGACGAGGTCGTGTGCGTGGCTTGCAAGCCGTGTAAGGCTGACCCTCCCAGCGCGGAGATCAGACCTGGATATAAACATCGCGGGCCCAAAGAGGAAAGGAGAAGAGGAGGTTTAATCGGAGCAAGGCTGAAGTCTCGCCTCTTGCACTTATACATCCCTAAAAATAGTCATCTTATTCTACATATCAACTCTGACCTGTTCGATGTGTTATGTGTTCTGCAGGTCCCTTACCAGCACGCCGGAGCAGCCCCACGCCATGTATTGACCATGTGTCTTCCATGTGCCATGCACCACGTAGAGATGAAACACGCTCTCTTCCTTCTTCTCTTCTCTTCCTGTCCAGTGGAGTCCAGGCGGCTGTTTCGGACGTCCGGATCTTCAACGGCGGACAGTCGGAGGATAGCTATAAGTATAAGGAGTGTCCGGAGCTGACCGGCACAGGTGCAGGTAATGCGTTACATATCTCCGTCCTGATATACCCTTCCCCTGCTTCTGCTCGGAACTGGATCAAGGCCGACGGTCCTGACAACCTCGTTAAACATGCCTGTCTATTATTTTATCAGATGATGCTACTGGCACCCATATAATAAGATTGTCCGCCTTCCACATGGTGCCCCTGTCTCTCCTTCCACTCTTCCGCGCATACAACTATACAACTATACAGCTCAAGTATGCCATGACTCGAGACTGGTGGCGGTAAGCGTGCGCGATTTATCTTCTATATTATCTTCTCATAACTTAGTCTCTTGACTCGTGCAGAAGGCTTCGGGAGTACAGAGTATGTCATTCTAGATCATGGTTGACGACAACTTTGATAGCCTGGCCGCCAGAGCTGACATCTAACTGGAGCATCTGGTGAGAGAAGTCTGGACAACTCTACGGAGTACGTATGCAGGTATACTCTCGGTCTAATCTGCCCCGGCCAGCCCCGACGCATACTCAATGTTGGACCTGCCTATCTGGCTACGGACTACTCTCCTGTTCAACCCTGCAGTGAACTCTTCTAAAGCGACGATACCAAGAAATAGCTAGAGACCAGCAGGAGCTCCACGATTATATCCTACGTGCTGTGCGCTGTCTCGGGATGGAAGGCCGGGAGTTCAGCCTATACGTGCCGTGTTATGGGTTTCATGGCGGTGCAAGGGTGTCAGATTGATAACACGCAAATTTGTCGGAAGATTTCACGACCCAACAAGTTCACACACATATTCACCCTGCGTTGTTCTCCCTTCTTCCTCGGCTTGCAGGGCTCATCCTTGCGTCTCCAGGCCTTGGTAAACACAGACAGGGCGATAGGGCCTTGGCCGGCACGCTGAATCATCGCCGACTAAGAGCTCTAGCCCGCTCTGAGGCAAACAGCTGGATGATTGATCAGCATTCAAAAAAAGGCGCTTCAAGATCCCTTGATATAACATCTCATATGCACTGCTGCACACCCGAAACCTACCAGCAGATAGTGATCATTTCCATGGGGGTCTCACAAACGCCTCCTATCTGCACTCGGCTTTTCTTCGGAGCGCCAAACGGGCACCGCCGACCGCCACGAAAGAGATACAACCAAAACAGAAAAAAAACCAAAAATCTAGGCGTGGCATGACGGCTGCATGCAGCATCGTGAATAATCAGCAACCCTTGCAACGCATGTTTGAATGTATCGCATCGGGCGGCTGCTTGTTTGATCCACAGTTGGGATGCCAGTCACTCTTTTTTCTTCCCCGTACGTATAAGACGGCCGTTAATCACCCTCCCCGTCTTCCCCTGCATCGGACGAATAGGAAGATCCAACAGTCCAGCCATCATCAGCAAGGGAAGATGGAGAAGGGAGGGGGCCCTTTTCTCCTTCCGTCCCGACGACAAGGTCAGGAAGACGAGACTGATTATAATACGCATATTGGATGCCTGCTGCATCACACAAGTATACTTATGTATAATGCGCCTTTACAGGGACAGGGCAGGCAGAGCAAGCCCATGGGCAGCGCCAGGGTCAGAGACAACGCAAAACCAGAGCTTTTCGCGAAACTTGATTTGACAGACACCCCGAACTTCGAAAAAAATTCTTTTGCGCCCACCCTCCAATCCTCCAAGATAGGCTTTAATGCGAGGTATGTGCTGTCGATCATTCAACGATGCCTGTCGGCTCCAGCGCCCTGCGAAATACCACGCGGTGTGCGTATCTACCACTTACTTCTGCTTGTTTAGTGCTAGTTACGGACATGCATCTCATCACATCTTCTTTAGACGCCATTTTATTTATACTCTGACCAATGCAACTTACCCTGACTTATATTGGCGTCCCGGATCGAAGGCCGGCAGTCAGCTAGCGCCCCCTTTGGACGCCTTCTAAGATACAGAACGGCCGGCGGAGGAACCAAGAGCTCGTCTCGCTCGTCTCTGACGCAGCCAGGGTGGGAATTTGTCATGATCTCAATTTTCTGACCTGCGCTAGGGCTACGACTTGCTCGCTTCTTGTTTGGCTATCGATGTGTTTTGACGGTGGCTTGACGATCAGAGACGTGGGAAGATCCTCAAAAGGCACATGTCGGTGACTCAAAGCCACGCGTCAATAAGATGATAAATAAGATGATGAATAAGATGGAACGCTTCAAAGGGCCGGATCGCTCATCGCTGCTAATCGTTCGCCGAGAAGGGTGATACAATCCCTCAGAGCTGAACTCTTGGCCGACGCGCTGGCTGGATGCATGAGTTCTCTTAGGCGGCTCATCCCAGCCAGTTTTGAAGGATTATTGGTCGAAATAATTGGCTTTTCCAAGCCAGAACAGACACGTTCCATTGAGTTTTCATCATCCAATATTTATGGGGAAAAGGTCGCCTTAACTAGCGCTTGGATGTACAGATTTTCTGGTTCATCGTGGCTGGGGTGAAGAAGAAACGAGAGCGAGGGAAGGGCAAAAAAAAAAAAGACTTCCAACTAGGCCATCTTTAGAGCGTGGAAAAATTTCTATCTTGGGCATTGCACTAAAAGGGATGATCTGAAAATCCAAAACTTCATCTTCTCCTTGTGGTAGCCAATGGCTGGGGGGGTATGTATACTTACATGTGTCATGTACGTATGTGACCGACCTGAAGTCATAATCGTAAATACTGTACTACCTGTATTCTGTAAATCACGAATCTTCAGCCAGTATCACGTCTAATTAGATCTCATCGGTTGCAGTTATGGTATTGAAGGGGCTATCCGTCTCTCCACCATCTCCCCAGCGCACCCGCTCCGCTGGTACCTAGAGCGGAAACGGCCTCTTCAAAGGACACCTCTACCCGGAACATCTTCCCATCTCCCATACCATAGCCGCTGGCCGGCATCACAAGGCCCCATTCCACAAGCTTCTCCCAAGCTTCCTTCGCCGATTCTTTACCCCATACACGTCCTGGAGTAGCGGCTGCGCCTGAAGCTGAGGCTGATGCCTTGGCAGACGTCAGTAGACGGACGTACTCTGTATATACGGCCGGGAAGGATAGCGTCAGCGATGCTATTGCCGGTGCACTGCCTGAGTTGGAAGTTGGCTCATGGAGGGCAGTCAACCGGGTAGCAGTAAGGAGCAGGGACAAGGGTAGTGATACATTGCTTGTCGAGCCGGATAGCTGGGTGAATGGAAGCGGTGCAGGATCTGAACAAGCGAGCGTGCTCGACTTGAATGATTTAACGCTGGGGACCTCCGGATAACCGGATGCATGGCTAAGAGCTAATGTGGTTATGGGGACTAATGCGCTAGAGAAGAACTCTTTGGGGCATTTTGTCGTATAATATATTTGCTGGAGATGAGATTTAAACTCTGCATCGTTGAAGAGGTCCTGCATTGTCAAATGCATTAGTAGGTCGCTCGCTAGTGATAGTATGGGTGATATTGAAAAACAATTAAACATACCTGAATATAACTGTTCCATCCCTGAAGCAGGACTTCCCCTTTGGCAGCCAGCAGAAACGAGGAACTCGACATCTCGTCCTTCTCAACCTTTAGACCCGCCATGCAAATATCTATAAAATCATCAAGGCTCCTAGGACGAGGTAGAAACGTATACCGGTGGCTGAACCGGCTCTTCACTCGCTTCTCTAGGTTCTCAGTAACGTCTACCTTGGTAGTCAACCCCAGCACCGCAACAGGCGCCTTCTTCGCCTGCGCAATATCAAACAGATTATACAACAACGTCTGCCGAGGATGGTACGAGAATAAATCAAACTCATCCAAGATAATAATCACAGATTTCGTAGTGGTTATTTCATTTGGATCCAGCGATGGACCCGTGATTTCTTCCGGATGAGATAAAAGCGCCAGCAACGAGGCCATAGTATCTGCGTAGCTGGACGGTTTCTCTAAATCTTCCTGTGGTCCTATCTCGCGGCCTAGCTGCTGCCATATTTCTCGCAGAGCAATTTTATCATCCGTATGTAAGAAGCCGTTTAGTCGGACGACGTGGAAATCGTCTCGATTCGACTTTGATAGGGAGGCGATCGCTGTGTTGACGAGGGCCGTTTTGCCGCTTCCTCTTGCCCCGAGGAGGAGGAGGGAGTTTCCTTCGCCTGCCACGACGGTCTGTTCGAGGAGTTGGAATACGGTCTGGTATTCATTCTCAAGGCCCTTGAGTGGTATAAGGCGTTTCCCGTTGAGTTTCTCCAGAATGAATTTCCCCAGGGGTTCGAGTAATGATTCGAGCCCGTTCTGCTCACATAGTGATATGAACTTCTCAGCGTATGCTGTTGGCTTGATACTTTCGACATCGGTCAGCTCTCCACGAAGCTCCTGCTGTAATTGTATAGCTGCATCGTTTGCAGCTAACTGAGCAGTAATCGCCAGCTCGTCCTGTTCACGATCGCTCGGCACGTCCCATACACCATTCACATCATGGCCATCTTGCCTATCCGCGCTCAAGCTTGATTGGGCGTCCGTCTCTTCTTTCAGCTTTTGCGCAGCTGTAGATTCCTTCTGTCCTGGTTTCCGCGGTAGCTTCTTAGCTGACGGTGGAGGGTCTTTAGCCGTCTTCGTCTTTCTTGCCCTCTTGGTTGCTCGCGGTGTTGCTTGGGTACTCTCGTCTTCCACGACTTTTGGCCTAGGTGGACCGGCAGATGTGCTCAGGACTGAATTGCCAGTGACTGCTATCCTTGCGCTTCGTCTGGTTGATCGTACTGGCGAGACATCCTGTTTCTCCTGCGCCGGCTCCGCGTTCGCGTCTCCTTTCTCTACCGGTTCAGCGGCATGCTTTGTACCCTTGCGCGGTTTTCGAGTTCGGACTGTTGGGCTTTTGCCGGCGTCAGGCTCTGGGATAGCGTTAGGATTGGAGTTGGGCTCGGGGTCGGTTTTCTGGTTGGATACTCGTCTTCGTTTTGAGGGGCGAGAATCGGCGTCCATGGCGCGGGTGAACCGTTAAATGGGGCGTGATTATGGGTATAGGACTGTCTAGAGGTAGGTCATCGTTTCATTGATCGCTGTAACAGTTCTTGTTTGCCTTTGATGGAGCTTTCGTCTTTATTTACATCAAAGTAACCCTCGAGCTCGCTTTTGGAAGCTCTATGTCACGTGAGAGAATAAATGAAAATAACGTTAAAACGTTCAATCAATAGTAACGCGGATATAATATAGATATAGATATAGATATAGATAGATGGATGGAAAACGATAACAACTCTTTCAATAACATTGTACGCAGACATGCATACTCGAAACAACCACGCTGCCAACAAAACGAAACCAGTCAATCAATTGAAAGTCAACGTCTTTCCCTGTTTGTTGGTTCCAGATCGTCCATCCATCAATCATCGCCTTGCAATTGCGCCAGGTAAAGAAAAGGATAGAAATAATTTTACACAGTCGTAGGAAAGGAAGAATGTTAAGATCGAGAACAGGTAATTGAAGAAACGGGAAACGGCGTAGGGGTTGGGGGGAGATTAGGGCGTGGAGCGGATAAGAATGAACAAGCAGAAGCAGGTAGGTGAATCGAAATCAACCGCCGACCAAAATTGTTAAAGATAAGATAGATAGATAGATAAAACGTTTCGAGTCAGGGGGAAGGAAAGATAGAGAGAGGGAGGGAGGGAGATAGGAAAACGGTAGAACGGAAAAGGAAATAACCCATAGAAACCAGAACCAGCACCAGCACTAGAAACTAGCGCGTTTCGCTTCCCATTAAAAGAAGAACTATCCCTTATACGATCCGAGAAGGAAAAGTAGAAAGGGAGATAAAAAATGAGATAGAGAGAAAGAGATACCCCCGATCCTATTTGGAAGGACAATAAAGAAAATCAAACAAACGAAAAGAAGAAAACGCCATTTTACCCTCCCATTTCAAACCAGATCGAATACCGGAAACGATATCACTCGACACGAGACGACATACGACAATGTCCCCAAAAAAGTATAAGAATAAGATGCTCCCTAACCGATCCGGTACGGTCTTTCTTTCGCTCACTTCACGTGGGAGGGGGATATATAAGGGGAGGGGAAATATATGAGGGAGGTAAACCGCCAACTCAACCTGTGTAGGAGGTAGAATATAATAGGACGGCGGGTCTATCGTTATCCGCGATCAAGTAGTCTTGGATCCCGCGAATTTAGACCATGCGCTGCATTCGACTTGTTGTTGCTTGTGCCGCCGTTGCTTGTGGGATCGGCATGTGGTGGCGGAAAGATGGTTGACGGAGAATGGGGAGGGTCTTTCATGAAGATGTCTACCGACGTGGGATGCCCCTGTCCATGTGTCTGGCTCTGGCTCTCAGTGAACTTGGTGAAGGGAAACTGTGTCGTGGGACTTGGGTCCGCACTACCGGTCGACGGGGCGGGACTAGTCGTGCTGGGCAGAAATGGATTGGGTGCCTTTTCTGTTGTTGGCGTTGTCAGAGTCCCACGACGGCTCATGTAGTCGTTTAGACTTAGTTTCTTCTTCACGGGGCTGGGAGCTGTGAGGTTCGAAGTCGCAGTGGACGTTGATGTGGACGTTGATGTAGGGGGTGGAGCTGGGGTGGTGCTGGTCTGCAAGTTGGACGGTTGAGGCGATTTTGTGGCTGCGATAGGAGGGACGGGTTTGGATGTCGTCTCTGGAGAACTTAGACGGCCCGTTGGAGGCGGGAGGTGTGGTGGTGGAGGAGGAAGAATGGGCGAGCGTGTAGTATCCTTGGTTCCCTTGTCTGGTACCTTGCGAGGCGTTGGCATGTTGTGAGCAACCGTTGAAGGGAGGTGGAAGAGCGGACAAGGGGGCGGTGACGACAGACGGACGGACGCGGTAGTGGCTGTAGGGCTGACTGAGTTGGCGGCTGCATTGGGCGGTGTCATTGATGAATCGGCGTCTTTCATCTCCACGTCTGGCGTATGTTTCGGCGACGGTGCTGGCCGTGAGTTTGCAGGCGTTGAAGGCGGAAGCATGGCGCCCGTACAGGTATCCGTGGAGCTCAATGTCGGTATACTGTCTAGCCGTCCGTCCTCTTCCATCTTGATCCGGTCCTCGTGACATCGCTTCAGTAGTCGTTGCGTCAGAGTCATAAAGCGTGGAGCGTTAAACGTCTTTGGCGGGACATATTGAGGGTCATTCTCGTCAGGATCGGTCTGGACAGAGCAATCGACGTAGATTGGGTGACTGAGCGGGGATACGATGCGAGGCGTGCTTGCGGCAGACGTCTTTGGAGGAGTGAAATGGCCATCTCGGCGGTGGGAGGCTGATTCAGGAGACATTTTCGCTGGCGAGTGGGAAGATCGGCGCGACTGTGGAATATCGAGATGCGGAGGTTTCGTTGATTTCTAGAGGGTGTTAGAATGGAATTTTCCAGACAAGACAATTAAAACAAAGAAAAGACTGGACTTACCGATAAATTTGGGCTCTGACCACGCGGATGAACCCGCTTCTTCTTTTTTGGATGATGCTGATCATGTTCAAGCTGTTCAAACTTCTTCTCTGCAGCTGCAATCTTCCGTTTCTCGCGAGCCGACAGTTCCCCAGCATCACGACCGAGAGCACCAGGCGTCAAGTCTCTGTTCGAGGGATGATCCTTCAAGGAACCAGAAGTCGACCTTGCATCAGCGTGGTCATCATCATCTTGGTTGCGAATGACTTCACTTCCCGACCGACTGTGAGCGGCAACGTATCCCGTGCTCTCGGGAGAAACCGCAGTTTTGGCCTTTGGCTTCTTTCTCCGTCCGTTGGTCTGCTTTGTATTGGATTCGAGCGACTTTGGCTTCATGCGACAGTCGATGTTCGCAAGCAAGCAGGGCTTGGCCGAGTCGTCGCAGGCGCAACCACCAAAATGGGCAAGGACGTTGCTGATGGAGATGGCAGCCGGGTCTGGCGAACCATCTGGCAGGCCTTCTTCCTTGACCAGGCCGTTGGAAGGGAACATCTTGGGGTCGAGGTACCAGGTGGTCGATATCTCGGAGTCCATGGGGATATCCTGGTTTGCGACGAAGCAAAAGTGGTACTCTACCTGGTTTGTGATGTAGGTTCGCATCGTGACGTTGGGTCGACATGATCGGCGGATGTATCGGAGCACGGTGCCTTCTTCTCTGCTGTCGATGTAGATGGGCAGTTGGGGGTGAAAGAAGACGAACGGCTCAGGATGGCGAAGCTCCTGCCATCGACTGTCGGGGTCATGGCAGTAGTCTCTGAAATGGCCGACTTTGCCTCTGACCTCGCCCACGATCTCATCCTTTCGCACGTTGCTCTGCACCTTGAGGAACTGCCAGGTCGGGTGCCTGCCGTCAAACTCGACGCTGCTGTCGACGATGGTCTGCTTTGTGAGCGGCGGCCAGCTGGAAGGGTCGAGCGGCTGGTCGGTGTGGTTGAAGACCTCTTTGGCCGACCTGCCGTTTGCGACCTGCGACAGCGCAACCGGGTCCTTTACCCACGAAGCCAGGTCGTTGGTGAGCCCGATGGTGCGGAAGAGATTGCCCTGCATGTCCAGGCTGGCATTGTCGTTGTCGTACAGATGAAGGAACTCTTGCGAGTAGAGAGGGATCTGGGGGAAAGGAGACTTGTTACTTCCACGCTTACGAGATTCACCACCGCCGCTGACACCGCCGACACCGCCGCCTCCAACAGAACTTATAGAGTTAGAGGCGCGATGGGCGGTCCGCTGCTTCTTTGCAGGTGGCTGCTGGTTGCTGCTGCTGTTGTTGTTGTCCCGCGAGGCCGTGGACGCACTCCTCTCGTGCGACGACCAGCCATTCCGCTGCTCGCCTGAGCCAGACGGCGAGCCCAGGTCCTTGGGCTTCTTCCGCGTGCTCTTCGAGCCGGAGCGTCGACCCTTTCGCTCGTCATTGGCGTTGTTCGTGGTGCTGCTGTCGTTCTGCTCTCTGAGCTTCCGCTGACGCTCGGTGGCGCGCTTGCCATCGAGGTGCCTGGGCTCGCAGTCGACGCAGTTGTGTATCTCTGGCACGTTCTTCTTGTCGATGTAGTAGCAGGCGATGTGCTGCCAGGTGTCGCAGCGTTCGCAGAGGACGGTGCTGCCGTCGTCGTCCTCGAAGGAGCAGATGCACTTGATGGTGTAGGGTTCATCTTCGGCTTCGTGGGTCGAACCAGTTCCGTTGGCGACCGGGGAGGGCAAGGGAGAGGTGGCCGGAAACGGAAACGGATTCGCCGTTGAATGTGCGTGAGCAGTCGAGGAGGTATCTGTCATAATCTGACAACATACCTCCTCCGAGGTTCGACGCTGGGAGATGAAGGAGCCTCGACGGGGTTTACCCAGTGTATGTCTTCGATCGTGATCGAGATCAGGTCATCCCGTCGCGTCTGCTGTCTGTCTCTGTCGGTCTCTGTCGGTATCTCTGTGTCTCTCTTTCTGTCTGTCGGTATCTCTGTCTGTATATCTGTGTCTGTCTGAGTGTGTCGTGGTCTGTCTGTCCAGAGTCGAGGTCTGTGTCCGTGTCGTGGTCTGTAGTCTTGAGGCGACAGCGCAGTGTCCAGAGCTAGACGGGAGGACGAGGTCGCATGCTTGACTGGTGATGGCGATGAGATGGACGGATGAGATGAATGAATAGAGGGAGAGTAGAGAGAGTAGAAGGGAGGAAGAGAAGAAGAGGAGGAGGAGGAAGAAAGGCGAAAGCGAAGGCGCAAGAAAAGATGGCCGAAAGAGGAATCGGGCCAGACGAGACACGCTAGCTTCTTCGGGTTAGCTTATACTTAGTAAGTATAGGAAGTATATAATAGTATAGGAGTATATAGTATATAGTATATTAGATAGAAGATATAGATATAGAGTAGAAGATATAGGGATAGAGTAAGATATTAGTGTCAGTAGAGAGTAGAGAGAGAGTAGAGAATAGAGAATAGAGAATAGAGAGTAGAGATCCTGGACCTATGTTACATCGTCCTGCATGCATTAGTCATGTCTCGAATAGGGGTTCTCTCTCTTGCTCTTACACTGTTATCTCTTACTTACTCTCTTACTCTCTTACTTCTCTTACTCTATTACTGTCTATCTCTTACTCTATCTCCCCCTTGTTCTTGTCTCTCTCTGTTACTCTCCTCCTGTTCTCTGTTCTAGTTAAGAGTTGAGTCTTCCACGTGTGGAGCTAATCGAAGCCTATCTCGAATCGGGAAACTCGACCACGACACTGACACTTCTTCACTTCTACAACTTCACTCTACACTTCTCTTCTTCCTTCTCTCCTTCTCTACTTCTCTTCTCTTCTTCTCTAGAGTACTTCTTCGTCATCGTCTCTGTCGTATGGGATGTCCGAGTAGGCATCACGCAGCGACGCGGAAGGAGACTCACCCTGAACACCGCCGTGCCCGCGTCCCACCCAGCATCCTAAGAGACAGATAGATAGAAGATAAGATAGAAGACAGAGAAAGGACGCGATGTCGGCTCTGAGCAAGCGTCAGCAGGCGCGCAACGAGCGGACGCTGCAGGATCTCATCACCTCCGTGCCCGGGAACGACAGGTGTGCCGACTGCCAGGCCAGGAACCCAGGTAGGCCTCTCCCTTGTTAACTGTTGACTGTGCTGGATGTATGCTAACGGTGACCAGGATGGGGAAGCTGGAATGTGAGTGTCTAGGTTCAACGTCGAGGTCGTGGTCGCGTCGTGCTAACGGTTGTAGCTGGGAATCTTCCTGTGCATGCGCTGCGCAACATTGCACCGTAAACTTGGCACACACATATCCAAGGTCAAGTCGCTGAGCATGGACAGCTGGACCGCCGACCAGGTGGAGGTATGTCTCTCTGCTAGAGTCTCTAAACAAAGAAACGGTGCTGACGTGGTGTAACCCGAAGATCATGAAGAAAAACGGCAACGCGGCGGTAAACAGGATATACAATCCCCGGAACGTCAAACCCTCCATCCCCATCGACGTAGACGAGGTAGACTCCGCCATGGAACGGTTCCTGCGCAAAAAGTACGAGCTCAAGACGCTGGAGGACGGTAAGCCGAAGCCGCCCAGCAGGCAGGATCCCAGCTACACCGCGAAACCCGCCCTGGACTTCTCTCCTTCCCCGGCTGCCCTGCCATCCAAGCCCAGGTCGAGGTTCGGGTTCGGTCTGCGCTCGATCTCCTCCTCTCACCTCTCCACGGGCTCGTCGGACAAGTCGGCGGCCCCGTCGATGCGGCGGAGAGAGAGCATCGAGGCCTCGCAGGTGCAGGCTCAGGCTCAGGCGCTGCCAAACAACAAACAGTCAAGGACGCTGGGAGTCAGTATTGCAGATGGCAATGGCTCGTTGGAGTCGAAGCTGGAGATACTGCGAGACATGGGCTTCATGGACCAGAAGCGGAACACGGCCATTCTCAAGGGGCTGAACGGGGACGTGGAACGGTCCATAGATACGCTGACCAGGCTGGGCGAGAAGTCGTCCATCAGCGGATCGAGGTCGCCCACTTCCCCGACCGGTACGCAGAGCGGGTATAGGACATCCTCCGGCTCGACGGACAGGTTTACGCCGCCGTCTACCTCCTCGAACCCGTTCGATAAGCCGCCGGCGAGCATAGGGACGGGCACGGGTGCCGGGGTAGGGATATCGGTCAACAGGTCAGGCACTGCCGGCAATGCTGCGAAACCGGCATCCCACAACCCTTTCGACGCCATGTCCAGTTCAACTGCTTCCTTGGACCAGTCATTCCAGAACCTCCAGGTCTCCTCCCAGCCTCTCTTTCCAAACATGACAGGCGGATATCCGAGTCAGCAGGGGAACATGCAGCTGCCCAGACCCCAGCAGTCCATGACTCCCCCAGTGCCCACGATGCAGCAGCAGCACCAGATTCTTCTTCAGCAACAGCAGCAGCAGCAGCAGCAGCAGCAGCAACAACAATATGGTGCTGTGTCTCAACCACCGCTGAACGGAAACTACAACCACAACCCATTCCTAACGCAGTCTACGCCTGTATCGCCGAATCCTATCCCTAATCAGTCGCTATCCCCTACCAACCCTTTCTTCACGCAGGTGCAGCAGCAACAGACCGGTCCCCAGCAAGTTAATCCGCAGTATTACCTCCAACACCACAATACCATGCCGACCCTTCCTTCGGCATACATGTACCAACAGCCCCAGCAGCAGCTGCAGCAACCACAGCAACAGCAACAAAACTACACCCAACAGCATGCCATGCCCACCTACCAAACGCAGTTCGTCCAGCAGCAACCCCAACAGCCCAACCGAATAGACAAATCCAGCATCCTAGCCCTCTACAACTTCTCCCAACCACCCCCTACCATCCCCGAACAACCACAGCAGCAGCAGCAACAACAACAACAACCCCAGCCCGAAACATATCAACAGACACAACTCCCACACTTACAAACCACCAACTCTACAAACCCATACCACACCACCACCTCCGCCAGCCCAATGGTCCTATCCGCCCCCGCAACAATGGGAGGATACTCAAGCCACAACCCATTCCTCACTTCCACCAACCAGCCCGCCGGCATGATGTCCACAGCACCACCGCCAATGCAGACACAAACACCAGCCTCGAATAACATGGGCTTTGCCCGCACCCACATAAGCCAAGAAAGCATCGACATCAGACAGGCACAAACCGGCCGTCATTCCCCTGACGTTTTCGCAAGTTTAAGCGCAAGATATTAAGCAGCGGAGTTGAACTTGGGTAATAAAGTAATCAAAAAAGCTAATACTGCTATTACTTGCCCTTTTTTTCAGCGTACATACATACATACATGCATATATACATAAAAACTGCCGGCGATACGACGACGCTTTAATATATTGCTAATCTTTACCTTACCTCTTCGACTTCAGCACATCCACCTCACCTTACCTTCACCTTCACCTTTTGGGACCTTTTTCCCCTTCCAGTTACCCCCCATTACCCTTCTTCATTCCATCTCTTCCCCTTTCTTCGAGATGAGATAAACAGAAAGTTACCTGTTCTATACCTACCAACCACCTTTTTGGGCCAATGTTTCTCTTCATATATCCCTTCTCCACCGCATACATGCATACGGCATAGCATGATTTACCCAGATCTATTTATATATTGGAAATATATACGACTTTTACCCTCGCTATTTTTTTTTTCCTTTCTTTTCCCCCTTGTCTGCTTCTTCTTTGTATAATGCACTTCACTTCTGTTCGGTTTTGTTTCAGCCTATTCATTCGTTTGGTTCTTGAGATACGTTAATGTTCTATATCCATATGCCCTTCCTCGGATACGGAGGGTTAAATAGTTCTTCGTCTACTTGAGATAGACCTTTGCTAATGATATGAGCGTTTTGCTATGTTATGTCTTTGTTCTGTTAATCTAATGTAGTAAGACAGTGGTAAACTTGCCAGGAGGCGAGGCGACTTATTCAAAATTAGGTCTATAGCCCAACTGGTAACGGGCAGGTAGGAGATGAAGAAGATAAAGCTGTACAGGGTGAAGATCCGGTCTGAAGACGATGGACTACGACCATAGATTCCGCTGGGAATTCGATGTCTGCCGGCGCGAGGTAATCCGCTCGTACATCGATGCCACGGCGTCCGTCAGCGAGGATAGCGCTGATTTCCGTTTCCGCTGCCACGGCCACCCCCACGACGAAGACCTACGCGGAGTCAACAGCCAAGACCAAGACGAATCTGAATGAAATGGAAACAGGGCCGGAAACGACGAGAAGATACCTTGTTTCTTCTTTTGGCCGGACAAACTGCTCCACCACCCCTTCCACCATGGCTGGTTATCACCTTGCTCTCTAGCTAATATATTGATGATCCGATCGAAGTGACGCTGCTGTTGGCTTTGTTCGGTCTTAATCTGCACGGGGACGTGTTTGGAGCGCCAGTCAGACTGTATCGCTGCGTCGCGGCACCAGACTATGACGTCGCCCTTTCGGCGCGAGTCGTCGTGCCAGGCCGTGTTGAAGGTGCGGTAACATTCGGCGTACTGGGAGGAGCGAAGGGTGGATTTGAGCGTTGGCTCGAGGTGGGAGAAGAAGATGAGGTAGTCGGGCCATTCATGTTTGGGGCCCGCGGTTGATCTGAAGTGGTTGGATAGCAGGCTGGTGCTGGACATTCGCTGGGATATGAATTCTGACGGGCTCTTGTAGAACAAGTCTGCCTCGTCGACGTAGGTGGCCTTCTCCTCTGGTGATAGGTTGACTGGTGGCTCGCAGCCGAGAGCCCAGGCACGAATATAGGGGGATACAAGGTGTGATCGCCATGGTGTGCTGTGGCATGGCATCAAGAAGCCGGCTGTGAGGCCGCGAGTGGGTTCATATCGATAGTGGCTGTCTTGTTGCTGGCGGAGGTATCCCATCACATCAATCACGCCTGAGGCATGTATAACGGACGTATACACGGCGATGACAACGTTGACCAGAACCAAGAATACCAAGAGCAGTCTTCGTGGCGTATATGATCCTGACGCCGAAGATATCGAGGGAGTAAAGAATTGAGAAATCGGACGGGCCGCCAGAATATGAAGACAGGGCAATATTGGGTATATGAAGCGAACTTCCTTGTGAGGGACGAGAGAGAGGATTGCTGGCATTGCAAGACAAGCAATGGCCAGCTGTCGTCTGACTGAGGCAGAGACATTGGTCGAGGAAGCTGTTCCTGGAACTAGAGACTTGAAAATGCCGATGAGGGCAAAGGGGAGAGCAGTGATGAGCAGAAGCGGGTAGCCCTGTGAGAGATAGTAGTGCCAGTCATTCTTGCCATAAAACACAGCGAGAGACTGGACGAGGTTGAAGTAGAGGAACCTAAACGGCGGCAGTGTCCATGTTCCGTAGTAGGAACGGTCTGCCAGCACGGAGACGGCCAGGATTGCAGAACTACACCAGTCAGATGGGACCAACTGATATCAACAGATACTTGTATTAAGACTCACCCGCACAGGAAGCATTCACGTATGAGAATGCCGAGGGGCGCCAGGGACTTGGTCCATGGAAGGGATGAGCCCCAGCTCTGACGGACGGTGGTATATGTCAAACTGGCAGCCAGACAGAACCAGACGATGGTGTTTGTCGGACGCAGGACGCATGCCAGCGAGGCCAGGAGCAAGCATTTCCGTAGACTAGAGAGTGTAAGCTTGGTTCTCTCGGAGGCATCAGAGACATACCTAGCAACGTCTGATATGCCAGCCCTCCGAGGGACAGACCACACCCATGGCCAAAAGTACAGCGCGGTGATGGTCAGACTCGTCTCCAGACAGTTCGACAGCGTCCGCGTAGAGCAGAACCACTGCCATGGACTCAGGGCCGTCAACCCGAGCTACATCATGTCAGCACTTGTATATAACTTCCATGTAATAGATGGACGAACGATGAACCCGGCCTCCGGACTGCTGCTGCCATATATCCTGCCACCTAACCTCCACGTATAATAGTCCCCCACGGCGGATATCAACCCCTGGGTCACTTTGGGCCCCGCGATCAAGAGATCAGCCCGGCTCAGCGGAGAGAGATGTAGCAAGCTGGCCGCCGCATCGACGACTCGGTATACGCCCGCGAAGAGGTACGGATGGATCGAGGACCGCAGCTGGTGATTCCATTCCTACTCCGTACACTCGGTCAGTCTCTCTCTTCTTCCCCTCTTCGTCTTTTCTTTTCCTGGATGCATACCCATGTAATCCAGGCGCCACTGTCCCGGCCAAAAGCAATCCCCCATGCAGGCTCAAGCGACTGGAAGAACTCGTCGGGCTGGAAGAAGGTCCGGACGAGAAGGGCGTTGAGGATGCGCCAGGCCAGCAGGAGGAGGAAGACATCTCCCGTCCTCCCCATCGTCCTCATCTTCATCCTCATCCCGGCAGTCCGCTTGTCCATAAGAGTTATTCCTCCCCTTGCAGCGGAAAAGAAGAAGAAGATGTCGACGAGAGGGCGCGATGATGTCAGGGATCCATGTGACCGCCCGCTACTTTTCCCTTTCATGCGTGTCTGATTCGCCGCCGCCGCCGGTTTTTCTTTTTCCTGGGTTGAAGATGGAGCAGACGGTGGAACACCTTCACTTAACGGCATAGCGTCTACCATCTGAGAGGATGCTAAGAGGATACTGGGAGGATACTGGGAGATACCGGGAGGATACCGTCGGCCAGGATACTTATAGGGCGTCGAGGGGCAAAGGCTTTTATACCACTCCCCTCCTCGATCTTTTCACTATCCTGATATACAACTACCACTACTCACGACTGATACCACTACTACTGATACCACTACGACATATACACGACTGCTTGATATACGTATAATGGCTCCAATGGCGACCCAAGTCGTGCCCGGGACCAAGGATGTGTCCAGATACCACGCCTCGTCGACGCAGTCGGCCATCGCGGAGGAGGAGCAGTACGCTGCCCACAACTACCACCCGCTGCCCGTCGTCTTCGCGCGCGCATCTGGCACGTCTGTCTGGGACCCCGAGGGGAAGCACTATCTCGACTTCCTGTCCGCCTACTCGGCCGTCAACCAGGGCCACTGCCACCCGGAGCTCGTCAAGACGCTGACCGAGCAGGCCTCGACCCTCACCCTCAGCTCCAGGGCCTTCTACAACGACGTCTTCCCCAAGTTCGCCAAGTTCGTCACCGAGTTCTTCGGCTACGACATGGTCCTGCCCATGAACACCGGCGCGGAGGCCGTCGAGACCGGCATCAAGATCGCCCGCAAATGGGGGTACAAGGTCAAGGGCATCCCCCAGAACGAGGCCATCATCCTCAGCGTCGAGGACAACTTCCACGGCCGTACCGTAAGTTTCTTATCTTTTATTTATTGTTAAGTTTTTATAGACCTATTTATTGCTAGAGATACTGACTGCGTAGTTCGCCGCCATCTCCATGTCTACGGACCCCGAGTCAAGGGAGAACTACGGCCCATACCTGCCCAACATCGGCAGTGTCATTCCTGGCACCGACAAGCCCATCAAGTACAACGACATCGAGTCCCTCCGCGCGGCTTTCGATGCTGCCGGCCCCAAGATCGCTGCCTTCCTCCTCGAGCCCATCCAGGGTGAGGCCGGCATCATGGTGCCAGACGAGGCCTACCTGCGCGAGGCCAAGGCCCTCTGCGAGAAGCACAACGCCCTCCTGATCTGTGATGAAGTCCAGACCGGCATTGCTCGCACCGGAAAGCTTCTCTGCCAGGAGTGGAGCGGCGTCAAGGCTGACCTCGTCCTCCTCGGCAAGGCCATCTCCGGCGGCATGTACCCTGTCTCCTGTGTCCTTGGACGCAAGGACGTCATGCTTACCATCGAGCCCGGCACCCACGGCTCTACCTACGGTGGTAACCCGCTCGGATGTGCCATCGCCATCCGTGCCCTGGAGCTCATCCGTGACGAGAAGATGGTCGACCGTGCCCTGACGCTCGGCGAGCAGTTCCGTACCGGCCTGAACGCCATCAAATCCCCCATCATCAAGACCGTCCGAGGCAGAGGACTGCTGAACGCCATGGTTGTTGATGAGTCCCAGACCAACGGACACACCGCCTGGGATCTGTGCATGCTGATGAAATCCAAGGGCCTGCTCGTAAGTTCTACCCCTATATCAAGAAGCATCTATATATTCTAACATACTCTCCAGGCCAAGCCCACCCACCAGAACATCATCCGATTCGCCCCTCCACTCGTCATCACCGAAGACCAAATCAAGGACTCCCTCAAAATCATCGAGGAAGCCCTCAAGGAACTCCCAACCTCGCCCAAATAAACACCCTCTCACTTCTCTCCCCCGTCCAACCTACCTCATTCCACCCTGCATTGCATTCTTACTTCTCGGGCAGAACTAACAATTCACCAAACCTAAACCTTTTAACTTGAACATCTTTTTTACCAAAAGCAAAAGCATACATATCATGTCTTGATGTATTTAAACGGCCAGAAAAAACAAAATTCACTTGGGATCACAGGAGGGCGGAAGGAAAATATAAAGGGAGGAGGACCTACCCACAGTCGGCTGGCTCTTGTCGTCTTTTGCTTTATATACCCTTACCTCGCGAGCAGATAGATAGGACATGGAAGGAAAACCCCTACCTGGGAGGGGTTCCTGGGATTGCATCACTTCATGGCGAAGGGAGACGTCTGTTTGGTTTATCCTGCCTTGAGGCAATGTGTAATACATTATTACTAGGCGCTAGAATAGACTGTATGCTCCGTATGCTCTCCACTTGCGTCCATGCCATAGTATTATGAAGTATCGTCACTTTCTGCACTTGGGTGCAATATTTGGCTACGAGCGAAGATATTGTAGTCTTAGTTGTATTGTTAACTATGGGCCATGTAACTAACATCGAATAATCTGTTGAGGGTTTGAAGTAGTCTTAGCCAGAGAGGATGACTGGTTGATGAGAGGGCGGAGGACCTGTTAGATATCTAGAATCATAGAGATGAGGCAACGCTGTTTGACTCTTCTCAAAATTATAATCAAAATTGTAATATCTGAAAGTAGCAGCCCCTTTAGTTATATAATAAAGATCCTGACCGTAAATTTTCAAATGTAGAGGTCCGTTGTATAGAATATAGATGTATAACGAGCCTGCCTCTTTATATGGACAAAGACGGCCTAGACTCTGCATATATAAACATCTCTTTGCACTCAACGCCTCATGCTCGATACCTAGGCTCCACGCCTTGCCTGACTTCTTAACAGCATCTGATATAAAATGTCCGAAATATACGAAGGAAATAACCTTGTGGGGCTTCCGGCGATCTTCCTCTCGAAACTCTGTTCTAGCCGCGAGTTTCTAGCATATGCACAATTGAGGAGCCGGTGTTCGGGTTTCTGGCGAACCTATAATGGACTGTCGCTGTATGTTGAGATGAAAATTCTGTTTTACAAAACTTGGGCATGCAGGCTCTCTATCCGCGGTTGGTATTGAGCAAAGGGCCGCCAACAATGTGATGAATGAAGTTGTCGATTCTAGCAGAATGACTCTCCCTTTATCCTCGTATTATTGTTGGATTGAGATTCATACCAATCTACTCTTCTAGTATATTGGTATTGGGAAACAAGTGAATATTCCATTCATGTTCTTTCCTTGTCCTGAGTGGTAGGTATATATGAGTCCAAAAGCACAAGTAACAAGGAACAGTTGAGTAAGAGCCTCCGGACGTTCTATATTTGCAGAGGTATACCCGCAGATGACTCTCGTTTCGTTTGCATGCATGGTATAAATCCTCTAAAGACGAATTTATATGCTGATACTGACTTTGTATCACAACAGGCTAGTTGCATCGGAAGCAACGAACCAAGGTGGTCAGATGGTCGAGGAAGTGTATTCACCCTCCAAATACCTTTGATAGTGAGGAAGAACGTGGTGCCTTGTTTGAGAAAGTCCTCGAGGATATAAAAAGACCCTGTTGGGCGGCTATATTCCAATTTTTAAGCGGCAATAAAATAACCGCCTGCCCAAATCCTTACTAAGAGGGCCACATAAATTGCGTCCAAAGGCCACCGCTTATATTAGCACATTTGGTGACATCCCCTATTTACTTCGTATAGACTATGGTCTTAGGCCGGAGAGGATAGTGTTCCTTCATACGGAGTAGATAGCCAGCTAATCAAGTAGCGGCCGTTGACTTTATCCCTGCAGACTCGCTTATCCGGACTTAACAACCTGAAACTGCCCGGTCTCCGTAACTTAGAAGGTCGCTTGCCATCCGAAGTCATGCCCGGGGATCAAAGTCCGGACGAAAACCCAGCACGTTAATTAGTAAGCTCTGCTGCTTCGCCCGGATAACGTTGGGGGAAAGAAGTCGGCATAAAGGTGGAATTTACTCTCCGTTCTCCGTACCTTGCCAGATTCGGGGTTAGGATGGACTGGGGATAAAATACTGAGGAATAGCTATTCCCGAGACGGTCGGACCGCCTGTTCATAATATGTGGTTTCCTCCTGCATTTCAAGATGACCGGTTTTGTCTGCACAGATTATATAGAATTCACAAGAGAGATGGGAGATTAATAGAGATACGGAGCATTACCTATTGATTTCATGATATTGAGGGCATATAAATATAGCCCAATCATCACCAGCTGTGCTCTAGAGGTGGCATGTCGTCACCAGTGATCGTCAGAGATGGTGGCAGCCACAGCTTGAATAGAGAGATCGACGCCAACAGCAGGTCTGGCAATAATAGCGAATCTGACACTGGTAGTAACGAGGCAGTGGATAGAAGCAAAGAAGCACAATCGGATCCCACGACCAAGCTGAAATGGTATCAGAGGTTGAACCCGATCAGACTTCAAAAACCGCCGCCTGTACCATCGGAGCGTGCTATCTCGAAGGAACATGGAGCGAGTTTGCTCAATGTGATAACTTTCCAATGGATGCATTCGTTGATGTTGGTAAGTGTTTTGTTTCATGTCTCCCTTTCTTTGAGGCTCCTTTACCGTCCTTTAACGTAATGCTAACGGCAATTTTATAGACGGGTTATCTCCGACCGCTTCAACTCGAAGATATCTGGCTGGTGAACCCGGATAGGTCTGTCGAAGGTCTTGCCGCGAGACTTGATGCCTCTTTTCAAAGGAGGATCAAGCGTGGAGATAAGTACCCTCTCCTAGGGGCTGGGTACGAGACGTTCAAAGTTGAAATATGGATCGGTGCTTGTTGCCAGATGGTAGCATGTGTTCTCCAGGTTCTCACGCCATATACCACCAAATATTTGATTGCCTTTGCGACTGAGGCCTACATTGCCAAACATCGACATTTGCCGGGTCCTCACATCCAGAATGGAATCGGAATTGCTATTGGTATCACATGTATGCAGATTATTCAAAGCATAACAACGAGTCAATTCTTCTTCCGAGGAATGATGGTCGGCGGACAGAGTCGAGCAGCCCTTGTCAGCTTGATATTCTCCAAAGCAACGAGGCTTTCGGGGCGAGCTAGAGCCGGCGGGAAGGCCATTGGGCCTGCTGGAAGTGAGCCGAGTGCTGTAGAGGGGACAGCTGAGCTCCGAAAGACACACGACAATATCCTGAAATCGATATTTAGCAAGAAGAAGACTGTTGGACCTAGCAATGCCAATAACGGTGTGATGGGCGATGGAACTGGATGGAGCAACGGCCGCATTATCACATTAATGAGCGTTGACACCGATCGTATCGACAAAGCCCTTGGCCTCTTTCACTTGCTATGGACGTCTCCCATCATCATTATCCTCGCCCTCATCCTTCTCGTGGTGAATATCGGATATAGTGCGCTCTCAGGGTATGCACTGCTACTTGCAGGAATTCCCCTACTTACACATGCCATCAAATCATTAATTAGACGACGAAAGAAGATCAACAAGATCACCGATCAGCGAGTATCACTTACTCAAGAAATCTTGCAAGCTGTAAGGTTTGTCAAATTCTTCGGTTGGGAGCAGAGTTTCTTGAAGCGGCTGAACGAACTTCGGAAGAGAGAAGTACGCGCAATCCAGGTTGTGCTTGCGATCCGTAATGTCCTCCTTTGTATCGCATTGTCGCTTCCGGTTTTTGCGTCTATGCTGTCGTTCATTACATTCTCTCTCACCAAACACCCCCTTAACCCGGCACCGATTTTCTCCTCCCTCGCTCTATTCAATACCCTTCGATTGCCGCTGAATATGTTACCACTGGTTCTTGGCCAGGTAACCGATGCGTGGACCGCGCTAAATCGAATTCAGGAGTTCCTCCTTGCCGAAGAGCAGAGAGATGATATCAAGCAGGATCAATCCTTGGACAATGCACTTGAAATCAGTGGTGCCTCATTCACTTGGGAACGGCTTCCTACGAATGCAGAAGATTCTCCTAAAAAGAAAGGCGCTGGAGCTGAACGCAAAGGAAAAGGGAAAACCCACAAAGATATAGAGAAATGGGACCCTGTCGATTCTGGCCTCCAGAGTCCCGCAGAACCTTTCCAGCTTACTGACCTATCATTCACTGCTGGCCGCAACGAGCTTGTGGCTGTTATCGGCACAGTAGGCTGTGGTAAAAGTTCTCTACTGGCCGCCCTTGCTGGAGATATGCGAATGACTGGTGGCCATGCAGCTATGGGAGCTTCTCGTGCATTCTGTCCTCAGTACGCATGGATTCAGAATGCAACCGTGAAGGAAAATATCTTGTTTGGCAAAGAGTACGACGAGGCATGGTATAACGAAGTTATAGATGCCTGTGCTTTGCGAGCAGACCTTAAAATGCTTCCCAACGGAGACCAAACGGAGATTGGAGAACGAGGCATAACAATTTCCGGAGGACAAAAACAACGACTGAACATTGCTCGTGCAATATATTTCAACAGCTCTTTAGTTCTCCTGGACGATCCCCTATCTGCTGTCGATGCGCATGTAGGTCGTCATATTATGGATAATGCCATATGTGGTCTCTTAAAGGACAAGTGCCGCATCCTCGCTACCCACCAGCTGCATGTCCTGAGCCGTTGTGATCGAATCATTCTGATGGACAATGGCCGCATTGAGGCGATAGACACGTTTGATAATCTAATGCACCACAATGAGAGCTTCCAAAAACTGATGTCCTCGACGATACAGGAAGAGGAAGACGAGGAGGTTGCAGGCAAGAGCAAGGAGAGCTCTGAAGGGGCTCAAAATGCAGAAGATAAAGCTGAAACGCCGTTGAAGGCGCCCGGCGGTGGCCTGATGCAAAAGGAAGAGAGAGCGGTAAATTCCGTTAGCTGGGGAGTTTGGGGAGCCTATATTGCTAACTTTGGCTGGCCCATTAATCTCCCTATAATCGTCCTGGGATTGTTGCTCGCAAATGGAGGTACAATTATCAATGCCCTATGGCTATCCTATTGGGTATCCAGGAAGTTCGACCTTTCCACAGCAGCATATATCGGAATCTATGTCGCCTTGGGTGCTGCACAGGCTCTCTTCTTGTTCATTTTTTCAACCACGTTGACCATAAGTGGAACAAACGCAAGCAAAGCAATGCTCTCTCGAGCTATCCATAAAGTGTTGCGAGCTCCGATGTCTTTCTTTGACACCACTCCCTTGGGTCGAATGACAAACAGGTTTTCGAAAGATATCCATACGATGGACAATGATTTAACAGACGCAATGCGCACGTTTTATTTGACGTTTGGCCTGATTCTTGCTGTGATCGCACTGATAATCGTATACTTCCACTATGTAAGTCACCCTAATCTTTGAGACGATTTTGTTCCAAGTGACTCGAAGACGGACTTGCTGACAGTTAAACCCATCTAGTTCGCCGTTGCTCTTATTCCGTTGTTAATTATATTCCTTTTCGCATCCAATTTTTACCGAGCATCTGCGAGAGAACTCAAACGTCATGAGGCCGTCCTTCGGTCTGAAGTCTTCTCTCAGTTTACAGAAGCCATATCGGGGACAGCATCTATAAGAGCGTATGGTCTTCAAGATTATTTCACGCGTCGACTTCAAAAGGCTGTCGACAACATGGACAGTGCATATTTCCTAACCTTTTCCAACCAGCGATGGCTAACCATTCGGCTGGATGCCGTTGGATGGTTAATGGTTTTAGTCACAAGTATATTGGTTGTCACGTCAAGATTCGACGTAGATCCAAGTATATCCGGCCTAGTTCTCTCATTCATCCTTTCGATTTCCCAATTACTACAATTCACCGTTCGTCAGCTTGCTGAAGTGGAAAATAGCATGAACGCAACAGAAAGAATACATTATTATGGAACGCAACTAGAGGAAGAGGCGCCACTGCATTTGCGGGAGATGGATGAAAATTGGCCCCAATCGGGACAAATATCCTTTTCAAATGTTGAAATGAGATATCGCAATGGCCTTCCGCTCGTTCTTCGAGGGCTTGATTTGGATATCAAGGGAGGAGAACGAATTGGAATTGTAGGACGAACTGGAGCCGGGAAATCCAGTATCATGTCAGCCCTTTTCCGATTGACCGAACTTTCAAGAGGATCCATTAAGATTGATGACATTGATATTTCCACCGTTGGGCTGCATGATCTTCGTAGCCGGCTGGCCATCATCCCACAGGATCCAGCCCTTTTCCGTGGGACTGTACGATCCAACTTGGATCCTTTCAATGAACACACTGACCTCGAACTTTGGTCTGCGTTGCGGCAGTCTCATCTTGTTGGCGAAGACAAGGAGAGCCACAGTGACATCGATCACGCCGACGAAAAGGACACAGAGCTACCAACAAGTGACCCCCAGCAGCAGCAGCAAAAAATTCACCTGGATACAGCAGTAGAGGAAGAAGGATTAAATTTCTCTCTCGGCCAAAGACAGTTAATGGCCCTTGCCAGAGCGTTGGTTCGTGGTTCGCGCATCATCGTGTGTGACGAGGCTACCTCTTCGGTCGATTTTGAAACGGACCAGAAGATCCAAGAGACAATGGCAGTGGGATTCAAGGGCAAGACACTCCTTTGTATCGCACATCGACTACGCACGATTATCAACTATGATCGAATATGTGTAATGGACCAGGGATGTATAGCTGAAATGGATACCCCGTTAGCCTTGTGGGAACAAAACGGAATATTCAGGGGGATGTGTGAACGAAGCGGCATTGTTAGAAGCGATTTAGTCGCGTAGGGAAAGGATGTATATAATGTTGCACTTGTGCACAAAAAAGGTTAGATATTGGTCGTGTAAATATTTGTTTTATCTTTATTTAATCATCTTGTTTGCTATTTAATAATAGAATCTGAACCAATTATATAAATGCGTATGTGAGCCGAAATATAACCAAAAATCGCTAAAATGTAGCCCCTATAAATAATAAACTCCTCTGCCGCCGGCAGCGTCAGTTACACCCCCTCATATCAAGTTTCTAGCACTACCATCACTGATTTCGCTGTCATCCTGCGTGATCATAGCATGTTCAAGGTTGACCTTGGGGCCCTTGAACCACTTCCTTGCGTCAACAAACCACCAGACAATAATACCAGCCATAGGGCCACCGTATACAACACAAGTCCAATTCATTTCTGACAACCTGAATTAATTGTATGTCAGTATTTGTCAGGTTTCGTTTTCAAGGCAAGCTAGCGGGATTCGGAGGAAAGACTGGACTCACTTTAATTCAGAGCCTGCATGTTGTGGGAAACACACAATCAGCAACATCACAACCACAAAGGATACGCCAGATATTCCTATGACAGAAGTATATTTCCCTAAACTCCATGGTCCAGCGCGAAACCGATCGGCGACGAACAAAACACGAATGGCGATAGGGATCGAAAATGCTATTAGTGCTGAAATTCCACCTATAGAAAACAACGCACCCATTGCGATATCACCAGCAAAGATGAGGAGAATAGCCAAAATACCCAGAGCACAATTGAACCATACTGCGTTGACGGGAGTTTGGGTATAAGGATTGACTCTCTTCCAAATGTTGGAAAAGGGAAAACAATCATCACGAGAATAAGCGTAGGTGACGCGAGAAGCAGATATCATACATGCCTGGCCCATCGAGAAGCCACAGACAACGGTTCCGGCAAGGATGGCAAGGGCTAACTTCTTCGGCATCACCTGAAACAAGTATGAAGCCCATGGCTGCCCCAGGTCGGAATCTATCACCTCATCGATGTCTCTGACTGTGTATGCAACCACCAGCTGAAGAAACCAACCCATGATGCCGCCAATTCCAGAAGTCATTACAATCGCCCTTGGGGAGGCAATATTTGCATTGGAGCACTCTTCGCTCAAGTGAAATGGGGAATCATAGCCTGACATGATCCATATGACGCTTAGAAAGGACATGAGAACTGCAAACCCGTCAGGATATGATGTGCGATTATGGATTGTCCCCCAGACCTCTGCTGAAGAATTGAACCTGGGGACGTTGCTTGTGCCGGCCGGGATGGCAATGATGACAAGAACCAAGCAGATAATATTAAAAGTTGACCCGTATGAATTCAGCACCGCAAGCCATTTTGTGGACATACTGCTCATCACCCCATGAATTATCATGAACAAGGTCGTCAAAAGGAACGTATGATAGGGCTGTGGAACATAGCCTGGATTCATAACCGAAGCAGCTGCTAGAACCATCCCGGATATACCATAGTTCACGGACGGTGCTGCTGTCACCTGTGCCATCCAGTTGGACCATCCTGTTACCCATGCTGCAAACGGTCCCCATCCGGCAGGGGCAAGCACCGCGGCGGCATAGTAAAGTCCTCCACTGACGGAATGGCGTCAGCTGGTTCTCAAAGGGCATAATAACTCGAGGCGGAAGTTAAATGAAGCTATTTGCTATACCTTGTTGGCATCGAAGAGCATAGCTCAGCCATAGACATAGCAACGCATTGGAGAAATACCATTGCAATTATCCATCCCCATACCATAGAGGTGCCAGCATAGCCCATCCCTAGTGTTTTTGATTTAGATATTCAGCTCACCTTCTAACTTGTGAAAGATAAAGCAAGGAAGACACTCGGGCATACCATAACTCATCGTACTAGCGAACGATGGTAGCAGTCCTAATATCGAGAAACTGACGCAGAAAGTAGTCCATAAGGAGAACTCGCGCTTGAATTCTTGTTTATATCCAAGCGAAACAAGAACACGTTCGTCTGCGTCCATTCCATCTTGTTGGGCCTGTACATAACTTTCAGACAGTATCGACGCCGTGTGAAGGTCTCGCTCGAGTTCCCGCACTTTATCTACCGCCATGATGGATAATAACAGCTGGTTCGCCAACTCGAAGAAATAAAGGAAGAGAACAGACGACTGCAAAACAGCAAACTGTTGCTGATTGTTCAGATGTCGATATTAAGCCATGTTACGGAGTATTCCGTGTGAGTTGGAGGTTGTGTGACCATCCCACTAGACAGGGAACATGTCGTCCGTACCTCGTAGTTTGAGTGGTACTTCCCCTGTACTGTGGCTGTAGCTAGCAACTTCGTGCAGTAACGGTAAAGAATAAGGCATAAAATACAGCCATTGCCCTAATAGGTAAGCCTCTAACTTATCGCCCTATTTCCAGTAGAGGTAACATAGCCAATAACTATCGTTATTCAGGGACCGCATAACCGTGGGGAAGGTCACGCGATGCAATATTCAACATTTTGCTTAGTCCCAGCGAGGAACTCATTCTCTTCAAAGACTCTAGGCGTCGTTAGTGAGTGTGGGGATAAAAGTGCATGCTCTTCAGACACCACAACATGTAAGCATTGATTTATTGTCTGTATCTTGAGGTTGAGATAAATAGTTAGTTACCTAGTTAATGTGTTAGTAGTTAACTTAGCTTAGTTCGATTAGCCGCATCTCAGCCTTATGTAGAGATGCTTGAGTACTAACGAGCTGCATCATGCAGTTAAATATTCGATATCCATGTATTCCCACAACATAAGAATAAAAATATTAACTAAACGGGCAAGGAGATACAAACGAGACTGGATTTAATCCGTAACATCTTTGAACCATGGATGTTGCAAGGCCGCATTGGCCGTGAGCCTCTTTGGATCGATATCGGTCAAACCGGCATTTAAATCTTTAAAAGCCGGATCAACACCCTTCCACAAAGAAAACGGTTCACGAGAAGTAGTTTCATCGAATCCGTGCCAAAGTACCTCAATGACTTTGCACCAGAGACTCTCCTTGCCCATATGCTGTAAGAGAGCAGTAACTGAGTCATCATTGCCAAAATACGAGAGTTTGCGCCGGAGGACAATTGCCTGGACGTCGACACCTTCAGGGAGTGACTTCTCGTCTATAGCAAAGATAACACGCTCTATTACCGCGCAGATACATTATAAGCGATTTCAGTTAGCAATAATCATTGAATGGAGGCAAGACACCACTTACAACAATACCAAAGGAGAACATATCAGAGGGTAAATTCATTCAACATGTGCCTCTGGACTACGCCACGAGAACCCTTGGGGGTGTAAACCCGTCGAGGCATGAATTTCGAGACAAATCAAAACATAATGGTCGGATTATTGATTTTCAACGGCGTTTCGTTTAGTGGCACAGCAACAAATATGAGGCTCAAGGGGGCGGAGTACGAGATCGACTCTACGGCGCAACCATCAACCATATGCCGTTATATTGAAGTTGCATCGCTCGTAAGAGGGTCTTTCTCCCTATGTAATATTCAGGAAAGATTCAGCCATTCATGAGGCGTATGAGTGAAGTTGACTATGTTTAGGCAGGGGCTGTAACTAACTACTATATCACGTGACGCAATAGTTATGCGTCCACGGGTAGCTTAACTGCATCACTCAACTCATATCTCGATAGAGAAATATTTAAATCTTAGCAACATGACTTACACTGTGTTTATACCCGGAAATGGCTCTCTGAGCAGCATATGATACCACTTGTGAAATTTTTTATTCGGCCCCGTTTGACAAGGCCTCTAGCCATGTCAACCCGGGATTCTGGGAGCCCTCCTCCCGCGAAGAGATTGAAAAAGAGTGAAAGTGCGTCTCAAACCGAGATTCCTAACTTTACTTCATATGGGCAAGGAATACTTCGATCCTTAGACAGATCTATCACTCCGCCTCCATCCCGAGCAAGCCAATCTCGAGGAATCTCTAATGGGCCGGAGCTGGCGCAACGGGAGGCCGGCGCGCTACCTAAAGCAAAGTTGATTCCATCACCAGTTCAGCTTACCCATATCTGTGATCTTGCGGATTCGACGGGTTATAACAAGGACTGTGTCAAGCTTCGAGATATCCTTGGAGATCCAATGATCAAGGAATGTTGGCAGTTTAATTTCCTTTTTGACGTTGACTATATAATGGGCCATCTCGATCATGATGTAAAGAGCCTTATCCAGTTAAAGATAGTGCATGGCTCGTGGAAGAAAGAGGCTCCAAATAAAATAGCCATCGATGTAAGTTGGGAAGCTTATGGCCCCTTGTTTCGACCCTGGGCGGGCCTCTGCCTCATAAATGCATACATGACCATGGCTTACCCATCCGAAAATAGGATGCATGTAAGCGCTATCCAAACGTTGAGGCAATTGTGGCCTATATGCCTGAGCCTTTCGGTACTCACCATTCTAAAATGATGATTTTGATTCGACATGATAACCTGGCACAGTAAGGGACACCTTGATGCCACGCCAGGCCAGATTAATATGCTAATACGAAGAATTATTCAGGGTCATAATACATACAGCAAATATGATACCCCGAGACTGGGGTAATATGTCCCAGGCGGTTTGGAGGTCACCATTGCTTCCACTATCGTCGTCCACGACGGAGAATGCTTGTGGAGATATCGGAAGCGGCACTCGTTTCAAAAGAGATTTGCTTGCATATCTAGACGCGTACAACAATAAGAAGATTGGCGGCCTTGTGAGCCAACTGAAGAGGTATGACTTCAGTAAAGTGAAAGCTGCACTGATCGCTAGTGTTCCGTCAAGGCAACCAGTCAAAAAACTTGACTCCCGCGAGAGGACCCTTTGGGGCTGGCCGGCGCTCAAAGATACCATTGGCTCTATCCCTATAGCAAGCAACTCGAATCGGAAACGGAAGCCACATATAGTGGTTCAGGTAAGTGTGTTGGAGAAATATGATCTTTAGAAGTGCCTTTTTCTAACATATCTAGATATCATCAATAGCCACCCTAGGGCAGACGGATAAATGGCTAAAAGAAACATTTTTCAATGCACTATGTCCCCGATCCAGAGTTAATGATGCTTCCAATGCCACCCTTGCGAAATTCTCAATTATCTTTCCCACACCAGACGAAATTAGAAGGTCCCTAGATGGATATGCATCCGGGGGATCTATACATACGAAGATCCAAAGCGCCTCACAACAGAAACAACTAGCATACTTGCGTAGCTACTTGTGTCACTGGGCAGGGGACACTGGAGGCCCCAGCGATTCTAATACTGCTGCTGCTGCTGCTCGACATAACGCAGGCGCAAAGCTAATACGCGAAGCAGGCAGAAGGAGGGCTGCGCCTCATATTAAAACGTACATCCGGTTTTCCGATTCAGATATGACCGGCGTCGACTGGGCTATGGTTACTTCCGCAAACCTATCCACCCAAGCATGGGGAGCTGGCGCTAACACGCAGGAGGAAGTGAGAATATGCAGCTGGGAGATAGGGGTGCTGATATGGCCGGATCTTTTCGGCGACAAGTCAGATGGAGGCGAGGTTTCTTCAAATAACCCTGTTGAATTGATTCCTTGCTTCAAATCCGATATTCCCTCTCAAGAATCACCACCCCCTGGGACCGACTCCACAAATTCTACCTCGAATTCAGGCGCCACGAATTCTACTAGGGTTGGACTACGTATGCCGTACGACCTTCCACTTGTTCCGTATACTCATCGAGATGTTCCGTGGTGTGCCACAGCGGTGCATAGGGAGCCCGATTGGCTAGGACAAACCTGGGAAGAGAGTGGTTAAAACTATATAATCCCCATCTTTGACCCCGCACATTGATATCAAATAACTATATCCCTGTAGATCTTCTTGATATGAAATATTTTAGACCTTCACGGGGAGGAGGAAGAGGGGACATGGCGCAGAAATGGAACGTTTATTCTATCACTTGAATATTCGATTCTAAGAGACTACGAAAGGCATCATTCCTATTTAGCCTTTGGGATCAAAGAAAAAAAAAACAACTATATCCAGAGAACACCACCGCTGCCGTCATTTCTCGTTGTCAGCAGTCAACATGATATCACGTCCCATTTATGACTTTATGTACCCAGCGTTAATTCATTTTACATTCCTTGTTCCTGCCCCTGTGTTCCGGACTCCATCTTGCATGCTGTTTTTCGATCAAGAGCCAACTGCCTCTGGCGCCTTGGACTCGTCGTAGCCGTATTTGGCCTTTAGTTTCTCGACAAGGGCGATGTATCGCTCTTGGGCTTGTTCTGGGGTAACCCCTTCCTCGACGATCTCCTTCCATTTGCCGTATTTGTATTTTCCCTGTCGATAAAGAGAGGCAGAAATTAGTTTATATTCATAAAGTATTAAAGAGGCTGGTTCTGCGGTCTTTACCTTCAAGTCGAACATTCCGGGGCTAGGGGCTTTCTCGAATGGGGGGTCTTGCTTTCCTTGCTTAAAGAGAGCATAGAGCTATCAGGGTCTGGCATTAGCTTTCTATCATGTATGACTTTTACCAAAATCCAACGAGAGGCCTTTGATGTGGTAGGAGGAGGATGTAGGAATGGTGAAAATGACGTACAGACAAGAGCTCGTCGTCACTAGGCTTCGCGAGGAGTTTCCGGCTAGCTTCAGCAGCAGCTTCGAAATCGGCAGATGAGGCCATGGCCGTATGTTTGTGTCTTTTGTCCTATTCCTGGGTTGAACCTGGATTGATGGATGGTTTTATTCTCCTTGAGGGCGAAGTTGTCGAGATATCAATCGAAGTGAGGGGCTGTGGAAGCAAGTTTGGTACTATATCTGCCGAGGAAACCGTGTTAGCCGAGCACTCAAAAGCAAGACAGGCCTCTCCCTTCGCCAGCGGGGGGCCAACTTACTGCCTTGAAACTGTCTCCTCTGCTGTAACCTGTTGTTCCTGGGGGCTTTCTTCTTCTTCTTCCTCCAAGGCGGGGGGAGGGGCGGCTTTTTATTTAGATGTTTCCGTGATCACGGGGATAGTGGTCCTAGCGCACAGGTTTAGCCCAAGGACGGGCTTGGTACCCGGAGATACTTGAGCCGGCAGCAAGAATATGCGGGCCGAGAGGGTACCTGGAAGTACTCCGCGATAGTTTCATTGCGTCATGGCAGCTGGGATTAAAAAAGCCCGGGAACACGGTGGCCTCAGGTCCTGGGACGGCATATCTCGCGAGCAACAACGCAGCACAACGCAGCGTCGTCGTTGGCTGCGTGATTTTCTATCTGGACATGGGGAGTGAGCACTGAGAGGGGGATATAGTGCTATAATGACTCTAATATATGGACGGGAACTGGTGCCGAGTTTCAAGACATGCGCTAAACCAACAAGACTCCAACAGTATGCAATGCAATCATGGCAATAGGAAACCATATCTAAAAGACAGGTATAAAAAAAGAGCGCAGGGAGGGGGCCGAAAAGCAGAAACATAAAACCTCGGCTAAAAGACACTCCTTACCAGTCGACGGCCCATCCGTTCTTCTCGAGAAAGTCTTCGCAGGCTGCCTTCAGAGCGTAATTGGGTCGGAGGTCACTGGCGGTCATCGGTACCCGAGTTATGGGGTCAGACTCAGACTGTTGTATGTGTTTCAAGATGCTTGTTCTCTCAAACGAATGGCCTGATGGAGTAACCACCGGATCATGCATGACTTCAAAGGTGATATTGTCGATCAAGTGCTCGGGCATGTTCTGTAGACAGGGGTCAGTCAGTGAAAACCCCAGATCATCACAATCTTCATGCATGCAGGTAATAGAGAAAAAAAAAGGAAAGAAACTGCAGGAATAAATTGCCAGAGAAGTAACATACCCTTTCCTGGAGTTCTGGATCCACCGCGGCAAATGCTTCTCGTACGTTTTTCAGTCTCTTCGCGTACTCTTCCTCCAACACCTTCTTGTCCTCGTCGTATCCCACCTGGCCCATCTCTCCTCTCTGGAAGGCTTCGTGTAAACGCGTGATTTCAGCTTTCAAGTCTGCCTCCAACAGCACCTCTACCTGCTTCAAAGTCTCGTTACGCTCTCTCAATCGCGATGTTTCCTTTGCCGCCCAAATGCTTTGCTTCGCGCGAAGTATAACCCTCGACAGAGGCTCTGAGTTGGGGTTCTTCGTCTCTAAACTGCTCTTATATGCGGCGAGAGCGATTTCGAGTGCTTCTGCAGGCCGCTGGAGGCCTAATAGTGCCTGCGAGAGGTAGTAATTCGCCTTGACGGCAACTGGGTTCTTGGGACCGTATAGATCAACAGCAATTCGAGAGTCATGCTCTACCCCTTCCCATGATCCGAGCTTTATTCGAACAAGTGCGCGATTGTTAAAGAAGGCCGGATCGCTGGAGTTTTTCTGGATACTGCGCCCAAAGAGTGCTTGTTAGTATGAATTTCGTGCACGCATGATATCCATGTCAATATCAAGGGGATAGGTATCTTACGCCTGTGAGTATAATTCCTCTGCGCCCTCATAGTCTCCCTCCTTATATCGCTCATTGCCCCTCGCCTTCAGCTCATATGCCATTGTTGATCACTTGAGCTATCCTAGCTGCTTATTCCTGTTAATAATCTCTATCAGTGGAATATGACGGCGCAATTTTAAAGATCAGTACACCGTAGTTAATGAGGGATATTCTTGTGTCGCTATGCACGCTAAAGTACGAATTTGTGAGTATCTGGTATGTGATATGTGACGGTTTCAAGTGAACATAGTCATATTGGCAGAGCAACTAGAGCTAATTAGTTAATGTAAGGGGAGGTGAAGGGGTGCAAGAGGTCGGATGCTCCAAAGAAATTGATATTCTCCAGCAACTCAGCGCTCATCCTCCGCCCGTTGCGACCAAACGCGTACTCCATCTGGACCTTGAGAGAAACAAGTGGAAGGCTGATTAGTAAGAGTCGGGCGGGCAGTTATCCCGTTGCCGAGGTCCGATAAGACCAAGTTGCGATAGTGACAGTGACTACAAAGTGACTGGAGAGTAACTACAGAGTGACTAGAGTGACTAGAGTGACTGAGTGACTGAGTGATAGCTAACAAGGAAAAGGCAAACGTTATTACAAAATTGCTAGGACTAAGCTAAGGTGTAGAACAAAATTTATAGTATAGTAAATGATAACGCCGGCTAAAGAATCAACTGATCCAAACGGCAAACCGAGTAGATCTATAGCGCCTTATCCGTAAATAGCATCCCCTGTGTTCCTTTATTTGCGGCGTCATTCGATCCTGGCTGGAGTAAGAGCGAGGATGGAGCTTGACCACGTCCCTCTTGTGACTCGGCGCAGGACGGTGCCTTCGATATACCCGAAAATCGCACTAGGATGTGGCCAGCAGCAGCCAACCAGTCCCTGGTCGATGCACTCTGCAAACCCCTGTGTTCGGGATATTCTGAGCCAACGGCGACACGGCCGACACTGGTGTCGTTGAGAAGCTTCTTCAAATGCGTGAAGGGGTGTCCGTCGATAATTCCCATAACAAACGCTGAAAGCAGCAGCAACAGCCATGAAGCGAGGAATAGCATTGCGGGAACGGCGAATCTCAGGTCGTATGTCACCTTCCGGTCGAAAACCCTCACGCCCTGAGTAAATGCTCCGCCCCCTTCGGTGCTGTCTATTGGCTGTCCGTTTCCTCGCATATTTGTACCAACAATATTACTAGCCATGATATCTGTCCAAACGAGACGGAGAAGCTTCGCAGTATCCCCTGATGTCCTAGATAGGTTACGCCACTTGTTCGCTAGTGCAACGTTATTTGCTCCCGAGTACGTAACATATTCGTCTCTGAGGCGGCTGAAAAAGTCGTTGTTCAGCACTTTGCCCAGAATTCCGTACGGCATGGTCGCTCCAGCAAGGTTATCTAGGGGCCCGCTACTGGAACTCAGTGTAAGAGCGTAGTAGCTAAAGGGTAAGTAAAGTGAAGGTGCTCGAGTAAAGTTGTAGCCGGGCGTGTGCTCGTAGGAATGATCGACGATGCCCCAAAGTGGTCCTGAATAGGCACCTTCGGACCCAGGATGCCACCAATCTTCCAGTGCCCAGAGGGGGAGATCTCTCGGGTTAGCATAATGCTTGTCTTCGATTCTCTGTATGGCAAGGGAGTCTAGCGTGGCGGTTCCGTTCATAACGAAGGAGATGGTCTTGACCGAAGCCTTAACGGCACCCGCACAAGTGTATATAGGTGTCCTCCATTTCGACCCGACTTCTCTAAACAAAGGATTTCCTCCATCTACCCTCGATGCAGCCCCGAAAAAGTATCCACACTCAATATTATAATCGTTTTTCAGTGACGCATCGCTGTATTCTCCAATGCACCGTTCCTTAAGCTCAGAGTAGAGCCCAATAGAATACCAGTATAGGTCGTCATCAGGGCCGTTAATGGTACGGTTACCCACAGTCAAGCTCCCATTGTTGTTGAACGGTAGGACTGGCAGGTTTAGCCAGGCGGCAGAGGGAGGCATAGCCTGTATATCGAGCGATGCATAGTATGGAACGTCCCCAATTGGGTAGTGCCGGCCCCGTGTGACGTTAAAGCCATAACCCACTGCATTAGCATCGCCATGTGTGAGATTGTAGGTGAGGCCGGCTAGGAAGTTGCTAAGCCAAGCTGATCGGTCCGCTCGAAGTCGAGGATTCGGAGATGCATAGGTAATATTGGGCCAATCTTTGTACGGGTTTCCACGCCGCAGGTCGGAAAACCCGCCTTCGTCTACCAGCTCAATTGCTCGAACTGGCGGCGAGAAAGTTCCGTTTAGAGTATCAGCCAGAGTCAGCTCGTACGTGAGATTGGTGTTAACGCAGGAGATGTCTGGCTCTATCCATAAGATGTCTTCATCCCACTCTGCCCCAAAGGGCAGCCCCGACGGCACGCTGTGATTTCGGAAACCGATGCCACCGGATCGCATATCTGCAACTATACCTTCGGCTAGAACTATATCGTCTTTTGAAATGAGGGAGTCGAGGGGTAGCAATTGACCTCGCGGATATGGCTTGTGATCATCGAAATATTCTGAGGAATACGGTAGCCAAAACCGGTACTGAATATCTAGTATGCTCGCTATGCTGGAATTTTTTGAGGCACTCGTAAACATTTTGGTAATATTTGCGGGAATGTTTGTAGTAGAAGTAATATTCGGGTTCGGAGAGGGTTTGCCGTGACCTTGGTTGATGACGGACCCAGGGACGAATGTGCCAGGGCAGGAAATGGATTTGATAAGACAATCCCGAGACAAGGGCATATCAGGACGTCCTATCGTGTTTTTGCCAAAACTGGACATATCAGGTGCATAGTGAAAGCTCACATATTGGGTCGATACTGGACGGACCTTGTCGCTAAGCCCTAACGGCGTCACAACTCCAGAGATGACACCGAGCATTGCCAGACCTATACTGATATAGGCCACCGTGGAGACACCCCAGTGGACGTGTTTCCCAGCAACAGAATCCGTTCGGAGCAACGTTGGCCATGTCGTCGAATGCAACTGGCGGGCAAGGACGGACCTAGCATGGTGTTGTAAGGATAGAACTTTTCTAGGGATACGGTTATGTGGCCAAATTGTTCTCATTTAACGCTTACCAGGTTGCTGCAGACAAGGTATCACTGAGATGATGGACTAGAACAATAGCTAGAAGAAGCGGGATGGTGAAGGAAACTAGGCGAGCCTCTTGGGTTAGAGAACGGGCATGGCCATCGTAGAAGTGAGCGAACATACCAACGAAGTTACCAAACGCTATCAAACCTGATGCCCGACCAACTGTCAGCGTCGTGATAGTGTCCATCTTGCTCAGAATCACAGAGCTATCTCGAATTCCGAGGGAAACCCCAGATCCGTCCCTTTGACGATAAAATAAAGAGGAGGCTCTTATGGGGCCCTTTTGTACGGAGTCGACAAAAGTACGGAGTAGTAGAGCCGCTTTGCGAGTCACTCCCTTATATTTCGTGAGAGGCCGGTCCACTTCGTGCGCCAACACTGCTCAAACAAGCCTATAAGCCTCATGGTTGCTCCGTCCATGATTGGAGAGAAGGGTATAGTCAAGGTCGATCCTGGAATCAAACTAGGCAAATGGTTGGTGGCCTAGGATAATGATCACCAACAGATTACTTCGTTCCTAAAATTAGGAACTCTAGTTTGATATCCCGTTGGGTGCTACTCAAGATAGAGGCATTTAAAGGTGAAATCTCTTCGTATTGACCCGCCTGAGAACACGAGATGATTGAAGATAGAACCAATACGTGACTAGGATGGAAAGAAGAAAGGAGGCTGAGATGTCGTTCCTTGACCCGGATTTAGACTAGTATATATTATGTAATATGATCAGTCAGCCACAATAAAGCTTGTTAATAATTGTCATATATTTTAGAACTTTTTAGGAAAGTTCTGCCGCTCCGGGTACCATCAAGGTAACGTGACCTAGTCGTTGAATTTTAACATTATTTTTGTTCTACAAACTTCAACTATCAAATTTGAAGTTCGAGTGCAAAAGTTATATAGAAAGGTCCGGCTTTCTACTATTCGAGGCTTTCTTCTACCTCCCGGACTACCTTCTTCACTCCCTCGATTTCATGCGCAAATCTTCCCAAAAACATACCGTCGACCGCTTTACCCAACCCTCCTTGTCCCCACAGCCCTGGCCCCGCACTCCCTCCATATATCACCCTCACATCACCTCTGCCCTTCTCACCGCGTATTCTATCCGTGACCGCACGTATTCCCTGAACCACGGCAGCAATATGGTCAACGCCAGCGGGGACCAGCTGTCCAATTGCCCAGACAGGCTCGTATGCAAAGATAATAGGCGCATCTGCGGGTATCGCATCCAGCACGGCCTTGACCTGAACTTCGCACTCCTTTACCGCCACGCCGACTGTCTCTGACATCACTGGGCCAGGGACGGGTACCTCGCCCACACATACGAGTGGGATCATACCCTGTGCACTCGCGGCTGCAGCTTTGGGCCCGACCTGCTCATCTGTTTCCTTGAAAATCGCCCGCCGCTCGGCGTGGCCTAGCTCGACTATCGAAACGTTCATCGAATGCAGACACGAAGGTGAGATCTCCCCCGTATACGGCCCCGATGCTTCCCAGAAGCAGTCTTGGGCTCCCAGTAAGAAAGGAGGTGGTAGCGGCGAGGAACCCGGGACCAATTCAGCCGATTGTGCATTGAGCTTGGTCTCGAATTGCTCTATGATCTCGGAGCAAGGGTATATCGTCAGAAAGTCGGGGATGAGGGCGAGTAGAAGTTTAGATCTGTTTTTTGCACAAACGATCTCGTTCTGGGGCTCTAACAGTGCTCGTAGGTATTCAAGAGTCCGCGAAGGTGTAAAATACATCTTTAGTGAGATTATCAACAACTTCTCAGGGAGGACTGGGTATTTCACCCCTGATCTCGTTGCGTCGGCCATGCTTCCGTCCTCCTTGTCTCTCTGGTCTCGTAGGTGTAAATGCGCCGTCTCTTGTCGAGAGTCTCCAGCGTGAGACTTAGTAACTAGCCAAGGGAAAGCTGTCTGAGATACGAGCAAGAGAAAGCTCTCGTCCTCCCTGGCGGCCAACTTCCATCGGCGTCGCTCCGGGATAGCAAAACCTTTATCGATAAGCGGTTTACTGGATCCGGTAGTCCGGTGGCTAGCTACCCAGGTAGCTTTAGAGATTCATATAGTTACTCCGTGTAGCTCGAGCATCAAACCATCCATCTAGCACTTTGGGTCTCTGTTTCTGCGGCCTTTATTTTGGGCAAAGGTACGGCGGTTGGGTTGACATTGGGTTCCACGCTTGTCTGCTGGTGGGGGTTTCACCATTCTAGCTGCAACAGCTCATCTCAGGCACATCTTTGCCTCCTAGAGAACCAGGACCCGGCTCATCACGGTATTCACGGTATTTGTCCGGTGGTACAGATTATACAATCATCTGGGATAGCGAGTTATATTCCGTACGCCTTCCGACGACAATGTGAAGGTGGAGATGGATAATCATCAATTCTCCATATAACTCCACCACCTGCACCACCAGGGAACCGGATGTAATTGAGAGAACGGAGCAGACGGCTATTTTCTATGGAGATGACAACGGCCTGTCCCGCGGAATGAGAAGTGAACGCCATCTACATTGCCCCGAGGGTGCCACCGAATCAGATATAAATACAACACGTTCTTCCCTCCGCAATCCACTGTGTGCTTCTGCCCACTTATTTATATGAACGCTGCACATATTAATTACCCCGTCTAATCCACACACACCTCCGCAAGCAAGATCGAACGAAATACCCCATATCAAGATAGAGAATCACCAAATCCAATACTCAAAACAACAAGTCTGAAAGATGGCCGCTTCGCTCCCTCCTCTCCGCCTTGCCGTCGCCTGCGATGATGCTGGCCACTCCTACAAGGAAGCCATCAAAGCTCATCTAGAGAAAAACCCACTCGTCGCTTCGATAACAGATGTTGGTGTCCCTGCTGCAACCGACAAACGGGCATACCCCCATGTTGCCGTCGAGGCCGCCCACTTGATCAAAGAAGGAAAAGTCGACCGTGCTCTTTTGATCTGCGGCACTGGTCTCGGAGTGGCCATTGCTGCAAACAAAGTTGCTGGGATCAGAGCCGTGACCGCTCACGATCCATTCAGCGTTGAGAGGGCCATCTTGAGCAACAACGCACAGGTTTTGTGCTTTGGCCAGAGAGTCATCGGTATCGAGTTGGCGAAGAAGCTGGTGGGAGATTGGTTGACGTATCGGTTCGATGAGTCCAGCGCCAGCGCTGAGAAAGTGAAGTGTATTGGAGAGTATGAGGCCAAGTTTGGGGAATCGAAATAATGGTCCTGTTTATTTTTCTGGATGTTCTTTCAGCCTTCTTCCCTCTTTTTATATCTACTCTTTCCCCTTCGAACACAATTGATAGCCTTCGATCGCCCAAATACCCGAAAACTGCAAGCTAGATTGAGTTGAAGTCCCTATACCTAGCAAGTCCAGCAACACGTATATATCCACACATGTCAAATATTTTTTCCATCGTCCCTTTTTTTTTTTTTTTTTGCTTCTACCCTGCATCTTATCCATGCTCCCGCCCCATGCTCGTGCAGGACGATGTCGTCATAGGTAGAGCAATTTTAAATAGATTTTTTAGCCGCCCTCATCTCTTCCTTCATCCTTGTAATCGTCCCACTGCCACCATATACCAGGCCGGTGTAGAGCATAGCAACATCAGCGCCAGCGTTGATCGCTGCCTGGGCTTGGGCTCCGTTCGTAATACCCCCTGAAGCAAAGATGACTTTTCGAGGTTGGGTAGAGCCAATTGCGGTGTCGACAAGCGGCACACTCTCTTCATCCACGGCGGGAGCTTTGGGGGTGCCGCGTTGATCAAGCTGAGCCCGGTATTTTGCAACCAATGCCACCGTCCCGTCGATTAGTTGCGGCCCGGAGAACCCACCTGTTTCATGGAGTGTGTTTTGCTCCTTGTTAGACATAACATAACCTTTCGGCAATGCTTCAGGTCTTCGGTTGGTAGTGTTTCCAACAATAACCCCATCAACCCCGGCGTTGGTCACAGCGTCACAGATACCGCTTATCTGCTCATCTGAATTCTCATCTGGGCTGACCTTCACCATTACAAATGGCTTAACCTGGCGGTCAGCCCGCTTTGCTGCTTGGACGACACCAGTCAATATCTTCGTTAGTGGTTCGACACGCTGCAGATCTCTCAACCCTGGGGTGTTGGGGCTGGAGACATTCACGACCAGTATATCAGCATATTTCGCCAATCTGTCCACACAGTAGACATAGTCTCCCTTGATAGCCTCGATGTCACCATCAGGGGTCGTTTTGTTCTTTGCAACTTGCACTGCAAGAAGCTTGCCATCCGTTAAACTGCCCGGAGGGACACCAGCCTCCCCGTCAAGGACCCGTTGTTCAGCAGCATCGCCCAAGCCATACCCCGCAGAGTAAGCAAAATCACGAACTCGCTGTTTGAGAAGTAGTGCCATATTATCTGCTCCTTTCGAATTGAGCCCGTACCGATTGATCAACGCGTTCTGGGAAGGTATACGGAACACTCGCGGTCTCGGATTGCCGGCCTGCGGGAGAGGAGTGGTTCCTCCCACCTCAACAATTGCTGGTCCAAGCTCGAATAGCTGGGATGGAATCTCCGCGTCTTTATCAAGCCCACCAGAGATACCAATTGGGTTGCATAGTGTATAGCCAAAGACCTGTTAAAAAGTCCGGTTAGCATAGGGAGGAGTTTATAAGGTCAGTGACAAGCGGAATCGGTTCCAATGAATAGCCTGACCTTGGTAACCAATTTACCATCACCATCGGGATTCCCTCTTTCGCGCGGGTGTAGCCCATATCGGTATAACGTTTTAAGCAGGTCAACTCCAAAATGGTGAGCGTCTTCCGCGTCCGGATACAGCCATCGCAGCATTGGCGGCACTAGCCATTGATGTACTCCTGCCCTTGTATCAGTGACGTAAATATACCCAACACCTAACCCAAGTGCGAGGAAGGTAGTCCAAACTACCCCTCCAGATCTTCGCTTCGGCTTTGTTGCGTTTATCGCCGCGTTCGCTGCAGATTCACTCGTGGTAGATGCCTTTCTGGAGCTCAACCGTAGATGAGACCGAGCTAGAGGATAGCTTCTTAGTACCTGGGACCGCGCGCAGGAGCACGCAGAGATGACGCGGGATCCGACCATTGGGTCGAACCGCAATTGCTTCGGAATCATGTTGACTGCCAACTATCACGCTATCAGAAACCGACACTGCTCAATCTATTAGTAGAGAGAACGTACGGAGGAGAGAGGTTCATTGGTTGCGGTTGAATATCGAGCTCGAGCTGCCGCGAAGTGCGCAAAGTACATGTGCATCACGTGTCTATAACCCACGTGATATAACAGGTTTACCTAGGCAGGTAGTACTCGGAGACAGGTAAGAATTTGTGTAGTTTGATATAATATAAACATCTCGGATGAAATGAATAGTGGTAGCCGATTCATGCATAAGTAGTGGCCTATCAGAAATCTAGTTCTGCTAATCCTTCTCCTTCAACATACGCTAGACCATAGCATTCCCTCCTCACAGCATCTAGAACTTCCCGGTCACCGGTCGTCAGCTTCTTCAGGTATTCCTCCAAGATGTAGATGTTATCAGTCCACATCTGGGCTTCCTGTTTCCATCTTGTAATATCAGCCTCCTTTTGCGCAATAGAACCAGCCCCATCGCCCTGAACACGCTTCTTGATCTCAGCTTCTAGACGAGCAATTTCCATTTCCAGCTGGTCTTTCTTCATGGCCAACGCCATCCTTTCCCTTTCGTTTTCCTCTCTAGACCCGTTCTGGTTTCTTTCCTCTTCAAGGCGCTGCTCTTCTTGAATAATGCTGATCTTGGCTTCCAATTCTCCCGTAGATTTCTGTATTTTTTCTGCTTCTTTAGCTAAGCCGTCTATCACTTGCTCACGGGCTTTCTTCTCTTCGCCACCCCAAGCCCAATACCAGTTCCCACTCCCAATCTTCTCGACGTGGAGTTGGCCTTCATCGGTCAATGCTTGGATGTGGTCCTTTACTTGCATACCGTTGATCGATGCGACAGGCGGAAGCGTTTTTTCTAAGTCTTTGAGGGTGTGGCATGTTCGTGTTGCTCGAAGATAGGCTAAGATACGGCGTTGCTTCTCTGCAGCAGATATTCCAGCTTTTGGTGCCTAGTAATCCGATATTAGAAAACGCGTTTAATCCAAATGCTCAACAAGTGATTCCTCGGAGAGCACATAGAAGGACTAACCATATTTGCTCGTTCTGGAGACAGCACTTTAAACCGAGTGGGGATAACGAAGATAATCACAGTAACCAGGTCCAGGCTTGGTCGAGAATAATTCGTGTTTGGCAGAGAAATAATGTCGAGGTCCCATTTTCTTGACGGGGCAAAGGCGGAACGCGGACACAGTTCTGCCCTAATTCTCTTCCATATCAGGACAACCTTATATGGACAACACTGGAATCCTTTCCCATATTATAAGTTTATAACTCGTCTCATTACTCTAGGAATGATAGGTATGCTACCAGTGGGGTCAGGTTATTCGGGCTCAAAGTGATCTGAGGGTATTCTAGGTTATCCTTCGCGTGTGTGATAGCATCCAACTAACAGTCTACCACGTAGAAAGGGTATAAAAGGCGTTTTGGAATCTCTGGGCGTAAAGAAACAGACAGTGGCCAGGGACACTTCACCATGCCGGGTCGTATAAGGACAGGTCGTCCATAACCAAGCCTTACACACGGTCATGATGCCTGGCGGGTATCTATAGATCCTCGAGCACTTGCCATTAATTCTGTTGCTGCCAATCGCGGGCTCCCCCTTATCCTAAATGAACAGGTGTCCTTGGACACTTGACATAAGATACCACGCGCGAACAGGTAGACTTCTACATCAGTGGCTAGACGTAGTGTAAATGGGTTTGTCGTCGCGACTCTTGTCGAATATCAAGATCAAGGCGCCGGTATCTCGGAACTAGATCTCTTGATTGGCACGCTATTCAACCGTCGTCTTTTCTTACGTCCGTGTTGAGGTGCTAGTCCATCATCGAAGCCACTGCTGCTATATGCCTCGACTTTTGGCCGCGTGCTAATGGCCGAAACCGAAGTTTGACGAGATCTCACAGTAGATACTTCCACTGTTGACTCGGAATCACTGACATCGCTGACCTCCTCGCCTTCCACAAGAACCATATCTCCTGTCTCCTCAAGGGCCTCTACGGCAGCCTCTTCAAGCAAGAAACCAAGTGCTATCAGTGCAGTTTTATCCATGCTGCGCCAAGTCGATTGGCCGTGGTCGACCGTTCCATTGCCATAAAAGTCAGAAGCATATGTGTGAATAGCCTTTAGCAAGTCAGAGTCCGGCAAAGGTTGATCCTCGGGAATGTCTTCGTTGGCAAAATAGAAATCATTTTCCATATATCTTATAGAGGCATTTTGTCTCCGAAATAAGACCTCTTCTGGAGCCACAGCTGGGAATATCCGTGTTGACGAGGTACCGCGGTAGTCGTTCGCGAGGGACGAGGATTTATTCTGAGACCTATTACTTGAGATACGCCCTACAAAAATTTACAGGTTAGTTAAGACCAATTATGCTTGTTTCGGGGAATATCAAAGCGGCGTAAATTACCTGCAACGGCATCATAAACGTTTGCATGTCGATATTTCGGCCCCCTACTCGGTTTAACATCTTCGATCCCCTCTGTTTTCGGTGACTCGCCGTCCATTTTTCTATCCATGGCGGCTGGACTGTAGTTGGTGATTGCATGGTCGAAATATCTATGGAAGTTTCCCAGACTGCCAGAAATAGCGCCAAGACGGCTTAGTAATAATCAACATCATCGCTCGTCTTGAGCCGCATCCTGGACATCAACGTCAGCTAACCTGGGATAGCTGGCATAATCTAATGAATGAATTCGTATATCTTTAATAGATCTCAAGGATCTATATATCCTTCCACATTCCACGTTGCACAATGTGCTCGTCTTGTCCATGCCCTCGCGCCCGCGCCAGGAATCCGCTTCTCGTCTAGCAAACAACATGCAGCTCAATCAACATCCACAGATCCAGCTGAAAGTATACCCGATATATATCCTTCAGAATTGAATGCTGATGAGGTCTGGGCACATAAAGCCGGGGTGAATGTTTTGGCCATCGACCAGTATGAGAAACGCTAGTATGTTGAACCTTGATTCTCGATGTATGGATTTTTGAAGCGTACAATATGAAGGCGAACATATGTTCAACTTGTGGCTAAAAATTGCGGCAACAGTATGATCTCGGGTGGCGCAGATGCTTCTATTCATATATGGGATTTAGAGGGCAGAGGGACTGAATTAAGTTACCTGCATAAACCCGTCGCTTCTGTCTCCAAGTATACTCCGCCCAACCTACCAGCCGGTACATTCCAACCCGACTTATTATAAGTGTATTATAGACAAACGAATTCTTCGACTCATACTCATGCGCTTACATCTCTTTCAATATACCCATTCGACCCTACCCCGTCAACAATCCTTAGTACCTCCCACGACACTACACTTAAACTGTCCAGCCTGGGAGAATCAGAGATCACTCCAGTCCACACATTCAACCTCCACTCAACACCATATTCTCACTCACTATCAGCGCACCAAGCATCTCATCTTCTTATTGGAGTTGGGACATCTGATAGCGCTGTACGACTGCTAGACCTACGATCTGGGCTTTCAACCCATGCTCTCCCAGCCCACACAGCGGCTGTTGTTTCCGTCGCGTGGGCGCCTCACAACCCCCATCTGATTGCGTCAGCATCAAAAGACAATCGAGTAATTATTTTTGATGTCCGACGGAGCGGTCGCAATGCAGCAATTGCTTCCCTTGATATGGATGACGCAGTTGGTGTCTTACCATCTCGAGATCTTGACAGTTCTCAAACCAGGAAGCCATATCATTCCAGCTCCCGTGCCCATAATGGCACAGTGACTGGAGTTCGATGGACACTGAATGGTAGCCATCTACTAAGTACTGGTCAAGATTCGAGGATTCGTGTATGGGACGCTTCAACTGGCGCTAACACACTGGTTCATTTTGGCCCCCGCATTCGCAATAGCGCCTCCCTACATCTTGCTGAGCGGGCTCCTCTTATTCTCCCTGAAAACAACAACGCTGGAACGCTTTTACCAGGCCATGAAGTGCTTCTTTGGCCGAATTATAACGACCAAGATGGCAGAGGGGAAATTTTTATGTTTGAAATTCGCGATGGCACTTTTATTAAACAACTGCGTGTTCCTGGCTTAATAAATAGGGAAAAGTTACGGGGAAGACCCACGGCGCTGAGCGCTGCGAGGATTAATGCCCTTGCTTGGAGGGGGAATGGTGCTTCTGGAGAAGGGATGGAGTTATTTTCAGCTCACGGGGATGGCACCATTAGAGCGTGGACTTCCCGGACCCAGGAAGACGAAGAGCTGGAGGCGGAATCAAAAGAGAATGAGCAAGAGGAAAAGAAACGAAAAAGAGATGTCCTTGATGAGTTGTATCGAGGCCTGATGCAGCCTGGCATCACCTTCACTTAGAACAGCCTGGCCTTGGATACTCCTAATATTGGACGAAAAAAATCGCAGAGGGTCGAAGAATCAGGATAGTCATGTATCTATGTTTCATATAACTCTTTTGATCCATTCGAGATAATATGTAGGAGGTTGAGAAAAAAATAAAAAAATATTGTAAATGATGATCGACGCAGGGATCGAACCTGCGATTTTCCGCGAAACTTTATTTGTAAAGCGGACGCCTTAACCACTGGGCCAGTCGATCCACATGTTAACTGGAATTCAGAATCTCGCTTCATAGACCCAGGAGGAGATTAGTAATCCTATATCAGACTTAACCCCCTATTTTACTGCCTTGCCCCCACCTATATCTATTAAGGTGGTAAGGCTCACTGCATTGTACAACATTTCTTCCATGCAATTTCCCGTTATAGCTGATAGATCGTTGCATTAATGGTGAAGTCTATAAGGCAACATAGCCAGGGTGTAGCGCTGGCTCAAGCTCGAGAACGTGCATAGGCATCGCGTCACCAGCAACGACGAAGTAGTGAAAGAACAAGGCAACATGAAACAAGGCTTACGTGGAAGAATTATGAATTTAACAACTTTTTTTCTTTTATTTGTTTGCCGTTGGAGGCTTGAGTTAACTAACTAATTGTAAGCTGAGTGAGTATAAGGGGGAGTTAGCCCTCCTCGCCCTTGCATATGTTCCAAACCCACATATGTCTATCCCTAGTAGCCAGATGATGCATGAAAGTATCTCAGCTTAAAATTACATTGAGTCATAGGTGAAGTAAGCAGGCGGCAGATGTCACAGGGCGAAAAGAAAAGACGGTGCTCCACTTCCTTCCTTGAAGTGTGCCCATCGGGATGCAGGGCAAAGCAGAATAGGGGGCGATCAGTCGGGCCCCCAAAGTATAGAGTGAAGCCCTGCATATCGGAAACAGCCCCCAGGTTTATGCAGTTTGAGGCTTAGCCGCCCATGGAGTCGTAAAAAGAGGGTTTCAAACGCTAAAGGTAAATCTTTCCAGACCGTTGCTGGGTCGCGAAGGAGTTGCTAAAGCTAAAAAGGGGTATATTGAATAAAAATTATGTATATAGAAGGATCCATCATAATGCCTTCTGTTGGGTTGAAGCGTCGCTAGCCCAGATCTACTGGGCGGTCCAATATCGCTGTAAATGATCGTAAAAAGGAGTACCGGCTCCTCTGCCTAGCGAGAGTGTCAAACTCCCGCGAGGCTAATTATCGTAATACATCGTCTCGTTTTCAGTATCGGTGTATCAGTTCAGTCAAAGTAGAATCAGATAAGGAGGAAATCCCAGCCGTTTTGTTGCATAATATCTCGCCAGTGAACAATCCGGTTCGTTAGCTGTGCGTGCTCCCCGTTCAGTGGTGGGGAGGAAGCCGGTGGTTGTTGCGCTTCCGCGATAGCCCTTGCGTCTGCAACGCGCCATACTTCTCGGAGTAAACACACCATGCGGCCAAAGCTACCCAATTCTGCCTGTTCGCCAATCTGCTCGATCCGCTTGCTAAGGGCACCACGGAATGTGCTGCCGGGAGTTGAAAGCGAGCCGCAGATAAGGAGAGGCCAAACAATGGAGCTATCAAAGCCTTCTGGTCCGCTAGGGATGAGGTCAAGTAGTTCGGCAGCGTGGGAGATTAGGCTAACGGTGCCTGGCTCATCGCGCTGGGCTCCGGGTACAAGGCTGCAGAGATAAATTCGGGCGGCAACGCGGAATAGTGCAGTAATGTTCTTTGCGAGTTGCTGTGGCTGCAAGACCCCGTCTTCGGAGAATGGCTTTACCAGCGATCCTGGTGGCGGTTCGGTGTGGTCGAGCTGTTGCGCAAGGTTGGTGACGTGGCCGCACAGGCTGGAGTGGTCAGTTCGGCCCTCAATGCAGAGATTATCAAGGCATGATATTTCTGCAATCAAGTACATCACTCGATCCTCGCATCCCATGAGCTCGGACAATCCAGCGCTAGATCCGCCAAAGAGCTTGGTCCTGTAGGTATGTGCAAACTGTGGCATCTGACCAAGCATCGTCGACCCCAAAATATCGATCCAAGCAGCTAGGCTCATGCTGAATGGTGGGTGAACTGTTCCGTGATCAGATTCTAGGAGGCGATGTGGAAGGTCTAGCTTGTGGATCAAACCGGTGGCTGCTTGGAAATGCTGGTGCCATGGGACGTCAGGTAGAGAATCGTTCGCGCGGCCGACGGCACATTGGAAGAAAGCCATGCTGAGAGTTGCCTCAAGTATCTGAAGGTGGTCAGTGTCCTGGTTGAGAGATGAGCAAAGTTCTGAAACTGCTTGGTAGCGGTGCTTGAGAATATCGGTGTCAACGAGGTCCCCACAGACTTGCTGTGTTGACTTCAGGTGAACGGCCGCGATACTTAGACAGCAGTGCAGGTAACATTTGTTCGATTCGATTGCTGGAAGTATGACATCGGTGAAGACGCCTCCTCGTTTCCTTGTCTCCAGGATAGGAAATATTTTGCTGGCAACATGTTCGAAAAAGTGATCTAGCAGATGACGGTCGGCATCTTCAACCTGGATGGAGGGAACGCCAGAAGGTCCGTGAGAAAACTCGAAGCAGTTATGCTCTGGGAGGCCCTTGGGTTCGAAAACGTCGTGTTGCGCCCAATCGTCCTCCACAAAGGAAGGTAGCATAGTATGAGCAAGTGGAGGCTGGAACGTGTTGAAAGTCGACGTTGACGAGTCCCGTCGAGTTGGAATGTCATTAATGTACAGTTCGCTCTCAGTTTTGACATCAACTTCGTACGGTGTGGGAGCAGACCAGTAACCAGTAGAATCCAAGTGCGACGCTGGATCTTGAGGAGCATATGGGTCGTAGAGATCTTGAATGTGAACGTGGCTAGACTCCCCCTCAAAACAGTACGGGGGCTCCAAAGAGGTATCTCGAGTTTGTACCATGGTCTCCGGGTACGCCTCAGGGGTCGGGGCCGAATGAGAAAGGCTAGGAGGACTGTAAGTGCAGCAAGTTTGGCGAGGGCACGGAACGGTCTTTTCATTCATCTTGGTACTCTTGATGAGATCCTTGATGTACTCCTTTTGCGACTTTCTCTGTTCGCTGTTTCCCCACCACATTGGTCGCTCGTATTCACACCTTAGCTTGAGGTTCTTGCAAGCTCGACATGCGGGATGACCTTCGTCGCACTTCTTGCGTCGCAGGCGGCATGTGAAGCAACCTGTGTTTACATGTTAGTATGCAGGTACCAACTCCTGTTGGGCACGCGGGGAGGAAGAAGTAGATTCTACATACCAGAGCGGGATCTTCGATGTAGCTTCTCTGATTTCTTGACACCGGTGTTTCCCTGGGTTGTTGAACTAGACGATGACCTTCCTGTAGACTTGCGCGAGGACTTCTTCGAGGACTTGGAGGCTGGCTTGACGGGCTCTATAGAGCTGGCCATGTCTGGGGACGAAACTGAGGGTTTGGGGGACGGGGCGATGGTAGCGAAAGACATTTTTTGAACGGCGACGGTTAGCTTTAAGAGTAAATTGGTAGCAACGAGAAGAAGACGACTTGTGTCCCTGGTAGATAAGTCGAGGATGTGTCACTAAAGGGAGAGTATTAGATAACCTCTAAACCTGACCGGCAGGGAGATTGATCGAAAAGAATGTGTTAGCGACAGAGGACAGGTGAAGCCTTGACGAACAAAAGGGATTAATTATGTTCGTTAAAAAGATTATGCTCCGGGCAGGATTAGTTTAATAACGATATTGAGATGCGCTAACTCGCCGGATGGGTGTTTCTATTTTTGAACCATTCGAAGATAGGGTGCTGGGAGATCCGAACTCAAATGGGAGCTAAGAAGCAAATAGTCCACTACGGGAGCTCAAGGGTTATGCAAGGAAGGCAGCTTGGCAAGACTGACTGGCCAGTCCTATTTTTGCGAGCCGCCCTGGTCGAATTTAGTTGCGCACAAGCATGCTGCTGACCAGGGTATTATGGATCGAAGGGTGCAGCGGGGGTGTTGCAGCATGGAGGTGTGAGATAGCATCGGATAGGCTGGAGGGCATGATGTATCCGCATGGGGTGTGCAGCTAAGGAAGTATCTCCATTTGGTCTCCAGCAAATCAGAGGCTCGAAGTGCTGTCCTTGCAAGATGCTCTTCAATGTCGACCATTCCTACTTTGGGTAGTACTTAGCGTAGGATATCACAGGCAAGTCATGTATACCGACAAACCAGTGGCAACGGGTAAATAGGTCGGTTTCTTTTTATTTCTGGCCACCCAGATGGTCGAAGCAAGCAATTAATCTCCTATCTCGGTTAGATTCTCAACAGTTGACTCCCTAGGACCTAAAGAGGGAAGGGATTGCGGCACCTGGGTCAGATCTCTCCAAGTACGATAGCGATGTACCCTGTGGGTTCGGGGTGGCATTTTGGGACGAACTGGCCGGGGTGTCCAGCGACATGCTCGTTGACTGTACGGGGTACATTGTAGGAGGCAACTCGTATATGGAGGCCGAGTAGAACCAGACCAGATCCGTCTGTTGCCATTCCAACCAGGCACACTTTGAAAGGGTCGTACATCTCAGGGTGCAGCCTCAGCATGAACCCCTTGACAACGCCATGGCCGCCAAGGAAAAGTAATTAATGGTCCTTTTTCCCTTCCATGGAATTAATTCAGCGGCGGGGGCCAACCGAGTGCGAGCAGTTCGATAACGAGAAGAGGTTGGTCGACATAGAGTGCGCCAAGCTTCGGGATAGTGGGATGTCATTCGATCGCCGAAAAGCTGGAGTTCCACTCCTCCCGCTACTCCCCCTAAGGAAGTATAGTATAGGCCTCTGCGGTGGTTGGGGTGACATGCATAGCGATGATTCAGGATCGTGGTAGGAAGGTGGATGTGATGTGTGTGGAGCGTCCGGGATGCTCATGCACGACGAAGAGGTGACAAAAGGCAGATCACGCGTCGGGCCAGGTATCGAGTACATGATATCACTCGACGGCTCAGGCTTCAACTCCACCAGAACTCCGAGATGGCCGGTCACTGTGACTCGCGGGGCCTGCTTGGCGGGCGATGTGACGACGCCGTTGGACTTGCATATTTCACACCTGACCAGCCAATGGCGCAGGCCTGATGCCGAGGTGTCGATGCTCCCCGCGAAGATGCATCCCGCTAGTGGGAGGCCTGGTGATCGTGGTCGCAAAACCTGGATGTTTACTCAGGGATGGAAGCCATAATTAGCAACAATTATGTTTAATTATAGAACGGCTAATTGAAGGTAAATTAACTCCTAATTTTTAAGGTTCGGTTAGGGCTTTACCTACGTTTCTATTTATAAATGGCAGCTAATTAACTCGAGTTAACAAGAGAAATACGGGTTAATTAGCTCCCTCCACATGACCTGCTTTTTCTTCCTTTCTTGCCTTTCTTCCTTCCCGAGACGAGAAGATCAAGCGAGCAAAGTTCCCCTGTCACACGGTAGACAGTAAACGGGGGGACCGCCAACCCGGCCGAGATGGAGTCTCTTTGCTTGGGCCGCCTTCCAGCCTCCGAGTTCGTTCCTCATCCATGAGTAATCAACCTGTCTTCGCTTACGATATCCCGTCTCTCCAGCAAGGCACATTCCTATCTGGGCGGGCTCCTATGGTTGATGGATGGCGAATTTACCTGCAATTGGCGAGTTGGCATGTACGTACACTTACTCATATAGTACCCCTTTCGTCTTACCACTCCTATCCTGAGTGGCCAGCCATCATACCATCTAGGGAGCCATCAAGTTCGGTCCCTGACAAAGATAACATATATGCATACCCAATCCGACTGCAGGGTTAAGCCCTTGTGCCTCAGTTCCAGGACAGGTCAGTTCCTCGTTTCTGCGTCTCTGAATCAGCATCACTTTCCGGACGTGTGCGTTGAATAAGAGACTTTTGTGAGAAAGTCCTGAATATCAATCAATTTCCACCCGAGTCGGATGTGAACAGCAAACACTGTCCAGTGATCTAATATATTCTATATATTCTCTGGAGAGAAGGTTTTTTAAGAACCCGCTGCCCAGGATTGTCGGTATTTCGGAAGATTATATGGCGAGTCCTATACCATACACCGCCAAATGCCTGGACGTAATCGTGATATGTCGGATCGCACCCTGTTCCCCGGTGTCCAGAGAGAGACATACATTCTTATAGCCATGGTACTCGAGTTATATACATCCATTATATACTTTGAGGTATCCAGTGTAAAAATTTTTTGGGATGCATCCGTTAATCCTCGTTGTCGATGCGGGTACCCGCGTTGCCGGAAACAGGACCCTATTCCCCAGAAACCCTTATGGATGTGACATATTCCGTATGTCATGATGACATGCATATGATATGATGGCGCTTTCGAGATAAAGCTACATCTAGACGTCAGAACATGTTACAGACGTCTCACGATCTGAATTTGAGGAATGCTGATTCTCAGATTACACATGTTACACTCTGTCGCGCCTTGAAGCCTCGGGAGAGAACTGCCAGCTGTACGGAGTAACTGCAGCTCGAATAAGCAATTGAGTTCTGGCCATGACATGATATGTGTAATTGGAGCCGGGCAGGGAAGCAGTGGGTTTCTCCATCTGCTGTCCTTTTAGCCGTTAAGCATATCTCACCTTATTTCTGGCCACTCCACTAATACGTCACAATGTCACTCGAGGCAATCACAGTCCTCCCATCTACATGACAAGAGGACGAGTACGGTTTTTATTCTTGAGTGGAGATCTTTGACTGAGCACTACACCAAGTCTGTGAAAGGATTCATATTATCAACCCTATAAGCCACTCGCTTTGACCAAATTGCTCCATATTCAAGAGTATTACTTCGTGCCACGATTATAACATCAGTCATGCTCATATTTCTAGGTATTATCGCGCAGAAATATCAGCGAGTGATAAACTCTCTGTGCGTCACAAAATGGGCAATGAAGCACAGTCCCAGCATCATGCACTATCCCTAGACACTGCAGCTGCCAGCATATCTTAATGTGCCGCATATATATGCCTCAAGCAAGCATATTCAGCGTACTAATAGGGCAGCTGTAGCTCCCTAATGCCTCTCAAGGTGCAATACATTGCATCAACTCCCAGTCTGGCGGCGAAATCTGCAATATCCCGCAATTTACGCCTGCAGGCGTAGGCTCCAGCTGTGATCACTAAACATCCCTGAGCTAAGAAGTAGAATGAAATACAAGTTGCCTCATTCTCTTATTTCCCTTCTGTCTGCTGCGGTTACATATGCAGTCCACATGGTTCGTACTGCGTGATGGAGAGCCTTCTCAACCCACGTCATAAGCGCCTCGTGTATCGTTCCCCCTTGATCCTTTTCCCGTCTCCGGAGGCTTCAACGGCGAGTGTAGAGGCATCATGTCACCTGAGCGGTTTCACCACAGCTTACACTGTCATGCTGTGGCAAATATCCGCTACAGATTGTCCAAGGGTGTGAGAGCGATAACCAAGCTATCGGAATCCAATTGCTGCCTTGGGCCTGGTGAGGTTTTTCTATGCAAGCAGAGCGTTGGACTCTCTGTGATCAGCAGGCCATTCCTACAGACGCCACTTACTTCACCAGCAGCAGGAGCTTGCGGTATCGCTCGCTCTCACCGCGTATTACGCGGTACACACTAACTACCGAGTATCGCATACTTCCCGCATCCAAAGTTAAACTCCGACGGTTGTATTCAAATGTTTTCCACACAAATCTTCGTTCCGTGTTAATTATGCGTGTTAAGGCTGTTGGCTAATATCTTTAAACGGAAAGAGGAATCTCTTCTACAGGCGATGGATAGTCTTATGAGACATCCAACATTTGTGAGGCGCATGGATGATATATTTAGCTCGACCCATGAGCTGGTTTGCGCTTCACGGAGCAGCTCTTCAACCAACTTCAAGGATGATCTCTTGAACAGGGAATCATGCCAAACATGTCTAACAAATATAAGAGACATACATACGGCGTCTACCAGCACTGCCCGGAGCGTTGCCAGGTTTACGTAGATCGGAAGCAGGCGAAGCTATAGCAGAAACACAACAGCCTTAACACACCAGCGAATGTGACGATGAAGAAACGACTGATCCTAAGCACACCAGATGCCCCAGCAACGAGGCTAGCATGCGTCATTCTTGCCCGAAAGGGATATCAATAGGGAATGGAAACCTGTACGCGAAATAAATTTCGAATAGCGCCCTTCTCTCCGGCCTCCGGCCTCTGGCTGTCTGTCGTCCTAGGGTGTCCTTGCCCGTAGCAATGCCCGAGTCCATCTAGCAGTTGTACCATGCTAGACATGTATACAGAGGAAGACGCATCTATGTGCTGGCGCCGCTTGCCGACGCACCCAGCAGAATAGCGTTCAGTCAGGGAGAGGGGGGAATGCAGCGACAATTTATATTCTGCATATTGCCTATGATATTGAGGACAATACGGCGTACGACAGCAGATCTACTACTTAACGACGGAAAAGTAACTTCCTGGGCGCATTGATTTTCGCGCTGGAGAAAGTGTATACAAGGAAAAAGCAAGCCGTACGGGAGTATCAGAAAGGAAGAAGCAGAAAAATGTTGCCCGAGTAACCGCCTGCAACGAACCTAGCAGCGACCAGTAAGGTACATTCTGCAGGCCAACAACTGTGAACAAAGGATAATGCCTGCAAGATCGGACTGATTGGACTGATATATTACCCTTAGGCCCATACTTCCGCCAGTACAGCAAAACTAATAATAATTAATGCACCATTCCTGCATATTACATACCTTGAGATGCACGTTCCCGTGCCAAAACCGCTGCCAGGCAAGACGCTGCGATTAGTCAAGATGTATATTTGGCTTTTTCGCTGAAGGATACGGCAATGCACGATAACAGCGAGCAAATTATATACCTCGTCGAGGGAGATTTTGTTCATGCGGCCGTCGGGCCCCCACCGCCCGCTCGCAGCGCCAGGATCACGATCGCCGGCGTCATCGACAAGATGATAGTCAAAGGCGTATCAGCGACACTCGAGAGAGCAAAGAGGCTTGCATTGTGAACAATGTAATTGTATCAATGCGACCGTGCAGGCGCTTAGGGAGTGCGCGGCGCAAAACTGAAGCACCACGAGATACGGAGTTAACACCCGGCACATACGCCCGACCAGGCAAAAGTGTGAACGACGGCAAAAGCCTGAGGCAAAGCCTTGTAGACCGGGGAGACCCGAGTACATCGCCCTCCCCGGTCCCGGCATCAAGTGAGGAGGGGGCGGCGACCGCAGTCGAGGATTGCAAAGTCGACCACAGGGCAACAATCACTGCTGCTCTCCAGTTGGTTTCCGTCGCAGTGGATGAACGAGCAGATGATATCCTCCCTCGCCTTCCCTGGCCAGCTAGCTCGCAAAGCTGCTGCTCGATCGATCGCTTTGTTCGCTCGCCTGTGTGTGATCCAGCGGCCGCGAGGAGTCGTCGATAGTCTAGATATGCGGGAGCAAGCCCATCATCACATTATGACCCCAGTGACAGCCAATCAACCGCTACAGACGGCCTGCGACCTCAGGTTAGCGCCGAGCAAGGAGACGGCGGCCCCCTCGCCCCCGACCATTAGTTGGTGGTGAATATAGGCTCCGCAACGGCATGCATCGCGAGGCCTCCTGGTCGAGGACCACTTCTTTACAATACGCAATACGCGAGTAAGGGGGGACGCTGGCTTGATAGCCCGCCTGGTTGGCCGCAGAGTGCTTCTTCGCCCTATCCAACAAGATGTCGACGATGGACGGTCAAGGGGAAGCCACCGGCCAGCCATTGGCGCTGTGATATGCAGCTAATCTTGGGTTTCGTCACGCTTGTCCCGCCCGTCCAGTCCACTTTCTGCTTGCCTTCGTCCTGCTGCGGCCCTTCACTCTGCTTTCCCCATATAACACGGACATGATGCAGGAATGATACCACTGGCCTATACGGTGGACGGATAGGGTGTACATCCAGTGTACCTGATGCATGCACCCTGCACGGGCTGAAGAACTTGTCACAGCCAGTACCTCCCGTCCTGCTCGAGCTATGCTGGTGCAGATATCGTTTCGGCCTCGGTACGCCCAGCATATCGTCTTGATGTAGTATTATGACGGGCCTGCATCCAGAATATGGTTACTCGAATATACTTGCCTTCCGCGTGCTGGGGGTATCCCTCCCCTGTGAATGGTTACAAGCGAGAAGAGCAGTCTCTTGCCAGCCACACTGACGTTGCAAAAAAGGTACTCCGTCCTGCCCGAAGTACAATGTTGTACACACAAATGGCGCTGGTAGTTCGCTTTACAACTTTTCCTCCCAGGCTCCGGACGTTAAATAATAGATGAACTGTTGGAGGGTGGGTTTTGCCGTTTCCCCAAGCGCCGTCTCTTGTTATATTCCGTCCTTTCCCACCCTCCATCAAGAGAGATCTAGTTTCATACATCCCCCCAGGAAGTGTGAAAGAGCCATCACATCACACCCGCTAGACAAGGGTTCCGCCCCTACCCTGGAACTTTATCTCACTTTCAATACGATACGGATGTGCGTACGTTAATGTACAAGGGCTGCACCTTCATACGAAGTCCTAAAAAAAGATATATATGCTCAACCCCCATCACGCAGCTGGCCCCCTCCCCGCCCCCTTCCATCGAACATTCGATTGAACGCAGCCGAAGGAATCGATAATCAAGACGTCGTTTTGATATATTCCTATCTAGAGATCTCTTTCCGTCGGGTCTCACACTCTCAACACTTGTTGGTGCCTGCTGTTCAACATACATACCCACCGATCTAGATTATAGAACCAACTCGGCGGCAGTTGACCTGTCACCCATACATCGTCTCTCCAACAACTATCAGTAGTTTAACCAAGTGGCAGATTATCCGACTCTCTCGATACACATGTCAACGTTTACCTGAGAAAACGCTTTTGTTGCGCCTTCTTTCCCTCGTCGCCTTGGATTGCGGAGGTGGACCTGCATCATGGTAAGACGGACTTTTTCGGTTTATCTAGAGTGACTCTTCGCTTATACTCGTACAGGATTACACCTATATCCCACCGCTGCCGCAAGGTGGTGTGCAGATGTTCCCGCCAGCCAGCAATCAGACGATGGACTACATCATGAAGCGTTCGTCTTTCAACTCACGACCTCTATCTGAAGCAACCGAGATTCAAGACCTCGACTATGAGGCAGAGTATTCCGACCCCGAATCTCCACGAAGGAGTATAGAGTCTGTAAGTCTACGCGGTAACTGCTGTGTAATGGGGGCCGTTCGATTCGCTAACGAGAGACCTTCCAGTTTGGAACTGATAGCGCTACTACTTTGTCGCTCTCAGATGAACCACCAACCCCTGGTCCCTATGAGGCCAGATCCTTTGATCTCCAATCACGGCACCTAAGTAAACCGGTCCAGGGTCCGTCAGGCCCCCATCTCTTTAGAGGATCCATGGACAGCTCGATGCTCGAGAAAACTACCGTCGATGAATGGCAACTGTCGCTCTCTCCCGTATCTCTAGAAGATACTAAGATTCCGATTTGGGTGCCACAAGAACGAAGATCCTCCGAGCCGGCTCATATAACCGAGATTCCAAGGGCGTCCAGCAGTATGTCCCATCAGAAACCCAGCAGCTCGTCATCATTTGTCCAAAGCTGGACGCCAACCCAAGTCGCCGAATGGATGTACGAGGTGGGTGTGGAGGACAACCTGGTCGAACGCTTCATCCAAAACGATATCTCCGGCGCCGTTCTTCTCGATCTACACCTTGACGACCTTAAGGAGTTGGATATTCAGTCCTTCGGCAAGCGTCACTTCCTCATGAACATGATCCAGAACCTACGGACGGCTTCTGATCCTTCTTCCATGCCGGAGCTTGCACGGGTTAACTCTTCCATGTCAAACAGTCCTCCTCTTCCAAAGGTCGAGTCCCCAGAGTGTACCACATCTGCGTCTCCTGACGGCGCTGTCAGACATGGTCCGCCTGCTCCCAAACGACGTGGACGCCGCAACCGGGTTATTTCCGAGGATGATATCATTTCACCTGCCGAATCTGTTTCCATCGTTGCTATAGAACAGCTACTCCCCAAGCCACATAAGTGTTCCAAGGGAGAGAACTGTACTAAGTATCAGAAGAGACTGAGGAAGCTTGCCCGGATTGCGAAGCAGTTTCCAAACGAGTTCACCCTCCTGGATGGTGAACTCGTTGCCACTACAAATCAAGTCGTCCCTCCTACTCCCGCCATGACCCAAATCAGCCGAAAGTCAGATGCCGCGCCCTCTCTTGTTGCTTCGTCCGATGTTCTTGGTCCAGGTCTACTTCCTGATCTGCACTCCGAATTACAGCTCAATGCAGAGAACTTGAACGGAGTTAGGCCACGAGATCCACAAGAAAATGTCAGACAATTTCTCACCTTCCAGCATATGCATAGCTCGGACCCAGCCTCGTCAACAACAAAGCAGCCCTTGGAAATGTTCCCGCCGCTCCCTTCTCAGGAACAACCCGTCCATGTATCAAACCAGCTCCGATCTCTACCCAAACTCACCATACCGAACCAATGCCACTCCAGCAGCGATCCAGCTTCAGCTCTACGCACGGTTACTCCCTCTATGGGTGCACGAGTTGTGAATTCGCCAACAGTAACACAGGAGTACAACCCATACGCATTTGATGACAACGCATACCGTCAGGGAACTCCGTTTTCTGAGATGGATGTCCCAGTCACAGCTCTTCCTGTTGAGCCCCTGGCCAGGGAAACCTCCCAATCTGTACCTCCAGGGATGAGATACGGAAATATCTCAACCCGCCAGCAACAGATACCCGAACCGCCTGCCCGGTCAAGGTCAACTCGACCTGAGCGTCATCGCCGACACCCATCCGTCAATGCCATGACGCCTTTGCATGAAATCGAAGGCCTCTCGCCAATTGAGCACCCATCAGAGATGGATGCTGCCATCAAGCCACACGTACCTACCTCTCAACGTAGTGGCTCCTTTGGTTCTTCTTCATCCTCATCGACACAGAAGGATCCTGACGTCACTCATAGCGGATGGATGAAAAAGCGAAGGACCACCCGCCTCCTCCGTCATGAATGGCAAGACGCTCACTTCACCCTCAAGGGAACTGTGCTTGCCATGCACAAAGACGAGTTTGACACCCATCGTCACAGCAGGGCCCTCGAATCCATCGACGTTGACGACTATGCCGTTGCCTGTTCGTCCCTGGCATCCAACTCTAAGCTCACGGCAGCCTTCAAACGCTCTGTCCTCCGCAAGGCAGCCAATCTCAACAGCAACGGCGGCTCGTATAAGGGAATGGACGAGACTGCCTTCGCCTTCTCCTTGATCCCCGCCGCAAAGCCCACCGACCGCAAGTCAATCTTCACTGCCAATGGGAAAAACCACCACTTCGCCGTCAAGTCTCGCGACGAGCGAATCAACTGGATGCGTGAGCTCATGCTCGCCAAAGCTCTGAAGAAGGGTAAAGAAGCAGGAAACGAGATCAAGATGAACGGAAATTTCATCTAATCTTAGTCACTGCCCTTCCTTTCCTTACTCCCCCCATCTCCTTAGTCAAATTCCATCAACCTAATGTAGATACCCGTCACCACTCCTAGCCCCATGCATTACGTCGCCTTTCTCTAATCTCAACTATGTCAGACGAACGTGAATGACTCTTGACACATCTGGTATGCCTGACAAGATACACTTCGCTTCGTGTTCCATGTACCGAGCCCCCCTCGCTCAGCGTTTTTGATTACTGTTTCCTGCGTTATTCATGTCCTTCACGTGCTGCGTTCAGATGAGCAATTCCCCTCTTCAGCACTGATACACCACTTGCTATTCCCTTGATAATATTTCTTGCTTTTCTTTTTTTTTTTACTTTATCTGTTAACATACCCCACAGCTAATCAGCTAAATTTCATACCATTTCCCTTGTCACCCCTGTCTAATGTTTTAAATTGATTCCCCTCCTTGTTTTTTTTTCTCTTCACTCGCATCTAAGCATTGGAGCACGATACCTCTTTCATATCATACGGCCTTTTTTCAATAGTCGGATAGGTTAGGAAACTTTACGAGTAGGATAGTATATAGGATAGCCCACGCAATATGAACCAAAATTATTCAAGCCATCTATTTCAGTTTATTCATGACGCGTATTATCCTTCGAGGTATGATGCACTTCCCCGTGCGGCTTAAGTCATCTTATTAAATTAAAACGGGTTGTGTCTTTTAAAGGTAGGTGAATCAGTTCCTTCGACATGTCTTGGGGGACTCGCAGTGAGTTTTCTATCTTGTTCACCTTGAGAATGGTTTGTCAGTCAATAATTATGTTCAGCTTGTTACATTCTTGACCCTAACGATGGGTGCTGGACATTTTAAATATAAGTACGTATATCCTCTACCATTGCTATATATGCCTTCCAGTTTAAATCCATACAAGAACAGTTCTTTTATCTCCACAATAATTACTCCTCACATACACACCCATGGGCAGAGGGAATCCCAAGTACATGGGCAAAACACATTCTCTTCTGTCTTGACACATATTAGCGGCAGCATTTACTCCATGAGATCCATAGTTCAATCACAGGAAAGTTGTTGTGCGGAAATATATTCCTAGAGTCCGAATAATTATTGGAAGTAGACGTAGCAGACGGTAGAAGCGTTCTGCTAATGGACGATGATCCGGCGACGATGTTTATTATATAAATAACAGACAGGGAAATGAAAAAGCAATAACTAACGGCCAACAAAGCAACAATTGATTTAAGAATCCGCTAGTCGTGGAAGGACGGTTCAAACGGGGTCCTGGCCCAATTGTCTGTTTGTGAGACGGTAGAAGCTCTAGATCGTGCCGAGAACCAGTCTGATAAAGAGACGCAGATTATCTCCCATTGCATGACTGAGTAATTTGAACGGCTTGTATATTTATCTCGCAACCGAATGACTTCATTTTCATTTCGTTTCTTGTAATCCTCCATGACCGTGGTATAATGCATAGAAATATAGAAACAGGGTATGAAATGCTCATGGAAGCCACCTTGAGACAAGGTAGAATGAGCTCATAGAGCTAAGATAGGAGTTCATCCTCCGATCATATAGCCCTATATTTCTATGACGTGGTAGGCGGTAATATTATCCGGGGTTGGGCTCATCAAACAACTGCCATGTAGGTAACATGGCCAGAGAAATTGAAAATGAAATAAGGTGGGTACAGATACCGCCTATAGTCTTCGTTCCCAGGTTATTAATTCATGGGGAAGTAGTTATACTATTAGTTGCGTTGGGTATTGTTCAAGGAAGTCTAGAATTACCTATGTTATTGGCAATGTTGTGTTTTATGCATCAATATATCAAGGATGGTGCAAATTGGTAGAGAAATTATGTGCAAATCCCTTGAGTCTAGAATGATAATATACCGGCGAAGATATAGGTTAGATACTTGTTCTTGTAATATCACAAGAACACGAATGTCATCAACGGCATCTATCACTCGAGAATCTCAGGTTAAGAGAATAATTTTATATCAATGAAACAAACGAAAGAGGAGGTGATTAGTTTATATTCTCAGGCTCCAGCTTCCAGTACTCTGACGCCGTTATTCCCCAGCATGGCCCACAGCCCACATCCCCAACGGCGGCCCGACGGTGGAATCGCAACGATGTACGGAGCAACTCCCCCGTACTGCGTACATACGACAATAAGAATCGAGCAAGATTGCTGCCTGTACATCTACACTTTGGCTCAGCAGAGCAGAGAGATAACGGGAAGACATCGTGCTTAGGTAAGGAGTTAAGTGATTGGAAATCGCATGGCACTTTCAACCATCCATCAACAATCATCCATCCATCTAGCCCAAGCAGCTGTTGTACCCCTTTGCCCCTTGCCCAGTCAGCCCACACTTGCCGGTGCAGAACGATGGGTCTCCTTAAGTGGAGTCTACAGGGCATGGTAGGTGGATATAATAGCACGCGGCTGCGGATAATAATATCTTACTATAGATATAATAGTCCTATAATGCAGGTATATCACCATGTCTCAGCCCTTTTTTTGATGATCCCAACATCATCGAGGGGAATTTGGCTGCGCCCACCCGGAAGGGGATAGTCGCGTTTCGGGAGTGAGAATCCGGCTAAGAACCATGTGGTTTCTTGGACAAAAGTATCAAGGCATCCTTGATTATGTTTGGGGTCAAGGCGACGGCATGGCGATGGCGTGATGATAATTTTCCTTCCTGCTCAGGCGACCGATTGGCGGTGTGGGTTACGTCTTTGATGAAGTAAAAGGAAGAGCGAACACAGATGAAATCACGCCCGCGCTGCAAACGCGCCCTGTCAGGTCTTGGGTGACGGCCTTGGGGGGACGGCCTTCTTTGTTGTTGCGTTAAAAATGCCTCTATCGGGCGACATCTCGTCGCATCGTGAACTCGAAGACGTCGCTTGTTGGGCACGATAATAACCACGCACCCAGCCCTCCGAATTGCGCCGACACAGGGGGTCACGGGAACACCGCTTCGGGGGGGGGGCAAAAAGATAAAATAAAAAAGAATAAGATGCTTGGCTTGCGTAAATGGCGCAGGTTACCGCAAGAGGGAAGTAATTCCCAGTTGACTCAGCGCCGTTTGATGTTCGATCGGAGTTGTTGAGCGCGAGTTTAATGGACATAATGCTGTATGATTGGAGGAAATGGCGACGGTTAGAGACTTGTTCCAAGGGAGAATTAATCGTTAAAATCTGAAGGACACCATATCCCTCCCTGGAGGGATTAAACTCCGAGACTCGAACCAAGAAAAAGCAAAAGGGCAAAAAAAAGGGCAAAGGGAGAAAAATCTAGAAGATATGGAGACGGAGCTGGCATGTCAAGTTGAAATTCAAAGTTTGCCGTTAAGCAAGCACTGCCTGTAAGTCCGTCTATCCTCCCCCGTGCCATTTTCATGAGGAACAGGGGCCAAGGAGGAAAATAAGAAACTGGAGACCTTGAACCTCGGCCCACAAGGGAAATTCATGTGGGAAGAAGCCAAAAGTGCTGCCGATCGAATGATAGTACAAGAAAATAAAGTAAAATATTAAAGTCGACCAGATTGTCGAGTTCCCAGTAAGGAGGTGGACACCGCTATGTGGAAATGTGTGGAACCGTGGGAAGCTTGTTTTTCTGTTGAACATTCTCTTTCTTCTGCTTTTCCCTTCACTGCAGCGCGAGTTCGTTGATCGAGAGGGAAAGAATAGTGCCTTGCCCCCCCTTACATGGAGGTGTTCAACCCTCGCCCTGGACCCTGACAACCCCCCTCCGGCGTCGAATGAAATCTGGTCCCGGGAAAGAACTGTCGATGAACGGAGTTATGGATAAAGGGCCCATGTCCATGCTTGCCAGCGTGCGTGGTACCAGGTAGGGCCAGCGGAAGGCGGATCCGGCATGTCGAACCTCAAGCTTGAGAGGAGACCTTGTGGATACGAGCTTCCAGCAATCAAGGCCATGCTAGGACGGATGAGGTAGTTATGACACGCAGCATGCATCCGCTTCCCTGTTGTCCTCGTATTATTTTATTTTTCTGTGGTGGTGGGTGATTTTAGCAAGAAGCACGTCCCGTCGAAAGAGTTAAACCAGAAGTTGTTGAAGCGTAAGTGTCGCGACTTGTTGAATGAAATCGATAAATCAAGAAATGAGGGATTGAAACGAACAAAACAGTGATGCGTGTATTCGTACAACCTTACACCGACACAGTGGCAATGGCGGGAGTGGTTAATATTTGTTGCTGGGAAGATTCACCGAAGAAAAAAAAAAAAAAAAACAATAAAATAAGATTTCATTGGGAGGAAGCCACATCATCATCCCATCAGATCGTGATCAATTGATCGCCGGTCAAAACTGTCTTCGGCGTCCGCTCGGACTGACTGACTGACTCGAACATCATTCAAATCGCTAGTTCTGAAAGCTGAAACTTGATTCGACTTTCTCCGTCTCCCATCCTCACCAGAATTTCCCAGAGCTCGTTCAGCCACATGATCTCATGCCTGAAAGATAAGGAGGCATCATTGGATTTTCTATCGTTTTATCGTTTTATCAATCTCTGCTGATCCTGATGATTCGCTGGTAAAAGCTTCCTGTGGCAATAGTTAGTTAAGTGAAGGGCGCTCGAGATCTTCCAATCACGTGTATCACAGGGCCATCCTTTTCCTGGTGGTTGAGTCTGAATTTGCAAAGCGCACCGGAGCAAGCCCGAGCAGCACAAGCAGAAAAACCAAACAGTGTTAGAGTTATGTACGTCACAGCAGCTAGTTCAAGGTGTCTTAGCAGTTTCGGTCGAAGTGTAAATTTGAGCCGGGCGAGGATTTCTATTTGCTGCGCTGAAAGGACGGATGGGCGGCCCTCTCAATTCTGCCTCGGCCGGCATTATAATCGCATCACAAGAACTGACAACTGGTTGAACCCTGCGCTTTGATCGTCTTCTTATTTTGGGCGTGTAGAAGTGATCCAGTCAAGCAAAATTAGGTTGGTTGGCGTTTAATATTCCCCGTCAAAAGAGTATTTTGTTTTTCGGAGATTGAGCGGAGCAAATATTTTGTTTGAAGCTTTTTTAGCCTGAAAAACTAATTCGTCAACGTGACGCCCTTTCGGAGCACATCTTCTGTCGGGTTCGCACTATCGTGTAGTCTGTGCTAAGCCAGCGTACTTTTTTTCTGCGCTATTCACCGTCAGATGTACGAAACATCGCTTGACCGGAATATTTTCCGCCACCACAGGAAGATAGACGAAAGGCGAAAGGCGAAAAGATGCGAGTCTTGGTTCATGCGAACCATCCAGGTCTGACATTGAAACTTCCCGCTGCTGTCTGGCTGGATCAGGGGGTACCAGATAACGATAATGATATATGCCTGTTATATGTCTCTCCCCGTGGTTGGCGGTCGATCTGATAATCGGCTACCTACCACGGTAGTAGAGTACGACGCCAAAAGATAAGCCAGCAAGCCGTCCAAACACGAAAATGATAGGTAGGATTCGAGCGTGCAAAGTGCAAAAAAGAAGGGAGCAAGGTGACATCGGCCGCGAGATGCGACGTCCTATAACATCATCGTACATCCGCATAGAGAGAGGAAGAAAGTGCGTGGAGAGACGGATCGGGCAAGTTCGCCGAGGCAGGCGGCCCAAAAGAGCACTAGCGCGGCTTAGGTAAGGACACTCGGGGAGCTTGGGCCTTGGCGGTCTTTCTTCTTCTTTTCTCTCTTTTACTTGTATCTTTCCTTCTTTTTGTCTCTTTCGGTCTCTTTTCTCAAGTTCAACTCGGTAGATATGGAGTATGGAGGACAATGGTATCTGCTGGAGGAAAATGCTGTGAAGGGTTGTGTTGATGTTGGTACTAGTGTTGGCATGGACCCCGGCGATGTCCCACGAATACAACCCCGGACTATTATTTGTCCACCCCCTATACGAGAACGCGGAATGGGCGAAAGGGACGGATGCGTGAACGGGCGAGTCTTGAAGGCCCGGCGCAATCAGGATATGAACTATCGTTTTTTCTTCCGTCAAGCACGATATCTGCTCATGGTCCTCTCGTTTTCGTATTCTCCGTTTCAGACTGGGACGGAAATAGCATTCTGCAGCTTAATCAGGTTTATCAGCGAGGATAAAACGGAAGAACAAAATTAATATATTAATATATTTAGCTTTCAAGGGATTGGATGTTGCTCTTTGGCGTTTTTCGATCAGTGTTGAGTGTTTGGATGCTACCTCTGTTGGTATAGACTAGAGAAGCGTTTTGACTCCACAGACGAACAAACGACCAAGAGATTACCTTAAATCGCATCTTCATCCTCCATCTCCATTCAGGACCCCATAACAAGCCTATCCTCTGCTCTCCTGCAAAGTCGACGTGGTGACCGTTTATCCGGCTTCCTCCACTCCTCCACCAGCGTCTGTTTAAGCTTAAGATGGTTTCCGCAACGTTGGGAATCAGTGGGGATGCACCGAACGTTGTTTGCTGGGTATAATCAAGAGCAAAGACTCTGGTTTAGAGATGTAGCATGTCTATAGTTGAGATCATCACTGCCGTATTCGAACGAGCTAGCTGGTCCATCTATCTATGATCTGTCTGTCTCTGTCCTACCGTGATGGGCATGTTGACATCGTACATTGCAGCTTGAACGGCGAATGGACAGATGAAACGACTGGGAAGGGGGGCATGCCGATACCATGTCCCGAAGGTACCTTCTTGGCCCCATTTTCTGGCTAGCTGCTCTCCGGCTAACCGATCCAGAGAGGAGTCGAGAATATTGATTGAGCGATTGGCATCTCAACCACCGCCGCCGCTGCTAGATCGAACTGGTCAGCGGAGTCTGTTCACCTGGCAGCTCGAAGTTGCAGCTCGATTCGATCCCCCTTCGATGAGGCTTCTATGGAGCATCACTCTTCAAGGGTCCGTGGTCTTGTCTCTTTGCTTTTTCCGGGTTTCCGCTTGTGGATAAGTATGCCTGTACTAGTTGGTTGGGACGCTTCACTCTTGTTAGCACGGATAATTCATAGTAAGATGGTAAGTCATATCCTCAGGAATTCCTTTTTTGTTATCTTCTTCTTCGTCTGCAATGCTGTGTGGAGCTCTGCAAGACAAGGCGATAACCGCGTCTCTCCACCTATCTTCTAAACTACCACCTTCTCTATCGAACGATGGGTTTGATGACGGTGCTGGAATGTCTGAAGCTATCCGGCCCCTGGTCAATTTCAGCCCCTGACCTAGTCGCCGGATTCTCCGTTGACATGTTTCGTCACAGCCGCTTTCCAAATACGGAGTACAGTTGGATATAGCCAACGTCAGGCAGTGCTCAACCTGTACTCCGTACAGAGTAGGCGTTGGCACATCTATGTATGGTCGAGGGAGCACGTTAGGTGACGATGGGATGACGTTGGATGTGATGATGCAAGCCAGCGTCAAATGTATACATGTCGTCTGCAGGGTTTAAGATAGTGTCTATGCCCTCATGCACGTTTCGGGGGTTTAGCAGCAGGAAACGAAACCCTGGGAGGCCATCGCGAGCTCCGAGATTAGCGCATCCCTCTTCGTCCTCAAGAATATCAGGATATTAGGATATCGCACCTCTCCTGCCAGAACACGTACTGCAACACTCGGCCGGCCATGTGGTGACTCGTGAGGGTGTGAGCTGTTTCTGGCGGTTGCAGGCAGCAATCCCATTCGCAGATCCGAACCGGGATCAAGGATCCCGAGGTCTCTTTTTTTTGCTTTTCTTTTTTTCTTTTTCCCTTTGTTTTTGAATTTTGTGTTTATTTTTTTCCTTTCTTTGGCTTTTTCACTTCTCGCTTTTTTCATTCTTTGGGTACGACTACGAGTGAAGTGTTCGCCTTATCGGACCATCTGAACGGTACATGGCAGCCTCCCGGTTCTCTCCTGGCAGGGTGAGCGGCTATCTGGAGCTCCAGGGACTGTTTCATCGTGCTCTGAATTCATTGTCATCTTCATATATTCTGTAGAGTTATAATATATCATCGTGAGAGAGAAGAAAAGGAGAAGGTACTTAGGGCGGCACGGGTCTCACCGCCGAGCACGAAGTACCACGCACTGCCACGCACCCGCCGCTTTAAGCCCACGCGTTTCTCGGCTTTCCTTCCGTCTTTTGCTCTTGTTGTTAACGCGTCTTCTCGTTTTCACCTTCATCTATCTTCTTTCTCTTCACCTTCATCTCTTCATCTATCTCCATCTCCTCGTCCTCCTCTCTTCCCCTCCTCCTCTCCTCGTTCTGTCTAGTCTCGTCTCGTCGTGTCTTGTCTTGTCTCGCCTTGTCTCGCCTCCTGCTACTCGCTATCGTTACAATTGTGGTACTGTAGGCTCGACTCTCGACTCCACGCGGACTCCAGCTCTGCTCTCCAGCCCATCTCGATCTATCCTCAGGTAAGTCTTGCACCGTTGACTGCGACCCGCCCGCATACTTGCTGCAAGCCACTCCAACGGTTCGACGTATGTGGCGGATCCATAGCTGCTGGCTTCCCTGTCGTTACCATCAACCAGCAACCAGCTTTCCTGCTCTGCCCTACTACGTAACCAAACCCTTCCCTCTTCCCGATTTCCTTTCCCTTCGCCACGCGGAAAAAAGAAAGACGGCGAACCAGGGAACCCCCCTCGGAGGGATGCCAGGTATCGCCATTCCGCCGTCCGACCTCGCCTCAGCCCTGTCGTCTTTCCCCTTCTTCCCCCTACTCTCTTCATATATATACGTATATATATATATATCTCTCTGGTGGGAGACCCACCCTGGCCCAGTGGATACAGGATATCTTTCCACGCTCCTGTGAAAGAGAGAAAAATAGGGAAAAAAGCGAAAAAAGGAAAAAAAGCAAAGAAAAAGGAAAAAAAAGAAAAAGGCTAAAAAGATCCTAGGGATTTGCCCACAATTAATCCCATCCATCCAGGCATAATAGCATCATCATCAATTCTTCTCTTCTTCAACCCTAAACTTTTGCCTCTCCATTTTTTTCCCTTTTGTTCCTGAACGCCCTTACCTACTTCTACCCCTCCTGGACCCTCTCGCGTCTCCATCCCGACTTTCTTCTTTTCTTCTTCTTCTTTCATTCCTTCGAGAACTCCTAACCACTCCTCTCCTCTCGTTTTCCGTTGTGGGTACACTCGCATCTGCAACAGGGCACTTACTATCGCTCGTTCTGATAGCTCGCGCTCCACTCTCTTCTTTTTACGCCTCAAAGTCGACGACGAACAACAACCAGTATCAGAACAGCTTCGACGCGGTGAACAAGGGCTGCTGCTTCTTGTCTACCCTTACTGTCCTTACAGGTTAGTTGCCCGCGTCGTACGGACGAAGGGACTGCTATCGGATACATCCAGTTGAACCTCAGCTAACGCGCGCTTCTCGTCAGGGGTCTCACTTCCATCTGCCAATTGACACCGCCTTTCTCTCTCTCTCTCTCTCTTGCCTTCATCTTCATCTTCCTCTCCAACAATCAATGATTGCTGAGAGATAACACACATACACCAAAGACCTGCTACCACTAGCCACCACGCTTGCCATGGACCCCAACCTCAGACCGCAGGTCTCGCGGCCGGCATCTGCCTCGATTCCTCCACAAGGCCCTCCGCCATTGTCGCATCTTCACCAGTATCAGGTTCACTCGCCTTACCAAGTCCCGCAGCCCCATACGCTTCCTCCACTACAACACCCCCAGAGCCATTCTCCAATGCCTTCATATCTCGGTCAGCCATTCCGAAATGATATGCCCAGGTATCCAGTCACGTCTGCTCATGATGTCTACGCAGCCTCGACGGCGCCAATGGCCTCACACGCACCCGTGAACAGCCTGCCACCGGCCTCATTCTTGGGCCAGCACCAGCAGCAGCAGCAGTTCCCTTCGCATGGCCTGCTACCGCCCACCACCGGTCCTCAGGCATATCCTCAACCTATCGCGCCAGCTCCACCACGCGACAGGCGACACGAGTACGGTATGCCCGGTGGCCCTTTCACTGGCGCAGAGGACAAGGGCCCAATGTGGACGACAGCTGATGGAATGCCACCAACTACCGCTGCATTTGCCCCCAAGGACGCTCCACGTACTCAGGTTGTCGGCTCCCAGGGACGACGGGGGATTCTCCCCAGCGTTCCAGGACGGGCTGCCATCACGAACGGCGTCAATGGTACCGCCAAGGGAACCGCGATCCCGGCCAAGGATGCGGACGGCAAATTCCCTTGCCCACACTGCAACAAAACATACCTCCACGCAAAGCATCTCAAGCGACATCTGTTGCGCCGTAAGTTGATAAACATGACAAAATACCCTACCTAGTGCTTATTAAGCCTATGTTTTTCTTATCTAAATCTGTCTCTAACGTGATTCTACAGACACCGGTGACCGTCCCTACATGTGTGTTCTCTGCAAAGACACGTTCTCGCGAAGCGACATTCTCAAGCGTCATTTCCAAAAATGCTCTCTCCGACGAGGCAATCCAACCGGAATTAGTCACTTGTCTCACCCTCATGCTCATCTCAAGAAGGCTCAGGCGGCGGGGGTTGTGCCTAAACCGGTTCAGGGTGATGTTAGTAGCCCCATCTCACTTCCCAATGGTATTGGCGGTACTACGTTTGGTGAAGCGCCCGTGAATGGGCATGGGGTTACAATGGCTCCTAGCCATCAACCCCGCTTCGCAGAACATCAGTCATTCGGTTATCCTATGCCCGCTCATGCGTCAGTGGTACAAAGTGGCAGCAACGGCCTGACCCGTGGTCCCTCAGACCATCAGGTCGCCGCCGGTGCTGCTGCCCACTACCCTCCGCATCAGCAGCAGCATCAGAGAACCTGGATGGCTGATCCCAAACACAACTCTTCGTCGTTCCTTATGCAGTCTGGAACTGACTCTGTTGGCCAGCCAACCAGTATTGCTCTTCCTCCGATCGATGCTAAGATTCCTTCCGATAACAAACAGGCTCCTCCCCAACATCAGCAACAACCACAGCACCCACAACACCCGCAGCAGCAGCAGAATATTGACTGGACGACTGTCCTGCAGCCGGGTTCGCATGAAAATTACATGCCCGCACCTGTCTATCCTACGTCCATGACACCCGTTAACGACGGAATGCATGCTCACGTCGACGCCGACCGCAAGTACTATCCTGCCACCACTACCGGGCAGCAAGAAAACGGTGGCCTGAACGGACTCTACCTTGCATCTACGAGTTTAAGCGGAGACGGTGGGTACTCTCCATCCTTGACAGTTAAATTTATATATCCTTACTAATTTTATGTTAATAGGAACCGTTCAGCCAGCTAGACAATAACCGACGATGCAAGCGGTGTCATGACTACCGCGAAACCCTCCCATTTCTTTACCTCAAAGTTCTGTGACGGCCGAATCGTGAACGAGTTCTTCATCTTTTTTTTATTTCCAGCTTTCCGTTACCGTTTGGTCTTGACCATATTCCTTAATCTTCCGTCTCATACAGTGGTTGAGCGCCCGTGCGGGGCACGGTTCAGATGCTCAACAAGAAAGAAAAAAAACATCACTATCAAAATCGAAGCAAACGGAAACCAGCATTATAGACTCGGGTGGAGCATTTATTTCCTCTTTCTTACTTTCTTTTTTTCCTCTCTGTGTGGGTTAGTGTGTTCTGCAACGGCCTTTCCTTTCGTTATCTTTGTCGACTAGGGGGAGTTTGTCGTTCGTTTTCTTCTCACAACTGTCTCTATTTCTTTTTTTTCCCTGCTGCATTCATCGGTGAGATCATTAGACGAGGATTACCCTTTTTCCCTTTTTTTTAACACTTTCTTTTGACTTAATTGTATTATTCCCCTATTTTCCTTCGTTTGGAAAATATGTCTTAATATGTGTTTCTTTTTACCTGATTTGTACTTTTTCACTTTCATTTCTTTTCCTTATGGAGAAAAAGGGCGGAAAAAAAGTTCATCTCATCGGTGGAAAGCACTGTTTGGCATAGAAACGAAATCTTCTTTCGTTTTGGGGAGAATGCGAGTCGTGTTTTTGTCTTTTTCTCGTGATCAATTTGCCCGAGTTCGTCGTTTTTCCCCTGTTCCCTGTTTTGCTTTAAATTCATTCATTACATATATGGTGGGCGGCTTGCGATCGATATTTTAAACTTGGGTTTTTTTGGCTAATGGAGAGAAAAAAAGAAAATCTTCACTGTTAAATCATAATTTGTCCGATTTATTGCTCGAACTGCTTACTGCCGGTCGCTATACCTTACCTTGCTTTTCACCTTTCTCTTACTTACGTTGATATTCTCTTTCCTTGATAAATTGTCAAACGTCACGTCGTTGCGTTCTGGGTTTATTCTTCTCCCTTTTCGTTACGCGTTTGAATTTTCTTCTTACAGCATCCTCCCCCAGATGATGCTAGATACTTGATTGCGGCCAACTATATCCACTCGTTTCTCCGTCGAGTCGTTTGTTCCATGCAACTTCAATACCCCGACGGAATACCCTTACCGGTGTCAAACCGGGCACAGAGACTGGAAGAAAGGAGAAGAACGGAAAAAAAAGGAAACCAAAAAAAAGGGACAAGACATGTCCGGGTGGGAGTAAACAAAATGGGTACCGGTGGACGGGTGGTGAGGAATCAGTGAATCTTTTTTTATTTTTCATTTCTTTACCTTTTGCTTTTGCATCGCCGAGATTTTGAAAGTACATATTATATTATTGGTAGCCACTTTCTTCTGCCCGTTTGCTTCTGATTCTCCTCGATGCGATGCAACTGCAACTGCAAAAATGTAATTAATGGATGGTTTTTTGATTTTTTGTTCGCTTTGCGTTCTCGTTTGATGTCTGACTTTGACAGCCCAATTTATGCTTATGCGTTCAAGTTACTTATAGACCGACAACAATGAAAGCGATTAAAATACGTTTAACTTGAATTCTCCAAGCAACTTTCCTCTCGTCTCGTCCTTGATCTCGTTGTGATAATGCTCCGGCTGAGGTTGATATTGATATAAAGACGTACAAGGTCAAGATGTATCTCCCCGATATAGTCACGTGGTCGCTTACTCAGCCGAGACGTCCAAACCTCTTGCCATGGAAGAAAACGGAAGTTAAAGCGGTTGAACGTCGAATCGACTGAATTGCTGTCTCTGTTGACGTCGCAGACACTCACTATCCAAATAAAATGGTAAGTCGTTCAATTGCCTTCTCACCTATCCTTCGTCTACCTCCAACTTGATTCCAGCCCCGCCTGGCCGGTGGTCGTTCGCAATTCGTTGCGTGCCCATCGTCAACACCCGGCACCTCACCAGCTAAATTCCAGACATTTAATACTATTTATTGCATCTTATCTAACTAATGTCATCAATCAGGCATCTCAAGCACCTCGCGCGGCCGCAGGGCCATTCGGTTCCTACCGCTCACCATTTGCGCCCAAGTGAGTGGCTCCGTCATCACCAGCTGATAGATACCACACCATAACTCCACTCCTACTTGACGATGAATCAATTGGAACACAAGGACTAACTTGTTCGACCCTTCTTTTCGTCGTGTTGCGTCTAGATATACCGTTCCTTTCAGAGTTGCTGGATTCACAATCACCCAGGGCATGAGACTGTAAGTCATCTCGGAGATCAAGTCATGCTAGCCCTAGTTTGATGGACGAGCAGGGCAGGCTGCCGGATGTGCAAATACGATTTATAATCGCTGGGACTCGATTTGCTAATCTATATCTACGTGCGATCGATAGTATGCCAATGGCCACCACCTTCGGCGCCGCAACTGGCATCTTTGCCCTTTTCTTCCTCGGTGATGTCCCTCGTATCCGAGATGATATCCTGATGAACATCCCAGTTATTGGAAGTTACTGGGATAGATCCATCGCTCCTGAGGACAACGTATGTTCGGACCTTTCCCCATGTGTTTACTTTTTGATACCTTTTCGAACTTCTTGCTAATAAGTTGGTTGTCCTGGGTAATAGCCATTCTAAGCGTTTATCGCTTAATGCATCATTAGAAGGGATTGTTGCTTGGAATCGTTAGAGATAGAGAACGGGGTCGTTGTATATTTACAATCTCTTATTTTAAAAGACGGAGACGGAGGCTCACGATGTTGAGCTGTATAGAATTGGATGCCTCATTCTTCACTTTCCGGTGCTGATTTTAGTATAATTGTGTTCTCTTCCTGCTGTGTTTCAGGCTTCTTTCCAGGTAGCCTCACCAAGTGAACTGGCTCTGGGATAAGAACACTCTGCATCTTGGAATGACTTTCGTAGATGGTCGAGACAGTCGCCTAAGCGGTGGTCCTTAATAACTGCTCTATCATCCTCCGATAGAGAATCCATCCCTTGAAGGAAGGGAAAGGGAGAACAGCCGCGTCGTGAGGTTAGGAGTGAGGATGCCAGGAATGTTCGCTCGTCTTGGAACGTAGCTATCAACTAGTTAAGCAATATCTTCCTATCACCCATTAGAAAGAAAACCTCTTCCTGTACTTTATCGTATTTCATGGTATTTGTGTTCGATGCTGTTGAGTTAAGCAGGTTGGTGGTTGAGGTATTATATAAGGGAAGCGTTTACCAGACCATGAAATATTCTAAACGCTCGATGTGTCGTCATACAACGTACACAAGCGAATGAAGAAGTTGATAGAGGCACTTCTCACTTCCTCCGCGTACTCCTCATCTTATAGTCGAAAGGAACTGGACCGGCCTTGTCAGATATACCCAAACCCTAGTCTCGCGCGGTACATCTCAGCTGCGGGAGTCAGATATGGCGGCTGCCTCGCATACAATCCGACAGCAAGTCTGGGAAGGCCGCATTCCACTGCAGATAAACCTGTCGCGGAAAGAATGTCGAGTGTTCGATCAGGCAGATCCCTATATTGTAAATACCATAAGCCCATCTATCCTTTGCTTGTTTACCCCACTGACGCACTGCATAGATATCCTTCCCCCGTCTATCATATCTACCATTTATATTGCCCAGGTTACTTGACTTTTTCAAGACTTACCTTATTGAATCTGAGTCTGTTTACCCATGTCAAGGCTGGTTCTCATTTGAAGGAGTTCCACTGAAATGGCATTACCCTGTTGGATTGCTTTATGATCTATATGCGGGCGCGCAGCCCGGGGCATCAACACCATCAACAGCAGCAAAAGAGCAAGACGCCGATAATGATGGCGCCTACGTGTCTCGCGAAACCCTACCATGGAAACTAACCCTGCATTTCCAGGACTGGCCAGACCAGGAGCTTGTTAGCCTTGATGAAGAGGAGCGGGTTATGCACGATTTTTTCATGAATAGCGTGAAAGAGGCGGATTTTGTCCGCAACGGGACAGGGAAAAGTATCATGGCGCTTTCGAGAGAGGACTCAAAGAAGCTATGGACATCTATCCAACAACGTATGTATCAATATAATCCAAGAATCTGCCCTGTGGTCCAAACAGCTAACACAACCTTCAAGACTCCTTTCAAACCTTCTACCGAGTCAACAGTACACTCCTACCAAATCTATCAACTCCATTTAGGAATATCCCCTTACGAATATACCTCCCTACCCCGTCGGAACCCGAAAAACCTTCTCTTAAAGTTGTGCAATCCCCATTTCCACCCACAATACCAGTCTCAGTATCTAGCGGAGCGGCTGAACGGAGAACCCAGACGATTGGGACTGCTCTTAATTCTCTAATGCCTAGCCTATTTCCAGATGAGAAAAGCACAAGTATGGCGACGCCAATTTTACATGGAGCCGAGGTCCCGATGAGCGCGCCGGTGGAGGAAGTGGTGCGGTGTGCAGCGTATGCTGATGGGTGGTTGAATGTTGTTATCCGGGTGCATGCATGATAGTAGTTTTGTTAGTGCTCCAAGCACATACGAAAGATATATCACTTCCGGTCATCAGCCTTCTAGGGAGACATGCATTAGATGACAGCATAGAAATTCAAATATAAATATTGACTTATGAGTGGAATAAACTGATGTTCACATAGTAGACTGTTTTCTAGGATATACCGAGAAACTAAGCTATAGGAAAAGAGATTGTAATTCTATGTCACACCTCAAGGCCCGCCTGTGTTGTTTTTACAGTGATAGTTCATTAACATAAAGAAATATATGAATAGCTCCAAAAAGAAAAAGAAAACGCCCAGGATTCGTAAGGAAAGATGCAAAGGTGGATAATGGTCATAGAAAAAACAGATCTCGCCATCGACTTTTCATTGCTTCGAGGTCTGATTTCCTGTTCTCCCTTGTTTTTTTTTTGGAACTCTTCTCCTGCCACGAAAACATGACATTAAAGGCTCAGTTGGTCAACGCTACCCACTCGCATCCCACCACCTAACCTACCGCCGCCCTTCGTCACCATACCTAATTGATATAACCGTTCATCTCCGCTTGTCGTTCGACCACCAATGTACCATTTTTCCGGTCCCAAGGCGTCACGGAACCCGCCACTACCACTGCTACTGTCACTTCCCCGTCTACTCCTGTCATATGACGAGAAAGGTACTGAGGAGGTGGAAGATGACGGTATTGGGACGGGTATAGGTGAGGTGGTAGATGTGGAAGTTGAGGCTGTAGTTGACGATGCTGGAGCAGCGGTGGCGGAAGCTGCCGGTCCCGGGGAGGATAGAGGAGTTCTTGACGAAGGCGAAGGAGTATGTGTATGCGTATGATGGTGGTGATGATGCGAGGAGAAATGGTTAGACGTTGATGAAGCCGCTGCTGCTGCGGCAATAGTGGATGGAGGGTTGGTCGTTGACAGCGGTGAATTCGAAGGAGTAGGGTTTGAAGTTGCCTTGGTGGCTATTGTTCGAGCACCGGTTGTATTTGATGAAGAAGAAGAGGGCGAAGAGTATGAGGAGGAGCCAATATGTGATGAAGATGGGCCTGGAGACGGCGGTTTTGACGCTGCTGGTCCTTTATATGCCGTTTGCGCCCTAAAGGCCGCAAGGAAGTTGGCTAAAAACGGCCGGTTGGTAGTCATGGCTGCAGACACGCGTGTATGGCTGGCTTCTTCGGATGACATCGACGAGCTGATGATGTTCTTCTATTCAGGATACTGGATCTATCTCTCCGATCTGGTGGCGTATGGCGCGGCGCGGCGTGGCGTGTAGATGTGATATAGATTTAGCTGTCGGGTCAATATGGAAGCAAGAAAAGGACACCGCAGGCTGCTGTGCTGAGCCTATGCATTGCTACAGCCCGAAGACGTCGGCCGCGGTCTGGTATCGTTGATATTGAATTGGATGTCACCTTGTCGTTGCAAGCATCGGTCATGGATGCGCCTGTGGGGTGACTTTTTTCTGCGGGAGATCTCGGAAGAGCCAGTCCCGATGTAGATATTACTAAGCACAACCACATGAAGCCACATGTCACGTGGTTAGCCGTTGGAAACACAAAGTGACCAACATACCAACATCAATATCAAACCAACTGTTACAGCTCTGATATACTGACTCCTGCTACTGGGTATTTCGCACTTCGACTCCTTCTCGGATAGGGATATAATAGCTATGTTTTACCTTTGGCGCCGGTTGGATAGTGATATACCCTTCGGTTGACTAGGTCTTGGTGACGTACAGTACTGGCTTGGGAGGAGAGGCCCTGAGTTATACAGAGTTACACCATGTCGAGGGGTTATTCAGGGGTATTGATGAAGGTTCTGCGGATACCCCCGAAAGGCTCCTACGGGAACCAAGGGCCAAACATACCCGCAAGCCCAACCTTGGATTGTTGGTGTCTCGAGGTTACCGTGGATGGAAGGACGGAACGATACCCTTGATTCAACCAGGATTCACAAAAACCCGGGACCATGGCTCAAAGCTAGAATATGAACACGTTTAAATTTGACCTCATGGGAACGCCTACTAACATTAAACTTGATCCGTGGAATCTGGAAAATTATCGACCCGCCATGCCATAGAACTTCCAGGAAGATACTTGCCAGATATACTTCTTTGCAATGGGGTATCCGCTGCTTCCTTAACGGTATAGACGGAATCCTAGAAAGGTACGTTTTGGTTATTGGTGGCTACGATGACCTCTCCATCTATTCGTTTGACTACCTTCGAGCAACTTGCATTCTGTAGCATTCTGGCTTTACAGACACTTGCATTCACAATTTTATACCAATTTTGCTCATATATATGCCAGTATCAATGTATATATTATGCCTTGATATTCGAGAGAGAATAGACATATTCATGGCCCATGGATTGCGCGATATGATAATCATGATAACAACAAGCCTCACTAAGCTAATACCCACGCCATTAGACCCGTTTGCTAGCGTGGGTGGGCTAGCTAAGAGTTAGACCTGGTAGCTTCGATTAGTGGGCTTCGATTAAGCTTAACTATATGACTATGTATGCAAGTGCTTGCATGCAACAAAAGCCGCGGAAATCGTTTATCCCAACGTCGCCGGTCCCTGCGCTTAACTAGTTATTGTTGTCAAAGCGGCACTGTTTTATGCTGGCTATACTGTGTGGTATTGCATAAAGTCTATGGAAGTACAAAGTGCTGCTCTGCCGGACTCTTCTGTCTGGTCTTACGGCCACTGATTTGAGAAGCATACCAATGGAAGACTGCATTGATGACAATGCGCCATGACAACCGGGTAAACAAGGCATCCTACAATAAGGCTGAGCAAAATAACACAGGTTGACCCGATAGATATAGAATATCCTATCTAATCGACTTGATATAATGTTTCGTTCCAAACATTTTCACCATAGCTAATCGCTATGGTAGTTTAGCCGAGCGTTGCCCCTGCGAAGTCAGCAATGAGTATCTAACTGCACAACATATCTCTCAACGGGACCTCGGTTTTGCGGTGACACTATTGTCGATACTCCGAGAATCAAGGTATTATTCTAGAGAATTTCTAATAAGTCTCTGTGAGCAACTTATATTACTGCTCAACTCCTGCCGTTTATATACCATCTATTTATGTGCGTCATGCGGTGGACTTTATTTTGTAAATTAAAGAACTTAAGGACTTCATCATCATCGTCTATTTCAGTTTCGCTTCCCGTTGTAAACCGACTCCTGGTTAACTAAAAGGAAATATTATTGAGTATTTAGTTCAGTGTTGACATCTGATGGTTTTCCTTTGCCTGGCAAAGCAAGGGGTCACCAGTCTGGTTTCTTATAATATCCTCCCTTCACCAGCTCTTCATAGGGGCAAAACTGTGTACGAGGAACTGGCTCCTAACGCCAGCCATAACTTCTTTTACAAAGTACAAATAGCAAGGGGGGAATTTTTTTCCTACAGACACTGTGAATAAAGAAACGACTTTGATATTTCTGTGCGTACTAGACTTTTGTCCGCAGTACAGTAGTAGAAGTATTTGGATATATTTAGATATGAAATGACATAAGTTGAGGTAATGTTAGGCCGGCCGCATCTTGTCCACCAAGCGTTTGATGTCTCCGATCCCACTATTGATTTTAAATGAGTACGGCTGCAGTGTCCGGCTTCGATCGAAATGAACGTTCCATTTGCACTTCCTAGTAGGCACTTGTGTGGATGTTGCAGAGCGCACCGTCTTCACTCACGACCTATAGTTGATACACTTTAGTCAACACCCAGGCCGTCAAAATATCGCTTCCTGCATGTTTTGCTCCTATAACTGAGTTATATCATACCGCTGGATGCATTAGAAACAAGCATTGCTGCAACACCAACAATCTCCCCAGCCGAGGCCACCACAGCCTCCGCAACCGTAGCCTGCGCCCTTGCATCTGGTATCACAGGTAGGGTCATTGGGATAGCTGCAACTGTTCATGTGTCTCCATGTGGGATCTGGTTCGCCGTCACACTTTGCGCTCACAGAGACCGCCAAAGCGACCACCGTGAAAACTAGGGACCACTTCATTTCGCTATTGAAAGGTTAATGATTCTTTAGCTAGATAGCTGTATGTATTTGGGAAGAATGTGGTAGAAAGAAAGGGGGGGAGCTTTGTATATCGCCCTCCTCAGGGGGATACCCAGACTTTATATCTTCAAGCAGACCAGGGCCAGCTCAGCCCCAAACTGCGGGGGAGGACAGGCAGAGGCCTATCTTTTCACTTGGAGCTGCCGATCTCTTTCGGTGTGAATCGATTCTGACGATCAGGTAGGAATTAACATTGCCATTGGTTTAGCTCAATTTTGGATAAAGAACAGGCTGCGTCTCGTATCCGTAACAACAAGCTGCGAAGTAACCCACCTTGCCACTTGGTATAAAAGAAGTGGCCGTGAGAAAGCCAATGGGGTCTTTTCTTTGATGGCTTAACAAATGGAGCTCGGTGCGTTCCTTTGACGAGTGCCATATCTTCCTCTGGAGGGATCTCTGCTGTTGCCTTTAGCCCTGGAGAGACTTGGCACTAGTTAGTCTTAATTCCCCTTGATATCTCCACCTTTTCAGCCTCAGCCGATTTCTAGGTTTGACGGTTAAAAATACCTGAACTCTCGATCTCGCTGATACTAGAGGTAGTTATGTTTTTGTTCTTTTTTAAACCTGTGAGCTGGAAGAGGAGAGTAAACACGTTACGGTTGCCTCAGCCAGCCATGTGAAACCTCGTATTTGAAACCCGATTCATTTCATTGATGTAATAAGAAATAGCAAGTCCTTGGAAAAGGTCGTTCCTTAGGAATTATCTGGGTATATATTTTTTTTCATTTAATCGCATAATTCAAAACCGATAACTGTAAGAAGAACCCAATTTATGGAATAGTGAGCCTAGCCCGCGTCCGTCTCTCCTAGCAGAAGTAGGCCCACATTAGAAGCCCATAAGCAACCTTGCATTAATCCATATCGCCCCCTGGGTATCATTAGTACCACCATACCTTGCTAGACCCTCTCCCACCTTATCCCCTTTTTAATGACTCGGGTGGCGGTCATAAATGCACCGCTAGCAAGAAGAAGAATTCCGGGAAATATAAAAGTCCACGTAAAGTTCCACTTTCCGATATTCTCGATAGACAGATGGTGATTCTCCCCGGATAAAATTCCTCCAGCAATTGGGGTGCTAATCAAGACACTGAATGAGCCGAGAGCAATTGCCGTACGAACTTGGCCGCAATTTTGGTTGCTATCTAAACTTATAGATGCAATCGCGGTTGCCACGAACACTAGTTGGTATCCAGCAATGAATGCGTAGAGTAATGCTGCTATGGCGAAGCCTGCTGGATTCGGGATGAGTACTAATAAAATCAGTATGATTCCAGAAGCATACGTTAAGGGGACGATTGCGTTTAGATTTCCAATCCTGCATGTCGTTAGCGAGTCAGTTACTATTTTGGCATAAAAAGGGTGAATACCAACTAACCTAGTAGCAAGAACCGCCAGAATTACGCCCCCTATTAAACCACCCACATTCATCGCGCTCAGCAAGTAGCCGGCTAGCTCTGATCTTAATCCTAGCCCGAGTGTACCCATCGGGGCATAGAAAAATGGAATAAAGTACGCTGCAAGTCCGAGTGTGGTGCCAATCACGAATGTAGAATAAGCGGGATCTTTGAATCCACCAAAATCTATGAGGGGAACTGCTTTCAAAGTCGCGTGAGGAGAGGGCCTTGGGCGGAGAGTGTACATCGTAGAACCCGAAGTGAGGAGCACGAGCAATGTGATTATGCGGATTGCCCATGGGAAGCCAATGGCGACTACCAACCAATAGCCTACTATTGGAAACACTATTCCTCCTATACTCAAAAGTTAGTATCATGGTTTTGTAAATGTGATGATTGGATTGAAGAAATATTGCAGTTCTTACCTGTCGCAGCACCAGATGTAGCTATAGCAATTGCTAAAGGACGCTTTATCGTGAAGTAGGAGGCAGCGATGGTGATTCCTGGCGCAAATAGGAGTCCAGATCCAAAACCAACACATAGCCCTTCTGCCAGCAAAAATTGGTAGTACTTCGTACTTAGTGAGGTCATAAGGAGCCCAAAAATTTGCAGGAATATTCCTATTCCAGTTACATGATAGAAGTAGCCAGCATCAATTGCCCTGCCAGAGAACATTCCAACGAAAAGTATCAGAAACGCCTGAGTTGAACCTATCCATGAAAGGGCGGATTGGGATAAAGTTGAAAGTGTGCCAATAGAATAGCTTGCTTGGAAGGCTCCATGAGCCATGACGAGACCCCTGGATTATATATATTAGTTCATGCTTTACGCATCCGAAGGGCCATACATCTAGTAAAACGTGAGAAGGACTGCCTTACCATGTGTTCTGTGTAAGCACGAAGGCCCCAATAACCTGCATCCAGGCATCGCGGCCTCCATTTGGAGCCGGACTAGGTACAGTTGTTGAGCCGCCTACTCTATCTCTGGGCGGTAGATTTGGTGCCTGTACTTGGGCTTCACTGTCCTTCACCGTCTTGGTCTCATCCTCTAAATTCATCCTTGTTAGGTATAAATATTGTTGTAGTTGCCCTAATAAGCACTGAAATTGTCGCTAACAAGAAAAAGGTGCGTGGTGGGAACGCCGATGCTTTTTCCCTTGAAAAGATGAAAAATGGCACACCAGCTCTGACTATATATCCAGTCCGAGGGATCATGTAGACAAAGGGTGAAAGGCAATTCAAACGGAGAGGGTTCAAGTGTGGAACCGTCTCGTGCTTCATTGTGTCTTACTATCGTCACCTAGACGGGTATTTGATGTCACTAAATGATGCACAGCATCAATAAGTATGACAGTCGTAACGTCCTCATAATATATCACAGTATTGTGATGATGTACCAATACATTTTGTGTATATTGTAGGGTGTTCAACGCAAAACTTTGAATTACATTGGACTTCGAAGAAGAGGCGTATAAGATATTCATGTACTCCTGTTGGGCGACGCCGCATTCTGTCGAATTTTGGGCCTGGAAATATCCAATACGGAACAAAGGAACGACCGGTTCCCTGGTTACACGTAAAGAGCCACTAAGGTGGGCAGCATATATCTTCAACCCTCGCACCTTGGGCTTGGCCATGGGTGACTAGGATGGGACATACAGCTGATCTTCACTGTCGATATATGTGATCAGAGTGACATTGCAAGCTCATCTACTTTGATAGAAGAGCGGTTGAGATGGAGAACACATAACGTCCTACTGCATCTCCTAATATAAGATCTTCACACGCGTATATAGAATATGCAAGTATAGTGGAGTGGCAGTTGTAGGAAATTTACGCAGAGAATAGGGCGCATCGTGGTGAGCAATGAAGATATATATATATACCGTTTCTCATCTGTGTGAGGGGGAATAAGGTTGAAAAGATATTCAGGTATGTGTGACTTGATCTGGACACGATGCAGTCAGTACCCTAGTTATAAAGGTCAGATTTAGCCCAAACCTTCATCGTCAGCTAATGTAGACAAACAGCTCTGACCGGTTATATTAGCAATAGCCGGTTGAGGAGGAACTGGCCTTGTCGCACTGTTGTGCGTATGCATGATGTGCGACATGCTGTTGCTCGCACTTCTCTTCTTTGTACAACGTACCCCGGTGGAGAGACGATACTCAGCATGATGTATGACCGCCTGGCAGTGGAATCGCGGAATTATCTTTGCGCGGTGACGGGTACAGGCATAAAACTTGATTTTAGCCAATACTCAGTTCCTCAGGCCTTGGGAATATGGGGGCTAGGAGTGCATTTGTGTCATGTCTGCAAACCATGAACTAATCAGCAGTTGAGAGGAAGTAGACTGTTGTGCCGTTCGCAGTTTCGCGAGTCGTATTGTAGGATCCGAAGAAGTAAGGTAGTGATGCCTGTTACTTCTCCAATCTGATGTGTTTGGTTGCCATGAATTAAACACATCTCCAAGACACAAGGGAGGAATGCCTCTTCTGTGGCAAGTTCCCTTTCGTTTAATTATCTCTCTGTCATTGTTGCGGTGAATAACTGCGTGGGGGTTGGCGGCAGGTTCCGGAAACCTATGATCTCGTAAAATTGTAGAAAAATGACCCATTTTATGTTCAAAACTAGCTCAGGAGCATGCAGCCAACCTGGAGGTGAAAACTCTGCTAACCATCAATTAGGGCCTCAATGGTGGGTGATAATAACAGTAGGACATACGTGCACGAGAAGAGAGAGGGAGGTGTCGTGTCTGACAAGGCATAAAACAAACATCCTCCGAGGCCAGACAGTTTCACCTGAGGCTCGGCATTATAGTCAGCATATTCGATTAATGACTTGTTTAGAGCAAGATATATTGGGTCCAGGGATCTATTTTCCCATCACATCTAGCAATAGGGGGATCAGAGCCTGTTCTTTCCAACCTGTGTTAACCGTGCCTTCGCTGATAGAGTTAAGATTCACTATTGCAGACAACGCGTTGCCAGGCCGCGCATCCCGACGCGCAATACCAATCCAATGCAGGTAGTCGATGGTAAGTACTATTTGAATAAGTATCGATTCGACCATCTAGGGTGGGTATTTCTAACTCCTGCAGCTTTGGATGCAGGAGACCTTCGATTGTGATGGCAGCAGGTAGCATGTCTGGACTTTAATACTCGAAGAGTCTGGCAAGGGTATGGTATGATCCTTTCCTAGGTGCTGTGACGTGTTTTGGGATATAGTTTCGAACAGAGTCAGTTCTCCTCCGTGCCACGATCTGATCTGCAACTAGCATCGTAACGGGCACGGCCTGAGAAAGTAATTTGCATGATTTTATGATGAGTGAGTTGAGTTGAGGATGGACGTCGAGAATGAAGAGAATATTCTCGAATGCTTACTCCATGGACTCAAAATTTTCGCCGACCATACAATGGAGATTGAGCCGTGTCCTAGACTCCGGAGAACCTGGACCTGGCAACGCGAGCCCATGAATGCGTCCTTGATAAGGACATGAGCGATATATTTTCCAGGGCCATAGTTTTTCGACCCGTCCCGCTGGGCAGGTCATTCGCTCGGAACGTTCATTACCCCCGTCCGCGGCCGTTTCAGGTGGAGTTTGAGATTGACGATGCATGCTGGCAGGGAATAACGATATTACTGAGCTTGGGATATCGATGGTGCCCTGGTCAGTTTTCTGTATGGATTTGGGACAGGATACGGCGGCTGCAAGGAGGCGGTTCGATATTTATTCTAACCTTTCGACCTGACGTGACGTGGTTATCACCTTGCTCTTCAGCAGGGATAACTAGGCTAGATTAACTTGCAAAGGCCGCAGATATTATGGTTGCCATTGTTGACCTCGTTCATGCTGCACATGCATGTACTTATTGTAAGCTTGTCCCCGGCGTCTATATCAGGTTGCATCTGGTTAATACTCCGCATTCCCGTTTGGATATCGGTAGCGTAGCTCCTTGACCCTTGACCATGATAGGCCCTTGCTCGTGTCTTGGGCGTAAATTAGCGAAATGTGGAACAGTCCTGGTGGCTGCCACGGTTAATGTGAGTGATGTGGAGTTTCTCGATACGTGAATGCGAGAAAGAGTCGCAGCCTGAACTGATGGAGTATACACCATAAGACGATTCCCTGGAACCACATATCCATTTGATATCTGACTCTCGCTTCTTAACCTGAATGTGTCAAGGCATCTCAGGAAGCTCGCTATCCTAATATCCTGTTAGCCTGTTGACTCGCCAACGATGCTGATAATACGGACATCATGCCTGACCTCGACAGCCCTGGTAGGACATGGCTGAACCCTACCGTCTTGAGCGGACCTACCCACCCGACCGACTCCTCGGAGAAAGATCCTCGCGATCCTCGATCCCTACGGTGTCCGCTGTCTGATATAAAACAGGCAGAGGGAGACAAGCTTCTGTGTGGCTCCATTCGGAAAACAAGCAACTCTTGGCACGTGAGCAAGCATTTCCTTTACTTTTTCTCTTCTACTTTGACCTCACTCCATCGACAACGACATCTAACATCGAACATGGACCGTACGAGACGGCTGCTCGTATCGCAAGGCTGAGACCGCTGAAAAGTCGGTGAGTGCTGGACAAGCAGGAGCCGGCGAGCTAACATCTGCATCACAGGCCCAACGCAAAACAGGCAGGATGGCACTTGACCCAGCTCGCGTTTGAACCAAGGCCTGGAGACTGGACAGCTACAGTAACTCTCGGAGACGGCCCTCCAGCGTGCATGGCGCATGCAAACAGGCCGCCATGGGAGCTGATGCCCTCCGCTGCCTGTTAATATAACTTCCTAGCCTGCTGTTTATGCTTTGGCCTAGGACGGAGTGGACGCCCTCAGCCAACGGAGTTCTTTATGCGCTCGTGTTAAGCGATCCAATAGGTCGGGGGACATGGGTTGGCGCTCCCTGGCTCTTGACACTCGCGTCGAGCGGGCGCTAGGCAGCCATCTAGACGGAACCGGCCTGGGGGGAGGAGGGAGGACTGCGCAAATTATACAACATGCCCCCCGACAGGTATGTAAGTAAGGAATGGGCAAGTACAGGCGGTGGAGCAGAATCATGTCGCAAGGGTGAAACGAGCCGATGGCCGCTGCTCGATTGCTCCCGATGAATGGGGCTCCCCTGGCGGTCCCCCTCGGTGGTCCCCTCGATGTGGCCCCTCCCGATCAGTTGCACGCCATATCAGACGGGCTGATGCAGTGTGTTGGGAACGAAATGAGCCATCGCACACGATCCGAAAGGTATGCACACGAACCCCATCAGGCTTTGCCTGTCATTGGGCGGGAGCATGCAAGCTTTTTCGAAGCATTTTCCAACCCGGTTTAGCGGTCGAACGCCGTCTTATCTGGCCTGACCCGCCGTTGCGCCTCTAGAGTTGCATCCAGCATGCGGTAGCCTGAGCACCGGCCTCCTACTCGCTGTCCCCGTCTGCTTTGGCTCTCTGCTTCGACTGCTGCTGCTGCTGCTGCTTCCGGACGACCCGGACGGCCTTGATACTTGCCACAGGTCAGCCGTTGCGGTGGAATTACTAATACGAACTGGCCAGAGTTTCTCCCCTTACTCCGTAGAAGGCCCAAGTAATAATAGAAAAGTCAAGCTTTCTGATGCATGTTCTTTTAATTAATAAGAACGGTGCTAGTCGTGTGAAAGTCGCCCTTCGTCCTACGGCCAGCTGTCTCCCTCTCGCCTCTCTCGTCCTTTAATATAACCCCTCTGCCCTCTATCTCTCCTTCTTCCTCCTCGCTCGTCGCCCGTCCCGAAGAGTCGCAATCTCGCGTGCCCATTCTGTTGTTCAGCCGGCTGCCTAGAGATGAGGTAGACAACAAGCGAGAAAGCGCCAGCCAGCCTCAGCTCGAACAAACATCTCCCAGAAGAACCCCGACCTCGATCCTCGATCCTCGCCTGGCCTATGGAGGGAAACACCTGAAACCGACGCGCTCTCTACCTCGCTCTACCTCCCTCCGCCGCTGCCGAAGACTCGAAGAGGCAGCGAGAGCAAAAAGTCGTATATAAACCGGACCCCCCAGCGGGCGTCGAGGCGTGTCATGGCACTCGATACACATGCTATCGACTCCTCGACCACCCCGCCAGCTCGACACCGGTCCATCCTGTCCAAACTCACCAGTCGCTTCGGGAATCGCAATCGCAACATCTCGGAGTTCTACGTCCAGCCCGACGACCCGTGGAAGTCGTACCATCCGGGCGAGGTGGTCAAGGGCGCCGTCGTGCTTACGGTGGTGAAGCCGGTCAGAATCACACATCTCGTCGTCTGTCTACATGGATATGCGAAGGTGTTCAAGAACACGGTTGGGCCGGGCGAGCATGCGGAGGAGTCGGGATACCTAGGACCTGGACGCGGGCGCAGAGACGGCGAGTACCTGGGCAACGGCTTCACCTCCTTGTTCGAGGACGAGGTAGTGCTATGCGGTGACGGGAGGCTGAAGGAAGGCATATACAAGTTCCGGTTTGAACTTTGCTTTCCTCCTTACTCGTTACCAAGTAGTATCAATGTCTGTCTTGACCTCTATCCCTTCTTAAATTGATATATTCTAATGCCTTTTCTTTGCAGTTCGAACGAGGAACGATATCCTACATGATAACGTCTACCCTGACACGACCGACGACCATATCCCCTTCCATGTCATGCGATAAACGACTGATACTCCTTGAACGGATCGATATCGCTCCTCTCCCCGCTCCGAAAGCCCGTGTCATCTCTCTCGAACCGATATCAGCAAGGTCAAAGTCAAAGTCAAGAAAGAAATCTACGTCTGGCGAACGAACGTCCAACGGTGCTGCAGGCCCAGCATCCCTCGAGCCGTCAGCATCGCAGACATCCGAACCAAAGCCTCCATTGAGTCCCGTCCCAAGCGAACAGAGCACCTCGAGCTGTGTCAGCAACAGCACCCAGAGTTTTAAAATCATCAGCGAGTCGAATTCCCCCCGAGACTCGAATACGATAACCGCTACGACCAAGCTACTTCGTGGTGGTGGGTTGCCCGGTGATGTCTTGCCTCTGCGGATAATGCTCAACCATACGAAGCCGATTCGAAGTCCGCACGGAATTATCATCACGCTGTATCGGCAGGGCAGGATAGATATGTATCCAGCCATCCCCATCGGGACACCCGCCAAGGGCAAGAGGCCGGTTTACGAAGACTACTATCCCAAGTCACGAACGGGACTGGGCGGCTTGTCCTTTGGCGCGACTAGGACATGCAGTGTTTTTCGAAAGGATATGACACAGATATTCTGTCCCTTGATAGTCGATCCTAACACCATGACCGCAGATATCAAGACCTCCATCCGCATTCCGGAGGACTGCTTCCCGACAATAACCCGGGTTCCTGGCGCAATGATCAGCTTCCGTTATTATATCGAAGTGGTTATGGATATACGGGGTAAACTGGCCGGCCAGGACCGCTTTCTCCCGCGGTTAAATATCATAAACTCTTCATCCAACAATCACAACTACTGCGCCACACCCCGGGGGTTTAATGCAATTGAGACCACGAGAGGAGCTACCTCTACTACTTCAAGCTGTACAGGGAACATACTCGATACCGATCAAGTGCGAAGGGATAAAAGTGTTATCGTCTGCGTTTTCGAGGTTATCGTTGGGTCCAAGGACAGCGGTAGAGGCCAGCAGCAGGCACCCAGCGATGGGAGCGTCCGACCAGAATATCCCGCCTCAACCGTGGACCAGCCTGCTCAACAAGCAACCCCGGACGGAGCGCGTGAGCAGCAGCAACAGCAGCAGACACAGACACAAACACAAACACCGCAGATCCGGTTCGCAGATCAGTCGCAGGGTGGCCAAAGCCACGGCCAGGAAGATGAATATGGCACTGGCTCTGAAGACCAGGACCCCTGGCATGAGCGAACTCCAGACCAATACGTTATAAACCCTCCGCAGCTTATCCCTCCTCACCGACCAGAAGAAGACGTCGATGAGAAGACACGGTTACGCCGAGCAGAGGCCATGCTCCTACCCAGCGCACCGCCAGCTTCCGACGAACCCGGCTCGTCTAACTCTGCTCCGCCCTCAGCACCCGCGCTCTCGATACATCACGAACCTTCTTACTTCGAGGTTCCTACCCCTACCTACTCGGCCTCTGTTTATATGCATCCTCATCCTCGCCCTTCCTCTGCCTCTGCGCCATCACCGGATACTATCACCCCTTACACTATGCACGAACCTGCCTCCGCCCCTCAGTTCCCACAGACATATTCCTATACCCCTGACAGTTCCGCGGAAAGCTCGAATCACCACCAATACCAACAACACCCCAATCACCTTCCTTCAGAGGACAAGCAAGAGCTGGAGAAGCAGCGGCTTCTTAACGAGAGAAGCGCACCACCGGACTCGGACATCCCAGAATCAGCTGATTCCAGTCAGAGTGCTGCCGCAGCCTCTGAAAACGGCGATAGCCGCCAACAACCCCTCCCCAGTGCCCCTGTTCTTACAGAGGAAGATATAATAGGGCAGCCCATGGCGACAGGGGAGTCCCTCCCAAGATACCAACGATAGATACAGAATGCGGCGATGCAATGAACGGGATGAAAGTGGCGTTAGCAAGGGCGCATCTATTGTTTCACATAATTCTTCTATTAATATTTCACCTGTATTTCTCTTAATAGCGGCCTGGTTTAAATTCGAGGCATTGGACATGTTTAAATTACAAGAATATCACGGATATTTTGACGGCAGTTATGTTAGGTTAGCTTATTATATAGCATGCATGCCTACCCACCAGGGGGTGGGCAAACGGCGTGGTCTTTTCGCGCATCGGCTATTTATTTTATCTACTTATTTCCATCGATATCGGCGTCTACGAGTAGTTTGACTTGTCAAATTAGCAGCACTACCCCTGTTGGTAATGCGAAGTGGTTTCTGACCTGCTTATATGCCGATATATCATGTCTGTCCATTCGAACCTCCCTGTTGACCTAGCTAAGGGCGTGCATGGCTAGTTAAAGGACCCCTGATCAATTATTACAACCTCATCCTGGAATCGACCCCCAACGACCAAATTCGCTCCATGCAGGCTCATGACCAAGCACCTTGCATACATCGTGGCTAGTAGAATGCGCAGGGCCACTTCATGTACCATGCTTTGCCATGGACAGGGACAGTTCGCTGGATCGACCGAGAATCCTATTGCTAGCCAGCAGCTGTGGCGCCAGATCTCCCGAATTCTCTCGTCTTTAACCACAACGCCAGCCGATTTTCAGCGCGATAAGCCATCTCAAGAGGATAGAATAATTCCGAATGAGTTCCTATGATAGATACTGGCTGTGTCTACCGGGATTACCGTGAAATCGGCGGCGAGGTTTATAAGCGGCCTCTGTTCGGCGAACGAACGGTAGCATTTCACGCTGGCCTTTGATACCCCAAATGCAAGAGAATAAGTCATCGTATGACTTAATCACCGATTCACTTCAATAATCAGGCTTATTAAGGTCCGACTACAAACATTTGGCGTGCCTGGGGGTCCTGGCCCAAGATGAATGTGATTCAGCTTCAATAGCTCGAGCAATTTGCTGTGATATGCATCAGCAAAGGGCCGCCAACTGTGTGCTTGATACTCCTGTTGGAACCAGAGACATTACTCTGGGAGATGGATATAAAATGGCTGTACAGTTCCCTATGATTGACAGCTTGGATACCTACCCATCATCAGCACACTCGTTTTTCCAAGGCAATCCAGCCTATCCATTCTTTCACCCGCAAGGGATACACATTCATTTATACCTTCGTTGAGATCTGATACCCTTTTTAATTCAACACAGCCTCGAGAAGTCGCCTCAATTACCATTATCAAGTCTCGTACTTCAAAGCTTCCATCATGGTCCTTTCGAAGCTTCTCCTAGCAGCGCTAGCCGTCACGGCACACCTGGCAAAGGCTGAGGTTGTCGTTGGAGCTGATCCGCTTGTGAAGTATTCCAAGTGTGATAATGCGCAGCAAATCCAAATCTCCGAAGCCTGGTTCGATGCTCTTGAAATTGCTGGCGAAGGCAAGGGTGGCAGCTTTGGTGATTGGAAGGGAGATGCTGAGATAGACTACTTTGGCCCTCCTGTCTTGAACCATCCGCATCAACGCAATATCCAAGGTATGTATATCCCATCCTAACGGCACGGATATTTTAGTATCAGCGTAGCTAATGGAAAGAGAAAAGAGCTCCTTACGAATGCGGCAGCACTTTCTAGGCCATGGTGGTTTAGACCTACTCAGATCAAGATCCACGCACGCTGCGACGACTGGGCAGACAAATGCGGGAACAAAGGACCCATGGCTTACACTTCCCAAAATTGCCCAGATGGGGGGTTGACATGTATCACCTTTTGCCGCGAATTCTTCGATCTACCATCTTTACGCGATACCCTCGACTATGCCCGGCCAATGAAGAATGATGATGTTGTCAAATTACACATGACGACATACCAGTCGAGAGGTAAGACTGTTTTTACGCTTTGAGCTTGAACTATTCTAATATCTTGGTTGTTTTTAAGCATCTTCTATGTTGCATGAACTCCTCCATCTTTCGGAGGTCTCCTTCCCCCTGGGCCACATCTATGATCGATTTATCCGCTATAAGACGCACGAAGGCAAAGATGTCGTGACCCAGGCTATTGGGCCGTATTGGACAAAGGTTCTTGCCAGGGTCGACCTGCTCAACAGAAATGATACTCTCGGATTCCCTATCAATGGTAAGCACGCGCGGTAAATTAAACCTGGATTGAATTTGTGGCTAACTCGGACCATAGCCGACAATGTGGTGCAGTATGCCCTTTCTAAATATGTTTATAAAGCCTTGAACGTGTAAGTCCTCCCTGCCTATACTCGTAAAGTGGTCATTTTACTGATGATCGTTGCCCCAGCTATCCATACTACCCAATTGCCCTGAGCAAGAAACTTGGGGACGGAGATAAAACTCAGGCACCAGGCTGGGAAATCATTGATAATAAGCTCCAGGGCAATGCAACTCTCATAAACGATCGCATACTATCCGCCGTTGACCCCCAGCCTTCCGAATCTATCAACGCAACGACCGCACCCATCCACGATTTGATGAACAACAACGCAGACTACTTTGATAACGTTGTTTTGAACTTAGAAAGCTTCATCCAGCATGACAAATATCCCAAGATGTACTTTACCGGAGACCGGAACGAGATCTATCCAACTAACCGCCCACCACTCACAAACAAGAGCGAGTATGTTAAAGGCGACGAGAACCTACACTGTGCCGTCTCTGAGACTTTGGACCGTGGACGTGGAAATGTGGCAGTGGATATTGCGGAACGACATATTGACGATGCTTGTTCTAAGCTCAAGGACAAAGCCCTGAGCCCAATGGCCACCGGAGTCCCACTTTCATATCAATTCACCAATGATAAGGATTCAAATGCCTTATGGATTGGTGCTTTCTGGAACACCGGTGACGATGACTGTCGAGTTGAGAGTAAGATCTCCGAAGATGAATGCAAGAACCAGCTCCGAACATGCCTGAATGGCTGCCAGCTCGACACGCACACTCAAAAGGAGGGAGGTTCTAGGATTAAGAACTGCATTATCTACCGCATTGGAGTCGAAGGGAGAACTACATTGTGAAGAACTGTTGGCGTCTACTTCTAGTAATGTTAGATGAGGTCTTGGCCACTGGGGAAGGGGAGAAGGCTAGTTTTGGAGGCTTGGTGTAAGTGTATTGAGAAGTGAGCTTTATATTTCATTGTTTCGTTTCTATTTTATGTAGTTTATTGAGTTTATATCTTAGAGATTAGCTATAAGAGAAATGGTATATCCAGTTGATCGACATGGGAAACGTATGCAGATCCATCCTTCATACAGAAAGTCTTTGCCCAGCCAACTCCCTTATCCTGGCCTTGATCCATTCACCGTATGCCACAAATATCTGAGACTCAGGATGCTTGGTACAAAAGTTCAGCAACACTTCGTAGTATTCCAGGACATCCTTTCCTGTTGTATATAATATCTTCGCCAAATCCACAGGACAAAGATATAGCGGCTGCCTTTCATCTTCAGATATAGATGCAGTCCCTTGCATTACACATGCATAATACACGCAATGCTCTAAACCGAAGCAGTGGCCTAGTTCATGGCTTGCCGTGCGGCATACCCTGCCCAACCACAATTCAGATAGCGCACTGCAAACATTAGGTGAGAATTCACCTGCATCTCCTATCGTAGGTAAAGGGGCCAGGCTTGAAATAACGGATATAGCCCGATGCATTGGCGACTCCATTGCAACGGAGCCCTGAGACTCCATCTTATCATCTCCCTTCCGCTTCTTCACAGGCGTTCCATCGCCTTTTGCCAAATTGCATATATCAGTGACGTACTTTTTGCAATGCGAGGCTGGCCATGAGTGGCTTCTACCCACTCCTAATTTCCCATCTAGAATAGGATTATATCTCGCTGTTGATACCACAGAAATGCGACTACCGCCATATGCCCGACCACAAGCAAAATCATCATCGTCGTCTTCAAATAGGTCATGATCCATGACGAGCAATAATGCATACGCATCCGATGGCAGCATGCCTTCTGCGGCATCTAGCAGGTCATTCAGATTGATTTGACCGGGGAAGGTTTTATCTGGACACGTCCGACATGAAATCCTGACCGACTCTGTATCCGTAGTCAAAGCAATATATTGCATTTTGGGGGCCCTCACCGTCTTGGGCTTCTCACTGGACTTTCTATCGTTGTTGAGGGTATGGTCAGGTTCACCATCTTCCCAGGAGGTGAACGTAAGCGTCGTTGGAAGCGGCTTCACAGGTATCCCATGATAAAATGCAGACAGGTAATCCAGGATATCGCCCATAGCAGGTCGTTTTATAGGTGAAGAAGTTAACTTTTGGATAGAATCATCATCGTTAACCTTGGGGCCACCGGTTTTCTTTATCCTGCTCGGTTTCTTTCCAATGGTTGACTTCCTGCTAGTACTCGACGTAGGATAAATCCAGCCCTTGACAAATGCAACTTCTTCATCGACCTTGGGGGGAGCAGCAACGTAAATGACGCCTCTCTCTTTGGTTATTGGATTTCGCGAGTCAAGTTTCATCCACGAGGCCACGCCTTGCCCAGGGCATTTTGGGTCATAGGCCAACTCATCATTAGGTAGAACTAGGGGGGCCGGGAATGATGAGGGTGATGGATCTTGGTGGCCTTGAGTATTCTTCTTGTTGACTCTTGCAATAGTAGAGGGCAAGGCAGCAGCCTTTGTGCGTGTTTGTAGGGTTCGGAATTTATACCCTACTTCTGCTGCATGAGGGGATGGGTCAAGAGTAAGTGTATCATGGTTACAGGTTGTTGACGAGTGTCTGGACATGGTACTGTTTTGAGGTTGTTCTTGTCAAAAGTTGTTTTAAGGTAGGATATCATTGCTGAGTTACCCGAGTTAAATAGTTAACTAGCTAACGAAGTAGGGAGATAAATATTATCAGCCCATCTAAGTTATATTCTCCCATCTTATATCCTCTATATCTTACATTCTCCGTTTAAATCCTCATATCTTACGCCATCCTTCTCATACAATAATAAGCAGGATGCTGCTAAGCTCTATCGTTATCTGATACACTGCAGAGGGCCGAGCCAGCCGAGGCCGCGAAGATACACCTTGAAATGCCGGAGAGACACTCGGATAGGTAGGGAGATACCAAACGTGTTGAGTGAGGATGTAGCGGAGGTATGGGCATGTGGTAGACTATGTGCCACCGATGACTGGCAAGTTGGCAACGGAACATGGATATGGCAGAAGTCTGATATCGAAGGTGCTGGGAATATCGATATCGCGGATCGTACACGGGATGATGAGCATCCGGGTATCATAACGATGAGCACATGTTTAAAAGGTGGATGAGGAGCCTGTTGCGTCTGTTTATGAACATGCTGAGCCAGCCGTCCATTCGATTGAGCAGCATGTTGGGTATGCTATTCACCATCGCCGCTGGTCAAGTGAAATCCGAGAACCGCGAGCAGGGTACGATAATGAGGTTCAAAATGCGTTTGCTGAGCGGTTGGGCGGTGGGGTGGCCATTTCCTGCCTATTTTCCCACTCGTTTGACCGTTCCTTTCGCACTATGTATTTCCATTCATCATCAAATCCCCGATTGGTTTACTACTCGGATATATCGTTCTTTCACCCGCCCTTTTCGTTTGTTAACGGTTGATTCTCAGGAGGTTGGATATTGAGTGGATAGACTGGTGATGCTCGTTCGGTTGAGCAGTACATCAGTGGATGAAATTCTCTGTCCAGATTTAGACGCTTCGCCCTCCCAGTCGAAGTTCTGTTCGATCCGATCAGCAATGACTAGGCTGCCTCCCAACAGCTGTTCGCGCCTGCGCTTATTGCGTTGCATTTGGATCCCCCCTCTGGCCTTCTCTCATATCGGCCTTCCTTGCGCGCTTATTCCTTCTTTTTCCGTCTCGCTCGTCGCTTCATCCATTTTATATCCCATCAACCGAAGATTTGGAACATGTCGTCCGTAGCAGGCATTATAACTTTGCACAGGGTGTCACGTCACCTTGGAATCTCAACTGATTACCCTTTGGACATGAATCGCCGAGTGGTATAAGCACGAGGTGGTGGTTCTAGATCTTCTGCTCTAGTCAGTCGCCATCTCCTTCGAATGCAGGTAGCCTAGGTACTTACCAGTTATATCGTCCGAGGGTGGAGTTGGCGAGAAAATGCATTCCTCGCTCCCTGCTCCGCCTATATCAACTCTGGACGTAACGGTATCCATGTAGATATCGTCATTGTAGTGATCTACCCATCGCGAATCGGCGCTTCCAGTAGGGACGGCACCCCTTCCTGACTCGCCGCCGTTGTGGCCATCCTTCAATTGATGGGAATTCTCCCTGTAGCTCCTCGACCCGTCTCGTACGCTGGAGAGTAATGTTGGACATATAAGCGAAAGCGGTTGACGGAGCATGGGTAGACAGGAGACTATGATGCCGGTATTGAGTTCGATGGTAGTCCATAGCGCGAGCGGCGCAATGCTCCCTGTAATACTCAGATATTAGCGAATTTGGCCAGCCAGGGGTAGTGTATGGTGTAGCTAACACAAGGGGTCCCTGTTGTCGGATTTTCCTAATATATATGTGATTCGAACAATGCTAACGACACAGACACTATATCCTCGATGTCAGTAACAATTGGCTAACCCACGAGCGAATAACGAAGGGCTGGCAACTTACAATCCTCCCAGGGAAAAGATGGATATCACAGCAAGCTTATCCCTCATTTTCATTGGGAGAACGATGGCCTCCTTTATCGGCAGGAGGAAGATCAGGAAGTCGGTAGCGACATTGAGCCCCGAGTAGACGATTCTCCATTGCGCATTCTCGATACACTTGTGTGGAATCGAGCGGTCCCAATATGCGTTGATCGGCTTGCATTGCCATACGGATGGACAAGTGAATCCGATTGTCATCAGAACCGTCAGTCCCATAAGGAAATGGCATGACCAACGGAACCAGTTTTGAACATAGAATATTCGAAGATATAAGAAGAGGAAGGCGATCTTGATCAGGCCGAGGGCGGGTTTGTATAGAACCTGTAGGATGTACAGACACTACCGGCAACGTTAGCATTTTTGTTGTTCTTTTTATGCATGAATTCGTAATGCAGGATGCTTACTTTCAACGCAGTTATCCTGTCCTGCTGCGAGCTCTCCCATGTATGTTTGCCCACCCCGTGGAAGACTCCTGTATACTGTTAGAAATATATATGCCGTGAGGACAGTCCGGATGCGCCACTCACCGAGTATATGCACAACAGTAAACGGAGCTGTTATCATCTGATCAAAAAAGATGTCAGCACCTTCACTGTTTTCACGACTTTCCGAGCTGGTACATACGTATGCTGCCAGGATCATATAGTCGTCGACGTGGATGCCGGTCTTGTAGTATCGACCAACCAGCCGTACTACCACCAAGAGCCCCGAGACGATGACCAGGACAACACAAGGAACCCATAGATCTGGTCTATCCATCCCAAAAATCACAGCGTTGAGGTTGCCTGCCGTGGTCGTACTGTTCGACGGAGCCATCCTCTGCACTGTCAAGCAACAGTATATGCCCTTACGGAGAATGATGGACGAGAAGAGGTCGAGAAGGACAGACAGAAACCTGCTCCCAGATAATGATACATCACATCCATGACATTATTGTGGCCAGGCATAAGTTTCGTGCGTTGGGATCTCGCCCTTCCGTTTCCCTCCTCCCCTATTGCTCTGGCCCGTCGCCCTGCCGTGTCTCGTGTCTTTGCCAGCAATAGAAAACGATTTGCATTTGGGTGGGGCGAGGAACAAGTCGAAAAAAGTGACAGCAGGTTGATCCAGGTCCTCCTTGCTCGTACCCGGTGGCTCTGTCCTCTCGGTTCTCAGATTATGCGGGTTTACGGAGCACAGTTACAGAGTACGATCAATCCTACAGCTACCCCCAGATCAACATCAACATCTCCATCAACAAGAACTTCTCTACGGGGTACTCTATCCATGGCTTGGTCCGCCATTCTAGCGTGGCCCCTGTTGTGGGCGTCGAGTTGTATATATCGATCTCGGGTTTCCTTTCTTTTGCCATCGAGACTGTCCTCTCAAATATCCGTATATATAAATAATAATATACGAGAACGAACAGAATCGGAGACGGCTCAAATAGTCTATCGCCTTCGCGTCAACCCAGCTCAGCAGGTCATCTTAACCATTACCCAACTTGAGCCATCCAGCTGCATCGCCAGATGCGCCACGGCGTCCGGGGCAAAAGGCAAACGTCGCAATTCCACCAATTGGACCACGTGTGAATTTTAGGGCCTGGAACTTCCGCGGAGACGCTGAACTGTTATTATGTGCTCCTTGAAGATGGTACTGTCTGGTTGCTCTGGGTGCTGCTGTGTACTCTGTTGTAGTCCGTAGTCGTAGCTATGGAGTATATCAGATGCGATATCACGCCCGTGGGGTTTGGAGCATGGCCGTGGAGCACGGCGGCTTGATGCGACGCGGGAGAGCTCTGCCCGCTAGCATTAACCTAACGGACAGGGAGCGAGAGAGATGGAGGCCTAGGGTTCGCTGGACAGCCAATTACTTTGGGCCTTGGTGACTTCTGGCTGTGATCTATCACCCTTCATCGCAGATAGAATTATGAACGACAGAGGCTTCCCTTGCATACGGAGTATACTCCGTACACCTGAAGACTTCATCTGAACACAACGGAATAGCTGACAGAATTGACAGACACAGCTTATGGATTATAGGGCTGTGTTAGGTCATTGATTATGTGTGACTATGCCATGCAGATTAAGGAGTACAGAGATCGGCTACGTCAGGGTGCCACTCGAGCGGTACAGCACCGCGGTCTTGGTATAAGATCGAGCGATGAATCCTTTGACCACTTGCAGAAACGGACAAGCAGCTGGTGCCCATCTATGCAGCCTCTTAAATATCTTATCCCACGTTCTATGCTTAAAGGGCACGGGAAAGCTGGGAGGGAAAAAAGAAAGGAAGATTAAAGGTTTGTCTACGGGATACGCCGAACAGGCAAGCCGATACGGTAAGCAATAGTCTTTACCCCAGGGAACCCCTTTCGATCCCTGCGTTGAAACCAATCTTGGAGCTTGTCTCGAGGCAAGGCGTTGCTGCTAGCAACTACGATATGCTAGCCAAGCCAGGCCGCGAACGCATCAAGGATATAATATTATATATAGAGACACTCCTTTTTATACAGAGCGCCACAGCTGGACCGATGGTGAGGTTGGTGTATAGCCAGTCACCTGTGATGGGCGTTAAGGTTGGTAAGCCATCATTGCCATAGCAGCTCGCTTAGAACTAGCAACACTATATCTAATATCCATACGGAGTATAGGGTACAAAGAACAGGGCATACGTCGGCTCAACCGCGCAATTCGACTGTCCGTGGGCTGGGTTTCGAGTGTTCAGACAGTCTGTCTTTCATCCCGTTTGCCTGGAGAGTATGGAGGAGGTCCTAAGTATAGGACTGCCTTCCTCCTTTGTCCTAAATAGGCATGCGGAATACATCAGTTGGGTTTCCTGTCTACCGCTCCTGAGCAGATCTACCTATCCTATACAAAGTACGGGGTACGGGGTACCGGCTATGTCATACCGTTAAAGAGGGCGGAGTATAGGGAAGTCGTTCCAGGACATTCCATGTGTCTTCTCAACCAGATTATACCTTACCTACGGAGTATGTCCCTTCGGTCCATCTCGATACCTGGTTGGCCGTGCAGCAGCTTGACTGAAGCTAATCATCCTAAAACGACCTTAACCGACCTTCTCTCACCAATGTCTCTACCGAGGTGCATGTGCCAGGCATTTGTAATAGCCAATATTGTACGTGATGGCTGACATACAACTTCAAGCAGGTAGGGAGCCCATAGGTATAAAGATATGGTGGCGACGCTCTCACACCCAAGCTATACGCAACCCCCCTTCTTCTCACTATAAATACACCGCCTGCTCTCTTTATGTGGCCATCCTTTTAACTCTAGCGGCCTTCGTTGAAGTAAGCTCTTAGCATGATATAGTTAATCTACACCACCTCCTTATCTGACGGGGGCTAGCGATAATGGAAGGATACGCCACTCTAGAAAGTATTTTAGATTAAGATGTTGGCTGAATCGCCTTATATTCTCAAAACAAGAGTATATCCATGGAAATTATTCTTCTACGGGCCGCCACTCGGTATTCCCGAGCGTCCATGGAGGCCCAGAGTTCATTGGCATGGCTTATTATCCAGGGTAACCAGAGGGTCCCTGCCAAAAGTACTTAAGGGTCGCTATACTTTATCCTCTTCCCCTCAGGCCAAGCTCAAGAGTACGCCTAAAGAACCAGACGATAGCCCAGCCAATAGCCGATGAGGAAAGTTCTGAGATAGCACATTTTCCATGGACGACGTGGAGGATAATGCATTCCTGAGGTGTAAGACAGCCTAACTTGGCTGTCACAGGCCCAATCAGAGCAAAACTCCAGCGTCCCCGTCAACAGGAATACACTGCTGTCCATGCCAGCCTCAACTTCCTACAGCCATATCAAAGAGTATCTTGGATATCTTATTGTGATATATCAGAAGAGTATGTACAACGCCTGTCCCTAAACCGCCACCTTTGGTATATTCATAAGAGTAAAGATAGAGCTTTAAAGGCCCAGCACATGTCGCACCTGCACGTGGCGGAATTCATGGATCCCGTCTTCAACGCTCGAGGATAATATAGGCTCAGTTCGTGAGGGGTATATACCGCGCGGCTTCTCTGTTTGCCTCATCGTCTGAATATGCTGGGATGGCTGCTCGAAATCCACTATGCGTTCATATCTTAACTTACAATTAGGGCCTGGGCTGTGATGGTAATGGACATTAGACAGTGTTAAGTCGCTATGGGGAGGGTTAATTCTTACCATTGGACCTCATACCCGGTTCCGCTCTCCTTACTTTCCAACTGGCAACCCGGACATTTCAACATGGCCGTGGGTGGCATCCAAAATACCATGCTCATAGTCACTGTCCTTCCTGGCAAAAACACCGAGTCCCATGGCGCATCGAAATTTAATCGGCGATTAGAACTGGACTCTTTCATGGCATATTCCATGTTCTTAACCTTCTTCCAGCCAGGGACGTGGCGGAATCGAGCTTCCAATACGGCCTGAAAGGCTTCAAAGGAATTAATAAATTCAACGTGGAAAGGGGTCACTCTTCCATGTGCATCTTCCAGTTCCACAGGATGCTGACGCTCTATCTGCGGGGGTAAGGAAGGCGCTTGGTATTCTTGCTGCGATTGCGCTTGTGATTTTTGTAGATCAAGCGCCATCCTGCACACTTTCATATTCATGTCGAAAGCTTCCAACATGACTGATCGTACATCGCGGACTTTGGGCTGTGTGTCTGAAAGCTCTAATATGTCTGATATCCTGCTGATGGTGTCCGCTTGTGCTCGAAGCATGTTGTGCGTCTGTCCTATCTGGCTCTGCGTCTCTTTCATCATCATAGCTGATTGTTCCAGCGTGCCTCGACCAAAGTCTCTTATTTCGTTCGTTTGTAGCGCCGCCATTGAGCTACAGGAACTGTGTTAGCCCAACGAAAGGAAACAACCATTTAAATTATTAGCAAAGTACTTACGATTGCAAGGTAATTAAGAGAGTATTTATGCTTGTCGTGTGGCCCAATATTTCGGTCCTCAGGGTATCTACCTCTGTCTTCATACACAAAGCCCATTCCACTTTATGCAGACGTGTTCGGAACTTGGAAGCCGTCTTCTCCTTTCCAAGTGACGCCTTGAATTTGGCATTTTGCTGAAGGAATACCTCGATAGTCTGTTGACATCGTATTGCAGCATCCTCGAGCGCTAGCTTTTGGGATTTCTGTGATTCATCGAACTGCAAATAGCGTATTTCTTCCAGGCCATGCACGAGACTGTTCAGGTCTGCAACAAGCCGTTGGTAGGTTGGACTTGCACCCGTCCCCTCCCGAAACGCTAGAAATATTGATTTAGCTACCTTTGTACAGGCGATGAAGTCGCCGACTGAAAAGCCGAAGCCTGCAGCCATGCTGGGGAAATATTAAACATTCTCGGCCGCCCAAAAGATAGGAGCAACGCATCATTGGGGAGGGGGAGCTATGGCATATATAAACGACAGATATAACTCACATAGAGTTCTTCAGCTTGGAGCTATCGTGTGAATCATATCGTTTTGATCCTAAACCCCGCTGTAGCTAGCGGGCTTAGTAGCAAGTTTATGATCCCTGGCTATTTATGTTGTTGACCCCGATTGGTTGATTCTGGATCAGCTCCCAATGCCATCTCTTCACTCCAAGCATTGTTCCCTGCAAGATGCATAGCTGATCACCAATGTCACGTCCGAGAAAGAGGGGATAACACGGGAAAAAAAGCAAAGGTCCTGCACAGCCGGGTGTGTTTTCGTCTGTGCGAGAATGATGAGATTAGATTGTTACACTTCAATGAATCTGCACCTTCGATGGCCCCTTGGCCATTCATTAATATTAACGGTAGCGTCGTAAAAGTATAATTAATATGTGAGCGGCTTCGTATTTGGAGCATAGCAGGCAGGTCCTATAGCTCTAACAGGGCCAGTGGTGGTAGGTGTCAAGGCACATTTTATCTAGCAGCCTGGCAATCCTTCAGAGCGGCAGTGATGCAGTCGGCTGTATACAGGAACTAAGAGAATGTTGAGATCCCTAATGAAAGTTCGTAAGGACCCGGAGTTTTACTCTCATGTCCGTCTTTTAGATTGTCCTTGACTTATCCTTAGAACTTGCATTTCGGTCTGTGACGTTCAATCTTGAGAATGTTCCCTCACGAACGCTTTTAGCCCTGCCATTAATGTAGGTACATTTCTATTCCAGCAGCTCGTAGACTCCGTCTAATCTTCTCGTAGCCCCGAGCAAGGACAACACAACACGTTCCCACTGGCATCTACTAGACCGGTGAAAAATGCAGTTCTTGAATTTTGCTTGGTGAGACGGGAACCTAGAAGTAAATACTAAAATCCATTTCTGGTATTCATGCCAGGAACAGTATCATGAATCGATGATGCCAAGTATAATTCATGTCTCTCTCACAACATCAAGGGTCACTTGGGAGGTCTGACGGTGTATATCTGTCGTCTTTGAATAAACCATCCAACGTCTTTCTCTATAATATCTCGAGAATGTCCAAAGTTGCCGTTTTAGGATAAAATATTACGGATAAACTATCTGCCGAGTTCCCGTGATTTGCGGAGCATCGGTAAATTTCTGACCAATCACAGGCCAGCGTTTAGCTAGCGACCCGGAGAACAGTGTTTACGTAATTCTGGGGAAGGGCCTCCAGGACCCAAGACTTTAAGGAGGAACTAAGGGAAGAGAACAACATCGCCTTCTCGCTTTCTGGAAGGATTCTTCTTCTTTTCTTATTCCTTAGTCCTCGAGGAAGATACGTTGCGTCCGCGACCCTGACCTGTGCCAGCTCTGAACCTGCGCTCGAGAGGTAAGAAGTGTTTTCCGCCCTTTTTTACAACCGGTCAAAGCGATCAATCTCAGCAGTTTTTGCTCTCCCAGCACGGAACCACCACGGCTAACTTGATACCACCAGGACAGATTGGATCAATCACACTCTCACTCTTAGTGCATAGCGTTCGCAGGTAAAGTTGAGAAGGACAAACGCAGTCATGGCTCTCACTAGCGGGTCCTTCGCGGCGTTCCTCATCGTCTGCCGTATGTCTACTTCTCCCCCAGGCTGGCTCTGGCCAAAAGTGAAAAAATATAATAACTTGATCGCTAACTATATTTATCAATTTAGCAACATGCTTCTTCCTCGGAATCATCTTCTCTCTCTTCCCATACGACTACCCGCTGCTATGGTCGGCCACACCTACCCCACCTTCCCACTACGACTATCTCGAGGCCCATTTGCGATTCCTCCATAGCTCTCCGCCATTGATCCCACGTATCCTCCACATCGTCATCGCCGTTGGTCTTCTAGGCCTGATCATGAAGCTATACAAACCAACCGAATCCAACATGCTCTTCGACGGCGCCAGCTTGGTCCTCTACATGTGCGGTATTACCGTCTACATCGCAAACATCGTCAAGGGACTACGTATCGTGACGGATGGTGACTATGGAGCGACCGCTGCAGCAGAGGCTGCAGCAGCCACAGCCGCGGCGGTAGCCTCCGGAGAGAGTGAAGACGATGTCGGCGCAGTTCAACAAGTGCTTGGGCGTGAGGATAGTATGAAAGTCCTTGCGGCAAGCAACACCATCTTGGCATTGGTTTTGATTGGTGTCTTGGTTCTACAAGCTGGCCAGTGGTATGCCGATAGGAAATCACAGCAGGAAACTGAAATGATCAAGTCGAAGGAGGAGGAAAGCGCAGAGAAGAGCAAGGCCAGCAAGGAGGCTTCCAAGGCCACGAAACAAAGCAGCAGCTCTGCAGCCAACAAGAAGAAGCAATGATTTGATTCCTTATTGATGATAACTGTTCTGCGGTTGATTTTTTTTTAAACTTATCTAAAGGATGTATGTCGGTGTAGATTTGATAGTGAGTGCAGTTAGGATATGAGCTGTAATGTGTAAAAAAGACCGGATGTCCAAAATAAGATATTTATCTTGTAATTATCATAATCATCAGATCATTTTGGTTCCAAATGGTAAGATCTGGAAAGGTACGTATATGTATATATGTATATATAGTATAGGAGATGGGGGTAAGGCCAGAAAAAGGTGCAAATACAATCGGACTTGAAAGAAAAGGAATGGATACAGGCAGTACCCCGAAAGAGCTCAAGCATTCAGCTGCCTGGCGGCATAGGGCAATGTTTCTTCCGTGGAGAACGAGAATGGGCTTTTGGGAATATCTGGGGACCGGGGACTAAGAGCCTTTGCAAATAACCCATCCTGTACGTCCGATGGGTTCACATGATTATTAACGTCGTTATTCATGCTGCCGTTGTTCCCAATGGGTTGCATATTCAACGAGGCGAACCCGGAGTCCTGCTGTTGCTGCTGGCGGATAAAGTCTGGCGGAGCATGAGCTATTGGCTGTCTGATTATTGGTGGATCGGCCTGGGCTTGCGTTGGTGGCGTCGACAGTTGGGGCTTCAGTTGTGTCTGTGATCGCGGAGTGGGCGCGTTGATCGGGGTGTTACCAGTGTGGAATGAGCTGAACGAAGATATCGCCATGTCTGGCTCATCGGGAGATAGTGGATGAAGATGTGGATCGGAAGTTGGATTCCCTACATGCATGTTAAAATATAGATACCATGATCTACCGTGTTATATTGAAATATATAACGTTGGCTGCGTGCTTATTGTTTAAAAAAAGGGGGGATATATATATGCACTTACCCATGGGCTTCCGGGTTAGGTCCTTCTCACTCGTCCCCAACCGCAGCCCCCGTAGCTTCTCACTCAGTCGGCTCCCGCCTGTTGGTGATACGGGAGTAGCGGGACTGAGCGGCGGCGCATTCAAATTAGATAAAACATTTGTCGTCACCAACGGAGCAAGGCGCTTCACGACGACTCCAAAGTTGGCCTCTATCCATTCCTTCTCCTCAATAGCCATATGCAATGCGATACCCTCGGCGTTATACTGCGACTCCTCTTTGATCTCCTTATCCAGCACCTGCAGCCTCTTCTTCGCCCATATCGTATGCAGCACTCCCTTCTTCCCCGCCGTCCGCGCAGTGGCTCCCAGCTCTGGAGGGTAGATCGCGGGCAAGGGATTGATCTGGATGGACTCGCCTCGCTTCACCGTCGACGCCGAGCTAGGCGGGGGTTCGTAGGTGAGTGTGATGGTCGGCGGGACCGTGGCATGCGGTGGCAGCATAAAGTAGCACCGTCGGACCTGGTCGGTTGCCTGGTCGTGGGCGGGCAGGACGGTGCGCTTCCCATCCCATGAGACGTGCCATGAGCCGGTGGTGGATCTGGTGAGGTCGTCGTCCTCCCATTCCACCATCAGGATCTTGGTGCCCTCATTGCCCTTGCCCGCCTCGAACTCGAAGCGCCCCAGAGCAGTGAGAGATTGAAGCTTATTGGGAACGCGCGGTGTTTCCAGAGCAGCAAACTCGCTGTCCGGGGTGAACTCGCGAGCCATGGCCCAGTCAACGAGCTCCCGGTATTTATTTTAGGCAGTGACCGTTCGTTAGTAGAGAGGGAAAAACAAATACTATGCAGACCGACGTTGTAACCTCTGGTCCCTCCGCTCTGTTTGCGCCCTCTATCATGATGTGATTATTTTTAGGCTGTCCCCTCCCCCTAGCCGTGGTTATGGGGAAATCTAAATTAATCCGCGGTCTCCTGTTGCTATTAATAGGATCAAGATGCGGCTCACTTAGCGCCGCCAAGCCGTCACATATCAGACAATAGACAATGGACAATAGATATAATAGGAGACATAACAGGACCATGATATCGAGAGAGGTATGAAGATTCAGACGGAGTATGCACATATAACGGTCCCGAGGCAACCGCATCCCAAGACCCAGTTCTATTCTGCGCGGTGTTCTCACCCTGGCTCCATGCGCATGAGATTTCTGGCCTCCACGATATCATTGTTTTATGATATTGTCAAGATATTATCTCGACATTACTGTGAAGCATTGAGTTGCTGTCGCTTCTATTCTTTGCCACCAGGCCAAGTTCAGGAACAATTCCGACAGACATGCATTTGCATGTCCTTGGTTGATTCTAAGCGCTGAACCTGTGGCACCCCGGGCCCATATTTGACTAATCCTGGTTACGTATCGCCATAGGATGGTGTCTACCTCCCCGTCAATAATAGCTTGAGCCATGAGCCTAGTAACCCTTGACATGTTGGATAAAAACTCATGCGCAGTTGAAATGGATACCATAGTCTCCCGCTTATGTACGTCACAGCATTGATATCACATCGCCGATCCATATAAATCCCACAACTATGAGCAGTGAGCTATAAAAAGACAGTATAATTACGTAGCTAGCTGGTCAGCGGGTCCAGTATTCAATGCGTGTGTCCAGTCATGGAGGCGCAAGGTATTTTGCAAACTTATATCATCATCACAAATACTCCGGAGAGCACGAATGTAATGTATATGCTGGGTAATGGCATGCGTAAATCAGCTCCAAGTGCATATAGACGCCCAAAGATGCTAATTATAGAGAGGTGGAAGCATTCTAGGTGCTTAGTAGTAGACCTTGCTTCCATGTGCTGAGTTTGAACCTTGTCGTGGGCATTTCATACGAGCTCGAGGGGTACCAATAGAATGTAGTGAAGAGAGGAAGGAGAAGGTCAGGCTCGTCATATCGAATGGTCTCTAAGCACGAATTAAATACAAAGTATATCATGAGAAGCCAGCAAGCGGGTAAAACTGTGTATTTCATGAACCTCATCAGGGTTCAGTACATACATAAAGCCAGATCAAATGAAGATTCCAGTTGTCCTAGCTTAGTCTCCAGGGATATCAAATCCCATGTGTATAGATAGGTATGAATTAAAGAAACGTCACAGCGGGACTCCATGCTCAATCACAAACCACCAAAGTAAACAATTAAGGGAAAAGAATAACATAAGAAATGAGGCGTCCCAGCGAGTGAAGTAGATTATAGTGATGATAATGACGTCGTCAGTCATGAGCGCATAGCCGTATTAGAGTATGAGGCCCAAGAGTAAGCAGTTGATTCATAAGTGTGGCCAGCATGGATAGGGGAATGTATCTATTCCTCAGCTTTCCTTCGCTTTCCCTTGGGAGCTGGTTCGAGAGCTGTGCGCTTATAGGTTATGGTTCTGGTAACAACATGGCGAACACTGATAGGTCGTGAGCAAGAAGAGCATCGTGGGGTTTCGGTGCGTCGGGTAGTCGATTCAGTTATCCAGTCTGGAGGAGGTAACGGTGACCGGGCAGAGCAACATCTCGGAGAGTCAAAGCTAGGGGACGTAGACTTTGGAGACGGGGCAGTTATGCGTAGCGGTCTTGCTGAGGTGGGAGTCTTTCGGACTCTATCACTGCTGCGGTAGTGGTGGTGATGTAGAACTACTGGAGAGGAGGTAGTCGATGCCACGGTTGGCGACTTGCGACAGGCATTTGAGCAGCTGCAGAAGTAAGGGCTGGTCGCAGAGGTATGGGACATTGCGGCAGCCAGACGGTCGAAACTCTTGTCTCTCGCGCTCGATGGAGAGGCAACTATGGGAGTGACGACCTTGAGGAAGTCCGTGTATGCCATGGGCGGGGTGATGGGCGTCCTGAGAAAGTCTTCCTGCTTGATAGACTCCGTTTTGCCAGAGAAGAGCGGGCTGTCGTGCAATTCCGATGGAAAGGTGGGCGACTTGGAAGTCTTCAGAGGCGCAAGAGTAGGCTTTGCAGACGGCGCCATGGTGAACGGAGACCTTTCAACCGGGTATCCTCGAGAGTGCGAAAGGGTGTAAAGGTGCCTCTGGAGGGGGAGAAGGAGAAAGGTGAAGAGTCGTTTCGAAGGGAGGGAGGGAAGTTTAAGAACGGATATGCCACAATAGAACGACGAGAGAACGGATAAATGGCCGGAATACGGCAGGGGGGGCTAAAGTAAGATTTCGTCCCGGCGATGTATATGTATCCAGTACCTCTCGGCGAATACACTTACAAATTTATGGGATGTAATCGCGCGGCGTAAGGAGGATAGAGGGAACGGAGGGACGAAAAGGCGGGTCGAAGGGGGGGGAGGGATAGTTGATCTATAGATCCAATAGCCTTCCAGAACAAAGAGCAATGCCACAAGACAAAGACGATTTGCCACAGGTAGAGTAAGGCGCCTATGCGAGTGAAGGACGGCCGGCGTAGCTTCACAAACCAGAAGGGGGTCGGGTCTGGGGGGTAAGAGATGTCAAGCAAGAGTAGGAGAGGGCGATGTCCCTGGTCGATGTTTCTGATTTCTTCAATCTCAAGCACAAAGTTGGGCGGCTAAAGTTGACAAATGAGAGAGCAGCGAGTGGGTCAAACAGTCCAGGAACAGACTAGCGGCGGCTCCAGGATTAGAAACGGCTAGTCCCGATAAGGAAGGGCGGGTCACAGCGTCGCGAACCTTAATGCAGCCCGGATTGGGGCCAAAGTTAGGGCTCAGGGCGCGCTGGGCCTCGTGATTGGCTGGCTCGTCACAAGAACAACCCCGGAGAAGGGGCAAGGGTTGATGCCAGTTGATGCGCTTTTGCAGGTGATGGGCGTGATATGCAGGCTGCTGGCTGGAGGATGCGTGATAAGTCGGTGTGATGGGCTGAGCCGGCTGGGATCAGTGCAGAGAAGTGGAGTTGGCCCTGGTTTGTCCTGTTGGATAGGCCTTGTCAGCGAGTGTCGCCGTGCTTGATCGCAGGATACCATACCTGACTGGATACTCGAATACTCAAATACTCGAACTAGAGTTGGGCTTGGTGGGTGCCAATGCTGAGTGTTAGGGTTAAGCGTTGAAGTGCTGTGGAGGCGATATATGAATGGCAACTGGGCTGTGCTGGTCAAAGAAGAAGATGAGTGAGTTGATGAGTGAGTTTGGTGACAAAGAGAACCAACGTTTACGGTCTCTTCGCTCCTATTTATCTTTGAACGGCCCTATCTTCGCGCCCTGTCCAGTTTGTTTATGCCTCTCTGCCTGGCCAGGTTCCTACAGACAAGCGCCCAGGAATGAAATGTTTCTGTTCCCGCCCAAGGAGTGAGATATCAAAATGTTAAATGTCAGCCATACCTTCCAGGGCTGTTGGCCAATCATCCTCCCAGAACCGCTCAGCATAGAGCGCGTATGTAGCAAGTGCTCTTTCAGCATCGCTGCTGGTTGGTACTTGACAGCCTGACGCCTTCGCGCGCGACAGCACCGTCAGTTCCACCCCGGCGGCAATCCGGCGTCACTCCAGCAACGATACTCGCCCCGGTCATCTCACCCCCTTTGACGGCGGTAACTGTCTGGCTTCTGGCATGGTTCAGTGAGATGCATGTCATTCTTCGGCGGGTATATGCAGGAAACGGTTCCATCACGGCGACAAATCTCTACTCTCAGATTGGCCAGCTGCCACCCTTCTTGTCCCAAATAGGAAATCTTCACACTACTTAAGCTACCGCCATGTGGTATTGCCTGCTCTGTTTATATCGAACTGGACCATTCTCAAAACTTTATGGCATGCATAGAGCTCCTTTGTTTCATTACTTATGGGCCGTCGTGCTTCATCTCGCGATTCTTCAGCGTTACGCTGGCCAGAATGGCAACTTCCAGGAGATACCTTTGTAGAAAAGTATCTCCTGAAATATCATAGAGGATATGGTAGGGGATGTCGGTGCATCTCATTGGGCAGCATGCAATATGCAGAGGCAAACATATTCCTTGCCTGATGCGGCCAGCATTCTCAGCCCAGCGCTAGTTTACGAAATGCAGAGAAGAGGTTTGTTCGCCGGAATGTCGATTTTCGAGATATTGCGGCGCAGCCAACCTGCTCTTGGACCCAAAGGAGCTGTTTGTTTGCTGTAGCCTCCGGCCGATGGACAGGTTATTCCCAATCGGTTAAGACTTTCCCTCTTTAGGTCGTGTTATGCGAAGCAACGACTACCGCACCGTTATTGTTACGAGATCTAACCCAACCTGCTACTCTGAGTTGATGTTGCCTCGCATTTAGCGCTCAGATGTATGCCATATTTGGACTCAGGTGGATGTTCCTCCAGTTCCCCGTTGGTTATACTTTTGGTCCTGTTGGCTTTCATTATCTGTGCCTTCAGCTCACGCCAATCAGGTTTGTTCGGCAACCATTAACTGGAAGCACTGATTCCGGTCTCCATGGTTCGAGCGGCTACAGAGATTTATCCCGGCCCACACGAAGATATCATCGGTTGCCTGTCCCTTTTCATTTGACCACGTCAGATCCTCTACGGACGTGCCGTATATCCATGCATCCGGATATATCCACTTCCAACGTCAATGGTGAATTAAAACCGTTGTCCGCTTGACATTTCCATATCTCGTTACTTCATGCTGGCTCCATGTGACGGCCCGTTGCACACATAATCTTTAGCCCCGTCCACATTCACCGGGCTAATATGGCTCGGACACCAATTCCATTCTGATATGCGCCTTGGGAAGTGGTGTTCAGCAGCCGGTGTCTCTTCCATACCAGTTAAATGATAGAAGTGGCGTTTGCACATGGTGTGCGCCTCCAACCTTCGAGGGCTGCAAGCACCATTATCCATTAACTTCACGAAGGATCCGAGACGCAAGGCAAGCAAGCATATATGTCCAGAATCGTCTAGTGCAACCCCCACCACCCAAGACTAAGAAGCCACTTCTCTTTTCGGTTAAAGCTGGATATCAAGTAGGAAGAAGTTTGGTGTATAGTGTGGGTGATCCAATACTTCGATTCGTCTGGCGCAATCGGCATCAGTCTTTTTAAAAGAATGGGTTTCCAAATCGGACGGACCCCACTCGAATGGTACAGGTTGCATATACTCCGTACATTCAATATATATAAAAATGCCGCCTTTGCCTAGCGCAGTCAATTATCCGTGGCGATCAGATAACCTCAATTTGTCATTGTTGTTACCAGCCAACAGGCTCAGCGGACGCCAGCCAGTGATGTTTCTCACTACTCTGACCGTAGCCTTGCACTAACTCCCTTGAGAAGCCAAGGTTGAATGTCATGTCCCTTTTGGGCCGGGCAGGATGCCATTAAAGGTAATTGTTGGATTATTAGCGTTGCTTCGTGCATGCCACGACATTTTAGGGTGATGTGCCCATGCTCGAAGGAAGTAGGGGGCGGCGCCTAACTTTGAACCTGTCGTCGGTTTCTTGATTGGTGACATGGGTCGGTTAAAATGTCCTTCATAGCAACCTTGACCGTTGTCGCATCGGATATCAAACGTCTACGCACCGGGGTTGGTGGGAAGCATTAACGTGCAGTAGAGCCGATGTGTCCAGCGCCGGCAAGGCAACATCGTTGAACAAGCCAATTCGCGATGCAGCGGCCGGCCGGCGTTCATGTATCGGTAGCAGGAAGAAATAACAGATCTCAACTGAATACGTAAATTAAGTAGCATTGATTTCTATGATCACCGAATAGGCCCGGACCATGCCTCCATTTCCTAACATACAACGCGTAGAGCTAGCACGACAAATAGTATACGCGAAAATGAATATGATAAACAATGAATGAATGTCTCCCGTCATCAGCATTCCTCTCCCATCGCCCTCAATAAAGAAGACACAACGGGAGAGAAACTTCCTATCGAGGATTAATACTCTCCAGAACCTGAAGAATCTAGTACAACCAGATTCTATGGCAACACGTCACTTTGGGGTTATAGTTTTGATAAATGACGGTCGTGGCTGGTTCTGTTAGCTTTTTTGATACTGGAGAGAAGAAGAAGAAGAAAAAGAGAAAGAATTTTGTGTGGTGAAAAAATATTTTATGCCAGGCCTTGGTCACGTGGTATTGATTACGTATAATCCTTTTTCCATACCGAGCATCACGGGACCTAGAACTCGATAATTCAAGTTCCAACTGGATATTTGAGAAGACGAACCTGGTTTGATATTGGCAGAGGAGTGTTTGATAAAGAAGTGTCTCTTTTATTCCATAATTGGGAGACCATGCAACGCGTCCAGCCTATCGATTGCAAACGCCTATAGAAGGCTACATAAAAATACAAGTTGCTATAGTTCCTGGATGAAAAATCCCAGATATGGAATTCATCATCCGAATGCACCAAAACTTGCTCCAAGCCTCGCGTTGATAGTTATTGATTGCCAAAGCTAATCATCTGAAATTCCAAATGCCAGTCCCAAAAAAATACCCACGATCATTCCTGCCAACATGACTTGGAAGACCAGCTTTGTTCTGCGTCGCTGCGTCATACCATCTAGCCAGCGACGATATCTCATCTCAGATCTCTTCCAGCGCCCAATTCGAGGCCTAGTGTTATGGCGCTGAAAATAGCGATCGTCAACAACGGGTAGGGACTTGCTATGCTTGGATCCTTGAGAGACAATGGTATCACTTCCGCTCGTGCCGCTTTCGAGATCGTGTGATGGATATCTCCGGGCCCCCCATCCCCGTGGGCTATGCTGGACATTCTCGTTGTTGGAAGATGTGGACAGTTTGGCGTACAAAGGCGGTGTTATCGATCCTGGCTGGGTGGCCATGGGGTTGTATTCGTCTTCCGGTTTGCTAAGATATTGTTCACTTGAACCGAGCTGGTGTCTGTTGCGCCGCTTGGGGCTTGAAGGATGAGTGGGTTTATGAATGCTTGATTCAAATGCCGGCTGTGGCGCGGCGATGGGCGGTAGGGCGTCTCTCATCGTTGGCATCCTGGTAATCTGTCTCTTCTTATTCCAGACTCTGGCCCGTGAGTTGATAGTGCTAATCGGAGGCCACGCTCATAAGCTTGGGATAATGTTATCTAACAAGAATGCAGTTTGAATTAATAAAAATGCCGTGATAACTTTGGTACTATAAAGTCCGCATCTTATGTCTGCCATAGGGTTACGAGTTCGATGATATCTCAAATAAACACGAAGATTATCACTCTTTTACATCGCACTTTCCGTACGAAAATGTCAACATATATGTCTACTTTTCCTAAAGGTTTACTCTGTATTGTCACCTCCTTGGGAAAGGGCAACTGGGGAGGTTATGTAACTTAGAAAGGATGGAAACCATCTACTCGTTCCCGCTACATCATCCGAGAGACTTAACAAATATACCTATATCATTGAGTGAAAAGTTCGGGTAATATATATAAAAAACAGTTTAACCAAAGGTATGTCATATCATTCATATTGTCATCATGTATAGTGTTTTAACGAGAGTCATTGAATAGAGCTAAAAACATGCTCGAAAGAAAGGGTCCCGAGGTGCATGAGGTGCATCTTGCCTCATAGATAAATGGAAGAACGTGTATATCCTGTGGGTATATTTAGAGACTACCCCCATAAAAATCTGGGGGTGGTTCTAGTTTATCAATTCAAACAGAAAATTCCTTTGTAAAGTAAGCGTAGTAGGAAAAACAAATTGGAAATAAGTTCAGTTAGTTGAACCGATATGCGTAGCATATCATCTTGGTCCACCACCGAGACCTAGAAGAGTGAATCGTTAGAGATCGTACCAGGACATAATGGGTAGTATAGGGTAGGTAGCTTACCGGCTGCATAGGCAAGATACCATATACGGCTCGCACCACCATCAATTGTAGAAAGATCCAAGTTTGGCTGAGCGAAGTATTTCCAGGAAGCTTCGGGGTCAATCAAGGCCAGGTTCGCATAGAGAACTCCCTTCCAGCCTCCTGTTACTTTCTCTGCAGGGGCGGCTGCACCAGATGCAAACATTGCATCCCACTCTTCTTTGACGAATTCTGCGCTTCGGGTGTAAGCAGAGTTTGGAAGGAGTGGAAGCATATGGATTCTGAAATCGAGAGTGTTAGTGACTAAGACGCCTTGAAAGTGAATGTATAATTAGTTAACTTACGCCTGAATATATTCGAGGTTTGCTCCGAAATAAGTGGTGTGATCAATCTTGTTTTCGAACATCTAGATCAAAGTTTGGTTAGCATTTTATATCCTCCCGGATTTGCATTGAACAGTTCAAGACTTACAATTCCGGTGACTTTGTTGCCAATGAAGTTCTTTGGCTGATTGACGTTGTCACTCTTCATCAAGAAGTAGTTGTTCAAAGATCTTGCAAGGATACCAAGCATCAAGTTTCCTCGAGCTTCCATGCTCTTATCACCCGTGGTCTTTCCCCACATTTTGATAGCATACGCATACATGGTATCTTCGGAAGTGGATTCCTGGTCCTTGCCATCAGAAGATTCAAACAGTCCCTTAGCCCAGGAATGGCCTTGGAACCAGTCAAAGGCGCGAGAGAAAGGAAATAATTCATCATTGTCGACGGAGTTGCCAGAATCCCGAACAAGCATGTTCACGTAAGCCTTGTTGGCATCAAGCCATGCAGGGTCTAATTTTCCAATGATAGCCGCGGATAGGATAAAGTAACCATAGTGGAAATGGTGGTCATTGTAGAGAGTGTTTCCAAAGTCAAGACCAATGTCTCCGCTCTGATAAGTTCCAGAGGAAACGACACCTTTCCAAACAGTATCGTAGACCAGGGGGATTTGTTGTTTATTCTCGACAAAACGGGCAAAGGCGGCTTTCAGGCCATTGAGGGGTCCCGCGGCCAAGCCCTTGTCTCCCACAAGTTCAGAAATGGTGTAAATGGCACCGGCAAACTTGTTAAGACCCTTACCGCTGAAGTACATGCTGTTGAGGTTGGTCTGGGGTCCCATGTCCTGGGACAACTCATTTCCAGCAATAGATTTGATTGTGTTCTTCACTGCCTCAGAAAGAGTAGACTGCGAACCGGCGCCAGCCTTCCAAGGTGAAAAGTCCATTGAAAGTGGGAGGTTGCTCTCAACCATTGTCCACGAATCTCCAACACATGCCGTGGCCATGCCCTTGGTAGTGGTGCTCAGCTTCATGTTTTTCACGGTATTCTTTGTAGCATCATCAAACGACTCCACAAGATGTGGTAGAGCATACATCACAAGGGATCCGCCCTTTCCTGCCTTCTGGAATGCAAGCTTGTAGGTACCTTTGGCATCACCCGAAACTGAACCGGTGATTTTGACGTTTGTTGCATAGGAACCTGCAGACTTGTCATAGATACCCTCACCCTCACTGCTAGATGGGTTCTTAGCCACTTGGATAACACCCTTGAAACCGGTAGGACCGCTGATAAGCTTGTTGTTCTCAAGCTTCATTTTTGGATCTGAGCCATTTTCGGGGATAACATAAAGTAGCCAGTTCTTGTCATCTTCCAATGTGATCTTGTACTTGAAGATACCACCCTGTGGGGATCCAGCTGGTTCTAATTTTCTGAATAGGACGGCTGACTGAATGGCAGGCTGTAGATTGTTGTAAATACCGGTAATGAATCCCATGCCTTGAACCAAGGGGAAAGTAATGCTTTCGGTAGCTCCCGCCTTAGGACGTAGGATAGTTTCTGCCGAAAATGCTTTGGGCTTCGAAACTGACAGCGTAGTTGAGTCCTTGAGTTCAGAGGCAGAGATGATGATAGATTTAATACCAACGGGGTTAATATAATATCTAATCGGGTTTCCGGGAATAGAGTTATTGGGCTCTCCATCCGCTCTTTGGCTAGGTTCCACGTGAGATATGGACATACCATAGCTGGACGCATTTTTATCTCCTTTTGCCCAGCCAAGAGAATAAGGGTGCGTAAAGGTGTAAGAATTCTGATTACCAAGGAAGAAATTTGCATAAAATTTATTCGTTGAGATTGGGCCAGAATAATTTTCCTTTGAAAGAGTTAATATGTGTTTGACAAGTATTTGGGTTATCTACGGGCCTTACAATGTGGTTAGCCTTCACTGGATGATCACCCCTTGACTTGATATTTGCGGGAATAGGATCCTTTGCGATCGGTTGGAAGATATCTTGGCCGGACATGGCTGTTGGTTCTGGTGCAATCGACGTGGTAGGGCCAGTGCCAGTAGAGTTATCGTAATTACGACCTGCTACCACTTTGGTAGGCGTCGAGCGGTGTCGGTGTGGAATTGGGGTCCATTTTTTCAAAAAATCGAACATTTCGGGAACGGGTATATGGGGTATTCCTGCGCAAGGCTTGTTCCGATACCAACAGCTAGATTTTTCTGCCTTAAACCCAACCTCAGGGATGTCTAAATGAGGATATGGGGGATGAACAGCACCTGGCCGTTCGTGGAAGGTTATGTAAGAGATATCTGTAGGAAACGGAAAAACAGTAGCGTGTCCTTGGGGATCTGGTGGCGAGTACAAGTGCTGAGTTCAGACATTTTAGCATCAAACATAGAGGGTATATTTGGACCATGAGTATTGACAACTTACCCCGTTGCTATCCAATCCACGTACGTTCTTATGTACAATAGGCTGAGGCCTAGTAGGTGTACCCTGCTCATCGTTACAGGCCAAATTAGCATCAATAGGGAACGGAGCGGCATGTGCACCCTGACACGCCAGCAGGGACACTAGCGCTGCCACGCCTGGCAACGTAGTTGGGGATTTCATAGTGGGTAGGGGGGAAAAAGATATTGTTGGAAAAATAGCCAGACACGGAGAAGAATGAAAGGAATGATGCAGCCACAAAAAAAAGACAGGAAGAAATAGAGCAGTTGGGCCCCTTGATATACCACGGCATCATGAAGAAGTCCCAGAAGCAAACCCCATCTAAATTGCAAAGATTAAGGCTACCGCCGATGTGTGGATGGAGCAAATTGTTCATCTGGTCTGGGGATAGAAGATAAAACTCCATAAATGACCTCGCCACAGAGCAGATGTAGCCCACGCATGGGGAGAAAATGGCACACGAGCCATGTGGGTACGGTGTAAAAAATGCTCCTTGACGATTTCATTGGAATAGAGAAGGAAGAAAGGGTATCAGAGTACAACGTCAGGTGGTAGAGACGGGGAAAGGGAGGGGCAGCCTGAACGGGAGTCGAGCCTCGGGGAATGACACGGCCGTATTCAGACGTACGGATGATAAAGAGTAAATAGCCGTGGATGTGTAGTGGTATAGGAAATAAGCAGAGGGAAGGCGGCTCATCTGAGTTAGATATGCAAGGCATGTCACACATCGATGACCCGGATGAGCTAGAACTTACCTATTCTCTATTAGAATAAACGTGGCAACCGTCGATACCTATCGTGACATGTGGAAAAGGAGCAGAGAGGGGCGGGACGGGGGAAGAAGATTCGTGGAAGATGCGTTATAGCGGTCTATATATCGTTCACGGCTGATCTCTTTAAAAGCACTGGCGGATAAACGGAGATCGGGAAGCCGCAACGGGGAGCCCAGTTTTCCCCAGTGAAAGGCGCTTTAGTGAGCGGGAGCTAAATAGATTGACTGCAAGCCTTGTGATACTGGAATATCAAGAGCCTTTTCGCACAGTGGCTGATTTATATAGGTAGAAAAAGACGCAGGGTCAGGGCGAATATAGAATCCTGGCCCTTCGTCATCCGCCGTAGCTAGTTTCCGTGCTAACAGGATGAACCAGAGATCCCCCACTTGGGTTCCTGGAAACATCGCTGCAAGCCCGTGGATGGACAAACCCATGTCTTCATCGTAGAATCCCCCGGCGACGAGTCTCATCGACATCGGGTCAAGATGCTGTCTATCTTGGCCAGAGTTTCGGCCTGGCAAACCGCTCACACCGTCAGTGGTTGGAACCTGCCAAGTACCAAGGGCCGTCGGTCAGCATTGAAATTCCAATCAATGGTCAGTCAAAACACGATCGACATGAGCACATGCGAAGGGATAATCGATCTCGAGGTCCCATCGCGCTGCTGGATCATCTTCTCCATGGCCAGACGGGTTGGAGATGGGGACGCCACCCTCTGCGGTTTGATCTCTTGCCGCAAACAACTCCAGGATAGATCGAAGAGCATCAGCTGATAGGGTCACCGAGTGGTCTCCTACACCACGGTTGCCCGAAGGCGGGTTACACAGAAGAGCGCCTGTTCTATACAGGGTACATAGCAGTATCATCCTCCCTCTTATTCGAGGGCGGCATCGTCAGGCTGGATATGACGTTTTCTGGCAGACGTTGCGGCGTCCCAGAGATGTCTGATGCGGTGTGCTAATGTCAGGGAAGATCCGTGTCTAGTACTACTTTGTTGCAAGCCGGGAGGGTTAGGGGGTTACGGAGCCCTATGCTGTGTGAACTCCCACGGATCTGTAAGGGATCTAAACATAGATATTGCTTGCATAATAATTGTAGTAGATAGGTGAACATGTCGATTATTCATTTATTATTGCTCAAAGGAGATCGTCACAGGCCAGGACAAGGGACGGGATCAAAAAGATCTCCAAATCCCGGAGCTGAGTATAATAATATTTACAATGCGGGCCGTTGGATTGGTTTGATAACACCCTGTTTAATCATCACGCGAGGCTTCGTTGCGGTTTGGAAGGTTGACTTGGTCGTCCACTCAGGGCCAATGGGTAGTCGCAAGGACCGCTCGTACTGCTGCCTGGATTCAAACGGATGTGGGAGCTGGGAAGCGAGATACTTGTTGTTCTAGTGGAGAGGACCAGTCAGACTAATTTTTTTTTACACCTTTAATCACATCTTAATGATTGGTGTGTGGGGGGAATGTGTGTGGAAAATGTGTGTGGAAAATGTGCGTGGAAAATGTGTGGAAAATGTGTATGTGTGAGTGTGTGTGTGTGGAGTGCAACTTACCTTTTTCACCTGTTTTTCGTTAATGATAACTCGGTCAAGTTTTGCGTCCTTTCGCTTTTCAGCGCTGATTCCCTCGATGGTGGTGAACGTCCGTTTAACCCGCTTCTTGTCTGCTCGGCTGAGTCCTGCTCCAGCCCAGCTTCCCCATCCAGGCAGCGTGTCTTCTACCACCTTGTCATCTTCTTCTTTGATGGTTTGCTTTTTCTCGCTATTGAACGTCTGTAGCACTTCATCGCCGGCGAACGCCCTCTTGATCAACTCCTCATTTTTAAGGAGGACGGGCACGCTGGATTCATCCTCATCCTCAGACCGCTCATCATCGTTAACATGCTGAACGGCCGCTTTTCCTGAACCGCCTTGACGCTTTGATTTAGAGCCCCGCTGATCGGTTTCTAGAGGAATAATTGACCCAGAATTGTCAATTAAGCTAACTTCTGCGGTAGCATTGACAGCTCCTTTTTTCGACCGCGGCTTCTTGGACGTCTCTGTAAGCCAGGGATTCTCCCCCTCATCTTCCGTAGATTGTTTTGTGGCATCCAGGTTATGGCGTTTTTTCTTCAAGGATGATTTCGCCTTGGGCTTCTGCTTCGACTCGGAGTTGACGCGAATTTCGATATCGGATTCTGAACCGGAAGCCTCAAGTGCCTCATCATTGCTGGCCTCGCGGTCATGTGAAGACTTCGAAGGGAGCGTATTTGATGCTTTTGTGACCTGTTTGCCGAACTTTTGGCGACCAGCCTCTTCTTGTATCTCTTCTTCCGATGCAGACTTTTCACCATTGAGCTGGCGTTTAATTTGTCTCAGCTCGCGATCGTTTGATTCTTTTCGTGCTGCGTCGGCGTTCTGCATAAACTTCATAGAGAGTAAGCCGGAATATGGTCCTGATTCTTTAGTAGCCTCCTTTTCGTCGCCATTGAGCTTGTCAATCTTTTCTCGCAGTTTAAACCCTTCGATTTCCGATCCGCTCTCATCATCACCCTCAGAGCTCGACGATAGGTACTCATCGTCTTCGTCGACAACGCGTTTCCCTTGAATTCGCTTTTGCAGCTCTTCTTCCCTTCTTGCCAGATCCGCCATCTCCGTTCTGGCCTCTTCGTCCCACGCCGTTCGACCTGTCTGCTTGAGACTCTTAGCCCATTTGCTATCTTTGTGTTTTGAGCCCATCCTAGCTTCTGCGCGTAACCTATCGTTACGCTCTCGATCTTCTTCGTCCATATCCACCCCCGCGGCTGCAAGTGCTTCCTGTTCCGTCTTCTCCAGCCGCTCTCGCTCTTTTCGATGGACACGGCGATAAGCCTTGCTCTTGATCTTCTTGATTCTCTTTGACCGAATTTCTTCGCGGAATAACAAGTCTCTTTGTTTCCGGAGTTCTGCACGACGAGCCTGGATCTCTTCAAGAGAAATTTTCTTCGCTTGGAGCTCCTCGAATTCCTGTATTTTATCCTCTGCGGTTCCATTCTTCGAGTCTGCTAACCCGCTCTCCACCAGTATATTTTGAATGGTAGTTTCGAGATCGGTTCGAGGCTTGGAGTCCACGACTTTAGAAGGCTGCAGCGCATCCGGCTCCGCAAGAGGGAAAGAGAGATGTTCAGCCCGCCTATTGGATTTGACGGTTTCTATCCACCTAGCCAGCGTTTCTTTACTTTTCTCGTAAGCAGCAGCTCGATCAAGGCGATCCTGTTGTCGTTTTGCAAGAGGAACATCTAGTTTTCCAGGAATCCCGGTATTATTTGTCGTAGAAGATGGGTCGTTGTCAATATGCTTCAGTGCGCCCTTCATGCGAGAGTCTGATATACTGGGCATCAAATCTGCCACTGTAAGCTTTCGACTTGGGGCTAAGCCAAATTCTGTAGGATCTCCTCCAGGAACAGCTGTCTTCGGCCTTGTAGCAGTAACTGAACCAGCATTCTGGCCCAAAGAAGTCACAAATCTTTGGAGCTTGGTGAGACCTTGCTTCGTCTCTCCTTCATTGTCGGATATGGATAGCTCAGACGTGTCAGACTCCGCGTCATCCCCATCCTCATCCTCGTCCTCGTCCTCATCGCCTGATTCGGCTGATGAACGGTCTTCATCATCTTCAGACATAGCGTCGGCTTTGCTCTTTTTGCCCTTCGAGGATTTTTTGGGAGCCTCTGCTTCAGATTCCTCCTCATTCATATCCCACGCTGTTGCAAGGTCCACAGCATCCTCCCCAAGATCATCATCTTCCTCATCTTCCTCCTCTTCATCCGAGAAGCCATCAAACTCTTCATTCAATAGATCGTCCTCCCCACCTTCAGATAGCTCAACGTCAGCTTTACGCTTCTGAACCTTTGCAGGCTTCTTGCCCTTTTTCTGCATTGTCGAACTGCCGCGGAACGTAAAGCCTTCGAATTTTTCTTCGTCACTCTCACCCATAGCCTCATCACTGTCAATATCACTGTCGTTATCACTATCGACTGCCCCTATCCTCCACTCATTGCCGTCGCTGTCGCTACCTCCATCGACGTCCGATCCGTCCTGGTCTAGCCCTCTTCGTGGTCGTTTCGACCGGCCGGCGTCCTCATCCTCGTCATCGTCACCGTCCATCCCGCGCTTTCGGGTAGGCTGGCTGAGTTCGTCGTCGCCGAGCCGGTGTCTTCGCATTTTTGTCTTTGTGGGATATTGTTTCTCTGCTGTAGCCAGCGCATTTAAGTTGTTTTTCGGCCGCCTCTTCGCCGCAGGTTTTGCCCGCTTCTCCTGCGGCTTAAGGATATTCGATCTTCGTCCCGCCATTGTTGCGAAAACAGCCGGTGACTGCAGAATGCCGAGCTGTAGATACAAATCGTCTTCTTAAACTTATCAAGATTGTTTCTATCATAGATATTTTTTTAGTGGGTCCGCGGCACTTTTTTAGGTGTGAAAATACCGCGCGCTGATTGGCTGGAGCTTTCGTTGCTAAAGAACCAAAAAAAAACTTCCCTTCAAGGGAGATTGAACACATAGTTGAAAGCTGCAGTTTCATTGACAAGTTAACTCGACAAGAAGCACCGTGGGCAGGGGAGAGACTCTGGTTTAATATACACGCCATCCGCTGTCTCCAATTTAGCCATGTTCAGACCGACACAATGCATGCAGGGTCGCCTCCGGTTGACCACGAAGCAGATCGGTCCTGGTTACTACAAGGGTAACAGGACTGGTTCGATGGGACATTTCGGCCGCAAGAAGGGAATATACATCATCGACTGGGAGAAGGTCCGCACCTACGTGGTGCCAGAGGGGCTTGCAGAATTCAAGGTCAGTTCGATCCCCCACGGATGGACATTCGCAGACATGAAGCTGACCAGGACCAGCTCACCCCTTTCGTGACGAAACGCATGGAACCGACGAGGACGCTATACACCAAAACCATTGATCACGGAGATAAAGAAGCCACATACCCTCGAGGATACACCGGCAAGGATTTCTTGAAGGAGTGGACTGAAGAGAACGACGCCGAGGTTGACGAGCTGAGACTGCGTCAGGAGGAAATCAATGCAGAAGAACCAACCGAGACGCAAACCACCAAGAGCGAGAAGGAGTAACTTCCTACCTTTGACTCAGGCTGCGTTTTGTCTCGCTTCGTCGGCAGTCAAAACCTGAATTAGAGCATTTCGTGCTGGCGGACAGCAACACAATGCCAACTTGGACACTGTACAGTACATGTATCTTTCGGCGACACTCCCTCAGCCGAACAAATGGCGGAGCACTATACTCGGAGTTTATGGGATCTTTAGGGCGTTTTGGGCTTATGATTATGTATATACAGCTAGAGAAGCGGGTTTCGAATGATAGCTGATAACTACAGACATCCCCTTTCGTGCCCAACTCCATCCTCAGACGACATATCCTAAACCGTAGAAACCTCTAGATATAAACCGACTCGCGGTGTTATTAAGCAACACCTTGGGTGTGGCGATAAATGGTGAAGCTGCGCCGAACAAATCTCGGAACATCAACAAGACCGAGCATATAAAAGATCGCGGCATCGGGAGTTACCTCTACACAGCATCTATCTTCAAGGAGCAGCCGGGGAAAGATATCATGACTTGACTGACCGGCGCGCAATAGATATACTCGTGGCCAACCCTCTGCAGAGGCTCGCTGGCCGCGCGACCAGGCTGTTGTTTGGACAGCTCACTGCCTAACTAGTCTCCCCACACACGATGCTATCTCGCTGACCGAGCTGTACGGAGTAAACAGTCGCAACTCAACTCCTTACCTTGACGCCTCCAAAGCCATGTTTCCAGCGTTTACAGGCAGTACTCGTCGGCCTCGACAGGTCAACCTCTCGACCCGCTCCACGAACCTCTTTTCCGGCGCTTCTCCAAAACGTCAACACCCCTCTGGACATGGCTCGCAGGCAACACTTGCCATTGCACAGCACGAGAGAGCCCAACGGCAGCTGGAAAGGGATCGCCTAAACTCGAGCCAGACGATCCAGAGGACCTGGCGAGGATATAGGAGCCGAAAGATAACCTGGAGTATTTGGCGGGAAGAGTGGGATGAGCACGAGAGAGCTAGAGGGATAGGGTATCGACCGGCCGCTGAGATACAAGGCACTGCGTACTCTAGTAGCTTAGAGTGCGCAAAGCAGCTACGGCTTCTCTTGCAGTTTATCCAGACGACGAGTCAGGAAGATGCTGCCAGGCTGGGATACTTTTCTAAATGCCTTCAGCGGACGGTGGAGACCACATCGCTGTCGACAGAGGGAGAATGGACGGCCATACTTTCCCGTCTCATGATGGTAGCGCTGGATATTCTGAAAGCTACCAGCCGGTCCAACTCGATATCCTACTCAATAGACGACCTGCTGCAGCTACTGGTCTTTCTCACAAGGCTGATACCGAAGCAGATGGCGCGGCAAGCTCGTAAATACTATGATGTCATGGCAAAGCTGACCCTGGATTCAAGCACGACGAACTTCACCCGAGACCGTCTCGTGGAAGCTATTCTCGCCCTCTTACAACCTATCACTTCGGAAACGCTAGTTGTATACGAGTGGTTTGCCCGGACATACCTTACAATCCCTTTTCTTCAGGACCACCTAGGGACCATTAATGATCTCGCCGCACAAGTGAACTATAAGCTATTAGCATCCGTTATAAGTACCAATATCCTACCCTCACAGTCCTTTACCCATGCAGAGCAGGTTGAGCCTCGAATCTGGCTTCTAGCATATTTCATTTATTTCCACAGGCATGCGCTAGGGGGCCAGGCCATAAACCAGACGCCAGAGGTACTTTTTGTGAAGGTCGTCTCTTTGCTCTTGAGCTCTGCCGCAACATACATCTCCCAACGGCTTGATCTAGACGATTTCCGAGACAGTCAACCTTCTCAGGAACTGAAACCGTTACCGCCATTTGTAAGAAGCGAGATATTGACATTGATCAACCAAAATAGCATTACGCATTTATTGTCGCTAGCTGGGAAAGGAGAGGTGGTAGGGAATGATATACAGCAGACAGGGGAAGACGACGCAAAGAGTCTTGCCACTTATGCCCTCACCCTACTAAGGATATTCCCCAAGCGAGGAGATGAAATACGCATGTGGCTCTACCTCGGTTCTGCTTCGATATACGAGGACACAACTTCGACTGCTTCCAAGCTACCTGCAATAAAGTATTTTTGGTATGCAGCGAGGACAACTGAGGTGTATCTCAATGTTTCGAAGAACCCTCATGGTGTCCTAGCTATGCTTCTCCCCCCTGGCAATGACGAGAATGAGCAGGTTCAACAACGATGGAACGACCAGGAACAGCAGTGGACTGTTATACTCATATTTCTTGAGCTTTACACGTTCCTTCTCAAAGTTCTGGATGACGACGAGTTCTTTTCAGGAGCCAGCACTAACAAATATACATCCTGGACGAAAGAAAGCGCACTCGCCCTAGAGGATATCAAAGAGTTGACGATATTTTTGACAAATCTTGCTTTCACACTTTACTGGAATTCGTCTGAGTTGACGGCTGCAGAGACTGATAAAACGTTCGAGATGCGTGATTACTTCAGTGTATCTGGCCCGCGTGAAATCATTCCACCAGCTCCACGCAAGCCTCAAAGTAAGGATTTGGGCGGAGCAACCGGAATCCCTCTGCATTATTTTAAGGGGCTCGTTACTGGATTATTGCGGATGATACATGAGCGAGAGTAAGTCTATCCTACAGTCACAATATTAGAAGGTTTAGAGGACGTTAGAGCTAACTGGATTTACAGCTCACGGCGCAGATTTTTACCCGATGGTCACTGGCTCATGACTAACCGGTTTGACATGACAGGGTTCATTCCTGCAGTGGTGGCAGAGGAAGAAAACAGACATCAGCTACAAGATGATGATGATGAGAGTGAACCAGAGGATGAGGCTATTGAGGATGCCCTTCAATCATCATTAGGGCTGGTGGGAACCGGCAGAGAGCAAAACCTCCGCCGGATGGAAATATTAAGGAGGCGACAACTGCAAGCGTCCAGGCGAAAGGAATTAGAAGCCGTGGCACCCCGGTTGGAGATCCTCCGAAACATGCCCTTCTCTATCCCATTCACGACGAGAGTCCAAATATTCCGGGAGTTCATATATCGAGATCAGATACGAAGGAGGAATGGGTATGTGGACCCCGATTCGTGGAGGCTATCCATCGCCCAGGGTGCTACTAGTCTTAACGATGACGGTTTCGGGGCACGAGATCTCCTAAGTAAACACCACGCGAATATTCGACGAGAGAGCGTATTTCGGGATGCGTTTGAGTCTTTCTACTCGCTCGGGGAAGCGTTCAAGGAACCGATTCAAATTACATTTATCGACAAGTTCGATACCATAGAAGCCGGAATCGATGGCGGTGGTGTCGCCAAGGAGTTCCTGACAAGCGTCATAAGTGATGCCTTTAACCCAACTGAATTCCGAAGCATGTTTGTTGAGAATGATGAGCATTTACTCTATCCAAATCCTTCGTCGATTGAGCAGCTGAAGTCTCACCTTCGTGCAATTGGGGTTGCTGAACGGAGTACACACTGGAATGAACATATACGAGACGTGTTGCAAGAATATGAGTTCTTGGGACGCATTATTGGCAAATGTCTTTATGAAGGCATCCTCGTGGATGTCAGTTTTGCTGGGTTCTTTTTGCTAAAATGGGCTCTTACTGGGGGTGCGGGCTCAGCTTCAAGGGAGTCTTCTTATCGGGCAAATCTAAACGATGTCCAGGATTTGGATAAAGGCTTGTATCAAGGCTTGGTAAGCTCCATTCATTCTACTATTATTTTTTTTCTTTAGTTTAACAACTAACATTTGATGTAGCTGCAACTCAAGAATTACCCTGGAAACGTGGAGGATTTTGCTCTGAATTTTACAGTGACCGACACAGTCCGCGTGCTAGACTATGAAGGCGGCTATAAAACGGAAACAATAACCCGTGAATTGAAGCCTGGTGGCTCTAATATCCCCGTCACGAATCAAAACAGGCTGGTGTACATCTCATACATTGCCCGTCATCGCCTTCAACTACAGCCCTACCTTCAAACAAACGCCTTTCTCCAGGGCCTAGGCCAAATCATCCAGCCATCATGGCTATCCATGTTCAACCAAGGCGAGCTGCAACGTCTTGTCGGAGGGGACGCCATTGAGATCGACGTCGACGACCTCCGCCGCAACACAGTGTACAGCGGTGTTTATGTATTGGGAGATGACCAACAGGACCATCCGACCATAAAGATATTCTGGGAAGTACTGAAGGCCATGCCCAATGAAGACAGGCAAAAGGTCCTGAAGTTCGTTACCTCGACGCCACGCGCTCCGCTGCTGGGATTCAGTCACTTGAATCCTAGATTTAGCATTCGAGACTCTAGCTCTGACGAGGAGCGACTGCCTAGCGCCAGCACCTGTGCTAATCTCCTGAAACTTCCCCGGTATTCAAATGCACATACGCTCCGGGAGAAGCTGATGTATGCCGTGAACTCGGGAGCTGGGTTTGACCTCAGCTGATTCATGATTCTTCCGCATGTCATTAGCAGTGGCCTACCACAGAATATCGTGAATTATAGATCCCGCATTCTGATCTGTCTATTTTGATAAGAGCGTCGTTTATAGCATGGCTACGGTGTCTGGACGTTTGTCTGTCTTGTTTGCTCAATGTACCCTTGCCCTGCGTCTCCGTCTTTGTTTCTGTCTGTTTCTCCATCCCTGCGGAGATCCTGTAGGCATCCTGATAGACTACAATTGTACCGTTTAGCCTATGACACTCATAGACCTAGCCGAGCTCTGTAGATACCCGTCCACTATCAGCATACGTCTAGTCTTATTACTCCTCAGCTTCTGGCCACTTTGGTATAGGTACCGTAAACTGTCGAAATTCTCTTTGGAGTTTATGTCATAAGCGTTCAACAGGGGGAAGTAGTTGTAGTCTTTTCTCATGGTCAATCATCCATATTTCCCTTTGAGAAATTGGAGTTTTTAAAAGCTGTAGAAACTCCTCATCGCCGAGACCAAGCTTTACTGCCTCTTCGTCGGCATTTACTTCCTCCCAGGCCTTTCTTTCAGAGTCCTGAAGTTCTTGAAGTAACTTTTCGAATTTCTTTTCAATAGAAAGAATATAATTCTTCTTCCCGTTTTCTGATAAGCTTTGGTACTCTTGTTTTTTTTTCTTTCCAGAATTGCGCCTTCTGAAATGCCCTTTTACTATAAAGTACTATTATCTCTTTAGGAGTAAGAGATACTTCCTCAGGGAATATTTTAGTTGAGTAAACCTCCCAGTACTTTTTAGTACTTTTTTGCTGTTACCATATATTCCAGTAGGTTTCCAGTCTTTTAATCTCATCGGCTTGGTTCGAATGGTTCTCTTTTCTTTCTTTAATTAGCTATTTTCCTGCAAAACCTGTTGTGAGATGCGTTCTTTCTCAAAAACCCATTCGGTTTCAAGCTTGTCAGACAGGCGCTCTATTTCCCTGAGAAACTGCTTTGTATATTTCTCATCCTCCTTTGCCGTAGCATCAATATCGTCTACCATACTTAGTTCTGTTTGGCATATGATAGTTCTAGGGTCTTGTCGCTCAAGGGTATCCACTCTCTCTTTTGCCGTAGCAATATTCGCTGCAATTTTCAGTTTCTTTATAAGACCACTGGGACTCGATGCAGCGCGATGGTTTCCCTCTAGACTATTTTCAAAGATAAAGTCGGCCTCCTCTATACACTCACAAACATATATTGCGAACGACGTGCACAATCCATCGCCGTTATTCCACAATGAGGCAAATCTAGAGGGATCAACGTTATCGAGCGCATGTTGTAGTATAGAATAATCGCAAGTCCCACAGACAACAAAATCAGCCCAGGATCGATTTGAGATTTCTATTAAGAAGTGGAGCATAAAAAACGATGTGTAAGCTGACTCCTCCCATACTTTCGCATATATCGCATTTGCGTCCATCCTAGATCATGTAGCGCTAGTATTAGTAGACTACAATAAGTTGACAGAAGATGCAAGGGAGGAAGAAATGAAGAGAGAATGCTTACAGGTGGAGAAAAAGGTTGTACGGTAGAGTTCCGGCCGGGTATATGGCAGTCGAGACGTGTTAAGGGAGAACAAGTACTCGTGGAAAACGGCGGTGGTGTTGGTGGAGGATGCCAATGGTCCGTACACAGCTGTCGAATAATCAAATCGGATAAATGCGCGGTATGGTAAACGGGGGGCGCAGTACGGTAGACTTTGGACCGGTACTGTGAAGAGGAGGCGAGTAGACAGCATTGCATGACTAGCAGGAGAAGAAAGCGTTATGGTAGAAGGCAAGGACATTGTAAAGTGAGCAAAGCGGAGAGCACACAGTAATCCCGTCCCTCCTTCCTTAACGGGCGTTCTTGTCAGAACTGAGGTCTGGGGTTGACAGCATTAATTCTTCCTCATAGGCAATATCGCCGCCATCATCATACGGAATCGAAGGGCCTTTAGAGGCTTATAAAATAGGTTAGTTAAACCATCTATAGAAAGAGAAGTTAAAAAGGTAGCCTACTACTATGGCCAAGCTCTTTAGCAAGTGCATCGTGTTCCTCCTTACTCATATCATTAAAATGAGCTTGTATAGAGTCAAAATCGAGTTGTGCTAGAAACTTTGCGTCTCGCTTTGGCTGGGGTTTTGGGGATATGGTAGAATTCGTAGGAGGTTTAGTTGGCTGAGAGGACATCGTCGTAATCTTGACACTGGTAGCAGCCTTTGAGGGCGAAAGAGAGGTAGTAGTAGATATTGTCTAGTCGCAGTAAACGGGTTAGATGGTTGAGAAGGAAGACGAATGACTCTTTAAGTAAAACGAAAAATTTTTGGTTGAAAAAGTTGATGACCTCATAAGGGAAATGTGTTCTCGCTGACTAACTCCTTCCAAGGAAAATAAAATCATGTGATAATGACTAAGCTGGTGAATTGTAAATATAGCAAAAATATCCTAAATTTCAATTATAGCCCTTGGACAAGTATAAGGGAAGACCTCATAGTCTAAGATCTATCTTAAGCAATCTATATCCCTCTTCAGAGGGTACTATTAATTATTATAAAAAGACCCCTATTAGATGGTTATATCCTGATTCTCAAGTAGTGATAAAACGGCTATCTGTCAAAAACCTCACTATGCGTCCAAAGGCCACCACCTGTGTCAGTGATCTTGGTGACATCCCCTATTTACTCCGTGTAGAATTTTCAGCGACATGCTTAGTCAGCCGATATTGAAAAAAAAAAAAATTGTTTTGCAGCTGCAAAAGTGTGTGAAAAACCTCCAACCTAACCACCTTGCTTTCTTTTTCCTCCTCTCACTTCTCGCACATCCACATATCAACCACTCCTCACCACACAATCTTGTGCTCCTCAGGCTGTGATCTATCCGTCTTCTGAAACACTCTCGAGTGTTTTCTTTCTTTTGCCCCCTTCCCCTTTCAGAAAACTACTCGTAAAGCCTGAAAAATATCAAGCATCACCTCTTTGAGGTTCGCCTGGTGAGTCCTCTCTGCTTCGCCATTTCTCGCCAGTCTTGCACCCTCAAACACACAAGAAATCATCGGATATCGCATTCCTCGCGCCTGTGACTGCATTGCCATTGGCCTTGACCGCCCGCAAACGAGAGAACCGTGAGAGAGCCGCTGGTGGGTTTGGGCTCTGAACCTGCACACCGCACACTTGCCCCAACATCCTCCCACTCGACCTCGCTCGCCTCTCGCCTTCCGTTTCGCCCTGCCACGTCCATCACACTTGATCTCTGCTTGCTTCCTCGATACATCTGCCCCCTGGAGAATTGTCGCGGTGCCCCTCCTTTGAGCTTATCTTTCAAGCTGGCTTGTGCTGACCTTTTGCCCTTGACGGAAAAAACACAGATTACAAGCGACCAGTATTCAAAAAATCACAAAAAAACCAGAAAAAACATCAGAAAATATGTCTGCTGCAGAGACCGCGACCAACGTCCCCGCGGACCAGGTTGAGGCTCCCACCGAGGCCCCTACCAACGGCACCGCTGTCAACACCGATGTGGTCCCAGAAGCTGCTGGCGAGACCTCCGCCACGACTCCTACCACCTCACAGCCGCACTCTGCCTCGTTGTATGTAGGTGAGCTGGACCCCTCCGTCACCGAGGCTATGCTCTACGAGCTCTTCTCCTCCATCGGACAAGTCGCGTCGATTCGTGTTTGCCGTGATGCCGTTACCAGACGATCCCTTGGTTACGCCTACGTGAACTACAACAACACCGCTGATGGAGAGCGCGCCCTCGAGGACCTCAACTACACCCTGATCAAAGGCCGTCCATGCCGTATCATGTGGTCTCAGCGTGACCCTGCTCTTCGCAAAACTGGCCAGGGCAACGTCTTCATCAAGAACCTTGATACCGCCATTGACAACAAGGCCCTTCACGATACCTTTGCTGCTTTCGGAAACATTCTTTCTTGCAAAGTCGCTCAGGATGAGTATGGTAACTCCAAGGGATACGGATTCGTCCACTACGAGACCGCCGAGGCCGCCACCAATGCCATCAAGCACGTCAACGGCATGTTGTTGAACGAGAAGAAGGTATTTGTTGGACACCATATCGCCAAGAAGGACCGTCAGAGCAAGTTCGAGGAGATGAAGGCAAACTTCACCAACATCTACGTCAAGAACGTCGAGCAGGATGTCACCGATGAGGAATTCCGTGCGCTCTTTGAGAAGTACGGTGACATCACCTCCGCTACTCTCAGCCGTGACAATGATACCGGCAAGAGCCGCGGATTCGGATTCGTTAACTTTGCTGACCACGAGGCTGCCTCCGCCGCCGTTGAGGGTTTGAACGAATATGATTTGAAGGGCCAGAAGCTTTATGTTGGTCGTGCACAGAAGAAGCATGAGCGTGAAGAAGAGCTCCGAAAGCAATACGAGGCTGCTCGTATCGAGAAAGCGTCCAAGTACCAGGGTGTTAACCTCTACATCAAGAACTTGTCTGATGACATTGATGATGAGAAGCTCCGTGAGCTTTTCAGCGGCTACGGCAACATCACATCCGCCAAGGTCATGCGCGAGACCAACGTTGAGTCTGGTGTTTCCTCTGAGGCTGAAAAGGACAAGGAAGCCGACAAGGAAAAGGAGCCAGAATCTGCAGAGAAGTCCGAGAAGACTGAAGAAAAGTCGGAAGACAAGACCCAGGAAAAATCCGAGGAGAAGTCTGATGACAAGACCGAAGGAAAGACTGAGGGTACCAAGTCCGAGAAGAAGCACCTCGGAAAGAGCAAGGGCTTTGGTTTCGTTTGCTTCAGCAACCCAGATGAAGCCTCCAAGGCCGTCACCGAAATGAACCAGCGTATGGTTCACGGTAAGCCACTTTACGTTGCTTTGGCCCAACGCAAGGATGTTCGCAAGAGTCAGGTAAGGTCAACCCTTCTAGGTGTTGATAGGAACAAGTCATTTACTAATATCTATTAGCTCGAGGCCAGCATCCAGGCCAGAAACACCATCCGCCAGCAACAAGTTGCTGCCGCTGCCGGAATGGCACAACCTGTGAGTATCTCTGGATCCTCAATATATGCTAAATGGCTACTAATGCTTAATTTTTTTTTATAGTTTATGCAACCTGCAGTCTTCTACGGTGCCCCTGGCCAGCAAGGCTTCCTTCCCGGCGCTGCCCAGCGTGGTGGAATGCAGTTCGCTGGCCAAGCCGGTATGGTCATGCCTGGAATGCCCGGTGGTCGCCCAGGCCAATTCGCCCAGTTCCCAGGACAGCAAGGCGGTCGTGGTATTAACCCCAACCAGCCACTTCCTCCAAACTTTGCCATGGCTGGCCAGGGTCTTCCAATGGGTGCCATGCAAGGCGCCGCCGGAATGCCTAACGGTCTAAACTACCCACAGATGGCTCAGGTTCAGTCGTTTGGTCGCGGAGGCGGTCGCGGACAGGGCCCTATGCAAGGTATGCCACCAACCGCCGGCAATGCCCCACCTATGCGTGGACCAGGTGGACCAGGTTTCACCCAGGGCCGTAACATGCCCATGCAGCAAGGCGGTCGACCAGGCCCAGGCGGCCGTGGTCAAGGCGTTCCAGGACAAGGTGCTATTCCACGCGATGAAACCGCTGGCCCCAGCACCATTAATCTCCAAGTCTTCAACGCTGCCCCTGAAGCTCAACAGAAACAGATGCTCGGTGAAGCCATCTACCCCAAGGTTCTTGCTCAGCAGCCTGAGCTCGCCGGAAAGATCACCGGTATGCTTTTGGAGATGGAGAACTCAGAATTGATTGGCCTGTAAGTTTGAACCCCAACTATTCCACATTTCCCCCTTCTCTCGCTCTAGACAAACTAACGCCTTACTTAACTATAGTGTCGATGACGAAGCTGCTCTCAGAGCCAAGGTTGACGAGGCCCTTACCGTCTATGACGAGTACGTCAAGAACAAGACCGATGCTCCCACAGGTGAAGCTTCCCAGCCAGAGGTTGGCAAAGCCACTGCGACGGAAGAGACTAAGTCTTAAATAATGCGTGAAACGGTTTTAATTGCGGAGGAACGTTTTTTGATTGTGGTTCCTCAGCTTGGCATGTCTTACGAATACTCATCCTTTGTTTCTATTTTTCTTTTTTTTACGTTAACGCCCTTCTCCCTCCCTCTCTCCCTCCGGCACTTATGCCCTCCTACCACTGCGTTCATCCAGTCCTGTTTTCCCCCCTCCAAGTTTCGGTTGTAGCTGGCTAAGGTTTGACGTGGGAAGCGGGAAAAAGTTACGTTTCATTTTCTCCTTCCTGGTAACGAAGATATCCCTTACCTTTCTCCCTTTTTTTTACTCCTCTTACCACCGCACCACCCCTTTATGTCTCCATGTCGTCCCTTCCCTCTTCCTCAGGAGTTCTTCTGCCTTTTTTTGTTTTATTCACCCATGTTTGATTCCCTATTCGCCTAGGTTTTATTTCTTTCATCTTTTTGATCCCGTTAGAATGTGGAATGTGGTAGCAACGCTTGTTAAGGTTCCCTGCAAACCCAGCGGCATAATTTGTTTGGTATCTTTTGCAAATTGTGAACAGCCAACACAAAGAAACGAAAAGGAAAAAAAAAGTATGGGAATGGAAAGGAAAGGCCAATTCAAAAAAAGTTAATATTTACTTACGGCGCTGGGGGCATTCTGTGCTTCTTCTTCTCGTCTTTCTTCATATCTCGTTGTGTTTTCATCTCTCGGTATGCTGGTCTCAAGCACCTTTCCTTCTTTGACTGAGATCAGGACAGCAGCCGAGTCAAAACACTGACACCCGTTACCAAGGAAGGGTATGTAGCCCGCAGGCGGTTCATTCGAGCATACTATACAAGTTTGATATCTATTAACCGGTATACTTTAATCTCTATTTTCTATTACATACCTTGAGGTTTTCTACATTAACTGAGGTTGATCTTAACATTTCATTTTCTCTCTTCTAGCCTCTAGGAAGGCGTGTATTATACTTCTATGAAACATTTCCTTCGCTCTATGCTAATTGGCACAGGTTATTAGCATCTACGTGGTTTCGCATCTAACTAGAGTTCGATGTCGTCATAACATAGGTACCTATATACACCCCTCCAACTACACATGGATTACAACGTCCGAGTATAATACATATATTAGAACATATCCATATCTAATCTACTGTATATGATATATGTACTGTTCAGGATACTATCAAGATGGATTTTGCAGCTTCTTTCCATGCCATCGATAGCGAGCTGAGGGGGGCGCATCTTACGCTGCCTGTTAAGTGTATGATATACGGACAAGGTAAACGGAACCACTTCATTTTGCAAATTCACAGCCCATTTTAAGCAATGTGGGAATAGCTAACAGGCTGAAAATCATGATCAGGAAGTCGAAACTCATTGTCAAAAGTGGTGGCTGAACTAGGAGGGTCCAAAGCATTCATTATCACTGGGAAATCGTTGAATGAGAAGACACCTGTTATCAAAGAGCTTGAAGGCCTTTTGGCAGACTCACACGCCGGTACATACGCTGGAGTCCGTCAACATGCGTACGTCTCGTATCATCGGGGGAGGCCTTTTTACTTTCACAAACTGACCGAGTATAGACCCGTCGCGGATATTGAATCGGCTGTAGCACAAATCAAACAGTCGGCTGCAAACGTCATTGTAGCTGTTGGGGGAGGATCACCTATAGATGCTGCCAAAGCTGTCTCATATCATATACATAAACACACGGGGTCATGGATTCCCATCATCGCCCTTCCAACCACTCTGAGTGTTGCGGAGAACACGCTGGCTGCGGGATATACCAGCGAGGAAGGACATAAGGTTGCTATTTTGGACCCTGAGATGGCCCCCAAAGGTAAATTTCCCTTGATATGATATATAAATATTCCAAGAGAAAAGCTAAGCGGTTCTCTCAAACGTGGCAGCAATCATCTATGATGCCGATATCACACTACATACCCCACCACGACTATGGCTAAGCTCCGCCGTAAGTATAAGCTTGAAACTTCACACAAGAGCAATAAATCCTTTAGCCAAATACTCTATTCTGATCCGTTTTCCAGGTCCGTGCAATTGATCATGCTGTCGAACTCCAATATCACCCTCAGGCAGCTGAAGTGCCCACGAAACGGGTATGTCGAACTGCTATCCAGGAAATATTCAAGCTTCTTCCATTGTGCAAGAAGAACCCCCAAGACCCAAAGATCCGTCAGGAGCTACAAATAGCCGCATATTCTGCCCTTCCTCCATTCTTCTTCACAGCAGGCATGGGACTAAGTCATACGATCGGGCACGTTATTGGGGCTACATATGCAATCCCGCATGGAATAACATCATGCATAACTCTGGCGAAAACGATACATTTCAAAGCTGCCAATAACCCAGAAGAGGCACGTCAGATTGCGAAGATATTGCCGTTTATTGGATTGTCTTGCTCTGGCGATGATTCGAAGGATGCCAACGCCGTCGGGGATGCTATTGGCAAGATGGTAGACAGCCTGGGGCTGAAATCTACGTTAACCGAAGTAACCAATACCCTTTTTTTCGGCTTATTACTGAAGATCACTTGTATAACCAAGTATTGAATTTATTGAGGCTAATTGTTGTTTACCAAATGATAGTTTTCAGTGAAACCTGATGATGCTGATAGCATAGCCTTACGGGCGTTGAAAGACGATAAAAAAGACCCAAACCTACCCGCATGTACGCAAGCCTCCTCCTCTATCAATACTAACGGGAAAAACACTAACATTACTATGGCAGTGTTTGAGCTCATTCACAGTCTCTATTAGTTCAAAATATAGCGTTTAGGAATTATATTTGAACTTTCAGAGCACATATACCTATTCCGTGGGTATATTTATCCGTATAAAAGGCCCTCCACCCTCTTTGCAATCGCCAACGAACTAGTCAGACCAGGACTTTCTATACCAAGCAAGTTTATAAAGCCAGGAAACCCCTCTTCTTTCTGAATTACGAAGTCCTGAAAGCCTTTCCCAGAGGAGACGGATCCACCATTCACTAACTTTGGTCTGATGCCACAATAATCAAGACCTAGCGCGTCCAGCTTCACCCCAGGTAAGTATGCCTGGATCTCCTTTAAAGCATCCTTCAGGCGTTTTGGACTTGGGGTTAGGTCTTCTGCATTGTCAACCCATTCAACATCAGGGCCAAACCTGATCCTGCCTGCCATATCCAAAGTAAGGTGCGTGCCTAACCCGCCATAGCTTGGTCGGGGAGCTGGGTATAGCAAGGTCGAGGGTTTCGGTGATGATGCTGTATATGAAAAATATGTTCCTTTGGCGAAGTATGGCGTGCGATGTCTTTCCGGGGGTAAAACCATGTTGTTTATACTGCAAGCAAAGTGCCCTGCGCAATTAATAACAGTCTCTGCTGTAAATGATGATTTCTCTTCCTTCTTCTCCCCGGACGTGGTGAATATCTCATAGCCACCACCATTTTTTAGAGGTTCGATTTTATAAACGTTCGTCAATAACACGCAGTCCCCGCCTCTTTCCTCGTAATCGCCATGTAAATAGGACATAAGTGAATGAACATCCACTATTCCTGTCGTAGGGCTTTCTAAGATCCCTGCTTCTGCCCGAACATCAGGCTCTCTTCTTTTCGCCTCTTCGGCAGTGACAAAGCGAATGGGGACGTCTATTTCTCGAGCATGGAGGAAGACCTTTATGCATTCTTTCCATTGTTCTTCGTCTTGCGCTACAATCCACTTCTTTGTGTTTCGATATGGAATGTTTTGCTTCTCGCAGAGATCGTAAAGCATTTCTTTCCCTTCAATGCATAGCTTCGTTTTTAACGAATCCACCCCGTAGTATAGACCAGCATGGATGACCTAGATGCTATGTCAGTTTTATTTCCGTTTCTGGTTTCTATGATAACCATAGGAGAAAAATAAGAGCTTGTGAAGAGCCTGATTCTAACCTCCGAGTTTCGACTGCTAGTCTCAGTTCCCACCGCTGCGTTTCTTTCAACTAGAATAGTTGATGCCCCTTCCCGGGCTGCAAGCTGGCGAGCAACCGCTAATCCAACGACTCCTGCTCCTAATACCTATCGTAGCGTTGTCAGCCTAGACTCGGGTTTTTTCCCCGCCACAATAGGGCTGGTTAGAAATATAGAGTAAAAAGGACCGAGGATACCTACTGCATGTGTGAAGTCTGCATGTAGATTGCTGCTACTCGAGAACAGTCGATGTCTAACCAGTGGTCTTGAAAGCGCTGGTCGTGCGAACATCGTCTGGCTGACGTCGTTGATGATGGACGGCCTTTCTAAACAACGTGTTGTCTCTTCTTCCTTTGGCCCAAGGCTTTTATTATATGATATATCAGTCTTTGACTCTGTTAGAGGAGCGAATGAGAGATAAGCTACCCCGTATATACTCCTTGATCGTGTGGTTGCCCAACTCCAGAGGTGGAGATTAATGCCACAAACTCAATTGGACGTCGGCGTTTCGGCAATCGGCCTATTTGTTTTAACTGGGGCTGCGCCTGCATCCATGCAAAGGGGCAGGGGCAGGCCTGGAATCGTGGCTTGCGTTCATCTAGATATATCGACGAGCTACATGTTTTAGGTGATAAAATGTAACGAGTATGTTAGAAATATAAGTAAATAAATTAATGATACGCCAGTTAGGCGCCGGTGCTTATCCTATCAGCCAAGTATCTATCTAAAGGCCACCAATGCGCCAGTACAGGTTGCTCCATATCCGAGAGCATTAAAAGAAAAGAAATCTGAGATTGCAGACAAAGTTAGAAATTCCTGGATGGGGCCGTGTGGGTGGTTTTTAGCTATCGACGGCTTCCTGGTCCCTTCACGAACGGCTCAAAATGCTAAGGGGTGGTTAGTAAACTGGGACACAATGAGCTTGATATAGTGAACGTACCTGTTTCTGGTCGTTTGCTAACTTTCCCTTCGTGTCCTAGAAAGCGGGTTAGTAGAGCTAAGTAACGATATAGTACTTAAGAAAGATACGTACGCTGATAATAGTAAGTATTAAAGAATAATTGTTGAAGAGGAACCGCTCTCGTCTCTTCGTATCGCCGCTGCTCTTGCTTAGCTTGGTAAGAAGGGCATCAAACTCATTCACCAATCTGCCCAGGCTGTTGGAAATGGGCTCGTCATCCCCAGCTTCATTGCATAGAGTTAAGATGCTGTGTAGGAATTGTCCGAATCTCTGAGTAAGGAAATGCGGTGCAGATGATTGGGCGTCACCTGATGTCAACGTGAGTACCGAAAGACTGCTTCTAGCTGAGGCAGATGATATCCTCTTCAATGATTCAAAATGCAGGTCCATAATCATCTGAAACCGAGGCCATAGCTGCATGTTGATACCGTTGATATAAGGATCCGCCACAGGAACTTTCCGGCGCTGCAATTCGAATGCGAATTGCTGGTTGAGTCTGACACAGAGAAGGATTCCGATACAATCAGTTGTATTTTCAATTAGCTTCTTCGTTAGCGCCTGCCCAGAAGATAAGGTAGGGTCAAAGATCTCCACCACTTTTTGTGACGCATAGTGTATTGTTTTAGATGCGAACATCTCGGCCATAAACGAGTATTCGGCGGAGATATTATCGATCAATGCAAGATTGAAATTTCTGAAGACAACCTCCAACCCGTGCGAGGATTTATCTTCCTCTGCAAGATAAGAGGAGAGCGCCGCGGGAGAATTTGTCTTCAGTATATCCATACGGCGGCCTAAAGCCAGTGGATCATGGGCTGCAAGGGCAGGGCTGCGGCCGCCTGAACCACCGTGGGCTGTATAGTACATTAATTTATCGAATTAGAAGCCTCAGGGGGGATAGATTAATATCTTACCTGTCCTTTGTGAAGATGCATCACCTCCAAGGAGATCATTGCGATCGACGGAATAAAGCTTCAAGTTGTCAAGAGCCTGGGAGTATCGTGTAAAGTTCGAGAGGTAGTACCATCTCATTGTATTGACATATGCTTGTGTTATTTCCTCGGATAATGTCGGGTGGTGAGCGGAAAGATAAGCATATAAATCCTTATATTTAAGTAGAGACTGTTGTTGGATAACCTGAGCATTCATGTTCGGGGATCGAATGGCTTTTATCTGCGTGACGAGGTAGTCTCGAATTCGCTCCACAGCCTTATGCTCTAAATTAGTGATATTCTCTATAAAATCTTCCGGTTATAGATTCATACCTTTTCCTCCAAATTTGTCAACAAGGGCCTGACGTCTTCAATGGCCTTAATATTCTCAGGAGTAGTTCCGTTTGCCTTGATACTAGAAGAGAGGGTGTCAAGCTCAGTAAGAGCCTTGATCCAATCTTGGTCGATAGGACGGTCTGATATCAACCGGACTGTATGTGGCGATACACTTATTTTCTCGACAGATGGGCCAAGAATCCGTTCGACATTCTTTCTGTTTTCGAGTTGTGAGCTCAGGCGGAATGAGCGGGACTGTAGAGACTCGATCTTCGAGGATATAGCACCAAGTTCAGTCTGGAACTTCGTGAGGTATGATTCAACCGATTTCAACACGTCGTCGCAGCCCTGAATAACGAAGATACCTTGTTAGGGTCTGATTTCGGCCAAGAGATGTAAAGGAAGATATAACATACTGATATCGAATTGTGAAGCTCTTCAAATCTACTTCGATCTCTCTCATCTATATACATCCAAATATTAACATGGGATAGGCTGTGAATTGTCATCCGTACAGGTCTCACACTGTTCAATGGACTGCAGCCCATGACTACGGTCCGGACGAGTCGGCTGAGTCTCTGTCCGATGGGCAAATTCCGCCAGACTTAGCTCGCCAAACTCGATAGTCTCCGAAAGGACATCCGGCTTCTCCAGTGGTAGGATCGCCTCATCATCAGAGCCGGAACGGGCACGCCGCTGGCCTATAATGCCGTTTAAAACTTCTACCGGGTCGGGGAAGCTTTGGTTCCTCATGGCTGACGGGGACAGTCTGGACAGTCCGTTCGTCGCTCGTACGGTCCCGGGGAGCGAGCTGGTGGAGGCATTCGGGGATGGCGAGAACGACAGCGACGACGAACGAGGGCTGAAGGCCTGTTGGCCTGGCTTATTAGCTCCAGAGAGCTGTGACGGTCGTCGCGCAGGGGAGTATGGACGGCTGGACGGTGTGGAGGCTCCAGGGCCTTCCTGACTCGCAGCCAATCTATCTGGCCACATCTTCGATCAAGGACGCCTCGCCCCGATGCAAGTCTGCATCCGACAGTGCTCACATGCGCATGTTCTCCGGGGGGATCGTGTGTTCAAACCTCGTAAACGTCAACGCCGTCGTCGTCGTCGTCGTCTCTTTCTTCCAAATGAAGCTCTAGAAGTAACTACGGTCGACGACACTACCCAAAGACGCGGTTTAGCGCAAACAAGCCAAACATGCCCGAAGCATCTAAGTGCGTCCAACCCCACCCAAGAAATATTTTTTTTTCCGTAGGTGGGCTTAAGTAAAGGCATTAAATTCTGACCCGACTTCAACTTGCGTTTCACTCCCCACCCTCGCATCAACATCTCTTCCCATATCGCGCACTCTTGTCGGCCTCCCTTCCTCTCAATCTTCCGTCTAACTTGTACTCTACTCACTCGAGATCTGACACCATGGCCGACGACGAGCAGGTATACCATCCCACCTTTCCTGAGCCTCTTCCCCGCACCCGAGGCGTTGGCCCCTAATATTCATCTTTAAATCATCAAAAATACATTTCAAGGCCATTTGACTAACTCTGTACAGCACAATGTCACCTTCGAGAGCGCCGATGCCGGTGCCTCCGCGACCTTCCCCATGCAGTGTTCTGCCTTGAGGAAGAACGGTCACGTCGTCATCAAGGGCCGCCCCTGCAAGATTGTCGAGATGACCACCTCCAAGACTGGGAAGCACGGTCACGCCAAAGTCCACTTGGTTGCCATCGATATCTTCACCGGCAAGAAGCTTGAGGATCTCTCTCCCTCCACCCACAACATGGATGTCCCCAACGTCAGGCGCCAGGAGTACCAGTTGGTAAGTCATCTTATACGGCTATATTTGTTATACCAGGGGGGGAGGCCATTCAATATACTAATGTGCTGGTAGCTCGATATCTCCGACGATGGATTCCTCAACTTGATGTCCGACGACGGGACCGCCAAGGATGATGTTAAGCTCCCTGATGGTGAGGTCGGTGAGAAGATTACGAAGCTCTTCAAGGTCGACGAGAAGGACGTCAGTATGTACTCCCTTACACACCCATACGTATCTACATGTATCAGACTCCCCTCCTCTAACTTTTATAGACGTCGTTGTCTTGGCCGCCATGGGCGAAGAGCTCGCTATGGACGTGAAGGAAGCAGCCATTCGTACTTAAGTCAGTACGACTAACTCCGATTCAATACTTTACTCTGTTCTACCCGCTCTTGCTAGAATTATGTGTCCATAAGCCGTCCGTTAAATCACCTACGCGGGCGTCAAGCATCTTCGGAGAACCCCCTCTTCCAAGTTTTTTGTCCGCATCCCGCAATGGCAGAATAGTCGCCTAGGTCCTAGTAGCTTTTTCTGGGCTATCTTTTTCTAGTATACAAGTGGGCCCTTTTTATATCTAGCACTTCCAAATGACAGAATAATGACGAATGAAAAGATATACGATGTAAACAATGTTATTCTGGGCAGCTAGGTCCTCTGTTCTACATTTCAATTTTACAGGCTGTTTTGTTTATACATCGCCTTTCGCATTTCCTCACGTGCCACCAAATATAAATCATCGCTTTTTATTTTTTTTGTGGGTGTGGCAACGCGGACCAGGGTAACTTAACCGAGCAACCTGGGCATTTTATATGAGGCCTTATGCAAATATTCCAGAGTGATGCATAAAAAGGATGCCTAATGGAAGGGCCTGCACGCGGTATTTGTGGACAGGATGGTTGTCGCGAAATCCGTTACTACATAGAAAACGGGCTGTGGTTTTGTCGACAAGGGCACCAACAGGAGGTAAATATAGAAGAACCCGGCCCAATCACGTCAATCCCAGTCATACTTACTTGCGTCTGCAGGGTCGGGAGGTCATTGTAGATGACGAAAACTTTGGCGCCCAAGGAAGAACTGTTCGACGAAAGAAAGTACAGACCGAACGAAGATCTAAAAGTAAGACCTGCAAGACCAGAGCCAGTCATACGCTCAACCCCCATGCGGCCGGTTTCACCACTTTTGCTAATGCGAGTCTGCAAAAGCTTATCATGGGAGTGATGCATACAAACTGTTCCTGGAAGTCTATCAGCTGCTACTTTGGAAACAATGCTACGCCCTGGTTCATGTTAAGGGGTTTCCCTCCGAGCTTGAGGTAGAGTGTCTAGTCCTCCCCTAGAATGAAATGTATCAATTTACTAATGGCGATTATAGGGAATTGTAAAGGACCTGTGGATTCTTCGACTTGACAAAATATATAAAGGAAGAGATGATATATATGTTGAAGAAGATGACGACAACACTACTCAGCTCTTCAGCTCTCAGACTGGGGCATCAAACGAGATTGATAAAGAGGAACATCGATATCACAAGCGAAAGCTCAGTACTTCACCACGAGTAATAGACTCGCTGGCCCTCTGTTACCTGGGTATACTGCTACTCCGGCTCCCGGTGAGCGTTGGATATGTGCAAAAGTAAGTATATCTACGTTTAACCCGGGATATGGAAACAGAATTTGAATGTAACTGACCACTGAAACTGCTAGGTGGATTACTGAAGATGAAGTCCCGTTTCTAAGGCCTCTTCGGTTCATACCGCCAGCGATGAAGGACCGTCTCCCGGCGATTTACCATCTTGCTCTAGACACAAAGGTACCTAATCCCCGCTGTCTAAAGACCTATATAGATATAATGGCTAACGATTACTGCAGAACATCCCCACTGGTGATCAATTTCACCGCGCCGTCGCGGATTTAGTGATGTTATATCACCGTGATTTCAGGGTCGAATTCCCAGCCGTTAACTCGTCTTTGCTTCTTTTCTCATACATTAAACAGCTCTCTTTACCTAGTAAGTGTGCAAATCGTGTGGTAAGAGTGGGCTAGATATCCCGGTTGTTAACCAGCCTTATAGTCGAGCTATTCTCTGCTGTCAAACAGCTTATGAAACGTGTGAACTTTACATATACATTTCCGAAAGCTACAACTGGAAAATTTCGGTCGATATACATACCAGAAGTACAGCTGATGAGCCTTGTTGTCGTCGCCACAAAGCTCCTGTTCCCATTTGATAGTATCAAACGATATCCACGTACATCAAATGACCCTGCCGTCCAAGTGATCGATTGGGTGAAATGGGCAGAATCTCAAACCTCGTTTGACAATAGGGGAAAATCTCAAGGCTTTCTCACCAACAGTGCTGCAATACAAGCTACGGAAGAGGATGCAATGACGATGACGCAGCAACAACTAGACGAATACATGGACTGGTATGATAAGCTATGGATTGCTGATAAAGGTAAAGTTGATCTTGACTTGGTCATTCAGTCTATAAGAGCTAGTTATGCTGACTCTGAGCCATAGAGGGAAGAGGCTTCAACCCCTTCGCGGATATGTTTCCAACCTCAAGGGTGAGTAACGGGGAAGATAATAGTCAAGCAAAACAAAGTGACGAGGAAGCGGTCATCGAAAAGCTGCGAACTGTCTTATCCAACTTACGAGTTAGAAGGATTATTACTGAAGAAGAGGCGGGGCGTCTTATGAAGCCCGTGCCTAGGCCAGGCAGCGATTATTTGCGTTTTCGTTATGTGAACCAGCTCCCGGATAACGCAAAGATTTTCTATGACACTGCTGCAAAAACCATCGGCGTGTCCATGGAAACCCTGGTTCTTGCTGTCTATCAAACGGAGCATAAGGTCAGAAGGTCAAAAGTAGAAAGCCGAGAATGAATGACTGAATGCACAGATAAAATCCAGTATGCTAGTCAAATTTATAAGTAGATCCAAATTAAACCAGCATGACTACCGCGTATACTTAGCAGTAGTTAACGGTTGAATATATCAATCGCCATCTTCCATCGTATATCATGTTGTTGTTGTCTTGATCGCCTCAACTGGACCGCTTAGTCAGCACGAAGAGTAGGGCTTAGGGTATCTGCACCCACGGGCTAAGCGAACACATCAAATCTTGACGCCATCTTGAACGTCGACGAAGTTATCGGCAAACCACGAAGCAAAACAGCGACAGATTCACTGCCAACAGTAAGTTATCTTTCGTGATAAACTGCGTGACCCGTTTGGATGATTTCTAACGTATACTTCTTTTCTCTGTGTTGTAGTGCAGATGTAGGTTGAACCCGTACCCAACTCCCCAGCATCCCTCTACATACGATCGAGAATTTGAAGAGACGAGCGTCGGGCTGTATTTTTGGAGGCGCGAGGCTGACTATGTGACCCTTTCCGTTGCGACCGATAGCTTCGTCAAGAACCTGAGTGGGAACACTCTCACTCTGAACGCAGAGCCAACCGACACCATCTCCGCCATCAAGACCCAGGTTTTCGACAGAGAGGCCGTTTCCGTCGATGAGCAGCGATATGTCTTCGGTGGAAAGCACATCCGGGACGAATTCCCATTGAGCGAATATGGCATCCAGAAGGTATGCATGATAAGCCGCGGGGAAGACGGTGTTGTCGATGCGCTTTCGATGATATGACGGAATGGGAAGGATGATGTCTAACTCGATCGGAATCTGTATAGGAGTCCACCCTTCACCTTGTCCTCGACCTCCCCGGTGGTATTATCGAGCCTTCCCTCAAGGCCCTCGCCTCCAAGTTCAACTGCGACAAGATGATCTGCCGAAAGTGCTATGTACGTGGACACAAAACCTGAACCATTTCTTAACCGCTACACCCCAGTGCTGTAGGCACATGAATACGCGACTAACTGTCATCTCTTTTATTTCGATTAGGCCCGTCTCCCTCCACGTGCCACCAACTGCAGAAAGAAGAAGTGCGGACACACAAACCAACTCCGACCAAAGAAGAAGCTGAAGTAAACTTGTGCTTTTATGTTACGTGGTTCCGTCAGAGGATGTGGGCTGGTGTTTTACTTGGGTGAACATGACATAATGACGCCATTCAAAGGAAGAAGAGGCCATATGTTATTTATTTACATTTCCAATTAAAAAAGGTCTCCCTAGATTTGGTAATACCCAGCGCTATTTAGCATTTCAAAGTCACACCGGTCACGCTGACCTACGGAAAACCAGTCTATGGGGATGTTGGAGGAATACAAGTGAATAAAAAATAATACACTATTCGAAAGACGCTCAGAAAGGACATCTTAATTAATGTTGCAGGGGAAGCTCATCCGGTATGAAGAGCCAATAAACGTAATGGGAATCCTTGAAGTTTAGAAGAACCTCGAGTTCTTGTCTTTGTCTTTGTCGTCATGCTTATCACCCTTATCGTGCTTGTCGTGTTTGTCGTCGTCGTCGTCATGCTTCTTCTTTGCGTAACTTCCATGGCTAAGATGAAGCAAATATAGTTAGCCATTATTCCCGTAATTTAGGATGAACATGAAATCCAGGGGGTTTAACTTACGCGAAGAACAAGACTTTGATGGCGATTGCCAGGGCAGCATGCAACACAATCACCACTATCAGGAGTATTTTGCTAGTTTTCACGTCCGTTGCGCTCAGGACCGGATAAAGGTTCCTCAGCAAGAAGAAGACTGTCCATCCAAATCCGACCCCAACAAGGGCCCAATTCAGCGCGGTAAGTGGGCTCCAGCTCACCAGCGCGACAGCAATCCAGATCAAATTTGCATATCCGTAGAGTGCCCAGCACTCAATCAAATCTGCGCTTGAGCTGCCAAACCAGCGTAATGCTCCCCATAGGGCAACTGGTAGGACGAAAGTATAACCGTATATAAGTCCCGCAGCCCCAGACAGAAGGCGGAAATCGTACTCGAAATGATGGTCGCCTTTTCTAGCTAGGTATTGAGAGACAGTACCGGTAAGGAATAGGATAACTACGACGGTTGTAGCAATCCAAAATGGTCCGTATAAATCTGGGTTGCCATCAAGCACATCGAGGAAGTTCGATCTCGGGTAGAGAGTTGAGGCGCATCGTCGGAATACCTCTGTTGTATCAACATCAAAATATCGACTGTAAAATGCTATACTCCAGATCTTCGCAATCGCAGCTGTAGCTCCTGGTGAACCGGCTTGTCGAGATGATGAGCCGCCGAGGAAAGGGGATGAATCTGGATGAGATTTGGCATTGCGAGGCGTCTCATCAAAATCTATACACCAACAGCGGGGTCAGTTATATTGAATAAACTTCTCACACTAACCGAGCCGCATGGATGATGGAAAAGATATCTTGGAAAGAGATGCAACATACTTGAGGAGTGGAATTCGAGGTCTTCTTGAAGATCTGTATGACCAAGGTCACCCTGTTCATGAATACTCGGTCAGCTTTGAAAGGGCCTGATACTGGTATATACCTGAAAAAAGAATGACATGTACCTCAGCGTCAACGTCCACTACCGCGTCGTAGCCTCGATTGGCCATTTTTCGTGATTATGTTGTAAGAAACACTGCGATGTTTGATGTTGATGCCTGCGGAATGACGACTGAAGAAGACAGCTTGGACGATCTTATCGCAACGCACTGATTACGTAATACATATCACCAATTCTCTCGATGGAAGAGACGGGTTTTGTGAATATTTGGGTAAAGAATATTGAATAATTCTATGAGATTATATATGGCGAATGCTTAAACAAATATACATGGACATCGCTAAGTAATATACAGCGAGAGCGCCATCTCTCAATCATATTCCAAATGTAGTCCTCAATGGCCCGAGGAAGCGCCAGAGGTACTTGATCGTGTCAGGGTCCCGTTTCATCACCCAGTATGATAATACCCCGACGACGACAGTGACACCAACGAGTTGGATTGAACGAGAGTGTTTTTGAAGCAGGATCACAGCGTCTTTGCGCCTTTGCTCCCACCGGAGGCTTTGGAGTTGCTTTTGGAAATACGCCCTTGCCTGCTCGCGTGTTGAGTGCAGTCCGGGGTTTCTTAGAGTTTTAAGGACACTATAGGGAGAAATGGATCTCCATGCCTCACGGGGAAGCTTTTCAGGTGGGTGAGCATGATATATCTGCATAGTCCTTGAAATCAGGGCTTCAAGGTTCAGCGGATTGGGTAGTTTTGATAGGATGCCGTGGATCATTTCGGGCTCATCGACGGGAATATCGTACAGTTCGTCCTTTCTTGAAAGAATGATGGTAGCAAATAGATAAATCGATACGACCGGTTCATGAGCGAGGATGAAGTCATAAAGCCGGGCAATGTCAACGTATTCTTCTATATCGTGAGCATAGAGTGTGAGGGTGGCAGCTAGAGCGAAAAACGGCTGGATGCCAGCTAAATGCTGGCCAAGTTTCTCGTCTACCGCTGTGATGATGGGAGGTAGCAGCTGGAGATGCGTGATGGCTGGAGAGAGGGATGGGAGCATATAGTCTCTTATCCGGAAGAGGGATATCTGCTCTAGTGCCAGGTATGCATGTCTACGGCCAAGTACCAGTAATAGCACTTGAGCAATGTCGTGATATCCTTGGAAATAGCAGAGCATTGGGTTTCTCCTCAGAACCGATATGATCAGATCTAGGAGCTCGTTTCTTTTGTCTTCCAAGAGTTGCTCTGTCTTATCTAGTTAATGCGTTAGTCTGGTACACGTTTATCCCTTCACCACTTGAGGCAAGCCTTACAGTTCGGATAGTAGACGAATGACCTATTCACATCTAACTTAACCTGCTCCTCATCACCATGGCTGGGCAATTCTGGTAATGGCGGTAGCTCCCTGTTGTGGGCAGTTTTGTCATATCCCTGGAGAATTGGCCCTGGAAGAAAGGTTTAGTAAACGTTCAGGGCACATATATACCGAATCAGGCATGTCATACAAGCTTGTACGCGGATATCATCTTGTAGCAAACCACCTTCAGAGGTAGCAAGCCTCGCTAGAGATCTAATGTCTTGTTTCTTGCATGCCTGGAGAATCTCTACTCTCTTCTGTCGTCTGGCTTTTGAATCGGGAGGCGGTGGTTCCTGCTGTATCTCCACCGCCTTAACTTCCTGGTCGGCCATAACACGCCCCTTTAAAGTAAACCTAGGGCGGGGTTTAGAATCGAGGAAATGTCAAACCGGGCCGCTTCGTGAGGCTCAAATAAAATAAAATAAAGATATAGTAAAAAAGAAAAGAGATATCAGAGCCTCTGAGGACAGCTTTAAATAAAAAAGTGTACCTTTCAAACGGGATTAACCTTGAGAGAAAGCCATGCTAGCGGCCTAGGGGACGTGGACGGCGTGTGTATAGAGAGGACCCTTGGACGTAATGGCGTGCGAAAGTGCGTCCGGGTTCACAGGACGAAGAAGGCGGCTAATGCCAGGGATAAGCCAGCGGTAGATCTGCAACAGTGTGACGAGGAGTTGTCCAATCTATATTCTAGAAAGGATACAGCTCCCGCAACATGTATCCCCCCCGTAGCCTTCGTGTGATACTGGCGTAACTCCTGAGATGCCCAGAGACCCCTGCAACGGCTTTTCTGCGCCTCTGATTGGCCACAGCGGATCAACCTATCTCCGGGAGGAACCTTGAAGCAACATCCTCCGATTGTACTTGGGAGGGAGAACATCGAGGGACACCGTACTATTTATCTCGGGAAGAGAGCCATCAGCACGTTAATCCCCCGTTATCCTCCCTCCTTGCCGGTCTCGAAGCTGGGGAACGCGAAGGTGGCTTCGGGGAGTTCTTTTGTCTACGCCTTTCCTACACACACTAGGCAGGGTTTCGACTCGCGCTGGTGTTTAACTAGCCTCATAGTGGGTCAGTCCTCCAACCATCAACAGTGTGAACTGTGTGATGTTCTTTGCTGTATACAAACATCCCAGCCTACCTTAGGACCAACGGCTATTATTGTTTTTTACTAGGAGTGCAGCTTGATACCCGGGATGGCAGGATGATGCGCTCACCTCACCGTGGCTGCTCTGTGTTATCTTGAGGATTGGACATCGCCCTTGGGAAACACACTGGATTCGGGTGACATTTATGATCTCAGCTGCTCTCCCAAGATATACACACACACAAGCTATCAAAGGGAGCACATAATTTGAAGAAAAAAAATATACTCTCTCTTCTAATACAGCTCTAGCATCCGCTTACCACCTGCTTCAATTGAAGCCAACTTACAACACAACCAGTGTATGGAGAACCCCGCAGTCCACGCTCAAAATTCCTATACAGGCCCTTCCCCCCCCTGGTTTTTATCACACTATCTGGATTTGTTTTACCATACTTACTATCTGTCTTGTCTGTCTTCTCCTTTTAGGTAGTGCAAGCACACAGTACTGAATATAACCAGGCCGTTACGCGTCAGTTATTGGCAAAATCACGACTTTCCATTATTTGCATCAAAGCTTCAGTTACCCATCTGTGTATGCACACGTCTTTATGTTAAAACATCACGTTTTACCTTCAATTTGTCGGCGTGAGCCCCCCTTACCATAAGCCAGTGCTTGGTCAAACTTCCTTTTAAGCTCTACGATGTCATTGCAGACCACAGTCCTGGTTAATGGAACCTGGGCCACAAGGACAGTTGACATTGGAGAGCTCCTTTCCCGAAATCGTGAATCAGATAACACCTCAGGAAACCCGGAAAGATGCAAGCCCCCTGCTACTGGACTGCTCTCACGAACCCTTATCCAAGGCCCTGCTGTCCAATGGATACTTCCAGCGCGTCTTAGACACCAAGACCAGAATGATGTTGTGTTCATTGGAGACAAATTTATTCAGATCAAGGAACTAGTTCCTAGTGGCCACCTTGAGGAGGTAGTCACAAAGGCAGATTTCGATTCTAGAATCATCGGCGCCAAAATCATCAACTCGCGTCCAGGGCCTGGGTTAGAGGATGAAATAAAACAGGGAGGAAGGGTCCCGAGCCATTCTCCTCGCCCTTCATTGCTCGGAGAAAGAGTCCCGCCACATATCCTGGTGCTGGTGTTAAGCTCCAAGGAAATTCTCTTCATATTTACCAAGGAAGGGCCACAAGGTTATCCTGAATTTGTGTACTCCAGGCGACCCTTGCCTGCCGATACGAGTGCGCTGGAGGAATATGGAAGGCATATCGCCGTTGAACCTCGGTGAGGAGATATTCCCTATCTCTTTAATGCTTTCTCGTACTGATGATTACAAGATCGAGGGCGATGGCAATATGCGCAGCCCAAAAGTTCTTTGGAGTGTTCGCCCTAAAACCATCATCCAATATTCAAACCGAAATGGCTACTGGAACTGTAAACCCTATTCAAGAGGTATTACTCCCGCGTTTTGTCCAAATTACTTTGATAACTAATCTTTATATCGCGTGTCTAGGAATGTTTCTTCCGTGCCGACGGTGACATTCTGAGAATGGAGTTTCTCTATCCAACCCCACCGGAAAATGATAGGATAATTTTACTTTTACTCATAGCACAGGATTTGGAATCCTATTTTGTTACCTATGATTGGACCTCAATGGAAACCCTACGAACGGTGGGCCCAAGAATTACCAGCCTCAGGCTCTCTCCCAATTACCGCATGCCAACGGTTTTAATTCCCTTGATCCACTCAACCTCTTTCATGGTTGCGACGCATTCAACGTTATCTATCTACAAGAACATACTAAAATCAGAGGCTGTTATCACGCCAATAAACTGCCCCTTTCCAACCCTGGAGGATCGCCCAAGATCAAGAAACCAAATATGGACCCACTGGGCTCGAGCTAGACGCAATCGTATGAGGAATCAACAGTTTGACGACATTTACCTTTGCCGTGAGGATGGAATGGTCATCTACCTGGAGATTGGGAAATCAGGTGATATTGAACGCCAATCGAATCTAGGCTCGCTAGGCTGTAATCTTGATACAGCGTTTGCAATCCTCCCAGAAGGCTACCAGGCTGGGGATGTTCTAGTCACTGCCGGTAGCATGTGCGGTGGTGGTCTTTTTATTGAGGATGCACGAAAGCCTCCTAGGTGTATCCAAAGAATTCCAAATTGGGGCCCAATTCTAGATACTGCTGTTATAAAGGCAACAACCCACATGCAACCTAAGGGCTCTCAGCAAGAAATGGGATTATCTTTTGATCGAATCTTTACATGCTCTGGTGTTGGTCCAGATCATGGCACAATTTCCGAGTTGAGATACGGCATCGAAGCACAAATAGGCCTTTCAATTGAACATGGAGCTTGTTCGAGCATAACGGGGGTATGGGGAATCCCCGTGCCTAAGGCTGAGGGGACTCTTTGTTTACTCACAGATCCGATGTTGTCCTCTCTAATATTTATTCCGGTCAGTGGCACCGAAGAAGGATTTGCCATGGATGAAGAAAGAAGCGGCCTGGACCTCGACCATCAAACACTAGCAGCCGGTATAACTTCTGAGGGTGTTGTCATACAAGTCACCGATGCGTCAATTCGACTTAGCCACGTTGGGATTCAACAGCGCTCCGCCACAACATGGGAGGATCCAAATGATCGCGCGATTATAGCTTTCACCAGCGGTGCTCGATCTCTCGTCGCCATAGCTATGAGGAATGGCACCGATATCCGTGTGGAACTCCGGAAGGTAAAATCCGATGAGACTGGAAGTACATGTGCTCTTGTGGGCCTTCCACTCGCGCTCACACAGGAACCTATATGCTTTGCGATAGAGGAGCTCGGCGGCCAACTATATCTCTTAATCGGAACTGGAGAAGGAAAGATACTAGTCATTGCAATTAACGGGCTGGATGGCTTAACCCCCTACCTCGAACAGGGGATGGTTATGGGCAAGGACGACATCGATTCGCCGGTGTGCGAATCTCTGAGGCTCATATCGACTACTGGAGAAGAAAAAACACGATTAACCCTATTTTGTGGCCTCCGAAGCGGGCATTTGGTTCCCTTTAATATAACACAAGGGGATTCTTCGTTTGGTAAGCAATCCTTCTCACTCAAGAGACGGCTAACGGAAGTACTGACATTCCACCTCCGTAGAAATGCAGCAAATGCCCCCCCATAAAATTGGGGAAACCGCTGTTCGAGTTGGAGGCTATGAATCTGATAAATCTTTTGCTGTCGTGTCTTGTGCACCAGGCCTTTGGAGGCTATCACATAGTCCAAATGAAGGCTCTCGACATTACTCGTTGGAAAAGATTTGGATCACTGATCAAAGCAAGGTGAGCTAAACCAGCTTTAGTAAAAAATTCCCCATGGTGGAGGACTTCCATGCTAATATAATGATAGCCCGAAAAAATGCAACCCGTCGTTGATGTGTTTGGCTGCGTGGATGCTCCCTCACGGACACCTCTCACCGGCCTTAGCGGCTCCTTGCTATGTATTGCCGAAAATACTCTCTTTGCTTGTAGCCTAGAGAGGGTTGCAAAGGCCGTTCCGCGTGAAATTCGCGTCCGCGGAAACCCCAAGCGGCTTGTTTATTCTGAGTACTTAAATAAGATCATCGTGGCTTATAATAGGGTTGATTTCGACTTCACACCATCAACAGAGGGCACGAAGCGATGGATATGGCCTAAGATCGGGTTTCTAGATCCGAACGGCGAGGCAATTATTTCCGCACCAATCGATCTAAGGGCCACAGGTAGCGACTCATCACCTCCCACGGTGTTAACACGTCAACCAGTTGGAGGATCTGGTGAAAAGATAACAGCCTTACTGGACTGGAGATTTTTCGGTGATGGCAATGAGTACCACATGATTGTGGTGGGAACAGCATATCCTCAAGCCAGATACAAAAAGTCAAGGGAGGTCGTGCTTGAATACAAAGGAAGGGTGGTTTACATTACCGTTCGGCAAAGCCCACCTGGCACAGGAAATATAGATTGCATGACTAAACGCATCCACAAGTATGATCAACCTGTCAGAGCCGTTGCTGCTTTTGGGCCGAGCTCCCTAGTTGTCGCATACGGAGACGATATAATGATGCAAACTTTGAATCCTTCAACGCGACAATGGAGGAACCAGGAACCACACCGTCTCGAATCTCATGCGGTTTCAATCTCAGTCAAAGAACCATATGTCTATGTGTTAACATCACGACATTCCCTGTGTATCCTCGAGGCGACCCAGGACGGGCTGGCTCTGTATGGCCAGGCAGGTGCTGACAAGGGGGGACTTGACCATGTTAACCTCCTCGGAGATACCAAGATTACATTCACAGCCAATCGAGGTGGGGCGCTCGTTGGGCTCAGTGAAATCGGACTTATGGACGATAAGTTGCTGCAACCTGTGTTTTCGGCCTATACCCCGTCTGCTGTAGTACGAGTAAGCCGCAGCTTCAGACCTGGCACCAGGGGCTCTGGGACTAGTTACGGTACGACGCTCGACGGTACGCTATACAGATTTCAGACTTTGACCGAACATGAATGGCGGATACTGCGATTCATCCAAACTTCTTGTGTCGGTGATGCAAATATATGCCCCTTTCGGCGCAAACGCAGAATGCTGGCAGACGAATTGGGCCCCTCGCTCGAAAAGCCAGAATACATGCATGTCGATGGGGATATTCTTGCTCGTCTGACTCGCCGTGGAGCCAAGTACCTTGAAGAGATGATGCGGAGGAACCCTCCAGACGGTGTCCCGATGGCACATGCTGAGAAGAAAGTAGAGAGATTTCTCGAATTCGCCAGGTTGGTGGTCGGCGATACCAAAGATCCCTTCATGGAGGTAACATCATGGATGGAGAACTTGCTTCGAGTTGAAATCTAGCATTTCATATTATTCTTGGAGGGAAACAAAATGAGCATATAGCGCTGTCATTCACTTTGCTATAGAAAGCGCTATACTGCTATCGTTTCTTACATCTCTATAGCGGGACATTGCTGTCTATGACGTTAATGCATTACCAGAAAAAAAAAAAATGAGGAGTTCAATAGCCATAGGGAAAAAATGCCATACTATTTAATCATGACTAATTTCCATAACTCCTGCTTACTAGACTCTGATACAATAACTAGCAACCAGCAGGTTGGACTATTGCATGCATATATCCAGGTGTAAGTGGGATTAGTTAAGTAAAGTTGGCTCGCTTCCCCCGAAAAAGGTCCCCACCATGCACCAAAGGCTTGAAAAGTAGCCAGCAGACTCCAACAAGACGTAGTGAAGAGGAGGCCAAAGGAAGTGCAACAAATGGTGATATATAGGAAGGAAAATAAAATATAACATAAAAAAATAAAGACAAGAGGAGTTGGGCCCGGCCGTAGTTACAACCTAATGCCACACGCTATCAGCCTCCGCTAGAGAGATAAGAGTTCGAGGGACGAACCCACCCACAAACCTCGCTTTTATATCAATCTTGCGCATACGAACAGCGAAGAAGCGCTGGGTAGGTTGCCGCCCGATATTTGACCTCTGTTCCTTTTATTTTCAGGCCTCTCTGCTAAGCTTAGCTATAGGAAATATACGAACTCTTTTAACGCACACGACCGACTCGCCATGGCGCCCAAAAAGAAGTCAAATAAACAGGCCGACGACTGGGAAGCGGAGCTAGGCGAATCCATTGCTCCAGCAAGCCAGCAAGAGAAAGAGCCTGAAGCTGAAGCTGCAGGCCAAGAAGAAGATGATGCAATGGGCGGGGGGCTGCTTGCAGCTCTGAGGAAGAATAAGAATAAAAAGGCAAAGAAAGGGAAGCCCACAAACAATGATTTTGTGGAGGGAGAAGACCTTGCAGCCGACTTATCGAGCAAGCAGCCGGAGGAGGGCACCTTTGACGAGGATGATGTCTTTGCTGGGAAGCCCAAGCCGGCAAAGGGTGCTGGAAAGAAAGAGCCAGTGAAGCCTGCCGCGGACGCTGAGGAGGGCGGGAAACTGAAGTCGAAGAAGGAAAAGGAAAGGGAAAAGAAGGAGAGAGAGAAGCAGAGGAAAAAGGAACAGGTATGGTCTTGGAATTTGTGCCTTGGGAACTTGAATCTACTATCCTATCCCTACTATCATCCTATATCTAGCATTACCCTACTAACAATGCAATTTTGGTTCTATCTAGGCCGCAAAGAAGAAAACAACCGGAACTACACCCGCTGCAGAGCCTGCTCCCAAAGCTGAGGCTGCTAAAGCTGCTCCCGCCGCAGCTAAGCCTGCGCCCGCACCTGCTGCTGAACCTGCTGGGAAGAAGAAGAAGCTCCCGGCCCATTTGGCCGCAATCCAGAGACAACAGGAGGCACTGCGCAAGCAACAAGAGGAAGAAGAACGACGCCAGGAGCTGGAGAAAACGTTGGCCGAAGAGGAACGCAAAAAGCTAGAAGAGGAGGAGCGGAGGAAAGAAGAACTCCGTCAGAAAAGGAAAGAAAAGGAGAGAGAGAAGAAGGAGCAGCTTAGACGAGAAGGTAAACTCTTGACAAAGGCCCAAAAGGATGCAAAGGAACACAATGAGCTACGAATGAAACAGCTGCTAGAGGCTGGGGGCGCTATTGTTGCTGGGTTGGAAGAGAAGCCCGCAGAAAAGAAGAAGCCGGTATATGACAGCAAAAAGAAGCGCGCCGGTAAGAAGCAAGAGGAAGATTTGGAGGCTGCAGCAGCTAGGGCCAAGGCACAACATGAAGCTGAAGAAGCAGAACGAAAGCGACTGGAGGAGGAGAAGGCTAAGGCCGCAGCGGCTGAGGCAGCACAAAAGGTAGAAGAGAGCGACGATGAAATAAAGGACTCCTGGGATGTGTCATCCGACGAGGAGGACGAAGGGAAAGCTGAGGAGCCCTCAACGACAGAAAAGGAATCAGAGGCCGCCGCTAAGGAATCCGAATCCGAATCTGAATCCGAAGAAGATTCCGAAGACGAGGATATATCTTCTACCCAGAAGGCTATTGCACAGAGGAAAGCCGAAGCCGCAGAGCGAAGACGAAAACAACACGAGGAGGCACTGGCTGCACAATCCAAGGACGACCTCCGTTCCCCTATTTGCTGTATTCTTGGACACGTCGATACTGGAAAGACCAAACTTTTGGACAAGATCAGACAAACGAACGTACAGGAAGGAGAAGCTGGAGGTATTACCCAGCAGATCGGTGCCACCTACTTCCCCGTCGACGCCCTTATCCAGAAGACCGCTGTCGTCAATAAAGATGGGAAATTCGACTTCAAGGTTCCCGGTCTGCTTGTCATCGATACCCCTGGGCACGAGTCTTTCTCCAATTTGCGCTCCAGAGGATCCTCGCTCTGTAACATCGCTATCCTGGTTGTTGACATTATGCACGGCTTGGAACCCCAGACTCTAGAGTCTATGAAGCTTCTCCGTGACAGGAAGACGCCTTTTATCGTTGCTCTGAATAAGATAGACAGACTGTTCGGCTGGAAAAAGATTGACAACAACGGCTTTCAGGACAGTTTGGCCAAACAAAGCAAGACTGTTCAAGGCGAATTCAAGGACCGCGTCAACCAGACGAAGCTTGCGTTTGCAGAGCAGGGATTCAACTCCGAGCTATACTGGGAAAATAAGTCTATGGCTCGTAACGTTTCTCTGGTTCCTACCTCAGCTCACACTGGAGAGGGTGTGCCCGACATGTTGAAACTGCTCGTCACTCTCACCCAGGAGCGTATGACCAATGCGCTCATGTACCTTTCTGAGGTGGAGTGTACCGTGTTGGAAGTGAAGGTTATCGAAGGTCTCGGTACTACCATCGACGTTGTCTTGTCAAACGGTGTACTTCGCGAAGGTGACCGCATTGTTCTGTGCGGTCTAAACGGTGCAATTGTTACGAACATTCGTGCTCTCTTAACTCCAGCCCCAATGAAGGAGCTACGATTAAAATCGGCATATGTGCATAACAAGGAGGTCAAGGCTGCATTGGGTGTCAAGATTGCGGCTAACGACCTCGAGCATGCCATTGCTGGCTCCCGACTCCTTGTTGTTAACCATGATGATGACGAGGACGATCTTACTGACGAAGTTATGTCCGATCTAGAGAACCTTCTTAGCAGAGTCTCCAGGGATAACCGTGGTGTTGCTGTCCAAGCTTCGACACTGGGTTCCCTTGAAGCATTGCTAGAGTTCTTGAGGACATCGAAGATTCCTGTTGCTAATATCTCCATTGGACCAGTCTATAAACGTGATGTGATGCGTGCTGGTGCTATGCTTGAGAAAGCGAAGCAATATGCCGTCATGCTCTGTTTTGACGTCAAAGTTGATAAGGAAGCCCAAACCTACGCAGATGAAAACGGTATTAAAATTTTCACCGCCGATATCATTTATCATCTGTTCGACGACTTTACGAAGCATATGGAGGAGCTGGCTGCCCAGAGGAAGGAAGAGAGCAAACTACAAGCCGTTTTCCCATGCGTCTTGTCCCCAGTTGCTGTATTCAACAAGAAGGATCCAATCGTCATTGGTGTTGATGTGACAGAAGGTGCCCTACGGCTACTAACCCCAATTGCGGCTGTTAAAACCAACCCTGTTACTGGATTGAAGGAAGTCATTAGTCTTGGTAGAGTGTGAGTACTTATTCAACCTGACTAGTTACGAAGTATGGCAAGCTAACTTTCCTCTTCCCCTTCTGCTAGAATGTCCATTGAACGCGACCACAAACAGCTCCCTATCTGCAAGAAGGGACAGCCTTCCGTTGCCATTAAGATCGAAGGACCCAACCAACCACTCTACGGCCGCCAGCTTGAAGAAAAGGACGTTCTTTACTCGATGATTTCACGAAAGAGCATTGACACACTTAAAGAATTTTACCGATCAGATGTATCGATGGAAGAATGGGGCCTGATCAAAAAGTTGAAACCACTGTTCGATATCCCCTGAGCATTTTTATAGGTGCAACCCACTGCGGTTTATGTTGATCAGTCTGCAACAAAATTATGTTTGTAATGACCTTCGTCCATCCTCATATCTTCTGCAATATTCCTCGAAAGCCATGCTCAAGCTCCCTCATCAGTTGTTTAATGCGCATAGTATTATCTGCCCTGCATGGATCTCGTTATGTTTGGCATAGAAAAACTGTGATGGCTTTGGTGAGCTGTAAGATATCAAGAGACATATGAATCTATGAATGAAGGCGAAATTGTTGGTAATAGTCCTTAATGATCATTAAGCCCTATCCTAGGCACTGAAGCTACAGGTATCCTCAACGAAGTCTCTGAGAGCCTATATTTAATTTAGCAATAAGGTGAAATAGAGGTGAAATTAATGACCTATATCCCTCGATTTTGCCCTCCTGAACGCAATTAAATACCCACTAGTTATACAGGGTTCATTAGCAACCTACCCACAAAACCCGACCCAAACCCATCCTTAAACCTCAGGACCATCCCATCTCTCTACCTTGCCACCATTCTTCTTCCAGTCCAACATACTTCCATCATATACACCGATTCTATCGGCATCATACCCCGCCCTAACCGCCAATTCCCCCGCAGTGCGAGCCCTGATACCAGCTTTACAGTAAAAGATCATGGTAGCTTTCGTATTATCATCTCCTCCCTCAATTCCTGGCTTAGGGAAACCAAAGCGAGTCATGAATTCATCTGGTGTTAGGAAGATGGCGTCCGTTTGGGATCCGATGGGTATGGAGACTGCGGTGGGGATTATGCCCGTTGCTTCAAGCTCTGGTGGTTCACGGACGTCGATTAGAATTATATTTGGCTTTGAGGATGGTGAGTTGGCGTCTGATTGTGGGAGGGAAGAGTTTATCTGGTTCACAGTTAGAGAGCTGGTCAGTAGACTGGCTTTGGTGGGTATGCTTACTTCCTCGAATTTATATTCCTTTAGAGAGAGCGGTTGTGCGTTCTCTCCATTGCTCCGTTGAGATAGGCAGGACGAATTGGAGAATGATCGGATCTGGTATACTCTTGGGCTGTATAGAGCGATATGAGCTTGCTGAGAGGTAGAGAGTGTATTACGTCGCCCTGACGTGTTTGCAACGGCTGTTGATTGAGCTCGTACGCCAACGAAGGAGAGCCGGCGAGTAGGTATGCGCAGGGAGTGAGATGGTCGCGATACCCTCGCAGACAGGCGTATGGCCATATTGTTAGAAAACATGATTGCTCGACCTGCTGTTAAGAACGATATAGCTATAGAGCGTCAAGAAAGATGTTTGAAGTTGTTTTCGGCAGTTAGAGGCCGTTCTCCGCAAAAGCCAGATTTTATCTTCCGAGGATGATGTAATACATTAAACATTTATATCCGGGCAAACGGGTTCACAGGAAAAGCAAATATAAGAAGCTGAAAACAGGGCCTGACCAAGTATCATTCATTAATAGCAATTAGTTATTATATGCACTCCATAACACGCCGGAAAGCCTCTTGCGATGCGCAAAACCGCCCCTTCCTACCCAAAGCGAGGATCTAGTGTGTCTAAGATATGCTCGCTGTACCCGTATAACATGTACGAGTCCTCTCCTAACTCGAAGCTTTTGCCAGTGAAGAAAAAGAAAAGGTACAAAAAGAATAAAGAATAAGCAAAACGAAGGAGAAGACGAAGAAGCAATAGTCGAAGGAGTAGTGGTAGAAAGGAAAAATATTAAGTGGGAATCACAAGAGGGAAGGGAGAACACCTGGACTAGGGGTTCTAGAAGAAAAAGAAAGTTATGTGGACGGGTTGAAACATTAATAGGATTAAAGGTTGTGGCGCAAAGCATATCTGAAGTTCATGCTGCAAAAGGGCGCGGTCGACGTACGGAGTACAGCACGACAGGACGAAAAAAAAATGCAGCTGGTTAGGTATTAAGGCGAGGTGTATTCTCGAACCAGTCTCTCGGTATGGGGGGTGCCCCAAGTTCATTCAACTTGTGTCATAATGGCGACATGATTTACTCTGGTCGTGGTCGTACGACGAGTGGGCAGTCGTCCTATGCAATGGTTAGTATGGCGGGAACGTGCAGATCTGGGGTCTATGACTGTCTTACCTGTGGGAAGATTGTTGCGAAGACTTTGATATCTTCAGACTGGGGAGTGGCATGGTGCTCCCAGTCAAGAGTCATACTGGCCTTACCGATCATAGCCATCAGGTTAAGCTGTGCATAGGTTTGGCCCAGACAATAGTGGGGACCGGTTCCAAAGACGAGGAAGTTCTTTGCGTTCTGCTCGGCGGTACCAGTGATCCATCGGTCTGGGATGAAGGACTCTGGGTCTTCGTATGCCTCTGGGTCGTGGGTGGCAGGCCACACGGATGGAACGATCATGGAGCCCTTGGGGAGAGTGTAGGTAGGTGTGACGGGGAAATCCTTCTTGACTTCGTACGGAACCATGATGACCGGTGGGCGATATCGAAGGGTCTCTCTGACGACGGCACGGGTATAGGTGAGCTGATCGAGGAGTTCCATGGAAATGGGGACGTTACGGTCGCCGTTCCTGACCCTCAAGTTCTCCTCTCTGACCTTGTCGAGGATGTCTGGACGATCGGCCATGATCTGGAAGAGCCAGGTACAGGCGCTGCTGGTGGCATCTTGGGAAGCAAAGAGGAAAGTGAAGATGGTCTGAGCGATTTCATAGTCGGTGAAGTCACGGAGAATGTGCTTTGGCTTCTCGGCGTCTGGAACCTCGATACCCTTGGCGAGCTTTTTACGGTATTCAGCGGAGTCGAGCATGGCCTTTACCCAGCCGTCCATGATGCATGAGATCTCGTAGCCGGCTGCCATGCGCACTTTACTCTTTGCGGCACACTTGCTGAACTCTGCCAGAACCATGTCGGCGGCTTTCTTTCCGTACCAGGTCTTACTGAACGGGAGGATGATGGGGAAGTTGACCAGCTCGAGGGCGGCGGTGATGAGATAGTAGTCGTTGGCAATCTTGGTCACCGCCTCGCTGTTCATGTAGTCACCAACAAAGGTCTGGCAGGAGAGAGCGCACATGAGCTCTCTGAACTGCGGCATCCACGGGATAGGCTTGTGGTCGTTGTTGGCGGACTCCTTGAGGAACATGCTGAAGTACTTTTCGTAGACACCGTCGAGAAGTGGCATGTACACGGTCAACGCCTGTCTGGTGAAGAGACCGTTGAGACCCTTTCGGTACTCGACATGGTCCTTACCGTCCAAAAAGACCCAGTTGGTCTTGCCCAGGAGCTTATGCGCCGAGTCAACGACACATGGCTTGACATACATGGGCGAGTTGAACACTTTGCGGGCCATATCACGGGTGGAAGCAATGACGACAAACCTATGCGGAACCCGCGGCCATCAGTATTTATGTCATTTGATATCAGCAAACCGGAACAACGTACTTGTGGAAGACGGAAACGCAGCTCAGGTCTCCGCTGGCCCATTTCGCCTTGTACTCGGAGAACTTTGGATTGACAGACTCAAGGAATGGTCCCATGAAGGGGATCTTGAATCGTGGACCGACGATCGACCCTTTCAGCCATATGTATTTAACTAGTCAGACGCAGAATAGGTCAGCATAACGTGACCACGACACCTCCAGGGACCCCTCCAGCACGCATTGGGGCGGACAAACGGACATTGATCGTAGGCGACGGCGAAGAGGATGAGCGCAAGGACAGCGCCCCAGCCGGACATATTGTTGTAGATGGCCATGAAGAGGCCGGAAGGCGATGCTACAGCAGCGTGCAGAGATGCATCTGCTGCTGGAGAGGCATAGCTTCCGTTGACGCCGGCCATGGTTAGTATTACTGGGGTCCGCGATACCGATATAACGATACAAACGCGCACCGAGACCTGTTGTTTATCTCTCTCGCTCTCTCTGCGGCAGGCGAATGTATCAAGAACAGCCCATTAATGACAGTCGGCAGGAAAACAGGAGGACTCGCGTGTGCTGGAGGAGAATGCGACGGCTGGCGGCAGATTTTCCCTTCGTTCTCGGATCTCCAGGAAGGAGGAGGAAGGAAAAGGGTGAATAATTTCCATACTCTCCATTAAAAATATTAAGATTATGCGGATGACTAAGCCCCTGCAAGGACCACGCCATTCATTGGTGGCTGTCCCAAAGCGGCCTAGCTCCGATCCCTATCCCCGGTAATCCGATACGCCCACGTCCCACGCACTTCCTTATTACGTTGTACATGATGTATGTATATATTTATATGTGTATACGCGTGGTGTTATAAGCGGAAAGGGTGGAAAAAGGGAGGGCGAGGTTAAGGCTTGTCATGTGACTCTAGTATACGAACTTATATCACGTGGTCTCTGTTCCTGGATGGTGGCTTGCGGCTCGAGAGTTGAGCTATTGGATAATGCGAGAACTAGATAGAGAAAACACCATAGCAGGCGCCGCGGAGGATGCTTCATGACGGCCTGAGCTGGAGAGACAGCGACAGAGCATACACTGAACGGAGTACGCTCCACGGAGTACGATGAACGGAGCAAGGCGGTATATGGACGATAAGCTCAAGGCGCACTCCAGTGATCGACCGGGATAGGGGCTGTTGCAAAAAGCAAGCAGTCGTACGGAGGATTGATAGTTGATATCGAGTCACGCCATGAACATGTCGACGGATGCGTCTACTCCGTACGTACGAGCAGCCCATTTGTCATCAGGCTGGTCTAGGTCTCGATGCTAAGATATAAATAGTAGGTAGTAGTCCTAGAAGAATACGGGTACGTCTATCGCTGTTGATCCAGCTCGAGCACGCGGTAAGTAGAGTCTAACGGACCAGCTATTATGATTCTAATGGAAGATATGTAGGCCGTAGAAGACTCCAAAGAAGAAAAGTGAGGTTACAGACATGTCGCAGAAGCCGCCGTTGGCAAAGGAAGCTGGCTCTGGCAAGGCGCCATCTGCTTCAAGCCACATCCGTATCGCTCGCCCATCGCAGGATATCGCCAAAGCAGAGCGCTTCTACGTCGAGGGTCTCGGGCTCAGCGTGCTGTGGCGATGTGGTCCCGATGCAACAGGCGGTCATCCGCTGGTGATGCTAGGCTGGCCGGGAGCGGCCTGGCATCTGGAACTTGTAGGATGATTCGCATGCTGAAACTCCCCCAAAGCCGACTGAAGAGGACTTGTTGGTGATATATGTGGATGACTCTGTTGATCCGGCTGTCGTCGAGAGGCTGGTTGCAGCTGGCGGGACGAGGGTTACGGCGCGCAATGAGTATTGGGAGGAGTTCGGGGTGACTGTAGCTGACCCTGATGGCTATCGGCTGGTGCTCAGTCAGAAGGGATGGGCCAACGAGGCATTGTAGCATTTATTCATCAGTTGCACCTCAAAATAATATTCTTCCTGATTTAAGATGACCGGGCCGGCCAGGGCGATAGGGAACATTGTATATAACATTTAATGCTGGAACGCTCCAATTAACGACCAAAGCCAAACCAGCCCTTCTTTGTCTCCTTTTTATCCTCAGCAGCGGTAGCAGATTCATTCACCGCAGCCTTGCTTGCTGAAGAAAGAACTTCCTTCTTCTCTGTCGGGTACCCAATGTAGTTCCAGGCTAGGTCTAGGAAAAGGGGTTTGACAGGGATAGGCTCAAGCCTGGGTGGGTAGGCTACGAGGTTCGCCAAATCAACCCCTTCCAACTGATATTCGTTCATCCTTTGGACCACAGGTGGTAGAGTTGCCGGGTCACTCTCCTTGGATTCTGCTGTCAATTTTTCTATTTCAACTATGCCCCGATATTGCCAGACCAGATGCTGCAGCTCGACCTGAAGTGTTTTCACCTGCGATCGGGATACATCAGCCCTCAGGGGGTGGTTCAACAGATCACCGTCATCCGATGCTGACGAGAGAGCGTTCAACACAAGATCTACAGCCCGAATGAACAATGCAAGAGCATTCTTGGAGCTTGATTTGAATGCGTGAGATCTGCCGATAGCGAGACATCTATTCCCACGGTGGTTAGATTAGGTTGTGACATACGGAGATAATGGGAGTAAAACTTACCTCAGAGACTTGAAGTAGGAGTGTTTCGCCTCAAGTTCCTTGACAAAATCAGCATCCGCTGCAACACCCGGAAGCTCTTTAACAGACTCCAGACTCTGCAGGATTGAGTCATAAAGCACAACATTCTCGCGAAGATGACCAAGGCGTCTACCTAGACTTTCTTCTTTGGTAGTTTCAATTTCTTTCCCTTGGTTCCCCTTTCGGCGAGTAGTACCTCCCGAGGTGAAGTTTAGGCCATCCGCACCGCCACAGAGTACCCTATTCCTGCCAACACGCCAGCCTACAAGCCGGTAGTTGACTGCAGTTCTAGTAATCTGTAGACTCTGCATTCTAGCATCACCTTGGTCAATTCCTTCGCTAGTCAGCTCGTCGATCGCCGCCTTGGTCGCGTCAACGGCATCTTGACTTGCAATTATTACATTATCGTAATTCGCAGCCGTCTCCTTTGCGGGCGCAGTCTGGCCCTTCTGTTTTGCGATCCACGCTGAGAGCTGGGCTTCAGCAGAGGCTGCAGATGCTAATGCCTGAGATATTGCTGCATCTTCAATTTTCACCGTTCTTGATCTCCAAGTAATAGTTTGTGGGAAAGCCTGAGAGTCACCGGAAGCAGTCGGTCCTCCTTCCAGAGAATCTTCACTGAGACAGCTAGGATCGATGGCCTCAACTTCTTGCTTCAAAGGAGAGTCTGCCGGGAAATATTTCTTCGCTATCGTACTTAGAGGGATCGAACGGGGTACTTTGAGCTGGTAGGCGGAATATCGTATGCTTGGATCAACGGTCCCTGAAATAAATTCCTGGGTATACCCTTGCTTGTCCTGCTTCTCCAACGCAGCATATATAACTCTAGCTAGCGATGCCTGCTTCAGGCATCTTTCCCACTGCCGTCTTTCCATCCAGGATGCTGTTGATAACGAGGCCAGATAAGCGTGAGCCTCTAGAAGGTCAATTCTAGAAGCCTTCGAGTCCCCCCGACTTTGAAGTGCGGATGCCAGCTGATTTGCATAAATCGTAGCTTTGTTTAGCCGTGAAATTATATGTCGTCTTGCCGAACCAACCATCCCTTTCTTCGACGTGTCTTGAGAATGAACAGATCGCATGTGCATGGCTTCCGCCCACGCCCGTTCTGCAGAGAGGAGAAGTATACGGACAAAACTAAAACAACGTAAGTCAAAGCCAAAACAACATTTTACTGGGCGCGGGGCATATACCCATGATCCTTAGCTATGTCACCCGGTGTGATAGCTGCCTTCGTCGAGTACTTCTTGCCCTTGGGAGTTGTTCTTCCCAGCCGCTTGTTGAGCGTATGCAATCTCCGAGTTAACAGGGCACGATACTTGTTGTAATCGCCCATTGACAGGGCTTCGGCCCTATGGGCTACTATGAATCCAGTGATGTCCATGATGAGTATTTGAAGAGTAGATACTGGATCCAAAACGACCTGCTGCTACTCCCTTCGAACTTCCCTCCCCTCTATCCCGAACTTCTTTAACCTCGATAGATTACATAAGCTTTGTGGGCGAAGAATACTGGGATGGCATCAACTATTATCCGAATGCTTACTAAGATATCACTTGGCAACAATATTTCGGAGTTTCTCTTAGCAAAGCTTCACGGTCATACGATGATTGATCTAGGTATATCTATTTTTTCTCGCGCTTCTCCTCCAGGTATTTATTCGCTATCACAGGGCTACGCGGGGATAGGGAACCGGCTGTGAGTGACGGAACCGTTGGTTTGGGATAATTCGCCTTGTGGCCGGCCTTGCCTACTTTTTTTGACTCTTGAGGATTTTTTCCCTCTTGCTCCTTATCCTACCAGCGAGCTTGCCCGATTATGCACTTTCAGCTGTGAAATGCCAATTCTTCCCAGACGTGAACTAGCTCGTAGTCCAGGGAATGCTCGAGCGCGCTGTTCGGTGTATCGAGAATGCTAGCCAGCATGTCTATCTCGGTTCCAAGCACACGTTTAGGTCCAGACGAACCCTACATCCGAGATTCTGGAACTGCAATACCGAGGATTCCGCAATATCCCTTTTATATTTCTACATCGTCCAGTCTCCATCCGGAAAGTCTTCTTCGGGACACGACAATGATGCCCCATACGTCGAAACGGCGTCCTCGTCGACACCTCTCGAATTCCTCTACCCTCCCAAAACCCGATTGTTCGCTCGTACCTACACCACCTCCGAACCGAAGAGAAACGTCAGTCAAGGCAGAAGGAAACGAAATCTATCCAGGCCTTACTCGTCTTCGGCTAGCAGGTGTCTTCCCGAAGAATCACTAGAGGTTGACAACCCACCAGTGGACGATGCGGATTTAGAGGAGACCCCAAAGGACCTTCAGACGTTCCTTTCAGAGAAAGGTCCACAAGATTATGGTGCCGCATGGGGGCTCTACAGGTCCAGTGGGTCTCCTGAAGGTGTAGAGTCCGAACTCTTATCCTACCTCTCTGATTCACAGGATCCTCGAGATTTTCAGCGTTGTCAACTTCTTTTCGAACTAATTTCTCCCTCGTGCCGAAGTGAAAGTGATTATTTAAGTGCAGCAAAGGTTGCTTTGAATATTAAAAGCCGAGACTATAAATCTTTCGCCTTAGAGATATGTCAGGAAGCATCTTCGCGGGGGAAAACACAATGCTGGCACTATGCCTTCATAGGTCTTGTGGATGAGATGGATTGGGAAAATGCTCTTCGGCTTTGGGAGATAAAACCTGATTCTTTGGCCTATAAGTTACAATTCCCAGAGGCGCCACAATCGAAATTCCTGGCGAGCCGCCTACTCACGCTCCTGAAGAATATCCAACCCTACGAAACCAAAGACGCCATGGAAATGGCACGCTATATGCTTCGAGTTGTCCTGTCGCACGATAAGGTAATGATGAACGTGCCGGTGAAAGAATTGTTGAGCATCTTCGAAAGCTCCATCAAACTTAAGCTGTTTGACCGCTGTGATTACATCAAAGCTATCAATACTTTACGTTCCTCAGACATCAGATCGGCAAACGGACGCTCAATTATGGTATACCGCAATTTCCGCTGGCGCATGCCCGAAGAGATTCCGCCTCAAGGAATGATCACTAGGCTATTGCGCATGTTGTGCGAGATAGAAGTCTTGGAAGGCGTCGATTATCTCCTGGGTGAACATCGTCTGCACTACGGTATACCGTCGAAATTGGACTACCACGGTGCCCTAACGGTGTCTGCAAGGCTTGGTGAAACTTCGACAACCATGCGTTTTTATAATGACTACTCGGCAGACTACGGTAAGGCGGTTTCAACGGAGATATTAACGCCACTTCTCTATGTTCATGCAAGGACCGGCGATGTGAAAGGAACACAAAAATGGTTTGATTATGTCTCCGGGCTCGGGATCAGGCCAAAGATTCAGTATTGGAATATTCTTCTTACTGCATATTCCAAAAATAAGGATTTAGAAGGAGCCTTTCGCATATTCCGACAGATGCTCAAGGCTGGTATAGCGCCTGACTCAATCAGCTTTACTATTTTGATGGGTTTGTCTGCAGGTCGTGGTGATACTAATGCCGTCTTGGATTTGTTTGACATGGCCAAACGGAATGGGGTTCGTCTGTCTCGCTCAATGTTCGACACTATCGTGCAAGTACTTTGCAAGCACAGAAGGTTCATCGACGCTGAGATAGCGGCTGAGGAAGCCACATCCGTCTTCCCAGCCAACACCATGACTAGAACCTGGAATATCCTCTTGTGGAATTACGCATACACCATCGATATGAGCTCCATGTCAAGGATACAAAATCGAATGCGGGAAGCAGGAATTCGATTTGACGGCATGACTTATGCTGCCCTGATGTCTAGCCTTGTGCGCGTCGGCCAGACCGATTCTGCACGTAAGGTCCTGGGGGTTTTACACAAAAACCACGAAATTCACCTAACACCTTTCCATTATGCTATTCTTCTCCATGGTTACGCACAAGAAAAGAACCGTGACATGGTCCAAGTTTTATATCTTGAGATGATGGAGCGGTTCAGTAAAGTTGGTCTGAGTGGAACGCTTGCCATGTTCAAATCTGAAATCGATCGTGATATCCGACGAGCTCGCGAAACAATGGGCGGTGCATCTGGTGGAAAATTTATTCTTCCCCACGCAGAGGAGCTTCTCAAATCCGCTATTGAAAACCTTGGTACAAAAGACTTCAGCACCAAACAGCCGCAACCTGGTGCTCACGGGCGTTCGCTTCGTGAGGCCTTTCCTACGGTATTTTATGAGCATCTTATTAGAGCCTATGGACAAAAGAATGAGGGCCAAAGAGTCGGAGAGCTGTTTTTGGAGTTCTCGGAAAAATCGAGGACCACGCTTTCCGATCGCCTACCCCATTCCCCTGTGATTCTCCATGCTCTAATGGTTAATTATCTTTCAAAAAACAAGCATTATGAGGTCAAGAAATGCTTTGAGGCCGCTCTTACCCATACCCTCCAGCGCTCTCGTGGCGTCAACATCAAGACAGCACTATCTCGTCCAACCGGGACTTCCACACCGCTTAACAGGAGCGCTGAACATCCATCTGAGGTTTCATATTACGACGATATGCCAACTGTTCTGCCTTTCCATCGCTTTGATCTTTCTCACTGTATTTCAACATATATGCAATCTCTGGCATCTCAAAACCAGCAATCAAAAATTATAGATGTTGTGGCGCAGGTTGAAAAGTTTGGCTTCGCACTCAGCACCCATAACTGGTCCCTCTACGTTAATATCCTCTGCCTCTCACAGGATCCAGCGGCGCAAACCCAGGCGTTCAGTATTTTCGAAGACAAGTTTATGCCTAATTACCCTGGTTGGAGGTATATACAACGTGGATACGCCCTGCGCCCGGAAGGTGCACATATGGAAATGGATCTTATGGAGGGAACCTTTCGCCGTGGGAAGCCAGGACGCATGATGGGACGAAAAGGTCGTGCGCTTTGGGCAAAAGTCCAGCCGGATTATATGCAGCCTACTTATCTCAATATACTCCACCTTGCATGCGCCTTGATTGATTTCAGATCACGGTCGATTACAGATGGAGGGTCTGAGATGCGTCATCTATTTTCAAAGGCCCCAGAGACTTACACTGCCGTTGCAACAATTCCCTATTTGGAAGATAAATTCCAAAACATCCTCCGTCAATACAAGTCCGACCAGGCAAATGTGGATAGAAATCCAAATGCCAATATTCGAAATAATGAAGTTTGGACTGGAGGTGTTCTGGGAGAAGGTGGCGAGCGAATCAACACCGGTGTGGTGCCGCCCATTCCCAAGGACGACGTCGAAAATGCTGAAGAAGGCGAAGAAGGAGAAGACTACCTTGAAGACTATATTGAAACTACCGAAGAAGAAGACAGCGACCCTGAAGCTGAAGGAGATCCTTCTGAGATGCCTGGAGGACCGGAATATTTTGTAACAACGGAACCCGAATCCCCCTTGTTAGAATCGCTGTTGGCTGAAGATATGTCCCGCAGGATGGGCATGGAGATGTTCGAACAGTCAGATATGAATCCCTCAGCGGAGCGGACCCTGAGCCCTGAAGATGAGTGGGATTTGGATAACGAAAGCCTCCTCTCTACACAGGCGAAAACAGAGTCGGAGCAATAATCTTGGATGTTTCTTCCCATAACATATGTATATATATCTGGTGGAAGCGGCGATATCATGGCCCTTTCCCTAATGTACCAACATTTACCCTATGTATTATAATTATATCTGGTTTGAATGATTAATTAATGGCCAAATACAAGTCTTCAACCCTAAAACACTTTTATCACATAGGAAGTACGCCGTAGCTTGCTGCCCATTGGCCCAATTACGCGCCTTTGTAGTAAACCACTTAAAGTCGCGTGTCGCGTGTCTGTTTCGCGTTAACAGGAGCATTTTCCATTTTCTGCGTCTCCAACTTCAACTCGCCAACGCCCTGGCACCGCAGTTCAGTATCACTCGCTCTCGTCGCCTTTGGGTCTTTTTTCAATTGCTATAGTCACTATATAAGGCGACACCATTACATTCTTCCAGGAACTGCATTAACTGACCCCAAAGGACTGCGACTCAAGATGGACGCCCCTCAGCTCCACGATGAGGCCGCCCGCGATAACAAGCGAGCAGCGACAGAGTTCCTCGACCCAGGTCAGTTCTAGCATACTATCCGGTGAATTTTTCTAGTTTCTAACGGTTGTTATTTCACAGTCGATCCACGAGCCAGAAGGTGACTTTGTCCCTGTCGCACCATTTAGCAACTGGCCAATTCTAACACCCTATAGTTACCGCGCTGACATAGCTGTGATGATAAATCGAGGGCTTCGTCGATTTACGGTACGAATGCATCTCCGCATATTTCGAGAAAGAAGTGGTTGAAGAGAGAGATGGAACGCTAATACTTCTGCTTCTAGATTAGTATTGACGAAATTCGTGCACATAGCCCGGAATTAGCGAAAGGGTTTGTTGCCCCTTATCAGTATAGAGGTGGCCGTTACTTACCTTTTGATAGCCTCCTTACCTCTCCCTTCGCCTATTGCCAGGCATTCGATCAAGCATTACGAGAAATCGTCACGACCATCGCCAGCAAACCGAGTAGAACCGAATCAGACGAGACTGTATGTCGAGATTCCCGTGGTATACCGAGGCGAATCCAACTCTAACTGTCCGATAGGAATATTACTGTGCATACGTTGGCGCGTTTGGTGAAAATGCCTGCAACCCTCGAACGCTCAGTTCATCGCATCTAAATCGGATGATTGCGCTTGAGGGTATCGTGACAAAGTGCTCGTTAGTCCGACCAAAAGTTATTAGAAGTGTTCATTACAACCCAAAAGAGAAGTCATTTCTGGCGAGAACATATCAAGACCAAACTATGACGGCCAGCGGATCTGCCAGTTTAAATGTATATCCGCAGCAAGATGAACATGGAAACCCGGTAAGAATTGCTGCCCCAGAATATTCAAGAATATTCACGTATAGATTGTGTTTTGCTAATTCATATAAAGCTGGTAACTGAGTATGGATATTGCAAGTACCGCGATCATCAAATGATATCCATCCAAGAAATGCCAGAGAGAGCACCTGCTGGCCAGCTTCCCCGTGGTGTTGATGTCATTCTTGATGACGACTTGGTTGACAAAGCTAAGCCTGGAGACAGGATACAGCTTGTTGGAATTTACCGATCGTTGGGAAATCGGAATGCGAGCTCAGGCAGCGCAACGTTCCGCACAGTTGTTCTCGCGAATAACATCATCCATCTTGCCTCTAAGTCTGGTGGAGGTATCGTTCAAGCCACAATAACCGACACGGATGTTCGAAACATTAACAAATTGGCGAAGAAGAAGAATATATTTGATCTGCTCTCCCAATCTCTTGCGCCGAGTATTTACGGCCACGACTACATTAAGAGAGCTATATTACTTATGCTCCTCGGCGGCATGGAAAAGAATCTCGACAACGGAACCCATCTACGTGGAGATATAAATATATTAATGGTTGGTGATCCCTCTACCGCCAAATCCCAGCTTCTACGATTCGTCCTCAATACTGCTCCGTTAGCCATTGCTACCACTGGTCGAGGTTCGTCTGGTGTCGGTCTTACAGCGGCAGTGACAACAGATAAGGAGACAGGAGAGCGTAGGCTCGAAGCCGGTGCTATGGTCCTGGGTGATAGAGGGGTGGTGTGTATCGATGAGTTTGACAAGATGAGTGATGTCGACCGAGTGGCAATCCACGAAGTTATGGAACAGCAGACGGTCACAATTGCAAAGGCAGGTATCCACACCTCTCTAAATGCTAGATGCAGTGTTATCGCAGCCGCCAATCCGATCTTTGGGCAGTATGATACACATAAGGACCCGCATAAAAACATTGCCCTGCCCGACTCCCTTTTGTCCCGTTTCGATCTTCTCTTTGTGGTGACGGATGATATCGATGATACCAGGGACAGACTTGTTTCCGAGCACGTACTGAGAATGCACCAGTACCGTGATCCAAGGCAGGAAGAAGGGGCTCCAGTGCGCGAACAGGTTGGTTCCAGTCTTGGAGTCGGCCTAGAAGAAAGCCAGGACTCGAATAGGACCACTGAAGTATACGAGAAATTCAATGTGATGCTTCATGCTGGTATTTCCCAAACAGGGAGACGGGGCGGGAAGAAGGTGGAAGTGCTCAGCTTGCCGTTTGTCAAGAAGTATATTCAATACGCCAAATCTCGAATTAAGCCAATCCTGAGCAAAGGCGCAGCCGACCATATTGTGAGCACATATTCCGCCCTTCGAAACGATGAGCTGCTTGGAAACCAGAGGAAAACTTCTCCCATGACTGCACGTACTCTTGAGACCTTGATCCGTCTTTCCACGGCACACGCAAAAGCACGTCTTTCCAACAGAGTAGACGAGAAGGACGCAAAGGCTGCCGAGGCCATTCTCCGATTCGCCCTGTTCAAAGAAGTGGTTGAGGATGAAAGACGCAAACGACGCAAAACCGCCAACATACCAGAGTCAGACTCAGATTCAGAGGATTCCGATAACGATGATGCAGGCACATATACACCACGTAGGGGAACAACGCAGCCAGCAACCGGAACTAGATCCAGTGCCAGATCCGGCCTCAGGGTCTCAAGAGCCACGCCTACGCCAGCAAGTAATGGTGGCGCAAACGATGACGATGACGATAATGATCCAGATGGAATATACAATGCCTCCCCTGAGAGCAGACAGCGGTTCTCATCTTCAAGACAAACTCGAAGCCAACAGACGCAGTCCCAATCGCGAATGTCCGTGGCCTCGTCGCAACCGGCGTCGCAACTTCTCCAATCTCAGGAAACCGACAGTACCGATTCTCAAGCTGATACACTTGGAAACGCACTTGCGGCATCTGCTTCCCTCCCTGAGCTCCCCCCAGCTCGCCTAAGAACTTTCAAACAGGCCCTTGGTCCGCTCATGAGGTCCGACTTGTTCCAGGGAGACTCTGCCAATGTGGAGCGGGTAGTTTCTGCAGTGAACTCGTCTATACGGTCCTCTAGTTCGAACGACGATGATGTGTTTTCCTTGGCTGAAGCGCTTCAGGCGTTGGCCGTGATGAATGAACGGAATGATATTATGTAGGTTCCCTTTCCTTCTTGATTGCTCTAACTCAAACATAAGCTGACTCTACTTCCTTCCTAGGTATCTTGGTGATGATACCGTTTACCGGATGTAACTTACCTAATATCGTTGTCCAGCCCTTTTAATGAGCTACAATGAATAGATATGACCATGAAATACCTCATAGATTCGAAGTCATGTCATTTTTTTTAAAAAAAAAACAAAGTAATAAATAATGAACTACCTTGAGCTAAATCTAAGGAATGAATGATCGCACGGCAGTTTATTGATTAATGCTAAGCAAGACTATACATATCCAAACGCTTTCTTATGCAGGAGAACGACGAGCATTGACAGAACAGTTTCCATTCTTACACACGTAAATAGTTACCTACTTCCCATTTTGCCCTCCCCCCGAGTCCATCATGAAGGCTCACCAACACCACTCTCATCCTTGACCTCTTTACTTACTGACATCGGTGTCAGCGGGGTTGAAAACCTGCTCGAGCCCGAGGCAGTCTGAGAAACCGATTTGTTTCTCTTGGGCATACTGGCCGCTCCACTGCTGCCTCGACGGGAGACAGACGACCTTCGTTCGCGATCAAGGGGTATCCTATCCTCGATATCGGAGACAGGGTGCGGTGTCGAGCTGCGAGACGACGTCCTGGAGTGCGTATGTGAGTCGGAGTACGGAGACGTTCTACGGGGTTTCTCCCTTTCGTTCAAGTGACGGGAGTGCGAGTATTTATGCATAGAGTATCGTTCAATATCTCGTCCACTCTTGCTTATCACGGGTATTGCGCGGCTGTAGCTTCGTTTCCAGTATCTCCATTTCGCCCACCAGAGCCAGCCGGCATTAGCTCTGGCCTGTTGGCGGGAGAATTCCTTGATCTTATGGCGCAGACGGGCCCGTCGTTCGTTTTCCTTCTCCCAGTAGTCTGTCCGGTACTCGTCCCAGTTCTTGCGGAAGGCCGGAGAGAATGATTTGGGGAGTAAAAGGAGCCGTATATAGTCACCGCCCGGAGCCAGGTCTTCTTCGACTCCGATGCGGTTTTCTTCGTCTGGCGGCTGGCGTAGACTGGTCACCGAGCTCCCGCGACGTCTGCGGTTAGGAGGAGGCTTCTCTCTCTCCGCAGCAGTGGCCGGCGCCGGCGCTCGTTCGTACTCGACGTAGTGGAAAGAGGTGTTCGACGGGAAGAACGCCGAGTAAGGGAATATAAAAGATAGATAGGAAAGCAATTCCTTCCACCAGGGGCCCTGGATGACGATGACCTTTGCGTTCATCCCTCTGATACCACGATTGGTGACGCCCAACCACCGCCGCGGCCATCGTAGACCTCGCTCCCACTGACCGGTGCCCCAGATGAGGATGCCGGTGACCACTCCGCCGGTCAGAGCGACCTTTTCACCGGTTTCGACGACCCAGTAGACCGAGCCACCGAGCCCGCGCCCATCCTCTCGCGGCCGGAAGAAGAGAGCGTAGGTGAAGTATATGATCCAGAGAGCGAGCAGGAGGAGGAAGAAGGTATTCTGGCGTCTCCTGGCCCGTAGAGCGAGGTACTGCGCGCGCAGGGCGGTTTCGACGATGAGCAGGTTGAGATATATCTGCGGCGGGGAGGAGGGAAGAGCTGAGAGCGGATCGGGAGAGACGGTAGCGACGGACGAGGGCGACGTCTCGGTTGAATCCTGCGATGTCGAGGACAGAGAGCGCGCGAGAGAGGGCGACGGCGTCTTGTTCAGACTGGTAGGCTGGTGAACCTGTATCTCAGGAGGCGGAGCGCCTTTCACGATCTGGTCGAGTTGCGACATGGGATGCTATCTGCGTCTGCTTCGGGACATGATACGGGGATGTTAGCTATATCATTGGCCTACTCCGGTAGCTGCGTCTATCAAGGTCAAGTCGAGATGTCAAAGTTGTAGATGAAGTTGTAAAAGTTGTAAAAGTCGTAGAAGTCGTAGAAATTGTAGAGTCGTAGAGTTGTAGTGTAGAAGTTGAGATGCTACCAATAACCAACAACGAACACACTTACCCCTGCCTTAACTCTCTACCTCTACTCCGTACTCCGTATTGCTATACTGCTCTACGACTAGGCTCTACTGCTGCTAAGCTTGCGCCACCAAACTCTGGTTAAATATCGGTGCTGCCTGCGCTTTCGCCCGACGGCCAAATCGTTGCGCAAACTCCGGCTTATCCCCAGCAAAACCGCCGTCCGCACATCCAGAAACTCCCGGATCGTCTGTATAATAGAGAGTGACAGGCCCTTCTCTGTCGCTCCGTCTACCGTTTGTCAAGCTGTCTTCAAGCAGAATCTCAGCGCTTCCGTTGTTGCAGGCTGCTCGATCGCGTCCCCCACTACTCGAGGCCGCCCACCGTCCCCTATCCTCGCCGACGCTGAACAGCACCAGCAGCATCAACGCTCGTTCGCAGGCGCAGTTTGAGTCTTCCGCTTCGTCTTCTCATCCTGACGGCTGGCCGAACGCAAGCATGGCCTCGACTGCTTCTGCGCAGCCCGAAGCTCGCCCGTTCGCGGCCCAGCAGGCGGAACAGCAGCCAGCTCAAACCAAGCAGCCCTCGAGCTATTTCCCGCTCGGCTACAAGGAAGGATTCAGTCAATGGGTACGTCTGGCTTGTTGTCTATTATACCGTTGCTAGTGCTAACCGTTGGCAGTGGACGAGCATGCCGGCAGCGACAGCTGAACACAGCGTCCTCTCCTTCGTGCCGTATCTGCAGCAACCTCCAACTCACAAGCAGACCGGCAAGGAGCCCACCGTTCCTGACGGGCAGCCGGACAGTCTGACCTCTGCAGACACCTCCCAGGAAGCTCAGGTGTCCGCCAACTCGGTCAACGACCCCTACGGACCGCGGAGGTGGCGGTCAAGCATGGTACAGCTCAGTGGCGACAATCGAGCACTGAACGAGTTCTCCGTCGAACGAGTCGGCGAGAAGGTCGAGAATAACCTCGTTGTGCTGCACGGATACGGTGCTGGGCTGGGTTTCTTCTACAAGAACTTCGAGAGCCTCAGTCGTGCCAAAGGATGGCAGCTCTACGCCCTGGACCTGCTGGGAATGGGACGCAGCACCCGGCCACCGTTCAAGATCCACGCCAAAGAGAGAGAGCAGGCCATCACCGAAGCTGAAGACTGGTTTATCGATGCCCTGGAGGAGTGGCGCGTGAAACGAAAGATCGAACGCTTCACGTTGATGGGACACAGTCTGGGAGGCTACATGGCAGTTGCATACGCTCTCAAATACCCGGGCAGGCTGAACAAACTCATCCTCGCATCCCCCGTTGGCATTCCAAAGGACCCTCGCGCAGCCAGTGCAGATATCGAAGAGCCATCTGAATCGACCATGTCGGCTGAGTTCACCCAGGACCAAGATGCCACCACCGCCGCCACCACCACGAATGGTGTCTCGAGCAGAACCCCGCCGCTTCTGCGTCCTCTTCCCAAGTGGTTTACCTATCTCTGGGATGCCAACGTGTCGCCATTCACTTTTGTTCGGTGGTCAGGTCCTCTCGGTCCCCGTCTAGTCTCTGGCTGGACATCACGCCGCTTCTCGCATCTTCCCCAGCCGGAATCGAAAGCCCTACACGACTATGCATACTCCCTCTTCAGAATGCGTGGCAGTGGCGAGTATGCGCTCTCTTACATCCTTGCTCCCGGAGCTTACGCCCGCAGTCCACTTATCAATCGCATCCACGGGGTTGGCCGACAGCTCGTCAGGGAGCCCATCCCATCGGCATCGTCGACGTCACAGCTCAACGCTTCTCTCACCGAAGCTCTATCCAGCTCACAGTCATCAGCGAACGTTTCGCCTGCCCCTTCTTGCTCATCAGATACAAACCTGTCTACCCCTGCACCTGGCCTGCAGCCTACACCACGTAAGGAGACCGGTATCCCCATTGTCTTGATGTACGGTGAACACGACTGGATGGACGTCGAGGGTGGACACGCAGCGAAACAAAAGATCTATGAAGAGCGAGAGCGTGTTCTCAAAGACGCAACGCCGGAAGAGAAGCTTGCAGACCGTGGATCGGCCAAGGTTGTCGTTATCAAACAGGCCGGTCACCATGTCTATCTAGACGGTTGGGAGGAGTTTAACAAAGTGGTCATGGATGAGATGACGACCACGTCTAATGAAGGATGAGCATGACAGTTATAGATCAGGAGTTTGTTTTTATTTTTTATTTTTTATGGCTTTCCCCTTTTTCCTCTCTACTTATTGACCGTCTGGTTGCTTTGGATATATCTTGCCTGCGGTGTCCCTCTTGGTGGAGGTTGATTTGCAGATCCTCGTCACATACTAATAGATAGACTATTATAAATAGCATTGGACAGTACTTTGTGATTAGAGTCAGTTTATATGATGATTTTATACATGAGTTACAACTTTTTGCATTGTAGCCGGATCACTTGGAAGCCAAGTAGTATACGAGTAAGCGAGGGGCGGACCTGCCACCTATTTTACTTCCTTGCTTCATAAACAAAAGCTGTTCAACATCGACATTACATCCTACACCAAGATAGAGAAGATACCCCGGAACGATGCAATCTGAAAAACCAACAGCCTCCGAGCCGTTTCCGTGGGAGATCGGGGTCTTCGATGCCCACTGCCATCCAACGGATACGATGTCGTCCATCGATGATATCAAGGCCATGAAAGCTGCCACTCTGACGGTGATGGCGACTCGCGAACAGGACCAAGAACTGGTCTCCCAGGTTGCACTACAGTTCAAGGGTTCGAACCAGAGCAGTGAGCAAGACTCGGATGCATGCAACGATCGCGTTATCCCTTGCTTCGGATGGCATCCGTGGTTCTCTCACCAGATATTCGATGATACCAAGCATGACGAGCCCAGAGACGGCGAATATCTCGCATCAATGAAAATCGAGCATTATAAAAATGTACTTGCGCCGTTGATCGATGACGAAGACCTGTTACACGAGCTACCTGTCCCATGCTCTCTTGTGGACTTAGTCTCAAGGACCAGAGCGAGGCTGCAAAAGCACCCCTATGCGCTTGTTGGAGAGATTGGCCTTGACAAAACGTTCCGAATACCAAAAGCATGGAGCTCAGCAGGCAGCGATGGGAATGAGAATACAGCTTCCAGTGACTCATCCATAACCCCTGGAACAAGAAATGGAAGAGCACTCTCACCATATCGTGTAAAAATGGATCATCAACGAGCTGTTATCAAGGTCCAGCTACGATTAGCAGGAGAACTACAACGGCCTGTATCGCTTCATAGCGTCCAGGCACATGGCGCTATTATCGAAGTGCTACAGGAGCTTTGGGCCGGATATGAAAAGAAAGTCATATCCAATCGGCAGCGGAAGAGAGGTTCTAGTGTTCCCAGAGCTCATGAAGGGGAAGATGTATCACCGACTCACTCGAATGAGGGAAGCGATTCCGATAAAATAGAAACCAAACCCAAACCCTTCCCACCACGAATATGCATGCATTCTTATTCAGGGCCAGTCGATCCGCTAAATCAATTCTTCCATCCCAAGGTTCCTGCGGATGTATATTTTTCTTTTTCGGCCGTCATCAATTTTCCCGATGGTGCCAATGCAAAATCCTCCAACGTGATCAGCGCCTTACCAGAAGATAGGATACTGGTCGAAAGCGATATACATTGTGCAGGTCAGCGGATGGACGACCTTTTAGAACAGATAGTGAGGCAAGTGTGTGATATCCGTGGTTGGTCTTTGGAAAGGGGGACTCAGATACTTGCTGACAATTGGAAACGATTTGTATTTGGTTAAGATTATATCACCACAGCATTCTAATTCGCATAAATATTAGTTTATCATTTAGGGATATAAACGTCATATTGATAACTAGGACTGATTTTCGACAAACGTCCCATCTCTACCATTTAGTTGCGCCTCTAGCAATGCCCCTGTACCATTCATCACAGCTTCGATAGCCTCAGGCAACCTCATTGCCAGTTCTTCTACACTTCCAGCCCTATTGGCCCACAGCTGGCCTCCTGCAGCAGCTTTCGCAATTCCAGCATAATCCGGGGTAGGCGAAAAGGATATATTTAGCTCCTCGTTAGACAGTCGAGACCCTTCACCGTCAGGATGAACGAGCAAAAGACTGCTGCGTGGCGCGTTCCAGCCTCTGTTGTTCAACACAATGGTTAACACGGGTATTTGATATCGACGAGCAATCCAATAAACAGAACTTGGAACGCTAAATAAATACGTGCCATCTCCAACAATTTGACAGACGAATCTCCCTTTACATTTACCATCATTCTCATCATCGGTGGCTAGTTTGATACCCAACGCAGCACCGCCAGACCATCCTAGTCCGCCGCCGCCGCTGTTTATCCAAGAGCCAGGTAAGTTCGCTCGGATGTGCTCAGAGACTATCCCAGAGTTGGAAACGGCCTCAATGCACCATATCGTGTCCTTTGGGCAAGCCTGACGAATTTGTGAAATAAGGTACGGTATGTTCAAGGGTGCATCAGCTCCTGGTGGTGTGGCTGCTTGTTCCGCAAGGGTCTGCATCCTATTCTTGTGAATGCTTTCCAACAAAGTGCGTCGAGACAGATATTCCGGGCTTTTTAGAGTCTGTGTAAGATCTGTTTTGTTTGAGATGCACTGGTTCAACTGGCTGAAAGAAATTGCCGAATCCGCTCGATACGTTGCCTGCGAATGAATGTAAAAAACGGGCATCTGTTGCTTCAGGGGGTCAATATCAATATGGAATATGGTGGCAGATGGCGACGGTTTGCATAGCGTGGGTATCCAAGGGACATCACAGTCGGCTACCAAAATGAAATCTGCTGCAGCAATGGCCTCACTACCGTTCTTCACTCCCACAAAGGCTAGATGGTCGGCTGGGAAACACATATCAGACAGAGCGGTGTCAAGCACGCGGAGTCCAGGTATCAATTCTGCTAGCTTTAACAGCTCAATGACCCCTTTTTCCTGTCGGCCAGTGTATCCTACTATCACAAGTGGATTCTTTGCCATCACCAAATGCCTTGAGATATCCTCGACAGCATCCTGCGGCAAAGCAGAGGCCATGATTGAACACCATTGTCTTTGGTCAAGGGCATATGGTTCGATTTCTTCTTCCAGTATCTCCCTTCCGGCGACCATGTACACTGGACCCTTTGGCGCACTAGTAGCAAATTGCAGTGCCCTATTAACCATTTGTTTGACATTCTTCCCAGTCTTTAATTCTCCTGTATAACGACAATACTGGGCCACAATCTGCTTTTGATCCGGTACATCTTGAAGCCAGTGGATGAACTCCGATCTAGATCCTCGAAGCTCGCCTTCCTGGGTAAACGGAGACAATCCGGCAAATATGAAGACAGGTGTACGGCCACACGAAGCGTTATGAACCGCAGGTCCAAGGGCCTGAGTGCCCACGTCAACATGGATTAGCACACACTGGGGAGTTCCGCTGACACGGGCATATCCATCGGCCATTGACAGCGCAACCATCTAACAAATTAGTGGCCATCTTCTTATCATGAAGGATAGCGGTATTCCCATAGAAAAGCGCACCTCATGGGGACATGTTATGATCTTCGGGAATCGGTCTTTCCGCTCCCTCTGTCCTTTGATCACTGCCTCCAATACTGCAGGGTGGTCGGATCCAAGGTTTGCAAAAACATATCGAACTCCAGCCTAGCCGAAGTCAGTGTCAGATATGGCATTGTTTTCATCATTGGGTAGACTGGTCGACTTACATCCCAGAGAGCTTCAAGCAGTGCATACGATGTTGTGTATGCCCTATATTAAAGGCCGATCCGTCAGTAAAACCTCATGGCAATGTCTGCAGGAGCTTTATTATTAACCTACATGCTTATTTCGCGCACTAGTAGCGCCAAAGTAGCCGAGGCCTTGTGTGTGAATGGTACTCGAAGCGATATGGTTAATTGGAACAATTAGGAAAATGCCAGCTGGTAAAAACCGTTAGAACCTGAGAGGCTTATTTATATAGCCGAGTTTGGTAAGACATCTCGTACATCCCGCGCTCAAGTGGGCGATTTCCCGGACCCAGAGTAATATGCAGGGCGAATGTTTGACAGCGGGGATTTCCGCTATAAAGCCGAGGATGAAGGATCAAACTACAGGGAGGGGAACAAGATTTATTCGGGTTATATAGGCAATAAAAGCTACACTACATCCATTGGGTGCTGGTAAAGGAAATGCTATACAGTTAATATCTGATGAGTTATACACCTTTAGGGGTTTCCCAGGCTGGAAGTGGCCTTTCCTATTGCGGAAGTGGTGCGTGCCGCCGCCTGTAACGTATCTCACCACTCGATGACCGCCACCACTCGATGACCACCCCAACAAAAATCTTCATCTCGACAACCACCTATCTTTAACCACCCACAACATGCCTAATGAAGAAGCAATTGCTTGTGCGATTAAAGATTTAAAATCGCAGGACGTCCCTAATTACGCACAAACAAGAAAGTGGAAAATCGATCAGAGGACTCTTGCGCGTCGATATTCAGGCAAAACAGTGTCTAATAAGGAAGCTACCTTAACTTATTGCAAAAAGTTAATAGATACTCAAGAGGAAGTCCTTTTATAGTATATCGAACGTTTATCGAATAGAGGCCTATCTCCTACACCTCAAATCATCGCAAATCTCGTTCTAGAGCTCACCAAACAGCCAGTTGGCATTAATTGGGTATCTCGATTTTGCAAGAGGCATCAGGCCCGGATAACATCAAGATATCTTCGAACGATCGATCAATATAGGCATGTTGCGGATAACTCTGCCCATTTTGAGCATTTCTACGATCTTGCAAGTGTTTAAATATTTATTATTTATTAGATATCTCGTTACTAATACCCTCTTCTTTAGCTAGGGAAGGTGGTTGATAAATATAATATTACTCCTAGTAATATCTATAACTTTGATGAGAAAGGCTTCCTAATTGGGCTTGGACATGCAGTAAAACGCGTAGTCCCTATCCATTTGCTAAAGAATAAGAGGATAACTACCGTTTATGATAGAAATAGGGAATTTATCTCTCTACTTGCTGCTATCTCTGCAGATGGGGAAAGGATTCCTCCTACACTTATTTATAAGGGAGAAGGAGATCTATAAGACACCTGGTTAGATAACTACTCCCCGGAGGAATAAACTATATATTTTATAGCATCACTAAACGGTTGGAGCTCTAATAATTACGGCCTAGAGTGGTTAGAGAAAGTCTTTGATAATATATAAAGATAAAGGCTAGTAGGGCAAGGAGGCTCCTTACCCTTAATAGGCACTCTTCTCATATTAATATGCGATTTATTAACTACGCTAATTAAAACTATACCCTTTTTACTATCCTTCCTCCCTATTCAACTCACTATCTCCAGCCGTTAGATATTAGGATATTTGGGCTACTAGCTAGTGCATATTCCCAAGAAGTTAATAACCTAATATAGGGAGGCCTTGGATATCTCTCAATTAGGAAGAGAGACTTTTGGAAGCTCTTTTATACTACATGGTGTAAAGCTCTTACAGAGGAGAATATTAAGTCTGGCTTTAGAGCAACGGGTATCTATCCTCTTGAGCCACAGAGACAGCTGCGATATTTCTAGTAAGAACGGCCAATTACTCTAGTAAATGTAGCTGCAGAGCCTTCTACTCCTATTACAATATGAGGCCTCCGCCAGATAACCAAAAAGGTGTATCTCCGCCAGTCTCTTGCAGAAAGAGACTATATCTAAAAGATAATTCGAGCTAGTGAGCAACTTGTCTTTAATAATGATATTTTACGGCATAAAAATCAAGCTCTTAGCGGTGCTTTAATTATTGAGAAGCAACGAAGGAAGAGAGGCAAAGGATTGGGCCTTTTTGATAAAGAGAAAGCCGGCCAGGCCCAGTTCTTCTCTCCTTCCAAAGTTAATGCAGCAAGGAAGAGAGCTCTAGATATCGAGTAAGAAAAACAGGCCCAGATAGCTTAGGCCAAAGAGTTAAAGCTTCAGCGATTAATATATCGCGATACAAAGGCTCAAGAGGCTGCAGAGAAGAAGGCCCAAAGGCTTAAAGAGCAGCAGGAACGGAAGGAGGCCCGTGAGAAGGCCCAAATAGAGGCAGCTGCTCAGCGCGAGCAAGTAGCGCTAGAAAGGAAGCGTAAGGCCGGTGAACAGGAAGCCCAGCAAATGGCTAAGAAGGCTAAAAAGGCCTAAATCAACGCCCCGAGCCCTATCTCACCTTCTAAATTAGGAAAGAAGAAGAAGTCACCCATAAAGGTGGCTCTAATCGATCCTGTCCCTTCATTACCCAATTTCTTATCCCATGGCAGAGAAACACGTTCTGGCCGAACTATCAAGCCCAACACTCGTTTGTTTTCCTAATCTAACTAATTAATATGTAAACTAGAGCTCTACTATCGTTATTTAATATCTAATTTAATTTGTTATTCGCGTTGTTGTGGATATATTAATACATGTAGGGGCGGTGGTGATATCGGTGTTTATTTTGATGGGTGGTCATCGAGTGGTGGCGGTCACCGAGTGGTGAGATACGTTAGCGGACCCACCTCGACCACCAAGTCTTATAAAAGGGCCACCACCTCCCGCCGTTTTAACATCCTCTTCCCTCAGGCCACATCCGGCCCTCCAGATACCCATCCGCCTACACACTATATTCAGGTGAATGCACGCGAATTCCCTAGAACACTTGCAGACGCTCGCGCCTTCGCCATCGGCTGCCCTCACCTGCCCTTCGCTACCTCTCTAGTCTTGCGTTTTACACTCGCTTCGGTTATTTTAACCACACCTCTATTGCCTATACTCCTCCCTTTCTATCGCGTTTCTCCCTCGGCGGTGCCGCCGTCTCTTCCTCGACGGCTCCCTCCCAGCCGTCTGCTCCTTTGCCTACCCTGTGTCTACTCTTTCCCTGCCTCTATTTACGGCCTGTACCACTACGTGTCGCCACTGAGCGAACGAGCACCTTCTACTCGCAAGCGGCCTCCACGCCTGCCGCCATGACCTCCCTATTTCGACCTCCATATTCTACGAGTTCCACCGCACTCCCTGGGCTCACCCTTTCGGGGTCTGCTCGGTGACACGCCAGGCTCATGCTACTGGATGGACCGCACGCCTCGCCCCTTTTCACCCTGCGTCCCCTTACCCTTACGGCTGAGCTATATACCGTCTTACCTACATGGCAAACGGCGCTATCTGTCAAGCTATTGATAGCTACGCCTGGGCCTATAATCAATTTATTTCCCGCGGATAGGGAAATCTCAGCTTTGGGCGCATAGGAAAATAGAGAGGGAAGCAATTAAAGGGGGCTATAGCTGCACGGAGTCCTGGCAATATTACATTTCTAGGTGTGATTACTGACCGCAGCATCCTGATCGTCTACTGTTGATAAATAGTAAAATTGCCGCAGTCGCAGGTTGATTACGAAACCGAGACTTGCCAGGCCGCCGGCTTTGTCTCCCTGTAGCTAGAATCCGCCTTGTGTTGGCCGCAGATGGGGAGAAGACCTGTAGGATTCGAGATCCTCCCGCCCGCGGCCTCCGGAGACGAAATTATGAGACATCGAGTGCATTACGCAGTGCTTCCTGGAGATCAGGAATCACATTCTATGCTCCGGCAGCGCAGTCGGCCGAATCTGATCATCCCTCTCGAAAATTTTGACCTCCTTATTTCTCGCCGGCTGGGGCTATTTATGCATCAAGCCGGAGCTACTGGTAAGCCATTATGCCATCAGCAACCGGGATCGTTACCTGAATGGCGAATTTTTCAGATGCCGTGAGAGCCAACCTGCACATGTACTAGGTTCATGAAGGGGAGCCGGGCTAGGACTGAAGATCGCAACCTGGCAACTCCGCGGGCGCAGTTAGGATCAGCTTGCCCAGCCAACACCGTGTCGAATGTTACATTCAGGCAGAAGGAAAGTCGAGCAAGGGGTGCCCCGGCTCCGAGTCCATGAGGGCGCATGATATCTGTGCCATCAAATTTCTTGGTTGAATCAGCTGGGTCCCTTATTACCGCATCTGCCTGGGGCCTTGGGATTTTATTCTCTTCCGTCGTTTGCGGATAAAAGCAGGCAGGTATCCCCTTTTGCTTTGCTCAACCAACTCCCCCAACCAAATAACCCGCGAGTCACCCTCCCAGCCTCAAGATAGATTCCGTTTCAGTGATTCTGGCCTATAGTCCACTAATAGTAGATCAATATTCACGGCCACTGAGCTTCCGCTTGCCCGGCCAGGTGACATTAGGATGGACGACGCGCATGTGCCTTTTAAGGGCATCAGCACGCGAAAAGGTCTTCGCCTCCTCACACTCGTGGCAGCTGGTCTTCTGCTTGCTGACATTGTGTATTGTGTCCTCGTGGCGGGTGAGGTCATACGGCCGGGAGAATTCTGTACTACAGGGCCTACCCGTCGACGGGTTCGTGCGGTCACATCGGTGAGGGCCGGCTCGCGAGTTGCGTACGCTGAGACCTTGGCTAGGAATAACTTGGTGGGTTCTGCGGTGTTTCATCATGCAGGCACGCCTTTCGAAGCGGCGGGTGCAGCTGTGGTAGGTACAGCTGTAGATGCCAGCATCCGAGGTCGCGCCCTCGGATTGGCTGGCGGATAGATCCACGTTGTGGCCATCGTTCATGCTGGGCTCCAACCCGGCAAGGGTGGAGCCTGTGTCTGAAGCCATGCCCCCGGGTTGGCTGGTGGCTAGGTGTGTGTCCTGGTCATCGGTCCTTTTGGCCATAAAATCGGCGCTCGTTTCCTGTAGATACTGCTGGGGGAAACTGGCGTCTGGGAAGCAAGTATTTGGGCCGTAAAAGTAAGGCTAGTGCATGTCCTGGGGGTCGGAGAAAGGGGTAAAGGCGTCCGTGGAGATGTTAGCGATGGCCAAGGTGTGCGGTGCCTGGAAATCACACCCCGGAGGTAGATGCAACTTGTGTGGAAGGTCGGGCTCTCTAAAGGAGAAGTGTAGGTGCATTCTGCCCATAGACGCTGAGGAAAATTTAGTAAATAAAGTACACCGCGGGGCTTATAGTAGAGACCTAAGGGGAAGCGGCGGGTGGTCGAGGCAGGTTATAAGGGATAAGATCTATGTGATTTATCCGGGCCATTGTAAAAGCCATACTTTATAGATAAACCAACCGCGAGGCTATGACACTTGGTTTTTAAGCATTCCTTTAAACTAATTGAAGTTATACCAACTTAGAGACGCCATCAATAAATCAATGCATGGGCTAGCTCACTTGTAATCGGATCGGTATTTTAAGCCGCTAGCTAATATTGTGTATTAGACTAATAAGGGGAGGTGCCTTGAGCAGGTATAGAAAATAAACTAGTCCAGGGATTTTTTTAGGAACTTGATAGGCACGATATTTTGTGGTTTATTGAATAGATAGATGGGCAATACCGTGCATTAAAAAGTATAGGGGATAGGTGTATTTATAGTAGGTGCGAGATTATAGCTTTTGGTTACCACTCAGTACAAACGAGGTTATTACTAGTACTTTATACGTTTAGTTTATAGGGCATGCCGAGGTCTCGGCAGGATGTCTGTGTCCTAATCTTCCATGCGTGATGCAATTCTATCTCTTCTACAAGAGCGATGTCACCAAGGAGGCAGCTATCCTAGCTCCAGCCATGATCCATGAACTAGCAGAGATATCCCGGTCCGCGACGTTGTTTGGTGTAGCCGTTGTCATTGGTGGCATCATGTCGGTGACTCCCAGGCGCGGAGTTGCAGTCTGTCTCCCCATATGGCCAGAGCCGGCGGTGGCTTGCGATTCGGCGTAGCATCCGGCATAAATTCTGGTCTCGTTCAGCCAAACCCAGCCCCCTGGAATCGAAAGCATGGCGTCATACCAGGCGACCGGGCACACCTCAGCGAGGGAGAAGGCCGCAGAGCTGTGTGATGACCACCATACGGAGGCCACGCTGCCATAGGAGGACAGAGCAGGCAGTAGAGACTTGGGCGCAGCCGTACTAAGGCGACACCAGTCGGAGGACTCAGGAAAAAGGCACCTCTCCGTAGATTTGATGGTCAAGACGCAATCCTTAATCAGTTCGCTACCGTGCGAAGAGATAGCCGCCAACAGCGCACCGGTCGGTGTAGGTACCTCGAAGAACTTAGTGAGATTGTGCGTCACACACTGCCAGGGATCGATAGTGACGGTCGGTCGGTCGCTGGGCAGGATTGTAGTAATTTCGTCGAATACCTTGGTGGCAGCTACAGCGGAGGCCGCCACTAGCAGAAGGCTCGATATCTTCATTGTGTTTTCCAAAGTCGAGGAACGAGATGGTATATAACTATGTATGTATATAGTATTCTTAGATAGGTGGCTGTTTTATTTGGTGTAGGATAAAAGAGGGTCTATATACACTAGTGACACTCGACAGCACAAAAAACAGCGAACACCAGGAGATAAGGAAACCAAATGATGATGGATGCATGCAGGGTATATGGTAAATCAAACATAGTTATAAAACGGCTAAATTGCGATACGAGAAATACAGGGGTTTGAGCTATTATCATGCATTCCTATGGAGTAGGCAGCAAGGAATGCACAGCAATGACTCCGTATGCTACTTTTTAATAGAGTTACTTATTTGACGTGTTTACGCGCCAAGCGCCAAGGGACTCTTTACGTGAAATAGTTAGCCGCTATGTACGTAACTATTTATTCTCCAACATCGACGTCAACAACTTCAACCGCTTCAACTTTTCACTGCGGACGATACCATGACTATACTACGCGAGATCAAATACTCGCGCCAGGACTGCATTGCTGCAGTTCGTGACTACTACCAGTTTCTAGCCATGATGTATCTCGACGAAAACCTTGTTCTCGAGCCACCAGAGGGAGGCTGGCCATCAATCACCGATGAAGCCATGCTGGCCATCGGCAAGGATAAGACAGTTGCTTCTCTACTCCGCCATTTGCCTTATCTGGCTCGTCCTACAACATTTGGGTCGGAGAGCGAGCCCATCCCATTCCTCTTCTGTGCTAATTGGGCACATAACTGCGCTCAGATCAAGGCTGGCCGATTAAAGGCTGAAGGCGTTAGGGACACATCCCAAGCATGCATGGATGCAGAGAGGGTACCACCTCACGTTGTCGGCCTCACGAGTGGCGGGCGGGATACTAGTGCAGTCCTCCTTGATACTAAGCTCGGCGTCATATTCTTCCCCAAATGCCATGGGGATATAATGGTGGACCCTTATCGGGAGGGAGTTCTAGACAATCTATACAACTATGCACCCGAGAACGAAGCGGACTGGCGTGCGAGTGGCGGTTGCTGGGCAATCACAGACTTCTTCGAGGTTCTTAAACATGAGTTTCGCAAGCTATCCTTCGTTCCACTTAATACACGCATTGTACTTGAGATCTATTCGGCTAAGTTAGAAGAGGTTATTCCGATGGTACAGGAGATTTATTGAAAGCATGGCTGGCCCAATATGGAATTTTACAACAAGCGGAAGTGCCTAGCGTCAGTGCTGGCGGAGTTGGAAGACAAGTTCCCCGATTGTATAGACAGGTATGATGGTTGGCCAATTGACGATAGACCACGGGATACATAAATCAGCCTATTATTTATGTATTCTCGAGTTTTACGTATGCAATTCAGATCCTTCCGCTCGCTTGGGCCTGTCTAGTCTGTCTTCTACGACCCTGAAAATTACAAGTGGCCGACCTACCCACTTTATGCAGGAATTTACAGAAAGGTGAAATGAGGGGGGGTTTACAGGGGAATGCCTAGTAAACTACGGGACCTGCGTTGGAGGGTCAATAGGTAAGGTACTGGGATCGAAGACATGAGCCTGCAACCTAACAATCATACCAAGACTTTGAACAGGTACCAAAGGAGATGCACGCCTACACATATATACACACATATATATATACATGTATATGGCCCCTTTAGTTATCTCCCTATCTTCAATTATTTCACCTCTACATCTGCGCCCTCACGATGCTTATCGTGAGACCAGCCATAGTCGCGCTTTTATGGGCGGCCGTGGCGCAAGCTGCTATTAACCTCGACAGCTCTCACGCCACGAAACCTTTAGAGGAGGATAATCCCTCGCCAATTGGTGATCCTACTACCTATTATCCTAACCAATATAACTGTCCACTACCATGTGTTGATCTCGCAAATATCCATAGCTAGATCCCATACTTCTCAGTAAAGCGTTTACACCGTTGCCATAAGCCTATACTACTCCAATTCTCTATCACGCAGCCCCTGGATGATTTAGACTCTACTATACTTATACGAAGCTGTACTGTAGGTGCTACTTCCTCGCCCGCCGCTTTACGTGCTATAGAGCCCGTCCACAACCCTAAACTCTTGAAAGATTTATTCTAAGGGAGCCTCAAAACTGCACCGGCTTGTATTTCTACTAGCATCGAGGTCTTAGATAAGCTGTAACTAGCTATCGGCACAGGCGGGGGACAAAATGGTGATGGGCAACGACCTAGGGCGGCATTAAAGCTGCGGTATGATATTCTTATTACTTCTTAGGAATTATTATTGCATATGCAGACAGGGACAATGAACCAATGACTAATAACAAATACCAGGCGCATTCATGTTCAAATAAAGTAGGCAGCAAAGTATGTACTCCCTGCTGTTTTTTTTTTCGCTCAACAAAGAAACGCTTCACTTGGTTGTTAGGAGATTATAGGAGATTAGAGTGAATACCCATGTTACATGATTGAAAGTAAACCGTCACCCAAAACAAGAATAAAACAAACAAATATACATTGGGAAGGAAGGAAAGAGAATATGGAAACACGACCAAGGGAAAGCTGGGCGAGGACACGGCGGAGATGGACATCCGGCTTCGTAAACACTGGGGTCCGCGTATCGATATTGGGGGTCCGAAAATGTGATGCGAATGGAATGGTGTATCATCGTATTAAAGTGGTTAGTAATATTTGCAGCTATTCCCAGCCAGCATGAATTAAAAAAAGATAAAAAAAGTTGTATGGGAAGAAACCCCACGGACGTTCCCTCAATGCAATCACATATTGGCAAGTTCATTATCAATCTGGCGGTCGAGGAAAGCCTTCTTTTCTCCAGTCAAAGTCGTTTGAAGTCGTTGTTCAACAAGGGCACGAACTGAATAAATATATTAGCAATTGATACGGGTAAATGTAGGATTGTTAATCATACCTTGTTTCTTTGTGACGGTGTCGAGATCTACTTCTCCTAGACATCCTTGAATTGCAGCAGTAATAGCGGCCTCGTCGGGACCCTGTCCAGGAGCATTTCTGAAGTCCACCAGGGTACTGGCGGGTCGCGGCATGGGGCTTCGCATGCTCAGGCGTTGGGATGGAGCAAAGTTGTTATCAGAGCCCGGTACACCGAAGCCACTCAAGCGGCTGGCATTGGCTGGGTTATCTTGATAGTGGCTCAAGTTACCTACGGATAGATGTTGAGAGCCTCGGCCACCTAGTTGAGGTTGGTCCGTGTAGGTAGTAAGGTGAGACATATGCGAGCTCCTATTTCCAGGAAGATTGCTGTATGGGCTTGGAGAATGAGGAAGGACGTAGGGTGTTTGTTGAGCCCCCTGAGTCGGGAAACCAGTTAGGATCGTTGATGCTGGCTTCACGGAAGAATACATCGAATGCATGTCATCCATCTCAACGGCCGATTCGTCATTGTATCCTGGGAGGTTACCCTTCTCCTGTGCATTTGGATTGCCTCTGCGACCGGGGAGGTTATGGATAAGAGCGTAGTTGTCCCATCTCTGGAGAGGGATGCTCTTAGGATCAAAGTGCTCATCTTCGACAGCAATAATTTTCCTGTCACCCTTCTCTCCAATAACGATACGGGTGTTACCCCATGTGAAGTTGTCTTGGTTCCAGAAGGAGTACAAGGGGAGAATAAAACTGTAGAAGGGGAACGCCATCAGGTAGATGATCATCCAACCAATATGTTGCCATTGGCGTTTGATGATGAAGATGACAGCCTGAAGACCGTATACAGCTGCAATCAAGATAATGGAAATCAATGGGAATTGTCCTTTGTGGGAGCCGACGAGATAGAGAAGGTATCCAAGATAGACGGTTGTGGCTGGGAGGATGAGCGTTCCGAACAAGTCAATGAATACAACGAATCTCATGCTGAAGCAACAGAAGCCACACAGGTCTTTCAGGAGCATAAGTTCAGCGAGATTGTGGATGGTAGAGTTGATCCAACGTCGTCTCTGGGACATGAGAACCTGCCACGTTTCTGGAGCAGCGGTGCTTGCATACGCATCAGGCACGAATTTGTAGGACATGTGAGGGAAGTGTTTTGTCATCAGTGTCGTTAAGAATCGATCTTCTCCTAGGGACAACAGATTCTTCTGGTGCAAGGTGTCAACTCGTACATCAGCATACTCGCTAATGACCTTTTCAGAAATGATCAATGGACGCCCTTTATCTTGGGTACGGAGTCGATACATGGAGAAACTTTCGGAAAGATTAGTATATTAAAATAAAGCGTGGTGTTTGGGGAAAGATGAGACTTACCATCCAGGAAGACAGGTAACACTGCCGAAAAGAGATTCGAAAGATTTGGCCAAATGATGGGAAATGTAGTATTCGTAGACCTGAATCATAGTCCACCAACTTCGTTCCTCGTTCTGTAAACTGGTTTCACCACAGATACCTGCAATTTTCGCGTCGTTTGCACAACTTGCAACTAACCGATTAAGAGAATCTTCCCTAACGCTAGTATCGGCATCAACCATGAGAAGGTACTCATACAGTTCAGGGTCCACTCCGATGACGTTGTTGATCTGATGGAATATCTCCAGCTCGAGCGGCGACATATGGGAGCGGTGGTGGACACGGTTAAGGAACCTGAGTAGAAGGACCTGGGAGTCACGCTTTCCACGATTTCCGGGCTTGGTCTTGGACTGTTCTGATTCCTTGCCGACTTTGACGACGACGATGTAGGGGACCACGTTGCCTTCGTACTCATACAGGCCAGAATACACCTTTCCGTAGTTAAGCTGGTCACTTCCTTCACCGACGGATTTGAATGGGAGAGCCGGGGGATCGATTTTGGGATCGACACCAAGAATATCGAGTACAATTTTGGGAGTAGGCCTATCGTTACCACCACCAACGATCATACCATCACAGACAACGAATATGAGCTTTCGCTTGTTATCGTATTGGAGCGCAGTGAGAGAATCAATGGCTTTGCGGAGTTGGTCCTCTCCTTCGGTGTACGCTGGTACCTGGCAGATAACAAACTTGTCTTGCATCGCAGGTCGACGTTTAGTACCAAGCTGCAGGGCAGCAAGGAACTTTATGAGAATAACAGCACAAAGGACGATAGTAAACGACAAAAGGATGTACTTGTTCGCTTGACAACGTGGGGTCTCACGGAAATCGGTCTTTCCAACATAGAATTGATTGTTCAAACAATTCATGCTGTTCTTGAACTCGGTGGTATCGCCCCATAGACTTGTGATATCGGTTCCGGCTTCCTTCTTAAATAGATCTGTGACAACAGGTGGTAAGAAGTCATACGCGGGGTAACTGTCCATTTTGTCAAGAGTGTTAAAGTAATCAGTCAAGTCGTAGACCTTTTCGTTGATGATAACCCATTTCCTGTCAAGGTCCCTTGCTTGGGCTGTGACATTCTTTTTGGACCAAACCAAGTCACCCTTGTAAAATTCCTTAATCACGGGTTGGAAGACCTTTGGATACCAATCTTCATTGTGAAGCTTAAGAGTTATATCAGGTTGGTTGGGACCAGACTTGTGAATAGCGATCGGGTTTAAAGAGGCATCGGTGTTGTTGGGGATGAGTTCAATGTTCGACTTAATGCCAAAACCAGGGCAGGCTAACGTCAATGGGATGGGGAAATAGGCGTCAAGATTATGGCCAGCGAATGGCTGCATGGCTTCCCGGTCGGTTGGGTATTTTCTGCCTGATGTATGCGGAGTTTTTGCAAACTTGCTGATATCATAGACCTGACCGCGGATACTGACGAATGTATCATCTTCACCTTGGTGGAAACCGATTTCTGTGCTGTCCCATACTTTGTCCCTACCAGGGCAAATCAGATTGCCAAACTCGACAATGTAGAAGACAATGATAGCGTTCAAGAGTATAATCAAAAACACGAGAACAATTTTCTCTCTCCATGCCATGCGGACATCCGGTCGCTTCATCCGTCCGACATAGCGGAGGACGAAGGATGGAATCCAGAAAGTCATCGCCCAGACAAATGCAATCCACAGCCGACGACTGAAAGTGATCCTTTCATGTTCAATGCTTTTAGGGTCGGCAAATTCAGGGTCGAGTTGGCCGACAAAGCGACCCAGGTTTTCATCGTAGTAGGCGTCGTCGTACTTAATGTCGTCTCCTTTGGCTCCCAGGCCATAGTCACCAACGTTCCTAGAGACTCTGTTCATGGTGGGCGCAACTGATTGAGCGACTCCTGTGCCAGTAACTACTGTCGCAGCTATTGTTCCGGGGCCCTGTCTGTTTACAAGGTGTTCGTGGCTTCCTTGGATGCTCATGCCGTCGGCGGTGAAGAAGCCACTCTGGTTCATTGCAGGGTTCAAACCTGGCGGGCTAGGTGTGTAACCTGAGTCAAAATTGCTGGTCATTCCTGGATTAAACGGGTTGGCGTTCGCCTGTTGGGGCATGAGGTCGAGCATGGATTCGGCCTCCCACCAGGCACTTTCTCTCATCCAGATGCGCTCATTACCGACGACCACGTCACCATTTGACCATCCTCGTTCAAGAATCCAATTCTCGACACCATCTTTTCCTTCCTGACAACCGAGGGGAGAATATCTGATAACGAACTCCTCAACGTCGAAGTCTGCCGTAAAATCCAATCGTTTGTTTCGACGGTTTGCTACTTCTGGGAGTCTCCAAGCACGAAGTTGGCGCGAGACGGTTCCGGCAGACCAAGCAGAGGTAGCCGAGGGTAGGGCAGCAAGAGCAGCTGGTGGGTCGTCTGTTGGATGAATAGAAAGGTGATACCAGACTCTGCTGCTTCCAAGGGTATTGACTAGGTCAAAACGCTTCGTCTGGCCATGTCTAACCCCTTGTCCTGGAACAGGGTATAGAATTTGACGGAAGAAACAACCAGGTTCCACCTCAACGCCGATTTTCTCCAAGACTCCCTCAACTTTATCATTAAAGTAGTCCCTTTCTCGGGAAGCGGCATTATCAGTCATACCCAAGTGTACTCCGACCTCGGCTTTGGCAGCGTTCATCTCACTAACAACTGAATGACCTGGGCCAATAACCTCGATTCCATCCTCCTTTATCTCAGCGTTGATACCCGTGGTATCATCGAATGCGCCTCTGAGAGCAATTGCCTTTCCTAGAGCAGGGTCCGGGATTTCGACAACGGTAAGGCCGACAGTATCGGCGGTTTCTTCCTCAGTCAAGGCAGTGCGGGGTCCCCCGTCACTCGAGCCGTTTTCGTGGATGGAGATGATCTCGTTGTGAATAGCCTCGTTCGCCTTTGCAATAATCCAGTCCAACAATGCATCGTAGATACCGGCCATCAAGGCCTCTCGTTCGTCCGTGTTGAAGTTCTTAAGAAGGATGAGCGGGTCGATGTTCAAGAGACCTCCAACATCTTCACAGACATCCTCGATCTCTTCTTGATCGACCAACAGGCCCATTGCATTTCCGAGTTTAAGCAGAGCGGCCAGGACAGACAGAAGGTTCCTCTGAGCGGCACCTTTGATTCCAATAGCCTTCAGGCAACTCCGGAAGTCTTCCGCAGCAGCAGCATCGTCAGCTGTAGGCAAGTAGGATGGGGGATCGAATGTGCCGGATTTACTAAGAAGGGCACAGGTGGAAGGGTCGTTAATGCCTAGGAATTCCCTCTCCGCTGGCGTGGATGAGGATGTGATGAGGTAGTAAAAGACGTCAAAGGCCCGGTAACCGGCTTCAGCGGGGATGTTGAATAGGCCGTGAGAAGTGTTGATGCCAGAATTAGACACTGCTAGCTGGACGTCCGTGACACGGCCGGTCAAGGTAAAAGTATAGGAGACTGCGAGAGCTGAATATTGGAGGGCAGTGGGGTTGTATGGGGTGACTTGAGAGACGAATGGGCGAATGGCAGAGATGGCGGTATATGCGATTTCTGGCGTAGCGAGTGGTAGAGATGCTAACATGGGAAACAAGAGGGAGGGAGAAGATTGATGTGAGGAGCTGTCAATAGTCAGTATTCATGAATCCTGCCTTCCAGTCGTAAAAAGTAGAAGCCTTTAAGAGAGGGTAATTACCATAAAACGATGCATCCATCTTCTGCTCTTCGTCGAGCGTGCTCCCAGGCTCTCCTTGCCAGACTCGCGTCCAGCGTTCCGCCAACTTCTCCGTTAGGACCTGGGGTGGTGGTGGTGAGCCATGTGTTGACCACCAAGCTGGTTCCGGCCTCAAGCTGGTATCCCTGTGCAGAGGCGTAGGCAGTGTGAAGCGCATTCAACAGCGTCGTCGTGGAAACCTGGGCTGGCTGCTGGCCAGCTGATCGAGGGTCCTGAGAAACCGACGACAGGGCCGAATAGATGGACATACGGTTCGCCATGGTTGCGAGTCCGTTTGGGCGTCAATGGTATATCCTATGAGACAGCAACGCTGGTCTCGTAAAGTCCTAGTTCTGAGAAGACATCCAAACGAGCGACGGATAGAGTAAAGATTCGTTCTATGGCCGAGAGACGGGGATGTCGGCCTCCTTTTGGCACGAGAGCAGGAGACCTCCTGAATACCGAATATTAAGCCGCAAGAGCTGCCTCTAACGGCGAGAGAAGAGAGATAGAACGCAGCAGAGCAACAAACACAACGGTTAACGAGCGAACGACGAAGAAGCGAGAGAAAAGTCAGCGAAAAGACGAGTCGATGATGTTGTTGACGCTTCGCTGGCTTCGAGGTTGCTGGTGTTTCACATTCTTTTTTTTGTTTGTCTCGGACATCAACAGTGGTAAAGTAAGCGTACGGTACGTGACCTGACAGTACGCCCTTCCTTCATTACAGATATATATAAGTGGTGCACATGTGAGATTTATTTTCGGCCCTCGCAGCGAGCTAGACAGAGGTTGTATTTCTTCACGATGTGGCAAGGAACAAGCTGCCGGGCTGAGGTAAGACTGCTCCATGCAGGCGGGATGCTACGAGGGGCTTCTACTTGACATGTTAGAAATATGACACTTCGTGCTCCGTACATGTAGGATGGCAGGACCGATGATGTCCATATATAGTCAAGAGCACGGGTGTCCCACGCGAGCTGCTGGCCGTTTCGCGATGCAACAGCCAGAGCATCTCCTAGACTGGCTACTGGCTCTTGGATCTTGCTTGTGGCATCCAGTTTCCTGCAGCCACCACACGGCACGGTTATCGAATAGAGTCATGCTAGGGCCATCGATCGAATCTCGATACTAAATGTCTGTATCCGTGAGTTATAGATGCTGCTCCTCCAGTAGCTATCGAGATCAGCAGGGCGATAATATAATAGTTCGCATTGTGGTGCCATGCAGGTGGTGGCGATGGGCGGCATGGGCGACGACCGGGGAAAGGAGGATTAGCGGCTGTGATGTCTCAAATAGACACCTCCCTGAACACTTGTCTCACGCTCAACGACCACAACGACCTCTCTCTCGCTGTCGTTCGCTAGGCAAAGATAGCCGCCATCACTCTCACTTCAAACACTCGGCAGTCTCGAGCCAGGAAGAACCACGACGGCCATCCATACCCAATGCTCCCCCTTTCATCAAAGATCCATGGAGCTGGCGAAAAGGAACAATTAAGCCTAGGATCGTGCCGTTCTCGATCCACGAATCGACGTCGAGGGATGTACGAGCCTAACTGGCTCATGTGGAGTTGAGCAAGGACGTGGGGGACAGCTCAGGAGAACCGTCGAACTGGCAGCCGCGTATCTTTCTCTGCAACTTCACTCGCATATCCAGCCTCTCACTAGCCGCAGCTTCAGCCTGCCTGTCTCGTCTTGTTGATCCTCCGTGATCCTGATATGTGTTTGATGTTTGATGTTGCTGGTGTTGATGTTGCTGATATTGCTTGATGTTGATGTATTTATTTTTAGCTTCGAGCGAGGCGATGCTAGTGTAACTTACTTTCTCCTTTTTGTCAGCGTGTATTTGTGGTATTGTAAATACGCGTACGGGAATGTTTCACTTCAGTTTACATCTTACCCTTTTGGGCTGCGAGCACCGCCAGGGAAAAAAAGACGCCCAAGGAGAACTTTCGACCTTTCAACCACCTTCAACTTTCCTCCCTTCGTCGAGGCCGGTCGATGAGAACGCTCGCTTTGCTCTCGCTGTTATCGAGATAGCGTCTGCGTCTCTTTTCACCGTCGCTCGTTTCGGCTGCGTTGTTGCTGCTCGTTTCGCCTACATACGCCCGTTTCACTGCACATAATACAGTCGCTTGCTGTATCACCATCTTTCGACCTCTAGACGCCTGCTTCGTTTCTTCCAGCCTGTCCTTGCTTTGGCTTTCTGCGCAAGGCCCCTATCCGAGTTTTATTCCTTCGCTTGATCAAAGTCGAGGACGTCTAGTCTGAACCCGGGAGTTCGTGATAACAAACACATACATCGTCTGGTGTGTATGTTGACCGGGCGACCCCATCTATTCCACAGCTGAACGACTGTTACGACTGTTCTATCCGAGACCACGGACATAAACCACCTTCACTATCGAAGGCCATTGAGCCAGTTGCCCCAAGGGGTAGATACGACCAGCCATGGCTACACCAACCCACGCTCAGTCTTCCCTTCCTGCCCTGCCGGCACATCTTCAGAACGACACACATCTTGCGGCCCATCTTGCTAGCAGGTAAGCAGAGATATTCATCGTGCTATCGCATGGAATGGCCAGAGAAAGCGTCTCTAACTCGAAGTGACAGATTCCATGTTTCCTTACCTACTGCACGGCTCTCCGCCCAGGCGTTGATATGTCTAAACACGTATACCTCGTCCACGAAAGGGCCAGATGGCGGAAAGGAAGGTAGTGCTATGGGAGAGGCGGAGGATCTGGCAAGACGAGCATGGACTAGACTTGGCTCGCGGGGTGAAAACCAGGCCATCGTCTTCTTGTGAGTTTTGTCTATCAACATAATATCATTGCTGTTGCTAACAGTTAAAAAAGGGGTGAATCCGGATCTGGGAAAACCACCATTCGCTCACACCTTCTCTCTTCCATCCTCTCGTTTTCGTCGACTCCTCTATCAACGAAACTCTCTCTGGCCGCATTTGTTTTCGATACTCTCACTACCACCAAATCAGTCACCACGCCTACTGCCTCAAAGGCTGGTCTTTATTTCGAATTACAGTACGATGGATCGTCCACCATCAACCCTACCCTCATTGGTGGAAAGGTTCTCGACCATCGATTGGAGAGAAGCCGTATCGCTTCCGTTCCCACTGGTGAACGTTCATTCCACGTTTTGTATTACCTCTTAGCAGGTACCAGCGCAGCCGAACGATCACATCTAGGATTGGAAAGTCCTACTGGTATCCGAGGCGGCGCCGGCAATCGCTCTTCTGCGAGTGAAATGCACAAGAGATGGCGTTACCTAGGCCATCCAACCCAGATGAAAGTCGGGATTAATGACTCTGAAGGTTTCCAGCACTTCAAAACCGCCCTTCGAAAGTTGGAATTCCCACGCAGCGATATTGCCGAAATTTGCCAGATGCTGGCTTGTATTTTGCACATCGGACAACTCGAATTCGTAACCGGCCAGTCAACCAGAACAGCACCTGAAGAGAGCGGTGGTTATTCGCACGAGGGTGGTGAGACTGTCACCATTGTTAAGAATAAGGAAACCCTCGCTGTTGTAGCTGCGTTCCTTGGATTGAGCACCGATGATTTGGAGGTTGGCCTTGGAAACAAAACGAAGACCATCCATCGCGAGCGAGTCACCGTAATGCTGGACCCAGCTGGTGCTCGAGCAAACGCTGATGAATTCGCACGCACTCTCTATGCCCTCCTGGTTGCATATGTGATTGAAAACATAAACCAGAAGGTCTGTGCTGCAGAAGCTGCCGTTGCCAACACTATCTCCATTGTCGACTTCCCTGGTTTCGCCCAGACCTCCTCGACAGGTTCAACCCTTGATCAGCTCTTGAACAATGCCGCAACTGAATCTCTTTACCACTACTGCCTACAGAACTTCTTCGAGCGTCAAGCAACAATGCTAGAAACCGAAGAGGTCAGTGTTCCGGCTACGAGCTACTTCGATAACTCGGATGCTGTCAGAGGCTTGCTGAAACATGGTAATGGTCTGCTGTCTATTCTTGATGACCAAACTAAGCGAGGAAGGACGGATATGCAAATGTTGGAAAGCATGAGAAAGAGGTTTGATAACAAGAACTCTGCAATTGTTGTGAGCAGCTCAACTGCTATCCTGCCTGGAAGTAACTTCCCCACGCAGAATACAGCTGCATGTTTCACCGTCAAGCACTTTGCAGGAGAGGTCGAGTATCCTGTCAAAGGCCTTATCGAAGAGAATGGCGATCTTGTTTCCGGCGATTTGCTCAACCTTATCAACAACACCCGAAGTGGATTTGTACGTGACCTCTTCGGACAAGAAGCCCTGCAAACCATCCATCATCCAAAAGAGAAGTCTGCAATCATGCAAGCCCAAGTCAGCTCAAAACCACTACGTATGCCTAGCATGGCTCGCCGCAAGATGAGCAAGATGTCGAAATTTGCCCCCAATCCTGCAAGTTCGGAGAATGACGATACCGATGATGCAAGCAGTGGCAGGAGGGGTGCATCCAACAATAAGAAGGGAGACATCGGTGGCTTGAAGCAAGGAGCTGCAGCTCAGTTCCTAGCCTCCCTTGACAATATCACCAAGTCTCTGTCTGCCACGAATGTCAACCCGTATATTGTCTTCTGTCTGAAACCAAATGACCGCCGCATTGCCAATCAGTTTGATAGTAAATGTGTGCGCACTCAGGTGCAGATGTTTGGTATTGCAGAAATCAGCCAACGCCTGCGCAATGCAGACTTCTCTGTGTTCTTACCCTTCGCCGAATTCCTGGGCCTTGCGGAAGAGGAATCGGTCATCGTTGGAAGTGACAAGGAGAAATCTCAACTTGTCATTGATGAGAAACGCTGGCCTGGCAATGAAGCTCGCGTCGGCAGTACCGGTGTTTTCTTGAGTGAAAGATGCTGGGCTGACGTTGCTAAGGTTGGGGAGAGAGTGCTTCCCGCCTTCAATGGAAACGCTACCGACGATGGAAATGGTTTAGGCAATAATGGATACGGTGATTCCAAGGTCCGACTCCTCACTCCAGCAGATAGCACCCCTGGAGCTTACATCTACGGAGATGAGACCAAGGGAGGATATTTCACTGGCCGAGACGCAGATGCCCGTTCTGACGCTGGTGCATCAGCGTTCAACTCGGGAGATATGTTCAAGAACTTGGAAACCCGAGAACAAATGGCAGAAAAAGGAAACGAGAAACAAATGGTTGAGGTAGAAGACGTCATTGTTTCCGGCAGCCGTAAACGATGGCTGTTCGTAGTCTACCTCCTCACCTGGTTTATCCCCGACTTCCTCATCAAGTTCGTCGGCCGAATGAAGCGAAAGGATATTCGAGTCGCTTGGCGAGAAAAACTTGCCATCAATATGCTTATTTGGTTCACTTGTGGTTTTGCTATCTTCTTCGTCATCTTCTTCCCAGGCCTTATCTGCCCACCACAGCACGTTTTCTCAGCGGCGGAGTTGACCACGCATAACGGAGACCCTGGCCATGATGCCTTCGTTGCCATCCGTGGTGAAGTCTTTGATCTCGGCGAATACATAAAAACCCATTACCCCAGCATTGTTCCTCGCAAGGATATGCTGAAGTATGCTGGCACTGATGCAAGTGATCTATTCCCAGTACAAGTTTCTGCCCTCTGCGATGGTGTAGATGGAAAGATCGACGACGCCGTTCAACTTGACTATACTCCGACCAACCGCACCGGCTCAGCCTCCGTGATTAGCAAAACAGACACCAACTCCCAATACCATGACTTCCGAGCTTTCCACAAAGATTCGCGACCATGGTGGTATTTCAAACAGATGAAGATGTTGCGCCAAAACTTCGCCAAAGGCCGTATTGGCTATACTCCGAAACTGTTGGCAGAAATGGCCGATAAGTCACAATATGTTGCCTTCATTAATCATAAAGTGTACGATGTAACGACCTATGTCACCGGTGGCCGGGTGGTCAAAACCAAAGATGGGGAACCCCAACCAAAGGACGTCAATACCGACTTCATGCACCCAGATGTCATTGGCCTATTCCAACTCTACGCAGGACAAGACATTACAAAACGTTTCCAAGAGCTCAAGATCGGCAATGATATGCGCAGGACGATGCAGATTTGTCTCGATAACTTGTACCTTGCCGGTGAAGTGGACATCCGAACTTCGCCTCGATGCTTGTTCTCCCAATATTTCATTCTTGCTATTTCCATATTGCTAGCGACTATCATTGGATTCAAATTCTTGGCTGCCCTGCAATTCGGAAAGAAGAATGTCCCTGAGAATATCGACAAATTTATCATCTGCCAAGTTCCCGCTTATACAGAAGATGAAGAATCTCTACGTCGTGCGATTGATTCCATGGCCCGCATGAAATATGATGATAAACGCAAGCTGATCCTCGTTGTTTGTGACGGTATGATTATTGGACAAGGAAATGACAGACCAACGCCTCGAATTGTTCTTGATATCTTTGGAGTTCCTGAGAACGTGGACCCAGAGCCACTAAGCTTTGAGAGTTTAGGAGAGGGAATGAGACAGCACAACATGGGCAAGGTATACTCTGGTTTGTACGAAGTGCAAGGCCACATCGTTCCGTTCTTGGTTGTTGTGAAGGTTGGAAAACCATCCGAGGTATCGAAGCCTGGTAACCGTGGAAAGCGTGACTCTCAGATGGTTGTTATGCGTTTCTTGAACCGTGTTCATTACAATGCTCCTCTCAGCCCTCTTGAACTTGAAATGCACCATCAAATCCGCAACATCATTGGAGTCAACCCAACGTTCTACGAGTTTATCCTACAGGTCGATGCCGATACGACAGTAGCATCGGACTCTGCGACTCGAATGGTGGCTGCATTCCTTCATGATACACGTGTTATTGCCCTTTGCGGAGAGACTGGTCTTAACAACGCCAAATCGTCAATGATCACCATGATTCAGGTTTACGAATATTATATTTCTCATAACCTCACAAAGGCCTTCGAGAGTTTGTTCGGTTCCGTTACTTGTTTGCCCGGTTGTTTCACCATGTACCGAATTCGAGCTGCCGATACTGGTAAACCCCTCTTCGTTAGCAAGGAAGTTGTTGACGCATACGGTGAAATTCGTGTGGACACCCTCCATATGAAGAACTTGCTTCACCTTGGTGAGGATCGTTACTTGACTACCCTGCTCTTGAAGCATCATTCTAAGTACAAGACTAAGTTCACTTTCAACGCCCACGCCTGGACCATTGCACCCGATACCTGGGCCGTCTTCATGTCTCAACGTCGTCGATGGATCAATTCCACTGTTCACAACTTGATGGAGCTTATCCCACTTCAACAGCTTTGCGGTTTCTGCTGCTTCAGTATGAGATTCATTGTCTTCATTGATCTTCTCAGTACCATCATTCAGCCAGTTGCCGTTGCATATATCGTCTATCTTATTGTGCTCATTGCGTTGAACAATGGAATTGTTCCCTGGACCGCCCTCATTCTTCTCGCAGCCATTTATGGTCTTCAGGCAATTATCTTCATTGTCCGCAAGAAATGGGAAATGGTAGGCTGGATGATCATCTACATTCTCGCAATGCCTGTGTTCTCCATGGGTCTCCCACTCTATGCTTTCTGGCACATGGACGATTTCAGTTGGGGTAACACTCGTATCGTCACTGGTGAGAAGGGTCGCAAGGTGGTTATCTCCGACGAAGGCAAATTCGATCCTGCATCAATCCCCAAGAAGAAGTGGGAAGAATACCAATCCGAGCTATGGGAAGCTCAGACTCACGGTGGTGGTGACGACCGATCTGAGGTTTCTGGCTATTCGTATGCCACCAAATCGCACTACCCAGCTACCACTGAGTATGGATACTCTGCTTCACGGCCTGTGTCTCAGATAGATCTCAATCGCTACAGTTCTCGACTCTCCATGTCTGCCTCAGAGCTACTTGGCCGAGGCTCTGACGTCGAAATGGCAGATCTCTCAGCCCTGCCAAATGACGACTCTCTGCTCGCTGAGATCAGAGACATTCTCCGCACCGCAGATTTGATGACCGTGACGAAAAAGAGTGTCAAACTCGAGTTAGAGCGTAGGTTTAACGTCAACCTAGATGCAAAGCGGGCGTACATTAATTCTGGTATGTTATCCATATATCAACCCTCTAATGCTTAAGACATCATCGAGTTCTATACTAACATATATTCGTACAGCTACTGAAGCAGTTCTTTCGGGTCAACTTTAAATTTAAATAATAAAAAAGTGAAAATCGGAGCGGGCGATTTTTGTCTCCATTTCCATCTTTACGATCACAATGTCGGCTTCATTCTTGAATTTACAAAATTCTAAACTTTTCTTCATATCCCATCTCCACATTACCCGATATCTATTCCTAATAAGCTTTTGAACCGTATACTATTCTCTTCCTGTTTTTTCTTGTTTTGTTGGTTTTGCTTTGTGTCTTGGTTTATGACATTTTCAGCTGGCCCAGGTCCCATCGTGTCTAATTATTCATACTTTTCCTTGTCATCTATCAATTGCTATAAGCGCTTTTTATCATTGTTGTCGCGGAGGGATAGTAATCTATCTAATGTTGTATAAGCTTGGGTATATAGCTGTTTATTATAAGATATGGTCATTTATCAAGCTCTTGACTTAATTTCGGGGTTAAATCAATTTAAGTGGTGTTTATGTAACTACCCCCCCCCCTTGAGCAGTTATACATTCCCTGGTAACATGGATACTTAACATGGTAAACTTGTTACAATATCAAATACGCAATAATAAGGAATGAAGAATTTTGCGTGTAGCAATGGTAGACAATAACGCCATGCTTGTGCAATGCAAAAGCTTGATATGGTGTCGTACACATAAAGATGGGCATCCAAAGCTCAAGCAAAACATAGCTTTGGTAATGAATACCCCCCAAAGGCAATAGAAAATCATGCTCTTAAATAAAGCTTATTATGCAATATTACATATAACAATTATAATAAATACTATGATAAATCTCAGCATGGAGCTTAACGCTTCTCAGCAAACATCTTCGAAATTTTTCTCAAGCACACAAGTCAGTACATTTCCTGACGGTAGTCTTGCAATAGCAAAGATAACAAATTGAAGGCTTCCGGTAAGTAAATTGAAGGTTTCCGGTAAGTAAATCGAGAATAGCAAACTAGAAAAAATGCTTATCGTTTTACCATATAGATAAACGATTAGATAGATCAAATGGCAATATACCTAAGCACATATATCTGTGAATATATATGTGTAGATGTGTGTCTGAGTATACCATGGACCTTAAAACATAGACTTAATAATAATGCAACAGGGAATACATGTGAATAACAATAGTCCGTTTTTTTCTTTTCTTTAATTCGTTAAAAGTCTTATACGGCATAGGTTTCTTGTTTATACTTCATTGTGTAGAAGAAGACAGCAATTGCGTGGTATCATGTCATATGGATGATTGCAAAAAACAAAAAGAGAGAGGAAACCACAACAGGTATAGAAAAGGAAAGAGAGATATAGAAGAAACCCTTTGGAACATGAAACATGAACACCGAGATAAAGATATGAGGCTTGGTATAAGTAAGTTCAGTTAAGAAGTGCGAGAGCGGGGTTGGGGTATCCGATGAAACAAGACAAAGAACAAGACAAAGATGACGAGGTATAGTTGAGAAAGGAACCGAGAGCGATTCCTGCCAAAAAAGAAACAGGGAACAGAAAGAGTATAACAAACAACATAAATTCTCCCACGGCGTTAGACAAGAAAGGTAGAGAGATGGATCGACCAAATGTTTGTGTGGTATAGTGTAAAGAACTTTTCGAAAAGAGAAAGGAGACTCATTCAACGGGCTTTTCTTGGTATCATTGTGAAGGGTGGGTGGGGTATAAAAATAGTTTTTTTTTTTCTTGTTTCGGCCTGTTCCCCTTCATAGCGCATGGTATGCTGGTGTTGAGTGGTTGATTGCTTAGCGAGGAGGTCCGATCGGAGCAGAGTATGAGTTGGAGGTGCTCGGTCGTCCGCTGTCGAACGAAGCACGTAGGTCGTGTTTAGGGGTCATATCGCCGCCGGAAACGGATCCGGCGCCGCCCGTCCCAAAGGGAAACTTATTGTCAAACCGGCTTGGCCATCCGCTACCGCCTGAAGGATTCAGCATGTCATCCTTGGCGAGGTTGACACCGGAGTCGTTCCAAGGGTTGCGGTATCCACTGTCTCGGGATTCCATGGAGACAAGGGAGGCCTTGGAAGCATTGCTAGATGCATGCTTGAACAGAGATCCAGGCGAGGATGATTGGTTCTTTCTGCCGATGAACGAGGAGAAGGATGCAATGGAACCTGGTTTCCTGAGACGGCCAAATATGGAGCCGCGATCGGTAGAGTCGTCAGTAGCGAAGTTAGCGCGGATAGGTGAGTCGGCGACAAGCGGGGCGGGAGCATGTTGGAGGAGCTTGGAATCGAAGAAAGGGAGAGAGTCTTCAAAGGAGTCGGATTTGGGCCGGGGAATGGAGCCTTTGACTGTTGTGGCGTCCAAACCGTAGGGAACAAGACGGGAGATAAGGAAGTCAACGACATCTTTTATGCCACCAGAGTTATTGCGGGTGTACCTCATCTCGAGAGTATCTTCAGTAAGAGGTTTGGTGCTCTCTGGGTTGGCAATGGCTTGGAAGGTCGCCGGTCCCAATGAAAGTTCGATTTCGTACTGCTCGCGGAGATTTCGACATATGCCGTCGGAGAATTCAGGTGTAAGGAAGAATGCACGAAGCTCCTCGGAGATGCCGAATATCATTGCGTGGCTTTGAGGAACCATTCCCTAAATCAAGTTAATAAATGGAGAACACGAAAACATTCAAGGAAATGAGGACATACCAAGAAGGCATCAACGGCCTGAGGCACCTGATATTCAGGGCCTGAGATGGTGACGAAGTCACTGGCTGTCTCCGTGCTTGGGAAGTCGATCTTGCAGTTCCACTTCTTCTCCAACTCATCGATTTCCGGCATCCTTGCAATCAGCTCCCGATGGTAGAGTCGCTGGACGACGACGGTCTCCGAGACAAACTCCGCATCCTAGCAGTCGTTCAAAGTGGACATGAGCAAAATCATTCCTCAGCGGTATTGTCTAGATGAGGACGACTCACGACTTTCTCAACCATGTCCATAATCTCTTGTTTGACCAATTCAAGGTTCTGGGCGTTCCTTGCAGGGGTGCGGCAGATAACGTTCTCGACTCGGATATCGTCATCATCTTTACCAGCGCCACCTCTGTCCATTGCGTTGGAAAACTTAACGAACACAGAATACTTTTTCATGACACGCTGAATATGTTGGCCGCCAATGCCAATGATACGCTTGTGGTATTGGTCTGGGACATGGAAGGAGATGGAGGCCGGCATTTCTTGTTCGACCAGGTGGAGAGCTTGCTTAACAGCCTCATAGTGTTGTGAACACACATCTATGTAGAAGTTGTATTCGTTGAAGCCGTCGAAGATGATTTGCACATTGCCTGTGACTGTAGAAAATTAGTATGGGGAGGATGGGAGTATAGAACAGTCTCGGTCACTCACTTTGGCTCATAATCTTGTTGATCTTGCCGTTCTTCTTTCCGCTAACGAACTCCTTGTGTTCGTTGGCGAGCTCGACCTTGACTTTCATGTGCTGCGTGGAACGTTTAACGAAGGGGATCTGATAGATCACCATCATGGCAGCCTTGACGGAGTCGTCTGAGCCATGGATGTGGAAGGTCAGTTTGTCAAACGTAACGTCAGCGCCGGAGTTGGCACAGATGTCAGAAAGCATGGTCCTGACATCTGCGGGGGACGGAGCTCGCATCTGCGGGTTATCTGTCATGAGCCACCAGGAAGCACCGTAAAATTGACCAGCCTAGGTTGTTAGTAATAGTTCATGCCATTGACATAAGATTGAGGTACTTACAACGGTCATGAGCTCCCGAATGGTGCGCTCGACATGCAGCACGTCGGTTCCTTGAACGCGGATGGCGCTGACCCCACTGCCTAGTTGAGGAAGTAGGACAAAGCAGCCATTGGCCTCCATAACCTTCTGGACCTTATCGAGACGCTCGAGGATGATGCTATCGATTTTCTCCGGCGGGATGATAGCTTCCTTGACATAAACCTTGAGTACGTTGACGAGATCACGCAGTTTCTGCTTGACGACGTTTATCTCTTCCTGCTTACAGCCGGTGATGTAGACTTCATCCTCACAGCGTCGGGTGGCACCTGGAGGCGTGTAGCCGTATATACGGGGGAATGGAGGGGGGAAATAGATGGCCGTGTTCGTAGCGGCTTCAATCATCTTGATGTTCTTGCGAGTCCGGCCGCAGACGAGGAAGTGAGTACTCAATTCCAGCTTCACCAAGTCGACACGACGTTTCAGCTAAGAATACAAGGTTAGCAGGCTAGAAGGAAGGAGGAAGACACAAAGTCAAGTAAAAGGGTAACGCACGATCTGGTCAATCATGATCAAGACCCGTGATTTGGCATGCTCCGCGCTCTCGGCATCGCTGAAGATGGCGATTCTGAAAGTACGCTCTAGGCTGGTTTCGCTCGAGTACCCGTAAGAGGGAACGATAGCACTATCGGCATCGACAACCCTGGGACTGAGGAGGAAGATATCTGCCCCTGTATAATTTGCTAGTATATCGATATGTTCGAGCACTATCTTCCGGATAGACTCTCTATCCTGGTGGAAGACAATGTCAAGGTCAACGTCGACAGTTAAGCTCCGCTATCGGATTCGGTCAGCACGGCACTGTCTAAAGAGTAAGAGGACAACATACCAGGACAATGGGCGTCTCCTTGTAAATCGTGGCCCTCATCTCCCGAACGAGGTCCGCTTCTCCAGAGATGCACACGTTGGTCACTAGGCCATGGTGACGTCTCTGCATGGAAGAAGCCATCTTTGGCTCGGACGAGGTGACAGTAGCCTCCAGTCGTCCTCCACTACTCTCACTCATCTGACGACACAACTTACGCAGCGAGTCGACATGCTGCGTGTGCACGGGCAGACGATGGATCGGAGTTCCCTCCAAAGTTCCCTCGGGGAAGGTCCATCGCTGGAAAGCACCTGGAGACGAATGCAGGACATCTGCGGGGTCCGGTCCGGGCAGGTTCGACGAGAACGGGATGTTGAAGGAGACGTTGATCGTTGGCGGTTCTATGGAAGCCGGAGCAGACAGGACAGCACCAGCGGGGGTGCTGGCACCGCTAGTCGGGTTTGGCGAGACAGACTGCGATGGCTGCTGTTGCTGCTGCTGCTGCTGCTGTTGTGGTTGCTGTTGCTGCGGCTGTTGCTGTTGTTGGGGCGAATGCTGCTGGTGATGGGACTGTGGAGGCGGCTGTCCGGGCCCCTGGGGACGGCGAAAGGGCTGCGCATTGGGAGCCTCCTGCTGGGGCCTGGACATGCCGAAGGTGGGCGTCATGCGTTCCCAGCCATGGCGAGCCTGGCCGGTGAAGTTGGAGATCTTGTGCATTGTCTACGGCGCCAGGGTGGGAGAGCTGTCGCAGTCGCAAATCGTAACTGGAGGCATACAAGGAACAAACAAAAAGCAGAAACAAGAAAAAGAAGAAAAGCGGAAGAGGAAGAGGAGGGAGAGAGGGAGGTATACGCGGAGGGGAGAGTGGGCGGGAGGGTGGGAGGAGGGAGCCGTGGGACGTGGGAGGTATGAGGTCAGGAAGATGAAGCTGAAGAACAAGCGAGGAAACGCAGGAAAGGAAGAGAAAGAGAAGAAGAGAGGAAGAAGGCGGTGGGCGGGCGCGCCCTGGACCTGGCGGTTTTTCTGCCCCTTCCCTAAGAGGACTAGCGTAGAGTACACGTGATGATACTTGGCAGTACGTAAGCACAAAATATATGTACGATATATAAGAAGAGAGATAGGAAGATACGAGAGATGAAAGATGAGAGATGAGAGACGAGACAAGAAGAGACGAGACGAGACAAGATGGGAAGAGTGGATGAGAGAGACGAGAGAGAGACGAGAGGAGTGGCCAGGGACGAGCCAGGCTGCTCCTATATTGCTTTTTCCCTGCCTTACGCATGCCAGGCTTCAGCTTCAGCTTCTGGTCAGGTTGGCAGGTCTGGCTCCGGATGTCTGGGATCATGCATGCCACAGGGCTCTAAGACACTCCCACGGCACGGCCAGACGCCATCACGGAACCACGGACACAGCCACACCAGAGATGGGCATTCAAGACGAACATTCGACATTAGACGAGCATAGACGAACATAGACGAAGGTCAAGAACAAGGACAAGAGTACGGAGTAGACGTGATGTCATCTCTGTTCCTTTCACGGAGCAGTGCCGTATACTGCGCCCCATGCCGTGAAACTGGCTCTTTGACATGACACGACACGACACGACATGACACCACGGAGATAGCGGCTAAGTTGATAGGGAGAGCCAAGTCAGGGAAGCCAAGGTTAACTATTACAGGCACAGGCAAGGATTGGGTTATCCCTGAGTTGGTCTGGCCAATGCCTCTTTGTAGAAATAGGTCTTGGACTAACCGACCCTCCCGTGGCCGTTATGATGTAAGAACCAAGGAGATAGATACGCTACCGTGGTTATCATCTACCGTAATTATCATATTCCGAGGGTTCCTGCATTCCTGCACGATGTTCGCCTCTGAACACGGATAGAATCGATATTCCCTTACTATAGTACCTACGTTACTCATATATTCTAACCAGTCTAGGCCGTGTCTTTCTTGAAAAACTGCGGGAACAGGCTGCGGAGCTTCTCTAGGTCGCTGATCTGGTACTTTGACGCCGGAGTCTCTGGAGGCGGAAGGATGGGCTCGACAAAGTGCACCGTGGTCCAATTGTGCGCCTGCGCATGACGACAGTTCAAGTGCGAGTCATCTAGATACCATGGTCAGAAAGCAGTCTCGGAGTATGGGTCTGGTCCAATCCAGAGAAGAAGGAGGTCACAAGCATAAGGATAGAACGGATAGGCATACCGACAAAGTAACACTCCTCTGTCGAGGGTGCCCCAGCTTCCCGCTCTGCCTTCAGAAACATCTCCCGATCAGGTTTACACACTAGCTTCTCCGCCGCATAGTCACAGTAAGTGATCCCCTCAAACATATCCTCTACTCCCAAAAGCTTAATCACTCTATTCCCGTGCGTGACGTAGGCATTCGTCAACAACCACAACTTCACCTTGGACCGATCAAAGTCCTCCAGCATCCGTCTGAGCTGCGGGTTCGGCTTAAGTATCTCGTCCAGCGGTAATGCATCGTCTACTTCCTTGTTAAAGAGAAGCGGGTCGATCTTGTGGTGGCGAGTTAGCCCTTCGATCGCAAGGCCATATTCCTTGTAATATCTGTGGTGCAGCATCACCGCGTCCTCGGCGTCGAGGGACAGATGTTGGACGAAGAATTTATCTACCCTGTCCGCATTAGCAAGGCACATCCATATTCATATTCGAATTGTAGTTTAGGGAATGTGTAGGGGCCTAACCAATAAGCTCCTGCATCAGGTCGTGGATTTTGCTATCTGGCCGGCGAAGGTGATACCGTTAGCTGGCTTCTGCCATCCATCCTGGAGTTATACCGCACACACACCCCGCGAATAGAGCTGTCAGTTCACATAAAGATATATTAGCACATCGATATCACCGATCACCGGTTTCCCTCCGTAGGCGGCTTGGGTGACACATATCACATCTTGCTTGAGCCATGATGCCATAGAACATACACAGTTGTCAATGTCAAAGAAGAACACCGGCCTTGAGTCACGGCTGCCATTCGGCGCTTCCATCTTGTCACTTGCCATTAATACTCTACCCAAACAGCCAACAATATCTTATCACATCAGTCTCCTCTTCTTCTCCTCGATGCGTTTCCCTTTTCCCTCGCTATCAGCATAATTACGTAGAGGGGAGGATGGATGATTATATAATCAAGGATGAGCTAAGCATGCCAAGCCATCTGCACGTAAGCAAAGAAATTTGAAGCTATTCAGACAATATATATTCTCCTTGAAATCAACAAGAAGATAGCTTCTGCCATCGCCTCTTGTCTTGTTCCTGGAAGCCAGCGAGCTAGCTCGAGGCCATTATGCTCGCGTCCGGTGGCCACGTACACATGAAAGTCCCCCTCGCGTCAGCACCAGCACCCCCGTCTGGTCTTCACAATCCTCACACTCCAGCCATGGAAGTGGCCGAGTATGAAAAGATCCTGAACATCCGCGACCAGATATTCGCTGGCACTCACCCTAGACTAAAAGTTCCAGACAGTGTGGTCCGCAGGGTTGCGCCGCGGTCGGTTGCCCAGACGTCGCCGTCTTCTTCCTCCGTCTCTGCTTTTACTCCCGTATCTCAAGCTTCGGCTTCAGAACCGCCGCCTCCTGCCCTTGCTCCTGCTCATGCCCTTGCTCCAGCGCACCATGCTGCCCAGAGCGCCATTACCGCTTCTCCATGGGTGTCGACTACGAATAACGCGTCGTGTCGGGGTACTGACTCTCCCGCGACAGGCGCCTCGACGCCCAAGCCAACGTCGGAGATTGATCCTATATTCCTAACTAAATCAGACGATCTGATCAGGGCAGAGACCCAATTGCAACGGCAGCGTCTCGAGCGTGCATTGCGCGATCATGCCGAGCAGAAGAGAGCAGAAGAAAGGCAGAAGCCCCCGTTACAGGAGCTGAAGCCGGATTTTGATGTCTCGGACGTCCTTAACAAGGCGTTGGAGATGGTCAAACCCCTTCCTCCCCCCTCTGACCAAGTTAATAACATTGGCGTTGATGGTGACGGTGATCAGGCTAATGGCCACGTAGCCAGTGATTCTTTCGATGAACATTCCTACTATTCGAGCAGAGCTCCTGATTCGCCACAGAATGAGGACTATGATGATGATGAAATGACCGTTGCGCCGCCGCTGGCAAGGAAGATGGATACAGACGAGAGTGACGATACAGTTATCGTAGACCGTGCACATATTGAACATGACCCTGAGCGTGACCCTGCTGGGGGTAGTCATGGTATGGTAGATCAGCTTGCTAACATGCATGATGCAAGGAGGGATCTGGAAAACATCCAGCCATGGGCAGAGGATACTGAGCACCAATACTCACCTCCAGAGCCATACGAGGAGCCAGAATACTCGCCTCCGGGCCCCGATATATCACTCGGTGGACGACGGGATATGCTAGAACCCAGCTATCTTGGACCGCCGAGTAGAAGGCAGCCTCCGATGGAACAGCCGCCAAAACAACGGTCTCCTGTGTCTAGGAATCTAAGAGTTGTTAGAAACCACATCACCTCTCCGGCAGCACCGCAGCCTTCCCGCGTTTCCCCTCTTGCTATATCAAGAGTGGCTTCGATCACACAATCGCGTCAAGGTCGACAAAGTAGGCAGGCTATTCAAGTCTCCACTGACCAAGGCTCTGCACGTAACAGCCCAGATGGAGCGCCGGCACAGGCGTTGATGTCACGAAAGCGCCGTCGCATCCAACAGGCTCAGGATAAAAAGAGGCTCGCTGAGGAAAGAAAGGCTGCTGAATCCCCTGACATGCCATACATTAAGCCCGAGCCCGTCTCTCCTCCACCATTTATCGATGCGCCTCCCGCGGCGACTCATTATTCAAGAAGCCGGATAGTCCAAGAAGTGCCTGCCGATGTTGATTACGTGCCTCACCACAGTCAGCCCGACAGCCATGTTGTGGGCGGCCGTGTACCTGCCTATGAAGACGGTCATGCTAGAACATATGAATTGGACAGTCCCATTGAGCTGCATACCCCTCGAACAACCTCGAGAATAGGTTATAGGCGGCCCGTTCGGGATGAGCATGATCTTCGACGGGTAGCTAGCTTACAACACGCTCGACAAACAGAGTACATCCAAGAGTACACGGAACCAGCTGCAGATATATCTCCACGCCACGGACGAGCAGTATCATATGCCGAACCACCCATCCAAGTAGAGAGGCCAAGGTACCACGACGACGGCCAGCCCGCTCAATACACGAGAAGATACATGACCAGACCCCTTTCGCCCCATTATCATGAAAGCTACGCTCCAGTCCGTGTCTCAGAGACGCGTGTCATGGGCCCTCCACCGCCTCAGAGACGCATCGTCGTCGATGCAGAGGGCAACCGGTACTATGAATCGATCGACGCCCCGCGCGCCATACCACCATCAGCAGCCCGTCTTTCAAGAGTTGAGCCCTATGACGGAGCCGGCCACCCACCCATCGCTCGCTCCATGTCCATTGTTGATGACCACTACCGAGACCGTAGATACATCCAAGAAATGCCGCCGCCCGAAATAACCTATCGCCGCAACCCAGGCTCAATCTCCGGTCCGACTCCTGGGCCCCGACCAAGCTATGCTGCGGACAACGAACTTGGCGACCCGCGTTTCTATGACCGCGAAGCTCCAGACCGCGGACCTGTGATACGAAGCGCAAGCGTCCAAATGGTAGATTACCCACCGCGCCAATCCCAACACCAACACCAACATCAACGCCAGCCTCAACCGACATACGTTGAAGAAGCTCCTTTCCCCCACGAGGAGATAGTACGGGTGGCTAGCGTGCGTCCTCCGCCCGTAGGTGTACCTCGATATGAGGAACATCACGAAGTCCGACCACGTATGACGAGTGTGCGACCCATGCGGCGTGAAGTAAGTGTCTACGTCGATGACGAGGCCGGTCATGCAAGGGAGTATGCACCCGTTGAGCGGTTCGGCGGTGGACCTTCCTATACTGCTCGGCCGGTAAGAGACGAGCGGTTCTACGATGGTGCTGGCCCCAGCAGGATGGAACCTGAGGCCGGGCCCGGAGTCATTCGACGAGTACCTCGACAGTACTAAGATCGGGACCTTATGTTAATTTATACTGTTGGTGAATTGTCTGATTACGAACGACGTTGATTTTTTGGAAATCTTTTACTTATAAAGACTTATACTTTCTTTTGTCGGATACCCTAGCGCATATGTAAGGGATGTGTTTGATATAGCGTACTTTAGCGTTAGCTCTTTTTTACAGTACACCTATCATTTTATGACTCTAATCATTATATTCGTTTATTCGTTATTCGTTTCGTCTTTCTCTTCCTCGAATTTGATATCGTAGCATCACGTGAACTGATCACCGGACCGGAATATTATATCACCGTCGTTTTTAAAGCGGCGATGCTTCTCAGCCCTGGTACGCTAAAAACAGCGCTGGATTTAGATTGTTCCTGGAGCTTGAAGTAAATAGCAACCTTAATGCCCAAAAACATAGGACAGGGAGAAGCATTCCTGCACGCCGGGCAAGAAGTGGTTGTTTTTCAATTTGCTTGTCCTCCGACGTCATGGCTGGGTATATTTCTGGCCAGCTCATCAAGCTTGCGGACGGCCGCCACGCGACGATTCGGTTTATAGGGCCTACGCGTTTTGCCCCTGGAGAATGGATCGGTTTGGAGCTCGAGGACGCGAGCGGGAAAAACGATGGCTCTGTCCAAGGTGAAAGATATTTTGAGTGTGAATATGGCTACGGCATGTTCGTTCGGGCACCCGCCATTATAGAAATCATCGAACAGCCAAAGAAAGAGGAGCCGAGGGCTGCCCCCAAAAGTGGCCTCGATGGCAGGGGCAGACCACCTTCAATGGCCATGGGAGGTGCAGCGGGAACAAGGCGACAGAGTCTTCTATCATCTACGATGGGCGCAAAGAGACAGAGCCCGGGTGCCTCGAGTCCTTCGCCAGCCCCAAGAGCTTTGGGCCGGTCCTTGAGGGTAGGTTACAGCTTGCACCATCCTTTCCCGGGCCTCTTGCTACTATTGTTTCTAACGTTTATACGCTTATATAGTCGCCTACGAAATCACCGGTGAAGCAGTTGACAAACTCGGGTACTCCTGCGGCTTCCCGTACGAATTTACCTGGCACAAGAACCCTTGCTGGCCATAAGCCTCGACCGAGCTTGTCTAATCGCAGCTTAGCGGCCCCTACCCCTACGTCGACATCGTCCAGTGTTCGTTCATCATTACGCCAATCGATGTCAGGACCTCCAGCCAAAACAACAAGGCCTGGGTTAGCGTCATCATCACGTCCGCCTACCACACCGGCTACATCCAGACGGATGTCACTTAGGCCCGCTGTTGCAAAAACGCCTGCCGTAGGAAGGGTAGAGGCTGGCTCCGGGGAGCAAAGTGAAGGTCCTTCACGGTCGAGCTCCCCTCCTGACGGACCAGAACTGGATGTCGTCAAACCAAGCCTGGCGCGTCCTACCCCATCGCCAATGAACCAGAGATCCGTTTCTGGAAACAACCAGTTCCAGAAGGAGCTTGATGACTTGAAGACGAAGTTGAAGATCATGGAGAAAAAGCGGGCGGAAGATCGTGAGAAGTTAAAGATGGTTGAGACGTACCGAGCGGATCGAGACAAGTTCGAGGCTATCATTCAAAAACTCAGGGAAAAATATCAACCTCAACAACAGGAGGTTACTACACTAAGGAAGCAGTTGAAGGAGGCCGAATATAGAGTTGAAGAAGTTGAGAGGCTCCAGGCGGAACATGAATCTATTCTCGAAATGGCGGCCTTAGATCGGGAGATGGCAGAAGAGGTCGCAGAATCCATCAAAGCCGAATATGAAGCCTTGAAATTTCGAGCCGAGGAGTTAGAACTCGAAGTAGAGGTTCTAAGGGAAGAGAACGACCAACTAGGCCAAGTCATGAGCCCTGAAGAAAAGTCAAGTCAGGGGTGGTTACAGATGGAGAGGACGAACGAGAGGCTGCGGGAAGCTTTAATCCGTCTTCGAGATATGACGCAGCAGCAAGAGGCCGATCTAAGATCTCAGGTCAAAGAGCTGGAAGAAGAGCTGAAGGACTACAATAACCTCAAGGCACAATACGAGACCACGAAAGCAAAATTGCTTGCCTCAGAAGCAAACATGGAGGACCTCAAACAGCAAGTGGAAGCGCTAGGCGCGGAGGAGATGATTGAAGAGCTCACTGAGAAAAACATGCAGTATCAAGAGGAGGTAAATGAGTTAAAGGCCGTCATCGAAGACTTGGAGAGCTTAAAGGAACTGAACGATGAGCTCGAAATAAATCATATGGAATCCGAAAAACAGCTGCAGGAAGAAATCGATTTCCGAGAAAGTATCTACCATGATCAAAACCGAAAAATTATTCAACAAGATGGAGTGATCGAGGACCTTGAATACACGTTATCGAAATTCCGAGAGCTGGTCTCAACCCTACAAAACGACCTTGAAGACATGCGAGCCTCCCAGCAAATTACGGAGACTGAAGCAACCGATTTATCGATGCGCTCAAGAGCAATGATCGATTTGAACATGAAACTTCAAGCCTCAGCAGCCAAGGCCCAAATCAAAACAATGGATGTAGAGTTGGGCCGAATGGAAGCGGAAGAATCTGCGAGCCATTTGTCCATTCTAAAGCTGTACCTGCCTGACTACTACGAGAGCGAACGAAATCCGATCCTTGCACTCCTTAGGTTCAAGCGGGTAGGGTTCAAAGCATCCGTTATGAGCAATACCGTTAGGGAACGACTGTCGGACCCATCAATCCGCTTTCCTGAACGAGACGGCTTCTTAGCCTATGATGTTCTTGAGAAGCTTACTTGGATATCCTTACTCTGCGATAGATTTGTCACCTTTATGGACGGCTGTTCAAGCGAGGAATTCTCTTCTTTTGATGGCGCACTATATGAGCTTGAACCTGTCGAGCGCATTTTGAACTTTTGGATCGAAAGCTTGAAAAAGGGGGAACTGAATGAGAAGACTTGCGCAGATGAACTTCAACGATCAACAGCTCTACTATCGCATCTTGCAGAAACACTGATACCACAACATGTTGAAGGCCGTGGGAACGAGATCTATACCCTATCCGTCTTAACGCAAACGTACCTCGAAAACATCGCGTCCTCTCTTTCCCAATTGAAATCTAGAATTCAGTCCAAAATACCCCCGTCGCCAGAAGACGAGGAAAGCCAGCATCTTTACAAAAAAATAGACGCTCTCGTTCAGCAGGCGAGGGGAGTAAAAGTTGCGACTGGCAAGGTCACTCGCTCTCTAGAGGAACTGAGAACCAGGTCCCTGGCCCTTTCGGAAGGATGCGGCGAGGCCTTTGAGTCTACAGAACAGGCCGCAAAAGAGTTATCAGCGTTGACTCAGCTCCTTGGAAATAGTTTCTTGCAGCTTATCGACGAGGATGACCGCACTGAGCCATTTACATATCCAGAAGTCTTGACCAACATGTCCAATGCAGTAGCTTCTTCCCAAGTATCCTCCGGAGACATTGGAACAAGCGACGCCCTTGCAGTCATTGCGAATAAACTTCGTCTTTTGACAGGCTATGTTGATGAAACGTCTAATCTTTCCTCCGATTTATCCCAGACGGTCGAGTTTGAGAGACGACAATCTCCCTGGGTTGCCCGCTCAAAGGCGCTCAAGGCGAGTCAAGCGAAGTCCCCAGATGCTGACGAAGAGATCCGACGCCTCAAAAATGAAGTCAACGAGGCCTCTAATGCACTTGGAGCTAAGGATAGAATCTTCGAAGAGCAGTCTATTAAGATCGAACTCTTAGAAGCCCGGATGCGCGAGGCCGGCAAGAAGGCGGCAGCTGTTAAAGATTTAGAAGCCGAAATCGAGAGTCTACAATCAAAAGAAAACGAGTTCATTGCGCTCGTAGAACGACAATCTCAGACCATGCAAGCTATAGAGCGAGAGCGGGATGAATACAGAAGCCGTCTTGAAAAACTCAAACGAGCATCTGATTCAGATGGAAGTACGGGAATAGGCGGAGCGTTGGCAGGCAACGCCGCAGCCTCTCTGTCGATCATGAGAGAAAATGAAGCCCTACGAGCTGAAGTTACCAGCCTTCAATCCGCCGTACGCTATCTCCGAGACGATAACAAGCGCGCTCATCTTCTCGACCCATACTCCGTGCAAAGAAGCAATCATATGCGTGCCTGGCTCGACGTTCCTCTGGTTCGCCCGAAGGCTCCGGTCAATGAACATGAGCCAGACTATAGGCATAAGCAGGCTGCCGAATGCCGTGACGTCCTTAGTCATTTGTTGAGGTTGACCAAAGAATCGAAATTTGTAGATCTCAAGGCAAGTGGCACTTCAGATGCTACAAACCGTCTTGCGTGGCGCCCTGTCAAATCGACTCCTCGATACCATGTACTGAAGCAACGTGAACAGTATGAGCAATGGAGCCAATGGAAAGACGAGGTCTTTAAAGACCGGAAGGTGAAGAGGGTTTCAAATCGCAACATATCAGCAAGGGGTCGGATGGCTAGCCAACTAGATATCCTGGCAGATCTATCAGAGGAGTCTACCTTCACAGACTCTTCACAGAAGGGACTCCAACCGGGTAAAGACGAGGGCGTTATGGGAAGGACATGGAAAATCCTGGGTCTACAAACTGACGGCGACGATATTCCTCGCGTATCTAACGAGCCTCAAATTCTTGACGAGTACTAGGTGTCCTCCTTATCGGTGGATGAAGGCGTTAAATCTATTTCAGCTTTTCTTTTTCTTTTTTCATAGCCCATTGGCATCCCGGTTTTGTTACTTACTTCCTATACCCAGGGCAATGGATATATATCTCTAGACCAAAACGCGTTTGTATTTTATATTCACTTTATTTCGTTTCCATTAATCTTTCACGGAGTACTCGCACAGATTGGGCATTCTCTTGCATATAGCCTTAGATCCCCTGTTCCATTGTTGGCTAGACTCTGATAGAGCTATACATATTGATGAACTGCGTTTCTACATGTATGCCACCCCAACGAAGTAGAAACCAACCTAGCGTATTTCAAGATTCGTCATGAAAACGGACATCCTGCTGCCGTCGAGTTCGTAAAGAAGCTACGGTCCATGGGTGTGAAAGGAGGCGCAATGGATGCTTTGACTGTTCGGCTTGTGGCGTATCTGAATGTCGATAAAGATGACACCAGGGCAGCAGTGCTAGTTATCAAAGAAGCAGTTGCTTCAATAGCTGGAATGAGGGTATTTGCATAATCGAGAGAAGAAATCTGATTTGTCACGAAAGGAATGAAGCTCATCCTTGGAAAAAAGGGAACGCATATTCTTCAAAGTGGAAAAGCCCAACTAGTTTAATATTGATTAGAATTAATGAACCGTAAAAAGCACCGCCCTGATGCTCTATGGGGTATATTTTCCTCCTAGATCCCACCGCGCATTACAAAATATATGTACCACCCCATTTTCCCCGCCATTATCAACAATTCCGGCGCCTCCCGATAATTCCCACCGCTGTAGGAGTAGAGAAATTGAGATAAAAAATTAACCTAGAAATTAAGGGGAAGAGGCGTCAGGATAAATGACTAGGAAGTGGTATCAGCGGTATTGAGAGACGTTGAAAATTTACGTCTTACACCCAAAAGTGTAGTCCATGGAAATGGTATAGGCAGAAGAAGAAAGCATAACTCCTTAGAATGCCACTCCAATATCATTCGCGCCTAGGGGCTGGCTATGATATAGCTCTTTCCCCGGTCTGAATTTGGGCCGATTTCTTTCGTAAACGGTCGGACAAGTCTCCTGTGTTGGGAGCTTATAGTTCGTAGTTGCATCATAGGCTTCGTAGTCCTTCTCTGTTACCGCGTGAAAGGTGAGGGGCGACTGAGTGTTGGTTGACATGATCACTGAGCTTGAGAGGGACGGATTCCTGGACGAAAACCCAGCAGTGGATGCGTTAGCCAATGACACCATCGTTGAACCGCTGAGCGTACGTGCTCTTGACTGGGGCATCCAGAAACGCGAACTGGAGGCTGCTCGGTTGTGGTATGACTCTTGGTTGTTGTATGACTTGGCAGCGAACCAGTCTACTATGGTGCGAGAACGGGTGTGATGGTGATATGTTGGGGTCGATGTGCGCGAGTGGTTTTCCCTACTGGGAGAGTCGAGACAAGGCGGAGGGGTCTGCATTTCAGCATGCTTAAGGGCAACGAGATCGTCAAGCGATGCATGTAGATGGCTGTCAAGCGTCTCACAACTCCTTCGGGGCGGAGAGACAGAGGGTTGAGTGGTCTGTACCTTCTCTGGGTGCGGCATTGTATGACGTCGATCGTGGATTTCAATATACAATGAATTTCGAACTGATGGAGCGCCTACTGGCTTGCGAGCCACAGCGAACGGGATTGAAGGAGACGGGTCTGATAACTGGCGTTCATCCCTGCGATCTCGTGGACAAACAGCCTTTGGCGGTGGTGTTGGAGTTTGGCAGGACGAATTATTATCCTGACCGAAGCTATCTAAGTCGAAGTTATCTAGACCGAAGTTTTCGAATACTGGCAGGTCCGGTAATTGGTTTCCTGGAACATAGATACTTAGTTCTAGCGGGCGAAAGGACCGACGGCGGCGTCTAGGAGCGTTCCCGGGAGTAAGATGGCGAAAGTCCGTCGGGCCACTGATTGTCAACTTGCGGGGCGATGGTCGTCGGTTGTTGTTTTTGAGGAAGAGGCTTGCTCTATTCGATGCTCGGGATGCCAGACTCCTGCCCTCGGTGACGAAAGTGGGCAGTAGCGAAGCGCGTGAATCAACACGGGGACTACTTGGGATGTTGTCATAGAGAACCAGCTTCATGGGCGCCACCGGACGGGGTTGATCATGGCACACTGTGATATCCTCTGGCGTGGCTAAACAACATGTTAGCTCTTGGTATTGACGGTGTACAATAATGGACTAATCCAACTCCTACTTACTTATGCCATCGTTGTGCACCTGGCGAGGAGGAGCCCGCTCACCAGCCTCAGCCCAGATGCACCAGGAACAAGACGGAAACCAGGCCTTGAACATTGAGCCTGCTCACTCGGGCACCATCGTCCCCTATGCTTGGAAGCTTGTGTCCATGGCAGCAGTTCTCCTGGAACTTTACGGTGATGGGGGAGCCTTGAGGAAGGGCGAGGCAAGCTTCTCTAAAATCGATAAATTGGCATCGGGCGGGATTTAAGCTATGTTAATATAAGGGAAACGCAACCTTGGGGAAGGGGGGCCCTGGAGGACACGCTGTGGAACCTCCCTTCATACCCAGAGAGGGGCAGCCTCTGGCGCCTCGCATGGGCGTCGGCCAATAGGTTCATCGAATATGCATGCGACATGGTCCATCACAATTTTAGGATGAAATCCGCGATGTTTTAAGAGCGATGGGATGACGGTGCGTCGCCAAGGTTCTAAGCATGTCGGGCATTTGACCTGGAAATCGCTCCCGTTCGCTGAGATTAGAGGGGAAGCGAACAAGGGTGATCCTGGCCGGCAGCAGCTAGCATGGGCATTGCCCAATCGAGGGTTGATGTTGATAGCGAGTATGCCTGGGAGCGGTCTGATCTTCACTCAGATGAGCCGTTGGTAGTGAACGGCGGACGAACAGTGAGCCGAAGGCTGCTTCAGCAATTGTATTCGACAGTCGGGTACATTATACAAAAAAAAATCAAAATAAAACAAAACAAAAATAAAACAAGAAAGATGGGTACGCAAAACTCCGCAGCTTCAGAAGTTGGCTCTCTCCAAGAAATTAATTTACTATGCTCCAAATGTGTAACGACGGACGAACCGTCTATCGGGTTGCACCAGAGGTGTTCCAGGCGTCGTGTTCATCATCAAAAACGCCGCTGTACCCCTCAGTTCCTGGCCCGGATCCGTCATGCTGGAAGCCGTCTGAACGACGGTGTGTATTATTATTAGAAGGCGCAAGGTTCTCGCTACCATTTAGCCGTGGCGGTACCTCGTTAGTGTTGTGTGGTGCCGGGTGCCTTGATTATTATTAGTGGCAAAGATTTCTTCAATGCAAGGGCGTATCCTGAAGAAACTCACATGGACGGTTGCTCATCTGTATACTCCCGTGTTCTGGTATCACGAGGGAGCTGGTCCCCTGTTCTTTGCGCTGGGGCCTCGTCCGTACCGTCGACCAGGTCTGCAAGCTGGCGGGAGGCGCTGCTTGACTCGCTGGTTCGGCTTGACTCTCTAGTTAGAGCCGCTGGCTGTTTGGCCTTATCCGCTTTGGCGTTACTAGATGATCCTGGTTGCCGGTCGTTGGGACGCTGCTGGCGTTTGCTTTGACGGTTACCAGGCCGTTTGATCTTGTTTCCTTCGCTTGAAGCTGTGCGGCCTGAGTTGATAGATGGCTGGGACGTCTGTCTTTGCCACACTTGTTCTCGGTATACTTCGTTTGTCGTGATGACGGGGTACTATATCGGTGTTAGAAAAAGTTGGACCCGAAGTAACATTTCTAAAAGCAGTACTACATACGTTCCAGTCCCCGAATTCAAGTTTGCGTGCGTTCGTGAAGCACAATTCATCATCCTCGTTAAGAGTGGGTTCTTCGATATCATATGTCCGATTGCATTCGTCCCTCGTCCGACTCGAGCTGGCCTGAGACTCCCTTCGGGAGGACGACGACCCGGGGTCTAGGAGTGGTGTCCGGCTGTTTACCTCCTTGGGTTTGGGGATCCAGTACTTGGCTTTCCCGCCTCTTTCGTACCGCATGCCGTCCATCACGCGGGCCATGCGTGACCGTGACTCTTCGTGGGCGATGACGTTAGTTTCTGAGTCGAAAAATCGATACTGGTATTTTTCGCCGCGGAAAGTTTCTTTGGTGTCCTCGATGAGATCCTTTACCCCGAATGCATCACGAATTGCATATTTAACAGGCATTCTAGCTGAGGATATGGATGAGTCCGCGTAATCGTGCCACGAGAATGCATACCAGTGCATAAGTGCAAATATAGGCATCTCACAGCAGATTAGTAGATCCTGAATTGCTGCCGCCATGTTGTTAGGAGTATAACCTTCTGGACCATGCGGGATTGCACCGAGAAACTGAAGTATAGATAGAAAGAACCCTTGCCAGTAGGAAGCAAATATAATAAGCTTGACACTTAGAAACTTCGGGACCGGTCTGTATGGCTTAAGGTCATCGTGCATAATGATCCAGTACAATGCGAGCGAATACAAACTGATTGTGACGCTCAGATTGTATATAATTCCGATCCAAAGATACCCAGACGAGAGCCCAATGTACCCCTCCTGGAACGTACCGGTGGCTTTAAGAATGATGGTAATCAGTGCAAGTATCGGCTTTAACCATGCGTACTGCAAGATCCCTCGTTTTATAGCTAGGAAGGTATACGGGTCTGAAATGTCAATCTTTGGAAGAAACTGGTTGAGTGGCCAGGTGTGTTGGATTGGAGGACGGCCATGGGTCATTATAATGAGGGATCTCTCCCCACCGAGGAAGTTGATGAGAAGCTGGAAAAAGGTGTAAATGGTAAACGCCTATGACAGTCCAAGGTTAACCCAAAGTTCTCAACATTTCTGTATATAGGTGCGCGCATACTTCATAGATATCCCGAACAGGCGAAACCCAAGCTGCTGCCTTCAACGAAACTATGCTCGTCCAAGATGATATCGCGAATATAGGTACCCTGCAAATGTCAACGCCATGTCAACTCTTGGTTCCCAGTGGAGTTTCACTAACATCAAAAGGATTCTGACGACGTATCGCTGGAGGAGAGGTTTTCGGTAGTTTTTACTATAATAGATAAGTAGCTGAATCGACGGAATCTTCGTGTTTGCAAGGCTAAGCTTACGTCTGTAGCCAGATAGACCTGCCGGTTGAGGATGTTAGCAGGTGTAGAGCAGGCAATCATGTCCAAATACATACAATAACGAGATAAGTGAGGCCACCAGAGAAGCCACACCAGCTACAATAATAGCAGCTTTAGCCAGGCTGGAGCCAGTGCCCCCAGAACTTGTGCTGAAGAGCACCATAGTGTCCTCCTTGCTATGCGATGGCGTTGGGTGTAGTCAAGTATACCATCCCATTCACATCTGAATGCGGCCACCCTGGGCCATCAACGGCCAGTGAAATTCAAATAATAGGACTAAAGAATGCACTTTTATCTCTTATTTATGACCGCAATATAACCAGATGTGTCGATGTAAGCATTATGTGCTGGGGGGGTGAAGGCAACAATAAAATGTGCCAGGGAACAAGCTCCTGGAGCTCTAGAATCAATTTGTTTGGGCCGAAAAACGCGTGACGTCGCGGAGCCCCCTTCGACCTCTCCATGCCCTCCTCGCCGTACTTTGCACTGTCCACGCATTCAACGGCCGCATCAAAGCCTCCTACAGACTCATCAGGACGAAAGAACTTGCCTATAAGATCAAATATGCGATGCCGTTGATTCAGAGCCGACTACCCTTGTCTTTAAACCTCCATCGGCTATGCGACTGAGCAATTCGAGATGCATATGACCAATGTCATTCTCACCAGAGCACCAGATTGCGAACGGCAAATTGACCCCAGAGTCACTTGCGCCGGTTCCTCAATTCAACTGGTAATTTTGATCGTCTGTTATAGCAGCTAGGACATCGCTAAGAGAAGTGTATACATAGGGTGTTCTTGGTTGAATTGATCGTGAGCGGAATTCTGTACGTTTTTGCGCCCTCCCCCAAATTTAAAACACAAACTAGTATGGGTTTACTGACTGAGAATATCGAAACGATAGGACTCTCTTCTTCCTTTTCTACTTTAACCGTCTATTCGCGACCCTCGTATCCTACGGAATTCGTGCGTACACCTGGCATTACTACCGAGCCTATATAGACATCCATGCGCTTCAGATATCGTTATTGGCCGGCCGGGTATTTTTCAAAGGGATACGCTACCATGGCGAAAATGAAACGGTTCTTGTCCAGACAGGCTACATCACCTGGAGATTCTGGTCTCGGCCAGCACCGCCGGTAGATACGTTCCACCAGGAGCGCAAATCCAGGCGCCCAACGAGCAAGAATACAAAATCTGAAGCACAGGATGGGATCAAGAATGCTGGGTCTGCGGATAAGAAGAAACCGCCGTCTAGGATTGAAGTTACTCTCAATGGCCTAGAATGGTTTGTGTATAATAGAAGTCCTGCTTATGACTCGATCCTGGCTGGGTTTGGGTTCGCACCGCCTACCAGCCGGCGGAATGCATCATCTGATAGCCAGGAGGGGGAAGAAGCCCAGCCGGACATTTTAGATGGCGGAGATGATGATAGTAAGCACGAGGGCACCTTCTCCAGTCCGTCTGAGCCGCCTCTAGATCTGTCTGATACGAAGGATGTCAACTCGCAGAAGCAAAGAAGAAGGTCGACAAGTTCCCGGGGGAGCCTAACAACTGGAGCCTCTTCACTACCCCATGGTCCGGAACACGCGTATGGGCCTCAAATTCTATCATTATTTCCGATATCTATGGAATGTCATAGAGGGGCTTTGGCTATGGGGAATGAGAACACAAAAACCATACTCACCTTAACATTTGATAAGGCCGTGGGAAAAATCGATGCGGGATGCTCTGGCCCCTTTGATGTTTACAGACAGATATTCGAATATGACCTTTCTCACCCCATCGTGCAGATGAAGCCTAACCCAGATTACAAACAGTCACAACTGGCTGCTGTGAGTGGAATAGAAGCTACAAATGATGCCTCCAAAGATCGTGACTACATGCGCGGCTTCCATCGGCGATATCGACATCATAGGCGCAGAGTATGGAATACTATTCGTGATTTAATTCCTTACTTTCAAAGTTCTGTGGAATCATTTCATCCAAGACATGATCAAAGGAGTCGACCTGCGTCTGGTGGGGTCCATCAAGATGGTTGGCTTGGTCTAACACGTTATCTTGACGAGGAGGAGCAGGATGACCACGAAGGATGGAACTCGGTAGAATATGGGCGCTTTTCAACATTGCTGGACTCCCCCAGTGTCTATTTTCGTTATTACTGGGACGTTGGAGGCCCAGTTGCGATCTCCAAGGTCAGCCCGAGCCCTTCTACTAAGTGTTCCCCTCACAATATCAATGGCGCAGAGCCTCCCGAATGGGGTATGGACATAACCATACACGGTGGATTACTTAACTATGGGCCATGGGCAGACCGCGAACGAATCAATCTTCAGAACGTTTTCATCCCAAACTCATATCGGGACTCGCAGGTTACTCCTGCACTTAAACCTGGGGAGACGAGACAAAGTATTGCATTTGTTTTGAACATCCTCATCGATGAAGTTACTACGCTTCGTATTCCTACAAGGGAGGCATCAAAGGACTGGCAATGGAAGGGCCGTGCAGATCACTCGCGAGGAACGTCTCGTGTGAAGAAAAATAAAGACAAGGACCGTTCTCGAGGGAACGAAGCTGAGAAATCTGGGAGCCAAGGTCCGGATATTAGGCCGTTCGGCTGGTTATCCCTCAAAGTCAGCCCAGGCTCAACAATCGTGTATTCAATGGCGATGTTTGCGAGTAGTCATGGATATTGCAACAAAGTGGATATTGACCTGCGCCAAACGAAAATGGCCTCAAGTGTGAATCATGGCATGTTATGGCAAAGCGAACGTCAAGTCATTTCCTGTGATCTCTCAAATCCGCTTCAATGGAATAGCACCCATAACTGGTTGGTTGATGTGGAAAGTACCAAACTGGAGCTGTTTTTACTCTGGGACCATCTAATTCTACTCACGGACCTCATCACCGACTGGACTTCGGGGCCCTTCCAAGAATATTATACATTTGTTCCGATCAAATACCACCTTTCGTTCGCCTTCCCTGATTTCAAGTTATTGGTAAACGTCAATGATTTGAATATCATCAATAACCCCTCCGACCTTGACGATAACTCATTCTTGATTATCGAAGGAGAGATAATAACTGCTCGTGTGGATATCCCAATCGTTCATCACAAGGCAAGCCGCAACATAGCCACTTTCGATATAGAAGGCTCGAATGGAGATTTGAAGCTCTCAACCCCTCTGTGGAACACCCAACGCACATTTTTGGACGATCGACCTGTTGGTGGACTGGACACACTGAAAATTGACGGCAGCTACGCGTGGTATAATATGACGTCGCCGAAAGTAACTGACGTTGTGATTATAAACTTATCTGGCAGTGCACCGTACCTCTACCTCTACGGTTTTATATTGAAGAATTTTCTCGACGTCAATGAAAACTACTTTGGCAGAACTATCCACTTCAAGACCTTGGATGAACATAGGGCAGCGGTCGATGCCGGTACTGCTAATGGGCTTAGCGGCTCTAACCCGGCGCCTCACACCAATGGCCTCGATGTCATTCTTCATATTGCAGCAGATGATATCAAAGTTCTTCTCCCAACTGGCTTATACGATAGAAACGAGAGTCTTGTGTTAAAGGCAACATCGCTAGATTTGGACGTAAGATTCACGAATTATTACATGGATTTTCATTCCTCCTTGTCACCTCTGGAAATCTCGGTGCTGTCAGAAAAACCGGGTGCTCCGTCGATTAGGTCCGGTCCTCAACTATATATCGATGGCCTGGATATCTTTGGCCATAGGCTTTTTGGGCTGCCCCCCACCGAGCCTACTTACGCGTGCAACTGGGATTTCCAAGTAGGATCTATCGTCGGGGAGTGCTCGTCCTCGTTCATAAAGTCAGCTAAGTCGGCCTTCGAATCTTTGGCTTTCTCATTTGATGATGATGAGAATGCCTTGCCGCCTATACAGACAGGAGTTTACGATGTTACTTTCTTGCGCGCGAATGTGAAGTCCGTTAGGGTGTGGGCACTGGTAGACGAGGCGGCATTTCTATTCAAAACAGGAAGCATTGACGTGGAGTTTAATGACCGATGTGGCTCGAAAATGTCACTATTCGTCAATTTGACAGTTCCAGACGTGACCGTTGCAGCGGTAGATCGTACAGCAGCACGCTCTCAAGTTGATTTTCGCAATCCGGTTAAGACCTATGCTTGCTTCCATACATCACTGAAACTCAGTACTTTGGGGAGGAGAGAGGACTTTAGCCATTATCGCTCTCTACAGCAAAATCATATCAGGAAGCACGATTCGCGAACACACCGTACTCTATGGCTTCTTCTTGACGAGTTTGCGTCTCCGACAGAAGATGAGACCAACCCACGCTTCATCCCCCCTACTATGCCTGTTCCCTCTATGCCAGAACCCATTCAGTCTCCACCAAGCCCTGAATATAGCCCATATTTCCAAACACCGCATCAGTCTCCTTCGAAAGACCTTCTTGGCTTTACTGATATTCCCTTGACGTCCAGCTTAAACCCCACCCCTGACCAATACATACCTGGGGAGCAACGTGTCAGGCCTATCTCAACTACGTGGGCTATGCCAAAATTCCCGTTCTATAAGGTTGAGCCTGATGAGACGAACGTCCCTCCCATCCCATCTGGCTCTGAATTTTTCCTTGGCCAAAAACAAACATACGAGGCTGATCTTGAACGGCTCGATAATGAAGACTGTATTGATGGCTCCCAGGCCACCATTGTTTTCACATTAGAGCCTGGTTTGACCGGCTTTTGTTCGCCAGAAGCACTATACGCCGTTTCCTCACTCCTAGAAGATATCCAGCCACGTCACCCTATAGAGATCCTTGACTCATTCCAGGCAAAGTTGACGAGTGCCGCGCTTCGAGTGCAAAAGGCTGCCAATAAGAATACACAGAAAACTTCTATATTTTCTCTTGAGATACCTATATGTCGTATTCGATTGTTGAGCACCTCCTTAAGGCCCAGCGGTTCGGCCGATACCATTAGGGACCAATACCACATCGATCTCTTTCATACTCGTGCAATTTTGCGCGAGAAGATTTTTCTAGAAGCTAATGCCTGCGCGAAACCTACAAAATCACTTACAGCACGCGTAACATCGCACTCGCTATCGGTTTCTGTTCGGGAAGAGAAGCCTGATGCTCCAGGCGAGCTTGGCTTATGCGCTTTCAAGATATCTGACATCGCCTTTTGGTTACTTGATGAAAAGGATATTAAGTCCCGCCTTCAGGTACAAAACATCGGCATTGTGTCATCTAATGAGTCAGTTGGAAGGCTCGGACTGCTGGTGGACCGAACAATCAAGATGGTTGACTCCATCTCGGCCAAGTTCCAACAGACCTCAACTACCGATGAAAACCGCCTGCTATACCTGGTTTATTATCTTGCAAATGCAGGTGCACAAATGCCAGAACCTCAATTCATGACACGTCTATCTTATGCTCTCAGGGTTACAAAGCCACATCTCCGGCTTGACGATGCTTGGAAGATTATGTCGCGACTTCGTAATATCTACAAGTCAATCGCGACAGAGAAACAGAAACAACTGCGGATAGACTGTCAAGACAACCAAGTTCCCTGCCCTGCTGATGCTAAGGCAGTTATCTTGTCGATTTTCGAAACTTGGCGCACTTGGGAGTTGACCCCTATCAGAAAAAGCCTTATCGTCAAGGCCCTTTGGGGTGAGGATGAGATGGATGACATGGCCGCTAGTCAGCTAAAGGCGATCGACGCAACAGTGTTCTTCCGATCTCTTCGTGTTTCACTAGATCCGGGCCCAAGGGAGAACGGTTTCCTTGTCGAAAATATGTCAAGTACTGTGCGCTTTAGGGCTGAAAATTTGGGTGTTTCGCCTACTCAGAAGTCAGGGCTGTTAGTTGTACAAAACCACTGCTCAAACGCATCTTTACAACTGAACTGGGAACTATGCGAAGTCCTCGATGGGATTCTAAAGAGCAAACCGAGCGATGCCCCCCAGCCAAGCAGTGCCCCAAACACACCGCCGCATCAACCCAACAAGGTGTCTAAAGATAAACATGAGATCCATGTTATTTTTGTGGCTGATCAAGGGTCTGCCACCCTGGATGGAATCAACCTGAGGCTTGGGTTACTAGGGAAAGCATTAAAAGCGTCCATGATCCATCAACCGGACTCAGCGTCAGCTGGAGAAACCATAAGCGTAATACTAGCGTCCGAAATGTCCTCAGCACGACTCACCAGCCACTCAAAACCTCTCATGGAGTGGAAATTCCATAACCCGAACATCTTTTTATCCCATCATTCCCAAGAAATGGATACACATATCGAGCATGACTGGAAATGTGCTGCTACCTGCGAAAAACTAAGATACGAGGTGACAGAAAACCCACTTGGGCTTATTCATGTGGCCGACCGCGTGGTGGAGGACGAAGTCAAGTATATATTGAATATTGCTGGGCATCCTTCCTCTGCAACTCCGCAAGTTAGTTTGCCTAAACAAACCAAGCAAGACGTCCATCACTTCCACGTTGCCACTTTCCTCGACGATTACCAGATCCGCCTCGCGCTCCTCCCGACGGTAGAATACACCATCGGAGGCGACGTAGCACGACTGTCCGTCACACCTCTTGGCCGTATGAGGTTCGAATTGGACTACGATATCAAAAACAACCTGCACACAATTCAGTCAAATAAGGATGGGAACTTGCGCATTTTATCATCAATGGCAATTCCACCTATCAATGGGAGAGTACGTCTTGATATGACGAATGACCCAATTTTCACTGATATAGACACCACCATTGAAATTGTGCATGTTGATGCTAGTGCCGTGCAGAATATTCTAAGTGCTATCAATGGGCCTGAGATATCACATTTCGTTGAAGATTTAAGTCATGATGGGAATATCCTCAAGTCACACCTTGACCGAGTCTTATCAACTGGTTCCTCCGCACCGCCAGTGCAAAAGGATGTCAATAAACAGGGAATTGTGTATCAAGTACGGCTTACATTCGCTGGGATTAAGACTCATGCTTCTTCGCCAGGCTTGCGAACCAAAGACCACTCTGCGGATATGTCTCTTGAGTTTGGGACGATTCAAGTACACGTGGAGAATGCCGCTGTTCCTGGGATCCGCAACACACGCCCGGAGTTCCACGTGTACCTGTCACAGATCGGTGTCAACGTTAAGAAGAAAGGCAAATACGAGACCGTCTCTCACGGCAAAGTGGCCCTAGGTGCACGATTTAGCGGCTCACTAAAAGATTTGGCAGATGGACAGGCCATGCGGCTATTCCACCTAACCAGCTCGGGGTTGGAGGTTGAGATATCTGCTGAAACTGCTTCTCTAGTAGTTGACATTGTCGCTCATTTACAGGAAACCATCAAAACGATTGATAACTCTCAGGAAATTGCGCACTTGAGGAAGATTCGCATGATATCATTTCCACGAAGGAAAAATAAAGAAATAACCGAAGCCACCACTACTAACACCGTCGATAATGACCCTCGAGACGCACTTGCATTTTTGGATGCAACCTATTCTGTGGAGCTTTCTAACATCCAAGTTAGCTGGCTAGTTTCAGAGCCTTCTCCCCAGGACCACGGCGCCGGTATGGAGGATCTTGTGTTTTCCATTAGTAAGGTTGAACTTACCACGAAGAAGACCAATGCGGCAAGACTGCGTATCCAGAATATGCAACTGCAAATGGTACCGGTATCCGATGATAAAAAGAAGCGATCCCAAAATTCTGCCCTGCTGCCAGAGGCAGTGTTCAATGTTTCATTCTTATCAATCAACTCCAAGTGGAAACTGGCGTTTCAAGCTGCAGGGAAAGCTCTCGATATACGCTTCACCTCGGATTTTATTATCCCAGCTAGTTTGTTGCAGAATTCGTTGGCATCTGGCGTTGAAAGAGTGCGCGAGGCCAAATCGCTATGGACAACTGAATTCCTTGAGAACCCTAATGTAGGGAAGGAAACCCTTGGGTTTAAGCAGCTAGACTCGCTTTTAGTTGATGCAGATTTTGCTGGAGCAATAGTTGCTTTGCAAGAAAGACATGTTCCTGGCACATCCACGCCAAACATACCGAGCAACAGGAGTAGTATGGGCTCAAATGATCAAAGATATGGACAAGCTTGGTCCGGCGACTCAGTCTCCACAGCAACTCTTCGAGCCCCTGGTGTGGCTTTGAAGGTTCGATTTGAGGGCTCAGAAGCGGATACCCCCATTCTTGAAGCAGAAATGAAAGTCGACGCATCTTCCAATGTTCTCCATCCTAGCGTAGTACCGCTCCTTACTCAGATTTCGTCGACTGTACAGGATGTGGTTGGGAGACAAGAAAAGGGAGGAGGTGGGCAGGTGGCAAAGGAACACACCAGCAAGCCATCCCAGGACATATCTATTGACCCAACGACCATACTCGGTCGATGCAAGCTGAGCATTGGTCTTTGGATCCGCAAACAGGAATTTACTCTGAGTTGTCAACCAATTGCGCGAGTTGTAGCAACAGCCGGTTTCGAAGATGTCAATATCACAGTTAACACGGTACAATCGGAAGAACAACGGCGATTCTTTGCAGTGCTGATGACTTTTAATAAGCTACAAGCATCTGTGAAGCATGTTTACTCCAATGAATCCACCGCCAGTTTCGATGTGGACTCCATTGTGGTGTCAATGATGAACAGCAAACATGTCAGTTCCAGCAGTGGTATTTCGGCTATCCTAAAGATCAGCCCTACAAGATTGCAAATGAATGCCAAACAAGCCCAGGATTTCCTCCTTTTCCGCGAAATCTGGACACCCCCAGACGACCAATTCAAGCGATCAGCACCGACACATGAACAGTCTTCGGAAGCCCAAGCGTACATGGTTCAAAGATACCAGCAAATGGCGGCCGCTGGCGCATTCCCATGGAACTCAACTTTGGCAATAGATTCACTGGACATACAACTAGACTTGGGACAAACGATAGGGAAGTCAGACTTTACCATAAAGAATCTCTGGGTATCGTCAAAGAAGACCTCGGATTGGGAACAAAATCTATGTATTGGGTTTGAAACCATCGGAATCGAAAGCCGAGGGAGACTGAGCGGGTTTGTTGAGCTGTCCAAGTTCAGGGTACGCACGTCCATCGAATGGCCTAGCGGCGTGATTTCAGCGGGCCACACTCCTCTCATTCAAGCAGCAGTCGGAATTGGCAAGCTACAAGCCAAGGTGTCGTTCGAGTACCAACCTTTCCTCGTCGTCGATGTGGACGCGTTCGATTTTTTCATGTATAATGTCCGAGACGAGGGCGGGAAACATAACGATCGCCTCGTCAGTGTCCTTGAAGGTGATAAACTACACGTATTCTGTACTACAATGACAGCATCACAGGGACTTGGGCTATATCAAACATTGCAACGACTGATACAAGAAAAACAAGCGGCCTACCAGACCTCCCTGAGGGAGGTGGAAAACGCCCTACATCGGAAAACACTTTCACTTGGAGCCCTTCCACTGGAAACTATGAAAAAACCAGCACCAAAAAGCGACACTAGTGATATCAGCCTACCAATATCCCTCCAGACAAGCGTGGTGGTGAACTTACGCACCATCAGAGTCGGGGCGTTCCCTAATAGCTTCCATGACAACCAGGTCTTCAAACTGGAAGCTCTTGACGCTGAAGCTCGGTTTTCGGTTGTGATTGAAGATGGCAAGATACATACCGGCCTGGGACTGACACTAGGACAGCTTCGGGTTGCCTTGTCAAGCGTAAACAGTTCAGGACCTCCTACAGCAAGTGACCTTCCAGTTGATGAGATCGTTAGCCGTGCCACCGGCTCTCGGGGCGGGACTATCCTCAAGGTTCCCCGAGTCGTTGCGACGATGAAAACATGGCAAACCCCTACCTCCAACCATATTGACTATATCTTCAAGAGTTCGTTCGAAGGCAAAGTGGACGTTGGCTGGAACTATTCACGCATTGCGTTTATTCGAGGCATGTGGAGCACCCATTCTCGCGCTCTCGCGAGTCGACTGGGCAAGCCGCTCCCCCAGGCTGCCGTCCAGATCACGGGCGGACCAAAGGCAGAGGGAGAGGAAGGAGAATACAACGGACAAGAGAAGATCACCGCCGTCGTGAACGTCCCTCAGTCACGGTATACATATACCCCGATAGAGCCGGCCGTCATCGAGACCCCTCAGCTTCGAGACATGGGAGACGCTACACCACCGCTAGAATGGATTGGCCTACAGCGTGATCGACTGCCTAACATCACACATCAGATTATCATCGTTACGCTGATGGAGATTGCAAAGGACGTCGAGGACGCATACTCGAAGATTCTCGGTTCGTCATGATCCCGGTGACTGTGCTATGCATGTCCTGCAAGGTCTATCATTCCAATTGGCTGCACTACATCCTGCATGCTATTTATTTATTTTATTCACTGTTAACCCCTAACTCCGGCGTTCCAAGCATGGCATGGCATGGTATTGGCGTAAAATTTCAACTTTTTTGTATATATAGTTAACGAGGCGGGATAGACTTGGTTCTCCGATTAATAATGCTATTGTGTAATCGTCATGGAAACAGCCGGCACCCCCTGGCTCTCTATCTCTACCGTACCACACCTCCTCTGTCTCTCCCAGCGCTCATCATAGCAGTATCTAGAATATCATATACTTCCATAGTGTTAGTCGTAGTAAGGTGTTAATAGAGCTGAAAAGAGACGCCGACTAGAGTAGATGTACTTAACAAGTATCTTTTGACCATATATAAGTGCATAGGTACCTGTATAGTACTTCCGCCGCCCGGCTAGTGCGGGGCATATGCTGACCTAAGCAGCGCGTCTTCCCCTTCTGGGTTACCGCCTTCGCCCACCTGGGCAGAACCGCACAAGCCCCGCCATTCCTCTTTTTTTCTCTTAGGGAAGAAAAATTCGCATCTCGGAACCTCCTCCCCTCTTCCTCTTCCTCTCTCTTCTTCTTCACCTCAACTCCCCGGTGTTCCATCCATCGCCAGCTTCTGCGTAGCACTGTTCACCTCGTCTACGAGATCAGCTTCCTCTCCGCTGCTTGCTCAGGTCGAGCTCTGCTCTCGATCCTGATAGACACCAAGCCACAAAGCCACCATATCAACACCCCGCCTCTACGGCACTTTTCTGAACAACCACCGCCAAGATGGTCAAGTAAGTCGTTTGTCCAGCTTCCTGTGATGGCGAGAAGAAGGATTGTCCGTGTAGGAGCATCGTCTCTATCCCGGCTCTCCTTTTTCCCTGCTCTTTTCTCTCTTGTTTTGGTTTTGCATGGTGAGGGGGGAACACATTACTAATGCGATTTGGCGTGCAACAGCTTCACCGTCGAGGAGGTATGTCAACATCCTTTGGCAACAGGGGAATCCCTAAGGTATAAAGATATACTAACGCAATCATGTAGATCCGTCAATTGATGGATCGTCCTGCCAACATCCGTAACATGTGTGTTATTGCTCACGGTATGATGCTCATCGCTGTACTGTGTCCTTTCTGGTCCGCGGTCCTAACTTTATACCACTCCAGTCGATCACGGAAAGTCCACTCTTACCGATTCGCTGGTCCAGCGTGCCGGTATTATCTCTGCCGCCAAAGCCGGAGAAGCTCGTTTCACAGATACCCGTCAGGACGAGCAGGACCGATGTATCACCATCAAGTCTACCGCTATCTCCCTTTACGCCACCCTCGTTGATGAAGATGACATTAAGGATATCCCCCAGAAAGTCGACGGAAACGAGTTCTTGATCAACTTGATTGATTCTCCTGGTCACGTTGATTTCTCCTCTGAGGTCACTGCTGCCCTCCGTGTCACTGACGGTGCCCTTGTCGTCGTCGACTGTGTCTCCGGTGTCTGTGTCCAGACCGAGACCGTCTTGCGACAGGCTCTTTCCGAGCGAATCAAGCCCGTTTGTATCATCAACAAGGTCGACCGTGCTCTTCTTGAGCTCCAGGTCTCCAAGGAAGATCTGTACCAATCTTTCTCCCGAACTGTCGAGTCCGTCAACGTCATCATCGCTACCTACCTCGACAAGGCTCTCGGTGATGTCCAGGTTTACCCCGAGAAGGGTACCGTCGCTTTCGGTTCCGGTCTTCACGGCTGGGCCTTCACCATCCGACAGTTCGCTGTCAAATACGCCAAGAAATTCGGTGTTGACAGGAATAAGATGATGGACAGACTTTGGGTGAGTGGAATCCTGTGTCTCTCTGGAATGGCCGGTTAGACTTGTATACTAACGCCTCGCACAGGGAGACAACTACTTCAACCCAAAGACCAAGAAGTGGACCAAGAACGGTGAATATGAGGGCAAGACTCTCGAGCGTTCCTTCAACCAGTTCATCCTCGACCCAATCTTCAAGATCTTCAACGCCATCACGCACTCCAAGAAGGAGGAGATCGCCACCCTTGTCGAGAAGCTTGAAATCAAGCTCACCTCCGATGAGAAGGATCTCGAGGGCAAGCCATTGCTCAAGATCGTCATGAGGAAGTTCCTTCCTGCTGCTGATGCCCTTCTTGAGATGATGGTTCTTAACCTCCCATCTCCCGTTACTGCCCAGAAATACCGTGCCGACACCCTGTACGAAGGTCCAGCCGACGACGAGGCGTGCATTGGTATCCGTGACTGTGACCCCAAGGCCCCTCTCATGCTTTACGTCTCCAAGATGGTGCCAACCTCTGATAAGGGTCGTTTCTATGCTTTCGGTCGTGTCTTCGCCGGTACCGTCCGCTCCGGTCTTAAGGTCCGCATCCAGGGTCCTAACTACACTCCTGGAAAGAAGGATGATCTTTTCATCAAGGCTATCCAGCGTACCATTCTCATGATGGGTCGTTTCATTGAGCCAATTGAGGATGTCCCAGCCGGTAACATCGTCGGTCTCGTCGGTGTCGATCAGTTCTTGCTCAAGTCTGGTACTCTCACCACCAGTGAGACTGCTCACAACTTGAAGGTCATGAAGTTCTCTGTCTCCCCCGTCGTGCAGCGATCCGTCGAGGTCAAGAACGCCAACGATCTGCCCAAGCTCGTCGAAGGTCTCAAGCGTCTCTCCAAGTCCGATCCTTGTGTCTTGACCATGATCAACGAGTCCGGTGAGCACGTTGTTGCCGGTGCTGGTGAGCTGCACTTGGAAATTTGCTTGAAGGATCTCGAGGAGGATCACGCCGGTGTTCCCCTCCGTATTTCCGACCCCGTCGTCGCTTACCGTGAGACCGTCGGTGGTGAATCCAGCATGGTTGCCCTGTCCAAGTCTCAGAACAAGCACAACCGTCTTTACATGACCGCCCAGCCATTGGGTGAAGAGGTCTCACAAGCCATTGAGAGCGGAAAGATCTCCCCCCGTGACGATATCAAGATCCGTGCCCGTCTCCTCGCTGACGAATACGAGTGGGATGTCACCGATGCACGAAAGATTTGGTGTTTCGGTCCCGACACCTCTGGTGCTAACCTCCTCGTTGACCAGACCAAGGCCGTCCAGTACCTCAACGAAATCAAGGATTCCGTTGTCTCCGGTTTCCAGTGGGCTACCCGTGAAGGTCCAGTTGCTGAGGAGCCAATGAGAGCTATCCGATTCAACATTCAGGACGTCACCCTTCACCCTGATGCTATTCACCGTGGTGGTGGTCAAATCATCGGTACTGCCCGTCGTGTCCTGTTGGCCGCTACTCTGTTGGCCGACCCCGGTATCCTCGAGCCCGTCTTCTTGGTCGAGATCCAAGTCCCAGAACAAGCCATGGGTGGTATCTATGGTGTCCTCACCCGACGACGTGGACACGTCTTCGCCGAAGAACAGCGTCCCGGAACTCCTCTGTTCACCATCAAGGCCTACCTCCCCGTCAACGAGTCTTTCGGTTTCCCTGCCGATCTCCGCTCCGCCACTGGTGGCCAGGCTTTCCCTCAATCCGTCTTCGACCATTGGCAGATCCTCCCCGGTGGTTCCGTCCTCGACCCAACCTCCAAGCCCGGTATCGTCGTCACAGAAATGCGAAAGCGCAAGGGTATCAAGGAAGTCGTTCCAGACTACACCAACGTAAGCTTCATCCTCCATCTCCCTAAAATTCAAGTTGAAATGCCAGGATGACCTGCTAACTCGCTCGTTCCTAGTACTACGACAAATTGTAAACACCCTGTCGCAAAGATATGTTTAGACCGCTCTCGTGTATTAAGAACACAATGCCGAGAAGCGTATGCGACCATTTTCAAAAGAATACCATTTTAGCAATGATCAAATTGGCTTGCATGTGCTGAAGGGCTTTTGTCTCAACTTCCCGGCGGCGCACTTGAAAATGAGAAAGAAAAAACGGGTAAAAAAAAGTTAAAACGACCCCCCTCTCTCGCTCCACGACCACTCCATACCGCCCCGTTTTGCGTCAGGCTTTTTCTCCGGTCCCTTTTGATAAATCTAAGATAGCTATCATCCGAAGCTGTGGCTGCGAGCTGTGATTTGACCCATGTGTTTTTTTCCTATGTAATGTTTCGTTAAATGTTCCTGCTTTTTTGAAGTTGATAGTCTCTTGTGTATATCGTGATTCAAGGAATACATAATGGTTATCAATGATCCTCGGGCTCCCGTAAACGATTCGTATCTCCTCGTAGGCTCGAGAAACGATCGGATGTCGTTGATTCTTGCCAAGTTGGGCTGAAAATACAAGCTTATCACGTGATGCTATTTTGCTTGGACGCTAACAAACTAGTTAGAAAGCTCTGGGCGCGATGCTTTTGCTGCTCGCATCGAGAATATATGATTTCAACAGCCGGATGAATCAATATCGTACGCATACCTAGCTTTACCTGTCATTCATTTGCGGAGGCCAATCTAAGGGGACTTACAACCTTCAAAGGTCCTACTCTCTTTCAATTCTCGCAGTTAGAGCTCTTGTGAGATTGCTTATCCCGGAACACATTCCAGTCAACTATCCCCTCACTGCTACGCCGTACATCGAGCCTCCCGGATCTTTATCGATTTATTGGACGGTTACGGGATACTCGCAGACGCGATTACGGGTTTAATACGCGTAACCTAAAGTGGTGCAAATATGCAGTTCACGGAAGAGAAAGCCGCGGAGGTCAAATCCTGGGTTGTGAAGAAACTTGAAGATATGTAGGTGCTGCTGAAAAACTGCTCATGGCGCGTAATAAAAGACATCCTGATCTATGAAGTGGTATCTACGCGATGGTGCTATGCGAGACACCTACTTTGGACTTTGGGAACCGCTTCGGCTTTTTTTTAAAGCTACTTTGATCAGCTTCGTTTTCTTTTTAAAACACTGCTAATGAGTTGGTTCGTTGATGCGTTATAGCTCCGATGCAGACTCGGAAGTATTGGCGGATTATGTCCTTGCTTTGGTATCTACGGATGCTCCAGACGAGGAGATAAGGAAAGCTTCCGTGGAGAATCTCGAAGACTTTTTGAAAGAGAGTGAGTGTCTTGGGTTCACCCTAGTGGAGTACTTATAGTACACGTTTGTTCTAGTCGCAGGAAATTGCTAATATGCCTGAACTGTTTTTAGATACTGTTAAATTCGTGGACGAAATATTTGAAAAGTTTCACCCAAAACCAGAGCAGCAGCAGCCTCCTCCACCCGCCGTGCAGCAGCCCTCTTTGCCTTCCCCAGCCCAAAATGCCCCGTTCGGTCAGCAGCCTCCAAATGCGGATATGATGGCTCAATTTGCGCAAGCCCAACTCGGACCAATGGGACAGCCAGGACTAGGCGGATTTGAAAGCAATGACCAGCAATTTAACGCGCGGAAACGAACATTTAACGATTCACAGGGGGGTGAGGATCAGGGCCCATATCAAAGAAGCGCGGATAGGCCGTATAAGGCCGCACGCGGTCGACGTGGTGGCAGAGGAGGTATAGGAGGGTGGGACAACCGACAAAATCCAGGTGCACAGGGCCAGGGCTATTCACCAAATATGCCTGGAGGATTTCGCGGTGGCCCTCCTGCTCCACAGCCTGGATTCCCTCCTTTCAATCCCAATGACCCAATTGCGCAGATGTTAAGTATGTCAGGGATGAATTTTCCGCAAATTCCAGGGATGCCACCCATGCCACCGCTCCCATCGCTTAATGGGCAGCCACAGACCTCTGGTTCGCCCCCTAACAAAATTGCGGAACGATGTAAGGATTATGATACTATGGGATTCTGTGTTTTGGGAAGCACTTGTCCTTACCAGCATGGTCAGGATCATTTGGTTGCCCCATCAAAGGATGACGGTATGAAACCCCCTATCTCTCCTCTGTGAGTTTCTATTTATTAATTCATCGATTAGAGTACGACCCAACCAAATCGAATATTGTATCTAACCACCCGACGAATGGTGCTAATGGCGGTGGACGTGGTGATCGAGGAAGAGGGCGAGGCCGCGGCCGTGGTGATAGAGGAGGTTATGGCTCGCAACGCCGTAATCGGGCTGACTTTTCACACGCAGGCCCCAACGAGGACCGGAAAATCACAACTATCGTTGTCGAGCAAATACCGGAAGACAAATTTAACGAATCTACCGTCCGAGAATTTTTCTCTGATTTCGGTGAAATTACAGAGATCACTATGAAGCCATATAAACACCTAGCCCTTGTCAAATATGACTCGTATGATGCAGCTCATCGAGCATGGTCAAGCCCGAAGGTCATCTTTGACAACAGGTTTGTAAAGGTTTATTGGTATAAGCCTACAGAGTCAAGAGGTGACAGCAACGGCTTTAAACCGTCTTCTACTGAAGAAGCCCCGTTCGATCGAGAAGCGTTTGAGAAGCAGCAGGCGGAGGCTCAAAGAATTCATGAGGAAAAGGTCAGGAAACGAAAAGAAACGGAGGAAGCAATCTTAGAACATAAAAGGAAAACCGATGAATTGCTTAAACGCCACAAGGAGGAGCAGGCTAAATTATTGGAGAAATTGCAAGCTAAGGGTGCTGGCAAAGAAACTGCTGCCTCTGAGACGGGAGCTCCGGTGAATGATCAGACTGCCTCTTTACGTGCCCAGCTCGCGTCTCTACAGGCAGAGGCTAAAAGCATGGGTATTGATCCCGATGCTCAGCCGGAGTCTACTTTTGGCCGGGGTCGTGGACGAGGCTTTGGTGGCTTCCGTGGAAGAGGTGCATTCCCTCCTCGTGGCCGTGGCTACGACCCCTCGTTTAGAGGTGGGTTTAGAGGCCGAGGAAGCTTCCGTGGCCGCGGGGGCGTGATGCGCCTCGATAATCGTCCTAAAAGGGTTGCTATCTCAGGGGTAGAATTTGATACTAACCGCGACGAGGCGTTGAGGCAATATCTTTTGGTAAGGAAACACATTTTCTATCTAGCACGTTCCTTTGCCTAGTACCAAAAAAAGAGGAAAGTAAGCTAATTTATCTGATAATCGGATAGGGAATCGGAGAATACGACAGCGTTGGTCCCAGCCCAGATCGTCCGGGAGCTTTGGTGGTATCCTTCAAAGACCGATACGTTGCTGAGAAGCTATTCCATGGCCCAACTGACATCCCATCAGTCGGCAAGGTTGAGTTCGCCTGGGTTAATAACCCGCCGCCTGCTACGACACAGCCCGGTGGCGGAGCTGCTCAGAAAGCCAGCGAAGATGTTGCTATGACCGATAGTAATACGCCCAGTGCTCTCGCACAGGAGAAGGAGCCAACGCATGAAGTTGACTATGATGTGGCTGAAATGGATGATGCCTGGGGGCCTGAGTGAATTCTCCATGGTTGAGTGTTTGGATTAGATTTGGATTCCCTACACGTGTATTTCTACATATATAATTGTCCGACGGATGAAATGTTTGTTATAGCTGTAACTTATTGCAGCGATGAATGGAGGCCCAAGTGAGGAAAGCTTTCTAAATGACCAATCTTCCCATCTCTCTTAAAAGGGGCTAGGTATAGGGCTCAGTAGGCACACTTTTCAAACCCCAGAAACTTGAAGTATTGATACACAACTATATCCTTGTTACTACGTAGCAAGTAACAGAGCTGATTGATTACTTACACTTGGGACAAACCTGTTTTACTTGATCTTCCCCTCATCCTGACCCCCCTCGAAACTGTTTCTCGTCATTTATACTCTCGAATGATACCACGTTTGTCTAGCAACAGCGCAATCTGAAACACTCAGTCGACTTCAGAGGAAAGATAGCCGACAAATATGGCCACCGGGACTCGCCTACAAGACAAAATAGCCATTGTAACGGGTTCCTCAGACGGGATAGGCCGTGCAATCGCGCTTCGATTTGCCTCCGAGGGTGCATTCCTAGTTTGCGCTGACTTGGATCCTACATCAAGGGGTATATTCGATTGCCTCCTGTTATTTTGCCCTCATTCTTTGCTATTTTTATTAACGTATACTATAGCTAAAGTTAAGGAGGGGGAGAAGGTTATACCAACCCATGAAGCTGCCGAGGAAGCATATCCAGCTCGAACTGGCGGTCTTTTCCCAAAAAGATCCATTTTTATCAAGACAGATGTTACAGTTTCCTCAGATGTGGAAGCCCTAGTGAGTGGATGTGTTAAAGAGTTTGGAAGATTGGACATGTTAGTTTGCCTTTCATATTTATTTGTATGGATCAATCTTGGTTGAACCTAAGGCTAACCATGCCTTGCTACTTTTCAATCCTCTTTACGTATAGAATGGTCAACAATGCGGGTGTTGGTCTTATCTATCGCGATGGACTGAGCCTGCGTATCCATGAAACCCCTGAGTTTGCCTGGGATAAAATCATGGGTGTGAATGGAAAAGGCGTGTGGTTAGGATGCAGTAAGTTGAACAGCCCGCGTTCATATTTTTGTACTGTCAGATAATAGCATTCATTAACTCCTTAAATTTACATTATTGGCGCGGGCAAGAATACGCCGCCGCCCAGATGATTGCTCAGGAACCACATTCCAGCGGTGACCGAGGTTGGATCATTAATACAGCATCGGTATTGGGCCTAGTTGGGGCGCACCGTGGGAGCGCATATGCGGCTTCTAAAGGGGCAGTCGTTAACCTAACTAAGGCTGTAGCATTGGAATATGCTGCTGACAGGATGTATGTGGCCCAGGATCTCCTAAAATCATATTCATGGGCTAATTGGTGTGTTTTACTAGTCACGTCAATGCCATAGCCCCTGGGTATGCGCAAACTCCATTATTGGATGACCTGATGGCCAAAGATAGTGAAGATCCGGCCATAAAAGATATGCGTGCCTCCATCGAAGCCAAACAGCCACTTGGCTGCCGGATGGCTGAACCGCATGAGGTAGCCAGTGCTGCGTTATTTCTTGCATCGGCAGACGCAAGCTTTATAACTGGCCATACCCTTACTGTGGATGGAGGATATCTGGCTGGAAAGTAATTTCTGGTATTGTTTGATTTTGGTCGGTTTATTGGAGCCCCTTGGTTATATTTTTCTGCTTCAGAGACAGAGTTGCAGATGTAACAGGAGCTTTAAATTATTTATTTATATATATGTCGATATTTTCATAGCTGAAAGCTGGTATATATATATTAAATTTGGGCGCCAACAAGGCCTGCCACCAGTTAGTATTCTCCCATATACCTTTGGTTCTATCCATCAGATAGTCGAGATTGATTTATCAGGTTATCTTGAGCGCCGGTGTGCTGGTGAGTTGAGTCTGGATAATGAAAGGCTTTTTAAAATGCGTACTAGAGGGTTCATGACATGGTAAGTTATAAAACATATTGACATCAGAGGGTGCATGCTAGGAGGGTAAGCTTACACGAAATGATAGATTCTCCCGATCAGTCATGTCGAGGAAATCAGCAGAGTTCTGCACTTCTCCTTCTTCCAGCCGCTTCTCTCTTCTCCTATTTTCATAAACATAGTAGAACCTCAATGCAATGATAGAGACTATTGTAATTGAAATAGTTATGACGATGGTGACCTTTGCGGGTATAAACTGAGGCGCATCTTCATCCCTGAAGGTTAGAGGGCCTAGTATGTTTCCTAGGCAGAATGCCATCAATATGACCGCGTTCATGGTGACTTTCTTTGTATGCCCTGCGTAATTTGCAGTGATGAGGGAGTATGTGAGAGGCAGAAATGCATTATTGCAGTGGGTAAGGTAATTTCCCGCCAGTTTCGCTGCTGGATGGCTGTTATCAAGGAAGGCGAGCAGACATGCACCTAGAAGGCTAGGGATAAGGACGATAACCATAAACAACGTACGCCTGCTGAATTTAGCAGCTAGGAGAGTTGCTGAAACTATTGCAACGATATTAACAACCCCGCTAGGGATTGAAAGAAGCTGTGTCTGCTTGGGGGTGAATCCAATATCCTTGATGATGAGTGACTGAAATTGGGATATGGCGGCATTGGGAATGAGGCCAGCGGTAGTAATGAGTGTCAGAAGGTAGGTTTGTGGGTCTTCGAACACTTCTTTGAACTGCTGAATTTTGAAATGTTTATTCTCGATACCTGTTTGGTTTTCTCGAAGTCGCTCAATTGCGTAGACTTTCTCCTCATGGGTCAGACGGGATGTCATTGGGTTGTCTGGAAGGAAGATTATGACTAGTATCCCTGTGAAAATTGTAATTAAACCAAATATAAGGAACATAATCTGCCATGGCTTGAAGGTTTCTCCGGTATAGAATAAAAGCCCATAGGCACTAAGGGCCCCGATTATGTATGCTGTCCCGGTCCCAGAATACCAAAGACCCATGCGTGCTGGCTGCTCTATTCATCTAGTAAATATAATTGCCACGATTGGAAGGATCATCATTCAAAAGCGGAGATGACGTACCATTTTTCTTATACCACATGCCAGTGATCAAAATTAAACTAGATTCTTTTCTTTAGAAAACGAGTGACATAGGACAGGAACGGGCATTGTACCTTGGAGCAACGGAGGCCTCAAAACAACCGAGGAGGACCCGAAGTACAAGGAGACCTGGGAAGTTTTTGGCTACACAATTGAGTGTTACCATGGTTCCCCATAAGATTACTATTGAATGTCAGGATAAGCTGAAGCCAGTCAATCAGATAATGTTATAGGTCTGTGTTGTACTTACGATTTGCTCCTAGATATTTTGCCGTTGGAAGTCGTTGCATAAGATATCCAGTCGGGAATTCGAAGAACAAGTAGGAGACATAAAATGCCAACCCAAGATATGAATACTCGTTTGTATCCAGGTGGGCGTCTTCCAACAGGCCCATAATGGAAGCGAAGTTGACTACATGACCCGTTGGTATATATCAAAATTTATTAACCACCGAGATAGGTAACAACATACTCAACACCTTGTCCAGATATTGTAGATTATAACATGCCCACATGAGAGGAACAATCATCCAATCAATTTTCCGCACCAATGCCTTTTCACCAACGGCACTCAAGTCAATGTCATGTTCATTTAAGAAGGTAAATGCTGCATCAGCATCAGCGGAGCGACTGGGCGTTATTGGATTGTGTTTTTCCATTTTTTATCTCAAAAGTAAGGGACAAGAGCCACACTCCTCTGGCTTTGTTTAAAGAACCGGGCGAGTGTCGAATTTCAAAAAATTGAAAAGAACGAACTCGTGGAGGTATAAATACCAACCGGCTGAAGTATATGCCAACCAGCTGAAGTATATATGCAGACCATATATCTTCATCACTGGAAATGAGGGGTATGCATATGAGCTGAACCCGGGACATCTACCGCTGTTCCTCAGCTTAACATGACTAAAGATGACGAAGAGAGGCGGTGGAGGGATCCAATGAAACACCCAATGGAGTAGATATATGCCATATTTGCCGGATGACAGCCGGCGATCAATATAACGTCAGTCAACATATTCCCCTCTATGAATTAACGGTGCAGGGTAAAGTAGATGCATTATTGCTGCAGTATGGGTAGCATTGAAGCTTGTCTGGGTAGAAGACAAGGCCATACAGGCCTGACATTTGTGCATAGCGTGGAAGGGGAGCCGGGTGTGGGAGCCGATGGCACTATCCGAGCCGTGGATCAAGGGTTCGTGAAGTGGACAGGCCGGCCTAGCGCAAGCTGTATGAACCCTACTCTGTAGGCTCGGATCTGCACTTTTCAGCGAAGATCTGTCACGCGTAGGATTCAATCAGACCCCGGTAGGATGACTGACCAAACTTGATAGATGGACATTTGAATAGGTAAATGGTGACATAGCCGTGCGTATATCACTCCATAGGAAGCCTCTTATTGCCTTACTTCTCCAAAGATTTAATTGTTTGATTAATATAGCAAGCTAGGTTGTTTTTGACGAATATCGGCGTAACCAATCGTCGATGCATCTTTTTTGGGCAGAGGCTAGATGGGATTCTTGGCAAAAATGCTTGTTCAAACGATGGGACAAGCGGGTAAGGCGGACAAAAATGTAGGATGATAGTTTCCTGTTTACCACAACCTCCACCGTGGTTTGTGCAACCAAGAATAAGTAGCATCGCCCTTCAGCAACAGGTAAAACAGAGGAAAAAACACAAACAGTCGTGAGCTAGTTCAAAAAATGCTATCATTGCATCGTATCATTCAAATCGTCAGGATAGGTCATCAAAGAGTACACTACCAACAGTCATAAGAGGGGACAACTCGCTGTGCCAGAAATGGAGGGATTCAAAAAATACGTTGCAGAGGGCTCTGCCCAATCGTTAACCAGAGAATTGAACGCTATTGCCGGGGTTGAAATATAGCCGAGTTAGGCAGGTTGTGCTGGCCGTTGGACCATTGGCTACTTTGCTGCGGCAAGCTAAAATTATCCCTGGCCCCTGACATATGAGCAAACCAATCATAGTCTTGTTCATTGTCGCTGTCACCCATCTCATCTAACATGCGGTCAATTTCATCACCAGCATTTTGCTCTAATCTAGGCTGGTGGTAGCTTGTGTAAGGGTTATGTTGGTCTTCTCCACCAGGGTCTGCAAAACTAACACGTTTGGAGTGAAGTGCGTCTTGTCTTCGGGGCTCAAAGTTGAAAGCAACGCCTAACCCTGCTGCTGAGGATGTGGAAGCTGATACATTTTCATTCGACGATAGAACTGGAGTGAACCTGGAGGAATTCTGGGAATTGTTAGGAGGTTGGAATTGTGACCGGGAGTCGTTGTAATATCCAGAATTTTCCGGGCTTCCCATAAAGACAAGAGTTTCAACGGCGTCTTGTTCCATTATTGTCTTTTGGGTCGGTGTGCAGTGCTTCCCTAGAATTGCCGTTGTTGCAGAGGATGGGGCTTTGAACGAGGGTTGAGGCCTTGGAGGAGTAGCAGGAATATGATAGGACCCGTAGGTCCCCATCGTAGAAGAGCTCGAGGATTGTTGTGATAATGATGGAGCTTGGAACTTTTTAGGGCTGGTGCTGTTTAGGGTTGGCCTCCGTCTCGCATGGGTACTGTTGCCAGGCACTATATCTGCTGGTGGAGCAAGACGGGGAATTTGATGGAGGCCATTGGATGCGGGCCGTTGGTATGATCCATTGGAAGGGATTGAGCCCATCGACAGGTTATGGCGGTGGTAAGGTCTGGGGGTGTGGTTTAGAGGTGCGTTTCGCGTTATATCTGGCCTTGGGTTGCTAAACCCAGTCGCGATTCTTAATACTTCAGCGGCCAAGTCGCGTTCCCCAACGGGACGATTGAGTTTTGGAGCTGAATGTGATTCTGGCGGCCCATTGGATTGCATTGATGGTCTGATTCCTCTTGTAGGCGAAGTTATTTTGGCTGGCAACCTGAGCTTACTGCCATTGGGGTTGGATTTCCAATCTTTTTCCACTTTCGCTGCTGCCCAGGATAGTCGTGAACGGAGTTGCGCCGATATCTGTGGAACGTTGAACATTAGAAACTTGAAGTTCAAGCAGTTAAAAAACGAACAAACGGCCTGTTACTCACTTCTGCAATCCGGCTAGAATGCGAATCGGTACTCATCGATCTTGAGTGGTATCCAGTTCCGGGTGTTGTCATTAACGAGAAAGGTCGGTCCGGGGAAACGGAGCATTTCATCACACCACTGGCGGTTCTTTTCTGTCCTGGAGTGAGATGTACAGTTGCTCTGGCACTTGGTGGGCTATGAAATGGGGTAGAGGATACAGTGTCATGGCCAGAGTCGATTCTTTCCAACTGACGAGGAAGAGAGGTCGTTTGTAATTGTGGGAGCGACGGACGGTCGTCTATAGACTGAGGGAACATCTTACTCTGGGAATGCAAATTTGAATTCGCGCCCGGATCGGTTCCAAAGTGAATAGACGATGATGTCGACGGCGGAGAGTTGGAATCGCTGGCATCCGCCACGGAAGACTGGGTGAGGTCGCTGGCGGATGCTCTCAACGGGGGGAAGAGGTCATGACCCGCAGACGTCGACGTCGAAAACTGCACGCCGGCGTTTATCGGACCAGGACACGTTCCGTACTCATCCATGACGCACGGCAAAGGTGCAGAGGAAGTAACCAGATCAAACGAGGACCCTGTGTATATTCCGTAGTGGCGGTGACTTGGAGATGTAGCAGAAGGGCGTCCGTCGTTGGCGTGGAGTATGATGTCAAGACGTTGTAGTAATGTACTTTTGGGAGTACTAGTGGCCTGACGTAGTTGATTGGGGCTAGCGAAGCCGCATGGTGATAGCCATAGTGAAGCGGTTTAGGGTGGCCTCGAGCCGTGGTTTTGCACGTAGGTGACTCGGTAGTAATCGATATCTGACCACAGTTGACGAGCCCGAACACTCACGGATAGTCTCACGGCGCCGAACACGCCCTGCTGTTACCAACACCTTTCCCGATGCTGCATCAGGGGGCCGGTGTTTTCTTTTCCGTGCTCCCGTCGCTCTGTCACTGTCACTGGCGGTTTTTTGACGTGGGATGTTGAAGAATATTCGAAGATCCTTCCGACGCGTCGCGCCTGCACGTGAGCACGTAGGTCACGTGGATATAAAAGCCGAGGTGAAGCCGAGACTACGATATTGATGATATACTAGAGTAGTGTTGAAGATAACAGAAGATATAGAAGCAAGAGAGAATAATAACGGTTAAAGATATAGAATGATGATGCTTTTCCTGGCCCTGTATCCCCTGTATATACAGAAAGTATGTCCCAAAACTGCAAAGCGACCAGAAAAGTACGGGGTATAGATATAGATACACCTTCACTTTCTCTTCTTAAACCGGCTCGCACCGCCATCTCCGTCATTCTTCCTCTTCTTTCCCTCGCGGCTCCAGTACTCATCACGCTCCTTTTTCTCCCTGGCCTCTTTCTTTTCCTGGTTCTCTGCAACCTTTGCCCGATAGACCTTCCTCCGCTCCTCCTGCGCAGCCGCTCTCTTGGCAACCTTCTCGTTGCGCAGCGTTGTGAGTTTCTGTAAGAGATCCCGGGCCCTCTTCTCTTCTCCTCCGAGTACCACGGCGCGTTTTTGCATGTATGTCTCCCCCTTCTTTGGCCGCATCTTGGTGATCTGTGATTTGAACGGGAGGTCGGCCGCGAGCTGCCTAGGTACCCGCAGGGGGTTAAAGTGTCTGGTTGATCTCTCGATCTTGCGGTAAGCAGAGTCCTTCTCCAGAGGTGTAGCAATGTTTTGATCTCGTCGCACTTCTCCGGTTAGACGCATGCCTTGCCATTCTGCACTTGTGCCGGTTTCGGAGTCCTTATAGTCAAGCAGGTTGGTGACCGGATTATAGTACCGAAAGGGCTTGACGGGGTACCAAGTTCGTAAGAAGACAATGTCGCTCATGAGGATCTTATCTTCAAAGGTGGCACGGAAATGGCCCTCTGGCTTGCTGAGAGCTCGCTTGATCTGACCACGAATGCCGGAAACGGTACGGATGGCAGCTCCCTCGAACTTGGCGATTTCCAGAGAGGAGTTGAACATGTTCTTGATAAACGCTGTGTTGCGGAAAATCTTGTAAGGTTGACCGGTAAGTTTCAATTTCTTGACGATCTCGGTGCCTTCGTCGACGCTCAAAATGACACCACTAGCGGCTATCCTGAACCCAGGATTCTTGTTCGAAAACGACTGCACACAGCAGAAACCTGTATTAGGGGCAACTAGGGGCCCGTAGAATGTGCCGAAGCAGTGCATATGCTCAGGTGTATATTTCAGCATTCTGTTGCGAGTTCGAGAGTCTGAGATGCTGTAGACCGGCATCGTCTGGAATCGGCGCCACCCCAGGGAGAAAATCAGGGGATCGTTTGTCTTCAAGATCTTCTTGTGCCAGCGATGGCGCTTGATTCGCACCTGAACGAAACCGAACCGATCTTCCGTAGGGGCTAAGCCTCCCACGATAACGGGGAATCGAGGATTAAAGCCCTCGGAGAACTCGCAGGGAACGTTCTCCAGAACAATTCTGGCATAAGTTCCAGCCTTGTAACCTTCTGCTCTCGCCCTTGAGAGTGCATCAAGCGTGTCAAACTCAGCACGGTTGATGTCGGCTTGTTTCTGGAGTGCAGCCTTCTGAGCGTCATACCACTCATCCTCGCCGAACTGTTCTTCGTTTTGAGGCTGTCCTGCGGCTCTCGCCCCGTCCTTTGAGTTGCCGAAGCCTTCTCGGTCTTCTTCTTCGAAGCGAAGCTTCAACTCCTCTTTCCGCCTTGCATTACGCTCACGTTCTGCATTAAGGTCCTCTGGCTCGCCGTCTTCATCATCCTCCTCGTCCTCTTCTTTAGACTCCTCGTCGCCTCCGAAGACCTCGCCTGTTTCAAGATCTGCGAATGCTCCATCCCCTTCGTCGTCTGAGTCTGTATCCCCAAACCCTTCTTCATCGTCGTCTTCCCCGGAACCCTCTTTGCCGGATCGATGTTTTGAGAATTTGACGCTTGCAAATCGTTGACGAAGTGCATCGAGGTTATCTTTGTCCTGCCATTTCTGTTCAAGTTCATCATAGTTGTAAATAGGAATGGTGCGGTCATCTAACCCCCCCTTTTCAGCGTTGGTCTTCTTGAAGAAGTCGTCAGCCTCATCCTCAGCACCATCCTGGGCATCATCTAAAACATCCTCCCCGCTCCATCGTCTGGCCACATCGGCTGGAGTTATGGAGTCGTCGTAAAGCATGCGGGTGAGCTCTGCTATCCTGTAGGCGGGTTTCTTGCTAAACATTGCTTTGGCATTGGCGGTCAGGTTTTCCTTCCAGCGCATTTCTCCATCGTCTTCTCCCTCGTAGTCGCTGGGCGCGCTTTCTAGCTCTTGGTCTTCCACAGATGATATGGAGCCGAGATCCGAGTCGCTATCAGCAAAGGCAAGGTCTTCCTCACCCTTTCCATTGGAAGTTCCGTTCTGCTTTTCCCTGAATTTTGATGCAAAGTCAACGCCCGGCCCTTCGTCGTCCTCTTCTATGTCGCTCCCATATTCTTCCTCATCCTCTTCCTCGTCCTCGCTCTCAAGTCCTTCATCCTCGTCACCTTCTAGGTCGTGCCCATTCTCGTGGTCTTCGATAAATCGGGCTTTTCTCCTCTCGTTTCTCCCGAGGTGCTCGGACTCCTCAGCATTGACATTGGCAATGGCGTCACCATCTTTGAATAGTCTAACACCAGCCTCTGTGTCTCCAAGTAGCTTTCTCTCGCCTTGTAGGCCAACAATCATCTGCTCTCCCAAGCCTCTTTCCTCTGTCGCCTCATCGTCTTCATCTCTGTTAAATGTAGCTGTTCTGACATCGATGTAGACAGCGTCTTTATCCACCAAAACACCACCAACATCAGCCATTGGCGCAAATAGAAGTTTTTGCTTCTCGCCTAATCTTTTCCGACCAGATTTGCCTGCAGCCTTAGCAATTGCTTGGTCCATGGCGGGCGTAGGACAAGGGTCAGGGAGCGCTTCGATCGAGGCGACGTTAAGATCGCCAACACCTGGGACATGTACTCTTGCGCCAACAGCTGGAAAGTTAGTACCTCTGAGGTACCCATAGAGAGCAACTGTCCTGTCACACTTGGGATTTTCTTCCTTGGCGGTTGGAGGGGTGATATCTAAGAACCTGTCCGCTAGGCAATATGGATGCGAGTTTCGCCATATAAGTGGTCGCGGGTTCTTCATGATGGATAAGAATCGGGAAAGATTATGAATTTCTCGGTCCGGATATCGCCCATTAATCACTCCAGAAAGATAAAAGAGCTTAGCGCCTTGATATAACTCGCTCCAGAACCGATGCTTTAGTCTCTTCTTCGCCATCCGTAGTGTGCTCTGCTTCTTGAATAGATCAAGATGGGTAAGTATACCAAAGACGTTTCCTGGCATTCCACTAGCAGAAAGCGCATTGAGGAACTCCATAGTCTCCATCTCGAAGCCATAGTTGCCGTCGATCATGAGCAATACGATATCAGCGATCTTTGCGACATCTATCATGCTCGCCAAAGAATCCGAGGGACATTCTAGGAAAGTCAACCGCCGCTTTTTAGAAGTCACGACAGTTAAAGGGCCGGTGATCGAGCTGAGGGAGTGTTTCGAATATCGCTTAATCAATGACTTGATGAGTGTCGTTTTTCCGACCTGCAATAAAACCGGATGTTAGCTGCGCAATTCCGCCATTCTTTCTAACAACGTAAAATTAACGTACCCCCGGCGGTCCAACGACCGTGACAATAATCGGCGGAGGCTCCTCCGGTAGGCGATCCACGAGCGGAACATGTAGCCTTTTCTCTTTTATCTAACCGGAGATTAATTAGCACTGAAAGCTCCAAATATATCCCCCGCCGGCTATATGAAAACGCACATCGTGCGACCTAGCTGCCTGTCTCGCTAATTTTCCTGGGTTCGACACCGCAAATGCTTTGGGGTTAGGACCTGTGGAAAATTCAGATAGCTTCAATTAGCAATCTTGATCACTTTCCATATTGCGACAATCGAAATCTCGGAAGCTCAATGTACCTCCATGGTCTTTCTTCTTCCCCTTGTCCTTGGACTTCCGGTGGGGTTTATTGGATTGATCCTCCATGGCCACAGAATTATTCGAGTGTGAGATCTAAACCATCTCGGAACCAGAAGAAGGTTGACCAAACTCCAAGAGAAACGTCCTATCTACGGCTTTATCAATCTCCTCTCTTTTTTTTTGCTTTGCAGCCGATTATTTTTTTATGGCTTAGTAAAATATTAGATAATCTTCATTAGATAAGCACTTTAACAAGCGCTAGCCGCTTTAACTAGTAACCGCGCTTAAATTTGCGTCTAAGAGATCAAAAACAACAAACCTCGGAAAGTACAACCTTACGAAAACACGCTGTACTTGCAGGAAGTGGCTTGCGTTACGACAGTTGTTGATCATTTCGCTGGGTATACACCCCGAGATGGCATATATAATAGGTCAATGCCAGGTCAACGGCCTCCAAGCGGTGCTACAACACGAACACTGCCCGAATCTTTTAGCTTAAGGTTTTAGTCAACTGTACTCATGGAGGGGTTGATTGATTTATCAGCTAACTATGACTAAAACTTGATGTGATATTGCTGACGGCTTCATCAGCGACGACTTCAACGATTGAAATAAACAGGTTACTTCCATTATATATATAACATGGGCTCGGAGCCTACTCCCGCCCCTGCTCGGCAGGCAACGATCTCTCAGCGGGCTGCAAAAATCGCGAAAGAGACGGCAGCCAACCTGATGTGGGACGTGTTCACCAACCTATATGACCCCACGACAAACAAGGACGGGTTCGTCAGCGTAGGAGTGGCAGAGAACTTCTTGATGCATGATACGCTACTTGAATATATCCGAACACATGCAGAACTGCCAGCGCAATATCTCACGTATAATGATGGTGGCGATGGGTCGAGGAGGCTGAAGATTGCCGCCTCTCGGTTCTTAAATCGTCATTTGATGCCGATCGTGCCGCTGGCGCCGGAACATCTCATGGTTACTAATGGTGTTTCTGCGGCCATAGAGCATATGTCATGGGCATTCACAGATCCGGGTGAAGGCATTCTCCTCGGCCGACCATATTACGGAGCATTCGTTCCGGACATAATGTCCCGTCCGCATGCCGAAGTAGTTGCCGTATCATTCGACGAGGTTGATCCGTTCGAGGTGAAATGTGTTGCTAAATACGAAAAGGCGTTGCTTGAGTTTGAGGCACGAACTAGCAAGCGTGTCAGAGCTCTGATGCTCTGTCATCCACACAACCCGCTAGGACGATGCTACCCGCGCGAGACAATTATTGAGTTGATGAGGCTATGCCAGAAATATCAGATCCACCTCATCAGTGACGAGATATATGCCATGTCGGTATGGGAGAATACCGTGGACGTTGCAGCCAGCACGCCTGCACCAGTCAAGTTCGAGTCTGCACTATCTATACCCACCAAGGATCTGATTGATCCTCAGCTCGTTCACGCCCTATGGGGGATGAGCAAAGATTTCGGTGCAAACGGCATCCGCGTGGGAGTTATCATATCTCAAACCAACCCTCACCTCATGGCTGCTCTCAAGGGACCCACGCTCTACTCGTATGTATCTGGACTCTCCGACCATATAGCAGCGAGTATACTAGAAGACGACGCCTTCACGGAAGAGTATATTCGAGCTAACCAGCGCAAGTTATCGGAGTCCTACGCCATCGTCGCACGAGCCATGCAAGCCCACAACATCGAGTATGCAACAGGCTGCAACGCCTCTTTCTTCGTATGGGCTAATCTAGGCGAGGCATATCTTAGAAATAAGCAGATAACTCTATGCGATGATGCTCCAACGGACTTGACGCAGACGGTTATGAATGAACTTATAAAGAGGCGCGTGTTTCTGGCCGATGGCACGGCGTTTGGTTCCGAGAAGCCAGGTTGGTTTAGGATCGTCTTTTCACACCCTAAACCATTCCTTGATGAGGCGTTGGGGAGAATCATGGCCGCTATCGGAGAGCCTGCACCTGCACTCGAGTCTGCTTTGGCAGATGTAAAGCTCACCTAGCCGTCTCTCTTATTCTGATTTATATTTGGATTCGCGTTAGATCTAGATTTTTACATGTTTGCGTGGAGATAATGAACGCGTAGCTCTAGGGACATTTCGGCGATAGTCTGTAAGCCTTGTCACTAATAAGTTAGTTATTGACTATGGGAAAGATAAATAATGCACAAGATATTGAATAACCTACATGAGCAGTATTATCACTAGTAGGGTAGCCATTACAATCTCATCGTCCTACAATATGCGTGGTTCAACTATCAAGGGTTACACCGTGGCCGACATCTATACTCCGTGCTCGGTACAACCTGCGGCCTGCCACATGGCCAGGGACGAGACACAGAAACCTACCTTCAGCCTCCCTTCCCCATTCAATGCCACCAACGCTTATCCCACTTTCCATAGCAAGCAAATACCAGTTTACGTTGAGGGTTGACGTGGCTGGCTAGACTGTTCTCTCCGTCAAGCAACGGAGTACCCGTGTCAATATAACAGACATACATGCATGCACGCATCGAATACGATGGATGAGACAAGATCTAGCCAGCACGCCAATTTAAGTAACATGTCGTGCGTTTCAAGTAGATGGATGCATGTAGATAACTATCCGTGACCCGCGGGGTATGCAGGCATCCGCATAAGCTAGAGCAGTTTCACATTTAACATCCGCGGGGAAGATAGATACGATAAAACGAAGATTCGGTAGGTAAGTAGTATAAGTATGTATGAATTAAGCTAGTAACTACCTAAAAGATAAAAGGCTATGCTTTGTATATGAATACTATAGATCTCTCGTACCATGCCGACAAGCGTCGGAGGGAGAGTATCTCATCTCAACGAGAGATGTGAGCAGTAAGTGTAGTGTAAAACGTAGAGTGGTGAGTAAGGTGCAAGAAAGGAGGCCGAGAGAGGAGTATATGTGTACGTATATGCTTGTTTTTGTTTTCGAGGGGTTGAGGTGAAGAGGTATCATCGTCATCACATCATTTAACGCCGTGCCAAAAAGAAAGAGAAAAGAGAAAAGAAGAAACGCTAGACCTTCAGACGCTTTTTGAGAATGCCGAAAATGAACAATGGGTATATAGATGCAGATGCAAGGATGATGTATTGTCTAGTAGGCAGCTATCATCGCCTGTGTTCGTGCCGGGTTTCGTGGAGGGAGGAAGAACCCTTCCTCGACGAAGGATGACTGTTCTGCCTCCGACAGTCTGGGCGTCGGTGTGTCTGCATCTATCCCCTTGCCTGTGCTCTCCTTCGAGGCGCTGGCGGTGACTAGTGTCTCCTCCTCGGACTCGCGTGAGGCGGAGAAGGTATCGAATGTCGGCTGTGGAGGGGAGAGGGGGAGCATGTCGTCTTCAGACTCCTCGTCAGAGTCATGTAGTAGCTCTGGAGGCTGGTGTTGTCTCGACGAGGTACGAGTGAGAGCTAGCTCATCACCATCATCGTAGTCGTCGTAATCGCCCTCATCGTACTCTGCCGCGAGGTCGAGATCAAAGTCTGCCTGTGCGTATACGTGGCTGGTGGCAGTGGTGGTGGTAGCAGATGTATATTTTATCGGATATAGCTCTGTAGCTGCCGCGGCGGGAGGAGCAGGATAGGACGTATGCTTCGCAGTGACGTTGACGAAGAAGTCACCGTCCGTCTCGTAGTCTGAAGAATCATCACTGTCACTATCACTGGAGACATCCCACTCCTCGTTATCATCGTCGTCGTCGTCGTCGTCTGAGAGGGTCTCGCGGTGGCTGACGACGGTATCGAGCCATTGTATGCGTTTGGATCCGGCAGAGACGGGAGCCGGAGCAATTGGCGTTGTCGAGGCGGCCGAGGAAGCTCTCGACCTGATGTTGTGGTTGAACCAGGCCTCTCTCTCCTTCTCTGCCTCGGCCAGCTCGACCATGAGGTTGTCGAGCATGTTGGCGTGCCCGACGAGCAGCCGGAGTTCGTGGTCTGCTCTGGCAGCTTCACGGGAGAGCTTTGCCCTGGCCGTGTGGGCGAGCACGTATGTCTGGCTGAGCGACATGTCTCGTTTCTTGGACGGGTGAATCATGCTCTGCACTCTGTAGATGTTGTAAAGTAATTGTGTGAGTGAGTAAATGTGTGTGAGAAAGTGTTGAGTCAGGCAGCGAGGCGGTATATGTATGAAAAGTATGAAAAGTCAAAGTGTGAGTGGATGACTGGTCAGATAAGATCGAGGCGGTGGCCAGATCCCTGCAGGTTCCTGGCAGCTAGTCGGAGTAGTAGTAGTAGTAGTACTCCGTAGTTAAGTCGGAGTAGAGAGTAGTTGAGTAGTTGAGTAGAGTAACTATATCAAGAAGAGAGAGTAAGGAGAGTAGTATATCAAGAGAGAAGAGTAGGAGATATATGGTGAAGATATGAAGAAGAAGTTGGTCCGTCTGTTCCGCAGAGATCGCGGTGGGCCGGAGGGTTTGGAACCGACCGCGTGGGCTGCAGTCTTTTTTCAAGTCTCTCCGGTTCCTCCTGGGCTGAGGCTGGGCTGGACCGCGAATACGAGGGTGATGCGCATCAGGTAAGCGGTCAGGCAGGGCCGAGGGAGCGAGCTGCACCCCGACTCTGCTCCGACTCTTCCTCCGTCCATGGCGTCACTATTAGCAATCGGATATTATTAATCTACCTATGTCGTTATTCACTGTCGCTATCTATGTCGATATCTATGTCGCTATCCATATGTCTATGTCGTTATCTAGATGATGTACGATTTACGGTGTACGGGTATATCGTATGTCTGCCCGAGCGCACGAAGAACCATGGAGCGCCACGATAAGTAAAGGGGATGCCACGTTAACCCCACGATAACTCCAGACGTATCTCGGCTGCCCGTTTGCCGTCCTTCGTCCTCATTCGTCGTCCTTCTTCCGCCTTCCTTCAGCCGCTTTCTCCTTTTCTCTTGTCCAACTTCACTCTTTTCCCCCTTGGCCACAACGCGGACTTCACTTATCTCCGTGATGACTCATCGGATGCTCGGCCTTTAAAGTGCTGGTCACCTGACCTTCTCGGGTTCTCGGCCTCGCTTGCTCCCTTCCCTATACCACTATATCTATCCCTATATCACTGTCTATATCGCTAGCTACGGCTGTTTATGTATGCATGCTCGTTAGGTTCAAGAAGAAGGTCACGCCACAGCACCGACCAGCAGTTAACGGCGAGAAGTATATCTCAACCGGCGCATCCCGATAGAGTCGACGGTGCATACCGATAGTGCGTTGGCATCACTGCATCAAATATCCGTAAACATCTAGTATGAGTCTATACTCTCGAGAAGCTTTACGCGTTAACAAGGTAGATGGCTGCCTGACTACGACGTAGACGCGTACAGGTACCTTGAGGACTCGACATCGTCGTACACCTACCTAGGTACACCTACGTACTCGCATGTTGATGCGAAACACGGTTGCCTTGGGTGAATCATGTGGTGACGTCAGTGCCCGCTTCCCGTTCTATCCTTGACTTTTAGGTGTCTAGAATCCTGCCGGTCGCCGGTGGGAAAGTTAGCATAAAAACACCCGGAGCTTCCTGCGCTCCTCGGGGCCGAGATGCTTCCACCGTTTACTCCTCACGCTTCATACACTTTCTTCCCTGGTCACAGTCACAATATGCTATCCAGTGCGGAAATATAGCGAGCGGAACAGCGCCGGAAGATATAGAGAATAACGTCGACGGCACAACGGGTCAAGGGCTAAAGGACGGTGTCTCGGAGGTCTCGGGGCCCTTCGGAGGCGTGTTTTACGGCCAGGAACAGCCGCAAGCGAAGGATGTTGCTAAACATAGGCCGGTTAGTAAGTTAAGCTTGCACAAGAGCCGCCTCTCTCGTTTTTCCTCCCTTTTCCCTTTCTGGATATGCCGAGGTATAAGGTCTTGGCACGCCCTATCTACATCTACATCAATATCAATATCTACACTAATTATACCAATATACATCAATACCAATTACATCAGTTAAGGTCAATTAAAGTCTAAGACCAAGGTCAAGGTCAAGGTAAAGATGACACCCGCACCCGCGTACGATGCGCCGGCCGACTCGCCCATCTACGCCAACAAACAACTCTACACCCGCATCGCCGACTGCCCCTCGCGCACCCTCACTCACTCATCCCTCATCCGCCCTCGATCCGCGCACGCCTGGACCGTCCGCGCAGGCCAGGTATGCCGCATAACCGCCCCCCAAGGCGCCCAAGTAGGCGACCTCAACATCTGGAACAGCCATAACCCGCGCGAACGCTTCTGGGCGTCTCGAACCCGCCAACTCCACCAATCCCACGTCTCAACCTTCGACCGTCTCTGGTCATGTCTGCCCTACATGCGGCCCCTAGTCACCATCACAGCCGACACGCTCGTCAATTACGGCGTAGACGAGTTCGGCGGCCGCATCCACGATCTACTAGGCACCCGCTGCGATCCATACATTCACCATCTGATGACAGGCGAATCCGATGATTTCCACTGCCACTCTAACCTCACCCGTGCCGTGGCGGAGTATGGCCTGGCAGAGAGCGACGTACATGATGTGCTCAACGTATTCCAGGTGACGGGCCTAGATGAAAAGGGACGGTACTTCATGGCCACCAGCCCGGCGAAAGTGGGTGATTATTTCGAGTTCTTTGCTGAGCAAGACGTGTTGTGTGCTTTGTCGGTGTGTTCGGGCGGGGATCTGTCGCAGTGGGGGTGGAAGGGGAGTGAGGAGATGGGAGATACGACGAAGCCGTTGGGCGTAGAGGTTTATACTATCGATGACGCTACGGTGTTGGAAGGGTGGAAGGCGCCTGAGCCGTCGGGGTATAGGGGGTTACATGGTCTTCGCATGCCCGTGAGAGAGGAGGACGGTTTGGCTGGTGTATAGCTGTGAGGTGCTATTTACAGATCCTGTTTACATATACGAGGAGGCCTATGATATGGTCGTTATGTCGGTGGGGCAGACGGCATAACGTTACCTCTATATACGAGAAAATGAATCTATACAGCTGTCCCTTACATGTTAAACGTCGTTATGCTGGCAATATATAAACGGCCTACGGTCCGCTACATCAAACTGATTGTCCAACAAGTCAATCATCAATCGTACAATCATCTACCTCAATCCCAATTAAGCCCGCCTTACCATCACCATGCCTCGCTTCACCAGCCCCTTCGATGAAGCTCAGCTCTTCTACCGCGATTACAAGCCTGCAACCTTCCCTGCCCCCTTCAGACCCAACGAAACTCACCTCAACAATGAAAAGCAACAGCCTACCCTCGTCTTCCTCCATGGCTGGCCAATGTCCTCCATGATGTTCGAGAAACTGACTCTCCCTCTCTGCGAAACGTACCGGTTCCGCTGCATCGCTCCGGACAGACGAGGATTCGGAAACAGCGATTGGATGGGATCCAAGCCCGTTTCGGCACCAATTGACTATGATGTGTTTGCCGCGGACTTGACCTATTTGCTGGAAAAGCTTGATGTCGGACCATTCGTCTTCATTGGTGCAAGTATGGGTCCCGGAGAGGGAGTGCATACGTACATGAAGAGCGAGTATGTGCGCAAAAACTGTAGGGTAAGTATTTGCTTTTCCAACATCAACACCCTCAATCGTATTAATCAGTTCATCATAGGGTCTCATCGGCATTGGCGCCGCATTGCCCTTCCCACTTCAAACGCCGGAGAACCCAACAGCCACATCACGAGAGGCATGGGACGACATCCTCCATAACCTCCGCACGAATCGCGCAGAGTACACCAAGGCCGCTCTGCCTGCCATCTTGGGCCGAGATGCAGGCTGCAAGGTCAGCGATGAGTTGTTGCAGCGTTATACCGATCTAGTGCTCCGTGCAGACGCTCAAGCAGTCGAACGATGCGTTCAACTCATCTCCTCAACGGACTTTACTGAGACGCTGAAGAAGTTGGAAAGCGAGACAGATCTTCCTATTACTTGTCTTCATGGCGACAAGGACTCGCCCGACTCGCAGGTACATGTTTTGAAGAAGATGTTTCCCAGGTTGGTGGTGAAAATATATAAGGATGCTGCACATGGTAAGTGGTTACCTGGCTTTGGGTATCAATTCTGCCATTTGAGTAGATGGTTTGGCTAACTTGGGTCCTATTAGGCCTTACGGATACCCATGACGAGCAAGTTATTGACGATATCCTGGAATTCATTCGTGCCTTGAAAGTTTAGGCGTGGTGGCTGTACGGAGTAGACAGCTGGTTATGGGCAAAGGTTGCATCGAGCTGGTGATGCTCGCGGAGTGAAGTTGTCGTTATGATATTTTATTTCCACATATATAGTTAATGCCACAAGGTTTTATCCCTTAAAAGGGTCTAGTGCGTCTTCATAGTGAGCTGGCAATAAGCATAACGTTATGCCTATACGAAACACGGGAGACTTAGCCTCACTTCGAAGCTGCGAATACTCGAGTAGGCATGGTTAGTATACGAGGATGCTTGATAGTGTTCAGGTGGAGCTGCGAGTTTACCACGGAAAAGGCCCCTCCTGGCTATATATATCAGCATCATGCACTCTCAGCCATTTCTCCGTGTTGATACCCTCGTTACGCGCATAAACAACAATGGCAGCTAACAGACACAAGCGAAAGGCCGACGACATTGTGGTCCCTGATATTTCAGAAGATGCGGCCGAACGGAAGAGAGTGCTCAATGTGTTGGCGCAGAGAAGATATAGTATGATCCTTCACCTCAGTTTACCTTGAGCAAAAGCTAACCGGATATAGGGCAGCGAAAGAAAGAACATATGGCTCAGCTAGAAGCCAAGGCCAAAAAATCTAGAGAGAAGACTCCAGAGTCGACGGAACCCGTTCCCTCTCCTGGGTCGAGATCATTGCGAGACCTAGACTCAACAAGCCCCCCGGTGGTTGGAGAGCAGGTTCCTACACCTCCAGAGGTGGACTATGAAATATCACAAACATTCGACAATGGACTTTTACCGTTTGAAGGAGGCATTGCCAATTCCTTCGATAATCCGGTCCAAATCGGAGGCGAGCCAGATCTTTTTGGTTTGGACAATATACCAGAATTTACGTTTGATACGACACCCTCTCTATCCACAATAGGGACTGTAACCCCTCCGCCAGACCTACCCGAGCTCCCAGCAGAGCTCCAACTCATGTCGGCATCACCTACCTCGCCCAGCCATTCTGCGCTCTCCCTCCAATTCCTCGCAAATCACCCGCATGGCGAAACACAGCCTCTCTCGTCCGCATTGCAATCCTACCAGTCATCCAACTTTACATTCCCAGACGATAAAATCCTCGATGTGCCGCCCTTGACTCTCCTACGGGCCATGCTCACCATCGCCACCAGGTTGAATCTCACAGACTATATCTGGAATATGGCAGGTATAAGCCCATTCTATACGGGTCCAACAGGCATCAACAGTAATGCCGCCCAGCCGCAGTTACCGTCGAACATGGCGGATCTTCCCAAAAACTTCCATCCGACGCCCACTCAGCGAATGGTTCCACACCATGCGTTCCTTGACCTCCTACCATGGCCCAGTGCGCGGGATAAACTGATCCAGGTGTTTAGTCTGCCGGTGCAGTTACGTCCTCCGTCTGCGGCAGACCCGATGGGCCTATTGGGGTTGGTGTACGATATGGAGGATGCCGGCGAAGGGTTAAGGGTCAGTGGACCAGACCCGTTCTCGCCTGAGATGTGGGAGGTCGGCCAACTAGTCTTCCAACGCTGGTGGTGGGCGTTTGAAGGCAGCATCGTGGAGAGAAGTAATCGCCTACGCGTCGAGAGAGGTCAACAGGGGCTTGTACTTGGGGCTGTACCGTGAACTCGACGCCTTCTTCGACTTCATATAAGACATCGAAGCGACGACGAAACGAACACGAGGGTCATGTGATGCGACTCGATGACTAAGGGGTTTACCCTATGACGTTGACCGCGTTCACCCACAAGCCGCCGTTCTCCCTCGAGCAGCCCATGGCTTAAGGCTGCCTCACTTGATCCTGTCATCTGGATGTACGCAACAACCGTGTGGAAGGATATGTTGTGTGTCAGTGTGCGGCTGTTCCTGCTTATATATAGGATCAGCTGGGACCTATATATATAGTTTCTGCCTGTCAGGTACACCCTTCACGTCCCAGAGAGCATCCACACAGTTTGACAATCCCAGCAGGCATCAGTCAAGTGTTTATATTTGTGGTCGCTTGCTAGCTTCCTTATTGGCAGGGCGCATCAAAACTGCTCTAGCTGGGTACCTGCGTGGCTGTGTCTATGTGGGATGACTTTGCCCAAGCAGCCTCAGATAGCAGCTAACAGCTCTATGCTAGACTCACAAGGTACTAGGCTTGGTATACTACACACCATCCAACAAGGTGTTAAGTAGGATCACAGGCTGTAAAGCTTCGACAACAAAGGAAGGGTCCATATCTATCTGGATAAGGTTATGGAACCTTCCTGTATCCTGACCTTGTTCAGATTTCGTCATCCCTTGGGTGGTTTTGATAAGGCCCTTTTAACGTTTGCCCTACCCGTTATTTTCTTGATAAATAACTGCAGAGCCCCGTCCGCCCGCAGAGCAGAAATAAGAGTCATCATACCGGAAAGGAGAAAAGAGAGAAAAAGCAAGGAGGTCAGAGAGAGGATAGTTAAAATAGTGCAATAGTACTACATCCTTTCGTTTGCTGCCTTTAGAGAGACAACAAGAGCGCAGCATACTAAATGATAAGCCTCATGCACACGCATTATCCTGAAGGTCATCCCACGACGCAGCCTTCCCTTCTGTTTGTTTTTTATTCCCTTAAATGTCCTTACAGACTATTACATCCTTTGCCGACCAGTTCCTTCCACTGAGGACGCCGAGACTGTGCAGTGACCGCTTTAAAAGGACACTTGTATCCCCTCCGTCCTTCACCACGGTAACATCATCACAACATCATAACAGCAACCTGTCTATCTGACTCTGGCCTTTCATCACATTCCCCTGTTTCATCTTCACTCAAAATCCGTCGGAAAGACCTTGATAAAGCCAAATAGGTAACTTGAACCCTTCAAACTACGTGTTTTGTGGTTTATACGGCTCTAACCAGTGTCCTGACCTCCAGCTCTCTTCTCTTGCACCGAATACCAAGGTAGAAGAACCAAGATGTACTTCAACGTGAGTGATCCCCTGTACCTTGCTCCTCCCTCTGCTTTCGAGTCCCTGCAGTTGAAGTACGTGCCGTTTCTCTGACATCCCTACAGGTTACACTCAAGCCAGGAGCTCCCGCCGAGGAAATCGACAAGTGAGTATAGACATTCCATTCATACCCATCTTTTTATTTCGGCTTCTCCCTCGAAGACATTTAACGGTGGCATGAATATGCAAAAGAAGAGAGATATATGCATCTATCCCCTCTTTACGGACGTTATTTGCTGACTGCTGAACCTATAGAGCCAAGGCATCAGCCAAGAAGAACGGTGGTACCATCCGTCATGAATACAAGCTGATCAAAGGCTTCACGTATGTGATCCTCTTCCCCCTGTTCCTATATCACACCCCATAGTCCCCACTTGTGATGAAATATTAGCTGAACTGACGATATCTCGGGCCAATAGTGTGGAGTATCCCGATGACCACAACCTGGAAGACGTCCTCAAGTCCACCAACTATGTCAACGTCGAGCAGGATGGCCCTGGACCCGCCAAGAAGGCTGCTACCATGACTTCGTCCATCTAAAGGACTACAAGTCGAAACTAATACCACATTTGCTCGACTCTTTTTTTTCTTTCTTACCCTTTCTCGTGCATCCGGTCCGCTGAGATCGTTTCCCGTCTTCTCTCATGAATCGATCGAATGGAACAAAAAGGCGCCATGGTTACAGATTTCCTTTGTTAATTTCTTTTATTCGTTTCACCCACACTGTCTTATTATCCAACTGGTTTTTAACTGAGACGGGGGATGGGTATTAATGTTTCATTATGTGGTAAACTCAAGGAGCAAATGCAATCAAGTTGTTAAACTGTTACAGGGCCGGGTTGAGGAGCTGCAGCTTATCAACCTTTACATTTTTCGTAGTTCTCGTAGCAAACTCGATATCCACGGTATCTGTAAGAGCCGTTGCATTGTTTTAAATATATCATCTATAAGAAAAGGTTTAACTTAAAGGCTTAGACTATTACTGCGTCTATAGTGGTCTTCTAATTAGAATATACACTTGAAACAGCATCACGTTGGCTCAGCCTTAATCGTTTGTTCCGCCAAAGACTCGCCGTTGCCACTGCATGTTGCAAAGCATTAACACCTGTCTCAAGTACTTCGTAGGCATGCTCGTTGTCTTTCCAGTCCTTTATACGAACAGTTCCAGACATAGCTAGTCAAAGGCCAGATACCTACGACGGAATTTTACATCTCAACATCTCAACGTCTCAAGATCTGCATCCTATGTGTTGAGACTCCGAGCAAGTTGACCACTAAGAGCAAATCAGCTCACCATGCTTCTTTCCCATGCACCCCACAACCTGACAAGGCTCTATGCATATATTCCTGGTCCTTGCTGCAGTAGTTACGTACATGGCAACTTTCGCGATTTTTGCCTCAAAGGCCCCTCCTCCTAGCATTCGATATAAACCACCCAGACTATGAATATTTGCTGTCTTTCCTCTTCGGTTGACATGCGTATCCGAGCTCTGCCTACGATTTACCAGGATTAGCAAAGGCCCAACCGGGTATATTCTTACTGTTGTCCGCGTCCGGAGTGTACACAGGGATATTTCTCACACAGACCACTCCCGGTGTCAAGGGTACGGAGTTTGGTTCTAGGGTACACGTCTTCGATGGTAGACTATCCCGTACCTTGTATCAATCTCACCCCAGATTCGCTTCACAGATGCTGTGCAACATGGTCCGTATGATAACACTTCAATTGGCCAATCTGGTTCCATGTTCCCGTGAGTTGGTCAAGGTGAAGCCACAAAGGGAACGTAGATAGGCAGAGGCCAATTAGTCAACCATGGACGCGCGTGTTTTATACTGTAGGGCCTGACTTCATATAGGACATCTCTTTATACTGAGCCGGCGCTGAATGAAAGAAACCCCGCCTTAGATCTGGAGATTGTCCGGTGATTATCGATTGACAGCTTTTCCCACAACTTCTGGGTGCCGCCCATTTAGCCGAGATGTCTCCCTGGAAAATAGCCGTCTAACCCTGGTCGTCGATGTGATATCTCTATACTGGCTGGCATGCCCTGTGGCCATGGAGATAACTTATCCCCCACTCGTCCGGGTGGGGGTATGACAGTCCCTATATCAGCATTCACGTAGCACCCTGTACTGCTCTCGAGGATAAGAAGAGCATCCGGTTCGTGTACAGAGTAAAAGCCGTGGTTTCTTTGTTTTTTTATTGCATCGCAGTTGGACCGTGGCTCTCGGATGAAGAGTCGGATGGTTTGGCCCGAGTAGAGACACTGGACAGAGTAGACCAAAGTTAGCGGGAGTATTAAACCAGTTAACCAACCAGCTTATAAACTACTGGCCACCCTTGAGACAACTATCCAGTAGCAACCCCTTTCCCGCCTTCAGTCTCATCGCCGTCGTCGTAAGGTGAAGCTGGTTGGCGCATCGCTGAAATCACACGATAGTCCCAGAGTCCACGCTAGGCGCAGGAGGCGTTGGGGATGCTAGCCTGCCGCTTAACTACGGGCCATATATATATAACCACCACCACCATTTGTTAACCCACAACAACGACCACAATTATACAGAGTCGCCCCTTAACAGAGTGCTGAATTGCCCTGTGTTTATCCGCCGTGAGTCTTGTCGCAGCATGGAATAGCAATCGACCTGTCCGTGACCATGGCATTCCTACGAAGACACCCTCTTCGCACAGCAAAGGGCCGGCTGATCTTTGGTGGCACTCCATTGCGCTCCCTCTCCTCTATCACAACGAGTAGCTGGTCCTACCCGCCCTCTGCTTCTGATATCTCTACTGATGATATCACTCGCCTGGCAAGGAGCCCTCGTCGGCCTCTGACCCTTGCAGATTTGCTCAGGTAAGTTGCCGGCTGGCTGGTAGATAAGTTGACAGTCTAACATTGGAATAGACATGGCCGTCCGCCGCTCACGAGAGAGGCGCTCCTTGCGTCTGCAAACTTCACCCTCTCTCTCCTCCCTGCCAGACTCGCTTATCGTATCCAGGCTCTCAGAAATCTCCCGTTCATCGTCGTCTCGAACCCACACATCTCCCAGATATACAACAATTACATCCATTCGTTCTCTACCCTATTACCGTTCCAGAAGAGGAGGATATCAACAGCAGAGGAAGAGAAGCAGTTTACAGAGATCATGGCCGATCTAGTGCAGACACACGACAATACAATTCCAGTGCTAGCCCGAGGCTTCCTGGAGTGCCGTAAATACATCAGTCCCGCCGAGGTGACTGCATTTCTGGACGAACATCTAAGAGCAAGGATTGGGACTCGATTGATTGCCCAACAGCACCTGGCACTGCATCATGCGTCCCTCACGACGGAGGAAGGTGGTGGGTTGACAACCCGGGAGAAGCATGTGCCGTCCAACTACATCGGGGTTATCGATACGGCCCTAAAACCTGCTCGCCTGATAAAAGTCTGCGAAGAATTCGTTGCCGAGATATGCGAGCTCAAATATGGTGTCCGGCCTAGAGTGATTATCAACGGAGAGCCGGAGGCCACTTTCGCCCATATCCCTGTCCACGTCGAATACATAATCACCGAACTATTGAAAAATGCATTCCGAGCGTCGGTCGAGGCTGGAAACGAGCGCGAGCCTATCGAAGTAACCATTGCTTCAGCTCCCAGTACCTCCGAGACTCAAGTCGGGCCAGCTCCTATCGCCGAGAAGAGTCCGAACTCTCTTGGAACAGGCTCGCAAGCAGATTTCCAGATGGGCATACATAAAGGACGGGCCCTAGGGCCAAGCCAAATATTCGAGCCACTTAAATCGTCTGCCCAGAGTATTACAATTCGCATCAGGGATCGCGGAGGCGGTATACCTCCAGAGATTCTGTCTGATATTTGGTCATACAGTTACACCACGTTCAGCGAAGACGAGCTACCAGTCGGTGACAATGGGAACGTCGACGCTTTGAATGCGATATCTGGTAGTGGCGGTTATAATGCTAGTACCATTGCAGGTCTCGGCTACGGCCTACCTCTTGGACGAGCATACGCAGAATATTTTGGTGGAGGTATTGACATCCAGAGCCTGTGGGGCTGGGGTACCGACGTGTATCTTACTCTACAAGGCGTTGGAAAGGTGCAAGGTTAGACTGTCAAACAGCTACCTAGAAACATCGTGTCTGCTCGCGTGAATCCAACTCATACGACCTCACCTTGTCCACCTACGTCTCTTGCGAAACGGCCGGGTTGATCCTTCAAGGAGCCCGGCTCGGCTCCCACATCGGGAGCATCCCACCGTATACATACAAACTTCACAAACATCAATAAATCACAGGCCTAGAATGTTTGTTACTTCACAAAGCTACAGAAGTCGCTTTGAACCCTAGCCTCTCGCCCCGCCAAATTGCAAAAGGCCCTTGATTCAGAGAATGGTTGTTTCTGACTATGACTATATTTTTTACCCAGCGCCTGAGGGATTATTTATGCGATACGCGCCCGCTCGGGTTATTTTACTGATTGGCTGCCACGTTATCGATTTATTTCGTTGGTGTCGTACATACACGGACCGCGTATATAATGCACCCTAGGCGCCACCATCGATATCAAAGCACTGACCACAGGCTCATTTCTAGAGAAACTATTCTCCGTTCTGAGCGTTTGACGTTGTCACCATGAGTCCATGACTTGTGGAGCGGATGTTCTGCCCGAATAGCCTACAGACAGGCTTGAAACGGATGATTCCTTTCCTTGTCGTCTCCTCAGATTGTACGAGTTAGATTCTTCCTTCTGTTAATAGGTGGGAGGATAGCTGGCTTTGCGATCTGTTGCCTGTACCTTTCGGGACGGCTACGGTAGAGAGGAGTTGGTGGCTTATCAGCGTCACTTTTGTCATGTTCCTTTATATCCGTAGACTTCAATTAATTGTCTATTCACATTAATTTTGCATATCTGATTAGCACCAGCTTCTGAAAATGCGTATATTAATCTGTAGTAAAAATTCTAATAGATATTATTTTTGAGTGAAAGATAGTGCCGCCAGAGGAAACAAGACATAAAACATATAGACAAATGGCGTATGCAGGACCCCAAACTCCGTCATGTATATATCGCGATGCGTTCATTCCAGACTCTGTACCAGTAAAACGAAATGCGGAGTTCCAAGAACGCTATTCAAACATTGCTCGAAACAACACCGTGTCTGTATTGGTTGTCTCCCCCTCTCCCGCTCTGGTCCCCGTGCCTTGCCTGGTAAGGCTTCATCTCCTCAGTAGACGGGGACTCACTGCGGATCTGAACACCCTGGTATCCCGAGACTCCATCGGTATTCAGAGTGACTCCTATCGCAATGCAAGTGATAACAACGATCATTTCCTCCAACACAGCCATGACCAGATAGATCGTAACATCCCCGGAGAAAATGCTGAACCGGGGATTGCGAGTAAAAGCGCTGATCAAGCTGTATATTAGGCGGACGAGAATGAACGGGAGAGAGATCGCGACCGCAAGGAGGAGTCTGTTTTCTCCAGCAGGAAGGTATTTCTTCCTTCCGTACAGCATGAATAGCAGGCCAGCTACGATAACCCAGACTGCGAGGGTGACGAGGATAGCGGCCTTGGTCTTTCCGTTCGGCACGTAATGCATCATGTCATCCTGACTGGTGATGCCAACGATGGCTAGAATAAGGCCCACGAGCGCCAAAGTTGCGATTGCACGAAACACGACCGGGACAACTCCCTTCTGGCCTTTGTTGGTTATGGAATTGTTTCTAGAATGCATATTAGCGAAACGGCCTGACTAAAACCGAAGCCTTGGGATGAATTGATGCAGGGCAACTTACGCTCGTTGCAAGAGTCCAACGCAGGCGAGAATCAACGGGGTGGTCCCGATAGAATTGCACACCGCGGCGCCTGTGAAGAGGCCTTCTGTAGGATTCGCTATTGTCGCCAGCTGCAAGCATGCGCCCACGGTACGGACTATGGAGAAGACGACGAGAAAGTACCATCCTGCCGCCTTTGCAAAGCCGTGTCGAAGTGCAACATATATTGAGACGAAGACACATGGGAGGTAGATGATAAGGCTGAAGATGGCGACTCCATGCCGATAGTCCACAGCCATGATGGTTGTATGGTGGATGTTTCTATATGTATGGATAGCGGACTGGAGGCTAAGTGCTGGAAAGCCCAGGTAAGGCGCAAGATGATGTAAAAGGCTGAGATGGCTGAGATGAGAGTAGATGAATTCCAATGACGGGAGAGAAGTGCGGTTTGAAAGCCACAGCTTCACGGTCTTTAAATGAAGATGAATTCATCCTGATAAGCAAGAGATCTCGCACGGCCACAGATGCGTTATCCTGAATCGGGGCAGGCTTGCGAGCTCAGCTATGGAGGACGCTTTGAGAGGCCCAATGACGATGGACGAGAGAACAGCGGCATGTCGACCCGTCGTCTCTCAAGCGAGGCGCAAGGCTGAGCTAGAGAGTGGTTGGAGAGTTGCTTCTTGTCGGAATATAGTAAAGCCATGGAGAAGGTCGAAGTTTCATCGAGGCAGTGGACTTCGCGATGTATGCCCAAAGAGGCTAGCAGCGTGGCGATATCTTGATCCTTCATTTTGATATTGTTCAATTCTCCAGGGATAGGATCTCCATGATCTCCGATATGTGCTGTTCAGCTGGCAGGCCTATTAGGAGCGACGTCAGACAGCCAGCAAGGAACATCTGCAGTTTGTCGAAGCTTTCACCACCATGGCTCCTTCAAGCTGACTCCGCCGCGTCGTGATGAGCCAGAGCTTAACATCGTCAAGCTTTGAATGAGGCTGGGCAAAGGGGTCGCCAGGATGGATACCAGGGATGTTCGAGAAGAAAGCTATCTGCTGGTGGACTCAGCCCGATCTTGCCTGGCGTTGTCTAGAGATAGTGGGATTCGTATACCTCCAGAATCCTTCAATATTCTAGACCGTCCTGTGCGTCTTAGAAACCGCTGATCCATACGACAAACGCAGTGGGTAACGGACCTCGATGTCTACGTTGGTTTGACGACTATGTTGCCGTTCCAATTGCCGGCCATCACGAATTGAACGATATACGATCCTTTACCTGCAAGTCACAAAGACGCGAGAGTTCTGGAAGCGGAAATATATAAACACGCGAAAGCTAATACGCAATGCTATGACGTATGAACAAAGCGTTTACTCAACTTCCATGCTGAAGTCGCCTCCCGATGCGCGAGCTTTGGGGAGATATACAGCCATTACCGCCTGCGTTATCCGAGCTAAGAGGCTATACAACTATCTCAGCTTGCTGCAAAATGCGCCGTCTTGTAGTGGACGCAGAAGATCCGGGAGAACCTACCCGTGATCACCCTTCGCGACATCCCTCGGGGCTGTGCGAAGCAAATGTGACGAAAGCCCATCCAAACAGTTCTGGCGGAGAAGATGGAAGCATCTTCTTTGTAGGAACAGCGACAACTTTCATGTACGGGGTTTCTTTGGTACTCTGCGTGCTGTTACATACAATAACCGAAGGCCTGCTAACATTATACATTAGAGAATGGGCAGGTATAAGGCTGATGACAGATGTACCAACAATAGACAACCCCTATCCATCTCAGAGCATTGCTGATATGGTTGATAGCCAAATTTCCTTCATGCCGGTGACCATGTCCATCTTGGTCCGGGGGTGAGCGCTGCCAGGTGACATTTTTAGTAGAGGAGTTCTGACTTCCCTCAGGTAACAGGACAGCGAGTTACCAATCCTGCTATAGACCTCCACGATATACCTCCTGTTCACCTTATCCTTCTATCGCACTACCACGCGTATGGAATCACCCTTCAATTCCCCATCCATAGGAAATCGATGCTAATATGCTTGTTATCTGGGCAAGCGACCATTTCGACCAGGAGGTTGAAAAATCTCTTACGAGAGATATACCCATTATCACAACGCCGCATGCCAAGGGCTGTCTCGAGTCAAAAGGCGAAGATTCCTTTACCCAGGTAGAGGCTTTGGATACGTACCAAAGTATCTTGGTGGAAATCAAGTCCGCAGAAAAGTCCAGCACAAAGGAACCGGCAATTAAGATAACGGCAATGCCAGGGAAGCATGTTCCTCCCGGCCTACTATCAACTGCCAATGACATTATACATGCTGTATGCGCACCTCTGATAAAGGATTGGCGTTTATTAAGAAAGAGAAGCTGAGAATGGCGGTGTAGGTTCCACCAACGAATGGATGGATGGTCGAACTAGGCCATACAACCAAATATCACCACGCGGAGGGGGACTTTGAAACTGGCTATCGGTGCAGTATCTCCCTGCAAAGGTCAGCATGGTATCATGGAATCCATGGCTGAATTTTATGCGATTAGAATTTATATCTCGGGTGACACCCTGATGTGTGACGAGCTCAAGAAGATCCCTCAAATCTATTCTGATCAGAAGATAGACTTGATGCTTATCCATCTTGGAGGCACCACATTACCCTCCACGCATATCCCATTGTTAATGGTGACAATGGATGCAGAGCAAGGAGTAGAGCTGATGAAATTGATTCGTCCGGATATCACAATTCCGATACATTACGAGTTAGCCTACCTCTCTAGGTATTTGGAAAGGTTTATATTCCTCACTGACAGGCCTCTAGTGACTATGATCTTTTTCTATCCCCGCTATCAGGCTTCCAGAAGGCGGTTGAGGAGGCTGGATTAAGTGACAAAGTTGTGTATTTGGACCGCAAGGACCAGTATAATTTCAAAACTACAAAGTAGGATAATTACCTTTTCGGGGGCTGGGGGAATACCTGCAAGTAAAAAACTCATATCGAAAATTGTCATGTAACAATTGTCAAAATGAAGAAATGTGAACATGAAATGAAATTTCTGGCCAATAATCAAGGCTAAGATATGTCAATCAAGTTAGTTATACATGATAAAAATACATTTGTTATACAATGGCCCTCAGGAGTCACAATTTAGCAAAGCAAAGACTACTGTTGGTTCCACCAAATCCAAAACTATTGGTTAGTGCCACTTGGACTTTCTTTTCTTGTGCGAAATTTGGCACATAATTGCAATTGAACTCTTCAGTCACGTTTTCGAGATTGATTGTAGGAGGTATGATGCCCTTCATCATTGTTAGACGCAGAAAAAAGAATAACAATTCAACTAAAAATGGGAGACTGTTGTGGCATACCTTATCAATAGCTAGGACGGTGAAAGCAGCCTCAATCGCACCTGCACCACCCAAAAGGTGTCCAATGGCCCCCTTCGTGCTGCTAACATTGATGTCGGATGACTTGGGCTTCCCTTCTGGGCCAAGGAATAGTGATTTAATTGCTGCATTTTCAGCAGCATCTCCGACAACTGTTGATGTGCCATGAGCATTGATATAATCTATCCTACTTGGAGGCAAATTTGCATTCTTCAACGCACGCCGCATCGCGGAGAAAGCTCCTTTTCCATCCTCATGCGGTGCTGTGATGTGGGATGCGTCGGCTGAGCACCCATACCCCTTTAGCTCTGCATATATATGAGCGTTTCGGGAATGAGCATGTTCCAGCTCCTGCAAAATCAGGCGGTCAGCTTCGCAAGGAAAAGAAAGATAGTATATGAGCGTAAAAAAGTAGTTACCTCAAGTATAACAACGGCAGCTCCCTCACCGACTACAAAGCCTTGCCTCTCCCTATCGAAAGGCCGAGATGCCTTCTCCGGGTTCTCATTAAAATCAGTAGCAAGACTTCGACATCGAGCAAAACCCCCAATGGCAAGGGGATGTATGCATGATTCAGCTCCGCCTGCAACCATTATATCTGCATCGCCGTGAGCAATAAAACGGGAAGCATCACCGATAGAATGGGCCCCAGTTGTACACGCCGTAGATACTGAGTGGTTGGGCCCCTACATAGCGTCAGCAAAGGATCATCAATGCCACAGACAAAAGTGGAAAGACTACTATGACGGGAAAAGACAAGGTACATACTGTGAAGCCATATTTCATGGATATATGCCCTGCCCCTAGATTTATAAGGAGCTTTGGGACAAAAAGTGGTGACACCTTTCGATAGCCCTAGATAGTATAGATATAAGTAGGAAGAACATATGCAGAGAGAGCCAAAGTATCCACTTACACCATTATTATATGTTATAGATGTGTTGAATACTTCGTCAAAGTTCCCGATTCCAGACCCCAAACACACACCCTATTAATGAGATATTAGCATCATGTCACAGAGTGCTTATAGGTTGATTATATACTACTAACCGTCATGTCCTTTGATTCCTCTGTTGTAGGCTTCCAGTTTGCATCCTCAAGTGCCTCATGAGTGGCAGCTAATGCATACTGGGCAAATAGGGCAGTTTTTCGTTGTTCCTGCTACATGCATTAAAGTCACATTCAAATCTCGAAGGAACAAAAAATGGGTCACTGGATGCATGGGAAGGGCCATACATCACGAGTTATCCATTCAGTAGCATCCCAGCAGCCGTCAGCCTTAGAGCCTCTGGGAACAACTGCTGCAATTTGACATGGCAGCTCAGCAAATCTTGGATCCCTATCTTTTATAGATACGACTCCACTATGCCCGGCTAGTAATCTTTTCCAAATATGTCGTATTCCTGTATGAAGACGATCAGTTATAATGGCCCATAAAATGAAGACAATGGAGGAAGCTCACCAACCCCCAGCGGAGTGACAGCACCCAAGCCAGTAACAACAACCCGGCGCATTCCACCCTATGTGCTAGACTAATCGTGGGCTAACGGGCTCCTTCCAAGTTAACACGTGTTGGTAAGGGATTTTATATATCGGGTCCTGGTCTGTCTTAAGTTCATTCACGCCAGTATTATCCTTGATATATGAAGCATGAAGTAAACATCATGCTCTGTCGAGCTCTGCCGGATACGCGGAATAATATTTATCCGTATAGCTAGGTTGAAGTATGAATGTACCAGCACACGGAGGGTGTGCACTGGTGTAGAGCAAAGAACCAAGTAGAAAGGTAAGGATATATGTAGTCTATAAAGACTGTACTGTAGTCTCTTGCATATGAAGGTAAGATGGTCGACGTTTTGAAGACTGGAAACGCTGGCCATCCATAAACACGTGACTAGTCACGTATTTCTGCTGGTCAAGCCCTGGGGTATTACATCGCACCAACAATGAAGAACTGGCACTGAATATTTTGAACATATGTGACAATTATTTGCTAAGTTTGCGTGCAATTCGAGGCCAGACAATTCGGCTGAATAATTTGTTGGCCACCATTCCTCACATACTGTTCAAATTCAAGTTTCCATCAAGAGACTTAAGATATGCAAATAACTTCTGGGTTTATGGTTGAAAGGAGCGGACAGGGATGGCACCAAGGCGTACTCCTCTGCTTCATTCATTTTGTAGTCCCAGTCTTCAGTGTCTCGCGAAGACGAGGTTTACACTTGGTGATGCCATATCTGTCGATCTGGTAGGTAGCTATGGAGCATATACAAGCGGGACTAAGGTATCAGGTGATGAACATACGCTTAATGTATAGCCGAAGCAGGCTATATTAAAACCAGAATGTCGTTAATACAGTGTCCCTCGCTTCCCATCCGATATTCCTCGCTTCATATCTTCCATTGGTCGTGGATGTTGCTTTGAGAGACAAGAAAAAAGTTCGCAACATGATGTCCATCGGATACAAAACTCTTGCTATAGTAGGAACATTCCTCAGTGCTCAAGTGATACATGCCCATAGTCACCACCATGGTGGCGGGGAGCAAACGACGTTAAGCCACAAGGAAGACTTGGACCGAAAATGGGCACCAGAACTAGTTAGTCCAACCCATTCAACCCGCAGTATACATCTATACTACAAAACGGACCATAACGAGATATCTCGTAATAACAATATGTTCAGTCTGCCTTTGCGAGCATGTCCACCTTCGGGGGTCTCAAACATGTTCCGTGTCTCACCACCCCAGATGAACTCTACGACATTGCCATAATCGGAGCCCCATTCGACACAGCGACATCATATAGGCCAGGGGCGCGGTTTGGGCCACGAGCCATTCGTGAAGCAAGTGCCCGTCAAGTAACCCAGCGTTCCTACAACGTACGGGCCGGAATCAATCCATATATGGACTGGGCCAAGGTTATAGATTGTGGAAATATCCCCATCACCCAGATGGATAATAAGATTGCGGAAAAGCAAATGCTTGAAGCCTTTACAGAGCTAGGCACGAGGAAGACTGCGTATCAGCAGAGACAGGATGACGGTACTACCGAAAAGACCAAAAGACAACCAAGGATATCTGACGGGAAACCTAAGCTTGTCACTCTGGGAGGAGATCATAGCATCATCCTGCCGGTATTGAGGGCCCTGAATCAGATATATAAAAAACCCATCACTGTTCTCCATTTCGACGCCCACCAGGATACCTGGGAATCTTCACGTTACGATGGCTACTGGAAACCAGAGGAAGCCGGTCTAAACCACGGAACTTGGCTCTACCACGCCACTCAAGAGGGGTTGATTTCAAACACAACCTCTGCCCATGCGGGATTACGTTCATACCTTGGCGGGGCTGATGATAGGGATTACTACACTGGGGTAGAGAAAGGGTTTATGCGCATCCATGCTGATGATATCGACGACATCGGTACCCAGGGGATAATCGATAAGATCTACTCCCGTATTGGTCTCGACCCTGATCAACCTGTTTATCTAAGTTTGGATATCGACGTTCTCGACCCCAGCATTGCGCCAGGCACAGGCACTCCCGAGTCAGGTGGCTGGACATCTAGGGAGCTAGCCAGGATCTTACGGGGGCTTGAGAAACTGAATATCGTTGGTGCCGATGTGGTCGAGGTCTCCCCTAGCTATGATGACCGCGGTGGAGGCACTGCCCTGGCGGCTGCACATGTGGTCAATGAACTGATAGCTAGTATGGTGAAACTTGGGGTTGAAGATCCAGACAAGGTTGGTGGTTGGTTCGGCAGGAAGGAGGGAGGGAGGTCTATCAAAGATGGTGTGATGGATCAATTTCAGGGAGTTTTTGGTCCAGCCGGGCTAGACAGGCTTCTCTAAGAGACCATTGAAAAGGCTTGCTGAAAGAGCGTGTATAGGGGAGGCAGGTGTGCACGGGTTGTTCCACATCACACTGAACAATCACTTTTTTCAGCTGATCCTTCATATCCCTGAAAGCTCAATTGACGGCTGTTGGCAGGCAAAATAGCATAGCACATATTTTTCAAATACTTTTTTTTTTCATTCAAGGCATCTGCGCATCATAAAATCTAAACGTCATAAAGTACGGGAATCGATGAGGGTGAGGAAAACAGCAAGGGAAGCAGGAGGAAGAAACACTTGTATTGGCCCAGCGAGTTCTGTCATCTTCAATTAAAAAGGGAGAATAGTAAAACAGATTAAGACCGGATGGGCGGGAGTGTCACCTTTCTTTGTCTGGAAATTCCCTCCCAGGCCAGTATGCATTCCGGGGATAAGCAAGGCGCGCAAAACCATAGGCGGAGAAATAATGGTGCAAATAAAAAACAAAAAACAGAAACAAAAATTCGTAAAGAGGATTCATCCGATTCAAATTGTCCTTAGCACGCCACCCAAAACCCCATTATGTGATGTATCTCTGCGTGTGAGGATGTTGAAAGAAAAACCCAGCTCCTGCGAGCCTAAAGGGAAGCATCGTGAGATACTAGATTGAAGCATCTATATGGCGATTGTCCATGTAAATACGCAGAGCCATCAACACCCAAGTCCACGAGATTGAGCCAATGTATCAAATCAAAGACAAATGGTATTTCACTTCTCGCTGTTGCTGGCGCTCTACAAGAGTAGACAGCGGCTGGATTTCTTCGGTGGACTGGGCTCTAAAGCAGCAACGATGGCCTAGAGAGAAACATGATATTTAGCAAGTGAGAAGAACGCGTCCGAGGATATGTTAACTCACCTCATCAAAGACATCCTTCAGCTTATATTGAGTCAAAGCAGAGCACTCAACATATTTCACAGCTCCGAGCTCCTTGGCCATGCGGTCACCGTCCTCCTTGCGGACTGGCTGCATTCTCTGCTTGCTTAACTTATCCCGGATGGTCTGGTCGTCTCTTAAATCTGTCTGGGTTCCAACAATGAGACATGGGACACCTGGGCAGTGATGGCGGACCTCAGGGAACCATTTTTCGCGTACGTTCTCAAAGGAGGCTGGAGAGGTGACTGAGAAGCAGACCAGGAACACATCAGTCTGGGGGTAGGAGAGTGGACGTAAACGGTCGTAATCCTCTTGTCCAGCAGTGTCAAAGAGTCCAAGAGTATATGGTTCATCTCCAATCCTATATAAGTGAGGTAAGTTAGTAGATGTAAACAAACAGCACACAACGCGACACTGGCAGAGAGATAAACGGCCAGACACGCGCAGAAAAGGCAGGCTTACATTACTGTCACGGCGTAGTTGTCAAAGACAGTCGGGACATATTCAGAAGGAAACTTATTGGTCGTGTATGAGATCAGCAGGCAGGTCTTTCCAACAGCACCATCACCGACGACAACGCATCTACAGAGAAGAATGTGTCAGTACAGATATAACTTCACGCGTGTGGAAGTATGACTTCATGAACATACTTGATAGTAGCAACAACCATGTTGAGCTATGTGCTGCTTCTTGTGAGATTAAAAGACAGATTGCGAGGAGCTGAAGACCTTCAAAGCAGCCTCAAGGCAACTTGCGGTGTGAAGGGCGAGGACACTTCGTCCGGAGCAGCGAGAGGAAGGCTGGTTGTTGAAAAAGGGGACAAGGGGCCGAGATCGTCGCGAGGGACAACGGGAATTGCACAACGGTCGCAAGCGAGAGAGGTTGCAAGGAGGCAGAGCTGGGGCCGACAGACGCGAGAATAAGTACAGGCGAGGAGCTGGTGAAGGAGGTGAGGGCGGAGGGCGAGATCGTGTGGTGAAGTGAAGTGAGGTGAGGTGAGGTGAGGTAATGATGTTGCGAAAAGGTCGGATTTTCCGCAAGTGCTGCTAAACTGGAGCTGGGCCAGTCAACAACCTCAAACGGTGCCCCTCTCAACTATCTCCAAGTCAGTCTAGCTCGCATCAAAATAAGGCTTCTCCCCCAGGCCGGCCCTTTAGGTAATTAAGTGATGCGCCAGAGAAGTCGGGGGTGGCCAGGAGAAGCACGACCAACCAAACGCCGCACTGAACGGGCTGCTTACCAGGCCTGAGACGACTCGGCGACAGAGATGTTACTATGCACTGGATGGGAGGCAGCTTAGCGCCGGCAGACGACAGAGCACGGCAGAGAACGCTGTTACGAGAGGAGGAGGAAGAAGAAGAAGATGATGATGATGATGATGACGAAGAAGACGAAGAAGACGAAGAAGAGAAGACGAGTCCTGAGGCGACGGCGATGACGGTCGAAACTTTGAGAGCGGCTGTTCAACTCCTGGATGAGCTGCAAGGAGAGCGTCGTTAAGCTTAAGAGTGACAGGCTGCAGACGGCGCCACGGGAAAAAGCAAGCCTGGGAGTATCAGACAATAACTACGGACTCCGTCGCCTTTATTGCATGATATATCGTTTTGCGGCTGTCGGTTGAAGGCTCTGGGTCCGGGTTTTGGTCACCTATGATTCAACCCAGGAGGACTTTACGGGTACAAGCTCGCCCATGATACTATACGGTCTACACCATGTACCTGTCCGGTATCCGCTCTCCCTCGATTGGCAACGGCCTTTGACGGGGACGGTCAGGCATCATCGATGAGAAGCATGACGAGAAAGACGACAAGAAGCATGATGAGAGGACGGGGACAGCGCGGAATATAACGCTGCCGGCTCATATGTGATAGAACATGCGTTCCACAGCCACCCCTAGAACCGCTTCACTTTTCTCACCTCTCGCCTTGCCTCCTTTTTGCTATATTATTCAGTTTATTTCGTGCTACGTTATCTGCACAAGACCAAGACCTGTATGCATCCACAGTCCGTCGTCGAGCATTAGGCGAAGCCGCCTCAGCTGAAGAAGCGAGAAGCGAGGTATCAGAACGACGGGTAAGACCCTTTCCGCTTGCTTCCCCCCAGACAGAAGGGGTCATAATAGATTGGGCAAAAGTTACGCAGCTAGCGGCTGGAACATGTTTCTCTTACTGGAGAAAAACATGGGACCGCGGCCGGGGTAAGGATGGACAACCATGTCTGCTACCCATGAAGCTGTTGGCCTGACCATGCGTGTACGGACAATATCCCAGCTCGTTGGTTTGCTGCCTCTCTGCGCCGGAATGATTTTTCCCTTGCCCAACGGCGTCGGGATCTCATATGTACACCGTATATCACAGTCACATATGTACCATGGAGAGCGTTGGTTCTATTTATAGGCAATGCTACGTGGTTGATTCAGATCCCGGCGTACTTTTTTCATCTCCGGCCGATGACTGACTATGTAGGCGATACTTCCTGATCTCCCAACATATCCAACATTCTTGATATGTTAGATATCCAATCTAGACTCAACGCCCTCTATCCAGGTCGGACACACGAGCCAGCTTAAGATCCCCAACCAATAAGGTGATCCCTGTATCTCGTGCAGCCTTTAGATTGGGCTCTCCGACATTTGGATCGTCCGCATCCCCCGCAGCGAGTTTTCACGCCGGCTTGGAATTCGGCGAATGCGACTGAGTGCCGAGTGGTCGTATTTCTTATTTCGTACCTCGCTCTTCGTAAAGACAGCAGCGTACGGACTACGACGAAGGATGGAATATGCTGTAAATATCTGGATGTGATGCTGGATGTGGGGGTGAGAAGGAGTCTGCGGGGTCCAGGACTTGTGCCAGATCTATGAGTATTTAAACACTCAACGTCCACGTCTTGATCTATATCGTTTGCTCCGTACATCTTACCTACGACCTTCCTGCGCCAGTATTCAACCAGAAGCTTAAGTTACGTGAGTAGACATGTCGAGCTGGGCGTTCAAGAACACAGAGCAAAAAGTTCCCTCGTCTGAGGAACTGGAGACAAGCTTCACCATCAAAGCCTATCCATCAACAGATATCTGGTCCAAACCCCCGGCGACTCACCGTTTCAATGCGCCCATCCTCCACAAGACCATGCCGCTGGCTTCTTTCCAGCGAGCTCGCGTTCACGTCTCGGCAAAGTGGACGACACTCTACGACCAGGGAGGGCTAATCCTTGTCGTTAACCGTATGGACGGAGGTAACGCTGACGAAGGACGGAAATGGATCAAAACTGGAATCGAGTTCGTGGATGGCGTACCACGGTGCAGCACGGTTGCGAGAGATCGATGGGCGGACTGGAGTCTGGTGCCGGTTCCTGCTGCTGATGAGGGCGTTGCTGGTAGTAAGGAGGAGGTTGGGGTCACGATCGAGATGGAGCGGCGAGTAAAGGACCAGACTCTGCGGGTGTATATGATCAGAGACGACGGTGAGAGGGTGCCGATGAGAGAGGTGACCTGGATGTTTGAGGACGAAGAGAAGCTGGAGTGCTGGGTGGGAGTGTATGTCTGTAGGCCATCGGCATAAACCTCACTGGGAGACCTGGCCGTGTCCTTCTCGCAGCTCGACGTCTGATCTATCTTGAACTCCTCTTCCTTCCTTTATCCATGGATATTTCTTTCTTCTCCTGCTTCTTCTTGTTTTATATCTTTCCTGCTTCTTTTCACTGTTTACCTAATCACGGAACCAACCGGGTCCGCGCTATCAGATCCGGTCGGAGCCGATGATTTCCCCTTTCGGTTAAAGCGTGCGTGCATGCCAAGCCTTACCGGTGGAGGAGACTATTCCTTAAATAGAATAACGGGGCAGGTATAACCAATAAAAGGCCGTTATAACAATGACATAATCATGGGGTCTGTTCGCTCGCGGCCTAATCTTATCATATCAGATCATCTTTCGGGCGGCGGAGGCAACCCGCATTCATCCCAGCAAAGGGCGACGGGCGAAGGGCGCTGGACACTGCTTTTCAAACCAGATATCAAGGTAGATACCCTCCATACGGGGTAGAAGGCGCTTCATTTTGGAGCTACACCCGTCAGCCACGAAGTCTTCGCTCTGAAAAGTGAAAAGTTATCTGCTTGTCGAGCCTGCAGGTGATTTGCGGAGACGCCTGCAAGCCTCATCTGACCAATTTTTTAGCCTCGTACCTGTCACTCCATCCAGTACTTTCAGCTCCCTGGCGCCCGGGTCGTATTGCTGTCCCTGACTGCAGAAATGAAACAAAACCCGCCCTTCGCCTCTGCTTAAGAACTCGCCCTCAATCCCGTTCTGAGTCACCTTGACCGTTGCCTCGTTGCCTGCAGCCTGCCTCTGACCGTTGGAGCTGTTCACAGAGAGAACTGCTTAGATACAGATACATGGGCGGCGCGTATCCCTTCGAACCGAACGATAGTTACCTCTCCCCACGAACGAGTTAGCAGGCACGGTCGGATGTGTTCGAACAACCCTCTCGGTACCTGGATGATCGCTCCCACCGTATACTCCCCCTTCGCTATACACCCTCTCGCCCGCCTAGTCTCCGGTGACTATGGGCCAAATCCAAACCAGATCAGTTCCGTCATATGGTAGCTGTGAGCCGGACGATAGGATGGATGATACCGCAGAGGCAGACAGGCTACTACAGGACACGGATGATGCGGAGGGAACGGATGAACAGCTACATATCAGCCCATACCCATCCTCGTCAGGTAGTGAGGTTCAAGAAGGTGTCCGCAAGATTGAAGCTATCAGCAAAACATGGACGGAGAAGTCTCTTATAATAGCATACCTTGGGTAAGTGTGGCTACTTCGTGGGAGGCCCGATCTAGGAGAAGTTCTTTAGCTGACGTATCTCAGTATCTTCTTGATGGCGTTCTGTACCTCGCTTGAAGGTCAGACCGTGTCGTCTCTAGCAGCCTATGCTACAAGTTCGTTTAGCAAACACTCCCTCATTTCAACTGTTCTGGTTATTCAAGGCGTGGTTAATGGTGAGCTCACCTGGTCAATTCCCTACCCTGCCCAACCGAAAGCCTGAGTTCTAACAAAGAGATGCCATTTAGCCGTCATAAAACCGCCCATGGCCAAATTTGCCGATGTCTTTGGTCGCTTTGAGGCCTTTTGCATCAGTGTCTTCATTTACGTTCTTGGATACATACAGATGGCAGCTTCACAAAATGTTGAGACCTATGCTTCTGCGCAGATTTTCTACTCTGCTGGGTCCACTGGGTTACAAATACTTCAACAGGTATTCATTGCTGATAGTAGCAACTTGCTAAATCGAGCATTGTTTGCCAGTCTCCCAGACCTGCCTTTCCTGGTCACTGTTTGGGTCGGACCTATGATTGCATCTGTGGTATTGAAACAGTTGACATGGAGATGGGGTTATGGCATGTGGGCCATACTACTGCCAGCTGCCTTCCTGCCCCTGTCACTATCGCTATACATCAATCAGAGGAAAGCGCAGAAATTGCATTTGCTGAAGCCGAAGCCATGGAAAGGCAAGGGGATGAAAAAATTGCTTCGCAGTGCATGGTTTGAGCTAGATATATTTGGCTTGATCCTATTATCCGCTGCTGTGACATTGATACTTGTCCCACTTACACTGGCTGCTCATGCAAAGGATACCTGGCAGAACGGGGGTATCATTGCTATGATTGCTATCGGGGGTGTCTGCTTAATAGCATATCCATTCTGGGAGACGTCAAAGCGATTCGCACCATACCCATTGCTATCATTAACTCTTCTCCGCCAAAGGACAGCGCTTGCTGGCTGTGCGCTGGCTTTCTTCTACTTTAGTAAGATTCTTGCTTCTCCGTTCAATTTCCTTCTGCTAACACCTTGAAAAAGTGGCCTTTTATTGCTCTGTTCAGCCATACTTCTACTCTTATCTGCAGGTGGTTCAGGGTCAATCGGTCGCGACAGCTGGACGAGTAACTCAGACGTTCTCCTTTATGTCCACAGTTGCAGCCGTGATTGTCTCATTTATAATTAAATATCTAAAAAGATACAGACCGTTTGTTACCTTTGGATGCGTCGTATACATCCTTGGGTTGGCCTTGATGCTTCTCACCCACACGTCAGGCAAAGGCATATTGCAAATAGTCGTTGTCCAATCCTTGGTTGGCGTTGGAGGCGGTCTCCTCAACGTCCCCGTACAGCTCGGCGTTCAAGCCTCAGCAAGTCATCAACAAGTAGCGGCCGCTACCGCTATGTTCTTAACTTCCCTTGAAATGGGCGGTGCTGTGGGATCAGCTATATCCGGTGCAATTTGGACGAGCTATTTGCCAAAGAGACTACTGAAATATTTACCCGAGGAAACGAAAGGAGAGGCCGGTGAGATCTTTGGAAAGTTGACTAAAGCCCTATCATACCCGATGGGTTCGCCGACAAGAGACGCAATCATTCGTTCCTACGAAGAGACTATGAAAACTCTCTTGATTCTTGCTATTTGTGTTTGCATACCCTTGATCCCATTGAGCTTACTTATGAAGAATTATGAGCTCGACAAGGTACTTACCACTCGCTTTACTTTTCTCTCTTAGTCCTTTCAGACCAGCTTTATTTGCTAACTTCTTTTCTGATTATAGATAGATCAAAGAGTGAAGGGTAAAGTCGTTGGACATATCAGCGATGATCGCGATGATATACCTCCAGCAACCCCACAAATCCATACACTTCCTTATACCAGCCCGACGAAACGCAGCTCTCAACACCATCTTAGCTCCTGAAGAGCAACTGCTATATTTCTATTTTATTCCAGCAACCTCGGAGCGGATTTCGAATTCTGTGTACATAAAATATCATTGGTTTGACTGCTGTTAACCCTGGGTCAGCTGAACCCTGGTAGCCCATCATCAGGTCTACTGTCGGCCTTTGAACGAATTGAAGAGGAAAGGACATAACATTTACGATTCTAACGATACCACGTTTCTACACGAGCAACTCGGAGCGAGCAACATAGCACGGGACACGTGCTTTACCCCATTTGGCGTTTATATTATCTCTCTGTGTTCCATTTGGGCCATTTCTCGGTGTTTTAAAAAAACATTTTGCAAATCATTGAAATCACGAATAGACATGTGTATATAGATCAAACTAGGGATATGCGGGATGTAATATTTAACGCACCCTTTTATTGCCAATACCTTGTGGTTGTCTCAGTTCTTATTTACTTCAATTAAACTGAATTAAAACCCCTAAATAATGAGTAGATGATGCTGAGATTGAGGGAAGAGGCCCCATTATATATCCACACAAATTAGCACCTAAAAATACAGTCTTCGAGCATCAGATCAGTTAAGCTAGTAACACAAAATCCCGCTCGAAATGCCAGCTGGCCCACTCCTACTCTATTGTTAAATCTTCTCAAAACGAATAGGTTGGTTAGGCAGAGAGGGATATAAACCCTTCCTCTTCTCCGGCAACAATAATGTACCGTTCTCATCAAACCATATAGTGTCCAATGTTGTACTATATGTGCTGAATATCCTTGCGGTGACTAGTCGACTTATTGCCCATGCAACACTGTTTCCAAGAAAAAGCCGTTAGTATCAGCTAGGACCGGCCTGCTACAATGGTCCCTTATTTTTAATATTCAAGGTATAAACTTACTTCATTCCAGTACACATTCTCGCACCGGACCCAAAAGGCCAAAATGAGCGCTGCATTTGTCGGTACTCGTCGGACTTTGGAGAAGCTTCCCAGCGCTCTGGCCTCCAAGCCTCGGGGTCTGGATACGGATTTGGGTCCTGATGGAGAGTGTAGGATTGAGATGCGATATTGGTCTGTACAGGTTAACCACATTCTTAGTGATAGTTCTAAGTTCTAGGAATATTGACTGGAGGTAAATGGAATTTAGATTCATTTTGTTTGTAACATACCCCTGGTTCGATTTTAAAGCCCATGACGGTGAGGGCTTCCCCTTCTTTCACTACTCTTGGTAACTGTAGTGGAATTGGCGGGTTTGTGCGAAGTGTTTCTTTGAGTATACAATTCAAATATGGGAGCTTCTGCAAAATAGAGATATCTGGACAAGTTCCAGGCCTGATACCCGCGTCTTTAAGCTCTAGACGAAGTCTTTCCTGACGCTCCCTATTTTGAGGGAGGGAAAGATGCCAGAGCATCGCTCCGAGAAAATCATTTGTTGTTCGGGTTCCTTTATGTAGCTAGTCATTAGTTCTATCCTAATAATCCAGACAACAAGGAGGGATGAGATTGAAGCTTAAATTCTTACCAGCAATGAAATGATCAAGGCAATCACTAGCGATATATCTTTTATCCGGTATTTCAGGTGAGGGTCCATTACTTTCGTAAAGTTCGACAAGACGCCCAAGATGTGTGCTTGGAGAATCATTTGAGCCAGTTGTCTCTTTCGTTCCACCTGCCTTCGACAGAGCCGCCTCTACTTGGTTTAATCCAAAGTCCGCCATTGCTGATTTTGGCGGGAAAAGCCCAAGGATTCGTGAGATGACCTCTATGTGATTTTTGTTACTAATGGAAAGTCAATGTGTACTGGAGCTAGACTTACTTGGGTAGAAGGCTGCTAATGCCTCATATGCAGTGACGTCGGCTGCATTGGTTTCGGGCATAAGTTCAGTCATAGTAGCCCTAGACTCTTTGTCTGCCAATAGCCTAATATTGTGATTATCCCCATACACCAAACGAATCATGATATCGCCGGTGAGCCAAGTTACCCATCCTAATCCATTGGCTACTCTGGACGGGGAGCTGGCGGCCTCTTCCTCAATCGCCGTGACAAACTGGTCCATATGCGTCTTGAGAATCTTTTCATACACTGGCCCTGAAACAACGGGCGCTGAATATAGGCCGATGACTTGTTTTCGTCGTGCAAAATGAAGATCAGAGTTTAGCGTGCTGACAAGATTATCGGAATTATATTGTCGGAGAGTTGATAGCAGAATTCCCCCGTTTAGGCCACGCGGGCCATAGTAGATAGTCCGCAATGCATCGGGATGGCAAACAGATACACTATTTGGTGATACCCGGACTACAGGGCCATATTTCTGATGCAATCTGTGAATAGTCTCCCAAACCCGACCGGAATCTGCACCCATTGGTGATCAGCGCCTGAGGCCCAGCAACAGGTCTGTTGGGAGAAGCTGGAGCACGAGACGTACCTTTTAATACATTATATTTTATCCACAAACTGCTAAATTTAGCGAGACTTGGGCCAGGGATAGGCGACTGCGCATTCCGGAAAATGCACTTGATGGCTGCTATCATGATCCAAATACACCAGGCAAGTGCTAATTTCGTCAACAACCGTGGAATATCTAGACTGAAAGTGTATAAATTCATATTATACGGTCAGTGAGATGAACAAGTATACGAATGTTGGAGCCTAGTTCGGCCACGTAAATATTTTCGTGAATCCAAGAAGTAGAAAGTGTCAAGTGATACTAATAAATGTGCATCATCCAGCAAGCGTACGCATAGAAAGCAGGCTATGAGTATCAAATATGGGGGTATATGATGAGCCGTGGAAGCAGTTGGAAGTGTTCAACCCTCGGAAAAGTAGAAATTTATATCAATCGTCTCCCATTCTGACGGGGGTATACGCCTCGCACCCTTGCTGGTGACGGGCCCTGCCGTAACAACATATCCATCTCCGGGCTGAACGCATGAATGGCTGCTTCATACTCCGTCTATCCAAGTCTGTCTTGATGTAGTCAAAAGAGAGAAAGATTGCACTAACCGAGTTCGGCTATTTCCTGGAGAAGCTGGCCCGTGCACACCATAAATCACGTGCTAGCTGCCCCTTTCGACTTTTGAGGTTGAAAAAGAAACGGAAGACACTTCACAATGGCGGAACTTGGTGATGAACCTTTGAGGTCTCGACCTGGGGCTGACAGTCGTGGAGCTCGGTGTTTCGCTTCTTAAGCGATACGGTGTCCTAATATTTAGGAGTCATAAACTAGTTATTTAACTAGCGCTATTCAGCCACACTCTGCCTTGGATAGTTATCGAGGCTCAGCAATATCTCAGCCTTGTCCAGCCCGAGAGGAGGCTCAAAATGAGGTGACGACAGTTAGGTTTCCCCCTCATTTGACTAAGATGGCTGCCTATAAAAGGTGGAAATCTTCCAAGGTAGAGGAATGATACCCAGTCCTTCACAAAAGTTGTCATCTTTTTTGTTATCAAAAAGCGTTTAACCATTGAAAATTGAACGACATGGCTACCAGCTCTAATGATGATGGCTTTGAAATCATCGATAGCCGTCAGATTCCCCTCCGGCCTCATAGTTCTGCTACGACGTTAGTAGAGGATAACTTGACGTCAGAACCTACACTGAGTGTACATGCGATTCCCAAGAAGAATTCTATGATCGTGTCGGTCCAGCCTCCATTGAAACCAAAGGATGACGTCCGCCATGTTCCTTGTGACGTCGTGCTTGTAATCGATATTTCTGCAAGTATGAACTCGTCGGCTCCGATACCAACTGGAGAGTCCGGCGGCGAAGATACAGGATTGAGCATTCTGGATTTGACGAAACATGCGGCCAAGACAATCATCCAAACACTAAATGAGAATGATAGGCTCGCCGTCGTTACGTTTTGTACCCAGGTCAAGGTATGTTTAACTTTGTTTACCCCTAATAATATTCCAACTACTTATCACATTTATATAGGTGGAATTTGAGCTAGCTTATATGAATGATGGTAATAAGAAGAAAGTGTTGAGTGCCATCGACGGCCTCCATGGCATAAGCTCTACAAACTTGTGGCATGGAATAAAAGATGGTCTAAAAGTGCTGGCTAAGAGTTCCCCTGTTGGAAATGTGCAAGCTCTGCTTGTATTGACGGATGGTAGGCAGTCCCTATCTGACCTTAAACTCTCTAAACGAACGGATAGCTAACAATCTTTCTAGGAGCTCCAAATCATATGTGCCCTGCTCAGGGATATGTCCCCAAATTGCGCCAAACTCTATTGGATCATTACAACTCAACAGAATGCTTGCCACTGATCCATACGTTTGGCTTCGGGTACTATCTTCGCTCACCTCTTCTACAGTCGATCGCGGAAATTGGAGGTGGCACTTTTGCGTTCATCCCAGACGCGGGCATGATTGGTATGCATATATCTGTCTCCATTACCATTTTACATCAATTTTCTAAGCGCAACTGTAGGAACCGTATTCGTTCATGCTGTCGCGAACTTGTATTCGACATTCACTCCCCAGGCAAATCTCATTATCCAAGGAGATGGACCAGCTACTTTCAGCGTCGACTTGGGAAGCAAACCCGGACTGGAACTGAATCGTCCCACTGGCAATGGGGTATCTCTAAGACTTGGAAGCCTGCAATATGGACAGTCGCGAGATATCATCATCCATTACGACGAGGCATTGAAGAATAGTGCAGTTAATATTCAAGCCAAACTGGTCTATAACGTTCGTGGAGTCACCAGGTCAGTTGAGGTACATAAATTGGTCCATACCGACGAGGTATCTTTGCCACAGACGGTATACGACTACCACCTTGTGCGTTCCATGATTTGTACCTTCCTAAGGACTTTCCATCCCCTCGAGGACACAGCGGAGAACTACCAATTTCCTGGCAGGGAACTTCCGGATATACAGGCCAAATTAGAAAGCCTAGCCGCTGAAATTAAAGGTCTCGGCCACACGGATGAATATAACCAAAGTCTTCTCAAGGATATTGCTGGTGAATCCCCCCACGGCCAAATCAGTCTTGCGGTGTCATCGGACGAATACTATCAGCGTTGGGGACAACACTATCGTGAGTTACCATCATTTCGCCTAGTGGTTTTATGTTGTGGTCTTGCCTCGCCTTACTTACCTTTTCTTAATAGTCCTCTCGATCCTAAATGCGCATACCAATCAGATATGCAACAGTTTCAAAGATCCCGGTCCATTGATGTACGGCAAGAACTCTCCATTATTCTGCCGCTGTCGAACTGAGCTAGATGGCGTATTCGACAACCTGCCGCCACCTAAACCGTCGCGTGCACCCCGGCCATCAGCATCGGGAAAGCCTGCCCGTAAGGTGCATATGTCTTCTTATAACCGAGCGTCTGGACCGTGCTTTACAGGGAACTGCCAGATTCGAATGGCGGATACTGGCAACTGTGATATTAGTAACACTAATATTGCAATCGAAGCACTTCGTCCTGGCATGACCGTGTGGACTCCACATGGGTCTCGGGAGGTTAAAGCCGTCCTACAGACAAGCGTGACCGATATTGAGATCTGCAAAATCGGGTCGCTTGAAATTACACCATGGCATCCGATGCAGTTCCAGGGAAGATGGGAATTCCCATTCAACGCCTCTAGCGGAAATGTTCAAGCGTTTTCCGGAAACATTTACTCGGTTTTACTTGAACCTGATTCCAACTCTGGTGCCCATGCAATCATGGTAGAGAACAACATCTGCGTCACATTGGGGCACGGTATTCTGGCAGGAGACGATGTACGTGCTCACGAGCTATTTGGTAACTACAAGCTCGTTTCAAAGAAGCTGGAATCGCTACCAAGGCTTGCCAATGGACTATTGCACTGCATGGGAATAGAGCGTTCACCAGACTCAGGTCTTGCATGCGGTTTTATCGGATATGACGACGTTCTCGAGGCCGTTACTGTACCTAGCCATGTTAACTCGGCTGAGAAGGATTTAAAGCATGGCGACATGCAAAATTTTAGAGCTATAGCCGTGTGATTAGCTTTAGCATTATCACAGCTAGGTATAGAATGCATGATAACTTCTCAACATGGGATGATAACTCACGAAAAATTATTAACGAAATACCATGGTAGTCGAACTATAACATTATATCCCAAGTAGAAAAATATGTTTAGTCTCTTAACAATCAAAGTCCAACACCCGTGGCTACATCGAGGAACGGAATCACACATTTCCGATATTTAGTAATCGTTTGATAAATTTGATTATATCTCCATTTGGCAAAAGAAAGATGCTACCAGTCTAATAGAGTAAAGTTATAAACATGAAAAGTGTTATCGGGAGTGCCTTGTAAATGTACATATTAAAATGTGAGGGAAGAAATATAATAGTAAATGGAGAAGGGAATCATTGAAGAGGAGATTATCACGCCTCGCGGTCTAAGCTCTGCGCCTTGCACATTTCAAAATATCTACCTTTCATCCTCAGTAAATCTTGATGCGTCCCTCGTTCGACAATTTTGCCGGCTTCAAGCACAAAAATTGCATCACAATCTTGGACAGTGCTAAGCCTGTGGGCAACAGCAATAGTTGTTCTCCCCTTTTTCGCATGTTCAAGCGCAGCTTGCACAACACGCTCGCTCTCAGTATCAAGCGCACTTGTCGCTTCATCCAGGAAAAGGAAGTCAGGATTTCGAAGCAACGCCCTCGCAGTGGCGAGACGTTGCCTTTGACCCCCACTAAATGAAAGACCGCGGGATCCGGCCTCGGTATTATAGCCCTCAGGTAAGGAGATGATGAAATCGTGGATATTTGCATTCTTGCAAGCTTGGAAGATCTCCTCATCGGGCACATCACGGGTAACGCCGAGCAGAATGTTTTCACGAATTGTACCCTGATATAGTGTTGTCTCCTGCGACACAAGACTGGCTGTCTCCCGATATTTGGTTACATCGATCTCAGTCAGATGTTTGCCATTAATAAGGATATCTCCTGATGTAATATCATAGAAACGTTCAAGCAGGGCGATCATGGTCGTTTTCCCACACCCTGAAGGCCCAACAAGACCAATATTTTGACCCCGAAGGATTTTCAGGTTGATTTTGCGAAGGACAGGCTGGTCAGGCCGAGTAGGGTAACTGAATGTCACATTTCTGAATTCCACTGCTACATCGGAATCCTCGCCGGATGCAGGAGTCTCTCCAGTCGACCCATTGATAGGGGCAACCTGATTTCTAAGGTGTAATATTTGGTTTGCAGCTGCATGCGCTTTCGTCGTATCTAAAAAATAAAAGTTAGTCGGCAATATTAGCGCTCAAAGCCCGTGGAAAACTCACTCAATGTGAAGCCGAAAATGATCCCAGCGGATTGTCCTCCGAAGATGATCGCAATAAAAACCACAAAAAACTGTTCGGCAGTATATTCTCCATACGATATAAGCCTGCCGCCATACCAGAAACCCAATGCCATAGCTATCAAAAGTCAGCTGACAACGAACTTGAAAAATTAAATAAACGAGGAGTATATGGCTCGTGGGATCTTACCTGCGGTGTCGATACTGTCTGACAGGCCAAAGAATATCATTGAAATTATTGTATGCTTCACAGATCTTGCCACTGGGCCTTTTAGCCTGTCGCCATAGTTGTTGTATACCGTAGATTCCAGTGTTAAGGATGAAACAGTTCGAATGGAGTTAACGGCTTCGGCCGCAAACCGAGCACTTTCCAGATATAGTTTTGCATTCTTATCCTGGGCCTGCATCTCCATTCTCATGCGGGTGAATCCAGCCAAGAAAAGTGGAGGGAGACAACCGAAGAGAGAAACGAGAGCCAATTTCCATCCAGTAGCAAGAGCTAGAATGATCACAGAGAGGAGACTGACCATAACGATCAAGATCAAGCCTATATTAGATGAAAGCAGATCCTGAAGATTCTGTGGATCAGTAGATAAACGCGCCGTAAGGCTACCAGAGGAATTATCAGGCTGATCAAAGAATTCAATGTCCTGCGAAATCATTGCTCTGAAGTATTCGCTTCGGTAGAATTTTGACGAGCGGAAGGCTGCAACTGTCAAGAAGAAGCCAATAGATGCATATGTGACTAGGATGCAAAGTGCAAGGATGAAGAACATGAGAGCCCAGAAGTTTCCGCGACCTTGTAGCTGGTCTTCAGGCAGTTGAAATATTGTAACAATTTTTGAGAAGAGGATTGCTTGAGCAGGAAATGCACCGCCGCCGGCCACAGAGGCAATACCTCCACAGAGGAAAAATACCCAGTGGCGCCTCTGCTCATACAGGATCTTCACGATACACCTGAAGAGAGATACTTTTCGCGACACGTCCTCTGTCTGTGGTATAACTTCATTGGGAATATTGCTGCGAATCGATTTAGTTGTCACTTGCTTCTCCAGGGCTTCAGTTGGTTCATCGGCCTCCTTTTCACTTTCGGAGGCGGAGGTAGCGTCATCGTTTGAAAGAGAGAGACTTTGGGCGTTCACAAGATTCCAATACTGTCCTTTAGCGTCTAATAGCGAATCGTGGGTTCCTTGTTCGAGGACTTGTCCTTTGTTCATAACAACAATATTATCTGCTTTCTTAACGGTCGACAGCTTGTGGGCAATAAGTATTGTTGTTCTAGTCTTTGAGACCCTATCAAGAGCAGCCTGGACAATGGCTTCGGCGGTGGGATCAAGGGCGGAGGTTGCTTCATCCAGCAACAGGATAGGGGGGTTAGAGATGATACTGCGAGCAATGGCGACTCTCTGTCTTTGGCCACCACTAAGGAGACTGCCCCTCTCCCCAACAACGGTATCATAGCCCTTGGGGAATCCCTGGATGAAGGTATCTGCGTTGGATTCGATGCAGGCTTGTCTGACAAGCTCTCTCCTTTTCTCTTCGTCTAATTTAGCAATTTCATCAGGCGGTAATCCATACAACACATTGGTATAAATGGTGTCATTGAATAGTACGGGTTCCTGAGATACATTAGTTTGCATAACGTATTGGGGACCAAGGAAAATGGCTTACTTGTTGAACTAACCCAACCTGACTTCGAAGCCACTTGACATTCAAATCCTTAAGCTCAACGCCATCTAAGGTAATTGAACCACTAGCAGGGTCGTACCACCTTTCAATCAATCCGACTATTGTACTCTTGCCGCTGCCACTAGCCCCAACGAGGGCAGTGACCTTGCGAGCTGGAATTTTCAATGTGACTCCATTTAATACTTGGACGGTGGGTCGTGCAGGATACGAGAAACGGACATCGGAAATTTCCAAGTCACCATTCACTCCATCTGGCTTTTGTCCTTCGGTGCTCATCGAGTCGATTTCAGGCTTTCTTTCTATCATATTAAGGACATCATTTGCAGCTGCACCGGCCTTGGTGAATTCTCCTATGGTAGGTGCGATCATGGTGAGTGATGAAGTTCCCAGAATAATAGAGAACAAGACACTAATCCATCATTGATTAGCCATTTCCGCCTTTACTGAAAACAGGGGAGTGGAAGTTGAAGAAGCATGGAGCAAAACGTACGTCAGAATATCTCCTCCAGTTCCTATTTTTCCCTGAAGCAAAAGCTTTATACCATACCAAAAGGCCAAGGCATAGGCACAGTACATTATGAAGAACTCCGAGCTGTATTGTACGCCGAGAATAGGGCCCTTCTTGACACCAAATGCCTTTGCAGCTTCGAGATGATGGTCGTACTTTTTGCGTAGCCTGTCTCCTGCCCCAAAAGCAACGACGACTCGGATGCTCCCCAGCGTTTCTTCTACTAGGCCTCCGGCTTTAGAATAAATGTCCAGTATTTTTGCTTCTAGCTTAGCATCCAGGACGACCGTGATGCCAACCAGTGTAACTGCCGTGGGCACCGTAGTAGCGACGGGAAGCGTTAACCTCCAGTTCTGAGTAAATGCAACGACAAAAGCAGCAACCAGCATAGCAAGGCCCTGCACGCAGGTGCCTACTTTCTCTGCCATTCCAGCTTGGATAAGATTCGCGTTGTTTGAAATCCGAGTTGCAACGGACCCTGGTGTGTAGGTATCAAAGTATGCCATCTCCTGGCTTAAGATGGAGCGAACATATTCCAGCCGCAGCTTTCGAACACAACGTATCGATGTGATGTTGAAGCATACGGTGTGTATGTAGACGAGCTGTAGAGAAATCAGTTACGGCTAAAAGGTCCAAAAGACAGATGCACTTACACAGAATTTTCCAATAAAAAGATAAACAAACCATAGCCTAGTTAATGCAATCTTCACTCAGCATTCTCTCTCATCAACAATAAGAACAAACCGCACTCACGCATTTTTTGAGACTTGGCTTCGAAAGTCAGCCGCGGAAACACGCCCGACACCAAAGTCATTAAACACGTCAACGAATTTACCAAAGACAATAGTCATGAGTGGCAGTGCCTAATCGAAACAAGTAGTCAGGTTCCGGTTAGTTTCAATGTTTTATTTGCATTTGTTTTGGCATCTCAAGAATGTAATTGTATGGGCAACTTACCGTTCCAGCTCCGATGGCAGCGAAAAAGCCAACAATCCGAAGGACTACGTCGACTGGTTCACACCAGGACCATAATTTCTAGCAAGAAAGTCTTTCTTTAGCAGATGCTAGCTAATTTGACACGCGAGAGACAATTGATTTACCACATAAGCCCCAAAACCCTGCGGGGGCTCGTCCTTCTTCAACTCTGCATTTGGAACATCAACCACGCCGTCAGACTGCTTGTTTGGCGTTGCCATGTCTGCTGCATTCGACGCTCCTGATGAAGAATTCTCCTCCTCTCCATTATGTTGCGGACTGGGGGAACCCAGCTTTGGTTCATCAACACCCGCTGGTGCCATGATTCCAGTCTAGCAGTATGGCTAGAAGGTCGGTGTATGGATGTCTGGAAAGACCAACGGACGCGGGGCCAGGACGAACAACAACACCATCAGAGGCTTTTGCCGTAAGTATCAACCAGCATTTACGCGAAGATATAGCTTATAGCAGGCCCGTAGAGGAGGGCAAACTGTTCATATATCAGAGGCGTTCGGTATTTAACTTTGGCCAGAACCAAACACACCGGCCCAAGCAATATCAATATTCGACCACAAGGAAGAAAATAGCAACAAAACGCCAATAAATGCCGAGCCTGAGTCTGAGCTGAGGCAGCAGGCAGCAACTTGGCGCACCGGAACTTTCCCTTGACAAGTTTGTATCACTCTACAAGGAGTCAAGGACTGACGGGACTCCGGGACTCCGAGTATTCACTCCAGAGAGGCCAGAGAGGCCAAACTGGAAAGCTTCACCGCACGCTTGGCGATGCCGGCATCCTCTCGCCCCCACGGAGTGCGGATGCCGCGGGCGCCGGGGGATGGAGATGGATGCAGCATAAAGGTTCAAGCACATCTTGTCCAGTATCCAGGATTCGACATCTTTCGCTGCCAACATCCAGATGTGCGTATATTTAGATCACGCGGCTCTGCCTTTACCGTTTGGCCATCGTTCAAGACGTTTGGACTGCAACCTCTGTGGCCAATGACGGAGGTGGCGCGGGAATATTCGACCAGACGGACAAGCATATAGTTCTCTCGCTTCATGAACTTGATATGTAGAGCCTTCTCCCGATTCCACGAGGCCGCGTCAGGTTGCAGATACGACGGCGACAGTGATCTGAGTCAGGCATAAATTAATCCTTCACCGGAATATGGCCAGCGCTGCGAATCCAATGCAGGGGATCATATCATCCTATCACCAGGGTGGTGTCAATCCCTGAAATATATATAGGTATGTGTGCAGAATGATAAGAAATATGGGATAGAATGAAGTCGTGAGATGCTTTTGACGGCAACGCTTCTTATGCATCCAGGGTCAGGGGCGTTATCTTGTACGACTTGGCCCGGAGTTCGTTTCTTTGCTTTTTCGCATCAGATGAATATTCTCTACGACGTCGGGATAGAGATGTGCCCGTACTGCAGTTGGTACTGTGTAAACCGACCTCGAAACACATAGATGCGGCCCTCTACTCAGCTGATATGCGCTGTAGGAATCTCTGCGTCACCTCCAATATATCAGGATGATTCAAGGATTACCTGAACGGGCTAGCCTTGAGGCTATCGTGATGCCTTTTTTTCTTTTTCTTTTTTGGCTGCGATCCTTCTTCCCACGGCGATCCTTTGACCACGAAATAGTTGAAATGCCCAACTGAACGACGTCTCTCATCGTAGCCATATCCAAGAGTGCGTTTAAGAGCCTGTCCAACAGTGTGTTCGATGTTAATTGGATACCGGGCGTGCCTTTATCAAGTCGGCTGGCATGTCTGATCCATACGATTCCTGCGATAGCGACACCTACATCCTCGATGACTTCGACGACGTTGAACGGCCGATCTCAGTGAGCCACAGCTATCTCCTGAGCAGCTCGACCTTGTCCTCTCGAATACTCCGGCTGCTCCCTCCACGATGGCGTCGGAAGTTTACCAGTCGCCACAGAAAGACAACGGCGACCAAACATGGCAGCCAGCTCCGGCGGTGTGTGCCCAGTTCGCCGCCTACGATATACAAGGCTCTGCGCTGGGTTTTGATAGCGATTTCCTGTCTGGTTGTCCTCATACCGCTGTTCTGGCCCTCATACACCCATCGACCGCCTCATTATAACGATCTCCAGAGGCTCGCCGTCGGTTCAGACAAGCCGGGGAGGGGGAACTCGCGCAACGAGAAAGTGTTCATTACCGCGAATATATATGACCCAGATGGAAGTCTGGCCCAGAGCCAATGGAGCAAGAACATATTTCAACTGATAGACTTGTTGGGCCCAGAAAACACATACTTGAGCATATACGAGAATGACATGAACGACAAGGCGCGGGACGCCTTGAACAGGCTGGCAGAGCAGACTCCGTGTAACCACTCTCTCGTTACCGAAGAGCATCTCGACACGACTAATCTATTACATATCACCCTGCCAGACGGGTCGAGGAGACTCAAGCGCATTGCCTTCCTGGCCGACGTACGAAACCGCGCGCTAAGACCGCTCAACGAGCCTAATATGATGAGATTTGATAAGATCCTCTACGTTAACGATATATTCTTCAATCCGATCGATGCCCTCCAGCTCCTCCTCTCTACTAATATAAACGAAGACGGCGTCACCCGATACCGCGCCGCATGTGCCGTGGACTTCATCAACCCTTTCAAATTCTACGACACGTTTGCCTCACGGGACCTTGAAGGATACTCTATGGGTATTCCTTTCTTCCCCTGGTTTACAACCGCGGGTGATGGACAGAGCCGTAAGGATGTTCTGAACCAGCGAGATGCTGTTCGTGTCAGAAGCTGCTGGGGTGGCATGGTTGCCTTTGATGCACACTACTTCCAGGCACCTCCGCCCGGACAAACACAAACCTCTCCTTCACATAATACAAGTCGGTTCCGTGCGGAGCCTGACCTCCTCTGGGAAGCGTCTGAGTGTTGTCTGATACATGCTGACATCCAAGATCCACCCCATGAGGCAAAGCCCGGACAACCTGCTGATACTGGAATATACGTGAACCCGTATATTCGGGTTGCGTACACTCCCTTCACTCTTTCATGGCTAGGTTTTACTCGGCGTTTCGAAAGGCTATATTCCCTCCCGCACGATATAATAAACCGTCTAGTGGGCTTGCCTTGGTTCAACCATCGCCGTACTGAAAAACCAGGCGATGTCATCGAGGAGCTTGCCTGGGTAGAGAATGAGAAGGGTGAAGGCTCCCAGAAGACCGTATCCCGCACTGCTGGCACCGGTGGCTTCTGTGGTAACCGAGCACTTCAAGTCATGAAACCCCATCCTAAACCCGGCGAGAAGACATGGGAGCTGATTCCACCGGATTCATTTTGATCCTCGTTCAACTAATATTTACTCCCTTGTATTTCTAGATCTAGAAAAGCAGCATGGCGTTTAGTGGGCCGGATATACATTCTGCATTGTTTATTCCATTTGAGATACCATTAATGATAACCCTTGATAGCATTCATATTTTTTCTAGCAAATATGAAGTTCTTAAGCCATATATGTAAATGTATGACAGCGATGTCATGCTATGATATATTCTAGAATGATTCCCAGGACTATCCCCTTAAAGCCCGGCCCTGTCCTCTTGTTCTAGGGCCTAGTCACTATCAAGATATCAAGCAGAACGTGCCTCTAATACTGCTTCTGATTGTGCTAGTCTACGGAGCTTTCCGTGAGACAAAGTGACTCTTTATATAACTTCTCACTTTGCTCACTCCTATAAAAGCTACGATCACCAAGCTACCCCTTTGTCCAGAGATTCTACTGCTACATCTCTCACACAGTATCCCCGCCTATTCTCTATTGTATAGCCATTTCGGTGTTTATCCTGCATATTATCAAGGAGCAGCTGTGTGTCTATCAAATAACCGTCATCATGCCGTGTTGGGATTCACCTGAGGGATCTCCTCGCGCCCAGACTCCTCAGACAATAAAGGAATATCAGGCTCAAGAGAAGAGAATTGACAACGCCGTGAAAGTCGGCCAGGTCATCTTTGACACTTTTAACCAGGTCAGCGCTGAGCGTAGTGTTGGTGGGTTGGAGGCCAGCAGATGGGCTTGCGACCATCACGTCTACTCGCTGGCTGAACCTGTCCTCAACCAGGGCAAAAACAAACCACAAGGACAAGAGGACAACAAGCAAGTGAGTTAAGCACCATCTTCCTTATAACATCTAGAAGATATTGTAACTGACACTCGAGGCTTAACTACTTTACAGAACAACACTGTGAACCAACCTCATCCAAAGCGTGCTTCCAACGAGGCAAAGATGGAGAAGAAAGAAGGACCCCCAGTTGTCAACATTGATGACACTGAGGCATTCATGAAAGCTGTTAAAAAGATCAATAGGGTTGGTGGATTCGACCTGAAAGCTCCTCCAGCTCCCAAGGCTGCTCCTATTGAGGGTGAGTTCCTATCTCTCTTCGTTTCATATAAGCGGCTATCTAACATGCTAATCATCTTTTGAAGTCAAGGAAAGCCGTGAGCCTGCTGCAGAGCTACGCGTTACTACGTCTACCCAGCCTGTTGTCGAGGATAACAAGTGCCCTCCAGCTGAAGAGGAAGAACACGCTACGAAGGAAGACGGTGCTACGGAGGAAGCCTCGATTCCGAAAGACGAAGAGGAGGATCGCGAGCATCTAGTCACTTTCAAGACCTGGGGAACTCCCGCTGAGCGACCAGTGACAGGTAAGGCTTCATATATATTCGTCTCATTGTCACAATAACACCCTTCACTAACGTAACGCGAGCTGTTCAGCCTCTGCCCCTCGCCGTATCATCCTGACCGGTATCCCAGTTTTCCTTCGGGGTCCAGCTCGTCTCCTCGCTCTCATCCATGGCGGGAGGATTGAGTCAATTGTCGTGCACACAGCTAATCAATATGCCGAAGTCCGCTTCTGTGACGCGGCTGCATGCAAAGCGTTTTATGACAAGTATCCCAATGGGATTGATGTCGACTATAACGGTAGTCGCGGAACTGTGTTCGTGGACATGGGCAAGGAGGTCGATATTGTCAGCTCCCGTCTGCTTGAATGTTTGGATCTCGGTGCAACCCGCGTGGTGCGTGCCATAGGAGCTCCGCTGGACGTCAGCATTGCTGAGCTCGTTGAGCTTGTCGACGGAAAGAAGTGGCAGCTAGAGAAGATCAATGACTCTTACGAAGCATCTTCCGTAAGTCCATCCTCCTCCCCGAAAGGCGTTCAAGGTATACCTAAGGAGAAAGTATTAACGGACTGGGCTTAGAAAATACGCACTGTCGTCTTTCGCTTCTGCTCCATCGACACGGCCGTTCGTTTCCGTTCCTACCTCATCCGTATGGACAACTGGGACCAGGCTAACATTCAGTTCGGCCCTGACCCGTGAGTTTTACTCATTTCCTACGTTTAAACTGTCAGTCTGACATTTCATTAGATGCGAGACTGCCACCGGCATCCACTGGGATTAGATACGTCAATATCCTCCTCACCTTTCTCTACATACTCTCTCCCCCTCTCGTTCAACAACATTGACGGGTGAATTTGGTCGTGGAAACAAGGGTAGGATATCAGATGGTGAGAATCTCAGGGGCCCCAGGCAGATCGTCACAGAATAGCCGCAAAGAAAGACAGACTCGTAGTTAATCTCTAGAAAGCATAAATCGAGGTACATCTGATAAATCTGCCTAGAAGTATTTCCCGCATTTTCCGTATATCACGTTATTCCCATTGCATATAACTTGATCACATTATAGTCTGGCGGTCATGAAGGCGGGTGGTGTGCTACCTATCGCACAGCCTTACCCGATCAATTTTCAATAGATATGATACATAAACTGACTTGAGCATGCACCTGTATCCCCGGCCATGCCATTCTAACGTCCAACCTTGGTTGGCATCTGCGAGTATGGCCCCATTCTCATTGGCCTCATAATCGGCGTTCACTGATACCTCCATGTCTCACACCAGGGGTTAGGAGTAGATGCGCGTCCCAAAAATTATGTACCAGGGGGTACTTGTGTATATATAAAAAAAAGAAAAACCGGCATAGGAACGACCGTACATAGATTACAAGCCAAGAGAAAGGGAGGAGGGACTACTGCTGGTCAAGATCTATACATACCAGTCAATGTCCAACAAACTCAGGGCCAAAACGTTGCCTTGCTGCTCGCGTGTATCCAAAGCTGTTTCCTATTCTCTCTAACTAGACCATCTACCTGTATACGCAGCAACACAAGGGTACTGCATGCGGGGGGAGTAGGAGTATTATTGACTCTGTGTTTCTCCGATCCCCATCCAAGGGCCCCATGCTGTTGTGATAAATTAATAGCTCACCGACTCATGGGCTTAACCAACTTCTAAAGCCGACTGTCAGGGAACACCGGCATGTTTCGCATAGACAGAACAGTATGATTGCATTTGGCGCTGCATAAAAAAAGGGCCAGGAGGCGCAAGAGAGAGAGATAGGCTTTGTCACTTCGTTGACTTGAGTCCAGCCAAAGAGTGAAAACATCCCGCCTCGTTGATCAGTTACATAATTTAGCGCGGGCCATGCATATTTTTGTCACGGAGTAGTCCGGAATTATAGGTGCTTGAAACAGTTAAGATGCCAATCGTCCCCGATATAACCACCGACAGCAGTTGAAAGAGCTACAGCAGCAGGGAATAGGAAACAATGACAAGGGAGACAGGTGAGATTTTCGGCTTTCTCATTTGTTGGAATCCCGCGCTGCATATAGAGCTGCATTTCCCTTGTACGGACGGTATGCAGCTGCCTCTTAGCCATGAGGCAGAATTCATGCCAACTGCTTAAGATTAATCTGATTCGGCCAGCTAGATAATCTAGTGCAGAGTACGACGATGCATGGCAGACTGGGTTCTATTTGGAATGTAAGTACATAGAGGGCTATGTAAAAATGCAACTTCTATTTGTGGCCATGACGAGGAGGCCCATATAATACGTGGCATACCTCCTGTCCAAGAAGCCGATGCCGATGCTAATGGGGTCAAGCGGCGTAGCAAAGCCTAAACAACGCCATGAAGAATCGCGGGCGCATCCTAAAGAAAGTTGATACATCTACTTCGAGACGCGGAGGGAAGCCAAGTGGCATCGCATGTTTCACGGCCCCATGTCGCACGTAATTTGCCTTGGAGCTAAGATCAGCTTGCATGGGTGAGGCGCACATGGATGAGGTCGGGGATTGGGCCGTAATAGTAGGCGCTTGGAGGTTTGTAGACGATTTGGTGCCTCTAAGAGGAAAGGCTGGCGCGTGCACTATGTTTGTATGAAAACGAGGCTTATTTCTAGGCTGCCGTTTCTTTATTTGCATGACATTTCAGTGAACTGTATCGGGACTTAAGTTTCATTAACCGCGATGCAACATGCAAACGGCTCGTACATTCGTATAAAATGTCCCGTAGTGTAGGTTTTTGTCATAGTAGAGCGCAAGCTATCAGAGCTGTCCGGTATTTTTTTTTTTTAAATGACGGATGTAATCCCTTGTTCCTCGATGCATCATTCCCTACATCTGCTTGAAGATGGAGTTCTTCAAGGCCAACAGGAAGAAGGGAGTCGAAGGGGCGAAGGGAAAAAGACGGAAAGGAAAGGCGGGGCCTTGAGGCGCAACAACTTTTCCTTCAGCTACAGCATTTTCCACAGTCTCGGTGTTGGATGCGTTGACCCACAGGCTTCAGCACTAGACAGGCAGGATAGGGTAGCCTTGCAGCGACCACCAGCCCATGGACCCCTTCTCCCGAGTACCAAAGGAGGGAGACTCGAAGGGAGGGAATAAGAGCCTCTTTCCCTTGGGAAGGTAGTAGCAGCATAATTTATGCGCCTGAGGTAGTATCCGTTGCTGGCAGGGGAAAGGTAGGGGTAGGCAGCCAATCCGAAGGATTCCGCCCAGCAAGGTAACAGACGTTCCCACCCATACGTGACGGATACCCTGCAACAAAGCGTTGCATCCGGGGAAACTAAATTGGGTAAACGTTCGAGTATCCTGTCCGCACAAGGTAGAAGCCGCGGTTGAACATGGATGAATCACGGCCGTATCGAACACTAGGGGAATCAATCAAAAGAAAAGAAACGCCAGAGTCGACGCAAGTCTGGACGAATCATATACCCTAACTCCAAGGGCAAACATGCGATCTGGCTCCAGGGAGTACATCGGTAGATATACCAAGCTGATCAAGCCCGGAAATAGAGTTCAGCAGAGTCACCGACGTATGCAGCTATACGCTGGGTATGCTCTTCCATTTTTAATTGCTTGCTGGCCCTGGTAGGCTGAATGCGATGTGCTGGACAGGGAGGCAATCCACATTCGACAAGGTAAAGCGAGGAACGGATAGAATAGATGGCCACGGCGAGTATCGACATCACAGAAATGGGGTTCCCTTGGGATCAGCACCCGCAGACGCCTGTAGTGCATCCTCTTATCCCTAATTGGTTAGGGAAAGGGGCAGGGAATGGAGCAGGCATGTGAGTAGGCATATAGATTTCCTCGGGTTGCAGATGACGATATAACCTAAGCGGTTATGTGGACCTATTGCGGTAAACCATCTCAGCTGGCTGGAACGTCCAGAGACTCCTCTTTTCCAATTCCAAGGGCAAATCATCTTCACATCTCGAGACCTGCATCGACCTGCATACGCTGATCAGCTGCCACATCCACCTATCAATCTTTTGTGTTGATATCATAGGCCAATGCAAATAACATGACTAGCGAGAGGGACAGCAGAGCCCCATCGTGGTTGCAACTGGAGGCCAGCGAGCGTATGTAAGAGCCGAAAAAAGGCAGCCACGGGATCTGCACAGGTGGTCAGATATGCGATACGGGGGTTTGATGCAGGCCGACTTTAGAAGTGGCCGGAGAGACAGACAGCCAATATGCACCGTTCTAGAATCAGAATGAGCATTGTCTTTCAAGGGTAATTGAGGGCCCACGTATTGGAAGACAGGCGCGGCGGGCGGACGAGCGGGCAGCTTGAGCCATCATCCCGAGCCGTTAATCCTGAAGCAGATCCCCAGCTGGCCCGTTAGTTGCTTTTTTTTGTCATTCCAGGCATTGGTTATTATTATTAGAAGTCTTTTTGGGGGAAGAAAAAGAGTTCAGTGAAGGGATGTGGATGTCGAGCACGGAGGACAGGATAGTCGTTACGCGGCCGTCGCCGAGAGCAGGCCAATCTGCAGGGATTTCAGACATGGGGGGGCGACCTAGGGAAGAATGTCGAAAAAGAGGCAGCGGAGGGATGAATAGACGGAGTGAGTGCGGATTAGGCAAGGCAAATTGATGGCCTTCTTCAGCTTTTCACTAAAGGCAAGGTACGCCTGTTATGATTCGAGGAGTTGTAGCCTGGATGAACCTGGTAGAAGGTGCATCTCCTGCTCTTTTTTGCCCGTTGATTCGGCTAAAGACCGCAGGCTTCAATCCGTTTCCAAGAATATCGCACGCCCTTCCCTTGAGGACCGATTGACATCGTTGTTGTATATCTCAAACATTGATCCATCGAAGATCTCGTTTCTTCCGAACGAAAATCGTCAAAATATGGCAAAAAAAATGCACAGACTGATGAATTACATAAGCCCGTATCCCTGGCGTAATGAAGACCAATATCTCCGTAAATATAGGACAGAGCAGTGAAATCAGCCGTTCGAGAGGACATTTGCTAAGGCATAATTCTGGCGGCGCAGCAACATCGACATAAAAGGCAAATGCCGCAGCGCCAATAACTAGAGCCAGCATCAATTAGTCGTGCTTCAACAATTAGTACTTGCATACTCCGTACACTAACAGGTACCTTCACGAGCCCCGCCGCGCAAGAATTACTAAGAACGGCGGTTCCGGGTGATAATCTCTTTGTTCAGACTGTGGCGGGTGCTAAAAAGAGGATATATAATCGAAATAGCCCCGTACCTCAGCCGAAAACCCAATTAGCGCTCTGCCTCGAACTTCCGGCTTTGCTGACAAAAAGCCTGCAAGGTTTCCGCCTATTGATCCACTTAGACGGCGATGTGGAGGATAAGTCCACAGTCACTCCGCCCTCTAGCGAGTGCTTGGACGATATATCGTTCACGTACGTAAGGAGGGGAGACTCCTCGGAGGGCGGGGAGGGAGGCTTCGCGCCCAATTGATCGACCTGGCCGGTTTTCGGTACATAATGTATATCCTGGACAGCCACAGAGGAAAAAGAAGAAAAAGAAAGAGAGCAAACAGCCGCCGAAGTTGATGCCCAAAACTACCAGGCCAATGAACCCCCTAAGATCGATATCACATGACCTTCATGCGCTGCGAGATATGGTCCTCGATCCATAGAGGGGGACGAGCTGGCGGGCTCGGACGGGCGGTGACCTGGCCAATGATCGGTCAGGCTTAAATGTTTGCTCTCAGGGCGGACGGAGAGAGAGAGAGAGAGAAAGACTCCCAGGATGTGTGTCGATGGCTGTCCATGTTCATGTCACAGATACTCCCGT